CTTTTTGTCATGTGTTTATACCCGCTATAAGTTGCTATCCTCAGCACATCTATATCTATCTTTGATAGTTTACAATACCTGGAAGAGACAGTGTTGCTTCCCCACTTAATGAAGGGAGTAATGCCAAGAACCCGCTAAAACAGATAAAATGTTTTACGTATAGTTGACTATCGTTGTATAAATTACAAACGCTTTCTCTAAGACCTACGATATTTTGAAATACATCAAGATATTATGCACATACATATCTTTATAATACTTACTTGTAAAACGCCAAATGAAAGATATTTTTTGTCAACAAAACTAGACAAATGATGTTGAAGTGTTAAGCAAAGCGCGTCGTATCTTTACTCTTCAATATGAATGAGCAAAGAAGATTGAAATCTCAAAATAAACACACTTCAACACTAACTACCTGCTTCCTTCAGACGCTAAAGCAACATAAATCAGGCCTTTTGGTTCTTCACTGATTAACTCACCTAAAATGGATTATTGGCATAAAAAAACAAGGTCATTCGCAAGAGAAATGGACAGTCGATTTTTAAAATAGAAAAAATACGACATTGGACGTGAACGCTGTAATTATAACACCTTAAATGCGACATTGGACGTGAACGCTGTAATTATAACACCTTACCTCCACAGTACAACGCTTTCTGCGGAGGAGCATCGCTTCCAGCCGGTATGAGAGAGAAATATGTCTCACATAAATCAACTAAACTTTTATGTGGTACGCCTGATCGTAAGAAAAACACATAAAGAAGAAATAAAGTCAATTGTCAGGTATAAACACTCGTTTTTTAACATCTTCACCTACCTACTCCGACTAAAGCCATTTTCTTGCCCACAAACATTTCTTTGACAAAATTCAAAAGCTGAAGAAACAAATTTTCAGTGTTTTGCCTACTTGTAAACAGAACACACTTTTATAATAATCTACGAACCATATCCGTGCGGAACGAATGTATTTTATGTGGCTTGCAATATATGGAATTCCTCAGACCATTTCTAAGTGAGAAATACGATTCACAACAATAAAAATATTTTCATTAAAGTGACCGCAGGACAAAGATACGGTCCTACTTACTTATAAGCAATTCTGTGGAGTTCTTCAATCAAACCTGTCATTGCAAAATATTTACACAATATTTTAAAAACAATTAAACATGGTAAAAAGGATTATCGTGTTCAACTTTATCTTCCTTACCAATTTGTGGGTTTGTTTCGGCGATTGCAAGGTCCAAAGCAACATTCTCGGCAATGTCATCTAACTAAAATGAGAAAATAACACTTTTTGATTGATGAAGAGAACAAAAAACATCAATTGAACGTACTATGAAAGCAACACACAAATTCCGTTGAACGAGCTAGAGTTACCACAGTAAAAAACATGTACAGGTTAAAAATCTATGTTTATTCTTACCTCCCACTGTCTGAATTCTGGAACTCTGGCAACATTAGCTAGGTACGGTATGAGTAGATTCCTATTTTATGAGAAAATTGAAGAAATAATAACAAAAGTTTCCTCAATTCTAGTCCATAAAACACGAAACGGTAAACCATTTAAGGAGGTTGCGTTCAATTACATAAACATGAATTAAATATGACTCGGTTTTAAATAAAACAATGTCAGCAAGAAAATAAAGAAATTAAACTAGAAAAACTAGTAACTAGCAAAAGTGCAAAAGCATAAAGAGTGTGATTATATTTTATCAATTCTTAACTTACACATTATCTTTCAAACATTGACCAGAATAAACAACATTCTCTCTTGATGAGGAAGCCCTAAAGAATTATTAATTAATAGTTGGGTAGAAATAACACATTTTGGGTAGAAAACAACATGATGTTAGGGTAGAAAATAACACATGCAATGTAAAAACAGCACAGGTGGTAAAAAGAGCAAAATATATATGGTAGAAAACTACACATGTTGGGTAGAAAACTACACGTTGGGAAGAAAACTACACATGTAGGGTAGAAAACTACACATTTAGGGTACAAAACTACACATGTTGGGTAGAAAACTACACATGTTGTGTAGAAAACTACACATATTGTGTAGAAAACTACACATGTTAGGTAGAAAACTACACATGTTGGGAAGAAAACTACACATGTAGGGTACAAAACTACACATGTTGGGTACAAAACTACATATGTAGGGTAGAAAACTACACATTTAGGGTACAAAACTACACATGTTGGGTAGAAAACTACACATGTTGGGTACAAAACTACACATGTAGGGTAGAAAACTACACATTTAGGGTACAAAACTACACATGTTGGGTAGAAAACTACACATGTTGGGTAGAAAACTACACATGTTGGGTACAAAACTACACATGTTGGGTAGAAAACTACACATGTAGGGTAGAAAACTACACATTTAGGGTAGAAAACTACACATGTTGGGTAGAAAACTACACATGTAGGGTAGAAAACTACACATTTAGGGTAGAAAACTACACATGTTGGGTAGAAAACTACACATGTTGGGTACAAAATTACACATGTTGGGTACCACCTTGTTATATTTCTTTATCTCAAAACTTATAGATCATTTGAGAAATAAAAGATGTTTACTGTGTTCGCACAGCCTTATGCAAACTGAGGGAACCTTTGGGAGAACTCGAGAGCAGATCAATGCAAGCCCGAGACCGAAGGTCGAGAGTTGCACCGGCTCGAGAGTTCTCACAAACGTCTCTGAGGTTTGCATAAGCCAGTGCAAACATGAAAAACACATTTTATTTCTTTTATATAATAAAAATCATGCCAAACAAATAAAACGTTTTAATATTTTTCTAACGCATATTCATGATTGATTTGCAAATTCTCTTTGATTCATTGAACTATTTGGTTGGTTTTGCTGAGAGTGTTTTACACTGGCTAATGCAAACACAGCTCTAGACCAATCAGCGCACGCCTTTCATCGCGTTTATTTTATAGAACTTACTCCAGACTTATTCCATTTTCCTCCATGGTTCGAGAAATGTGAAAACCAGTGTGATCAGACGTGGTCTGTAAAGTAAATCAATAGAAAGAATGATAGGATCAAGTTAAAAATGAGATAAAGGATAAAGAATTTGGATTCAAGAATTAAAACGATAATTAGTCAAGGTGGTGAACCATGGATTAAGAAGGCATGGAAAATGGTGAAGGATTATCAAGGAAGGGAGATTACATGTTTGTAAATGTAGATCATCCAGGTTGGTATAGTCTTAAGGACTGTTTTTGTTGTTGTTGACTGATGTTTCAACAACCTTAGCAGTAGTCATCTTCAGAGTCAAATGAGGAGTAAACGTCAGGTTAACAGTCCTCCTCAGGACTTAAACAACCTGGACGATCTACATTTACAAACATGTAACGATACTCCCAGGTTCAAACCATTTACTTTGAAGAGAGATGAAGTAATTTGTTACGGTAAGATCTCCTGTGAAACATGAATACCACGTACTAAGAAAGCTCCAACTCTGAGAATATGGGATATACCAATGTTCGACAATGTCTCATAGCGACTTCCAGTTTTGAAAAACATCCCAACTCTTGCATTAGGATTAGAAGAATCGACTGATACCACCTTCATACCATTGCTTAGTGTTGTCACCTGCATGTATTTGAAATAGTTATGCAAACAAAATCATTAAAATGTGGACGAACAAATACAAGACATCCTTTTGTACCTGTACTTCACTGGAATGAGAAGCAGACTTTGATTCATCAAATTCAACATCTTCCAAAGGTTCGCTTAACGGTGTCACACATACTGGCAGGTGTCGAGACTGTAACAAAAAAATGATTACACTTAAGTGGGATTGTGGGTGGTATGCCAATTTATGTATTTCAGGGGAGATAGAACTTGATCAAGTCTTTGTGTTTATGAATGTTTCCTTTGTGCTAACGCAGAGATATTCTAGTTAAAGAAAACCTTAAACTTGACATGGCACAAAGATGTTTGATCAAAAATAGAGCTTAATATAATTCTGATTTCAGAAGCAAAATAAAAAATTAAGAAAAAACCTTTCGCCGGTATTAACTTTTTATTTTCTCACCTGAATTCTTGATAATTCAAAATGTGGATTCCTCAAAACGGGCTTAAGAACCCTTGAAAACTTGTGCATCTTGAATAAAATTCACTGTGAGTCGTAAAACATTCAAAATCAATTCAAAACATTGATCAATTTGTTATCAGTTCACAGTTCTTTCAGAAGTGACAAAAAGGCGAAGTATTTGACGTTGTTGGCGAATACAATACGTATAAAAAGTCGACATCTGATCTTATTTGGTTTAGACTCTCTGGAGTGCGCTAGTTAGCGCAATTTGCATAAATTGCTGGTAGCTAGATAGTGTGGTGTGTCAACTGGTACTTGTCCCGACAGCGTCAGCGTGCCAGCGCAAGCTGCGAATTGCAAACTTATTTCAGCATTTTCTCTCATTTTTTTAAAAATATTTTCGCATTTAGTGAGCTTGTCGAATTACTTTGATGTCATTTTCGAAAAGCTCTCTAATCTGACCTTATCGAATTACTCAATGTCAACGTTGATGATGAAATACACCCTATAAACTTTACTGTTTGTATTTTACCCTCAGTTTATGGTACTTAGATATGTCTTGGAATTACATACTCTTACTGAATGATGAACGTTAGTTAATACCATTCTATTTATCATGAACTTCTGAACTTCACCGCATGCCAGTACATAGAACTACAAGCCAGTACATGTCAATAAATTCCAGAATGTTTCTAGAACTTACACCAAACCAATTTTACGGAAGGTGCTAAGTTGTTAAAATTATGTCGTAATATTTTTCATGCTCTCATCTGAACTCTATGCTTATCTATCCCCATGTCAAAAATGATAATCGATAATCTGAACAGTTTATAAACCATTTGGTAGAGAACGGGATTAGTTCAAACAAAAATGACAATACTGACCTCGAGCCTGATACTATATCAAGGTCATGAAAGGTCAAAGTCCTGTTTGTGACGTCATGTTCAGGAAAAACAAGAAATGAGTGTAATTCACTCTTTTACTAGTAAACGAGCTTCAACGACACGTTGGCCTGTTGTGTAGCTTCTTTTAACTGCCTTTCCCTGTAAAACATGTCCTCAGAAGAAGCTCACGTTGAAGGCAGTGGCGGTGAAGAAGATGAAGGGGAAATTATCGATTGGCAATTGCCATTATGCTTCACGAAGAAGCGTCATCGTGAGCGCATCGAGAAATCGCAACATTACCCACAAACATGGCGAATGAAAGAGAGAGTAAGATTATAGTGTTCATACATGCGGAAAGGCTGCCTTTCATTTTTGTTTTCATGTGTTCGATGTGAAAAATTGTTACGCTTGGCTTTGACTAGGCTGTAAGAAAGAAATGCAAACTTTTGATACCATTCCATGACGGAATACGTTTTACTTTGTTTATTTATGTACCTTTATTGAAAGCACATGTCAATTCATAATTATCTCTTACTCAGTCACGCTTCTTTTTGCCCGGTCGGCCTTATTTACTGTCGTTATCTTTTGAATGGACTCAATAAAATTGCTTGGTCTGGGTGTGTCCAAAACTGTCAATTTCTGGCGCTGCTTGCCCCATAATTTCATAGGAAATAAAAAATAAATGTCTTTTGAATGATAATTTTACATAATGAAATAATGATTTAAACATTCTACCTGCTCATGCTTGCTTTGAAGTTCGTAATATAATTTTTGTACATTTTAGTTTTTTATCTTTTCGCAATCTCAAGCAGAGATGAAAAAAAGTCTTAACTCTGGCTCTCAGACATAAATTTATTTCCAACGAGTTGTATTATAATCAGGAATGCTAACCTCACTGCAATCTTTGGTTTTCTGATGTTTAAACAGTTGCACAACATTATTTTAGAAAATCAGCAATGATATATATAAAATACAGTAGAGAAAATTGCCATGAAATGTTTTACCACACAAGCTTTGGTAATTGACAGGAAAACTCCAATATAAGAAAGCATTAAAAAGTACTAAAAAATTCAGATATATACTTAGCAGGCTACAAAGATCAAAACGGCTGATACTGTAGCACAACTATTGGACAATGGTGCCTATTGCAATTTTGTAAAATCCCACATAAGCACCCAAAATATCCTGAGATTCCTTGAAAAATCCTGATTTTCCCACTTTAGTTCTCAGACTCCCTAAGAAAGAGACGAGTCACTGCCCTCTTTACATCAAAATTTTGCTCGTATCAATCAATTTTAACATAAGCTGTACATCAATTCGTAATTTAGCAACTCAAGAACCCAAAAAATGCCAACAATTACTTAAGATCAAAATCCCATAAGAATCTCAACTGCTTCATGGATCCTGAAATCACACAATAAAATCCTGAATTTTGCAACACTAATATTGGGAATTAACATTCCAGTTTGTACAACAGTTCACAGGTTTACTGTATCGTTTTGTTTTTAGATGAAAACAGTGAGTGTTGCCTTGGCATTGTGTTTGAACATTGGCATCGACCCCCCTGACGTTGTGAAAACCTCACCATGTGCTCGTATGGAGTGTTGGATGGGTATGAAGAAATAGCTTATTTAAATGTTTGTTTTTTTCATTTTTGAACTTATTGTCCACTTCAATGTTTTTAAACCACTAGATCCAACAGATATATCACCCCAGAAAGCACTAGATGAGATTGGAAGTCGCTTGCAGAAACAATATGAAAAATGGCAACCTCGGGTATCATGAATTTCTTTTAAGATAGTTTCACTGTCACCTTATGATTAATGCTCCTTTGTCTTCTTGTTTTATACAAAGGCTAGATATAAGTTGACTTTGGATCCGACTGTTGACGATATTAAGAAATTATGCACAAACCTTCGACGAAATGCAAAGGTATCATTGAATCATTCTTATTTTGTTTTGCCTTTTGTGCTTCTTTTCCTGTCCCAGTTGTAACCTGTATTTAAACCTGTTTAAACAGGAGGAACGTGTTTTATTCCACTATAACGGACATGGTGTGCCTCGACCTACGCCTAATGGGGAAATTTGGGTTTTCAATAAGGTATGTAATGTCTCCATAATTTCTTAAAAGCATGATGGATTGGAGACATTTTAAATGAAGGACGAGTTTTTTTATGGTAAACATGTTTCGGCATGCTTATGCCATCTTCAGTACATCGAGTGAAGGTGATTATGCTATTTACATGATATATATATATGTGTATGTGACTATCGTTAAGTGTATTAAATTACAAAATTAGTGTTAGATATTATATTACAGGTTAAATATTGTATTAATGTGGTATATTTGTTTGTTGAGGTCTGGTCAAATATACCACATTAATACAATATTTAACCTGTAATATAATATCTAACACTAATTTTGTAATTTAATACACTTAACAATAGTCACATACACATATATATATATCATGTAAATAGCATAATCACCTTCACTTGATGTACTGAAAATGGCATAAGCATGCCGAAACATGTTTACCATAAAAAAACTCGTCCTTCATTTAAAATGTCTCCAATCCATCATGCTTTTAAGAAATTATGGAGACATTACATACCTTATTGAAAACCCAAATTTCCCCATTAGGCGTAGGTCGAGGCACACCATGTCCGTTATAGTGGAATAAAACACGTTCCTCCTGTTTAAACAGGTTTAAATACAGGTTACAACTGGGACAGGAAAAGAAGCACAAAAGGCAAAACAAAATAAGAATGATTCAATGATACCTTTGCATTTCGTCGAAGGTTTGTGCATAATTTCTTAATATCGTCAACAGTGGGATCCAAAGTCAACTTATATCTTGCCTGTGTATAAAACAAGAAGACAAAGGTGCATTAATCATGATATAAAACAAATTCCGAAGAAGCAAGACATCTTGAGATTGCAAAATATGCATCAAAACAAGAAGAGAAGTGAACTGTAAATTTTCGACTTTATTTCAATGGCATCCTCAGACAGAATGAGGATGACTTTGTCTTATTCTGTCTGAAGATGACTTTGAAATAAAGTCGAAAATTTACAATTCACTTCTCTTCTTGTTTTGATGCATATTTTGCAATCTCAAGATGTCTTACTTCTTCGGAATTTGTTTTATATCATGATTAATGCACCTTTGTCTTCTTGTTTTATACACAGGCAAGATATAAGTTGACTTTGGATCCCACTGTTGACGATATTAAGAAATTATGCACAAACCTTCGACGAAATGCAAAGGTATCATTGAATCATTCTTATTTTGTTTTGCCTTTTGTGCTTCTTTTCCTGTCCCAGTTGTAACCTGTATTTAAACCTGTTTAAACAGGAGGAACGTGTTTTATTCCACTATAACGGACATGGTGTGCCTCGACCTACGCCTAATGGGGAAATTTGGGTTTTCAATAAGGTATGTAATGTCTCCATAATTTCTTAAAAGCATGATGGATTGGAGACATTTTAAATGAAGGACGAGTTTTTTTATGGTAAACATGTTTCGGCATGCTTATGCCATTTTCAGTACATCAAGTGAAGGTGATTATGCTATTTACATGATATATATATATGTGTATGTGACTATTGTTAAGTGTATTGAATTACAAAATTAGTGTTAGATATTATATTACAGGTTAAATATTGTATTAATGTGGTATATTTGTTTGTTGAGGTCTGGTCAAATATACCACATTAATACAATATTTAACCTGTAATATAATATCTAACACTAATTTTGTAATTTAATACACTTAACGATAGTCACATACACATATATATATATCATGTAAATAGCATAATCACCTTCACTCGATGTACTGAAGATGGCATAAGCATGCCAAAACATGTTTACGATAAAAAAACTCGTAGTTCATTTAAAATGTCTGGTATGTAATGTCGTTTTACGTGTGGAATATAAATTCATGTTGTATGCCATACGAAGCTAGACATCTTTGTTATATTTAGAGCTACACCCAGTACATACCTTTATCTGTGTATGACCTACAAACATGGATGGGAAGTCCATCAATATTTGTTTATGACTGTTCCAATGCAGGTCAGTTTCATTGTGTATTGAATGAAGTACTCTCCAATGTATCCTTCTCTCCTGAAAAGAATTAATTTTTTTTCACCGATATGTTCATATATCCAGGTATAATTTTGGAAAATTTCAACCAATTTTCGAAGCAACGCGAGAAAGAGTTTGAGGTAAAAAAATAAAACCAAGTGGATTGGTTTTTATTTGATGAATATTTAATTTACAGTTGTGTAACTTGTGCTAACTACAGTTGTGATGTATTGTTTTTCGTTGACTGAGAAACAAAAAATGTAGAAAATGTTTTCTTGCACACTCCTGGGAGTCTGATTGCGAATCGATGTTTAGATGTTTTGATGTTGGTTGTATCAAGCATATTTTGTAGTTTTTACATCCACACAGCTGGACAGGATCACTATAGTGATATGTTATTTTGTATTCAAAACTGTTTAGTTTAGGCCATTCTAAATATCAAGGCCATTTTAGGCGATGCAATGGTTGCTGTATTAGTTGTTGAGATAAGTAATAAATGTCAAGCTTGTTGAGGATTTGCTGCAGCAGGTCCCGGTTGTGTGTGAGAAGAGATGTTTTTGTAAGTTCTTGCTTGATGTACAAAACACATGGAATGAAACTTTTCAATTTTGCAGCAGAGATGTAATACACAAGAGAATGGCTCTGCATTGTCGACATTGAAAGATTGCATTCAGATTGCGGCTTGTCAACCAGACGAACTTTTACCAATGCAACCTGATGTGCCTGCCGATGTTTTTACCGCATGTCTGACTACTCCAATCAAGATTGCCTTAAATTGGTAAGATTGTATATTTAGCTCCATTATGGATGGGTAAGTTTGCATGGGTGTATTGCAAAAAATTTTAAATGAAAAATTCACAATATAACAAACAAAACAAACAAACAACATTTGTATTCCGGCCAGTATTAATCCCCGCCAGGGGGGTTGACCGGTCCATGAACTTTTCTACGCCAAACGTCTCTATCTCTCGCCATATCTCTCGTTATACCGATCGCCTTCATATCACTGTTCACAGCATCCATCCATCTCTTTCTCGGTCTACCTCGTTTGCGGATTCCATCAACATTCATATGCAACGTTCTACGAATTTCAGCACTTTCTACCCTCCTTTCCACATGCCCAAACCACCTCAAACGCTGGCGCCTTACCCAATTCTCGATACACTCAACACCAACTCTTTCTCTAATCTCTTCACTGCGAATCCTATCCATCAACGTTACACCACACATCATCCTAAGCATTCTCCTTTCCGTCGACGCCAATCTTCTCAGGTATAAATATTCTCATGTAAAAATTCACAATATAAATACAATTAAATTCATCTTTACTGAACAATCACCTCCATTAAGCAGGTTTAACCCATGACCTTCGGTCTCCTCGGTTTGCAATAAGCCTGTGCAAACACATTAAATATCTTTTATTTCTTAAATTTAATCTATGATTTTTAAAATAAACCTAGAAGCAATTTAAAGTTCAATATAGTTTTGTTTGGTACTTGTGGTATTGAAATATATCGTTAATTCTAACATGTTGAAGTTTTAACCATATATTAAATAAAGTAAATGGTTTGAACCCGGGAGTATCGTTACATGTTTGTAAATGTAGATCGTCCAGGTTGGTATAGTCCTGAGAAGGACTGTTTTTGTTGATGTTGACTGACGTTTCGACAACCTTAGCGGTAGTCATCTTCAGAGTCAAAATTTTGACCTGACGTTTACTCCTCATTTGACTCTGAAGATGACTACCGCTAAGGTTGTCGAAACATCAGTCAACAACAACAAAAACAGTCCTTCTCAGGACTATACCAACCTGGACGATGTACATTTACAAACATGTAACGATACTCCCAGTTTCAAACCATTTACTTTATTACGATCATTTGGACATATATTAAATGTTGTAAAAACTAAAAGACCTGTACTAACACCCGGGACTCGAGAGCGACGGTTTACGGTTTAATATAGTTTGACCGTATATAGTAACGACTTCAGTTCACTTTGAAGAGCAAAATTTAAGGCATTTCGTAAATCTCCTACACCTTAATTAGTTTGTGTATTAAATTAAAATGTTATGTAAAAATTTAATCGTTGACTCATATATGATTACGATATGGGACCGTGTGTGTTCCTCACAAACGTTATGTTTCATGTTTGTAAAAAATATGAATTATTCGGAAGTTTTTGTCCGTTAAACACAGGTTTTTGTGTGTTTATTTGATGTGTGCGTCCGCCAATAGAGGTGTGCCGTTTAATCAAGGGTAGATACAGGTTTCGTAATTATTTTATTACAAAATTCGTGTTTTATTTACGAAGTGTCCGCTTTATTACCGGTTATTTTCCTGATGCAGGACCGGTTAATACTGGTTTGTTGACCTGTATTCAACCGCCGCAGGCCTGCGTGGGCTGTCGTGCACGAAAAATCGCATTTCGATATTATTTTGCGATAATTATCGACTATACCGCTACAGCCTTATAAAGGCTGCGTTTACACTATACCTGGATTCGCTCATCACGACATCTTAATTTGCTTTAAAAAGTTAACTGTACGGAGTAAAAGCTTATTAAGTTGATAGATTTATTCTATTTGATTATGTTTCTGACGTTGAACAATTTCACTGCCTTTTAATACAAAGAATATTCAACCTGCTACGATAGCAATTCGGTATAGTGTAAACGGGGCCTAAGGATAACTTCATATACCTCAACACAGTTACTAATATCGTCTTTTTTAGTATAAAAATCTGACATTAAGTATTGTGTTGATAGTGGGATACATGATAGTGCTCGTTTCTTGATCATTTTTCATTCACCATGTATGACAGAATTCATCATCAATTGACAAGAATTTTTCGTAGGTTTTGTCAGCAGAGCAGTGTTAAACTTGTCGAAGGCATAGATAAGGACTTGATTGAAAAGTAAGGCTTTTACGTATTAAAGTTAATGGTTTGAACCCGGGAGTATCGTTACATGTTTGTGGATGTAGATCGTCCTGGTTAGTAGAGTCCTGGAAGGACTGTTTTTTGTTGTTGTTGACTGACGTTTCGACAACCTTAGCGGTAGTCATCTTCAGAGTCAAGATGACTACCACTAAGGTTGTGGAAACGTCATTCAACATTAACAACAACCCTCCTTCTCAGGACTCTACTGACGTGGACGGTCTACATCTACAAACGGCTTTTACATTTTGTCACTCATTTCATCGGGGGGTGGGGTGGGTGATGTTATTCAATGGGGGGGGGGTGGTCTGTGACCTAAAGAGAGTTTGAAGTAAATTTGAAATGTAGTGGAACTAATATTTGAATCCCACGTCATGATTTTAAACATTTCTCCTCGTATCCAGAATTCCAGGAAGGTTGAACGATCGACGAACACCCTTAGGGGAACTCAACTGGATCTTTACTGCCGTAACCGACACTATCGCGTGGAATGTCCTACCCAGAGGTAACGCAATCTTTCATAATGCTAGTTTTGATACTCTCCTTACGTTTAGGGGCCGATTACATGGAGCAAGTGTGAAGAGCCCGGGCCTGTTATAATGTCCTATCAAATTAGCGTACGCGATTAGATGACAACAACTTTAGCCCGGGCTGGAATTTCAGCCCGGTTTGAGCTACGACAACTGACGATCATGCCTCGGACGAGCTTCGTAAATTTCAGCACGATTTGAGCTACGACAACTGACGATCATGCCTCGGACGAGCTTCGTAAATTTCAGTCAGGTCTAAACACCGAGATGAAATTGACCATATAATTACACTAAATTTCAGCCCGGGCTTAAATTGCTCCATGTTATCGGCCCCTTGGTGGTTTCAATTTAAGTCATGTATCGCGACACGTTTTAGCAACTCATTTTAGGTGCTATAAATAGAATGGTTTTGGTTCAAAATTTCTAAAGAAAATTTTTGAAGTATAACCAATAGGATTGTTTGATAGGCATTTTCAATAAAGGTGTACTTATTTTATGTTCAATAATATGAGTATGAAATGTCATTTGAATCCTATTAATGAAAGATATGTGCGCTGTCTTATTCACATTGAAAATGTGCTTTACGACTCGCACATATCCGGTGTTGGACGTCAGATACAAAAGAAGATATTATTACTGCTTTTGTGAGCTCAAATCGGCTTGGGGAACTTTGTTGTTCTCTAAGGAACCCGTGGTTGATTTAAGCCAAAACATATGACTTCCATTTTGCACCTTTCATCATGGATTCCGCTACTTTTTCTTACATTTATTTTTGGGTTTCTTGCCTTCTAGATCTTTTTCAAAAGTTGTTTCGCCAAGATTTGTTGGTTGCAAGTTTGTTTCGTAATTTTTTACTTGCCGAAAGAATTATGAGATCTTATAACTGCACACCAATGTCCTGTCCGAAAATACCTCCCACACACCAGCATCCAATGTGGTATGTTCTCGCGAGGCCATTTTTCCATCTTGTAATTTAGTTTACATTCATCGAAGTTAGCAGTATACTGTAGTTAAAAAATGGCATTAGGACGTCTCAGCCTTTGAAACTCTTGTTGGCATCTTGTGATGCCGATCTGAAAAAGATATTTGCAAATTTTGGTTGGCAATATGAAGCTGACCTGCTTTGAAAACCTTTATACAACATTTATTTAGCTTCTGCCTTAACATTTTCATTGATAGTTCGATACTCGCGCTTGTAGAAGCAAGCAAATTATATTTTCTTTGGCCATCAAAGATAGTGTTTAAATGAAGATATGATCTTCGCACTTTTGCTGGACAATTTAAGCAATTGTCTCATGAATCTGAAAAATTCAGGTGACTCAACGGGATTTGTCACCTGAATTTTTCAGGTTCATGAGATAATTGCTTAAATTGTCCAGCAAAAGTGCGAAGATCATATCTTCATTTAATTTCAAACACCGCACTGCATATAACATTCTTTCAAAGATAGTGTTTGTTGTTTTAAACATTTTTACTCGTGCACATTGAGAATTATCGTTTTTTGGTCGGCAAAATCTTCTCGACATGGAAAGTTGAGAGTTACAAGGGCCAATGTCGAATTTATTCGATTTCTATGTCAGTAAAAAGGACTAGGAGCTGTGTAAAACGTAGTTTAACGGCGAGTTGAAGTTGTCATTATGATGTATTCAGCTAAACTGTTCAAAAGAAAAGCGCGATGTCGAGTTGCCGAGTTTTTATCGTGTGTCTTCTTAACACGTTCAACTGAATGGAAATTTGTGTTTTTGACAAACATAGCAAACATACTATTTTGTCCGGCAGAGCAAAAGGAGAAGGTGCTGCTCATCTGTGTGGTTGTAAAGTGAAATATTTTTTATTTTATGTGCAGGCTTGCATGGGATCTTGCTGTTGACACTTGCATGTCACAAATAGATGGTGTCGTCAACCAAGGGAAAACATTTCAGGTAATATTTGTGGCTTGTGTAGTATATGTATGTTTCAGAGTTGGTGTGTTGCTCTAGACCGAACAGATAAATCCTGATTGGCAATGTTTTTTACTAAAATCTCTTAAAAGACGTATAACTACAGCTAAATGAACGATCAAGGGAGTAAAACGTTAATTTAAGGATAACAAAGTTTTATTTTCGTTAAGAGAGCATAACGCAGGGGTGGGCAACATACGGCCCGCGGCCCGGATCCCGCCCCCGAAAGGATTTTGACTGGCCCGCCGACTGTATCCGACCATTGAATATTGAATATTATTCATGTAATAATCCGGCCCACCAATAACTTCATTTTCCTAAATCTGGCCCGCAGACTGGAGAAGTAGTTTGGATTACATTTAGGGGGCTGCTTGTCTTAGCATGTTAGACTTTTTTTGCTACCTTTTTACTAAAATATGTTTGCTGTGCTTGCACAGGGTTATGCAAACTGAGGAGACCTTTGGGAGAACTCCAGAGCAGATCAGTGCAAGCCCGAGAACGAAGGTCGAGAGTTGCACATGCTCGAGAGCTCTCACGAACGTCTCCGTGGTTTGCCTAAGTTTGCGAGGTTTCGCATTAGTATTTTGTATTGACACCCCTCCTGTAAAATCATCTAGCTAAAGCTAGTACGGGAGGGATGTACACCCGCCCCTAAATTCATCCCTGTTCGTATTCGTAGGTAAAGGATTATTGTTATTTTATGTCATCAATCCATTTTAATTTTTCAACAGAATAGTTTGTTTTTCTCGCAACAACTCACTGCGTTCCAAGTATGGTTGGCGATGGGTAGAAAGGAACGAACGCCACCAGAACAACTACCGATTGTGCTACAGGTAATCATTTGCTAGTTTTTCGTTTACGGGGACATTGTGATAAGCTGTCCTTTCTTCATGGAACGCATTTTCAAATTTTGAATACAATTTTCCTTTCTAAACAAGGTGTTACTCAGTCAAGTGCATCGACTGCGCGCTCTGGATTTATTAGGTCGTTTTTTGGATCTTGGTCCTTGGGCTGTCCATTTGGTACGTTTTATTTGGTTGTTTAGACTTTTGATATGTATTAACAGCAGAGCGAAAAATACACAGACAGGCAAAAAGAACTGCTTATCTGAAAAAAATAGTTTACGTGATGAAGTGAACATAGATTCGTTGGTCCATGTTGACTGACGTTTCGACAACCTTAGCGGTAGTTTTGACTCTGAAGATGACTACCGCTAAGGTTGTCCCTCCCTCGTCCAACCACGATGTAACGATACTCCCGGGTTCAAACCATTTACTTTATTACAATAGATATAAGTTGACCAGTTTTATCGTGGTATATTCAATGATAATTTGCTTGTTTTCCTGTTGCATTCGTTACACTTTTCCATCGGTTCAACGTGTTGACCGTGAATTCCATAAATCTTTGTTGCGGATAATATTTCTCACAATCCGACATTGCTAGACAAAGTGTGAGCAGTTCTTTTTTGACTGCCCGTGTATGAAAGTGAAACGGTGATGAAACTTTCTCGTGTTGCTACTTTTTGAAATTTTAGTACAAAACTTGATATAATGGAATATCAAGTGACGTTCCACAGTCTACGTATATGACAATATGTAAAATTGTCTGAACAGAATTAGAACTAGACAAAATTGTATGTTGTTGATGAGTCATGAAATGGACTAAGTGCCCCCCAAACTTGACATATAATCTTACCAAGAAGAAGGGGTGAACCTTCGTCTCCCGTCACCCCCCGTTACACCCTTGAGTTAGAAACTTCAAACTGTGTGGCCATGTGTACGTCGAACATAGTTAAACGGAAGGTGAACCTTCCTCTCCTGTCCCCGTTCCCGTCCCCGTTACACCCTTGAGTTAGAAACTTCAAACTGTGTGTACTTTGAACATAGTTGAACGTTTGAGAGCTGGAAGGCCACTTCCCGCCAAAATTTGAAGCCAGCAATCAATTAGGCCCAATCTTTCCACGCACTGTCTAAAGAAAGTTCATTCATTTATCTCAGTAAGCTAAAATGCGGGACTTTAACCCCAGACTCGCGTTTCTTCTACTTTGGGTAGGCTTCACGCAAGTACAGGCATGTTCATATAAAATAGCATTTCAGCTTTATATACAGTTCAATGGAGTATCTTGAGATGTCTGGGGGTAAAATTTGGCTTCATGCAAGAACATTCATGTCTATATAAAGGTAGCATTCCAGTTATATATTTAGTTCAATGGAGTATCTAGAGATGTCTGGAGGTAAAATTTGGTTTCACGCAAGTACAGGCATGTTTATATAATATAGCATTTCAGTTGCATATATAGTTCAATGGAGCGAACTAAAGTCGAACCTCTACATCTAAGTTCAACTTTCAAAAGACACACCTCCCGTAAACGGACTCAAGCGAGGCCACTCGCCGGAGATTCGACTGTAATAAATTTCCGAGCTCACTAACAATGAAATATTTAGCGAGCTTAGTTTAATACGGAAATAATGTTAATAAAAATACGTTTACATGTTTGAAATCACTTCACTTTTCATTGCAGGCACTTTCTGTCGGTATTTCTCCGTATGTTTTAAAACTTCTACAAAGCTCGTCAAGAGAACTTCGTCCTTTGCTGGTTTTTATATGGGCAAAGATTTTGGCCGTTGATGATGTAAGTTTAGTTTGTTCGAAGAATAACATACTTTATACATTGTACTACATTATTTTTCGTGGGCTAGTTACGTCATACCTGCCATATTGGGGATTTTCTTAGCTTACTCAGATAATGTCATCTATTCATAGGGTTGCACACCACCTATTCATATGGTTATACACCACCTATTCATAGGGTTGCACACCACCTATTCATAGGGTTGTACAACACCTATTTATATGGTTGTACACCACCTATTCATAAGGTTGCACACCACCTATTCATAGGGTTGCACACCACCTATTCATAGGGTTGCACACCACCTATTCATATGGTTGCACACCACCTATTCATAAGGTTGCACACCACCTATTCATTTCCATTCCACCTATTCATAAGGTTCACCTATTCATAAGGTTCCACATTCACCTATTCATTCCACCATCACCATTCATATTACACACCACCTATTCATAACACCACCTATTCACCTATTCATACACACCACCTATTCATAAGGTTGTACATCACCTATTCATAAGGCTACACACCTATTCATAAGGCTACACACCACCTATTCATAAGGTTGTACATCACCTATTCATAAGGCTACACATCACCTATTCATAAGGCTCTATGGTCTTTTCTTTCAGACGTGCCAGGCAGATTTGGTTAAAGACAACGGTCATCGTTATTTTGTGTCAGTTTTAGCTGATCCCTACATGCCCGTACACACGTTTTAACATTTTAGTCGCTTAAGTCGCTTGTTTTAAATTGTACCTTGTCGTTGCAGCCTGAGCACAGGACGATGGCGGCTTTTGTTCTGACAACGATCGTAAAGAATTATCCTGAAGGACAGGTTAGTTTACTTCTTTCGCTTTCCTCCTTTCTTCGTTTCGGCGAGAGAACGAAGATGAATTTTCATCTTAACCTTGACTTCAACTTGTAATCGTTTTAATCCACGTTAAGAATATGTCCTGAAATGTTTTTTGTTCGTTTTATTTATTCACTGCACAAACACCCATTCATTTGCACTTGAAAATCTTGATAGTTGCAAAGATGAGGCAGGAAGGTACGTCGGAGCAAAACGCTATGAAAAGGCGTCTTTGTGAAAAGAAAGTTAATAAAACAAAGACTTAAGTATTGCTGTGAACAGCGTATTTGCCATGGCGAAGGACAATTGCGTGGTTCTTAAAAGAACTGTTGAATACCAGAAAGTTTACTTCTATTTTTATTAAACATCCATTGATATAATGAATCATTATAAATATAGAAGTAAATTTTTGTTTTCATCGAAACAGACGTTGCACGTGATGAAAAGTCTGCAGAAATGCATCGTGTCATTTCATTTATATAGCTATGCAACAGCTCTTTTAAGAATTACTCAATTGTCGTTCACCATCACGACTACGCTGTTCAGAGCAATTTTAAAGGATAGCTCAACTTTCAACTGTTGAATTCCATCACAACTATTCCACGATGAAGCTTTGTCATAGATTTCACTGAACATATTCGTTTGCTATAGTTACATTTTGAAGATATTTGATGTGTCCTGACATTGGACACATCAAATAGGACATATATGGACATATGTCTATGTGACCTAATTTAGTGCACTCAGACCATAACTTCGTTCATTTAGGAGGCTTGCCTTCAAAACAATCTGATCGCTGTATGTCTGGAGCAGTTGAATGATCCCCACCCGCTGTTACGTCAATGGCTTGCCCTTTGCCTTGGCAGAACGTGGATGAAATACAGTAGAGCAAAGTGGTGTGGTGTCCGTGATTCAGCACATGAGAAATTGTTGACATTGGCCAATGACCCACTGCCAGAGGTAGCATACCTTTTCACTTTCTTGCTAGGTAGAGTGCCGACATTGGTAGGGTACTGCCCCTTCTCTTGCTAGGTAGAGTGCCTACATTGCTAGGGTACTGCCCCTTCTCTTGCTAGGTAGAGTGCCTACATTGGTAGGGTACTGCCCCTTCTCTTGCTAGGTAGAGTGCCTACATTGGCTAGTTAGCGTACTTCTCTTGCTAGGTAGAGTGCCTACATTGGTAGGGTACTGCCCCTTCTCTTGCTAGGTAGAGTGCCTACATTGGCTAGTTAGGGTACTGCCCTTCTCTTGCTAGGTAGAGTGCCTACATTGGCTAGTTAGCGTACTGCCCCTTCTCTTGCTAGGTAGAGTGCCTACTTTGGCTAGTTAGCGTACTGCCCTTCTCTTGCTAGGTTGAGTGCCTACTTTGGCTAGGCGTACTGCCCTTCTCTTGCTAGGTAGAGTGCCTACATTGGCTAGTTAGCGTACTGCCCCTTCTCTTGCTAGGTTGAGTGCTTTCACTGGCTTGGTGTATGCCTCGCTTAGGCAATGAGCAGCCTCCATTGGTAAGTGCCTTCTCCCTTCTTGCTGCCCTTGGCTATTGCTTACTGCTTGCTAGCTTAGTGCCCCTGGCTAGTAGCATACTGCCCCTCTCTTGCTGGCCCCCTCCAGCTAGCTAGCGTACCGCCCCTGGCTAGGTAGCTTACCGCCCCTGGCTTGCTAGCTTACCTCCTTTGGCTAGCTAGCGTACCGCCCCTGGCTTGCTAGCTTACCTCCCTTGGCTAGCTAGCGTACCGCCCCTGGCTAGATAGGGTACCGCCCCTGGCTAGGTAGCTTACCGCCCCTGGCTAGGTAGCTTACCGCCCCTGGCTTGCTAGCTTACCTCTCCTTGGCTAGCTAGCGTACCGCCCTTGGCTAGGTAGCGTAGCGCCCCTGGTTAGTTAGCGTACCCTCCAAGTTCGGTAGTCTTCTATACAGTCCACGACTAGGTACCCTACCCTGGTAGGATGATGTACGATGTCCCCCCCTTGCTAGTTAGCATACACCGCCAGGAAAGTTATCATGCTATGCCAGGCTAAATTGTGTAACCCACCCTCCCCACAAAATAAGTATCTTACCGCCACAGACCAGTTTTCGTATTGTAATGACATCATCCTAAAAAATCTTAAACATTTATGTTGTCCTTTTAATTCAAAGGTGCGGGCAGCAGCGGTTTTTGCGCTTGGTCAGTTCGTCGGCAATACCGCGGAGAGTACAGATCTTGGAAATCAAGTGGATTTCAGTGTTGGCATGAACTTGATTAGTTTGGCATATGATGGTAGTCCCATTGTACGAGAGGTAACTGTTTTTCGTGCAAAGTTACCAGTCATGATGTCTTTCTTTTTCAGCTTTTTAAACACGTGCACTTTCAAAGTTACTAGTCACGATGTCTGTCTTCTTCAGCTTGTTAAACACATGCACTTTCAAAGTTACTAGTCATGATGTCTTTCTTCTTCAGCTTGTTAAACACATGCACTTTCAAAATTACAAGTCACGATGTCTTTCTTCTTCAGCTTTTTAAACACATGCACTTTCAAAGTTACTAGTCACGATGTCTGTTTTATTCAGCTTGTTAAACACATGCACTTTCAAAGTTACTAGTCATGATGTCTGTCTTCTTCAGCTTGTTAAACACATGCACTTTCAAAGTTACTAGTCATGATGTCTGTCTTCTTCAGCTTGTTAAACACATGCAAAATTATAAGTCACGATGTCTGTCTTCTTCAGCTTTTTAAACACATGCACTTTCAAAGTTACTAGTCACGATGTCTGTCTTCTTCAGCTTGTTAAACACATGCACTTTCAAAGTTACTAGTCATGATGTCTGTCTTCTTCAGCTTGTTAAACACATGCACTTTCAAAGTTACTAGTCACGATGTCTGTCTTCTTCAGCTTGTTAAACACATGCACTTTCAAACTCGTTACGTCAAGAGCCTTTACCGGCCTGCCGCGTCCCCAATGCGTAAAAGCAAAGTAGCCAATACACAACTAGATGCATTACACTATGGACAAAAAGAAAATTTCTTACATGTAAATCGTGGACAACAAGACAACAATTGTCATTTAGATATGAGCTTGTGATACGTTTTATAAAAGTTATTTTCCGGCTGGGAACGAAAAAGGCGGAAAGTGTTTTCTCACACACCCTTGGGAGCCCGATTGTGAATCGGTGTGGCGGGTGGTGTAGGTTATATCAAGCACATTTTGTTGTTGCATCTGCGCACAGCTTCACACGCCCGCATGGAGCGCTTAATAGCTAGTCCAGACTGTTGAGTTTAAGCTACTCTGAGGTGCGGGGCCGATGTAATGCTTGCTGCAGTAGTTGTTTTGATGAGTAATGAATTTGAAGCTTGCGGTTGATTGGCCGCAGCAGCCCCAGTTGTGTGTGAGAAACATTTTGAATTTTAATGACACACGAATCAAAATTAAATGTTTGTGTAATAGAGAAATGAAATAAACGCGTGAAACATTTTATGGTTGATTCATCATTCAAATCAAAACTTTGCATTATTGTTTTCCGCTAGATGACAAATGTTTTACATCGATTCTCAACGCCACGTGCGCATGCGTGGTATTGATTATATGACTATCAGTAGGAGATGCGCATGCGTGTTATTTATTTTATGACCATCCGTAGGAGATGCGCATACGTGTTACTAATTATCTGACTATCAGTAGGAGATGCGCATGCGTGTTATTGATTATATGACTATCAGTAGGAGATGCGCATGCGTGTTATTAATTATGTGACTATTTGTAGGAAGTTGTCCGGGCTTTGTATGGTCTAGTTTCTCAATTTGAAAGCAATTTTGGCGTGGTTGCCATACAATTTCTTGAAGAAGAAGATCGTTTGCGAGATACGCAACCTCAACCCGCCACGACGTCTGGGGGGTGGGTTGTTCTTACCCAAGGGGTTATTGTGCCTCCGAGTTTCAGCCTCCTCTTAAACCAGCAAGTAGCTAAATCAAAGCGAATAAAATCACGTGGCTCATCTCCGAATTTGATGTCATATGGAACCCAAGGAGTCGGGGCCTCGCAACGTAAGAATAATCTTTCTTACACAAAGTATTTCTGGTGAATTATTAGTTCATATTGGTTGTTTTTCATAGATATGTCGACGTCACCAAATCTTAGCAGCAGCGGTGGAAGTTCTGGTTCTGAGTCAGTGCAACATGGGGGACTGAGACGATCTTCATCCCATGCACCTTTTAACTCGCCCCAGGCCAACGTTTATTCTTTTATTTGGCGGGTAAGACGTTGTTGTAGACACTATATATTCCAATGGTTGTAATCTTTCTCGATAGCTTTGTTTTGATTCGTCAATTTTTGAATCTCGTAGATTCTTTTGATTCTGTCATGTGACCCATCGCCTTCAGTCGCTAGTCTCGCGAAGAAGATTGTTAACATGATAACTTTGAAGGTGAGATATTATTGTCATCACTATTTATCATGGTTTGTTGAAATGACACGCGCATCAATTTCAAAGTCGAATCTCCTCTGGTGAGATTCTTTTAAGGAATTTTTGTTTGGCATTTCAATGTCTCCACGAGATATATTGTGGGCTCAAGATTACTCTTTAAATTTATGTTCGGATTTGTGTCAGCGGTAAAACCATTTCACATAAGTAACAGCCTAACAGGCATACTATTGTTAATCCTTTGTCTAATACCCTCAAGTTGTGGCTTAAGTAGCGGATGGAGATTGGATTGAAGATTTATTTCGTGGATTATCAACCGCTTAAGTGCCGGATGGAGATTGGATTAAAGATTTATTTCGCGGATTATCAACGGCTTAAGTAGCGGATGGAGATTGAATTAAGGATTTATTTTGCGGATTATCAACCACTATTGTCTTTTGTCAGGCATCTGTAAATCGCATACCTCGTCATGGTAGCTCTTCCGTTGCAGAATCATGTCCTAGTTCACTTTATACAATATCTCGGTGAGTCTAGTCTGTAAAATAGAAGAAAGTAATTACATCGTCACTTTTAGACAAAACTGTTCTTCAAACTGCTGAGGATTTGGTGCGTTTTCCCTTAATGCCATTAACGCCGTGCCGTTGTGACTATTTAAAAGAATCTTAACGAAATGGGTCTCATGGTAGCTAATGCTTTTCGCGCTTAGCCCGTCATGGACAGCTTGTGACACCCGAGGCATATTACTGATATTAGGTTCTTGGTGTGAGAATTTATGTACTTTTGTTGCCAAGTTTGGTTCATCAACGTCAAAGTGCTGTAGACTAAGAAGTAATAACAAGAGTTACGTTGAAGAAAGACGTTTCTTTTAGCATTTATTAAGTAAAAAACACTTCCTACACTTTTTTCCTCAGAAATCAGAAGTTCATTACCAGTAGTAAACACAAGTGCGCCAAGCATTTCTGTGAGACTCTTTCTTTAATGAAGATTTTTTGTTTGAAAAACCTACACGACGCTGTAGTAAACACAAGTGCGAGCATTACTGTGAGTGAAGTCAGTAGTGTACAAGTGTGAGACTCATTCTTTAATGAAGATTTTTGTGAGACTGAGACTCATTCTTTAATGAAGATTTTTTGTTTTTTTAAAACCTACACGACAATTTCATTGTTAAGTTTGATCCATGGGAAATGAGGGAAAACTCTCGATACTGAAGACATTTTTGCCATTTTCAGTTCTCTAACAGAGATTTATTGCATTAGAATATTTTGTTTTGATGAAATTCGTTTACAGTTAGGAATAAAATACAATGTTTTGGTTATTTTAGGTCCGATTCATCTAGACTATCTTCAGAACTATCAAATGTCGCAGAAGCTAAAGCGTCAGAGAAACCTTCACACAAACCTAGTGCCTCTGGCCTTAATTTCTATCCACATTCTTATGCATTCAGCGCCAAAAGACGAATGTTTGTAAAAGGCCCCGATGTAAGTAGGCTAAAAGTAGACTAATTGTCAACTGTTCTTGCTAAATTTGATGCGCACCCTCCCCTCCCCCCTTCCACACACAAAAATTTAAATTAATTAGTCAATGTATATTCATTAACAAAAAAAACAAAGGTAATAACCTTTTCATTACGCAAGGTTTACTCTTCTGTAAGCCTAAAAAATTGCACAATAGCCCGCGGCCCTTACAAATTCAGCTAGGATAACGAAGCACCCTCCTTGGAAAATCTGCTCCCCTCAGGGATCAAATGAGAAATGATCCGCCCCTGGTTGCTGCGATTATAAGTACACTATTTCTACTTTTGTTTTATAAAGTAAATGGTTTGAACCCGGGAGTATCGTTACATATGTTTGTAAATGTAGATCGTCAAGGTTGGTATAGTCCTGAGAAGGACTGTTTTTGTTTTGTTGACTGACGTTTCGACAACCTTAGCTGTAATCATTTTGACTCTGAAGATGACTACCGCTAAGGTTGTCGAAACGTCAGTCAACAACAACAACAGTCCTTCTCAGGACTATACCAACCTGGACGATCTACATTTACAAACATGTAACTTTTGTTTAACTTCATTAATATTTCTACATTTTCTACATGAGTGACTAAATCTTGCATCTCCCGTCTCTTTGCAGTTGCCTGAAAACGAAGAACCGTCAGATGAGTCAGAGGACGACAATAGCAACGTACCCGAAGATTTTGTGGATACAAAGTTTTGCGATTGGTGCTGTAGTTACTTTGCTCAATCAATGACGCGGGTAAGCATACGAAATTAATCTCATTTTTGTTTCTAACCTATCAAACTAGTAATAAGGAGTCACGTGTTTAATCAACAGCCAATCTTATTGCAAGATTGGTGCTGTAGTTATTTGACTCAATCAGTGACACTGGCAAGCGTAAGAAATTAGTCTCATTTGTGATATTAACCTGGCAAAGTAGCAGTAGGAAGTCACGTGTTTAATCAACAGGCAATCTTATTGCAAGATTGGTGCTGCAGTTATTTGACTCAATCAGTGACACTGTCAAGCCTAAGAAATTAATCTCATTTGTATTACTAACCTATCAAACCAGTAATAAGGAGTCACGTGTTTAATCAGATTCACCAAACACGGAATAATGATTGGTTATTTCAATTCTTCATCTTTAGCCTCCTGATGAACACGATCCGTACAGCGAAGCTCATCTGGAACGTGAAAACAGGTTCACAAGAAATGCTCGGGTTCGATCGGAAGCGATGAAACAACTGAAAGGTACGGATTGTATGCAAGAACCACCATTGACATTATGACAATGAACATGGACGGTCACATATTATCAGATTTATAGAAATTGTTCACACTCAAAAATTATATAGGCTTAGAGTAACAAACTCTACAAGGCGTATCACGTTCAATCATATCAAACCATTTGCTTCTAAACTGTCGCGAGGCCTCGACTCGATTATGTCAAAGACAATGAGGGAAGGAATATTGCAAATGGTTTGATATGACTGTATTTTATAGTTTAATACACGTCTTCTAGAGTTTGTAGTTCTAAATTTGTATAGTTACGAGATTTTATGGAAAAAATTGTAATGTATTGATCATCTTGTTTGTAGATTTTACTCGTCTAGATGATCAGATGTTCATTAATAGAAATTCATCTCCGCCTGTCGTGCTCCGTTTTAACCCGTATGAACCTCACATTGCTGTTGCTGATAGACTTGGTGTGAAGTGAGTCTTTTACACGCATTTGTTTGTCGAGTCAATAGACCACCAATCCAACATTTCTTCTCGGTGGTTTCCAACATTGAACGTTTTGTATCTTAAAATGGTCGAATCCCAAGGATGTTCCCTTTTGTTGTAATCAATTTTTTCTTTATTTTATACAGCGTATGGAATTTCGAGACGGGAACTAAACTTAGTCATTTCGAGAACGGAAATAGAAAGTCCACGAAGATTACCGCTATGGAGTTGTTGAACTCGCATGATCTGCCTTTATTGCTCACTGGCTCAAGTAAGAAAATTAAGTACTTTATTTAAACGAAAATCATTTGCAGGCCGATTGCTTTGTTTATGATGATATCGATTATGTAATTTATGCGTGCAAACTGGTGCAAACCATTTGTATAATGCAGCCAATTTGACCGAATAAATATAACTGGAATGCTACTTCCCGCCGAAATTTCAGGCCAGCAATTTTGCTAGTCCCAATCTTTCCACGCGCGGTATGTAAATCAGTTATCTTGTGCGAGAAGAAATACGATATTGTTTGATTCATTTTGCTAAAATTTTACTTTTTAGTATGTAATCTGTGCTTTATTTATATTCTTGGTTTGTTATGCTTGAAAATATTTTCTAATTTAGTTAATTTTGATGGTAGTTAGTCTTTTTTAACAATTGAATATCACAGCTCTTTTGTGAAATCATTTATGAAATAAAAGGTGTTTACTGTGTTTGCGCAGGCTTATGCAAACCGAGGAGACCTTTGGGAGAATTTGAGTGCTGATCAGTGGAAAGCCGAGAGTGAATGTCGAGGGTTGCGCATGCTCGAGAGTTCTCACAAACGTCTCCGAGGTTTGCATAAGCCTGTGCAAACACGAAAAACGTCTTTTATTTCTTTATAAAATAAAAACAATGCAAAATACACAAATTTCAAAAAGACATTTTAATTTTTCCTTTGATTTATTGATTGATTTTCCTCTTTGATTGATTGCTTGGTTGATCAATTGATTTGATTGGTTGAGCTATTGACCAATAAGCGCGCGCCTTTTTTTGTATTTATTTTATAAAATTGATTCTTCTGTATTTACCAGATGACGGTGGTGTGCGCGTTTGGAGAAATTACACTCAGAATAATCCTGAGCTAGTGACCGCCTGGCAAGGTCTTACAAATTTAGTTCCGTCAACGAGAGGAAACGGCGCGGGTATGGTTGTGAACTGGGAACAACAAACGGGTTGGCTAATGGCGTCAGGTGATGTGCGTCACATTCACGTGTGGGACACGCAAAGGGAAATGAAATTGCAGGTATTTATCTCATTGAACTAAATATATAACTGGAATGCTATCTTTAGATAAACAAGCATATACTTGCATGAAGCAAACTTCACCCCCAGACATCTCTAGGTACTCCATTGAACTAAATATGTAACTGGAATGCTATCTAGATAAACATACCTGTACTTGCATAGCCTTGCTTCCTATCATAAATGAAATTTCTTCAAACCGTGGGTGGAAAGATTGCGACTAGTTAAATTGCTGACTTCCAATCTTGGCGAAAAGTAGCCATCCAGTTATATTCAGTTCAATGATTCATCCCGTAATCAGTAGCGCCTGCAGGAAGAGTTTCAATCCAACTGGTAAATTACTTCATGTAATTCTATTCAGGATATTCCAACGGGTGCCGAAAGCTGTGTAACAAGCATCGTCTCAGATTACATCGGTCGTTCACTGTTAGTCATCGGCTGTGGTGACGGTTCTGTTCGTCTTTTTGATCGACGATTGCCGCCGAGCGACAGTCGAGTGATGACAATGAGAGAGCATCAGAGCTGGATTGTGAACGTTGTTTTACAGAACAAGTCCTCAGATAACATCATATCTGCAAGGTGAAGTTAATTGAAAATTGGAAGTGGGGGATGTTCGTATATAAATGTTATGGAAAAGGGGATATTCATGTATAAATGATATGGAAAAGGGGATATTAATGTAGAAATGTTATGGAAAAGGGGATATTCATGTAGAAATGTTATGGAAAAGGGATATTCATGTATAAATGTTATGGAAAAGGGATATTCATGTAGAAATGTTATGGAAAAGGGATATTCATGTATAAATGTTATGGAAAAGGGATATTCATGTATAAATGTTATGGAAAAGGGTATTCATGTAAATGTTATGGAAAAGGGGATATTCATGTATGAATGTTATGGAAAAGGGATATTCATGTATAAATGTTATGGAAATATTCATGTAGAAATGTTATGGAAAAGGGGATATTCATGTATAAATGCTATGGAAAGGGGTATTCATGTAGAAATGTTATGGAAAAGGGGATGTTCATGTAGAAATGTTATGGAAAAGGGGATATTCATGTATAAATGTTATGGAAAGGGATATTCAATGTTATGGAAAGGGATATTCATATAAATGTTATGGAAAGGATATTCTATTCATGTAGAAATGCTATGGAAAGGGATTCATATAAATGTCATGGAAAGGGATATTCATGTAGAAATGTTATGGAAAGGGATATTCAATGTTATGGAAAGGGATATTCATGTAAATGTTATTACATTCGGATTCGTATAAATGCGTATATGTTCATGGAAAGGGATATTCTGTTATGGAAAGGGGACATGTTCATGTTATGGAGCGATATTCGTTATGGAAAAGGGATATTCAGAAATGCAAGGGATATTCCTCATAAATGTTATGGAAATTCATCATATTCTGGAAAGGGATATTCATGGAAAGGGATATTCAGGGATATTCATGAAATGTATATAAATGTTATGGAAAAGGGATATTCATGCAAGGGATATTCATGAAAAAGGATATTCATGTTATGGAAATGAAATGTTATGGAAAGGGGTATTCATGTAGAAATGTTATGGAAAATATTCATGTAATGTTATGGAAAAGGGATATTCATGGAAAAGGGGATATTCATGTAGAAATGTTATGGAAAGGGATATTCATGTATAAATGTTATGGAAAAGAGGATATTCATGTAGAAATGTTATGGAAAGGGGATATTCATGTATAAATGTCATGGAAAAGGGGATATTCATGTATAAATGTCATGGAATTCATGGGGATATTCATGGAAATGTTATGATCATGTAGAAATGTTATGGAAAAGGGGATATTCATGTATAAATGTTATGGAAAGGGGATATTCATGTAGAAATGTTATGGAAAGGGATATTCATATATAAATGTTATGGAAAGGGGATATTCATATATAAATGTTATGGAAAAGGGGATATTCATGTAGAAATGCTATGGAAAGGGATATTCATATATAAATGTCATGGAAAAGGGGATATTCATGTAGAAATGTTATGGAAAGGGATATTCATGTAGAAATGTTATGGAAAGGGATATTCATATATAAATGTTATGGAAAAGGGGATATTCATGTAGAAATGTTATGGAAAGGGGTATTCATGTAGAAATGTTATGGAAAGGGATATTCATGTATAAATGTTATGGAAAGGGGTATTCATGTAGAAATGTTATGGAAAAGGGATATTCATGTATAAATGTTATGGAAAAGGGATATTCATATATAAATGTTATGGAAAAGGGATATTCATGTATAAATGTTATGGAAAGGGATATTCATATATAAATGTTATGGAAAAGGGGATATTCATATATAAATGTTATGGAAAAGGGGATATTCATATATAAATGTTATGAAAAAGGGGATATTCATATATAAATGTTCTGCCGTATTAGGTTCTTTTGACATCAATTGTTTTCTACGAATTACAACCAGCATATATTAATGCCCCCCCCAATTTATGCTTGCCACGCCACTGGTGGCCGCTGTTATTTAAACGGCGGCGATTTAGTGCTTAACGCGCATGTGCAACTGAAGACATTTTTCACTTTTAGTGTCGATGGCCACGTGAAGTTTTGGGATCCACGTTTTAGTGAGTCTGTACGAAATCTCGAGTCGGTCGTCTCACACATGACGTCATTTGAAGTACACAGTGCAGCAAGTGTTATTGCCTGGTTTGTAACGGTTTCTATCGCTGTTTACCATTGTTACATTTGCTTTTCAAAGAAAGGGCTTCTTAAAATCTCACGTCCAAAACTTTGACCTTGCCCCTCCCCTCACTGTAAAAAATATGCAATTCTTTTGTAGGTATTAAGGTATTGTTTAAACTATCACGAACCCAAACGCTTAGCGTCCGTCATTAGTTCTGGACGTAGGAAAAGCCATATTTGGAAGAGCTTAAAGTATCACAAACCCAAACGCTTACCCTCCGTCATTAGTTCTGGACGTGGGAAAAGCCATATTTGGAAGAGCTGTGAACAAAGTACTCTGCCTGCCAAAATACTGCATTATCAACCATCTTCCAATTATCACATATTAATTCCGAACGTTGTAGCCAACAGGTTTTTATGTTTTCAAATAAATTATTGGAATTGCTGAGGTTCAGCCCAGAGCTTAGGGACTGGGATCTGCTGAAAAATGCTCATAATAACTGCCAAATTGCTTGTCTATTTTTCGATTGGCACATTCCACTTTAGGATTGTAAGAATATTCTGAAGTTTAGATTATATATTCTGCTGTATGTTGATCTCATCCAAAGATATTCATAAATCTAAATTACTCTGACGTATTGTTGTTATGGTTATGTTTATGACGGTAGCGTTTACTGTTCGTGTTCATTATTAATTACGTGTCATTGCTAATGACACTAATTACTAATGACACGTATGGTTCTAATTACTCTAACGTATTGTTGTTATGGTTCTAATTACTCTAACGTATTGTTGTTATGGTTCTAATTACTCTAACGTATTGTTGTTATGGTTCTAATTACTCTAACGTATTGTTGTTATGGTTCTAATTACTCTAACGTATTGTTGTTATGGTTCTAATTACTCTAACGTATTGTTGTTATGGTTCTAATTACTCTAACGTATTGTTGTTATGGTTCTAATTACTCTAACGTATTGTTGTTATGGTTCTAATTACTCTAACGTATTGTTGTTATGGTTCTAATTACTCTAACGTATTGTTGTTATGGTTCTGTTTATGACGGTAGCGTTTACTGTTCATGTTCTTTTCATTCTTAAAGTTTTCTTTTTCGTTGTGTAGCGGTTCTTATAATCAAAGTGTAAGAGTTACGAAGATTAAAGAGAAGGAGACCGAATGCATGAGTACGATCAGACATCACGATGGATTTATGGGGCAAAGAATTGGTCCTGTGAACACTATGAGTTTTCATCCTCATAAGGTACGTGTTCTTGTGGTATGTAGAAAAACAATAGCTCTTCATACATTTATGTCGTACGGTAATGCTTTGCGCGCTTTTGATCACTTCTGGCGAAGGTTGCACGAATCTTGTATGGCGTTATCCATTGGATAGTGAAGGTGTTTATATTTTCGTTGCGACAAAGAAATTTTGTAAACTTAGAAGCAATATTTTATTTCAGTGATTGCTCAGTTCAAACCCCATATTTTTTCTTTTCAAGAAGTTTTTTAACGGTTAATAAAAATTTGCTGTCCACTGGATAACGCTATCCATTGATAGAAATGATATAATCGTCTTTCTTGATTTAGGATGGTTCTCAATTGCAACAGCTTAAGCGCGTAAACAAACGTGTCTTCATTTGCAATCAAAGCCTTGCCCTCACTAGTCTTCGTCACAGTCTACGGGAAATAGACTATGATGCAAGTCAAGCTAGGTCCTCACTAGTTACGTAAACATAAGCATTAGCACAAAATTATCAAAAATCACTCTTCATCTTATGTTTATCCTTTTGTTTACTGTAGTCAAATTCCCCCGTAGCACAACTAGAATGAATTAAACGCCTTGGGTGTTGTTTACAGATCATTTACATTACCTAACTTATTGCAAAGTCTGCTTCTGTTTTTTTAGGTTCACTTGGCTGTTGGTTGTGCAGATTCGATCATTTCTATCTACTCAACGGAAAAGAAACGATGACAGTGAACACGTCATTAGTTACGTCAGCAGCTATCGCGGACGTGAAATGTGTTTTCTAAAAACTGCAACTGCGGGATGAAACATGGTCTTTATCCATGTGGTCTTTATCCAAACTGTAATATAGCACCATAGTGTAGGAGACAAACAGTAGGGCTTCTTCGTTGAAATTTTCTATTCCATTTTCTAACCTACCGAATTGGATAACTGCACCATTCATCCAATTGAATATACAGCCCCATGTTACCCAGCGAAGTCGAGCTACTGTTTGTTGTTTGTCTATACTGTAATATGGATTTTTACGGTCAATAGGATTTCATAATGATGGCTATTTAACTTTAGATGGTCAGCATTTGTATGTAGCTATTCGTTTGTGATGATTTATTTATAATTTCTACGTGTTCGTGTTTTTCATGTAAATTTTCACCGCGTGCACTTGAAATGAAGTATTTTATTAATAACACAAAGTCTAAAGAAATGTGTAATGTTATTGATGTACCCAGATGTACCCCTATTACTACATCTTCTACCCTTAGATGTCCTCTAGGTAATTCTAAACCATGACGTCAGCTGTGACGTCAGACATGAAACGAAAAGTTGAAAACTCTGATTTCCAAAGAACTCTTTAAACTGACGAAGATTATTTATCATTTTAAAATCAGTTTATTATCAAATCAGGTAATTCTCCAAATATCTGTTTAAGTAGTCGATATACTTTCTCCGATGGTGCTTCTACAGGTCTCGTATCTTATGTGACGGCTTGACGCATTCCAGATTCTTCATTTAGTGATTTTGAAATTCTTAAAAATGGAAAAACAACGAGAAGAGTTGATGCTTGATATTACTCAGGAAATGTAAGTTCGTGGCGACGATTTGAAAAGAATCGTCATTATTCTTCGATGTCGATAATATGTGCTTTAAAAAGGACAAGCAATGTAGTATATTACGTGTTGTTTAGTAAATGCGATCAACTCGACCATCAAAAAAAGATGAGGGTAATTTGATCACTAATGGTAACTTTAATCCTGGTACAATGCTTTGGAGGGCATTGAACTGCCTTATGGCCAGCTTTTTCGCGATGGCTGCCTATGTTCAGGTGAATGAATAAGTCAAGATTTCCCTTATGCTTTATCGTGGTCATTTACAGTATTATTCTTGTCATTTAGTTGAATGACCCTGATCCTATCGTATGGATGGTAATATTGATTTTTTCACCGTTGTCGATTCAAATGTTTAGTTTATTGGTTAAGTTTAAACTTTATTTTCCTAGTTTGTGTACTCTGTTCCTGCATGTTTATGCATATCGTCTGCATTTGCTCCCGAGGTTCAAGGTTTGCAAAGTTAATTCTCTCATTTTTTTCTTCATCATATCATCAAGTTTACGAAATTTTGTCACTTAAGACCATACAGTTTGGCAGTCCTTGGCAACTGCGGATATTATTGGTAGTCTTGCTGGAGCAATGTACCTTGCGGTTGCAATTCATCCTCAAATGCAACATGATTCAATTAACAATCCATTATCCTTAGAAGAAGGAAGGTAAATTCTCTATCATCCACACTTTATAATGCTATCATTTTTGGCGGGAAATAGAATTTTGGGATATATTGATCAGTCTACTTTCTTTATTTTTGTTGTGACCTTGGTGTACCTATGACTAAAGGTAGTCATGATGTAAGATCCGTGCAAACAGGTTACTATTTAAAACTTACCCGTCTTGAGTGAATCAAATTTTGGTTTTGAAAATTCTTTTGTCATGCATGTGGCATTTAATCTGTAATTATGTTGTTGCTCCTGCTTCAAGCATAGGCAATGAATAAAAAAACATTACAAAGCATTGGGTATTTATTGTGTCTTAATATGTAACTTCTTATCTGATGAAAACATATGCTCTTATAGTTTCTATCTCTTAGAAGGATAGAGAAAAAGGCAAATGTGCTATCTCACTTGTGCGAACCACAAAAATAGAAGTTTTAAGGCCTTTTGACCAGTATCACAATCTGTGAACATTGCTATGGCAAAGTTATGAAAAATACATGAAACATTCTTTCTAATAATCCATATTTAAACAGCAATGGGCATATTCACAATTTTTTCTTCAATATTTTATATTACTTAGCAGTTGATTTGAGTGTATTTTTGATGTTATCAACAGAGAGATGGCTGGACTCCTCATTGTGATGTTTTGGATGGCCCTCAGTAAAGCTCTCTCTTGGTATAATCAGAGGTTTGTATAAACTTTAAGACATATGTATAAATTAAATGAATTTGCATAAATTAAATTAGATTAGAACTTTAGAACTTTAATTGAATTAACTATAAAGATTAATTATAGAACTCTTAGATCTTTTAAATTTTGAATTAGAACTTTAAGATTATATGGCTAAATGAATGAATGAAAATCTTTATTTTGACATGCTGGCCTTGTCAACTGGGGTTGATTTCCATGAGAGGCGTGCTTTTGTTCAAAAACAATTACAAAATTTACTGAGAAATAAAATATCTATAGAAGAGAAAGATAAGTTTAAATATTTACAGAGTTTAGTTTATTCCATCAGTTACATGTTAAACTAAATCATAAAATGCAAGCAGCAATTTTCTTTTAAAAAAGTGACACACTTTTGCTATTTCTGATTTCTGCTGGAATTGAATTCCAAACAGAAGCCCCAAATAGTGTTGTTTATTAATTTTTTCATCCACAATTATGTCAACACAAAGCAATCTCAATTATGTATTTAGTTAGATGTTAGAGAGAAGTTGCTTCTTTACAACTTTGTTGAGAGTATGCCTCTCAATTATGGTTCCTTAACACAAATAATATATCTATTTGATCAACAACATGCTATAATTTCTAATTTGTAATGTAATTGCAAATCTGTTCTTTGTAATTCAATTCCCCATAAATGTGTTTTAATCATTGAACTTTTATGATCATTATTGTCACTAATGCTTGGGGTCTCTTGACATTCTAACACCCCCCAGTTTTGTTACTGTGAGTTTAAACTCTTTTATTTGAGAAATGTTTTCATTTCAAGGAATGGCAATTTTCCTTTGTTGTTCTGGATTTTCATCCTTGTTCTCTTTCTTGGCCCTATTTTACTTTGGGCATTTTGCTACAGAAGTTTGGACAAAAACACCTTGCCTCAACATTGCAAAGATATGTTATGAAAATTATGTATAGAATGAACAGTTTGTGTACTATAGCTTCTACATAATATATGCATTGGTTGAAATTGTTTCCTAATAACTTCGATAATCACACATTTGCTCATCATTAGACAACATTGAATGCTTTGACTTTGATCCTGGCAGGAATCACTGAATGAAACTAAATTAAATTGGAGAAAAATTTGTCACTTTAAGAGTTAGTGCTATTTAAATGTTTACCAACATGAAGGAACAGTCGAGAGTGCCAGTTGAAAATCAATAGCAGTTATTTATGCAACATAACAGTTGGAATATTTAAGCAGCATTTCTATGCATTTAATACAAACAAGTAGGAGGAGTCATCTACACATATAAACACTCAAATACACATATACAGTACCGCTCGCGTATTGTTTTTCGTATCATACGCGTATGTTTTTCGTATCATACGCGTTTCATACGCGTAATGTATGTTAACAAATACGCAAACGGTACTGTATATACCTTGTACGACAGAGAGTTTGCAACAGACGTACAGATATAGCCAGTCTTTGTCACAATTGTAACACAGCACTTGTCATACAAAGTACATATATCTTTATTTGAAGGTTTTCTTTACCCGAATGATCCTTTCTTTGTTTGTATTAATTTGCATGTTAATCTTATAAAAAATTTTTTTGCTATCATAAGTCATCAGTCATGTAAAAGAGCCTAAATGAATGTTTTACTTTTTCTCATGATGAGCAAATGGTAATCAAAAAGAAATATTCTTCAATTTCTATGAAATGAAGAATAAAGGTTTAAGTAGTTGTTGGTGGACTACATGATAATGAAATACCCATGTTAATCACATGTAAAATAATAAAATAACAATGTACTTTAATGAAATCCTGCCTGTCTCTATATAGCACAAATAGCTTTATATTTTTATAGAATAAATATATTGACTTGAGTTCATATTCCAGAGCTCTTGAATATATGGTACAGAGTCAAATGAAATGTAATAATTAATTTTTAAAGAAATACAATCTGCTGAGAAATGTATTGTTCATTTTTCAAGCCTTGCCACACCAGTATCGATAGGCATTGTATCCCAAATAAACAGCAACAGCAAACGAGGCCACATTATGAAGTATCATCCTGTATTTGTCATCTTTATTAACAAGGACGAGAGGTGATGATGATGATAGGCGTTCGAGTGGGACTTTGACCAAACTATGACTGTCATATTCGACTTGATATTTTGAGGTGGGATCAAACTGCCAGGAAATGTCATATATGGCTGCAGAAAGCAGGCTTACACCACCCAAACTCAAACTGATCATCTTTCTGTTGCTTGCGGGCAGGACTATAGGGGAGAGCAAACAACCAAGGCTACAAAGAACAGAAGATTTATGTATAAAGTTTCCTAAACGAATCCATTTAGAAACATGATCGCCAAGAATCTTTGGTTCTATAACTATCATTGAATACTGTTTTTCAAGTGCCATTTCCAACTCAATTTCATATAACTCCCATGTAAGACTGGGGTCAAGGTCTGGATCATCTGCTTCATGGATCACATGGCACTCTTCGGAAGTGCTTCCCATCAATGGTCTAAAAGTGTTGTTTGATTTATTTTAGCGATAGATTTTAATTTTTAATCAACTGATTGGAGTGTTGACACTGCATTGTTTGTGGCGTGAAGGACTATTTGATAATTGTTAATTGATGTGCTTTATGAAAAACCTCCTCCTTCCTCATATAAGTTTTTTCACCTTATGCCTGCAAGTCTAAAAAACCAACCTTGTCTCTTCTAATTCTGGTTGTTGAGAATCTTCACCGCTATTCACCACGCTAATATCTTCAATTTGTGTCTTACCGTCGGCCATTTTGCATTCAATTCATGTATTGTTCGACAAAAAACGGCAGCGAATTAACTGCGACAATTTTGACGGTAACCAGACGTAAGAGTCAAAAGTCGGAACAATGTTTGAAACTCCAAGTCAATTCATCTTAAAATACATCCTAAACGTTTCCAGTGAGTTGTTGCTTCCTAATTTCTAATATTGCTTCAATATGGTTTTAACAACTAAAGTTACAAGCAAGAAAAACAACCAAGACTGCAAAATTATAACGTTTTTCATTGAAATGGAGTACATAGTCATTAGTACGAAGAAAATTTACGGTAAAGAAACATTTATATTGTACATAACTCAAACGGCATTCTTTAGAAAGAATATGAAAGTGTTCAAGTTTTTAATATTCAGCTACACTGACAGACAATATGTGCTCCGGGTAGGGGGGGGGTAGCTAAAAAAGTTGAGGTAAAATCTTAAAAGTTAGTCGAAAAGACTGTAAGAGTGAATGTAAAATGTAGGCATGGCTTTTTTTATCAATAAGATACTACATAAGTGGGTGCCAGGATGTAGAGTCCCTAGTTTTATTTCGAGGGGGATGTAGCTGAATGTAGCTATCTTTATTGATTAAATTTGTTTGAGTTTAGGAGTTTATTGAAAAGTTAGGGAAACGTCGTTAAATTCATCAGCGTGCGAGTTTTGGAATAACCTTTTGTTGAAATAGCTGGTTAGTAAATAACGTTAATATGACCGATTAGCTCAAAGTAGAAAAATGTCGCTCGTTTTTCTTCGTCTCAACGGACCAAGGCGTTGAAACAAACTTTAATTTAATCAGGATTCCTTAGAACGTCTTTACGAGAGTTGAACTGCCTAACTATGCTTGCATAACGAGGGGAGCAAACAACGAGGCTTGCATAACGAGGGGAGCAACATACTTGAAAGGTGATTAAATAACCAGCGTTTGACAAACATTTGAAAACAACTAAATCTACCGTATAAGACTATATCAAATATAATAGATCTATGGGTAGACACTGGTTCTATTGCACCTCGCCAGGGCGAACGTGATGTTCGAACCACGCGTACAGATGACGTTACTGCATACGCTGAATATCTAAAAATTAATAAACCATCTATTTACGCAAAAGAGATTCAGCAACACTTAGAAAATAACAAAGTTTGCCTTCCAGCAAACATACCTAGCAGGTCATCCATTAGTAGAATTTCGAAAAAAGATCTTGGTTACTCTTACAAGATAATAAGTCAAATTCCTCGAGAGACAGAACGGCCGGACGTTATGGAGAAGTTAGAAGCTTACGTAGCAAATATTTCATTGATTGATTGCAACCGTATGCATTTCTTTGATGAGTCGTCTGTAGTTGTTACGAGTGGCAACAGACGTCGAGGGCACAGTATGCAGGGTACTCCTGCATTTAAAATCCAACGATACGCTTCTAGTGCCACATTTACTGTAAATTTTTTACATAATGTAAACGGCGTATCGCATTATAACACTCTTAGAGGGCCGTCAAACGGATTAGAATTGCTAAAGCTTTTCTTTGCTTACTGAACGGATTCATTGCCAAATGTCTACAGGGTAGAAAGACCTTTCGCGTTTGCTAGTACTTCGCAACTTTAGTTCACAACTTCAGTACTCAAGTTCACAACTTCAGTACTCAAGTACACAACTTGTCAATTCAAGTTGACAAGTTCATATCGAATATTCCATATTTGGAAATGTAGTTGGCAACATTAGAAAGTAACTTGGCAACCGCCATTTGAAAAGTTAACTGAAATCGACAATAATGCCACAAATATGACATACCATAGCCAGAAATCTGGTCTTTCATAATACTTTAAAATTGCAGTCGTTTATTCTGTGATTTACTCATATCAGCATGTTTAAGTTGGATTACCTTATCAAGACACCCTCTGTGGCAGTTCGAACATTTGATTTTCCCGAAGTATTTTTTCTGAAAGATTTTAATGAATAATTTCTATGTTATCTACACCATTAAATTAATTAAACTAAATTTTTTGAAGGATTTTCGCTTGCTTAATACTGACTATCGTAAATACTTGGTTTTACCAAAAGAAAATAGAATTTCTATGTCTTATATATCTTTCTATATATACTGCTTAATTGTACACGCTTTAACTATTGATCATAAATTAATTAAAAAAATCTAAATTAAATTTCTCTAAGTAAATGTTTTGTTATCCTATCCTGAATAAATTGTTGAAGTTTATTTTCTTAAGAAGTTTGGCAATATTTGCATCTTTCTTCGCCGCATCACAATGTCTACAGGAACAACTTTTAATCACAGGATAATAGAAAACATAAGTGTCTCCCTTGGGACAAACCATGACTGTAGATTTACGGTACAATTTAGTTGGTTGACAACATCTGCATGTTGTGTTGAAATACAATTTGCCACCAGCGTACGAGAAGTTGAATTTGACTGACAAGATCCTTCGCAGTACGAATTAATCCTTTTTGTTTTACTAACGCAGCCAAAGACATCCTTGAATGGCTTTCCCTCAATTTGAGTTCTTGCGTTGCAAGTGCGAGGAGCTAAAAACCGAAGTCAAAGTTTATGGCATTGTTAAATGTTTATTTACGCGTTATAAGCGGGTACGAAGATGTTTCAATGCCTTAAAAGTAAATTGAAACCTATATATTCTTTCAGATGTACCTTCACATGCATTTACTAAGGTACAACTTTTCCTTTCTTTTCTGATTTTATTTTGAAAGCCGACAACTATCCCACTCACGACGCGAACTAAAATCCTTACAAGTTTTTGCAAGAATCTTTTAAAAAGTTTAGAAAGACTGCCAGAGTTGCAAAATGTCATATGATATTTACCGCACATTGGACAACATTTTCCCGGATTTGGACGAGCTTTGAGGTGAAATCCCTAGGAACACCAAGTACAGGTTATTTGCACTATTTTGAAGCATTGCTAGCTATTAAATATGGCTTAATTTACCTTAGGGCACATCTTTGGGCACTGCTCAACATGGCAAAGTACTTCGCCATTTTTAGCACATGAGCAATTTTTACAAGCATCTGGTTTCCACCTTTGACCAACCTGAAACAGATTGTTCAAAAGTTCGTATAAAGTCGAGTTATTGATCTTAGGCGTGGTTATTTAACGGAGACTTACTTTGTAACTGCTGCCGTTATATTCGCAAGTTTTATTATATGAAAGCGAAACTAGAAAGAGAAAACCTTGTTAGATACAATGACGAACATAATTCATTACAAGATTGACTTACCGCACTCGTTACAACATTTTCCTGGGAATTTGATCATTTCGCAACCCTGTAACACAAGGCAGGCGGGCAGTAAGGATTTATTTGAGCAAGCAAAGGTCTACTTGAAAAAATATTTTGCAGGATCACGATAAGTATGCTTCGGTTTTTATTACCTGTGGACAAACAGAAGGACAAATTGTTGAAACGCATTTGATTTGTAGGTTTTTTTCGCAAGTACAATTCTCGCAGATTCCGTTTGACCAACTTTCGCCAATCTAATGTTAAGTTAGGCATTTCAGTTTTATGCATCGTCATTGTTTAAATTTTTGATATTATGAAGCATCGTCTATATTACCATTCTAAATGTTCCGTTATCATAACATCCCGGTACAGGCGTTGTAATTGGTTTAGTTGTTGCTAAAAATTCATTACATACACTCATATCATCGTCTGTTCATTATGTAAGATCAGTATTTGGCAATTACTCACATATTAACATGCAAGTACAGCAAGAATCAAGTGGTTGAACCAGTTGGTAACCCTAAAAAAGATATTTATACATACATCACATTGTTTTCATAAAGTACTTTCACAAAGTATTTTATATTTTCTATCGCATATAAACTTAGCAGGGATCTTGGGAGGAAATATTTCATACATCGTACCATAGGACAGACTGTAATGTTACATGTTCTGTTACAAACTTCTTCTCCATCAATACAAGTACAGTTTACACAATTTTCTTCCGTCCAACGTTCGCCACTCTGTAGAAAGAAAAAGAAACGCTGTAATTGACTTTTCTTTTAATCATTTAACCATCGCATGACTGAAAACATCGAACTACAACATATCGCCACTCTGTAGAAGGTTAGTGAATCAATATTGTCTAATAATCATTTATCCATACTCAAAGCCATTTCATCTCGTAGCTTAAAACATCGACCTACAACATACATTCATTTCTCCTCCATCAACAAGACAGAAGCAATCTTTCCTTTCAACACAATCCGTTCCATTGTCGAATGTTCCATCAGGGCATTGGCAACCAGGTCTGCATGTTGAATTAAATGTCTTGTTTTCGCAAGAAACTGGTCTGCTGCAGAATTTGTAGATCATATCGTTCCGACATTCTAGAAATAGATTAAAGGGAATACACACGTATTTTTATTTAGCTTATCGATAATGAAGCAACATTGTTACTAACTTTGTTCGCAGTAACAACATTGACCAGGTTCCCTGACAAGTTCTTCGTTCTGAAAGGATAAAACTATATATGAACACTGTAAAACGTGATTGTGCAAACATTGACTTCATAAAGAGAACTTACTGGACGACATGTTTTGTTGCATGTACGCTCACAGGAGAAGTTACTTGATAAACATACACATTTTATACATTCCTCTCTTACAAATACATCACCAAACTAATAAAAAATAAGATTAAGTTTGGTAAGTATAGAAATGTAAATTTTAGACGAAATTCATTAGATAACAAGAAAAGAAGAGAGCGGAATTTGTAACTTCGAAGAAAAATTCAACTTCGATGTTGCTACTTCGACATTGTGTTACGATATTAAATATCCACATTAAACACAGTGGCTTTTCGATAGAAAAAAACTTCTAGGTAACTGCTTTAGTGAAATGTTTACTTACTTTGTAAACCGTTCCGTTATAATAACAGGGACATGTACTTATGTCTACACATTCGCCATTATTGTGTAGGAAAAATCCTGGTGGGCATTCACATCCAGGGCTGCATACAGATGAATTACACTTGTCAGTTCCATTGGAAATGCTCTCACATGTTTGCAGACATGTGCAAGTGACATTCGTACATTTGATAGTGGGGACCGGTGTAGTTGTAATTTTCGTGGTAGAGGGGGTGGTGGAAGGAGTCGATGCAGGCGTTTTTACCGCTGAACAGTAGCAGCAGTTGGCCGAAGGAAAGGTTAGTTTATCATTCTATTGAAATGAGAGAATAACCACTTTCATACACGGTAATACCGAAGCTATCTTAAATTCATATCGAAATGCCGAGGCTCTCTTCGTGAAGACTTCCTTTCCTCCTTATGAAGGTCATTTTTATGAAATTAATATCGATACCTTATGGTTTATTGAAAAGAAGATTTCATCACAATTATGTGATTAAACCACTGATATGTATAAAAGTGGATGACGCAACTTAGTGCTTCACTTGAAGCCGCAGGTAGCGGCCATATTGGAGTATCCACTTTTTCAGTTTTTATATAGGTTTTATATAAGAAACTGCTACCGTCGCATTTATTTTTGATCATATGTTTTACTCTTGGGACAAAAAAGAATTATTATGATGACACGACTGCAAAAGAGCAGTTTTAGGGCAAAAACTCATGTTTGCTAAATTTCATTTAGAAATCTTCTCGCGTTGCTTAAATATCATAATAAAGTATTTGGCATGATTTCTGAAAGAGAAAATAACAAGAATACAAAATATGATAAAAATTCATTATAAAATACATACTAGAGGTGGATAGTCCAATATGGCCGTCGCTGTTAAAAGTTAAATGCAAAATTTTCTGGGCACCAGAATTAGGTTGCGTTAACCAGTCTTTATATATAATAGTTCAGTGAATATATAGTTCAGTAGATTTAACTAATTCCAGTATAGCATCTAACCACTATTTAAAAATAATTCAATATATTTACCATAGCACATTTGCTGATCGAGCAAAACTTTGTACAATTCTTTTTTCCTTCTTCGATGCACTGGCATCTGTAACAGTCGTTCTCAGTCCACGTCGCGCCAATCTAGAATAAATTATTACTTAGGTCTGTCGAACTTACAATACAATAGAATGAAAGAATTGCCAACGAAATGTTCTAAAAAAATGGCTTTAAGATGTGGTTTACTTACACTGTAATTGTTATGTCCGCTAACGCATTGCAGTTTTGTGGTTGAAGCCTCGATCGGGGTGATATGGGTGGTTGTAGCTATAACGTTAGGAGCTGCCGAAGGAATTCCCGTAGGTAGTATCGTTGGACAGTATATTTCATCTTCAGCGTTTGGACATTCAACAGTACCATCACAAATGTAGGAGATTGAGATGCATTTGTGAGAATAAGGACAACGCCATTGAGATTTGTTCTGACATTTACAGTTAATCTCGTCCATGTTGGTAATGTTGCAGTCTTTGTACAAATCGCAAATCCCAGCTCTCGGAATGCAATTTCCTTCAGGACACAGGTACTCACAAAGTTGTGGTGTGGCTGTCATTGGGCAGTTACGTTCATCTTCACCGCCGTAGCAATCTTCATCGCCATCACATAGTGATCTAAGTTTAAAAAAAAAAACACAGAAACATTGTAAAATATTCGAGCCCTTTTTAAATCGAGAACGTCAACGGTTCACCTGTTAGAGATGCATTCACCGTTTTCGCACGTAAATTCGTTAGGACGGCATGTTGGCTTAACGCAGTCAGGTTTTTCGTCAGAGTTATCACTACAATTGGGATAACCGTCACAGTAATCCTCGATATCGATACATTCACCATTATCGCATGTAAATTCGTTTGTCGAGCACGTTGGAATACAATTGTCTTCATCGGAGTTATCTCCACAATCGTCACTGCCATCACATTGAAGTTTGGGGTTCAAACATCGAGTATTGTTGCAGAGAAAACCACTGCAAGGAGTGGTGGTGACGTTCGCACAGCCGAATATCTCATATCGCAAGCAAACTGATAATGTCAAATTATCAGGAGTTATTTTAATGTATTTAGCAGTAAAAGGAACCCATAACTTGAACAATGAAAGATTGCCGTGTTTTTCCTAGAAATGAAAATAACGGCATAACACGATATAATATTAAGCTAAAGGTAAACATTAGTAATAATATAACAGTATAAAAGTTATCATTACAATCGTATTAATAACAGGCATACCGTTTGATTCCATCCATTGTTGTACCTCTTCCAACTGAATCCATTTGTACTGTACTCGAGTTGGAAATTTTGATGATTGACGGCGCCTTTCACTTCTGAGCCAATTATTGTCACCGTAGAATTATGACCCAGATTTGCAAGAAGCTGAATGGCCCTGCTGAAATTTCGTAAGCAATAGAACGTCTCACCGCTTGAAATCATCCTCCAACTCGAATCGGGATAACCACGGACCTCTCCTGCAGTCAAAATATTTGAATAAAGAATTAAGACCAAAACGGTGAAAGCAAACTTTCTTCGTATTAGTAAGACTCCTAATTGAAGGTCATAACGCAAACAAACAAACGATATAGATGTCTGTCACTCGAGCAAAATTCATATCAAAAACTACAGTTATCAGCGCCTCGTCACCAAATGACTTCAGTAGCAATGCATTACCTAAAGTGTCGTTGCATGATGATATCGTTGTACAGTTACTTTCATCTTCATTGTTGGAACAATCCCGCATTCCGTCACATGACCATACACGAGGTATACATGTCTTATCGATATGACAATAGAATTGGGACTCGTTACATGGTCTCCTTGTTGTCGCGATGGTGATTGGTGGTGTAGTGGAAATAGAAACACAGACGTCACAACAATCTTTTCTTGTAACCGTGTAGCTGTGAGTAGGACAGTAAGTGATCGTGGGACATTGAATAGGATTACATATTAAAGTATTATTCCAGCAAATGCATCTATTACAGCCATCTCTCCACGTCTCTCCTGCTCTGTAATAGTTACTCTTGTATAAACATGGACAATCCGATGGTTCAACACAATGTGTGCCATTAAACACCAAACCACTTGGGCACGTGCAACCTTCTTCACAATCGCTTGGCAACGTACACGTCACGTTTAAGTATTGACAGAAAGGAGGACATGACGAGGAAACACAACTTGAATAGATCTAAAACGTTGAAAAATTGACTTGGTGAAAATATCAAAATTCTCAAAATTTAAAATTGCTTAGTAAAACTGCTATATCTAAATATGAATGTTTATGCAAAGCAAGATGTTTGAATTACCAATCCAGGTGGACAAGTGAGAGCAGTAGTTAATGGAATGGTCGGAGTTGATGAAGTTCTTTCAATGGTAGATGCATTAGAACGTCCAGGAAGTCTAGTGTAATTTTCTGTCGGAGCTATGCCAAGATTAATAGTAGTGGCAGTCGACGGGTGAGTTGAAATTGTTTCATTAGAAGTGGACAGAGTTGAAACTGTTTCAGTCAAAGGTGGAGTTGAACTCGTTCCCATCACCAATGAGGTTGACGTTACAGTTACAGTTGACAGAGCTTCAGAGGTTGTTCCAGTCAAAGGTGAAGTTGAACTCGTTCCCATCACCAATGAGTTTGAAGTTACAGTTACAGTTGACAGAGCTTCAGAGGTTGTGCCAGCCAAATTTGAAATTGAACTCGTTCCCATCACCAATGAGGTTGAAGTTATAGTTACAGTTGACAGAGCTTCAGAGGTTGTTCCAGTCAAAGGTGAAGTTGAACTCGTTCCCATCACCAATGGAGTGGAAGTTCCAGTTACAGTTGACAGAGCTACAAAAGTTGTACCAGTCAAAGGTAGAGTTGAACTCGTTCCCATCGCCAGTGGAGTGAAAGTTCCATTTACAGTTGATAGAGCTGCAGAAGTTGTACCAGTGAAAGGTGGAGTTGAACTCGTTCCCATCACCAATGGAGTGGAAGTTCCATTTACAGTTGACAGAGCTTCAGAGGTTTCTCCAGTCAAAGATGGAGTTGAACTCGTTCCCATCACCAATGAAGTTGAAGTTACAGTTACAGTTAACAGAGCTTCAGAGGTTGTGCCAGTCAAAGTTGAAATTGAACTCGTTCCCATCGCCAATGAAGTTGAAGTTACAGTTACAGTTGACAGAGCTTCAGAGGTTGTTCCAGTCAAAGGTGAAGTTGAACTCGTTCCCATCACCAATGGAGTGGAAGCTTCAGTTACAGTTGACAGAGCTTCAGAGGTTGTTCCAGTCAAAGATAAAGTTGAACTCGTTCCCATCACCAATGTAATTGAAGTTCCATTTACAATTGACAGAGCTGCAGACGTTGTTCCAGTTAAAGGTGGAGTTGAACTCGTTCTCATCACCAATGTAGTTGAAGTTCCATTTACAATTGATCGAGCTGCAGAAGTTGTACCAGAGAAAGGTTGAGTTGAACTCGTTCCCATCACCAATGTAGTTGAAGTTCCATTTACAGTTGACAGAGCTGCAGAAGTTGTACCAGAGAAAGGTGGAGTTGAACTCGTTCCCATCACCAATGTAGTTGAAGTTCCATTTACAGTTGACAGAGCTGCAGAAGTTGTACCAGTCAAAGGTGGAGTTGAACTCGTTCCCATCACCAATGTAGTTGAAGTTACAGTTACAGTTGACAGAGCTGCAGACGTTGTTCCAGTCGAAGGTGAAAATGAACTCGTTCTCATCACTAATGAATTGAAGGTTCCAGTTACAGTTGACAAAGCTGCAGAAGTTATTCTAGTCAAACGTGAAAATGAACTCGTTCCCATCACCAATGGAGTGGAAGTTCCATTTACAATTGATTGAGCTGCAAAAGTTGTGACAGTTAACGGTGGAGTTGAACTCGTTCCCATCACCATTGGAGTGGAAGTTAAAGTTACAGCTGACAGAGCTGCAGAAGTTGTACCAGTTAAAGGTGGAGTTGAACTCGTTCCCATCACCAAGGTAGTTGAAGTTCCATTTACAATTGATCGAGCTGCAGAAGTTGTACCTGTTAAAGGTGGAGTTGAACTCGCTCCCATCACCAATGGAGTGAAAGTTCCATTTACAGTTGACAGAGCTGCAGAAGTTGTACCAGTTAAAGGTGGACTTGAACTCGTTCCCATCACCAATGTAGTTGAAGTTCCATTTACTATTGACAGAGCTGCAGACGTTGCTCCAGTCGAAGGTGAAAATGAACTCGTTCTCATCACTAATAAAGTGGACGTTCCACTTACAGTTGACAAAGCTGCAGAAGTTGTTCTAGTCGAAGGTGGAGTTGAACTCGTTCCCATCACCAATGTAGTTGAAGTTCCATTTACAATTGATCGAGCTGCAGAAGTTGTACCAGTGAAAGGTGGAGTTGAACTCGTTCCCATCACCAACGTAGTTGAAGTTCCATTTACAATTGATCGAGCTGCAGAAGTTGTACCAGTGAAAGGTGGAGTTGAACTCGTTCCCATCACCAATGTAGATGAAGTTCCATTTACAATTGATCGAGCTGCAGAAGTTGTACCAGTTAAAGGTGGAGTTGAACTCGTTCCCATCACCAATGTAGTTAAAGTTCCATTTACAATTGATCGAGCTGCAGAAGCTGTTCCAGTTAACGGTGAAAATGAACTCGTTCCCATCACCATTGGAGTGGAAATTCCAGTTACAGTTGACAGAGCTGCAGAAGTTGTACAAGTTAAAGGTGGAGTTGAACTCGTTCCCATCACCAAGGTAGTTGAAGTTCCATTTACAATTGATCGAGCTGCAGAAGTTGTACCAGTGAAAAGTGGAGTTGAACTCGTTCTCATCACCAATGTAGTTGAAGTTCCATTTACAATTGATCGCGCTGCAGAAGTTGTACCAGTGAAAGGTAGAGTTGAACTCGTTCCCATCACCAATGTAGTTGAAGTTCCATTTACAATTGATCGCGCTGCAGAAGTTGTACCAGTTAAAGGTGGAGTTGAACTCGTTCCCATCACCAATGTAGTTGAAGTTCCATTTACAATTGATCGCGCTGCAGAAGTTGTACCAGTTAAAGGTGGACTTGAACTCGTTCCCATCACCAATGTAATTGAAGTTCCATTTACAATTGATCGAGCTGCAGAAGTTGTACCAGAGAAAGGTGGAGTTGAACTCGTTCCCATCACCAATGTAGTTGAAGTTCCATTTACAATTGATCGAGCTGCAGAAGCTGTTCCAGTTAACGGTGAAAATGAACTCGTTCCCATCACCATTGGAGTGGAAATTCCAGTTACAGTTGACAGAGCTGCAGAAGTTGTACCAGTTAAAGGTGGAGTTGAACTCGTTCCCATCACCAATGTAGTTGAAGTTCCATTTACAATTGATCGCGCTGCAGAAGTTGTACCAGTTAAAGGTGGACTTGAACTCGTTCCCATCACCAATGTAGTTGAAGTTCCATTTACTATTGACAGAGCTGCAGACGTTGCTCCAGTCGAAGGTGAAAATGAACTCGTTCTCATCACTAATAAAGTGGACGTTCCACTTACAGTTGACAAAGCTGCAGAAGTTGTTCTAGTCGAAGGTGGAGTTGAACTCGTTCCCATCACCAATGTAGTTGAAGTTCCATTTACAATTGATCGAGCTGCAGAAGTTGTACCAGTGAAAGGTGGAGTTGAACTCGTTCCCATCACCAACGTAGTTAAAGTTCCATTTACAATTGATCGAGCTGCAGAAGTTGTACCAGTGAAAGGTGGAGTTGAACTCGTTCCCATCACCAATGTAGTTGAAGTTCCATTTACAATTGATCGAGCTGCAGAAGTTGTACCAGTTAAAGGTGGAGTTGAACTCGTTCCCATCACCAATGTAGTTAAAGTTCCATTTACAATTGATCGAGCTGCAGAAGCTGTTCCAGTTAACGGTGAAAATGAACTCGTTCCCATCACCATTGGAGTGGAAATTCCAGTTACAGTTGACAGAGCTGCAGAAGTTGTACCAGTTAAAGGTGGAGTTGAACTCGTTCCCATCACCAATGTAGTTGAAGTTCCATTTACAATTGATCGCGCTGCAGAAGTTGTACCAGTTAAAGGTGGAGCAGAACTCGTTCCCATCACCAATGTAGTTGAAGTTCCATATACAATTGATCGAGCTGCAGAAGTTGTACCAGTTAAAGGTGGAGTTGAACTTGTTCCCATCACCAATGTAGTTGAAGTTCCATTTACAATTGATCGAGCTGCAGAAGTTGTACCAATGAAAAGTCGAGTTGAACTCGTTCTCATCAGCAATGTAGTTGAAGTTCCATTTACAATTGATCGCGCTGCAGAAGTTGTACCAGTTAAAGGTGGAGCTGAACTCGTTCCCATCACCAATGTAGTTGAAGTTCCATTTACAATTGATCGAGCTGCAGAAGTTGTACCAGTTAAAGGTGGAGTTGAACTCGTTCCCATCACCAATGTAGTTGAAGTTCCATTTACAATTGATCGAGCTGCAGAAGCTGTCCCAGTTAACGGTGAAAATAAACTCGTTCCCATCACCATTGGAGTGGAAATTCCAGTTACAGTTGACAGAGCTGCAGAAGATGTACCAATGAAAAGTCGAGTTGAACTCGTTCTCATCACCAATGTAGTTGAAGTTCCATTTACAATTGATCGCGCTGCAGAAGTTGTACCAGTTAAAGGTGGAGTTGAACTCGTTCCCATCACCAATGTAGTTGAAGTTCCATTTACAATTGATCGCGCTGCAGAAGTTGTACCAGTTAAAGGTGGAGTTGAACTTGTTCCCATCACCAATGTAGTTGAAGTTCCATTTACAATTGATCGAGCTGCAGAAGTTGTACCAGAGAAAGGTGGAGTTGAACTCGTTCCCATCACCAATGTAGTTGAATTTCCATTTACAATTGATTGAGCTGCAGAAGTTGTTCCAGTTAACGGTGAAAATAAACTCGTTCCCATCACCATTGGAGTGAAAGTTGCAGTTACAGCTCGAATGGCAGCAATGGTTTCATAAACTGTGTTTTTGGAGGTAGGTTTCGTCAATGATGCAATTGAATATGTTACATTAACAGTCAAAAGAGTCGTTGACTTTATTCCAATAACAGCTGATGTCCTTGATTCTGAAGGTCCAGTGACAGTAAATATTGTACTAGGGGCGATACCTGTAAAGAAAAAGTGCAGTTAAATATACAAGCTACGTAAAATCTATAATCAATTAGATGTTTTTACAATGGCAAATTGATGAGTTCACATACTTTAACCAAAAAAGTTTCGTCATTCATTTAGATAACTTTATTAAATTTACCTGAAGTTGAGGTACATTTTGGTCCGTTGCATGAAAGACAACCTTCACTGCATACACTAAAAATAATTTAGACATTGAAAAGACACTTAAACATTACCAATGTTGGAAATGGGTAATTATCTCTTTCCTATGTCACATTCCATAATGTGATGTCTCAGTAGGTCTTGGCTTAAAATGAATGTTATAAACTTTGTTTGCATTGTTTTAACATACCAATGTTGACAATTAACGATAACGTAGGAGCCATTTTCATATTCATTTCCATTCACAATACACGGACATAACTCTGGTTTGATGCAAGTCTTTTTATGAAGCACCGTACCATTTGGACATTGACATCCTTCCGTGCATGGTATTGGGCAATGAATTCGTGGGCCACATAAGGATTTACAGGTGTTTGGGCATGGAGACCCGCATGCTTTGTATTCCAAACCGTTCTCACATTGAATAGCTATAAGCAAAAGGAAAAAAGTTGCTGTTTACAAGCATGCAAAAGTAGTGATAGACAAATAAACTTAAAATGAATACAAGAATGGTATTTTGTATGTGGATAACATGCAAATACATAATGAGCTTTAAAGGGACACTTTGGGATAGAAACAACACAAATGATATATGACATTGGTAATATGGTTGAACACATTTTATACTTATCACTGAAGCCTATTGCCCTGTCACTGTGAGAGAAGATTTTGTGTTAGAAAAGCGATTCATACTTAATTATGCATTGTTATCCTTCATGAAAAAAATTCGACCAATGATTATCATTCATACTTACGACAAAGTTTTTGTGATCTCCATTCAATATGAATACCGTGTCTATTACATTCCCTAGCGTACGCTGCAATTGCTGTACACAAACATTCACAATCACCACCAATGTCACAGCCACAAGAATCGAAATAACAGTCCCTGTAGAATGGATCTACATCGACCTAAAATATACAATTTTTTTAGAAAGAGTGTGTTATAAGTACTGAACCAGCGATTGTTGTTTAAGATTTAAAAATTCCAAAAATACATTAAAGTATTTATAAATCACCTACTTTATCATGACATGGTTTGAAAATCTTCTTTTTGAGAATTTTACACATCTTCCGCGACCAACCAGCTCTTTGTTTGTGTATTTTACAGGGATGTTTGGACACACGTGTAGCTGGACAGGACTTTTCCACTTTCCACGAGTCGCCAAAATCGTTTGCCAACTGCTCGGGGAGATTTTGCGGCGTAAGAAAATCATCTTTTTGATTGTTGTTTATATTACCACACAGTCCACAAGGATTTCCTAAAAAATTACAGAAAATCAAATTTAGACGTTAGTCCAATATCTTTCGTTGAGCTTAACCAGTTTTAAAATGGATTAAAATTTGTTTCATGAACTTTGTACATTTTGTTTAAAGAGGATTACACATTTTACCTTGATAGGTCGGTAACAAATTTACATAAACTCTAGTTCCGTGATCCCATTCCATAACAAGGCCAAAATCGGTTGTCAAAACGGTGAAAAACCAACTGTGATATATCTTGTATCCACCATTGAGACGAGAATTTATAGTACCAGGTAAGGTGTTAATTCTGGGCATTTTGTGTTTGTAAAAAGTAATGACGGTATTATTGATTGTAACTATTGGAGCTTTTGTACATGTAACACCACTTGTTCCACAAGGAACATTTTGAATTTCAATGCGATATTTCCCCCATTTGTTTCCGCAGTAATCTTCAGATAAAATGTATCGACAGGAACCTTGAAAATCGTACTTTTTACCATCAAACGTTTTGTAATGAGGCTCACCTACGGCCGAACAAACTTTGGGACATTGTTTCTTTGTGCATATCCATTTGGCATTTTTGCAAACGCTAAAACGAGAGGTTTACAACGGAAATTTACTATAGAGAAAAAACTATATAATATTAAAATTAAAAAGAATCAAATGTTGACAAAACAAATTTTGTTTAAGAACTTAAATGATCAATTTAGTACGAGGTTGAACCGTTCACTGTAAACAGACATATACCATCTTTTCACATACCATGTGTTGCAGTCAATAAAGATGATTTGTCCTTGCGAGTATTTGAGGTTATTGTAGTGACACGGACATTCGGAGACGTTAACACACTGAGTGCCATTGAAAACGAGTGAATGAGGACAAAGACAACCTTCCTCACACTGTTTGTTCAGACATTTCATGTGAACATTTCCACAAGTTTTCTCACATTGAGCACATTGCGACCATGCACGACCAGAAGAACACTCGACTTGACATGTTTCATTTTTACATTGAACTTTTCCATTTGAACATGTGCTAAAGAGACGAAGAACAAATAAAACTTTCAGATAAACGCTTTTTATACTTTCGTTTCTCTTATTTACTTTAAAGAGTAAGACTTAGAGTAAAATGTTTACGAAAAACAAAATTATACACTGAGTTTGTTAAAAGGATTGCGGAAATTTGACAGTAAGTTGTGACAGTTAGCCAATGAAAAACGACATTTCTTTTATACAACTTCGTGCTGCATGATGTAATATCTATAATTACCATTTAGTGCATCTGTCAGGCCAATAGGATTCACCAGGATTGTAATATTTATTCTCATAATGACATGGACATTCTGATACAGCGACACATTTTTTCTGGTCATTTAAAGCGGTACCATTGGGACAATGACAGCCGGGAGAGCAAACCTCGATACATCGTTCACTGTACTGAAGTTCACGACACGTTCCCATACATGAAGTACCGCAGTGTTGATATTCTTGTTCACTGTTGTCGCATTTAATATCTTCAAATAGATTGTTGAAATATGGCGTGAAATGGTGATAAACAGGGATACAATTATGACCAGAAATATCTGATTGCAATTTTTTCCAGCAGCAGATATTTGTTTATAGAGCCTAAGTATTAAACTCAGTGATTAGTTTTGAACGTTAAAAGAATAAGTTTGTTCGTTGAAATGTGCTCAAGACATTTTTGATGTATACTTGAACAATTCGAATGTTGAACAATTTTTTACTTATTAGTTTACTTATTTATATGTTCGTAAACACCTACCGCACTCCGAAGCGATGCCTGTATTTCTCCAGTTGATCACGTGACCATATCGTAAGCACGCACGCGCGTAATCTTCAATAGCCTCACAGTAACATCGACTACCATGCCGACAAGCACAAACGTCAAATTTGCAGTTTTGAAAATACTGATCGTCGGGATCAACGCTATGTTGACAAACTTTGAACGGTTCTTGATTTAAAATATCGCATTTCGTCTCTGCGACTAAAGCACGTTGTACCATTATCTCACACGTGTTCACCACCGTAGTCGCTGTTTTATTGCACCATCGAGCTACCCAAGAGTTTCCAAATGCTACAACATTCGTCTCAATGGCACCATCATTATTCATGAAATCATCTTCCTGGTTGCCATTGTAGTTACCACAAAGGCCACAAGTACTGTTTGCATACTGTGGTTGAACAGTTACGTACAAACTCATAAAACCGTCCCAATGCACGTCCAAGCCGATGTCAGATCGAAGTCGGAGCATTCCGAACGCGATGCGGGTGATTACAATGCCTTGGTATATATAATTATAAACATTAATAATTGAAAGACGTACTAAAATTTGTAATACACACGAAGATGTCTGCGCATGTCTGTGAGTTACCTGGTGCAAAATATGGCAGTGAAATTTGTTGACCATTTAGTTCTACAGCTCCACCTCTCAAGAAAACTATGCTTGACTCATTGATGTAGAGATAAATTGTTTTGGTACAAGTGACTGTGCCATCATCACCACATGGAGTATTTTGTACCTCGATTGAAAAGTTGTTTGAACGACAGTCCCGAGCAAAAATATAACGACAATGACCCATTAAGGAATAAGATTTACCATCGAACGTTCTGTAATGAGGATCACCAGTTGCCGAACATATACCTAGAGTTCGAACGCATAGTTTTAGATATGTACGGTAATTGCTGAACTCAAGCAGAAAACAGAAAGTTCAAATAAGATTTCAATTTGGTCGCTTTCATACTCTTTAATCTTCTCGAGGGATAAGACAATGAACATGTAAAAGCGGAGACTCGTTTATTTATGTCATTTTTCAGAGCTCTTGAGTATACAACCGTGTCAATAAACTGTGTGGCAGTGAATACACGACGTTTCTTATCCTTTGTTAGAAATTAAAACGCTTATATTCCATGACTCCCGCCCCCAAAAAGAAAAATTGAAGCCGGAATTAGCAAATGATTTCGAAGTCAAAGTTAGATTTTGTTTTCACAAAACAACAAGACATTACTGACCTGGACAAACATTCATTGTACATGACCATAAACCTCCAACACATTCACTATAACATGAGTTTAATAGTTGTCAGAATGGTTAAATTTTAGTGGAACGTGAAATTTATTATTTAAACAAACCATTTGTTGCAATCATTCAAAATTGTCGATCCAGCTGGAAACAACTTCCTGTGATGTTTACATGGACAAAGTTTTGCTGCAACACATTTCGTTCCATCGTAAAAGGTACCATTTGGACATGTGCAACCATCAATACAGTTCGTATCACAAACGTAATTTAAATCTTTATGAGCACAAGTTCTTGGGCAAGCTGTTTCGCACTCGCTGAAATTCATTGTAGCTGGACAGGTCACCTCTGAAATGATAGGAATAATATTTAGGAAATTGTACGTTTTGATGGCAATAATTTTATGCTATCTTTTGGCTAAAATCTAGAAAGTTCTTTGCTTTAGTTTTCAATTGACGTTTCAAAGCTGCTATGAACGAACACAGTTCACCGATGTACGTTATATAAGCTTTGGTAAACATACCACAATTCAATTGCTTTCTCCAAGACAACTTAATTCCTTGTCTTGAGCAAGACCTCGAATACTGAGTCAAGACATCACAATTCGTCCATTTCATCTTCTTGCCAATGTACGTACACGCGTCATCTTGACACATCTTATTAAACATCATTGGATTAACAACCTTGTGACATTTGCTAAATATTTTCGAGCTTAACACGTGACAGCTTTTGCGAACATGTCTGTAATCTTTTCTTTTGAGTTTGGAGCAAGGCAGTGATCCTGGCTGCACGTCTTTGCAAGTGGCATTGTACTTAACCATTTTATAACTGTTGGCAAAGTCAATAGCGGACTCCACAAGTTGACCCGATAACTTTTTGAAGTCATCTAGCGGATAGTTGTTGAAGTTGCCGCACAAACCACATGTTTTGCCATGATAGTGTGAAGAGAGTTGAACGTAAACGCTGTTATAACCATCCCAGCGAATGTTAAGACCAGGAAAACCGTGAACAACGATGTAATTTGCAATTTTGTCGACGACTATTTTGTTGATAATGTAAGGCGCTTTCACAACTTTATGGTTTACAATGACGTGTTCGTCTTCATAAAGCTCAATCTTAAAAAATGAAGAAAGTCAAAGCTCAAGCGAATTCACGAGACATTTTTTAGTTACTTCAGAGTTTTTTTTTGAAATATTTCTGTATGTCCTATTTTCTAGAAGATCGTGCATGTTATCTTTTCTAAACTGTAGATGCGCTTGCCGATTTAAGCGATGTCATGATAATTCAAGACTGTAGTAGTTTTCTACTTGAGGAGTTGGCTTGACTTGCAAAAAATCGTTAACTGTTGAACCTTTTATCGTTTTCAACCATAATTTCCTAAACAAACATTCTCCACAGCCATTTACAGTCACAGAAATAGAACTTTATCTAGCTTACTTCAATGTTACCATTATCAAGATAGATGAAAACTCGTCGGTGACATTTACGACCTTTACGACAGTTAGTAGCGTTTGAAATATGGACGGCAAAAGTATTGTCTTTACAATCGGCAGCAAGAAGATATGTACAATGTCCAGGATAGTAGAAAAATCGACCATCAAATGTTTTGAAATGATAATGACCCCAAGTATAACACAAATCGTATTCATCTAGAATATTGAACAAACAACGATTTCAATGTTAGTACAGTGTTTTACATTCATCATTAGTTACTTATTCATACAAATTTAAAGACATTCATTTCAATGAAGTGAGCATTTAACAACAAAATACCAACTCAAACTACAGCACGTTGATATACTTAGACTTTAGAACGTTTAATACAGGACGAAAACTGTATTAAAACCATTTATTCTATATTCATTTCAATAAGTTATACTTATGCAAGCTTACTACCTCAATTATGGTTGATTCCACGAGCAGGCGGAAGGTTTTTCAAAACAGAACTGGAAGTTCGTATTGGAAAAATTTTACAACCTCTTTACGAAGCCAGATAGAATAACAATATTTAAAGGCAAAGATTTTCTAATTGCCAAAATTTTATTGATAATGTAACTAGACAATTTTAGACAAGATTAGTACATGCAGCAGTGCGAGTTGTGAGTTTCTTGATAGAGGTTGCTTGTCTGAAATTTCTTTTGGAATGTAATTCAATAATTGTGCCCCATTACACGAAAAGATTGATCAAAGACAAAAGAATACCTACCATATTGTGAGTAAAAATAATATCGTTTACTGGGAAAGGAGTAATCATTTTCATCTTCGGGAATTATTTCTGCTTCGTCCTTCAAACCATGAGGGGATCTTATTTCGCTGTCCAAGAGCTCCAGATCTTTGAGTCTTAAAGAAAACAATATCAAATATACTTGTAGCTAAAAGATAATTAACCAACTAGTAGCAGATCGTAATAAGATACAAGCCCTTACATATATATATATAGCTTTTGCACAACACAGAGAAAAGAACAGAATTACATCCAAAATTTTTACTTAGAGGGTTAACGTTAGTTTCGTCAACGAGGCGCAAAGATGGCGCTATAGCCATATGAAATTTGTCGACAGTTATTCAACGTACAATATGATGTACTTTACATAAGAGGTAAGAGTTCATGAAGTGTCGTTTACTTACTCTTGCAGTGTTTCTTGGTTCTCATTTGTAGCAAGAATGCATGCAATGAATGCAAACCACGCCACGACTTCAGCAACCAAGTTTCGCCGCTTTCGAGCCATCTTGTCGTTTTTGAATCCAATGGCAAATTAGTTGCATGGGCGTTGGCACTTCTTTATATAGGCTTGCGATACATGTTGGTGAATATCATGAACTTAATTAAAAAACAAAAAGAAACAATACTCTTTTGTGCTACCAAATAATTGCTCGTTTTCAAGTATGGCTCAAGGAAAAATTAGTATATTGTGTGTAAAAAATAGAAAGATTGTATGCAAGCAAAATGCATTCACTAATCACCACGTCGGTTCCGCTGTAAACAATGAAACGTTATGATATTTTTGTTAGATAGCTCACCATCATGGCAGACATGAAAACCACCTATAGGCAAGTATAAAAATGCAAAATATTAAAATTCAGTTGTGTGAAACGCATTTTTTATAATTATTTGCTATATAGCAAGTCTATTTAACACTTGCTTTTAGTCTTTGCCCGTTCAAATTAGGACAATAGATATTTTAGCTTTTGTATTTTCGTATCGAAGGTGAGAATATGCTGAGTAGATGCAAATTAGTCAAACTTAAAGCTACCTGGATTTGAGAAAATGGAAGCAAATGCTCTTTGAATTTGCAAGCTACCCGAATGATTGCATGCATAGTTCAGCTTATTTCATCACAAACCTTGAAGAAGTCAAGAGTTAAAAAGTAGAGATAAATAGAGACATAAATGGAAATAGCTATACTGTCGGGTTTTTTTCAAAAAAATTTTGGGCATTATTCCAATGGTTCTTCCTTCAGAATTAAGAAAGTTGAATAAATTGAGCGCCATCTTGGGGTGCAAAACCTTGGACGCTGATTGGTTACTGGCCGACATTAATTACTTAATACTATGCATAAATCACTGTTGCGTACGTGCGTATCCCATTGAGTTCTATAAGACCTGGAGGGGAAACGTCAACAAAATTACTATAAATTATCAGCGCGCGGCCGCGTGGTCAAAAACATGGCGGATTTTGGTTGTCAAAGTCAGCGGAAAGACGCGGGCTCATAAAATAAAATTTTTTTCGCCCACCCGGATTTGACAACCACAATTGCGATTATATAAAATTTCAATGCCAAGCACAAAAACTTTTAGAAATTTTATTTTTAAAACATGCTGCAAACTTGTTTGGTATACGGATGCTGAAGAAATGCCTGAAAAGGAAGCATTTCACGACACCGGTAAGCAACGTAAGATTGTTTACCATTTAAAGTGTTCAGTGTTATGTTTTAAGTCAATACTTGAAGTGTGATGGTATATATTTTGTTAATGTTTTTACTCCTAAGTTTTAATTTAAGTTATGTTTATTCAGTCCTATTTGTTCTTTACTTAATCGCTTGCTAGAAGAGGCAAAGCAACCAGTTCTTATCGAGATATGCATATCTTAAAACTCCTTGTTTCAACTGAGTTGAAATGGAGGATTTTTTCATGATATTTTTCTGAAAATATGAAGCAAATATTAAGGACAGAGCTGTATTGAAATCAAATGCAGTGCAGGATTAATTAATGAGCTCTTTGGTACATGTCGTACAATAAAAATGCCTGTATTAAACAGCTAGCCTGGACAATTTGACAGATAATGGACAATCATGATGATGGTGTGTAAAGGTTTGCTTTATGCTAAAAGTTTTATAAATGCCATCTGGTGTTTCTGTAAATGAATTGTTTATTACACAGTGTAGTAAACAGGTTAGTACATCAAAATCAAGATAAAAACTACTTTGTTCAATAATGTGCCAAATTTTGCTCCTACCTTGAAATATTTGCTCAAGAAAAGCTTATCATGACATGCATGAAGCATTAAATATAGTACTGCATCGTCTGACAAAATCCATACATTTTTCAATTCCAGGTGATTAAAAATTCACATAAGATGCATTGGTTGCAATGAAGTTGAATGTGGAAGAAGCGAAAATTGATGGCAAAGAACTTTTTATGTCTTTTGAAGAATTACAATATCATTTAAAAGAATAAGAGTAGCAATCTAGTAAAAGAAGCCACATCTGCCTTCAACATGAGACTTTTCCAATTATGTATAGTTACTTTGTACAAAATACTATTTTAGATAAACTTGATTTTTAAGTCATTCACTGATATTTTTACTAAAAGACAAAAAGAAAAATTCAAAGACATAATGTAAAATTCAAAAATTTGTCAAGTTGTTTGAACCTAGAAAAATTAGTATAGGTAACTGTAATTTGTAAGGACACAAGAGAAAAGTAGTGCAAGGTTAGCATTTTGAGAGTTAATAAGTTCTTGACATACATTACACAAGGCCATAATATTATAAATGTCTGTACAATAATTATACAACATGCTAAATATCTTCACCTACATTATAATTATTTAAACAGGTTTGCCTTCATGCAGCAATAAGAAAAGTGTTATGTCAGAGAAAACAATGCACTTTGATTTAAGAAATAGTATTTTCAATGGGAAATTAATGTAGTTCTGTTCAGTAGTAGATCCATGGTTGTCAATAACAATCCAGTTTCTAATATCCAGCAACATGATTATAGAATTTCTGAATTTCGTTCTTTGCTCTCCTAGTTCAAGATATTTTCCTCATCAGTTCTCAGTAGATTTATCAGAATATCATAATACTTTATAAGACACCCAGAATCAATCCTACCAAAAAACTCAAAAAATTACATACCTACTTATAATATATTTCCAGTCGACTAAAGTCGTAGGGTAAGCTAACTTTTCTAACTCCTTTTGGACGTTTTAACTAAGATTTACCCATCTATTCAAGAAAGACAGTTGCACCAAGCTGTTAACAAACAGTCAAAAACACAAGTAATGCGCATGGGATTATGCATTAAAGCTTAACAACAAATTGACAGTGTAAAGAATGCCGTTTGATATTTATTCATAGGCGTACGGGGGGGTGGGCTGGGGGGGCTGCAGCCCCCCCCAATTTCTCGAGAATTTGTGTATTCGGGCAAGCATTTACATGATATTCTGGCAAGATACTTACTACAGTTTTTAAATTTTCAATATTAATCTACATCATTTCTAGATCATAAACTGCTTCGGTTCTTGAGCGTGAACGGTCTTTTAATGGATGGTTTTTAAATTGTTTAAATTACTTAAATTTCAGGAGGTAAAATAAAAAATCGCGTAAAGTGATTGGGTGCAAAATTTTTCTTGAGACATAATAGGAGAATTTTACATCCGCTCCATTATAATATAAACAAATTACGTCACGAGAAATCGGTCTATTTACTAGCGATATTGCGACGAATATATTCGGTGTTTACAACTTTTAAACGAACACGAACGCCGATATTTTCAATCAGAGCAAAGCTTTTGGTATTAAATTTATCCACATAACGTTCTCCATTTATAAAAAAGGGCTGAGGTCAGTAAAAGTCTTGAAATGTCTTGAAATTGCGAAAAATCGTCTCCCCACACGCTATCCGTTATACATTAATATATAGATTAACAATCGCTGCGATTCCCAAAAGTGATTTTAATTTTGCATGAAAATTAGGCTTCGTATGGAGAGGCACTGTCCATTCCATTGATTAGATTAGTGCCATTCACTCTATGATTGTTGTTCAAGGAAACTATTATCCACAAGGGGAAAACATTTAGTAGCCAAGCTCTAATAAAGCGTACATATGGCGTCTCGTAAACGACCGTATCGACATCGCGTTTGGTGCGAGGAATGCAGCAAGGAAATTGACAGTGATTATAAGGAGGTCCACTTTCGACGAGTTCACAATAATGAAAAGTTAAGTGTCATCGAGTGATGGATTCATCGGATTTATCGCAGTCAAAGATCAGTGGTTTCTTTGTAAAAAGTAACATGACAACCAAGGATGATAACCTAACCTTACAGGAAACAGAATCGAGTGCTAGTAAAGATTTAGCAGCCACTGGGTCTTTTGAGGAAAATCTACCTGAGATTAATTTGAAGGAGCCCATAAGCGAAGACCAAACGGAACCAATGAGAACGTTTATTGATGTTGATGAATTAAATCCACTGACGCAGTTCAGAGAAAATAAAGAATTGAATACGGTCACGGATAATGAAAATCTTACTTCCAGTGACGCACTGTTCATCGAAGAATTTAACTTAAATCAAAATATACAACGCGTTGCAACACCAGAATCAACGACGACGTCTAACACTCTAGACACAACAGCAATACAAGATTTAGATTCAACAGCATCTGTTCTAAATGAACAGACTAGAAAGGTTTCCTTAACAGTATGAATGAAGAAGAGATTTCCACCTTGCACGCCCCAAAACAGCCTATATTAGGTGAATATCCTGCACGAAAATTCGGCAGTGAAACATTTGTGCGACGATTTCAGCCTGAATGGTACAAGAAATATCCATGGATTAGTTACGAAGTGGATAAAGATGCATGCGTTTGTTTTGCCTGTAAAGAATTTGGGAAGAATACTTCATTTGTGCTTACAAATTGGAAGAAGTCGTCAAAGCTGGCAAAACATGGCAAGAGTGAGAACCACGTCAGATCCATGACAAGATGGCTCCAGTTTAAAGCAATGGAAAGAAAGAAAACCTCCGTACTACAACAGCTGAATAGTGCACACCAGGACCAGGTTGCTATTAACAGACAATACTTAAAAGTAATCATACAATCTTTGATGTACACTGCACAACAAAATGTTGCAATTAGAGGTCATGAAGAGATTCGGGGTGATATATGGGAGATATCTGATATAAATAGAGGAAACTTTCTCGAGTTACTTTGCATAAGATGCAACGATTTGCCTTGGCTGAAATCTAAACTTCAAAGCCAGCTGCAGACACATGCTCAGTGGACATCCCCTGCTATTCAAAATGAACTACTGGAAATAGTAGCAAGTGTCATGCTTGAGAGGATAGCAGAAGAAGCAAGAAGTAGCGACTACTACGGAATAGTTGTCGATGAAACGGCAGACATCAGTCGAACAGAGCAATTATCTCTTTTCCTCAGATATGTTTTCAATGGCGAAACCAAAGAGACATTCACTGGTTTCTATTCAACCAAATCTACGGAAGGAGAAGTATTGTATGAGCTGTTAAAGACAGCCATTGGCAGGCTAGAGTTGACATTGGAAAACATTGTCGCAGAATGCTTTGATGGCGCTGCAAATATGAGTGGCCCTCGCAAAGGACTTGCTGCACGCATGAAGGAGTGCTCACCTCTTAGCATCTATGTTCACTGCCATGGGCATCGGCTTAACTTGGCGCTACAAGATACGATGACTACAATTGAGCCACTTCAGAAAGCTTTAGGTGTGATCCAGAGTCTCCATAATTTCTTGGAAGGAAGTCCCAAACGCCACTCCATCTTCAATGACATCAAGGTCGAAGATGAGGACGAAGATATTACACTGACTATTAAATCGCAGAGTGCTACTAGATGGTCTTGTCGTTGGGCAGCTGTAAAAGCAGTAGTAAACCAATTACCTAAGATCATCGAGGTTCTCCTTACACTCTCAAAAGATCGCGATCCGAAGACCTACAATGACAGCAATTCGCTACTTAACTCGATTTGCGACTTTCGGTTCGTTTTTGGTTTGATGGTATTAAAGGTTATTTTATCTAACACCGATGGTTTGAGCAGGTACCTACAAGGAAAGCAAATGGATGTCGCCACAGCAAAGAAGAGTGTTGATGGCGTGATTAAGACATTAATTGGATGTCGTTCCCTCGAAAATTTCGAACTGTTATGGTCACGGGCTGAAATCATAGCACACAAAATTAAGGAGCAAATTGAAGGTACAGAATTCAATTTCAAAGATGCAAAAGTACCAAGATTCCAACAGCCGTCACGGCGGCTCCAAGCTCTCGTCGGTGAAATGGCTGAAGTAAATGCAGAAGTGGAAAATCGAACAGAAAAAGATTACTATCGTATCACATGCTACTACCTAAGCATTGACAAGATTGTGGCGGAGATGAAATCAAGATTTGAAGGTAGTGATCAAGAGGTCCTATTGGCACTTGCAGATATTGTGTTCAACAGGTCTCCAACCACGGCGAATGTTGAGTTGGTATCACACTTCTATGGTATCGACAGTGAGCTTCTTAGTAGCGAGAAAAATGTCTTTGAGAATATTGACGTTGATTTCCCTTGTGCTGAGAGAAAACGCTGCCAAAATTGTTAAGAGAATGTTCGAAAATGGTGTTCATGAAGTCCTGCCTGTGGCTTACAAAGTATTTTCGATTCTGGCCGCGATCCCGGCAACATCCTGCTCAGCAGAAAGATCTTTTAGCGCTCTTCGTCGCTTAAAACCTATCTTCGAAGTACAATTGGTCAAAACGGTTAAACAGCATTGCCCTAATCAATGTGGAAAGAGCCTATGCAAATAGTACTTTAAAGAACGACATGGAAAAGATAATTAACATTTTGGACAGCGACGTAATCGTAAATCTTATTTCTTTTAGTCTTAGATCGTCGCACATTTAACTAACTAAATTTCTTCTGCGTCTAGTGTTATATATGACAAAATTTCAAATATCAAATAAAATGTAGTTACTTTCGTAGCATCCTCTTAGCAAATTGTAATGATTTTAGCTTATTAATTGAGATGGCCAGAGACAACATAAGAATATCTATGACGTCATACGTCATATGACGTCATATAATTCGGGCAAATTTAGTCCAGCTCCCCCTAAAAATATGTGCCCGTACGCCTATGTATTTATTTCTGATATAGCTAAAGCATTACTTGACAAAATATACGTTATTTTACAGTAGATTTACCTCATTTAATTGTGTGTGTCTATTTCACAAAAATCTGAAGCGTGATTTTCAATATTTTATGCTTACGGTATCGTGGTTGTTTTCGCTGGTTGTCATAATATAAGCAGGAATAGAGATCCGGATTCGGGAGGGAGCGAATGTTAAAAATTTTTCTCAAAGTGGAAGTTTTGACAACCAAAATCCGCCATTACCGCCATGTTTTTGACCACGGGGTCCAGGCCCCTTTGCCCCTCCAGGTCTTTTAGAGCTCAATGGCGTATCCACTCTCCGTATCTCATTAAAAAACTATGAAAAAAACACGGCAGCAATTAAACTCCGACAATTTTGACGGTAACCAGACGTAAGTCCATTGATATAAAAATGACGTAATGTATTATTATTTTAATCAAAAAGCAGACTATGGCTTCATTTTTTTCATCAAACCCATATTCCACGCCCGTGGGTCAGAGAATTGGTAGGTTCTATGGTATTTTTATAGCGATACTTGTCTTCTTTGTTACGTACTTATGTCGCGAGTCATATTTTTGAGTAGCCTTGACTACTTCTGAAAATTTGTGATGGACATAAGAAAAGTCGATATACTATTCACAGGCACATGACGTTTCATAGTTCATGATGTATTTTTGTTTGTGATCTTGTTGAATAGAACGAGCAACAGATGAAAAATTGGCGTCCGAGGATTGGGCATTGAACATTGAAATATGCGATATAATCAACGAAAGCGACGAAGGGTTTGTAAAAAAGCTTCGTACAATCTGACGTTATTTACATTTTTTTGATTGAACATTAATGAGTTCATTGACTTTTGTTTTGTTTTGGTATGTGTGCCATAGTGAGTAGAACTTGCAGCAAATATATTTGTTTCTCATATCAGACCGAAAGATGCTATCAAAGCAATAAGAAAACGACTTTCTACACCAAAAGACTTCAAAGTGATCAATTTCACCTTGACAGTGAGTGGCGTTACATATGTTATACAAACAAGTTTCAATTCTTTGCTCTTAATTAGAAAAATGAATGAAATTGTATGTTCAATTGAGTTTGCTTAGAACAGCACTATTTCTGAAATCATTGCAGTTACCTTTCATTTTCATCTCCCAGTAGTTCTTAGAATCATGTTTTTAAATGAGTTTGTTTAGAAATTACAACAATGGTATGTATGATAATATGACATGTTTGTAAATGTAGATCATCCAGGCTGGTATAGTCCTGAGAAGGACTGTTTTTGTTGTTGTTGACTGACATTTCGACGGACTGTTTTTGTTGTTGTTGACTGACGTTTCGACAACTATAGCGGTAGTCATCTTCAGAGTCCAAAAATTCATTTTCATCTTAATTTTTTTAAACATTCAAAGCATTCATTTTTAAAACAGTCTTCTCAGGACTATACCAACCTGGACTATCTACATTTACAAACATATAACAATACTCTCGGGTTCAAACCATTTACTTTATTATGATAATATTGTTACTCACTAAGTACATTTCATCAATAACCAATCTCACTCCCATGACATTACTTTGTAAAACTATGATTGCGGAAATGTTTTAGTTGCTGCTTCACACGATGTCAACATTGGCGTAAATTAAATGTTTTTGTGTTTTTTGATGAACGCTTTATGGTGATTTTTATTCAAACTAAAAATTTGGAATTGTTAGTAATACTGCCCGTACAGATGTTGTGTAAGGTTGTATTACTTGTAATACAATCTTTGAATTTGATTAGTGAATTCCAATTAGGTAAACACAAGAATAGTACAAATTGAGGCGACCATGGTAACAATATAATCATCATTTAAATTTAGGTCTTGGAAACATGCGTCAAAAACTGTAATAAAAGATTTCATATATGTGTTTGTAATAAAGATTTTTTATCTGAGATGACGAAGCTCTTGCAACCCAAGGTATACGGAGAATATTTTTGAAAGTTTCAATTGCTTCCATGTTTCAAATTAGCAATCTTCAGTGCAAATGAATACATTATTTACTGTATGGAATATATTATATTAAAGAAATAAAATATGTTTACCGTGTTTGCACAAGCTTATGCAAATTGAGGAGACATTTGGGAGAACTTAAGAGTAGATCAGTGCATGCCTGAGACTGCAGTTCAAGGGTTGCACCTGCTTTGGAATTATGTCATAAAAATTTCTTTTTGTCCTTTTTATAGTACAATGCACCTGTAGTTATTCAAGACAAAGTTCTTGCTCTTATCCAAACCTGGGCGGATGCCTTCAGGGGAAAACCTGATCTTATTGCTGTTGTAAATGTTTACGAGTTGCTGAAATCACAAGGTTTCCCAAATAAAATACAGTTCATTTTCCTTATTGTGACCAAGTTACTATCTCATGTTGATGATCTAAATAGATTCGCATATTTACGTAAAAGCACAATTGAAATAATAAGTTGAATATATAAAACAAACTTTTTTATTACAGTAATGTTTCGGCAAACTTATGCCATCATCAGTGCAAATGAATGTGTTACAGAATGTAATTCTTAAATAGATTATAAATATTTGTAACACTATCCTCATTTCAATTAACTGCATGTCTGTAACTGCAAGTTTATCTCTATTTATATATTTAAGTATCACATTCTGTAGCACATTCATTTGCATCGATGATGGCATAAGTTTGCCGAAACATGTTTGTAATAAAAAAGTTTGTTTTATATATTCGGTTTATTATTTCAAAATGAATGCACAAAAATTTGCAAGGGTGTGTTTTCGATGGTGGCTATGTCACTTGCTAAAGAAGTATTTCAATGATTATATACGTATATATTGTTTATGCCTAGTCATTTTCTAGTTTATACTGCATTGCCATAATGCTAAATACACAATTGTCATTTTTTTAGGTATACAATTTCCAGCACAGAACCTTGATACATTTTCACCTATCTACACACCAGAAAGGGTAAGGCAACTGATTATTAGTTTTTACTAGTATTAAATACAATGTAAGTGAGCATTTACATTTATAACTCGACCGTTCAATAAAGTAAATGGTTTGAGCCCGGGAGTATCGTTACATGTTTGTAAATGTAGATCGTCCAGGTTGGTATAGTCCTGAGAAGGACTGTTTTTGTTGTTGTTGACTGACGTTTCGACCACCGCTGCAAGGATTTTGGTCTCGTTCCGGCAGGACTTAGAATTAAGTCCCCGTTGAACACACAAGATGCTATTCAGATTGTCAAATCCACCAGCAGACGACTGATACGAGCACGGATTAACGACTGTCACAAACGAATCAACTATTACATCAAACAACAAGACTAATTCACAATGACAATACACAATTGACACCCACACATTTCCTGTACACACAATACAAAGACGTAAGAACCAGATAACAAGTACGGCTAACCTGACGTTTACTCCTCATTTGACTCTGAAGATGACTACCGCTAAAGTTGTCGAAACGTCAGTCAACAACAACAAAAACAGTCCTTCTCAGGACTATACCAACCTGGACGATCTACATTTACAAACATGTATCGACCATTCAATCTTACATAAGCTCATTGTTATCAATGCTAAATATAAAATGAGAAGTTCAAAGTTTGAGCATACAATTTTAGAAAGACTAGACAGACACTGAAGTGCAATAGTTTTGTTTTCAAAATGCAGTTAGCCAAATCTTTTTTGTGTTACACCAATAAATGCCCCATATCAAATAAATGTCTTGTATCTAATAAAGACACTATCAAAGCGTGAGTTTGTTTTAGAATTTGGATACATTTGTCTAATAAACATCTGCCCACCTGGGACGCTACATAACCACTTTGATAATAACATTGCAGTAGGTCGTTGTTTGGGCTCTAAAACTATATAATTTAGTCTTAGTTTTGTTTTTGTTTATTCACACTTAAAATAAATAAAAGTGCTACAAATGTTTGTCTCTGACATGTTGTGTTTATAACCCCCCCCCCCTTTCTTTTGCTCCCTCAGAACTGTTAAAATGTCTGGGCATTTATCAGATCATTTCAAGTAAATATTCTTTCCGCTGCATGAATTTTCATTTCCCTAAAACAGTAAGATTGGAAACTTTGCCCATTCTATTGCAAACTTTTTATTGAAACATTTCCATATTACAGTCTGTTCCCGAGGAAAGAGAACGAAGTCCGACTCACATATATATGGTAATTTAAATGATCTCGTTTGAGTTTGTCTTCAAGCTGATGACATACAGGATGTATCAAAAGAAAAGAGATCTTCTCAAATTAGCCTATTGTAAGATTTCAGTGCTTGATCACGAGGGAGAGAGCTAGAACTCTTATTGGGGTAACTGACATGATTTCTTTTGAAAGCCAAGTCACTTGCTATAGAAATCAGGCAGTAAATTAATTAATTAAAAAAGATAATATACGCACATACGTAGCTGACAGTCATTTATGCAACCGTGGGCAACATAGTGATTGGTGTTGAAATTATCACAATAGGCCAATTTCTAAAGGTCTTCTTTACCCTGTACTATACGCGAAGTCAACTTCATATCCGATCTCCAACAAATACATCGGCCATAGCCTAGTTTTATAAGATTAAGGATTATGAATCTATCACGCGTATTTGTAGAACACTACATTATCACCCAAACTTATAAATAGAATACTTCAAATATCGTATGTAATCAGTGCTGTAGAACTAAATTTATCAGATGGGGGGCTCTCTTGACGTTTTAGTCAATAGTACCCTTTTAAAATTACCCATTTCAAAGGTAGAAGGGGCTCCTCCCAAGCGCCTCCACTTCTACAGCACTGTATGTAATGAAAACTGTTCTAAATGAAAACATATCTATCTAATGTCCTGCAATAATGGTTTGTATGATATGTAATTTTATCGCGATTTTAGCCTGCCGTTACAACTACTGCCCCACCACCAAGCAGACCACCTCAACCATCACCTCAGGCTGGATGGTCCAGAACAATATCGCCGGAGAAATTAGCCAAGTTGCGTTCGCAGTTGGATGTTGTTCAGGGCAACATACAAGTTATGTCAGAGATGTTGCTGAACGCCAGTCCGGGTCAGGAAAGTCCCGATGATGAGCAACTGCTTAAAGTGAGTTTAGCTCGTTACTTAATTTTATAAAATGACATCAATACCTCGCGTGCGCTGATTGGTCTATAGCTGAGTTTGTAGTGGCCTATGCAAAACGATCTGAGCTCAATGAATCCACCTTTCCGACATTAAACACACGTAAAATTTTATGGTTCAATTTAGACGATACAAAAGGCTTTGCTTAAATGTTATCTTTGTAAAAACTATTATAAAAATAGATAATTCCGTTTTGGGATTATGAATGGGCTTCCCCATCCATGGGCCAAGCATGCTTTCGTTCATGATGAGAGAGTTTTATTGTATAAGGAGGCTCTCGTTCATCACGAGAGAGTTATGAGAAAGTTACATTGTAAAAGGTAACAAGTAAAAAGCGTATAAACATGCTTAGAGTTGGCTTAAATTATACGTCAAAAAGGCTGAAGTTGTTTGAACTTTTGCAGTATCCTTGGATGTTCTAGTTTCTTTTATGAGAAGAATTCTTGTAAAGAAAAAAGGCAAAATTTGAAAACAAAAAATTCCCTTTTCGGTCCATGTTTTCAGATACATAGTTGAGCACTAGAGCGTCCCATGTTAATTAAGGAAACCAGATAATCCTTGTTTGCCATAAAGCCCATGGATGGTTTGCTCGTGATACATGAGAAACAGTAAATGATAGAGTTTAAAGCAGAAAGATATAAACCAATAAAAATTGTATAAAATATGTTTAAGGTTGCCTTAAAAGTGTCAGAAAAAGGCACAGTGTCTGAAGAAGTTACTTGAAACATTGCTTGGTTTATTTTATCAGAAGAACTCTTGTAAACAAAAAGATAAAATTCGAAAGCAAAAAACCCCGTTTTCGGGCCATGCTTCCCGATACCTTCTTAAGCGCAAGGCACTAGAACGCCGCATGTGAACGTTTTATCTGAAAATTTGTGACTGAGGGAGCTATTTACTCCACAATCATTACTAGTACATCCAGTTGCTCGTTGCATGACCATGACATGCTCAGATTAATTCTCCATTAATTTGTGACAGAGCGAGCTCTGAAATTGGTGCTTGTAAATGCGCTGAGCAAGTTTTCAATCATATATTTTTGGAATGCTCTTTGTCTTCTTAAGCTTGTTTTGACAAATGCATATCAAACTCATCAACACTTTGCTACGGCACTCGTAATATCTGCGACAATGTTAGAGATGTTTTTATTTTTCTCTATAACTTTGTATCTGCTTATTGCATGTCATATCCAAGCTTTCCTTTGATTTGACGGGAAATGGCTTTTATCTACTCTTACAACATCTGCCTTTATAATCAGTCGTTATGTATTTCTATAATAAGATTTACAAATGCCCCAAGAGCATCTTCTTTCTATTTTATTGCCACTATTCTACATATACAATACTATGACCAATCATAAACCATCATCATATAAACCAATCATAAACCATCATAATATAAACTTGAATCGTTTATTTTAAATTTGTCTGTTTTGCATTACTGTTTTTTCATAAAAGAAATAAAAGATGTTTTTCGTGTTTGCACTGGCTTATGCAAACACAGTAAACATCTTTTATTTCTTAAAGGTGCCATTATGAACTGCATCATTGCCATTCGTAATTTGGTAACAATTTCAAATAAGCTCTCCAAATATCTTGTGTTTCCCATATTCGTTCCCAGGCTTCCTATGAGAGAGACGAATCATCGCGCTCTACATATAGACTGTGATTTCATGCATTATAATTTCAGTCCTTGTTCAGCAAAATCGTTTATTAGTCAATTAATTTTCCCTAAAAAAGTTACTCCTAAAACCCAGACCTCCGCCTGTTCCAAGAAAATCCCCCAAATGCGCGATGATTACTACTCCTAAAACCCAGACCTCCACCTGTTGTAAGAAAATCCCCCAAATGCGAGATGATTACTACTCCTAAAACCCAGACCTCCACCTGTTCCCAGAAAGTCCCCCAAATGCGCGATGATTCCTTTTTAAAATAGAAATGCCAAAACAATCTCCGCTGCTTTGCAAAACTGGTAAACTGTTTTGCTTCTTGTTGTAATAACTTGTCTTGTTTTGGTTGGGAGATTGGAGACGAGTATGACGTCTTTTACGAGTTCAATTCTTTCACGTCTTTCAGGAGTTGAACAGTACTTGTCGTGCAATGCAGACGCGCATCGTACAATTACTCAATCAAGTTGGTAACGAAGAAGTGACGGAGGAACTTTTGCGTGTCAACGACGATCTGAACAACGTGTTTATAAGATACGATAGATATGAAAGAAATAAGCAAGGGATGGCTCAGTCCAGACCCCCACCTGTTTCTGTACCGTCGCCACAGGTAGACCATGTCTATGATGTTTGTGTAGTTTCAAATTTTCTCGGCTCTCTTTATATCTTTTAAGTGTCTCTATATGCTTAAGTTTTTGTGTCTTTCGTGTAGCTAATATCGGCTTTTAGCAATAGGTCTTAGGAATACTGCTTTCCATGGTGGAGTGAAAGCGTGGCATAGCCGACCCGCTGGTTTGATAGTACTATTAAAATTTTTCGATTATCGCTCAATCTGAAAACGATATCATTGCAGAGAAATAAATACTAATAATCTGAAGTTTACATCTCACCACCAAACTTGTGGGCTGCCAACGCCACTAGAGTGAAAGCTTTATTTTATTGTGATATAAACCATGTATTTGCTGACAATAGAGGTGTCACTCTCCTCATGCCTTTTGTTAGCTGCGCATCTTCAGATTGTACCAGTCGCTAAGTTTTTCAACGTATGTTGTAACTTATGCTTTGAAATTTATATTATGTTTGAGATGCTTGCCTTTGGCTATAAGTAATATTATTTCTTTTATTATCTTTATCGTATAAGCAATTGACATCGTTTATTAATGAATTTTGTTGTTTTTAGGAACTCGGTGGTGGATCATCTACCACAGAAACTGGGTTGGTTCTTTTTATATCCTTTTTCAGTTAATATGTTTATGCCAAGATCTATGATTTGTGTTGGTGTTAGTGTTGGTGTTGGTGTTGGTGTTGGTGCTCGTGTTCGTGTTCGTGTTCGTGTTCGTGTTCGTGTTCGTGTTGGTGTTGGTGTTGGTGTTAGTGTTAGTCTTAGTGTTGGTGTTGGTGTTGGTGTTGGTGTTGGTGTTGGTGTTGGTGTTGGTGTTAGTGTTAGTCTTAGTGTTGGTGTTGGTGTTGGTGTTGGTGTTGGTGTTGGTGTTGGTGTTGGTGTTAGTCTTAGTGTTAGTGTTGGTGTTAGTCTTAGTGTTGGTGTTAGTCTTAGTATTGGTGTTAATCTTAGTGTTGGTGTTAGTGTTGGTGTTAGTGTTGGTGTTAGTCTTAGTGTTGATGTTAGTCTTAGTGTTGGTGTTTGTGTTAGTCTTAGTGTTTGTGTTTGTGTTGGTGTTTGTCTTATTGTTGGTGCTAGTGTTGGTATTAGTGTTAGTCTTAGTGTTGGTGTTAGTTTTAGTGTTTGTGTTTGTGTTGGTGTTAGTCTTATTGTTGGTGCTAGTGTTGGTGTTAGTGTTAGTCTTAGTGTTGGTGTTAGTTTTAGTGTTGGTGTTAGTGTTGGTATTAGTGTTAGTCTTAGTGTTGGTGTTAGTCTTAGTGTTGGTGTTAGTCTTAGTGTTGGTGTTAGTGTTGATGTTAGTCTTAGGGCTAGTGTTATTGTTGGAAGTTGGTAAAAAAGTTTGTGGTGTGTATGCAGTAAGAGCCTGCAAGTGCTACGCGTTTTTATTTCAGCAGTTTCATCAAATAAATGAGTCAGCTCCACGTGTTCTTCATACATTACCCATCATCCTTTCTGTGTCATAGAACCAGCCAAGCGTTAATCGACTTTGGCGATGATGATGTAGAAACACAACCAAACTCTTCTCGAGAAATGAGCGAAAGAATGGCTCAAGATTTCGGAAATATGAGTACGTTTAACGAATGTGATTTTGTATATTCATACAGAATGTTTTTAGTTAAAGTCAACTGCGCATGTCATTAAATGCTACTCGGCTGATGTAAGCAACACGAGTTTCAACATTTTGCAACCATATTGTAATATAGCCCCTCTAAAAACTCTGGTACTTCCCACTATAATTCAACATTTTGCAGCCATATTGTAATATAGCCCCTATAAAAACTCTGGTACTTCCCACTATAATTCAACATTTTGCAGCCATATTGTAATATAGCCCCTCTAAAAACTCTGGTACTTCCCACTATAATTCAAAAACGACGTACGTTGTGTAGACCGTCAGTGTGATATAGTATTATCATGGACTGGACATTTGTACAGTAAGACTGTGTGAAACTTACTTATTTCAACATACTACCAGTCTGTATCTTCCCTGTCAAATGAGCTTAAATCTGCCTCAGTTTTCTGAGTGGATTATGGGAGGGCGCAGAGGGACTTCCGAAACTTTGTCTTTGAAAAACATGATTTTAGTCTTAAACTTCGACGGAGATTAAACCATCAGGCTGTTGAAATATATTCACTTTTGTTCTTCTGACCGGGAACCTTCTGTTGTTTCATGTTATTGTATGTGCCTTTGTAACGGCAGTTGGAATTTCTTTTTTCAGCTGTTTCAAATGGAAATAATGACGACGAATTTGATATGTTTGCACAGACGAGGCAAAACACCTTTGAAGACAGCAGGAAAACGTCCGTCAAGTTATTTGTGATAGATTAAGTTCTCCTTTATTTCGACAGTATTTAATCAGAAATCATTAATTTCTTATTCTTTCTCATTAAAGCGGTTCAACGTACGAAGACAACACATCAGCGTTACCAGACCGCACGTTGGCTAGCACCCTTCAAGATCAAAACTCCAAATCAAAAGTACGTATCTTTTGTTTTTGTATTTTTGTGTATTAAACCCCTATTGTTTGTTTTAGTATCCTGCCAAGGCGAAATAATTGAATACTGTCAAGCAAAAGCAAATGCTCTGAGGGGGGAGGTGTGCTGTATTACCACCCTCAAAAAGTAATTTCCAGCACTCCCCAGAAGAAGAGCAAATGCTCTGGGGAAGGAGGTGTGCTGTATTACCACCCTCAAAAAGTAATTTCCAGCACTCCCCAGAAGAAGAGCAAATGCTCCGGGGGGGGGAAGGAGGTGTGCTGTATTACCACCCTCAAAAAGTAATTTCCAGCACTCCCCAGAAGAAGAGCAAATGCTCCGAGGGGGGGATGGAGGGAGGTGTGCTGTATTACCACCCTCTAAAAGTAACTTCCAGCACCCCCCTGAATAACTCCTAAATGACGTGCGTAGTATTGGTTATTTTTATAAAATTACTGTAGACTAAAAAGTTGTATTGTAAGACAGAGTCGTAGTGCAACTTACCTACAGCTTGCATACATTACATCCCCGAGCCCGCGCACAGGACTTTGCTTTGGCACACCAATGCACCCCCACTCTAGGAAAATCTCCACCCCTCCTGTCGATTGGGCATATATTCACTCCTGCTATCCAATTTCATCTTGCTTATTTCCTTTTTAATATTTTTCTATTTAGCCGAACGAAACCAGGTGAGAATGGTAAAATGTTTCTTATATCTTTAAGTCTTTAAATGCACTTATTATACAATGATGTGCAATCTTCATTGTAATTGGCTGAGAGCCTATACAACGATGTGCAATCTTCATTGTAATTGGCTGAGAGCCTACAGATAATTCTCGATATCTTGCGACAAAACATTGAAAATTATCTGTAGGTGACGTAATTTTTGATGTGACAACTGACGTCGCAAAATATATTATGGAAAAATTTTCTAGAATTGCAAATAAGGACGAATGAAAAGGCGGAAAAGGTTTCACTGTTAGTCAGGAGAGTTTTCAATTAGTATTTACGTGGAAAAGACGAAAGCGAACTGCTAAAATTGTTTTTATGATGAGCACGAATTACTTTATTGGCATTCGTACAAAATAGTTTGAAAGTTTCTGCATTTATAATTGTACAATAAAACATTTATGAATTCGGTTTTTTTGACATCTCCGTCAATATCATCCGGTTCAGCCTCCCTCTGGCAGATAACAGATTGACCTCGGTCTGATTAACTCTTGATATCATGCTCAATCTCATCCAATATTTGTTCGCTATTTGTGGGTGTGATGGAATATTTACAAATGTAAAAACCTATTTCAATTTTTGTAGTTCCATCGAAGGTATCGAAGATTGGTTAATTCAATCCGATCTAGTAAGTATATGCATGTGAAGATTTTTACTTAAAACGCATCGCATCGCTTTGTTATTTTTGACTATCTCTTTCAAACAGCCGTCTCAAGAACCCACCGGCAAAGAAACATCGATGACCAGCACAGGTATGCTGATATAAAACCAAAATAAAGGCCTGGGAACGAGTCAACAGCTCCAACCATAACGTATCAAGTGGGGAGCTGTGCGCTTGTACACCTTGATTACAAACAACTTGTTTTATAGAATTCGACGATTTTCTCCAACAACGGGCAGTGTCTGGTGGCTCACGACAAAGTACTAAAAGATCTGATCATCCTGTCAAGAAAGACGTCGATGATTCCGATGAAATGTTCGGATTATGAATAACATGATTATCGGATAACGGATATTGATTACATAATCATAGGATAATGGTGAAAATTTTTGTGTATAAATTGTTCCTATGTAATGCATTGTATTAATCGTTTTGATTGCATTTAATAAAATGCGTGCAATTGAATTTTTTGTGTACTTTGGCATTTTACAAGCGAAAGCATGGGCCTCCGGCCAACATTTTTCATGAGGGGGGGGTCGGTACTTTATCAATCCTAGTTGTGCTAAATTACACAACTTACGAGCGGCTAATGCCGACTGCTTTTGTCTGCTCAAGATTTTGGGGGGCTGTCTCCCCCCGCTCGGTACGACTATTAGCGAAAGTTATACGCAGATTTGTCAGATTCAGCCTTCATTTTTTTTCGATGCGCGGTTTGGATTGAAGGGGAATGAGTTTGAGTCAATTTAACCAATCATGTTAGCGTATTATTAAGTCCTTTTTCAAAATTTAAGATGGCCGATGGATGAGGAGTGAACCGAAGACGATGTTTTTGTTGAAATATTTAGCTATATATTTGGAGAAATGCATCGTTAAATTCGCATAAAAGTAATGAGCGAGGAAGAAGATCGATCTGAGGACTTGGGTAAGCTACAAAAAAGCTTTCATTCGTGTTTTTTTTTTGTCGAAAAATGTTTGAATAATTTGTTTAAATAATATACGCTTCGTTCGTATAGGTTTTGTATTCATCGCCAACGATATTCTACGGAAATGTAGGATAGAAGGCGATGTTCAGTCGCTAAAAGAGTGCGCTGATTCGTATTTTGTTGCTGTTTACGAGGGAATTCTTGGTGAAAAGATTACAGGTCTTTGATTTGATTTTGCAATCATTGATTGTATTCATGTATATATATAATCTAGAATTCACTATTTTTAATTTTTTTATGCTTTTCTCTGCATATATTGACGCCGTAGATCTTATGCTTTCTCTTCAAATGTTCAGTAATATTTTTTCAATCAAAATATGCGATGATTTCTGTAGGAATCGTAGAAAATGCCGTTTCGCGTGAACAGAGGATAGACAACTGTGACAGAGTCATTCTAACTTTGTCCCACGATGTCCTTAACGTGGACCTTTCACACATAACTGGTGAAAACATTGTGAATGGAGACGAAACTACAATTCAAAACCTTTTGGAAATCTTCAAGGAATTGTTAGACTTTATTCTTGATGTTGATGATGAAGTAGATTCAGGTTTGTGCGGTGTTTGCGCCATTTTAAGGATATAGGAGAGAGGGTGACCGCAAGTTTATCACTAGTCTTTATATTAAATGTTTTGAAAAAGCTGTTGCTAATTGCTGCTGTTGTACTTTAGGTGAACACTATTTTCTTAAAAAACATCCAAAACAGTGGGTTAAGTTTCATTCATCTATGGACTCCAACTTTTAAAATTTAATGCTTGGTAATGTTATCCCTGTGAGATTAAGCCCTGGTAGAAATGTCCTACACTCCCTGTACTATTGAGCAGAGAAGTTGCTGTTGAAAAAAAGTGAACTGAGTTTTTTTGATGATTTGCTTTGTTTTCATACGTTTTGCTGGCTGGCATATTTATCCAAAGAGAGGTTAACATTTGTTGCTCGTTTTGTCTAAAAGCACTCGACCAAGTGTGCCTGCCCACAAAACGTAAACAAGCAAATTCATCTATGCATAAGTTTTATTTATTCATTTTTTAATGAAGAATGTTGTATGAAAATCAAATTTCTTACTTTAAACATCAACACACAATGTGTTGTTTGCAACCTTTAGTATTCCTCAGCAACACTGGCCCGGTTTTGAAACTCAGACTAAATTATCAATTTATATATGCTCATTGTTATCTTATTTAGAGAAAAATGACTCAAATGTTCTATCCTCTGATCATGAAATCATTTCTCATGTGTTATTGGAGGAATTGGGTAAAGATACGGAAAATCCATTGCCATCAATTATACATTGTGCTGAATCATCATCAACAGATAACTCAGTGATTAAAGAGCCTGAATTGTCCTCGGTAGGTTGACGTGAAAGATGTGCAGTACTTCATGTCTTACTACATAAAGTATTTCTTATAGTATTCAACTTATACTCGATACATGCACTGTCTTTCACAGATTCCTAAATGTAGTGACCTTCGTTGTTTACAAGGTTCGGATTTTGAAAAAAATGCCACATATGAAATCAATATTGAGAAAAAACTGCCAGAGAGGCAGTTGCCAAGGTAACATGAAACAATTTCATATCTACGTACCTTGTCAGAAACCTCTTTAGTTGATTTTTGTTGAACTAAAAATGATGGCTATCTCGGTGAAAACCCTGTGTGGGCTCATCTTAAGGATCCTAACAGTATCTTCTCTAAGACCTGTAAAGTCTTTGATTTATGTCATCAAGCCTTGAGGAAACTGTGGGACCTTACAGGATCATACTCTCGGGAATTTCACCTTGGTAATCACTATAGAAATGTAAGGTTAGCTTCGGCTCAATCAAGAAATAAAAATGAAGCTGAATTTTGTTGAGAACTTCATACATTTCAATGTGATGATGATTAAACAACATCACGTGACATAATCACGTGATCTCTTTGATATTAAAATCTTCTATTATGTTTGGTTTTTGCGCACACAACGTAATCGGGGCAAGCTATAAAAAGTGTTTGATGTTGACTTTGAAGATGACCAACGCTAAGGTTGTCGAAACGTTAGTCAACATCAACAACAACAGTCCTTCTCAGGATTCTACTAATCTGAACGATCTACATCCACAAACATCTAACCACACTCCCGGGTTCAAACCATTTACTTTACTGTAATAAGTGTGTCTTTATTTTTCGAAATATGTTTTGCCTAAATATTCCTAACGACTTTCTCTCAGTCTCCAGTGAATATGGCGATCTATGTCGTAGCTGGCTTGTTTATTTCGTCATATTATGCAATTTTCCACCATCACTTCCTATGAAAACAAAAGATTTACAAAGAAATGAATTAATGATAACGCTTTGAAATTTATATAGCAGGACTAAAACCTGCTGTCTTGTTACGTTGTTTGGGATCATCTTGTTCATTATGTATAATAAACTGTTTTTTTTTGAGAATTGAGAATCGCGGCCAAGAAAGTTTTATATGATGAAAATTTTTCATGTTTCTAGGTCGGGAATGAATATATCAAAATCAAACGAAAGATTCAACAATGATGATTTTGAAGACGATGTAAACGAACGAGACGAACATAAGAGTGGTTTTACAGATCTTGCTAACGTGGGTACATCTGTGGATTCTGTTGTACCTAAAAGACTTAATGGGATATCAGAGTCCGTAGATAACTTTACTGATGCCCTCAAGTCAGTGAAATTGAATAGTAAAGTCACGTCAACGGGAAATTTTAAAGGAAAACATGGTAATGAAGAGAAAAGTTGTGTTCATAAGGAACAATATGGCAAGAAAACCCAATGTTCTGCATCCAAAAAGTTTCTGCATGATTCAGAACGATTGTCAAGCAAAGAAACTATTACAATTCCCACTGGATCTGAACGGGAGATCTCGCTGTCTCGTGGGGCTAAGGATGGATATAATGAGATTACCCGGAGGATGAATGGATCGCAAACAATCGGTGAGGATAGTGATAAGTCAAGATCCCTGACGAGAAGAAAGGGACATGCGAATAAAGATGAAAATATCTCTGGTAATCGTAGGTTACAATCAAATCTTCAAAATTTTAGTGTGCAAAAAAAGTTGAGTAACGAACATGCGAAAGATAGAATCCAAGGTCGTCATAATGAAAATGCTGAGTCCTTATTGGTTGAAAAACCTGAGAGAATTCTCGATAAACCTCTTGCTGTGGACAGAACACGTGAACACGTCATGTCAAACAAAAAGTTTGGCGCCAATGATCTTCTCGAAAAGAACATTTCTAGAAATGGCGGTACACACAACGATATAAATAGAATTACGCACCGGGAGGATATTATTGGTACACATAGGGCTAAAATAAGTGGTACACACAGGGATAATATCAGTACATTTGATGGTGCTAGCACTGGTGAACGCTTTCGTAAAAGGGAAAAGGAAAACAAGAGGCCAAAGTCATCCGTTGTTGTTTCTGAAAAGACTCATGGAGGTATACAAAACGGGACAAATGCCGGTGCACAGGAGAAAAATGCAATGGATAATGATGTACCCAAGATGATAAGAAGGGAAACGTGTGAGGTTAGCAAAGGATTGAATGGCTTTTGGTTTTATAGTCAAAACAATGCGTATGTATTATCGTGGAGATTTTCAATGGTTGAAAAAATGTGTTAACAACATCTTTTTTTGTATCCTAGGCAACAAGACATCGCACGCGGAGTTCGGAATCATCCGGGGTATTTTGGGATGATCAGATTTCACCGTTGGATGTTAGCGAGAGATTGCGCAATCCCAGTCAAGGTCACGCTTTTGATGAGGTAGGTCTTGTAAAGAAGTCGCGCGACTTGGAAACACGTAGAGGAGTGGGGACTAGTAAGGTGGCATCACGTGACTCCTCCGTGGTACGTCACTATCATCATCATTTCCACCATGGCAGTTCTGAAGACTTAATACGTGATGTAGACTTGAATGAACGATCTTGGAAACCAGAGGAACGGGAGATTAATTCAAGAATTCAACAGTCAAGGGGGTTGGATATCGGGAAAATATCACCACGTGGTACGTTGATGGCAGGGGGGGAGACATGTCGTTTTACATTAATGCCGTCTGCCTTTTCCTTGATTGTTCTATGATGTTTAAACTACAGGAGAGGTTTGTGTCTTGGGTGTATTTTTTTGGCAGGGGTGTGGGGCATTCTTTCATTGATCCCACTCAAAGATGTTTTTTTTCGGTTTTAAAGATACAACAGGCTCAACCCATTCCATCTCTCAGAAAGAGCTCACGACGAAAGAGCGCGACAGGAAGTCTGGGAAAAAACGTTCTGTCCAGTTTGATGATCACGTGGACACTTTTATAGTAACGAACCGATTGGAGAGGTTGAAACAAGAGATGAATATGGAGGATAGTCGGCAACACGTGAGACGAAGTAGGATAGAAATGGATTACAATAGGTATCTGGAGCGATTGAATCGTGAGCATCAACGAATGGAGAGAGCTTTAGAAAATCATCACCAACCAAAGGTAAGGGTAGGTCACGGGGCAAATCCAAAGGTAAGGGTAGGTCACGGGCAAATCCAAAGGTAAGGGTAGGTCACGTGGCAAAACCAAAGGTAAGGGTAGGTCACGTGCAAAACCAAAGGTAAGGGTAGGTCACGTGGCAAAACCAAATGTAATAGTAGGTCTCGTATCGAAGTCAGACCGTTTTTTACTCCTAAAATGCAAAGATTTTAGTGTTCAGTAACTAGAAAAAAGCCATGAATAGAATCAATTTTCTAAAGAAAAGAACGATACTTTATGTGGAATTTTTGCATTGTAGAAGTATAATATCGAGCTGCCTTTGCGACTGGCTAGGCCTGGATATCTCACTTCCTGGGAGTAAATTTTAAAAATGAATAATTTCTTGGCAAATTTTTTTCATCGATAACTGAACGAAAAAAGCTTCACACATCGCAAATTGTGATTGCCTGTAAATTCCTAAATGATTTTGTTTATTTTATAGAATAAGGATTATAATCAGAGTTATAGGACTTACGTTTTCATGTAACAGCTGTCTAAAGCGACTCTATTGTCGAAAGAGTTCCTTTGATATACTAAAATAGATCCTAGGAGTAATTTTGAGAAAAAATTCCCGGCGACTGTGCTCCTTGACATTTTAGAGCCCTGGGTACTAATCACATGTGTGCTATGAGATTATGAAACCCTTGGTGATGAAGACAGTATTGTGTTTTCTAGATGAAGAACAAGAAAGTCAGTCCTTATGGAAAGAAAAAGCGTCACGTGTCACGTGAGCGTGTCGCGACCAATAAGCGGAAAGCACGATACCCTTCTAGTAAAGCGAGACGAAGCTCTTCGTCTAGTCCGGTGAAGAAATTCCAAAGGAATAGGAAACCGGGTAAATACCAATATAAATTGTGATGATAAAATAAAAACAAAACGCGTGTGCTGATTGGTCTATAGCTGTGTTTGCATTGGCCTATGATGTCACTGATGTTAATTCGTAACTCTCCCCATTCCACCGTAACAGACCGTGCACTGAAAACTTTGTATTAATCGAGTGTATCTATATTATATATTATACATTTAGAAATAAACATATGAATATATAATATATGGTAAATATATAATATCTATAATATAGATACACTCGATCAATACAAAGTTTGCGGCGCAAGGTCTCTTAGGTTGGAATGAGGAGAGTTATTCTTTGTTTAGACTATTTAGCAAGCTAAGTGATTTTTTGGGCTGCCTATAGTTACAACTCAATAGTAAAACGGTTTTAGCTTAGTATTGACCTGATATACGAAATTTAACACCACTATCGCAAACTGGACCAGTCCTCCGTTTCTCCGAGAGTTGTAAAACCAAAACTTTGGTTGTGGTTACAAACCTAAATATTTGTCTGAAAATAAATATGTCTAAAATAAATATTAGAGCCCAACAAATAATTTTGACAATTTGGTTTTGTGAAATTTATTAAAATAGTGACGTTTCGTCTTGACTCAAGACATCTTCAGACGAAACGTCACTATTTTAATAAATTTCATAAAACCAAATTGTTTATGACTATGTTCAAAATTATTTGTTGGGCTCTAATATTTATTTTGAGAATCCTTTTCCCGCCTCGCATTTCATTGGCAACAATATTTCTCTGAACTGCGTGTTTGTCATGGTGAATGTCAATTGAGTTGTTCTTAAAAGAACTGTTGAAAAATAACATGTTCAAGTTAATTGTATAATAACATAGTATGAATAAAGGCAAATTGTTAAAACTTTGATTACATGTGCTTCTTCGTTTTTTAGCCAAACAGCTTGAAAAAGGAGATGTTATTCTTCCTTCATTACTGGACGAATTTCCCTTTCTTTATCTGTCTCCTCATACCCTACAGAAAATGCGAAACAGACAAACGCAGCAGTTGTTGAGTTGGTCGAAATCGTCGCGCGAAATGAACAAACGACAGACGAAGACGCAGAAAGTGCTTGAAGATGCCGAGAGGCGACAGCAAACTTTATTGAAAATACTCCGTAAAGATTTACAACACAATCAGAGAATGGTATGATGAAAGAAAGTGTATGTTGTTTTTCGTCCAAGTTGCGGCGGTTTTCAATCGAGTCGTGTTTTTGTGTAAATTAGGTTTTTTGATTTGAGTCAGTTGGAGGTCGACTTGCTTTTCAATTAGCTTTTTGTATCGAACGGTTGTTTTGAGGGAATTGATGTGTTTTTGAGCCAGCGATCTGTAACTGCGTATACAGAACCCAGCTTGAACAGTCCTGATGATGTATATTGTTTTACTGCTTCTAATATTTCTGCTGGCTCAATCAGAGGCATGTACTGTGGGCACTCAGATTAGGGGGTCGATCATTTTACGCACGAAGTTAATATTTATTGACGAAATCTTTTTACAGTTTTAGGAAATCATAAGGTGTAAATTTGTAAAGACTGAAAATGAAAAAATTATCGATGATCGACGGCAAATGAATGAATGAATGAATGAATGAATGAATGAATGAATGAATGAATGAATGAATGAATGAATGAGTGAATGAATGAATGAATGAATGAATGAATGAATGAATGAATGAATGAATGAATGAATGAATGAATGAATAATTGAATGAATGAATGAATGAATGAATGAATGAATGAATGAATGAATGAATGAATGAATGAATGAATGAATGAATGAAATACTTGATGTAATAAATATAAAAATTACCGACTGATTTTGTTCAAAAAATCGATGACCATCATCTTTTACAAGTTTATTAAACATTTTCAAAAAGTTGGGGGAGGGGGTGTCACACTACCACCCTCCTCACACCCCAACACGCCTTAGGATTAAATATTCTCATATGCGCTAAAGAGAACGAAACTACTACTAGGTGAGCCTGCAGTACTTGACCGACACAGTGCTATCTCTCTGTCTTTAGCGTGAGCAAAAAGATCGTTTACAGCAGGAGCGTGTCATCAAGTCTAAACTTCGTGAAAAGCGCCACGCGAGTGCGCGTGCCCGCAGATATTACGAGGAGTATCAGTTGAGAATGAGGGCAAGGATGTTGAAAAGACGCACCAAAGAGGAACAGGTATGGACACTTAGGGATATGAATATGATACCAAAGAGAAACAGGTATTGACGATTAGGGATATGAATATTATAACAGAAAGGAATAAGTATGAACACTTAGGGATATGAATATGATACCTAAAAGAGAAACAGTTATGGATAGCTAGGGATATGAATATTATAACAGAGAGGAATAAGTATGAACACTTAGGGATATAATATGATACCTAAAAGAGAAACAGTTATGGATAGCTAGGGATATGAATATTATAACAGAGAGGCATAAGTATGAACACTTAGGGATATAATATGATACCTAAAAGAGAAACAGTTATGGATAGCTAGGGATATGAATATTATAACAGAGAGGAATAAGTATGAATACTTAGGGATATAATATGATACCTAAAAGAGAAACAGTTATGGATAGCTAGGGATATGAATAAGATAAATGATCATTTTATCAGGAGAAATATTACATAGTAATTTGTTTTGTTCGTCAAAAGATTAACATGTTATTTTTTTGTTAAGATTTTCAAGAGTTTATTTGAAGATGGTTTGGAAATACAAAAACAGCGGGTGAAGGAGTTGCGGTCGTACGCTAAGGAACAGCGGGAAGTGCGAGCTGTGAAGCAGCAGAATGAACTAGAATCTCTGGAAAACTAGTATCCTTTAAGCCCTCGATTCGTTACCATTATTATTTTCGCTAAATGTAATTACTTTCTTTCGTTGTTTTCTTTACTCGATTTGTTAAGCTATCGCGATCAATATTCTATCCTCGCCGAGGCAATTGCTGAAGAAAAAGAGGCTTTATCAATCAGGGAGAAGGCACAAGAAAAGGTAAAAAAATCTGTTAACTGATTTTAACTGCCGGCTCTGCTAAAATTTCTTATTTATGCGTCATATACATATGTACGTGTTGAGGGAAGATTTCAAACAGGCTCTTGCTTCATTTTTACCTTTCGAAGATGCAAACTAAAATATATTACTCGAAAAAAATAAAACTCTTCACAAAGTAATGAAAATGACGCAGAAGTCAGAATCCTAGATGAAACATATGTTGGTAAATTGGCTTGGTGTGAAGGCACACGGCACATATACCGTAATTTTTAAAAACACTTCAGACGTAATCTTTACCCACTTACACACTGAAAAGGATTCACTTTTTTTTAGAAAATACGAATCTGTCTTTAAGAACTTTTGTAGTCTTTGATCTCAATGAGCACATTTGATATAAGAACATGTTTATGCAAACTTGAAAAATGTAGTTTTCCATACGCGGGATTTTACTCTAGTGGACGGTATGTTATTATAGTGGATGAAAAAAAGAGATATTTCAAGGATTTCACACTGGGTTTCTGATTAGCTATCTACCTCAAAAGGGTCTGTGAAGCGTGATTCATGGGGTAGAGGATCCTGAGCAATTTAATTACAACCTAACACTGATAACAAACGTGTTATGAATTAAACATTCTTTCTTCAAGCGAGCAAAATATTATCCGCAATGAAAATTTGAAATACCAATTACAATAAAACGCCGAAAGGGCCCAAGAAGTGGGTAGCCAATTTTGTTTCCAACATGAAGGCCTAGGAGGCCTAATATCCTCCCCTACTATATATGTTAAAATATGCCTGGGGATGAAAGGTGTGATCATGGACGGTATGTTGTAGTATGATAGTATACGTTGATGTACTATAATGGATAGTAAAGTATCATGGACGGTATGTTGTAGTATGATAGTATACGTTGATGTACTATAATGGATAGTAAAGTATCATGGACGGTATGTTGTAGTATGATCGTATACGTTGATGTACTATAATGGATAGTAAAGTATCATGGACGGTATGTTGTAGTATGATAGTATACGTTGATGTACTATGATGGATAGTAAAATATCATGGACGGTATGTTGTAGTATGATAGTATACGTTGATGTACTATAATGGATAGTAAAGTAGACTGGAAATACTTGTTCGTAATGAAAAGTAAGATAAAACAGTTCACTTTAGGACTGCTTCTTGCTAAGATGCAGTCTACCTTTAGGTAATTCAACAAATGCAGCGAAATCTCCGTGAAAAATTGCAAAAAGAAGTGAAAGAAATCCAGGAAACCATCATTCGAGATGATGACGATGCCTACTTTCGAAGACTTGATGCTGAAAGACTTCGAAAACAGTTGCAAATGACTGCGTTCCAAAATCTTACATGATTTTCCCTCATTGTAACGTAAATGGTATCACAAAAGGTACGACAGTAGAACGCTATTGAAAACATTGCGCGATATGTAAATTTTACATTCATATAAAAGTTGCGCACTTTATGCAAAGTAGAACGAAATACGATAAGAAAATTGCCGAAATCTAAAATGACAGATGTCAATGAAAACGACACTTTTTTTTTTCGAAATTATGTACAGAATATCATGTTCAAGAAAAAGTATTTCAACGATCACCTTTTATTTACATATTGAGTATGAAGTTAGATTATTCTCCCACTTTAGGGTGGGTGTAGTAGAGACATATTCATATTTGCATGTTATATTTGCCTTTTGATTTCTCTCATAATTAATAGTTATTCATGATTATGACCCTAACCCTAACCCTTCCCCCCCCCCCACCAAATTATTGAGAATCTCTATGGCAAAATAATGCTTTTACAAAACCATCTCAATATTGTTCATCCCACATGGAGTACAGAGTGAAAACTGTTTGATTATGTTCGATCAACAATGTTTGGCTCGCTTGGTGAAGCATGAACTTTCAAAGTATTTACAAACAAAGTATTTGGGGAGAGGGGGAACGAAATGATTCTTAAAATGCTCCAAAGATCCTCCTTAGTGTCCTCTACAGCTAACTTTGTTTAATGCCCCAGATTAAAATCTTTAAGTAAAAAAATTTACCGTGCGTTTCAGAATGCATTCAATAAAAAAGTCATCAATAGAGTGGACGTTAGCATTGCCAGCGAAGCAATTTAGAAAGAACACTAACATCACAATAGCACACTTTCTAAATTTGTTTGTAGAATAATTTGTTTGCAAGCTTCGAAAACGAATTTGATATTATTTGTGTCGATCGCTGTGGTGAAATGATAAAACAGGGATTTTGATTGGTCCATTCGTTTTCGTTCAAACATCGCTCGCATGAATCGTTTAACATCGCTCTCTTCTCGTGGGTCACCGTTGAATGATGGAAAATAGCGTTTAAAATTTGACTGATTTATCTTTGTTCGTAATTGGTCTGTTTTATTGAAGAACAAAATCACGTGGGTTTTTGAAAATGTTAGACTGTTTACAACGTGACCAAAAAGCTCCAACGACTCCAGTAGACGATTAGTTTGTCTATCTTCTGCTAAAACTTCGTCGTATTCACTTGCGGCGACGAAAAATAGCACAGCGGTCACGTTATCGAAACATGTCACCCATTTTTGCCTATAATGCCGCTGACCGCCGACGTCCACGAACATAAATGGAACGTGCGAGATCTCTGTGTGATATTCTGTTATACCACGCGAGATCTTTCGTGCCCGTAGAACGTCTTCTTTGCTTGGTAGGTAGTCCTAGATAGAAATCAAATGTTTTGGATGGACTCATGTGCATGGCTTGAAGTCAATGATTTGTACGCTCGGTCTATAGTCATGTCTGTTGAAGTATTTGTGAAAAGTTTGTTGGTATTGTATGGTATGCACGGTACGAGACTTGCTATGGTGCGTCTTTTAGCGCAAAGTATTTTGTCTGATGAATGCTCCGTTTGGCCACGTGAATGATGGAAAGGAAAAGTCTCATGGTGAAGGTTGTTGGTGTATGGTGAAATGATAGTTTATTCTATGGTGAATAGTGGTGGTTAGTGCTGTAATGATAGCTTGTTGTATGGTGAATAGTGGTGGTTAGTGCTGTAATGATAGTTTATTGTATGGTGAATAGTGGTGGTTAGTGCTGTAATGATAGTTTATTGTATTGTGAATAGTGGTGGTTAGTGTTGTAATGATAGTTTATTGTATGGTGAATAGTGGTGGTTAGTGCTGTAATGATAGCTTATTGTATGGTGAATAGTGGTGGTTAGTGCTGTAATGATAGTTTATTATATTGTGAATAGTGGTGGTTAGTGCTGTAATGATAGCTTATTGTATGGTGAATAGTGGTGGTTAGTGCTTTAATGATAGTTTATTGTATGGTGAATAGTGGTGGTTAGAGCTGTAATGGTAGCTTATTGTATGGTGAATAGTGGTGGTTAGTGCTGTAATGGTAGCTTATTGTATGGTGAATAGTGGTGGTTAGTGCTTTAATGATAGTTTATTGTATGGTGAATAGTGGTGGTTAGTGCTGTAATGGTAGCTTATTGTATGGTGAATAGTGGTGGTTAGTGCTGTAATGATAGCTTATTGTATGGTGAATAGTGGTGGTTAGTGCTGTAATGGTAGCTTATTGTATGGTGAATAGTGGTGGTTAGTGCTGTAATGGTAGTTTATTGTATTGTGAATAGTGGTGGTTAGTGCTGTAATGATAGTTTATTGTATTGTGAATAGTGGTGGTTAGTGCTTTAATGATAGTTTATTGTATGGTGAATAGTGGTGGTTAGTGCTGTAATGATAGTTTATTGTGTTTTGAATAGTGGTGGTTAGTGCTGTAATGATAGTCTATTGTATGGTGAATAGTGGTGGTTAGTGTTGTAATGATAGTTTATTGTATGGTGAATAGTGGTGGTTAGTGCTGTAATGATAGCTTATTGTATTGTGAATAGTGGTGGTTAGAGCTGTAATGATAGTTTATTGTATTGTGAATAGTGGTGGTTAGTGCTGTAATGATAGTTTATTGTATGGTGAATAGTGGTGGTTAGAGCTGTAATGATAGTTTATTGTATTGTGAATAGTGGTGGTTAGTGCTGTAATGATAGTTTATTGTATGGTGAATAGTGGTGGTTAGTGCTGTAATGATAGTTTATTGTATGGTGAATAGTGGTGGTTAGAGCTGTAATGATAGTTTATTGTATTGTGAATAGTGGTGGTTAGTGCTGTAATGATAGTTTATTGTATGGTGAATAGTGGTGGTTAGTGCTGTAATGATGGTTTATTGTATTGTGAATAGTGGTGGTTAGTGCTGTAATGATAGCTTATTGTATTGTGAATAGTGGTGGTTAGTGCTTTAATGGTCTTCCTCTGCAAACTTTTTTTATTTTATCTAATTATGCACACAAGTGAAACACCCTCCGCTTAAGAGAGAGTGAAGTGACATGTTGGTTTGCATTCTGTTCGTAAAAACATGACGAAATCAAAGTTTACATTTTTCGAAGCATGATTTGTCTTTATGTATGAAGCATGTTTACACTGTCGTCGTTACGTTCAACGAAATGTTTTAAAATATTTCACCTACTTCATGTTTAATTTCACTCAATCTCTCCATAAAGTAATGTGTTGAATCGGGCTGTAAAAAAGGGATTGAAGAATTAATGAACTGCGAATTTATTCGGAAGAAGTAAAAAAACTTAATGCTTTCCGCACAGGAAATAAGATAATCGAATTGTCTTTACTTAATTTCCTTAGAAAGAGAAATTAGCTTCATAACAACGGCGAGAACAGAAGACTTTCCCTATTGTCTCAAAAGTATTGTTTAATTCAGACTCGTATCCGCCGAATAAAAACATAATATGTTTTCTATCAAAACAATCGTGTTTGTATTTCGTCCAAAACTCCTGAGAGCTTAATGGGATTTCAAAATGGTGCAAATTACATCTTTGTTTGATGCGCAAACATTCATTCTGCGACCTTTGGGATGTTTTCTTTCATCTTTAAAATGCAGCTAAAAAATTAACGTAGCCTGTGCCCGAGTGAGGTCGATGATTTTTTTGTCCAACTCCATTGAATAGAACTTTTTATTTTTCTTATTAAAACGTCTCGATTATTTTTATGAAAATTCCTGTTATAAAATCATCTTGTTTGTATTGATTTTATACTTCTTGGCTTGCTTTCTGTTCGAAACAATCTCATCTCGCTCGCCAACCACACAAAATGGTTTTTTGTTGCCAAATTTTTGATTAAAAACACCATGAAACAATTTTTTTTAATTGTCGCATGTTGTTTTTGCGTCACACAGTCAAAGTGTCTGTCTATTTCCCATGGTGTGCATGATTCGGTGCAATTATTACAATCAACACTCACCACAAGAAATCCACAGAAACTGATAATTCAGAGATCCGACTAAAGATCCGATTTTTGCCATCTTTCTACTCATTATAAAGGATTTAAATCTTTTTAATATGAAATCGATACCTACCAACTGATATTCCCTCTTTCGACAGTACGTTTTCTGTATCCCAGAATCGTTCCACAGCTTCTTGATGATTTCTACTTTGTCCTTAAACATTATCGACTCGAGACGGCGCGGGATCTTCCATTGAAGCAACTCCTGTGCGCAAACCTCGTTTCTTACATCTTGCCAAGGAATGGACAGCTTCTCCCTGGCGTCGCAAAGAACTTGCATAGCTTTGATCATGTTCGTGTAAATGATCTCGCGAAACTCAAAAAGGTCGTCGACGTCAAAGTCTTCGCCATAAATAATTCTCATCTGTTTTGCGAAAGTGGACTTACCCGTCTCGCCCGCGCCAAGGAGTAATATTTTCACCTGATTTAAAGATCGCATGCTATCCTTTCTTATTTCTTGGTCTAAATACCGCGATCGCCTTGCTTCTTGTGTATAATACGATGGACAAAAACACGACATTTTAGATAGTTAGCTTCGTGAAGAATTCTATTACCCTTCGCGCAAACAAGTGCATGCGATGGACAGCAAACAGGTCTTACGAAGCGTCCGTAATCACCACTAATTAGCATAAATACCGCTCAAGCCGCTACTCGGGCATTTTGGATAAGCTCATTAGCCTGAATTGCATGAGCTCGTGTGGAGTTAAAACGTTTTGAATGCGAGAGTAAGGTACGGGGGCCAATGCGTGGAATTTCGTCTTGTGAAAGTTGGATTGGGCGCTCGGAAACCGTGTCAGCGTCTGGGCTCGATTACTGCAGCCTTACCTTACCAGAGGTGAGGTGTGATAGCTGGAGTCTTTGCGAGGATTAGGAACCAATCTCTGAAGGCCCGCTCCACCGTGTATTGGGTAGGACTTGGAACCAAAGCCTCTAGCTTTATTCGCGCCAAAACTACAGAATTATTCTTGTGTACAAAATAATAAAAAAGTGCATCTTTGGTGTAAACCTCATTTAACGTAATAAATATTTTCTATGATAAAGCGTTTTGACGGAGTTACATGTCTTGTAAAAACGGCCAACAGGCATGCTTTTGTGAGCATTAACTCTCCATATTTAGGTTCGTATCCGATTTGATTAATAAGGAAATATTATTGTGTTAACGATAAAAAGTGTTAATATGCCTGATATATACAGCATCATGGTTGCGATAAGCCTCTTTTGGATGTAAAATTTGATACTTGAACTGTTCCTTGGAAAATTGCCACTTCGGAATGCTATTGTAGTTTTGATTGTAACACTTATCCATTTAATCTTTTGTTGTAGGGAAGTGTTGTGTATATGAAGATAACAGTTGTTGCTGACTTAAAAGTTTAGAAGACATGAGACATGAATAAGGATTATTACATGTTTGTAAATGTAGATCGTCCAGGTTGGTATAGTCCTGAGAAGGACTGTTTCTGTTGTTGTCGAAACGTCAGTCAACAAAAACAAAAACAGTCCTTCTCAGGACTTTACCAACCTGGACGATCTACATTTACAAACATGTAACGATACTCCCGGGTTCAAACCATTTACTTTAATAAGGATTATGTGCTAAAATTTAAATATCAGTGGTTTCAGAATCGTGTGCTCACAAACAGCGCTGCGGAGCGATATAATGATACAGTCGGTAAACTTTTGAGTTGTTCAAAGCAAGAACCGTTATTTTTCATAAATTACAAAGTACCAAGTTGTTCCACGGAAAAACTTTGTGGAAAACTTTCTCTTGATCAAAAAAAGTCGTGTGTTTCAAGTCTATCCAGTTTAATGAAAAACTTGTTATTGGTCAAAAAAAGGTCGTGTGTTTCAAGTCTATCCAGTTTAATGAAAAACTTGTTATTGGTCAAAAAAGGTCGTGTGTTTCAAGTCTATCCAGTTTAATGAAAACTTGTTATTGGTCAAAAAGGTCGTGTGTTTCAAGTCTACCCAGTTTAATGAAAAACTTGTTATTGGTCAAAAAGGTCGTGTGTTTCAAGTCTATCCAGTTTAATGAAAAACTTGTTATTGGTCAAAAAAGGTCGCGTGTTTCAAGTCTATCCAGTTTAATGAAAAACTTGTTATTGGTCAAAAAAGGTCGTGTGTTTCAAGTCTATCCAGTTTAATGAAAAACTTGTTATTGGTCAAAAAAGGTCGTGTGTTTCAAGTCTACCCAGTTTAATGAAAACTTGTTATTGGTCAAAAAGTCGTGTGTTTCAAGTCTATCCAGTTTAATGAAAAACTTGTTATTGGTCAAAAAAGGTCGCGTGTTTCAAGTCTACCCAGTTTAATGAAAAACTTGTTATTGGTCAAAAAAGGTCGCGTGTTTCAAGTCTATCCAGTTTAATGAAAATCGTCAGATAAAGCAAGCTGCAGAGTTTCTTCAAAAGCAAGTTTATCAAATAAAATAGCTTCATCCTCAAACGTCACACTTTCCATTTCGTCCGCTACTGCATAGGGCTTTTTCCTTTAGTCGATAATATCCATGTTTTCATTAAACTAAAACGAAGAAGACAAAAACGACTTATTGCTTATAAATGCATTTTGCAAAAGATGTATTTGATTAAAAACCTATTTTATATGAGTTGCATGATTCAACTGGAAAGCATAATTTATATAAATAACAAATCAGGAACAATACAAATCTCCATAAATGGTACTAACACAGCATTGTAACATAAAAAAATCTTTTTATGCTAGCGCTACACGCCATTCATTCGCCTCTCAGCCAGTTAAAAAGAGGTATTTACCTCCTGCGGTTACATTCAAGTACAAAACTATCCGGGGGGGACATTGAATCTGTATCCCCTGGCCACTAGCTGATTATCGAGTCAATGACGTTAGCGCTAAAGAAGTAAGTGAAAATTCACTTCTATAGTTGCAAACCTTAAGTTGAATTTATGATTTCTCTAGTCTTAGTAACGGACCTGATGTCGTTTCAATGCTAGAATAAAACAAAATTAAAAAATATTATAAATTGCCAGTTGCACTATCATTGTTTATTTTTTTTGTTGAACTATAAAATCGTTCGACCTTGATTGATTCGTGTTCAGTAGAAAGATCATTTTTTTAATCCACTGACCTTATAGATCGACGGATTTATGTTGAACGTAAAAACAATATTTTTTAGTCCAATGTTGATATGTGAGGGAAAAGGAAATTTTGTGCCCCGTAAGGAATACCCCTCGCACACAAGTGGAAGTTGAACTCAAATCAACTTTGACTGCAAACCAGAGAACCAATAGCAAGTGGTGATTCATCGTACCACGTGACTTTGTCGGCGGGTAATAATTTTGTATCATAAATCCAGAGACGAACCACACGAAGAAAGAATTTCACTTTTCAATGTTATCAAAAAAAGTTGGTGAAAATTTCTTCACGAAAACGAAACTTTGTTTTCATCATTTATTTTTTAGATTTATGCCCAGTTGAAAATTTTTAGAGATTTTTAAAACAATTCAAAAAATGACCATCCAAGAGTTTACGCAAATTTAGGCGGTTAATTCATGGTTTCTGCTTTTTACCTTTGAACCATTTCTGCTCCAACAATATCATAAATATGATATTGCACGCCCAGCTTTGATTTCAATTTGTACTTTTCTAAATCCTGCAAAACAAGGGGGGAGGGGAGGGAGGGTTATGATTATTTTATTGTAATCATTCGTGTTTTAGTTGATAATCGGATAACCTGATGTAGAATTTCCTTAAATTTTCGTTTTTTTATGTATCGCAAGATACTCTCGCGTCCAGTTATAAATTGTTTCATAAAAACACCAGCTCCTGGGACACCCAACCACCAGCAACCAATATCCTGACATTGCAGAAGGCCATATTTTATCAACAGCCTAGGAAGGAGAGATGCATCAGTTATATATCAATGCAGATATATTACAGTCAGTGCCAAGTACGTTTTCTGGTAAAGTTCGATGTTTATTTCCAAGTTCATTCGTTATTCCATTTGCAATACCATACCATACGATACCATATCATACCATACTACACAACACTATACTATAACATACCATCCAATACTTTGATCACCATACCATATCATATTATACCATACCATACCATACCAAACCATACCATACCATACTATACCACACCATACCATACAATATCATACCATACCATACCATACCATACCATACCATAACATACCATACAATACCATACCATACCATACCATACAATACCTTACCATACCATACCATACAATACCATACCATACCATACCATACCATACCATACCATACCATACCATACAATACCATACCATACCATACCATACAATACCATACCATACCATACCTTACCATACCATATATTGTACTATCCTACACCATGTTTGTTTAAAAACTTATGCTAACTGGCAAGACCTACGTAATATCTTTCTCCTTTATGTTGTGCTTTTTCAATAATGTGTTTGTATCAATACAGACATCAACACATTCTGTGAGCACCATATTCACAAACAACTGAATTGTGGCAGAATTCTCCAAAGTTCTTTTCATTTTCACATGAGAAATGTAATCCTCCATCAACACAACAGCAAATTCATCAGAGCCTGAAATCAACTTGAATATCTGTACTTTTCTATCTTTCCACAACTTGTTCTGAAATTTAAACGAGTAGTAAGTTAAGTCAAGTTAAATTTTTGAACTTCATAAGGAGCAACATGGGATAGGATAGTATACAATAGGATGCTATATTAATTACCAATTGCCGATCCACAAGCGTCTTATCCTTCACCACACAATAAATCTGATGCTTCAGTATTATGGCTGGTACCAGACCTTTGAATTTCTCTTGTGGAAAAACTGTCTTTATGTATAAGATAGCAGCCATTGTATCATTTGGCAACTCATCTAATTATTCAGAAAAAGAAGACTTGAATTCTTCACACAATAAGTTAACAATATAACATTGGAAGTTTACATCGCTCATTAATCTTTCCCCTTTGGATGTCAAACAGACTCCCACCCGGCCTCTGGTTGTGCTGTGTAGCCCGTCCTGTCTATTTTGGCAAGAAATTAGGTGATATAATCTTCCAACCTTTAATAGCCTGGTCTTCTGAAGCACACGAATCCCTTTCATGACTAAGTTTTCGTCGTTTCGTTGGCACAAAATCATTTTCAATCAGTTCAGTGTTGGAAGAAGAAAGCGCCATGTAAATAAATAAAGATGTCAAACGTCAAGTAAGATGAATATTATGGATCCATGTCCTAAATAGACCAATTGTCCCCCACCCCCACGCTACATTGATCCCCCTCTCTCCATTGATTCCTCTCTCTCTCTCTATCGAACCACCAACCCCAATCCCTGAGTAAATAAAAAATCACTGTAAGTCAATCTCACCATAAAATCATAACAAGATACAAATGCTAATGATATTAATGGAAATATAACTTAACATTGCTATCAAGCAGCTCGAGTGAACGGAGTGAACGCGTGTTGGGTGTATTGTCGTATTTACTTTGTCTAATGGAATGGCTAATACGAAATGTATCCAGCTCTTTTCAATTGGTACGACTTAAGAGTAAACAATATAACGCGTGCGCTGATTGGTCTATACCATATATACTGCTGACCCCAAGCAATTAATCAATTAAAGAGTATTTGCAAATCAATCTTGAATACGTGTTATAGCAAAAATTAAAACATTCGGTTTAAATTAACCTGTTTCGCAGTATTGCTATTTTATAAAAGGTGCTTTTCGTATATTCGCGCTGGCTTTTGCCTGCCTCGGAGACGCATGTGATAACTTCCTCGGAGACGTTAGTGACATTAAGGTGTCAACTGGTCTTGGTTGGGCTTACACTGATCTAGTTTCGTGTTCTCCCAAATGTCTCCTCCTCCGCTTGCACTTTGCAATTGTCCATACTGCAAACACCAATGACAAACACACACCAGACACACGGAGTAAAAAACATCTTTTATTTCGCAACGTAAACATGTGATCTATGATTTCATTTTGGTTCGTGTTTCATTTGCATTATAACTAACAACAACTTTCGCATTTTTACCGTTCTGTCTACATCTGTATAAAGATGGTAATCACGTCAAAGATATTATTTACGTTTGCCTTTCTTGCGACTGGTGTTGTTTGTAAGTATGAGCCGAATTGGAAGTCGTTAGACTCGAGACCAAATCCTCCTTGGTACGACGAGGCAAAGATCGGCATATTTATGCATTGGGGAGTATATTCTGTGCCTTCCTTCGGCTCGGAATGGTTTTGGTATTATTGGAAAACCTCTCGACCAGCTTACGTGGAATTCATGAAAAAAAATTATCCACCAAATTTTGAATACGCCGATTTTGCATCCAGTTTTCGAGCTGAGTTTTTCGATCCAGACGCTTGGGCTGACCTTCTTGCAAAGTCTGGAGCTAGGTGAGCATTTAAGTAGATTGCTTGGCTTTGTATTTCAGTCAGGATGGCTTGATTTATGATGTAAGTTTTATTCATAAAAACGAGCTCTTCCTCCACACGGTGTATCAATAAAGGTTCAACATTTGTGAATTGGCATTCTTTAAAGGGGTTATATCACGAATTTTAGCCCCCCTTTTTTATTAGCTAAATTGAAAGACCTTATTTCAGTGATTTTAAATCTGCAATTATAATTGAAATTGGATTGGTGAAAATGATTTTATGGACGTTCAAAGTCACGATTTTCAGCATTTTTTTTGCGAACTTTTTGATCGGTATGCTAATGAGTTGTGACGTAGATAGTTGAACACATATATCAACATGGCGTATTCTACTAGTAATCTTAATAAAAAACGCGGAGGAAAACGCTGTGTTGCTGGCGGACCTAATCAAATTAGTTGCGCCAATGATTCAAAAACAGAAGGAATGTCGATGCATCTGTTTCCTAATAAAGAAACAGAGCCGCAAAGACATAGAAAATGGGTAAATTTTGTGCGTAAACATAGACCGGGTTTTGAGGCTTCCTCTACCTCGTGTCTGTGTTCTGCGCATTTTGAAGATTCTTGTTTTGACCTTAATTTGAGCGTGCAAGTCAAGCTCAAAAGAAGGTTGAAGAAAGATGCTATCCCAACCATTGACGTGGCTGGGATTCCTGAACCATTACAGGACGAAATAACCGATCGAAAGCGCAGACAAGTAAGTTTACGCTTGTTTATGTTAATTTTTCTTTTGTCATATGTAAATTCGATATATGTTTTGTAGATTATTCGACATACTCTCCATAAGCCATCGCTGAAGGAAACATGTTCTCTCGATGAGGAAGTACCATCTACTAGTGATGGAGCTGAGCATGTTGAAGTATGCACTGGGGAAGCAAACGATTCGCCATTTGAAGAAGAACTACATGCAGTTGGTGAAGATATTTGTGAATCCCAGTCTCCATGTAAATCGTGCCATCGTCTTAAGAAAAAACTTACATCTTTACAAAAGACTTTAAGCTGGTGGGAATAAAAGTACTCGCAAATGTACTAAATGCAAAGCTCCAATGAAAGGACATCCTCGAGGTCAATGCTTCACTGAAAAAGAATAAATTGAAGTTGGTAGATGATAGGGCAGTGGTCAGACATTGCTTGGAGCCTGTCTGGAGGAGAAGTAAGGCACCTCCTTCCCACCACCAGCCTGAGGGTTCACCTTAGGCAAGTGATAGTACCCTCTAGCCTCCCTATCTAGGCACTGATATACACACCTTTCCTGATGATTACAGTATTAATATAACATTGAATGGTATGTATACTTGTCAGATTGAAGATGACTATCTCACTCGATTGTGCAACTAATTAATTTTCATGAATAATTTTTTATTGTAGTTTAATGCTCAACATGCCCTTTGTGGATGCAGTGCACTCAAGTGTGAAGACCTTATAAGATAAGTTCATGTGGCTTGCTATTTTCCATTTTACATTTATGCTATGATTTAATTCCATATAATTTTTTTTTTTTTCCCAGACTGACATTGAAGAAAAGATTTTCTTTACCGTATAGTGCATCCATGTATCTCCTATTTGGTTTTCATCTAGGCATATTTCCTGACCATTCTAAACTCAGCAAAGAAGGCCAACAGTCTCTACAGTGCACAAGTTAAAGACCTTTCCATCATGCCCTCTGATGGTATGTAACCTTTGTGTTACCACTTGGATATGCTTTCGAATAAAGTGGTAAACACAAGCAGGTAAAGGCAGTATTCTCCCATCCCATAGACCCACAAAACCATCGCATCAACCATCTGTATGCCACAGCTCTCAAGTACCTGAAGTAAATAAAAAGGTTGGACTAATTATTGTTGATGAAACAATGTTGATGATAACATTCTTTCTCATACAATTTACAATCTTACATATTTAATGATTGTGATGCTTGGCGGCGATAAGCACGTCCATTCCTATCTCTCAATAGTGGCCCGACGTTTTCAAGGACAGCCTCATGAACTAAAGGCCCAAATTTGGCATGCTGTGTTATGCATGATATTTTCTCAATGCTGCCATCGAATGTCATTTTCTGCAAAGCTGGTCCTATTTCCTTACAGCATCTGTACTCTAATGCGCCTTCTAACAAATCGGTATGACAGCATTGACAATTACACCTGAAACGTGGGAGCATTGTGGTTTATAAAGTAACTTTATGTATATTACAAACAGGAGAAAACAACAACTTACCATTCACCGAGTGGAATTACGCCATCACTTCGTTGTTCTAAGGTCGCAGGAGAATTCCATCGGGATCATCTGGAGTATGCATTTCATCACCATCTCCTGCGAGCGGTTCATCGTCATATGCGAAGTCGTTTAAATGCTCGACATAACCCACGGATTCCGAGCTCGAATCAGATACGCATTCAGACATCGAATTCGAATTATCTGAGCACTGATTTGAAGCCATACTTTCCGGACAACTTGTTTTTTAATATTTTATTGAAAATACTGTCATTATTTGTTTTAACACAAGAAAAACGACAACAAAATCACCTCCTATAATATAATATTATATTGACGGAAACAGACGTGTTCAACTATCTACGTCACAAGTATCAATATGGCGTCGTAAAAAATTCGCAAAAAGTACCCGACTTTGGAGGCAAAATTAAGGAACTTATATTTATCTGCTTAAGTCCAGCGACATGTCATAGTTCTTCAAATAATCCAAATTTTCAATTAAGCTAATAAAAAAGGGGGGCTAAAATTCGTGATATAACCCCTTTAAGAGGAATTATTTATCAATAAATTGAATGTCAAGCATCGGAATTCCTTTTTACTATGGCATTTAGGCTTCCTTGAAGTCAATTCCTTTGCAGTTTTGAGATGCACCCTGTGTATACCTATATTTCTTTAACAAACATTTTCAGGTATTTTGTTCTGACAAGCAAACATCACGAAGGATACACAAACTGGAATTCTGATGTTTCTTGGAATTGGAACTCAGTTGATGTTGGCCCGAAACGTGATCTTGTAGGTAATCGCACCTTAGCTAAACAATTTCATTCTGTTCTATTTTTGAACCTTATGACATGACAGATTGCTGTTTCATATATGTTGATTTCCTAGGCGAATTGGCCAAGTCGATCAGAGCACGAACAAATATAACATTTGGTCTTTATCATTCACTCTTTGAATGGTTCCATCCTATGTACCTGCAGGATAAGGAAAATAACTTTAAAACTCAGAACTATGTCAAAGTTAGTTGTTTTCGGACAGTTGTAATTTTGTATTTTCATTGCCATGTTAATTTGGTTCTTCAGAGCATAAGGTCTGGAGATGTAGCACACTTATAATTTGCAGCCAACTTTTGCAGTCAATAGCCCCTTCCTAATAAAAAAACTGTGCCATTCCTGCAATTCCTTGATTTTTTAAAAAACTTGATTACAAACAGTTATTAGATTAGATCACGTGTTAATTAATCCAACTGTTTTCTGATACATTTAAACCTGCAAACAGTTATAAGATTAGATCATGTAGTAATTAATCCAACTGTTTTCTGATACATTCAAACCTGCAAACAGTTATAAGATTAGATCATGTGTTAATTAATCCAACTGTTTTCTGATACATTTAAACCTGCAAACAGTTATGATTAGATGTAGTAATTAATCCAACTGTTTTCTGATACATTTAAACCTGCAAACAGTTATAAGATTAGATCATGTGTTAATTAATCCAACTGTTTTCTGATACATTTAAACCTGCAAACAGTTATAAGATTAGATCATGTAGTAATTAATCCAACTGTTTTCTGATACATTTAAACCTGCAAACAGTTATAAGATTAGATCATGTGTTAATTAATCCAACTGTTTTCTGATACATTTTAACCTGCAAACAGTTATAAGATTAGATCATGTGTTAATTAATCCAACTGTTTTCTGATACATTTAAACCTGCAAACAGTTATAAGATTAGATCATGTGTTAATTAATCCAACTGTTTTCTGATACATTTAAACCTGCAAACAGTTATAAGATTAGATCATGTAGTAATTAATCCAACTGTTTTCTGATACATTCAAACCTGCAAACAGTTATAAGATTAGATCATGTGTTAATTAATCCAACTGTTTTCTGATACAACCTGCAAACAGTTATAAGATTAGATCATGTAGTAATTAATCCAACTGTTTTCTGATACATTCAAACCTGCAAACAGTTATAAGATTAGATCATGTGTTAATTAATCCAACTGTTTTCTGATACATTTAAACATGCAAACAGTTATAAGATTAGATCATGTGTTAATTAATCCAACTGTTTTCTGATACATTCAAACCTGCAAACAGTTATAAGATTAGATCATGTGTTAATTAATCCAACAGTTTTCTGATATATTCAAACCTGTATTAAGCGGACGTACTTAAGGAACAGTCTTAATGGAGAGATCTGCTTCGAAGTTTCATGATTATGAATTAGCTACGTGGGATAAAATTTGGGACTTAATGAAATGTACACTTAATGCAGGGTGTCTGCTTAATACTGGGTCATTTCATACAGGTTTGATTGTGTATTATAAAATAAACACAATGATACATGTGTGTTGATTGGTCTAGAGCAGTGTTTGCATTAGCCAGTGTAAAACACATCTGAGTTTAACCAATCAAATCAATCAAAACAATCAATCAGTCAAAGAGAATTTGCAAATCGATCATGAATACATTACTCTCGAGCAGGTGCAACTCTCAGGTGTGCACTGATCTGCTCTCGAGTTCTCCCAAAGGTCTCCTCGGTTTGCATAAGCCCGTGCAAACACAGTAAACATCTTTTCTTAAATGTTTTTTGTTCAACTGGGTGTCCAGGAAAAAAACGTAAACCATAGCGGTTGAGTATGGTTAGATTAACAGAATTTCAACACCAAAGACAAAGAATAATACAATGGCTTGCAAAATATTGACAGCTTACATGCAGTTAACTTTAGTTACGAAGCATTGTGCTTTGTCTTGGCTGTTCAAATTCCAAAAATTGTTGACAGCTATTATTTGTGTTTTTTCTTGACCCCTTGTATTTCTTAACATTCCTTTCTTCTTTAGAATGTATTGACGCCTCAACTTTATGATATAATCAAGAAGTTCAAGCCCGAATACATTTGGTCCGATGGCGATTGGGAAGCTGAAGATACATATTGGCAGAGTAAAGAATTCCTTGCCTGGCTTTATAATGAAAGGTGAGATTTCTTCAAAATGTTTTTGTTTGAAACCACGGGGTTCGTTATTTGCCTAGCATAGCTTTGTTTTTGATATTTTTGTACATTTAAAGTATTCAAACATCATCGGACAGGAGGGGGGCTCCCGACAGAGTGACAAAAAGTACTGAGGTTTCTGTACCCCCCTGATTTTGCGCATCAAAGTTGAAGAAAAATTTTGCAGACTTTGCAATTTTTCAATAAGTGCTAACTAAGTACTTCGGAACGAAACAGTTTTATATGAGACAAAGCAAATTCTAATAAGCAAAGTCATCTTGCAAACTCAAGATATGAATATGAAAATAAGCCAGACGTATTTCTAGGGGCGTAGCATGACATTTTAAACTGAGGGAGGGGGTGGCAAAGCGCAAACTTTACAGACGAACACGGGGTACTTTGAACGCATTTTGTGGAATAATATATTGAGTTTGTGCAATATCATGCTTAATATACAAAAGTTATTTTGGTATCAAAAATCGGTTTATTAGTTCAAAAACACTTTGAAAATCGCATCATTACCGACCAATGTTGTGTTTCCCTTAAGTTGGTTGTTGTAACAACCCCACAAACCCCCACAACCCCCAGTATTCTACGCCTCTGCGTATTTCATTAATTGAGTAATTACCTTACAAATAATCACAAATCGAATAAACGATTACTCCAATGGAAATTTCATTTAAAATTACGCATGTAAAAAGTATCGCTCTCCTTGTCTATAAAAAGTGTCCCGTCCTTGCATTGGTGTTGAAGAAACGCCAAGTATATAACTGGTTTGTTACTCTTATTGCTTGTATACTTACGTTAAGTCAGATTTTACCTCAGTCAAATCCCGCGTTCCAGCTTATCGTCATAAATTAACTTCCTTTGAACCGCGCGTGTAAAGAATGGGACTAGTTAAATTACTGGCTTCAAATTTTGGCGGGAAGTAGCCGTCCAGTTATATTCAGTTCTATGCGAGGCTAATCCCCTCGCATTGAACTGAATATAACTGGACGGCTACTTCCCGCCAAAATTTGTTCAATAATTAATTTAAACTTACTTGACAGCCCAGTCAATAAAACGGTGGTTGTGAATGATCGCTGGGGTATTGGGGACACTTGTAATCACGGTGGAGTCTATACATGTTCTGATAGGTACAATCCAGGTAATGATGTATTGATGTAAGAGAAACATGTTGTTTTCCATTTAAGAATCCCAAATGATGTGAAAGTGCTGTAAAAAGCTTTTTTGTCTTATTTCACAGGTTTTTTACAGAAACATAAATGGGAGAATGCAATGACGATCGACAAGAAGTCCTGGGGCTATCGTAGAGACGCAAATTTACAAGACTTCTTAACAATTCATGAGCTTGTGTCAATTCTTGCAGAAACTGTGAGGTGATAGAAACAATTTTTACAGTTCTTTTTTTGAACCCCCTCCTCCCCTGACTGCTTCCGACTCTACTGGAGACACGTTAAGATCTTATGTGTGTGACGCAATGACCTAGAACCCAGTCTACTAGATACCTAACTCGCCAAAATTATATAATTACGGGTTAGGCAAGCGGCCATCCTAAACGGTTGCAAAACTGATGATGCAATGACCTAGAACCCAGTCTACTAGATACATAACTCTGCCAAAATTATATAATTACGGGTTAGGCAAGCGGCCATCCTAAACAATTGCAAAACTGATGATGCAATGACCTAGAACCCAGTCTATTAGATACCTAACTTCGCCAAAATTATATAATTACGGGTTAGGCAAGCGGCCATCCTAAACGGTTGCAAAACTGATGATGCAATGACCTAGAACCCAGTCTACTAGGCCAAAATTATATAATTACGGGTTAGCGGCCATCCTAAACAATTGCAAAACTGATGATGCAATGACCTAGAACCCAGTCTACTAGATACCTAACTTCGCCAAAATTATATAATTACGGGTTAGGCAAGCGGCCATCCTAAACGGTTGCAAAACTGATGATGCAATGACCTAGAACCCAGTCTATTAGATACCTAACTTCGCCAAAATTATATAATTACGGGTTAGGCAAGCGGCCATCCTAAACGGTTGCAAAACTGATGATGCAATGACCTAGAACCCAGTCTACTAGATACCTAACTCTGCCAAAATTATATAATTACGGGTTAGGCAAGCGGCCATCCTAAACAATTGCAAAACTGATGATGCAATGACCTAGAACCCAGTCTACTAGATACCTAACTTCGCCAAAATTATATAATTACGGGTTAGGCAAGCGGCCATCCTAAACAATTGCAAAACTGATGATGCAATGACCTAGAACCCAGTCTACTACATACCTAACTTCGCCATAATTATATAATTACGGGTGAGGCAAGCGGCCATCCTAAACAATTGCAAAACTGATGATGCAATGACCTAGAACCCAGTCTACTAGATACCTAACTTCGCCAAAATTATATAATACAGGTTAGGCAAGCGGCCATCCTAAACAATTGCAAAACTGATGATGCAATGACCTAGAACCCAGTCTATTAGATACCTAACTTCGCCAAAATTATATAATTACGGGTTAGGCAAGCGGCCATCCTAAACAATTGCAAAACTGATGATGCAATGACCTAGAACCCAGTCTACTAGATACCTAACTTCGCCAAAATTATATAATTACGGGTTAGGCAAGCGGCCATCCTAAACAATTGCAAAACTGATGATGCAATGACCTAGAACCCAGTCTATTAGATACCTACCCAAAATTATATAATTACGGGTTAGGCAAGCGGCCATCCTAAACAATTGCAAAACTGATGATGCAATGACCTAGAACCCAGTCTACTAGATACCTAACTCTGCCAAAATTATATAATTACGGGTGAGGCAAGCGGCCATCCTAAACGGTTGCAAAACTGATGATATTTGGGACTAAACCCCTCTTCTTCTGCGTTGATACAGAATTGTAGATTTTATAGTGTTGGTTTTGTTTTTACAATATACGATAAGATTGTTTTTTCAAACTTTTCTTTAGCTTATTTTTGCTTAAGAGTTTTGCTTGTTGCCGCTATTTAAGATGGCGTCCTTGTCTTACCATAACACGCGTTTTAGACATCAAGGAGATGGGTTCTAAATCATCGGTGTGATGGTTCATGCGGTCGTTATTGTCTATTTTCAGTTGCGGTGGCAACTTGCTCATGAATATTGGACCAACGCACGATGGTCGAATCGTACCGATATTTGAAGAAAGACTCACACAAATGGGTGATTGGTTGAAGATCAATGGTGAAGCAATTTACTCCTCCAAACCTTGGAGAGTGCAGAATGAAACCAAAAGTGAACGAGTATGGTATGTGTGCCATGACCTTATTTTAAGGCTATTTTCCACTAGGCAGAATTTTCAGCGCGTAAGAGCTGATGACGCGCGTGATTGGTGGATGATTTCGTCATTATTTTTTTGACAACCAATCATGTTGCGAATTTGACTTTGCGCGCGGAAAACTTCGCCTTGTGGGAAATAGGCTTTAGTGATGTACGTAGCTCCCCTGTAAATTTGGTTGTGCTATGTGTAATTTTCAGATCATTAGTTTTATCTATTTCTTTTAAAGTGTGTTGTTTTTACAACGTGTGTTGTTTTTACAACGTGTGTTGTTTTTACAACGTGTGTTGTTTTTACAACGTGTGTTGCTTTAAAGTTTGTTGTTTTTACAACGTGTGTTGTTTTAAAGTTTGTTGTTTTAAAGTGTGTTGTTTTTACAAAGTGTGTTATTTTAAAGTGTGTTGTTTTTACAACGTGTGTTGTTTTAAAGTGTGTTGTTTTACAACGTGTGTTGTTTTTACAACGTGTGTTGCTTTAAAGTTTGTTGTTTTAAAGTGTGTTGTTTTTACAAAGTGTGTTATTTTAAAGTGTGTTGTTTTTACAACGTGTGTTGTTTTAAAGTGTGTTGTTTTTACAACGTGTGAACACCGAAATATTTACATTGCATAAACAAACTTGCTGGCTGGTTACGTCACTGCCTAACCTTGTTTGTCAACTAGTGGTGAATAAAGTGCAGGTTTTCAATTATTTGTGTGTGTGAAAATCTATTCAACAGTGATTTGTTGTTGGAAATAATGACGACATCATAAACCAATAACGTTTCTATGATTTTTTCCTGTTGAAAGAAATATGGAATACTGGCTTTAGTCTGTTATAAAGTATGTGAACTGTCTCTGTGATACCGAAGATCGAGAGTTCCCACAAACGAGGTTTGCATAAACCATTGCAAACACGAAAAACATCTATTATCTCTTAAATCGAACAACATTACTGCGAAACAGATAAATATAAAGCAAAGTTTTAAATTTTCATCAAACATGTATTCAAGATTGATTTGAAATTGTTTTGATTGATATAATTGATTGAGCTCAGATCATTTTGCACTGCCTAATGCAAACTCAGCTATAGACCAATCGGCGCATGCGTGGAATTTTTATTTTCTAATTCATTTTAAAGGTATACCTCGAAAAAAGACATCGTTTATGCCATCGTGTTGAAATGGCCGGAAGGAAATTCTTTGGCTTTAAAGGCTCCTCAACCCGACGTTTCTCAAACAGAGGTATTCATGTTAGGATTTGACAAAAAACTCTCATGGAAAGCAGGACCCGAAGGTATGGTTATCGAAATGCCTTTTCTCCCCCTATCCAAACTACCGTCGACTGTAGCTTGGGTTTTGAAATTGATTAATGTGAAGTAAAGGCAGGAACGGACATATGATAGATATTTGAGACCTTTTTGAAAAAATCATTCTTTCATAAAGTTGAAAAATTTTTAGAAGTAAATAAGTTTGGTATAATTTAGAAATTTTAGGCATTACTAGTGATATAATCACATAGAAGTTTGTAAAATGCGGAAAATGATGATTTAATTAATAAAATTAAGACGCAGCTACGAATGTCAGTTTGTAGTTTAACTGTTTTTACTAACAGTTAAATTATTCTAATTTATGATCAAATTAGATGCAAGAAGTTGCATATGTAATACATTTGACTTTATGTGTTGCAAATTGTTTTACGATTTTGTATGAAAAAGAGGCAAGGCGCCACAGTAGAGGCTGGGACGGCTTAAGCAACGCCCCTTCCCCATACATAAAGTTTTGCTATCAATTTTATTCTTTGGCGTCACTAGGGTCTAAATAAGACGTAGCAAATTCACGTCTGACCCTCCCCATGCATAAAGTTTTGCTATCAGTTTTATACTTTGGCGTTATTAGGGTCTAAATTAGACGTAGCAAATTCAAGTCTGACCCTCCCCCCCCGATCAGCCCTCAGGTTCAATTTAATGGCGTCGTGCCTGTAAAGTAATAAGAGGAAATGCACATTTCAAAATCTAATCATTGGTTTTGTTGATATGGAAAAAGAATGGATTTCGTGTCAGACCAGATGCTATATACCAGCCAATCAGAATGCAAAGATTGTTTTTCGTCATGCGATTGCTTGATTGCTCAAAAATAAAGTTCCTTCTTCTTTCGATATACTAAAAATAGAGAATCTTATCATGGCGATTTTTCGTTTTAAGAACGTGTCAGAAATGTGGTGAACATCGTTGTACTAATGAATCATATTTTATACAGCTGAACATCTTACATTTCGTTCTCTTATCTGTAAAATATCAGAACTTCCCTTTTTATTACTCTGTGTTCGCCTTTTTGCCGTTCGTTCCATACGAAAGAAACCTTGTCTTGATAATTTTTTCGTGAAAATTTTCTGCTTTGTTTATACCGATGGAAAATAGAGGTTAGTCTTTCGATAAGCAGTTTCCACACTGTTGCATTTTACTGTTTTTAATTTTATTAGTATTTTTTTTATCTACAAAGCAAAAAGGGCATGTTAAAATATTTATATAATCCTTGGACAATTTAACTGCTTTTTGTGTGAACGAAGCTTTGAATATTTTATATTGCAAAAACGATTAATGTTCCCAGCGTCAGCGCTTGACATCTAAACTTTAAAAAAATTGATCGCGAGAAGTCGAATTGCATAGAGAGCAAATATTTTTGTTTGTAAGCATTCCAGTCTGTTCGTCGTATTTTTGCACATTGTTGTCATGCACGGTTGACGAGAGCCAAGAAGAACATTTGCATTTAGCATTAAACGTGTCAGGTAAGGCTTCTTTATCGGTGTATTTTTCATTTGTCGCGTTGTTCTCGGCAAATTTTATATGCTGTAGTATGCTTCTTAAAACCAATCCAATTTTCCGCACAAAAATTTGCCACTGAAATACACGGATAGATAATGTTGCTAATGTTTCAACACGCGTCCGATCTTGCCGTGTATAATATCTTATTTTATGCTTGGCGTCAATAACTGTACGTATTTTCGTAAGGACGAGCCCTGTAATCATATGGCTATCATTACATCAACGTTTATTAAGAAAATCAAAGTCGATTTTCTGGAAATATTATCATTTGGTATAAGTTGTAAGGACTTACGACTTTCAGTGTTTTACCAGAAAATGCTACGCGGTATGTGAAAAATGCACCCGAATCGTCTAGTAATTTCCATTTTTAAATACTATGTTACGGATGGAAAGCCGTAAATTCGTGCAAATCGTCAATGAACCCCAGAATAACGCTATAGGTGTTAGAGCGCGCTTCTATCTCTCAAAATTTTCACCTCTGAACAAATACTCATCAAACTAGCGTAAAGTAGAGAAGACTCTGTTTACTTGAGTTGTCTGAAGTCGACGTCTATCTGTTAAAAAGGTTTGTTGCTAATTTATAACAAATTTATATGAAAATTTTAAAGGAAATAAAACGTAATTTACATTTGTTTTCAAACAACTAATTTTACTATTGAGTATATAGTTCAAATGCTCAATCGTTACAGATTTTTCTCTATGTATTTCGTATTTGCAGACTGCAGTTGCTCTCTGAAATATCAATGAATAAATTTGCTGTGCAAATGCACTGAACATTTAATGGATAAATTTGCATGTTGCTAAGTTGTCAACAGTTAAACTTCTGGCATGATGTTGAGATAAGGATAATTTCCGGCTCCAAATACAATTTGGAATTTCATCCTATAATCTTTTGACGCTAATCAACACTGAAATTAATGGCGAGCCTGCTGTTATATTTCGGCAATATTTGAGTGACACTCCTTTCTGTACATTTGACAAGTGCTTTTTTTAAGGTCTATCTTCGTTCTCCTTTGTGGATCGATCAGACGTTTAAGATAGCTTGTGTATCAAAGTACCCGAAGTAACAGGCTGTAGAACGAAGAACATGCCTTGTGCAATAAATTACAATTGTTCCAAAGAAAGTGAAGGGACATTACTGTTGCCAATATTGAACGAAAGTGAGTGGTCTAAAGCCGTGCGTATAATATTTTACTTCGTGGCATTAATATGGTCTTTTACTGGAGTGGCTATAATCGCAGATGTCTTCATGTGCGCTATTGAGACGATTACAAGCAAGGTAAAAATAGTTAAAGTTGCTAAGCCAGGACCCGGCAGCCGTTCCGAGGATGTTGAGGTTCGTGTCTGGAATGACACAGTTGCCAATCTAACGTTAATGGCGCTCGGCTCGTCTGCACCGGAAATACTCCTCTCGATCATCGAGATTGTCGGTGCAAGTTTCAAAGCAGGGAAACTGGGCCCTAGCACGATCGTGGGTTCAGCTGCTTTTAATCTTCTTGTGATAACAGGTGTATGTGTTATGGCAATACCTAATGGCCAGGTACGGACTATCAAATCCCTGAAAGTGTTCGGTTTGACTGCGGTGTGCTCCGTATTTGCTTACATATGGCTCGTTATTGTGCTTCGTGTACATAGTGAAAACATTATCGATCTCTGGGAAGCAATTTTCACCTTTTTGCTTTTTCCCATTCTTGTTATCCTGGCGTATATGGCTGATAAAGAGTTGGGCTGTAGCTCTTCAAGGGATGTCGAGCCGTCTGAAGACATTGGCATGTTAGAGTTGGGTAAGAAACGCGGACTCCCCCTCCTTAATATGAAATATTCACTACACTGACCGGGGGGGGGTGATTTCCATTTTCTTTCGATAAGCAATTTATTTGGTAAAGTCAGTACCCCACACGTAGAGTATGTTCTTGTGCCATTTCTACCTTTACCACCCCTCCCTCCCCACTTTTGAACTGGTTTCTTGGGAAACTGCTAAAATGAGGGTGGTCGTTGTTTCTTGGAAGATAAAGTAAAATGCGAAATTTAGACAATCGACCTCCGAATAGCTACAAGTATGGTATTAAAAGTGTTGTTTTTTACTTACATCCTCGCCCAAGTGTTACATTTACGGGAATTCATCTTTTAAAAATTTCCTTGTGTATCTTTTTGGTGTTGCTGTGTTTACCGACAGAATACACAGCTTTTAGTAAAGCTTCAGTCCGGAAATCTCCCCGAATTTTGTCTGAAAAGGGATTTTGCTAACGGGTGTTGAACATTTGTGTTCGCTTTTAATCCTGGAACACCACTGTGACATCCATTGTTACTGAGTCCAAACCGGAAATACGTCATACACTTTACGTATTTATTATTTGTATTTAGCCGAAGGTTCGCGTGTGCTACAGGTGTCTACGAAAGATCCTGAAATTATACAATTTATCAAGGTATTTTTTGCATTTGTCTTATTCGTGGTTTATTTTTTATGTAAAGATTCTCAATTTGACTTGCAGCTGGAAAAATACACGTTTTTATCTCATTTTGGTTCTTTTTATCCCCCAAAACACTCATAAAACATCGTAAATGCTCTTTTTATGTTTCTCGTTTAGGATTTGAATCAGAATTCTGACTTTTCCGAAGAGGAAACCGCGAAACTTGTTGCCTTGCGGATACAAGCCAGGACACCAAAGAATTATGGGTATTATCGTGTTGGTGCTATAAGAGGAATTGGTGGCGGTAAAAAACTCACTCCACCGATGAATACAGGCTTACATGAAGTATGCGCTCAGACACTTGCTTGTTAACCACGTACACAACAACAGACATATATTAAAAAGATACTGAACTTTTTTTACGTTTCGAGAAAAGAAAAGAACGACTTTGGAACTTTGAATTGAAATGAATTCCCGTAAAAGCCTAGAAATTCAGTCAATTTTCGCTCGTTGCTTTAAACAAGCTTTTGTTCAAGCTTTCAATTTTCAGACTTGATGAAGAATATATTTAATTTTGGTGCAATTCTTTTTTATTTTGCATAACGCAATTTACTAGCACAGGTCGTGTTCGAAGTACCGTTTGAGTGGCTTTTTTTTTATTTTGTATTTATCAACAAGATGAAAAGCTGAAAACGAACAAACTTTGCAGGTTGACTGTTTTAGAATATTTTTGCTCGTCTACTTTCAAAAATCCCCGTCCAAAAGATGGGTGGACGGGCCTCTGGCTAAGCCCCTTGAATTTGGGGCCGATTGCTCTCCCCTCCCAACGGAAGTGCAGTATTTTAAAGTGGAAGTTCTCGATGTAATTTTCATTTAGGCATACGATGAACTCAGCGAGGTTGGTTTCATGTCGACGGCTTTATCTCACCTTCGACCTCGTGGTAAGTTTTTCTTCAAAAGTTTTTTCGCTTGTGCGAAATGTTATCATTGTCGTAATTGCGTATTATGTGAATTAGGAAGGAGAGGTGAGAGGGCAGATTCCCCCTCCCCCCCTCCCTCCTCTACATTTTGACAGCAGTGGAAGAAAGTTGGGCTGTTTTTCTGAAAAAAGTTTCGAGGACTTTGTATATGTTACATTTATTTGTTTTTTAAAAAATTCGATCAAAGAGTTCAACAATTTGAAGTTTTAGTTCTGAAATTTGGTTCTCTGCCGCCCTTCTCTTGACTTTGGTCGGCCAGAGCAATTGAAGTCGTGACTTATAATACTAAAAACGACAAATATTTTTATCTCGAAGCTATCATGGCTGCAGCAGTGCCATTTGTACGTTTCCCCTCCGTTTTGTTTAAAGAAAGTTTATGTGAATCGTTGTAATTCCTAAATAATCGTACAAAACAGAACCTCCGAAGTCGATGGTCGAATTCGCCTCTCCAAAATACGCTGTCTTGGAAAGTGACAAGTTGGTTACTATTACCGTTTTAAGAACAGGGAATACAAAGATAACAGCAGTTGTTGAGTAAGTGATGGTCAACAAATCTGATAGGTTAACTAAAATTTAAATTAACATGACGTGATAAATCGACGTGAATGCTTTGAATCCGGGAGTATAGTTACATGTTTGTAGATGTTGATCGTCTAGGTAAGTACACTTCGTATACTTATTGCCGCTGGTCATTTTCACGATTATTTGGACGACAAAATGAACAAACGTCTGCATCCGTTTTGAAATCCACATCAAACGTAAACAACTCAGATTGAACTGTGAATCACCTCTGCAATGACCTTGATCTTACATGGAAAACACAAAAGACTACTTATAATTTACAGACGTAGGAACCAGACAACAAGTGCAGAAAACCCGACATTTACTCCTCACTTGACTCTGAAAAAGACTTCCTCCGAAGATTTCGAAACGTCTATCAACAGCAACACCAACAGTTCCTTTCACGACTCCAACGACATAGACAATCAATATCCACACGCTTGTAAAATCACAAATTCTTAACTAAACTATTGCTTAAATCTTAACTAAGCCTTATCACAACTCGACCTTAACCAAATCTGTCCCTACACAAATCCAAATTAAGTTTTTACCAATGGTTTTCCCCTAGACCTTTCTTTAAGAATGATACTTCCACTTAAGCATACTTTTGCTTCATTTAGTTTTCCCCAGACCTTTCTTTAAGAACGACACTTCCACTTTAGCATACTTTTGCTTCATTTAGTTTTCCCCCAGACCTTTCTTTGAGAACGACACTTCCACTTTAGCATACTTTTGCTTCATTTAGTTTTCCCAGACCTTTCTTTATGAACGACACTTCCACTTTAGCATACTTTTGCTTCATTTAGTTTTCCCCAGACCTTTCTTTAAGAACGACACTTCCACTTTAGCATACTTTTGCTTCATTTAGTTTTCCCCCAGACCTTTCTTTGAGAACGACACTTCCACTTTAGCATACTTTTGCTTCATTTAGTTTTCCCCAGACCTTTCTTTAAGAACGACACTTCCACTTTAGCATACTTTTGCTTTATCTAGTTTTCCCCCAGACCTTTCTTTAAGAACGACACTTCCACTTTAGCATATTTTTGCTTCATTTAGTTTTCCCCTAGACCTTTCTTTAAGAACGGCACTTCCACTTTAGCATACTTTTGCTTCATTTAGTTTTCCCCAGACCTTTCTTTAAGAACGACACTTCCACTTTAGCATATTTTTGCTTCATTTATTTTCCCCCAGACCTTTCTTTAAGAACGACACTTCCACTTTAGCATATTTTACTTCATTTAGTTTTCCCCCAGACCTTTCTTCGAGAACGACACTTCCACTTTAGCATATTTTTACTTCATTTAGTTTTCCCCCAGACCTTTCTTTGAGAACGACACTTCCACTTTAGCATATTTTTGTTTCATTTAGTTTTCCCCAGAACTTTCTTTATGAACGACACTTCCACTTTAGCATATTTTTGCTTCATTTAGTTTCCCCTCAGAACTTTCTTTAAGAACGACACTTCCACTTTAGCATATTTTTGCTTCATTTAGTTTTCCCCCAGACCTTTCTTTAAGAATGACACTTCCACTTTAGCATACTTTTACTTCATTTAGTTTTGAAACAATTGACGGCACAGCCAATGCTGAGTCCGACTTTGTTGCAAAGAAAGAGACGCTTGTTTTTGAACCTGACGAAATCAAGAAGGAAGTACCGATTGAGATAATTGACGATAACGAATGGGAGGAAGATGAGGTTTTCTTTGTGAAGCTTTCTATTCACGAACCTGCTGATGAAAACGTTGAGATAGGACATCAGAGTATCACTGAGATCACAATAATTAACGATGATGGTATGTAGTGGGATATAAAAGTATCACTGAGATCACAATAATTAACGATGATGGTATGTAGTGGGATATACGAGTATGTCTGAGATCACTATAATAACGATGGTAGTGTTTGGTAGGATGTAAGAGTATATGCGAGATCACAATAATTTACGATGATGGTATGTGGTACGATATCGGGGTATCTCTGAGATGACAATTGTTAGCACAATCAGGTGTATTTCTTAGCGCTGTGGTCAGGTTAAAGTTAGGGAAGGGATATGATCAGGAACGTGTAGACAAACTACTTATTTGTCAACGTACCAGTTAGAACTTATCTTTAACGACGAAATTACAAGATCAAATTTGAAGCGTGGCGAGTGGGGACATAAAAAGACGTTCATCACTCGTTAATTTATACCTTCCATCTTCGTAGATTGTTTCGTTTGATTTAAATGATATCACGTGATATCAATTGTGAAGCTGAAAACTTTCTCTCGCGTGTGTTGAATCTAATTCTCTTTTATTTGACCAGAACCTGGCGTAATAGCTTTCCAAAAACCAAGCTACGTTGTAAAAGAAAGCATCGGCAAAGGCAGTTTTCTCTTGGAGCGTACCAAAGGTACTGATGGCCGAGTTACCGTTTCCTGGGTGACCAAAGACCAATCAGCAATCAACGGTAAAGATTATATTGGCGGCAAGGGTACTGTTATCTTTGAACATGCCGAACAAGTAAAGACGATTGACATTGAGATAAGCGACGATAAAGATTTCGAAAAAGATGAGACGTTCATTATTGAATTGAAGGATCCTACTGGTGGTGCGAAACTTGGCCGACTACAGAGTACAATTGTAACTATTGTGAACGATGACGGTAGGGAAATGTTGTAACTTTGAATTGTTTTCTTCGTATCTTTGTATTTTTTTCTGTAATTTTGACTTGTTTTTGTTGAGGAACGTTAACGAATGCGATTATTTGTCTATCACGAGAATTTTCATTAAAACTCAAGGGAAACTTACTTCTCCCTTGCTGCACGTATGATCCATTTCTGAGTATTCGACCCCCCCGTACTTTCTTTCAGAATACAAGAAGGTGCTCGATCGTGTAGTTGGCCTTACTCATCTTAACCTCAATCGCATGGCACTCGGCTCGGAGACCTGGGGACAACAGTTTCGCACGGCCATGACTGTAAATGGTGGCGACATCGAGAATGCGTCATCGATGGATTACTTCATGCATTTCGTCACATTTCCATGGAAAGTAAGTCCACAAAAAGGAATCGTTTTTCTTGCCCGTTTGTCATACTGTTCCATCCTTTGCCAGACCGGTCAGAGATTCAGTTCTTTCTATGTAGGTTACTCTTCATCGTCCTCCCCCGTTTTACCCACAACACTTTGTTCTTTGCTCCATACAGTATAAAACAAATTCTGAAAAAGCAAGACATCTTGAGATCACAAAATATGCATCAAAACAAGACATCCTGAGATTGCAAAATATGCATCAAAACAAGACGAGAAGTGAACTGTAAATTTTCGACTTTATTTCGAAGTCATCCTCAGACAGAATAAGGATGACTTTGATGTTTTGCTTAATTGGTTGGTGTAAAAATAATCTCAAGATGTTTTGCTTTTTCGGAATTTGCTTTATATTATATTTCTTCAAATTGTCGTCTGGTCATGTTTTTTGCTCCATACGAACTGTACTTTTCTTCCACAGATTATCTTTGCCATTTGTCCACCTTGTACATGGTTTGGTGGATGGCTGGCATTCTTTATTGCCTTGGCAATGATTGGTCTTCTCACAGCAATAGTCGGTGACCTTGCTACTATCTTTGGTTGTCTGGTTGGTCTCAAGAAGGAAGTGACGGCAATTACGTTTGTCGCTATGGGAACCAGTCTACCTGATCTTTTTGCCAGTAAAACCGCGGCAATTTCGGAGACATGCGGACGCATCCGTGGGTAACGTCACGGGTAGTAATAGTGTTAATGTGTTTCTGGGTCTGGGTACCCCCTGGGTTATTGCTGCTGCTTATTGGCTCGCTAAGGTAAGAATAAGACCTGATCAATTTTCCAGGGGGGGGGAAATAGCTGAAGATAGCTACAATTAAAAAATTGAATACATATAAAAAATAAAGATAGATACTCTTCAGAATAGTAGACAACTCACTTTTAAGATAGATTTGGGATATGATATATTATGGGATGGGATAGAATGGGATGGAATGGGTTGGGCTGGGATAGGATTGGGCAATATAGGACAGGATAAGGTAGGATAGGATAAGATGGGATAAGATAGGATAGAATAGGATATAATAAAATAGAATAGAATATAATGGGATATCATAGAATAAGGTAAGATAGAATAAGATAGGATAGAATTAAATGATGACGATGTAATATTTACGAAAAACTGCAGTATATGTTTATCAAGGCAAATATCGTAAATGGTTTGAACCCGGGAGTATCGTTACATGTTTGTAAATGTAGAACGTCCAGGTTGGTATAGTCCTGAGAAGGACTGTTTTTGATAATATAACACACAATACAATGACGTAAGAACCAGATAACAAATACGGCCAACCTGACGTTTACTCCTCATTTTGACTCTGAAGATGACTACTGCTAAGGTTGTCGAAACGTCAGTCAACAACAACAAAAACAGTCCTTCTCAGGACTATACCAACTTGGACGATCTACATTTACAAACATGTAAGGCAAATATCGTTATTTCTCGATCTTAGGACACAGCGATATCTTGAGGAATCACTCATTAGTATTCGTCATAGTTTGTTTTCACTCTTTTTTTCTTTTTTTAATCAGGGTGAAGATTTTAAGGTAGAAGCCGGAGCACTGACTATCAGTGTGATTGTTTACGCCATATGTGCAACAGTATGTTTACTTTTCCTCGTGTTGCGTCGTCGACTTGCGTTGTTCGGCAATGCTGAATTAGGTGGTGTATCAAACATGAAATATGTTACTGGTGCTTTCTTCATCTCGTTGTGGTTCTTCTACATCATTATATCGTCACTTGTATCCTATGACGTCATTGAGGCGAAAATTTGAACCAAGGCAACGCATGGGGATATTTTTAATGGTAAAAATTCTTTGTTCTACAAGTACGCAAAAAACGATCTCTAATTCGAACTCTAATTCTACATAGAACTTGGTTATAGCTGACGCATTGGATTAGGGATCAATTTTGCATGACGTACAACACTTTACACCAAATTGCAACCTTTTTAATTCTCTTACATGGAGCCCTCGCATTTCACTCTTAATCCTGATCCAATCTACTCTTACGTGAGTCCTTATATTTCATTCTTAATCCTGATCCAATCCAATGCGTTTGCCTCTCTGGTGGTTTGTTTCTTGATTTGTTTGGGAATTTCCTTAAAATTTTGAAATTGTTTAATCGTTTAACATTCATCCGCTATAAATATTTTTGTAATTTAATGAAATCACTTGTAAAAAATGTGTGGCAATAAGATTTGTGTAGGAAAATACTTATGTTGGAGAAGGAGGTTAGATCTGACGTAAAAATTTTGAATTGAATTCTTTGCACAAATCTTTAATAACAACATAACAGTAGTATATAGAGCGTCGTTTCTGGCGCACCTCACACCTTGAGACCTAGTAAACCACGCTCTATATACTACTATAACGAAGGGTTTTAGTACATCTCTTCGCTATGGTAAAGTGTAATTTGACTAATTTCTATCATTTTCTGTGATTGTATGATGTACTTATATATAAAATCAAAGCATAAATCCATCCGAAATTCTACATTGACTATAATCTGCTGATATTAGAAAAGGCATAAACTATGTATACTGTATTTCTTAATGTGTAATAAATGGTAGAGATGACCTTTAGCGTTGTAGCTGGACCTCTTAGGCCAATTTCACGTAGCCTATATTGCACCATATAATATAAAAGAAATATTTGATCATTTAAAGAATCTCTTATAAGGCAAGAAGGTACATATTAACCTGAACAATAATGGCACAAAGAATTATTTCTAAAGATAAATCTAATTGAAAGTACTATCCAGCCAGCTTCGTGCTACTGACTTCTGGCTGAATGCCATCTGGAATTTATACTGATATAGGCATATTCAAATTGGTGGTTTTTTAAAAATCGCTTTTCTTTCACGTAGGAAGGCTGAAAAGTTCAGCTTGCCTTGCAAATTGAATATTTGATAATTTGAATTCACAGTATAAGGTCATTATCATTGCCATTATGGTATTTGGAAAATGGAAATTTATTTCCCCCTCCCCCCCAGGAAACGTTTTGCGCATCACTACTCCGCATGCGCGGTAGGGAATGGTTACAAAATATAGAACGTTAGTGAATTTGATGAAAATTGACATAAGATTTTTTTTACGTTAACGATGTGTTGGACTTTTGAACTATGTTAATATGGATTTGAGGAAAGGTAACTCCTTTAGAAATGGCCTGCTTTATGCTGGTTTCAATCAAGATCAAGGTATAGAGGAGCGATTTGAGAGTGATGATTTTTTGTTGAGTTGGCTTTTCTTGTACCACGCGAATTGCCCGGAAGCTTCAAGTGTTGTAATAATTCTAGGTTGTTTTGCCTGCGGAATGGAAAATGGTTTTCGCATATACAATTGCGATCCGTTAAAGGAGAAAGAGCGTCAAGGTATTTCGTTCAAAAAGGAGATGCACTTGATTTTTTAAAATTTACGACAAAGTTTGCGCCTTACAAACTTTACATGCTGACGGAAGGGGGGCTGTATGCTGAGTTGGTCGTAGATTTAGATCTGATTACCCCGGTCATGCAAGTATAGTGTATTGCTCTTCACTGGCATAATTGCACATTTATGTTAAAACATATTGTTTATTGATGTTAATGGATTTACCCAACTTCTACTAAATTTTTTAAATGTCATCATGAGCATTGACCACTATTGAAAATTCTCTGAATAAATTGCCGGTAGGTATTTTATATCCGACGTGAACATATTTTATATTATTAGATTTTACTGATGGAGGTATTGCTTATGTGGAAATGCTGTTTCGATGCAATTATGTTGCGCTTGTTGGAGGAGGAAAAAATCCAAAATACTCTCCAAATAAGGGTAATTATGCTAAATAATTTTATACATTTTGATATAATGTGAATAACTTTATTGTTTTATGCAGTTCTTATTTGGGACGACCTAAAAAGTCAATTGTCATTCAACTGGAGTTTTCTAGTGATGTACGAGCCGTGAAATTACGCAGGGATAGGTATGTGCAGAATGCTATTTTTTAAGAATGCATCATCAACATGGGATCGTGTTGTATCATTATTGTTTCTCTAGGATTGTTGTGGTTCTTGATACAATTATTAAAGTTTTCACGTTCACACAAAATCCTCAACAACTTCATGTATTTGAAACATCACCAAATGTGAAAGGTAGTTTATAGACAAAATTATTTGTCTTGTAGGACATGTTGCACAAGACAGGAAAGTTCAGCATGTTTAGATTGATTTCGACTTTAATATTTTGTTTTACTTCACTTGTCGATTGTGTATATAAGGGGATATTTTTTGTCCCCCGATTTGAATTATAAGCAGGGAATTTTTTCCAAGATAAAGTGAAAAAAGATTCTGTTATACATTTCTTTAGGTTTATGTGTGTTGTGTCCCAGCAGTAATAATTCACTGCTAGCATTTCCTGCCAGACGAACTGGACATGTCCAGATTGTTGATCTTGCTAACACAGAGCGAGCACCTCTCGACATAAATGCTCATGAAGGAACACTAGCATGTATTTGTCTGAATCTTCAGGGTACAAGACTGGCTTCCGCTTCAGAAACGGTACTTTCCTGGAAATATTCCTTTTTCACTTCATATTTTAAATAATTGGGATTATGGACTGGCATTTGAGATGAGTATTTGTTGTTTCTAGGGAACGCTTATACGTATTTTTGACATGAGCAATGGTGATTTACTAAATGAATTGAGACGAGGATCTGGTAATGCAAACATTTTTAGGTAAGGATTGATCAGTGTTCACAAGTTAACATTACAAACGCTTGAAATAGTTTCATAAATTTTGAGTATTAACAAAATTGTACAACTTTTTCAACTTATTTATTTCTATGTGTGTTTACGTAAGCAGTTTTTCCACTTCAATTCAATTTCAAGCTAATAGATTTGCCCAACAATGCAGTTTTCTTAATTTGCTAACCATTTGGTTATGTCATTGCTTATGGGAAGTGGCAGGCAGCGACATAGGAAAGTACATGTTTTTAAGCAGGGATGGATCAAGATTGATTTTGTTTGAAGGGGTGCTTTAGTTTTTATAAAATGTCTTTTGGATCAGATTTTGGTGGCTCCTTTGGATTAGTTTGGATAAGTTTGGATTTGGTGGCTCCTTTGGATAAGTTTGGATTAGATTTTGGTGGCTCCTTTGTGAGAGTCGTTATATCTTTCAAATGTCCAACTTTTAGTGGGTTTGAGACCCTGAGAAATGTGTGATTTGACTGTTGTTTTAGCTTAATTGGTTGGTGTAAAAATATTTCGTAAGGAAATTTGCACCCCCCTGCATCCCTTCAAGACCCTGAGAAATGTGTGGTTTGACTTTTGTTTTAGCCTAATTGGTTGGTGTAAAAATATTTCGTAAGGAAATTTGCACCCCCCTGTATCCCTTCAAGACCCTGAGAAATGTGTGGTTTGACTTTTGTTTTAGCTTAATTGGTTGGTGTAAAAATATTTCGTAAGGAAATTTGCACCCCCCTGCATCCCTTCAAGCCAAGTCAAGGAGGGGTGCATCCCTTGAATCCATCACTGTTTTTAAGGGTGTCTGGGCATAACATTTGCCAACAAATTGGCCCTGGAATGGTTGTGGTGTGGATGTATATATATATATAAATAAATATTAAAATTTCATTAAAAATTACTGGTAGAGGAACATTTTTAGCCCTGGTAACTGGCACGTTTATAAAGTTTTGTAGTATATATTGTATATATTTGCATGTTGAACGTCCTTTCAGGTCTTTTCTTTTGAACGTGAAAAAAATTAATCATAAATCTGACTTTTTTTTAGCATAAATTTCAACAATGATTCGTCGTTGTTGTGCGTGTCAAGCAATCATTGGACTGTTCATATATTTGAAGTAGAAGACACAAAGAAATCTAAGCAGTCAAGGTAAAAAAAATGGTCAAGATAACTGTTGTTGTAGTTTTTATCCACAAGCGTCCTTTGTATCCACCTTATTCATTTATAAAAGTGGGAGCTCTGCCCCTATTTACGCAACCAGCTCTGCCACGAAAGATAGCTGACGATAAGCCTTTAATCAAGATAAATGAATTTTGATACTGTGTTTGCACAGGCTTATGCAAACCTGAGGAGACCTTCGGGAGAACTCGAGAGCAGATCGGTACAAGGTCGGAGTGAAGGTCGAGGCTTTGCACATGCTCGAGAGTTCTTACCAACGTCTTAATGGCAAATGTTTTATTCGTGATAGATTTTTCAATCTCTTTTTGATTGATTTTATTGATTGAGCTCAGATCCGTTCAAAATGTGCCATAGAGCAATCAGCGCGCGCGTTGTAGTTTTGTTATTTTATGAACAATCTTGTCAGAAAAGATATAATTAATTTTCTTTTACATTGGAAACGTGACTGTGAAAATATGGATAGGTTTACTACCGGGATTTTAAAATAATTTTCATTAACTGAACTTCAACGCTTTAATTTGAACGCTATTCCAAAGTTAAAAAAATAATTAACCAATTGTACAAAGGCATCTTGGGCGCCCGCGCTACTTCCGAAATTAGCCTTAATTCCATTCAGTGCAAAATGTCGCGCGATCGAATTTTTGCGATCACTTTCCTTTGAATTGTGTGCAGCAGTGTGAAACTGTTCCATTCGAGAGCTTACAATTGAAAGGAAAGTCATCTCAAAAAGTCGATCGCGTCGTAATTTGCACTGAATGGAAATCAGCCTTTAGTCGCCTTAAGGAGCGGCTACTTATGGAGGGATGCGCTTTGTTTCAATTTGTCATCTTCAGCATGAATTAACTTCAATGTTTAACTCTTAGTCCACGTTTTATATACGGTATTTTTCAATGTATTCAAAGTTGTGTAAGGTTGTTGGTGGTTTACACAAATGCACGTAAACGTTTCATTTGGATAAAGTGTAAATATTGTAAAACTCTTAAAAGTTCTATAAAAAGGGCGGTTACTTTCATGAGGGCGGTTACTTTCACGAGGGGCGGCTACTTTCAAGAGGGGCGGTTACTTTCAAGAAGGGCGGTTACTTTTAAGAGGGGCGGTTACTTTTAAGAGGGCGGTTACTTTTAAGAGGGCGGTTACTTTCAAGAGTTACTTTCAAGAGGCGGTTACTTTCAAGAGGGGCGGTTACTTTTAAGAGGAGGCTATTTTCGAGACTCTACGCTGTATTATTACTGTAGTTATTTTAAATATTTTATTGTTTTGTGGCAGTTGTAGCTATTTGATTTTCCCATCACGATAAATGATGACCTGTCGTAATGATTTTGCAATAGTTATTTTTTAAGACTATTTCTTTCTTTGTTAGTTTTCGTCCTCTGAAATATTTCAATTCAACTTGGAGTTTCTCGAAGTTTCGCGTTCCGGAGGGTGCACCATCTATATGCGCATTTGGTAACGATAAGAACACGGTTATTGGTAAGCATGCGCATTGACTGTAGCAAATCCAGTGAACTGTAATGTGTGTAATATTAACTGTAACGCTTACCCTAACCTTAAAAACGACCTTTTCACAATATAAACAAACGAGCAACTAAACACATTACACTTCACACTAATTCACAATGACAATACACAATTGACACCCAAACATCACAACTAAAAACATTACACTTCACACTAATTCACGATGACAATACACAATTGACACCCAAACATCACAACTAAAAAGATTACACTTCACACTAATTCACAATGACAATAAACAATTGACAACCAAACATTACAACTAAAAACATCACACCTAAATCACGCATCACAACTAAACACATTACACTTCACACTAATTCACAATGACAATACACAATTGACACCCACACATTACAACAAAAAACATCACACCTAAATCACACATCACAACTAAAAACATTACACTTCACACTAATTCACTATTTGAGGTTGTCGAAACGTCAGTCAACAACAACAAAAACAGTCCTTCTCAGGACTATACCAACCTGGACGATCTACATCTACAAACATGAAATCTAGCGTCATGTTGTGTCATGCATGAAATGTTTTATTTTCATGCAAGTTCTTCCATTTTAGCCGATATTTATTGTTCGTTGATGCAAAAATGTTTTTATCGGATAAGTTTACCAATGTATTTTACAGCACAAACAACTGCTGCCGGAGATGAACAAAGTCCGGCTTCGGCAGGCAAAAATAACAGGAGCTCCGGCCTAACTTCAGCCTGACTCCGGCCTGACTTCGTCCTAACTTCGGCCTGACTTCGGCCTGACTCCGGGCTGACTCCAGTGTACAGCACTTATTTTGTAATATAAATTTATCCAAAAAATGAGGTGTGAAAATTTATTTTGACTAAACCTAGGTGTGCAACTGCTTCATAAGTCTGTGCAGTCGACGAACACTTTTCATCGATTCCTTGTATAGCGTTTTAAAAGAAATTTCTTTTCTCATTTCAAGCCGTTTGTGCTGATGGCAGTTACTACAAGTTTGCATTTAATGCGAAAGGCGAATGTACGAGAGACGCTTATGCACAGTTTCTACAGATGACTGATGGGGATTGACGGGGATATTAATGATGATACCTGGTGGTTCGTCACGTAGCTCCTATTATCTATTGGTCCGTAAGTTTTTTAAAGTAGATATCCGTTGGTGTAAGATATAAATTCTGTTCAGACAGTATATTTGGTTGGACGTTATCTGCAAAAAACTTGTAATTTTTGCTTCTTATATTGAGATACGTGTTTGTTATGTAATGAGATCTACGACATCCCGATAGGTTTGTTGCCTCTTCGAATATCAGTAAATGAAATTTAATAGAAATTCAATTATTTTTAATTTGCAATGTTTGATCGCGTTCTTTGAATTTTATTGCTGTTTGCTTTTCTCTCTTTACGAGTTGTATTTTTGTTTTCGTTGGCTTAGTAACATTGTAAGTACTAGCAAACTAAAATGCCAGCTGTATTTGTTGAAATAGTATCGACGATTTGCATTTTGTTTTTGCGTTTTTTTATCGTTTAAAATTCATGTTTTTTATACATCATATTTATTTTCAAATGACTTTTTGAATCTTTTTTTTGCACATTTTTGCTGCAAAATAACATCTCCAAAGCACGATATTATCTTAATAAATACTCGAAGGAATTTTCAAAGCTTAGAAACTGTACTTATTACATACTACTTACAAAATAAAACATAATTCTTTCACGGGTCTTAATTAAGTCGTTAATCTCATTAGTTTCGAAGCCCGCCTGTCATTTTTTATCCACGAATACTATTGGACACTATGCACACTAGTCTGATGTTTTTTTAATTTCGCTGGTAGCTGTAGTACATATGTAGAGCTAAACTACGAACATCTGCTTTTCATGATATACTCTTCTTGTGTCAACGTTCAGCAAGACCTGGGCTTCTCTCGTTCAAGAAAGGCAGTTTTTGTTTTTGAAATTTTTGATTTTTGTGGTCATTGTCTTCGTTGGAAAACGTAAGTTCTCTTCTGAAATATCAGTTAACAGAAGGAACTTAGCTACAAAGGTATATTGCATTGAATTTTTTGTTTGTAGCGAGATCATAAGATATAGTCTTTAAACCTATAGTAGAAACTGTTTAGCAGTATGTGCCGCTTGTAGTGGTTGTTATATGCATTCGCGAAATTTATAGCAAGCGCATTAAAAAACGTCGTTGAAATGTCGCGATACGTCATTTTTACAAGGTCTTTTAGGCGATGTAAGTCGTGTTTGCTAAATTTCTCTTTTGACGAAAAACAATGTGCCATTTTGATTTTCACTAGTTTAAAAGAGTAGCTATTTTACCCTACTTTAAAAACTTGCTTTGTATTATTTTATAAAGAGTAGCTATTTTACCCTACTTTAAAAACTTGCTTTATATTATTTTATAAAGAGTAGCTATTTTACCCTACTTTAAAAACTTGCTTTGTGTTATTTTATAAAGAGTAGCTATTTTACGTTACTTTAAAAACTTGCTTTGTATTATTTTATAAAGAGTAGCTATTTTACCCTACTTTAAAAACTTGCTTTGTATTATTTTATAAAGAGTAGCTATTTTACCCTACTTTATAAACTTGCTTTATATTATTTTATAAAGAGTAGCTATTTTATTCTACTTTAAAACTTGCTTTATATTATTTTATAAAGAGTAGCTATTTTGCTACTTTAAAACTTTTTATGTTATTTTATAAAGAGTAGCTATTTTACGTTACTTTAAAACTTGTTTGTATTATTTTATAAAGAGTAGCTATTTTACCCTACAAAAAAACTTTGTTATTTTATAAAGAGTAGCTATTTTACCTACTTTAAAACTTGCTGTATTATTTTATAAAGAGTAGCTATTTTACGTTACTTTAAAACTTGTTTTATATTATTTTATAAAGAGTAGCTATTTTACCTACTTTAAAACTTGCTTTGTTATTTTATAAAGAGTAGCTATTTTACGTTACTTTAAAACTTGTTTTATTATTTTATAAAGAGTAGCTATTTTGCCCTACTTTAAAACTTGTTTTGTTATTTTATAAAGAGTAGCTATTTTACGTTACTTTAAAACTTGCTTTGTATTATTTTATAAAGAGTAGCTATTTTGTCTACTTTAAAACTTGCTTTGTATTATTTTATAAAGAGTAGCTATTTTCTACTTTAAAACTTGCTTTATATTATTTTATAAAGAGTAGCTATTTTACCCTACTTTAAAACTTGTTTTGTGTTATTTTATAAAGAGTAGCTATTTTACGTTACTTTAAAACTTGCTTATTTTATAAAGAGTTATTTTACGTTAAAAAACTTGTATATTATTTTATAAAGAGTAGCTATTTTACTTTAAAACTTGCTTTGTATTATTTTATAAAGAGTAGCTATTTTACTACTTTAAAACTTGCTTTGTGTTATTTTATAAAGAGTAGCTATTTTACCCTACTTTAAAACTTGCTTTATTTTATATAAAGAGTAGCTATTTTACGTTACTTTAAAACTTGCTTTATATTATTTTATAAAGAGTAGCTATTTTTACTTTATAAACTTGCTTTTATAAAGAGTAGCTATTTTACCCTACTTTAAAAACTTGCTTTATATTATTTTATAAAGAGTAGCTATTTTACCCTACTTTATAAACTTGCTTTGTATTATTTTATAAAGAGTAGCTATTTTACCCTACTTTATAAACTTGCTTTATATTATTTTATAAAGAGTAGCTATTTTACCCTACTTTATAAACTTGCTTTGTATTATTTTATAAAGAGTAGCTATTTTACGTTACTTTATCAGAAGTCGTATAGTTAAGATAACGTATGATTGTTCAAATAGCGTGTGCCTTGCTTGTTTGGCTTAGTATCATTGGTAAAAGCGAAAAAGAAATAATGAAGTAAAACGTTCACTGATATAAACGTTTACTGCATTATGTTTAATCCTGATATCGGATCACACATTTTTTCGAAAAAGAAATAAATACCAATAATTTAAAATAACGCAGATTTGCCCTTAAACTTAGCATTTAAGAACTCAACAGATATATTGTACATTCATGTATGAAAAATAACTTCCACGGGCAAACAACATTAGAAGAAAACAAGAAAACAGCTACAAAATAAAAAAATATATACAAAAATAAAACAACCAGTGGGAACGCAAGCAATCGTTTATGCATGAATCATTTGTGCATGAAAAATGTCTTGCAAGCCGTGGGTTGAAACAGAAAACAAACCAAAAAAGTTTCTGCACACTAGCTCCCGTTTTTTGAGATTGGCTTTTCCGTTTGTTATAGCGTTTGATTAAAGTGAGGATGCTAAAATCCTAACAATATAGCACAAATTTATGAGATGTTCAGCTAAATTCATAGTCTAATAAGCATTTCAAAATTGTCTAATTTTTTCATACACTCTCTATGTCAAGAAAACAAGATGCGGATTTTCGGAATTTGTTTTATTTTACCTGAAGAATCAGCCTGATGAATAAAATATTTGTCTTCATTGTAGATGCAAAGGTTTTCAATCTTTATTTTATTCATATCTTGGCTGTTCCCTTTGATAATTTCTCATGGGAGCTTGAGCTACTCTACCATTCCTCCGTCTTTGACGTCAACCTCAGAAACAAATGACAACAATCAAGAAGCTTTCAAAACCAGTAGCACTACAAAAACCAACTCTACAAGTGGTTTATACTTGGCAAGTACTCTTGGAAGCGCCAACTCTTCAAATATTCATGCAACCCCATCAGACGTTCATGTCAACTCTTCAGCCATTTATCTTAAATCTTCAACCATTCATCCTAAATCTTCAACCAATCATTCCAAATCTTCAACCAATCATTCCAAATCTTCAACCATTCATCCTAAATCTTCAACCAATCATTCCAAACCTTCAACCAATCGTTCCAAACCTTCAACCAATCATTCCAAAACTTCAACCATTCATCCTAAATCTTCAACCACTCATTTTACATCTTCAACTATTCGTCCAACGTCAACAAACAGTTCATATAACTGGAAAGTTTTTCCCCCATCCGTTATCACCATTTTCATATCACCTTCTTATCCTACTTCTTCAAAACATAATCAACCAACTTCATTTTCCTCTACATCCTTTGAATTTTCTAACATTATTTCGACTACGTCCTCCTACATCGCCAATTATAATACTTCAGCCATTTCAAAGAGGAAGTACGCCGACATCTCAGTAGCACTCAATGCTAAAAATGATAGCAACTTTTTTAAAACTTCAACTGCCATAATGCAATCAAAGTTAAAGTCCAAGATGGGATCCAGGTTGCCATCCTCGATATATACCACAACTATCATAATGTCGTCGATGAATCCTTCATTTGAAATGTCAGAATCAACGTCTCAAAGATGGACACCTTTAGTAGGTAAAGCCATCATCAGAGTATATACATAATATATTAATCCATGGATTAATATATTATGTATTTAGTAGGTAACTGGTAAATATATATCTTCATAGCGACTGCAAAATGTTTTGTACAAGCAGCGAGATTTTTTTTATTTGCAAGGCTACTTGTATCTCGGGTAGAAATTACACAGTTATTACCATTTGCTTTCAACTGGTAACTGTCCCGAATTTTTCGCGTTTGTGTACGTTTCAAACGTCACGTTTGTCAGACGAAACGTCGGGTTTCAACTGGTAAACGTTACGTTTGTTCAAATCGCATATTTCTAAGTTTGTAACAGCTCTTTCTTATATTATATGGTCAATTACACTGGTCAACAGCAAATTTGGTGTCTCAATTTTGTAAACTGATTTTGGACAATTTTGAAGTGCTGAGTCCAAAAATAACACTATTTTTGCTGGGTCAGGTCGAGATTTTAAGCTATCGTTAATTTTCTATTTTTTTAACTTTTAAATACCCGAAAAAGGTACAACAGAAGTACTAACCATTTACCTTTTAAAGTTCTATTATCTGAACAAATTTAAATTTTTTAGCACTAGTAATAAAAAGTAGAAAGCATTTGAATAAGCAATTTTTGATTGAATTTCAATTAGGGAGTTTAGGTTTTGCGATTATTATGGGATATTTAAAGATAAAATAAGGCTTTATTTAGCCCATACTGGAATTCAATGGTAAAACTTGTTAAAACACACCAACATATTAATGTAAGAAAAAATAATAAAAAGTAGAAATAATAAAAATAAGCCACATGTTTTTTGCCATGTTTGTGGTGAATACACACTTGCACCAAATCGCAATACTGTCACCACCATTATCAAGCGCGTTTACTATGCATATTTTGGCATGAAGCTCGGCGATCAAGACAAAAGTTGGGCACCTCACATGGTTTGCAAAAGATGCACAGAGCATCTCCGTCAATGGAGCAAAGGCACGCAAAAGTCCACGAACTTCGGCATCCCCATGATTTGGCGAGAGCCTTAAGTCATGCAACCGATTGCTACTTTTGTGCTATCAATGTCATGGGAATTAACAGAAAAAATCGCACAACACTGGAGTATCCCAATCTACCGTCAGCTATGCGCCCTACTCCTTATAGTGAAGAAATTCCCGTACTTGTATTTGAAGATACAAGTATTGAAGAAAGTAGTAGCCAGGATGAAACTCAAAGCATTGCCACTACCGATGATGCATCCTTTCCCGATGACAATGATGAGCAGCCAAAATTGTTTTCGAAAAACGAACTAAACGATCTTGTTCGCGATTTAAAATTGCCAAAAGACTCTGCCGAACTTCTTGCATCTCGTTTAAAGGACAAGAACATGCTAAATGGTAAAGTTAAGGTAAGTTTCTTCCGTACCAGGCACCAGGAATTTTTAATATATTTTGCTCAAGAAAAGAATTAGTCTATCGCAATGACATAGTAGAGCTACTGAAACATCTCGGCGTACCTGAATACAAATCAGAGGACTGGCGACTTTTTATCGACAGCAGCAAAAGGTCCTTGAAATGTGTGTTGTTACACAATGGAAATCAATTTGCATCTGTGCCAATGGCACATTCGACAACATTAAAAGAACAGCATGAAGCAATTAAGTACGTCCTAGAAAAATTTCTTATGACCAACATAAATGGCTGATTTGCGTTGACTTAAAATGGTCAACTTCTTGCTTGGTCAACAGTCTGGATTTACCAAATACCCATGCTTTTTATGCCTCTGGGATAGTAGGGATCGTACTCATCATTACGTGAAAAAAGAATGGCCAGTACGTAAAGAGCTTGCAAGTTGTAGAGCAAAAAATGTGATAAACAAGCCTCTAGTTGACAGGGGACGTATTTTATTTCCTCCACTGCACATAAAGTTCGGTTTGATAAGGCAATTCACTAAAACTTTGGATAAAGATGGACGGTGTTCTCAGTTTCGTTGTAAAACCTTCCCCAATTTGTCAACTGAAAAATTAAAAGCTGGTATTGATCCCGAAAATCTTGGCTCTTTAAGCGATGAGCAATGAGAGCGCTTTCACCATGACTTAAGAGAAAGGTGGGACATGGTGATGATGGCGGACTACTGTTGGAATTTAAAAAGAGATGTGCAAGCACCAAAACATTCACGACAATCAAAAAAAACGAAAATTTAGACCGTAATAATGCAAACATTAAGTTTTCATTTCTGGTTACATGTACTGTACATGAAGTGTACATGATTCTTTCTTGGAATACTGCAATTTTATCATAAAAACTGACATTTTGTTTTGAAACATCTTGAAAACATGTAAATCTTGACAACATTGTTTTAAAAAAATATAACTAAAGTCGCATAATTTTAAATTCAAATTTGCAAAAAAATTTGACCTCCGAGAGCAAAATGAATGTTATTTCTAGATTTAGCATAGCAAAAATATAGTAAATCAGTCAAAAAATATCAGACACCTTTTAAAAAGTTTCTTTTTGTTGACCAGTGTTATCAAACTTTGCGAATCGCCTAAGGTATACAGATGAAATTGACCAATTTTCACGCCTGTGTTCCACAATTCTCGTTTGCTCTCACCGCGCGAGACTTTAAAATCACCTCGTAACTATTCGAAGACGGCATTTTCGTTGCACCGAATGCTAGATTTAAAATATTTAAGCAAAAATCTTGCCATCGACAGAGAAATAACTTTCCCACTGATTAAAGAGAGCGTGAATTTTACTTCGCACCCACTGAGCGTGAGTGAGCCTTAAGAATACGGTCGATAATTAAATGGCAATTAACTAATGGCACTTTAATTCTTGTATTTTACACTGAAAGGTTGTTTGCATGACTAGCTTGTTGTGTTTAGGGAAGGGGTTAAATAATTTTACAAATTAAAACTGTCCAATCTTTTCTGGGCTCTCTATTGCAGTAGTATCTTCAACAAAGTTTGAAGTTGGATTGGAAACGCCAACAGTAACACTCAATACTGATGTTGAGATTACTGAAAGTGTCGCCAACTCTGATGTTAAAACAACCAATACAAAAATGTCGTCTGCTTTCGAAAGTTCAATTATCACCAGGGATTCAAGTTTGAAGTCCAACAAGGGATCAACGCCAACTTTGATAAGTACAACGACCATGTTGACGGCTCAAAACCGGACAACTTCAGCAGGTAACTTAAATGTATTTGTATGTACAGACTACAGAGTATATAAAAAAATTGAACGCTTCGGAAAATATCCTTGCATTCATCTGCGCGCTATAATGGCCCAAACCTTTGTTGGAAATAGGTAGTTAGATTTTGTTTCATTTTTTGCGCAAGCTATGCCATAATTTTCCTAAGTCTCGGTAGCAAAATTCTCCCTCTAAAATTGTCATTATTCGCCACAACTTTACCGTCATATAAATCATTACAAGTCCAACTACATATTTCCACCAAAGGTTTATGCAAACCTTGTGCGCTGATGGGTTTAGCGGCGTTTTCCAGTAATTGTTCAGTTTTTTCAATTCACATGTTTTTCTTGTTCAATACGCGATGCTCGACAGTCTTTGATTTGAGCATGAAGGAACTCTCATAGTACATATTTTATTTGTTTGAAAAGCTTGTTCTTGCTCTGAACTTAAATATCCTGAAGATTGTGGAGAAAGATGCTGCGCTGGTGGTTATATCAACGCCACTCCAGTTTGCAATGTCATGAATTATTCTGTTCCTTACAATCATTCGCTATGCGATAAGAAGTTACAATCAGTGGAATGTGGGAAGGCTAAGGAATGTGTTTGCAAAGGTACGTGATCAAACGGATGATATACGAACAAATTTTATTTTATATTCACCATCGACAAAACATGAAAGAAAATGCTACATGACATTTTACGACAAATGGATAATATTGCGAAGTTAAACACCTCAATTCCTATTATAAGTTTTGTCTTCTGTTAAAGGGTCTCGTATATCACCATTGTCGTACATCTACGTGGTTTTCGTCGTTGTGTATGCGAAGATTGTATAGCAAACGAGGTGACTAAACACGAAAATTTCCTGGAAAAGTTTGCATAATCTTTAAATGTAACTAATATGAAATCGAACGCAAAGATGTAAAAAGTTTTAAAGCAAGTATTTTGATAACGCTTTCTAATATCTTTCTAACATCATCTTTTCTTCAACTGTTTCTTGTATGACTTTGTTAAGTTGATTAACCATTGAGTGATCCATGCCGTATATAACATGAAGTAATGCTCTTGTTTGTAACAAAGATTCTAGGCCATTGTCTATGTTATCCAGGTACAGCTGTAGCTTACCTAAAGCCAATAAGTAATTCGCTATAAGTTATTTATTTAATTTCTTGTTATATGTTAATGTTAGAAAACCTAAAAAACATAAAACAAAAAACGATCTTTCCTTCAAGATCAAATTGTGTGTTGAACATAGTGTAATATTTCAACGTATTTTTACTTATGTACCTAGCTAATAAATATACGGATAGTTATCATTAGTTGTACTTACCTATCCTATAAAGTTGAAGTGCAGTGCTTGGATGATACTTGGGATAAAATTTCAAATACCCCTGAAGAGACCTTTCGCAATATTCAAGAGCTTTGTTCCACTGTTGAGAATCGATACACAAGTCAGATATCTTATCTAAAATCTTTACGACTTGATAATTGAAACAATGTAACGTCTTCCCGCTTCGCTTAGCAACGTCTCGAAAACTCGTACAGTTTCTAAAATATTTCCACTTGCGGGAAACTTTTCGTTCATTTTTGCGAACGTGCTCTCGATTTTAGTGTAAAGATTTTGAACGCGCGACGATTTGTAAGTTTCAGGGACGATGGAACCACACTGCGGACATTTTTTGTCGATGGTATAATCTGAAAAAGATTAAATGTAAATGAAAATTTAAAAGTACAACTCAATATTGAAACATAGAAGTATTAGATTGGAACATCGAGTCATTACATTGATAAATCGAAGAATTTAATTAAAACACGGAAGAATTAGAATGAAATATCGAAGAATTAAATTGAAACATGGAATTGAAAGATTGAAACTTTGAATCATTAGATTGAAACATCGAAGAATTAAATTGAAACATGGAATTGATAGATTGAAACTTCGAATCATTAGATTGAAACATCGAAGAATTAAGTTGAAACATGGAATTGATAGATTGAAACTTCGAATCATTAGATTGAAACATCGAAGAATTAAGTTGAAACATGGAATTGAAAGATTGAAACTTTTAATCATTAGATTGAAACATCGAAGAATTAAATTGAAACATCAAAGAACTAGATTGAAACATCGAATTGAAAGATTTAAACATCGAGTTGAAAGATTGAAACATCGAAGAATTAGATTTAAACATTCAATTATGAAACTGAAACATCGATTCGAATAACTGAAATGTATGTCTTGAATAAAAAGCACAACTTCTTAATATATTTTTAGGTAACTCCACTTCAATTTTTTCTCACTTATTCAGCATGTTGAAAACAAACCTGGTCGAAAGCCAACTCCTTGTTTACATTCGTCATTTCGGCATTTCACAGCGTTCATTTCTGTGCCGTGTTTTACTTCATGTAGGCAACGCGAACACCAACAATCGAAGTAGTAATGCTCCTTGAGGTATTGACGTCGTTCTGCTGGAGGTCGTAACAGTTCTGTGTAACTAATGCAAAGCTCCTGGTCCTTTTCAATCTTACAAATGTTACGTATGTTGCATTTTGGACCATCGAAAACGACGATACAGTTTGGGGCACACGAATGGTTGAGAAATGCCACAGTTGGGTACAGGCCGAGACCTGAATAATTGAATTGAGTTCGGGCATCATGTCGACAGAAAAAATATTGTGATGAAAATTGCTTTCAACGAGATGTCCGGGTACCCATTTTTTAAATTGTAAAATAAGGAATCTGATATGATTAAAACTATCACAAAAACTGCTGATATTGAAGAGGGAAAAATAAAAGGACATAAGTGAACGTCGAAGTGAAAAAGGCTTTAGATTGACAAAGAAATTGTGTTTTTAGTAGTTTTCGCTCTGTTGCCGTTCAAATCTCACAAGTAAAGTAGCCCTTGATAACCCCTCCCATTGTCCCCCCCCTCCCATTGTCCCCATGAAATCGTATCATTAAAGGTTTCAAAACACGACAGTAAAGCAAAGGAAGAGTATAAAACTGCTCTGAGATGAAGAGAGAAGCAATAAATGCTAACCTAAAGGTTTGTTTTCTTCATCGCATACTGTAAATGCGTTGCAGTTAACTTTACAAAGCAGTTCAAACATTGATTCACGGCTCCAATGTGAAGCGCCATCTAGATAACGCCGTATGACTTCTATCATAGAAGCAAACATTTCGCCTGCATTTTCTCGTATCTGTGCAGAATTGCTCTCTAGATCCTTTGTGTAATCAGATTTTTCACTTGCCAACAATAATAAAGCCGTGAGGCGGACCGTATCGGTAGGCATTGTAGGAGATATTTTTTTTAGGTATTTGCATTCAAGCTTGTGCATTGACCATGCTTTTTTCTGGCAGTGTGCATTGCAGTAGTACACCATTCTACACTTAGAGCAGCGATGTAATTTCTCTTTCAAAGAAAACAAACATCGCAAATTTTTTGGTGAAATTCTTTGCGTGAGACCAATGCAAGTGGATATGAAGATATAACATTAGTTCCTTTATTTAAAACACATGTCGCTTTCGTAGCCCTACCACGAGAAGTTGTTTTAAATACCTCAGTAGTATTTGTATTGGACATTTTTGTTGCTTGGTCGTCCGCCATATTGCAATTTATCAAATACTTCATGTTTCACAAAAGAAATTAATCATAAATAGTTTAGCAATACTTCGTGTACCGGTGTTGAAAGTAATTAATATTTAAAATATATACGTAATTACATTTTTAGGAATGATGTCACGAAACGACACATTTTGAGCTCTTTTTGTGCGTTTCTTTGCTTGTATGAAACGCAAAACATCATCAAACACGTTTTCTAAGTTATCACCATTTAACGAAGAGCATTCGATATAATGACATGCGCCAATGCTTTCCTTCGTCTCCAGGCCTTGCTCGATTGTGACAGGAGTGGAGCCGCGTAATTTCAATAATTCAAGCACGTTCTCATCGTTTCGCAGATCAACTTTTGTACCAACGAGAAAGACGGGTGTGTTTGGACAATGATGGCTTACTTCTGAAAACCACTGAAATGAAAGAAAAGTATAAAAAAGACGTTTTGCAAATCCTTGATTAATAAAAATCATGAAAATCATGAGCCAGCCAGCCATTTGAGCCAGCATGCAAATTGTGACACGCATGTGTGAAATGGTGTGAAACCGCAGGGCAAACTCATTCGACTCTACAGTCTACTTGAGAAAAATAAAGCATTTCTAATAAAATATATTATGCATTCATGCTTGAAAATCTCGTAGACGACTTGCAAAATATAACTTCTTGTCGATGAATTTCTAACGTAAAATCAATACTTTTCATCCAAACTTTTAAAAGCATTTTGTCAACGAAGCTCAAAGGCGAAAACTGCATTAATTCTTTTCTTGGTACCTTCTCAGTAATACTTTTAAGAGAAACAGGCTCGGCAATAGAAAAACATAGAAAAAACACATCCTGTAAAAGAAAAGCGATAGATATTTCATTCAAAACGAGCAAGAAGCTCAACATTTCTCGAAAGTATAATGTATTTTAGAGAACTGTTGATCTTACCGTGTTTGTGTAACAAGTTGGTCTCAGACGATCATATCCATCTTGAGCTGAGGACAAAACAGAATAAAATAAAATTCAATTGAATGGCGGTAAAATTTGAGAGGAATAGTGCATTATGTTGAAAATATCTAAAAAAGTTGTTATGCAAAAATATGTTTAAATTTTTTTATACCGGGTGTGTCCCAAATCTCCAACAAAAAGGGCACTCCATTAAAGAAACGGGATTTTGTACACTTCTCTGCGCTTTGAAAATAAAAGCTATGTTAAATTGATTGTTACCATGTAGAAAGGCGCATTCTGTATTCTTACACGTAGGTAATGTATTCTCCTGGCACGACACCGTCTACATATGTCAACACTAACGTTGTTTTTCCAACTGCGCTGTAAAGATAACAAGGAGATGTCGAGAACAATTGAAAACGTAACTTTCCCAACATTGTCACATGTAGAGCGTTTACACTACAAACAAGAAACGCCGCGACAGGCATTCAATGAAATGGCGATTGAAAAACTTAGCTTTCTTGTACATTAGAGCTTTGGTCGTGCGCTCAAAACGACTACTATAAGTCTATAACTACTACTGCGCTTCGGAATATATGACAGGAAATGATACGGGGCTCTGATTGTTGGTTCAATGCTTTTGGTCGATCCGTTCTAAAATCTTTAAAAACAATGCGAAAATTTGTTTCAATTATGCTGCACATGTTTGCAACAATAATGTAACTAGAGCTTCTGAAAAAGATTATGGAAGATAGTTTTTTAGTATGGACTGAAAACATGAACTCGTGCGTTCTTCTAAGACCCAAAAAAATCCAAAATATTTCAACCTAGAAATATCCCTTAGTGATATTTTTTTCAATCAAGACTCTACTCTCGAGTGGCACGATGTATCAAGATTAATATCCATAGTTGTGCTGCAGCGCAATGATAAACAGATATTAGATTTTTAAATAAACAACATTTTTCAAAGCAAACGTGTTCAGGCATATTTTTACCATATTCAGTGCAAGGTTTATTTACGGTTATGATATTTGAATGCGGTCGTTCATGAAATTTAGTTTCAGCTGCCGCAACGGTCTCATTGACAGTGACACATAGTGTTAGGGTAGACTGGGAACTAATTAATCAGTGATCTTAGAAGCTGATTTAAAAGTCTACAAAGATGTCCATAGGAAGTCAAGAAATTTTAATGAATGTGACCACCTACCCATCGCCAACAATAACGATCTTTATTGTTTGTTGTTCAATTTGGGCCATACTTATTTTTTGACCAGTAAATCGAAACAGTCATCGGTGAAATTTTGTTATCCTTCAGGATATTAGACAGGTTTTGTAATATTTTCGTTGTTTATATGATTTGACAGCGATATACAGAATATTGGCACAGAATGACTCCGCTAGTTGCTACAAGTGGATACAAGACGCGAATGTCATGACGTCATGAATGACGATGCATACAAGGCCATCATCGACGTCAACGACAATGATAAAGTATTTAACAAAAGTTGTTAATCGCAGTAGCGGACTAGCGTTAAAATAAATTACAACAGCCCGTTCATTTGCAGTATTTAACTATTTAACCAATAGTCCTAAAGATATTTTGAATTTAAAAACAGCGGTTATAATTTATGTTGCCTGACCATGGACCGCAATAGCTCATTGCTTTGAAGTGCAATTTTTATGTTCTTCAAAGATCAAGGCGAACTTTCGCTCTCGACACACTTGTTCAATCTTGCATAGTTTCACATACTGTATGGTCTATTGCTCCTGACAGCCTTATTGCAAGCATAGCACATTCTTTCAAGCGGGGAAATTTGGTAATCTTAGCTTATTCTTTTTACTTCCTTGTTTTCCATTCCATCAGATCTGCGTGTGCAAATTATTCAGCGTTTCGTTTGCGTTTTATTTCCGTGTTTGACGCGTTTGACGCAGAGGCTTGATGTGACAACTGAGTAATTGAGTTCGAAAATGCCGACCGGCGATTGCTCCATATGGCTCGCTCATAACCTTTTTAGACTAAAAACAACGTTTCGTGTGAAGACTTAAAAAGCTTTTATAGATTTAAATCTTTAGATTATGATAAAAACGAGAGCAATTTCCGTCAATTATGTCTGTATTACGAGAACTGGAATTGAGGTGCGGTTTCCCCGGTCGGTAAATGTGATGTAAATCGCTCATGAAAAGATGAAAAGCTTTATTTTAGCCCGCAATTCGGGCAAATCTATTTTTTGTTTCTTTGCTGGGGGTGATATAAATTAAGGGTGTGTGCCCACAGTGAAACCGGTAGAAGGAATTTCTCAGCATACAAATTAAACCGTTCAACGTTCGTAAGGGGTTTAAGAAGTAACGTTTCTGGTTGTCCCTTGCTTTCATTAACACTTTTCACTCATTTTGGAATACTCAACTTACCAAGTGTATTGCTATGCAGGCGATAAAGTGTGTTGTTGTTGGCGATGGGTAAGTTCGAGTAACTCAGCACAATTTGAAATTGAATACACATCGAAGTGTTCACTAGTTTACAGATCGATGCCCTTAAACGAACGAGTCAAGTATTCTCCTGTATATTAGACGTTTCGGTAAAGCTATGTCAAGAAATTGTAATCAATCTTACAATTTAGAATAAACGAAATTACTTAGAGATTACTGAAGCATGCTTTAAGATACTTCGCATTTATTCCAACAAGCTAATCAGGAAGCTCCTTTTGGGCAGTGAAATCGATTTTCACTGATTGTATCGCATACACGTTATGAGTTTTTTTGATTATTTTACAGCGCCGTTGGTAAGACGTGTTTACTAATCAGCTATACAACGAATGCCTTTCCTGGTGAATATATTCCGACTGTGTAAGTTCTCAAAACGAAGCTTGACATTTTTTAAAGAATTGCGACTTTCGTAAGGTTAATTGCAACTGTTGATACAACCATCCGAACGATATTTCCATCTTCATCTTGTAGTTTCGACAATTATTCAGCTAATGTTATGGTAGATGGAAAACCCATAAATTTAGGATTGTGGGATACGGCTGGTAAGTTTGTAAAAGATTGTAGATTTTGTATTCTTGTAGAAATATGTTATAGGTGTGTGTTTAATGTCATAAAAGTTCCTGGTCACTACGTATGGAATTTTTTTCGGGTATTTAGTTCCTTGTGCAATGCGTTGCTCGAAAAAAAACGTCACTTTCGTTGATCTGATGTAGCCAACCAGCTATAAGCACGCTTTGAGCCTTACCTTAGCGTGGAATGATTTTTACGCATGTTTATGTTGAGACAGTAATGCAAATTAACGCGAGAAATTACTTTAGTGGTAGTGTGGAAAAAACTTTGCAATCCTCTTGTTAATCTTCTCGCTCCCCCACCCCCACCCCCAAGAATTCTCTCATAGAAGAGCAGATTTTTGTGATTGATCAAGGTATCCAATCTGTTTTATGCGATTCCTTCATTTATTCAATTTGCTACTTTCTATCTGTGCCGGACTGGAAAGTTTGTACTTTGTAAACTGTGCACCCGAGATTCAAAATGTGCATGCATAACAATATTGTTTTCTCAAAGTTGCACACCCGAGATCTTGCATGCGCACTACAAACTTTCCAGTCTGGTATGTACGTATGGTTATGTCAATATTTACTAGTTGTGACATGTTGTCTTCTAATACATTTTATGTTCATTTGTAAAGGACAGGAAGATTATGATAGACTGCGTCCTCTAAGTTATCCACAGACGGTAAGGTGGACTAAATTTTTGCGAAATGAGATATCTATGGCTTTATTATATCTCTTAGTTTGATTTTTAATTTTGTCCATTTCAGGATGTATTTTTGATATGTTTCTCCCTTGTTAGTCCAGCTTCTTTTGAAAATGTTCGTGCAAAGGTATGTATAGAGTACGCAATATAGGGAATATACAGTAGGTCCACTTTGTGTGCAACTGGACTCTGTATATTTAATTACATTACTGGCTGCTGTTAGCCATTTCATCGTTCTTATTGGTCTAAAAAAGCAATTGACTGGCTTTCACTATTGTTATCACATGTGTGGTGAGATATGCATTGCACGAAATTCACTATACTTTGACTGGCTTTCACTATTGTTATCACATGTGTGGTAAGACATGCATTGCACAAAATTCACTATACTTTGACTGGAGTGAACATTGATTTTTTTAAATGGTTGTCTTTTTTCCGCACACTCTGTCAAAAAAATGGAACTTTGCAGTTTTTGAACTCTCAAGCTTTAGCCGCATTTTTTAAGTAAACATGAATCTTTGTGTATTTTGTCAATTATAAACAGCATGGTATTTCATGTCTGCTGAAAAAGAAAATGAAAGCGAAACTTTCATTTTCTTTAAAACATTATTTATATGTGTCACATTCCCATCAACTTCCCTTCTGATGTAGTGCTGTGCACCATAGCCATAGTTTTGTCTTCAGCAGCCAGATTTCTGTAAATGTTCTACTGAATATCCAACCACCAACATAAAATGCAACAAGCATACAAAGTTATTATTGATTAAAAAAATATAAACTTCCACAGAAACAGATAACATGTTGCTTTGTTGTATTGACAATTAGATGGTCCGAGAGTGGTAATTTTTTATACAATACATGTGTACCATCATCAGTGGCCTTTAAGCAAGTTTTTTCTCTAGCGGGACTGTAGTTTTTGAGAGACAACATGCTTTGCTTCCAAATATCATGAATGCTTTGCAGATCTAAACTGTTCGAATGAATGAATGAATGAAATTCTTATTTAAAAAGGGTAGCTCCGTCAGGTGCTAAATGCACTTGTTATCAACAGAGACCCTAAGCTGAAAGCTTGTTTTAACAGAAACCAGAGTTTTTTGAGGTAGAATGAACTTACTTCAAATTTCATCTTCTTTCTTACAGTGGTATCCAGAGGTCTCCCACCACTGTCCTAATACCCCCATTGTACTTGTGGGTACGAAGCTCGACTTACGGGATGACAAAGATACAATTGATAAACTCAAAGAGAAGAAATTAGCACCCATCACTTATCCCCAGGGTTTGCAAATGATGAAAGATATTGGTGCCGTAAAATACCTTGAATGTTCTGCTTTGACGCAAAAAGGCTTGAAAATTGTTTTTGATGAAGCAATCCGAGCAGTACTTTGTCCTGCACCACAGACAAAGAAAAAGAAGAATTGTGCCATCTTGTAATGTTTTCTGAAACAAATAAACAATCGAACACTACTGTAGATTAATTGTTAACCAACTTCGACCAAGTAAATTATAGAAATATTTTTTACAATTCCTGATTTTGAATGTGTTGATGATGGCATGAATATGTCCCGTTTGGTTTTTGGTAATAAGGTAATTTCTTTGATTTGAGTTGGTTATGTACACAACTAGGTGCATGTGATAGGATGTGGCTTAAATTTTATAATTATTATGATGTTTCTATCTAGTAACATCTATTTTTCATTTTGTATTTTCACAAATATTAAAAAGAAACATGTAACTGAACATTTATGTATTTAACTTTATTTTTGGAACTGTTACTCTAAAACAGTGAACTTCGTAGGCATGAATATTCTGTTACCAATACTTTAGCTATTATGTGTACAATGTTTGTTCTTGTATGAGGTGTTCAGTGAAACTTAGTTGGAAACTAAACTGTCATTAAAATAACATTTAATTTTTCACAAATTGTTGAGTTTGTTTTGTGTACCTAAGGAAAGAGGATTCATTTCAACTAACTGGGAAATTGTATACATAAAGCTTTCTAGTTGGGTCTGGAGTAGTGTAGGATGTGTGGGAACAGCTTTCTATGTGTAATAAAAATATGTAGTCCTTACAAATGCCATTTTGTGTTCATTATTTTATGGAAGCTGAAAATGAAAAGTCGAATGGCCCAACTTCGTATATCAGTGAGGGGAGGGGGTAGGGTAGACTACAATTATTTCGCAATCGTATAATTACTACAAGTGGCGCCAAATTTGTGTCGGCACCCAAAGATAGGATGGTTAATGGTTTTTATTTTTAGTAATATAAGTCTGGAAGCTTATTTCTCTGGTTTCTTAGTTTCCACTCATCATGCCTCAACGAAGTATATCGTAAGTTGTATCTTACTGTTGACTTTTACAAATAAATGTTAATTTCAATATCACGATCATCCTGCATTCTTCTCAAATACAAGTGTTGTATATTAAACTTTATTGGAATATCTGCTCACATCTAGATCATTTTTTACATCAAAACCTAAAGTGACGGACGAAAGTAACGACACAGAAAACCGAAAGGCGATGTAAGATATTTTTGAGGTCGTTCAACTCAAAGGCTTGCATTCACTTTTGATGCTAAATTTCTGACCGTTCTATTTTGCTAGCCATAAAGGTAGCAACGTCGACACTTCGCCCGTCAAAAAAACCAAAAAGAAAAATAGGAATAAAGTTTTAAGTGATAGTGACAACGAGGAGTGTGATGAAAGTGGTAATTGTCAAGAGACAAATGGAAAGAAGGGTGAATTAGTTCAAAATTCCTCACTTGAAGATGACAATGGTGAAGTGGGAAGTGTGAAAGAAGCTTCCTCTTCTAGTGGTGAGAAAAAACCACCCAAACGAAAGACTGGTATGAATTTTTTCATTTATTGCCTTGTTGTTTTAAAGGACAGTTGAATTATTTTCACAACCATACAATTTTCTCACAAATATTTCTCCAGCACGTAAACACATGCGAAAGAGAAAAGCAGACGAGAACAGCTCGAGCAACAGCTCAGAAAGTCATGAGGTATAAGCAAATTTTGTGACTATGTCATATTTCAACTGCCCATGTTGATGGTACATGTAACTGCTTTAATTTCATAATTCAGGAGATTCAAACAAAAAAACTGAAGGTTTGCGATGATGATGTAATGAAATGTGAGCCGAAGGAGGAATGTGAAAATAGGAAAGAGTCTACTTTGTCAGAAAGTGAAAATGAAACAATGTCTGGTTCCAAACCAAATGGAAACACAACATCAAAGACTACAGGCAAGCTATCAAAAACAGTTGATTATTTTTTTGGTGAGATGTAATTTAATTTGAAATTTATTCTAATCTATGTTTTCATGAATCTTTTCTATACCTTTTTGATCCTTCAATTCTGCGGTTTATATCATTAACAATCCCCTTGCGCTACCTAATATTCACATGTGTTCAATGGTTCTTTCTTTGTAGAACAAGGACCCAAAGAAGATGAGAAAAATGAAACACTTACAGATGATGAAGAAATTGTTGATCCTGTTGTGTACAATCCAGAAAAGAATTGCTACCATCCTTTAAAACATGCATGTTGGAAACACAAGGAAAGGTTAGCTACACAGATAGATTTTCAGCAGAATACCATTATCACCTCACAAGTCATATGAAAATATTTTCAATCGCCTTGATCTTGGCCTCAACTAACTTTTAGAGTACTTTGAGTACTTTGGGAACTTTTTTGGTATTTTTAGGGCCTTTTTAAGCACTTGGAATATTTTGTCGGGTACTTGGGGATACATTGGTGGGTACTTGGGGATACTTTGTTTGGTACTTGGAAGTTTTTTCAGTACTTGGGGGAAATTTGTTGAGAATTTTGTCGGGTACTTGGAGGTACATTGGTGGGTACTTGGGGATACTTTGTTGGGTAAATAGGGTGCATTGTTAGTTTGCATTTCATTTGTTTAATATTTCAAGATCTGGAACTTTAATCGTACCCTGGTTTGCTAACAGCTATGTCACTTCCTTTGCTGTCAAGCTCCATAAAACGTCTTGCACAACCCACCAAATAACAATATGAAATTCTTTTAATGGTTGGCTTTTTAAGAAAACAATTGATTCATTTAACAAAATGCCTGGCTCATCATCGTCAAATTGACAGACAAACTTTAAATTTGAATTTGACTTACTATTTCAGAGTTCCATACTTGGCTCTTGCAAGAACATTTCAGTGTATTGAAAGCACTTCAGCGAGGTTTTTGCTTCGATTTATTCATATATTAAAATCATAATCAAGTTTTTACCGCTTTTGTTGCATGCAGGTTGAAAATCACCTCTACTTTGTCGAATCTCTTTCGTTCCGTGATCGCCCTAACTCCTCAAGACCTACTGCCATGTTTATATCTATGTTTAAACAAGGTAATAACTGGAAGCTTTTAGCAAACGCTGCGTTCGAGCTTCTGTGATGTATTTTATTGTATGATTTGTATTTTATTTTATGGATTCGCCTTGATAAACAGTTCTAACGTTAATTTACGCTATGTTAATTGTTAATTAAGCTATTTTAATTGTTAATTACGCTATGTTAATACTCAATTTACGCTATGTTAATTGTCAATTACGCTATGTTAATACTTAAGTTTAGCTTTGTTAATTGTTAACTACGTCATGTTAATTGTAATTACGTCATGTTAATTGTTAATTTGCGCTATGTTAATTGTTAATTACTCAATGTTAGTGGTTAATTTACGCTGTTTCTGTTTTAGCTTGCTCCATCTTATGAAGGTATTGAACTGGGTATTGGCGACGGTTTGTTGATTAAAGTTATCGCAGAAACGACAGGTTAGAAAAAAAGAAATAGCTTCTAGACTGCCAAAGAATGCTCCTAAGCAATGGTCACTTCGTAAAAATAATAATAACAGCTTAGAATAGCGCTATAGGCCATGGAACGAAGTGTGTACTGTTATATATCTTAGTGAGAGATGTTTGTAGTTCAAAGAGGTACCGTATGATAATAATGCTTTCTCAGTCCTTGAGAGGCCAGAAAGTAATGAATTGATAAGATCTTTCGAGAAAACCTTCAAGAAGAAACAAGGAAAAGCTTGTTTAGTAGTCGGTTTAGTATTTCTGCATGTTGCAGTTATTTAGGTGTAATGATAGTGACGTGGCCAGCCTGCATGGTATGTGTAGTGACGTATGTGTAATGACGTATTTGTAGTGACGTATGTGTAGTGACGTATGTGCAGTGACGTATGTGTAGTGATGTAGCCAGCCTGCAAGGTCAGTCCTGCTATGTAAATTTCAAGTCATTATCATTATATATTTCTTTAGAAATTTTTTGTTTTTAACAGTGAGTGATTCCAGTGAATCACAAAGTATTTAAATAGCACGACGAAACTTGCTGTTTGGCTACGCCACTGCCACAAAAGGCCAGTAGTCATTTGCAACCATCCTCCAGCTCAGTAGTTTTAATGTTTGACTGAGGCTCGGAATATCTCCATGTTGGTTGTCTTGGGTATTTCACAAACATTTCATTAACAAGGTTGTGCTACGTCTGTAAATATTTTAGCGTTCATTCGCCAAAAAAAGTTGAAAGCAAATACACAAGAGATTTCTAAAGAAGAACTATTGACACGATGCTATTGATCTAAAATTTACACTGTCGAACCCACAGGCGGGCTACGTCACACCCACAGGCGGGCTACGTCACAAATTATACATCCTGACAATATAACAATCGTCTTTCATGCAGGTCGCAGTACACAGCAAGTAAAATTGGAGTTTGGTGAAAAGGGAGATTTAGGAATCGTAGCTGAGGTATTCACAGCACTTAATTTGTTTTTAATATGTACGAGGTCAGTGCGTATGTGACTGCGTTGAAATGTTAGTAGGCTTTTGCGCATGCTCAAAGCTAAATGACTGTCGAAAAAAAGAGCCAAATCTTACCAACATTTTCAACGTGTTGCAATACTAGAAGCAACCTCTTTTCACACGCATCGTATTGATCAAACGGGAAGGAAATAAAATTTTCCACTGATTGCATCGGATGTCAACGGAACTATAGTTTTTCCTTTGAACAAGGAATTACAAAGTGCAATGACGTAAAATGGCGTGTTTTTCCTTTTATGGATGTGTCGTTCCCGCGCTTTTTTACATTTAAAACAAAAGAAAATGAGGTAAAATTCCTCATTAGCTTTTGTTTCATTCCTCATTAGCTTTTGTTAAAATGCGACGTTTGAAACTGGCCAAACATTACGTTCAAAATGAAAAAAGGCAAAATACAGCCAAATAGCCAAACAGTTTTTTGGGGGCCAAACAAAAAGTTCAAAAGCCGAAATCCAGTTTTGACCTTAAAAAGCCAAGTTAGCAACTCACTGTGCTTCAACCCTTTACTTCCCAATTGTTTTCTTGTTGTTGCCATGCGTTAATGTTGTTGCCATGCGGTAATGTTGTTGCCATGAGTTAATGTTGTTGCCATGAGTTAATGTTGTTGTCATGCGGTAATGTTGTTGCCATGCGGTAGTGTTGTTGCCATGCGTTAATGTTGTTGCCATGAGGTAATGTTGTTGTCATGAGGTAATGTTGTTGTCATGAGGTAATGTTGTCATGAGGTAATGTTGTTGTCATGAGGTAATGTTGTTGCCATGAGGTAATGTTGTTGCCATGAGTTAATGTTGTTGCCATGAGTTAATGTTGTTGTCATGCGGTAGTGTTGTTGCCATGCGTTAATGTTGTTGCCATGAGGTAATGTTGTTGTCATGAGGTAATGTTGTTGTCATGAGGTAATGTTGTTGTCACGAGGTAATGTTGTTGCCATGAGGTAATGTTGTTGTCATGAGTTAATGTTGTTGCCATGAGGCAATGTTGTTGCCATGAGGTAATGTTGTTGTCATGAGTTAATGTTGTTGCCATGAGGCAATGTTGTTGCCATGAGGTAATGTTGTTGCCATGAGTTAATGTTGTTGCCATGAGGTAATGTTGTTGCCATGAGGTAATGTTGTTGTCATGAGGTAATGTTGTTGTCATGAGGTAATGTTGTTGTCATGAGGTAATGTTGTTGTCATGAGGTAATGTTGTTGCCATGAGGTAATGTTGTTGCCATGAGGTAATGTTGTTGCCATGCGGTAATGTTGTTGCTATGAGGCAATGTTGTTGCCATGAGGTAATGTTGTTGTCATGAGGTAATGTTGTTGTCATGCGGCAACTATGGAAGAAGAAAGGCTAACATCGTATTTTTTAGGCCAGTCGGTCAACGCAACGAACAATGTTCACTCCAGCCAAGTTGACAGTTTCCACAGTTTACAATAAATTGAAGGAAATAGCGTTGATGACGGGACATTCGGTAGGGAGAATTGATTGTTCATCGGTTGGGAGAATTGATAGTTTTTATATAAAACTAGGGTGACGAGGAATTTAAGGGTTGTACACCAATTAATGTGTTTTAAGACACGAAATTTTTCATTTTATCACGACTATATTTGATTGCATTGCTAAGAACATATAAAAAGACTTTACAAACTCTCTAGTAGAATTGACTTATTGCACCTTTTTCCTAGCGATATTTAACTTTGTTTATTATGCAAACGAGATCGTTGCATATCAATGCATAATAGCACAGAAAATAGTAACACTCTAGAGATCATCTATTTTTTCTGTTGTTTGAACGTTTGATAAACAAATACAACAATTTACTGAATACATGTGTCTCGATGAATATTTGTAAAGATGCCATAATTAGATATTTTAATGCTGAAGAATGTCGACAGAAACTACAATTTACAAGTACTAATTATGCAATGTGATGTCATAACGATGTCATTTGGGTATTGAAGAAAAGTTACATATCTCCTGAAACAAGTAAAATAATGCAGTGCCATTGAAGAAGTTGTTAAGTCATTTCAAACTTTACAATGCAATCAGAAAACGTTCGGTGTCATAAACACTTTAAGGTACCTTCAAACATCTTTCGTTTTAACTCGAGAATTCTTTTGCACAAAATTTTTTCGACACTCGAGCTCATTTTTAGTCAATTTAACACTTACGTAGCTAAGTATTCAACTTCACAATTTTCACTTTGGCTAATAAGAAACCTGTTCTCTACATTTGCACTCTTTCAGAACGTATGAACTCGTTCTGCATACTTCAAAATCGTAGGAACTCCTTATGCAAACTTGAAAAATTTTCCTTAAACACGAATCTGATAGGACCTTACATCGCTTTGTTTTTATCGTTTTTCCTTTTAGTCAGTCAACCGCAAAGCCGACAAAGTAAAAAGTATGTTTGTTGCATGTAGACAGTCTGAAGCAAGATATTTGACAAGGTAGACACGGGAAGGTTGTCTTTTTGTTGAATCCGTACACGTTTAATGACACGATAGAGAACTAACAGATGGTAATCCTTGTCGTGTCTAAAATTGTTGTGTTTTTCTCGAAAGATCGGATGTCCAACTGTGTATTCGTGCTAAAAGATTTTTAGAATTACTGTTAGCGATTTTCGTGCAAGGTCATGAAACCTTTGTCTAGCTCCGACATTTTGTTTAATTTTATTTCTAATGTGGTGGTGTTTTGAAACAATTTTTTCAACGTTGAAACTTCAGTTTTAACTGGTGTTTTTGTGGATATTTATGGTGTTTTAGTGGATATTTATGATGTTTTAGTGGATATATATGGTGTTTTTGTGGATATTTATGATGTTTTAGTGAATATTTATGATGTTTTAGTGAATATTTATGATGTTTTAGTGAATATTTATGATGTTTTAGTGAATATTTACGATGTTTTGGGGATATTTATGATGTTTTAGTGAATATTTATGATGTTTTGTGGATATATATGATGTTTTAGTGGATATTTATGATGTTTTTGTGGATATATATGGTATTTTTGTGGATATTTATGATGTTTTAGTGGATATTTATGATGTTTTTGTGGATATTTATGATGTTTTAGTGGATATTTATGATGTTTTGGGGATATTTATGATGTTTTAGTGAATATTTATGATGTTTTTGTGGATATATATGGTATTTTTGTGGATATTTATGATGTTTTAGTGGATATTTATGATGTTTTGTGGATATTTATGATGTTTTAGTGGATATTTATGATGTTTTGGGATATTTATGATGTTTTAGTGAACATTTATGATGTTTTTGTGGATATTTATGATGTTTTAGTGAATATTTATGATGTTTTTGTGGATATTTATAATGTTTTTGTGGATATTTATGATGTTTTAGTGAATATTTATGATGTTTTGGGGATATTTATGATGTTTTAGTGAATATTTATGATGTTTTGGGGATATTTATGATGTTTTAGTGAATATTTATGATGTTTTTGTGGATATTTATGATGTTTTAGTGAATATTTATGATGTTTTTGTGGATATTTATAATGTTTTTGTGGATATTTATGATGTTTTTGTGGATATTTATGATGTTTTTGTGGATATTTATGATGTTTTAGTGAATATTTATGATGTTTTTGTGGATATTTATGATGTTTTAGTGAATATTTATGATGTTTTTGTGGATATTTATGATGTTTTAGTGAATATTTATGATGTTTTGGGGGATATTTATGATGTTTTAGTGAATATTTATGATGTTTTTGTGGATATTTATGATGTTTTAGTGAATATTTATGATGTTTTTGTGGATATTTATGATGTTTTAGTGAATATTTATGATGTTTTGGGGGATATTTATGATGTTTTAGTGAACATTTATGATGTATTTGTGGATATTTATGATGTTTTAGTGAACATTTATGATGTATTTGTGGATATTTATGATGTTTTAGTGAAAATTTATGGTGTTTTTGTGCATATTTATGATGTTTTAGTGAATATTTATGATGTTTTTGTGGATATTTATGATGTTTTGGTGAATATTTATGATGTTTTTGTGGATATTTATGATGTTTTAGTGAATATTTATGATGTTTTGGGGGATATTTATGATGTTTTAGTGAATATTTATGATGTTTTTGTGGATATTTATGATGTTTTAGTGAATATTTATGATGTTTTTGTGGATATTTATGATGTTTTAGTGAATATTTATGATGTTTTAGTGAACATTTATGATGTATTTGTGGATATTTATGATGTTTTAGTGAACATTTATGATGTATTTGTGGATATTTATGATGTTTTAGTGAAAATTTATGGTGTTTTTGTGCATATTTATGATGTTTTAGTGAATATTTATGATGTTTTTGTTGATATTTATGATGTTTTGGTGAATATTTATGATGTTTTGGGGATATTTATGATGTATTTGTGGATATTTATAATGTTTTAGTGAATATTTATGATGTTTTGGGGGATATTTATGATGTTTTAGTGAACATTTATGATGTATTTGTGGATATTTATGATGTTTTAGTGAACATTTATGATGTTTTTGTGGATATTTATGATGTTTTGGTGAATATTTATGATGTTTTGGGGATATTTATGATGTATTTGTGGATATTTATAATATTTTAGTGAATATTTATGATGTTTTGGGGATATTTATGATGTTTTAGTGAACATTTATGATGTATTTGTGGATATTTATGATGTTTTAGTGAACATTTATGATGTATTTGTGGATATTTATGATGTTTTAGTGAACATTTATGATGTTTTAGTGAATATTTATGATGTTTTAGTGAACATTTATGATGTTTTAGTGAATATTTATGATGTTTTAGTGAACATTTATGATGTTTTAGTGAGCATTTATGATGTTTTAGTGAATATTTATGATGTTTTAGTGAACATTTATGATGTTTTAGTGAATATTTATGATATTTTGGGGATATTTATGATGTTTTAGTGAACATTTATGATGTTTTAGTGAACATTTATGATATTTTAGTGAATATTTATGATGTTTTAGTGGATATTTATGATGTTTTAGTGAACATTTATGATATTTTAGTGAATATTTATGATGTTTTAGTGGATATTTATGATGTTTTAGTGAATATTTATGATGTTTTAGTGAACATTTATGATGTTTTAGTGAATATTTATGATGTTTTAGTGAATATTTATGTTGTTTTAGTGGATATTTATGATGTTTTAGTGAACATTTATGATATTTTAGTGAACATTTATGATGTTTTAGTGAACATTTATGATATTTTAGTGAATATTTATGATGTTTTAGTGGATATTTATGATGTTTTAGTGAACATTTATGATATTTTAGTGAATATTTATGATGTTTTAGTGAACATTTATGATGTTTTAGTGAATATTTATGATGTTTTAGTGAATATTTATGATGTTTTAGTGGATATTTATGATGTTTTAGTGAATATTTATGATGTTTTGGGGATATTTATGATGTTTTAGTGAACATTTATGTTTTTTTTCTGATTTCAGATCTTTGGCCGGTAAACTTCGCATTGGCCTGGCAGAGCAAACAGTCCTTACAGCCCTAGCTCATGCGGTCGTTCTAACTCCACCAAGTAACGGTAATTTGAGGAATGTCCATTGACCATATGGCCACTGACTGGTTAGCGACTCATTCAGTTTAAGAAACAAATGTTATTCCCTCCCTGGGTGCATTCAAAGATTTGGAATGGAAGATTTTAACGAAGTACTATCCAGGGGGGTTGTGTCTGTTTTCTGTACTGAACGAGTACTGAAACAATGTGATACTGTGTTTACACTCTTACACAAATATCACCGAAGTTGACTCTCTATGTTTCTATTCTATGGTATGACATCATGTTTTTCTTAAGTATGATGTCATTACTATTCTGTGTTGTGACGTCATGTTTCTATTTGGTATTACGTCATGTGAATTTCATCTAAATCCTATCAATATTTAGAATACAATGCGAATGACGTCACACGAAACCTTGGGAACTAAAGACCCAAATTATAGTTGGTGTAGATTTCCCTCAAAAACATTGTTTTTTGATCATTTTTATGAACAGCTTCAATACCCAAAAGCGCGGTCTGTTTTGTGCTTTGAAAAGACATCTTTTACTAGTGAGATGGACATGCAGCCACTTTTTGTCCAGAAGCCTTCGTACTTGCTGATGACAAAGTTAAAAATAAAATTTAAAATGGTGCAATTTAACTCCCAAGTTGATGCAAGAAATTTTAAAACATATATTTCGAATCAAGAATTGAAGATGAATCGATTCATTTGAAATACACATATTTATAATTTTGTTGCATACTATCGACAGTTTTATTCTATTCACTTTAATTTTATAACGCCATGCTACGACCTGCTGGCTTTTCTCTCTCTAAGGCAGATTTCTATAAAATGTACATTATTGTCGTGTTAGATTTCCCACCAGAAACATTAGATGCCAGTAAAGGCATTCCCGCCGAGGCATTCAAAAAGAAACTGGACGCGGCCGCCTTGATTGTGAAGACTTGTTACTGGTACGATTATTTAACTTCTTTAACAACATTAGACTTTGATATCACCGTCGTTTCAAACTATAGACATTTTTTCCCGCCACTCCTGTATGTTTTGTGTTAACAAATGGTGACGGTTTTACTGATTTTTCATCAGCGAACTTCCGAACTACGATGTTCTCGTTGCTGCCCTTCTTGAACACGGCTTAAAGGAGCTATCGAAGCATTGCCATATCACTCCCGGTGAGTTTTGTTTGATTAAACAACTTTTTATATGATTGTTGCTATTCATCTGTCGTGTATCCACTGAGCGCGCTGTGTTACTGGATGTTTTAGTCCTCACGAAATGATTGTTGCTATTCATCTGTCTTGTATCCACTGAGCGCGCTGTGTTACCGGATGTTCTAGTCCTCACGAAATGATTGTTGCTATTCATCTGTCGTGTATCCACTGAGCGAGCTGTGTTACTGGATGTTTTAGTCCTCACGAAATGATTGTTGCTATTCATCTGTCGTGTATCCACTGAGCGCGCTGTGTTACTGGATGTTTTAGTCCTCACGAAATGATTGCTGCTATTCATCTGTCGTGTATCCACTGAGCGCGTTGTGTTACTGGATGTTTTAGTCCTCACGAAAAGATTGTTGCTATTCATCTGTCGTGTATCCACTGAGCGCGTTGTGTTACTGGATGTTTTAGTCCTCACGAAAAGATTGTTGCTATTCATCTGTCGTGTATCCACTGAGCGCGTTGTGTTACTGGATGTTTTAGTCCTCACGAAAAGATTGTTGCTATTCATCTGTCGTGTATCCACTGAGCGCGTTGTGTTACTGGATGTTTTAGTCCTCACGAAATGATTGTTGCTATTCATCTGTCGTGTATCCACTGAGCGCGTTGTGTTAGTTGTGTTACTGGATGTTTTAGTCCTCACGAAATGATTGTTGCTATTCATCTGTCTTGTATCCACTGAGCGCGCTATGTTACTGGGTGTTTTAGTCCTCACGAAATGATTGTTGCTATTCATCTGTCGTCTATCCACTGAGCGCGCTATGTTACCGGATGTTTTTGTCCTCATGAAATTGCACTATTGAAATAATCATCGAATATTTCTCATCGAGTCTTTCAAATAATCGCGTTGAAAATTGCGGGCTCAAAAACTCATAATTTGTAGAAAACATGAAGCTTAGAGTAATTGTCTATCTCACAGGAAATCTTTATTTCGAGCGTAGTTAACTAGCTACTGTGATGTTGTAATCTTTAAGTCCTGTGTCGTTTCACCCTTAATCTCTTAGACGGATTCTTGTCATTAGTGAATTGACTGAGCAACTTGTATCGGAACCCCGAAATGACTGTAAATACTAGTAGGAAAAAGACCACATAAAAAGTAAGGAAAAGATAGAGGTGCCGGCAAGAGACTGGGAGCGACTGCTTAACTCTCCCCCCCACACACACCCAAACATTTTTCGTGCTGTGGTCTTTGGTAGCTATGTGTAAGTAGAAAATGTGAGTCATATAAAACAGTGTGTAATATATGTAAGGGACATTTGGGAGGGGGGTTTGCCCCTTTAAAATAAAATCCTGCGGGCGCCCCCTTGGGAAGAGAAGGCACTAGAAGTGTTATACATTACTGAATTTATCAGCATTGTAGTATGTGGTATGTAGAGTATGTCAAAGTCCTTTCCCAGCAAACAATAATAGGATGAACATACTCTGACTTGTAAATAAAGATTGGTTTGAGAATGATTCTTTAATCTGAAACAGACTCGAAATATCATAAATTGAATAATTGCGTCTTTTTTCCATAAGTCATACGATCAGTTTGCAAGAAAGTCTTTGTTTATTGCAGTATGATTCATACTATAAGCTCGACTTTGTGCGAGAATACGAAGTCGAACTTTCGTACAGTTATATCGTTACATGTTTGTAGATGTAGATCGTCCAGGTTAGTAGAGTCCTGAGAAGGACTGTTGTTGTTGGTGTTGACTGACGTTTCGACAACCTTAGCGTCATCCTCAGAGTTAAAAAAGTCTTTTTTCTTTTTTTTTTTTATTAGAAACAATAAGTTTCTAATGACCATTCTCGCAGTGATTACAATGTTGCAATTCGGGGCTGTAGCCACGCAAATTATTTACTTTTGCTTTGTAAATTTACTAAATTACGGTGTGTTCACTAACTTAGAAAATGAGTAATGATAATGGTCTAAGTTTTGGTCGGAAGTTCAACTGGACTCTTACAAAATACATCATAGCTTAGGCCCTGGCAAACAGCACAATAGTTAACTAATGACTGTGTGTTCATGCTGCTGATTATGAAGTATTTTGTACTTCATGCTTACAAAGAGATGATTGTACCTAGGCGTTCCATTGAAACCAATGTTGGCTCATCCTACGAAAGGCGTAGAGGAAGTGTTCAAAAGATTTGAAGATGCTTCGTTCACTTGTGAATATAAATATGACGGGGAAAGAGCGCAGGTTATTGTTATACGTGTTGATTGTACAAATTATTCTAAGGTTATTGTTATACGTGTTGATTGTACGAATTATTCTAAGGTTATTGTTATATGTGTTGATTGTAAGAATTATTCTAAGGTTATTGTTATACGTGTTGATTGTACGAATTATTCTAAGGTTATTGTTATACGTGTTGATTGTACGAATTATTCTAAGGTTATTGTTATACGTGTTGATTGTACAAATTATTCTAAGGTTATTGTTATACGTGTTGATTGTACAAATTATTATAAGGTTATTGTTATACGTGTTGATTGTACGAATTATTCTAAGGTTATTGTTATATGTGTTGATTGTAAGAATTATTCTAAGGTTATTGTTATACGTATTGATTGTACGAATTATTCTAAGGTTATTGTTATACGTGTTGATTGTACAAATTATTCTAAGGTTATTGTTGTACGTGTTGATTGTACGAATTATTCTAAGGTTATTGTTGTACGTGTTGATTGTACGAATTATTCTAAGGTTATTGTTATACGTGTTGATTGTACGAATTATTCTAAGGTTATTGTTGTACGTGTTGATTGTACGAATTATTCTAAGGTTATTGTTATACGTGTTGATTGTACGAATTATTCTAAGGTTATTGTTGTACGTGTTGATTGTACGAATTATTCTAAGGTTATTGTTATACGTGTTGATTGTACAAATTATTATAAGGTTATTGTTGTACGTGTTGATTGTACAAATTATTATAAGGTTATTGTTGTACGTGTTGATTGTACGAATTATTCTAAGGTTATTGTTGTACGTGTTGATTGTACGAATTATTCTAAGGTTATTGTTGTACGTGTTGATTGTACGAATTATTCTAAGGTTATTGTTGTACGTGTTGATTGTACAAATTATTATAAGGTTATTGTTGTACGTGTTGATTGTACGAATTATTCTAAGGTTATTGTTGTACGTGTTGATTGTACGAATTATTCTAAGGTTATTGTTATATGTGTTGATTGTACGAATTATTCTAAGGTTATTGTTGTACGTGTTGATTGTACGAATTATTCTAAGGTTATTGTTATACGTGTTGATTGTACAAATTATTATAAGGTTATTGTTGTACGTGTTGATTGTACAAATTATTCTAAGGTTATTGTTATACGTGTTGATTGTACAAATTATTATAAGGTTATTGTTATACGTGTTGATTGTACAAATTATTATAAGGTTATTGTTATACGTGTTGATTGTACAAATTATTCTAAGATTATTGTTGTACGTGTTGATTGTACGAATTATTCTAAGGTTATTGTTGTACGTGTTGATTGTACGAATTATTCTAAGGTTATTGTTATACGTGTTGATTGTACAAATTATTATAAGGTTATTGTTATACGTGTTGATTGTACAAATTATTATAAGGTTATTGTTGTACGTGTTGATTGTACAAATTATTCTAAGGTTATTGTTATACGTGTTGATTGTACAAATTATTATAAGGTTATTGTTATACGTGTTGATTGTACGAATTATTCTAAGGTTATTGTTATACGTGTTGATTGTACAAATTATTATAAGGTTATTGTTATACGTGTTGATTGTACAAATTATTATAAGGTTATTGTTGTACGTGTTGATTGTACAAATTATTCTAAGGTTTTTGTTATACGTGTTGATTGTACAAATTATTCTAAGGTTATTGTTATACGTGTTGATTGTACAAATTATTATAAGGTTATTGTTATACGTGTTGATTGTACAAATTATTCTAAGGTTATTGTTGTACGTGTTGATTGTACGAATTATTCTAAGGTTATTGTTGTACGTGTTGATTGTACGAATTATTCTAAGGTTATTGTTATACGTGTTGATTGTACAAATTATTATAAGGTTATTGTTGTACGTGTTGATTGTACAAATTATTATAAGGTTATTGTTGTACGTGTTGATTGTACGAATTATTCTAAGGTTATTGTTGTACGTGTTGATTGTACGAATTATTCTAAGGTTATTGTTATACGTGTTGATTGTACGAATTATTCTAAGGTTATTGTTGTACGTGTTGATTGTACGAATTATTCTAAGGTTATTGTTGTACGTGTTGATTGTACGAATTATTCTAAGGTTATTGTTATACGTGTTGATTGTACGAATTATTCTAAGGTTATTGTTATACGTGTTGATTGTACGAATTATTTTAATAAATCTTCTCCAGACTGTCGTGTTGAATCCATCTCTATACCTCTACATCAATGTATTATTTCGTTTGTATTTTTAGATTCATGTTCTAAATAGGAACGATATTCGAATATACAGTCGTAACCAGGAAAATAACACTTCAAAATATCCGGATGTTGTTGCCCGAATGGCCAAGGTGGAAACGATTTTTTCATTGTAACAAATGAATTCGATAATACTCGCAATAAGCTTTGAAAGCTGTTTTGACATCGACTATATTTATTAATCTTTACCAAAAACGCAAATGTTCATCATCTGTGTGGTTATCCCAGCATTGCGTGTAGATTTGTTTGGTTATTGCCATGGGTGGCATGGCAACGGGGGATTTTCAGTGCACTCGTCCCTCCCCCTCCCCCCCCCCAAAAAAAAGTTCATTAAGTTTGGCTTGCAATCCAATAATTGTATACGTCCAAAAAATTACATGACATCTTATTAAATGACATCCTATTACTGTTTCGTAAAAAGAAAGCTTACAATCTTTGTTTACTTTTTAAATGTTAACTGTGCAAAACCTTTTGTGTTTTTTTGTGCCATCCCCCCCAGAAAAAGCAATTTCGTTGAAATTCTCCTGGTTACTAAGAATGCTCGTGTGTTTATCATGGCGAATGTATTAAACAGAATAAAGTGAAACGACAATTTTGTATTTTAAGGTTTTGAAAGAAGATGTGACTTCTTGTATAATTGATTCGGAGGCTGTTGCATGGGATCAAGAAAAGAAACAGATTTTGCCTTTTCAAGTCTTGAGTACAAGAAAGAAAAAGGTTGGAGAATCATCGTTCGTAAATTATTTTATAGCCCTGAGAAGGACTGTTTTTGTTGATGTTGACTGACGTTTCGACAACCTTAGCGGTAGTCATCTTCAGAGTCAAATGAAGAGTAAACGTCAGGTTAGCCGTATTTGTTATCTGGTTCTTACGTCATTTTATTGTGTGTACAGGAAATGTGTATTGTCATTGTGGATTAGTGTGAAGTGAAATATTTTATTTTTAGTTGTGATGTGTGATTTAGGTGTGACGTATTTAGTTGTAATGTGTGGGTGTCAATTGTGTATTGTCATTGTGAATTAGTTTGAAGTGTAGTGTTTTTAGTTGATCGTTTGTTTGTATTGTGAATAAGTCGTTTGTAAGGTGCCGGTAATTGCTGTGATCTGTTCAGGGGAGTTTGTTCCAAGTTGGTATACCAACTTTCTAATGTAAGCCGTTGTCTATAGTCAGTACTGTAAGTGATGCATTTTGCCGAATCCCAGTCAATGTTGTGCTTTGTGATTCGGTGATGTTCGGCAATGTGATTAGTTTTGTCTTGTTTCGTAGTAGCTCGTTTGTGCTCAGTAAGTCTTATGTTTTAGTTCCGCTAAGGTTGTCGAAACGTCAGTCAACAACAACAAAAACAGTCCTTCTCAGGACTTTATTAACCTGGACGATCATCATTTACAAACATATAACGATACTCCCGGGTTCAAACCATTTACTTTATTTTAAAGCAGTGTGCATCATTGGGGGGAGGGGGGGGGTTGTCTAAATTAAGTCAGTCTACATCACCGAGAAATTTCTAAAGAATAATCAAGACCAAAACATCACCAAAAGGATTCGTTCTACAAGTTTTTACATGTAGATCACTTCAGGTTAATGGAGTCCTGAGAAGGGATGTTGTTGTTGGTGTCGACTGATATTTTGACATTCTGTGCGGCAGACATCTTCACATTCAAAATTAATTGTAAATATTTTGAATTGAAATATATTTTCGTAGTATGTATTCTGACTTGCTTCGAACTCGCCACTCGATTTGCTGACATACTTCCATCAAATTTTGCATCAAGAACAAGCTAGTTCTGATTGGCTGACCCAGTTTTATCAATGATTACAATCTGATTGGCTGACCCAGTTTTATCAATGTTTACAACACGAACAAGCTGCTCACGATGCTATCATAACGTTTATCTTTGTTGCTGTTTGTATATCTGATTCCTGGGTTTTAGGATGCGGAAGCTTCCGAAATCAAAGTTCAAGTGTGTATTTATGCTTTTGATCTCCTTTATCTCAACGGAAAGGTATTATTGATTATATCTTTCAATAGTGTCTGCAGGATAGTTGTGAGAGAGGTGTTGCTAAGCCAGAAGTTTTAGGAGTTAAATATCGAACACTGAAGGTGTGACCTTTAGTAGGGGTTTCAGGGGGCAGGCTGACACTGTAGTAGGTGTTTCAGGGGGCAGGCTGACACAGTAGTAGGTGTTTCAGGGGGCAGGCTGACACTGTAGTAGGGGTTTCAGGAGGCAGGCTGACACTGTAGTAGGGGTTTCAGGGGGCAGGCTGACACTGGAAAGTGTTTAAATCTGAAGTCCGTCAACAGAGATTTTCCCTGTTTTTAGGGATTTGATTTTACGTCATTGGGTAGTAACATGTGTAGTCTACAAACTGTTACCTCCCCTAACGGATTTTCTTTTTGTAGGAGCTAAGTCCAGGGGGGGACTAACCCCCTTCACATAGCCTATGCTATATCGCTTGTAGGATAATAAATCAAATATAGATTCAGATCCCAACTCCGAAAGATCGAAATCTTCAGAGAATGAAAGCCATTATATCATTCATGTTTGCCCATTTTGTCTATGTTGAATTCAATGTTTCTTATACGATTTATCCCATTTGCAGTCCTATGTTAAAGAACCTTTTAAAGTTCGACGCGACATCTTGAGATCATCTTTGAATGAAATTGACGGAGTAAGAAAAGTGTTTTATCATATTGGAGCGTTGTAGGAAACATCGCCTTTGAATTTTACACGTTGTTGCTCAAGCTTGAAGGACGATGCGTGTTAAGTTAGTTCACACACTTTTTTGAGGGATGATTGGTAGTTATCACACACAATGATTTAGAACCCAGTTCTCTAGATGGCGAGGCAAGGACGCCATCTTGAAAGGTGGGAAAAAGCAAAACTCAAAATGAAAAATATGCTAAAAGGAGGTTTAAAAGAACAATCCGATGAAGCATTTTCGAAATTAAACCGATATTATAAACTTTGCAACTGTATGTTAATTTAAGACAAGCGGATATCAGTCATAAATATCGTCAGTTTTACCTCCTTTAAAGATGGCGGCTTGCCTCGCTCGTAATTATAGAAGTTTGGCGAAGTCAGACATCTAGTAGATTGGGTCCTAGGTCATTGATCACACACTCTTGAGAGATGATTCGTGTTGAGTTACTACACACGCTTGATGAGCGTTAGTTATCAAGAATTTTTGGTGAATTTTAACAAAACACTCCCATTGGAGTGTTTTCAAGAATTTCCTCCTAAACGCATTATAATTTTAATGTTTTGAATTTGTAATTTAAAGATGTGGACTGTCTTGCCGTGTGCTTTAATACTTTTTGTGGAATATTTTTGTTGCATTTTTCTTCTCAGTCCAGCGACTTTATTCTCTACAGGAATTCATTTTTGCCAAGTGCATAACGTCGACCGATACGGATGATATTGCGGAGTTTTTAGATGAATCAATTAAAGGTTTGATTTAACTTCTTCTGTTGTCAATTAGCTTGTTAAACTACCCTCACCGTGTTAGTTTTCAAGTACCGTATCAAAGCGAGGAAAAGACGCCTCCTTGAAAGGTGTGTGTGTCACAAAGCAAAACCATCCATTGAAAATAAGATAAAAAGAATTTTAAAAAGCCATCCTATCAATCTTTTTAGAATCAGAACTAGACTAACGACTCTGCAGTTTGTGTATCAACCGACAGAAGAAGCACATTTTAGTCGTAGATGCCGTCAGTTTTGCCAGCTTTCAAAATGGCGGCTTGCCTCGCTCGTAACTATAAAATTTCGTGTTTTAGTACATTGGGTTCTAGGTCATTGGTAGAAATTTAATTTTACTATGAGATAAAATGCCCCCTCCTCACCCCCTCAGTTGCCCTGAGGGGATGGGGGTAGTTAAGTAAAACAGACCTAGATTTCTTACCATACATAATGAAAATAATCATGAGTAATTTCATCGTCTGCCCATGTTTTCATCGCGCATTAAAATCTGAATCTACATCTTCTATTTGTAATGTTAAAAGTAATAGCTCGTTGGCATTCATAATGGAAAACGCTGTTGCAGGCACCCCGGAGGATCAATAATTGGTGGGGGCTCATATTCATATATTCATGTAATAATCCTTAGAAAACAATGGATTTCAAAGTAGCTTAAGCCTGCATATCATGAATATATGAATATTAGCCCCCCCCCCGATTTATCGATCCTCCGTGATGCTTTAGGTTATAGGTTATAGCTAAATGTCGTGACCGTCCTCGTCTCGTATAGCAGGTCCACATTCATGTCTATTTAATAAAACCGATCACAATCTATAGTTTTAAAATTTATGCCTATGTTTCTATCGAATATCCTTTTCAGGAAACTGTGAAGGTTTAATGGTAAAGACGCTGGAAGTTGATGCGACCTATGAAATCGCGAAACGGTCGCATAACTGGCTAAAGGTATGATTACATACAATGCAATTTTTATTACAAAGTTGCATGATGATTGTGACGCTTTTCACCATCGTGAATTACATTGCGCATGTGCAGTTGTTTCAAATTACATTGTGCATGTGCAGTTGTTTCAAATTACATTGCGCATGTGCAGTTGTTTCAAATTACATTGCGCATGTGCAGTTGTTTCAAATTACATTGCGTATGTGCAGTTGTTTCAAATTACTAGTCAAAAAGCTGTGTTTTTTTAAAACTTTGCACTGTTCTTGGATGCCTATTTAAAGCTTCGTTTAACTGCTATATTTGAGAAATAAAAGATGTTGTATGTGTTTGCACGTGTTTATGCAAACTGAGGATACCTTTGGGAAAACTCGAGAGCAGATCAGATCATCTCACAGAGAGCAGATCAGATCATCTCATAGAAAGAGCAGATCATCTCACAAACGTCTCCGAGGTTTGCATAAGCCTGCGCAAACACCAAACACCAATCAGCGCACGCGTTTCATTGTGTTTATTTTATATTTCTTTATTATTCCTTGTTTTAAAAATTTAGCTGAAGAAGGATTATCTGGAGGGTGTTGGGGACACGTTGGATCTGTTGGTGATAGGAGGGTACATGGGTAAAGGCAAGCGAGCAGGACGCTATGGTGGTTTCTTGGTTGCTTGTTATGATGAAGATAAAGAAGAATATCAATCATGCTGCAAGGTACTGATTGTCTTTCTTAAAAATTTCACTTCTTTTTCACAGATCTCCACCTTTTCTCCATCTTTCCCCATCTTCTTTTCTCTTTCCCCTCTCTTCCACTACCACGCTCCCTTCTCTTCTCTCTCTTTCATTTTCTTTCTCCCCTACCCTTTCTCTGATCTCTCCCCCCTCCCGTTGTTCAATGTTGGATAGTAGCTTCTGAAGCATTATTTATTATTTTCAAGGTTAGTACTGGAATGAAAGATGAGGATCTTGATAGACAATACACTATTCTTCAAGAATACATCATTGGTCAACCAAAACCTTATTATCGTTTTGATTCAAGCATTGAGCCGGATGTTTGGTTCGATGCTGTCAAGGTGTGTATCCTTTACGGAATTTCGATTTCACGAAGATCTTCACGCGTCTAAAGAAAGAAAAAATATGCATGAAAAACATAAGCTTATTAAAAAACAAGTGCGAGTCAATGTTTTTGTAGGTTTGGGAAATAAAATGTGCTGATCTTTCCATCTCTCCCGTTCACAAAGCGGCTGCAGGCATAGTGAGTATAGTTCATAGCATTATTATGGTACTACTTTTCATAGCATTGTAGGCGATGTTTTAGTCAGTGACGTAACCAGCCGGTCCTGGTATTTTAAATTTCAGATGAGTTACCTATATTTCTTTATTCAGAAATCTTTTCGTTTTAACTGTGAGTGAACACCTAAATATTTACATAGTACAACCTGACTTGCTGTCTGGCTACGCTGGAACCGCTATTGCCTCTAGTTGTATAGCTCACTAGATTCATCCATGTCATCAAGGTTCTGACAACATTCCAAATGCCATTCCCGTTGTCAATGTTGTTTTGTAAACTTTTCTAACATGCTTGTATGTGATAATCATCCAGGTTAAGTTAGTACAGTCCCGAAGAGAACTCTTGACTGACGTTTCGACAGCTTTAGCCGTCGGCGAACCCGACGTTTAGTCCTCATTTGACTACCACTAAGGTTGTCGAAACGTCAGTCAACACCAACAACAACAGTCCTTCTCAGGACTCTATTAACCTGGACGATCTACATCTACAAACATGTAACGATACTCCTGGGTTCAAACCATTCACACGGTGTTTTTTCATTGTCATATTTTTAAAATCTTATTCTACTAAATGTGTTGTTGATGTAGGTAGACGCTGAAAAAGGAATTTCTTTGCGCTTTCCGAGGTTTATCCGAGAGCGTGACGACAAAAAGCCCGAGCAGGTTACGAGCAGCGTTCAGGTTAGTAGCCAGTCCGTTGAACATGCTCTAAAAACCTCTTCCATCCAATAATTTGAAAAAATAAATTATAAAAACACACTCCAAAAAAACACCATCTTGTAAAGTCAAGATTCGAGTTATGACAGCAAGAGACAAGATTTCAAGCAATATTTTGACTTAATTTGAGTTTACAATATGATGTTTGTTGTTTTTTTTGTAGTGTGTTTCATCACTTATTTGTACATGTTGTTCTTCACGTGCAATAAAACCGGATATTTTATTCAATTCTACCGTCTGGGTGACGAGAACGCTTGGTTCCCACTATTGGTTTATCGCGATAAAAGCGACAGCGATAACTTTTATTTGCAATGGTTGCGCGACTAGACGTGTTGTTTACATTATGTCGGATGGCGATTATTTTGTGAAATAGCGTCGGTAAAAAAAACACGATCTGGTAGTAATTGCAGTAGCATATGTTTTATGGAGGCGACAGAGACGCCGTAGAAAGGCATCGTAGAAAAGAAAACAATGTTTTTGGATTCGCCATCTTGAATTCCTAATTTTTCATTCAAGATGACGTCATTTTGGCGATTAACGCGAATAAATATAAAAAATCGGCGATTGTTAGTCGCCGTTTATTGCGATTATTACCACGTTCTCATATGGGATTATCGCGATTAAAGTTAATCGTTGTCGCGTTAAACCAATTGTGGAAACCAGGCTTTAATGTTATATACTATATACTATACTGCGTGATTTTCATCTCTTTTAAAAAGATCGCTGACATGTATCGTAATCAAGACACAGTAAAAAACAACCGCGAAGCCTCGGACAAGACAAACAAGGATGACTATGACGATTTTTACTGAAAAAGCAAGGTTACGAAAACTAAAGTTCATGTGTAATTTCCGATGTAATCTCATATGAACTAATTTTGACTTAAGGCGGCTGTTTTCCCGAATTCAATTCCTACAGCATTCAAACGTTAACAGGAACTTATGAAGATCATTATTTTGTCAAATATAGAACGCTTGTAACTCGTTCATTTCCCCCCGATAGTTCCATGTGAGATTCGTACTGAGAAACGGGCATCGAGACAGCTAGAAGCGGATGCAATTACTAACATTACCCAGCTTGTGGGCGTAGATGACGTCAGTATTCCAGTTTTAGATAATCGACTTATCATTGAGTGGCGTAAGAACGTCTGCCTAAACTTAACTGACAGCGATTACACAAATTGATCGTGACTGCCGCTTGAGTGTATACAAACTGATATCTATTATTGGAAAATATATTCAAGTTTCCTTTAGTAAAAATGCATGTGTTTTATTGTGATGCTCTGTGAAATGTTTTGTTGACACTTTTGATCAATTGCGAATGCTTTTGTTTCCGATGAAAATAATTAAATTACTGAGACGCATTACGAAAGCGTCACAAAAGGGACAGCCCAACTTTCGATATGACGTCAGTTTTAAAGTTTAATCTCCAGTTGTTGCCCTTCTCTTTGGTTGAAACGCGTTTTTTTAAGTTCATTTTCGCAGTGCATACTTTTATTTAGAACCTATACAAAGAATTGTAATTCTTATGAATGTGACCTTAAAGGAATTCCAATGAATAACATTTGTGAAAAGCACGTGCGCCTCCGACAAAAATAGCAAGTTTATATAAGATAATATTCAAGATTGTATGTCTGTTAAAACGTCAAATTTTACCGAAAGAAGTCTAGATATTTTACTTCTGTAATAACTTTACACTGTAGTCAAAAGAGAGGACATGTACAGTATATGTTCGCGTATTATATTGTAGATGATGATAATCTTTGAAATGTAGCTTGTACTCAATTCTGTAGAACTAAATTTATCAGATGGGGGCACTCTTGACGAATCTGAAGCCATGAAATTATGAAAAATTACCCATTTCAAAGGTAGAAGGGGTGCTCCTTCCCCAAGCGCCTCCCTCCCACACTTCTGCAGCACTGCTTGTACTACAGTGTTCGATACTTTTATAAAATTAGTCCAGGAGATATTAAAAATTATTGTACGATCATGTATACTTAATATAAGCCAAGGTTTTTTATTGGTTGTTGCCCGGTGTGTTGGCCAACTGTGTGATAATTTTGCCTAAAATGGGAAAAGACGCATGCTTAATTTATATTTCATGGCGATATGTCGTTAAAAGAGGCAAAAACGTGGGCCAGCATGTGAGCTGTACGAACGTATTCACGAGTGCGAATTGCCATTAGAAAGGCGTCGTTAATCAAAGAACGGGTGGCTTTATTCTTCGCCCACTTTCACAGTTTGTGACAGTAATAGCTGACTATTTTAACATTAGGAAAGTCAATTTATAGAAAATCCTTTTTTCGGTTTGTTGGAGTTCATTGCCGATGAAGCTTTCGTCGACAACGCCATAGTCGCGGAATTTTTTGTCTCACTGCTGAGGTAAGCTGCTCATGACATCTGGGAGGCGTCGTCATCGTGAAACATGCCACTGTGCCAGCCTTTGATCATTATCCATATATGGAAGGCTTTTGTCGCAATTATCAGTGCGGCTTACAAGTTTTTATCAAAATAGCCGTAGGAGGGTATGACGTCACGTAACAATGCATAGGTGTTTGATCAAGGCTGTCTTGCCATTGGCTATTTTGATTGATATTGTTTTCTTGTTTCCGGACATCGACCAATCAAAATAAAATATGTTGTCAATAAAAGAACAGGGTTTCTTTGGCTCATGATCCATTTGGTGTACGTAGGTTATTGTTCTTTGTTAATTCTCTTCAAAGCGTAAAGACTGGACAATGCTTCTCGAAATACAGATTGCTGTTAGTTTTCTAACGTCCTATTTATACAACAAGCTTCCCAGACGTAGAGTTGATCTATTCAGCGTTGAATTGACGAAGCAATTGAGAGAAAAATTCGAAGGTCATTGGTATCCCGAACGACCTATGAAGGGAAGTGGCTTTCGCTGTTTGTCAATCGGAGATGAACTGGACCCTGTGATTATGAACGCTTCTCAAGACAGTGGACTTAATCTAGAAGAGATACGAAGTAGTTTACCTGACAAACTAACGATGTGGGTTGATCCAGACGAGGTTTCCTATCGTATAGGTAAGGCGCTTGTTTTGCTGTTCGATACATTGTTTATTCGAAGCTGGGTTCTTATAAAGTATATATTATTTCATAATAATACTCGTATTTTCACTTTGACTCATCAAACATAGAGAAGAAGTGGTACTTTACGTTTATTTTGTCTTGTGTTCATTTAATAACTTTGCCCTCCATTCGATATATCTTATATATCTGACATTTCTACTTTGTTATGACCTGTGTTTTTCTTTGCTTTAAGTTTTAAAGCTCGTGTTTACGTTGAAACGCTTTTATCGGTCAAAATTTGTGTGAATACAATATTTTTGGGCATTCCCCTCGTCGCTTTGTATTAAAATTCGTCGTGTTTTTGATTACAAATGCTTACAAAGCATTTTTTGTATAATTTCAGAAGAGGAATTAGTCGTGAAAGTTATCTATCAAAAAGACAAATACGGCGAAACAGGCAATCTAGCCGAATTGGAAGCGTTGAGCAATGGACAATTATACAACCACAGTATGTCTAGTCCAACGCGAAATAGTCAATATGCTGAAATCCAAACATCCTCTTCGAAGATTTCCCCGCAACAAATATCACCATTATCCATGTTGGCCAATCCACATTACACACTCTGGGGTTCTCATAAAAGCAATGGCGATACTCCTGTTCATAGTCGCTTGTCCCCCAACGCCGAAGAATTTCGGTATCCCATCAGCAAGAATCCTTTATCGACGACGAATGGTCTATATTGCTCGGATGTAACTGGCTATAGTGATATTTCTCGTTATACGTGGTCAAATTCATCGGATACTCTTGATCTAAAACAAGGCTACTCTTTTAAAGCTGCTTACACGAGTTTGTTTGATAACTCGAACACGTACAAGCGCAATTACAATCCTTCGCAACTCGAAGTTATGGCCTAACTTCGCGTCGATGGTCAAACAAAATGTAAACGAGACTCCTGTTGGGACGCTAAGACTACAATTGGATCAGATATATTAAAATATACTTTAGTTTTGTACGTATTTTCATTATTGGGTAGCAACGTTGCGTGGCTTTATCCCCTTTTAAGGAAGATTTGAAATTTGTTGTTTGAAATTTATTTACCTGTACAGATTGTTTTAAATGTACATATTTTCTTATTCACATTCATTTGTTCATTTGTAAGATAGGATTTTCAAATTTTAGAGAATTCAGTTTGACCGGGACGACGATTGTGTCTCGATATTGTTAAAGATGTTGTGTAACTAGTTTAAAGGACAAATATCAAAGCTGCATTAAAATTGACATTATTCGTGACATTTGACAGGCAATTTCTAACAATGCGAGAATTAAATGATCCTTTTTAAACCTACGGTATATTGCTTTAGTCTATTGCTATGGCTTGACTCCAAACAACGAAAACGCTCTTAAATATAGACGAAAACGTTGTGGAAATAATAACTATTTAAAACAAACATCCCCGACCCCTTGTTGTGAGAAGTGGCGTTGTTGACTTTGTGTAAACTTTGATATTTTTAACTGGTGGCCTTAGAATGGGCGCAAATGGTACATTATTTTCGTGCTTACTTGACACGGAGGTTTAAACTGGTTGGGATAAACCACACTGCAGTATGGCGGTGGTGAAACGAACAATATCTACTTCGTTTTCATCAAATTTCTTGTGCCTATTGTTTAAAGAGCATGTTATTAATGTACATGCTTCAGACAATCTCAGGGCTTATTTTTAATCCTGATGACTATTGGTATTTCCGGTTTCGTGTGTCGAGAAAACATGCAAAGATACCCAGGCGACTGAGAAGCACAGCTATTGTATTTGTGTTGGAAAACTTTCATAAACACCACCACTTCGAAGTACGTAGTACCACTTTGATTCCGATAGTAAACTTCTACAATTGCAAACCGACTTACAGGAAGTGCGTACACTTTTTTCTACAAGAGTTCCGGTAGTAACAAAACCTGGGGGGCTGAGACCGAGTTTAAATCGATCAATATTCAAAATGAATGGGTTCGCTGGCAAGATTTCCAAAACTTACAATAATAGCGTTCATTGATATTTTGCAATGAAGAAAGACGTTCGTATTCTACTTGTGGGTGAAGGTATGGATAGATACGTAAAATTTGAAAATGCTATTGAAGAATTAAGGTAATATTTCAAACATGATGCTACAGACAGTCACTTGGAAAAAGTGATAAATTACTTTGTTCGTAATTTACCCAAAGTCTTTCTTTCGGAGTTTTTTCATTCTAATAGGCTAATTAACTGGCCATTATATATAAGTGGTGTCATCAATTTTTGTTCGAAAATGATCTGCAGCTCTTACTGTCGCTGTCAGTCAATTGATTTGTGTATTATGATTGTGACATGTGCCTGGTCTGCATTATGTTTCACTTTCATGAACAGAGAATCAAAATAAAACTTTCATAGAGAATTTGTCTTTTTCTCCATGCTTAATTTTGTCTTTTCTTTTCAAGAGCAAGTTGGAAAAACGTCACTAATTTTGGCCCTTGTTAGTGAAGAGTTTCCCGAGAATGTGAGTATAATTTTGCAATTTTTTCGAGATTGCGAATCACTGCATGATTTCTTGCAATTTTTACAACACTCAGGTCCCGTCTAGAGCTGAAGAAATCACCATTCCAGCAGATGTCACACCAGAACAAATACCAACCCACATTGTTGACTATTCAAGTAGGAGGAATTTTGTATTTGATTCTTGTACTTTATTGGCAAGGATTTTATGATAATCCATTTGATAAACTTGTCGGATAGCTTTTCATACTTACTTTGATAATTATTGTGAATATGGGTCTGTATGTACATATATGATCATGGGTTTCTTATTGGTTCAGATCAAATTAACACAAAGTAATGTGATAAATGATAAATGTAGATCAAAATCAATAGTGTTGATCTTGCTTTTTGTCAGATTGAGCCGTGCCCATTTATTTCACATAATTACTGGTAGATATATTGTATAATTTCTATTCTTTAGGCTTTGAGCAAACACCAGATGTTCTAGATGAAGAAATCTTTAAGGTTGACGAACTTCGATGCTTTGCTCTATCTGTTAACAAATTTAGAGTTGTCAGGCTCTCCATTGAAAAGTTGAAGAAAACTTTATGACAAATATTGTTGTGGTTGCTGAGGCTGATGTCATTTGTATTGTTGCTATGGTTGTTTAGGCTGATGTCATTTGTATTGTTGCTATGGTTGCTTAGGCTGATGTCATTTGTATTGTTGCTATGGTTGCTTAGGCTGATGTCTTATGTATTGTTGCTATGGTTGCTTAGGCTGATGTCTTATGTATTGTTGCTATGGTTGCTTAGGCTGATGTCTTATGTATTGTTGCTATGGTTGCTTAGGCTGATGTCTTATGTATTGTTGCTATGGTTGCTTAGGCTGATGTCTTATGTATTGTTGCTATGGTTGCTTAGGCTGATGTCTTATGTATTGTTGCTATGGTTGTTTAGGCTGATGTCATTTGTATTGTTTATGATGTCACAAATCCAGAGACTATTGAAAAGGTTAGTTTAAACTCTCTTCTCGATATGTATTTCATAATGAGCTTGAGATGTTGGTAGATATTGCTGGTTCAGGTTAGTACGGTCATGGTTTAGGTTAGTACAGTCATGGTTTAGGTGAGTACAGTCATGGTTTAGGTTAGTACATTCATGGTTCAGGTTAGTACAGTCATGGTTCAGATTAGTACAGTCATGGTTCAGGTTAGTACAGTCATGGTTCAGATTAGTACAGTCATGGTTTAGGTTAGTACAGTCATGGTTCAGGTTAGTACAGTCATGGTTCAGGTTAGTACAGTCATGGTTCAGATTAGTACAGTCATGGTTTAGGTTAGTACAGTCATGGTTTAGGTTAGTACAGTCATGGTTCGTGTTAGTACAGTCATGGTTCAGGTTAGTACAGTCATGGTTCATGTTAGTACAGTCATGGTTCATGTTAGTACAGTCATGGTTCATGTTAGTACAGTCATGGTTCAGATTAGTACAGTCATGGTTCAGGTTACTACTGTCATCATTGGTGTTGACAGCAACATCCTCTAGAGTTAAGGCAAAGATTTCTCTGTAAATCAACACTTGCAAATATGTAATAATACGTAATGCCACTCCCACACCCTGACCAAAAGCTTTTGTTGACAACTTAATGAAATCATCATTTTTCACCAGATTGAAAGCTATTGGATTCCTTTGGTGTTGAATTGTAATGACGATGATGGCACTCCTCAAAATAAACCAATGATTCTTGTTGGAAATAAGGTAAAAAATCTTTTATACTTATCTTATGATGCACATACAATGGTATAAATTAATTTTTTATGATTCCTAATTGTTTTCCTGTTTCTTAGAGCGATTTGTCCGAACATAGCACAATGGATGTAAGTCTAATCCTACTAACGTTCATATCCTATCTAAATTACGGCGTAATTTAGACTATAGTAAAATCTAACTAAAAAATTTCGTAAAATTTCACGCCTCGACATTGATTACAGTAATCATGTTGAATAATCTTCTATTTTAGACTTTGATTGAAATTATGAACAAATATTCACAAGTCAAAACTTGTATTGAGGTAAATGAGATAATGAAAATGCAATTTACACTAAAATACAAACCAAGAGGTTGACATTGGTAGTCGTCCCAGTCTTCACAACGTTGCTTTCGTTCCCATGTCTTTCATCTAACTGCATGGTCATTGCCCAAGATTTATTTGATCGGTTCTTTCTACATACATGTGTATGTTTGCGTACATTTATATCCCCGTTTAGCCATCACTATTTGTGTGATCATAACCGATTACTGTCTTCATTTTATTTGCACGATAAACACGAGAGCTCCGCAGTTCTTGCTCAGTTCTAGCTTTGCGGCATGATAAACACGAGAGCTCCTCAGTTCTAGCTCAGTTCTAGCTTTGCGGCACGATAAACACTATAGTTCTGCGTTTCTAGCTCAGTTCTAGCTTTGCGGCACGATAAACACGAGAGCTCTGCGTTCTTAGCTCAGTTCTAGCTTTGCGGCACGATAAACACGAGAGCTCTGCGTTTTAGCTCAGTTCTAGCTTTGCGGCACGATAAACACGAGAGTTCTGCGGTTCTAGCTCAATTCTAGCTTTGCAGCACGATAAACACGAGAGTTCTGCGGTTCTAGCTCAGTTCTAGCTTTGCGGCACGATAAACACGAGAGTTCTGCGGTTCTAGCTCAATTCTAGCTTTGCGGCACGATAAACACGAGAGCTCTGCGGCTCTAGCTCAGTTCTAGCTTTGCGGCACGATAAACACGAGAGCTCTGCGGTTCTAGCTCAATTCTAGCTTTGCGGCACGATAAACACGAGAGCTCTGCGGTTCTAGCTCAATTCTAGCTTTGCGAAACAATAAACACGAGAGCTCTGCGGTTCTAGCTCAATTCTAGCTTTGCGAAACGATAAACACGAGAGCTCTGCGGTTCTAGCTCAGTTCTAGCTTTGCAAAACGATAATCACGAGACGTTTGCGGGTCCAGAAATTTTATCTCGGTTTTTTGAAAGAAGAGAAAACTCGGTTTGGGGGTGTGCTTGAAAATGGCCACGCAGCTCTTTTAAATACTATTCAAAATCTATATTGGTACGTTATGGCGATTTTCATTTGTTTGTAACGCATGTAAGCTTAATCAGGCCAGTACCCAGGGGGGACAGGGTGCATGTACACCCCTCGCGCCATATATTCATGAGGTCTGTTTATCAAAAATTCACGATAAAAAAGCAATAAACAAAAATCGAAATTGTCTGGTTAAATTCAAAAAATCATAAAAACGGTCTCCATGTTATTGAACTCAACCATGAGTGTGTTTATGTTTAGTTTCTTTGAAAGCATATCTACCAAGTTGAGCGCGACTTAACCAAGTGTATTTGTAGCATAAAAACATTAAAGTCAGTTATAATGCCAATAAAATCACCAGTATACAAGTCCGTTTTTCCTCAAATGTACACTTTCCTGCTTTAAAGCTTTCTTCTTTACGATCTAGAATTTGTGACATGTAGTTCTTTATTTCTTTCAGTGCTCTGCAAAATTGGTCAAGAATATTTCAGAAATGTTTTTTTACGCTCAAAAGTCCGTTCTCTACCCCGAAGATCCGTTGTACTCGCAGGAAACGAAAGAGGTTTCTAAATCTTGTATATAGAAAAACAACTTTTTGCGTTGTCGTGGCAGATATGAATTCATAAATTATCTTATGAATCTGTCCATCGCTCGTAATTTATCAAACTTAGCAGACGGTCATAGCATTTCATTAATCTTCGATAAACAAACTTTCAGACATTAAAAAGCGAGTGTGACCAGTTTACTGAAGAAACATTTGTCAATTATCTAGTGATGCTTGTACAACAGCACTGAAGTCGTTTACACTAAGTATCGATGCATTTATAATTTTTCAGCTGACGGAACCCTGCGCCCGCGCTCTTACTCGGATATTCAAGGTTTGTCGGTCATTTACATGTGCTGTATCTCTCTCTGAGATTGTAATTGAGAGAAAAACAATATTATGGAGAGAAATGACGCTCACCTCCCCTCTCCCCGATTTATTTTCGACTGAAAAAAACTATCTGAAATTTGTTTTCAACAAACTCTAAGAATTTCTCATTTACGTTATGCACAGGTAAGAATTTACGAGTCCTTAAACCCACGGAGATCATTTGCCCCGAAAAGACCTTACCCATATTTTCGTAATATTAAATCCCCCCCCCCTTCTTGTGTCAATTTTTTTGTGACACCCCCGGACCTGCCCTGGACGCAAATTTTGCTTTTAAACATCTTTAGTCCTGTTATGTAAGCGATTGGGATATTTTCAATCTTGTTAGATTTGCGATTTGAAAGGTGATAGGATTTTGGACGATGAAGAATTAAATAGATTTCAGGTAAACATTTGTTATTTAAAACATTTAAAGCAGGGGTGGGCAACTTCTCCAGTCGGCGGGCCAGATTTAGGAAAATGAAGTTATTGGTGGGCCGGATTATTACATGAATAATATTCAATATTCAATGGTCGGATACAGTCGGCGGGGCAGTCAAAATCCCTTCAGGGGCCGGACCCGGCCTGCGGGCCGTATGTTGCCCACCCCTGCTTTAAAGTCTGTTAAAACTGCGTAAGTGGAATCTTCAGCAGTGCGTAAAAACGAATTTGCAACATGATTGGTTGTCAATAAATAGTGACGACATCACCAACCTATCAAATGCGTTGTAAGCTTTATCAGATAAAAGCAGACAATCAAAAAGACATTACTTTGTATTACAGAGAAGTGCCATGTTGTAGTTGCGAAAGAGTATATGCGACAAACTTTCTGTGAAGAAAGACGTCTTTTATACAAAATGTAAACATGTCTATTTTAATGTCTGCTTTTATTTCAATGATCCTTCCTTTGATTTTATTGAATGTACGTTAATGCTACTTGAATATTCCCTTGAATAAATGTTATTGATTGTCGACTAGTGCTATTGAATGTATGTTAATGCTACTTGAATATTCCCTTGAATAAATGTTATTGATTGTCGACTAGTGCTATTGAATGTACGTTAATGCTACTTGAATATTCCCTTGAATAAATGTTATTGATTGTCCACTAATGCTATTGAATGTACGTTAATGCTACTTGAATATTCCCTTGAATAAATGTTATTGATTGTCAACAAGTGCTATTGAAAGTACGTTAATGCTACTTCAATATTCCCTTGAATAAATGTTATTGATTGTCGACTAGTGCTATTGAATGTTCCTTCGTCTTAATGAACATTCTACAGCGCTAAGTCAAAGAGTGTAATTGAATGTCCAATGTGCTCTAATGATGAGCAAATGATGTATGTATTAGCTTACTGTTTATATTCATGAAATATTTATAGTATCAATGTTTCAAGTCACCTCTCAAAGATGAAGAGGTTAATGACGTAAAAAATTGCGTCAAACGAAACACCGCTGATGGTTTGAAGAACAACGGGCTCACGTTAACCGGTACGATGAAATTTTGATTATGATTGGTTAGAAACACTCGGATCTGTATTTCTTGTAATCACTACGATATAAGTGACGTAATGTTTTACAGCCATTTTGTTGTTGTCAGCGGTGTTTGTTTGGGACGGTTACAGAATGTTTTTGTAGGAAATGTTTGGACTAGATTTTGATCACTGATCTATATAAAGACTGGATAACGCAAATCAGTTCTTCACTTGAAGCCTGGCGGCGGCCATATTGGACTATTCACTTTTTCATTTTCGTTATGTACTTTTTATATAACAAACTGCTACTCTCGCATTTGTTTTGCGTCATATGTTTTACTCTTGGGACAAAAAAGAATTATCATGATGACAAGACTGCAATAGAACGGTTTTAGGCGAAGCCATGTTCGCTAAATTTCATATAGAAATCTTCTCACGTTACTTAAATATAATAAAAGATTTGGCATGATTTCGGAAAGAGAAAATGACAAAAATACAAAATACGAGACAAATTCATTATAAAATATACACGAGAAGTGGATAGTCCAATATGGCCGCCGCTGTCAAAGATTGGCTTCAAAATTTTCTAGGCACCAGAAATAGGTTGCGTTATCCAGTTTTTATATATATCAGTGATTTCGATGGATATTTGTGGATATTTTTGAGCAATTTAGTCTGGTGGGGGTTTGTGAAAATGTGCTCAATTGAACACAAATCAGAATATGCAAACACGTCAAAACCATGACCAACAACGCGACCATGACATCACATGCAAACACGTCATAACCATGACCAACATGGCTGCAATGACGTCACATGCAAACACGTGAACAGTGTACTGGGAGCTCACTCTAAAAGATTGAATTGTCTTCTTAGGATTTCTTTTCCTCCATAAACTCTTTATGGAAAGAGGAAGACACGAGACCACGTGGACTGTTTTAAGAAAGTTTGGTTATGGCGACGATTTGGAGTTGAGAGAGGATTACGGCGATGCGGGGTGAGGATCTAGGAAAGAAAAAGAAAAATTGTTCTAACTACGTATACAATACTTTCATTTAACTTAATACTTTGGGGTCTCTAAGTTGTTTTGAGTTAGACCCAGTGTTGTAGAAGTGGGGGGGCGCTTGGGGGAGCAGCCTCCCTTCTACCTTTAAAATGGGTAATTTTAAAAGGACACTATTGACAAAAACTCGAGAGAGCCCCCACCTGATAAATTTAGTTCTACAGCACTGGTTAGACCAGGTACAAGGATTTTCTGGGGGAATTGAACGGGGGGTACATATCTCCCCCAAAAAGTCTCTGGCACCGCCACCCAAGGAAAATTTCAAAATGGTAGTAGGTACTGTAGACGATTAATATAACAGTATTAGAGGCTATGAAATTGTACAGTAAGACCAACTTAAGCTAGGATAACGATGCACCCCCTAGGAAAATCTTCACCCCTCCTGTCAAAGAAGCATTGTTCTGCCCTTGATTCTCGGTTCGGGGAAAGTTTGATGGGAAGCATTATAAATTTAAGAATTATGCGCCATTTTTGATCATCATAAAATGAATGGTTTGAACGCGGGAGTATTGTTACATGTTTGTAATTGTCGATCGTCCAGGTTGGTATAGTCCTGAGTAGGACTGTTGTTGTTGTTGTTGACGGACGTTTCGACAACCTTAGCGGTAGTCATCTTCAGAGTCAAGGTTTTGAAAACGTCAGGCAACATCAACACCAAAAGTCCTTCTCAAGACTCTACTAACCTGGATGATCTACATGTACAAACATGCAATTTTGATCACCCTTAGTTACTTAATCCCTGATACGCCGCAGCAAGTGAAGTTTACCGTATGATCTTACCAGCACGATACTAAATAGACATTTTATAAGTAGACCACTATACTTTTAAAAAATTTATATGCAAATACAATCGTTATCTATTTAAAATGTAAAGTTAAGTTTAAGTTTCACCAATTTTTTGTTGCTTTTGTGTGCAATTTAAATTTGCCTCCAGTATTGTGTGATCGATTTGTTTTGGGTCATTTTTGTGGGTACAGTGTAACCATATATAAAATTTTTACCAAATTTTCTCGGATGACTATAAACACTCCCCCCTGTTCGGAACTTTGTAACTATGTAAAGCAGGTGGGAGAAACCAAGCTCATCACACCAAATCTAGTAAAAATATGCATATATATACTCATACCGTTTGTCACTGCCAACAATAGCAAATGAACTTGAACACTCCCCCCTGTTCTGAACGTTGCAACTGTATAAAGCAGGAGGGATAGTTTAAGCTCATCAGATCAAATCTTGTAGAAATTTGCATGTCGTTCTTTCTTGTCTCCCAGACTGGATATTCCTTCACGTTCTACAACTGAACTCTCAGAACTTGGCAATGATTTTTTTACAAGACTTTTTGAGAAATGTGATAAGGTGTGTGATCATCGTTTCAGCACATTTCAAAGTTGTATTATGTTGTTATAGGATGTCGTAGGATGTATTGCATAAAGTTGTAGGATGTTGTAGGATGTTGTTGTAGGATGTTGTAGGATGTATTGCATAAAGTTGTACGATGTTGTAGGATGTAGTTGCATAAAGTTGTAGGATGTTGTTGTAGGATGTTGTAGGATGTAGGTGCGTAAAGTTATACGATGTTGTAGGATGTTGTAGGATGTAGGTGCATAAAGTTGTAGGATGTTGTAGGATGTAGGTGCATAAAGTTGTAGGATGTTGTAGAATGTTGTAGGATGTAGGTGCATAAAGTTGAACGATGTTGTAGGATGTTGTAGGATGTAGGTGCATAAAGTTGTACGATGTTGTAGGATGTTGTAGGATGTAGGTGCATAAATTTGTAGGATGTTGTAGGATGTTGTAGGATGTAGGTGCATAAATTTGTAGGATTTTGTAGAATGTTGTAGGATGTAGGTGCATAAAGTTGTAGGATGTTTGTAAACTTTATTGTGTTGATGATTTGATCTAGGATAAAGATGGCGCTCTATCGCCGGAGGAACTGGAGGTTTGTAAGAACTTATTTTGTTGGACCGTTTTGTCGTTTGATATACAGAGATTATATTTACGGCGCAACAAACACCAACATACACTGTAAACCGCGATGAGCTTGACAATAGGGCTAGCTTCGACCTCTTGATCGTTTTTTACTTTTATCTTAACTGATATAATTTCATAAATTGGCATTGCAAATGCTTGTTGTTGTTTTTTTCAAGCAGAACTTGTTTCGAAAACACTGTCATGTTATTGTTGGCAAACATGCAGTCTTTTCTACTCTCACCCGATCCAAAAAAAAATAATCAGTTAAATACAGTGCAAAGAATTAATGTTTAAGTTCTGCTTAACATCGGTCCTACCAACATGGCCGTCATGACGTCACATGAACAGACACTTTTAAAAGCAGTTCCCTTCTTTGTAGGATCTATTTAGTGTGTGTCCAATAATGCCTTGGAATGAAGAGGTTTTGAGTTGCATTCAAACCAATGAGAATGGATGGATCACATATGATAGCTACATAGCCTTATGGGTGTATGTACCTTAATGTACATCGATGTATAATGTAGTTGCACGCAAACCAATGAACATGGATGGATCACATATGATAGCTACATAGCCTTATGGGTGTATGTACCTTAATGTACATCGATGTATAATGTAGTTGCACGCAAACCAATGAACATGGATGGATCACATATGATAACTACATAGCCTTGTGGGTGTATGCGTGTACATCGATGTATAATGTAATACAAGTAATGAAGTATTTTGGGTAACGCGCTTTTTTTTGCGTTTAGTCTGACGACATATTTGGATTGTAATCGAGTTTTTTCGTGGCTTTCATACTTTGGCTATATGCATGGCGAGGTGGAAAGACAACTGTCTACAGCTGTTACTGGTAAAATGATATTAAAATTTTGTGTTGTCCATTTTGTATGGTACATGATAGTATGATATGTGTCTGCTGAAGTTGTATGGAAACAATTTGAGGTCAAAGAAACGCTTTTTGTGATAAGTGATGGCAGGATTTTGTCGTATGAAATTCACTCTTACGTACTTGTTCCTGATATATACAAAGTTGCGAATGATATATAAATTAAGCGCAGTACCAGTACATCAAAGATAAGCAATATTCCTAGTAATGACAACATCATTGTACAAATACATCGAAGTTATCTTTCTATCGCAAAACTCAGGGGAAGGAAGCAATTCTTAAGAAACCAATCCGTCCCTATTCCTTCGCTAAAAGCTTCCCTATCTTATCATAAAGTCGGTGTCATTTTGTATTTTTAGTCACTCGTAGTAAAGATGTTGATCTTTCCAAGCGACAGACATCGAGAAAAGTATTTCGTTGTAACGTCATCGGACCACCAGGAGCGGGCAGAGTAAGTGCTAATCATACATAGCTGTTGGAAACAATATTAAATCACGTAATAAAATGGTTGCCTCGCGATCTTTTGTTACCACGGGGACGTTTACTGACGTATTTCCTTCAAGCATAGGGATGAGGGAATTTTAGTTCTACATATCCCTCATCAATATTTCTTTTAACGTCTTGTTTCCACATTTTATTCTCGTTGCCTGAAGAAATTGCATCGGCTTGCATCTTGACTTTTCAATGGCTGAATCATTTTAAAGAATGAGTATCAGCATCATGCTTTGCGCGCTTGGTTGGCCATTTTAAAGGACCCCGAAAATGGCGACTATAATATGTTTGATTTAAGTACATAAGTACAGCATAAAATACGACATGAATATCGCAGCAACAGTCAAACTATCAACCATAAATGCTTCCTATAAATAAATATGATCATATAAGTCAATAAACAAAACAAAACCTCTACTAAATACACATCGGACTGCTTAAGTGCACGAAAGTTCCCGTATGAAAATATAAACATTGTGCGCGCAAAGCATGACCCTGATACTCATTCTTTAATTCAGGTCGATGGAAGATGTCTTCGGCAAGTTAATTGAAACCACACCACTTCGATATCAAAATTAGCATTCGGCTGTTAAATCGTCAATACTTGAGACACAATCGGGAAACTCGTTTTTACAACCCTTTGATCATTTCTGCTCCACCGTGTATGTCGTTGTGTGGCAATAGAAATCTCCTTTCCTCTGCGTCGGCAACTTCCTAATTATTAACTTGTGAAAAACGGTGATTGGCCATATTCCGCCATCAACAACTTATGCTATAATTAAACTTCTATATGTACTTTCAAAACAAACTCATACACAGGCTCACTGAACCAGTTCGACAACAGAATTCGCAATTAAAAAAGCTTGACCAATTTCTCTATTCCCTCGCTGACCATGAACAATATTCCTTTGAACACCATCAATGGTTGAAAATATTCAAATCAGTGAACTCAAAGTTTGATGAAATTATTGTCAAACGGAAGAATCTAATGCATTGATTATTCTCTCCGAAACCATGTTATTACAAAGTACGCGTGCTTTCGTGGATATTAGTGATTAAATGTCCCCTAAACCTCCCTCAGTTTGTGGGACATTTAATCTCTAATATCCCTGAAAGCATGCGTTTTCTTGTAATAATTTGTTTGCGAAACATTGTTTTACATTTCTTCAACAGACAACATTGCTACAAGGACTTGTTAACAGAAGTTTAGAGGTATGTGGGGGATTAACTAAGAGGATATTTAGAGATACGTGGGGAATTTGATTGAGATGATACGTGAGGATATTTAGAGATACGTGGGGAGATTGATTGAGATGATACGTGAGGATATTTAGAGATACGTGGGGATATTTAGGGATACGTGGGGAGATTGATTGAGATGATACGTGGGGATATTTAGAGATAGTAAAGAAATTGATTAAGAGAATACGGGGGATATTTAGGGATGCGTGTGGATATTTAGGGATGCGAGGGGTATTTCGGGATACATGGGGATATTTAGGGATACGTGAGGATGTTAAGAGATGAATCATTACTAATGCGAACCAGACTTAAAGGTGGATATGTTTTTAGGAAATCGAGGGGCGAAAGGATGTCGCCGAGACGAAGTTCACGATTAACACTGTAGATTTAAGTGGTCAAGAAAAATATCTAATTGTAAGTTTCAGCAATGTTTATTTTCTTAACAATTCATAAATTGCATGTGTGGCCATCTTTTTTAGTTATGTAAGATAACCTGGAATCAGGTTGATATCGAGTTGCTCAACAGCAAGAAATGTGACGTCATCTGTTTTCTGTACGACCAATCAGATCCCAGCTCATTTTCTAAAGTCCTCGAGCATTACGAGGTATGCAGTTCAATATTCGACAGAGCCTTCTATTAAAAATAAAATAGATTCCGAATACAGACATCGAGTTTTTGTGCCTTCTATTGAAAATAAAATAGATTCCGAATACAGACATCGAGTTTTCGTGCCTTCTATTGAAAATAAAATAGATTCCGAATACAGACATCGAGTTTTCGTGCCTTCTATTGAAAATAAAATAGATTCCGAATACAGACATCGAGTTTTCGTGCCTTCTATTGAAAATAAGATAGATTCCGAATACAGACATCGAGTTTCGTGCCTTCTATTGAAAATAAAATAGATTCAGAATACAGACATCAAGTTTTCGTGCCTTCTATTGAAAATAAAATAGATTCCGAATACAGACATCAAGTTTTCGTGCCTTCTATTGAAAATAAAATAGATTCCGAATACAGACATCAAGTTTTCGTGATATTCCAGATAGAGCAAGAGCTCAAACACAGAGTAGATAATATAATATAAAACAAATTCCGAAGAAACAAGACATCCTCAGACAGAATGATGACTTTGACATCCTCAGACAGAATGATGACTTTTTTTTCAAAGTCATCCTCATCATTCTGTCTGAGGATGACTTTGAAATAAAGTCGAACATTTACAGTTTACTTCTCGTCTTGTTTTGATTCATATTTTGCAATCTCAAGATGTCTTGCTTCTTCGGAATTTGTTTTTTACTATACTTTTTTAAATTGTCGGCTGGTCATGGTTTTTAGAGTAGATAATATTTCGTTTTTATTCCGAAGGCATCGTTAGACCAATGTCTGCGAAATAATACCTTCTCTGTGTTAGAACTCTTGCTTTATCTTCAATATCAAGGAAACAGGATTCCTGTGTTTGGAATCTCGTTTATTTTGTATTGTTTAAAGTTGTCTGCTTGTCCTGGTTATGAATCCGCGTTTAAACAAGATTAGGCTATTTGAATTTTTTTTTCATTTTATATTTCTAAGGTCCCGTCCACAAGTATACGGATATTTTCGTATCCGCAACTATTTTGTTGCTGATCAGGTTGCGTATAAAAATGTTTTTGCGTCCACATGTAGCTCGATATTATCCGGATTTATTATAGTTCCCAGGACTTCGCGCTGTCCGTTTCCCTCGCATTTTTTGAAATTGTTAGCAATTTGAATTCGGTCGGTGCGTGCAAACGTTTTTCGGTTTTGTTTGAATGTGCACGTCATAATTGGGACAGAAATCGTAAAAGATTTAGAGGAGCAAGACGGACTCCTTCATTTGGACTGATGATGAGGTTGAACTCTTACTGAAAGTCACACTAGAATTCAAAACATCTAACGCTATGTAGAAGTGGTCGATTGGAATCGATCTGAAGCAAATATGACGACATTTTAAACGCGCTATAATAGTTGCCAGGCAATCTTGGTGAAAAATATCCGAATTCACCGTCCACACGCATTCAAATTGTTGGCGGATACGAAAGTTTTCACTCTAGAGAGCGGATTCAAAAGTTTATGGATAACCCGCTCAAATATTCGGATGCATGTGGACCCAAAGGCTTATCCGCAACTTTTTTGTTGCGGATACGAAAATATCCGTATGCGTGTGGACGGGGCCTTAAAATGTCGTCAAGTAAAGAATTCCATGTTGCTACAGCGTCTCAAAAATCTTTCTTCGCATTTTGAAACACGAATCCAGGATTCTTACTTGACTTATAACGCGATTGAAGACGTTATGACAATTTTCAACTGGATAATAGTCTATAATGATAAAGTAAATGGTTTGAACCCGGGAGTATCGTTACATGTTTGTAAATGTCGATCGTCCAGGTTGGTATAGTCCTGAGAAGGACTGTTTTTGTTGTTGTTGACTGACGTTTCGACAACCTTAGCGGTATTCATCTTCAGAGTCAAAAAAAAAAAATGATGCCATTAGTCTCAATTCATTTCCTTTTCCTGAGAATTTTCTTTCTTCGTTCGTAGAACGTAATGTCTGGTGTTCCATGTTTGTTCATCGCCTCTAAATCAGATCTGCCAGCCGTCGTACAGGTGAGAGCTCTTACATTTTAACATTGCTTTCGACTTGTTTGAATAGGAAGATTATTTTACCGTTAAAACTCTGTCGAAATGAGACACATCTGCAAGGTTAAGAATTTTTTACTGTAGCAAGTCTCCGAGCAGGTTTTCAACTTCCTTATGTTTATCTATCCATAAAGGTATCTATATAAAGTAAATGGTTTGAACCCGGGAGTATCGTTACATGTTTGTAGATGTAGATCGTCCAGGTTAGTGTAATCCTGAGAGGGACTGTTGTTGTTGATGTTGACTGACGTTTCGACAACCTTAGCGGTAGACATCTTCAGAGTCAAATGAGGAGTAAACGTCAGGTTAGCCGTATTTGTTATCTAGCTCTTACGTCATTGTATTGTGTGTACAAACAACAAAAACAGTCCTTCTCAGGACTATACCAACCTGGACGATGTACATTTACAAACATGTAAAGTTTCCATGATACGACCTTAATGTCCGTATTCTAAAAGTGCACTCACTTGCTGAATGCGACACAAGAATGAAGAATCGCGCTCCCTCTAATGAACGACCAAGAAATTTACCCGTCGATGATAATATTATTGCTTAAATATTTCAAACCAAGCAAACTTCTGGCAAATTTCTAGGTGATTTTCATCCCCACTCGTTAGTGTTAGCAAGCTTTTCGAATACAGGCTTGAATATCCATTCATTTATTGTACATTACGTAATGTTTTATAGCGTTGTATCCCTCATTATCCATCACCAGATAGACATGTTGTATGTATATGTACACATCTTTTTTTCCTGTAGGATTCGGAGATCCAACCCTCTCTTTATTGTTCTTTGAATAATTTACCTGCACCTGTGGTATGTATGATTTCTGAAATTGAATATTTTTCCCGCCCGACCCTACCAAATACCTATGACTAAAAACATTTTTCCTTCATTTTCAAGCCTTTCTCTGCTTTAACGAAAGCGACTTTAACGAAAGACGTTTTCAAGACAATTACTCACTTGGCCGTATATCCGTAAGTGTTTTATTGTTCCTTGTTTTACTTTTTAATTTAAATATTTGATCTCGTGCATGTTGGAGCTCAAAAGTGCAAGATAACGTTTTGTTACTGACTTACTGAATTCATGGTAAAATATGTTAGTCAATAAATCTTCATCAATCCATATTCATCAATCCATGTTCATCAATCCATATTCATCAATCCATATTCATCAATCCATATACATCAATCCATCAATCCATGTTCATCAATCCATATTCATCAATCCATATTCATCAATCCATGTTCATCAATCCATATTCATCAATCCATGTTCATCAATCCATGTACATCAATCCATATTCATCTATCCATATTCATCAATCCATGTTCATTCAATCCATATTCATCAATCCATGTTCATCAATCCATATTCATCAATCCATATACATCAATTCATATTTATCTATCCATATTCATCAATCCATATACATCAATCCATATACATCAATCCAAATACATCAATCCATGTTCATCTATCCATATTCATCAATCCATTTTTATCAATCCATATACATCAATCCAAATACATCAATCCATGTTCATCTATCCATATTCATCAATCCATTTTATCAATCCATGTTCATCAATCCATTTTCATCAATTCACTTGGTTATGTATTCATTGCCCATAGTGGATATGAAAGTTGACCTCCTAACGTACACTTATACTTAATAGCAAGCCAATGGACCAAACATTATTTCAGGTCAGTAGTATAACGACAATTATTTTCACATGTTGCATTTCATTTCAGCCATCTCACTGGTCGAAAATCTCAATTTTTCTCGACAACTACAGTCTTATCGCTCGGCTTTGGTACAGCTTGTCTGGCTGCTGGAGCTTTTCTTTTATACAAATATTTAAGGCACAATAAAACGTAATTATAAATGGCGCTTGGAAACTTTAAAAACTTGTCACTGCCGGAAAGCTTTACTAAAAACTAGCTGTAATTTGGAAACTTTTTAAAGCTCATCTGTTACTTTCAAATTTCTACAATCCCAGTTAAAGCATTGGAATAGAATTATTATATTTAATTTGATATACGGTGTACTTCACGTATTTCAAGCGTAGATTGTGTTAACATTTGATGTTGGCAAGGGATTATTACCTCTTGGAAAAAAATCCAAAACAAATAATTCAAGCACTGGGAATTTTACTTCAGTAAAGAAACATGCCACTTGCAATGTTAATCGTATAAATTACATGCTGTGCTATACTATGCTATGGTGTAATATTGTGTTATATTGGATTTCAAATCGTATTGTATTGTATTATGCTATCTATTGTATGGCGCTGTAGTGTTGTGCACTGTGTTGTGGTGTGGTGCAGTATGTATGGTAAGCTATTGTATGGCGCTGTAGTGTTGTGCACTGTGTTGTGGTGTGGTGCAGTATGTATGGTAAGCTATTGTATGGCGCTGTAGTGTTGTGCACTGTGTTGTGGTGTGGTGCATTATGTATGGTAAGCTATGGCTATTGTAATCTGGTGGCTATGGTGCTATTGTATGGCGCTAGTGTTGTGCACTGTGTTGTGGTGTGGTGCAGTATGTATGGTAAGCTATTGTATCGGTGTGGTGCATTATGTATGGTAAGCTATTGTATGCTATGGTATGCCTAGCTCTGTTATGTCAAGTTAGGCCTGGCTATGCTATGCTATCCTGTCATATGCTTCTATAATATAGTTCAACAAAATGCATAACGCTCTACAACTAGCAAGTTTGGCATCGTCATGTTTCGTGCGTGAATACTTTTTGACCGCTGAACTGTAAACGCAAAACCGCTTTTCACTTATAACATTCATCCTTGTAGATGGTGAGGCTCAAAAGATATTCACCCTTGTAGATGGTGAGGTTCAAAAGATATTCACCCTTGTAGATGGCGAGGCTCAAAAGATATTCACCCTTGTAGATGGTGAGGCTCAAAAGATATTCACCCTTGTAGATGGCGAGGTTTAAAAGATATTCACCCTTGTAGATGGCGAGGTTCAAAAGATATTCACCCTTGTAGATGGTGAGGTTCAAAAGATATTCACCCTTGTAGATGGCGAGGTTCGAAAGATATTCACCCTTGTAGATGGCGAGGTTCAAAAGATATTCACCCTTGTAGATGGTGAGGCTCAAAAGATATTCACCCTTGTAGATGGTGAGGTTCAAAAGATATTCACCCTTGTAGATGGTAAGGTTCAAAGATATTCACTTGTAGATGGTGAGGCTCAAAGATATTCACCCTTTTAGATGAGATATTCACCCTTGTAGATGGCGAGGTTTAAAGATATTCAAGATAGGTTCAAAAGATATTCACCCTTGTAGATGGCGAGGTTCAAAAGATATTCACCCTTGTAGATGGTGAGGCTGTTCACCCTTGATGGCGAGGTTCAAAGATATTCACCCTTGTAGATGGCGAGGTTCAAAAGATATTCACCCTTGTAGATGGTGAGGCTCAAAAATATTCACCCTTGTAGATGGTGAGGTGTAATCAAATTCTATATTTGAGTAACTTTAAGTCTAGGTTTATGTAGACAATTATATCAAATTTTCAAGTCTGATCCCATCTGTCTGTTCCTTGTCATCCCGAATCTGTGTCCCAGTTTCGGTTGACAGCAAAATGTTATCCATCATTCTATTGTCCTAAATATCTGGGGCCGGCTGTATGAACCGGATAGCAAATTCTTCTGAACGTTCATAAAATCTCTTATAGGAGAAAATATACGATTTGTACTGTGCAATCACTGAAATAAAATGTTGTTTCGAAGATTATTAAATTTCTCTGTTGTAAGAAAAATAAAAACATCAAACTTTTTACAAGTTTGAAAATTTTTGCAATCCAATGGATAACGCTCTCCAGCAGCGGCGCCTGGCCCATAGTGACAGGGCTGACTATTGTCATATACAAGCTAAAGTTGTTTTTTTAATTTGTTCTTGATTCTAAAATAAGCTCTTCACTCCAATACCCAACAGCCTGCATTTCTTCAAAAGTTAACAAGCGCCTCCGGCGTGTATTGGTGGCAATTGCGCAATACGGTTTGTATGGTGACGTGCCTGAATGACAGGAAGTAGTTTGCATTCATTATTCAGACTATTTGAAGGATTGAATATCCGGTTTCGATGTTCAAGTGTTAAATATGGCACACCAACAAGTGAGAATTTCTATTTATTTAATTCATAAAATGCGTTCGTTATCATTTTGTTCAGTGTTAAAACATTAAATACTCTTTTCGCATTTTCTTTAGCAATTTCTACTGACGGATCTGCAACACGAAGGTTGGATTTTACTCGTTAAGTATACATTAGTCATTCAATTTCCGAACTGTGTTAGCTTAAGTATTTTTTTTTTCGCTTTTTAAAATAGCGTTTGTGTTTTCTGTACGTCCTTGAATCGTGTTGTTTGTGTTAAATATATTGTTTTCATGTATAATTATGTCTTATGGCGTTCAAACTTCATGATGACAATTTGATCCTAATGAAGAAACGTCCTTAAATTATCAATTTCTAGAATATAAAGAAAATTACATTTCTTTGTGAATTACAATTGTCAATTGTGCAAAACACGTTGCATGAATTAATGCTTAACTTGAAATATATGAACAAATCGTTTGAATAGCCATGAAACATCACCCACAAACTATATTTTATAAATCATGTTATTGATGTTAATTTACCAATAAGATAATTGTACATAAAATTTAGTGGTTAAATTTTGTGGTATTAATCATCATAATTTATCTACACGGTCTCTCCTGCCTAGGAATTAGAACTTACAACATGCAGTTTTCCTAATTTGTATGTGTTATGTATTCAATGATGTTTATGACTTGTTAGGGATAAATTACTGCAAAATCATACCAATTCCAAATCTTAAGTGATTTCAATAATTTGGGGTTTTTTTTGTGGGGCACCTTGTGTCATACAGATTTTGACTAGTTTATTGGATATAGGTGAGATTAATATAGCTGATGTGATATGTGGTTTAAGTTCTAATGTTTGAGTGTCTTAGAGTTTAGTCTAAATGTAAATATCAATAATAATTCGATACTTTTATGATTTTCTGTGAATATTTCTAGCATTGGCAAAAGTTTTCAAGTTTGCTGATGTCGAAGAAAAAGGTTATGTTGATGTCGAGACTATCTCAACCTTGGCCGTGCAATTACTTGGGGGCATTTGACAGAAAGTCAAAAACATTATATAAAAGTTGTATCGGATGAAAAGTCGGAGAAAGGTTAGTGAGAAACACTTACAAAAAGCCTGTTTCCATTCAGTGCAAAATATCCCGCACAGTTGAAATCAGTATGCGAATTAGTTCAAAAAAAAATAATGTGCAATTTTTTTGACAAAATTGTTTCTTTAGAGGCATAATCAAATCAATATTACGTTAATTATTATACAGCGCTAATTGCTAAATTAATATTTTCAAACGTGATCAAATTCGTATGATTTACGACAATGTGCAAAACCGCTGATTTTTGCACATCGTTTGAAAAAGTGATGTGCAATTGTTTTCATTTTAGCTAAAACAATGTGCAAATTGCACATTGCACACCATTAATTCGCACACTTGTTGAAATCTTTTTCTTATGAAAAGCGCATATTCAAATTTATAAAATATGCATGCACTTCAAGAAGCAGTGGTCAAAGTTTGCCTACACAACATATTGCATTGAAACAAACTCACCTCTGACCTTGACCTTGACCTTGACCTTTTCTCTATATTGTGACATCTTATGTCATTAATTTTTCTTGATTTAAGGTCTGCTGTCTTCGAACAGTTTTATTGATATAATGTCGAAAGTGATGATACAAACGACTCGATGGGGAAAGATGAAAACTGCTTTGGATAGTTATGTTGGTTTTGACACCATCCAGGAGCAGATCAGGAAGAAATCACTCAAACGTGGATTCGAGTTGAACATCATGGTTGTTGGTAGGATATTTGTGAGCACACTTTGAGTTGAACATCATGGTTGTTGGTAGGACATTTGTGAGCACACTTTGAGTTGAACATCATGGCTGTTGGTAGGATATTTGTGAGCACACTTTGAGTTGAACATCATGGTTTTGGTAGGATATTTTGAGCACACTTTGAGTTGAACATCATGGTTGTTGGTAGGATATTTGTGAGCACACTTTGAGTTGAACATCATGGTTGTTGGTAGGATATTTGTGAGCACACTTTGAGTTGAACATCATGGTTGTTGGTAGGATATTTGTGAGCACACTTTGAGTTGAACATCATGGTTGTTGGTAGGATATTTGTGAGCACACTTTGATTGAACATCATGGTTGTTGGTAGGATATTTGTGAGCACACTTTGAGTTGAACATCATGGTTGTTGGTAGGATATTTGTGAGCGCACTTTGAGTTGAACATCATGGTTGTTGGTGGGATATTTGTGAGCAAACTTATTCAATAGTGCCCAAAAGATGACTTAAAAACTGTTTAGCTAGTTGCCACTCAAAACTGTGACTCGTTCCTACATTGGAAAGATTCCAAATTGCTTAAGCTGGATAACGATTTTCAAAAATAGTTGCACAGCAAGTGTTTGACAACTGCTAAACTTTTTGCAAATATCTTGTGAACAATATTTTCATTTTCTTTCCAGGGGCGTCTGGTTTGGGAAAGTCAACTTTGGTGAACACATTGTTTAAGGCAAAGCTGAGTCGCACATCGTCCATAACTCAGCCGTTTGCCATTCCAAAGACTGTTGAAATCAAGACAATTAGTCATGGTAAGTGTTTTTAAGACGCAAATTTCGACACAATTGGCATTCAAGTCTGTGCATTTTTTGTTTTGTTTCAGTAATTGAAGAGAAAGAAGTTCGTCTTCGTTTGACGATTACAGATACTCCCGGGTTTGGTGATCAAGTAAACAATACAAACTGGTGAGTACAGGACTGACTTATAAAGGTAACAAGATTTCTACTTATAGTAAACAAGAACTTTGATCTTGTCTTTATATTTTTATTATATCTTGTCTTTTTATGTTCTTTTTAAAAACAAAACCTGCACAACACAAGCATTATCCGACGAATTTTTAAGATAGATAAAAGTTTCGCACAATCTGTGCGAAGTGCTGGTTCACTGTTCTCAAACTTCACACTAACAATGGGACTGTATTTTGAATATAATGTTTTAACACTTCAATAAGATATTTACAGTGTTGTGCACGATTTTACGTTCCAAGCGTTGGTTCTTCGCGATACGGAAGAATTAAATTGATCTCGTTAAGATTACGGACAACCGTCAATCCTTAAACTGCGTTTTCGAACTTTATTGCTTTCTGCAATAGGACTGATACTTTATCAAATTTGTATGACCAGTTCATACACCAGTAACGTCAACTTTTCCGTACCCCCGAACCAACGCTTGCAAGCTATATTTATGTATAATTATTCGGAAGTGGTTTTGGGCGTTTACATATGACGCGCAACTTTGCCATTCCGTTTCTACCTACATCCTACCGCAATGACGAATTGCGATGAGGAAGTGTTCTCTTAACATGACTATAGTGTTTTACATCAATTTAATAATATCCGTTATATCTTATAATTTATAATATGACACAGTCACACGCTACATAATTTGACATGACAATTTACAACAAAAAGCTCAAACAGACTTAAAACATACCACTTGAACAATATTAAACATTTCTTATTGTGGCTGGATCACTAGATCCATTATCTATGTGTTGTGCATTTTTAGATCAGTGGTAATTCTTCAACTTTGTATCCCATGTCAAACTAGATCTCTATGTGTATAATGCTTTATGTTCTAACTCTCCAACAGATTTCTTTTGAATGTTTGCATTTAAACATTTTCTTTCCTCTCGAGCGTGTGTATTTCAAATGCAACAGGTTGCAAAGAGCCGATGGCATGTAATTTTGCCCTGAATGAAAGTTACTCTTCTGAATGTTATATATATATGTTATACATGTTGTAGACATTGTACGTAGATGTTGTAGGCATTGTACGTAGATGTTGTAGACATTGTACGTAGATGTTGTAGACATTGTACGTAGATGTTGTAGACATTGTACGTAGATGTTGTACATTGTACGTAGATGTTGACATTGTACGTAGATGTTGTAGACATTGTACGTAGATGTTGTAGACATTGTACGTAGATGTTGTCATTGTACGTAGATGTTGTAGACATTGTACGTAGATGTTGTAGACATTGTACGTAGATGTTGGACGTAGATGTTGACATTGTACGTAGATGTTGTAGACATGTACGTAGATGTTGTAGACACGTAGACACGTAGATGTTGTAGACATTGTAGATGTTGTCATTGTACGAGATGTTGTCATTGTACGCAGATGTTGTAGACATTGTACGTAGATGTTGTGACATTGCGTAGATGTTGGACATTGTACGTAGATGTTGTAGACATTGTACGTAGATAGACATTTACCGTAGATGTTAGACATTGTACGTAGATGTTGTAGACATTGTACGCAGATGTTGTACATTGTACGTAGATGTTGTAGACATTGTACGTAGATGTTGTAGACATTGTACGTAGATGTTGTAGACATTGTACGTAGATGTTGTAGACATTGTACGTAGATGTTGTAGACATTGTACGTAGATGTTGTAGACATTGTACGTAGATGTTGTAGACATTGTACGTAGATGTTATTGTACGTAGATGTTGTAGACATTGTACCAACATTGTACGTAGATGTTGTAGACATTGTACGTTGTACATTGTACGTAGATGTTGTAGACATTGTACGTAGATGTTGTAGACATTGTACGTAGATGTTGTAGACAGTGTACGTAGAGGCTGTAGATGTTATTTAAAAGTGGTGAATGTTAAATGTGGGTAAATATACTGTCGATATTATATTATACACAATGTGTCGTTCTTTTTTAGCTGGGAGCCAGTTATTGAGTACATACATGATCAGTTCGATCACTACTATCGAGAGGAGTCGAGTATTTTTAGAAAAGCAAGGATTCCTGACACAAGAGTCCATTGTTGTCTTTACTTTATTGAACCCACAGGGCACAGGTGAGGATATGAAACATGTGAGGATAAAGTTATGTGAAGATTAGGAACAAATGAGGATAAGGAGTATTTTAGTATAGAGAACACTTGAATATAAGCAGTGTGTGAGATGAGAAACATGTGAAGATTAGGAACATAAGAGGATAAAGTAATGCGAAGGTAAGGAACACCATGAGGATAAGGAGCATTCGAGTATAGAGAACACGTGAAGATAAGAAATGTGTGAGAATGAGGAACATGCGAGGATGACTGTGGACTTCTTATGTTTTGCTATTCCTACACAATATAAAATGCGTCTTGAACGTGCTTTTTTGCAGATTAAAAGCACTTGACCTGGAGTTTATGAAACGCCTCGACAAGTGCGTGAATATTATTCCGGTTATTGCGAAGTCAGATACGCTGACTTTGGAGGAAAGGCAAGCGTTCAAACGTCGAGTAAGTGTTGCATTGTTATGTCCCAATAGATCCCTGTTTGTACTGCATTTATCTCCGCTATTCTGTTCTCTGTTCTGATATAACTGGACGGCTACTTCCCGCCAAAATTTGATGCCAGCTATTGAACTAGTTGTAATTCTCCCATGTAATAAAGTTGATTTACGACCTGTGATGTAGCCAGCCAGCCAGTTTGTTCGTGCTATGTAGATTTTTTGGTGTTCACTCGCTGTAAAAACAATGAATTTCTAGAGAAATTAACAATGTTAATGATTGCCAAACGTATCCTTGTAGATTCGTGAAGATTTGAGTGATGACGTCAACATATATCCCATAATTCACGACGAGCTTGATGAAGATGAAGTCCGAACTAGTATGAAGATTAAGGTACGTAAGTTTTACTCGCTTAAGAAAAAACTATGAAGATTTTATTGTTCATTAAAATGCTAAGGCCCGCTTCGAACGTTGCATTTTACATTAGCCGAATGCATTACGGACAAAAGAAAATGAGATGAAATTCCTCATTATCTTTTGTTTTAAATGCGTTCAGCTCGTTTAAAATACGACGTTTGAGACAGGCCTATACATTGGAATAAAGAAGTGCTTGAAATTTAGTTTAACATGAGGAAAATGACTAATTTTTTCCTTCATTAAAAAACCAAATTTACAAATGAAATAATGATTAATGATACATGCATTATAATCGTAGATAAGAGAAATGAAAGAAATTTACGAAATATTTTATGGTTGATTCAGACAACGAGTCAAAAGGCAGTTTTTTAACTTTGCACTTTGACTTCTGCACTATTCTTAAATCCTTAGTTGAATAAAAATTTTCTATTTAATAACGTTTTATTTTCTCCCTGAGACATCTTCAAATAGAATATTTTATAGTTTCATAAGGCTTCGAGTATAACATTTGTTATGTTCGTTATGTAACAAGATAATTAATGAATGATCAATATAATCTGAAAGCCTAAAATGTAACTTTTTAATGAGCCATTAGAAAGAATTGTGTTGTATTAGTTTTTGTGTTGATATCATGTATAAGCAGGCTAACTGCTATGTTCTACTGCAAAAAATTAGAAAACGGCCGACCTACCAACCGGCTACTTTCCATATCTTTAAAATGTATGCACAAACAAACAACGAACTTATGTAATGTAATTTTAACCACTTTTAACAACGGAAACAAACCTAGAAACAATATTACTCGTACTATGACTAAAGGAATGTAGTAACACACATCTGTTTAACTGACAGTAGTCCAAACCAAATAACTCAAGATCTCGTACAAATGCAAGCTTTACAGTTGATTGGAAATGACAGCCTACTCACGTGTACGCTTTGCGTATCTATTTTTTATTGATGACGTAAAGATTTCTTCAGCTACAAGCATATCGACGCATGTTGATGTTTTTAGCTGTCAGTAAGCGTGTAATCCGTTTGGTTTTGAACAAAACAGTCTTTCCGTTTGCGAAGACAATCAAACACGATTGAACGAATCCTCTTAAAGCTGGAATTTCATTATTTGATATCATATTGAATCAAATGTCCGATTAAGAATAGTTTTAATCTTAAGGGTAATTTTAGTTCATTAAAAACCGCGTGTAATTCTATAAAACCAAAAATATCCAAATTACTTCCATAATTTCGGTATATCGGAACTTTGCCAATACGAAAAAGCCAATATCGATGTTTTAAAATCGTACATTCCTTGATATTTCGATGTTTCGCCATTGATTGCCATCATTGATATATATATACGGGGGGTGGAACGATTAAAAACATTATTTTTCAGGAGCAACTTCCGTTTGCTGTGGTTGGTAGTGACAGACATGTTTCAGTTGGGGGAAAGTCTGTTCTTGGTAGAAAAACCCGATGGGGGATTGTTGAGGGTAAGTGTAAGTGATATTTGGTAGAAAAACCCGATGGGGATTGTTGAGGGTAAGTGTAAGTAATATTTGGGAGAAAAATCCGATGGGGGATTGTTGAGGGTAAGTGTAAGTGATATTTGGTAGAAAACCCGATGGGGGATTGTTGAGGGTAAGTGTAAGTAATATTTGGGAGAAAAACCCAATGGGGGATTGTTGAGGGTAAGTGTAAGTAATATTTGCGAGAAAAACCCGATGGGGGATTGTTGAGGGTAAGTGTAAGTGATATTTGGTAGAAAAACCGATGGGGATTGTTGAGGGTAAGTGTAAGTAATATTGGCATAAAACCGGTGGGGATTGTTGAGGGTAAGTGTAAGTAATATTTGGTATAAAAACCCGGTGGGTGATTGTTGAGGGTAAGTGTAAGTAATATTTGGTATAAAAACCCGATGGGGATTGTTGAGGGTAAGTGTAAGTAATATTTGGTAGAAAACCGATGGGGATTGTTGAGGGTAAGTGTAAGTAATATTTGGTATAAAACCGATGGGGATTGTTGAGGGTAAGTGTAAGTAATATTTGGTAGAAAACCCGATGGGGATTGTTGAGGGTAAGTGTAAGTAATATTTGGTAGAAAACCCGATGGGGATTGTTGAGGGTAAGTGTAAGTAATATTTGGTAGAAAAACCCGATGGGGGATTGTTGAGGGTAAGTGTAAGTAATATTTGGTAGAAAAACCCTATGGGGGATTGTTGAGGCTAAGTGTAAGTGATATTTGGTATAAAACCCGATGGGGGATTGTTGAGGGTAAGTTTAAGTAATATTTGGTAGAAAAACTCGATGGGGATTGTTGAGGCTAAGTGTAAGTGATATTTGGTATAAAAACCCGATGGGGGATTGTTGAGGGTAAGTTTAAGTAATATTTGGTATAAAAACCCGATGGGGGATTGTTGAGGCTAAGTTTAAGTAATATTTGGTAGAAAAACTCGATGGGGATTGCTGAGGCTAAGTGTAAGTGATATTTGAAATCATGTGTAACGAAACAATTACATTATGTCCTCATCCAAACACAGGCATCGACCAATCAGAGCTTACGTTATAAATGTATTTGTTTTATTGTGTAGTTGAAAACAAGAATCATTGTGAGTTTACATTGCTTCGTGATTTGTTGATAAAGTAAGTTCCACAAATACGGAGTCTAATGTTAAATAATATATGTCAACCAAGATGCATTGCGCGCTCTTTTGTTTATGTTTACATCGTTACTTTTTGAGCCTGCGAGACACTAAATTCTATTTTGTCACTATGTCGTCCAATTAGTTAGCGAAAAAAACATTAATTAAAAACTTCAATGAAAATCCTCCATTTTCTCGACCCAAAAAATATCGACACGCTGCAGTTCACTGTCACGCTGTGATCAACGCGCAATGCATCTTGGTCGACGCTCATTCTTTTATGACAGTGACGTCACCAGCTCGATAATTACGATTGGTTGCTATTATTCATACGTACATGCTTGCAGAATTAAGTTCCTTTGAAATGATTGTGTTTTAGGGATTATAATATGCATATATTATAAATATCTATCCCCAGTCCTCACGCCCAATGATCAAGCTAGCGACGTCACTGATTCATTTTCCGAAAAACTTGGCCTAAATATACCTTCGACAGATAAACTTAACTTCAATATACCTTTGACAGATAAACTTAACTTCAATAAACCTTTGACAGATAAACTTGGCCTAAATATACCTGAAGATTATATTGCAAGTTTGCCCAAATGTTTTTTTAGAACTCACATGCAGGATTTGAAAGAAGTCACTGACTTCTTGCACTACGAGAGTTATCGCAGGCAAAGATTCTCACGACCAAACAGTGGCGAAACTTCTCCTTCAGATGAGAAACGTCCTGTGACGCAATCAGGCGAATTACTCAGCGAAAGTGATATATAAGAAATGACCTCAAAAATACATCTCGTTTTTCCATAATTGTTTGTATACTTTTTAGTATATCGATGTACATCTCACGTAAATTTTGTTCTATTTAGAATTTAGCTTCAATCATTTTATTGAGTTTTCGAAAACATTGTGCTGTCTTTTGATTTTGCTAACACGAAGTATAGTAGACTATGTGAAACTGTAATGAGAATTTACAAATTAATCATCTTTTTTCAGGAAAACACATTAAATTTTGACAAAAACCCAGTAGATGTAGCATTTGTTTTATTTGAATGACGTGCGGATGTCATCTTTGCATTGTTTCGGTTCAACTAAAGTTTGTTCTTAATTTTACGCTTTATTTTTTCTGAAGTCAAAATGATGCAACATGCGGGCGCTGTAACATCGAAACGTCGCTTAAGTGCAATAAATCTTCAATCTTCTTTGAATGTTATCATATTTCATAATAAATTGCCTGTTTTTTTTTATTAAATAAAGATGTGTAAACTGCGAAAAAATATCGTATTTTTCTAATCGTTTTAAACCCCTAGACTGCATATGTGTATTGTGATTTCATTTTGCTTGACATTCCCAAGTCGAAAAATATATATTATCTTATGCGAACTCGGAGTACTAATATTATCGAAGATGTTTAGGTTTCTTGATATTGTAACCATAGAGTTTTATATTGCTCGTTATGGATTTAATCACACAGGTATCTTGTAAACTGCGAAAAAATATTGTATTTTTCTAACCGTTTTAAACCCCTAGACTGCATATGTGTATTGTGATTTCATTTTGCTTGACATTCCCAAGTCAAAAAATATATATTATCTTATGCAAACCCGGAGTACTAATATTATCGAAGATGTTTAGGTTTCTTGATATTGTAACCATAGAGTTTTATATTGCTCGTTATGGATTTAATCACACAGGTATCTTGTAAACTGCGAAAAAATATTGTATTTCTCTATTCGTTTTAAACCCCTAGACTGCATATGTGTATTGTGATTTCATTTTGCTTGACATTCCCAAGTCGAAAAATATATATTATCTTATGCAAACCCGGAGTACTAATATTATCGAAGATGTTTAGGTTTCTTGATATTGTAACCATAGAGTTTTATATTGCTCGTTATGGATTTAATCACACAGGTATCTTGTAAACTGCGAAAAAATATTGTATTTCTCTATTCGTTTTAAACCCCTAGACTGCATATGTGTATTGTGATTTCATTTTGCTTGACATTCCCAAGTCGAAAAATATATATTATCTTATGCAAACCCGGAGTACTAATATTATTGAAGATGTTTAGGTTTCTTGATATTGTAACCATAGAGTTTTATATTGTTCGAATATGGATTTAGTCTCGAGCGTTTTTGGACTTGCTCATTTGGACGTTAGGGCATACATTACTTGTCGTCATCTGTATTTTACTCATTTTACTGAATGCTGATGACGTATTGTACCAGCTAGCTACTTGTCGAAAGGCTTAAAAAGCTTTTGAGTTTTTACGGAGTGTCCATTTTTTTGTGTTTTATCAAAATACTATATGGCTGATATCTGCTGCATCCATATTTGTTTCAAATCCGTGCTTTTTTTTATATTGGGCAAATATTAACATTTCTTGAACAATGTATTAGATGGGTTTGTGAAGCGAGTCGTCGGTATAACGCGAAGCATACTGGAAAGACAACATGAAGAAGTTAATCTTTCTTTTATTTTCATTCGTGGCTGGGTTAAACTTGGTTCCTGGTAGATCAGGTTGGTTGAAGACAGTTGTTTTCTGTATTTATGAACAAAATAGAATTTAACTGTTTATCTTTAGTTGAAAGTTTAGTTTCTGCATCGTTTTACGAGTACTTTAGCTGATTGAACAGAAATAAATGGAGAGTATGTTTACCATAGTTAGACGAAAAAAGACATTCTGTCTGGCTTGGTGGTAAAATTTTTAACCCATTAACTTCAATTGGTCGCTGAAAGCTAATTAAAAAACCAAAAACTTTCCACCTGTGGATAAAAAGTTAACGCTTTTGCTTCGAGTTAATCTTGAAGTGTGAAACTGGTTATCTTACCAAAAATTTGTCTGTTGTTCAAAGATTTCGTTATGCGCTTAGAATTTACATTTGAAAACATAAGACCAAACTGCATTGCTTTGTTTCGAAATGCTCACACTGATGATCTTTTTGCAACAAAATTTCTACAGCCATTTTCCTTGATACCTGAATAGGACGAATATAAGAGACTATATTCTTGTATACTAAACGGTTTCGTTTGTCTTACTCATAAAACTCATAGAAAATTCAGTTTCTGTCAACTAATTATAAAATATAAAATAGAATTGCAGGATGGAATACACTATTAAACCAGGGGCGGATCTAGAGTATGTCAAATCCGTCGCGCGACTGATGTTTGAAATTCAAAAATTACCTATTCATGTTAATTGAAAATTCATTAATTATTCTTACTTTATTATCGCATTTACTTCGTGATAAAAATCCAGCTTTATTTATTATTGAAAACTAATGACTAATCCAATGAATATCTCGTTGGTAACCAGATCAGTTGAATTTTAATCGACCTGGAATAACCGACTGATAAGCGGGGTGGCTTGACTAGTTCGACGGATAAAGGACTCTATGAACGCCAAAAACGCTTATTTTATTGGTCAATGGCCAGATCAGTGGACAGTCTGGAATGGTCTCGACCGATAAGAGGGGTGGCCGGACGTATAAGGGAGTCCAATTGCTATCTTATAATTGGTTCATTTGAATTTTTGTTTTATTGTGATTGGTTTGACGGATTTCGACTGATAGCCAACTGAACTAACATAGTCAATTTCACTGTCTGAGTTGAATGTTTGATCGTTTCATAGTAATTTTTATAAGCATGATAGAAACTAAACTACAATCTGATGCAATTTATGGAAATCTTTTACAAATTGATATATTGACATGAATGTTGCTGTCCAAACTGTGAATTTTTTCAAGAGGGTGAAAAATTTATGGATAAATTGTAAATTCAAAAGAAAGCCAACATTATTTTGAGTTTTATCAGCAAAAATTTACATCTAAAATCTTAAGTAAAGTACAAGTGAAGTGTATGCATGAATGTAATACATCAAAGTCAATTTATGCGAGTGTGTGATGCGATTTATGTCAATATGGCGTATGTTAAGCAGATTGATGCTTCTAAAATTGTTGTTGCCGAAGGACTTTTAGCTATGATTTCTTTAGTGCTTGGGGAATCGTGGCCGTTATATGGCAGCGAAATCCTACATTCCTGCAAATATATTTCAATGGATAAAAAATCTGTAGCCATAAGGCGCCATACTACTATTTACTTTATCATAAACAAATGTTTGGGGCTTTTCAGTTTATGATCATTGATCATTCAATCATTGGACAGTTATACTACATATTGTTTAAGATTTGAGAAAACTAACACTGATTACATGAGAAGCTGTTTACTATAACCTGTGATTTTCAGTCTTTTGAGATCCATGAAGCTTTTTATTTTGACAATTTGACTGGAATGGTATTAAGCCTGAGTATTTCACATACATAAAATGTTGTCCCATGTCACATATTGTCCCCTTTTCTAACTGAACACCTCATGTAGAGATGTAAAAGTGTGTTAATCTACGGCTCATACCAGATTGTTTGCCATAAATTCCAAAGGGCTATTGATGTATGAAAAGCATTTTCTATAAAGTAAAAATGTCTTTCTATGTATGCAGATAAACCTTGTAATTTGGCAAAACAGCAAAGTATTTTTCATGATCACTAGATAATTTTTCTGATGATCATTATAATTTCTAAATTAAATTATTTCAGATTTACATTTAAACGAGCTTTGATCATATGAAAAGATATTTATCATAACCAGTAAGCATGACACATGAACCAATTTTAACATTCATGTAATTATATAATTAAAGACATGTTGGTTACATTCTGTTTGTATTTGCAAATACAATGCTACTAGTGATTGCTATATAGCACACCTTGCAGAAGATAATAGTCTAGTGAAATGGAGGATGTGCAGCAGGGGTACACTAGGAAGGGGTATGCAGCAGGGGGTACACTAGGAAGGATGTGCAGCAGGGGTACACTAGGAAGGGGTATGCAGCAGGGGGTACACTAGGGAGGATGTGCAGCAGGAAGTTCACTAGGAAGGGGTATGCAGCAGGGGGTACACTAGGAAGGATGTGCAGCAGAGGGTACACTAGAGAGGATGTGCAGCAGTTAATTAAACGTGACGTAGGATTGTGGCTTTAGTAGAACGTCTTTAACGTATACTTAATTAAGCATGACGTAGCGATTGCGGTATTGCAGCCAGTGAGATTGCTTACTCCTGCCATGGAAACTTTTCTCTGCACACTTATGGAGGATTCAGCGAAATCTGTTGTTAGAATAAGAAAGACTGCAAGGAAACCTGCAAAATAGGATTGTAATTGAAATTCGTTATTCTTATCTTTTGAGGTGCAACTTTCAACTCTACAGATGGCCCAACACTCGATCCTACTATTGACCACACAACCGCTAACCGTACTGTCGACCCCATTGTTGACCAGGTGCTTGACTCAAACGTTTCCGCTACTGCTGACCCTACGTTCGAGCCTGTTGTTTCCACAACTGCCAATATAACTGCTCCCACTACTAAGGCTACTATTAAAGCTACTACGGAGGCTACAACTAAGGCTACTACTAACGCTACTACGGAGGCTACTACTGTGGCTGCTACGGAAGCTACTACTGTGGCTGCTACGGAAGCTACTAGTAAGTTTTGATTTGGATAAGTTTTGAATTTTTTGTTGGTAAAATGGTTAATATGAATCACCAGGGTTCTGGAGGGGGAGGGGTGACAGGTTTCTGGAGGGGGAGGGATGGCATGGTCCTGAGGGGAGGGGTGACAAGGTTCTGTAGGGGGAGGGATGACATGGTCATAGTTTAGATAACTGTATAGTAAACTGACAACAGTGACATTGATAACAGCTATGACAGTAAAAGTACGGGGGCCGGTTGTACAAAGCCTGGATAGCGTTATCCAATGGATAGCAAGTTTTTTTAAACTTTTATAAAACCTTTTAAAAAGCAAAAAGTATGCGATTCGAACTGAAAAATCGTTGAAATAAAATATTGTTTCCAAGGTCACGAAAGTTCTTCGTCGTATGAAAAATACAAACACATTTTTTACAAGTTTGAAAATTTTTGCTATCCAATGTATAACGCTATCCAGGCTTCGTGCAACCGGCCCCTGTATTATATCAAATAAAACAATTCATTGTATTTCCTCTTCTTTCATTCCTCTTGTGTTTGTTTTCCATAACCTGTGGTCAACTAGCATATTGGACTGATTTAAAATTCCTATTTTTGTAGAGAATCACACAATGGAAGCCGTAATGCCGACGGTAAATCCTTGCTTGAATGAGACGTGCTCCTATAGGTCAGTTTGTGTACCAAACGGTAGTCTACCTATGTGTCTTTGTCTCTCTGACTGTCCTGTCACGGTGAAACCCGTCTGTGGAACTGACGGCGTGACGTATGAAAACGAGTGCCGCCTGAACGAAAAAGTCTGTAAACAACAAGTGATTATCGATATTGCTTCCATTGGAGAATGTCGTAAGTTCATTGCTATTTGATCTACTGTCTATGTTATTACTTAATCTGACCGTCACATGCCTGTCGTACAACGGTGTGCACTAGGAAGGGGTATGCAGCAGGGGTTCACTAGCAAGGATGTGCAGCAGGATGTTCACTAGGAAGGGGTATGAAGCAGAGGGTACACTAGAGAAGATGTGCAGCAGTTAATTAAACGTGACGTAGGATTGTGGCTTTAGTAGAACGTCTTTAACGTATACTTAATTAAGCATGACGTAGAGATTGCGGTGTTGCAGCCAGTGCGATTGCTTACTCCTGCCATACAAACTTTTCTCTGCACACTTATGTATGATTCAGCGAAATCTGTTGTTAGAATAAAAAAGACTGCAAGGAAACCTGCAAAATAGGATTGTAATTGAAATTCGTTATTCTTATCTTTTGAGGTGCAACTTTCAACTTTACAGATGCCCCAACACTCGATCCTACTATTGACCGCACGACCGCTAACCGTACTGTCGACCCCACTGTTGACCAGGTGCTTGTCTCAAACGTTTCCACTACTGCTGACCCTACGTCCGAGCCTGTTGTTTCCACAACTGCCAATATAACTGTTCCAATAACCAATGCTACTACGGAGGCTACAACGGAGGCTACAACTAGGCCTACTACTAACGCTACTACGGAGGCTACAACTAAGCCTACTATTAACGCTACTACGGAGGCTACAACTAAGCCTATTACTAACGCTACTACGGAGGCTGCAACTAAGCCTACTACTAACGCTACTACGGAGGCTACAACTAAGCCTACTACTAGCGCTACTACGGAGGCTACAACTAAGCCTACTACTAACGCTACTACGGAGGCTACAACTAAGCCTACTACTAAAGCTACTACGGAGGCTACAACTAAGCCTACTACTAACGCTACTACTAAGGCTACTACTGTGGCTACTACTAAAGCCACTACTAAGGCTACTACTAACGCTACTACTGTGGCTACTACAGAGGCTACTACTAAGGCTACAACTAAGCCTACTACTAACGCTACTACAGAGGCTACTACTCAGGCTACAACTAAGGCTACAACTAAGGCTACTACCAAGGCTACTACAGAGGCTACTACCTATGCCCCTACCGTTGACTTATGTGCTAATGGCTATGGTATATGTGGTTTCTACTCCAAATGTCAAGTCATTCGAGGTCAACCTGAATGTGTTTGTCCAGAGTTGTGTCCGACTATCTTCTCGCCAGTATGTGGATCTGATGGAAAAACATATCAAAATAATTGTTCGTTAAAAAGAGAAGTCTGCGAAGAACAGGAAATCATCACTTTTGTAAAAAATGGTCCATGTTGTAAGTTTTGACTTGGTGTATTTTTGAGTTTCGAGTACTTGTATCTAATGTGAAACACAAGTAAGAATTACAATGGAGGCAGGATTTTTTTGAAGGAGTTTCTTTAATATTTACCATAAACCAAAGTGTTACAAAATCATGGTTTTGTCATGCATTTTTCTATTTTTCTCTTCGCATATTAAGATTCCCCGTGTGATGCTGTGAAATGTTGCTGTGGAGCGACTTGTAAAAGCGTAAACAACATTGCATGGTGTCAATGTGACTTTACCTGTAGTTCAGTTTACAGTCCAGTCTGTGGTACAGACGGTAGAACATACAACAATAAATGTGCATTGAGACTTTCCGCATGTCAAACACGGGATCTGAGCCTGAGACTGGCTTCTTTCGGACCATGTAAGTTAATAAGAATATAGTTTACTTAGTGGAGAAATTACTGCTGATCTGATCGATAAGGGACGAGGTTGTACAAGTTCAGGGCCGGATTAGGATATGCGGAGTCCCTGGGCAGCAAAAATACGTAAAGGCCCCTTTCCTTTACTCTAAAGGCTATGGGCTGCCAAGATTTTCAATGGCAAAATTTAAATACAAATTTTGTAAAACATCTGATGAAAGTATAAACGTCGAATATAGCATATAAAGCATTTGCATACGATGATCGAATGCTACTTGAGGTATAGTACTTAGTGGGATTTGATTCTGGCAGTCTTTTATAAAAATACATTCTTCGACTTTGCTATAAATATAACTATGAACTTACAACTATAAACTTTATTTTCGAAAACTGAAATCGACCTAACGAGTAAACAAAATATTTTTCCTTGTTCTGTAAATAATGTGGAGGCCCTTGATTGTGTAGACCCCTGGGCGGCTGCCCAGTATTGTCCTTTGGCTAATCCGGCCGTGCAGAAGTTTGCTTTTTGGATATGCTAATCCTTGCTTGGTAAAAATCAGAATTGTGTAATCCAGCAAAGTGCGAAGATCATATCCTCATTTAATTAAAAAATCAGAATTAATACGTACTATCATTATAAAGAAAGCCTTTCACAAAACTGCATTTATATTTGTCTTAATTTATCTGACTAATTCATTTCAGATTTGTGTTAATTTGTTTAACTAATTCATTGTACATTTCTGTTAATTTATTTCTTTTAAGGTCCAACTGTCCCACGTACTTTTCCTTCTACTGTTCGCTCTAATGAGTCCTCTACTGTTCCCACCACTTCCCCTCGCACCCTACCCCCTACCACCGCTCCTGATCGTCTCGCTACGCTATTTCCTCCTGTTAGTTTGTGTGGTATTGGAATGTGTGGTTTCTACTCCAAATGTCAAGTCATTCGAGGTCGACCTCAATGTGTTTGTCCAGAGTTCTGTCCAGCCATCTACTCGCCAGTGTGTGGATCTGATGGAAAATCGTATTTGAACAAATGTTCGTTAAAGAGAGAAAGCTGCGATGAACAGAAAATAATCACCATTAAGAAATATGGACTATGTGGTATGTGTTACTCTGCCTAAGTTATGTATTTTTGATATGGCAGACAAATGAAGCACAACATTAAAACATTTCACCGGCAAAATTATTTTAGTGCTCACAGTATGAAAACTTCAACTTCATTTTTTTAAAAAATCCCGTGCCTTTAATCCATCAAAACTAAAACTGTGGTCATTCATGTATTCTACACATTAGATTCTACTTCTTGTGGTTGGAAAAAATGTAAATATTTCTCCAAATGCAAAATCGTCCGAGATATGCCCAAGTGTGTGTGCCCAGAACGATGTGATGGTCTCAAGTTTCCAGTTTGCGCCTCAGACGGTAACACTTATAAAAGTGTATGCGATTTTAAACGGGCAAGTTGCTTGGCTGGAAAAGCGATGAAAATTGTTCGATTTGGAGCTTGTCGTAAGTTGATCTTCTTTCTGTGTTGTTGCTAACTTCCTTTAGATGGGGAAGAAAAGTGTGGGCATAAAATATGAGACATGAAGCTCGTTTTTAATTTTCTCTAGAAATAATAAACAAATAAACCTAATATCCCACGACTTTTTAACGTAGTACCTGATTAAAGTGAATGTGTTTAAAGTTTGAACCCGATAGTATCGTTACATGTTTGTAGATGTAGATCGTCCAGGTCAGTAGAGTCCTGAGAAGGACTGTTGTTGTTGATGTTGACTGGCGTTTCGACATCTTTAGCGGCAGTCATCTTCAGAGTCGAGTGAGGAATAAACGTTAGGTTTAATGGTTATAAAAAATACAGTGAACCTGACATTTACTACACAATTGACTCTAAAGATGATTACCGCTGTGGTTGTTGAAACGTTAGTCAACACCAACATAAACAGTTCTTCTCAAGACTCCACTAACCAGGAAGATCTACATCTTCAAACATGTAGCAACAAGCGACTGTACCCAGTAAAACCAATGTATCCACGAACACACGCCTGTTCAACCACGATTTTACCTTGTAGTGCACAGCTGTACCTAGAAATAAACGCATTTATCTTTTATTACAATACTGTACATAGTAATACCCAACTGTATCTATAAGCACCTGGCTATATTAATTACTTAGTGCTTAACAATGAACTAATAATGCATTAGCTTTATGACATGTTTCATTTAGAGCCATTAGGACGATGTCCGATTCCCAAAAATTGCAATAAAAACTGTGATCATAATATTTGCGCTCAAAGTGGTAAACTTTGTTGTTGCGATGGATGTTCTCTCGTCTGTACCAACAAAGTGTGGAGTTTTCAATTCCGTAAGTTTGCTGACTGCAATTTTTGTATTTTGTAAATTTTGCATATCGTCACGTTACAAACTTTCCTGCCTTGGTAATATTTTTTTAATTTTGGTTTGCCTATCGGTGTGTTAATTCGGTGTTCATTACCGACGTCAATTGACAAATCAAAAACGACTCTAAATGTTCAATGTTAGATTTTATGTAAAAAAATTTGACTGTTTTTTAAATAATGCTAATTATTTTCTCTTTTTCTCAAAACTCCCAAAAGTGGCTTAGGCAAAAAGTTAATACCGTGACGATATGATGTGAAAAACAGCGTATTTAGTTCACGATAACAGTAATAGACAAGTTAAAAATGTTTATCTTCGTTTTGACCCATGTTCGACAACAATATTGTCGCCATGTTGTTGTCGTTCAATCAAGAACTTGTGTTTTTTAACCATCGCTTGGCGACTTAATTCTAATTTATATTTGTTGTTTCGGTTGATGATATGTTTATGACACGATAATTTATTCCCTAGGTCGTTACTTGTGCCCCTCAGATCCGTTGGGCTGCCGTAACAACGACGATTGTACTGGCGGAATGATTTGCTGTAATACTGGATGTACAAAACGTTGTGTTGCACCCAGGCCAAAGCTGGTATAAGCATAATTTTACAAGTCATAGACAGTCCTAAAACTTTATATATAATTGAGTAATTTTGAACACTAAACGTTTCGACATTAAGCGTTAACATTAAACGTATTTAGAATTTCGTGAAGTCAGTTTCTTGTATTTGTTTCTGTACGCAATTTAAGCATTGTTTGAACACTTTTTTGTTTTGACTAAGGCATTAGCAACATAATTGTTCTTCGTGTTGTGTGAAAGCGAATATAAAAGCATTTTTCAAGAGTTATTTTCATCATGGAGACGGTTGAGTTTTTTAACTGTCTCCTCTGTGCTCAGTGCATCCTGTTATTGTATACACTCTCCTACTCTGCCAGTGTATAATGATGAAAAAGTTAAGCAGTCAAGTTTATCATACAAATTCTTGACTTTCCGTTCAGACATGTTGGGAGTCTTATTTGTAAAAGAAAATTTCATGATTTTCATTAGTGTATTGTGAGCACTAATGTTGACCGGGGCGAGCAACAAATACACGTCTTTGTATATTACATGTCTTTGTTTGAAGTACAAAAGTTTTGAGTTTGCTCTTAGTGCTCTTGAGAATTGAACATAAAATTCTAAAAGGAAAATCTGCACAATAATTCACCCGTTGGCTTAGCATGGTGATCGAGCATTGAAAAGTTAACAATTAACCAACTTTAAAATGACGTTTTTTGATAAACCCTATTTTGTATTTTTTACCTTTTTGTGTTTACTTACATTTTACGTACTTGTATAATTTGCATATTTCTTGGCTCATTTATAACTTGTGTGCATTCATCAGTTTCATTTGCAAAAGGCAAATATCGTACGAAGAAGACACTCAATCTGCATTTTACATATTTACGACGACATGGCAAACATCAAGTTTGTTTTTCTTTTATTATTGGCGACTGACTTTGTAACTTGCACTCGGGCGTTCGGAGGTATGAAACTAAATTTTTACTAAAATGAGCAGTATTTTCAAGTTTTGGGGCAAGTTCAGGGCGGTTTTCGTAAATTCCTCCGAATCTCACCTACCCATGACTTGAAGTAAAATATTGTTCGCATTATCATTATTATTATTTTTCAAGCCTTTGGTACTGTAGACGCTTGGTGCTATATTTGCTCGACCGACGCGTTCGTCATTATGCCACAATTGTAATAATGCTCCTGTACTTAACAAAACAGGCGTTGTTTTTGCTAGAAAATATGTACAACATTGTATAGAATTAAAACTTGTAATTTTTTCATGGTTTTTAATTGTTGGATTTAATCAATATCAAAGTATATAATCCATTTTTGAACGTGGAATATTATCGCCAAAATATTGTACATTTGTTGTTATGAGAATTACGACGCTAAAGGATACTTTTAGTAGAATTTTTGTGTTTTATGTTTTTAGTGTTTTCCAAAATTCATCGTTTGCGATGTATGTTCAAACGTTGTCCACCAAACACGAGATGTATTTTAGTTAACAATACAGCCGCTTGCTCGTGTCCCAAGTCTTGTGATAGGCGATATTCTCCAGTTTGTGGCAACAACTGGAAAACTTACAATAACTACTGCCAACTAGTTGAACAGTCATGCAAGGACAAAAGCAGAAGACTCAGATTGTTATACTACGGAACTTGTAAGTCATGCTGTAACGACGATGCGAGTTTTTATATGTAAATTTTTTGTTTTGAATGAGACAGTGGCGATGTTTACAACGACGAAGCAAAGTTTTGGAGTGATCATAAAGTTTACCTTGTTTAAATTCACCTTATTTAATAGTTATTTTAACAGGGATAGGTTTGCCATAGCCTGGGTTTGGGTCATTTACTAAATACCAAGTTTTCTTTCTTTAGAAACCTTCTAAAAAAGAAAAACTGACTTTTGAACTGGACTATCATAAGTAAAAAAAACCAAATTTTAATCCAAACGTCGCTGTTCTCCGTTTTTTCATTCGCTTTAAAATATCATTATTTAAGAATAGCGCTTTCCGAGATTTGCCCATTGAACTAAAATGCGCGGAACGCTACCTGAATAAAATAATTGAAGCCAAATTTAACACCCAGACACGCGTGTTTAGTGTTTCGAGATTCTCTCGCGAGGTTCAAATAGCGTGAACTACACACACGCGTGTATGGGTGTAAGATTGGCTTAAAAAAATCATCACACTTTTGTTACTGTACTTAATGTTTTAGTTTTTGGCTGCCATTTTCATTCATTTTTTAGGTGCAGCCGGTAGTTGCAGGCGAACTCGTTGGAGTCATATGGTTTGCCCATATTACAGTGTTTGCCAATTAAATAACGGCCTGCCTCGCTGTGTGTGCCCTGCATATTGTACAGGCATGTATAAACCAGTTTGTGGCTCTGATAGAAGGACGTACAGGAATCTCTGTGAACTAAAAAGGATTGCTTGCCAGAAAAGAAGGATAGTTGTAGAGAAACACAAAGGAAATTGTCGTAAGTTTTCACAACGGTATCTCAAAAATCACATGAATACTTCCTAGTTGTATGTTGTTATCCTAATTTGTCTTGTCTTTATCTTCGCTCATCAACTTTATCTCATGTCCTTCCTATTCTTCTCAAATTTTTCAATTTGATCCAACAGGACCAGATCCTTGCGCTAAAAAAGAATGTTGCTGTGGTGGTGAATGTCGCTTGAACGAGAAAAATGAAGCCGTTTGTACCTGCAATATTTTCTGCAGAATGGTGCAGGAATTTCCAGTTTGTGGATCGGATGGGCGAACATACGGGAGTGCTTGTAGCCTGCGCAGTGCAGCCTGCGCACGACAAGACCCAACGCTCAGATCAGGAGTCGGATGTAAGATGTATTTTTGTTTTTATATTGTAAAAAGCACACTGATTTATCTGCGCAGCTGGGGGTTGTTTTGCGAATCCCGGCGCATAGGCCGAGTGCATAAAGCCTGGGAACTAGCCCTGTTTACTAGAGAAAATTTCCAAGCGTTTTAAATAGGTTGCAACATTTGCTTAGCCAAGAAGAAATTTTTTTACTGAGCGAAGATTTTTTGTCATCATTCTCGAGATAGTTAAATTTTCATGGTTGTTGTCAATAAAATTAGGATTTCTCACTTAACTAAGACAGACATAGGCGTACGGGAGCTATCGTTTCTGGGGGAGGGGGGTCCAGTAAATATATTCCCCAACTCACGATGAACGTTCTGCTATATTTTCGCCCAACTAACGTTCAAAAATTGCCCAACTTTTCAGTGTTCAAACTTTCTGGGGAGTGGACAGAAGTCTTGTGCAAAGAATACATTACTAATATACAAAAGGTCTTCTGCATGTGAGATTTTTTTACTTGGTTTGTGTTGATCATGCTACTTAGCACAAATTATTTATTTTTTATCGTATTTTGTTTTCTCGCATTCCTCGACACAAATTATGCTTCCACGACTAAACTATAGCTTAGTACGCACATGGTGTCTTTCCTAGGTTGGGCAACTAGAAATACAACGATCACTACCACGATCACTACCACACCGAGTCCATGTGAGAACAAAACGTGTGATTTCTTCGCAAAATGTGAGGTGATAAATGGTACAGCGACTTGTGTGTGTCCTTCTTCGTGTTCTTCAAACACTAGTGCTGTTTGTGGATCAAATGGTGTTACGTACAACAATCGTTGTGAGTTGCAACGGGACAGCTGCAACAAACGGCAAACGATTGGTGTGGTCAAGTTTGTACCATGTAAGTGTAGAGCAAAGTATTGACTATGGATCACTCTGGTGTCGCGAACATTTAAAAGTTGTGTTTTTTATGGCGTAAATTATTCATCGTGTCTTTTTTAGGTTCTTGCCCCATTCCCAGAATTTGTCTTATATATTGTGACGAGAAGGAGTGCGCGAAGAATGGAGAGATCTGTTGCTGTCGAGGATGTGGATTTGTTTGCACCAAGCCAATTAAACGCTTTGGTAAGTAGTCGAAGCTTTTCAAATTGACGTTTAATTGAGTTTTTTTATTGTTTCAACCAAAGACATCTCGAAAATCTTGATACCTATTGATACCTCTAGATGCCTTGTTATATCTTTTGGTCCTTCTCGATTCCTTTTGATGCTTTTCAATACCTCGATCACAAGTATTACTAAGTTCCATTTCTTCCATTATATACAGCCTCATGCTCAGGTTGGCTCCAATTTAGGGCCTTGTCATTTCAACTGTTAGCCCTACCCCCTGAATACTATCGCTGCAAAATTTTAAAATTTAGACTTCAGTAATTTCTTACATTTTAAATGATAAATTTGTTGTATTTTTCAGTATAAAATAATGAAGGATTTATGTCGTCATGAGCAACAATTTACGCAAAATACATTTCATAACAAGAATAGGTTTTCGAGATATTGCTAACTGAATAAGACAGTTTAGCGTTTTAAAAAAGAGAACTCGTTCCATTCACTTAAATGATGCTAGTCCTATATATCTGGGCCCCTTATCGATGCCTATTGGTTGGTCTGCTTTTAAACTTCTTTGAAAGGCAAAGTTTCGCCAAGACAGGGCTTGGTATGAAGTCAAACTATATACAAAGAGCATTATTGTCTACCTTGTTCTATATTTACATAAAAGTACATTGTTTGTAAATATTTTATTTTTTTGGATATTTAATATTTGTGTTTCTTAAGGTCGTTCTGTTTGTCCCCCAACCAACGATACTTGCTCACAAAACAGCGATTGTCCTAACGGAAAGGTGTGTTGTGTGGATGGATGCATAAAGCAATGTCTGACACCGATAGTCAGCGGTGATGAGGAAATGAAGAACAAGTAATTGATGTAACAAGAAACGAAAGTGGCTTTTATTCTGGTCTCATACGTTTACAATAGATTTATTTTTGCAAAAAATTGCTGTTTTCTAAAATTGTTGACATTCTGCTAGAGATTCACATCAAATAAAGTAGAAGTGTGTTTATCTATATGTCTATCGGTTTTTGTTCTATCTATTTATAATAATTTTACAAGTGGAAGACAGTTTCTTTATATATAGAAAATTCGGCAAACTGAAAATCTGTTGAGATTTATTTCATGAAAATTGTAAAAAGTTGAGGAATTTTAAACATCAGCCCAGACCAAAAACACAAACTGTTTCCAAAAATCCGTGAAATCAGTTCTTTGCATTTGATTTCTGTTTTTGTTTTGACTCAGGCATAGCAACGTAATTGTTCTTCGTGTTGTGTGAAAGCGAATATAAAAGCATTTTTCAAGAGTTATCTTCATCATGGAGACGGTTGAGTTTTTTAACTGTCTCCTCTGTGCTCACTGCATCCTGTTATTGTATACACTCTCCTACTCTGCCAGTGTATAATGATGAAAAAGTTAAACAGTCAAGTTTATCATACAAATTCTTGACTTTCCGTTCAGACATGTTGGGAGTCTTATTTGTAAATGAAAATTTCATGATTTTCATTAGTGTATTGTGAGCACTAATGTTGACGGGGGCGAGCAACATAAGGGTTTGCACCTTGTATATTCCATGTCTTTGTTTGAAGCACAAAAACTTTTAGTCCGCTTATAGTGCTCTTGGGATTTAAGTCATTGAACATAAAATTCTGATAGAAAAATCTGTACAATTCTTCACCTGTTGGCTTCGCATACTGATCAGGCATTGAAAAATCAACAAATGGTAAATTTGTAAAGGTCTTTTTCATACATTCTATATTTTATCTGATTTTTAACATTTTTGCTTGGAACATTTACATATTATGCACTTGTATCATTTGCATGTTTCTTTGTTCATGTATAACGTTCTTCATTCATCATTTGCACTTGTAAAAGGCAAATATCATTTAGCAAAGACATTCTATAAAATTTATAGTACAAATTCCCCGCGACATGGCAAACGTCAAGTTTGTTTTTCTTTTACTACTGGCGACTAAGTTTGTCATCAGCACTCAGGCATTTGCAGGTATGACTTTTATGTAACCAAATGTTTATTAAAATGGGCGGTGTTTTTAAGGTTTGAGACAAGCACAGGGCGGTATTCATATCATGAATTCCTCCGAATATTTCCATAGTTGTTTTTCACAATGTACAACTGTACAGAATTGTACAGAATCAGCAATTGTGATTTTGTCAAAGTATTTAATTGTTGGATTTACTTAAAGTCAAAATAGGTAATCCTTTCTCATGGAATATTATCCCCAAAATATTGTACAATTGTTGTTATCAGAAATACGACGCCTAAGGAAACTTTCAGTGGAATTTTTGTGTTTTATGTTTTTAGTGTTTTCCAAAATTCATCGTTTGCGATGTATGTTCAAACGTTGTCCACCAAACACAAGATGTATTTTAGTTAACAATACAGCCGCTTGCTCGTGTCCCAAGTCTTGTGATAGGCGATATTCTCCAGTTTGTGGCAACAACTGGAAAACTTACAATAACTACTGCCAACTAGTTGAACAGTCATGCAAGGACAAAAGCAGAAGACTCAGATTGTTATACTACGGAACTTGTAAGTCATGCTGTAACGACCATGCGAGTTTTTTATATGTAATTTTGTTGTTTTGAATGAGATAATGGATATATTTACAAGAAGCTAAGTTTTAAAGTGATCGTAAGATTTGCTTTGTTTTAATTCACTATATTTAAGAATTTATTTTCCATTTTTTTTATCCGCTTTAAAAATCGTTATTTAAAGTCAGCGCTTTCCTAGCTTTGTCCGATAAACATAGCAGTACTACTACCACATCTATGTTTTGTCCATTGATGATTTCGTCCAGCTGGTTAATGTGATGGTATTTCATGTGAAATGAAATGCTTTAAACTTTACTTAATTGCTGGTTGGCTTACTAAACTTTGATTGGCAGTTTTAGTTTTTGGATGTCATTTTGCCTTCATTTTTTAGGTGCAGCAGGCAGTTGCAGGCGAACTCGTTGGAGTCATATGGTTTGCCCATATTACAGTGTTTGCCAATTAAATAACGGCCTGCCTCGGTGTGTGTGCCCTGCATATTGTACAGGCAAATATAAACCAGTTTGTGGCTCTGATAGAAGGACCTACAGGAACCTCTGTGAACTAAAAAGGATTGCTTGCAGAAAAAGAAGGATAATTTTAGCAGAACACAAAGGAAATTGTCGTAAGTTTTCACAACGGCTTATAAAAAATCACACGATTATTTCCTAGTTGTATGTTGTTATCCTAATTTGTCTTGTCTTTATCTTCACTCATCAACTTTATCTCATGTCCTTCCTATTCTTCTCAAATTTTTTCAATTTGAACCAACAGGACCAGATCCTTGCGCTAAAAAAGAATGTTGCTGTGGTGGTGAATGTCGCTTGAACGAGAAAAATGAAGCTGTTTGTACCTGCAATTTTGGTTGCATCTTACTCTTTGATCCAGTTTGTGGATCAGATGGACGAACATACGGGAATGCTTGTGGCCTGCGCAGTGCAGCCTGCGCACGACAAGACCCAACGCTCAGGGTCGTTAGCAGAGGAGCATGTGAGATTTATTTTTGTTTTCGCGCTGTCATAAGAACGCTGATTTAGCTCTACACCTGAGGGTTGTCTTGTGGGGCATGTGGCTGAGTGCGTAAAGCCTGGGGACTAGCCTTGTCCACTGGAAAAAATTTCCCAGCGTATTAAAAAGGTTGCTACATTTACCTGAGAAAATTAAACTTTTGTTTCTATTGAGGGAAGGTTTATTTTATAAATGGCAAGATAAGATTTCTTACCTTATCAAGACAGTTTCAAAAATCGAAAAATTGTCGTCCATGAAGGTTTTTTGCAACTCGCTCCAGCCTCTTGCAGACACTTATTTTAAGATTAAAATGGCAATAGTTCAATGACTAGCTCTATAAATTGGCAGAAAACTTGTGCAAAGTATATGTATATATATATACAAAGTGTATAACAATGTGCCCTCCCCGCTATCACCATATTAAAATGGTGACTCCTGCACTTGGGACACAGGATGTACGGTTACACATTGTATGGATTGTTTTGTAGAGTCACTAGAGCGCTCAAACCTATAAAGGTGAGCTTTGCATAAAGCGAAAGCGGTGAACGTTCTCTGCACTGTCTCATGGCCGAAAAAAAGGCATATAAACCTTACATAAAAACGAATCACGATTTCCCTTTATACACACACATATATGTATATATATATATACATATATAGGTTTATATGCCTTTGCTTAGGCCGTGAGGCAGTGCAGAGAACTGAGGTAATTGCAAAACTGAGGAGCAAAGTAATGACGTAACCGCTTACGCAAAAATGAATGATGACGATCTTCTGTATGTAAGAGTTCTTTTGCCCTTTTTTGTGTTGATCATTTTACTTAACACAAATTCTATATTTTTTACTGTATTTTGTTTTCTTGCATTCCTCTAAATAAATTATGCTTCCACGACTAAACTATAGCTTAGTACGAGCATGGTGTCTTTCCTAGGTTTGGCAACTAGAAATACAACGATCACTACTACGATCACTACCACACCGAGTCCATGTGAGAACAAAACGTGTGATTTCTTCGCAAAATGTGAGGTGATAAATGGTACAGCGACTTGTGTGTGTCCTTCTTCGTGTTCTTCAAACACTAGTGCTGTTTGTGGATCAAATGGTGTTACCTACAACAATCTTTGTGAGTTGCAACGAGACAGTTGCAACAAACAGCAAACGATTAACGTTACCAAGTTTTTTTCATGTAAGTGATTAAGTATGGTGGCTTGTATAAACTATGTAGGTGGTGTGGTAAGCATATAGATTATCTAGGTGTGGTGGTAATCATATAGATTATGTAGGTGTGGTGAACATGTAAATATAGTTGCAAATATTGCAAATATTGACGATGTAAACGTGGTGGTAAGTATATACAATGGATTTGTGACTACAGAGGGCAGACAAGTTGCAAGCAAAAGAAAGAAATCAGAGTTTCCAATAACGAAACATGTGATGAACATTTTCAAAGTTACTTTTACTGTGTAAATATTTCATTGCTTTTTTTTAGGTTCTTGCCCCATTCCCAGAATGTGTTTGGTGTTCTGTGACAGGGAGGACTGTGCAAGAAGGGGACAGCTTTGTTGTTGTCAAGGATGTGGGCTAGTTTGCACAACACCGATTATCCGATTGGGTTAGTGTTTGAAGCTTTAGAAATGGATATTTCATCAAGATTGTTGGTGCTTTTAAAATGGAGGTTCAATCAAGTTTGTTGATTGATCAAACTAAGAATATGTTTTAATACCTCTCCATACCTTTTTACACCTCTTTATACCTATTGATGCCTCTCGCTATTTTTTCATACTTCTAGATCCCTATCCATACCTCTTGATACCTTTATACCTCTCAGTCCTTCTCTATACTTTTTGATGCCCTCGATGTCTCAAAAATACCTCTCTATCCCTTTTCTTCCAAAAATGTACAAGTCCTTAATTCGCATTTATTTTGTATGACGAAATGAAGGACAATCTCCCGTCAACACAGGATTTGTAGGAATTGTAATTCGTAAATAATTTTAAGTGAAAACATATTAACTTGTCTTATTCAATTTAATAATTATCACTACTTGTGTCTTTCTTAGGTCGTTCCGTTTGTCCTCCGGCCAACAATACTTGCTCACGAGACAGCGATTGTCCTAACGGAAAAGCTTGTTGCCTAACTGGATGCATAAGATCATGTTTCACGCCAATAGTCAGTGGTGATGAGGAAATAAATAATTACTAATTGATGTTACAATGAAACGATACTGACTTTTATTCTTGTTTCTTGTGTTTATCTTTACAAAACAATTTTTGTTAACTACAATTGTTGACATTCTCTTACAGATCTGCATTAAATAATGTATTAGACTACTAGTGCGTTGATCATTCTTTCTATAGGCTTCGTTCTATCTATTAGCGTAGCCCGGTGAGCGGAAATCTCGGTGGCAAGGGGGGAGAGTCGAGAGGACAATTACATTGCACATTTCTTGCAGAAATCTGATTATTTATGAGCTATTTTGTTGCTGTTGTCATAAATACTCTAGAACAGCCTTCATCTATCCCAGTTTTCAGTGAATCGATTTTTGAAAACAGGCAAATAAGATACACAGAATATTCATGGTTTGCAGTCATGATTTTACACAAAAAATGTAAAATCCATGATCAGAACTGACGAATGTCGTGGTCTGTTTGATGATTGGATGCAGTCAGCTTAGATCATTAAAGTACATAAATGACAATATGATTTTGTCATTCAGCCTCCCCTCCCGCTAGCTTAGCTTAGATCATTAAAGTACATAAATGATGGTATGATTCTGTCATTCAGCCTCCCCTCCCGCTAGCATAGCTTCTATCATTAAAGTACATAAATGATTATATGATTCTGTCATTTAGCCTCTAGCATAGCTTCGATCATTGAAGTACATAAATGATTATATGATTCTGTCATTTCATTCAGCCTCCTCTCCCGCGAGCTCGCTATACCAGTTGCTCTGCTTATTTCTGGGCGTTTGGGGTTGAAGTTAAGGACAGTGAGAAACTTTCCACCTGGTATCAACTAACTATCCTTGCTTCCATTGCTGGTATCAACTGTCATTTGTGCTATTAATTCTACGCAGTGCTATGAACTAATCATTTATGTAATTGTTGGACCTTGCACTATACTTGGACCTTGCTACGAAGCAAATTGTTTGAACCTGAGAGTATCGCTACATATTTGTAGATCGTTCAGTTAAGTGGAGTCCCGAGAAGGACTGCTGGAGTTTAAATCATTTTATTGACTGATGTTTCCGTTTGTTTCGACAACCTAGCGTCAAGCAATAAGTTTTGGCAACCACCACCAAAGTCTTTCTCGGAACTGCAAAGAAACTGGACGATCTTCATCTACAAACACGTATTTTTGTTAACGTTTCTCGTTCTAAAAATGATGTCAGATTCTTAGGGCATATATTTCTTCAAGTAAGTTTCTTTTGATTCACTTCGACCGTCGACAAACTAAAATCTGTTATGCCATGTACGAAACGCGTTCCTATTTTTTCAATATTTCCGTTAGCACATAACACTCCTCTGTGTACCTATTTTGTAGTTATTGTATCCGCATGTTCCTTCTACCCATAAGTGCTCAGCTCTCGTACATCTTTGTTTCGGACTCACATGTGGGAAAATTGGAAAGAAACTTGCATAAAACGAGTAAAATAAAGAATATTGCTGGTCAAAATGTACACACAAGCAGAGGAGTTTGTCGAAGGAGAGGTAAACTTGTCTCAGGCGGAAGACTTTGCGTTTATTTGGTGTGTAATGTATTTGAATGTGTTGTGTAGTTGGAGTCTGGTGGAATTGCAGCTAGTTATGGCTATACAGGAGCCGATTATGACATAAGTTATCAAGATGCAGGTACATCAGTGATTTTCACTTATCTTGCAGTAAGACTTAGATGAAAGAGTGTTCACTTTTCTTGACGGATTTCAAATCGGTCGTTCGATTAATAGATTTGAATTTTAAACAAGAAACTTTCATTTAGCCACATAAATAATACACTGGGTTGCTTAACTTTTCAGACGTGAGTAGAAGTAATCATGGCGAGGGATACTTTATCACAGTTGAAGTGCAAAAGTTCTTGAAATATTTTCAAAAGCAAATTCATGAACAGGTAAATACCCATTTTCAGGAAATGCAAAAAGTCATTTATTGAATGCAGGATGGTTGAAAATGTTCAATTTTTTACATTTTAGAATGTACGAGATTCACTCCATGTATGAAAGTGGGTATGATAAAGTGTTTGTTTTACTTTTTGGTATAAATTTATTTCAAAGACACCTCCGAAGCTCTTGGGCAACAGTGCTGCATGCTCAAAATTTGAAAAAAATTGGTGTTGCATTCAATTTCAACTAAAAACCTAGCTAGGTTTTTATTAAAATCCTATGTAAAGTGCACTGAGGCCAACTCTGATTCAAAGCTTGCGACTACATAAGACTACAATTCTATAGATTTTCAAAGTTAAGTGATGAAAAATTTCCTAAAGCACCGTGGCCTGAAGCCGAACATATTGCACCTATTGTTGGTGATGGTATGGCTCCACTTTACATGACATTTCCCTGGAATTATATTTGCTGATCCTTTTACCTTTTGATTGCTTTAGATCCCTTGTTTCTAACTCTGTACAAGGAGCTATGCTTTCGTCATATATACTCAAAACTGAAGGTAAATTTTACTTAATCATATCAAATACAGCCTGATTGCATCATATATACTCAAAACTCAGGGTAAATTTTACTTAATCATATCAAATACAGTCTGATTGCATCATATATACTCAAAACTGAGGGTAAATTTTACTTAATCATATCAAATACAGTCTGATTGCATCATATATACTCAAAACTGAGGGTAAATTTTACTTAATCATATCAAATACAGTCTGATTGCGAAGATTTGAATTTCTCTCTTTCTTTTAGCCAACTATAGAGCAGCGAATCGATTCGTATTACAACTACTGTGATCTTTTCAACTATATACTCAGTAAGACCCAATGATTGAAATAAACTTTTATTGCTTGCTTTAAAACTCGTTAAATTTATCGTTTGCCAGATACCGATGATCCTGTTCCCTTGGTATTACCCAACCAATGGCTCTGGGATATCATTGATGAATTCATATATCAGGTATTCATATGCAGGGGCGTGTGGGAAGGTTTGCACTCTGTTGCTAGCAGTGGCAGTCAATATTTGAGCGGGATAATATTTGTATATTCATATTTTAATCCCTGAGAAAAAATTGATTTCAAAAGAACTTAACATGGAAAATTATGCATTTGTGAATAAATCTGCCTCACTTATCGAGCTGCCGAGGCCACTAATTACCAGTGTTGTCATGTAATGTACATGACAGGCATGATGAAACACACAGAGCTCTGACTTAAGTGAAGTAAAAGTAAAGTTGCGGTCTGACCTGAAGTCGGTAACAGCTGAACAAAGTGGGAGTCTATTCCCTTTTTGTTTTAGCGCTAGACAAGGGAGATTTATGCTGAGATGGAGCATCACACCTACTCTCAGCTTCCTGCTACTTTACTGCACAGATCAGATTACCTGATTTGCGCTACTCATATGCTGAGTTGGCAAGGGCAGGCATCGAACCTGGGACCATGCTATCACCAGGCGAACGCTCTACTGACTGAGCTAAACATAACAGTAAATATAGCCTAATAACACCTCCCTGATTGTACTTGTTTCCATTGAGCAGCGGTAAAGCCACCCCAATCTTTTAATCCTACACTGCAGATTTCCATTGAGCAGCTGCAAAGCCACCCCAATCTTTTAATCCTACACTGCAGATTTCCATTGAGCAGCTGCAAAGCCACCCCAATCTTTTAATCCTACACTGCAGATTTCCATTGAGCAGCTGCAAAGCCACCCCAATAGTTTAATCCTACACTGCAGATTTCCATTGAGCAGCTGCAAAGCCACCCCAATAGTTTAATCCTACACTGCAGATTTCCATTGAGCAGCTGCAAAGCCACCCCAATCTTTTAATCCTACACTGCAGATTACCATTGAGCAGCTGCAAAGCCACCCCAATAGTTTAATCCTACACTGCAGATTTTTCCTCAAAATAATTATTCATTTCTTTAAAAGATTAATTCCAGTCATTGCTTTTCCAGCGAATGAACGCAAAAATGTTTGCATTGTAAGAGTAAGGAACGAGCTGGCTTTTCTGTTGCCATTGACTGCAAGTGATAGTATAAGTGATAGGTATTTCATTTCACTCCTTTATGTCAGTTCTACACCCAACCCCCCCTCCTTCAAAATCTTTTCAAAAAATATTTTAAACCCCCCAGATTCCGGGGGTTATGTAATGTGAGAATATTAACTGATATTACATCATTTACAGTTTCAGTCGTTCAGCCTTTTTCGATATAAGTTTGGCAAATTGAATACTGAGCAAATCTCTTTGCTTCGCGAAAATCCCAAGGTGATTTGTGAATGTTTCATCTTTAAAAGATCATTTTCGGAAAATTGCAAACTGTTTATGATGCTCACATTTTCATGCTGAAACTTTAGATTTACAATGTACACAGCGTATTGAATGTCCTCCATTCACTTGTGGATAAATCACAAATCTATGAACAGGTTTGGTAGTACTTCCTTTGTATGCATGATGCATCAAAAAAATGTTTCCTGTTCAGTTGGGAAAACGTCACTAAAATCGGTAGAGTAGCCAGCCCTTAAATTTGGTTTTGTTTTGTTAATTTTCTGTGATTAGAATTTTGAAATGCCTTGCGCCAAAAGATGACAAAAATGAAAAGCAATTATGTTAAAATATAGCACATGTTGTTCAGGATAATAAAGTTTCGGAAAATTTGGCCAACGTGTACGCAGATAATCGTACATTACTTTGCAGATTGTTTTGTGTTTTTCGTTTTTAAATGCAGTCTTTTGAAACAATCGTCAATTGTCCATGTTTGTGTTGATTTAAGCTTTTGCAAGCTCAAATTCAAAGGGTAGCAAGCTTGGATGGTAATTTTTCGCGCTAACAATTTCAAAATTGCCTAAACTCTCGCTCTAAAGATGCTTACTATTAACAACAAATTTACTGTCAGATAAATCATTAGAAGTCAAAAACGATACATATTTCCACCCAAACTTATTGCAAACCTTGTACGCTAATAAATTCAGCGACGTTTCCTCAATCCTAAATATTTTTTGTTGCATCTACTGTTGTTTTAGAGCAGGGGTCTCCAAACTTTACAGCTAGAGGGCCACATGAACTTTCATTCAGCATGTTGAGGGCCGCCGAACCGTATACCTCTGGTCAAAGAGCGAATGTTTTAATAAAAGTTGGCTTGCGTCATAACGTGAACTTTCTGCACAAAGTTTATTTTGTTTAATAATATTATTATTTTTTTTCTTAAGTGTCTCTGCTGGCCGGATTGAGAGGCCTAACGGGCCACATCTGGCCCGCGGGCCGTAGTTTGGAAACCCCTGTTTTAGAGCATTCAGCATTGTCGTATTTACGTGTTTGCTTTGTCATTCACAAACTTATTCATTATTGCGGTTATGGTGTATCACCATTAAAAGTGAGGATAATCAATCATATTTCTTCCAATGTAGAAGTTCTGAGATCTAAAGATGTAATGCAAAGTTGCGGTTAAAGTGTTCGAAAAATGAACTTAAGCACCAAAAATCGGCGTCGGAAAGTTTTTAGATAAATCGAGATTTATTTTCATAAGCTCCATATTGATTTAGAATACATCTAAAAGAAAATTTTTTGACCTCCCAGTTATTTTAAGAAGACTTACTGCCATTTTGCAATTGACCGTGCGGCGTGCGTAAATTAAAAGTTTGTTACAGTTTCAAAACTTGGCGTTACTAACGGCAAAATAATTGTTGCTAAGGCATACGTGTTAAGTTATGGAAAATGTTGTTTTTATTTAATAAACAACTGTGACATGTTGAAATTATGCAAGTATGGAAAGACGTTTGAAAACTTGACGTTACTAACGGCTAACTCATTGTTGCTAAGGCGTACGTGTTAAGTTATGGAAAATGTTGTTTTTATTTAATAAACAACTGTGACATGTTGAAATTATACAAGTATGGAAAGACGTTTCAAAACTTGACGTTACTAACGGCTAACTCATTGTTGCTAAGGCATACGTGTTATGTTATGGAAAATGTTGTTTTTATTTAATAAACAACTGTGACATGTTGAAATTATGCAAGTATGGAAAGACGTTTCAAAACTTGACGTTACTAACGGCTAACTCATTGTTGCTAAGGCATACGTGTTAAGTTATGGAAAATGTTGTTTTTATTTAATAAACAACCTTGACATGTTGAAATTATGCAAGTATGGAAAGACGTTTGAAAACTTGACGTTACTAACGGCTAACTCATTGTTGCTAAGGCATACGTGTTAAGTTATGGAAAATGTTGTTTTTATTTAATAAACAACTGTGACATGTTGAAATTATGCAAGTATGGAAAGACGTTTCAAAACTTGACGTTACTAACGGCTAACTCATTGTTGCTAAGGCATACGTGTTATGTTATGGAAAATGTTGTTTTTATTTAATAAACAACTGTGACATGTTGAAATTATGCAAGTATGGAAAGACGTTTCAAAACTTGACGTTACTAACGGCTAACTCATTGTTGCTAAGGCATACGTGTTAAGTTATGGAAAATGTTGTTTTTATTTAATAAACAACCTTGACATGTTGAAATTATGCAAGTATGGAAAGACGTTTGAAAACTTGACGTTACTAACGGCTAACTCATTGTTGCTAAGTCTTACGTGTTAAGTTATGGAAAATGTTGTTTTTATTTAATAAACAACCTTGACATGTTGAAATTATGCAAGTATGGAAAGACGTTTGAAAACTTGACGTTACTAACGTCTAACTCATTGTGGCTAAGGCGTACGTGTTAAGTTATGGAAAATGTTGTTTTTATTTAATAAACAACTGTGACATGTTGAAATTATGCAAGTATGGAAAGACGTTTGAAAACTTGACGTTACTAACGGCTAACTCATTGTTGCTAAGTCTTACGTGTTAAGTTATGGAAAATGTTGTTTTTATTTAATAAACAACTGTGACATATTGAAATTATGCAGGTATGGAAAGACGTTTGAAAACGTTAAACTGTATCGTTAGATATAAGACTTTAAATTGGTATTGGGAGACATAGCGACACTTAATTATTAACCAATGCTATCTCAGGGTTACGCCTTAGAAACAATCAGATAGCTGTATAGTAACGTCAAGATAGCCGTTAGCAACGTCAAGTTTTGAAAATATAACAAACGTTTCATTTATGCACGCCTCACGGTCAATTGCAAGTGTCTGTATTTTCTGCTAAATTTTCGTAGTCCTCATCTTCATCATTAAGCCTGTTCTCCACTTGCCACGTATCGTAATCTATCGTAGCAAAACGTAACATGGCGCATGCGTGCTTGTGCTTATTGACCGTCAAATTCGCAAGCACGCATGCGCCATGTTACGTTTTGCTACGATACGTTACGATACGGGCTAGTGAAAAACAGGCTTTATGACTATGTTACAGCTCGAGGAATATAGATCTGGTGGAGATCCGGACACCGTTGCTGGAGACTTTGGCATCAAACCTCTTTACAAAATGCTGGGTTATTTTAGCTTGATCGGTTTGTTACGACTGCATTCGTTGCTAGGCGACTATCTGATGGCGCTGAAAGTCTTGGGGAACATTGAACTAAATCGCAAGGTTATTTTTCTTGATATTTAACATGTGGAAAACTGTAGAGAATGAAGGCCGAATTTTTCATTTTTAGAGTATGTACTCCAGAGTGCCGGCTTGCCAGATAACCACATATTACTACGTTGGTTTTGCTTATCTTATGATGAGAAGATACCAGGTAGTGATCCATACTTGTACCATTATATCCATAACATGATGAGAAGATACCAGGTAGTGATCCATACTTGTACCATTATATCCATAACCGTACATGCTCTTATGCTGTTTATATTTGAAGCGGATTACTCAAATCCTGGAGCGATTAAAATGAGTCGTTAAATCGATTCAAAATTAAGTCTATCTGATAATCTCGTTCGTTCCAGTCCTTCAAAGTTGAATATTCACGCAGTTTTTGTTTATAAGTTTCATTCCCCTAAATGCAAACACTTTAACAGCCAGTATAAAATTGAAAACCATCGAGAAGAACAACGCTGTTAAAGTTGAACCATATGCAGAAGCGGATCAATATTTTGGAAAAAATACATTACCGCATTTAATTTCAAATTCGCGAACAAAAACACCATTTGTTTTGAATTCTCAAAGACTAAAATCCCAGCAATCAAAGGGATGTTGTTATATATTTTCCTAAATGCTGGGCGCACCTCTGACTGGACTGCATAGTACGGCTTATTTCGCCGACATTTCGGGGTAGAATCACAAAAAATTTTGGCCAATGGGCGGGATAGCACTCTAATTTCAATATACACTACATTTACTTCGTATTTGTCGATTTTAGGATGCCATCCGCATCTTCTGTAACATACTACTGTACATTCAAAGGGCGAAACCAATGATACAAAACAGAGCTTATCAAATCGATGCAGTAAGTTGGATTTTACGAATAAAATCGCCATGTTGAAAAGACTCAAAGCTTAGGTCGCTTTAATCTCAAACTGGGCCAAAAATAGAACGCTATTTAGGGGGGGGGGGAGACATACATACTTATTCAGCCGTGTCCGACTGATTTTTTTTAAAAGTACTATCGCTTATTCCCTCAATTAGCGTTCTAGTCTCGGCTCTGATATCAAAATGCATTCTGTTTTGATTATTTGACATGTCTTATTACAATAGTTTTAGATCATTTTTCTGCTCTTCCCTTGATATTACTTAATTTTTTCCTAAGTTTGAGATAACTCTAGTATTATTCATCTGTACAATGCCCATATACGACTACTATTGCACTTTTTAGATCAAAAAAATGAACGAAAAAATGTTTACGTTGCTGGCAATTTGTCTCTCATTTTCACCTCAGGTACGGCCGTAATTAAAGGCAAATGAGGATACATTTTCTTCAAAATATCTTTTAACCGGTTGCATGAAGGTTTGATACGCCTATTATTGCACAAATATAACTGGAATGCTACTTCCTGCCAGCAATTTATCTAGTCCCAGTCTTTCCACGTAGGGCCCAAAGAAAGTTCGTTTATGACAGTAAGCTAAAATGCGTGACTTTACTCACATACTCGCGCGTCTGAGGGTAAAATTTGGCTTCATGAAAGTACAAGCATTTTTATGTGAAGGTAGCATACCAGTTATATATTTAGTTCAATGGAGCGAACTAAAGCTTGTTATCACGTGATTACATTCTTACATTTAGCGTATTGATGAAAACGTCAACGCTCATTTGCGTGATAATTACAGTGAGAAAATTATAAAGCTTCAACGAGGGTAAGATATGTTACGAATGTACTACGGTTGATTTATGATAGTCTGTATGTAAACGCACTGTTTGTTGATGATTGAGTGAAGTGTAGAGAGCGAAAGTCTGTTCTGTTTACAGATGTTTTTACGGCGTTGCTTTGCAAAGTTTGTTCGAAAGTTCATATTTTCTGTTATGTATCATTAATCAAATTGCTTGTTCAAGATCCCCATTATGATTCGATGACAACAGTGACGTTGCCAGATGAGCCAGCCTCCTTATTCAGTACTGCTATTTAAATTTTCCATTTTCACTCAAAGCAAAAAAAAGATTGACAGACAAATGATTAATGCTCAGAAATTTACATAGCAGGACTTAAACTTGCGGGCTGGCTGCAGGACCAAAGCTTGCGGGCTGGCTGCAGGACCAAAGCTTGCGGGCTGGCTGCAGGACCAAAACTGCGGGCTGGCTGCAGGACCAAGACTTGCGGGCTGGCTGCAGGACTTAAACTTGCGGGCTGGCTGCAGGACTTAACTTGCGGGCTGGCTGCAGGACCAAACTTGCGGGCTGGCTGCAGGACTAAAACTTGCGGGCTGGCTGCAGGACTTAAACTTGCGGGCTGGCTGCAGGACTTAAACTTGCGGGCTGGCTGCAGGACTTAAACTTGCGGGCTGGCTGCAGGACTTAAACTTGCGGGCTGGCTGCAGGACCATAACTTGCGGGCTGGCTGCAGGACCATAACTTTCGGGCTGGCTGCAGGACATAAACTTGCGGGTTGGCAAATCTTGCCAGAAACAAGGACTTGTGTTTATTAAATTCTTTCTTAGTTTCATTCACATCCAGTTACCAAAACAACATTAATGTCGATTTAATATACCAACATTACTCATTGCATACTTGGAATTCCAGTAAAACACAATTTTGTTATTGTTTTCTTGTTGTTTTTCATTTTTTTTAGCGACCTAACTCTCTTAGAGGAAATGTTTTCATTCGCATGTCCGAAATTCGTCACTCCATCGCCTCCCAACTACGATGCCGTACCGGGAAAATATCACCGGGTATTTATTCGCGGCTTTTCCATAATCTGTTTCTCGTGACATTCAAATTATAACCGAGTGAATGCCTTTTCTTTTATGGTTGTATACCAATTTTCAAAGCTCGTTTTTTTAAGCTATTTCATTGGTCTATCAAAAAAGCGTGGAAATTTTTCCAAAGTGTTTTTTTACTATCTTATTGGGAAAGAAACTATTTCTTTTTTTCACGTCGTTGTTTCGTTTCTCATTGAAAATTGGTATATAACAAAACACCTATTAACTGAAATTTAGGGAAACGGTGTGTTTTTACCACCGACCAGCATTGTTTTAACAACGGCTGTCTCAGGTATACAAAACACACCATTTCCCTTGGTCTCAGTCAAAAAGAGATGTTTGCCTTTTGTAGGAAGCATTTGATATTCAACTTAAGAACTTCTTGCAAGAAATGAGGCAACAATCTCTCATACCTACTATTAGAAGGTTGAATATTTACCATAAGAAATGATTGTATTTTTCTCTTTTTGTAAGCGTATATGGACTTGAAACCTTTTTGTATAATGTTAAGTTATCTCAAGTTATACAAGACGATGCCACTCTCAAAACTTGCTGCGTTTCTTGACATGGTACGTATAGATACATCATATTCCTCAAAAAACTATTTTTTCTTCACATGGTATTTAAAAAATTAATTATTTTTATTGTGTTGGCGGAAGCTTATTCAAACCAAGGAGACGTTTTGAGAGAACTCGAGAGCAGATCAGTGTAACTCTGTTCATAAACTGAGCTCCAAGGGTCGCATAAGCCAGTGCAAACACGAAAAACATCTATAAAATAAGGATAATGCAAAAATGTTCAATTCAAAACATATGTTTAAATTTTTTCTCCGACATGTATTGATTATTGATTTGCAAATCAATTATTTAGCTTCTTTAGCTCAGATCCGTTTGTTCAGGCTAAATGAAGCTATAGACCAATCAACGCACGCGTTACATTGTTATTTTATAAATGTACATAATGTGCTTTTCAAAAGACTTCTTTTTTGCATGGTACATATATGTACATAATGGTACATCAAATGATTACGTTTTCTTGGTATTATACATATATGTACATAATGGTACATCAAATGATTACTTTTTCTTGGTATTGTACACATATGTACATAACGCTCGTCAAAAGACTACCTTTTCTTAATATAGTTCATAAGAAAATGCTTCTCAAAACTGGTTTTTTCTGATGCGAATTCATGAAAAATCCCTATTTTACTATTGACATTTCAATATTTTTGTGTAGGATGAAGAAACACTTCGAACTCAATTGCTTTGCTACAAAGTTTGTTTGTTATTCGAAATAAAAACACGATTTCTTATTATTTTATGTATTTATTTATCACGTCTTGGTCATTCCTTAGCATAAACAACGTCATTTTACGTGGACAAAAGGCCCGGATGCGCTGGAAGGCGAATTTCAATCCTCTTCAGACGTTGACTTTTACATTGAGAATGTGAGTTTTTCTGATTTTAAACCACGACTTGAACGGAACGGATTTTCCTCTCAGCAGCTGCTAAATAAGATTTGCTTTGTATTTGATCTGTGATAGTCATTTTTTACATCTCCGACTAGGATATGATTCACATTGCTGATACAAAGGTGGAGAGGGGTTATGGCAACTTCTTCATTCGACAAATTATGAAATTTGAGGAGGTAAATTTCCATTTAAGATAATTTTGTCTGCAACCACTCATGTGACCTGATATTTTCATTGGTGTTCTTGAGGGAGATAGAGTGTTGTAGCCGACCGACAAGGTTGTTGGTGCTTTGTAAATTCCAGATTTTCATTGGCATTAGCTATTGATATAAAAATCTATTATTCTCGCCATGTTGCTTGAAATTTGTTTTCTTGGTTTGCAAGTTTCGTCATGGCCGCCATGTTGGATGATTTTAACAAAGTATTTCCTTATTTACAATGAAAATGTCGTCCAAATGGCCATTGTTCTCTCACTCCCAGTCCCCTGTTGCACGTCACCGATTGTAAAAAAGAAAAATACTTTATAAATTTCAACCAAGATGGCGGCCGTGACGTAACATGTAAACCAGCTATAGTTATTTTTTAAACTTCACGGGCCGGTTGCACGAAGCCTGGATAGCGTTATCCATTGGATAACAAGTTTTTTAAACTATTATAAAACCTTTTAACAAGCAAGAAAGATAAGATTGAAACTGAACAATCACTGAACATCTTTTTTACAAGTTTGAAATTTTTTGCTATCCAATGGATAACGCTATCCAGGCTTCGTGCAACCGGCCCCTGTTGTAAAAATTTCTTTTCAAAACTCTTAAACTTTAAACTACGCTCTTTATGGCTTTCTTCTTAAACTTTAAACTACGCTCTTTATGGTTTTCTTCTTAAACTTTAAACTACGCTCTTTATGGTTTTCTTCTTAAACTTTAAACTACGCTCTTTATGGCTTTCTTCTTAAACTTTAAACTACGCTCTTTATGGTTTTCTTCTTAAACTTTAAACTACGCTCTTTATGGTTTCTTCTTAAACTTTAAACTACGCTCTTTCTTTCTTCTTAAACTTTAAACTACGCTCTTTATGGTTTTCTTCTTAAACTTTAAACTACGCTCTTTATGGTTTTCTTCTTAAACTTTAAACTACGCTCTTTATGGTTTCTTCTTAAACTTTAAACTACGCTCTTTATGGCTTTCTTCTTAAACTTTAAACTACGCTCTTTATGGTTTTCTTCTTAAACTTTAAACTACGCTCTTTATGGTTTTCTTCTTAAACTTTAAACTACGCTCTTTATGGTTTCTTCTTAAACTTTAAACTACGCTCTTTATGGCTTTCTTCTTAAACTTTAAACTACGCTCTTTATGGTTTCTTCTTAAACTTTAAACTACGCTCTTTATGGTTTTCTTCTTAAACTTTAAACTACGCTCTTTATGGCTTTCTTCTTAAACTTTAAACTACGCTCTTTATGGTTTTCTTCTTAAACTTTAAACTACGCTCTTTATGGTTTTCTTCTTAAACTTTAAACTACGCTCTTTATGGCTTTCTTCTTAAACTTTAAACTACGCTCTTTATGGCTTTCTTCTTAAACTTTAAACTACGCTCTTTATGGCTTTCTTCTTAAACTTTAAACTACGCTCTTTATGGCTTTCTTCTTAAACTTTAAACTACGCTCTTTATGGTTTTCTTCTTAAACTTTAAACTACGCTGTTTATGGCTTTCTTCTTAAACTTTAAACTACGCTCTTTATGGCTTTCTTCTTAAACTTTAAACTACGCTCTTTATGGCTTTCTTCTTAAACTTTAAACTACGCTCTTTATGGCTTTCTTTTCTACAGTTGGTCCACTTTGCCATGAATATTAAACTTTCGTCGTAATTTTATCACTGAATTATTCGTTTGCGACGGTCATGCTTGGACAGAAATATGTGGAACAATGCATTAATTACCTCTTAATTATTTTTTCTTCTTTCAGCTTGGTCAAACTATCAGTAATGATCGGTATTGATGATTCTCGCCCTCGAGTTGAAAAATGTTCGCCTCTTTGACGAACCTGAAATGCGTATTTAATCATAAAATAATTACCATCTGTTCAAATATAAATTGCCCTTTGATTTGCATCTGATTTTATTTGCGCATGCGTTTTGGGACGCGCGAAGGAGATCCAATGAGAAACGTCCGTTAGTCCGTTTTGTTGGCAGTGGACGTTGAGAAAAGCTGTAGAAGCTAAGTTGATGGTCTAGACACTCATAAATTTTGATAAATTTTATTAATCACTGTATCACAATCACATCTGTGTACATACGCACTTCGTAATTAATCGAGTATATTCTGTAAATCCTCTTTTTCCACGTGACTTTAAGTTTTTAACCAGCAAAGGGGAGGGTTTACAAACAGTAGATAACAGTAGATCACCGTAAGTGATTCTAAGTTACAGTGCAGTTGATGACTGTAGATGGGAATAGTTCACAGTTGGCGACTGAAGATGACGGTATCAGGTTAACCGGGAACAGGTTCAAAAACATAAAGATCGTTTTCATTTTCAATAACATAAAAGACATTTTAGATTGTTCATAGTTCTTTTATTTCTCTAAAGCGAACTAGCATAGAAAAGCGGACATTGTTTAGGTATGGGGGGTGCACGTGCACCTAGTGCACCCCGCCCCCCTGGTTACGGGACTGGCGCTAGGTGACATTAGGTTTCAGACTACAGAGGATGATAACAAGTGTCTGAAGATGACAGTGGATCAGGGAGAGGTTTGAAAAGTGAGGGGCAAAAGGTCGCGGAATCGGATTGTTGTTCCCAGTATAGCAAATTCGTTTTTAACAGTTTTATCAGCAATCATTCAATATACCATTATAATCATTAAACCAAAAAATGAAAGTGGAGTGAACGTGAGACAGGAAATACTGTTAAACGTCCATACTTATCAAATGTAAGTATTTGCCAAAGCGGATTTTATATTTTTGAACTTTACAAAGCAAGAGATATAGAAAAAGTACGGGGGAAATTGCCCCCTTGCCACCCTTCTTCGCAGCCCCTGTGGTTGGCGCTGGTTGACAGTAAGTTGCAGAGTGTGATGATGACAGTGTAATTTATATATGTCGTTTTCTCTCAGAGCTTCCTTCATAATAGGGTATGTAGAACCAGTTATTATGGTGGAAAGGTAGAAGTAGAACCATTGATAATTGATATGTGTGGTAAAACAAGGTCAAACCCAGTCAACCAACGAAGAACGGTGGAGCATGGAATTATTACCATTTTTAGTTTCATTTCCACTGACTGCTGTGTAACTGGATAGCGTATTACGTAAGAGTAAAACATAAGGTCAATTCAAAAAGGAAACTCAACATGGCAGACGTAACATCAACGAAAACGAAGCAGTTTGTCGACCTTCGTTCGAAATTAAACGGCATCTCCAACCAAAAGAAGCGTTCGCTTGACGAAGATAAAAACAAAGCTTGAGCCAAAGGAAAGCAGACGTAGCTCTAGGAAAAATTCCCGCGCTTCCGATGATGAAAACAGCAACGCAAGCGAATTGCAGAAGATCCATGAAGGTATACTACAACGCGTTTTGTTTGACGACGACGCATGCAGAAAGATCGAAAAGAAAATCGATGAAATAGTAGAAAACGGCGAGAAAGGTGTATATCGTGAAAAAACTGTCGATAGAGCCCCTTTGAGAATCAAGTATTTCTTTGGTGAAGGGTACACTTATGGTAAACAGATGAATGAAAGGGGACCCGGGAAGGAAAGGCTGTATGCACGAGGGGTTGTTGATGATATACCATCGTGGATCTTTAAAATGGTTGAGCGTAAAATTGTAGAAGCTGGTATTTTACCAAAAAACTTTATAAACAGTGCAGTAATTAACGATTACCAACCAGGTGGCTGTATCGTATCTCATATTGATCCAGGTCATATATTCGAGAGGCCCATAGTGTCTGCATCATTTTTCAGCTCAACCTCGTTGTGTTTTGGGTGTAAATTTACTTTCAAACCAATTCGTACGTCAGCACCAGTTCTTGCTCTGCCAATATCGAGAGGTTGCGTCACTGCACTTAGGTTGGTTGAAATATGTTTCATTTTTTGTTTACTAACAAAGCTTGGTATATAAACAGAGTGAGTGGTAGAGTTATTGAGAGAGCAATTTTAGTAACCTTTAAAATCTTCTAGTAAGTGGTGCTTCTTACTAACTTTTTTCTAAGAAGTCTAAAATTGTTGAATATTTGCTTGAAACTAGTTTTTGCCTAAACGTTACATGTCGGTTATTGACATTTTCAAGTAGTCGAAAATTTGACCTGAGGCAAGCTAATGAAATGAAGCAAAACTTAAGAATTTTGCCTGGCGTCTCCAAAAACATGGTCTGTTTTTGGTCATTGGAAGCTTTCTATTTTGAACCATGCCATTGCATTTTAAGAATACATAATCTGATATAGTAAATAATATTCAGACATATGGTCTCATGCAATATTATTTGGTAACTTAAAGTCTTTTACATTTAGTGGTTATGCTGCTGATGACATAACACATTGTGTTCGGCCTCAAGATGTAACCGCCAGACGAGCTGTTATTATTTTGAGAAGGTATGTCCAGAAATTCACTCCCCCCAATCTCCTTTCTTGAAATGTGATGATAATTTACGGTATATTTCTGTATTTCTAGAGTGTATGATGATGCTCCCCGTTTACCTCTTTCGTATAAACCTGGAAAAAATGACCACAACCGGAATTTAAAAGATCATGATCAAAGAGATGTTAGTCCGATAGGTCAACGCAGAAAGAGACATCGAAGTCCCGAATCTGACAGCGAAGATGAACCTTGGTATATGAAAAACCGCATGCGATCTGATCATTACAAAGAAAATATAAAGCATCGAAATTCTGCACGGGATTCTGAATGAAAGTGAGAGGATTTTCTTGCAATTTGAGATTTTGTTGTGAATTCCTAGAAAATTTAATATTGAAGACTAAGTAATACCTGAACTTATATTGTATATTAAATAGAGAGCATTATTCAATAAATCATAAATGTATCATTCTTGGAACTTTGTATGCAAGTTATGAAAAGATTGCTTTAACACTTATTTAGTATTTTAATGGTAAAATCTACACTTGTAAATAGCATAAGACTTTATTTTAGGGAAATGTTATTTCATGGTAATTATAATTGTATATATTTGTGTTTCTTTCAAAATTCAATGCGTATTTTTATGGGACTAGTGAGTGTATCATATAAGATCAAATGAATGTCTGGGACATTTAACGAATTCAAGTCGCTCTGGGTGAAGAGAGGCATGTAGAATTGACACAAGGGATTGCCATTTACAAAATTTCCATTATCTTTATTTTAACCAATGTTTTCAACAAGTAAAAAGAAAACTTTGATTGAATACACGTTTTCTGGGCCCAATCCACCTCTCTTCTATATCATTCATTATCAATTATGCATTGTGGTGGTAGGCGTCTATTAGAGATGTGGCGTTTATTAAAGAGAGGTAGCGCTCTTTGTAAGGAGACTGGGGCTGAGAGACGAATCGAAGATGGTGAGGATGGCATTTTCATTTCGTGAAAGTTTTGAACAATTTTACTTGTTATTTTTTATCGTTTTCTTACTAGAATGACAGATATAACATCCACAGTCAACTGGAGCATCGTAAGTTCAATGATAATTCAAAAGATGATTTTATTTGAAAAAAATTTCTCAATCTGAAGACATCGGTCGGAATGGCAACGTGTTGAGGAATATCTTTCCAAACTTCTCCGTTTTTATTACAGTTCAGTCGAAGTATGTTGGTACTGGCCATTCGGACACCTCAAAGTTGTACGTATAATTATAAAAAAGTTTCCCATCTTATTTCATTTCGATTCATCGTTCATTTATCACACACATGATACATTATCGTTTTTTAGCGAGTGGCTTGTGAATCAGCATCGTGATAGCGCGGCGTCTTACATCGGACACGAGAATCTACTGGATTACTTTGCATTGGTGGAGAATGAGTCAAAAGCTAGAGTTAAATTTAATTTGTTAGAGGTAAGATATATATGTATGTTAACTGTTACTTACTGGTCAAGAAAACGACCCCAGCTAAACTTTATGCTAACCTTAACCGTAACCCAGGCATGTTTTTACCAAAGAAAACGTGGAATATTCTGACCTGCTGACATCTTTATTCAACAGTAGGGAAGAGCCATTTGCTATAAAAAGCCGATTAGTCAATTTGATTAATCTGTTGAAAGGAAGCATTAATGGGTCAACTCATACCATGTAAAACATCTAGTCAATGTCGAAACAAGATTAAGTTAAAAGACATTTGAAACATCACACACATTTAATATTGATGAAAAAGTTTCGGAAATCAAAATCTCTTTTACTCACCGGTGTGTTGCAAGTTGTAGTTTAATGTATGCTGTATAAAAATCAAAAAGAAAGGAAAATACGAAGAAAATTCATATAGTATAATTAATATTTAAGTATGATTATTCAAAGTAAGAGAAATAGGTAGATTTTAGACTGACTGATCTTTAAAAATAAAAAATGAATGAATAATTGTTGAACTTCCCATTGCTGATTAATTAAAAACAGTTGATTATAGCCCGATGGGTAGGCCCCATAAATAGGCTCATCCCTACTAACAGGATGAGCCTATTTTTGATCGGATAAAACAAAATTAACTTTGGTGAGTTGATGTGTTTATCTTATGTAAGAAGACTTGATGGACCATTTGCATATCATCACACAAATCCAAGCCAACAGCTGATGAGAGAAGCGCAACGTGATTTGGCTACCTTGAATATGACATTTGAACAATTTTGTCACAAAAAATAATAAACATCAACGCCACATTTTGTTTTTACTTGGAAAAAATACTTAAGGTTTATCTTGCTTCAAGAGAAATCTTACAATCACACTTTATATATATTCACACCTAGAAAATGTTACAGCCCTGCGGACATCCCCCTCAAAGACCTGAAGAAACATGAAAATAAAGAATGTGGCAGACATTTTGAATATAACATCTGTATGTGTATTGTATCTTTTTTGCAAGCTACATAAAGCTGTCCATACCATTAAGTACTTTTGATTTAAAGATATTTTTGAGAAATTTTAAGTATATTATACATTACATTGTACAAATACATAAAATACATTGTAATGAAAAGCTCAGTACACTATATGTCTACATATAAATCCATTGTGGATCATAAAAATCCTTTGTGAATCATAAAAATCTATTGTGGATCACAAAAGTCCATCGTGGATCATAAAAATCCATTGTGGATCATAAAAATCCATTGTGGATCACAAAAATCCTTTGTGGATCATATAAATGTATTGTGGATCATAAAGATCTTCTGTGGATCATAAAAATCCAGCAAAGTCGGGTAAAATAAGGTGTATTTCCAAAGGTGTAATAAATTGGACGGCTGTCTCTATGCGATCAAAAGAATTTATTTGAATCCGAAAAGTGTTCAGTTAAATCGCAAAATTTCCCGAGAGGAGAAGTTCCTTTCTAGATTGAATCATGAAAATATTGTAAGGTAAAAAGAAATTTGTTGACGACGTTAAAAGCTCTAGCGAGAACAAGGTTCCAGTACGAAAACAATACACTAATAGCACCGAATCTTCTGAAGATACGTTCAAAAGAAATATCAATGAATCACACATACAGTTTGGAAACTCGTTGGCTCACGTGGTATATAATAGTGGGAACTGTTCATGATGTTGCTGAAGATATTTAAAAATAACTACCAGCGTCTTTCCTTTAGGACGAGGCATCTGATTTGAAAGTGAAGAGGAAGCAATCACCACAAGAGCTTTGCAAGAAGATTCAAAGTGTACTCTGCAAACCTTGGTATATGCAGATGGATTATTGTGAGAAGAGAACTCTAAGGAATGTTACTGACAAAGGGATAGTACAAGGACCAACAAAGAATGTGGCGGATTCTCCGCGAGATTGTAGAAGGATTAGTTCACGTTCATTCACAGGTAGAATAAAAAATGTGAACAATTTTCGTTTAGCTTAGTAAATATATATAAAGACTTATTATTTTCTGTTTTTCTCTAATTTTTCCCAATATGGTATGATTCAAGTAAACGCATTTCGACAATTTCGGTTTCTATTGTTACATATTTAGGTGTTTTCTTTCAAATGTCAACTAATGTCAAGGGAGAGAAGTTTGGTCTTTAGATGAATTGAAAAGCTCGTTTTGGACTTGTAAGTTCCTTTTCATTGAATCGCAGTGTCATATAGAAAGTTATTCTTGTTGGAATATGTATATGTCATTGTCAATTTAATGATAGGAAAATACAGCTACTGTCTTTTAAGTCACATTTGACAGACACAAAAAAGCAAAATATTGCGAAGAAAATTTGATGGAAGTTTCAGAATTTTTTGATTTTTTTTTGAAAATAAGAACAAAAAGGATATTTTACTTTTACACAATTAAAGACGCATATCGTGAGAGATGTCAATACCTGCAACAGGTGCGAAATAAATGTTAAAAAACACATTTCTCGTCATCATGTGATTTCACGTGAGCGTTGTTTAACAAACTTATCGCTAATTTATTTGCGTAGTTTGATTTCAAAATATCTCTAGTATCGATTGATTAGAAGTAGTTGAAACATCATGGCGTTTTCAAGACTTATGTTTTGTCTCGCGGCTATTTTTCTCGCACTTCTTTGTGGTAAGCAATTTAAGTAAAATACGAGTTTGAACGCTTTCTTCAAATATGTATATATTTTATCAAATTAGCATGTTCCCAAGCCGAGAGAAATGTTCATCATGTTGATAAAGACAGAGCTTGTCTCGAACTAAAGAAAACCGGTCCATGCCGAGCTGCATTTCAAAGATATTATTACAATTCGGAGGACAATGAATGTGAAAAGTTTATTTATGGAGGATGCCAAGAGAACGGAAACAATTTTAAAACCAAACGTGAATGCGAAGAATTGTGCGTTCGTGGAAATAGTCGCAAATCTGGTAAGGGCATCAAATAATTTGAATTTTCCCTTTATTTGTTGAAACGTAGGTGGCGTATGGGAAAGTATTTTCGTTTCAATTATAAGTGATGTGTTGAATTATTAGATCTCAGAATATTAACGATGTTTTTGGATAATATAAGAATTAGTATTTCTTGTTTAGAATCGAAATGAAGCAAAAATTGAGCTGCAAGATGTCAAGTTTATAATGTATGCGAAATAATTAAGTGCAAAATAGTAAAGAGAATAATAAAGCCAAAATATTATTAAATTCAATTGCAAAGATTTGCGTCTCCAACGTTTTTAATAATTATTTGTTTGCTTACAACAATTTCTCATTTATTCATGTTTTAAGTGAACATTTTTATAATTTCAACATTTTGATATATCTTTCCAGTCCCGTTCATCTGGAAGGTAAACGATTGCTATAATCTAGTTTCTCGTATAAAAGCTATTCCACGCAGGCGCGTAAGGCGTTTTATTTGAAAAAGAAGAGATTACACTTATAATTTTGAGATAAGATTGTCATTTCCAAATACATTCTTCGGATCTAACGTCTTCTTTATTCCATTCATCATTTCGTAGCCTGCGTTAGATACAGTAGAAGGTAGCCATTGCTTTCGTATTTTACCAACTCCGTGATGATGAGAAAGACTTCCCCCGTTGGCTATAACCTCATCCCGAGCACCGTCTTCGATCGCTTGGTAAACTGCAAGTGGGTCAGCTAGTCCATGATAATTGAATCCAAAGTAAAAGTACACGCATGCGCCAGTATCGTAGGTTTGTGTAACCCGGCAGGTCACTAATGGCTTATAATGCACCCCAAGGTCTTTACATTTTCTGTATATGGCCGCTTTGGTGTTCTTGCATAGGGTAATCACTCGATCCCAAGGAACACAGGTCTCAAAAGACTCCGCAAGAAAACTATACTCGAATCCTAAATCACGTAGATATGCAATGGCAAAGGTCAACATGTACCCCCGTCTGCCGTTTTCAGCACCAGCTGACAACCCCCCGTATTTTGCAGCTATAGAATAGACCATTTTTTCTTGGGTTTCAACGTTAGTTTTGCTCCCCTGAAAGAGTAAAGTTGCAACGCAAAGTTTGTTCGGTTCATAGCCTTTGAAACGCGTAACATAGATCGTTTTTATTCCCTCCATAAGAGAGCTAAAGAAAGAATGGGCTTGAGGCTTCAGCGTTTGACCAAATTTAAACTGTTCATTGTCGACAAGTCGTATAGATGCCGGAGCACAGCGAAGTTTAGCAATCTCACGAAGGCACTCGACACCTGATTCAAAATTTGGAAACACTATGGAACCGTATGTTTTGTGTTCAGGTAACGGCTGTATTCTTAGGATCACCTCTGTCACAACCCCTAAAGTACCTAAAGAAATGTAAGGATTTGTCATCGTTAAATAATCTTAAACTACACGATGTATGTATCAGCCATATGTATCCTAAATTGTACCTTCAGATCCCATGATAACATGATGAATGTCAGGTCCAGTTGACATGCGCGGTACCATACAATTTTTTTCCATCGTTCCTTTCGCGGTGACAAACTTCACATGTACCAATAAATCCTCAATGTTACCATAGATGTTCTTCTTCATCCCAGATGCTCTAGTTGCCACCCATCCACCAAGCGAACTGAATTCCATTGAGTCCGGCTCGTGACCAACACAAACTCCTTTCTCATGCAACTATAAAATAGCCAATTTAATGGTTGAAGATTCAGAGTTGAAAATAGTAATAGGCAATCAAAAATATTACTTGTTTTTCTAAATCCTGACCAATTATCCCTGCTTCAGCACACATTGTCATGTTCTCATGATCAATCCAAAGAATCTTATTCATCCTCGTCATATCCAAACTGACAATCATTCTAAGTTCATGAATAGGACATTCCAAGGCACTTGAAACACTTGTCCCTCCACCAAATGGTATAATACAAACATCATGTTTGTTGGCAAGGGAGACGACCTTTTCAACTTCATTATGATGACGAGGCCAAATGACGATATCGGGGAGTCTTGGAATCTTACCATGACGAAGGAGGTATATTTCATGACATGTGTGACCGTGACTCCGAAATAACCTTTAAAATATTTTGAAATCGATTAAAAATGTGTCATGAAGATGGGAGTTTCACAGTCTAATCTCCTACCTCTCATGGCCATGCATCGAATGGTCAAAACCCATATCCCGAACACTTTTAAGAAATAGCTCATTCACAATTGGTTTCGGCAACTCTTCCTCTTTGGGAATGTTTTGAGATGGCGACTTAAACTCAAGATCAGCACTACAGGAATTGACAAACCAATCCACTAACTTTGGAAAGACCTGTCCGCTTATTCCATATCGCTCCCCCGTAAACTGGGCAAGCCCTTCTGAATTGATGAGAAACTTGGAATCCTGGTACCCCCATCCATTCCATTTTTGATTATCTCGCGGCTGCTTGGCTTCTCCATCTTCCCTTTTCTCCATTGCTGTATTCAATGCAATAAAAAATAACAATATTACTTGATTGATATGACTACTACATTTGCCTTCTAGACAATCATATTATCCACAAATACTGCCTCTAGATCCATCAAGATCACAGCCCTATGAACAGGCAGTCACGATGAACTCTAGCACTAACATTTTTGCAACACCAATGCAATAAGGATTGTTTGCAGTGATCTTACTTGGGCAGGCATGGAAGAACAATGTTAGAGATTAGAGTTCAAAGTCTAGAGCACCCTACCCTAGCATGCTGCAAGCCACGCGTCACGTTGATGACCACAAGAAGGGTCACTGAAGAACACGACTCGTGACTGTTGGACGCACCACATTCCAGAAAAATTGAATATTCCATAAAATTATCAGTTTACAAACAGTAGAGTATGTCAAGCTTTCTGAAAGTGCGATATACTCATTTGTTGCAAGATTATCGACATTCGTACATAAATGATAATTTGCATCAATTGCTCATTTGAATGATCGCAAAAAATAAACGCATATTAAACCACCGAAAAAGCGATGCGTTAATTTCATTTTGGCGTTCAAAAAATTTGCATTAATGTTTACATTACCTGAATAATAGCCAGCCTATTTCATGAATTAAACAGCCCACAATGCAAAGTTTTTGATGTCCGTATCATACATCAGGTTTCTGTCATTACTGAGAGGCTTGTCACAACACACCACATTTCACAGTTGGAGGGAATTCGAGCCAACGAGGTGTTTTGTCATCTGATATTACGCATGAGTTTCGCAATCGATCGGAGGATCATGATATTATAAAATTAAATCATCATATTTTTAATTTTTACGACAACGCAATTCAGAGAACCATAGTTTACATTTATCTTTAAAAGTAAATTGCAAATTCTCATTTAATACATTTTGAAGAAAAACCCACTTAAAACTCTTAGAATTTTAATTTTGCGTTTATATGACGTCCGGTAAATGTCTGAATCGGGTGATAAAAACAACATGGCGGACAAAACGAAGAAATACGATGAGAAAAATGAAATTTTAGAAGCTAAGTTACAACAAAATGTGACCACTTTTCTTGATGAAAATCTTCTGGGTGATTTTTCTAACGCCAGGAAATGTCTAGAGCGTATGAAATTGCAACGAAGTGAATTGGAAAAGCAGGTTTGTTAAAAAAGTTTTGTCTTCACTCTTAAGGCTCTTCACTTTCCCCATTCACTAGTGTGCTCGCGAGTCGCTTGAAAAACGAGCTATGAGATTGAGGCTTGAGGTGAGAGAGTGAGAAGTGAGAGCCTTATAGCTCGTTGCCCAACAGATAATTTAACACAACTTTATTATATAATTTTCCTCATTTTCAGTTGACCACGAAAGAAACTGGAAGAGACAGTTTAGAAAAGGAGTCGTTTTGTGTTTCCCAGACTCTTGAAGAGGCGAAGATGGTTTTGAAGAATGTTGATAGGATCCAGTTAAGTCTTGATGAACTGAATGAAAATGTTGAAAAACACAACAATGAAGTTAAGGATATGACTGAGCAGTTAGATGACATGAATGGCAGTGTCTTGGAAATGGAGAATTTTATTTTATACCTTAATTGGATTCAAAAGTTGAAGACTTGAGGTAGGTAATAGAAGAGATTCAAACGAAAGGTTTAGTATCCACTGTTGAAGGTTTATGATTGGTTAGAAATACAATGTATCTTCTGTTGGAGGTTTATGATTGGTTAGAAATACAATGTATCTACTGTTGGAGGTTTATGATTGGTTAGAAACACAATGTATCTACTGATGAAGATTTATGATTGGTTAGAAATGCAACAAAGTACAAATACACCATAAATTTAAAAGCAAGTCACCAGTGTTCATTACTAATGTCTCATTTACCCAATCAGAAAACATGTTCTTTATATGTAGATACTTATTCAAACTAGATGTATGCTAATGACATTCCAGGCCAACTTTACTTAATGGTGATGAATCTTTGATTAAAAATGGTTGTTCACCTTGAACCAACTGTTGATTTAATCCCATTTTGATAATGTATTATCAAATGCTACATTGTGCTATGAGTTGTACACAGCAGTTGAAGGTTATGTAACATATTTCAATTTTGACCAATGACTAAAATATTAAGTTGAAAACTTGCAGTCTGTTGTTTACAGTCAATGGCTAAGATATTACTTGACAAAATGAAATGTAATGTGTTTTAATTCTTTGAAAAGTAACAGCATGCCTACGAGTGTGAAGTTTAAATGTTGGAGGGCATTTTGCCAAGGATGTTTGTAGTTGTAGTCACCTAATTTTGCTTTAGTTGTAAACAAAAGCTAGCTACTAAGAGTTTCATGAATTTTAGGAATCCTGCACTTTTTGTCGTTGACATTATTGAATATTGATCAATCATTGTTATTATATGGCAAGCTTCACTTCCGGCAAATCGGCGCGTTTTGATCGGCTCGGAAACATTTTTGCCGGTCCATTATTTTCCGTAATGGACCACGGTCCAATTTTACAGTCAAATATAAACAAACTTCTCAAAGCCAACAGCAAAACGCAAAAATAAACGAAACTAAAAACCATTTACGAATGTGAGTCGAAGGAAAAACACTTGGAAAACAGTTTAACTTTCCAGACGATACGAATTAGAACGATTTATTTTTTATGGACGAAAACTAGAAAAGTGAAAGTCAACCCGCACAAAACAGCAAAGACGAGAAACAAAGTAAGCTTCGTTTCAGGTCAAATAATGCCATATAATAAACCTTTTAATAACCTCGCTTTCTCGGTCTTTACTGAGAAATATCGAACCTTTGTCTTTTTGTACAAACCTCGTCCTACGGGCTCTGTCGATACAAAAGGCGTCTGTCCGATAGAGCTTAATAACAATTTTTCAAGAACATAAGGCTCTTTAGAGAGGGAAAACTTCTTCATTTTATTTGCATGTTAATTGTTTATGCATATGTAGTGTTTTACAATTTGTTTTTTGTTTATTCATGTAGACACATAAAAGTGTAAAAGTTTGTATTTTTGTTTTAAAAGTACACTTACGTTTGAAAAATGCGCAATATTTAAGACTAAGTAGTCGAAAGTATAATGTAAACTGTATTTAATTCCTTGCTTTTCAAGACAACCAGTTTATAACTTTTCTTTCTACTCTAACTGACGAGGCCTACGAGTTTATGACGTCACAACAAATTTTTCGCGCCAAAATAATGTACATTGTCATTATGCTCGTAATGGTAGTCGCACTCTTTGCTTATGTTCGCTAGTGCGGTTGCTACAGTTTTGCTTTTCATTGTTTTAGTGATAAAATTTACAAAGGCTTAGAGTCAGGATCGTTAAGCGAGGCAATAAAGGAACTGAATGTTATGAAATCGATGTTGACTGCAATTAATCAGACTTCTTGTCATCATTTTAAAACGTACGTGACGGATAATTTGAACCACTGGAATGGAATTATCGCAGAAAGGCTTACGAGGTAACGGAAGGACTTTAAAGAGAATGCATTTATGTAAATCGTACGTAGATTTTTTCTTCTTTTCTTTCAGAGAATTTGAAAGAGTTCTCAAGATACTAAAATGGCCATTTACCTCCGGATCAACAGCTCCACCTCTAGCAACAAACGCGGATGTCTTTCAAACATTTGAGAACATCTTTCTAATGCTGTTGCAAGTGTCCAAATTGTATCCATTTTATTTAACTAAGGCCCCGTTTACAATATACCGGATTGCTATCGTAGCAGGTTGAATATTCTTTATATTAAAAGGCAGTGAAATTTTTCAACGTCAGAAATACAATCAAATAGACTAAATCTATCAACTTAATAAGCTTTTACTCCGTACAGTAACCCTTTAAATCAAATTAAGATGTCGTGATGAGCGAATCCGGTATAGTATAAACGCAGCTTAAGTATTGACCAGGCGCCATCTTTGTTTTGTTGGTGTTGTTTCGCTTAACGTTTTTTAAGAAAGGAATTCGACGGCTGTAATGTTTATAAAGAAAGAGTCGCCCTCTCACTTCCAATGGAAATTTTAATACGACCCTTGAAGAGGCGATTTAACTATCATTTCTATGGTAAACGTCAGACAAATAATCTTCAAAAGGTTTTTTTTGCTAGTCTAGCTCGATTTGTGAAACAAAAGAGTATTTACTCATATTCAACTTCTAATTTATTTACAAAGCCCGAATGGTTTTATACTCAAATTCTGAACTGGCTTAGAGATCACGTGGATTTTATCAACGTAACTATCCAAGCATTTATTGATAAATCAGAGATGGTCTCCTTTCCATTGGTTGAGGTCTGTTCTGTTGATTATTTACTCTTGTTTGACTCCGTTTATCCTTTATTTACCTGTTACTCACCATCATTAACTCTCATTTTACTCCTCATATTTACCCCTATTCACCCTCATTAAACCTCATTTACCCTCATATTTACCCCTATTCATCCTCATTAAACCTTATTTACCCTCATATTTACCCCTATTCACCCTCATTAAACCTCATTTACCCTCAAATTCATTAAAATGGAGCGACATGGAGAAGTCCTCTCGACTTCGACCTTAGTGTTGATCGAAAGTAGCCTGCATTCAGGCCACATGTGGTCTATGAAGCTTGTATCTTCATAAAAAAAGACTCATTTGAAGTAGGAGTCTGGGAACAATATTTAAAAATTCAATATGGCGGCAAAAGTATTGAGAAGGGAGGGCTGAGTGAAACTGATATCAGTAAACGCCGCCATATTTGAAGTAGGAATCTGGAGACAAATTTTAGAAATTGAATATGGCGGCAAAATTATTGAGAAGGGAGGGCTGAGTGAAACTGATATCAGTAAACGCCGCCATATTTGAAGTAGGAATCTGGGACAAATTTTAAAATTGAATATGGCGGCAAAATTATTGAGTAGGGGGTGGGTGAGTGAAACTGATATCAGTAAACGCCGCCATATTTTCGTACGTTTTGCTCCTGTGGTTAGGATAACATTTTCATTACATTCATTTCCAGATCCAGTTCATAGAAGGTCTCCTACAGATTGTTGTTGAGAAGATGGACGATTGCCTTCCATCATTGGTTGACAACGAAACTCTATTCTCGCATTTCGTGGATGAAACGTTACTGTTTGACGAGGAGCTAAGAAATACATATGACTTATCTCAAGTGCAGTCGAGTTGTCTTGATGTTTTGATGAAGAAACAATATTTTGACAAATGGGTGATGCTAGAAAAAAAATGTATGTTGATATAACAGTTTGTTATGTTTGAATTTAGATAGTTTTTCGTCCTTCGCGTGTCAGGTTTTCCAAATAACAGCCTCACATTCTGGGACTGCGGAAGAGGCATAATTGAGGAGGGCACATATTCATATAAGCATTTTATATGTTTGTAAATGTAGATCGTCCAGGTTGGTAGAGTCCTGAGAAGGACTGTTTTTGTTGTTGTTGACTGACGTTTCGACAACCTTAGCGGTAGTCATCTTCAGAGTCAAATGGTGTCTCCCGCTAAGGTTGTCGAAACGTCAGTCAACAACAACAAAAACAGTCCTTCTCAGGACTATACCAACCTGGACGATCTACATTTACAAACATGTAACGATACTCTCGGGCTCAAACCATTTACTTTTAAGCATTTTATCTTAGAAAAGAATGGATTTCAGAAGAATATTAATAAGGTATATCATGCATGTATGAATATTAACCCCCACACACACCCCCTCACCACCCCCGACTTATCGATTTTCTGCGGTCCCGGATTTGCAGCAGTTTTACGAATAAACAGTAGACCACTTGTGGGACCTACCGCTGTGCAACTTGGTGCTATATTTTTCATTATATCAATGGTACAGTTAACCAACTCAGCGTTCCTATTGGTCAGAAATTTCAACTGACTTGCTGTCGCTATGTTAAACACAAGTGTAAGAAGATACGAGTAAGAAAAAAATTGAATGCAGTGGCCCTGCTGTTTGTTCCCTTCACTGTGATTTTGCTTCATTCCCTTTCCAGTTTTAAGGGGCTTAGATGTTTCTTGTAAACGGACGGCCCTAAGACTATTTTTGATTGGTGGAGAAAGCTAAATTCATTTCCGGTGAACGTCACGCTGATAAGAAGTTTCAAACGCCATTGTTTTTGTATAAAAGCAATTTCACGATTTTGTTTCTGGTTTCAAAACAAGAAACTTCCTGAATATTCCATTAGAGGAGGCTGAGGTTTTAGGCTAGGGATTGAAGAAGATTTAAGATTTCACAGGTTTTTGGCAAGGGATTAAAGATTTATGATTTCACTTCTTTTATTTCAGATGCAATGGAAAATATCCACTCGTTGCTTTCATCGGAGAAAGCTTGGAGCCCGCGATACGAGGATGCTGCGGATGTTGACGAACTAAAGGTTCCCGAGTGCGTCGAAACGTTTGTCTCGCTTTTAGTTGGTATAACAGGTATGTGAGGGGTATGTGAGGGTAAATGTTTGTTGTAGTATCATGTGAAATAGATGAAGTGAACGCTTGGAAAGTAGTTGTACAGCTCTGGTTAAACGATGAAATTCACTGCCTTGTTCATGACAAACCACGCTCAAAGTGAGGCATTCGCCCCCGATTCAATTCAAATGATATTAATTCCGGGAGGTAGTCATTTCTCAGCTCTGGAGAAAAAGGATAGGTGTATAGGTGGTTTGCATGTTGCGACACGGCCGTCATTTTGGTTGAAATTAAGAAAGGATCTTTCTTGTTTACAATTCCAATTTCAACCATAATGGCGAATATTTCCTTCTCCTTCGACGTTGTCCTTTGGTGGAAATGATTGCAATCCATCTATTATTGAGAAATGAGAATCAAAAATTGATAACGATTTGATTGCAAAACTTAGAGTTTTCCTTTCAGTGTTATGAAATATGCATTCAAAAAAATAATGGCGTTTGATCGAATCTTATGTAGATCGTTACAGAAATCTTAAATCTGAAGAGAATCAGTTGTCGTTTTTGGACGTTCAGTTAGACTTGCTGTATTATGTTACTGCTAGCTTGGGCGAAATAAAGAACGAATCTGGTGGACCTTTGACTTCATGTTTCATTTTCATTTTAAACAGCACCAACTATCTCTCGACCATATTACAGGATTGGTCTGAGCAAACTGTGAGTTGTCATCTTTTTCATACCAATATGGCAGACAATCTGAAGTTTCGCCTTTACAAAGCTGTATTTTATTGCTCAAACCAGCGTTTCAGGTCTTTGCTATGAAATTTTGAGTTATTTTTTGCTAAAAGCATCATCCCACGTTACAGTTGAATGATAGGATTTTCCGTGGGGATTTTAGAGAATTTCACCATCCCACTACCCACCCCCCGACTTTTTGAAAAGTTGATACAATACCATAAGATGTTAAGGTAACCTTGTCAACTTGTTTACAAATGTAAATAGTTTGAACCCGGGAGTATCGTTATATGTTTGTAAATGTAGATCGTCCATGTTAGTATAGTCCAGAGAAGGACTGTTGGTGTTGTTGTTGACTGACGTTTCGACAACTTTAGCGTTAGTCATCTTCAGTTTGACCAACACCAACAGTCCTTCCGAGGACTGCACTTACTACCTGTACCATCTACATTTAAAAACATGTAAATTGTGTATTTGTCTGTTCTTTTCTTATTGGTTGTTTGCTTTATAAAGCTAATTTTTGAGCTCTCAAGTAAAATGCTCATTTTATGTAAACTGTTTTGTTTTAGATATTCCTAAAGCTGTACTTGACAAAGATGGAGTCGTCTAATAAAAAGAACGAGCAATTAGAAAATGGCATCGATTTTACCGATGGGAGCAACTTAGCTTCAAGCATGGATGAGTTTGGTTCCGGTACATTATTTGAAGGAACATTGAATCGATTAAAAATACTTCAAGAAGACATGATGTCAGCGTTAGTTCGACATGTTTTGTCTGGTTTTATCAGCAGAAGTCATTCGTATCAGAAGGAAAGGTCAGTTGTAGAAGTGTTTTGCTTCATTACTATTTACAAGAGATGTTTACGGTATTTGCACTGGCTTATGCAAACTGAGGGTACTTTCGGAGAACTCGAGTCCTTGGATAAACTGGTGTAAACACGAAAAATATCTTTTATTTCTTTTATAAAATAACAATAATGCGACACAGATAAATTTAAAACAAACAACTTAATTGATTTGTGATCTATGTTGATAAGGCAAACTATGTGAAACGAGTCTATGCTCGTCATGAAGTATTAAATACTGAAGTATTGAATGCAACACGCATGAGCAGATTGATATGTTTTACTCAGTATTAAGTACTGAAGTATTGAATGCAATACGCATGAGCAGATTGATATGTTTTACTCAGTATTAAGTACTGAAGTATTGAATGCAATACGCATGAGCAGATTGATATATTTTACTCAGTATTAAGTACTGAAGTATTGAATGCAATACGCATGAGTAGATTGATATTTTTTACTCAGTATTAAATACTGAAGTATTGAATGCAACACGCATGAGCAGATTGATATGTTTTACTCAGTATTAAATACTGAAGTATTGAATGCAATACGCATGAGCAGATTGATATGTTACTCAGTATTAAGTACTGAAGTATTGAATGCAATACGCATGAGCAGATTGATATGTTTTACTCAGTATTAAGTACTGAAGTATTGAATGCAATACGCATGAGCAGATTGATATTTTTTACTCAGTATTAAGTACTGAAGTATTGAATGCAATACGCATGAGCAGATTGATTTTTTTACTCAGTTTTAAGTACTGAAGTATTAAATGCAACACGCATGAGCAGATTGATATGTTTTACTCAGTATTAAGTACTGAAGTATTGAATGCAACACGCATGAGCAGATTGATATGTTTTACTCAGTATTAAGTACTGAAGTATTGAATGCAATACGCATGAGCAGATTGATATGTTTTACTCAGTATTAAATACTGAAGTATTGAATGCAATACGCATGAGCAGATTGATTTTTACTCAGTATTAAGTACTGAAGTATTGAATGCAATACGCATGAGCAGATTGATATGTTTTACTCAGTATTAAGTACTGAAGTATTGAATGCAATACGCATGAGCAGATTGATATGTTTTACTCAGTATTAAGTACTGAAGTATTGAATGCAATACGCATGAGCAGACGTATTTGAAGGAGGGCACATATAAGTATATTGTACGGATTGAAAATTGCATGAGCATTGCGACACAACTAGTAAGCAGATTGTTGCGTAATGAGGAAAGAATGGAGTACTTGGATAAACTGGTGTATATCTTTTATTTCTTTTATAAAATAACAATAATGCGACACAGATAAATTTACTTAATTGATTTGTGATCTGCAAACGATGTTGAAGGCAAACACGATCGATGCTCGTCATGAAGTATTAAATACTGAAGTATTGAATGCAACACGCATGAGCAGATTGATATGTTTTACTCAGTATTAAGTACTGAAGTATTGAATGCAACACGCATGAGCAGATTAATATGTTTTATTTAGTATTAAGTAGTGAAGTATTGAATGCAACACGCATGAGCAGATTGATATGTTTTACTCAGTATTAAATACTGAAGTATTGAATGCAATACGCATGAGCAGATTGATATGTTACTCAGTATTAAGTACTGAAGTATTGAATGCAACACGCATGAGCAGATTGATATGTTTTACTCAGTATTAAATACTGAAGTATTGAATGCAATACGCATGAGCAGATTGATATGTTACTCAGTATTAAGTACTGAAGTATTGAATGCAATACGCATGAGCAGATTGATATGTTTTACTCAGTATTAAATACTGAAGTATTGAATGCAATACGCATGAGCAGATTGATATGTTACTCAGTATTAAGTACTGAAGTATTGAATGCAATACGCATGAGCAGATTGATATGTTTTACTCAGTATTAAGTACTGAAGTATTGAATGCAATACGCATGAGCAGATTGATATTTTTACTCAGTATTAAGTACTGAAGTATTGAATGCAATACGCATGAGCAGATTGATATTTTTACTCAGTATTAAGTACTGAAGTATTGAATGCAATACGCATGAGCAGATTGATATTTTTTACTCAGTATTAAATACTGAAGTATTGAATGCAATACGCATGAGCAGATTGATATGTTTTACTCAGTATTAAATACTGAAGTATTGAATGCAATACGCATGAGCAGATTGATATGTTACTCAGTATTAAGTACTGAAGTATTGAATGCAATACGCATGAGCAGATTGATATGTTTTACTCAGTATTTAGTACTGAAGTATTGAATGCAATACGCATGAGCAGATTGATATATTTTACTCAGTATTAAGTACTGAAGTATTGAATGCAATACGCATGAGCAGATTGATATTTTTTACTCAGTATTAAATACTGAAGTATTGAATGCAATACGCATGAACAGATTGATATTTTTTATTTAGTATTAAGTACTGAAGTATTGAATGCAATACGCATGAGCAGATTGATATGTTACTCAGTATTAAGTACTGAAGTATTGAATGCAATACGCATGAGCAGATTGATATGTTTTACTCAGTATTAAGTACTGAAGTATTGAATGCAATACGCATGAGCAGATTGATATGTTTTACTCAGTATTAAGTACTGAAGTATTGAATGCAACACGCATGAGCATATTGATATGTTTTACTCAGTATTAAGTACTGAAGTATTGAATGCAATACGCATGAGCAGATTGATGTATTTTACTCAGTATTAAGTACTGAAGTATTGAATGCAATACGCATGAGCAGATTGATATTTTTACTCAGTATTAAGTACTGAAGTATTGAATGCAATACGCATGAGCAGATTGATATGTTTTACTCAGTATTAAGTACTGAAGTATTGAATGCAATACGCATGAGCAGATTGATATATTTTACTCAGTATTAAGTACTGAAGTATACACTAGATTACGTCCGAGAATGGAGCACCACAAAGAAGAGTTGTTTGTGCTATCGATTTGTTAATTTGAGCCTTTTTCTTTGTCTACTAGTTGGCATAATTTACCGTCGCAGAAAGAACTTGCTATTAATAGTCTTTCCTCCTCACTCTGTGATATGATCGTTTATCTTCGACACATGCTGAGTAAAATGAAGGAGGAATTAGTCGATTGTCTTTTCGCTGTCTTTTGGAAAAAACTTGCACAAGATTTGTCCGATTTTTTCTTCAACGAGGTGCGTTTTCTTCCGTGGAATGATTGCAAAATAACGTCGTTTGATCAATAATATCATTTGTCAATTAAACGATGACTCGACCTATCAATCAATCAATCAATCAATTAATAAATCAATAAATAAATCAATCAGTAAATCAATCAATCAATAAATCAATCAATGTTTGTAGGTGATTTTAAAAAACCATTTTAACGAAGGAGGAGCCGCTCAACTAAAATTCGACGTGCATAAAAACCTGTTTGTCCTGTTTGGTCAGTTTACTGCAAAGCCGCGGAACTATTTTCGAAAGTGAGTATGTTTGATAGAAGATAAGACATTTTAAAAAAAAGAATTTTAAGTAATTTTTTTGAATTATTGAATTATACCTTCATTCATATTATGTTCGTATGTTTAGATTTTAGCTAGGTACGACTTCAGTTTATGGGAACTTCTTTCTTTTGTTGCAGGTTAAAGGACGCGATTGTCTTATTGAATCTGATGCCAGGCTCGGCTGTTCTGTTAAAACATACTGTGGACGAAAGTAGACGCGAGCAAATGGAGAATAAGTTGCGTGAGGCCTTGGACGAGATAGGTGTTTATACGTTGTCATTAGATGAAGTACTGAATGTCCTTAGTTCAAGAATAAACTGGAGCAAATAAGTGCACAAATGTGCAAATTTGGATCTTTTATCGTACGCTTAGGTAGAGAGAATTGGAAGTTTGTGTGATTGGTCAATGTTTGAGAACACAACACGCTAGTCGACCAATTACAGTGAAGCATACGTCCGGTTCAGGTGAGGTGAATGGCGAGATGAATCCATCCAATGAAATTAGTTTGCGATAAAATTTGCTGAAGAACTTTGAAGTTAACAAAATTTATTTTGGTGTTCGAAGTGAAAACTACTCGAAGAACAATTTTAACTATTTGACGAGGTCTTCAATGCATTTACTGACAACTGGACATTCCTGAAGACTTTTCAAAGCAGATTGTACATTAAAACCTTTTGCAATCAGTATAGCCAACGGAATGACATTTGTCAGTCCAGTTGCTCTAGTCACGTGATCAGAAACTTTCCTTGATATTGGTTGTTCTAGCGGAAGTACGTCATCTCTGTAGATGGACTTCAATAAACATTTTTCAGCTTCATCTCTGCTCATGTTGAAAAACTGTTGGAGAATTCTGATGCCTCTATCAAAGAGCTTTCTGTTTGTGAGTTTCAAGTCGATCATGCAGTTCCTATAAACCTTTCCCTTACAAATATGCGCTCCAGTTGAGACCGCGTTCAGTATCCACTTCATAGCTAGCTCCGTATGACACTCGCGAAGCAATCGTGACAAATCGTTACCCACTTCATGATCATTAATTGTTGGAAAATCAATAATAATTGTTAGCAAATTGCCCAAGGTTTCTCGTATGCGTTTAAGGAAACTAGCGTGGTTCTTTGTAGTGATAATGGTAATGTTAGCTTGACGCGATTTTACTAACTTTAAGGCTTGTATTACTTCTGGTAATTCGTCAGATTTTACCCTTTGTAGTATAAATATCACCATATCACTACTGCGCAGTTTAGAACACTCATTCTTCATAAAGTGGTCTATACTCAGTTCAAATCCCATGCCTTTAGTTGATAAGTCTCCTTCAAAATTTCCAAGATATTCATAACCACCTTTTAGAAAACACCTTACATCTTTAGGATTAGCGCCAAAAGTTGCTACACACTCGGCTGCATCTATCATTCCCACAATTCCCGCTGCACCCCAGCACACATATGAAATGCTACCATTATGCAGAAGAGAACTTCCTGCCATACTTAATAACATGGAAATTTGGTCATGGTTTTCATGAACAGCATTCAGCATTTCCTCAAATGTTTTCAAAATAGCCGCATAACCAAAGAGTTTATGTCTGCCACAAAATAATTGATACGCTACAAGAAACATAGCTTCCATTATTATCATTGTTGCCGTCCTTTCATTCTTGAGGAGCCGGTGATGGGCTCCGGACCAACTATAGGATTAAGAAGATTTCCCTTCCCTGGAAAAATAAAAAAGAATTTGCTTATGGAAAACACAGCAATGCATTCGACATCCTACAAACCTTCCATTTCTATGACTATGTCTTGCATTACTTTTTCAGTCCCACTAATGGGACATATTCGTGCTTGAGTGGATGGGTTGAAGCCCAAAAGATAAGGAGTAAATTTATTCAGGTTTTGCAGGCAATATTCCACCTGGGCTCCAACAAAAGGAGCTGACAAACCACATGTTATACCAATAAAGAGCACCCTGTCAAATTCTTCGGTCGCCCTCATCAAAGCATTCTTCCCAGCATTCCAATTGTCCTCAATCGACTCAAAAGATGTAACAAGAGCATGGTCGCCACCAGATATAAGGTATTTGTAGCACTGTTTCAGGTTGTGCTCTTTTAAAAACTTGTTGAATGTACGCGTGAGCAAAAACGCAAGTCTGCCTGAGCTACCACATCCGCTGATGACAACGCACGAGTTTTCCGCGCCTTCGACATTTACATATTCTGCGCAAATGTGGCATATTTCGTGGACTTTTGACACGAATGTTGTAGAGAGTATGCTTTCATTTCGGTAATTTCCCCAACCATTAAAAATTTCAAGATCACATTTCTTCAAAAGTCTAACAATCTCATCGACGCTTGCTTTGTCAATATCTTCGGTTAACTCATTACTTCTTTCAGTAATGGGAATTTCGTTGTTCATGTTCGGCTGGGGAAGCAGATAATGCTGCCTCGATAATGCGTGATGATGACATTGGATAATGACGATAGCCCGCGCGTTGATACTCACGGGTGTTCTTTTGAATGCGGGCTACTCGTCAACAGTCTTCTTGGACTTCAACCTCAGCTCGGTTAACCGGCCATATTGGAATTAAAGTTATAAAGATTTTCCAGCAAAAACTTGTGTGAAAAGTGAAAATGAGCTCGAGACAGGTTGGAAAACACGTTGTGGATTGGGTAAAGATTGCAACTAAAATCCCTCAAGCAGCTAGAGGCGAGTTTTCTGGCTTTCGCTCTCGACATGAAGCTATTAAATCAAGGTATTATGATTTAACAATTGTATTATATTATACAATTGTTTGTACATAGTACAACATATGCAACGGAAAATTTACTGTCTAAATACATTTATTTAAATGAAAAATGCGTTTTTATTTTGTGCATTACTATTGAATTTTTTGATTTCTTGCAATCTTTTTGTGATATGTAAAATTGTAAATTGTAGATGTGTTATTTTGTAGCAACTAATTTGTGCTTGCTAAGTGTTCAAAGTTGATTTAAAAGCCATGTGAATGGTTCAATAAGAAAGAAACACCTGAAAAAAGCATTTCAATCTTTGCTCTTCAACCTTTTTGATATCTTACGAGGAAAATACTCTCTCATTCCTGACGTCCAATTTTGTAAAATTTTATGCAAAGGTAAATTGAATGCCTGATGCCAACTAATGAATTTGATATGATTATACTTAGACTTGAAACATTTACTGAAAAGCCTGAACCAATTGACTGGGAATTTTACAAGCAACATGTCGCTAAACCTGGCTTTGTCGAAGCTTTTGAAAAGGCAGTAAGTTATATGAGTTCTTTATTAGTTTCTTTGATCAGGATTATTTTTATTGATGTGAAGAGCTTCTTTGATTTGGAGAAAGAGAAAGTTTATTGATGGCATTTTGTTAATGTCAAAACATGTTTGCTCTTAAAAAAATCATCGTTTTTCATTAAATGTTTTTGAAATATTTCTGTACTGTGTTTTATTCACTTATCACTCGGTATTTTCTTTAGTTTTCTGCTGTTAAAGTACCATATCCTCAAGACACAAAGTCTGCAGCCATCAAAAAAGATGAGATTGGATATGTGAGTATCATTTTAGTGTTATTTGTCTTATTAATGGCCATTGTTTGAGTGAACATGAAATGTTGAACAATTTAGTACAATACAGAACAATGTGGAACAATGTAGAACAATACAGAACAATGTAGAACAATACAGAACAATGTTGAACAGTTTAGAACAATACAGAACAATGTTGAACAATTTAGAACAATTTAGAACAAAACAGAACAATGTAGAACAATGTTGAACAATTTAGTACAATACAGAATAATGTGGAACAATGTAGAAAAATACAGAACAATGTAGAACAATACAGAACAATGTTGAACAATATAGTACAATACAGAACAATGTGGAACACTGTAGAACAATACAGAACAATGTTGAACAGTTTAGAACAATACAGAACAATGTTGAACAATTTAGAACAATTTAGAACAAAACAGAACAATGTAGAACAATGTTGAACAATTTAGTACAATACAGAATAATGTGGAACAATGTAGAAAAATACAGAACAATGTAGAACAATACAGAACAATGTTGAACAATATAGTACAATACAGAACAATGTGGAACAATGTAGAACAATACAGAACAATGGAACAATGAACAAATAGAACAAAGAACAATAAGAACAATGGAACAAGAACAATGAACAATAAACAATAGAACAATGGAACAATATATACAGAACAATATAGAACAATGAACAATGTAGAACAATACAGAACAATGTAGAACAATACAGAACAATGTAGAACAATACAGAACAATGTTGAACAGTTTAGAACAATACAGAACAATGTTGAACAGTTTAGAACAATACAGAACAATGCTGAACAATTTAGAACAGTACAGAACAATGTAGAACAATACAGAACAATGTAGAACAGTTTAGAACAATGTTGAACAATTTAGAACAAAACAGAACAATGTAGAACTATTACATAACAATGTAGAGCAATACACATAGAACAATTTAGAAGAACATTAAACATCATTGAGCAATGTAAAACAATGTACGTCCAACAAATCAATGTAAAACAAGATCTACCTACACAAAAACAATTTCAAACATGCATAAATTATAATTTTGCGTACTTGAAATTAGCACTACTTGTTATGAAATGGCCCACTTTATTTAACCTACTGAGAAACATATTTAGTGCTCTATAAATTTATCCTTACACGCTCAATCCTCCCAAAAAGACATGGGTCTTGTTTATCTCTGATAATCCTTACACGCTCAATCCTCCCAAAAAGACATGGGTCTTGTTTATCTCTGATAAGAATTCATGCTTTTGTATGAGGAAAACAGGAAATAACTATGAAAGTCTAAATTATTTTATTGCATGACTCCATGTGAAGCTCCATTTGCTGTTTGTACATATTAATTTTTTATTTTGGTTTTGGTTTTGTAGGAGAATTCCTGTATTGAAGTGATGAAAGAAACAAATAAGAATATTGCAAATCTGAAAGAAGAGGTTTGTTGATGTATGTCATATTAGGGGAAGCTTTTCTTCTTTGATTCTCCCAGAGGAAGACTTACCTAGCTTTAATTAAACAACACTTATATTATTGAATTATTATGACGAAGTGAAATTTTTAATGATTTTGAGTGTTCAACTTTAAAAATCTTCATTCTATGTTTCCATTTTTCAAGTTGCTGTTCAGATTGTGATGTATGGATTTTCTGTTTTTAGCTCGCTCAGTTGAAAGCTTTAAAACCATTTGAAGAAATGACGGTAAGCAAAAATCAGCATTAAAGGGAAAATGCACTCTGCCACAATATCTTTAATACTGCTGTTAAATAATTGCATCTAAAAACAGCTAAAATGCAATTATTTTGTCGATATTAAAAGGTTTTAAGTTACATGAGTTGTAAGTCAAAGAACTGGTCCTGAGCTTTACTAAACTTGTTGCTTTACAAATCTCTGGGGTGCCTTAGCCCTTCTGTGCCTGCTGTCTTGCTTTAAATTGTATTCATCTTTTTCCTTGCTAAAATTGCATCCCATTTTTCACAAGAAGACAACACCATCTTGTTTGTTCTTAAAGTTCTCTCTGTTCCTTCGCACTCTTTACCTTACATATGGATGTAACAAGTCCAAATAAGATAGTGGTTTTCTGCTCAGAAGCATTTCCATTGGCAAATTTTTTGGGTTAAGTGTGACATGATACTGTATTTAAACAGAAACCACAAAAATCAAGTGTTTATTACATTATTACTTCTTAGTTAAATTTTATAAGTAAAGAGGGGGGGGGGTCCGCATGAGCAGGGTTACCTGTGCTATATGAACAAGTTGGAGGAACTCACAAGGATTGAAATTATCTTAAGATGTTGAACAAACAACTTTCTTTGTTAGTTTTGTTTTTCTTCATTTAAAAATCTTTGTTTTACGCATTTCTAGTCAGACGAGTATCTTGCTGATAAACCTGACCTCAAGAAGCAACTGGATGAAGACTTCAAGAACTTCATTTACAAATAAATCATGGTTTGTGACTTGTCAAGTAGGTTGATGTATAGCTTAATGTTTGGAAATTCCTTGGTACGCGATGGTTAACAGCTCGCAGGCGTTCTCTTGAAATATTCACATGTTTCATGAATTTATTTACATATTTTATAAGTACACATAAAAAGTTTCAAACCCTTTTGACTGCGTTCATTATTTGGTAAAAGCAGTATTCGCATATTTTGTCGGAAAAAATCCGCCATTTGTTGCCAACCTCAAATTTTGGCAACTTCAAGGGCTGCTACTATTACATTGAAAATTTGATTTACCATTTGTATCGCATGGTGAAACCTTTAATTTAATTATATTGAGTAATATTTACTAAGGCTGCCGGGATAGTTTTGTTGATTTTCTTTTATTCTGATCAGTGTACAGAGGGAAAACTGTTGCGTAGTGGTGAATCAATGAATTTTATTCAAGCCGTGCTTTCAGGCCAAAAAACATTGTATATCGCAAAATATTTTTGTGGGCAGTACAGCTTTAGTAAATATGTGAAATTATCTTTGAGTCAGTAGTTCTTGGATCTACAAAATGTAAGAAAGCAGGCGTCATTAACATCGCCGTAGTTACAGAAAGATAAATCTTTACATCACAAACATCTACCTGGGCTTTGTACATTGACTTGATATCTTGTAAGTCCAACTTCAGTTCTTCTGTTTCCTCCTGTTTCTCGCCGTACATTTGCAGCAATGCATTGTATTTACCTTGCAGTTCCTACAAAGTTTTGGCTAAAATATTATCTGTGCTTCTTTATAATTACAGCAGATGAGTTCTTAAGTACGATTCTGGATGATTACGATCTTCAATACCTGAAAGGTTTTGCTAAGATTACGGAGCTGTTTATTTTCCTTAGCAAGGTTTTCGTTTCTGTTCATAAGTGCTGTCAGCTCTTTGGTGAGCGATTCTCGACCTGTTTCCAATGTTTCGATAGATGACTGAAATATGAAAGATTTTGGGTTGTGTTAGCAAGGCGAAATGCTCTGCTCAAATATCTATGTATAATCCTACCTGCATCGACATCAGTTCACCTTCCTTATGACGTATCGTGGCTCTTAGTTCTTCTAATACCGCTGTACTACCGGATGGCAGGCTCCTGGTCATGGTATCCGAGAAAGATACAACAGACGAAGAACTTGAATTTCGTCGTTTATGTTGACTTGATGTTGACATCCTTTCGTCATCCTTTATCAAAACGAATGAAAATATTTTTTCTCCACTATCCTCAATTATCCTTTATTATCCTCGCGATGCTATCAACGTTTACCTCGTTATCTCCCGAGGATTTCCTCTCGCCTTTCCAAGATTCTTCTTTCTGCGGTGAGAAATTACATGTCAAAGTTTTGTCGTCGCCATGATAAATCTCACAATCCAAAGTTATCATGTATTTTCCATACCATTTGTTCTTCAAGTTTACTTATTCTTTTTCGCTCAGTTTCCAATTTTGTCTTCTCGACCGCGAGCTGTTGTTCCAGCAAACTCTACATGTGCATAAGATCACCATACACAAACATCAAACTTGTATTGAAGTCAACGATATAAAGTCACTCTTTACCTTCTCTATTGTTAATGTATCCATTTCCTTCTTATGTTTCATTTTGAAAGCTTCCAGTTTCCCAGATTCCCTGCAAGGAAACATAAGTAATCCTAAACACTCCACTTGTACATAACACAAACTCCAACTAACACACTTGCTCTTAAAGTCTTCCAGCTCTTCCAACTTCGTCCTTTCCACTTCCAGCTCTGCCTCGATGCGAGATTTCTCTTGTCGATAGTTCGACACTTGAGACTCAAGTGCGGCAAGTTTAGACGACAGTTCAAGCGATCTCTCGGTAGCCGCTCGCTCTTTCTCCTGCGCTGTTGCTAGTTGAGTTTGTGCGTCGGCTATAAGACGGCAAACGTTAGGAGTTATTGCAATTTGCTTATTGTTGTGTTTCTCAAGCAATGGCTGGGGTAACTTGAAATGGTAGACCGGTGGGAACCTTACTTAATCTTTCTGTTAGATTCCTTTCTAATTTTTCCCAAGACATTTGTTGACTTCCATGAGAGTGTTGAAGGTTTTCAATCTGACGAAGAAGTGGTCTGGTGGCTGTATAAAGACATAGACAAGTTGAAATATGAATCGCTTGTTGCTAAAAAACACGCAGCTCTCCTCACCTACTGAAACATTTTGCGACAATTCTTGATTTCGGCCTTCTTCTTCTTGAAGTCGCTAACGAAAGAAAGTTAAGATCAGTGGTCTGGAAGTCGTATACATTCGCGACTTGTGGGAAAACAGTTCGTGCTTTCCAAGTTTTACGAAAGTTTAATGTAATTGAAGAGCAGGAGTCTGTTATGTTAGGAACATCACGATGATGTTGTGTGGTGCTCAAAGAACTTTTCAGAAGTCGGGCATTGAATGGACTTTTGATGTAAGAGTCACCTCTCATCAACTGAAAGGAAAAGTTGCCGTGGAAAGATTTTGCTTCACATTTTCTCGACAAAGCATTTTTTGTGGAAATGTTGATGCCCCCCCCCCGTCTTCTTTACCCAAATTAATGCTCCAAGACTCTTACTCTTGGATAACACATGGATGATGTTTCAAGGTTAGAGAGAGAATAAGAAAGGAATATAGAAAACATGTCGAATATTTTAGAGACCAGGCTAAGATGGTTTTGAACGAACATGTTCAATGAGTATATAAATATAAAGATGCTGAATTCAGATCTGCAAAGATCAAAGAGATAATTCATGGATGTATTGTAACAAGACATGCGGTCAGGGGCAAAGTATAAAGCTGATTGAGTTGGGGGGGGGGGGTGAATATTCATACATACAGCTCTGCCCGATATATTTGTTTTGAAATTGCAATCGGTTTCAAAACAAATTAGTCTGGCAGAGCTGACTACATGAATATTCACCCCCTTCCAGCCCAATTAGCGTTCTAGTTTCCTCCCTGCATGCAGTTTGATGATTTGAAACAAAGGGACACAAGACATAGAAAGAAATGGAGACAGTTGGAGATTTGCGGTGGGGATTCTTGATTAGAAAATCGTGGATATTCCATTACGTTTTACCATTTGTATATCGAGTATTTCTTGCTTTAACTTGTCTTCTCGTCTTGCTGCTTGCTGTTCGCTTCGACTTAATTGACCCTGAAGATCGCTCACCTCAAAGGAAAACATAAATTTCTTTGAAACTTGATGAAACTTCAGCTGCTCGATATCGCAGCATTTCCGGGGCGAGATTGAAGATCTTTTGAACGGAAACGGAAGTAAAATGGGCATGTCACGTGGCTCACCTCCATTGCTAGCATATCACATTCTTTTTGTGATTCTTTTTTTAACTTTTCTAAAGCAATCCTCAATTCTTCCTTGGCTGTCATTTCAACACTTAACGTGGCTTCCTGAGGAGGGAAAAATTCAGCTTTTGGTTTTATACTTGAGGAGCATAAACTGAAGCGTCTTCGACGTACAGTACACCCACCTGAACTTCGGTTGATTTTGCCGCATTCAATTTATGAAGCTCGGTGATTTCCCTGTGCGATGATATAAATGAATTATTTTTGTCTATGACATTTATGAATCTGTAAGAAAAGTTGAAGATCTTACTTGTAAGCATTATCCAAGGCTGTTTTCAAACTTGGCAACTTCGAAGAAGATTCCTCCAATTCCGTCTAAAAAGATAACAGGTTATCAAGACTGTGTTACATCCACTACATGGCGTGTTGTTTTTTGGAGGAAAACCTTTTGTGCGGCTATAATTTCCTCCTGCTTTTGCGTGTACGCATTCAGCTTTTTGATCGCTTCTAAAAACAAGAAGATGTTATATTAACACTAACACAATCCACAAATTTTATTTTGAATTTCTTTGGGCCATTGTGGTTTTAAATTGATGTATTTTTGGGATCAAGCAATTTAACCTTCTCTCTCTTTCTCATGATGATCGCGATCTTTTAGTATTCCAGTGAGTCTCTCGAGCTCTGCTTCGGCAGAATCAAGTCTTGAGCTATTGAAATGAATCATGTTGTCAGGTGTAGTTCTGGCTTCATGATTATACACAGCAATACCGCAAATGCCATAACGCAAGTTCACAAAATACTGCCGTAGATTTTCATTGGAAGAACTCTAGTTCACAATATACTACCGTAGATTTTAATTGGAAGAAGTCTAGTTCACAAAATATTACCGTAGATTTTCATTGGAGGAATTCAAGTTCACAAATTACTACCGTAGATTTTCATCGAAGGAATTCAAATTGACGGTACTCTTACGTGGACTTTCATTGGAGGAATTCAAGTTGACAAAACACTACTATAAATCTTCAATGGAGGAATTACAGTTGACTATACACTACCGTAGATTTTCATTGGAGGAATTCAATTCCTTCTCTTTTTCTCTTAGTTTCTTGATGTTGTTATTTCTTTGTAAGATTTGCTTTGACAACTTTTCTCCTGCAGTACAGAAAGTTACTAGAGAAACGTGCCGAGAGCGCATCGTCTACTGCATAAAATGGTGTAGACGCATATATATGGTCATATCACGCCAATTTTATGCCAATTTAACGACATTTTTGACGGTTGGTTCATTTGCCCGAATTTCTCTAGTTGCTTCAAAGAGCCACGTCTAACGAGCTCAAGGTTCACTTGTTTAAAACTGTGTCGGCGTTATCCATTAGATAGGGACTTTTTAAGCGTTATAAAAAGGTCATAAAAGGAACTAGCATTTTATTTTATCAATTGTCCAGTTAAAGCAAATGGTTTGAACGCGGGATTATCGTTACATGTTTGTAAATTGTGTCAGCCAACATGAACACCAACAGTCCCACTAAGGATTCCACTAAAATTAACGATCCACATCTACAAACATGTAACGATGTTCAAACTCTTAGGAAAAGTTGCTATCCAATAGATAACGCCATTGGAGCATAATTGAACCTACCTCTGATCAATACAGACAATAATTGATTTGATTTTTTGTACCTTCCTCCATCAACTGAGCAATCTGTTGATCTTTTTCCTTAGACAATGCCTGGAAATCTTTCATTTGTCTCTCGGTGCTGACAAAAAATATTTTGAAAACAGTTTTGTGAAAAACGATGCTTTATATTTACGTAATAGCTTTGTAGTGAGTGAAATTAGCCATTTGCAGGTATGTTTGTGTAAGTTTAATCACAGTATAGATATCTTAACAGAAGGTCCACTCGTGTCGGAACCTTTGATGTTCGTGTCCCCTACTTTTCTGAAGCAAATTCTGAAGCAGACACACCGTCCAGCAAGATACTTTCGCTAGATCGCAATAGAAAATATACATGTTTTTACAAATATATCGTTTTGCACTACAAAAGCTTGGAACCTTATCTTCTTCGCAAGATGATAACTCTTTGTAAAAATTTCGGCAAGCGTTTGCTTTAAACGTGAATGATTAGTAAAATAGCATTCTCGTGCAATACTATTCCATATTGATTTTGCGAAAGTATCTTGATGGGAAGTCACGCATGCGTAGTGAAAAAACATGCCACGATTTTAGCCGAATGGACCTTCTGTTAAGGCTGATTTCCATTCAGTGCAAATTGTAGCGCGATCGACTTTTTGCGATCACTTTCTTTTTAATTGTGTGCAGCATTGTGAAACTGAGAGCTTACAATTGAAAAGAAATTGATCGGGAAAAGTCGATCGCGTGACAATTTGCACTGAATGGAAATCTGCATTTAGATGTCTATTCTGTGCTTTAATATTTCCAGGGTAAGGGCGTTGGAAATACATTTATTTCTACATTTGCTATCAAACCGATAACTTGATTTTGCATTCCACATTCGTTTATATTGTCAGGGTTCGTGCAGAAGTCGGGTGAATAAATTTCAGGACGTTTTGAGGACTTTCTCAGGACAACAATCAAAAGTAAAGGACAATCCAAAGTTTAAAATTATGGCAAAGTCTTTTTGAAAATTTCCGTGTGAGTCGTATTTTAGAGGCCGTTCTTATATCAAAACAATCCTTGTCATTTCTGTTTCTATTTTTTGCCTTCAAAATTATAAAGTCGCGTGGAAATAGTTTTACAAGTCAAGCATCTCGTAGCATAGCTATATCCTTTTCAGTTTTTTTGTCTGAACATTTTGGACATTTAAATTTTCAATGATTATTAAGCAATTTTCAAGCATTTTCTTTGGTTTTGTATTTTCGAAGACTTTTCAAGTGGCCTTGAAATGATTTTTCGATTTTAAGCACTTTTCGAGGAATTTAAGCGCCGATGCACGAACCCTGCTTTTCTTTCAAAATCTTACTCCGTATTCAAACATTGCTCCGTCTCTTCCAACTTTTTCTTCAACGCATCTCGTTCCTGTTATTGAATAAGTATCTTCAATTATCGAAACTTACGACAAAGGATGGCTATTTCATTTAAATTATTAATTTCACAGTACAATCACTCATAATCCTTTTTAACGCAAATTAGGAAAGCTCAACCTTCGCATAAGCGTGCATTTTTGACTCCGAATCTCCAATTCGTTTTGTGAACTCAATTTTCATCTCTTCTAACTCCGCATCTTCGCTACGATGTATTTCTTCCAACTGATTTATTTGACTAAAATGTATCAAAGCTGTTACGGGTATTTAGGTCTACAATCAGAGCCATCCTTGAAATTTCTAAGTTCGTAGGTGGGGGGGGGGAGTAAGTTCTTACAACAAACCGAAATACTATTAAAATGTGACGTTCCGCTAATGTTTTGAATGAGTAGAGCCCCCGAGGTTTATGTGGGCCAGGAGGGGGGGGACAAAATTTTGTCCAAGAGCCCTTGTGACGTCATGATTCGTATCTTGAAATTCGAAATAACTTTTCTCAAATCAGGGGGCCCTTCATAGGTTTGGGACCCGGATGTGTAAAAAAGCATAAATTAAGCAAGCATTACCTTCGTAAAATGGCATTGGTTTCTTGAAGATTTAAGTTCTGCTTGCTGAGCTCGAGTAGTTTCGACTCTCTTACATGGATGACTTGAAGGAGTCTTTTATTCTCCTAAAATAAAATACTGACTGTGAAAATATTATTTTTCATGTGGAAACGTCTATGGTTGCGTCATTAGCAAACAAGCATTTTCAATGCGGTTGTGTCTACACTTACCTGATTTAAATCTAATTCATTTGCAAACAAGCATTTTCAATGTGGTTGTGTCTACACTTACCTGATTTAAATCTAATTCATTTGCAAACAAGCATTTTCAATGCGGTTGTGTCTACACTTACCTGATTTAAATCTAATTCATCATTACTGACAGTTGTTGTTAAAACATCGTTTTCCAAAATTGCTTTATTGCTTTCTTCAGAATCCCCAAACTGTTCCTTTCCATCGTTATCGATGTGAACAGTGCATTGCTGTTGTTTGTCTTCAATTGCTTCATCTATGCCCTGAATTAAGGTTTCTTGGTTGTCATAGTTACTGATAGTGAGGGATACATTCTTCGTTTGACCGCATTTGTCATCATCTACTAGACATTGTGATCCTACTATTCTTTCAAGTGTTGATACATCATCTGGCAAAGCTGAAAATGATGATTCAGAACTCTGAACATTGCTAACAACAGTTTCTTCCTGTTTCCTATCAGGCAATTGCTCATTATTAGTTCGAAGCAACTTATTCTCTGCTGTGTTTATTTTGTTCTCATTTTCTGCCAGCATCCCTTCTATTGATTCTTCATGTTCATAATCAGTAATCTGTTGAGTTTCTGTATTTTTTCCCTTTTCATTGTTAATACCTGAGCTATTATCATTTGCCTCAAGCTCTTGAAATCCCACCTCTTCTTGTCCCTTACTTTCAATAACGTTCTTTCTAACATTTCCTGTTTTTCGATCAATCTCTACAACATTTGTAGGTATAACAACATCTTGGAGCACATCTCTATTTTGTTTTGCCTCATTGTTAGGAATGTCAATATCGTCAATGCTATTCATTTGTAAGTCACTTTTGACATTCAATTGGCTATCTTCTTTATTCATTTCATATTTATCAACAGTTCTGATGATTTTGTCATCTGTTGAACTTCCGTCAACTTGACATGATTCCTCTGCTTTCTTTTTATTCACCTTTCTTTTACTGTTGCGTTTTGAGTTCAACTGCTTGCTTGATGACAATTTTGACTCCTTGAGAGGAGCATTTGTTGACTTTCCTGAAGTTTTATTTATCTTCGTTTCTTGTGATATGTCTTCCTTGTCTGCATTTGTGGAACTGTTGCCAGCAGTTTGAGCAAATGAACCCCAAAAGGAATCAGCAACAGTTTGCCAATTACCAGAAGATTTTTTATCATTTTTTCTCTTTTTTTGTGGTGATTTTGAGTTGGAATTGGCTGCAAGATATAAACTGATTTGAAGTACTGTGAAAAAAATGCCAAAAATATTTCTACAAATCCCTCTTATGCTTTCCAACATTGACTGCTATCAAAAGTTTTCATCTTTATACTAAGCTTCACATCTCTCTTCACGTCTATTTTTGATTTCATGTGATAAGATGCAATGAGATTGAAAAATATGAAACAGTTTTAAAATGAATGTGCATTTGACCATATCTAAAAATGTCCTAGATAACCGGAGTGTAAACAATCTACAAACTCATTCGATGGCAAAAAATCAAACATGAATTTCGGTATAGTATTTTATGGAATATAACAGCATTAGTGCTCCACAATCGTACTAAAGAATTACCAAAGAGACAAAAGTCATCAAGCTGAAGAGCTAAGCATTTTAAAGATGAAACATACTCTGACAATCGAACAAACAAAGATCGTCTTGTAAACCTCAAGATTTGAGTTACATGACAGTTCAATCCTGGCTTAGTTTATAAAATATTACTCTCTTTACGATGAACGGAGGCTTTTTTTTTACTTACAAACACTCGTCTCCTCTTTCACGGATTGTTTCTTTGCTGTAGAGTCATCATCTCCAGGTATGTCTAACACTTTATCAATGGATTTTTGTGCTTGACTCAGAAAACCAGAAAACGAAGATGAATCCAGCCAGTTCATTGTATTCTTATGCTATAAAGCTATTTCAGCATTACTTTTCCCTGAGCTTGAATTTTTACACGAAATAAATTTTGCCTTTCGATAAAAAATACCTTTCATACGTCTATTTTGAAGGAATTTAATTTGCCACATAGTAGCAATTCCCTTCGTAATTTGCCATCGCTCAAAATAACATAGTTGCAAAATCATAAAAATCCGACCAATTTTCTTAATGTTGATTTTGTTCGCGTCTTTTGTACTTTTTGTCAATTGAAAAGCAGTAAGAAGATTTTCTTGTCCTTATGTCTTAATTACCAAATGAGTAAGGTCATCCTTCGAATATAAGGGGCAGTCGGGAGAACCACCGCTTTGCCCAGGGGTGGAGACTGAAGAGGAAGGTAGTAGATGTACTTTTTAGTATCTTCCGAAGCGAAAGGATTGTAGAAGCCATTAAAGGAGACATTAACACATCAGTAGAGATGGAGAGGTGAGTGAAGAGAAAGATGAATAGAGAAGTTGGGATGAAGCGGTCTCGCTCCAAGTAAAAGTTCAACACAAGTGTCCTCAAATTGTGCATTGACGCATTCTGTTCACGATGATGACGAAGTCGTCATTGCTTCTCACGATTTTTGTAACTTAGATTGTGAAGTGTTGGCTCCAGGAGAGGAGTCATTTGACTCACCAAAATAATTTGGACATTAATCAGTATACGAACAAAACGAGATTTGATAATTGATTTAAGACTAATTTCGAAAAAATATTCCCGCTTTTTGTCATAAAATCATTGTGTTGGGTTCGTCTTTTGCGTGTCGGACAAGAGATTAAACCGCTGATTTCACCTTCGCATATATTAAGAAAAAACGATTAATGACTTTTAAAAGGGCTATTAGCAGTGCTATTAGGGCCACTTCGTAGTCATTTTAGACATTTAATTGCTTTTATGTGTGGAATAGTCGATCAATTTTATGGCTACACATGCCTCATACGTGTACAATATGCACTAATTAATTTTGTTATGTAAATTATTCTTTATGAATTTGATTCATTTAGGTAACAGAACAATGAATGAAAAACCGCTCAGTGTTTAAATTGCTATCTCTCGATTGCTGGCAGCGTGGCAGAACCGTCCCAAGTACGTTAAGGATGACTTCCGTTCAGTGCAAACTGTTGCGCGATTGACTTTTTCCGGTCACTTTTCTATTGTAAGCTCTCAGTTTCACAATGCTGCACACAATTCAAAAAGAAACAAATTTCACTGAATGGAAATCAGCCTTTAATTGAGGGGGGGGGGGATTGAGCAATTCACTTTTAACAGAAATCAACCGGGCACAACTCAATGTATGCCTGCCCCCCTCCCCTCCAGTCAACGTCACAGGGACGGCTCTGCTTGTTAATGCCACTTCAAATCATCACATTGTATTTATAGTTCAGTTATGCCAAGCGACTGCTTAATGCGGATGTAACTCACTTCCGAAGACGTTTTATGACGTCACAAGCATAGATTTTTGAATATTTAAGCGGTGTTTGCTGTCACGAAGAGCGAAAGACGTGTTCGCAATCATACATAATGAATGAAGATTTGCGATAAAATTATTCATAGTTTAATTGGTGTTATGCATATATTCATCTAGTAAACAGATTACAGAAAGTGCGTTTCCTGTTAATGCCCCATTGTCCAAGGTGTTTTTGTTGAAGTGCTGTTCGTTGTGATGGCCTCCATCTTACTCGCCGTAATTCTTGCGCTATCTTTGGTGTCATGCGTCCATTCAACAGCGCCAAAATACGATTATTGTGTAGTTGGTGCTGGTCCGGGAGGTAATAACAGACTAGTTTTTCGTACTTTGTAGTCATGGCTTTACAGTATTTACTATATCAGAAAGCTACGCTGTATTTAAGGTTTGCAAATCGCGTATTATCTGGAAAGAGCGAATCGCAATTACATCGTGTTTGAACGTGGGCCATCAGCAGGTAGAGCACATCTTATAAATTTGACACGCGTTTTAATTTTATATAAAGTTGAGATATTATATTCTTATGATGATTCATTTGATTGACTTTAATCGTTCTTTTATTTTAATACGCAGGTACGTTTTACAGGAAGTATCCGCGACATCGAAAGCTGATTTCTATCAATAAGAGATTCACAGGTATTAATATTCTCAACTCTAAACTTGAAATAGAGTAAATATACTGTGTACAGCTGGATTCGTCTCCACATGGGCTCATTGAAAACATTGTACGCAACACGAAATTTTGTCTTGTTTTGATAAATTCAATACTGACGTGGCAAGATAAAGACTTCCTACACATCATTTAGAAAGTCTTTCAAATCTTGAACAATTGAGAGTCTTCATTTTATGCAGTTTCAAAATTAAAACGGAGTTGCTCTCTCGTTATATAATATTTGGGCAGTTGATTTGTCGGATGAAGTTCGTTTTAGAATTCACGCTTTACTGAATCCGGCAGCCAATATCGACAAAAACAGTATATTTTAGTACATTTTATTTTTGGCGAAATAAAAGGCTTTGTCAAGTGGTTGTGTGTATCTATAAATTTTCTTTAAAGTCCTACGTTCATTACGTTACTTGAATACTTTCTATGTAATTTCTCTAAATAGCTCATAGCTGTGTTCAATAGCTCTTAGCTCATGGCTGGTGTTTTAATTAAAGTGTATCTTCTAATGAGCTTCTTTTCGACATAAAAATGATGCTGGTTTGTTATATGTTGCATCTATTTTTTTTAAGAGAAATGTCAGTTGAGTAACTGCATCTGCATTCCTGTAAGAAAGGATCAAAATGCCAAACAATGTTTTATTTTGATTTCAAAAATTACACAAATCTGTTCTGCCCCTTTGACCTTTTGGTTTCCTTTTCAGCTCTGCTTTGAAACTTTCATTGTGTCGATTTTCTTAGGGCAAACTAATAAAGAGTTTAATCTCAGACACGACTGGAACTCTCTCATTAGCGACGATGAAAGTCTACGAATGACGCTTTACTCGAAAGAATTCTTCCCCGAAGCAGATATTTTGGTTTGTTCCAATCTCAATTTTTGTACCGTAACGATTTCAACTGTAGGGAATAAGATAAATATCTGGTTAACTTCTTATATTTATCTTGGCTTCTCCATTAACAACACTTCTCATGCTCAAATGATTATTGATTGTCTGAGATGCAAATTGAGATGATCAAAATCTTATTTATGCTTTCTTACACAGATTTACTGCAACTCTTCAAGAAGTGTATGAGATAATTCAAATATTTTTCAAGTGTTCTGTCATTGCAATCATCCGCAGTAAAAAAGTTTCAATAATTTCAACTACTCATGCCGAGAAGTGTAATTTAGCTCAATGCTTCCGTCGTCTGCCACGTTGCCCAGTTGTATTTAATACCGTTTCAGAAATCTTGTTTTTTTTTTGTCTAAACGAGTTTATCTAAAAAAATGTTTAAGTAAGCAGCATTGCCAGAGGAGTATTTTTGTTTATTGTCAAGACCACCATGATTTCAACTTGAGATGAGATTTGAGTGCGAAGACACGTGCAAGCGATCAGTCTGCGTTTCCGATAGAGATAGATTTTGAACGTTCGTCTCTCTTGGGGCAATGTCCGATTGTTTTTTTAGTAGAGCCTTCATGCTTTAAAGCTTTGTTATTTGTGATTAATCTTGTCAGCTTATAATGAGCGATATTGATGACTTAAGAACGATTAAAGACCAATCATTTACACAAAACCGACTTAGCCGCTCACGAAATTGCAGTTTAGCGTTAAGGAGCCCTGTAAGAAAGATGTTTATACCATTCTGACAGAGTTGAAACTGCCTTTCATGTCATTGCAATTGTAGAAATCGACCCAGACCCTCGAGGCAGTGAAATTGAACGCCTTCCATAGCATTCCACTTAGAGTTTAAGTAGCCGATTTTGAGGGTAAAAATATTTCTTTGTGTTTAGTTAGCTGAGTGTTTTGACAAAACTCCTCTTTGCCTTAAGAGTTCTTGTTCTCAAAAGCATGCACGTAATTTTTTGTCGCGAGTCTAGTTAATTTTATTCATTGTCCAAAAAAAACGTACATTCTGGCATATGTTCAAAGTTGACATGAGATAACTAATGATTTTTTTCATTAACAATTTCTATTGATAATCAACGATTGCAATAGAAAGCGCCTTGCATTCCACAAATTGTCTTCTTGTTATCTTAAGTCTCGAATTTCAATGCCTTTGCTCTTGCGTTCACCATTGTAGAGGCGTAAGATGCGTTTCAAGATTGGGGTGTGAGGATTTAAATTTGCTCGGCAAAAGGTCTTGGTGTAGTTTTGCATGTTATAAATAAAAAATCACTTTTGATTTGCAGCAAAGTTCGTAAAGCAATTTCATAAAATACCGAGTGTCGATTTCTTGACACTGTCATCATGAATTGACAGAAAGGGAGGAAAATATTACACTAGTATAATGGTATATGGTACATGGTGTATGGTGGTATATAATATGTGGCTAGTTAACTGTGTTAATATATGGTACCTAGTATAATTAAGGTATATCATACTGATAGAAAAAATTGTAAAATACTTTCTTGCCCAAAGAGTTAAGTTTTGACCGACAAAGCCGCAACCTCCCTCTCTTCACCCTCCTCTCCATAATATACGCCTCTGTTTTACACGTGAACATTTTCAATTTAAAAATGAGCAATGACATTCACCCCCGCTAGCAGACGACATCGCGGGCAAATTAGTTTGTTTTTTATTAAAAACACCTACACATATTTATTTAATCGATACGTGTTTTTTCTTGTCTGGTTTTTGTATGCTAAAATTTATTTGATTTTATCAGGCGGCAGCTGGTTTGATTCATTTGAATAGTCCAATATATTATATGAAGAGTGCCTTAATTAAAGCACTTTCAGGCGTTCATTTGTTAACATAATTACGAAGTAAAATCTCTCAAAAACGGAGTGATTTCGTTCAGTATGTTTTATCAGTTGAGTTCATCTACATTTACCTGTGAAAAACTTTTAAAATTTTGCTCCGACCCTAGTGTTTTTCAAACTCTTAATGTTTGTCAAGCCCTTTAAAAATTCAAGTGAATATTTCATTTTCAACATCTGTCAACTTTTACCCCACGCAAAAAAACGGTGTTATATTTACGTTTTCTTTCCTTACTCGTTACTGTACGCTGCGTGTATAGTTGCACTATATATTTTTACTTATATAAAAATCTTTCTTCTTGTAAGGACTTGGAGGCGTATTTCCGCAATTTTCAATAAGTGCTAACCCGTGAAGGCGTCCTACGGGGGCGGCTTCTTTGGAGACTGTACATTGTCTTCATTCTGATACGTTTATCTCGATGTTGCTCATGAAACATTTGTATATACCGTATTTGCCTGTGTATAAGTCGACTCGTTGTATAAGTCGACAGCCTAAAGTTCGACGGAAATTTACGATTTTATGATATATCCTTTGTATAAGTCGAGCTCAATTGTTTCATTATCTTAAACTTATTACACGTAATAATTAATGATAAGATGTATAAATACTACGCCTGAAAGGAACTGTCCTTTCGGTAGAGTTTTTCTCTTAAAAACGACCAAGGGCTTCAGCTTTGTACCATTAGCTAAGCAGGAAAGTACAACGGTGAATCTAGACTTTTCATGGCCTGTTGTTCTCACGAGAACAGTTTTTTCACCTTTGGCAGATACAGTTTTCGATGTAGGCATATCAAACCATACCAGGGCATTTACCGACTGATTTCCGACACAATATTGAAAGTTAAAGTAATTACCATCACGTTTGAAGCGATGAATACGAAGTTGAATTTCATGACTCGGTGTATAAGTCGAGGTCGATTTTTTTAGGTCGATTTTTGATCGAAAAACGTCGACTTATACACCGGCAAATACGGTAGTTAAAACAAGAACTTCTTTAATTTTCCCAGGTTCAATATCTGGAAGATTTCGCAACAAAACTTAACCTGAGCGTCTCCTACAATACAAACATTGTGAACGTGTCTAAAGATGTCTTTAATGACATATTCATTGTCAAAGATCAGAATTCCAACACCTATATTTGCTCCGATTTGATTATGAGGTAGCATAAAAAAGACATTCTTTGCATATATTACGTGTCTCCATGTTGTAGTCTGATCTCTATTTTCGTTTTCAGCACTGGAATGTCGACAGAAATTATACCTACGTTCAAAGGTTCAGAATTTGCTGAGGTAATTTATGCTGATGACGAGATTTAGTCGGAAAAATTTTTTATGAAATTGTTTCACTTAAAAAGTGCATCGTTTGAATTTGAATGTTAGTATGGATCCCTTGAGTTGCCTTTGAGAAGCATCTAATATTGTCTAATGTTATCTTTTCGTAGTCATACGGAGCGATGGACATAGATCCAGACAACTACGAAGGTCAAAGCGTACTTATTCTTGGTCGTGGTAAGTTATGCCGACGTCATTAGTCCCAGTCCTCTTTACATCTTACGCATTTCGCAATCTGAATTATTTTTAGGCAATTCCGCGTTTGAAACTGCTGATAACATTATGCGATCGACCAATTTGATTCATATGATAGGAAGATCACGTGTTCGCTTGGCCTGGGCTACACATTATGTTGGTGATTTACGGTAGGTTGTTGGTGCGCGAAACGTCATGTAAGCTATACTGATGTATTCTTTGCTATGTATCACTAATTTTTGATGTTTAGAGCGGTTAACAATGGCTTGCTTGATACTTATCAACTGAAATCATTGGATGGATTAATAGGTATTGTTATAGATGTTGAATTTTTGTGGGTTGCCATCGCGCATGCGTGGCTAACCATTGTGTTACATTACTGAGCTTTCCATCCAATGCAAAACTCAAAAAGTTTTTGGGAGCAAAATTACCGAATAGCCGTTAAGCTTTTTAGTCACGTGGTATGAAGTAGGAATATAATTGGTCAAATTTTTTGATTACACTAAATATCATCCATACAATTGATTTGTCTGATATAAGTGTACGCGGTGAGTACCTATTTTTAATAAGGTTTGTAAAAACTTTAACAAAATGAACAATTCAAGATTTTGCAAATCCTTGAGTTAAAAATTCAAAGTGCTCTTGATAGCCTTGAATAATTGAATTTTATTTCTTTGGGGGATGAAATTGTAATCTTAATGCCAGAATCGGTTGCATGGAAATAACATGGCTGCCTACCAACGCGATTTCACTTCACACTGTTTGTTTTCGATTCGTTAGTAAATTTCTCTGGTTGTAATTTCGATGATATGTTGAATTTGTGCAATTCGAGGTCTTACTCGTCCATAAAGTATATGCACTGTACTGTTTAAGTGAAATAATTTCATAAAAATTTCTGACTCGAAATCTCGTCATCAGCATAAATTATAATACGTCATTGAAAGTCCATGAAAATTGCTTGAATTTCATTACTCCTGCATAGTACAAAATGTGGCTAGTCGTTCTCATAAAGGAACGAGGTTCAGAAAAGAATCGTAACTATCATCTTGCTTCTTTCAAAATAGAGGCATCCATAAACGAAGACCTTGCTCTTGTCAAACACGATGGCAAGTACTACGTTGATGTGCATGGTGGAAGTGGCAAAGTCATAAACACAACAGGAGTAGGAGGTTAGTATGACAGATAGCAATGAAGTGTTTTTACTTGACGCCATGTTAGTGGAAAGTAAAACCATACGGAAAGAGTTTATGTGGATTTTATGCTCTACTAAACGACAGAACACATTAAAACACACAATTGGTTGAGAATGCCCTGCCTGGATAAGATATACCGTGGTAGTATAAGAGGTTGCGCACATCCCACTGGCCTTGGTTAGTGGGGTGCATAAGAGGTGGCAATTTTCTTATGAAGCATTAAATCACAAGCAATTAAGCGAAAGCGAGTGCGGTTTGTGTTTTATTGAGCTCACTGCCAATAATTGTTTATAATTTTAGTATGTGAGAATGATAACTTAAAGAACATAGCACAGCAATGCTCTGTCTCCGAAATCTAATCCAAACTTGAGCACACACAATCTACAAAATCATCCGTGATATTTTTGTCATTTTTTAGCTGATAACTTTGCTATTCGTGATCCGTACGATCGAATACTGTCATGTCTTGGTTTCAAAGTTAGTAGAATTTAACGTGTGGAAATTAACGTTTCGTTTTATGCGTGCTAGTTTCGTGTTTAAAATCTTACAAGAGTTAACCTTTTTTTTCATAGTTTGATTTCTCGATATTTGATGACAGTGCACAACCTGGTGCTTGTGGAGGCAAGAAGAAAAAGTTCCCTTCAATTCAAGGAAACTTTGAAAGTACAAGGGTACCAAGAATGTGGTTTGGTAAGTGGTTTTTGTTTCATGTGTATTCCAGTCCTTTGGTGCATTTTACGTCATGTTTGGTTAACACGTATGTGAGATGTTGAACTATGTCGTGCTATCTACAGCCAATGATTTAGAACCTAGTCCCCTAGATGCACTCACATAGTCCCACGAGCGTGTCGAAGCGAAGCAAGGACGCCATCTTGAAAGGTGGCTAAAATCAAAACTCATGATCAACAATGTGTTCAATAAAGTTGAAAAAGGCAATCCTATCAAACATTTTAAAAACAAAACCTAAACTATAAACTCTACATCAATGCAGAAGATATTCATTTTTGTTGTAAGTCGTAAATATCGTCGGTTCTGCCACCTTTCAAGATGGTCACCAATGCAAACCTCGGAGATGTTTGAGAGAAGTGCAAACCTTGGGCTTGCACTGATCTGCACTTGAGTTTTCCCAAAGGTCTACTCGGTCTGCATAAGCCTGTGCAAACACAGTAAACATCTTTTATTTCTTAGTTCGTCCGTGCAGGAAGCATTTTTTGCAAGCTGGAAAACCTTTCAAATTTTTGCACGCTTGTCACAATGAAAACGGGATGAGCACAACTTCATTTTGTTCACTAGCACCGAAAAACACGGGCTCTAGTTCTCAAGATTCATTATGCGCAGAAACGATGCTCACGGCACAACTTCATTTTGTTCACTAGCACCGGAAAAACACGGGCTCTAGTTCTCAAGATTCATTATGCGCAGAAACGATGCGCACGCCGTGTCATATTTACTTGATTATTCATAACATTTATCATGTGATTACTTAATGATCGTTTTTGCAATTTTCAGCTGGTGTCGCCTCACATTCGTTGGATTGGCGGAAATCCGCCGGTGGATTTATTCATGGTTATCGATATACTGGTATGTAACGAATCATTTATCTTTAATGATCTGAGAATATGAAAAAAGCAGCTCGATAATTTTGGGAGGAGGAAACTTATATATGAAATCCATTATTTTTGCGCATTATAACTTGCTTATATCAATACCTGCATTCCCACTCTCCCCTCCCTTACCCTCCCGTTTTTTCTCCTCGCATTGAGGCTGGCTACGTCCTATAGTGTTGTGTCTCTACCATGAATTGCTGCTCGTGAGGATTGTATTTTATAAAACTACGACTATAAAACAGCGTATTTGAGATGGTTTTAACGTCACCTCCCGTTTGAGAGGGATTTCATTCTTCCTTGTCTTCATTATAAATATTTTTGATAGTAAATTTTGATTTTCATCAAAGCAGACGTTGCACCTGATGAAAAGTCTGCAGAAATGCATCGTCGTTTAATTTTATTGCTATCTTTGTTGTTGTTTTCAATGGTTGCTTTATTAACTAATCAATTGTCATTCACCCTGACAAAAACGCTGTTCAGAGCAATATTTAAGTTTGTGTTTAACGTGTAGTCATGTCGTTTCTAGGGCGAGCTCTGCATCGCATACTGGAGTGGAAAAATCACGGTGTAAAATGGCGCCATCACATTCTAAAAGTTCCCGATATTCTCAATATGATTGTAAAGAGAATCAACGAAGCATCGGTAAGTGTGTTTGTAGCAGTTTGTCGCTATTTGGAGTGGTCTTGTGCGAAGTGTAGCTATTTGAAGTCGTCTTATAGATTGTGTCCCTTTACTAGGCGACTTATCAAATGTTTGGCGTTCTTGTTGATATGATCATTTATCGTAAGTGAAACACAGTAATGTAATATAGTTGATGTGATATTTTAGTATTAGAAAACGTTTTCCGAGTTTCTTTAGAGTTATATAAACACGCGGGAAAGTTTGCGAGAAACGAGAAATTGCGTGGTAAGCACGAGCACAAAGTGCGAGTGTTTTCAACCAACTTCGAGTTTCTAGTTTAAATTGCACGAGCACAAAGTGCGAGTGTTTTCAACCAACTTCGAGTTTCTCTCAAGCTTTCGCAAGTGCTTTTATAACTCAATAGAAACACGTAAATGTGTTTACTCTTTTGTTTGTAAAATAGACTTTTAGAAACAATACTTAAAAGATAAATTTATCGATTTTAATGGCATCATTTTTACTTTTTTGACATTAAAATTTCCTGCTCAAAGCACGCAACTTGTGAGCGAGCGTTCGACCAATCAGCGACCGTAAAGGCTATTCTAAAAAATTCCTATATGATCACAAAGTATATCTAGTTGATAGTGGTCAAAGACTTGACGCATCTGTTTGCTTTAGAGCAAGATGGAAATGCTATCTATGTTGAAGAGTTTCCTCTGCAATTGATTCCACAAATAGAACGTAAGTTGAAGAAAAAACAATCGCTTCTGTAGGTCTGTTTACATCATTGACTCGTTATTACTTAAATCAACCAATAGAATACACTGGTTTGCCTGAAGGACCAATCATAGTCATCAATCTGGAGTATGGAAAAAAATTCTCTGGCGCAGGGTAAGCTTTGTACACACCACTCTATACTCCTCTTTATCCTATTATCGTCCCTCGATACATATTTAAGAAATGAAAGGTGTTTAATGTGTTTTCACGGGCTTATGAAAACCGAGGAGACCTTTGGGAGAACTTGAGAAGTGATCAGTTTCCGCCTACTGGAGAGTTCTCACAAACGTCTCCGAGGTTTGCATATACCAGTGCAAACAGAGTAAACATCTTTTATTTCTTTTATGAAATAACAAAAATACGAAACAGGCAAATTTAAAACAAACGTTTTAATATGCCCTCTCGCATGTATGGATCATTGATTTGCAAATTGTCTTCGATTCCTTTAATTGATCAAGCTCAGATCAGTTTGTACAGGTTAATGCAAACTTGGATTTAATTGATCAAGCTCAGATCAATTTGTACAGGTTAATGCAAAATCGGATTTAATTGATCAAGCTCAGATCAATTTGTACAGGTTAATGCAAAATCGGATTTAATTGATCAAGCTCAGATCCTTTTGCACAGGTTAATGCAAACTCGGCTATAGACTAACCAGCGCATGCGTGGTATTGTTTTTATTTTATAATTTTTCTTGAACTATGGTACTATCGTCTTCTCCTTTTTCTCAGGAAAGATCCGTTTCACGAGGAGCGTGCTACAGGCGATCCAGCCGATGCGCACAATTCAAATTTTCTACATCCAGTTATATATTTCTACCACACTCCTCCTTCCAAATTGCCTGGGAACACGAAACTACCAAAACCTGATCGTATACACCATATTGTTGAAGATTTTCTTACAAACTGGTGAGAAAGGGTTTAATTGATTGTGCGATTGTTCGTACAATGCTTTTATGCAAAGTGCTTATCGATTTGGATTTCTTAATAATCGAAACTTCTTTCATTACAAAGTCATTTGAAGATTGTTCGTCTCTAATACGATATGTTTCAATAGTCTTTTGATCGTCTTTGAAAAACTCCATGTTTTTTTTCTTCCCGGAAGTGCTCTTCAATATATTGTTACCTATACAAATGCACTCAACCAATGACAATCGAGATAATATCTCAAAGTATATTATTTAGAGATGCATATATTTTCATAATTATACTAAACTATGTCGAAGTCACATGCGGACATCGAACCCGTAAATTATTTTCTAAAAACTTGTTAGGATTGCGTTCGTTGTGCTCTTGATGCGAAAATTATGCTAAATAACTGAAATTACTTATTGACCTTTTCAGGATGGCTCCCAATTCTCATATCGTTCCTTTGAGACGGTTCCTGGAAACCGTGAGCCGTGCAGATTTAAGAAATTTTTTGCACAAAGCTGCTTTAAAGTATGTACATTCTAGACTTGAATAGTTCAACCATAAAAATGATGTGGCTTTATTGAAATAGTCTCTTCTGCAACTACGATTCCAATATTGTTTTCGATATCTGCCCATATGATAAGGTCTTGTTATTGTTTCCTAATACAACGAAGTACGAACTACAATTCATCATAGAAATTATCAGTATTAAGAGTTAATCATTAAAATTACTTGCATTAAGAGTTAACTATTAAATTTATGAGTATAATAATAAGAGTTGAGTACTAAAATTATATTTATTTAGAAGTAATTATTTCAATTATAAGTATTAAAACTTAATCATTTGTATTCGTTTAAAATTATCAGATTGACCCATTACGAAAATCCATTCATATTGTGCAGAAATTTGCTGAGAATTTTTTGTATGTTGGTTTTAACTTGAATTCATCGTGTTTGCTTTCTTTTAGCTCGCGATGACCCACACAACGTTGCCTTTACTTGTAAAGAGCAATATCTTAAAGGTAATTTTGTATTTGTGATGAATGTAAATCAGGTAAAGGACGATGACAATAAAAAATATCTTAAATTCAAATAAAAGGATTCAAAATCTGAAATAGCCGAGCCGAGATATTTACAAGTCAACAAATAAGTCTAGTAAACGCTAGCACTTGTCTGCTCTGCTTAATTGCACTCAATAACGTTTAGCTTAAAGTCTGATTTCCATGCAATATTGAGATACAGCCGTTTAAAGTAATATAGTTTTTTTGAGTGAAGCAATTTGCAACCGGAAGTGGTCGTGAACTTCCGGTTGCACGGCTTGACTTTGTATGAACGAGAGAACAACAATTTCCATATGAACACATTGTCTGAAAAAACTGGAAAATTGTCGTTCGCGTAATGTTGTGGCTAAATACTTTACTTGTAATTATTGAAAAATTAATACCAATTTTATCCGATAGCTCGTATGTTGTTATTTAACACATTTTTTCGGGTGCTCGATTGTTTCGTTCAAAACAATATTACATAAATCAAGAAAGATATAAAATTTTTGAAAAAATTTCGGATTCGGAAGTAAATAAAATAAATTTTTGTTGCCATTGTTCTTTATGTGAAAACCTCGTGTAACAACTTTTCATTTTGTTCAATGTGATGATAATGATATTAATGTGATATCTTCTGTGTCGAATTGCTTGCCTTTATTGTCCCGTAATCTCTTGTTTTTCATTATCTAGGATCAACTATTCCTGGTGTTGACGACTTAATAACAATTGCTCGGTCTAAAGAAGTGCTAATTTAAACAAAATGAAGATGTCCACGTTTCTATTTATTTCAATTCAAATACCGTTCATGATCTTGGAGTCTATGTGTTTGCGCACTAGATTTATTAATTGAAATGAACAATTTGTTTAGTTGTACAAAAATTCGCTTTTTTTCTAGTCGTGCAGTAGATGCCATTAAAGTTTGTAAATAAGCTTATTTCTTGCGCTCTTTTGCTTCAAAAGGACTATTCAAAATCTATCTGATGTTGCAGGCTGTGTGTGGCGACTTGTTTTGAAAAAAGTTAAATAGCAAATTTTTTACGTCTAGTGGTCTAGGTTTACTGTACATAAATTACTAAAATTAGCATAACCGGCGGCTTAAGCTGGGATTTCATTGGTTAACGTCTTGTCCCCGCTAATTATAAAATCAAAAAATCTGACTGAAAGAAGATGGCCGTGCGAGAGTTGGACCTTTGACGAAGACTATAAATGTCGAAGAAATTGGGTAAATTTCTCAATGAAAATACGTTTTAATGCATGCTAAGGATTTCAAAATTATTATTTCTATATGTCGAATAAGATTAATGGTAAAAAATGCTTTTGGAAGGTGTGGAGAGATTTGACAATGGCAAATGTGCTGTGCCGAAGATTGTCATAGATTTTATTTCTCAATATAAATATATTTACTGTGGAAGAGAGAAATTACTTTAATACGAGAACCCACATCACCGAATGCCGAACGAAATGGATTTCACGAATAAATAAAGTAAGGAAGGAACTGTTTGGTGTTATATTTTGGTTCCATACTTATAAAATTACGATAACAACAATGAAATGGGAATAGTTAAATATCCAGTCTCCCTGAATGGTATTTTAGGTCCATACTAGTACGTTATGCATTCACTGTATTTTTAACAATTTAATATTTTCTTAATATTTTCACTTTCACATTCTCTATTGTTTAAGGACAAAACAAGCTCAACAAATTTAGCGTACGTTGATACTGACTCTGAATGTTTAAAGGCAGAATTTCATCTTCAGCATGTACGTTCATAAGGGGGTCAAAATTTGGTTGGCACATTGCATCATGGGAGTTGTTTGTTTTGAGCTGAAGATGTAAGTGAGTGAGCACTAACTATTTAAAAATATGTGCATATTAAAACGGTGTTAGGATTAATAAATTATATATATTCTCTGATGATGGCTTTGGAATAAAGTCGAAACAAGGTGCCATCCAGTAAACTGCTATAGTGGCGAGAATCTCTCGTCCATACGCAGTTTAAAAGAGATTTGACTCGTCTCCAATCCCTGTGGGCTTGGAAGCTCAACAGGTAGAGTGGCGGACTAGTAGCAAGGTGCAAGTTCAAATCTCGTCCAAGTCACATGTTTTTCATGTGCATATTAAAACCGTGTTAGGATTAATATATCATATATAATCTCTAACCATATATGTAGGCTACATTTTGTGCTCCAAGCTCATGCTTTGTGTGATGAAGGCAGAAACCTTTTGTATTTACATTGGAGCCTTGCTTGATGACAAATTGCTTTAGGAAACAATTTTCATGTGATGTGTTTATTTTAAAAAATCATTTATTAGAATTTTGTTTCGGGGAGGGGAGGATTGAGGCAACATTGGGCACTGCGGAAATGCTCCATGAATCAGGGGCGGTGCCTCAAAATTGTACCTGGAGACTGATTAAGATTTATATTTACTGAATTTACTACTGTCTTTGCCTCAAGTTAGGATAAAATTTATGAATGTTAGCAGAAACTTTATCTTGAGGAAAAAGTTGGGGTGGGGGAGGCTCAAGCATCTCTCAGCCAGTTAACTTGCTTCATTCTCAATTTATCTTCAAAACACATGCATTTTTGATGTGTATTGATGTGGAAAGATTCAGAACCCCCCTGCTCTGCATTGCCTGAGAATGGGGGGAGTATAATTACCTAATATTGTTTGTAATGTTACATTCACTTGACAGGAAGCATGCTCAACCCTCCGGAAATGGTAGAAATTTGAATCAAATCAGGAGGGAGGATGAGCTCAATTGTATGTCGGTACGTTATTATATTTATTCAATAAGAAATGCTATTGCTAATCAGTGCGGAGTACAATCTGGATTTTTGATTAAGTTTTAAAAACTTGACCAACATTGACTTTTTTTCTAATTTGTTACAATGACATGGAAATTGTTCTTAATAAACATAAATCTTCGCAGGTCTGTTTTCAAAACCACTGCATATTGAGACTTTTTTTTTCTAATTTGTTACAATGACCTGGAAGTTGTTCGTAATAAACATAAATCTTCGCAGGTCTGTTTTTAAAAACCACTGCATATCGAGACTTTTTTCTAATTTGTTACAATGACCTGGAAATTGTTCTTAATAAACATAAATCTTCGCAGGTCTGTTTTTAAAAACCACTGCATATCGAGACTTTTTTCTAATTTGTTACAATGACCTGGAAATTGTTCTTAATAAACATAAATCTTCGCAGGTCTGTTTTTAAAAACCACTGCATATTGAGACTTTTTTTTCTAATTTGTTACAATGACCTGGAAATTGTTCTTAATAAACATAAATTTTCGCAGTTGTGTTTTTAAAAACCACTGCATATTGAGACTTCATATCTCAAAGATTTTATTGAAGGTCGTTCACCTTCTGTGCTCTGGACTCATCAGTTTTATTAGTAATTTATGACGAAGTGCCTTGTCAGCATTTAAAACATCATTTTAATTATTGAAAACATGTTGGGCTTTTTAACTGATTGATTTTCTAATGAGTTCTGACAATTTAAATTTTTATAGTTCATATGAATATATTTGTAAAATAAATGCAATAAAACGCATGCGCTGTGCTGGTCAATATCTGTGTTTGCATTAGCCTGTGCATCCATTATCATACCGATCTCAGTTCAAGAAATTAAATCAATAAATTGTTCAATCAACAAGAATTTGCAAATCAATCATAAAATTTGTCTACTAACTGACGCTATGTTCACCAACCATCAGTTATTATGGTTACTATCTGACGCTATGTTCACCAACCATCAGTTATTATGGTTACTATCTGACGCTATGTTCACCAACCATCAGTTATTATGGTTACTATCTGACGCTATGTTCACCAACCATCAGTTGTTATGGTTACTATCTGACGCTATGTTCACCAACCATCAGTTGTTATGGTTACTATCTGACGCTATGTTCACTAACCATCAGTTGTTATGGTTACTATCTGACGCTATGTTCACCAACCATCAGTTATTATGGTTACTAACTGACGCTATGTTCACCAACCATCAGTTGCTATGGTTACTATCTGACGCTATGTTCACCACCCATCAGTTGTTATGGTTACTATCTGACGCTATGTTCACCACCCATCAGTTGTTATGGTTACTATCTGACGCTATGTTCACCACCCATCAGTTGTTATGGTTACTATCTGACGCTATGTTCACCACCCATCAGTTGTTATGGTTACTATCTGACGCTATGTTCACCACCCATCAGTTGGCATGGTTACTATCTGACGCTATGTTCACCACCCATCAGTTGGTATGTTTATTATCTGACTATATGTTCACCAACCATCAGTTGCTATGGCTGCTATCTGACTTTAAGTTCACCAACCATTAGTTGCTATGGTAACCGACAGCCTTTTTAAGTCCCTCTTTATTCCTCACTTCACATCAACTAAGTGAAGTTTTCCTTGCCATGTTTAATTTCACTGTGTCGTTACGTGTGATATTTGCTTTTTAATTACCTGTGCCATGACATACGGTTGCTTTGATTACCCATGCACCTGTTCCCCCGTATCCCACGTTATTCAGTTACGCGTTGTTCGTGTTGCGCATGCGTGGTTTTGTGGCTATGCTCTCAGTGGTTCTCCATTGCTATTCGTTGAAAAACAAAAAATATGAGGTTCGGTTCAGGCCGCAGGTTTTAGTCCAGCCATGGTTATTTAGTATACTATCTTAAATAATTTGCATAGAAAGAGAAAAAAGTCGGGCCATTCTTCAGATAATTGTTTAAGAAATTAATTTCACGATTTAAACATTCGCGGCGTCTCTTGCAATCAGTGCTCTCACTTTTAAGGAATTATCCTTAAAATCAGGATTTTCTAAAGGTTTTAAGGATATTTTAAAGGATGTTTTTAAACTTTAAATTAATATACACTTAATAATATTTAATGTTTCTTTACAAATACAACGTTGAAAAACTTGAAAACAGCAAAAAACGAGGAAAAACCATGAAAAAAAACACTTTTTGAGCTTATTTAATCACGCCTTGTAGTAATTTATACAAATTTAAGGAATTTGATGGAAATGTGAGGAATTTTTAAGCATTTTCTAAGGAACTAGGAAATTTGATTGTGAGAGCACTGCTTGCAATATACTTTATTTCTGTTTCAAGTTTATGTCGGAACTTTTGTTCGTATGACCAGCCGAACATTACAAAATCTCCATTTGAAACAAGATTGATTAAATGTAGCTCTTTGGAAATCCATTTTTGAGCATGGTTTGGTTTAAGGTACAACACAAGAGTCATCATGTTTAACAAACGTGGATCTTTTTTGTCAACGTGAAAATCACGTCATTTATCTTTAAAAAATATTTGCTTTTTTATACTGCCTGATCCATATTCCATCGTGATCGACTTTTATGTCATTGTACAACGCAACCTCGCGCTAAAAAGTTTAAATAAAACGAGTAGTTCCAGTCTCCTGGCATAATTATGAGCTTTTTAGTGACGTTATCGTTTTGGACGCTCGTTACCAAGGAAACGTCGTAGTCTACTCGAAGTGTGCATCTTCTATCGGTTGCGTTCATTAATTATTAATATTGTCGTATCATGCAGTTTATAGTTCAACTGTTAGTTGGGCTGAATTACGGGGATAATTTTGAGAATTTGTTCCTTATTTCTTTCTTTGTCTTGTGATAAGTTACGAAGAATGATGTGGTAAGGCTTGTTGATTTGCCCAATTGAAAATCTTTCTCTACGCTCTTCTATGCTGACGATTCGACACCGCAAACAGAACATGATGCAGTAAGTTTATTTAAATGTCAGCTGCTAAATTTCATCGAGCTTTAAATTGCTAATCTTGCCATAATTTTTGAGGAAATTTCTATTTAACGTCTTTAAATGCGTTGTTTTTATGACATTTTATTGAATCACAGAAGACCGTACCCCCAAACTCACTGTACCTCTGTGTCGACCGTTGTTTGAATTACATGTTGAATTTAAAAATCCACCGGTTCTTATTCTAAAAATCCTGTCATGTATTCGTAGAGCACTCTTTTTAACATGTCTTTCGCTTCCCTTTGACATTTTTTCATTTAATTGTCAATGTGGGATTTTCAAACAATATCTTTGAATTATACCGAACATAATTGTGTAATGGAGGAATTGCATCTACGGGTTTCATTATCAATAAAATGTAATTCACTTTTCTTCAACAAAAACATAATATAGCGTTCAGAACTTCTGATGCAGTATTTATAGTTGGGTCAATAATACAATTAAATGGATCAAATGGATTTCGCATTTGTTCATTTGTAACATCCATATGGCGTCTGTGTACAGCATTGGCGTTCTCTTTTTATGACATAGAATTTTATTGTTACCTTGTATTCCATCTTCAATTGAAAGTGTTTACAAAGTGTATTACATTAAAATTTCTAATTTCTATTGACATTTAAAATCGTGAGTTTCTGTTGTCGATGAACGTCCTATATGACAAAAAATTCCATCAACCAAACCTATGGCGACTCATGCATGTGCGTTAACATATTTGAGAAAAATGAAACACTTTTTCTGTAAATACGTTTTCAAACATCTCATTTGTTTATAAACGACTTCATCTCCATGCAGTTTTAAACATGTTTCGCTCGTATTAAACTCATAAATCATGTTCTCGCACTGTCCGAACTTGTTCTCGTGTGGAAAGTTCGAAAAGCTGTACAAAGAAGACATTTGATAATTGTCTTGAATGAAACTAAAAAAATAGTTATTTTTTACGATTCAATTCCTCTCCCAAGTGCCCCCCACCCCCCACTTCTACAGCACTGGATTTCGAGCGCAACGTATAAATTCGAGATTTTGCTTGTCAAGGTTTTGATTACAATATTGTTCTTGACATCATGTAGCCGATTATCTTCTCGTTTAATTGGGGTCAATCTTTCATATATTTTACATTTAAATTTTTTAAAGAAAAATCTAAATGGATTGTAGTTTGGTAAGAACCACTTTGTAGTTATTTTATTATAAGGAGAATCTTCCTTTGGTATGTAAAGGCTTTGGTTCGGACCGTTCGGCATATGTAGGTAGAACGATAAAATTATCTCTCAAAATTTTTATTTAATTTCGCTGCGAAAAGAAGGTTCAACGCTCAATGGTTTACAATGCGTTTTATGTTCAGAAATATACGCAAGCATTTTCGTAAAATAAGCTCTAAATTCTTTTGTTTTTTTTTCTGTCGATAAACAGCTGTCCTCTTAGCTGCTACTCTCGCATTAACTAACGTCAAAATTTATCGCCCAGTCTATTCTTCAATTTCCAACACAGATTAGCAACATGCGTTTTAATTATTCTGCTAATTACAATGCAATAATCACAATTGCCAAAATAAATTGTACAGTACGTGACTCAAATAGATGACTACTTAAAGTATATTGATAAGTATCTGGATGTATAGGTATTCTCTTTAGCTCATACAAATTGCTCGCTTTTGCGCTGAAGTAATTTTCTCAAACATTATTTGATTGATCTGAGTAAAAGAAAGTTGGTACTTTATGCATGAGAAATACAAACAAGCGCTTCTGGACATTTCAAGTTGCCCGTAATTTTTAACAGGTGAACTTCTTTTAGCGAAACAAACGAGTTCATGAGATCTTCGGATTTCTTTGAAGTTTCATTTGTGTAGAGCAAAACATACACAGACATAGAATTACGATGGAAAGAGAAACGTCAATACCGAACAATTATTTTTGCTTCGTTCTGTTTGCCCACCCACTATTTGTCTATCACAAATGCCGCATTGCGATTGGCTATTCCACTGTTGTCAATTTGTGATAAACAACGTTTAGGGAAGCGCATGGCGTTTTGAAGAATTTTTGAAAAATTGATTGGAAAACACTTCGAGTTAAAGGCATCGGGTGAAAATCCAAAGCAACTTGTTTTCGTTGTCCGTAAGCTTAAAAACAACGCTGTCTTTTCACGTTTATAACTGGACTCAATCGTTGTCTTTTTGTTCGTTTCTGTATTGACAACGACATTGTGCTATGTCTGTCTTTTTACAGGTGCGGGAAGGACTGTCTTTGTTAAACAAACGTGGGGGTGATAAAAAAGTTAAAGTTGATGTATTCGATATGTCAGCATCATGCATACTGCTGTTGATCAAATTATCATCAAGCACTCCGCGGAACCAGAAGGGATGGCGAAGAAAGAGCAGGCGATAAAAGCGGAAATTGATCCAGATTTCGAGGAAAAATCCTGTTGCTGTTTGAAAAGAACTTTCATTGTGAGAAAATGGTTTATCCATTTAGTACATTGGCCATATCCTTTAGAAATATAGACTTCCATGAAATCAACTATTGTAAGTTCTTTGAATTTTATTTGTTTGTAGCACTATAAATAAACTTTCTATAACTAATAAAGACGAGGAAGAATGGCGCCAGTTTTCAACAGTTTTTTTGAAGAACTACCCAATTGTCATTCCTCATGACAAACACCCTTTCAGCGCCATATTTAAATTTGTAGCCAACGCCAAGATATGCCATGTTTTACAGTACAAATAATGCCCAACCTCAGAAATTTGAGGAATAGGCAGGACAAGCAGGCAACTTTTGATGGTACAAAATAAAAGTACAAAATAAAACGGATTCCGAGAATAGACATCTCGGTTTCTTGATATTAAAGATAAAGCGTCAAAATGGCGTCTTGTTGTCGTCAAAATGTCGTCTTGTTGTCGTCAAATGTCGTCAAAATGTCGTCTTGTTGTCGTCTTGTTGTCGTCTTGTTGTCGTCAAATGTCAAAATGTCGTCTTGTTGTCGTCAAATGTCGTCAAAATATCGAGTTTGAAAAAAGACTATGGGCAATAATTCGTCTCTATTGATCGTCTTTAACGAAAAAGCGTCCATATGTCGCCTTCTGAGTATTTGCAGTTTAATGCACGATCCGAAACCATTTTTTCAGTTAGAATAGAAATTGTTTGTCATCTTTTGACGTCAGGTGTTGACGTCTTTCATGTAATTGTCAACCACAATGAATAGAGGGCCTTCATTGTATTATAAATTATTTGTTGAAAACCGCAGTAGGACAGCTGAAAACTCGTCACGGTATCATGTTTACAAAAAAAAAGAGTTTCAAAAATTTCATTAATTAAAAGCCGGCAAAAAATACAGGATTTATTTCCTTCTTCAACGATGTTGAAGTAAAATTTTAAAATGAAAGATTGGAAGATCATATCTTCGTTCAATTTTAAAATTTTTAAAAGTTGATCATTTCAAAAGTCTGTATTTGTTATTCTTAACTCAACCTTAAATGGTTCGAACGACTCAGTATGGTAGTAATCCTCGTCAATTGCGTTTGTCTTGCTTTGACGGATCCGCTGGACAGGGATTGTGTGAAGGCTCAATGTCAACACCTAACAAAAATCAACTCGTTTGTTCTGTATTTCTTCGTCGCCGAGATGGCCGTTAAGATGGTTGCTATGGGCGTGATTGGAAAGAAAAGTTATTTCGCGGAGGGCTGGAACCGACTTGATTTTCTCATTGTTGTCGCTGGGTATGTTTGTCACGTCAGCTTTTTTGGTGAAGTGAATTTAGAAAGATGGAGAAGAGTCAGTATCAACCATCATGCATTGCGCGCGTTTGGTTATTTTCACGTGCAAAGATATTTTAGGGATTTTACACTGGGAGGGCATTAACTTCAAAAGGGCCTGTGAAGCGTGAGGCGGAGGTTTCGAAAATACTTTCTACAGCGAAGTTTTAAAAATTGCAATTTCGCAAATGCTATTTTATGCGTTTGTAGATGAAATTAATCACAGCGTAACAGACATGTTATGAAATGAACATTCTTACTTCAAGCGGGAAAAATGTTATCTGCACTAAAATATTCGAAGTACCATGAAATTAATCACAGCGTAACAGACATGTTATGAAATAAACATTATTACTTCAAGCGGGAAAAATGTTATATATACTAAAATATCTTGAATATACCATGAAATTAATCACAGCGTAACAGACATGTTATGAAATAAATATTTAATAATTGGGAAAAATGTTATCTTCACTAAAATATTCAAGAATTGCTGCGATTACGAAATTAATGACGAATAGCTTGCCTGACATGCTTCGAAATGGCCGATTACGTCTACTTCAAGGCGGGAAAAATGTTATTAAACGAAAAATATTCGAAGTACCATGAAATTAATCACAGCGTAACAGACATGTTATGAAATAAACATTCTTACTTCAAGCGGGAAAAATGTTATCTGCACTAAAATATTCGAAGTAATAATTACAAAAAACGGGCCCTAGAAGTGGCGGGAGGGAGGGAATTTTCATTTCAGTGGTGTCAACAGGAGGGTGTGGGCGGACAAATGGTCCTTCAGTATATATGTTAAAATATACCTTGTTTATATATAAATCTCACACTATTCAAGCTGACTTGGATAATTTCCGGACATTTGTCCTTCTTCAACAAAAAGAAATATTTGAATAATTGTAGAATCGTATACATCAATTATTTTTCCCTAAAAGAGGAATAGATCTACAAGAATTGCTGCGATTACGAAGGATTAAATGACGAATACGCTTGCCTGTTTATTTCGTGCTTCGAAAAATGGCCGATTACGTCATTACGCGCTCAAGGCATGATGGTTGGAGCTTACTCTTTAATTAAACGAAACAATGATTTATCAGAATTCCGCTTCCTATTGTTTTCAGGAAGAAAATAACCGAAATTTTCTTGTAAACAATTTTTAATTGAATTTACTTATTAATCAGTTTCTCTTTCCGTCCCAGCAGGACTCTCAGCAGTAGATTCAGCGCGTCCTGTCAGTTTGAAAAGCCGAGAAATATTGAGTTGAATATTTCTACATTTTGCGAGGATTAGTAGGATTAATTTTGATGTTACTTCGCCTTCTTGGTGACGATCAGACATTAACCGAGTACTTAGACCTAATGACGATGTTACATTAACCGAGTACTAGTAGGATTAATAAGTATACGATGTTACATTAACCGAGTACTTAGTAGGATTAATAAGTATACGATGTTACATTAACCGAGTACTTAGTAGGATTAATAAGTATACGATGTTACATTAACCGAGTACTTAGTAGGATTAATAAGTATACGATGTTACATTAACCGAGTACCTAGTAGGATTAATAAGTATACGATGTTACATTAACCGAGTACCTAGTAGGATTAATAAGTATACGATGTTACATTAACCGAGTACTTAGTAGGATTAATAAGTATACGATGTTACATTAACCGAGTACTTAGTAGGATTAATAAGTATACGATGTTACATTAACCGAGTACTTAGTAGGATTAATAAGTATACGATGTTACATTAACCGAGTACCTTAGGATTAAGAAGTATACGATGTTACATTAACCGAGTACTTAGTAGGATTAAGAAGTATACGATGTTACATTAACCGAGTACTTAGTAGGATTAAGAAGTATACGATGTTACATTAACCGAGTACTTAGCAGGATTAATAAGTATACGATGTTACATTAACCGAGTACTTAGTAGGATTAAGAAGTATACGATGTTACATTAACCGAGTACTTAGTAGGATTAAGAAGTATACGATGTTACATTAACCGAGTACTTAGTAGGATTAATAAGTATACGATGTTACATTAACCGAGTACTTAGTAGGATTAATAAGTATACGATGTTACATTAACCGAGTACCTAGTAGGATTAATAAGTATACGATGTTACATTAACCGAGTACCTAGTAGGATTAATAAGGATACGATGTAGCAAACGACTCCCTTCCTTGATAGAACATCATTTAAGCAATAAAAGATGTTAACTGTGTTTGCACGGGTATATGAAAGGAGAAGTCCTTTGGCAGAACTCGAGAGCATATCAGTCATCAGTGCAAGTCGAATGTCGATGGATGCACCTGCTCGAGAGCTCTCGTTTCAATTTTTCTTATAACAAATGCACGATTGACTTGCAGATCCTCTTTAATTGATTTCATTTGTTAAGCTCAGATTGGTTTGCACTGGGTAATGCATAATCAGCTATAGACCAATCAGCGCACGAGTTTTTATGTTTTTATTTTATGATTTCTGATTTTGAATGGTTTCTTTAGGTATCCGTATTCTTGTTACATTACTTCTTGAAGCGCTACCCATGTTGGGAAATGTTTTTGCATTGGCATTTCTTGTGTTCTTCATATTTTCAATTGTTGGCGTGCAACTTTGGCAAGGAGTTCTTAGAAACAGATGTTTTCCAAACATAACCTTAATCAATGACTCAAGCAAAAGGTAACTGTGGTCTGCACTCACTTAGAACTGGTGTTTACTTTTAGTATTTGAGTATATTTTTACTTGTTTCAAGTGTTGTATAGCCAAAATTTTATCAAAAGAAGACACTCCGATAATTATGACATAAAACTTTGACATAAAACTAGAAAAGGAAGGTAGAGCTTTATCAGGATGCCACATAAATTTTTCTTACAAGACCTACGTAACGATTGTCTGAACAGAATTTGTGCTTGACAAAAAGTACAATTGATGCGATCTTGTGAAGAAGGGCTACACCCCTCCCCTCAACCTGACATAGAATTGAAACAAGAGGAGTTCAACCTCACCGACCCCCCCCCCCTTGTTACAACACACTATTGATTACTTTTCTTTTCCATTTGTGCCTCGTTCTTTGTATAGATGTTTCTATCGGCGATCATTTGAAGAACAAGATTTCTTATGTTCACTGCCGTCCGACTCTGGTACACAACACTGCACCGGAATTCTGCATCCGATACAATGTGTTACAGCAAACGGGATGACCAGCGGTAATCACTGTGAGTTTGAGTTAGCTAATTTCTCCAGAAGCGTCGAGTTCCAGTGTTTGCAAGAGGGACCAAATCCATTTCATTCAACCGTCTCATTTGATAACATCGGTCATGCTTTGATTGCAATTTTCCAGGTCAGCGGCCTAGTGAAACGCAATAATATAATACAAATGAGCTACATATGTAACTGGAATGCTACCTTTAGTTAAACATGCCTGTACTTTAAGCAAATTTTACCCCAAGACACGCGCGTCTGCGGGTAAAGTCGCGCATTCTAGCTTACTGTCTTAAATGAACTTTCTTTTTGTCTTGCGTGGAAAGACTGGGACTAGTTAAATTTTTGTTATCAATATTTGGCGGGAAGTAGCATTCCTGTTCAATGTATATTTAGTTCAATGTATAATACACGCAAAGAAAGTTTGCAGTTTGCATTGTAAAGATTGCATTTCTGATGTAATATTCTGTCTTTTTATATAGATAGTAACTTTAGAAGGATGGTCAGAAATAATGTACAGAATACAGGAAGCTCATGGTTATTGGAACTGGTTATATTTTATTCTTTTGATACTTGTATGTTTTTTGTTCTTTAGTACTTGACAAAAAGACGTCACGGTAAGAAATTGGCGCTGCAAGTGACATTTCTAAATAAAATCTCATTTGTCGCGACATTTTTTCCGTTGCTTGCACAAAAGAATGTTTGATGTTAATGGCGATGAACAGGGGACGTAAATTGTCGCTCTTCCTAAGTCCATACGATGGGGGGAGGCTATATTTTTACGGTCTACTCGGTCTATTTTTCTTTGTGCATTTTGTTTGCTTATCGTTTTCTCAATTTTCAGCTCGGTCCGTTGATAATGGTTAATCTTTGCTTGGTTGTACTTGCGATGCAATTTCAAGAGACTAAAAGTCGCGAACTACAGCTATTGGAAGAAGATCGTCGAAAGAAACAAGAAGCCGAGAACGTTTTCAAGCGTACAAGATGGGGAAGAGTGTTGAGTGTCGTTAAATCGAACCTCAGTGAAACGTTACAGGGGGGAAAGAATCAACACATTCATCATCATCATCACATTCATCACTACTATCATCATGAACATGTTGTGCAACCCCCTTCGGAAAATCCAGTGAATGTCACCCCCCGTAAACCGACAGTCGTTGTCTCTCATCATAGCTCGCTCAGTCATGAATTGCCCGTTATTCGTGTTAAGAAACCACGTGATTTACCTACCCTTGTTATCTCGGAGGAAAGTTCTGCCTCCCATCCCCTTCTAAAAAAACTGACCGCTCCACCCAGGAACCAAATGATGCTATCATTTCATTGGAAATGACCTCTAACTGTAAAATATCACACAATTTTCTAATCCCCAGTCCTTCTTCTGAACGGCGTTCTCCCACCTCGTCAACAGAGTCCGTGTCCTCTGAGCATGCGCCTTTCTCGCCTGACACGGCATCTTTGAGTTCTGGTGAAGATTCTTCTAGAACTTCAGAATTTTTCGGTAGGTGATTCGGTAGGGAATTTTTCTGAGTGGAGAAAGTTGTGAAGGGAACATTGACGTCAATCCTGTCTTAATTCAGGGGGGGCATATTCATATATTCTGATATGTCAGGCTAATTTCTCTTTAAAACAATTTCATTTTCAAAAGAAATCAGCCTGGCATAACAGAAAACATGAATATGGTCCCGCAATTATCGCAGGATTGACGCCAATGGAAGGGAAAAGAATTTGTGTTTATTTCATGCACTCTATTGCATCGGCCCTACATACCAACATGGTTGATATGACGTCACATGACGTCACATAAAACATACCAATAATACGCAACTGTGTTATAAATTGGTAGGCGAACATCGTAACCATATTTGACGTCAAAGTTGAAGTTGGTTTTTCTCATTTTTCGAGGCTTCAACATGATATCATTTTAAAAAATTAATGACGATATACATGAAATACTTCTATCGTTTCGTAGCATCAACATTTGCTAGTGCCAAAGTTAAATTAAAAGTGACCAAATGTCAGGTTCACAATGAGCCATATCACTTAAAGAAGAACATACAAACAGAAATGTCTACAGTCTCCAGCACGTCGCATACGACATTTAACGATCATTCGGAAGGAAAATGCGATTGGAACTCATGCGTATTCGAAAACTCGAAACCCGATCAAGAGGATAAATCCAAGAACTGTGACGCACATTCTGAGAAATCTCGTTGTGACGTAAATGAAAACGAGAATGGTGCTCATAATGACATGAATAATTTGTCTTCAAAACAATTACCTGAAGAACAAGGACCAAATTCAAATTTCTCAAGAGTTTCCAAACAACAAAGTATCCGAACGAATAGTTGTAAAACAAAAGAAATGTCTCCGAAGAAATTTGAATTAGCGAGAAGTGAACAATCGCGTGGAGTATCTTCGACAGAAAACAATATGCGAACGTTGTCTGCGCCCCTGATGGATTCGTTGAATCAAACTTCATTGAATTTGGCAAATGAATCTTGTGCTTCCACATATCATGAAAAGTTCATACAGAGGACAACTTCATTTGAGAAAAGTGATTGCCTAGAGGTAAGAATCGTTGCAGAAGTTATCTTTGGGCTTGTATAATATGCCTATTATAACTGTTGCCAAGCAGTACAACAATTTCGCTGTAATTCAATTTTACATGTGGCTGATGTGATACAGTGATGGACACTATGAAATATTGAGGGAGGGGAGGTCTCGTCTTCAAGGCATGAGATTTCTAGGGATATCCTGGATTCCTACATACATAGACAATGCGTCTGCTGGTACGAGTACAGTGTTGACGTCTATCAAATCGTTATTATTTAACATCACAGTTATGTTATGTAGGTGTGATTTGAGTGATTTGGCGCAAGATTTTTAATCTTTCAAATTATTGGGGGAGGGGGCTTGAACTACCCCTTGTGTCCGCCATTGTTGTGACAATTTATTATGTAAGCAAATCATGTTTCATTGAACGTTTCATGAGTGAAATTAACGCGTGAAACGATCAAAGAATGATTTTGATGCTTCAAAGTAAAGGAAAATCCAAACTCCAGCTTGCGTTTGGTAGCCTGAGTAAAACGAGTTTGGTGTTGCTTATTTTGCGAATGGTCTTTTATAAAGAATCTGAGCATCTTTTATCTTTCAAAGATTTCGATGTTCCTGTTCTTTTTCAATTTTGAACGGAAAATCGCTCTAACTTTTTCATATTTTTGCTTTAGGCACCAGTGGAGCCTGGAAGGAAAATAAGCTTCGGTGAAGCTTTTGATAGTATTTTTGATGTACAGCGTTACGGATTTTATAACATTTCACAAGACAGAACACTGTATGAAAGATTTCTTGAGATCTGTGCAAAATGTCAAACAGCGCTTTGTTCATCAATTTTATCATGATTGTAATCCTTGTGAATACCATCACTATGGCAACTGAACATTACCAACAGGTCAGTGAAGTACTTTAGAACTGAACATTACCAAAAGGTTTGTGAAACACTGTAGAACTTTAGGCATTACATTTAATGATTAAAGTAGATCAATGCCTAAAGTTTGCTTGGGGAGATATGAGCGCGTTCATTTTTCAATAAAATAGATGCAGTGAGTTAACGCAAACAATCAAAAACCTGAAATCTCAATATGACATAACTGTTCGTCAATAACAGCAATATTTACCGACATATGTCGAAGATTTTATGTTTAATAAATACCCCTTGCACGTCAAAATTTTGCAGTGAAAATAGAATATTTCGCCACGTAAAGTCGGTACAGTGGATGTGTCACACCTTTGATGTTCCTCTCACACCTTTGATGTTCCTCTCACACCTTTGATGTTCCTCTCACACCTTTGATGTTCCTCTCACACCTTTGATGCTCTTCTCACACCTTTGATGCTCCTCTCACACCTTTGATGTTCCTCTCACACCTTTGATGTTCCTCTCACACCTTTGATGTTCCTCTCACACCTTTGATGTTCCTCACACACCTTTGATGTTCCTCTCACACCTTTGATGTTCCTCTTACACCTTTGATGTTCCTCTCACACCTTTGACGTCCCTCTCTTGCGAAGCCCTTTATTTTCATCGATTTTTTTAAGCTACACTCAAAAGTTAAAAATTCAGTCTGGAAGTTGGTGCACAGACTGCCTCGTTTGATTCTAACTTATTTTTTAATTAGGATTTTCCAACTATCATAAAGCCTGGTTTCCACTATTGGTTTAACGCGACAAACGCGACAACGATTAACTTCAATCACGATAATCCCATATGAGAACGTGGTAATAATCGCAATAAACGGCGACTAACAATCGCCGATTTTTGATATTTATTCGCGTTAATCGCCAAAATGACGTCATCTTGAATAAACATTTAGGAATTCAAGATGGCGAATCCAAAAACATTGTTTTCTTTTCTACGATGCCTTTCTACGGCGTCTCTGTCGCCTCCATAAAACATATGCTACTGCAATTACTACCAGATCGTGTTTTTTTTACAGACGCTATTTCACAAAATAATCGCCATCCGACATAATGTAAACAACACGTCGAGTCGGGCAACCATTGCGAATAAAAGTTATCGCTGTCGCTTTTATCGCGATAAACCAATAGTGGAAAACAGGCTTAACTGACCTATACTTGGCGACTAACATAGTTTAGTTATTAGCCAATCACAATCCAGTACTCAGATATAAGGAGCTCGTATATCTTTTAGCCCAAATCTTTGGACGATTTTCTCGAAGCGTCAAATCTCGTCTTCATCGCTATATTTATCTTGGAAATGATCGTTAAAATCGCAGGAGGCGGAATACGCTCTTACATCAGCAAATGGTTTAACATCTTCGATGGATTCATCGTCCTTTCAAGGTTTTGAAACTTTTGATAAATACTTACCACTGAACTGAATATAGCTGGACTACTACCTTCCGCCAAAATTTGAAGACAGCAATCCAACTAGTCCAAGTCTTTCCACGCGCGGCCAAAAAGTTGTTTTACGACAATAAGCTGAAATGCGGGATTTTACCACCAGACACGCGTGTCTGGTGGTTAAAGTTTGGCTTCATACAATACAATGTTTTCCTAAAGGTAGCATTCCAGTTATACATTTAGTTCAACGATACTTAATTATCATTGAAAATAATTGACTTTTTATTGGCCTACAACGAGTAATGTCTTACCAAGCTTTGATATTTCACTAAAAAGATCAAGCAAATGTGAGGTTGATATAAGTTTTTTTGTGTGACATTAGACCCTCAGATGTACAACATTTCATGCGCTGAGTGGATTACAAACGATATACAATATGGAACATAAAGTTATGATCTTTCATCTTTAATGAATTTGGCACATGAAATGTTTGGCTTTTTAAAGTGTCCGCACGTCTACCAAAACCACTAAACTATGTAGTAACGGGATGTTAAAAGTTTATGTGAGTGTGTGTGTTTGTGGGGGGAGGGGGTGGGGGATGAGAGCCAAAGCATCATTGGGTCTGACCTGTGGCGTAACTAAAATCTACAATTGTCTCAAGTTTAAAAGAAGATTCGATGATAAGCAATTTGATCGCTAACCGTAGGTAAATGTATTTTCTAATTTCAAAGACTTTCTTGGGTAGGCAAAACGTACAGTTTCTCTTGGTCTCCGGCATTAAGTGTCAATTATGTCATGCTAAAATTGATTTTCATTAATTATTTTAGCTTTATTGAGGTGGTTTTGCAAAAGGGTAGTGGTGGCCTGTCCGTGTTGCGTAGCGTGAGACTACTGCGCATATTCCGTCTCATTCGACCAATCAGGCATCAGCTTATTGTGATGGTACATACGATGACGAGTGTCATGACATTCACCGCATTGTTGTTCTTATTCATGTTCACGTTCGCCGTCTTGGGAATGAAACTTTTTGGCGGGAAGCTCTTGTTGCCGCGCTCAGATTGTGGAGACTGGGAAACAGTTCGAAGTAATTTCGATACATTTCCTTCTGCTCTGGTGACGATATTTCAGGTATTCGTGATTATTGTTTAGTTGCAGTTTCAACAAGTTTTATTTCATCCCTTCCATTCTATGTTAAGGCCCGTCTACACGGTCCGATTTTTTCGGATCCAAAAAATAGAATCATGTGAACACATATAAAGCGAGCCCCCGAACTTGCTCTATTTTCATCCAATAAGATCAGAGGAAGCCAACTAGCCCCAGACTTCTCACTCTCCATACTTCCCAAATTAATTTCGGCGCGAAAAATTAGATTTGAAAAAGACTTCAAATCAGAACCGAAAATATCGAATCCGACAAATCGGATCGTGTGAACGGACCTTTAAAACTATAAGAAGTGTTCTGTGTTGATATTTGCGACATAAATATTGTTTTTATTGTGCATTCACGCTGTGTTGGGTTCATGGTAAGTTAAAAAAGAATAGACTACGGCTGCTCAATTTAATAATGAAAATGCAATGACATAAAACTGTTCGTTAAAGAATAAAATTTAACCAATCCAGTTGCTTCTAAGGTATTTGACAATGTAAATACATCCAAAAATGAGCTCAGGTAAGTTTTTTTACCTACCCTAGATCCGCGCCTGTTCACTTCTAGTCTAGGGGTTAGCTCCGTGGGGGGAGGGGGTAGGGGCATCTGACCACGGTTGGTAAACAGTGTGACATAAGTTGTTTGATGCGGTGTTGCCGGTAAACATCAAGTTACCATAGATATTGCAATTTTATCAAGAGACTGTACTACAGTCATGTGTTTGTCGGTAAAAGTACACATTCCCCCTCACTCAAAAATGTGAAGCTACGTCGCTGCCTCTGTTATCAGTAATGAGAATGACTGTGAGCAACTTTTCACCCATGTTTGCATGCTTAAACTGACCATTTTTAATGTTAAGTTGACCTTTAATTCGATTCAAAGACTTTATTTTGTGATTCAAGTTTTCTCAAAGCGATCTGCTCCTTCTCACTTCACCAAACCATATTAGCAAACCGGCCATTGACTTCATACAGGTGCTGACTTTGGAAGACTGGAATATCGTCATGCAGAATGCAATGCGTTCAACCAATCACTGGGCGGCAATCTATTTCATATTTTTAACGGTTATCGGCTATTACGTTCTCTTCAACCTCCTTGTTGCTATATTAGTAGAAGGATTTACGAATCCTTTGGTAAGGATGAAATATTTCATGGAAATTATTCTTTGTGTTGTATGATATTTTTGTGCACTTTATACTTTATCAGTCAATGCTTTTGCACAATTTTGCTCCGAGTCTTATCTGTCAATTCACATTCTTTAATTCAAGCGTGCAGAACAAGAAAAATATCTTTAGCGGTTTTTTTTAGCTTCGAGAGTGGAACACAAAAAAACCCGAAGAAGATGAAAAGGTCAACGAGGCTAAAACAACCAGAGATTGGCTTACTTTGATAAAGCAAGCTAAAGAAAGGTCTAATGACCTTTCTGAAGACAAAACCAACGATTCAAATAAGGTTTCGGATTTTGAGAATGAAAATATGTCAAAGACGAGAAGCGTCACTGAAACGCCATCAAAATTGTGTTCTTCGTCTGTAGAGAAAACCAAATGGAAAAGTGCAGATGGATGTAATTGTTTTGACGCAAAACTGAAGGCAGCTTCTGTCAAGTTAAGAAATGCGAAAAATAGTATGAAAGAATGGTGGACGAACAATCAAGGAAGCTCCTATACCGGGAGAAAGGACTCCTATACCGGGAAAAAGGATCCGTACAGTTTCAACAACATGTCATTTTGTCCAACAATTTCAGGTGAAGTTAAATCATCTTCAAAAGATGAAGAGGGCGAACTTGATAACATGATGAAGAGCAAACATGATGTGCAAGACGGCCGTGTATCATGTGTTGATAAAGGTTTTTTACACGGGGTTAAACGAAGCTCTCCTCAGGTGAATCCAAAAATTGTTGTTATCGATGAAGATAGCGTCATTCATAGGACTGGTGACGAACGAAGCTCTCCTCAAGTGAATCCAAAAATTGCTGCTATCGATGAAGATGGCGTCATTCATAGGACTGGTGACGAACGAAGCTACCAATCACAAAACGAAGAGGTATTATAAAATATAATGTAAAATCATAAATTTATGTAGATTTAGCATTGTCATTGCTATTATGAATAAAATTTGTCACCATATTTTCGTCGGACGCTAGATTGGCTATTTTATGTCATTCATGTCAAACTTGATTATAATTAGGTCTAAACAACATGTAAAACTCGTTTTATTTCAGAAAGATCGTTGTCTCTCCATGTCCAAATCTCTTTTCATTTTCGATGTAAATAGTAAATTACGTCGCGTGATCACATCCATCACAAGTAGCAAAGTTTTCGATGGTTTGATTCTCTTCCTCATCGTGTTAAGTTGTGCTTTTATGGTTTTTGATCACCCACCTGACGCTGAACCCAAGGTATCATATTTTATAAGTATACTTTATATGTCAATTGTTGTAAGTCTAAAGTAAATGGTTTGAACCCGGGAGTATCGTTACATGTTTGTGAATGTAGATCGTCCAGGTTGGTATAGTCCTGAAAAGGACTGTTTTTGTTGTTGTTGACTGACTTTTCGACAACCTTAGCGGTAGTCATCGAAACGTCAGTCAACAACAACAAAAACAGTCCTTCTCAGGACTATACCAACCTGGACGATCTACATTTACAAACATGTTGTAATTCTGTAAATGTCTAACATTTAAAAGTCATCGGGGTGCCTTTCTTTTATATACCTCACCTCCTTCCCCCTAAACAAAAAATGTGCTCTGGAGTTTAATAATCATTGAACTAAACTACATGGAACGCTACCTGAAGTAAATAATTGAAGGCGAATCTTACACCAAGACACGCGTGTTTACACCCAGACACGCGTGTTTAGTGTTTCGAGGTTCTCTCGCGTGGTGAAAATTGATTGAAGTACACACGCGTGTCTGAGTGTAAAATTTTGCTTCAAAACTATTAGACTTTTGTATTACAGGTAGCGTTCCATGTATTTTAGTTCAATGTTAACAAGTGACCATTCCGCAATTTTACGTTATTTTGTCATCTTTTGTGTTATTTTCCGACATCAGCTATTCAAGGCTGCATAAAATATTTAATTTTCTCGGACTGAAAGCGGCCAGCGAAAATGTTTTCTGCAAAAAGAACGCGCGCCCAGCGAAAATATTTTCTGCAAAAAAAACGCCGCCCAGCGAAAATATTTTCTGCAAAAAACGCCGCCCAGCGAAAATATTTTCTAAAAAAAAACGCCGCCCAGCGAAAATATTTTCTGCAAAAACGCCGCCCAGCGAAAATATTTTCTGAAACGCCGCCTCGTGAAAATTTTTACTCAACAAGTACGAATAGAATCATTTGCATCAATCACTTCTATTAAATGTAATAGATGAACAAAAAGATGGCAAAGATGATTTTTTCTTACTATCGTCTGACTTTCCGAGGGCTGAAACCTGTTGTCTGGCAGACAGTTTGTCTGTATATACACGAAGCTTATTATTTCTTTCTATTTTCACTTTTTATTTCAATCCAGTTTTTCCTTTGAGAGTTCTAACTTTTTGCACTTTTAACAAAAATTTTCCTGGCATCAATGGTCCTACTGTCCGTTGGATTGTTCCCCTCCCCCCCCTGCAGTCATTCTTCACTTTTGTTATTTTGTCATCTCGTGTTATTTTACCATTTTGACCCATTTTCCCACTTCGCACTATTTTGCCATCTTGTATGTTATTTTTCCACCTCAGTTATTATTTACTTGTGTTATTTTGTCATCTCGTGTTGATTTGCCTTCGTGTTGATTTGTGTGTTTTTGCCCTCGTTGATTTGCCTTCTTGTTGATTTGCCTTCTCTTTGCCTTCTTGTGTTGATTTGCCTTCTCGTTATGTTGATGTTGATTTGCCTTCTTGTGTTGATTTGCCTTCTCGTGTTGATTTGCCTTCTCGTGTTATTTAGCATGAGCGTGTTATATTTACCGCCAACTTGGTCTTCACAATTCTTTTTACAATCGAAGTTATTATCAAGGTGAGAGAATATTTTTGTTTTTCCTTCTTTTCATATATTTTTATCCTTTGATTTTGAACTTTATTCCCTGCAACAACTCCTACATTAACTATGTATTTCATCTTGTCAGGTGATCGCTAACGGCTTGGTCCTAGGCCCCAACACGTATTTACGTAATGGATGGAACATTCTGGACTTCATCATTATCGTCGTTTCTTGGTTGCATGTGATTACATCATCGTTTAATTCGACCAGTCCAGGAATATTGGGTTCAGTGAAAGTACTTCGAGCTCTAAGGACTTTGAGACCATTAAGGTGAGTATTAAAGAAGGTGGAACACTTACCTAGAACTCATTGTACTAAATATCTGACTCCGCCAAATTTATATAAATACAAGCGAGGCAAGCCACCATCTTGAAAAGTGCGTGCAAAAACTGACTATATTTATGATTTATATATGCTTTTCTGAGTTGATATACAGTTTCAAAGTTGATAGTGTAGGTTCAATTTTTAAAATGTTTAATAGGATTCGTTTTTTAAACCTTCTTTTAGCTTATTTTTGATTTTGAGTTTTACTTTTTTTTACTTTTCAAGATGGCGTCCTTGCCTCGCCTTGACAATGCCTTCACACAGTAGTAGACTTCTAGAAGACTGGGTTCTAAATCACTGAGGTGGGATGGATGTAATGGAAGACTACGAAATGTTTTTTTTTGGTTTTCTGTAACTCTCGTCCTTATTCTTCTTATATAATGGCGTCATACTTTAGTTAGATGCTTGTAAATGTCGATCGCCCAGGTTGGTATAGTCCTGAGAAGGACTGTTTTTGTTGTTGTTGACTGACGTTTCGATAACCTTAGCGGTAGCCATCTTCAGAGTGTGAAGGGACTACCGCTATGTCGGAACGTCAGTCAACAACAACAAAAACAGTCCTTCTCAGGACTATACCAACCTGGACGATCGACATTAACAAACATGTAACGATACTCCCTGGTTCAAACCATTTACTTTAATACTTTAGTTAGTTCATCATTAAATAATGATTAGGTTGTATGAATACAGACAAAGACATTTAAGGGATCTATAAGTGTTGTATAGAATAGACAAGGGAAAAGTATTATGAATTATGATAAATTATCAATAATCATAAACATTACCTGTTAATTTTTTTATTATTATAACTTAAAACTATAATAAAATTGTTAAAAGGAAAGAAAAGAATATCACATATTGTAATTTTATTTGTTTTTAGCTTTAGAGTTTTTAAACGAGGTCCTTCTTGAAAATCATATGTCATTAGTGCGAAGTTTTCCTCGATAAGGATTGCTACTTATTATTATTATTGTTGTTGTTATTGTTAGTATTATATATTGCTATTACATATTATTATTATTAATTGTTGTATTTAACAAGTATTTAATCTTATTTACATGAAGATATGAAGTATTTAATCTTAATTATATGAAGATATGAAGATGAAGTATTTAATTTTAATTATATGAAGATATGAAGTATTTAATCTTAATTATATGAAGATATGAAGTATTTAATTTTAATTATATGAAGATATGAAGTATTTAATTTTAATTAAATGAAGATATGAAGTATTTAATTTTAATTAAATGAAGATATGAAGTATTTAATTTTAATTATATGAAGATATGAAGTATTTAATTTTAATTTTATGAAGATATGAAGTATTTAATTTTAATTAAATGAAGATATGAAGTATTTAATTTTAATTAAATGAAGATATGAAGTATTTAATTTTAATTGTATGAAGATATGAAGTATTTAATCTTAATTAAATGAAGATATGAAGTATTTAATTTTAATTTTATGAAGATATGAAGTATTTAATTTTAATTATATGAAGATATGAAGTATTTAATCTTAATTAAATGAAGATATGAAGTATTTAATCTTAATTATATGAAGATATGAAGTATTTAATTTTAATTATATGAAGATATGAAGTATTTAATTTTAATTATATGAAGATATGAAGTATTTAATTTTAATTAAATGAAGATATGAAGTATTTAATTTTAATTAAATGAAGATATGAAGTATTTAATTTTAATTATATGAAGATATGAAGTATTTAATTTTAATTTTATGAAGATATGAAGTATTTAATCTTAACTATATGAAGATATGAAGTATTTTATTTTAATTATATGAAGATATGAAGTATTTAATCTGTTATAATTTATAAAACAAAATATGAAATGGATTTCAAAATAGCAAATAATAATGGTGATCAATTCAATACCATTCAACACCATTTTTCCAAAGTTCTGACAAATGAAATATAATATAATAGCATTTCTCTGTCAAACCTGAACAAGATATCAAAATCTTTGGATTTTTGAGATTGGATCTACACGCTCCATAAAACGAGCTGCTCATCACAGCGTTTTTAAGAGGTTCAAATTTTGTTTAATGTTTATTGTTTTTCAACAGAATGATCCGCCATGCTCCAGAACTTAAGCTTGTTGTTGGTGCTTTGTTGCGATCGTTTAAACCTATAGGAAACACAGTGCTAATAGCTGGTATATTTTTTGTCGTTTTTGGCATCCTGGGAGTTCAGGTAAGTTCACTTCGATACACTTAACGACATGAACATAGTTGTTACGTTTATGTATGGGAACGTTTGGTTTAATAAAGCTTTTATATCTTTACAAAGCAATAGAGCTAAATGCCGTATAACAGCTGATTTCTATTTCTTAGTTGTTCAAAGGAAAGTTTTATCATTGCAAAGATAATCCAGCTGTGATAACAAAGAAGCAATGCGACGGAGTTTGGATAAATCGCTCTTATAATTTCGACAACCTTGCTCAGGTTTGTTGCTTGCAATCACAGTTTTTTTTTGTAAATGCGCAATTTTACATCGTTAAGTTGAGCGACCAGCTGAATTTATCAAAAGAAAAATTCAATGTGGTTTCTTATCCTTAGGCTTTTGTCACACTGTTTGTATTGGCGACACGTGATGGTTGGGTTACTGTAATGCGTTATGGCGTCGATGCAGTTGCCGTTAATTTACAGGTATGAGTTTTGAATTTTTGACACCCGGTCCGTTGGGAAGGTCCGTCGGAATGATAAGATAAAATGTTTAGCAAGTCTAGTTTGGGCTTACGTAACAAACTTTTTGATTTCTAATTGTTGAAATGCACGCAATCAAACAATATTTCATGTGTTCAATAACAATTAGAGTACTTCTCACATTCAAAAGATCGTGTCCATTTAAATAAATTCGTATTTTTGAGCATTCGGCATTGGCACCAAACTTTTATCATTTACATTGTTCTTGTTTTGTCGACAGCCAAAGGAAAACGAAAATCAATGGAGAGTTTTGTACTTTATAAGTTTCTTAATGACAGTCGGTTTTTTGGTCTTGAATATGATCGTCGGCATTGTCGTTGTTAACTATCAAATGTGTCAAGAGAAGCAAGAACTTGTGGAAAGAAAATCGCCTACCAAAATAACCAAAGACAGCTTAGAAATTACTGATAAAACTGGTAAGAGAACGATAATTCACTTGTTTTTTTCACATGAAATTGTTTTTCGTGATGCTCGTACAGAACAATTCAAGTTCTTCCTCGTTCTTAAATTTTTTAAATTATGCCATCAAAAAGTGCTTTAATTTCATTACTTTAACATTGCTGTTAACTGTAAAAATCCTGTTTACATTTGATCATTGAAAACTGATAAGCAAAGGAAATTCTTTCGTCTTTTAATGATCTATCGTGCCTTTGTAAAGAAATACAGCGGTCTTGGAAATTTTTTTCACTAGACGATCCTGCTGGAGTTCAGCTTTCGTCGTTTCGTCTTCGTTGTTATCGCCTGTGTCATAACGAATACTGGGATATTGCCATCGCTTGTGTTATCGGAGTGAACATAATTCTTATGTCAGTGGAGCATTATGAAATGTCACGGACCTACGCAATCCTACTGGATCTCAATAACTATGTTTGTACAATCATATTCATTTTTGAGGCTTTTATAAAAGTTAGTGCATTTGGATATCGTGGCTATTTTCACGACAGGTAACTAACTTCATAATGTCATGTTTGTTGTATCTCATATCTGACGTGAATTTTGAGAACCTTAGATTTTTAACTTGCTTTTGTTTTACTCTTGTTGAACACATCCTTGAGAAGTGTTTCTTCTCCAGATAACCAGTTGACATTGATTCATAGTTATTCCTGATGTCAGAAATAAACAAGGACTAACAGGGGGGTGAGCAGGCAGAGTGTAAGGTGTAACTATCAGGGGGGTAGAGTGTGACTATCGGGGGGTGTAAGGTATGACAATTAAGGGCTAGCAGAGCATGAGTGTGTAGGGTGTCACTATCAGGGGCTTACAAAGCATGAGTGTGTAGGGTGTCACTATCAGGAGCTGACCGAACAAGGGGGTGTAGGGTGTCGCTATAAGGGGCTTATCGAGCAAGGGGTTGTAAGGTGTCGCTATTAGAGGCTTATCGAGCAAGGGGTGTAGGGTGTCACTACCAGGGGCTGACAGAACAAGGGGATGTAGGGTGTCACTATCAAGGGCTTACCGAGCAAGGGGGTGTAGGGTGTCACTATCAGGGCTTACAAGGGGTGTAGGGTGTCACTATCAGGGGCTTATCGAGCAAGGGATCTAGGGTGTCACTATCAGGGGCTTACCGAGCAAGGGGTGTAGGGGGTCACTATCGAGGGCATTAGGGGCAAGGGGTCACTATCAGGGGCTTGTCGAGCAAGGGGGTGTAAGGTGTCACTTTTAAGGGCTTATCAAGCAAGGGGATGTAGGTGTCACTATTAGGGGCTTATCGAGTTGTCAGTAAAACATTAACTTCGTTTGTTAAACAATTGAAGAACCCCCCTTATCTGAATGCCCAAGGTACACCAATAAGGATTTTGTTATTTCATCAGTTCGAGATGAGATTATCCAACTTTGTCGAATAAAAACGATTTGTTTATGATCATGGCTGTTGAAAATGTTTTTTAATCTTGATTAAATCATTCTAGATGGAATATACTCGATTTTCTTGTCGTCGTGTTGTCCATCGCTGGAATTATTTTAGATGCTTTGCATAACATAGTTTTCCTGAAGCCCACAGTTCTACGTGGTCTGCGCGTTCTCAGAATTATACGAGGTATGACCACTGAACTAAATATATAACTGGAATGCTACCTTTAAATAAGCATGTCTGTATTGGATATAGCTAAACCCAAGCTCCGGACACTCGTGTCCGGAAGAAAAAGTCCCAAATTTTTGCTTACTTTGGTAGCAAACACCATTTGTCTCTTCTGCCCGTGTGTGAAAAGATTGGGACTAGTTTTGGGAGTGGCTTTTAATTTTGGCGGGAAGTAGTAGCGTTCCAGTTATATTGAGCGGGTACGGCAGTCATCAACAGAGACTTTATTATAAGATGAAATTTTGAAAAAATAAACATTACAATTGCTTAGTTCTGAAGCTGTTCAAGATCGCTAAGGGCGTTCGTTCCCTGTTGGATACTGTCATCAAATCTTTTCGTCAGGTATGTAAAATGGATTTCTTCGCACATCAACTTAGGGCTTTGCATTTAATGAAAACTCTTCTTTCTGAATTATTTTGTAACTGCAATTTTGTAAAAGGTGGCCAATCTTTGCCTCGTGTTGTTTCTCATTTTCTTCATTTTTTCATCTCTTGGTATTCAGTTGTTTGGATCATTAGGTGAGTACAGTGACATAGCAAAATTGATAATTGGCAGGGGGGCGCTTTTCTTTTATACATGTTGAAATTCATTAAAAACAATCGTTTCAAAGGAACTCTCCCCCTAATGATCAGGCTTGCTACACCACTTTAGTGTCTCAATATTCTTCCCTAAAGTCATCTAATTCTTCTTTACAGAATGTTCTGACAAATATCCCTGTCACGGACTTGACAAGCATGCCAATTTTCGTAATTTTCCGACTGCAATGTCGACGTTATTTCGAGTAGCTACGGGCGACAATTGGAACACGATCTTCATGGTAATTATGAGGTGCCATTTGATAACACCATTGCTCTGGGCTATTATTAATGTATTTTATTTTAATTCATCACCAAATCAGCAAAAACTGTTTACAATTTATGCATTTAAAATTTTTGATACTTTATGTTGGCTTCAAATCAGACACTCGCTAAATTTTTTGCTATTTATAAGGGTTCTTTTTTGTTGTTTTAGGATACGTTTCGTTCCGTTTGTGATTCGTCAACTTTATGTAAAAAAAATTGTTGCTTTAGTAAGTACATCGCTCCGTTTTATTTTACAACTTTTGTTCTCTCGACGCATTTTGTTTTGCTCAATGTACTCGTCGCCGTTTTGATGAAAGACTTGAAGGCCTCGAGGGAAAACTAGCTGATATTCTTATACACGACACATTGGAAAATCGCGTATTGAAACTCACTTCATCCGCATCGAAGTTCGCCAAAGAATTGACAAAGTCGAGAAGAGTAAAAATGCACCATAAAAATCGCGATAATCACATTGAACTAAAGAAAGTACGTATTATTTCGTCAAAACACGACTAAGCTCGGTATAATTTGCAAAAATCTTTCGGCAAATTTTCACGCAAAGAATTTTGGAAAGTAGTATTGGAGAATAGTGATAAACTTTTAGTGGGAACTAAAGACATTTATATGTCTTTAATTATTATGAATAACGATTTATTGATCGATAATTACGATCAATTAAGCTACTAATTGTTCTTAAAAAATTAACGAGGATTCGTTGGATTCCTTTATTGAAAATAACTTAAAAATGACAACCATTACACAGCACATAACTTTTCAACAGTAACGTTTTATTTTCGTCACATCGACTAACTAAACTCTCGTAGACTTTTAAATATTAACAAGTCATTTCAAAAAGTCATTTTTGTTGGATAACACGTATTTTGGAATAAAAGGTTTGCCGATAACATGAATAAATTTGCGTTCGTGATAAGGTCCAGATTTCCCCAATGCCCAAGGATAGGGTTCAAGTAGTTCCTTCGTGTATTTCACTTTGCCTTCCACTAAGGCAAACAGGGTATGGTCGCGACCAACTCCTACCTAAAAAAAAGACGAAAGAACAGCAGCAAATAACACTAGCCAAAATAATTTATATAAAAGAATAGCATTTAATATTTTGGTCGTACGTTTTCACCCGGATGAAATCTGTAGCCTCTCTGTCTATACAATACAGTTCCTGGTATAACGTGTTCGCCTATGAAACAAAATTGATAGTGTTATGAACAATATTTTCCACATAGGAAAGTCAACATTGATATACGCAGCTTACTTATGCATAAATGTATCGCATTCGTTGTCCTAACCAACGATTACAAAGATATTGACGATATAATTAAGTTCAGATTACATGAAATAAAATACCTTCGCTTCTTTTTGCACCCAAATGTTTTGCTTTTTGTCTTTTACCTTGACTTTTCGTACTACCGCCTGATTTTTTTGACGCATAGCGAGCGAATTGAAGGGAGAATGGCGTCCAAAACAAGCCTAAAGCACGTAGAAGGCCTTGAGGAATATTTTCGGGTCGAAATCGAAAAAGATAATAGCGCTTTCAACTCACCAGGCAAGCGTAAATAACCGCATACGGTCAAATTCTTCCCGACGCAGGCAGCCATATTGAAATCCGCGCATATAGTGAGTGTAGAGAGAACTTGTAACGAGGAAGGTTTATTTACATTTGTAATTTCTAATTTCATAATAGAATTCAATTTTATATTATTTAGAATTTTTCGTCGGCAATCAGTACAATTTATGACCGATTTCATCATGTTTACATATTTAATATTATTACAAAATCTAAACATATTTATTAAATTTGAATAACTTGGTTTCGTTTTTCGTATTCCGTGTAAGAAACAAGCAGTGTTAATTAGTAAATTATGTAAATAAATCCCTTCTCACTGCTTACAAAAATGGCCACCGGACTGAAGTCCTTTGGGCTTCATTACATAATCTTTATGACACACCTGGCTATACTAACAGCTGACTACGCTTACATTGTCTTACCAACGGATAAAGTTTACGCAGGTCGCTTTAAATTTCTTACATTTTGGAGCTTTTTGATCGGATTTGCTTACTACAACGTCGCGGCAGTAATGGACTTCCTTGCTTATACGCGTGGCAAAGAAAGCAGTCTTTGGGTAAAGATTAGCGACTACATCTTTACGACAATCGTATTTCCATTGGCTATGTTTGTCTGTTCCATGTTTTGGATATTATACACAGCAAATCCGAGCTTTATGAGAGGTCCGGAAGAAGATAAAATTATTCCAAAATGGATGAATCATGGCTACCACACTGTTCCAATTATGGCCGCCTTTCTCGAAGCCTATTCCATCAGGCACGTGTACTCTCGTATAAGAGCTGCTGTTGTCGGGATTTTTGCGTTGAACTCTGTCTATATAATTTGGTTGTTTTGGATTGCATATCGTGCCAACATATGGGTGTATCCAATCCTCCAAAGGATGTCTTTATTTGGTGTGTTCGTCTTTATTGGCGTATGTGTTCTACTCTCTTTGGTCTTGTACATGATTGGGAGAAAATTCAGTGAATTTGTGTGGCAAGGTAGCAAGAATAAATCACGATAGCTTTGGTAATTATATGGTAAAAAATATATTTTTTCTAGAAATTTATGAAATTGAAGAATGAGCTGGTGTGAATCTGATGTGGGATTATAGTACTGGCAGAAAGGGTCCATTTTTACAATGACTTTAGCAACAGGAACTAAATATTTTTTCAACAGAATAATTTTAAATGAAATTAAAATGAATTCAAATCATTGTTTTGAAATAAAACTACCGTGTCTCTTTCCTCGCTCAGGATGACCATTAGGTAAACGGCAATTAAAGTTGTGTTCAAAAGAAATTCTTTCTCTCCTAATTTGTGGCTGTTTTTCTGCCTTCCTTGATTTTTCAGTATCATCTTTCGATGATTTTACATATTTTATGATATCAATTGGTTGGTAGTCTGATCGGAATGTTGAATCTAGAGAATATTTTGGCAACTTTTTCTTGATCTTTGGTATTTTATCAGGCCACCAATTTCCTTCTTCATTCTTTACGGATCTCGTTTCTACACAGCAAAATGGTGTGCAGAGAGTCCTTGAGTTTTTGTTGTTAAAATTCACGGATGTTGGTTGTGGTTTGTGGCGTCGCCCTGGTGATGTGATGCGAATTTCTGCTGGTGGTATATCAAACTTTGTAAAATCGTATTGGTAAATGGATCTACTGAATGGTGACTCATCGTTTAAGTCTGTGCTGAATATTTTAGTCTTGCTGTCACTGAAAAGAAAAACATTTTTAACACCGTACATTAAGAATGTTTTCTCAGAATTTTACATTTAAAATTTTTTTGCTGATTTTTTATTTCATCTCAGCCAAAATGTATAGCGAATTTTATGCTGTGTTTCCAAAAAATGTAGCAACTGAAGGTTACTTGTGCAAGTCCAACTGCATGCGCCCTAGTTCGTTCATTCATTAATATCATCTATCCTCTGAGATGATTAAAGAATTTTAAGCATTTTCAAACTAACTTGGTAACACCTCCCGTTCATAATACATGTCTGAAGTCTATTAAAACTCGTGAGTGTGAATGTAAAATGTCCAGAGAAGAATAATTGGTGTGTTATATATTGTAAACATTTGGAAGTCAAATCTATATTTATAAAATATTACTTCACATGGACGTAAATACTAAACGCTGAGTGGCGAAAAAGTTGCAATTCTCAACTTCATCAAAACATTTGATAGCAAAATGGGCCTTAAACGGCTTGCTAGCACATTCGAATGATACGCCATCTAACATTTTGCCGTTATTCAAACTCGTAAATACATGAAAAGCTACCTCAATCTTCGATCCGCTTTCTTTTTTCGAGAAATTGGTGGTAAATATATCGACATTTTGTCTTAATCCTTAATCTCGACCATGTTTTCGTTATCGTTCCACGAGGGTTGCTATGCAACGAAGTCAATTATCTCCAATTTCCGCGTCAATGAATTTGCCGGGTCGTGCAATTTTTGCGTCCTAAACATTCTAATTATGTAGAATTGGATGCATAATTGTAGGAAGTAATTTCGAAATGTTCAAATGTTTTAACCACATTTAAGTATTGCTTGAATTATTTCCAGTCGAAAATCGTTGCTTTTACATGCTGAAGATTAATATTTTTACAGTCTGGCGATAGGTGATGATTTACTACATCGACACGTCGCCGACCTCGTGTAAAATGCGATCAAAATAAGCCTTTCAAGTGCTTTTTTTATAGTCTACTGAGCATAAATCATTCTCTTGTACAAATTGTACATATTTCAAATTATTTTCGAAGTGGCATTTCGAACTTAAGAGGACGCTGAATGAACACTGGAGATTGAACTGATAGCCGACAGTAGGTCAAAGTTGTCTTTTTTTTTAATAAAGTATTCGACAAAGTGTAATTTTTAAGACGCCACGAGGTTCTTATATGATTATGATATGTATTTAAACAACTATTGCATCACAATTGCTCACATGTCAATATGGCGATAACGTGGTGCTCATCTGAAGGCGGTTTCAAAATTCACGATAATAACAAACTCAGTGGTTGTTTTGTCAACACATTACTGTTTTTGCCAACGGCTATTGTTGTGCTTGTAATACTTCCAGTTTTAACTGTATTGCTGCGAAGACAGTGGAAGATTTTCGGTCAGTCTTGCATACGATTTAAAAATCATTCGTGGAGATGGATACTGACTTTACTTCTTGTATTATCGTTCGTTGCCAAAATTGGAGAGGGGTTTATGTATCAACAAAGAATTTCAACAACTCCACTTCATTTGTACATACCTCACATATTCTCCGTTTTTTCCCTCGTTGTTGTGACAATATATTATGATGTGATAGAAGTCAGTAAGACTTTCGCCATTAAAAAACTCTCCCTTATTTTCGTCTATTGGTTGAGCGGCGTTATAGTTTGGCTCGTAAAGTTCGTGCAACTTTACCAAGTCGACGGACCGTATGACTTACGACTGTATACAAGTATCGCCATACTTGTTTTTTACATTTTGCTGCTAATTTTAGAAAAGCGGGTTATTTTCTCACATTTTCCCCAAAGAACCATCACTTCTTTATGGAAAAGAGCAAATGAAAGCGAAGCCGAACATGACGAGTGTCAGGAATTTTCGGAAGGAAAAATTAAATTCGTGCATAATTTTTCCAATTTTTTGTCAAGATGCACTTTTTCGTGGTTTTTCGACACCTTGAAACTTGGAAGCAAGCGCCCTCTTGAAATGGAAGATCTTGGAAATCTGCCTTTTGAAGATAAAGCTGATGCGAATCACAAAAAATTTGCTAAATTTTGGGAAGAAGAGAAGAGTCGAGCGATCGAGAAAAAAACCTCTCCATCTTTATGGAGAACATTTTTCGTTGCATATCGAAGACTTATACTAACTGCAGCATCATGTAAACTTGCAAGTGATCTGCTTAGCTTTATAGGACCTTTATGTCTTAAACAAATTGTGCGTTTTGTTGAAGACTCTTTGAAGTCCAACAGTGATGAAGTGAAACCAAAATCTGAACATGATGTGTATATGTCTTCATCAGATTTCTTTGGAAATGGCTATGTATTGTCAGTTGTCATTTTGCTTGGTACTATCGCATCTAGCACATTCAGTCAGCAATATTATTACTATGCACTGAAGTTCTCAATGAATTTGCGGGCTTCATTACAGGTAAATATTGAATCATAGATTTTTTGTCATGCACAATAATATTTTGTGTACTTTGCATGATCAACAATCTTTGCAACTTGTTTATTATCCCTAGGTTTTGATATACAATAAAGCTCTAAATCTTTCAAGCTTTACCATATCTGGAGGCAAAATGGATTCTGGACAGATTGTCAATCACATATCAACTGATGCACAAAATATAACCATGTCAGTCACATTCTTGCATAATGCATGGTCGGCCCCTCTCATGTTGCTGCTTGCCTTAGCTATGATTGTGAATGAGCTAGGAATAGCAGCTGTTTTTGGTTTTCTCGTACTTTTGATTTTGGTTCCTGTGAATTATTACTTGGCAACAAAGATGGGCATTTATCAAAAGAAAGGTTTAGGTAAGGACAAGAAAGTCTATTTTTTAGAGATGATTTTGACATGGTTAATTGAAATTGACATGTGCATTGATCAAAATAGATTTTATTGTTGCTAAAAGTCATTTTATGTGATTACCAAGCACTTTAAATTAAGGTGTTAGTGATGAACGGCTAAAAAACACAAACGAAATGTTACAAGGGATTAAGCTGTTGAAGCTGTATGCTTGGGAGGGATGGTTTTGTGATCTTATTGAAGACATACGAACACGTGAAATGTCTGTTAAAGTAAAACTGCCCTTCTAAATGGTCTAGTTTCTTTTGTGACCACATGCACATCAACAACTGTCGCCTTAGTTATGTTTGTGAGTTATGTTAAAGTTACTGGTGAGGAGCTCACTGCATCCAAGGCCTTTGCATCTTTGGCGCTCATCAATCTTATGAAGGTAAGGATGTTTTTCATTACAACCTTATATGGCATGACAATGGCAAATTTGCATGTTACCACCAACTGACTGATGGAAACTAAAAAAGTTTGTACTGCAAAAATTATGCACTTTTCAATCAAATGCATTTCAAGTTGAGTCCATCTAACTGAAACCTTGCAATTTTTTGAGATGTGTGCCTGAATATTGGAGAGAATACCTTTATGTCTTGTTTGTTTTGCTTTCTTCTTATTGAAACGAAAATTTTAACGAGTGCCATATAATTGAACACAATCTTTAAAGTGACATTGGAGTTTCATAAATATTTAGTGGAAATCTCTTTTCTTTCTCAAAAAATTTAACCATTCGTTTACGTTGCCAAGACGTCGTTGCATAATGAGACGCCGCAAATTCCTGATAATTCTAGTTAATTATGCAGTATGTGACGTCATTGCTTGCGTAAATCACTAAATTGGACATTCCACCATAGGCCGTCCACAAATAAGACATCACGGGCTTATTATTTAAGAAATAAAAGATGTTTTCTGTGTTTCCACAGACTTGTGCAAACCGAGGAGACCTTTTGGAGAACTCGAGAGCAGATCTGTGCAAGCCCGAGACCGAGTTGCACATGCTCGAGAGTTCTCAAAACGTCTCCGTGTTCGCTACTTCATGTTACTATGTAATATCAATTTACAATTCAATTCACTAGCTTCCGTTATTTATACTTCCGTTGATGGTTCGTACTGTTGTTAACGCTCGCGTAAGCACTAAACGTCTCCTGCCTTATCTTATTGCTGCTGAGGTCAGTCACTTAAGGGACGAAGCACCTGTCTGCGCTATACAAGATGATACTGACGGACTGGGCCCTAATGATTTTAAAATGACGCCGTTAAAGAAGAACATAACAAGGGTTGATCCTGTTCTTTCTCCCGGCAGCCCAACCATTGAGGTCAAAGTTAGGTTTCCTAACCATCTCCCTACATTGGATCATGAATCTGTGATGGATGATTCATCAGAAGATGATTCATCAGAAGACAAAACTTCCCCTGATTTTTGCATCTCGCCGAGTATTGGCGTTGCTATTAACCACGCAAGTTTTACATGGGATCCCGAGGCAAAGCAGCCAACTGTTAAAGATGTCGACGTGAATGTACCAAAAGGAAAGTTGACGATGATCGTTGGACCTGTTGGTAGTGGAAAATCATCACTAGTGAGTCGTATCTTGTTGCATGTGATATGCGTTTTGGTCACACGTGTTGTGCAGTTTGTTGACACGTGTCATATAGTTAGGGTGCAAATGCTTTACAGTTCGGTTGCACGTGTCATTGAGTTTGGTTGCACGTGTCATAGAATTTTGTTGCACATGCTTCAGAGTTTGGTTACACGTGTCATTGAGTTTGGTTACACGTGTCATACAGTTTGGTGGCACATGATATGCAGTTTGGTTACACGTGTCATATACCTGGTAGTAGGTTTATTTTATATCGTATAGAAGTAAGTATTATAATTGTTTCGTGTGTTTGTGAATCTAATTTTTACAGTCTGTCTACAGGTGCATGCATTGCTCGGTGAGATGACATTACTTGATGGACAAGTGTTATGGGCGAATGACGTAACGGTTGCTTATGCTGCTCAGAAGGCGTGGCTGCTGAACAATACGGTGAAAAATAACATATTGTTTGGTCAGCCGTACATCCGTGAACGATACGAGACCGTGTTGCAAGCATGCGTATTGCAAAGTGATTTGGCTGTTCTTCCCGCTGGTATGTGTTGATTTAATGGGGCAGTTAGGTATTCTGGGGAGTAAATATTGCCAGATATGTTTGATTTATTGGAGCAGTAAAGGATCCTGGGAAGTGAATATTGCCAGATATTTTTTATATATTGGAGCAGTTGGGGATTCAAGGGAGTAACTATTGCCAATTATGCATTATTTATTGGAGCAATTGGGGATTTTGTGGAGTGAAGATTGTTAGATGTGTGATTCCTTGGAGCAGTTAGGGATTCTGGGAAGTAAATATTTCCAAACATAAAAATATTCAACTTTTATGTTTGTGTATTTGAAATTGACATCACGCACTTTTTGACAGGCGATGAAACAGAAATTGGTGAAAAAGGTATAAATCTAAGTGGAGGTCAGAAACAACGAATCAGTATCGCACGAGCAGTTTATTCCGGCGCGAATTTTTCATGTTTGATGATCCTTTGTCTGCGTTAGATGCGCACGTGGCTCAACACGTGTTTGAGCAAGCGATAATGAAAATGCTTGTCCAGCGGGGTTGTACAGTAGTTTTGGTGACACATCAACTTCAGTACCTCTCCAGGGCTGATAACGTAATTGTGATGAAAGATGGCCGAGCTGTTATTTGTAGTAGCTTCAGAAATGTGGAAAAAACAAATTCGGAAAACGTGAAAAGCGCTTTGACTCTAACAAGACAACAGTCAGTTACAATTGAAAATCAGGTTTTGGTGGTATTCATTTTTGCCGTCCCCAATGTCAGGTGGTAGCATTGACCTAATATACCTGGAACGTTACCTGTAATACAAAAGCCTAATAATTTTTGAAGCCGTGATTTTACGCCAGACACGCGAGATTTTACCCCAGACACGCGTGTGTAGTCAATGAACTACTACTCCGCGAGAGAATCTGGAAACACTACACACGCGTGTCTGGGTAAAATCTCGCGTGTCTGACGTAAGTATGGCTTCAATTATTTGCTTCAGGTAGCGTTCCATGTATTTTGGTTCAATGGTTGGTAGTTGTCAACAATTTAACATTGAATATTCCAATGCTTAAAATACTGGGTTAACAAATTGCAGTAAATATCACTTGCGCACACTGACACGATCACTGACCTTGTTATCGTCGGCTCAGATCTTTTTATGTTTGTGTGAGGGGGGGAGGATGGGAGGGGTAGGTAGTTATTGTAATCTTTTGCTAAAATATCCATTACATAAAGTACCACTCATATCCATTACATAAAGTATCCATTACATAAAGTACCACTCATATCCATTACATAAAGTATCCATTACATAAAGTACCACTCATATCCATTACATAAAGTACCACTCATATCCATTACATAAAGTAACATTTGTTGTTCACCTCGATGTTCCAAAAATAGTTTTAGTTCTTTATAATCTTCGTCCATGTCTCTATAAGACCGCTGTGCTTCATATCGATTTCTACTACTTAAATCAACTCTGCCTTTGAAATTGTGCAGTATTGTTCCCAGGTACCCTTCATCATGTCCGCATTATGCATTTAATTTAGTTACATGAAGTAGAAGAGTCGGACGTGCACAAAGAGCGATATCATACCTTTGCAGATGAAATCGAGGAAGCTGGTGAAGACGATGAAGATATGGGCGAGAAAGGCAAGCTTATTACGAAGGAAGAGCGAGAGAAAGGCGCCGTCGCTTTGCGAGTTTATGTTCGTTACATCAAAGCTTGTGGGCCTTTATTTTTTCTTTTATCGATGTTTCTAGCTGTTGTGTCTCGCGGTGAGTCAGATTGATGTTATTTGCTGGGGTGCAGCTACTAAGAAGATGGGTGCAGGCACCAGGGAGGGGGCGCGGCTACTCGGGGGGGGAGGGTGGGTGTAAAGGAATGTGGCATCAATGTTACCGTCCTTAGATGATGGGTTGAATTGTGAGGAAAATTCTATTAGTACGATATACCGTCAGTTAAAATTAAATTTACAATAAAATTTTCTCTACTCTAAACTCGACCCTTCAATAAATTCATTGGTTTCACCAAACCTGATGATGTAATACAAATTTATTCAGGAAAACTTCGGTCACGTCTTCGTTGGTATAGTCACGAATATTACATCCCTCCCCTCCCTAATCAAAATATCAGACCACGCCACTATGTACTATTTTCTAACGAACTATTCTTAGCTAGCTCTCCAAAATACTGTAAAACTCAGAATACAAATTAATATCATGATTCTGATTCTTATTCAGACGACCATTTTAGAATCATAAAGAAATGCCGTTCATTCTTTCAGTTACGCGTCATGTAGTCTGTTTTAATTAAGTTAACCAATCCCGTCCTCTGCCGACAAAAGGATTATGTTTTTAATTTATCCCAGTTTTGAGCGTCATCTCACCTTTTGGAGATGACCTACACTCTTTCTTGGCATTATAAATATCGGTAGATTGTAAATTTTCATTTAGCAGACGTTGACACCTGAGGAGTAGTCTGCCGAAATGCATCGTATCGTTTAATTTAGAACTGGTTTATTGGCTTAGTGCTCTTTACTAAAAACAGTTCTTTTAAGAACTATCAACATATTATATTACTTTTACCATTCACTATGGTATTTGCTATCTTTAGAACTATTTTCAGATTTGTCACCACGACAAAGTCTCTATTTTATAAATTAATATCCGATTACAAATTGAAATCGGCAAACCGAAGTAAAGCTACTATTTTTTTATGTAGGATCAATTGTTGGCGCGGATTGGTGGGTTTCTATTTGGTCATCAGACAAAGCAAGTGGCAACAAAACTGCCAATCGCGATGTTAGTTACTATTTAAATGGTTACGCTATGATATCCATCTCGGCTGTTGTCATCACCTTTTTCAAATCAATCTCCATTGCTCTGTGCTGTCTTCGCGGCGCTAAACTTTTACATATACGCATGCTCAGACGTGTCATCCAATCACCAATGAGGTTTTTCGATACCACTCCCATCGGCCGAATATTGAACAGGATGTCTTCGGATACTACCGCCATTGATAGTGTGCTTCCTAGTAAGTACACTTGCGTCAACTTAGTCTGACATGTCTTCGGATACTACCGCCATTGATAGTGTGCTTCCTAGTAAGTACACTTGCGTCAACTTAGTCTGACATGACTTATTTCCACTTAAGAATTCTTTTTTCATAAATAGTTTCGTAGTTTATAAAAATAGTCGCCTCCCAGTTTTCATTGACTGAACACAAATCAACAGCATCAGATCGAGGCAGACAATGAAAACATCTTGGATTAGTTGTTTCTACGAAACAAAAAAATTTGAGACGATCCACCGCTTAGACTGTTGTGTGTTTCCACGTACAAGAATTTATTTTTCAAAGAAAAACCCAAATGTTCCTAACCCTTGTCATCTGACTTGATGTTTCCGTTTTTTTCTTTAATAGTGGTTGTTCAGAATATGATCCATACCTGCTTGAGCGCGCTGTCTGCTTTAATCGTTCAGGCTGCCGTAACTCCTTTTTTTCTTCTTGTTGTCCTGCCGTTCTGTGTGGTGTATTATTTTCTTCAGCGTTTTATCAGGTGAGATAAGGAATTCGTCATATTTTAGATGTTTTATAATTTACATTAGGGTATTGCTGCCTTTATGAGCTAATGACTTTGGTGTAGGCAAAGGAGTATAAAATATAACTTGTATTTCTTTGTCTGATACATTCCTAAGCGAGTGTAAGACTTTTTGAGTGGATGTTTCCAAGTTGCACTTTTAACACAACTGGCTTGAGTGCGTGTTCGAAGATTTGTTTGTGGAAACCAGATCCTTCTTTGTGGCGGTAATCATCTTCGTACTCAAATCTAAAGCTCTCTAACGTTATTTTTGTACGTTGCAAGTCTGTTTTTCTTGATTAAAGACGCGTCATTGTAACGTATTTTTTGTACGTTGCAAGTCTGTTTTTTTGGATTAAAGACGCGTCATTGTAACGTTATTTTTGTACGTTGCAAGTCTGTTTTTCTGGATTAAAGACGCGTCATTGTAACGTTTTTTGTACGTTGCAAGTCTGTTTTTCTTCATTAAAGACGCGTCATTGTAACGTTATTTTTGTACGTTGCAAGTCTGTTTTTCTTGATTAAAGACGCGTCATTGTAACGTATTTTTTGTACGCTGCAAGTCTGTTTTTCTGGATTAAAGACGCGTCATTGTAACGTATTTTTTGTACGTTGCAAGTCTGTTTTTTTGGATTAAAGACGCGTCATTGTAACGTTATTTTTGTACGTTGCAAATATGTTTTTCTGGATTAAAGACGCGTCATTGTAACGTATTTTTTGTAAGTTGCAAGTCGGTTTTTCTGGATTAAAGACGCGTCATTGTAACGTTATTTTTGTACGTTGCAAGTCTGTTTTTCTGGATTAAAGACGCGTCATTGTAACGTTATTTTTGTACGTTGCAAGTCTGTTTTTCTGGATTAAAGACGCGCCATTGTAATGTTCTTTATTTATGTTAAACACTCGCTTGTGGTGAATACCTTTCGTTCAAGCTTGACCAGAGTAAACGTACTGAGTTGGAATGTTGTTCATTATTGAAATTCAGGTGATCTTCCCGTGCGAAGAATCATTGGGATAAATAATCATTGAAAATTTTTGAATTTTTTCCAGTAACCAAATTTCGCGCTAAATACGGTCTCTTTATGATAGAATTTTAAAAAACTATTTCTTGACCTTAACTAAGTTGTACTCAACATTTACTGATTTTGTGAAGCGTGTCAATGAAAAGAATCGAGCAAAATGGATTGTTTTCTACAGGTCTTTTTATCTCATTCATTTGTTTTTTGTTCTAATATATTTTTCCAAATCCACACCTTTACTTCGCTTTACCATTTAGACGCAGCACTCGTGAACTTCAACGTCTCGACAGTATTAGTAAATCTCCAGTTTATGCTCAACTTTCCGAGAGTTTGGGGGGCCTGGCCACGATTCGCGCCTATCGTTCCCAGGAGCGATTTCAAATGCAAATTATGAATTTCATCGACAAGAACAACGCGGCCTTTATCTTTACCCAGGTCGCCCATCGTTGGTTAGGCTTAAGACTTGACTATGGTGGCGCCATACTTGTGTTTCTTGCCGCCATCTCCTCGGTAACTGCTGCTCTATCCGGCACCATAAAGCCAGGTTTGGTTGGTTTAGCCCTCACCTACGCCCTGGCAGTCGCGCAAGTCTTTAACTGGGTTGTGCGCATGGCAACTGAAGTGGAAATGAATATGAACGCTGTGGAGCGAGTTGATCATTATTCCACGATAGAGAACGAACCCTCTCCGAAGGACTCCGATGTTTCTCCATCTGAAGCTTGGCCCGAGAAAGGTACTTTTATTTACACAATATACGTTTTTTCAAACCAATTTGTATGTACATGTATGGATACGTATGGATTTAGCGTTATATAATTGGTCAATTTCTATATACATATATGAATACGAGTGGATTTGAAACAGACAAATTTTTCTGCGTAATCGCAATAGGTGCATTTTCATTCTCAGATTTCATATTCATTTAACATTAATGGCTGTGAAAGAAATGAGAAAGCTTTTTATTGTTCTAGGTGAAATCAGTTTCAAAAATGTGACTTTATCTTATGCTCATGACTTATCACCAGTCGTTAGAGATGTTACTGTTAACTTAAAGGCTGGTGAAAAGATTGGCGTCTGCGGTCGTACGGGCAGCGGAAAGTCCACGATCACGTTAGGTTTATTTCGATTGCTGGAGCATTTCGAAGGTCAAATTGTTATCGATGGAATTGATATATCTAGAATGTCCTTGCGTACCCTGCGATCTCGAATGGCTATTATCCCTCAAGATCCCATCTTGTTCCAGGGCACGGTGAGGTTTAATTTAGATCCACGTGGCGTCCATGCAGACGACGCATTATGGCACGTGCTCGAAGTTGCGCAGCTCAAGAATACGATCTCCGGTTTAACTGGAGGACTTGCAGGAGTTATCGTCGAAGGTGCTGTTTTTTATCTTCTCGGTGACATTTATATGTTTTTTTTTCTCTTGTTTGCGCACTTGCTTTTTGTTCTCTTGTCGTTTCGTCATCCTTTGCTGTAAACTTTTCACTAAAATCGTACGAAATTTGTTGCCTATTTCAAAAGTTAATCACTAATATGGGAGCTAATGTGGGCTTGGTAGCTCAACAGGTAGAGCGGCGGACTAGTATCCCGAAGGTGCGAGTTCAAATCTCGTCCAAGTCACATATTTTTGTGCATGAAAAAAATCGTGTTATGACTTATAATATGGGAATAGTGTAGGAACTTTGAAAGATTGTACAAGTGTGTAGATGCTAACAATAAGTGATCAAGTGATGAAACTGCTTGATATTAGTTAATTCTTTCTGGTTTTCTTTTAATTCACTTTGCAAAAATTGTGGATGTACAGAAAACCAGACAGCCATGGTACCCCAAGCCTCTGGAATTGTCTGTTGCCATTAACCGCCTTGCTGGTAGAAAATACCAGTGCTGTGAATCGTGTGATTTTATACGAATGTCGTAACTTTTAAGTAACCTACCAACATGGCGGTTTTATCGTGCCGTGAAAACACTTCAAACATATGAAAGAAGACCTCGGTTGATCATACAAAAACAAATCAATGAATACTAAGGCTCATTCCCATGCAGCTGCATTTTACGCTCGGAAATGCTCGGAAATTGCACTGGTGCGCTGTTTGTTGAGAAAGGAAACTGCATAGAAATTAGCCTTACAACATTGATGTCATTAGCATATTTACTGTTTTAATTTGAATATGTGGACTTGGCAACAAATTTTGGGATATTTCTTTAGAAATTTACCTATCGTCGGCAATAACAATGTTCTTTCGTTGAAGGTGGTGAGAATTTAAGTGTTGGTCAACGTCAATTGTTCTGCTTGGCACGTGCGTTGCTCGTGAAATCTCGCATACTTGTGATGGATGAAGCGACCGCAAACGTGGATGTGGAGACGGATAAATTAATACAGGGAGTTGTACGTACTGCTTTTAAGGATTTTACCATACTTACTATTGCCCATAGAATTGATACAATATTGGATTCGGATCGAATTATGGTTTTGGATCAAGGTAATCTTATTGAATGGGATTCACCCCAAAGACTTCTCGAAGACGAAAACAGTGTTTTTTCATCTCTTGTTAAAGCTCATAAGTGAAAAAAAACCCTTTTATCCGGGATGGATTTTGTGTACTATACGTAGATTATTTAAAATCTAACCATCCAACTCTTCATGTAATATTTATAAAATAACCAAATTTATGAATAATTAGGGGTTTAGCGTTCGGTATTAGAAATTGTTGTAAGTAATTTTAATCCAAAATACCTTCAAACCTTTGTAAAAATACACTTGAATACGAATTTTAAAAATCTTCAATTATCGCCAATCTGTGATCACTTTAATATGTTAGATATTAAACAAATAAGTGAAGAGAGATTTGGACGTATAAAGGTAAACATAAAGGTAGACATAAAGGTAGGCATAAAGATAGACATAAAGGTAGACATAAATGTAGGCATAAAGGTAGACATAAAGGTAGACATAAAGGTAGACATAAAGGTAGACATAAAGATAGACATAAAGGTAGACATAAAGATAGACATAAAGGTAGACATAAAGGTAAACATAAAGGTAGACAAAGGTAGACATAAAGGTAGACATAAAGGTAGACATAAAGGTAGACATAAATATAGACATAAAGGTACACATAAATGTAGACATAAAGGTAAACATAAAGATAGACATAAAGGTAGACATAAAGGTAGACATAAAGATAGACATAAAGGTAGACATAAAGGTAGACATAAAGGTAGAGATAAATATAGACATAAAGGTAGACATAAATGTAGACATAAAGGTAAACATAAAGATAGACATAAAGGTAGACATAAAGGTAGACATAAACAGTCCTTCTCAGGACTATTTTTGTTGTTGTTGACTCAACAACTGTCTTTCTATCATAACTGTCTTTAAGTTCTGTTATAATCTCTATGGGTGCCCATTGAATTTTTTGCACTGCATTTACCGCTTAGTGAAGGGATTGAAGGCTCATAAACATTCAATTTTTTCTTGATGTAAAACACGTCGCGAGGTCTTTCTTTATTTCGACTTAGTGTTTTGTTATAAATCATGGTGATATTACGGGCTAAATGTGCAATTGCCGGTAAGTTTAAATACTGTTATATATTTTTGTCAAAACAACTTTCAAAGGTAGATCTGTTTGAATTGTTTGAGATGTGCGCTGTGTAACTGTAGCAACAACGACATAATGCAATCCTATGTATGATATCTTGGAAAATTTTTTACATTTAGGCGAAGCTTGTGTTGGAAAAAGTGCTCTTTTGCAAACATTTTGCAGTGATGGAACACAATTTCCAAAGAACTACACCATGGTAAACTTGTGGCAAAAACCCAATTTCTTTTGTATTTTTATGAAAGATTGTGGACTATTTTGTGATTATTGAGTTATTAGACTTTAGGTGTTGACTTACTCACAAAGCTCGTGAAAATACCAGAGACGAATGACAGCGTGGTAAGATGTCGATGAAATTAAAATTTTCTATCATATGGATGTGAGTTTCATTCTGTACATGGTATATTTTATTGTGTAAAGCTATTAGCTAGAAAACTCGCTAATTTGGGGCTGTCCGAATATGTATATGCACGTCTCAATGCGTCGGAAATATTTGATTTCAAAAGAACTCACTTTGGCTGTTATAGCACACATACTAATATATTAATAAGTGTCCACTTCCAGTTATCAAGTTTTCTTTGCCATTTTGTGTTACTTTAGGAATTGTATTTGTTTGACTCTTGTGGACAAGAAATTTATTCAGAAATGATAGAGCAATCGGTAGGTTAGTTTTATGTTTTTACAATTGATTTAAACAATCACCATTAAAATATTGTTGCTTACTCCATGTTACATCTTGGTTTTTCAATGTATGACAATTAGTGTGGTCGACTCATATAAACAAACCAAATGTTCACGTTGTATCATTGCAAATACCTTAATTTGTGTGAACAAGATCATTTTTAATTTCAATGGATGTGCAATTTATTGTATGATGTATGTTAAAGTCATGTAAGGTTGTTGGTAGTTGACACAAATGTACATGAACGTTTTATTTGGATAAAATGGTAGTTGACACAAATGTACATTGACCGTTTTATTTGGATAAAAATGTAAGTGTTGTATAGGGGGTGCACAATATCGATAATTGGTGAAGGGCCAATATTCGTATATGCATGTTCTACCTTGGTAGCTTCTATTGGAATCAATTGCGGTTATGGATTAATACAGATTAAAACACATGACTATATGAATAAGGGTCCCCCCCCCAATCATTGATCTTGCATGGCCCCTGTTTTAAAGCTCTTAAAAGTTCTTTAAAGAGGGTAGTTACATTAGAGAGGGCGGTTACTTTAGAGAGGGGTGGTTACTTTAGAGAGGGACGGTTACTTTAGAGAGGGCGGTTACTTTAGAGAGGGCAGTTGCTTCAGAGAGGGGTGGCTACTTTAGAGAGGGGCGGTTGCTTTAGAGAGGAACGGTCACTTTAGAGAGGGGCAGTTACTTTAGAGAGGGGTGGTTACTTTAGAGAGGGTAGAGAGTGGTTGCTTTAGAGGGCTTTAGAAAGGGTGCTTTAGAGAGGGTGGTTACTTTAGAGAGGGTGGTAGGAAGAGAGGGGGTAGAGACTTTAGAGAGGGGTTACTTTAGAAAGGTTAGAGAGGCTTTAGAGAGGGGTGGCTACTTTAGAGAGGGGCGGTTGCTTTAGAGAAGGGTGGCTACTTTAGAGTGGGGTGGTTACATTCGAGAGGGGCAGTTACTTTGAAGAGGGCGGTTCCTTTAGAAAGGGCGGTTACATTCGAGAGGCGGTTACTTTGAAGAGGGCGGTTCCTTTAGAAAGGCGGTTACATTCGAAGGGCAGTTACTTTAAAGAGGCGGTTCCTTTAGAAAGGGCGGTTACATTCGAGAGGGCGGTTACTTTGAAGAGGCGGTTCCTTTAGAAAGGGCGGTTACATTCGAGAAGGGCAGTTACTTTGAAGAGGGCGGTTCCTTTAGAAAGGGCGGTTACATTCGAGAGGGGCAGTTACTTTGAAGAGGGCAGTTCCTTTAGAGAGGGGTGGTTACATTAGAAGAGGGGCGGTTTCTTTTGCACTCTTTAGTAAGTGTTAAAAATGGCAACAGCTTTTGAGAGGGAGGTGACTTTCAAGACTGTATTGATCATATTATTGTGTATTACAGTGGGATGGCATAGACTTAGCTATCGTTGTATACGATGTCACCTCTGATCAGTCATTCAATGCCACCACAAAATGGATCGAACGATGTTTAAAGCAAAAACTAGCTGGCAACATGATTGGTATGTCTTATCTATTAAATTCATTTCATATACTGGAGGCCATGGTTCTCACGTAATTTTACAATCAAATGTAAATAAGCTTCGTAAAGCAAACAGCGAAACGCAAAAAAAAACCGAAACAAAAAACCATTTACGAATGTGAGTAGAAGGAATAATATTCGTAAAGTGAGTTAAACAATCCAGATGTTACAGTTTCAAACGATTTCTTTTTTACTGACGAAAACTAGAAAAGTGAAAGCCAACTCGTACAAAACAGCAAGGACGAGAAAGAAAGCAAGCTTCGTTCGTTTCAGATCAACTAATACCATATAATAAGCCTTTTAATAACCTCGCTTTCTTGGTCTTTACTGAGAATTATCGAGCCTCTGTCTTTTTGTACAAACCTCACCCTACGGGCTCGGTCTGTACAAAAATACCTTGGTCCGTTATTTCTCCGTAAAGACCTCGATTGACCTTGCATTATTGTCATACGGTCATGGACGTAACCTAACATTTTAACATTGTAAGTAGGGGCGTGACCCTGGAGTTGTAACATCCTCCACACAACCCCGTATGCCACGCCCTTGCTTAGCCTACACATCGGTAATCTGCCTGTCCTTGGTGTGAAAACTGCTTATATCTTATCTACGTTTTAGGTGTTTTGATTGCAAACAAAACAGATCTTAAACAACGACGTGTTGTATCCATGAAACAAGGCAGGCAACTGGCGACCACGCATGCGTTGGAATATTTCGAAACATCCGCGGTAATTAATTAGAGAAAAGTTTGACAAAGCCGACAGCTTGAAGACGTTTGCAACGAAGCCTGTTTGGCGATGTTCAATGGATAGGGACTTTTTCGAGCGTATTTTGTGGTGGTTTGTATTTTTTTCGAGAAACTTTGCTTCGTGCAAACGACACGAGGCTTCGTGCAAACGACTCCAGGGTTCGTGCAAACGACTCCAGGCTTCGTGCAAACGATCCCAGGCTTCCTTCAAACAACCCCAGACTTCGTGCAAACGACTCCAGGCTTCGTGCAAACGACTCCAGACTTCGTGCAAATGACCCCAGACGTCGTGCAAACCACCCCAGGCTTCGTGCAAATGACCCCAGACTTCGTGCAAACAACCCCAGACTTCGTGCAAACCACCCCAGGCTTCGTGCAAATGACCCCAGGCTTCGTGCAAACCACCCCAGGCTTCGTGCAAATGACCCCAGACTTCGTGCAAACAACCCCAGACTTCGTGCAAACGACTCCAGGCTTCGTGCAAATCACCCCAGGCTTCGTGCAAACCAGCCCAGACTTCGTGCAAATGACCCCAGACTTCGTGCAAATGACCCCAGACTTCGTGCAAACCACCCCAGACTTCGTGCAAACCACCCCAGACTTCGTGCAAATGACCCCAGGCTTCGTGCAAACCACCCCAGACTTCGTGCAAATGACCCCAGACTTCGTACAAATGACCCCAGACTTCGTGCAAACCACCCCAGACTTCGTGCAAATGACCCCAGACTTCGTGCAAACAACCCCAGACTTCGTGCAAATGACCCCAGACTTCGTGCAAACCACCCCAGACTTCATGCAAATGACCCCAGGCTTCCTACAACAGGTCCCTGTTGCTGTGCATTATGACTTTCTCAGTCAAGATTTTTTCTCTCAATCCTTGACTTCTGATGTGATTTTTGGCTATACCTTTGTCCTGTACAGATTTTCGTTTTTGTGAAAAAATCTCCACATTAAATATAACATTTAATTTGTCCGCTTAATGAAGGTCACTTAAATAGAATTTATTTTATGAACGTTTTGCTTGTCGCAAGATGATGCTTTATATTGGTTTATCTGATATTTTAACTGTTATGTTCTAGAAACAAAATGAAAACGTCGAAGCTGCATTTTACTATCTTGCCAACACCTATCATCAAGTATACACAGATAAAATTTCCAAAATGTTATCATCCGCTTGATGTTCTGACTCAAGTAAGAACTATTGAATGCAGGTTGTGCTTTTGGGGGGAGTTCAAGATGATCAGGTAGTGCTTGGGGGGGGTTGCAAGATGACAAGATACTGCTTGGGTGGTTGTAAGATGACCAGATAGTGCTTACCTTTGGATAGTGCCTTTTTCAACAGCATTAAAATTGTGATTGTATTTTGCTAGTCTTGACGAGCAGGAAACTTTGATATCTTTGAAATAAGATTTTTATTCCATCATCTTTTAAAGATTTTTCAAACTAGCGAAAAATTTTCTATATTCAGTGGACAGCACTATTAAAGATTTGTGCAACCATTTTCAGTGCATTTGTTATTTGGCAATGACTCTTCTTTGGAGAACTTTGCCATTCAAAAAGCAATGTAATTCTTTGTGGATAAGCCATTTAAACAAATTTCTTAAAACGCCATTTCAGCGTTCGCAAAGATCATAGTTAAAACTATGCGCACTAGTTATAATATGTTATACTGATGTGTATGTACAAATGTTTCACTACAAGTTAATATATATCAATGACTTTTATGTGAAAATTACCAGTAAACTATCTCGTCTTGTATATCAAGCACTTCATGTTAACTATTTCAAAAAACGTACGTGAACGACGTCAAAAACGTACGCGAACGACGTCAAAAACGTTAGTGAACGACGTCAAAAACGTTAGTGATCGACGTCAAAAACGTTAGTGATCGACGCCAAAAACGTTGGTGAAACGACGTCAAAAACGCCGATCAAGTATTTCGAAAATGCCATGCATTGAACCGGTAACTGCCATCCAGTAAATTCTCTTAAGCACTTAAATTTTAATTACTTCAAGTAACCGCACTCAAATAAACGACACCATACACTTTGGTTTTTTTGAACGATTTTGCCTTTATAATTGACCATCAGGATTAGCTCTCTTGCGTCGCAAACTTTATAGTCTACTTCCCAGTTAGTTGTACTTTCATTGGCGACACTAACCGACCATATGACAAAACGACACGATTCCATAAACCTGTAATTGTTTTTATTCAAAAGATACGTGCCGTACTAGTACTAAAATCACGTGCGGGGCTTCTCATCGCCGATATGTATAATGTTGATATTTGATAAAACACGCTTACGTGAGGTTTGTGTCATTGACGAAGTTAGGAGAATGGATTTTGATCGTGTATCAAAGAATGCTTGTTCTTTCTTGCCAAAATTGCGTAAGAAATCGAAAGAAAAGATAAATTGCCATCGCCGATGAGCGTTCACATACCAAACTCTTATGTCGGCGACTGTTGTAATTGTTGCAGAAGTTGAACCGGATTCAACTTCGCAGTTGTCTGCGATTCTAAATTACAACAATTACAACGCGTGTTCCCATATAGTTGTAATGCTTGTAAACCTTCATCGCTGATAGAATTACAACAATTACAACTACATGGGAACTAGTGTGGAATGGCGAACATCAGACATCGTGATGTGTCGTTTTTTTGAGCACTTTTACAGCGTTAAATTAATTTTGAAAAAGAAGCGCAACAACATCAAGCAGGGAAATCTGTATTGTAGCGAGAATGACGATGACAATAACATGATCGTTTGATTGCTTCGCTGAAGTCCTTTTTCAAGAAACTGTACAAGAGGGGATTTAGTAGTGATGCTAATACCCTCAGTACGTTTGCAGCACGAACAAGCTTATCTGGAATTGTTGATTCTTTAAAAATCAAGATGAAAAAATACAATCCCCAAGTTATGACAAATGAAAGCCACATAAGTAAAAGTATAATGGCAACTCTTGCTTCTTTGCGTCTTGATGTCCGAATGATATTCCGAGCCGACTTTACGGCATCTGTTCCGTTTGCCAAGACCATCTTCTCACCCCGACGTATTTGCATTCTTGCAACATAAAATAGTGAGGTAAACGGATAGACGAACAAACATATTGGAATAAGATAAAATAGAAACAGCGTTGCGACATTATAAGCCATAAAATCATGATTATCTTCCTCTTCAGAACAGTTTCTAACATCCATCCATTTCAAAGCTATCAGCGACACAACTAAGCTAACTGTCCACGTTAAAACCAAGGCGAATTTTTTTTGACATTTTTTCGCGTTTAATTTTTCATGATGGTATGGATGTATTATGAAAAGGTAACGCTCGTATGTTACCAATAGCAAATGCAGTACTGTTGAAATTGATGTGAATTTTGTACATGTGAATGATAGTGAACAAAATGTACATCTGCTTGACGATGAATTCAAAAACGTACATAACAACGCTAATGGTATACAGATCACTCCTGTGATGAAATCGGAACAAGCAAGACTAACAAGTAGATAATTTGGCCATTTATGTAGACGTTTGTTTATGCAGACCAGTATAATCACGAACAAGTTGATAGTGGCGATGAGAATAGCCAAAACAATAAAATGCATAACTTCATCGACATGTACGCCATCGCGCGTACTGTTATTTAGCAACGAATTGTTATGGCCACTTGTTATTTGCATTTTGCATGGCTCTGCTATTCACACTAAGGCATTCTTCACAAACCAACTGAAAAGGACATTTAAATTTGTGTTGATCTCACATCCGCTTTTTATAAATGTTCGTAAAAGGAAGATATATGTTGTACTTGAAAAGATTAAACGTACGTGATGTTTACACTATTTTCCACAAAAATAACCTTTTAGAGACGTAAGCACTTGATTTATTGATTATATGTCGGTCACATTAGCCAACGACTCTCAAGATTCTGTTTTCTCTGCTATATTTGCAACCTAAAAGGTTTTTATGAAATTCTACTGAAGAATTATAGCGAATGTATTTTATTTTTTCTTATCGATTGGTTTTTAAGATTTTATCTTTACTTTCAAATTACGTAATACATTACTTATACAGCATTCACAAAAAAATCGCATTGTTATGTTTAAAATTCTTCTTTACAAAACATTTGTTTAGCTTACCTGGTATTCAACTTAGTTTATGTTGTGCAAGAATTGCGTTTGCGATATTTCATATTGTTGACATTAGATATCTTTAGCAATATTTTAGCGTGTTTCTCTCCAGATTTCTGATTGAAGAAATTGGATTCAAGATTCAACTGTCTAACTGGTACACCTGTGACCTGTGCAGACACGCGATTGTGTATACTTCATTGTGTCATGTCAAATTGATTGAAAGGAAAAACTGATTATTTAATGAGTAGTTGACTATTTGTCTTACATACAAGTAGTCAACTACAAAATATGTAAATTGCGAAGGAAACTTTGTTTTCTACGCACTGTTTGTGATGTTTATTACGATAAAGAAATAAAAAAGTATTTAAAATAAACAACGAACTTTTTTAAAGCAAATATGTTTCGGCATACTTTATGCCATCTTCAGCGCGAACTGAATCAATATAGGAAGTTAGTGGGAAGCAAATTTATTTTGGAAAGACATCAAAAGATTGATAATCTTTTTTTTATCAATTTACATCTAAATGGGCCTTACGTTTTTTAGAAGTTAACTTTTCCAAGATGGCATAAAGTATGCCGAAACATGTTTTCTTTAAATAAATTTGTCGTTTATTTTAAATGTTTTATGCCTATTGTGGTCTTACGAAATTAAATATAAAAGCATCGAAAAAAGCATTAAAAACCTCTGCGACTTCCTCTACATATACTGCATCGTTTTGACGTGTACATTTACACCTGCTCGCGAGAATTATCTTACCATTTTTTTAAGGCTTAATATATTTTTTACTAATGGATACTGAACGATGAGCTTGTGGGGAAGGAAACATCGCTATAATCATTGATGTTTTACTTTGCGGCTTCGAATTTATTACATTTTGACAGCGTCTCCTTCGAGGCAGTTGTGTGGTTTCCCGTGATGTTTTTAAAAAATTGAGTTTCAATTTCGATTTCGAAAAATTTCCTTTTGTTAAAACGGTCGTCTTAATATGGCGGTGTTTTTTCCCGGTTTAGATAAATTACACCGCGCAGCAACACTCAGCCGGCTCTCAAACTGAGAGAAAATTGATTGAGTTGCTTTTTTGAGCGATGTTCCTTGGCTTTGAATGTTAAGATTTCATGGATGAAATAATTTGTCTTCAAATATTAGGAATACCCGCAATACCCTCTCAAAAATATTATGTGACCCTGGAATGTTTGACTGATGCCATTAGCTTAAACAAACAATGGTATATGTGCGTTGTTATCCTTGATTACGTGATCTTTATACAAATATATTTGTTTTGAATACTGTGTTTGTATGCGATAAAACTGTTATCTTCAACATATAAACAAACTTATTTGTGGCAAGATTTTATCTTGCCGTCAAAACAAAACGACTCATTATCCAAAATGTTTTCATCGCTTTGTCGTTGTTTTTATATTTACGGCAAAGATGAAGTTTAACATTAATTCGCCAATGTTTATACATAAAGACCACCGAAATATCGCCGACTTCTATAAAGCCAGACTTCATAGCTCATATCCGTTTGAAGTATTGTTTTTTTAGCTAAATAAATGCGCTCTCGAGAACTGACAATTTCACTCAGCGGAAAAGATATCTGCCTCAAATGAGGTAAGCGAATTTCTCACTGAAGAGCGCTTGCAAGGAATATATCAGCGACGGTTATCATTTCGAGTGCTATGTTTGTGTCTGTCTGTGCTGAAACTGTAATTTTTAAGTCTCTTTTCAAAGCTTACCAATTTCATCCATTAATTTAGTATCCTAAACAATTAATTGCAGTCTGTTTCACGATAATCTATCAATCATGCGTCTACTACCGTTTATTGTCAACAGTGCAACGAATGAACGAATGAAACTAGGAAAGAAGACTTTTCTCTTAATTTCATACACTGCCAAGCTGTCTTATGAAAACACACTTTTATCTTGAACTGCCCAATGAAAACATACTTTTATCTTAAACTGTCCAATGAAAACACTTTTTGAACTGTCCAATGAAAATAGACTTTTATCTTGACTGTCCGATGATAATAGGCTGTCAGCCATCTTGAACTGTCCAATGAACACATGCTTTTATTTCCGAACTGTCCAATGAAAATAGACTTTTATCGTGAGTCGTCCAATGATAATGGAGCAGGGCATTCATTTATTTAGACTTTGTTTCTTTCCTTAAACAAATAAAGTATGCGAGTTTTAGCATTGTTTTCATAACTTTCTTGCCTCAAACTTCAAACGTTGTAAAAGTATTTTATAGATGCTCGTACTTAACTCCAACCTTAGTTTTGTATTTATGTTTTCTAATTTTTTGCAAGCATTCCAACACATTGATTTTTAATCGTCTGCGTCATAGCTCAAACTGCATGCGGGCACAGCACCCTAAAATGCGGGAGTGACCACCCAGTTGGTTGAACTCAAGTAACACTGCAGGACATAATCAAGGGTTAGTCAACTTGTACAAACTCACAGACATTCGTTATTAATGTAAACAAACATTGAATATTCGAGAGTGTTATTATAAGCAGCTTATTTCAACACCACCAAGAATACTAATTTTAATGCATTTTATAACAAAATCGTCATTTGATAAATGTAATGTTCAATTCGATTTACATAGCAATTATGCAATTAAACTTGAATCTTTTGCTCACTAACAGATTGCAGTCGGAGTAGACAATACCAGTGCTGTCCTGATATTCATAGATACATCAGCAAATATCAAAAAAGGAACCTTACTTGAGAAGAGTCGCGCTATAAACACCTTTGTACAGATTGTAGCTATTTTACTTTGATAAAAGATATTAGCAACTGACTCACACGCCGCAGTTTTTCGATACAATTTCATGTCTCGCTTGAAACGTAGCTACACTAGCTGTGTTTATTTAAGATGTGGGCTTTAGCTTCGAGAAAAGTCAACATTTCTTATCTGAATGTAAACATTTGCTCCTTATGGCAAAGTTTTGATATGTTTCGCGTCATTGTTAGAGTAGAGTTGGTTACTCGCGCAGGCGTAATGCGTTCAGCTCATTTCTATAGCAAAAAATTCAACGCAAAGTTAACTCGAAAGTAGACAAGTGTTTCTCAAGGCATCTATTTCCGATGGTGTTGTTAGTTTAAAAAAAAAACAATGTAAATTTAAAATTAAAATTTAATTTCTTTGGACAACATATTCTATAATATAGACTTTATTTTCAATACAGCTGTGGCAGACAATTCATTAGGCTTGTCTAACCCTGTGGCCTAGCCTGCTTTCTTGGCACATATGCAGTTCACTTAAACCACGACAGAGAGGTTTTGCGCGTTTCTCTTGCCGGTAACGTATAAAAGAGTACTATATAGTCGATGAGGCTGTGTAATGGAATTTAAGTAAACATTACAAAAGTTAACTATTTTGACGAGTGTTTTAAAATAAATATGAACCGTTTTCGCTTTCTGTTATTTATGTTGCGGCTGTGTCAAAATATCCTGTGTCTATTGCGGTTCTTTCCCCCCGCGGAGACAGCCTAATACTCTATGTTTATATGAACACATCAAAACAAAAAAGATTACCAAAAAGAAGACGGGAAGCGAAGAAAATTAAATAAGCCTGGTTTTCATTAAATTACCAAGATTTGCTCGAAAATTGTACTAATCGCTTTCGCAGGTGTGTGTATTTATTTGCAAATCATCCTGTCTACATTTATGATTGATGAACTGCCTCCATGAAGATTTTGCAATTTTTAATGTTTCAGTGAACGATTTAACGCACTCGCGATATTGCAATACATCTCAAGTGACTTGAACGAACAGATCATAAAATTCTTCTGTCACAAGAGTAATTCTACTCCATGATGCGTACAAAAGATAATTGTGAAACGACAAAATCCAAGTCATATCTATTTCATCAATTGTTGTATTTTAGCGAGACAAAATATTGAAAAAACAAAAGAAGATAAGTATATTTTGGCATATCCACTAATACTTGTTACAATTACTAGAATATAAGCTGGCATATAGTCCGCCATTATAAAGGTTCTTCATAAAGTCTGAAGGCGAGAATTGTCCAATGTTAGGCGCAGTTGACACATTGCTTCTAGGATGAGCTAAACTGGCCCTTTCTGTTATATTTCTCGTGTCAAATCTTTGAAAAGTGGACACTACATCACGAGAACTCGTTTTGTTAAGAGTGGACTTGTACTGATCATGAGATTTTGTCTCATGGCAGCGCTCACTTGACTCGCCTATATTATGTGTCGATAGTAAATTTTTTATACTAAAGGAATGTTCAACTTTTTCTTGTTGTTTTTCGTCATCGCGATGTTTTATCTTTGGACTACTTGGCGGTGTAAGCAAGCTTGTGGTGGAAAGCCTCTTCGTCAAAGACTTTTCCGTTGCCTTACTCCTATCTTCTGTCGTGTCACGTTTTTCGAAGTAATCTTGAACGTCGTCTCTCAAATTTTCCTTAGCAAGACCTTGATCTTCTGCGAAATTTCGCTCTTCCCTGTCTATGAAATTGTTAATCTTGTTTGGCCTCCTTCGTCGACGTCGGTAGTTGCCATTATCAAACATATTTTCGCAATCAGATTTCAAAGACCAATAACACCCTTTTCCCGGATCAGCTTTGTCCCTTTGAACTTTTACAAAACACTCGTTCAAACTCAAATTGTGTCTAATACTGTTCTGCCATCCTCGTTTGTTGTAGCGATAGTAAGGAAAATTCTTCATGATAAACTGATAAATGGCATTTAGCGTTATTTTCTGATCTGGTGCTTGCTTTATCGCCATCGAAATGAGTGCTATGTAAGAATACGGAGGTTTTGGATAAGGTTGAACGTCTCCAAAGTATAAAGCGCTGGATAAGCTTCCACAAGTACCACTGAACGTAGCTCCCAAGTATGGATGATGGTGGTACATTGAATTCCTGAGACATGAATCGACATTTGGTGATGGATAATAGCCCCAATACGGCAAAGCCTGGCCTGTGTTACTGTACATTGTATTTCAAATTTGTTAATAAAACAAACACAACGAACGACTTCCAAATGTACTTGTCACTGAAGCTTTGGTGCTAATAATGCGCACTTGAAATAGATCACGAAATATATATACACGCGAATCTTCATAAAACGCGCACCGCATGTGACGTATCGGCCACCCAGCTTGATGACATGTTTGAGATGATAGATCTTTTAAACGATATCGTTATTAAGCTATGTTTATACACACGGACAGTGAATTGCCCTCTGACCACACAAGAACGCTTTCACATTGTCAACGCGTTTTCAGTAGAAGCTATTGAAATAATCAAGAACACATCAGCCGTCATATGCACGAGAGCAAATCTTGCGCAAAATTACGACATATGCAAGTATTACTAATGGAATGTCAAAATTTGCGTGGCAAGCGCATGCGTTCTTCAAGCCCTTGCGGTGAACAATATATAGAAACATATTGTTTATTTTTTGAATCTTTTTATCGTATTGTGATAGCCTCGTTGGTTCCGGCGGGAAAGACAGCAGGTCTTATAAACCCCCGCCAGTTTTGTAAATATTTATGTTATTCGAGGCCATACTTCAACCTCTTATATATGGTTTATATATTAATCATTTCGAATGAGGCATGTAAGTTAGCTTAGCAAATTGTATGAATGCAAATCCTTTTGAAAACCGAATAAATTGTATGTGTGCGCTCAGTCGAGATTTGCCGTTGTGACACACTTGCGATAAACGCTTACAGAAAAAAAAACCAAGAAAGCGAAATGAAAGTGCTCTGTTTACTTGTGCTAGTTAAATTGTTGACAGAGTGTTATCGCACTTAAAAAAATAACACCTATTTTGAATAAACACATAAAGTTATTCTGATGTGAATTGCATCACGCAGTTATAAGTTGATTCGATCAATGGGATTGAATCAAATGCCTTTAACCTGCTAGACTTCACATTCTTCGTTCATAGCAGTGCATGGCAATATAATATGGATAATATGATAATGACCGCGGGGATCCAAACGTCGTTAATTCCTACCAGCTTCACAAAGAATAGAATGTTTGTTTCTTGTGTAAACGACATTATTAATTTCGCTGTTTGAATGTATTCATGTATAAAATGTCTTCGTCTCCGGTTTATTAAGATAACAACGGATCATGTGCTACAAGACGTTTTTGTTTCTCTTTTCCTAGTGATGAGCAAAACTTGCATATGGCTTAAATTACTTAGCGAGGGTTTTAATACACAAACGCTTCGCATGCCAGCGTTAATTACCTATTTTTGTGTGGTTGTTCGGCAGTTGGTCAGTTTGTACGCCAAAGCACAATATCCGCTGTTTGCTTAAATCCAGGCAAGAGGCGAATTGACTTTTTTAAAAATAAATGGGGTCGTTTCTTCGGCATTCCATCGCCACACATTAAGCTCCTTTCGATAGTGATCTGAGTGCGTATGGCGTTTTCCTGTTCTAAATGGACATCCCATGATGTCGATTCGCATTTTATGCAAATCAGTTACACTTAAATCCGCTCCAGGCTTGATGGCGCTACTTAAAAGGAAGTGAAATTTTGAAGCAGATCATTACTAAAACTATTGTGTCTAGTAAAGTCTATAGTATTTAGATGATACGAGTGGTTCTTTGCCGAAGTAGAAAACATTAGGTTTCGCGTTCTTCAAATGTCCCAATAAGAACAGCAAATTAAATTTATTAAACAACATGACGTCAAATCAATAATTTTCTTTGCTCTACCCTTCTCGTGCAACCATTTTTCTTTAAATACAATAAAGAAGCAAACACAATGTAAGTATCACACTTTATTATTGTTCTGATTTGTGGGTGAATATATTTGATGAAATACTCATTGTCAGATTTTGGATGTGCTGTCCAGATATGAAATAGATTAGGCGAAAGTCTTTATCGCTTGGTTTCATGTGGTTTCCTTATCCTTCTAGCGCTATTTACTTAGATATTTAGCGGCAATTTCCTAGGCGACCTCGAAAGTAATCCTGTTTTTTTTAAGCTTTATTCTCGGCGAAGTTTTTCTAAAAATCACCTTTAAGAGGATTTTCGTAACGATTTGCTTATCATTCTACGATTGACGTCACTGACTCATGACGCATTTCTTACGCTTGTTTTTAAAAAAGATAGAAACACCCTGACGCGGTCCAGAAACCCATCTGAAAAATGGTATTTTCCGGACGCGCAATCCTTTATTGACAATGTCTCACCATAGAACAATCCCAAACATTTTAAACTGGGGGGGGGGGAGAGTGCAAAGCGCAAGTTTTCCCAACAAACACGAGGTAATTTGAACACATTTGATGAAATCATATATTTAGTTTGTGCAATATCATGCTTAACATGAATTGGTTGCATGCAGAAATGAGACAACGTTATTTGTCATCGAAAATCCGTTTATTAGTTCATAAATCTGTGGGATGTAACTCCCCCCCACACACACACACACACACACTCACCTGTATGCCTACGCTCCACGCAACTGTTTGTAAGTGTGAGGGTCGAGATTGACGGACATATTGTTGACTGCAAACGAAGAAGAACAGATAGATGCTCTACCTGTTTAAACGTTCTCAAATTATTCAGTTTGTTTACTGTAATTTATCAAGTCGTAGGATTTCTTATGTCATAATGTGTCATAATACTTTTTTTTATATTTTAATGATACCTTAAGATATGTACATAAACGCAATACAAACAATTTTGATATTGTTTTAATTTATCTGTTTCACAGACTGGACAGTATTCTTGCGTCATAATTACTTAAGCGATAAATTGCAGCAAGACAAACAAAATTACTCATTTCATTGTATAAACATAAGTTACTAGTTGTCTCATTCGCGACATCTTGTTTCTTAAAGTGAATGGTTTGAACCCGGGAGTATCGTTACATGTTTGTAAATGTAGATCGACGTTGTTTCTTTTTGGCTTCAAACTTTATATGATTCTGCTAGTAAAATCAACCGTTAGAGTTGAACTTCTTACATATTTTTTTGTTACAAATTGCCAAATTGTAGAAAACAACTGCTGCTCAAAGCAACAATAAGACCAGGTTTGCCTTTTTTGGAAGCCTACAATTCTTTTGTTATTTTGTTTATCGTTTCTTTTTGATAATGCTGCATGTTTTAAGAGGATTTAGTGCAAAAATAGATATTTGCGTTTTCGTTATAACGACTTGCGAAGAATGCAGCAGAAGAACAGTAGAAGGTTTTGAAAGCTGAACAAAAAACGAAATTATTCAGAATTACTACACTATCACGTGCAATCGTCATTCGTGCTTAGTCCCCTATTTTGTATGCGCGGGTAAGACGCGTCTATCGACTGTTTTTGTTGCCTTGAGAACTCAAACAAATCTATCATCTTGTTTTTCACCTACGGAAGTCGTTTGTATCTGCCAAAATGAAGAAAATCTGGGTCAAGATAGGTTTGAAAGGCGCATAATCTGGTAATTTAGTATTGGTGACTCGTATTTAGTCGTCATGCTACCGTCTCGTTCAAACAGTCGACTGCAAAACAGTAACACAAATCTTCGTGGACGAAATAGTAAAGAAATAAAGCCGAAGAACTATGCTGCTTGGGAAGGAGTTCTCTCGTCTACTAGCCCAATAAACAACAGTCGTAGCTTCGAAAGTTTTGCACAAAACTGGCGAAGCTCTTCTCGCCAAGAATTACACGATTCTAGCAGTGAAAATGATTTTTTTGATGGACGTCAATCATTTCCCTTTAATCGATCTTCAGTTTCTTTAAACAAATCCTTTCCACAAGGCGATCAAAGTGAAACAAACATTACAGACAACCAACACGTTCCTCTTCGCTCTTACTCAAAATTTGATGAAAGGTATTATGAATTTTTGAGTTCTAGTCGTCTCATTCATAACTCTCCGGACCACAAGGCGTCCTCCGAATTGCTGATTGAGAAAATCAAAAATGGTGGTTACGTCGATTTTTCTGACTTTTTACCGCAAAATATCTTGGAGTACACGGCTTGGGATAACAGACATGTATCACACAGTGTTGATGCATCCTCAACACCACAGATTACTGAATTTGCAGAATGGATACAATGTATGATGGTATATGTGTCAGTTTTGTGTGAGGAATATCCAGAGAGAACTGCGGACATGTTGGGTTATATTGCAAACATTGCAATGCTTTACCAAGACAGTGATGAGAGGGGAGCATGGTTAAGGTATGACATTGCTTTTCGCAGAAAAGCATCATCCAGAAGGTTATTAACATGGTCCAAATGGGACAAGGAGCTGTGGGTGTTAGCTACATCAAGTGAAGCCAGACAGAATGTACGCTGTAAGTCTTGTCTCACCTCCATGCATGATGAAGAAAGCTGCCCATTTTCAAAACAGGCCGTGGAATTTGAGCAATTAAAGAAAAGTCAAAGTCATATTATCGAAAGGTCTCTTGATTAATGATCACAAACAGTATGGAAGATATTTTGTTTAAAATTATGTAAATTTTGTTTAGGAAAGAACCGTTGAGTCCAAAACAGTCGAAAAGCAATACTAAAGTTGCTCAAAAGCTCCCAAAAGAAACCCTAGAGTTGAAATTTGCTTTTGGGTAAGTGGGATTGAGGGTTTGGTTTAAGATTAGATTTGCATTTGGATTAAGTTAGGATTGGGAATAAATTGGATTTGGACAAAGGTTTGTCCTTGGGTTATAGGATTTGGCTTAGGCTTTGATCAAGTTTAGTGTTAAGTGTATGATTGGAGTTATGATGAGCATTGGGGTTAATAAGGATTAGATTATGATGGTTTGAGATTACAGTTGAACCAAAGTATTTTGTCGAGTTATTAGGAATGTTGTTTTGTGATTTCTTTTTTAGTTACCATGGTTATGATGCATGTAACAATGTTTTCTATACGGTATCAGATGACATTGTATTTCACATCGCAGGATTAGGCATTTCTTACAACCGTTCAACTCATAAGCAATCATTTTATAATGGCCATACGGATGACATACTTTGCCTTACAGTTCACGATGATAAAAATATTGTTGCTACAGGACAGGTATGCACACGTTTTCAGAATTACGTGTTTAAAGATAATAGAGTGATAGACCTTACAGCAATGTCACAGTCAGCTGGTAGATTTTGTTGTGCTAGTATGTAAATATTTTAGAATTGACTTAGTGCAAAAAAATTTATAGAGATTCGCAAGACTAATTTATTGTCCAATTCAAGGTTGGCAAAAATCCTGAAACACATGTTTGGGATGCAAAAACAATGACTACATTATCAGTGTTGAAAGGTTTTCACAAAAGAGGAGTTACATGTGTTGACTTTTCAGGTTAGTTTAATGTTACACACACTTGTTCTTTTTCCTTTGTAATTTGAAGTGTTTATGATATGAGTTCTTACTGTGGAAGACTTTGTGGTAGAAAACAAGCAAATTAATAATTTTTGTTCTTGAAACTAATGAATTTATTGACTAATTAAAACATGTATTGAGTTACACGAAGCCTGCGCTGCGTCACACGAAGCCTGTGTTGTATTACACGAAGCCTGCGCTGCGTCACACGAAGCCTGCGCTGCGTCACACGAAGCCTGTGTTGTATTACACGAAGCCTGCGCTGCGTCACACGAAGCCTTGCTGTATTACACGAAGCCTGCGTTGCTTGCACGAAGCCTGCGTTGCTTGCACGAAGCCTTTGCTTACACGAAGCCTTTGTTGCTTACACGAAGCCTTTGCTTTGTTACACGAAGCCTGCGTTGCTTACACGAAGCCTGCGTTGCTTACACGAAGCCTTTGCTTACACAAAGCCTGTGTTGTATTACACGAAGCCTGCGTTGCTTACACGAAGCCTGCGTTGCTTACACGAAGCCTGCGTTGCTTACACGAAGCCTGCGTTGCTTACACGAAGCCCTTACACGAAGCCTGCGTTGCTTACACGAAGCCTTTGCTTACACGAAGCCTGCGTTGCTTACACGAAGCCTTTGCGTTACACGAAGCCTGCGTTGCTTACACGAAGCTTGCGTTGCTTACACGAAATTACACGAAGCTTGCGTTTACACGAAGCCGTTGCTTTGTTACACGAAGCCTGCGTTGCTTACACGAAGCTTGCGTTGTATTACACGAAGCCCTGCGTTGCTTACACGAAGCCTGTGTTGTATTACACGAATCCTGCGTTGCTTACACGAAGCCTTTGCTTACACGAAGCCTGCGTTGCTTACACGAAGCCTTTGCTTTGTTACACGAAGCCTGCGTTGCTTACACGAAGCTTGCGTTGCTTACACGAAGCCTGTGTTGTATTACACGAATCCTGCGTTGCTTACACGAAGCCTTTGCTTAAGCCTGCGTTGCTTACAGCCTGCGTTGCTTACACGAAGCCTTTGCTTTGTTACACGAAGCTTGCGTTGCTTACACGAAGCCTTTGCTTACACGAAGCCTGTGTTGTATTACACGAAGCCTGCGCAGCGTCACACGAAGCCTGTGTTGTATTACGCGAAGCCTGCGCTGCGTCACACGAAGCCTGTGTTGTATTACACGAAGCCTGCGCTGCGTCACACGAAGCCTGTGCTGTATTACACGAAGCCTTTGCTTACACGAAGCCTGTGTTGTATTACACGAAGCCTGCGCTGCGTCACACGAAGCCTGTGTTGTATTACACGAAGCCTGCGCTGCGTCACACGAAGCCTGTGTTGGAACCTGCGCTGCGTCACACGAAGCCTGTGCTGTATTACACGAAGCCTGCGTTGCTTACACGAAGCCTTTGCTTACACGAAGCCTGCGTTGCGCCACACGAAGCCTTTGCTTACACGAAGCCTGCGTTGCGCCACACGAAGCCTTTGCTGCGTTACACGAAGCCTTTGCTGTGCTACACGAAGCCTTTGCTTTGTTACACGAAGCCTTTGCCGAAGCCTTTGCTGTGTTACACGAAGCCTTTGCTTTGTTACACGAAGCCTTTGCTTTGTTACACGAAGCCTTTGCTCTGCGCCATCCAGGCTTTCTGCTACCCAGGAATTACGCCATCGGCCATTAACAATTATCTCCATTTAGGGGATGGAAAGAAACTGGCTGACGTCGGCCTTGATGACGATCATTGCATCTGTATATGGGATTGGAAGAAAGCGGAAAAGTTAGCAACGACACGCGGACACAAGGACAAGATCTATGTTCTCGAATGGAATCCTTTTAATGAAAATTATTTTGTTACTGTTGGAGAGAAACACATCAAGTTTTGGACTCATAATGGTAAGGGGATAGCAATGGATATTCTTCTACATTCAAGGATTGCTTGTCAATTTTTAGAAGTAATATCGTTATCTATTATTTATATTATGTATAATATAATATAACGTAATGCAGTACAATCAATATTAGTAATTTGCGATGAGAAATTTTCGTGTTTTTTATCTTATAGAAATCGACATTTTTTCAAAACATAAACAAAAAACTTTGCGTTGCAATCCTGAATTTGAAAGCGAAATCAATGCTATTCTTCAAGTTTGAAGTGCCTTATAAGTTTTTAAGGGTTAGGGTGAGGTTAGGGTTAGGGTTATTTTAAGGTACCACTTGTATTAAATATAGTATGACTTGGTTAGTCAAGGTGACCTATCCTTGTCATACAATATCAGGCTACTATTCGTGGTCAAATGCAAGATGGCGACTAATGTTTGTAAATGTAGATCGTCCAGGTGACGTTTCGACAACTTTAGTGGTAGTCATCTTCAGAGTCAAAATGAAGATGATGAAGATGACTACCGCTAGATGACATTTTGATGAAGATGACATTTTGACTCTGAAGATGACTACCGCTAAGGTTGTCGAAACATCAGTCAACAACAACAAAAACAGTCCTTCTCAGGACTATACCAACCTGGACGATCCACATCTACAAACATGTAACGATACTCCCGGGTTCAAACCATATACTTTATGGCGACTAATGTGAACTTTAAGGATTTAGTCGCTTACGAGAACGCACCTTCACTCATATCGCCAAACTACTTTTCTTAACTTTTCTCCGTTTATTATTCATACTTTGTATCAGGTTCAAAGATTGATAAGAGACCCGTCACGTATGGCAAAGTTGGCCAAGTTTCCTCAATGCTTTGCATCTGTCATAGTCGGCACGATGACCTTTGTTTTGCGGGCGCAGATAACGGAGAGATTTATGTGTGGCAAGGAACAACCTTACGTCGAACTATCAAAGGTCATAAGGGAGCTGTTTATGCTATGTATGCGTTGAGGAATACGGCGACAGAGGTGAGTTGCAAGTTTTGTTTACATGTCAGTTTTTGTTGGAATGATTGAAAAATTGTGAATTCTCTCTCTTACCGTTGTCACAGAAAATCGTTAAGCAACTTTTCACTTTAATATATTAAACTATCTTTATATCGTTCTCCGTGAAGAGATTTTTTAATTTTTATCAAATGAAATGGATGAGCAATCTATTTGATCAGGCATCGTAAAATGGCGTAGAGATGATCACGTTTTAGTCCTTGTTTCTATCCGTAGATCGTGAGTGCCGAGTTAATTTAAGGTCCATTAATATGAATGGCTTTAACTCGAAAGTATTGTTAGATCTTTGTAGATGTTGATTGATCAGGTTTGTTCAGTTCTGAGAAAAACTGTTGTTGTTGTTGACAAACTTTTCCACATTTTTAGCGGTAGTCATCTTCAGAGGCAAGTGCCTATCGCTAATGATATTGAAACGTTAGTCAACTTCAAGACCAAGAGTCTTTTTCAGAACTCCACTAACCTGGACGATCTACATATACAAACATCTAAATCCTATTCTCCACGTTGTTCATTTCATTATCGCATTGTTTTTTCCAACGAACCCGTCTGTTGGAAGGTTCCGCTTATATATTCCAAATGTTTTTCAGTCGGACCTTTAACGCAGCTTTCAAGAAATAGCGGTTATTCTTTTTCAACTTATGCCCTTTTCTATCTCATCTCTTTTGCCTTTCCCATCTGACCTACCGTATATATTTTCCAACACAATCTTTCCCCTTGTGGAAACGAGCTTCGCTTAACTGGATGAGCGTTTTCAACTGAATAAATTTGTTCATTCTTATGGATGTAAACTTCCTCCTGATGGTAGCTAACAACTTCATAATACGCATTTAATAAGCACGACAAGTTTTTTTAGAATAGACATGTTTCGACATCTCATGATGCCATCTTCAGTATGAGTGAAATAATAAGTGTACAATGCTTATATAAAAGTAATATGATACATAAATTACAGCAATAAAAAGGAAATAAGATAAATTAATGGGGAGCGTTCGAGCGTATTATAAACTAAATATTGTATTGAATTTAAAAATTTTACGAAATTATGGAAACTTCATAATGATAGGAGCTTCGAAGGTCATCTGCAAAATAAAAAAATCCCCATGCTGCTTTCCCTAAATAAAGCTTTGTGTTTTAGGGTTTTGTGACCGGTGGTAAAGATGGCGTTGTTGTTGTATGGGACATGTTTTTTGAACATTGCTTGAAGGCATTCAGGGTCGAGCGAACTGTTATGAACTACGGCTCAATACTATTGGATGATTGTCCACCAATTAGATCCATTCATACGAACGCGTCGCGGATTTTGATCGGTACTGGTCACAACCAGGCATGTTGTTGCATAATAAATGCATATTATCGACACATAAGTCGTTTTAAATGTTTATATTTTCAGGTCATTGAGATTGAGGAAGATGGAAAGATGTCTATTATTACTCAGGTTTCCTGTAGTGATTTTTAACAAACTTTTTCATATTATACTGAGCATTTTTCTGCTAGAAGATTTTCCTTTGTGGAATGGCATAGCTCATAACTGTCTTCTTTCATTTCGAATGACCTCTTTTATTTCACCAGGGACATCGTGAGGGAGAGGTTTGGGGACTAGCTGTACATCCTTATAAAGAGGAATGTGCGACGGTGAGCGATGATAAGACTCTAAGGGTCTGGGATCTAAAGAATATCCGCATGAAGCAAGTGAAGAAGCTAAAACGCGGTTCTAGATGCGTGGCCTACTCTCCAGGCAGTGATACTATTGCAGTTGGACACAATGATGGCAGTTTTAGTATCGTTGATGCGCAAACTTTGACACTTATCGTAAACTTCAAAGACAGAATGGAAGAGATGTCCGATGTGAAATTCTCTCCTGGTAATGTTAATGTGCTAAACGACTCTGATAAAGTTTTGTTTTGCGCAATCTCCTTATATAAGTATCAAAAACGGAATAATTAAATAGTTGATATAGTTATCTGCGATACTATGTCATTAGATTTTTCTATACAATATGTATATATATATATATATATTGTAGAAAAGTGAAAGTTTCTCCGGATTATTTAAACATTTATCTTATTGAGCTTTCGACTCGGTTCTTCGAGCCTTGTTCAAAATATAGGAAGTTATTGGCTGTTTACAATTGCTTTTGATTTGTAGACGTTTAGAGTGGCTAGTTGGATTAATGGATGGATTAAGATTAATGGATGGATTAAGATTAATGGATGGATTAAGATGATTGGATGATGTGGTATGTGGGATTTGGCTGTATTGTGAACAGGATTGGTGTTATTATTATTGGCGTGGGTTGTTATAGTCCAGGTTTCGTTAGTAGATTTTTTGTGCAGAGAAACCTTCACTTTTCTAAGTCGACACCGTGTCACGTAATTGCATAAACGTCATTAGATTTTCCTCCACATAATATAGACGGAAAGTTTCTGGCTGTGGCCTCTCACGATAATTTCGTGGATATTTACAACGTAAAGAGAGGGAAACGGGTCGGCATTTGCAAAGGACATTCCAGCTATATAACTCATGTTGACTGGGATATACAAGGTAGGCATACTTCATGTAAGTTAAAACGAACTATATTTCTGTTTGACCGTATGTAATTAAGTAGGCAGAGTTGTGCCTTGTACGTTTCAGATCCGATGTTTTCTGCTTATTTTGCATTTGACAGACAGCCGCTTATTTGCATGTCATTCTGAAACCAACAACATGAAAAATTTGTTGTCAAAGACAAGTGAACTACCTGTATTGTTTGTATACCTGCTGTAAAGCAAATTTATTTATTATTGAAACAATCGACGATAAATTATCGATATACTTATGACAAAGACTTAAATATCTCAAGAAGAGTGCACGCAAACATTGCTATTGAAAAAAAACTCCCTTAAAACATGCCATGACCAAACTTTCGTGCCGTTTACTTTACTGCTAAGTAAAAAATAGAACTTTTTTCAACATGTACTCACATCTCTTCATGTTAACCCTTATGTCTCCGAGCGTTGCCTTATAGCGACATCAAGAAAACAATCCAAAACTCAAAAAACTTGGGAAGTAAAGGGTTTAAGATCTCATTGTTTTCTTTTCCTGTATAACTTGTAATATTTCCGAGGAAAGTTATTCTTGATGTACTCGGATGCCTGTGATTCCGTGCATATTTTCTCTTTCCTGTATAACTTGTTGTATTTTCTAGGAAAGTTATTGTTAATGAACTCGGGTGCCTGTGATTCCGTGAATATGTTCTCTTTCCTGTATAACTTGTTTTATTTTCTAGGAAAGTTACTGTTAATGAACTCGGGTGCTTGTGATTCCGTGAATATGTTCTCTTTCCTGTATAACTTGTTATATTTTCTAGGAAAGTTATTGTTGTCGAACTCTGGTGCCCGGGAGTATCTTCTCTTTGAAGCTCCGCGAGCATCGAGAAAAACAATGAATGATAGAGCGATAATGAGAGTTGAGTGGGATACAGTCACTGGAGTACTGGGTCCAAATTTAAACGGTATATTCCCTCCTGCTACTGACGTCACTGATGTGAATGCCACTTGTCGAAGTAAGGATCATTGTCTTTTGGCGACTGGAGATGACTTCGGTCGAGTAAAATTGTTTAACTATCCTGTTACGGTAAGTGTTTTCATCGCTTTCTTTTGAAGAAATGAATTTAGTTCTAGTTCCTTGGTTCATGAAAGACTGTGTCCACGTGGAATGTATCGGCATTGATTGTACCCAATTGTATCCAATTGTACCGTGTTGGTCAATGTGTAATGTTTGTTCCTGGGTAAGGTATGTTTTAGAATTAACTGTGAGGTAACCTTTAATGATGTGGGGTGGCATTGTCAGTGTGGGATAGTCATTGTCAGTGTGGGATACTCATTGTCAGTGTGGGATAGTCATTGTAAACGTGGGGTAGTAGTTGTCAACGTGGGTATACACTGTCTATGTGAGGTAGTAGTTGTCAATGTGGGTAGTCACTGTCAATTTGGGTAGTCACTGTCATTGTGGGGTAGTAGTTGTCAATGTGGGTAGTCACTGTCAATGTGGGTGGTCACTGTCAATGTGGGTAGTCACTGTCAATGTGGGGTAGTAGTTGTCAATGTGGGTAGTCACTGTCAAGTAGTCACTGTCAATGTAGTTGTCAATGTGGGTACTGTCAATGTGGGTAGTCATCAATGTGGGTAGTCACTGTCAATGTGGGTAGTCACTGTCAATGTGGGTAGTCACTGTCAAGTAGTTATCAATGTGGGGTAGTCACTGTCAATGTGGGGTAGTAGTTGTCATCGTATGATGATCTTTGTCATTTTACAGTAATGTCTGTCAGTGTGAGGGAAGGTTGGAGACAATCATTGTCAACGGGGAGTAGTCATGGTTGATGTGGGATCGTCATTGTGTGAGTGTGACGACATGCTACAAACTTTCTTCCTTTATACAGACGAGTGGGGCAAAATACCGTCAATACAATGGTCATTCTTCTCACGTGACAAATGTGAGATGGACAAACGATGATAAACAACTGGTGACAACTGGAGGCATGGACACGAGTATACTTATTTGGGAAAGACGTCGTGTAGAACGCGAGGAAAAAGGTGAGTTAAAACAACGACATATAGTTAGGAGCTCTTTCACTTATGGTTCCAGTAAATGTCCTCATTGTTGTTTTTAACGTATTTTAATGAAGAATGTACTGAATTCATCTTTCTAGAAGAAATCTCTCGTGTTGAAGGAATTCTGGTACAACCAAAATTCATTCCTACAGGACCTATCAGAAACCCGGTCGCTAAAGGGAAGCCACAGTTATGATAGTTGAATAAAAAATGGCGAAGATGATGTTGTTTCTTCTGTAAATACGCATCGCCTTTGAAGAGATGTCCATCACTATGATCATAAACTCAAGACTGCGTTTACCCTCCGTGTGACATATAGACATCCCGCTTTTATTTAGCTCAGCTATGAAAACATGCGGGGATTTCTGGCTTATGTGTCACATCTTCCACTGTGAAAAACGGACTCTGCACGAATTTTTCCTTTTTCTGTCTCATGTTTCATTATGAGACCTTTTTCAGGACAGCAATCATCAAAGTAACGTGTTGTGTACAGGGTATCTCAAAAACCCACAAAACTTCCGAAGTTAGAACAATTGACATATGTTATGTGTGGCATATTTTGATGATGAAAGAGAGTTTATGAAAAGCTAAACAGGATTTCTTTACAATGTGCTCAATTGTTTCCCTACTTAGTTGTGAATGAAAATAATTACGTTAATAAATTACGCCCGTGGAGACCAACAGAAAGCCGAGTTATTAAAATTTTCATGAAGAAATCGTTATGGGAATCATCAGAAGTTTTGTGTTGCTTTTTGAGGAACCCTTTACATACAGAATTGTCCTGGTTCAACTTTGGTACCAATTGGTGCCGATTCATGTACTTTTAAACGTTCGTAGACTTCAAACGGTTGCAGTTTTTTTAAAAAACCTTGCATACAAGCAAATATCTGTAAAAAAACAGCTTGGGATATATATTTAAAATCTTATATTACACCAAACATTATAGTCGTTGTTACATGAAGTATTCGAAAATATATATTGTGTAATAATTCCCTGTCCATGATGCCACTCGGTCTTAGCATGGCGACTGAATAGGAAAATGATAAAGGAATGTAAAACACAGTTTGGCAAACTATTGTGATGTTTATAAGTTCTTGTCTTTCTTGTTTTTACGTGGTGTTCAACCCCTGAAGGGGAAACGTACCGAAATTGGCCGCATCGGAAGTAAGCACGCGAAAGTTTCCCAGGAAAGTTCGGAGGGAACTTTCGACTCCGCGAGAAAGAACTCCTTACGTCCTGAAGTGGATAAACGTACGTCAGCGACCATGAATGGCCCTGTTTCAGACGATATGGACAATGTGAACACGAAGGAAGGTATGCTGTCATGTGATTTATAATCGTGTTGATTGAAGAATCACTAAGTTTTTTTGCAAACATTGTTTGCAATCATTGTTCGCCTTTGTCAAATGGAGGCCTTTGCTTTATATCTAAACATGCTGTCTTTACTAGAAAGAGGATTGTTTTGATAGTTGTTACTAGTAGAGTTGTGTGCAGACATGTGGAGTTGTGTTGATGGCAATTTATGCAAAGCAGTCACACAAGGCATTGGGAACATGTCTCTCAAAATGCCATGATGTTTTCTAGAGCCAATGGATACATCTGAAGCTGACCCAGGAGGAAAAAATGAGGTGAAGACTGAAGTGGAAGAAGATACTGCACGACCAGAAGGAGTGGTTCGATTCGTCTTGAGAGATTTTAGCCGCCTCAGAGAGACTATACTTAGTGATCCAATATACATAAGAAATCTACCTTGGTTAGAAAATATATGTTCAAGATTTGCATACTGTGGGTATTGCTCAAATTATATGTTGATTTGTTGCAGGCGTATTATGTGCATTCAGCGGCAGACTAATGGTCCGGACAAAATAAAATGTTTGGCAGTTTTTCTACAATGTGATCCTGAAACCGAGTCACTGTAAGCTGCATTGTATGTATTTGCATTGTTCAACGGAGATTTGTACTTTAATTTTGCACTTGCTTAGATCCTGGTCTTGTAATGCTGTGGCACAGTTGGTCCTGGTTAATCAGAAATGTCCAGAAAAATCCTTTAAAAAAAGTGGGAACTCTGTTCTTTACATCGTCATAACAGTCTCAACTAATTGATTTTTTGTTGCTTTCTCTTGTAGAAATTCAACATTTATTTTTTTCCAAAGAGAACGATTGGGGTTTCAGTAATTTTAAAGAATGGCAGGTATGTATTGCATGTTGTACTTAAAGCTTACAATGTTTGGGCAATTCACTATGTTGCATATGATCTTTGATCAGTACTTTAGCCTTAATTCAAAGCTTGTCAACTTCATTGCTGTTCACTAGACAATGTATTTATTTTCTATCAATAGTCTTAGTTTAAGGCTTGTCAATGTTGGGTAACTCATTCTGTTAAGTTGGCCTAATACAAATTACTATTATTTTTCCTACCAGGAGATCCTGAACCCAGAAAATGGATTCATTGATAATGATACAATTATTATTGAGGCTCATGTTGTTGCAGAAGCCCCACATGGTGTTGCGTAAGTTATGTTCATAATTGCATAGAAGGTTTATCGTTTATGTGCATGTAATGTACTTTATGAGTTATTTAAAAAGACATGTTATGTCATTTCATAGTACCATCTACAGTCATAAGTGAATTAGGTGTCGGAGAAATTTTAGCATCTAAGGCCAAAGTTTCTCCAAGACACCCTGTGATATCGTGATTTTGAAATTCTTTGACTTCAAGCATAAGCACTGGTGTAAAAGATTTTATTTATAATAAACAATTTCATTGTATCTTTGAAGTCAAAATAACATTAATTTTCCTATCTATGTGAAATGATTGTCACTTCCCTTCATTCCTGTTGGAGGTCTCATTGTTCAAGTATTTTGAGATCAGAAACAATTCTTTTTCTTGCAGTTGGGATTCAAAAAAACACACAGGTTATGTTGGACTTAAAAACCAAGGAGCAACATGCTATATGAATTCACTTCTTCAAACATTGTTCTTCACAAATAAATTAAGAACGGTATTGATGTGTGATGTCATGTTTCGTTGTCTCCCCATTATTCTTTTGTGGTTTTTCTAACCATTTAAACTAATTTCTAAATTTTAGGCTGTTTACCAAATGCCAACCTCTCACGATGATCCACAAAGAAGCGTGGCATTCAATTTACAGCGAGTGTTCTATGAACTTCAGTTCAGGTTTTATTTCAAATGTTTATTGTTTTCTTTATGATGTATCCAGAAGATATGAGATGCTGTTTGCTGGTTGTTACCTCAGAATTTGAGCAGCCTGAAAAGGAAATTTTAAAAACCACCTTGAACTTCATTTACGATAACGCCATATTGACATAAATTGCATGATTATTTCAGTGTAAACATTATGATTCTTGGGATGAATTTAGCACAATTTTGTAGATGGAATGTCTATGACTGTTTCTGTCAGACTATTCTCACTCCTATGTATGTAGGTGCATTTGTGTTTGGCTTTCAGTCGTGAATATGCAGTATATTCTTGACTGCTATATTAGTCCTTGGAAATCATCTTTAGGTCATAATCACCTGTAATGTCAATAACATTATCATTCTATCTTTTTATCATTGTTTGATTTTTGGTTATTGTATTGTTAATAAAGTAAATGGTTTGAACCCGGGAGTATCGTTACATGTTTGTAATGTAGATCGTCCAGGTTGGTATAGTCCTGAGAAGGACTGTTTTTGTTGTTGTTGACTGACATTTTGACAACCTTAGCGGTTTGACTCTGAAGATGACTACAGCTAAGGTTGTTGAAACGTCAGTCAACAACAACAAAAACAGTCCTTCTCAGGACTATACCAACCTGGACGATCTACATTTACAAACCTGTATTGTATCATTGTTGTTTGTATGTCATTAATTGATGATTTTTTTCAGTGATAAAGCTGTTGGTACAAAGAAGCTTACGAGATCGTTTGGGTTAGTTGTCTGTTGCTTTTGTAGTAATGAAGTTTGTCGACTATCAGCATTTATCGTTTTTATCTCTTCAGATGGGAAACTCTTGACAGCTTCATGCAACATGATGTACAAGAGCTGTGCCGAGTGGTAGGATTGTTCATCTCTTTCAACCTATTACTTTGCTGCTTGAAATTTCTAAGCTTTATCTTACCTTTACTTCTTTAAACTTTTTGAATTCTGTTTATAGTTGTTGGATAACATGGAAAGCAAAATGAAGGGCACTTGTGTTGAGGTGCAGATGATTTCTTGATGTTATTTTGATTTCTCTTGATTTATTTATTTCAATGCGTCTCCATTTATAAACTTGTCAAATAAAAAGTGTCAAATAGATTAGTTTTTCTAGCAAATTTTACTTTTTGAAGTGGATAAGTTTTGTACCAAGAAGCTAACCCTTTTTCTTTCTCCAAAACTTCCTTCCCGACACACACACCCAATGTCTCATTTTACTCACAGTGGCATAGCAAATTTGATATGCATAATATTCATAAGTACATATGTTCTATGCATTGAGTTTCTTTGAAATCAATTGTTTTCTGCAGAGTAAGGCATGCGTGTATGAACTTGTACTCCCCCCCCTAATTAACAAGTCTACTACGCCACCAGTGAACGATGTTATTTTTTACACCCCCCCCCCAATTAACAAGTCTGCTACACCACCAGTGAACGATGTTATTTTTTTTAAACCCCCCCCCAGTTAACAAGTCTGCTACGCCACCAGTGAACGATGTTATTTTTAACCCCCAGTTAACAAGTCAGCTACGCCACCAGTGAACGATGTTATTTTTACACCCTCCCAATTAACAAGTCTGCTAAGCCACCAGTGAACGATGTTATTTTTTTACACCCTCCCCAATTAACAAGTCTGCTAAGCCACCAGTGAACGATGTTATTTTTTTACACCCCTCCCCAATTAACAAGTCTGCTAAGCCACCAGTGAACGATGTTATTTTTACACCTCCCAATTAACAAGTCTGCTAAGCCACCAGTGAACGATGTTATTTTTTACACCCCCAATTAACAAGTCTGCTAAGCCACCAGTGAACGATGTTATTTTTACACCCTCCCAATTAACAAGTCTGCTAAGCCACCAGTGAACGATGTTATTTTTTACACCCTCCCAATTAACAAGTCTGCTAAGCCACCAGTGAACGATGTTATTTTTACACCCTCCCAATTAACAAGTCTGCTAAGCCACCAGTGAACGATGTTATTTTTACACACACACCCCCAATTAACAAGTCTGCTATGCCACCAGTGAACGATGTTATTTTTACACCTCCCAATTAACAAGTCTGCTACGCCACCAGTGAACGATGTTGTTTTTTTACACCCTCCCCCCCAATTAACAAGTCTGCTACGCCACCAGTGAACGATGTTATTTTTTTGTTTCAATCATATGAATGCGAAATTATTGATCTTTTCAAACCAGGGCGTGATTCCAAAACTTCTAGAAGGAAAGATGTGTGTAAGTTCACCTTTATTATTACACATACATCTAAAGAAATATTATTTTCAAGTTTTAGTCCATATTTTACATTCAAATATTCGTGACCACTTTTTTTAGTCTTACATCAAGTGTACCAATATCGAATACGTCTCGTCGAGGTTTGTTCCTTACATATTCCTCAACTTTCTGTCGAATTATTTTATTGTAATTTTACTACAAAAGTAATTGTGAAGTACCTTGGAGATGAGCAGCAATTGTAGCATCCCATTAGCTGTAGTAGTAGGATAAAACTCGTGTCGACTTTGCTTACACAATCCTGAAATGCAGTCACAGTGCGTGAACTTTCGGGAAGATCTTTCTCATCTGTATTCTAATAGCTCACTCACTCTCCTTGAATACGAAACAGAAATCGCGCTACCACTAATCAATGGCTAACTAATTTTTCCATACGTACAGATGATAAGATTTTTACTGAAATATTTCCAATCAGTGCAATGAGAATACAATTTCTGCAAAATCAGTGCAATGAATATGAAGTGATTTTGAGGCCTCGCTCTGTGTGTGTGTGTGTGATCTTTTACAATACAGGCTCGAGTGTTTACTTAAACACCAAAACGGGATTTTAGTGTATGAAAATTAGGAAACGACTCTTTCGTGTACCTTTCACAAAAACATGATAGTTTCGCGATTTTGCTTGCAAACATTACTGTAAAAAGAAAGTCCATTGCGGTTTCAGGAGATCTTTTATTTAAGACAATGAGAAATTTTGTACCGTACGCTGGTACCTCAAACAAAGATTTCTTGAGCATTGAATCCAATATGTGTCGTCTTAACTGGATCTCAGTTGAAATATTTCAAATATTCTTTAGGATAGAATCATTTTATGATATTCAACTGAATGTGAAAGGGAAAAAAGATAGTAAGTTAGCAATGCATCACTTCCTTTTTTTCTACTGTTTAATGTTTCCACGTAATTCGTCCTTTTATTAATACATTATTGTTGCCAAAAAGATGGTTTGAACCCGGGAGTATCGTTACATGTTTGTAAATGTAGATCGTCCAGATTAGTATAGTCCTGAGAAGGACTGTTTTTGTTGTTGTTGACTGACGTTTTGACAACCTTAGCGGTAGACATCTTCAGAGTCAATAAAAAGTCCTTCTCAGGACTATACTAACCTGGACGATCTACATCTACAAACATGTAACTTTATCGTTACATTAAAAAATCTCATTCCGCAACGCCCCGGTACGATTTTGTCGCTTCGATGCAATTTTTTAGGGTAGATCTTTGTGCGTATGAAATTGCTATAACAGTTCACTTGTTATCTAGTATACGAGTCTTTCAAAGAATACATAGCCGTCGAAACATTAGACGGCGATAACAAATACGATGCGGGTGATCATGGAATGCAGGTTTGCCATTAGAATTGTGTCATTCAAATACATATTTTTAATTGCAGTGCTATCAAATATGACAGTAGCTACTATTTTCATCGGGTTTTCAATTGATGTTGCTCATTAGTGTTGTTTTGTTTGTTTGTTTTTTTTCCCAAAGGAAGCTAAAAAAGGAGTGATATTTCATAGTTTTCCCACAGTACTACATTTACAACTGATGAGATTTCAATATGATCCCGTAGCTGATGCCAATGTAAAAATAAATGACAGGTGACATACGTCTTATCTTTTTAACACTTTGCCCTATGTGTTTTCGCCCTATCATATCCCCTTGTAACCCTAGCAATATCCATTTGTACATAGCGGTAGTTAATACCTAGTTTATCAGCGAACTGTTTATATTTGTATATTTGTCTTTGCAATCTCTTCCTTTCGCTTGTACCCAGCATATCCATATGTGACCATAGCAATATCCCCATTTGTACATAGCGTTGTTCAATATGTTACATGCGCATCCCTTGTTTATGTAACCCTTGCAATATCCCCATTTGTACATAGCGTTGTTCAATATGTTACATGCGCATCCCTTGCTTATGTAACCCTTGCAATATCCCCATTTGTACATAGCGTTGTTCAATATGTTACATGCGCATCCCTTGTTTATGTAACCCTAGCAATATCCCCATTTGTACATAGCGGTATTCAATACCTTGTTTATCAGCGAATTGCTTATATTTGTATATTTGTCTTTGCAATCTCTTCCTTTCTCTTGTAATATCCCCATTTGTAAATAGCGTTGTTCAATATCTTGTTTATCTGTGAATTGTTTAATGTTAATGTTGATGTTTATCTTTTCAATCTCATTCTTTTGCAGATATGAATTCTTTGAAAAAATCGACCTCAGCAGTTTTCTTGAGGAATCAAAACAGACCAAGGCTACCTACACCTTGCATGCTGTTCTTGTGCACAGCGGTAAGCTGTCGATTTTTCCTATTTTCATTCACTTGCTAATATAGTTGAGAATAATACAACAGTTAAGCGTACATTTCAGTTCCCTTTGTCTACCTAATGTACCTTGGCACTTTTCGTATTAAAATTTGCTTGCCGAAATTTTCTCAGCCATCTTTTACAATGTAAGCAACTGGTGGTTTTCAAAACGTTTTAACGTTCTAAATTCCCAAACAGTGAAAAGACTGAATGCTAATAAACAGTGCGAGAATGCCAGGAAAAAAGTTCTGTGCAAAACCCGCCTTAAATGCAGCGTTTATTTACCGTCAAAAGCGTGATTCAAAGACTCCTAAATTGAATATTTCTACGTGTGATCCATTGCTCATGCAATTGAATCCCAGTCCAACACGCCAAAAGCGTGATTCAAAGACTCCAAAATTGAATATTTCTACGTGTGATCCATTGCTCATGCAATTGAATCCCAGTCCAACACGTCAAAAGCGTGATTCAAAGACTCCAAAATTGAATATTTCTACGTGTGATCCATTGCTCATGCAATTGAATCCCAGTTCAACACGTCAAAAGCGTGATTCAAAGACTCCTAAATTGAATATTTCTACGTGTGATCCATTGCTCATGCAATTGAATCCCAGTCCAACACGCCAAAGCGTGATTCAAAGACTCAAAATTGAATATTTCTACGTGTGATCCATTGCTCATGCAATTGAATCCCAGTTCAACACGCCAAAAGCGTGATTCAAAGACTCCTAAATTGAATATTTCTACGTGTGATCCATTGCTCATGCAATTGAATCCCAGTCCAACACGCCAAAAGCGTGATTCAAAGACTCCTAAATTGAATATTTCTACGTGTGATCCATTGCTCATGCAATTGAATCCCAGTCCAACACGCCAAAAGCGTGATTCAAAAACTCCAAAATTGAATATTTCTACGTGTGATCCATTGCTCATGCAATTGAATCCCAGTCCAACACGCCAAAAGCGTGATTCAAAGACTCCTAAATTGAATATTTCTACGTGTGATCCATTGCTCATGCAATTGAATCCCAGTCCAACACGCCAAAGCGTGATTCAAAAACTCAAAATTGAATATTTCTACGTGTGATCCATTGCTCATGCAATTGAATCCCAGTCCAACACGCCAAAGCGTGATTCAAAGACTCCTAAATTGAATATTTCTACGTGTGATCCATTGCTCATGCAATTGAATCCCAGTCCAACACGCCAAAAGCGTGATTCAAAGACTCCTAAATTGAATATTTCTACGTGTGATCCATTGCTCATGCAATTGAATCCCAGTCCAACACGCCAAAAGCGTGATTCAAAACTCCAAATTGAATATTTCTACGTGTGATCCATTGCTCATGCAATTGAATCCCAGTCCAACACGCCAAAAGCGTGATTCAAAGACTCCTAAATTGAATATTTCTACGTGTGATCCATTGCTCATGCAATTGAATCCCAGTTCAACACGCGCTCTACAACACTCGTTGCAAATCTGTATAGTAACTTTCTAGGTTTTTTTGTTCATTTTTGAGTACACGCAATTCTTTTACAATTTTTAAATCGTGTGTATGTTATTTAGGTGATAATCATGGCGGACACTACGTTGTATATATTAATCCAAAAGGCGATGGAAAGGTAATCTGATCTTTTCAAAATAAATATGTTAATCCATTCCTCAGATTAACGTTCATCCGAGTTTTTGAGTCAGCGATTGTATGTTTTTAGTGGTGTAAATTTGACGATGACGTTGTGTCTTTGGTAATTATGATGATTTATGATGATTTATGTCAATTGTGTAAAATTTTACTGTTTCTAATGTTTTCGTTTCCATTAAAGGCGTCGAAAAAGGAAGCGGTCGATCATAATTTCGGCGGATATGACGTGAGAAGTTAAACGATATTTACTAAATATTCGCAGTTCATAGCATTGGAACTCAATATAACTGGACGGCTACTTCCCGCCAAACTTTGAAGCCCGTAATTCGACTAGAGCCATTCCTTCCTTTGCACGGTCCAAAGTTGAAAGTTCATAACGATTGTTAACGAAAGTAATGCTTAAACGCGTCACTTAGCTTTTACTGTACCACTTAACTTGGCTTCGTGCAAGTGTAGACTGTTTACATATAAGTAGCCATCCAGTTATATATTTAGTTCAATGGCTCATGGCAATAGCGTTCATGACTTTTTCATTCATTAATAGTAGTAGTGCACGTGTAGACTGTTTACATATAGGTAGCCATCCAGTTATATATCTAGTTCAATGGCTCATGGCAATAGCGTTGATGACTTTTTCATTCATTAATAGTAGTAGTGCATGTGTAGACTGTTTACATATAGGTAGCCATCCAGTTATATATTTAGTTCAATGGCTCATGGCAATAGCGTTGATGACTTTTTCATTCATTAATAGTAGTAGTGCACGTGTAGACTGTTTACATATAGGTAGTTATCCAGTTATATATTTAGTTCAATGGCTCATGGCAATAGCGTTGATGACTTTTTCATTCAATGGTAATTAAAGCCATTCACATCTTTGCCTTGTGCACATGTATATTAAAGATAGTTGCTTAGGTCAGTGTAGGGATCACTTTAGTAGAAAGCAATTCTTTAGTACCGCTATGAAAGTCGTAAGAATGCTTAATGTATATTAAAAATAGTTGTTTAGGTTTGTATAAAGCCGGGGTTACACAAGCAATTTTTCAAAATTTTCAAACAAAGTTGATGGTTACATTTAAGACAATTTTTCATATCGAAGAACATTTCGGCAATGTTTATTTGTAAACATCAATTTCAAGGTTGCGTCTCATTGGCCAGAAGCGGTTTTGTCGTATTTTGTTGTTAAGTTGATATGGCTGCTGCACGTGAAAACATTGTGTCGAGTTGTCAAAAAAATTTCCAGCTTGTTGAAATTATCACTATCAATTTTAACGATTTTTTCTTGTTGTCATAACGCGCGTTCGAAGGTCGCTTCACGAAACATTTTCAACGTTTGTTGATTAGCCTTGGCTTTAAGTTCATTTTAGTATGAAGCAATACTTTAATACCCCTATGAAACTCGTCTTATATATATATATAAATGATAGCTACGTGATAGCTTATATTTGCTCATAGTTTGGTGTTCATTCTGTAATATTGATTGTAACTTTCAATTACAGGATGACATATCAGTGAAGTACTGTACAAATGCGTATATGTTGGTGTATATTAAAGATAGTTGTTTAGGTTTGTGCAATGTTCATTTTGGCATAAAGATATTCTTTAACACCCCCATGAATGTCTTAACTATGTCTGATGTATATTAAAGATAGTTGTTGAGGTTTGTGCAATGTTCATTTTGCCATAAAGATATTCTTTAATACCCCCATGAATGTCTTAACTATGTCTGATGTATATTAAAGATAGTTGTTGAGGTGTGTATAAGGCTCATTTTGGTATAAAGCAATTCTTCAAGGCATAAGGCATAATTTTGTATAAATCCATGCTTCAATACCAACATGAAAGTGTACTATTTAAGAAATAAAAGATGTTTAGTGTGTTTGCACGGGCTTATGCAAACCGAGGAGACCTTTGGAGAACTCGAGAGCAGATCAGTGCAAGCCCGAGACCGAAGGTCGAGGGTTGCAATTTCTCGAGAGTTCTCACAAACGTCTCCGAGGTTTGCATAAGCCAGTGCAAACACGAAAAACATCTTTTATTTCTTTTATAAAATAACAATAATGCGAAAAAAGACAAACATTTTAATTTTTCCTCTAAAATGTATTCATGATCGATTTGCAAATTCTCTTTGACTGATTGATTGTTTAGATTGATTTGATTGGTTGAGCTCAGATGTGCTTTGCCCCGGCCCAATGCAAACTCAGCTCTAGACCAATCAGCGCACGCATTTTATTGTGTTTATTTTATAATTTGAATTATTAATTTTTTACTTTTTAGACGATGTGCTCGATACAAGTGGAGTTCATGAAATTCCCAAAGAACTTGATGAAAAATTAAAGGAGGAAAAGTATGTTCTGTTCTTATGTAAAATTGGAGATTATGACTCCGAAACTTGTAGCACTAGTCACGTGATCTTAATGTCGTGACGTAAATATTTATTTTCGATAATGTGTTTCAGACGTTATGAGGCCCAAAGGCGGAAAGAAAGAAGTGAAGCTCATTTATACATGACTGTCGAGGTGAATTTAATCATTGATTATATAAATATTTATATATGTAATGTGGGTTAGTGTGTGCAGCTACTAGCTGAGAGGTCTGGATCCTAATTTATATATGTAATGTGGGTTAGTGTGTGCAACTACTAGCTGAGAGGTCTGGATCCTAATTTATGTATGTAATGTGGGTTAGTGTGTGCAACAACAAGCTGAGAGGTCTGGATCCTAATTTATATATGTAATGTGGGTTAGTGTGTGCAGCTACTAGCTGAGAGGTCTGGATCCAAAAATATTTCCCAAAGTTCTATACCGGGGTCAGATACTAATCGTAAAATTCCTGCTGTTGATTTGCGAAAGAAAGTAATAGAATGTATTGGACTTACAATCATGAGGTTTAAAAAACTGAAACTTGTTCTGTGAATGAACATTCCAGCTGAACGTTTGAAATAAATCCCAGAAAAAAGTTCTTGATTTTTTTTCATCGCAAACAAGCCTGGAACATGCACAAATTTTCGTCATTTGAACTTCTAGATAATTACCGAAGATCAATTTAGTGGACATCCGGGAAACGATCTTTACGATGGTAAAAAGCTTTTGTCAAAGTAAGTGTCTAAAAATAATAGATTGTGAAACATCTTCGTTATAATTTGTAGTGATCCTTGTTTTTTTTACGCTTTTTTACGGGTTTTTTACGTTTTTCATTTTACGGGTTTTTACGTGTTTTACGTGTTTTTACGTTTCTTTACGTTTTTTTACGTTTTTTGTTGCTAACAGGATTTTTAAAATACTAAAGGAGGATACTTTGAAAAAGGCTATAGAGATATTTGCCGACGCTCTGGTGAGATTTTAAAACATGGATTTAAAGTTTCTGGTCTTTGCTTGCAAACAATTTGTGAGGATATTTTGGGGTATGTGTTGATTTACTTTGTGCAGGGTTACAAGCCAAATCAAATTCGTCCATGGCCTTTTCAAAGTCGTAAAAATAATACATATCGTGTGGGAACAATCGATATAGAAAATGCTCGCTTGAAGAAGGTAACTGCCTGGTCACTGTAGGATAATGTAGGATAAATGCTAACATTAATACGTGCATTTGAAGAAGGTAACTGTCTGGTCACTGTGGGATAATGTAGGATAAATGCTTACATTAATACGTGCTTTTACTATCAAACAATGTTCGCAATAAGCACAAAATCTTTGGAAAAATAGACTTTTCAAAACATGATTAGAGAAAAGTAACAATAAAAAACACGACCCATGTCGTGTTTACGGTATTTGTTCGAACAAGCGCCGCCCCCGAGCTAGCGTTGCCCTCCATTAAACGCCGCACACGTGGTGAGAAAAATTAGCACACCGCTGTACTTGTTCGAACAAATACAGTATTCATCGTTGCGGGGAAAACGTTCTCTGAACGACATCTAAGACATGTCAGAAAACGTTTTTAAAACACAATCATAAAAAAAATAGTTTTCAGTGAAAAAAAAACCTTTAAAAGTCGCAAGAAATCTAAATGACGTTACTTTCCTTGGTGCGATTCTTGTGAGCACATGCATTTATGAGGCTTAGGTGCAATCTAAGCTAAAACGTTCAAAAAATGCAGAAATGTTTAAACACTTGCTTAGTCATATAACTAAAATCAATATTTAAATATTGAACGAGTTTGGTGTAAATAATATTAAATCATCACGTGTACGCGTTGCGTACCTATTTTTTTACAGATCATCGAGGCTGTCGACAATGAAAATGAATGCTGTTTATTTATTGAAACTACACATCCTGGTAACTAATAAATAATAAAATAAGATTATGTAATTGCTTCTATTAGATGTATTCATTATGCCTTCCCTCCACCCTCCTCCTCCTCCTCCACCCTCCTCCTCCTTCTTCCTCCACCTCCTCCTCCACCTTCCACTCCTCCGCCACCTCCCTCCATCCTCCTCCAACTTTCCCTCCTCCCTTTAACATTTGATGCTGCCCAAACCTGTAATAACATACCACAAATTCTCCCGATGCTGTTCTTCCAAAATTTGATGTTAAACGTAAGACATTATTTTATTGTAATGTTTCGTGTTACAGTCATGGTACTTAAGAAACTTGATGCTTCATTAGTGTTACAGTCATGGTACTTAAGAAACTTGATGCTTCATTAGTGTTACAGTCATGGTACTTAAGAAACTTGATGCTTCATTAGTGTTACAGTCATGGTACTTAAGAAACTTGATGCTTCATTAGTGTCACAGTCATGGTACTTAAGAAACTTGATGCTTCATTAGTGTTACAGTCATGGTACTTAAGAAACTTGATGCTTCATTAGTGTTACAGTCATGGTACTTAAGAAACTTGATGCTTCATTAGTGTTACAGTCATGGTACTTAAGAAACTTGATGCTTCATTAGTGTTACAGTCATGGTACTTAAGAAACTTGATGCTTCATTAGTGTCACAGTCATGGTACTTAAGAAACTTGATGCTTCATTAGTGTTACAGTCATGGTACTTAAGAAATTTGATGCTTCATTAGTGTTACAGTCATGGTACTTAAGAAACTTGATGCTTCATTAGTGTTACAGTCATGGTACTTAAGAAATTTGATGCTTCATTAGTGTTACAGTCATGGTACTTAAGAAATTTGATGCTTCATTAGTGTTACAGTCATGGTACTTAAGAAATTTGATGCTTCATTAGTGTTACAGTCATGGTACTTAAGAAACTTGATGCTTCATTAGTGTTACAGTCATGGTACTTAAGAAACTTGATGCTTCATTAGTGTTACAGTCATGGTACTTAAGAAATTTGATGCTTCATTAGTGTTACAGTCATGGTACTTAAGAAACTTGATGCTTCATTAGTGTTACAGTCATGGTACTTAAGAAACTTGATGCTTCATTAGTGTTACAGTCATGGTACTTAAGAAACTTGATGCTTCATTAGTGTTACAGTCATGGTACTTAAGAAACTTGATGCCTCAGTGTTACAGTCATGGTACTTAAGAAACTTGATGCTTCATTAGTGTTACAGTCATGGTACTTAAGAAACTTGATGCTTCATTAGTGTTACAGTCATGGTACTTAAGAAACTTGATGCTTCATTAGTGTTACAGTCATGGTACTTAAGAAACTTGATGCTTCATTAGTGTTGCAGTCATGGTACTTAAGAAACTTGATGCTTCATTAGTGTTACAGTCATGGTACTTAAGAAACTTGATGCTTCATTAGTGTTACAGTCATGGTACTTAAGAAACTTGATGCTTCATTAGTGTTACAGTCATGGTACTTAAGAAACTTGATGCTTCATTAGTGTTACAGTCATGGTACTTAAGAAACTTGATGCTTCATTAGTGTTACAGTCATGGTACTTAAGAAATTTGATGCTTCATTAGTGTTACAGTCATGGTACTTAAGAAACTTGATGCTTCATTAGTGTTACAGTCATGGTACTTAAGAAACTTGATGCTTCATTAGTGTTACAGTCATGGTACTTAAGAAACTTGATGCTTCATTAGTGTTACAGTCATGGTACTTAAGAAACTTGATGCTTCATTAGTGTTACAGTCATGGTACTTAAGAAACTTGATGCTTCATTAGTGTCACAGTCATGGTACTTAAGAAACTTGATGCTTCATTAGTGTTACAGTCATGGTACTTAAGAAACTTGATGCTTCATTAGTGTTACAGTCATGGTACTTAAGAAACTTGATGCTTCATTAGTGTTACAGTCATGGTACTTAAGAAACTTGATGCTTCATTAGTGTTACAGTCATGGTACTTAAGAAACTTGATGCTTCATTAGTGTTACAGTCATGGTACTTAAGAAACTTGATGCTTCATTAGTGTTACAGTCATGGTACTTAAGAAACTTGATGCTTCATTAGTGTTACAGTCATGGTACTTAAGAAACTTGATGCTTCATTAGTGTTACAGTCATGGTACTTAAGAAACTTGATGCTTCATTAGTGTTACAGTCATGGTACTTAAGAAACTTGATGCTTCATTAGTGTTACAGTCATGGTACTTAAGAAACTTGATGCTTCATTAGTGTTACAGTCATGGTACTTAAGAAACTTGATGCTTCATTAGTGTTACAGTCATGGTACTTAAGAAACTTGATGCTTCATTATTGTTACAGTCATGGTACTTAAGAAACTTGATGCTTCATTAGTGTTACAGTCATGGTACTTAAGAAACTTGATGCTTCATTAGTGTTACAGTCATGGTACTTAAGAAACTTGATGCTTCATTAGTGTTACAGTCATGGTACTTAAGAAACTTGATGCTTCATTAGTGTCACAGTCATGGTACTTAAGAAACTTGATGCTTCATTAGTGTTACAGTCATGGTACTTAAGAAACTTGATGCTTCATTAGTGTTACAGTCATGGTACTTAAGAATCTTGATGCTTCATTAGTGTTACAGTCATGGTACTTAAGAAACTTGATGCTTCATTAGTGTTACAGTCATGGTACTTAAGAAACTTGATGCTTCATTAGTGTTACAGTCATGGTACTTAAGAAACATGATGCTTCATTAGTGTTACAGTCATGGTACTTAAGAAACTTGATGCTTCATTAGTGTTACAGTCATGGTACTTAAGAAACTTGATGCTTCGTTAGTGTTACAGTCATGGTACTTAAGAAACTTGATGCTTCATTAGTGTTACAGTCATGGTACTTAAGAAACTTGATGCTTCATTAGTGTTACAGTCATGGTACTTAAGAAACTTGATGCTTCATTAGTGTTACAGTCATGGTACTTAAGAAACTTGATGCTTCATTAGTGTTACAGTCATGGTACTTAAGAAACTTGATGCTTCATTAGTGTTACAGTCATGGTACTTAAGAAACTTGATGCTTCATTAGTGTTACAGTCATGGTACTTAAGAAACTTGATGCTTCATTAGGTTACAGTCATGGTAGTTAAGAAACTTGATGCTTCATTAGTGTTACAGTCATGGTACTTAAGAAACTTGATGCTTCATTAGTGTTACAGTCATGGTACTTAAGAAACTTGATGCTTCATTAATTTTACAGTCATGGTACTTAAGAAACTTGATGCTTCGTTAGTGTTACAGTCATGGTACTTAAGAAACTTGATGCTTCATTAGTGTTACAGTCATGGTACTTAAGAAACTTGATGCTTCATTAGTGTTACAGTCATGGTACTTAAGAAACTTGATGCTTCATTAGTGTTACAGTCATGGTACTTAAGAAATTTGATGCTTCATTAGTGTTACAGTCATGGTACTTAAGAAACTTGATGCTTCATTAGTGTTACAGTCATGGTACTTAAGAAACTTGATGCTTCATTAGTGTTACAGTCATGGTACCTAAGCGACTCGATGCTTTAATAAAAGTTCTCGTAACTGTGTATATGTTCTCAGTTATTCGGGATTGAGTTAGATGTAAAACGATTTCCACGCATTAAAAGCTGTCAAAACTTTAAGTCTAAAAATCACAACCTTTGATTAAGCAGTATATTAGTAAAAGTAATACCATTTGTTATTCTTCAACTGGCGCAAATTAGTTGTTCACATTTAGCATATTTTGCGTATTTATAAAGTCCCGATGTTGTGAAAATGCTCAATGTAGGATTTGTTAAAAGACTAATGGTAGATCGCTTCAATTTGACAAGATCATTCATCGTTTTGCTGAACCTGGCTAGAAGAGCTCTCTTATTATCTATCTGAATGTTTTTTACTTTATCATTGTCTTTAGTTGATATTATGCTGTTTTTCAAATATTACGACCCAAAATCGGAGTCAATGTCCTACTGCGGACATGCATATATTCCAATGTCAAGTAAAATTTGTAAGTATATTGCAGTTAAAGTGCTTGCTATGCTTGGCATCATTTTAAAAATAAAATATATGGTTTGATGACGTCACCTCCACGTGACTTTTTCCATAGCGACGCTCCTTCCAATGTTGTGCGAAAGGGCGCATTTACCAAAAGATACTCCTTTGATGTTGTTCGAGGTGAGGTTTATAATTCTACTGGAGTTTTGAAAGCAACGAAAATTTTGTGAGTGTGTTTCCCCCTTGTCCTAAGGAAACCTACAAAATTTCTACTGGGGTTTGGAAAGCAACGAAAATTTTGTGAGTGTGTTTCCCCCTTGTCCTAAGGAAACCTACAAATTTAGATTCTACCGTAGGAAGATATATGAAATGTTGAATGATTTAGGTTTCCAAGGCGTACCAAATTTTCAAAATTTACGAACAGACCCTTTCACGATTGCATGGTACAATTTAACGGAAAAAAGATTTAAAATCTTATTTCAGCCAGTTTTCTTACTTTCGTGTAATATAATGAGCAAGAAACAGCCACGACTTTAAAACTTTACTAAGCCCCCTCCTATTTTTTCGTGCTGTCGTTTCCATCATACCTTGCACTCGTAGTTTAAAGTCCAATGCTGTCTGTCCGTATGGTGCATTGTTTGAAGTTTCGTTCCATTTTACAGGAAGTGAGGCCAGGTTTGACTGAACATTTTAAAGATTTGAACTTGTCTATTGAGGTATGATTATGAGGATGACGAGCGGATGCATTATGAAACTGTGTGATGTGTTAACTAATTCTCTCTCGTTTCATTACTTTATAGGATCTTGAAGATATCATGGACGGAGACATAATCTGCTTTCAAAGGTTCCTCATTTTGCATGAATTTCAATATTTTACAATAGTTACCATAGAGGATAATGTGGGATAAATGCCAACATTTTACAATAGTTACCATAGAGGATAATGTGGGATAAATGCCAGCATTTTACAATAGTTACCATAGAGGATAATGTGGGATAAATGCCAACATTTTACAATAGTTACCATAGTGGATAATGTGGGATAAATGCCAACATTTTACAATAGTTACCATAGAGGATAATGTGGGATAAATGCCAACATTTTACAATAGTTACCATAGAGGATAATGTTAGATAAATGTCAACATTTTACAAGATGTTCAATAGCCCATCTTTTCCGTTTTCCAAACACATAGAACCCCAAGCAAAATCCAAACACAACGTGCGTTCTTTGGGCGAATATAATGAAATTAACAATTCTTCATAGACTCTAGACATTTTTAATGTAAAACTAAGTAACAATGGAATTTACTTAAAACTTCAATTTAGAAGTGTTCTTGACCCAAGGCAGCGTTATGCTTGCCTAGCGATGCGCAACAGCTCCTCTGTCCCTACACCCCCATTAGATGAGCATAGACCCCCTCCCCTTATATAAAGACCTACTTAAGAAAGACGTTGGACAAATGAACAATTTTCCTTTAATGCGCAAAATACACGTACCTTTACAAATAACTTGTCGTTTACAAATAGTTTGTCATTTTATTCAGTAATATTTTGCGTATTGAATAGAATTGTTAGAAAAAAGTTTCTTTTATTCCAGGAAAGACATTGACCTAGAGGAGTTTAAGCTGAGAACGTGTATCGACTACTTTCGGTGAGATATTTGTTGTCATTCAAGTTCTATATACTTTCATTTTAACCCTGTAAGAGTTGACAAGTGTTCAGCATCTGCGTTTTAACATTTATGTGTTCTATATGATTTCAGAAGCACGAGATTTATTAAGCATTTGAAATAAACGACAAAATTTTTTATCATAAACATGTTTCGACTTACATTAAGTCATCTTCAGTATGAGAATGAAGTAAAATTATTTACAATGTTGAATTTACAATAACATACACGATAGTATACATAATTAACACGTGTCATGTATGCTATTATAAATTTAACTTTGTAAATAACTTTATTTCATTCTCATACTGAAGATGACTTATTGTAAGTCGAAACATGTTTATGATAAAAAATTTTGTCGTTTATTCCAATGCATTATATTTTTTTCTCATTTACCGTAGTGATTACCACAATCGTATGGACATCACTATGGTCGACAAAAGTTCACCCAGCGATCCTGGTTTTAATGTTATACTATCATCGAGAATGAATTATACGCAGGTGACACGTGATTATAGATTTCTTGGGTTTTGGACGTTGCGTTAAGCTTTAAATTTGTGATGTTGCCAAGATATTGTCAGTGATATTTTTAAGAACTGTTCTATAACCGGTATGCGGTTGTAAGTCTTCAACAGAGTTTTCAAAACTCACTCGTCTTCAATAAATTTTTCTCACCGTGTCATAAATGCAGGAATGAGAATATAAATGAAAATAGACCCGCACATTCATAAATTTTTAAATGGTGAAATAGTTCATTCAAACATGCCTAACGTTCATTCGTGGTTTCCTACTTGTATTTATTCTTCATACTTGCCCCAACAGTCATTAATGTCTAACAATGGACGACAGTATGATTCGCGCGAATCATGTACTTCATGTTACTAAAATGCGGCAGTTGATATACAAACACGATAACAATCTAACCCAAAAAAACCCTCGAACTTCTAACAAACGGCACAATTCTAAAGTGCTTAAGATTATTCTTTGATGTATAAGTTGTATACACTGTACAGTATTGCTCGAAATTTCTTTGATGTATAAGCTGTATACACTGTACAGTAATGCTCGAAATTTCTTTGATGTATAAGCTGTATACACTGTACAGTAATGCTCGAAATTTCTTTGATGTATAAGTTGTATACACTGTACAGTAATGCTCGAAATTTCTTTGGTGTATAAGTTGTATACACTGTACAGTAATGCTCGAAATTTCTTTGGTGTATAAGTTGTATACGCTGTACAGTAATGCTCCAAATTTCTTTGATGTATGAGTTGTATACACTGTACAGTAATGCTTGAAATTTCTGTGATGTATAAGTTGTATACACTGTACAGTAATGCTCGAAATTTCTGTGATGTATAAGTTGTATACACTGTACAGTAATGCTCGAAATTTCTTTGGTGTATAAGTTGTATACACTGTACAGTAATGCTCGAAATTTCTTTGGTGTATAAGTTGTATACGCTGTACAGTAATGCTCCAAATTTCTTTGATGTATGAGTTGTATACACTGTACAGTAATGCTTGAAATTTCTGTGATGTATAAGTTGTATACACTGTACAGTAATGCTCGAAATTTCTGTGATGTATAAGTTGTATACACTGTACAGTAATGCTCGAAATTTCTGTGATGTATAAGTTGTATACACTGTACAGTAATGCTCGAAATTTCTGTGATGTATAAGTTGTATACACTGTACAGTAATGCTCGAAATTTCTGTGATGTATAAGTTGTATACACTGTACAGTAATGTTCGAAATTTCTTTGATGTATAAGTTGTATACACTGTACAGTAATGCTCGAAATGTTTCCATTTTGACTGGAAACTTCCTTGTTTCTGACAGTCACCTTTAACTCCGATACTCAAAATGTCACGTGTTGTATTTCAGATGGCGGAGAAAGTGGCCTGGCATCTTGACGTTGATCCCAGAAAGATCCAGTTTTTCAAAGCACAATTGTAAGATTATGATTTGGTGGCGTGTTCACCGTATTTACCAAACTTTTCTTATGATGGGAACGGCACTTAACTGCCTTTTCGGGTTCACTTGTGTAGCCGCCAGCTTGCAAGTGTACTCGTGCTATGTAAACTTCAAATCATTACCGTGATTCATTTCGTTAGACATGAAGTGAACACGAAAAAATTCACGACCAAACTTGTGGGCTGACTACGCTACTTTTTTCATGGATTATATGAAATGTACAATTACAAATGCTATAAACAATCATAAATACTATGAATACTTTTTGACTCTGAAGATGACTACCGCTAAGGTTGTCGAAAAGTCATTAAACATCAACAAAAACAGTCCTTCTCAGGACTCTACTAATCTTGACGATCTACATCTACAAAATATAAATACTGTAACCGAGATTTTGTCGTGGGGACAAATTTGAATATCGCCTTAAAAAGAGCAATTGCCATGGTGAAAAGACTGAATAAAATCCACGAAACCCAAGATAAAACCGAGAAAAAATTAACCAATGAAAACCCGAGAAAAAACTAACCAATGAAAACCGAGAAAAAACTAACCAATGAAAACCAAGAAAAATGAAGAGTTCTGAAAAGAACTGTTTTAGAATTAGAGCACTAACACAAAACTTCTCAAAAAAACTGTTTTAGAAATTTAAGACAGTATGTATTTCGGCCGACAAGTCGTCAGGTGTCAACGTCTGCTATCTGTCTAAATACTATGGTTAATGATTCTTGTTTATAGATATGGTGGAGGACTTCCTGCAAATCCCATAAAATGTACATACGAGGGAACATTACGAGATCTTATGATGTACAGTCCAAAATCACCGAAAAAACTCTATTATCAACTTGTTAGTACATACGTAAACTTATGTAAAGTCGTTTATGTTTCGTTGTTCTGTCTCGAATTGAGTTAAGATTAACAATTTGTGTTTTGTATGATTTTGATGATCTTTTTTATAGTTGTCCATACCTATTGATGAACTAGAGAATAAAAGACAGGTCAAGTGTGTTTGGGTCAGTAAAGACCTCAAAGTACAGGTAAAAGATTGTTTACATGCTTTCGTAATCGATTATTGGGTGATATTTACCTCAATACATGAAAATACAACTTGTTTACATGCTTTCGTAATCGATTATTGGGTGATATTTACCTCAATACATGAAAATACAACATGTTTACATGCTTTCGTGATGGATTAATGGGTGATATTTACCTCAATACATGAAAATACAACATGTTTACATGCTTTCGTGATGGATTAATGGGTGATATTTACCTCAATACATGAAAATACAACATGTTTACATGCTTTCATGATGGATTAATGGGTGATATTTACCTCAATACATGAAAATACAACATATTTACATGCTTTCGTCATGGATTAATGGGTGATATTTACCTTAATACATGAAAATACAACATGTTTAAATGCTTTCATGATGGATTAATGGGTGATATTTACGTTAATACATGAAAGTACAACATGTTTACATGCTTTCGTGATGGATTAATGGGTGATATTTACGTTAATACATGAAAATACAACATGTTTACATGCTTTCGTGATGGATTAATGGGTGATATTTACCTTAATACATGAAAATACAACATGTTTACATGCTTTCGTGATGGATTAATGGGTGATATTTACCTCAATACATGAAAATACAACATGTTTACATGCTTTCGTGATGGATTATTGGGTGATATTTACCTCAATACATGAAAATACAACATGTTTACATGCTTTCGTGATGGATTAATGGGTGATATTTACCTTAATACATGAGAATACAACATGTTTACATGCTTTCGTGATGGATTAATGGGTGATACTTACCTCAATACATGAAAATACAACATGTTTACATGCTTTCGTGATGGATTAATGGGTGATATTTACCTTAATACATGAAAATACAACATGCTTACATGCTTTCGTGATGGATTAATGGGTGATATTTACCTCAATACATGAAAATACAACATGTTTACATGCTTTCGTGATGGATTAATGGGTGATATTTACCTCAATACATGAAAATACAACATGTTTACATGCTTTCGTGATGGATTAATGGGTGATATTTACCTTAATACATGAAAATACAACATGCTTACATGCTTTCGTGATGGATTAATGGGTGATATTTACCTCAATACATGAAAATACAACATGTTTACATGCTTTCGTGATGGATTAATGGGTGATATTTACCTCAATACATGAAAATACAACATGTTTACATGCTTTCGTGATGGATTAATGGGTGATATTTACCTCAATACATGAAAATACAACATGTTTACATGCTTTCATGATGGATTAATGGGTGATATTTACCTCAATACTTAAGAAATAAAAGATTTTACTGTGTTTGCACAGGCTTTTGCAAAAAGAGGAGACCTTTGGGAGAACTCGAGAGCAGATCAGTACAAACCCGAGACCGAGAGCTTGGGGTTGCACATGCTCGAGAGTTCTCACAAACATCTCCGAGGTTTGCATACGCCTGTGCAAACACGAAAAACATCTTTATTGCATTTATAAAATAACAATAATGCGAAGCGGACATTTAAAACAAACGTTTTAATTTTTCCTTCAACATGTATTCATGACTGACTTGCAAACTAAGTTACTGACCAATCAACGCATGCGTTATATATGGAGAGACGTGCGTAAATACAGCTACAATAACGGTGAAATATATGAAAAATAAAACTAAATAATATGAAGAGACAAAAAAGACTTACATATATTTACAAAAAGTACAATTTATTGTGTTAAAAGTCAATTATCATAATTTACTTTTTATTAATGTTAAAAAAAGAACTTTTACTATCTCTAACTTCTAATGGGATTGTTTTGCAAAGATTCACGAAGGTTTTTCACCCATCGTACACGAAGGTTTTTTCGGAGTATTTTTTCTTTCTTGATAATTGTATGAATGAAAACGCTTTTAAAGATTCACATGAACATAATATGCTTTTCAGAAAGAACTTGTTTTGTATCCCGATAAAAATGGCAACGTCGGCGATCTTTTACGAGAAGCAAGAAAACATGTACGATTCAATTTTCTCTTTATTTTTGTAAAATCTGCCATTTTTACCGATACTAAATTTTTATAACTTTCCTTCAAGATGAACGACAGCTCGCTACAATTAAGGTAATGGACGTTTGCGATGGTCTTCGCCTGTGTTCTTTTGGTGTCGACTGAATTATAGCAGATGACAGCTTTCTCATTCTCTCTTTCAGAGTGTTAATGGTTTTAAGCTGTAAGATACAAGAGATTTTACACGAGGATAGCGATCTAGAGATGTTCCATACTTATGCTTCAACGCGCACTTATAGAATCGAGGTGCTATTTTGATGAACTTTTATTTTAATTCATCTCGACCTGAGTGACTGTTTTCTTTCTTGTCGTTTCATAGGAAATACCAGCTGACCAAGTACACGTCAGCGAAGATGAAGAATTGATACCGGTTGCGCATTTCAACAAGGTAGAGATTTAGTTGATTGGTGGTTTAATGCATCTCCTGGATGGAAAGCTCAGAAATTTGTTTTGTTTAAAATCGCTTCAAAATTTTATGCAATTGATAAGTTTCGTATGAAAAACTGACATATTTTACCATAAGTTTGTGAGTGAGTATTTTATTAACTGCTTATTGTGAATAGTTGGCCATTGAATACATATGTTGCCTTATGTATTTTCATTAGAAGAAAGGTTTCATATTCCAGTCATGTACATTTGTAACCCCAGTCGTTCCTTGTTCTCCCTTAGGATACCTATCAAACGTTTGGCACTCCGTTTCTTTTGAAAATATGCGATGTAAGTAGCCAAAAACATTAAATATTATCATTAATTTACTATAATGGAGTTTCCTTTGTATTTTTTTATCAGAAAGAGACGTTTTCAAATGCAATGGATCGAGTTAAACGGAAATTAGACATGTCTGATAAAGAATTTGAAAAGGTTTCCGTACTTGCGGTACGATTACTCCTGATTTGTGTTTTCTTATTTTTCTGTTTTTCTTCTTACGTTACAGATAAAATTTGCTTTGGTTAAGAGTGGAAGGCCAATATATATTCAAGATGGTAGGAAGATCTTTAGCATGTTTATGTTTTGTGTTGTACGCGCTAAGACCTGAGTTTTGCAACCATGCTTTGTGTAATGTAAGAATGATCATTAGCGCCGTTGAATGGTTGAATGTTAGCTGGTTTGACAAAGGGGGGTGGTCTAGGCTCCAGATCTGTTTCTGGGGCCGAGGTTAGGATTCATGTTCCCATCTCAACGAAAAAGAGAGAGAGGGATTTTTTCATGATCGATTTAGATTTTTTTTGACTCTGAAGATGACTACCGCTAAGGATGTAGAAACATCAGTCAACATCAACAACAACAGTCCTCAGGACTCAACTAACCTGGACAATCTACATCCACAAACATGTTAGATTTTCCCCTTGCTTTTTTGTGTTGTCGCTATCGACTACCAGATGGTTATGATGTGCCATCAAACCCACGCATCCCCTGGTATCCCCTTTTATCCCCTTGACATGCCTGCTGTGACAATGATACGTTTATCGTTGCCTAGCTGTTAACTTTGCATGTAGCATATTCTCATTAAATAACACATGGCCTTTCATTGCAAGTTTTGTGTTTTCCAACTGCATGTTTCTTATCTCTTAGTTTATTTTTTTATTGCGAAATATGAAACGTTTGACATTGGCTATTCGACATAAAGATGTTTTTCTTCTGAATTTGCGTATAAGGAGTAATGAGTATCAATTGTCAATGTTCGTTTAAACGTGCTATATTCATTGTTTGTGTAAAAGTTTCAAGTTAGTTTGATGATGTAAGAAACGAACGTTGAAATGAACATTAGAACTTTTTCACGAACTTTGAAATGAACATTTGAACATTTGCACGAACTTTGAAATGAATATTAGAACATTTGCACGAACTTTGAAATGAACATTAGAACATTTGCACGAACTTTGAAATGAACATTAGAACTTTTTCACGAACTTTGAAATGAATATTAGAACATTTGCACGAACTTTGAAATGAACATTAGAACTTTTCACGAACTTTGAAATGAATATTAGAACATTTGCACGAACTTTGAAATGAATATTAGAACTTTTCACGAACTTTGAAATGAATATTAGAACAATTGCACGAACTTTGAAATGAATATTAGAACAATTGCACGAACTTTAAAATGAATATTAGAACAATTGCACGAACTTTGAAATGAATATTAGAACAATTGCGCGAACTTTGAAATGAATATTAGAACTTTTTCACGAACTTTGAAATGAATATTAGAACTTTTTCACGAACTTTGAAATGAATATTAGAACTTTTGCACGAACTTTGAAATGAATATTAGAACATTTGCACGAACATTGAAATGAATATTAGAACATTTCCGCGAACTTCGAATTGAACATTAGAACTTTTGCACAACTTTGTCAGTATGTAGCTTTAGCTAAACAGAAAAGTAAATTGAAATCAACTGTAAACCAACACAATGCGACAAAATGGTCGCAAGCGCAGATTTGCTTTTACTTTAAGACTAAATATGATGTCGTTGCTCGCATTTGAGAGATTTGACAGGTTTTCTTAAGATACCATCCAATTTTTACTGCCAACAGTTTGTTTCCAGAAATATTTGTCATTAATTACAGATGGTAATAAAACTCAGGTTTTAGCCATATTTTATAAATGAAGCATGTTTATATTTAGTGTTCGATAGATAAAATCTTGCTGAAGAATCTTTTTACTTATAGAAGTCGATAAAGAAATCCAAATACAAGATTTTCGGCCTGCATCAACAAGTTAGTGAAAATAAATAGTTCATTACAGACATTTAGGGATAAGTTTTATGTTAGCAAATGCATAGCTCTAGCTAAGATTTTTGTCCCCATTTTGGTCATCACCATGTTCATCATGGTCTATTTGTCTATATGTGTGTCATTTTTTTGTACTTCGCAGTAAAGCTTCCTAACAATTCTCTCTCTCGACCATGGTTGGGCTTGGATCATGTTGACAAAGCTCCCAAGAAGTCACGTTACAATTACCTTGAACGTTCTATCAAGATCCATAATTGATCATGAATGTCCAGAAGAAAAATTATTTAAATGTATTTAAAATGCCACATTTTAGGCTTGTAGTAGAGATTTGTTATGACACTTTTCTATTTTAAGCAAATCTGGACATAATTAGATCAATCTAATTTGTTTCGATTCCCATTTGCTCAGTCTGTATTAAATAATTTTTTATTTAATTTTTCATTGTTTGACCTGATGCTTTGATGGGCAAATTAGAATGGTTCCAAATTGCTTGATGGGCAAATTAGAATGGTTCCAAATTGCTTGATGGGCAAATTAGAATGGTTCCAAATTGCTTGATGGACAAATTAGAATGGTTCCAAATTGCTTGATGGGCAAATTAGAATGGTTCCAAATTGCTTGATGGGTAAATTAGAATGGTTCCAAATTGCTTGATGGGCAAATTAGAATGGTTCCAAATTGCTTGATGGGCAAATTAGAATGGTTCCAAATTACATCTCATTTATAAACTACAGAGATGTGTTTTCATGTTTATTTAGATTCAAGTTATCAAATCTAAACATTAGCTTTCGTTTGACATGTAAACTTTGCATACATTTTCTGAACTAGTTAAACAAGCTTTGCTATCATTAAATTGGAATCGCCATAACTCATATTCCTGTTGCGTTAATTGAATGCATGAAAATGTTAACAAAGTTTACTTGTCAATAGTACTCATGGAATTTCCTGACAAAGTGTAAATAAAAGTCAAAGTTGCTTTGCAATTTAATAACACAAGAATTCACTTTCACAGACTATTGAACATTTTTTACACTGCCTAATTGTTTTCAAATACCAAAACTTCTATACAGTTGGTCAAGTGTTATTTCAATTGACTAAATCCCAAATGTTTTTGATTGAACAAAAACCTGGTATAATTTCACTACATTCTGATAGCCACTTTGCAACATTTTTCGGCACTGTCATACCATTATCATAACATTTTACCATGGCAACAGAACAATAAATGTCAGCCAATGAAAAATTATTACCAACCAGCCACTTGTTCTTTGCAAGATACTTGTTGAGTTGTTCTAATAATGCTTTCTTTGGACCTGCCGCACAATTCAACCAATCATCGATTGCCGCTAGGATTAAAGGCTGGCCGGGTTCATACAAACGAGGAAGAAATCTCCGAGCCAAATAACGTAGGATATTTGCCTCACCTAGTATAGGTGACTGGTCTGAAACTGTTGCCATGATGCTAGGTGCAAGTAGGTCTGAAAAATGAATAAAAAAAATCTTCATGTTGAAAAAAAATTGTCTGAGAAGTACATTCTGATTGAAGTGCACTAACCACCCTTCCATATAAACCGCCAACATAAAGAACTGTCTTCAGTACAAGAAGCTTTCTTCAGCACATTGTTTAACTTCTTTGGAAACGAGTTGGACCATGAGGAATGAACATGAGACAACAATGAACAATTCTGCCCATGATGTCTTACAAGAAAGTGCATCAAAATAGCAGACAACGGCGGTTCATAAGGTGATGACTTTATAACAATATTACACGGTACATTCTTCATTTTAGTCATTGTTTCCTTTGTCGCACTTGAAGCCTGAAAATTCATTTAACGAATGAAAGTTAGTAAAATACATCTATGCATGCCTTCGTGAGTTTCATATCAACAAAAAATCCAAACCTTTGTATCAAATGTAGTTTCGAGTCTCATAAACTTGGTGTTAAGCCCGATATCTTCGCTAATCTGCTCGACCTCCAGTTTCAATTTATCCAGTTCAGCCAAGACAGCTTTCTGACGTTTAAGGAGCTCCACAATTTCTTCATCTACAGTATTCTGCGCGCACAAAAAATGTTTCACGTATAACAGCATTCTGATAGAATTGATCTGAGGTCTCGACAAATCGAAATTGAAGTTCTTTAAACAAGAAATTCTTTCAATGTAAAAACATACCAAATCTTCTATAGAGTCTTCGTGAATGTTTTTCATTTTGTACATAGAGGATCGTTGCTCGTAAGCAACTTTTTCGTCGCTGTAAAAAGGTTTCATTTTGTACATTGTGCAGGAAGCCATTTTGTTATATTTCTTTGTAAGGAATCGTGAATGTAGCAAGTGGAAACACATTATTTTTTTGGGCGACAGCGTGTCATGGATTGATGATGTTGAGAAAAATTTGACGATTTTCTTGCTTTGAATTAAATTTTTCTGTGAATTTTCCCTTTCAACTCTACTAAAGTATTTTTACGAATAATGTGAGAAACATGAAAGATTTTAAAACATAGCAGTCTTTTGAATTCCAAACGAGTTTAGTCACGTGATCAGTTTTCACGACTTTAGATATCGTCCCGCCAAAGAAAAAATATGGTGGACAAAACATTTGCGATTTAAAAATCGTTGGACGACCTGGAAAGCGCGCAAAACGGGCCGGATTTGAGTTTACGAACTGCAGCTGTCGAAGAGGCACATACTGTGAAGAAATTTGCCCTGAAACATGACAAAAAATAAAGGAAAAACTCGCGTAGTGGGGAAAGGAAAAAGAAGTCGCAAAGCAAAGAGCGAGCAAAACGGAGATTCCATAAACTCTGTTGTGAATAAAGCGTCTTCGAGTTCTGGCAGAAATATTAAAACTCGCAACCAAGGAAAGTCACAGCCGCACAAATACCAATGTATGATCCAGAGTTCTTCGGATAGCGAGGGAGAACATTCAGATTACAGCGTGGAGTCGGGATCCAGTCGTAGCACCGAAATAAGCCACATATCCAACGAGATTTTGTACTTTCAAAACTGTCGCATTAAATCGTTTGAATTCATTGATCTTCCCGATGTCAAAGAGCTCAAACTTCCACCGTCAGCGGATGATTTGATTTTAGCAAATGAACACGTTTTAGATGCACTTGGCGTCTATGAAATTGTAAGAAAATTCGGTCGAATTCTACGCTTATCACCGTTCCGATTTGAGGATTTTTGTGCAGCGCTTGTTGCTGACGACAAGTCATTGCTTCTCGATCAAATACATCTTAACCTAGTTAGAAGTATAATTGCCGAAGACGAAGCAAACGGTTACAGTTTTGCAGCCAATGACGAGAAGGAAAGTATTAATTTATTTTTGTACTTTTTGGACAACTTCACTTGGCCTGAGATAGTTCGCAGCTACATCACTGCGAATGCTGAATTGAGCAAAGCAGTTAGCTTTGTAAATGACAGCAACTATCCTTATGTATCGGTGGAAAAGAAAATCACCGTACTTTGTTGCCTAACTGAGCAATTTCTTTCATCTAATGCTGTTCGAGAGGATGTCGTCAGCGAAGGGTCTTTTGTATCTGAAGATCATTGCCGTAACTGTTTGAAGATGGGCGATCTTCTCTGTTGCGAATCATGTCCAGCAGTCTTCCATTTACATTGCCTTAAGCCACCTCTTGTTGAAGTACCAATGGGAGATTGGTTATGTCCATTATGTGAAGGCAATAAAGTTCAAGGTGTCACAGACTGTAACTTGCCTAGAGATTCAACGAAGAGCTATCGACATGCACCAATAGGTGTTGACAGGCTGGGAAGAAAGTATTGGTTTCTCGTGAGAAGAATATTTGTGTGAGTAGAAGGATTATTGTTTAGTTTTGAGGATAGTTTGTTCATACTCGAGTTGGTTGTGTGTTTTGAAAAAATGAAAAAAGTCGGGCATGTGGTTAACATGGATATTTTATAAAGTAAATGGTTTGAAGCCGGGAGTATCGTTACATGTTTGTAAATGTGGATCGTCCAGGTTGGTATAGCCCTGAGAAGGACTGTTTTTGTTGTTGTTGACTGACGTTTCGACAACCTTAGCCTTAGGTACAGTGTTATTTTATATAACAGATACAGTGTATGTGTAAGCTCTGTTTAAATAATGGATTTATTCTCCTCTGGGATGGATACTGGATGAATTTGTAGCGGGGGAGGGGGGGGGTGCTTTAGTTTGGATTATATTTACGCAGATGGCAACTTTGTTAATGCTGCCAATCCATGTCAGACTTTCACTAAAGTCCATAGCTTTCAAAATGATTGATGTTTAATATTTGATATGGATATTGGACCCAACTAGTCCAAAGACTACGAAGGGTATGTACCCCCCTGCAGTAGATTCATCCCTGTTTCTCCCATCAATTCCATTTCTATTCACAGGGAAGGGGAAAATCAAACCTTTTACTACAGTACCACCTCCCAACTCGATGAGCTTCTATACTATCTTGAGAAGGACGGAGATGAACAAAGATTGCTTGCTGATTTGAAGAGCTGGTATTATGAGATTGCTTCACAAATGTCTATAACAAAACAACTCACTGACAGTTTTAAAGGTAACCAAATGGTCCAAATTCATCCATCCGCTATGAACTAAACTGTACAGTTAACTCCCCCTTGCTGATAAGCTATGGTAAAGTCTGTTTACCAAACTATTCATTTGACCTATATGCTTATGGTGAAGTTTATTTACCAAACAGTCCAGATGACCCACCCCACCCACCAACCCCCCGATAAACTTATGGTAAAGTTTGTCAAATTTTTTGCTTATATAGGAGAACAAAAGTCCGCATTAGACGAAGATTTACGACTTCATACAAAGACTGAGCATCAGATGGGAACTGTAACATTTGATGTCAAAGGTACCATTATATTTTAGTAAACTAGAGTTACCAACATATACCACCATTTACCATCATATCCCATGATATACCCCATTTACCATAATACAACATTTACCATCATATACAATCATATACCACCATTGACCATCATATACCACCATTGACCATCATATACCACCATTGACCTTCATATTCCACCATTGACCATCATATACCATCATTTACCATCATGTACAATCATATACCACCATTGACCCTCATATGCCATCATTTACCATCATATCCCATCGTATACCCCATTTACCATCATACCATCATTTACAATCATATACCACCATTGACCATCATATGCCATCATTTACCATCATATAACATCATATCCCATCGTATACCCCATTTACCATCATATACAATCATATACCACCATTGACCATCATATGCCATCATTTACCATCATATACCATCATATCCCATCGTATACCACCAATTACCATCATATACCACCATTTACCATCATATACCATCATATACCACTATTGACCATTATATACCATCATACAAATGTTGTTTGTGTTTGTGTTGTTTATATACCACCATTTATTAGGATTTCTATATTTCTTCTTCAAGGTGTTCCTAAGCTTAACATGACACCAAAGCTCAACTTCATTTCTGATGATTCTATAAAAGAAAAAATTGTCTACAGACAAGAAACAATGCCCAACTCTAATGCAAAGGACACCAACAGAAACGATGGCTCAATTGGAAAAAGCGACCCTGACACATGTAAGCCACTCGCACGTGGTAATCCTCACTCCAGTATTTTGATTAGTTCAGTGAGAATAACGTAAAATCTAACCAACTTACGTGTTACTTTCTACAGCGTCTCATGCAAATGTTGCGGTAAACGGCGATACTTCTTCCGTTGGAGAAAAAAACGCGATGAAAAATACAGAGGAAGAAACGTTAAGTAAAATGGAAACTAGTGCTAGTGATGGAAACGAGAACATTTCAACTAAGATTTCCGAGGATGCGTCTGCATTGAGTTTAATGGATACGGCAACTGCGAGTCGGACGGAGGATCTTACTGTTTCAAAGAATAGCGATTTGATTATTCCCGAAGCAAACAGTGTTGCAGCTAGTAAAATCATTCAAACATCAAATGCAAAAACTCCATTGAACAATGAAGGGAAATCATCGGCTGGAAACATCATCCCAACTTCAACTGATATAAATAAAGTCACGCCTCCGTCATCCTTCTGTTCTTCCGTTAAAAACTCCAGTTCTTCAACCTTAAATACGCCCGATTTTAAAGCGCCATCTTTTGGCGGAAAAACATCAACCACTCAAACAATAAATTTATCCACCAGCCAAAAAACTGGTTTGAAAAATCCTTTAAGCAATATAATTCCCGATTCTCAGGTGAAGACGCCAGGTGTAGCAACTCCAAGAGTCGTTACCTGCAACAAGGTCTCGTCCGCAAGCTCGTCGACCGTGGCAACTCCATTGACTCGATCCAATCCAGTCAAGCCAGACATAAAGAAAGATCCTCCCTTATTCAAGCTTGGTATGGAAAAAAGTTACGAGAGATATATGAATCAGTACACGACGAATGTGCTTGCTAAGAATAAGCAGCAATCACACGAGGAACGCGATCGAAAACGCGGGATATCCACGAAGTTCAGCCTATCCGAATATCTTTCCGATTACAACTACACTGGTGCAATTATCGGAACTTTGGAGCGTGTTCTTTTCACATTAAGATGCACAATTGTGGCGTTCGAGTCCTCTATACCTACAGCCTTCATGCATCCCATGTGGCCTTTACAACGGTCCACTTGGGTCAAGGCCGTTCACATCAGCAAGACTGTTGTCGAGTTTGCATCGGTCTTGGCTTTCTTCGAGAGTTTTATCAAACCTGTTGTCATGCGCAGTGTTTGTAACGATGCCCTTGGTCATCTTGAGTTTTTTAGGAATCTTTCGGAGCCTAAGACAGCTATTGTAAAGAAAGCAGTTCGCGATGAAGACGACGAGCAAAAGCATTTGGAGTTAGTTGGTAAGATTCCTTGAATTTTTATATTATCGTTTTCATGACGAGCTGTTAGTGTATGTAGGCGGAAAGAATGAGACTTCTTAAGAATGTATGAATGGTACTTTGTATGGCAAACAAACAGCAACGAATTGAGATGTTGGAAAAGTCGACTTTGATAATCAATGATGGATAATTTTATTTTGCCTTTAACGGCGAACCTCGACCACCCGTTTCCCGTTGAAGTTTGCTGTTTCACGAAATTTGAATTTTTCATGGCGTTTTTTGCATTTGTATTCTACAATTCGCATTTTCCCGGAGCTAAAATTCACGTTTTATTGACAATTTGCCCAATGAAGTTGTATGCTCAAATAAAAGTTCACCACTTTGCATGAAATTTGCAAAATCAATTACCGCTTGAAGGGTCTCCTGCCGTTCAAACTTAAACTTCAAGGCCATGATCACGTGACTTAACGTTATGCTAAAACTCTTTGATAACGTATTTATTATTTCTAATTGAGTAATCATTGCAATTGATATATTCCAAGAAAATATTCCCGCCATTGGTATTCGTTACCAGTGTCTTGCATAACGCGCTTCGCTATGTGTTTCCACTTTAGCTCACGGTCCCAAGTACTACTCGTGGCTTCCCAATCATCAAATCTGGAAGCACAAAGGAGAGGAGTATCGTATATACGGCGGAGGGGGCTGGGAATGGGTGAGTCAAAACCGGAAGCGGAAACTTCGTGGTCCAGTAACGAGCGAAGAACGTGCCGCGAAAATTGCAAAATTTGAAAAAACCTTCGACCATGCGTTGAAACGGAAATTAGGAAAGAAGCATAAATTGGCGTTGGAAGCGAAGAAAGGAAAACCTTCGTCCACTGGCTCAGCTCAATCACGTCCAGGAAGTAATGTGACTAAAGTTAAAGCATCTGGTGTTTCAATGGTGAATGCAAGGGAGGTTGGAAGTCAGCCAAACGTTTCAACAACAAGTAGTAATCAAGTTGTCAGCACTGCCGTTGTGTCCTCATCGTTGTCTACTGCTGGTGCCACTTTGTCTAAAGCTGATGCAACTTCGACTGTAGCTGTTGTATCTTCGTGTGCAGCCGTCACAACTTCGTCTACTGCTGGTGCCACTTTGTCTACAACTGTTGCAACTTCGACTGCAGCTGTTGCATCTTCGTGTGCAGCCATCACAGCTTCGTCTAAAGCTGGTGCCACTTTGTCTACTACTGTTGCAACTTCGACTGCAGCTGATGCAACTTCGTGTGCAGCCGTCACAGCTTCGTCTAAAGCTGGTGCCACTTTGTCTACAACTGTTGCAACTTCGACTGCAGCTGATGCAACTTCGTGTGCAGCCGTCACAACTTCGTCTAAAGCTGGTGCCACTTTGTCTACAACTGTTGCAACTTTGACTGCAGCTGATGCAACTTCGTGTGCAGCCGTCACAACTTCGACTGCAGCTGATGCAATTTCGTGTGCAGCCGTCACAACTTCGTCTAAAGCTGGTGGCACTTTGTCTACAACTGTTGCAACTTCGACTGTAGCTGCTGCAACTTCGTGTGCAACCGTCACAACCTCGCCTACAGCTGTTGCATCTTCGTGCGCAACCGTCACAACTTCACCTACAGCTGTTGCAACTTCGACTGCAACCTTCACAACTTTACCCACAGCTGTTTCAACTTCGAATACAGCTGTAGCAACGTCCTTTACAGCCATTAAAACTTCGACTGCAGCCGTTGCAACTTCGTCTACAGCCCATGCAACGTCATTTACAGTCCTTGCAACATCAACTGCAGACGTGGCAACATCCTTTACAGCCCTTGCAGCGCCCTCTGCAGCCCTTGCAACGTCCTCTACAGTCCTTGCAACACACTCTACAGTCCTTGCAACACCCTCTACAGCCCTTGCAACACCCTCTACAACCTTTGCAACATCCTCTACAGTCCTTGCAACACCCTCTACAACCCTTGCAACACCTTCTACAGCCGTTGTAGCTTCATCTGCAGCACAAACAGCTCAATTATTTCTGCAAACTACCATTTCCCAAACTTCGGTTACATCCGTCATTAAAAGTAAAATTGAAGATTGTCAAAATCTTAGCAATCCGTCGACAACTAAATCTACATTCAATACACACAATGCAGTTACTGCAAACGAAACATGCACTAACTCATCTTCTGTACAAGAAGTCAACGAATCATCAACTATCGTAAAACCAATGATCATGAAAAAAATCACGACTCCGACTTATTGTAACCTTCCTCCTGTCTCATCTACTCTTCCTGCTATGATATTTGATGAATCTACAGAAAAATCCACAGACTCGAACTTGCAACTTACAAAATTTAATAACATTCAAACTATAACGGACCCAAACGATCAAGACACGTCCGTCGAATCCTTGACGGTTGACCGTGCCACTGAAACGAGGAATGCAGAAAATAATGCAATGCAAACTGCTGTCGGTGTTGATAGTAAAGAAGAAAAGGAAAAGTCATCTTGTAGATCTGAGATTTCTACAAAAAATGAGTCGATGGAAGATGAAATGGATGTTGATCAATCGACATCTATTGTTGATACAAATCAACAAGACTATACTACAGCTTTATGCTCATCGCTTGCAGCAGGATCTATTGATTCCACTGCCGTGACTTCTGTTGTGGCAAGTTGTAATTTGGTTTGCCAAGCTCAAGTCAACACTTCTATAGTCAGTACACCTAAAATGTCAGTTGCTGCAACTGTAGCTCAGGTCTGTGAAACTCAAGTCAACATTTCTATAGTCAGTACACCTAAAATGTCAGTTGCTGCAACTGTGGCTCAGGTCTGTGAAACTCAAGTCAACCCTTCTATAGTCAGTACACTTAAAATGTCAGTTGCTTCAACTGTGGCTCAGGTTTGCGAAGCTCAAGTCAACCCTTCTATAGTCAGTACACCGAAAATGTCAGTTGCTGCAACTGTGGCTCAGGTTTGCGAAGCTCAAGTCAACACTTCTATAAACAGTACACCTAAAATGTCAGTTGCTGCAACTGTAGCTACGGCCTGTGAAGCTCAAGTCAACCCTTCTATAGTTAGTACACCTAAAATGTCAGTTGCTGCAATTGTGGCTCAGGCCTGTGAAGCTCAAGTCAACACTTCTATAGTCAGTACACCTAAAACGTCAGTTGCTGCACCTGTGGCTCAGGCCTGTGAAGCTCAAGTCAACACTTCTATAGTTAGTACACCTAAAACGTCAGTTGCTGCACCTGTGGGTCAGGCCTGTGAAGCTCAAGTCAACACTTCTATAGTCAGTACACCTAAAATGTCAGTTGCTGCAACTGTGGCTCAGGTCTGTGAAACTCAAGTCAACCCTTCTATAGTCAGTACACCTAAAATGTCAGTTGCTGCAACTGTGGCTCAGGTTTGCCAAGCTCAAGTCAACACTTCTATAGTCGGTACACCTAAAGCATCAGTTGCAATACATCCTCAAGTATCTGCCAGCAACTCTCAAGTATCTTCAAACAATCCTGCCATATCGGGTAAAACTGCAACAACGAGTACAATTCGCATAGAAACAACAGGTGACGATTCGACGAAGCTTACGCCCGAAAGTGTCCTCAAATTTATAGCAGACGAGTTGATGAAAGAGACTGATACTGGTAAGGCTTTATTGAACGGTGTTGCTGCTTCTATAACAACATCTGACGGTAAGGTTATTATCAAACCTGAACCATCCAAAACTGAAACGAAATCTGTCGGTCAATCGTCCGGACCTGTTCGTCTGGTTCTTCAAACAGTGCCCGGAACATCTGTGCCTTCAGGAGCAAGTACACCTTCTTCTAGAGTGCATATTCTAAAATCTGCCGCTCAGGTTGTTCATACCGGTGTCAGCCAAGGAAAAAAGCTAACTCCTATTGCGCCTGCGCAGCGGATAGTAATCCGTAATGTATCAAGTGGGACAACAAGAGGTACGCTAGGACAGACATTGGGTGCTCGTAATGTTTCTGGAACTAAAGTGATTCGTATGACCATCCCACGCCAATCCCCATCTGTTGTCAAATCACATGATGTAGCTAATTCCAAACCAAGCCTCCCGCTTAATGTTTCAAGCGTAAAAACATCAAACACTCCTCCGGCTACAACAACAACTCCGGCTACATCAACGACGTCAAAGCCTGTCATCGAGAATTATCCAATGAGACATCCTGTCATTAAAGATCCCAGACACTTAATCAATATGAATGTAAAGAAGTGGAAGCACCGCTGTCGTCGTAAAGGCATCTTCGTTCTCGATAAGAACGATGTACGTGCTTTGGCACGGAAGGGAGGCTTGAAAGAAGTCTCCGGTTTTCATTATAATACAAAATGGAACAGTCTCAATTATCCCCAGGACTTTCCTCGTCCGTCTTTCATTACAGCCTGGAGATATCGCACTCAGAGCATACGAACATTAGCGTCAGCGGTCATTCAAATGCGGTTACTTAATGCGAGCATGAAATGGGATGAGATGAATATCAAACCACCAAGAGGTAGCAGCAATACGCTAAGGACAAGCTCAGGTAAAGAAATTATTTAGAAATTATTTTATATAAAAATACTATAGTAAGACCGTGTAGGAAGGCAATTTATAACTTTGACATGCAACAATCTTTGGCTCTGGGATTGTTGATAGATAGAAATGGTACAAATGTGTATCTCAATGTATTGTTGATAGATAGAAACGGTACACATGTGTATCTCAATGGATTGTTCATAAATAGAAATTGTACACATTTTTATTTCAATAGATTGTTGATAAGATAAAAATGGCACACATGTGTATATCAATGGATTGTTGATAAGATAGAAATGGTACACATGTGTATCTCAATGGATTGTTCATAAATAGAAATTGTACACATTTTTATTTCAATAGATTGTTGATAAGATAGAAATGGTACACATGTGTATATCAATGGATTGTTGATAGATAGAAATGGTACACATGTGTATCTCAATGGATTGTTCATAAATCGAGAAATGGTCACATGTAGATCACGTGATATCTCATGATTTATCCTTTGTTCAGGCACCATTACGACAGAGATAACAGATCGTAAATTTATGTCAAATGATGGTTTGCGCGTGCAATATCGTGTACGTAAAACCATTAGGACACTCAGTTCACCTGTAACCATGGCAAAACCAGCTCCCGCTCCAACTCACACAAAGAGAGGAAGAGAGTTGAGACCTAAAGTGCAGTCAAATTATAGCTATGAGTCCGAGCCCGATGCTCCGTTGGTGCCCAGGGTTATCGAAGCTTGGTGCGCAGAAGTAAGTTATGATTTATATAGATAAGGTGGCCGGTTGCACGAAGCGTGGAGAGCTTTATCCATTGGATGGCAGAAATTTTCAAACTTGTAAAAAAGGTGTTTATATTTTCTTGCGACGAAGAAATTTTGTAATCTTCAAAACAATATTTTACTTCAGTGATTGCACAGTGAAAATCGTATGATTTTCTTTCATAAGAGATTTTTTGAACGTTCAAAAAAAATTTGCCATCCAGTGGATAGCGCTATTCGGCCTTCGTGCACCTCCCCCTGAAGTAAGTGGTGATTTAAATAGATCAGATTCGACTGCCATGTTCTTGTATTCAAATTTATTGCGGGGATATCCGTTTAATTTTATACCCAGTTCAGCTGCATTGAACTCATGTTAAGTGCGACTGGATGTATTTTGTGCAAGAGAAACTAGAATTCTGGGAAGTGCGTCATTATTGTGTGCATCCAGTTATATACTTAGTTCTGCTGTACTGAACTCATATAAATGACTGGATGTACTTTGTGATGGAAAAACTACTAGAATTATGGGAAATACGTCTTATTGTGTACATCCAGTTCTATACTTAGTTCAGCTGTACTGAACTCATATAAATGACTGGATGTATTTTATGTAGGAGAAGCTACAATTATGGGAAGTGCGTCAGTATTGTGTCCATCCAGTTCTATACTTAGCTCAGCTGTACTGAACTCATATAAGCAACTGAATGTATTTTGTGTAGGAGAAACTAGAATTATGGGAAGTGCGTCAGTTTTGTGAGAAGATTGAACGCGAGCGAGCATTGGTTCGCGAGAAACAACAACAAGAAGAACTAGCGAAGAAACAAAACGAAATGAAAGCAGACCTAGTTCGTCGTACGCAGCTACAGATACAGCAGCAACAGCAACTAATGAGGGAGAAACGCAAACTGCAAAAAGCTGGCAAATTGGATGCGAAAAGCGTTTCTATCAGCAGTCCGCTTACGTCATATCCTCATCAAACCACGCAGCGTGTTCTTTTTCCCAGACCACAAGCCAACCCCCCCGGTAGCAAAGAAATTTTAGCATCTTTACAACAAAAACACGATTTTTCTCAAGGTAAAATGAACTAGTGCAGTCGATGGTTTTTATTGGACTTTATGTAAGCTATGCCAAAGCATGTTTGTCCGGAGCACGGAGTACTACTGCCTTCACAATAATTTTGTCATGGAGAAAAAATAGGTCACATTTAAAGAAATATTTTTGGAGCGGTTTCTATCGTAGCTCTACCGTGTTATTGGAAGTTTCAAAACATGGGAAAACGATCGTGTGATCTTATGGCCATGAGCGGATTTTCTGATGGATGCAGGGGGGGTGCAACTCCTCTTAATAAAATGTTCATCCCTCTTAGAAACAATTCCCCCGCTCTCAATTTTCGTTGAGTACAGTTGAACTGAGTTTTTTGAACAATGTTTCAACTCTCTACACTACCTCTGGTGGGTGTAATATCAGATTGCCTCTCAAATTTACATCCTTACTTTGTCTTACGTCACTTCATCCCTAGCTCATTCCCAGGCTTTTAGCATTACCTCTGTAAAAAAGACGCAAATACGTCCATGCTCATTCCCAGGCCTTTAGCATTACCTCTGTAAAAAATACGCAAATACGTCCATGCTCGCTCCCAGGCTTTTAGCATTACCTCTGTAAAAAAGACGCAAATACGTCCATGCTCGTTCCCAGGCTTTTAGCATTACCTCTGTAAAAAATACGCAAATGCCTCCATGCTCGTTCCCAGGCTTTTAGCATTACCTCTGTAAAAAAGACGCAAATACGTCCAATGCTCATGCCCAGGCTTTTAGCATTACCTCTGTAAAAAAGACGCAAATGCGTCCATGCTCAGGCACTAGATCCCAGGTTTCTAGCATTACCTCTGTAAAAAATACGCAAATGCGTCCATGCTCAGGCACTAGATAGGCGTAATTTTTCCCAAATACTTTAAAAAGATGTTTTGGGATGACTTTTTATTTAGGCTCGAAGAAATCATCCCCTACAACTGCAGTTGTTCAACCGCAACCAACAAAATCACTCGCCCGAATGGCGGCCATGAGCCAACGGCTTAAACACACGTCGCGTGACACGGTAAAACAAGCGAAAAAACTGAAGACAGCAAGAAAAAGCAACCTTCAGACCTATCCTTTGGGATCGAAATTCTTGACCGTCGAGAACAGAGAAGAGTTGTCAAGGTAACACTAACCCTGTGAAAATCTGAGTTCCACGTGACCTCGAAATTTACAAATGTCGTTTATAATATATACGATCAAATAAACGTCTTTCTTGAAGCGCGGGTTTTTTCTCGGACATCTCTAATAAACGCCTTGTCTCTAATATACGCCTCCTTACATTACCATCGTGATAAAGATATTAAAGTCGATTGTCGCTTGTGCTTGGAAATCGTATATTTGGTCCTACTTTTCTTTTCATTTGTTCATACTAAATTGATAGACATGGTACGAACTTTCCTCTCTATTAAACGCCAGAATTTACTTAACTTCCCCATCTCGTTTGTCAAATCATTTACGGTGAATGAAAATTTAGAGGTTGGATGCATGAAACATGAAAAACTGGAATTATATACTTGCAAATAAAGTTGCATTAACTTTTACAGTTTTGCCATTTTCAAAATCTTACCTAGTCTATCAAAATTCCGCAACCCATAACAAATTGATGAAAAACTTGACAATATGAGTTGTTTATCAACTGTAAATTGTTGTTCCTTTCTGTTTTAATCATATATTGGCTTCATAGAACGATGACTCGTAATAAAGTAAATGGTTTGAACCCGAGAGTATCGTTACATGTTTATAAATGTAGATCGTCCAGGTTGGTATAGTCCTGAGAAGGACTGTTTTTGTTGTTGTTGACTGACGTTTCGACAACCTTAGCGGTAGTGATCTTCAGAGTCAAAAAAGACTCTGAAGATTACTACCGCTAAGGTTGTCTCTGAAGATGACTACCACTAAGGTTGTCGAAACCGTCAGTCAACAACAACAAAAACAGTCCTTCTCAAGACTATACCAACCTGGACGATCTACATTTACAAACAACTGTAAATTGTTGTTTCTTTCTGTTTGTTTTAATCATGTATTTGCTTTATAGAACGATGACTTGTCGTCGAGTTATCGACCTGATTATTGACAAGATTGAGCGGAACGAAAAAAATGAAGAACGCAGAGAAATGCGCAAACGATTTAAAGAAGCGAACGTCGTGTTGAAATTGGCGCAGTTAAACCGTCAAAAGTTGGACACGTTGCTGCAAAAACGCAAAGAAACGCTCAAGAAACAGATCATGCGAAAACGAGCTTTGCTAGAGAAGGATATTGCTCAAGAACTTCAAGGAGAACTGACGCGTAGAAAGCGAAAATTTGATCTTAGTGATGGCGAAGAGAAGATCTCCGTGTCGTGGAAGCGATCGAAACGTGACGAACCGTTGTATTGCATTTGTAGAACTCCTTATGATGACACAGAGTATGGTTTTATTGTGTTATAAGTATTGTAGGTTCTCGTAGTTTGTATATCATCGTTTTTTCTCACTCAGATTTTATGTTGGTTGTGATTTATGCAAGAATTGGTTTCATGGTAAATGTGTTGGGATATCTTCACGAGTTGCTGATGATATAGACGAATATATCTGCATGGAATGCACAACGAAACAGAAAACTGTTGAAGAAGAAGAACTCTACTGTATATGTCAACAGCCTTATGATGAAAGCAAGTAAGTTGATCTGAATCTACATGAAAATGAATGAATTTCGTGTTGTCTATATTGGATTTCCCCCGCCTGCGTATGAATACTGTTCATACATGCATCTTGCTTATCAAGTAAATGGTTTGAACCCGGGAGTATCGTTACATGTTTTTAAATCTAGATCGTCCAGGTTGGTATAGTCCAGTTATAGTCCAGAGTCATCCACTCTAAAGATGACTACCGCTAAGGTTGTCGAAACGTCAGTCAACAACAACAAAAACAGTCCTTCTCAGGACTATACCAACCTGGACGATCTACATTTACAAACACATCTTGCTTATCTTTGTTGAAAACTATGTGTTGTTCACATCATTCACATGATTCCCGAAAAAGTAATTACAGTTTAAGATTTAACTTCTTTCGTGAACAGTCCATAGTTATACTTACAGTCTGTTTACAATATTGCTTGCAACGTTGATGAACAAATTGCCGTACAAATTTCACCAGATGTTACCGTAAATACTAGCAAAAAGTTAGCCAAAGAAAAAACGCGAAAATGTCGTACATTACTGATTTGTCGGCATGTGAGATGCCCTAGGCAAAGCATGTAATATTTTCCGGGAAATAGATGCGGAAAGATAGTTGAAATTCTGATTCTAGTTTCTCCCTTATTGTTATAGATTTTACGTTGGTTGTGATAGATGTCAAGGCTGGTTTCATGGAGTCTGTGTTGGCATTACACAAACCGAAGCAGACAATATTGATAGTTATCTGTGTCCAAGCTGTAAAGACAGCGAAGATAACGAGGATCAAAGTACTCTGACCGATAGAGACTACGAGGCATTACGAAGAATCGTGCGTTCGTTACAGGTAAGAGGGGAAACTAACCCATATTTACCGTGTCTTCTTTTTCTGCTCGCTCACGAAATATTTGATGTTTTAGAACCACAAAATGTCCTGGCCATTTTTGGAACCGGTGACCAAGGAAGAGGCGCCAGATTATTTTGAAATTGTAAAGGAACCGATGGGTTAGTGGATGTTCACGTATAGAAAGTTTCATCTGAACTTCACTTATTCTTTCGTCGTCAGAAATTTATACTTTATATCTCGAACTGTTTTACTTGTTTCTTCTAGATTTATCAAAGGTCCAGGCAAACATGCAAGCTAGGGCATATAAAAGACTTGTAGGTTTTGTTGCGGATGTGTCCAAGATATTTAACAACTGTCGTTTATACAATCCAAAAGACTCTGCTTTCTATAGATGCGCTGAGGTCGTTGAACGTTTTTTTGTGCAAAAACTTAACGCGTTTAAAGCGGCAAAAAGTTAGCAAATTGTAGATGTATCGATAGTATTTATGAGTTTTCGCCTTGCGGATCAAATTCATGATTGTTGTACAGCTTATTCTGTGAAAAATCTTCATATTATATTCTTGACAATATTAATTATTATACTATAAATATATCATGTCATCTACATTGTATATTGTTATTCCATACTGTTCCATAATATCATCATTTTATCCCATATATCCCATACCTATCGTGCCTTTTGAATACAAGAAGAGGCTATCGCGGTAGGTAACGTTATTAACCAACTTTTTATCCACAATCTGACCTTTCCCAACAGCAAAACAAAACTAGTTCAATTGTTTACTAACATCATAACTGCTCATTTTCTATTTGATAGTAAGTACTACAAGAAAATGGACTGGGTAAGTGTGGGTTTAACCATCGCGTTAGTACCTCTTTTGTTTCAAAGATGGAATTCATGATCTTTTTAACTGATTCCAGCACACTTTTTTGGTGATGTTACCAACCACTTAATAACTACTATTGATTAATTCTGATGCCATATTGGGCAGACTATTGTCCTGTGTTTAAGAATAGAGCAATGTATTTTATAAGAGGGACTATAGAAGCTTTTCCACTGGAAGGACAAGAGCTGGTGCAGGTACAGGAGATGTTGAGGAGAAACATTGCTATGGAAGGAAACTAAATGGGGAACTATTGCTGTGGGAAGGTTATGTAAGTGGCGAATGAAGAAATGACTTGGAAATCATTATAGAAAATGGTGTTGATCCAATGCCAAATGAAGTAAACTTAGTTGGTTAGACCAGGGGTCTCCAAACTTTACAGCCAGAGGGTCACATGAACTTTCATCCAGCATGTTGAGGGCCGACGAATCGTATACCGCTGGTCAAAGAGCGAATATTTTAATAAAACGAAGTACATAACACAAGCTTCATTAGTCTCTCAATTTAGCTAATAAAAAAGGGGGGCTAAAATTCGTGATATAACCACTTTAAGAAAATATTTATTCAAAATTTAAAGGTTACATTTCAACCAAGAGTAATATAACATAACAAAATCACAATTAGTCTGTTCAGTTTTCTCAATGTGAGTGGTGAAATTGGCTTTCTTAAGTGTCTCTGCGGGCCGGATTGAGAGGCCAAACGGGCCGCATCTGGCCCGCGGGCCGTAGTTTGGAGACCCCTGGAAAAAATGAGTAATATGAACATAGTTTGTCAAGTTAAGGAAAAAAGTCTGAAAGAGGAAAACTGAAGAGATTCGAAGACAGATAAAATAATATGGAAGAACTGAGGCTTAAAACACAAGATGCTCTGGACAGACAAAAATGGAGAAAAATCATTGCTAAATAATCCATAAGGAATATAAGTCACACACGCAAATCTTTCTTCCCAATTATATACATGTTCTCAATCATGTCTATTTCTCTTTTAGACATGCTTCAAAGAAGTGGAAAAACAGCAAAGGTAATCGTCATCCACTAGTGGAGCAAATATTTGATAAAAATACTTTGGTGTTTTGCTACAAAAGCTTTTTTCATGTTTGCCAACTGGACTTAAAGTCAAAATCAAACATAGGGATTTTGTAATGTAGTAACATCGCTAGGCAATGTACTCGATCCTGCATTTATTATTTGTGTAGCTGTTGATGTGACCAGTGAATCAGCTACGCTAATCTCTGGTTGACATGTTGGTGGTGGAGACTGTCTTTGTTGTTGCCTCATACTGGGTTCTGCAGTAGTTGTGGATTTCATTTGTGAGATCAGTGGCTGTGATGACATTTGGCTTTTGCTGAGTCCCAACTGAGTCAGTATGTTCTCCATTGCTAACGTTAAAAAATGAATTTCTTTATGTACACATGTGAATGAAAAATTAGCACCGAAAGTTGAAAAATACAAAGTTTGGGGAATTCAGTAACAATCGCTTTGTTCATCTTACTTGCAAGGTTCACTGTGTTGGTTGTAGTTCATCACAAAGTCGAACAAACTACCTGGGGGGTTGGTGTTCAACTTCTCTTGGTCCTGAGCAATATTCAATAAACTATTTATGGTTGTTTGGTCCAATTCAGTTGCATCTGCCAATTGTTGTTGAGGTATGATTGTGTATAATGTTTGCCCACCGGCAGTATTTCCTGATGAGCCTTGATCATGTTGCTGGCCATCATTATTTACTAAGAAATGCATAAAATACTACATTTATATATATCTCATGTCATCAGCAAAAGGCTGTTTAATAAAATGGAAATATCATGTAAAGATTTTAAGGATTGTTAAATGCTTTTAACCTGCTTGTAAAAGATCAGTTACAATCACTGCATGCTGTGCCTGTGATTGTAAATTTTCACCAGATAGTTTAGATTGAATCGTTTGGGGGGTTTCCATGGAAACATCTAGTGAAGACAATAATCATTTTAAAATAAATACCAACAACAAATACATCATAAAAAATGGCGTTCTTTTACTTAGTTTCTTTTGCACTTTGCCCTGTTGATATCTTTCAGATCGACGCAACTTTTTCTGCAGTTGCTTTTGCTCGATTTGCAAATTTGTCATTTCAATTGAAAGATTGTTTAACTCCTGCTGCAAATCACCAATCTATAAAATACAAATCGCTACTTACCATGTTGTCGGTAAAGTGATGGCATTACTTTCATAAAGCATAATTATGTATAGACACTATTTTGGGATCAATAAAACATGTTTCCAATTTCTTAAAGTCTTGAATTGGTAAAAATTCTATTCCACACAGTATTCTACGATTTGCAACAGCAAAAGAAAAGGAATGTTGGATTAATCCTAAAACAAAATTGATCCATACTGGTTGTTTATTGATTTCTAGTTCGCGTCTCTTCTTAATCAACATGACTTGTCTTTCCAACAGTTTTACCAACAAATCGTTCACTTCCTCCAGTCTCGCTTGACGATTCATACGTGTAAGAGTTGTCCTATTGTACTTTGAGGAATCAAATTTATAGTCTACAAAAAAATGCCAAAACGCTTGTGTTCTGTCAAATTTCATTGATGATAATTCACATAAATCTATAAACATGTTGATTCCTTTGCAATAACACACCTTCTTCAAGTAATCCTCCTTCTTCTACAAATTTTGAGCGGGAATGACCATGGACAACAGGAAAGCCACTGTCCCTAACAATTCTTCTCGCTTGAGAGAAGAGTTCATCTCGTCGGACTAGTAATGTAGGATCTCTCAAACAGAGTTGAGCGGCAGCCTCGTTGATAACTTGTTCGTGACTATTAAGCTCTAAACTCTTTCGTTTCTTTGTGTCTCGTCCATAAATTCTAGAGTGTTCACGTATAAGTTGCTTTCGTTCTTCGTCTAACTTTTCCCAATTTATTATGACATCCATTGCTGGAAGTTTCAACTCAAACACATCGGCTTGTGCACCTCTTTTCACTCCCTTCGGCGGCCTTCCTCTTTTGGTGGGTAAAGTTCCATCCCCAGGTTTATCTTCTTCCATGTCATTGTCAATCGTTGTAATTCTGATGGTAGCTGTTGTTGGCAGAGATATGTTGGAGTTGTGGCTTTTTATCGTTTGAGAAGCTTGTTCTTTGTTCCATATTTCTATCCACGAAGGACCGAGGTTGGCCGAGCTTGGAAATACTTGACATGACTTTTCTTTCTCAGCCCAAAATTCGAGCAAAGCTTTTTGCAGTCTTCGTATGTGCAAAGGCTTCGTATGCATGCCAACCATTCTCGTAATCTCCTTAAATTCATCATCAGTTGCTTCGCAAAGCTGATCAATGTCATCCCCTCCTTGGGCTAAAAACCTTTCATAATAATCTGCCAACTTGGCCCTTTCGAGAAGAGAGTAAAATGTACTAACCGCAGTCGGCTTCTGAGTGTTTTGTTCGTTCATTTTTTATCCTAACCCTACCCTGGTAAATGAATTTCTTCGACAAAAAGACAAATTGTTGTGTTACTTGCCCTATCTCCCTGCTCAGTTTGTCGTTATGTGATTGGTCAATATCTCGAATCCGTGTATATGATTGGTCATTCACATTTCACATTCAGTAATGCTGCCATTTCAAACATGCAGGAGACATAGAATCCTGACGGCGGGCAAACTTCGGGAATTAAAACAATACATTGTCGCTTATGAATACAGTACCACACTATCTACGGATGGATGTACTTTGCAAACGATAGTGGATCTTATTAATAATATTTGCATTGGTGAAACTCAGTCATCTTTTTGGTTGTATAGTAAATAACTATACATAGGCGCTGTTGCCGAGATGGCAAATCTTATATATTTGTTGTCATGATTGGAATTCGATCGAATGCCCATTCTCAAGGTTTTGTTGAATTCGTCGAGAGATCTTCTCGTTGTCAACAGAAGAATTGTTCTCAGTTTTCTTTATGCAAAGCCATTAGGCTGAAATTTTCGCCGAAAAATGGTGTGCATCAAACCAGTACAAAATGGTTTGAAAACATATCATGCAAATTGTTTAGATGTTGTTCGCGGAATGATAAAATTACTGCTGATATTTTTAAAGGAACTTCTGAAAGCTTATTTTCTGTGTCCTCGGACATACTTCATCTTAATGCAGGTGGAGTGGATGCCTTTATACCTCGTAGAAATGCTTCTGGTCATGAGACATCAGATTTTCGTCTGAAAATTGTAAATAACTGTAAATACCGTCCTGTTCTTAAACCATCACAGAAAATCTGTAGTAATGTTGTCTATTGTGAGCCTCATGGTGCAAGATTTAGTCTTCAAGAACCAGCAGTACTTGTTCTACCGTTGATTTGTAATGTCAGTGACATCAACAGTATTTCGTGCTTATCTAGTGATACAGACATTGAGGAGGTTCCAGTTTGGAAACCCATGAATCCAGAGGATTTTACCATTTGTAACAAACACATAACAATATGTACCACTCACTTCAGTTTTTACTGCCATCGCCAACAAACACTATCCAGAAGCAGCTAAAATGATTTATGCTGATGTTGGTGGAACTCTTGAGGTTCCCAATGTTCCTGGTGTTAAAGTTATCTTTCCTGCTACAGCTATTAAATATGATATAATGGCTACAATAAAGGTAATGTATGCTGATGGTCCATACGATGTCGATCATGAGGATCCAGGTAGCTTTGCTTTGGCAGCACCAGTTATTAAACTTGGCCCTGCAGGTCACAAGTTTAATGAAGATAGCATTGAATCAGTTGAGCTTCAACTTCCGCTTCCAAATGGGAAAGAGATTGTTGAAAACTTTGGCCGAACTCATTTGACCATCTGGCAGTCAACCACTGCTGAACATAATGATCTTGAATGGGAATGCCTTCACACAAAATATCGGATTATCGAAGATGAAGATGATCGTTTGTGTGTACGTTTTCCCGTTGCCCATTTTACATTCTTCAGAGTTCTGTGGAACATCTTAGACTCGGCTCTTCATGAAGCAAAAATTGGCGCTTCATATTTCTACCCAAATTTTGAATTCTGTATCAGTTTTCAGGCATTCATGTCCGCCACTGATTGTGATGAAACATTTGGATTATGTTGTCTTTGTTTCAAGAATGGGGCATCTGTTCAAAATGTTGGTAATTTTCCTGTGTTTGTTGGAAGTAGCGGCCTCAGAATGGTTAAGAGTGGATTACTACAAATAAGGTTGATATAAAATTTCAATCTTTTGTTTGTGTTTGAACAATGCACCTCTGAACATACTTTTTGTTAAAGTGCACATAATATGAAAATTTTTGCTATTTAAATTATATTTTCGTTGATCAGAACTTTCATAATGACAATTGACTTACTCCGAAAGGGTATGAAAATTTTTCTATTATAATATTGTTCTTTGCATGAAGTCCGAAATACACGTCCGTGACGTCACATTGTGTAGTGATAATTTCAATTTTCTAGTGTATTTTCTGCATGGCCCACAAAAATTGACGTTTCTCAAGGCCTATGGCAAAGTTTTGAAAAATAGAATTGCTTTTCATATGATACTTCTTTATCAAGTGTTTATTGATATAATATTATTAAGGATTTTGAAATTTCGCGGCCACTCGTGCAATAGAACATCGCTGGTTTTGAAAATTGGGCAACACAAAAATTTCAATATCTAAAAAATGAAAAGACGCGGGCGAGAAATTGTTTTAGAAGGACCATTATCATTTCAAACGTTCTCCTCAATGAATATGATTTACGCAGCAAAGTTTTCGTTTCGTAGGATCTTCTTGCAATCGACAAACAACTTATTTGACAGTAGCATTTAGAACTTCGATGTGTAGAATAACACAATGGTCGATTTTTAAATTTCTTTAGAATTGCATCGAACTTATTCGAGGCGAATAAAGATTTTGGTGAAGAAGCGTTGGTTCAAAGGGAAGTTTTCACCGGCCGGCCGTTCAATAAACAGTTTGCTTGCAAGTTTAAACATCTAAGGAGAAACAGACAAAATACTATTGGGAAAATTTTTGTGGAAAGAGTTCTTGATGATAATACCATCGAGTCAATGTTTGATTTCGTCCTAATGTTGGTAAGTGAATTAAAAAATGTCCCTTTTTTTTTTCTTTAAATTCTTTAATGCACGCATGAGGAAAAAACTTCTTTTCTCTCTATAAAATCATTTTTGAAAGATTGCAGAAAGACAAGGTCACAAAAGCATAGTGGGTTAGGATTAGATGAGCTTTAGCCGAGTTAAGGATTAAATTGAGTAGGTTTTTCATATTTCTCGTTGACGTTAAATTTATAGCCAATTTTTTCATATTGTGAGCCTGCAGTACTTACCCGTTAAACAGCGATATGAGCTTCCCTCAAAGCGAAATTTGTACCCTCTACATAGCTATAGTTTTAAATAATGATTACATTGTCAAAGTCTTTTGTGAATGTTCTATAGCCAACAAACGGGGATACTGCGATTCAAGAGACTGACGGTAAACGCTCTCTCCCTAGAGCCAATCATGTGACTCATGGGTCAAATTGGGAAGCTCAGCTAAGTCAAGAATTAGCGAGTAAGTTAAATTCAGTTTGTGTGTGTCATTGTTTTTAAACAAACGCGTTGTTTTGTATAACAACAGCCAGATTTGCCTCGTTTAGATATGTTTCTGATGTTATTAATTGTCTTTGCATTCATTGCTTACAAACGTGACATGAAAATATTTCTGTTCAATCTTACTCCAGATGTATTGAGCATTAAAACAGAACAAGATCTTGGCGATGACATTTGGAAGGACGTTGCTCTGGGGCTCGGCTACACTGAACTGGAAATTGATCTGAAATTCAAAGGTGAGGACGAGCCAATCGCTAAGTTGCTGGACGACTTCAAAAAACGCGGGGGAAACGCGAACGATTTTATATCTGCCATGTATAAGGTTGGACGAGAGAGAAATCTGGAAAACTTTCGGAATAGATCTTTATCGTCTGGCTCAGAGAATGAAATAGAAGATGATCTGAGGGGTTTTGCTGGTAATTGTTAGATGTTATCTTGAAGTACTTGGTGTAAATTGTGTTGAAAGTTACTTAAAATATTTTGAAAAGGTTCAAACTCACCTAGTGGAACTTCTTCATCAAGCGGAGTGGTTTTGCCTCCTGCGCGTAATGGCGATCGGAAACGAAGGCTTCCGCAATTTCCCGATGGTCCAATTCCCACTGACAAACTTGATCAGCTGGCCGCTCATCTACACAACAAATGGAGGAACCTGGGACGAGCCCTAAACCTCGATGAGGAAGACATAACAGCCATTGATAAAAATCATCACGAGGCTAGTGAGAAGGCGTACCAAATGTTAGTCACGTGGCAAGAAAAATTTCCCGAAAACAATTTCGAAATTCTTCACCAGGCTCTTGGAAAAATCAACTTGAATAGGGTTGCTAGAAAGTTGTATGATTTAGTTTCAGAGTAGTTGTATTAATCTTTTATAGTCATATTTTTTTACTTTTTTAATGTCTACCTTAGGAAAACTGTAATAATTTGTCATAGTCCGTGATCTGTGCCTCAAAAATATGCTTTAAAAATGAGTTTCGTTGGACACCTCAAGGAAGGACGAAAAATTTTCAAAATAGATAGAAAGTCACTTGTTTTTTGATATTCTTTTTATTGTCACTTCTAAAAAGTTGCAGTTTTTTAGTATTTCGCGGTTGAATTTTAAATTTCCTCACTCCTATAATTTCGAAAATCGCCATTTTTTTGTGGCGAACTTCATGTAGCATACACAACATAGCTTCATTTAAAATTCATACATGAAAATAGCGCCAATGTTTTGTTAATAAACATTGTTGAGTCATGCTCATAAGCCATGTGCGTAGTTTAGTTTATCAATGTATCCGTTTCCACACGGCTAAGAGCCAAGGAACAGTTATTCAACTGATGAATACTGCTAAAAATGAAAGAAACGACCAACACCAAAAGTCCTTCTCAGAAGTCAAGACAGCACTTACCTTCATCTACAAACATGTAACGATACTCTTGGGTTCAAACCATTCAAAGTCGTCAAAGATGTTTATATCTTTAACTATCGTTTAGTGGTTAACGATGGACATGAACTTTTTGTTTCCAAATACGACCATTTAGATCATATTATTCAACTTCTCATTTTTTTTATGTTTTTTATAACTTTTATTGCTAGTGTTGAAAATATAGTGGAATTAATTATTAAAACCTAGATGTTCGTTGGTATAGAAAGTATGTTATAAATGTCCGGGGATCGCGGTGTGGAAGGGGGACTGGGGAACATAACCAATGTTTTCAGAATTGAAAGAAACAAATTGCTCAGGATTCTCTTCAGTCAGATCCAAAATTATAGCCATTCGGTCAAAGTATGTGTCAAAAAGTCCTTTGGAAACAATTTCTTAATGATTTGAGCAATGCGTTTCTCAAATCTCAATGATTCTCGGGAGAGATTTACACAAATATGAAAAAGAGATTGATATATATGTGTTCTATAAGAACAAGCCCCTTGAATTCTTGATTGTCAATACAGGGGATGGAATCGTGGATGTGCTAAAGAGCTGCGAGAGGCTGTGTGTTGTTGGAATTATTCAGTTTGTCAATTGTCATCTGTCGCGTTTGCAGTTAATTCAAAAAAACGACTTCACATTTTATGCATTTCGCAACGCAAAGATTGAAGGACGTCAAAGGTTTGCAATTGTTTCGTTTATTGTTTGAATTTTTGAGAAATTGGCGGTTTTTAATTCATTTCAAAAACATCTTCATTCATAATCATTTTTTCATTCTCAGATGAGCAAATTAGATAGTTTCAAGCGGTATTACTCCGAAAGGAGTCCATCTTTTGACGAGATTGACTGCATGGATCCAGCTGCATTTTACCAAGCCAAAAGACAATGGGCAAGGGACAAGGCAATTAATGCTGAAAAAGTGAAGATTTATCGGGAGAGAATGAGAGATTGTTACCAAAGAGAGGAAGTTAACTTCCAGGATAACTGCAAAAAGGAAATCAACGACTATTGGCAGGCATTTCAGCTATTCAAAAAAGATGGTAAGGATATATTGTTGATGTGGATAAAAGTAGGATATGGAGGGTCATAGTGGAGTAAGTGGGTATCTTCTATGCTTGGCAAGAATATCTTGTGCATATGCTGTTTATAAAAGATTTGACACACAATTCCTGTGGACTTGGTAGATTATCAAGTGGGGCCATACACTAGTATCTTGAAGGTGCAATTTCGAATCTCATCGAAGCCACATGTTTTCCATGTGGCTTAAACATGTCAAAATTGACAATGTAATGCTATTGTGATGATGAAAGTTTGTGTGAAAAATATTATTTACATGGCCAAATTCTTTTTGTCATTGCTTTATGTCATTCAGATAAAAACCACTGCTATTTAAATCCTTATACATATGACGAATGTACAAATGCATTGTAGCTAATTTTAACCAATCACATTACAGATTGGGGCTATACCGATGGCGGAAATGTGAATGCATACAAGCAAAGACACGAGAAGTTTATTGAAAAAGCTGTCAGAGAACTGAATTCTTGAGAACTTCAACATTAAATGGTATTTTATTTATTTGAATGATTGAATCTGAAGCTGATATCAAGTATGATTTTTCAAATGTGTTATAACTTTAAAACATTATAGAATGGTTGGTTTGCATTGTTTCTGTGAGGGTTGAGATAAAAAATTTTCATTTCAAATTTAGTGAAATATGTTTATGAATCTGACTTTGTTTCTCTCAAAAGAAAGAACTTGTTGATAAATGAGAAACACAACTTGTAACAGCTTATGTTTTCTTTGCAAGTTGCAAAACATTTGGAGTCATATGGCTACAATCAGAACATCATACATTAAGTATCTTAGCCAGCTAGCAAGTTTTAGTTTTGCTATGTAAATTTCGGATCATTGTTATTTTTCTTGGAAATCTATTGTTTTCACTTTGAATTAAATTTGAGAAAATTTCTATAGAAGGACCAAATTAGAATGCTTACCATACTTCAGCATATGTGTGCTTTATAAACTTGTAATTATGCTCAGCATGCCCGAAATTCTTTTTAACCCCTTCATCAGCCTCTACTCAGACAGGCTACTTTGAAAGCTTCAACTTGTCGGATTTGTTTCATTGATCCGGATTTGATTACTTGATCACGGTCAAGTGTGAAATATCATTCATGAGTGGAAATTAAACACCATTAACACCAGCTGAACGCTCGCAACAGGGGGTCTGGGCAGAATCAACGTCACATGCACAAACATATTTAAATGAAAACATTCAAATTTATGTCAAGCCCACACAGATTAAGTGAACGATAAAAAACCGCCGACGTAAAAGCCGTTATTAACGCCAGCTTCGTTAACATTTACGAGTTGAAACGTACAAGAAAAGCACTAATTTATGGTTGTTTGGAAAGAAGGCGCATTACTTTGTCTGTTGATTGTACGTTGAGAAATTCGAAGGAAAAATTTCCCTGTCAGTGTGGAGTCTCGAGTCGATTTGTCAAATAAACTTTAATTTGAAGTCATGGGCAATTTATTAATGTTCTCGCTCGACCGTCTTTCAAATGCCATTTCCTCGCCACATCATATTGTTATGATCGGTTTGGATGGCGCTGGTAAGACAAGTTTATTGTACAAAGCCAAGTGGAAAGAGCTCGTTAAAGTGCATCCTACAATGTCATTTAATGTGGAGTGTTTGAATATTACGAAGAAAATCAAGTATAAGATTTGGGATATTGGAGGTCGTGAGTCAAACAGACCTTTATGGAAGGCTTATGTTCGTCGCAGCGAGGCTATCGTGTTTGTTGTAGACAGTACGGAGTCTAGTCGCTTCGAGGAAGCTCGTCACGAACTTTTCAATTTATTGAACTCGGAATCAGCACAATTGAATTCTCGTGTACCGATTTTAGTTCTGGCCAATAAACAAGACTTGGCTGGTGCTATGTCTTGTGACTTGCTTGCAAGCGAATTGACGTTAAATTCGCTAAACGAAAGACATCTGTGGCACATTGAGCCGATATCTATTCAAGCTGGAGATGGATTTCTCCAAAGCTTAAAAACTTTGGGCAAAATGATAGCGCAAAGCCGCGGTAAGGAGTCGTTAGAGGATAAAACCCCTAAAATACATAGAAGAACTCTTATTAAAATTCCAAAGAACAATCACGAACTCTTAAATAAGGACCACGAAGGTATTCTTGTTTGATAGAAAACAGAGAGATATTAGGATTTAAAAGATTGTAATCAAGTATTTTTAAAATTCCAAAGAAAAATCACGAACTCTTAAATACGGCCACGAAGGTATTCTTGTTTGATAGAAAACAGAGAGATACAGGATTTAAAAGATTGTAATCAAGTGTTTTTTTATCAAAGAGATAAGAGTTAGATATTAAATATGCAAAAGCGATCAAGTACAAAGTACTGTCTACAAAGAATATATTGGCCCGCTATCAGTCTTACAATGACAGATGTAGCGTCTAGTATTTTGAATAAAATATGTGCAATAAAATAAGCAAGTTCACGTAGCTAAATGTATTAAAACGATTAAATATAATTTTTCTTTTTGCACTGTGTATATTTTCTCAATAATCAGTTTATGGGAATGTATAATAGGTATTGTAATTTCAAAGTAAATCACTCGTCACACTGTATGATATTAATGCTTAAGTCTGTACTTATTCCTTGGCTTGGCTTCAATCGTGGGCAATATATAGGATTTTACGAAGTATAGGATATTTATTGTATCTTAAGATAACTTTATCTGAAAACATGTTGTCATAGGGTGTTCTTATCTGACGTTAAACGTACAGTCTATATAATGTGCTACGTTATATGTGTGAATCATAATGGAATTTTGCTAAAAGTCCTCTTAACAAGTGCGAAACTCTGAACTTTGACATGGCAAAGTATTGTAAAATCCATGAAGTATTATAACCAATAATCCTGATTTAAACTAAAAGTGACATATTAGCATATTAGAACACATAGAAGTATTTTGGGAACGTTTACATGCCTTCTCCGTTTCATAGAATTGCTCTCAAAATACGTTAAATGTTCGTTTCCCTGTTAATGTGTCTGCTTTGCGATTTGTGAGATGGTTTCATGGTATTTGGCAGTAATCAGATAAACAGCATCTTTTGTACAGCATTCATGTATATTGTAGCTTTAGTTAAATAAGGAATCTTAAGCATGTTGATGCGGTTGTTTTCATAACAAAATATCATTGCTAATAACAAGAATTATAAGCAACTTAAAACTCAGCTTTATCAAGAAGTGTTTATGAAATCCTAGTTATTTTATTAATCTCCCTGAAGACGGAGTGTTAAAGGTTAATAATGAGCATTACGTTGACGTCAGCTAGTTATACTGTAGACGTTATTCGTTCAACGTCATTTCTATATTAAACAAAACACTTCGAGCTGGTTTTACGTATATCTCTCCGGCAATGAGACCGCACCGCCCGATATTATTGTGCGATAATACTTTCAATTTGAATTAATCTGGAATTAATGTACTAGGCAAATGTTTGAGTTGCGTGTGAGGATTAGGGAAGAAGAAAATTCACGGATGATTTCGGCCTCCCCTAAAAAATGCTCTGTCTTATCATGGACAAACCATTTCTCCTCTTCAAGGCATTATAAACAGAAATGGTGAGATGAACAACGCGTATAGAAGTAATAAACTCGGCTATTAAAATACAAGCACAATGCATCAAGTTTCTTTTATTATTCCCCCAAACAAGATATAATCAAATTTTGTAATCTACTGGAAAGTTTATACCAGTATGAGATCTCGATTTGCTTAGTTGAAGAGCAGATAATGCGCGCGTATGTATAATAATCATCACGAATTTTGTAGTTATTGAAAATCATAATGTTAATGCTAAATTTAGACCATACATTGTTTTAAGCGTTTTTATTTTTCTTGTGCTCTACCCTCAATCCTTCCCCACCAGAAAAATATACCTACAGACTGATTAAGACAAATAAAGATTTCACCAGTAAATACGTCGGGCGAAGACTGGTCCCGTCACAAGTAGTGTGTTGCTACGCCAGCGGCATTCAGTAATACATCTGAAAATACAAAGTAAACTTTACTTCATTTCTGGTTTCTGTTTTTATCCAAATTAAACCAAATTTTTATTTACTATTTCCTTTGCCAATGAGAAATGAACCAAAATATGTTATAATATTTTGGGTGTTTTTTTTTTGTGTTATCGTGCTCACAGACAAACACAGAAAGCACAACTTCCGGGCGTAGGTTATAAAAAGTAATAATTAGTAGATAGTTGCCATCGTCTAATTAATGGCAGATGTATCTTTTACCTGTGTTATCTCAACAGAAAGTGATACACAAACAAGCTTTCAAAACATATTTTGAATATTTTTAATATGTGAAACAATTCGTTGGAAACTGTGCGAACAGCTTAGAAAAAATTATACACACATTTCTACATTTTAATCTAAATAAGTAAAGTTTAAAACAAAAATGTTAACATGACATCATTTCTGAGCAGATTGAACTTTTCTTTAACACTTGGCATTCTCTGAGCAGGAGAAGCTGGGAAAAATATCGACAATATTATGGATTTTATCTATAGAACTTAATAATGAAGCATAGTTAACACCAACCTTATGAGCAACCAGTACAAACTTTCTTGCATTTCGCCAACATGTATGTTGGGTTAGATTTACATTGGCCAATTTTTGCCCAATAATTGCACTGTTTTTCACTCGTCACATTTTTACAGTCTAAATATATGATCAGAAAATATTAATAACGTTTATTTGGAATGAAATTGTTTGGGTTTTTTTCACCTCCGCACAAGCCACAAGAAAATTTACAATGTTTCTTCATATAAGCTGGATTTTCTTGACATTGTTTGTTTGCTGCCCAAAAGCAACATTGCCACGTATCGTCTTTACAATCTAAAGAGTAAAGACAACAAGCGTATCTTAATCTCGTGAAGAAAGTTTAGAAGAAAACTAACCCCAAAAACACAGAAAGCGGAGGTTATAGAAAGTAATAATTAGTAAATGTGTTGCCATTGTCTAGTTAATGGAAAATGCATCTTTTACCTGTGTTATCTTAACAGAAACTGACACACAAACAAGCTTTCAAAAGATATTTTGAATATTTTTAATGTGTGAAACAATTCGTTGGAAACTGTCCCAACAGCTTAGAAAAAAATTCCACACACATTTCTACATTTTAATCTAAATAAGTAAGGTTTTAAAGAAAAATGTTAACATGACATCATTTCTGAGCTTTTCTTTAACAGATTGAACTTTTCTTTAACACTTGGCACTCTTCTGAGTAGGAGAAGCTGGGAAAAATATCGACAATATTATGGATTTTATCTATAGAACTTAATAATGAAGCATAGTTAACACCAACCATTTGAGCAACCAGTACAAGCTTTCTTGCATTTCGCCAACATGTGTGTTGGGTTAGATTTACATTGGCCAGTATTCGCCCAATCATTGCACTGTTTTTCACCTTGCACATTTTTACAGTCTAAATATATGATCAGAAAATATTAATAACGTTTATTTGGAATGAAATTGTTTGGGTTTTTTTCACCTCCGCACAAGCCACAAGAAAATTTACAATGTTTCTTCATATAAGCTGGATTTTCTTGACATTGTTTGTTTGCTGCCCAAAAGCAACATTGCCACCTATCGTCTTTACAATCTAAAGACAGCAAGCGTATCTTAATCTCGTGAAGAAAGTTTAGAAGAAACTAACCCCAAAAAAGTCTCAATTGTATATACATCCGCATGCAATGTTTTCTTCTCCAACTTTGACTTTCAATGACTCTCAGCATCTTTCCTTTTAGGTTCAAAAGTACTTACTGCTGTCATTTTGCGCATCAATAATTGAGGCTGCTTGAACACTGCATCCCAACATTACCATGAATATCAAAGCATTAAAGAACGCCATTTTCTCAAGATATTGTATCCTCACAAAATAATCGCTTTAAAATTGCTTCTGTAACTCTTGCAGACTTCTCTTTCTGGTTGGTTTCTGTGTTGTAACATGGTTTTATAATAATTACAAAATGAATATAAATATTCATTTTGCTCTTAGTTACATGATTGGCTAAGAAGTCAGTAAAGATAGAGCTGTTGTTGATATGTTTCCTGTACGTGCACTGGTTATTATCTTTTGCCTCAATTGTACATTCTGCTTTTCCGGCTAAGCTCTTTTGAAAAGCATTCCGTTTTGAAAGAAATCAGCCTGGCATAGCAGAATGACCCCTCTTCCAATTAAAATAAAATTGATGGGAAAAGTTAGAAAACATTGTTTGGATACAAACTAAAAACGTCTGAAGTATTTACAGACAACGTTCATTTTTTTGTTGTGCACATTGTTGAACAAATAACCTTCATCAACTACTGTCATCAGCAGTATATACAATGTCTTTACAATGTCTTTACACTGTCTTTGCAATATAAAGATAGTGAGCGTATCTCAACCTCAATATATTTTGAATGAAACTTATCTTAAAAAATTCTTGATTGAATACATCCGCAAAGTTTTCCTGCCCCGATCTATATTTTTAACTTCCCAAACTTTTACTCTTAAAGACTCTAATTATCTTTCATTATAGATACCAAAGTACTTACCACTGTCATTTTGCATATCAATAATTGAAGCTGCTTGAACACTACACCCCAACACGACCATGAATATCAAAGCATTCCGTTTTGAAAGAAATCAGTCTGGCATAGCAGAATATACAAACATGATCCTCTTCCAATTAAAAGAAAATTGATGCGAAGAGGTAAAAAACATTGTTTGGATACAAACTAGAAACGTCTAAAGTATTTACAGACAACGGTAATTTTTTTGTTGTGCACATTGTTGAACAAATAACCTTCATCAACTACTGTCATCAGCAGTTGAAGCACGTTGTTATTAATGAAAGCTACAGTTATAACAAAGCAGTCTACTATAAGCTTTTTGTTCTTCCGCCATCAACTAAACATAGTTTATCATTAATTTCAAATTACAAATCATATGACACGCAAACTTATCATCAAAAACAAAGATCTATCGATCAAATTTTGTTGTAATTGTGACCTCGTATGTACTCTCCGCGTACCTGTTCTTAGATTGTTATAAATCAACACGCAAGCTTGATTCAGGAAAGCGTGAAGAAATAGTTATTGAATGTTGATAGCTAAAGTTTGAAATAAAATAGTAGAGATGACGATCATTTGTTATGTAGAAGGCGGAACTCATAGAATCATTATTGTAATTTGAAGTTTCGTATAAACAGCCATTAATTACCTTGACCTCCACATTCTACCGATAAGAGGAGATACTTTTGATGTTATCAGCGTGTAATCATTCGTGAAACAAGAACCCAGTAACAGACAATAAGTCTTGGCACAAAATACAATTTGTAAAGAATAACAAGTAGTTACCGGATGTTCGTCCATTTGCAATTGGCTACATTAAAATACTGTCGACAAATCAAAGCTTTAAAGCTTTATTTTTCTCTCTTTTTCTCCTTTGTCTTCTTTCTTTACTCTGTTGCAAAGAACGTATTTTTTTGGTTATAAGGTATATTTTCATTGATGCTGTGTATATGATTGTGACTTTTGACCTTTGTCGTTAATGGATATTTCAGCTATTTTTAACACAATGTCCATTAAAAATTCTTATCTCTAAGACTATTCAAGTTTTAATGTTAATGGTTGTGTTCATTAGTAAACTTTGCTGTAGTTGCAAGAATATCAAACATTATATTCAGGCCTATATTCTGCACTCTGCGCGTACCTATTTTTTGCATACTAGTGGCGTCCATGTACGCAGTCTATAAGAGATTTACATTGTCTCCAAACCAACCCTGTACGCGTGTTACAGAATTCATATTATGATTCAATTTCATGTATGTCTGGATCTTTAATTATTTCTGATCATGAATTTGTGTGTCATATTGAACGAATAATTTTCATCAACCACAGCCAACAACTGAAGCATAAACAATTAAATAAGTGCGTGCAGAATATCCACAACAACTGTTTCTTCACTTCTTAACCATTCACGAGGCTGTGTGCTTTAAATAGACATAATCCTTTTTACTGTCACTTCCGCCAATTATTAGCTCCGTTAAAAGTTTATATTATATCTACAGAAGTATGTAAGGCAAGATTCAGCGTCTGAATAATAGTTCAAATAGAAGTTTAACTGAACTGGCGAGCAATAGAATTGCATTTTGCAGTCTGGTCGCACAATGTGACAAGAGGCAGTTTACATTTGGCCGGCAGCAGGGTTACTTCAAGAGAAGACTTCGAATTACAATAATGACTCTATGAGTTTCACTGGCTACATAACAAATGATCATCATGATCTCTACTGTTTTATTTCAAACATTTCGCCATAAACATTCAATAAGAATCAATAACTATTTCTTCACGCTTCCCTAAATCAACCGCTGTTGATTCAAAACAATTTAAAATAGATACGCGGAGAGTGCGTATTAAAGAAGTCTGACTTTGATGTTTGTTACTCTTGCAAGTCGCAATTAGAACGAAGTTGATCAATGAACACAATTCAGTTCATATTATTACTTAACATCACAAACATCTAGCTTGAATAATCATAAAGATAAAAATTTCGACAGACATTATATTATATACGTCATTGTGTTAAAATAGCTGCATAACGGAAAACCATCATTTCTGATAAATGATCAATCAGTTCTGTCTCCTTCAGTTTATGCAGGCTTATAGTCGTTTCCCTTTAGAGTTTCCAAAGCCATTAACAAGAATCGGAATATGAATTTTGCCGCGGTTAGCACTTTAGAAACACGTGGCTTAGGCATGAGTTAAGCTCACACCTTCGACAATAGTTTCTCATGATGAAAATATCTCAGCTAAATGCAGCTTATGAAGATTTTCATCGTCTCCAATCCCTGTTACAGAATTTATGTTCTGAAATGTATTAAAATACTTAGGCTTGTCATTATTCATCATCAACAACAAAATCATTTCAGTAAAATCACACTGTCTATGAAATCTTATTTACAAGAAAGGACCAATAGTTATTATTTTCATACACAAAGCAAGTCATATAGCCAAGAAGTGTTATCTTTATCGTTGTGAGATATTTATCTCTCGTAAAAACATCGTTTACAGAATTAATCGTCCACTCATAATGTCTTGTTCTTAACAATTCTTGGCTTCATTAAAATTTTATATTAGAGTACATTTTATTCATACACGTACATTTTTCAAATAAGTACAATGTTTTATGAAAAGATTATATAAAATCACGGAACAAGCAAAATTACATACAATTACCGAAGTATGTATGACAAAGATTGACGCCTGAATCTTTTATATCAAAAGTTTAACTAATTGAATTAGCAAGCCGTAGAATAACATTCCACAGTCTTGTCGAGCAATGTGTCTTCGGTGGGGCAACTCATTCAGATTGCATATCTGTAAATGCAATGAATATTGTTAAAGAAAGACCTCATGAAAACTGTTCAAAAAATTTAAAAGAGAAGAAGAAAAGGAGAGAAATAAAGCTCAAATTAGCCTTAGCAATATTTAACCAAAGCCAATTCCACAATGGTGAACATCCTAAAATACTTGTTATCCTTTACAAGTTGTATTTTGTGCCGAGACTTATTGTCTGATATTAGTTCTTGTTTCACGATTGATTACACACTGATAACATCAAAAGTACCTCCTTTTATCGCTAGAATGTGGAGGTCAAGAGTAATTAAGACTGTTTACACGAGACTTCGAATTACAATAATGATTCTATGAGTTTCGCCTTCTTCATAACAAATGATCGTCATCTCTACTATTTTATTTCAAACTTTAGCTATCAACATTCAATAACTATTTGTTCGCGCTTTCCCGGAATCAAGCTTGCGTTTTGATTTATAACAATCTAAAAACAGGTACGCGGAGAGTACATACAAGGTCACAATTGCAACATTGATTGTAATTGATTGATAATTTGAAATTAATGATAAACTATGTTTAGTTGATGGCGGGAAGAACAAAAATCTTATAGTATACCTGCTTTGTTATAACTGTAGCTACCATTAATAACAACGTGCTTCAACTGCTGATGACAGTAGTTGATGAAGGTTATTTATTCAACAATGTGTACAACAAAAAAATGAACGTTGTCTGTAAATACTTTAGACGTTTCTAGTTTGTATCCAAACAATGTTTTTTACCTCTTCGCATCAATTTGTTTTAATTGGAAGAGGATCATATTTGTATATTCTGCTATGCCAGACTGATTTCTTTCAAAACGGAATGCTTTGATATTCATGGTCGTGTTGGGGTGTAGTGTTCAAGCAGCTTCAATTATTGATATGCAAAATGACTGTGGTAAGTACTTTGGTATCTAAAAGGAAAGATAATTAGAGTCTTCGAGAGTAAAAGTTTGGGAAGTTAAAAATATAAATCGGGGCAGGAAAACTTTGCGGATGTATTCAATCAAGAATTTTTTAAGATAAGTTTCATTCAAAATATATTGAGATTGAGATACGCTCACTATCTTTTTATCGTAAAGACGACAATTGGAAATGTTGCTTTTGAGGATCAGGAAATCAGTGTAAAAAAAATTCAGTTTATATGAAGAGCGTTTGTAGATTTTCTTGTGGCTTGTGCCGGAGGTGAAAAAAACGATCGTGACTAAAAACCACACGAGTACATACGAGTGACATACGAGTACATACGAGTGACATACGACTATATACTGGTCACAAATAAGAAATAGCACAATTCTTTAATAATACATTGTATTTGCATTCACTTTTGCTTGTATTTGTTTGGACTCTGTGGCACAGCCGTGACTAGAACGTTAATGGGGGGGGGTGTATATTCATATATTCAGTTGTGCCCTACTGATTTCTTTTGAAATTCAAATCACTTTCAAAACAAAGATCCAGACATACATGAAATTATTCATTCCATATTCTCCACTAAATGTTAACAAAACATATCATTGAAACTTTAGTACAATTGTGTAAAGATGTTTTTACGAGAGATAAATATCTCACAACGATAAAGATAACACTTCTTGGCTATATGACTTCCTTTGTGTATGAAAATAATAACTATTGGTCCTCACTTGTAAATAAGATTTCATAGACAGTGTGATTTTACTGAAATGATTTTGTTGTTGATGATAATTATGACAAGCCTAAGTATTTTTAAACATTTCAGAACATAAATTCTGTAACAGGAATTGGAGACGATGAAAATCTTTATAAGCTGCATTTAGCTGAGATATTTTCATCATGAGAAACTATTGTCGAAGGTGTGAGCTTAACTCTTGCCTAAGCTGTATGAATTATAAGTGCTAACCGTGGCAAAATTCATATTCCGATTCTTGTTAATGGCTTTGAAAACTCTAAAGGGAAACGACTATAAGCCTGCATAAACTGAAGGAGACAGAACTGATTGATCATTTATCAGAAATAATGGTTTTCCGTTATGCAGCTATTTTTACAAAATCACGTATATAATATAATATCTTTCGAAATTTTATCTTTATGATTATTCAAGCTAGATGTTTGTGATGTTAAGTAATAATATGAACTGAATTGTGTTCATTGATCAACTTCGTTGTAATTGCGACTTGCAAGAGTAACAAACATCAAAGTCAGACTTTTTTAATACGCACTCTCCGCGTATCTATTTTTAAATTGTTTTGAATCAACAGCGGTTGATTCAGGAAAGCGTGAAGAAATAGTTAATTATTCTTATGGAATGTTTATGGCGAAATGTTTGAAATAAAACAGTAGAGATCATGATGATCATTTGTTATGTAGACAGTGAAACTCATAGAGTCATTATTCTAATTCGAAATCTTCTCTTGAAGTAACCCGGCCAAATGTAAACTGCCTCTTGTCACATTGTGCGACCAGACTGGGAAATGCAATTCTAATGTTCGCCAGTTCAGTTAAACTTTTATTTTATTCAGACGCCAAATTTTGCCTTACATACTTCGGTAGATGTAATATTATAAACTTTTAATGAAGCCAAAAATTGGCGGAAGTGACGGTAAAAAAGATCGTGACTCAGCTTCGTGATTGGTTAAGAAATGAAGAAACAGTTGTTGTGGATATTCTGCACGCACTTATTTAATTGTTTATGCTTCAGTCGTTGGCTGTAGTTGATGAAAATTATTCGTTCAATATGACACACAAATTCATGTTCAGAAATAATTAAAGATCCAGACAATTCTGTAACACGCGTACAGGGTTTGGAGACAATGTAAATCTCTTATGGACTGCGTACATGGACGTCACGTATGCATTTTAAAAATAGGTACGCGCAGAGTGCAGAATACAGGCCTGAATATAATGTTTGATATTCTTGCAACTACAGCAAAGTTTACTGAGGAACACAACCATAAACATCAAACTTGAATAGTCTTAGAGGTAAGAATTTTTTATGGACATTGTGTTAAAAATAGCTGAAATATCCATTAGTGACAAAGGTGAACAGACACGGTCATATACACACAGCATCAATGAAAATATACCTTATAACCAAAAAAATACGTTCTTTGCAACAGATTAAAGAAAGAAGACAAAAGCGAAAAAAGAGAGAAAAGTAAAGCTTTAAAGCTTTGATTTGTCGACGGTATTTTAATGTAGCCAGCTGCAAATGGACGAACATCCGCTAAATACTTGTTATTCTTTACAAATTGTATTTTGTGCCAAGACTTATTGTCTGATATAGGGTTCTCGTTTCACGAATGATTACATATTGATAACATCAAAGGTTTCCTCTATTATCGGTGGAGGTCAAGAGTAATTAATGGCCGTCTACTCGAGACTTCAAATTACAATAATGATTCTATGAGTTTTGCCTCTACATAACAAATGATCATCATGATCTCTACCATTTTAATTCAAACTTTTAGCTATCAACATTCAATAACTATTTCTTCACGCTTTCCTGAATCAAGCTTGCGTGTTGATTTATAACAATCTAATAATAGGTACGCGGAGAGTACACACAAGGTCACAATAACAACGAATTTTGATCGAAGGATCTTTGTTTTTGATGATAAATTTGCGTGTCATATGATTGATAATTTGGAATTAATGATACACTATGTTTAGTTGATGGCGGAAGAGCAGAAATCTTATAGTAGACTGCTTTGTTATAACTGTAGCTTCCATTAATAACAACGTGCTTCAACTGCTGATGACAGTCATTGATGAAGGTTATTTGTTCAACAATGTGTACAACTAAAAAATGACCGTTGTCTGTAAATACTTCAGACGTTTTTAGTTTGTATCCAAACAATGTTTTCTAACTTTTCCCATCAATTTTATTTTAATTGGAAGAGGGGTCATTCTGCTATGCCAGGCTGATTTCTTTCAAAACGGAATGCATTTCAAAAGAGTTTAGACGGAAAAAGCAGAATGTAAGAATACCCCCCACCCAATCACGTAAAATTGAGGCAAAAGATAATAACAAATGCACGTACAGGAAACATACCAACAACAGCTCTTTCTTTAATTTCTAATTAGCAGCAATTTTAAAAAACACTTGAGAAAAACGACGATTTTTTTGAGAGCAAACATGTTCGACATTATCAGAATGCCATCTTCAGTGCAGAATGGTTAGTGTTAAGTAATATGATACGTGATATGAATAAATTAATTACAATGAATAGGATTATGATTCAGTTACTAAATATAAAATATTTACAAAAAAGGAAAAGAAAAATAAGTATTAAGAACTTATAACAAAAAATATTATTATAAAGTAAATATAGTGTTGTAGTGGTGAACTTGGATATTTAAATCGGGATTAGTTTTATTAATGTGTAGAGCTTCCTTGATTTTGAGTGAGAAAGTGGATTGATCAGTGTCGATGATTTTAAAACAGGAAGGTGAGAATTTGTTTTTTACATGAAGGAGAGGCTTGAAGATGTTTGTAGATAGTGGAGTTTCTGTCTGTGTGAGTATGTTCCTTTATCCTGGTAGATAATTGGCGAGAAGTTTCACCAATGTAGCGGGAATTACATCCCGCACATGAAAATTGATAAACTACCATAGATTTGGAAAGTTCGGGAAGTGGGTCTTTAAACGAAAATAAAGATTTTATTTTAAAAGGTGTGAAAATAAGTTTAACGTCAATGTCAGTGCAGTAGCGTTTAATGATTTGTGGGAGTTTGCGTTGTGTGTGTCGTGAGTAATCACCAATGTAAGGTAGTTTGAAATAACGTTTATTGTCAGGTTGTTGTATATCGTTAGTGTTAGTTGTGGCGTTAGATGAGTCAGTGCTTATCTTGTTGTCCAAATAGTGCTGTATAGTGTTGTTGATGAAATGAAAAGGAAAAGAATTACGTTGGAGAGTGAATATTAGTTTCTTTAAATCACGTTGAAAGCCGATGTCTGTGTTGTTAAGTTTCCGTGCTCTGTCGGTCAGTGTTCGTATCAGTCCAATTTTGTAATTTAATGGTGTGAAACTAAAAAAGTTAGTCAGTAGTCCTGTATAAGTTGGTTTGTGGTACGTAGAGGTCATACAGTTTTCATGTGATTTAGTTAGTAAGATGTCAAGAAAGGGTAACTGATTGTCTTGTTCGGTTTCGTATGTAAAGTTTATGTTTTGATGTTGTTTGTTGATGTATTCGTAAAAGAGTAATGCTTCGTCTTTGTTATGAAAAATACAAAAAACGTCGTCAACGTATCTGCGGTAAAATAAAGGTTTGTTGTTGCTGTAGTTATTTAACCAATTTCGTTCGTGAAAACCCATGAAAATGTTGGCTAGAATGGGTGCCAAGGGTGAGCCCATACTTACCCCATCAATTTGGTCGTAGTACTTACCGTTAAATAAAAATGAGTCTCGGCCGTAGCGATGTTAAACAATAGTTTTAGTTCTGTTCTGTTCATTTTGAATGTAGGGTTATTGGTAAAAATTAAATCAATAGCAATGTCTATGGTTTCGGTCAGTGGTATGTTAGTAAAAAGGCTTTCAACGTCAAAAGAAATAAAGAATTTGTCATGTGGAGCGTTAGTGTTAAAAGATAAAAAATCATCGACAAAACTAAAAGAATCTTTAGCAGAATGGTCATTAGGTATTAGGGGTTGGAGTAAAGAGCTGAGGTATTTGGCTAATTTGTAGTTATACGAATTGATTGAAGAATTTATAGGTCTGATAGGAGGTATGTCATTGATATTGTTTAATTTATGAAGTTTAGGTAAACCATATAATCGAGCTGGCTGTGAACCTCTAGGGTACATTTCTTGAAATGATTTTTCGTTAATAGAGTTCTTTTTCTTTAAGTTACGTAGCAGTCGTAATTTTGCTTCACGGGAATGAGTCTCAGCTCTTTCTTTACTGACTTCTTAGCCAATCATGTAACTGAGAGCAAAATGAATATTTATATTCATTTTGTGATTATTATAAAATTATGTTGCCAACACAGAAACCAACCAGAAAGAGAAGTCTGCAAGAGTTACAGAAGCAATTTTAAAGCGATTATTTTGTGAGCATACAATATCTTGAGAAAATGGCGTTCTTTAATGCTTTGATATTCATGGTAATGTTGGGATGCAGTGTTCAAGCAGCCTCAATTATTGATGCGCAAAATGACAGCAGTAAGTACTTTTGAACCTAGAAGGAAAGATGCTGAGAGTCATTGAAAGTCAAAGTTGGAGAAGAAAACATTGCATGCGGATGTATATACAATTGAGACTTTTTTTGCGGTTAGTTTTCTTCTAAACTTTCTTCACGAGATTAAGATACGCTTGTTGTCTTTAGATTGTAAAGACAAAAATTGGCAATGTTGCTTTTGGGCAACAGATAATCATTGTCAACTACATCCAACTTATATGAAGAAAAGTTGTAAATTTTCTTGTGGCTTGTGCGGAGGTGAAAAAAACCCAAACAATTTCATTCCAAATAAACGTTTTTTTAATATTTTCTGATCATATATTTAGACTGTAAAAATGTGTATAGTAATGAAGAGTGCAATGCTTTGGCGAATATTGGCGACTGCAAATCTAACCCATTATTCATGTTTACGAATTGTAAGAAAGCTTGTACTGGTTGCTCATAAGGTTGGTGTTAACTATGCTTCATTATTAAGTTCTATAGATAAAATCCATAATATTGGCTATATATTTTCCCAGCTTCTCCTGCTAAGAAGAGTGGAAAGTGTTAAAGAAAAGTTCAGTCTGCTCAGACATGATGTCATGTTAATATTTTACTTTAAAACTTTACTTATTTAGATTAAAATGTAGAAATAAGTGTAGAATTTTTTTCTAAGCTGTTCGCACAGTTTGCAACGAATTGTTTCACATATTAAAAATATCCAAAATGCGTTTTGAAAACTTGTTTGTGTATCAGTTTCTGCCAAAATACTTGCTTATCATAATATCTTATAACTTCTGACAAGAAGTTCTATTTGTCTGTGAGTTTGATAACTCAGAAAATACCGAAAGTGTAGAAGGCTAAAATCAAACTATTTCCGACACGTCTCGGCGAAGTCTTACATATACCGGTGAAGTGAAATCTCAATTTGTTTCTGTTTGTGTATTGGTGTTTTATTTTTTTTGGAGAACTTTTCATAAAGAACAAGAAAAAATAAAATCGTTGGCTCCATGTATAGTCTGAATGTAACACAAACAATGTGATTTTAATAATAGCAAAATTCGTTCGTTTGGACATATTATCTGCTCTTCATTTTAATAACAATAATCCAACTAAACAATTTGAGATCTTATGCGGGTATAAACTTTCCAGTTGATTACAAACATTGATTGTATCTCGTTTGGGGGAATAACAAAAGAAACTTGATGCAATGTGCTTGTATTTTATTAGCCGAGTTTATTACTTCTATGCGCGTTGCTCATCTCACCCTTTCTGTTTACATTGCTCTTGAGCGGAAGATCTGTAGTTTCTATACCTAGTAATTTTTTGCTGTCAAGTGCCCAAAACGTTCTAGTCGGAAAAATTCGCAACAAAAGAGACATATGCTAATTTCAAAGCCTTTTCTCTCATGTTTTCTCTCGTATCTGATAATGTGTGTTTTACATTGGTGAAATAATCCACGAGCAGGCAGCTTTAAGATTTCTAGTCTTGTGAGACTTGAAAAGACAAAGAAAATGGAAGTTTCTTTTGTTCATTTTTCGGTTTATACGGCTTTGTCTTGTTTATACTTGTGCTTATATCTATCATCAATGCTAACGATCCATGCTTCACCTATTGTCTTTGTTCCTCATTTAACACTTGTGTTTGTGGGTATTTCACTTTGTGTGTTATAACCATGAGTGTTTTCAAGACTTGTCTGACAAACGACAACACCTTCTCCTCGTGTCATCTTTGGCATTGCATGGAAGCTGTTCTATAGTTATAAATATCAGCCATCTTTTTAATTATATACGGGCTGAGAAATCCAGTTTTAAACCAAACATTCAAAAAGGGAATACCACGATATGAACGGTTGAGAATCTCAGATGATAAAGAGGAAAGATTGCAACGAAGTGAGTGTTATCACAAGAAATCTTAACATAAGTACAGACAAACAAAATAAAACTATGACGTTTAACATGCTAAAATATTTGGTCGAAGTGCCATATTAAAATACCAAAATATATACGTAGGAAAAACTGGCAGTTAATTCTTTAATATTCGACGGACGTATTTAGTCAGCGATGATCGATATCCTATTTTTTCTAGAGTCGTCAAAGTCGTTGTCAAGATGCTGCAAATGGAAAAATAATATTATCCTTTGACAAAAAACATACTTCTTCATCCTTGATGTCAATTCTCTGACTGACTTTCCGTATTCGTCTATCTCGCTTCTGTTCGAGTAGCATTGTTTGTTAGAGCCAATTTCTAACAGCCTATCGATTTAGAAATTATTTGAGAGATTTGGGATAAAAGGAACTAATTGCATGTTAACTGACTGGCACTTTTATAACATTTAGTAATGCTATAGAAGCTAGCACAAATCAGTTAACACTATGCTTGCTATCGTCATGACATGTTGATATGGATGTGCTTCTTGCGTTCCGATTTAAATGTAACATTTGAATTTTATCTAATAGAAATATTATATATTCGAAAAGAGATATTGCAATATGCTGGCAGAGTATTACAAAATCTCAGTTCAATTCGACGTCTATTTAAAGTGATTTCGTTTCAGCTTTAGTTGTTTACTTATAAATATTTAGTCGCTATATTTATTTTTGCATATAACAGACACTGTCATATCATTGAGGGATGTTATAACAGTGTCTGCATATGGCGATTGAAATAATTAATTTCCTATTAAATTTCCAGCATTCGGCAAATAATCAAATCACAAAATATGGACAGCCATGTTTTATGATGTTAGAACTATTAGAAGGGAGGAAAACGTATCAAAATCTTCAAGTTAAACTTAAGTGCTTAATGATTGAAAAATCTGACTGCATGCAATTTCATGAAGCATCGAAGTAAGCCTTTCCTGCAAATGATTGCAGCTTGCACTTTAGAGTTGTCCTTCAATGGAGGGTAAATCATGAGATGCATCATAAAATACGAATTTCGAGCGAAACTAACAATAGATCTTCTGCAAACACTGGTTTATAAAATATCCAAGCTTCAACAGTTTGTATGATTATATTTTAACAACTATTCTTGCAGTTTTGCATCGAAACAGATACAGATTAAGACTGCGTCACCGCGGTATGTGTTCGTTTGTTTCTTTTTTATTTGTTAAGCATTTGTTTATTTTTCATATCATTAACTCGTTAGTAAGTATTTTTCAGATGCGGAGGACGAAATGATCAGAAAGAGGGAGTCAGGAGTTGTAAGTGTGTTTCTTCATTCGTCAAATCTATCAGTTTTGTTGCTTCTCTCTCTTATAGAAGGACCTAGTCTAGAATGGTGAATCAACGTTTCTTAAGGAGTTTCGGTAAGTTTAACATATTAAAGTATTAAAAAAGGAAAATCCTTGACTTCGATTCTTCGGTGTTTGCAGACGATCAATAAGAGAATTTAATTATGGAAGGTGTAAATGTCATACTATCATAACAAACATGGACATAAATAATTCCAATATTCTAACCTAAATTAGAGAGTTCCCTCGCTCTCTAATTTAGGAAAGAAGTTCTTCAAAAAAATTTGATGTATTTCAAAATAGACTCCTGCCACCTATTTTGGAATAGCTTTGCACAAAATTTCACGAAGCATATATTCAAAACACAAGCATTTGTTTTTTTTTTTGTATCTAAAATAAGATCCTATATATCTAACAATGCGTGCTTGAATCAGGACACCAAGTATTCTAAACAATGGTAAAGTTTCTATAGTTTCGTAAGTGGGTTTTTTGGCTGTGGAGAGTATTAAATGTTAAATTCCTTTAAAATCCATTGTTTTCGACCGGTTAAGACAAGCATTCATGAATTTGTAACCTCGCCATCAATTGGCGAATTCGCGAAGCTGTTACGAATGACGATTTGACGTTGTCAGTTACAGTACCAAAATAACCGAATTTCAAGAAGCACCATCCATGAGCATTGAGCATAGGCGCACGAGACGGGGGCAGCTGTAGAAAGTTTGATGATTGAAAAGTTGGGCAAATTTTAAACGTTGGTCTGGCGAAAATATGGCGGAACCTTTACTGTGAGTCGGGGAAAATATTTATTGCCCCCCCCCCTCCAAGAATTGATAGCTCCCGTGTATATGAATCCAAATTACACGCGAATGAAAACTTTACCCAATAAGGTCTTTCATATCAATTTAGTGATTTGCAATTTATGCCAAAATGTCAAAAAACACTTCATGTTTACCAGGATATACCTACACTGTTACGCTGTAATTGTTGTCAAAGTTAAACCATGTGAAATCACCATGAAATCTGTTATAGGTGTTTGCAAAATAAAAGGATTTGCGATAGAATTTGCGATAGGATTTGCGATAGGTGTTGTTTGCAAAATAAAAAATGCATGTTGATGAGTGTAGCTTTCTACTGAAATATTGTAGTAATGATAATAAAAAAGAAAGAAAGTTGAAGTTATTCAAATTATGGTAGGAAAAAACGACTAAATTGCCCTTTCTAATCTACTACACACACCACCACACCCCCCTGACACATACATAAACTTATTGTATTAGTATGTCAGGGTTTAAAAAATGTAATATAACTAATATTTTTCCCATTATATCTTCTGCTCTGTATTAAGTATCGCATTATCCATTTATTCAGCTTTTTTTCTCGTTTTTTCATGAGACTTCGTGTATTCTATTCTAATTAGAGAATTATAGAAAAGCTTCTTCTGAATTTACTCATTTGCTCTTTTCCCTTCTCATCTTATTCGAGTCTTCCGAGGGGTTGACTCTAAATTTTGATTTCACTGGCTGCGTGGAGATTGTCCCGTCTCGCGTGTAGAGATTTTATCAACTTCGCTCCGTTCTGTGTGATCATTCGTGTCTATTTTTCTTAAAAAATGTCAGTTTCAGATTTAGACATTTGTAATTTTGCATATGAAGGCAGTTTGCTCAAACTGCAGCAAGAAATCTTGGAAAAGAAAAATTTAATTGCTATAAAAGATCAGGTATTTTTGAATTTCAAATGAAATTGAATCATTGTTCATTTAGCCTTATTACCTCGTGTGGCAAAGTTAGATTATTCAAGATTCTAACTATGATTCTAGAGTGGTCGTGTACCTCTACACTGGGCAGCCTCAGCTGGTCATATTGATATAGTTGATTACCTGCTACAAATGGGAGCATATGTGGATCCTAGGGATGAAGTATGGATAATTTACATGTAGTTTCTTACTTTCTTCAATGTTGACAGTTATTATGTGCACTGAATTTTCTTTAGCTAGATTGGACCCCACTAATAATTTCAGTGTCTGCTGGTATGAAAGATGTTGTACAAATACTTATAAACTATGGTGCTGATGTTAATGCGGTTAATAAAACTGGTCAATCACCAATACATTATGCAGCATCCAAGAACAGACTACAGGTTTCACCAATAGTTTTTTATTTGTTCATAAATGAAATAAAACTGTCATATTTTAATTTTTCTTGTAGATTGCAGAAACATTACTGGATCGTTGTGCCCAAGTAAATGTTTTCGATGCAACAAGTGGAGGTACACCGTTACATCGAGCATCGTCTAGGTAAAATTTGATGGTTTATCATTTTGTTTCAACTAGTTTTATTACTTTTGAGGGACTATGTCATAGATATGCTGTTAGTAAACACAGAAGAGGAATGGAGGGATGTTTAGGCTTTGGTCATGAGAATGAAAGTGACTTCAATTCAGCCATTGTATTAGAACATATTTAAGATTTAAGACATACTATGAATTCATGCCTATAAGCCTTGAGTGTATACATGTTTGCAAGTCTTTTTTTATATGTTGACACGAAGTATAATTAGATTTTTATTTATCATAGTTTTGAAGGATATAAGGTCCCCACTACTATAGTGCTGTGTGTCAATTACTGTAGAAATCCCTCATCACGTAAAGATTCATTATATTCATGTTTTATGCCCTAGTGTTAGAATTAACATTTAAATTGTTATACAGGGGTCATTCACAAATGGTTTCTCTTCTATTGAAGCACCATGCCAACCCAGACTGTGTAGATCTCGAAGGAAACACACCACTTCATATGGCTTGTGAGGAAGACAGAACTTACATCGCTCAACTATTGGTAGAAAGCAATGCCAATATGAGTCTTGTTAATAAGGTTGGTTTGAAAATACTCATCTTCATTTATAGGAAAAGCTTTGACATACTTTCATCTGATAATACCAAATTTTCTTTTGATGCATTAGCAATCATTGGAGTACAGTATTGTATTTCCATGTTCCTGTTTATTAGGAGAAGAAAACTGCTTTGGAATTAGCCAGCAAACAGCTTGCCAACCACTTGAAGAGATTAACAGAATAGTTAGAAAATTGAAAAATTTCATGCAAATTGGACATTAGAGTATTAATTAACTTTAAAATCTTTTTGCATCTAAGAGCCATATTCTTTTATTAGTTTATTTGCAATACCTTGCATTTCTCAAATCATGGATATAAGAAGATTGATAATTAGTTTGGGGGGGGGGGTTCATATTTATACATTCATGTTATATGCTCTTACTATCCATCTACAGACGCAGGTGTCCCAAATGCATCTGATGGTAGACATGCATGGTCTGTAGATAATATTTTAATAATGATGTGTTGTGGGTATTCAATTCAGTATAGAATCTGAGTGGACGAGAATACATTAATGTATGCAGGATGTATAAAAAAAGTCATTAAAAGAGCTTTTACGCGCACGGTCAAGCACTCGTGGGTTTAGCGTAGTGGTAGGCATTGATTCTATCACCGAACATTATTTTCTTTTTTTCCCCACCCTGTAAACATATCTCAACTTCGAGAGCTAATCTAGATGGTTGATATTTTATCCTTAAATATTCCTTAGAGATTTCCATTCAATGGCGATGTTTTTATAATACTGTGACTTCAAACTAAGTCGCTCTTGTGTATTCTGACCACCTACCTAATGTCTCCACCCACACAAACGAAAATATAAAGAGACGCGTTTAAAATTTTCTATTGCTTCATATGACAACGCTAACCCAATTACAATTATGTCAAAATTAATAAAATAAGTTTTAATAAAAAATTCATGATACATCGCGCACATTTCGTCGAGCAGCTGTTAAAGAAGATTTTGTTATCAAGAGGCCATCAAAACTACAGAAATTCCCTCGTTGATTATGCATGCATATTGTAGTTAGTTGCTTTAAGTATTTCCTGTAGATTGTCTTTGTAATATGATATAAATTGTCTGATTTAAATTTGGGTATGCTAGATCCGCTTCAGCAAACAAGTAAATAATTCGACACCATAAATATATGAAAAAACGTGTGGCTTTGAGGACGAGATACACCTGCGGTATGGATTCAAAAGTCGATGAACTTACGAAAAAGTTTAAAGAGTTGAAAGAATCTGCTATTAACAAAGGCTGTAAAGAGGAAGATGTTGTTCGCTTTCTTCTCAAAAAAGCTGGGAAGTTCGAAGAAAGCCAAAAGGCATCATCGAGCACACCAAAAAGTCGTTTTAAACTGATCTTTTTTATGCTACTTCTACCCACATTCCTCGCTACAGTAAGCTATTACCACCTATCAGATAGTTTCGATAAAACGTCGCCATGTACAATTGATAACAATGTTTTTGTTATGGAAGCTTCTCGCGCTATTGTCGACTGCAAAGCGATGTGTAAAGATCTGACAGGAGTTCCAAAAGTTTCTGGACTCACAGCAAATGAGTTTGTGGAGAGATACGCGTATAGTAGCAGACCTCTGGTAGTAACGGACGCTACAAAGTCATGGAGTGCTGTCAAAACTTTCTCGTATGAGTTCTTTCGACGTTTATACACGAACTCTCCGAATGCATTGAATACTACAGACGAAGAATGCCAGTTTTTTCCCTATAAAACTGAGTTTCATTCGCTTCGTGAAGTTTTCAAGATGTCGAAAGCAAGATCTCAGTTCAAACCAAAGGCGAAACCGTGGTATATCGGCTGGTATGTTTTTTCATACTTAGCGTATGTTGGCGCTGTCTCTATGTTTTTGTTTTTGACACACCGCACTGAATATCTTTTGTAGCTCAATAATGTTTACATATTAAACTATCATATCGATATAGTTACCAAAAGGCAAAATATATGTGACGTTGGCAATTAGAAATGGAAGTGTTTACTTAAGAACGTTTTTTAAATTCATCATTGAAAAGTCATCAGCCTAATACTGGTAATAACAAGTCTTCTATACAGAAGACAATATGTTGGCTTAAGTTCATATGAATGTTCTTCAGCATACGTGATAAAGCGCATGAAAACCAAATTTTTAAAATACAATTAAGATTTAATCAACAGTTTCCTGTTCTGCTGCTGTTGTGAAATTTGAGTATCGCCACGTATGAATTAAGCTCCGATTAACCTAATTTGGATAAATAACTGTTGAATAATTAGCAGAAATAGTAACATTCTAATCGTGGTGAATGATCTTGATTACCTAGGAGTAATTGTGACAGTGAAGTTCGAGCAGAACTCAGGAAACATTACAGTAAGCCATACTTCATTCCATTGGATTCTGAACACAGTGAGACTGATTGGATTTTTATGGGTGGCGTTGGTCCTGGGGCAAATATGCATGTAGGTATAATAAAAAGAGGAATAGTTCAATATTTTGCACCATCACTCATTGCGTGAACCAGAAATACAGAAATGTGTCAAAATATTTTTGCTCAACAGGGACAATGTTATATGTCTGTTAATGTTGATTGTCCTGGTGTTAACTTATTGTTGAGTATTGACTAAAGTTTGAACATCCTTAGCAGTAGAGATTTTCCAATTGAAGTGAAGAGTAGGTGAAATATTGGTCAGCACTAACATCAACCAACAGTCCTTCTCTGGACAGCACTGGCTTGCAGTATTGACACCTTAAAACATACAACAACACTCTCACATTCAAACCATTTGCATTAAAAACAAAGTTGAAGCTTGTTAGTTGAAGTCAGTTTAGTTGAACTTATATTACATCATTGATGTAGTTGGACAGTGTAGAGCGACCCTCGTGGCAGGCTCAGCTGTCCGGACGCAAGACATGGACTCTATTTCCACCACCAGAATGTGAGAGTGTCTGTCCATCCATGTTGAATGTAACCATTGAAAAAGGAGAAATTGGTATGTTCCTATGTTTATCAAATTATGCTTATCCTGTGTTACTCTGTTTATCCTGTCTATCCCATGTTTATCCTGTTACTCTATGTTTATCCTATGTCTATATCCCATGTTTATCCTGTGTTACTCTATGTTTATTCTATGTCTATCCCATGTTTATCCTGTGTTACTCTATGTTTATCCTATGTCTATACCATGTTTATCCTGTGTTATCCTATGTTTATACTAGACTTATCGAATGTTTGTCCTTTATTTATCATAAACTTATTCAGAGTTTATCCTATGTCTATTCTTGTTATCGATTGTTGGCATATGCATCCAATAGCGATGTCAATGACAAAGCTTTAACAAATTCAAGTATTTTACAACTTTAAGTGAGTAAAATGTAACACATTTTTGAAATATATTTACACTTTAGTTGTAATTGACACAAATACTTGGTACCATTCCACGACTGTTGAACCCGGAGACATCAGCATTACAATTGGATCAGAATTTGACTGAACAAACATGTAGAATGGAGAATACAGAAAAGGCGAAAGTCCTTTTTTATAAATGGATTTGAGGTAGCAAACACTGTCCGTGACAGTAATAGAATGACATGTGCAACTTTTGTGTTTTCTTATTAGAAAAATGTGTTGGCAGTATTGTAGATCGTAAGTACATATATGTAGATTGATATTTATTTAATGTAAATGCAGAGTGAAGCTCGATCACATAAAAACATGTGTTGCAATATTTCAGTGGGATCTTTAATTCCACAAACGAACATCTACCTCTAAATGTTACTTATTAATACATGTCAGCCATTACAAGTATATATGGTTGTTCTATGATGAAAGTCCGTGAATCATTTCTTCCTTGGTTATGAAATGATTTGTCTTGTTTAATAGTTGCATAAGCGAGTTTATGTTATGGGACCATTCATTTAAGATATCATTTGCCTCTTTGTGCGGTTCAAAGCTAATTGTGCCGCCCGGTCGATCTATTTTAGCAAAGACCACCTTTGATGCCACCAAATTTGACAAAAACTCCTCAGTATCCTGTGAATATGCAACCATATTTATTTAAAAAGAACGTACAACTACTATAAGATTAGGGTTAGGGATCAATTTTGCACATTTGTAGAATATAGAATTGTTGGAGACAGAAGCAATTGCTTTGTAAACAGTTTTGTGTTTCTATTGAACTATCCGGATATTGCAATACCGACTTTGTAGAACTGACTTATCTGTCAAACAACAGTAACACAATTGTCAAAGAGAATCCCTTTGAAGTTGCTATGAGTTTCACAGTCACAATATTTGTTATATGATTACATGAGACAGCATAAATAACCAAACTTACAGTTTCCGTCAGACTTAACAGCTCCGCCATTCGTTTCATAGTTATATTAGTGTAGTACTTCGCTATGATACGGATGTTCTAAACGATAGCAAACATTGTTGAGGAAGAGTGACAACTGCTTTTACAAATTGCTCACTTTGTGTAATGTTTAAGGTGAACAATTTCTAGAGGGTTAAACTTAAGTTCCAAAGTAAAGGAAGTTCTAGGTTTTTCATTGAAATGCTTCTTTCTAGACAAACTGAAGAGTAAAAAGAAACGGTTACTCCCAAACATGCTTACAACATTAGCTAATGGACCTGTGTCCTTTCCTCTCTAGAGAGTGTTAATACTAAATATTTCTGGCTGTCAAATCAATAGCAAAAATTTTAATTTCATCTTGAATTTTATAAATATATATCATCTTAAACTCAAACATACGTGCTCAACAATTCTCTTTTTGAAATCTTGCCATCTCTTTGCACCAATTTCATTTTCTGAGAACACATCTGTTGCAAGATGATCTGGCAAGCCATGACACAGTACTTTCTCGTATTTGTCAGTGATCTCAGCCCAGTTCATGAGCTCAGCCCTTGTGTAACATTTCAACAATTCTCTAGGAGAAACAACACATGTTGGTCATATTGTAAGAAGAAAGCAAGAGACATTTGTGATTGAATTTAAATTTTGAGCATTTACATATTCGAAAGATTTTACCGTATTGGAAAGTAGGCTTCTCAAGTAAAAGAGAAAAGTTTTGAGCAAACAATTGTAGGAATAATTGATGTCATAGTTAAGTGTGATAGATGGCTAAAAATGCACAATCATCAGGAGGTTGAAATTCCATTTAATGCAGGGGAGTGAACCATTATCTATTACCATTATTAAGTATACAAGGAAATACATTTTAGTATTTTGAAAATATATTACAAGATTTTCAAATCAATACAAAACAATATTTTCAATTCATCAGATTTTGAATTTACTGAAAATGCAACATCAACATGGACCTTTTAAATCACAGGTCATAGGGAACATACTTGTACATTGGAATTTGATCCAAACGTTTCTCCTCTTTCACACGAAAAGTAAGGTCAGACTGCTCATTATCATATGGTGCCAAGATCAGATATAACACAACATTCTTTAAAGCCTTTATAAGAATAATTGTAAAGTCACTTGATTCATGAGAGGACATCAATAAAGGGAATGGTGTTTTTGTTCACCTCTTGCCACTTTGAAGGTTCCTCTTGAACTGCGGGTGTATTATAAATAGCGTAGTAATACTTGCATATGTTCAAGTATTCTGAGTCATGCTGTGCCAACTCTATCATCAGTTTGTAGTAGCGAAGCTTTAACTCCTACAAATACATAGATTGCTACTATGATATTTATATGGTACCTACTGTTGTATGACCTTTATATGGTACCTACTGCTAGTATTACCTTTATATGGTACCCTGTTGTATACCTTTATATGGTACCTACTGTTGTATGACCTTTATATGGTACCTACTGCTACCTTTATATGATATGTATATTTATATGGTACCTACTGTTGTATGTATGGACTGCTTATCACCATTATGGTACCTACTGCTAGTATTACCTTTATATGGTACCTACTGTTGTATGACCTTTATATGGTACCTACTGTTGTATGACCTTTAAATGGTACCTACTGTTGTATGACCTTTATATGGTACCTACTGCTAGTATCACCATTATATGGTACGTACTGCTAGTATGCTATGGTACCTACTGTTTATATGGTACCTACTGTTGTATGACCTTTACATGGTACCTACTGCTAGTATCACCATTATATGGTACCTACTGCTATGGTATAAGACCTTTATATGGTACCTACTGTTGTATGACCTTTTGGTACCTACTGTTGTGACCTTTACTGGCTAGTATCACCTTCATATGGTACCTACTGCTAGTATAAGCTTTATATGGTACCTACTGTTGTATGACCTTTACATGGTACCTATGACCATTATATGGCATGGTACCTACTGTTGTATGACCTTTATATGGTACCTACTGCTAGTATCACCATTATATGGTACCTACTGCTAGTATAAGCTTTATATGCTAGTATGACCACCCACCTTTATATGGTACCTACTGTTGTATGACCTTACATGCTACTGTTGTATGACCCTACTGCTAGTATCACCTATGGTATACTACCACCTATAATGGTACATACTAGTAGTAGGACCTAGCATTATAGTATGCTCTTTGTGCAATACAATTTTTACAACTTTTGCAATTTATCATTTGTCTTACTGGCTCATTGTTATTTTCAAAAAACTTCATGCTGATTTTCTTGCTAATTATCTGAGCACGGATATAATCTTTCTTGGCTAAACACAGTCGAATCTGCTCCAAGATGAAATCAACTTTTTCATTCCTCTCCATGGAGCCAAATGTTTCAACCTTAAATGAAAGGGGGGGAAATACAATGTAGTTCTCCTCGAATGTGTAGAATTTTCACAGACTTGTAAACACCTGTAATTCTTGAAGGATATCAGCAGCCTCTGGAATAGAAATTTATGTAAGTAAAGACAAACAAACATGAAATATAGAGGTTCATCATAAAAGTTCCGTCTTATATTTTGCCTTAAATTCACAAACCTGAAACATTGCCATCTTGTTCTTTTAAAGTCGCTAATATCTTTGTAAGTCTAGCTCTCTCTAACTCTACATAAATCTAGAGAGATGTATTAGATTAACTTCAGACCAGTACAAGGGATAACCAATTGATACATTGTTATAAACTTACCTTGCCCGCTGTAACTGTTCTCAAGGTTTCGATGTATTTTAATTTTTTTTCCCTATCTGGAATAAGTTCAACATAGGTAAAAGCCTCCTGGATCATTTTCATAACAGCTTGTTTTAATTGATTGCGACGCTTGGTCAAGATGAGAATATGCTCATTAAGTAGCTCCCATTCACTTTGCTCAAAGCATGTCTTGACAATTGCCACAAGTAAACGACTTGTGGATGCAAGATCAGCCCCCTGGATTTGAAAGCGATTTATATTTAGGTGTTTTGCTATATGACAAGTGACAGCATGGACAGAGACGAGCAAATGACTTTCGACGAAGACATTAAAAATATAGAGTCTTCAAACTTTATTCAACTTACCAAACGAGTTTGCTTCTCAAGAGATAACAAGCTCTCAAGTGCTTCGTGTGTTTTGCCTTCCTAATGTACAAAATAATTAAATTGTAGGCTAAATATTGGCAAAGTGCATACTCAATCCACTCGCTGGCTAATTGGCAATCACATCACAGCTTCACAGGATTCAGAGCCCTTCACTCCCAACAATCAGTACATATTTATAACACACTGAAGATAGTTTACAAGAAGATGAATCAGGTATTTGTTTTACCTTTACTAATGCTTCACATTTTGGCAAAAGTTCCGTCACATTAGACGAGAAATCCACGTCCATTTTAACCACATTTCCTCTTGTGTCTGTTGCAGTCGCCATGTTGGAATTTATTTATGATCACTCCAGATTCTTACACAGTCCAATAGATCAAATTTTAGATCTTTTTGCCTTATGCTTCTAGGGCGTAAGCCCGCGATAAGACTGAAAGGAGCGTGGCAATTTCAAAATATTTCGTTTGAAATTGGAGTCGAAAGTTTTGTGTCTAAAGAGTTTCTAAAGACATTTATGCAGGTAAGATTATACAGACGAGAATATTATAGCATTAGACTGCTTAAAACTCTTTTCCAGCCGACAATTTGAAAAAATATAAGATAGAACATACACTCCAAAAAACACCATCATTTCGACACTGTTCGACTTAATGTCAAATTCATTTCATTGTCAGTGGTACTTGGCTGTGAAAATCACTGGCGAAAATGTGCATTTGCACTAAATTAATTTTACGAACCAATCAAAGCAAAACATCTTAAAGGTCGTAAAGTTAAAGTAAATGGTTTGAACCGGGGAGTATCGTTACATGTTTGTAAATGTAGATCGTCAAGGTTAGTAGAGTCCTGAGAAGGACTGTTTTTGTTGTTGTTGACTGACGTTTCGACAACCTTAGCAGTAGTCATTTGACTCTGAAGATGACTACCGCTAAGGTTCTCTAAACGTCAGTCAACAACAACAAAAACAGTCCTTCTCAGGACTATACCAACCTGGACGATCTACATCTACAAACATGTAGTAAAGTTAAATTGCTTTAAACAAAAGCCATAACAATGGCTGGCATAAGTTTTTTCTAAGTAGGTTTTTTTTGGCGACATAGTTCTACAGAACAGCATTTGCAAAGTCTAACTAGGACAGATTTAACTTTGAGTGAGGGGGATGGGGGGGTGCTGACGTTGACTAGCAATCAACTACACCCTTTTATTAAGCTTTAGGGAGCCTCTAAAGCTTTCAAATATTCTTGAGTCCTGTACAAATGCAGGACTTAAAGCGTCTTATGGATCCTTTGTTGTCATTTAATTTTACTTCATCACAATACACAAAGAACAATAACAATCTATTTGAGTTTTGTGAATTTTTGATATTACAACACAATGTACATGTTGTGGTCCCAAAGCAGCACAAATGCATGTTTTCACTCTTTAAAGATTTAAAAATTGGCTATAGAAATCTTAAATGTGCATCGAGCAATTTTAGAAGTTTACTAGACATTAGCCACTTGATCTTAGCATAACTTCTGCTTATTTACAACAGCTTTGATGTAGTTATGCTTCTTAAGTCAATTTCTACTTCGTTCTTGGTCTTTCTGTAATCTGTATGATGGGTACATAGCACGACTTCTGCATGTATTTATCACAAGTTCTTGAATGTTGCATAACATCTTCAAACTTCATTGGTGAAACCCGAAACTTCACTTGTGTAGGAGTTTTAAGAATCCATTCAGCTTGAGTTAATTTAAAGGGCAAGGAAGTAGGTGATTTTCCCCACATTTTTGGTGACAAAAGTTTTACAGAATGAGCTAGACAATCTTAAGTTCTTCTCTTTGAATTTGGACAGATAACTGCATTGAAAAGATGACCCATATTTGCTGCTCTTTCATATTTTTGTCTATGACTGTTCAAGTCAGGGAAAGGTCATGGCAAATAAAAATGTATTAGATTTTGACAATGTTTACCAATGTTTTTTTGGTGGGGGGAGGCGACCCTCCATTACAAACTTTAGGGGGGGGCAAACCCAACACCCATACGCTTCCTACGCCTATCTGCAAGACATAGACATTTCCGGCCAAAAATACCAACACTGCTAAAAGCAGTTATCTTGTTTTGGCTGCATGTGTGGAAGCTATAGTATTGTAAAAAAATATCTGACGGTATTGAAAAATACGAGCCAGTCGTTATCAATAACTTGACGTCCGAAATATACGTACGCTGAAGTTAAAAATCAACAGAATTAATAATTTTTTCATGCATATTATTGATAATTGTTTTAAAGATAGCAACTGCCATGGCGAATGGCTAAAAATGGCAATTGCTATCTTTAATTTTTAGATTTGTCACCTCGACAAAATCTTTATTTGACTGACGTTTCGACAACCTTAGCGGTAATCATCTTCAGAGTCAAATGAGGAGAAACGTCAGGTTAGTATTTGTTATCTGGTTCTTACGTCATTGCAGTTGTGCAAAACAAATATGGACTCGTGAGTTTTTCAAACACTATCAAAATCGCACGTGTCCGAAGGACGAGAAAGTCTCACTCGTCCATCTTTTTTTCTAAATTGCACTCGATTGCCTCGAATGGAAACCATGCTATTACGTATGCAAATACTTTAATCTGATTGGCTGAAAAGAAGCGAAAGCCAAACAACAAGCACACGCTTCTTTTCAATTGAAAAAAAACATGGCGGCAGTTGTTTCCACAGGGAGAATCGACTCAAATTCAAGGATTACAAACAAATGCGAAAAATACAAACACAAAAGTATGTTTTCGTGGTGAATGTTTTTAAAAGTTGGGCCACGGAACGAGGTTTTCTGAAGTGACGGAGAGGATTCACGTAGTTTTACAAACTATCTCATACGTCAAATGACTCTGACTCTTTTGACTCTGAAGATGACTACCGCTAAGGTTGTCGAGACGTCAGTCAACAACAACAAAAACAGTCCTTCTCAGGACTATACCAACCTGGACGATCTACATTTACAAACATGTAACGATACTCCCGGGTTCAAACCATTTACTTTAAGTATATTATTAGCAAGTAAAAGCATAGAATTGGTAATAGTAAAGTTTCTGTAGCAATTACGACAAAATATGTACTCGTGAGTTTCTTAAAGACTTCAAATAGCGCTCGTCCTTTCGACTCCATGCGAATGCAAAATTTCCAGTGCAAACACGAAAATCATCTTTTATCTATTTATTTTATAGAATAGCAATGCGAAACAGATAAATTCAAAACAAATGTTCTAGTTTTTGTTATAACCTGTTTAATTTGCAAATTTTCTTTAATTGGTTTAATTGATTGAGCCAATTGAGCACAGACTGGTTTGCACCATTGAACTAAATGTATAACTGGAATGCTACCTTTATATAATCATCATGCCTGTGCCTGTACTTTCATGAAGGCAAATTTTACCCGCAAACCCGCCATTCTGGATTATCGTCGTAAGTGAAGTTTTTTGGGTCGTGCGTGGAAAGGTTGGGACTGGGACTAGTTGAATTAATGGCTTCAAATTTTGGCGGGAGGTAGCCTTCCAGCTATATTCAGTTCAGTGGCATGCATAATTGATGCCCCAGTCCCCGCACGATCTTCTAGCATCCAAAGTAATTGTTTTTAAAAAGTTATCAAACAGCATGGAAGTTTCGTTCGTGCACGTAATATTATTTTGCGAACAGTTGCAGCAGTGACGGTTGATTTTTTTGTAGCTTCAAAATTTCCCGCCATTATAGGTAATTGATCTATCAATCAAAAGCCCCCTCCTGTGAGTTATCGTTCGCTGATTGGCTGCCCGCTATGACACTTCCGTCGAAAAACGACTTCGTTGTGATGACATCGGACTATTATGAATGAAGAATGGAAAGATTTCGTTTGCCATTTGGATGTGTGTGTTTGTTTTTCACCTGGGGTACAATAAATTTTGAATAAAGGTAAGTGATCTTGCAAGTTCATGAGAATTGAGTTGAGGAAGAGACTGAATGTATGGATTTTTATAAAAGCTGTATTGTTCCTTATTTTATACCCAAGGTCACTTGCTTGTAAAACAATGCGCTGCATTCAAAGCCATTTCGAACTTGTCGACCAAACATTGCAAACCATGTTATTTTACTCTTGTTACAAACATATGTAGAAAAAGAAGTTAGTTATGCCTTTCTTTCGAGATAAATTTCAGTAAAAACCACAATAGTTAATAAAGACAAATATGCAATGTGTTAACATTGGTTTCGTTAACACATTAAAGATAATTTGATTATCGTGTCGTAGGATTGTATGTTTGTGCGGACGTGCATTCAGTAGTTACTGAAGTGTTCCTGTATTGCACAGTGTAGAAATACATGCTAAAAATATCAGCACAAATTTTTTGTGCAATTAGCGAGGGTCGATTTTTAAAGGTCAATGCGCGTATTGTACGAAATATACATGAAATTCAACAATAACTATTGTATTAAATTATGAAGTCATTTTTTCTGACGAAACACCTTTAATTTCACCAAATACGACCTCCTAATCGCAACCGGAATCGTGTTGAAGTAAATTTTAAATTTAAATCTTTCCGCTGCTTCGCACAATTTACGCGAAAGAGATTTTCTAACGTTAGTTGAATATTTAATTGTTGAATTCCTTTCAGTTGCGTAAGTTCTCGTTTCTATATTTTGTATAAATGGTTATTGAATTGATCAACACGTTGCAGGATTGTAAGTTGAGCCAAATCCATTTCTATCGCTTGCCCAGCGTGTTTAGCCTGACGCATTTAACTTGAACCATGTATCAATAAGGCCTTGTTTTCTCTTGTGTACGTAAAACTAATGGATCAGTTGCATGCTGTTGAAGATGCAGGAACACAACATGCAGTTACTGCGAAATACTTACTTTACGTAGTTGAGATTGCAAGGTATTTGTCATTACGTTACTGTTGCAACGGAGAATTTAGGACTGGATTGAGTGAGAGTTATTGAAAGACGTAGAGCATGATAAATGCGTCCATTGTCCACGGTGTTCAAAGCGGAATAGGTCTATCGCCTCCGGGGCTATGAATCCTTTTCATTAAAACATCTCTATTACATGGGAAAACGAGAAATTTGACGAAATGGTAAAATGTAAGTGTGTGGATAGCACTGAGGAATACTTAATTTGTTAAAATATCACTCTCATGCACGAGTACTTCCTTCCATATCCTAGTTTTATTTTACGTGTTGTCTTTCAAAGATATCCGATATACAAAATGTTCGGTTAGCGATTGCCGTAATATCTTTGTGCTAAGCATTCGCTCTCCGAATTGACCGACTTGAAATAAAGAAAAGAAATTTGCTGCGCTGTTTGTGTTGATCATGCATGTGACGTTTCCGTTAGTTCCTGTACGCGACATTTTGAATTTCTCTTTTAATTTTTCACTTGCAATAACAAAAATTTCTTTTCTTTCCTATTGTTTGGCGAAAAGCCATATTTGAGCAACAAATAATGAGCTAACTTAAATGTATTTTAATGAAAAATATCTTGGAATCTCTAGTCTCTCTTTCTAAATGACCTGTAATCTTTGTTGAAGCTGATTGCAAACCATTATCGCGTTTTATTTTTCATAAGGGCTTACAAAACAACAGTATTTCGATGTTATATCTTTTGAGGAAAGGATAGAAAAGACAGAAAAATTGGTATTCTTGCAATCGTCATCTTCTTTCGTTGTTTGGTCTTAAAGATTCGCAAACGTCGTAGATAAACTCCTAAATAAGCAAGACAGTTGTTTTTGTAGCCCATTTTGTCCGTGTTAACTTTCTCTCGTTAATATAAAAGATATCAATATAGTTATTCTACATCACATTATTGTTTTACTGCCTGATAGACAATAGTTTTATTCCAGTGTATATAAACCGAGAAAGCTCTTATACGTGATAAGATTTGTATCGGTAAGATTATAGCGGTCGAGAAAGTTATTTACTAAAGCGATGTCGTGTCTAAAGAACGATAAAGAAAGGCAACTTTATATACTTGTTGAATTTTGTTCATTTTACGTTCATTATCTATTGGATGATTTATGATCAATATTAGATCATTTTGTGGTAATTTTCGTTATAAAAATCTTTCATAGCTATAGTCATACGGTCGAAGATATATGTTTTTTCTTTCTTTCAAAATTATTGGAAGAAACGACGTTTAGACGTCATTCTTTAGCGTCCAAAGTTACATGATTGACGGCATCTTCTATTTACTTCTCAAAGACTTTGCAAAACGTTATAAGATATACATAGATTTGTTATATATAATGGTGTATTTGATTTTATTTCCGTTATGTTTATCTAAAATGTGTTTGTTTTTTTTCTCATAGCTATAGAACCTTTGCAAAAGTATTAACTTTAAAATAGTTCCAGTGTATATAGCTATGACTGAAATTGTCATAATATGCAATTATGTGCACGAATACATACATATAAGAGTGAACTACCACAAAAGAGGCTTCTCGAGATGAAATTCTAGTTTTTTCCTGTATGATTTCTCCATCTCTATCTATCTAACGATTTTTTATTGCATTTATAATTGAAGTATGTTTTTTTCCATGCAATACATAAAAATTACGTTGTGTAGCTATTTGTGCATTATATCGGAATCTTTGTTTGCCATTACTTCGTACTTGTAAATATGAACCAGTAAATCTTTCGTTTTCAAATTTTACCATATAAAGTCAGTCTTGTGTGATTCACGATTGACGCTATATATAATTTGAATTTGTGATAGAAGCTATCGCAAACAGACTTGTATAAGAATACAGTGCTTGCAATAAGCTGTACGACTTAAAAATGAATAAGCAAAATATGTATATTTATAATTAATGTGTAATTTTGCAGTATATTTGCTACTCAGTGTTATCATATAAATATTTTAGTTATATATAGAGAGAGAGAGCGCGAGCTCCATGTAAGTAATAGGGAGCTCAATAACAAAGATATAGTAAAAACATTGTATTAGTGAAATATTTTCTGCGCACTTTTGTCTTTGCAGTGTTTCAAGCAGAAAGGATTACCATGTGTCTAATGATCCCTTATTTGTGTTAAACATTGTGTAGAAATTACACTGCAAAATTATACGATCAAAGGAACTATCAGATGCATGAAAATATACGTATAGCTGGCTACATTATTGTACAGCAATGTGTCCTCACGTTTATCACCTGAGTTCAATAGCGACTCCTGACTTGGGAACAGGGCGTAGCTGTTTGTACACATTGTTCGAAATGCATTGTGGAGTCAACAGAATGCTCAAGCATTTACAAGTAAATGATTAAATGCAAAGTAAAAAATAAATTCCGAATGGACAAGACATCTTGAGATTACAAAATATGAATCAAAACAAGACGCGAAGTGGAACTGTAAATTTTCGACTTTATTTCAAAGTCCTATAAAGTTAAATAGACTCGAAAATTTACAGTTGCACTTCGCGTCTTTTTTTGATTCACATGTTGTAATCTCAAGACGTCTTTTCCATTCGAAATTTGTTTTTTACTTTATTTTTTTAAATTGTCGGCTGGACGAGGTTTTTGGTTTAAATACATGTACGTTGTTTACAATTCAAGTAATTGTGCTTCTTAAAGTGTTGCCATCTTAGCAAGGTGCACGAATAAAGTCATGATTAGCTTACATTAGTTATTTACACGCTCTCTGTAATTTTTCCACGTACATACACGCAAACTGACAAGCATATATGTACTGATCATGGCAGAGCTAGTAAAATTTACCGAGCTAACTATATTGTTATTTTGTAATTTAATGTTACCGTGAGATAATTTTTAATCTTTTTTTTGTATTATTCTGGTGCTTTTTCTAACATGACTAAGCCTAACAATTAATAACAAAACTTGCAAACATCTCTCTCTCTGTTTAATCAATGTTTATAGATGTGTACTGAGATGTATTTGTATTGACATCATATCAAATCCATCTATCTTGAATACAAAACCCTCTTGTTTCACACTCTTTATGTAATATGGAGAAGGTCAACATGTGTTTCTTGAAAACGTCTTGTGCAATTTTTATGGACGATTACAAACGTGTTTATTTGCCTTTAGGAACTTTTTTTGTTGATTTAGTTTCGTTGCAAAGCGATTTTGCAAAAAGAAATCCTGAATCCGTCGAATGATTATTTACATTTTATGTAACTTGATTCGATAATTTATCTCCGTGTTTAACGACGCGCGATTTTTCTCCCTACAAGATCTCAGCACGAGGCATCTTCAACAAACGTTTTAAACAAAAAAGAAACTTATTTAGCGCGCGGATTATTCAAATTTATGATGGTTTTGTTCGTCGATTGCCAAAGCGCTTATTTATGTATGATTCCTATTTAAGTTTCGTATTAAAACAACTTCAAGGTCATGAAGCGATAGCAAAGAAAGTGCCTTTGTTTCAAGCACATTTTTTGTATCAAAGTTTTCGTCATACCAGCTGGTCTTAAATCTGTTTACGCGTTAGTCAATTATTTTATTTTGCCGAAGAGCGTTTTCAACTCAATGTTTTTAAGATGCATTCGTTTCGATGTAAGATTATACATCTGCGAAGGCAATTTCTTGAATGTAATATTGTTCGGCTGTTTAGAGCAATATGGATCTTCTGGTCTCTAGTACAACTCACTGGCTTTTCTGGTCGTTTAATTTACGAAGTACTTATGTATTGATCTGTGCGGCTATCGTCTTTTGATATCAGGCATTGGCTCAACCATTGTGTTACTGGTTTCATCTTTCGATTTACTTTGTAGTCAGATCAGTTTACAAAGGTAATGGTGAAGGACATCAACATATGGAAAGTGTGGCTTTTTGGTACGTACTGGATCATAGGTTTCTTACGTCAGTTTTTTTATAAAACGAACGAACTTTGCTTAACGAAGCAACGCGTCGATTTTAAGCATGGAAATTTTGCTGCTTCAATGTAGAATTTCATCACCTACTGTTGATGAAAGGTTGCTCTTGGTTTGGTCAAAGAAGATGACAAATGTCTTCATTATGTATTATATGTAATGCAGCATCGCGTTGATTTTCTTTATTGTCTGTGCGCGATGTCAATGAGAAAGCGAGAATTGTCTTATCTGCTTCAAGAATAAAGATGTGCTTATGTTGGTAGTCATTACAAGGAAAATGAAAAAGATAACTCGAATTGCCATCATCTATAAAACATAAAATTTTGAATTTTTTGTTTTCGCCTTTTTGATTTTACTTTCTTTGAAATTTTCAGAATTCTCATTAAAAAATTCTAAGAAAAATTTGTGGTAAGTGTTCTTGATTCAAAACGTGGCTTCGTAGTCTGGCGGTATTAGTCGGCTCCAGGCGACGGCAACACGAAGATGTTCCGATTTGTAAAATGAAATATTATATTTTTGGCTGAATCGGGGGAATTGAACCCGGACAAGGAAGTCTTGTGCTCATAGCTGAACAGAAACAGATTTGAAAGTCTCTTACCTAAAAATCAAGCAATTTATTAAAGTGAAAACATCAAATACAATGAACGCCTTCTGTGTAAACACGACTGACCGGGACACTCGCACTTCAGAAATCTTTAATTAGTTCATTTACCCTTTTTTATTGTCTACAATAGTCTACGAACAGAAGCACGTGCCTCATATTTTAGCAAACCGTTTCAAAAACAATGGGCTAAATTGCGCATTTGAATTGAAATTGAATTTACTTCGGCAATTCGTGTTTTCAATTGTTGCGTATTTCTGCAATCTTTTGCATCGACATAAAGAAGATAAAATCACGTAATACGGAAGAATTAGGGGAATTTTTATGGTGAACTTTGCTTCCTGGCATGCCAATACATGTGGACGTGTTTGGTTAGGAAGCAAAGTCCACATATTGTTCATAAGAAACCCACATATTGCATATCACAGCTTTTATATAAAGGAAGCATTCATACAATCTACAAACAGTGTATGCAGTGTAAACAACATTTATGCTGTCTGGTATTCCTTACTTGTGTTTGTTTATAAATTGTGCGCGGGTACATTTTCTTGTCAGCGATGAATTTAAAGCACAAGAATAGAAGCCTGGTAACTTTTTTTGTATCGTATCTGCCAGTAGTGGTGTGTTATTCACAATATCAGACAAAGCTATCCACATTACAGCGCTCACCTTCGATAATCTTTCTTTTGGAATTTATGCCAGAACAAATGACAACGGCAAGACTGTTTTCATAAAAGCTGTATTAATTCAAAAGCAATGTTAGTTTTAAAAGGACAAATAGACCGTGTTAAAGTAGAGTGTGTACAGTTGCGATGTTTTGTAACAAAATGTTTAGTTATGTAATAATATTTGCAATCATTTATATCTTGATTTGACCGTTAGGTGAACTGATAGTTTAATCCTTTTTTCTATAGAAATTTCGGATTTCATGGACTTGTATGGACGTCTAGACACTTGATTTTGTTCGTGCGCTTGTGGATTTTTGAAAGTTTTTACCATTTAATCGTGGATATGTGGATACATTGGTTGATAAGTGCGCCGAGCTATATGGATACATGGATACATAGGTTGATTCGTGCACCAAGACTCGTGGATACATGGATATATGAATACATTGGTTGATACGTGCATCAAGACACACGGATACATGGATACATTGGTTGATACGTGCATCAAGACACGTGGATACATGGATGCATTGGTTTATTCGTGCGCCAAGATACCTGGATATATGAATACATTGGTTGATACGTGCTCCAAGAAGATTCTAAATTGTTATCTTCATTGATTTATTGCGGGCTGCAAGAATATTCGTCTTTTCCTCCACTTTACCGATCGATTTAGTGTGTGGCATTATGGGATGTATGCATTTTATGTGTGTAAGGACTGGCAACGAGTTACCTCCTGCTGTCAAATTTCATGACTTGAAAGGTCAGTAAGTGCGATTGATAACGTGCATGAGTTTGACATGAAGTGTTCACGCTTTTGACATGTGCAATGCACGTGTTCATGGTAACAGGGCCTTACTTTTACAACATGTGTTTGTTTGCCCGCATCAATAATTTTGAGATTAAATACGTGTCTTTCAACGCTGGCTGCCGGCGTGTCTCCAAAAGTTAATGAAAAAATGCTACCTCCTAGGTTTAAAAATGCTGAAATTGCGACCTCGTGGGTTTTAAAATGCTGAAATTGCTATATTCTAAGTTATGTAATACCGAAATTGCTTCGTTCTAGGTTGTAAAATGGGGAGATTGCTGCCTCATAGGTTATAAAATGCCAACTTATCAATCATGCCGATAAGTTTGATCTTTAATAAATATCTTTTGTAAAAGATTCATCTGGACTATTGCTCTCATATCATGTAAAGAGCCTAATTTCCCAGCGTCACAACATGACATGTACTTGTATTTATAAATAAGATATTACTCATCTGTAACTAAGTCTTTTTCCGTATGTTTTGAACTGTGCGACGAAGTAAAAGCTTCACTATTTAGACTAATCAGATTAATCACCTCTGTGTCGTCTTTTCTTCGTTCCTTTTGTAAGACTTCACATTTATTCCGTCTTGGTGGTATTTTAGATAGTTATTAATTCAAACTCGCTGGTGATAAGGTAATTTTGATGAAATAAGTTCAATTGTCCATATCTATTTACTTTTTTTTCGTATGTTTATTATGCTTCAAGAGCTGGAGTGTCGATCATAACAGAATAAAGTTTAACTATTGCACGTTATATGCCCCTCCTTAATTTTTGTATATTTTGTTTAGGGATTGTGTTTTTTCATATATTTACATGTTCTATGATATACTTACATGTTCCATGATATGCTTACATGTTCCATAATGTACTAATGATTCGCTTCGTTTTCAAGGCAAACTAAAGTTGATAAGCTTGACGATGTTAGTTCTTGCTCCGGGCAATCCACATTTTTTTAATTTATTTTCTCTTATGTGCCATTTTCTTGAATGAAGGGTTTTTTTCTGACAACCTTTACTGCACATGTTGTAAATTTAAGATGAAGTCAAGCGAAATCATTATTGCTGAATAAAACCGCAATTTAAGATTGAGGCTCGTTAAATGTAACTTTTTCTGCTCGTGTCAGCCCTCTTAAGCTTTCAGTCTCCACTTCGTGACGTCAGATCATCATAATTCGACACCAGTTCTACTGATGCCTGTTTTTGATAAAATCTGTAAGTTTTTTTTTATTTTTACACCTTCGTGTGGTGTAAATATCTTTTTATCAGAAATTCTAAATGAATAATTGTAAATTTACTGTCCGAATGCTTGGTTCTTTACATTTCTGGATATGCCTGTTTCAAACGGTGGTATTTTGAATGTGTCGAATGAAATAGCTTGAATAAGTGCATGCGAAATTCGACGTATGAAAGAATTAAATTCGACTGCTTTAATTGAGGTCGACCTTAACTTTAAATTCGACCGGTTTGGTCACATTATGTGACGAAAGTGCGACGTCTTTTCAAACGCTGAATTTTGCATGTGTCGAACACAACTTGGCTCTCGTGTTTCACTCACAACAAAGTCTGGAAGGAGATAAAGCGATGACGTCGTGTAATATCGCATTCGACGCCTGCAAAATTCGACGTTTGAAATGCACAGTGAAATTTTGCTTTTCGGTCGAATTTAAATTGCTTATTGTATTCGACATATGCGAAATTCGACGTTTGAAACAGGCCTAATGCAATTGTCTGCCTCGAAATTGTCTTGAGGTTTACTGTCTTGCGTGCGAAATGCCGCAGCTCTAGAATTTTCAATTTATCAACGCGGTTTTGTGATCTTCAGGAACGACGGAAATTATTAATTGAGGGGGTGGGGGAGGGTAGGGTAATATTCATATGTGCATTCTCTTTATTGAAATCTATCGAAATGAATTGTGGTTAGGGATTATAGCTTACATACAAGTATGTGAAGCTGAGTCTCCCAAATTATCAATCAACCGCCGTCACTGAGGTATGGCAAAAAGGGCATGTAGAAAAACTTTCACGCTTATTCTCTACATTGTCAAAGATATGATCGAAGGAATCAGTTTTTTTTTTGCATGTAAAATTTTTTAACGAATGGAGATGTCATGGGAAAAGTACATTAGAATGCAGCGCGTTGACAGATTCCATTATCTGTTTCAATGTTTTGCAATCTTGCAAATATTTTTTTTTCACTTCACAGTTCACGAGCTTTGCGTCCATTCCTTAATATCAATCTCTCGACGTCTTTTTTTTTAATAACACCGTGTTTTTAATGTCTTCTGTTTCATCACCCCAAGTTTTACATCATACATCGTCACCTTACAAATCGTGCGCGTTTATGGTAAATTTGTCGGAATATTTATGTTGATCCGTTCGAGAATTTAACTGTATGGAAATTATTCGAATCCTGTAAAAAATATTCATAAAATATAATCTATAAATGGTCTTTTTCTATTTGTTTCCCTCTCGTGTTTTTTCTATACGTCTGCACGAAATATAATTCAAGGTGAAAGTTAATTCCAGAAAGAATTTTTTCATTCCTTGATAATTGTCAATTTCAGATAGTGTGCTTTTCTCAATAAGTGACACGATCATATCACTCGTCTTCAGTTAGTCTCTGCAAGAAATGCGCTTCATTTGGCCACTTTGAGCAGTTATCTCTCTTATTCTACTTAGCTTCTATTTACATAAGTAAAGCGTTTTCCTGTTTCTTTATCATTTATGCCCAAGAGTTGTTTACATTTGTAATTTTTGAATCTGTTTTTAGGTTGCTAACACAACACTATCTTGCTAAATGCGACTTCAAACAGCTCAAAAACTACATGGTGTGTGAGGTGTATAAGAATGTTGAATTTTTCCTTTCTGTAGTGTTTGTTGCGTGTCTTAGTTCATCAGTATTTCATCGCTTGTGACGTTGTCATTAAGACATGACTCATTCCTATGTAATCGCGTTTTAAGGATTATTTCATTTTTGTGTTGTTTCACTTTCCTTGATTCGATTAAGACAAGATTGGTTGACAGACATGATGCTTTAAAAAATTTAAAACCCATTTCTTGTTGAAGAATTTTAGTCATAGATTATAAAAAACGTTTCTTCTGGTGAGCTGACTTTCCCATTTCATTGCCACTGACCACATCTTAAATGAACAGGGAACCATGATGCACTAGTGCAATGCTCGAATAATTACCGCCTGGGTATAAAAGGCTAAAACGATGAAGAAAAATCTCCTTTAGTAGCTAGTAACCCGTCTTCAATTAGACTCCACATGTGCTATGCATTAAAAATTTGTTCCAGTTTAAGAGTAACGAGACATGTCTGGAATATACATGTGTTCAAGAATTACAGTATTAAATATCTTTTCATCATTTAAAATGTCACATATGTAGATAATGTGGTGGTTGGGTTATTAGCATAGTTTGCGTTGTGATTGAAAATTTCTCTACATGAATTGTTGATGGCTACTGTTTTCCTCTTTTCTTCTGCCGAGCACTTTTTTGTTTTCTGCTTTCTCCTGAGAAGAAAATGGATTCGATGCATTTCATCTGCCCTATTTTCATCGTTATACAACGAGCAGTTTCTTCTCTTCCCTTGTGCAAATGTAAAATAATAAGACACATCGCCTGTCCTGTAGAATGTCGGAGATAGAGAACATTGTTAACCAACTGCTGCGCTTATGACAATGCTAACTGCTTCACGCCCTTCGTTACTGATAGTTTCTTACAGTGTCGTAGACATTAACTAACAATATGCTTTCGCTTGCAAAAACAACATCACACTAAAACATATGTGTTGTCGCTGGTGGACCCAGGTTAGGTACAAAAAAAAAGCATTAAAATTGTTCATTTTTAATTCAAAATACCATGACGACAACGCTGGTGGTTAGATAAATTAAAAAAAAAAGTATTCAAAACTAAAATATTTACCAACAGATTTGCAGTAAAATATTTTGAATTTGAGATATAATCGTCTTAATGTATTCATGCCTATCCTTGGATCGACTTCAACGTTTAGCACTGGTTTGTTAAAGACCCAAAATTGTCTGCAATAAACGCATAGAAGATTCTATACCTGTTGACTTTTCGACATCATCAACTCGAAGACTATCAACAAAACGTTATTTCGTCCTTTCATAGATAATCCCACTTGGACGTCAAAACGAGTTTATATCTTTAATGGCCTCTGTCTACTGCTATGCATTGAAATTCAGCCCATATTTCATGTATATTATTTTAGGAAATGCTCATTAAAATACTCTGTTCTTATTCGATAGGTGGAAAGGTGTTTTGACTAGACGTATGTGATGTTGGTTCTATTTTGTTTTGTCTAAAGTCATGATGTCTTTTGCAATAATCTGGAGGTGAGTTCTACACTTGTGATGTTACGAAACCGTCCCAAATGTGGCCTTGAGCGATTATTCAACTCGCTACTTGGGCAGGATTAAATCTTAACATTGCAATAAACTATTTTCTTTTGTATGCAAACCAGAAGTAAGACCATTAACTAATTCCTTATCATAATGAGCACTTCTAAATATGGTTATGGGACTTGGTTTGAACTGTATATCATCGATTCCATGTCATCACTTTATGGGCAGAAATTTAAAATTCCACATTATACACGCGGATGAACAAATAGACTGAATCGGTTGTGTCACAATTTTCACATAACTCTTTGGAACATTTTGTTTGCGACTTACCTAAATATATTTTCAAAGCGTAATTTCTAGAACTTTTCCCATCCACAAGTGCCTCTGGTGTACTTTTTTTATATCTTTAAAAAAAATTTTGTAAATTGCCAACAATGTCATCATATTCGTCATATTTGTCACTCGTCAAAGGATCGACATTAATTTGGGAGAAAGGTATTTAGTGTCATGATTTTTACCTGTAATTGTATTTTTGTGCGCGTTTCTACCAATTACAATCGAACAGCCATAAGAAGGAATGTTTTTATAGGAAACACCATTAGTTATTGTTTAGAATATAAAATAGTGAGCTTGCCAAATCTTTGCATACCTGTCCTCTCAATTACGAATAAATGAAGCTATTTAAAACATCTGATGTTACAAAACGCACGAAATGCAGGCACTGTCCGCGTACTCGGGCGGCTTTTTGGGTGTTGGTGCTACGCAAGTTGGCCCGCTTTCAATTTCTTTCAATGTACGAGCCTGTTTTGTATGTACATCCGCTTGTGTTTGTTATAAAATGCACTGTCATCAAATGGCTTTTCTAAGAAGGAAACCCGACAATGCAACAGCCTGCTTATATGAAGGAAATTATGTGTTTTAAAAAAATACTGTTGTAATACGCACTGCAACACTGCGCGCCTAACGTATTTGCAAACTTAACTTGTAGACAACAATGCTGCGTGAATTTTTGTGGTATGCGATGACAAACAGCCATGTGGGAATGCATCGTCTGGATGGGAATACGGCAGCGATGTTTAATACCCTTTAATGACCTCAAAGATGTGACTGCCAAATAACTCTTGCGTTTTCGCTGTTTTATCATAGGGCGGCGATTATAGGGTGTGACTTAGAAACTCACGTGTATTCAAACATTTTCTCATTGGTTTATATGTATTTTGCCACATGTTTTCAATCTTTAACGTTGTTCGTGACAAGATGGAGATTGTTGCATCCATAGATTGAGTAGTTCCCCCCGGGGTGATGCTCGTAATAAGATACTAGGCGATGTAAGCATAACCCATGATTCTTTGCATGTTCTACAAATGCTTGCCAATGTCGTTTATCATTATTGATGGTATTTTCTCAATGCATTGCGCTAAATTCAAAGTATCAAAAACACCGAACAGCGGATTTATGTTTTATTGTCTCAATTTTTCATCAAATTCATTTCGATTTCACTTACTCTGAGTTTGCACAACGGCCTCAGAAAATACATTTCCACGGCTCATATTTGAACGCCAGGTCTTCTAAGTAGGAGACGCTGCACGCTTATTGGGGATTAAAACGCATTATGGGCGTTAACCGCATGGAAATACTGTCTTATATTTTCGCTCGGAATGCGAAGTTTGTTTTATCGAATTGAACGTCCGGATTGCGCCCTAAACCGGACATCAATATGATTTTAAAGTGTTTTACTCCAGTATCCCGTGTTATTAAAACCGCGGTGTTTAAGATGCGAATGTTTCCAATGCAAATGATGGTGATAAACAAGTAATAGCGCCATGTTTTTTTGTGATAAAATTTCGCCGTGATATTTCACACGAGATATTCTAAATGAGATTGCGATCAAAGATTCGTGGAGTCTAACTTTGAACGACATTTTTTTAAATGATCCGCTTGCGTTATTTGTCAAGAACGAACGCTCGCAGAAAGCAGCCTCAATAATTGTTTAACTAAAGTTAAGGTTTGGTCAAGACGCACATCATACTGTAGCAATGGCCACCTTTATTATAAAATAAACAAACAATTTTAGCGTTATTTAATTTCCTTAATTTGAATTCTTCTAGAAAAACTATTTGCATGATATCTAAAACAGTTAGGATAATTGCTTCGACTTAATGACTAGTTCACTAGTTTTGGCATTGATTTGAAGTTCATAGCATAGGCGCGGTTTATGCTAATTTTGGTGCAGCAAGCTAAGGACGTTCCTGTGCGTATCAGTATTCAGCCATTGACTGGCATCATGCCATACACTTATCACAGTGTTGTGTAACTAGACCACTGCGAGATTTTTGATGTCACCTTTATTTTGGGTGCTGTGTGATAGCCATTCGTTGTAAGATCATCCTTGTTAGTATGTAGTGAAGTTGGTTGTGGTGGGCATGTTAACAGCAACGGAGTCTGCTCCAGCTCGGTGTTTAGACTAAGAGATGGCGCGGAAATGAACGACATGAGGTTTTGACTAGTTACTGATGTTGACACCAGTGGCGGTGATTGCGGTGGACTTAGTTGCTGGTAGTTTTTACTCGTTAGTATTTCTTTCGTTTGTTCGCTACTGCTAGTTGATGTGGTTGGAGACAAATCTGCAGTTGGGAATATGGATCCTGTAGTACTTGCTAAATATAACTGTTCAAAGTCGGTACCTTCGATATCAGAATAAGAAATAAGATCGCTCGTTAGATCACCAACGTCGTCAAAATCTAGAACATCATTTGCTTTTTACATCGCCGTCATTGTCACCGACTATTTTTTGGCTAAATGGCGTCTCTAAGTCGTTACCTACAGCTACTCCGCCACTAACCTCCACAGTATCGTCAGGTGAACTGGCTCGCGATGAGTTTGTTGTAGAGAATTCGGAGTCGGTGTTGCTCGGTCGTCTGTCGAAGGTTTCTTCTTCATCATCATCGTTGTCAGATTTTAATACTCGAAGTATGTCCTTCGCTGTTATTGTGCAATCGGTATGTTCCGGGCTTGATTCACCTTTCTGACGTTTTCGTCTCGGTTGGTACTTATAGTCTGGGTAATCATGTTTGTGTTTTAGCCTTAGCCTTTCGGCTTCGTCGATGAAAGGTTTCTTTTCTCGTTCGTCAAGGAGCTTCCACAGTTTCCCAAGAGTTTTGCTCAGCTCGGCATTGTGCAAATTTGGAAATTGGTCGGCAAGTTTGCGCCTTGCTGCCTAGAGGGGAAAAAATAGGATTGCATTTTTTTATTGCCAGGAAGATATTCTTCATAGCTTAGTCACCGCGCTTTGGTGACCATCCCATCTACTAAATATGTATATATGATCATTTCTCCTGTTGTATGTCACACGAATGCTTCGTAAATGTTTCCAAGGGGCGTTTTTACTTGGTAATATGTTTGCAAAAGCCTTGCTTTGAATTTCGTGCGAAATGTGGAAGGAAAGACTCTCGAAGCATAAGAAATTCAATATTTCCTCTTCAAAAGTTATTTAGTGAGGCGGTGCAAATGTTGAAAGCATCGACGTCTGTTTCCGCGGCCTTACAATTCAAGACGACGAGATGCACGAAATGATTTTGCTTTGCTTTTGCTCTCTTTGATAGACAGCGAAATTATTGCTGTACCAAGTTCATTTGAACCTATTCAAATCGCGTGAAGCATCAGCAATTTCTACATGTCAGGCAGTGTCACTAAGGTTGAATTTTTATTCGTTCTTTTGTGCGCTCAAGTGCCTAAGCAAATAGTCTTAAGGATAAGCAAATGTTTGAGAGATATTTGTTGAAATAAGTGAATAAATTTTACATTGTACCAAAGCAAAAGCATGCTTGCCGCGCAAGTTATGTAAATATTTTAAAGAAAACATTGAGTTCATTGGACGTTACACGTGTCCTATTTGATTCTTGTTACCTGTGCGTAAACCATGAAGGCGTTCATAGGTCGCTTCACATGTTGCTTCGTTTTATGACTTCCATTTACTCTGAGCGGTAGCGGTAAGAGACTCCAGTCACAACCCTCGAGTACATTGTTCACTGCCTTGGAGATAGCTGTATTTAAACCAGGCTCGCCTTCTACAGCAAGCGTACCATTTTGAAAGGCTTTATCGTCCATGATTGCTGCTGTAGATCAATTTGATATTCAATGATGTTCCTACCCGACGCTCTTCGTGTTTGCCTCCTCGACTGCTCAATTCACCTCACTTATAGACACATATATAGCTTAACCGCATTACATTCCTGATTATTTAATTGGATATTTTAGTTTCTAAATCACTTCCGTTAGAGCTCAATTTTTAATGAACCAATCACAAGCAGGAATGGCTCATATGACACCTCCAATGTTTACTTATTTTCTTTTTCTTGCTTTAAACACGGTCTCGTTATATCTATATAAACATTTTCTGTGTGCTATTTCCGATAATGCTCGAAATAGATGCGATGTATGGCTTAAGTAACGCGCAATATTTGACCGGTATACGACAATGAGATTTTAATTACTCGGATAGCCATGGGTATTTTGAAGAAAAACGAGCTGGAGCGAACGTAATGAAGTTAAAAGACGGAAATGAAGAGACATAACTACAGAAAATGTCTTTTTCTAATTTTAAAGATGAGAGCTCGCTCGGAAAGCGTGTTAGGGGGAGGGAGATTGGGCATGAGATCACTTCAAAGTAATAATCATCACAGTCAGAATACTCGCGAATGATTCTATCGTACGTACTTTTCCTATTTTATTAACTCCCTGCCGTTAGGGATTATCTCAACTCAACGGGTGACAATTGTATCTGTCAAGTTGAATTACCACGTCACTAAATATCCTCAGACAATTTCATCTAGATATATTCTTATTGCTGGACTTTCCGTCCTCGCGCAATACTGAGCGCAAATTATGCAAATGAATGCGCGATAGCTAAATGAAGGTCTATTGACATCAAACCCGTTTCGTTTATGAATTTTTTTAGTTCAAAAACAGGGATTTTAGCGATATTGTGCGGTGTGTGGGACAGTAAGCGTTATTTATAGCATTAGATATCGATGTTCGTGCCTTGGCGTCATTGCCATGACTTGTCTCGTGAATCTTGACGTTTTCCGCAAACGCTGACCAAATAAAGTGACATGTTCATTGCAACGTTTGGCAAGAGAACATGCAAGTGAGGAGTAGCGTTTTATCTTGCACGCTTACCATGTTGTATTATCACCACAGCATGCAATGTGTTGTTTTTATGTCAATACTGCTGCCGTATCGTTTTTCACTTTATTACAATTATGTTGCACCTTTCTACAGTGCTATACATAATTATTATATAACAGTTATTTCATTGATGTATAATGCTTATGCCATACCAATGTTCTTACGCATATTGTGCTATAATGGCGTTGAAATATTACGCTAACGATGCTCATAATAAATTCAGACGCATTTTGGGAAGGAATGCATGACAATCAGCTTGTTCCTGATTTGTAGTATCAGACTGAATAGCTGTTACATTGTAGAAAGATGAGAATTGAGAACAACGTTATATTGCATTTGATTTAACATTAGGCGACGTCGATGTGGTGAGGCACGCATTATTTAAGTTTGCGTTTGTAATTGTTAACCTATAAAAAAAATGTCCAAATTATATATTATGTAGAATGGTATTTTGTCATTTATGCAATCCCATGAGTTAAACTTAAATTATACGTAAATTTTCATACAATGAACTTCAGCTTGTCCGATAGAATATCATTTTATTATTATTTTTGAATTTGTTTTAAAACATAAGCAGTGTCTTGACACACCGTCCATTCGTCATGAACTGTATTTCAACCAATTTCAACGCGCCAACTGGAAGCATTTTTTTCCTAGTGCTTCAAAAGTTAGAAATAATGTTTGCGTTTTTTTGGTGTGCGTGATTGTTGAACTTAAAAAAATTTCATTTAGAACGCTGTGTGTGGTAAGTTTTTGTGTTCTTAGGTTAAAGAATAACAGCACTTCTACATTAAAGTATAAAGTACAATATAAATAGCATACTTTACTGCTATACCACTGAGAAAAAAACATTTGCCAGTCGTGGTGGTCATGAATCTATGGTTACCGTCATTTCCTGTTTGTTTTGAATGGTTAACAATAGAAATTCACCATGAAGATACAGACCATACGTGCGTCTGCGTGGTGTGGGTAATCATTAAAAAACGCACCGCGTGACTTAGCCTCGCATCTAGTGGATAAATAGTATGATCACGTACGATAATAGGGAGATGTTATTGTGAAGCTCACTTCACGGAAAAGAAATATGGATTTTCTTTTGGTTTTAAAAAAAAATAAAACCGCCTGGAGTGAAAAATATTCCTTACATGTTAATCATAAAGCAAATTAATGTTAACAATGCATTTAGTTTTATCTGTTTGGAAGAGTAGAACTGCACTTGTTGCGTTTAAGGTTGCACGAGTTTAAAAGAATTTACCATGGCAGAGCTTTGATTGAAGGGCGTAGTCAAAATATGTTTAATACTGGCTAAATTTGTCTGCTTAAGTGTTAAGGTTGAAATATATCGTCGCGTCTTTTGATTTGAATGAGGGAAAACGTTTCAATTCTTAATATATTAATATTAAGAATTGAAGATTTTATATTTATTTAGCGCTAGGCCGTTGTTTATACCGATGCGTATTCTCAATTTGAAATTTTATATAAATATTTTGCAGAATTCGAGGTAGTTTATCCTCTTCATAAGAATTCTTGTTAAATCACTTGAATATATTTAGGTATTCGGTTCCACTGCAGGTTCGTCTGAAGCAAAATAGGTTGAATGGCTGCTCCGAATATTCGACGCCGTTTCAAGGGATTTGGGGGTCGAACGAAGTATTTTAGTCTCATTCAATAATTTCAGGATATTATCCAGGGAGCTACAGTCTGCCCAGCCCTCCCGCTTCCGACGGTCCGGCGCTGCTCTTCGTTTTGGTAGGAGAGCGTTTTCTTTTTTAAATACGACTGGCTGAGCAAAAAGAATTTCTTGTCAAGAGGCCAGTGATTGTTTTAAACCATTTTAATTCGACAAAAAGCCATTTAATATTACCTTCTATCAAAAACAATTAGTATCCTTGCTACAAGTTGATGCAGAAGAAATCTACGAACTACTATATTTTTGAATGACGTGTTACGAAATGGCATGGTATTTTGAAAGAGAGCAGAGGATTTAAATTAAAAGCTCGAGTATGTGTAATTCGGTAAATTGATAAAAAACACCTGTTGACGCTTCCCGACAGCTCAATGCATCCAATTTGCACGCAACGTTCAAATTGAAGATGTTGCATCAATACTGTTGTGTTTATCAAGATTGCAGGAAAAGATCATAAAAAAAATTTTACTTCCTTCTCAGTTTTCTTTGAGTTCTTCTTGTTTGTCCAAGTTTAGTTGTTTTTTTTCGTGAAATCAATGTTGACAGTAGCCTCAAGTATTAGTTTGTGTTATGTTATAATTGTTCATCAAAAGATAAAAAGGTACAAGGGATGTAACAACATTATATTGAAGGATCTTAAGGAGATTTTTATCGTATACTACGCCAACATGCATCATTGATCCTTGATCTTTGCATAGAACTCATAAGTCTGCCATGTGGACGTTATCGGTATTGAAAGGCATGGATGATTTTGCATGTTTTTAATATATTTGGGCTAAATTTCAATCGCTTTTATTATTCAAGAGTTGCACCTATCACATTCTGAGCATTTCACGAAATGAAGCGACAAGTAAGAACTGAGACGTTTTGTCGCCGTACACAAGTTGTTTATCAAGGTTCATCAAGACCATGATGTAAATTATTACGAAATATTTGTCTGTCACCTAGAGCGCATTAAATTGTCTTATGGTCTGTAAATTCCTTTAACCTATCAAATGTCATTCGTTCGCTTGATGCGCACATTATGCAAATTGAGGAAGCATTATATAACTGCCTTGCACGCACGAGGCTATTGCACGACATTTAGGCCCGTTTTAAACGTAGCATTTTACATTAGTCGAATACACTAGAAACAAAAGAAAATGAGATAAAATGAATGCATCCGACTCATGTTAAATGCGACGTATAAAACAGGCCTTGAAGTCAACCAAATTTTACTCATGCTCGCTGGCAAAAATACTACGAGAATTATTGACAAGTATTTTACATTTAATTTAAAACTTATGTCAATGTGTCGTGGCTCTTTTTGCAACGTGTTTTTTTTTGTTTAAGCCTTGTCTCCAAGTGCAATACCATATTTGGTTTAAGCTGTATATGCCATTTATATCATTGCTCCATACTTGGATTAGGCCATTGACCTTAACTTAAAATTTATGGACGGGGGGGTGGACCCCAAGTTTCAACTCGTCGTTTTTCCTTCGTGTACACATGGCTTGTGGTTTTTCTGTGCACATCAAAGCGTTGAGTGAAATTGTCCGGCAAGAGCGTTTAACGACATTGCGGTTTCATTTAATTTTCATTCCACGGTTGAATCAACATCTGTTTTTGTTAATCATTTGCCGGTATGCTGGTCTAATCGTTTGCCTCTTCTCTTCATACGATACACAGAACACTAGGACGTCGACATGTTAGCTTTATTGAAAGAACCTTAGTCAAATGCATACGGTTTTATCTTTTTGTTACGTCTATGCTTTTTGTTCAGCGTCATTGACGATTAAGCCTTTTTGCTTGGGGCTTTTTTCGACGTTTTTTTTTCTCGTTTAAAAATAGTTGCTACTCCCATTGTCGTGAGAGTCTGTTGTAAAATGGAATTTCGTAACATTAAGAAAATATGAATATTAAAATATAAAGTATTGTGGGTTTTTTTTTCGACGTCCATCTCTTTCATGAGCGGCTTATCTAGACAGGTGTTGATTGTTGCTTGCGCACTCAATTTCACTTTGTTTTTTCAACCAGGGGCTTAAACTTTTTGATTGAAATTTTCTCGATGTTGATGGGAACCACTGATCTTGACCTTGCTTCACAATCCTGTTTTCTAGCACTGCTATTTGACTGATAAAGCCGGATGCTATGGGTGGCACATGTCCTTATTAAAACTGTTTCATCATAAAAAACAATCTTACTTTCTTTAAACTAATTTTCCTGTCTTCACAGCTTGTATCAAAGGCACGCAACGTTTTACATATGTACGTCCTAACCCCGTTTCTCAGTCGTTCTTGGTGTTTCAATCGTAGGTTGAACGCATATTTGACAGGACGGAGCTCCATCCAAACCACTGAAACAACTCAATTGAGACAACTCGAAGAACTCGGTCGACTATATGAGAGGCAGCCTTTTTTAATGAAAGGTATACAAAATCGTAGGCAAAGATTTACCTGGCGGAAAGCGGATTATAAATGTGACAGCCCAACATAAGACTTTGAATAAAGCCATCACAAGAATAAATTAGAAATAAAATTAAAAGGTTTTTAACAAAGACGTTTCGTCTTTAACTTCAGATAAAATGGTAAAAATTTACACAAGGCTTTAGATATTACACCCACTGATTACACCGTGTAAAAATATATGCTTATATTTAAAGCGTCGTGCAAATTCTTATCATTTTATCTGAAGATGTGTTCAGTTAAAGACGAAACGTCACTATTAAAAAAACTTTTATTTTTATTTCTAAATCATTGTCGTGATGGCTTTTTTTAAAAGTCTTATGTTGGGCTATCATGTTTATACAGATTATACACACTATAATTTAAAATATAATTTATACGCTAGACAGCAGACACTACTATAAATCTTCATTGACCCAGATTAGAATCTACTGTGCTTGTCTATTACTCGTCGCTGTTTTTTAAATACATTTTTTATATTGATATCAAGTGCAGCGCGTTAAACTTTTAAATATCTCATAAATGGCAAACTGGAGCATTGATCTAGACGATCTCCTGGCTGCTTGTGTACATACACTTTCCTACCAGTATTCATGTGTAGCGTTAATATTCAAATATTGTACAATGCTTGAAAAGTTTTTCATTACAAATGTAATGTTACAAAATATCCTCAGATCGCGATAATCGGCTTTAATTAAATAAGGATTAAGATAAGTTTAAAGAGTAGATTTGATATTTAATCTTTGAAAGTATTCGCCGAATTTGTGCTAAACTTTTGAGCTCACATGACAAAAGGAGAAAATGTTTTTAATTCTGTAATTTATATCCTCGTTTTCTTTGTTTATAACCTTTCGTCCTTGTGCTATGTTTAATGAGGCAATTTTTACATCACTATATGAAGGATTTGCTATTAAGTTACCCTTGACCGAACCTTCATATTTCACAAGATACCTTATTTGATAATTATGTTTGGGATATATACATATAAACACGAACAATGTGTTTGAAACAACGTAGAGAGTAACAGCTGAAGATGAAAAGTGTAGTGTATTACATTCGTAGTGATTATGACATTGTGATCTTTTGCGGATTTCAAGGGATTATGTCATGAGCATTTTGCGGATCAATGGTCGGAAGTTGTCGCTACACGATCACCGTGGATCAGAGGGGCTGTGAGGGTTACATGTGAGTTATCCTCGTTGATGGCAAATCGTTATTTTAAAAAATAAGAGATTTTTACTCAGTTTGCACTGGCTTATGCAAGCGAGTACACTTTTCAACACAAACTCAGCCACAGACCAATCATTGTACGCATGAAACAGTTTATATTTCATAAATATACATAAATCTTGTATATCAAGTTAAAATAGAAGTTTTAATGTTTAATTGAACACAATTTCATTTGTATGCATAAAAACTTAAGCAAAACTCCGTTCTACGCGATATAAAAGTGACCACATTAATTTCATCATTCTTATTCTTTACTTCCAAAACTCATTAATTGAGTTGAATTTGTGTTTGAAGCATGGCTAATGCCGTATAATGTTGCCCCACTGGGATGAAAGTTTGTTGGAATTAAGTGTCTTTGCATTTGTGAAAATTTTGTCATTTCATAGCCTGGAAATCCGTGAATAAGGCTTCCAAATGCGTTTTCCCCACTTCGACCATAAACTTGTTCGAGGTATGGGGTACTTGAGGTGATATATGAGTACTCTGGTGATGGTGGTGGGGTATATTTAACACAGTGTCCTCCTCTGGTCTCCATATCCCATATTGTTGACATTATATCATCAAAAATCTCATCAGATGATGATTCGGTTTTCACTACTTTCTTTTGAACGAGATCGTCAATGCTCGCCGCCTTTCGTAACGGCACGTGTTTTGCGGACTGTGGGTCTACATTCGTTTTGAGAAGCAGGTAAAGATCGCGCTCCGAAATCATTTTTTCGTGATCATTGTCTCGTGCTTTGTGCGTTCTTCGTTTTGGTTGAAATTTGTAATCAGGATGGTCAGCTTTATGTTTTTTTCTTAGTCTCTCGGCCTCTTCAATAAAAGGTTGCTTTTCTTTCGTGTTCAATGAACGCCATAGTTTACCCAGGGTCTTACTGAGTTGCGCATAGCTGAGATTTGGGTACTGTTGCGCGACTTTTCGCCTTGCGGCCTGGGCGTAAATCATGAACGCGTTCATTGGACGACGGACATGTGACTTGTCGTTTATCTTGCGCCGAGAGCTTGAAATCTTGCTATTGGAGTCTGGGTCTGGTATTGAGAATATTTTGTTTATGGCATTCTCGATCGTGGCCATGGTCTCAGAACTTTGGCTCTCCTTTATATCACCTGAATAAGAAATGTTTATGTTGAACTAACATTGTTCAATGTCTATTTTATTTCTTTGTTGCCGAATCGAAAATTTTCTTTTAAAATTACAAAATTCTCTGCCGCATACATCTCTACTGGCCATGCAGCACTTAGTTACGCGGTTAAATGACTTTAGGCTAGGATTAGGGATTAGAGTTTTGGGCTAGGGTTAGCATACGGATTAGGATCGAATTTTTCATTTGATTTCGTAACGAGATAACTTTGAAACAGTTTAAACATACAAATTGTTCAAGATTTAATCAATTCTTCAATTGAGTAAAGCCTGCCTTTATGTCGAAGTCATTTCATTGCCGGACATTACAAGGCTGTTATTAATTTTTATTACTCTCTTCTTTGTCTTTGCTTGTGCGTGCATAAGATTATTTCAAAGAGAACTAAATATATCTATAAATAGCATGTATAATTTTACATCAAACAATGATTATGTATTCCGCATAAATTACATCGAAGAGAAATTATTCAAGAGAGAGTCTTTTGAAGTATTTGGGTATCTTTAAATCAGAACAAATCTTGTCATCTCTACATGAGAGTTTGCTTGATTCACACCAAAGGAAAGTTTATCTTTTTTGAATCTTTTTAGTGATGTTTTGTCCATTTGACAAAGGTCAATATCGATAGTCTTAATTACTCAGACGAGCTCACGAAATATCCTTCCTACCGAGAGGTGTGAACTCAAAGATTGGTAGATTTTAGCTTCACTCTAGCAATTCACTAAAAATGCCGTAATTCTACCCATCCGCCAATGAAAAGCTTCAATAACATGAGGCATATACAATGGAGGCAAAACAATATGCCACCCAAGCATAATGCATGCAAATTCTTTTATCATTCTTATAATGTTTTCGTCGTGATTTGCCCAGAAGTTTATAGGCATTTAAAAACGTTCTGCAAGCACATGTAGTTTCGATTGTAAACATTGTATAAACGAGCTCGGAAACAAGCACTGTTATGGAGTCGGTTGCTCCTATTAGCTCCGCCTACTGAAGAGTTTAATTGTCAAATTTTAGTGAGTAAATACGTTCTTGGTACTACGCAGCTTTATATTTAGTCTTGACAAGCATCTTCATTGCCTTTTAAAAGGTTACATTTCATAAAGCTGTAGTTATTCGTATTTCATTTGTCCTTTGCAGCGACAACGACCATTTCGCTGCACTGCATTAATTAAATATTTACAAATTAGCTGCTAAAATTAGTTAAGATTTACAAACCTTGACCTTGAGGTAAACTGTTTTGTTTCCCTGGAACCATCTTCGAGAGAACACAAGATACGATTTTTACCAATCAATTTAGGGGGTTGGATAGTGTAAGATGTGAGGCGTTCGCCGGTGTGATGATTGATTTGCTCAAATGTAGTTTCATATATCTTAACTCTTCAATACATTTCCGGAGGAATCTGATTTTTAGTTGAGGTTCACCAGAGGAAATTGAACTTCGATTGTATACGTCAACGTGACGTCATGGCTGGCTTGCTTGTACAAAACATGTTGATGAAAATATCTATCAACCTTCTTGCAAAGTTGGTTAGAAAATGAAATTAAAGCCTGTGTTTGAACTGTGCATGTCATGAATTTTCAAAATAATAAATCAAGAAATCCTTCCAGTTTGAGTAGAGACATATAATTTTTGTAATCCACTTGAAATTGGCAAGTCTTTTTAATAGCTAATTTATTAATTTATAAAATAACTCTGGGAGGCAGGATATTGTTGATTATGTCAACGCCAACTTCGGAGCATAATATCCTGATACAAAAATTATCATTTACGTAATCAAAAAAAAAGCAGAGAGATAATAAGCAAACAGATTTGATAATCTTGTGAAGTGTTATGGGTGCTGTTTATTTGTAGCAATAATGACTGGTTTTCGTGTTTACCGAGCCATCACTTTTGTGAACTACATGGTGCTGATACGAAACGATTTTATGATATGCCTTTCCTCACAGAACCAACGCACAAATGACACAGCTTGCCCACGTATTTGTTGTTTACTGTTTTTAGTTACCTGGCATGATTTTGAATCGTTTTATGATAGATCAAGTAATTAACAGATTCATGTAAGAAAACAGCTACATTCGTATTCCGGTTTTAAAGCACGTAGACTGACGTCTCTGTTTTTCACAATCTCTCAACTTTTAAGTCAAGTGGTTTAAAATACTTTCGCACAGTTTTCGACAAGGACTTTCGCCTCCACATCTTTGCCTGGCATCTGTACGTTTTTGCTGCAATTTCCCCTGCGTTGTGTTTGGAAACAAAAATTCTGTCCCAAATTTAGAACATGCAAGAACTTAAGTTTGTGCTTCGAACATTTGAATTCGTATTTTAACCAAGTAAAATGAATATGAATCTTTTTTATAAATATTTTATGACAAGCCGCTCTGTTATATTGTGCGTGTTACGAAAGATTTATGGACCTGTCAAGTTCTCAAGTTGATAACAACAATGCATTTTGTTGGAGATAATGTGAACTTGCATTGACATGTAATAATTAAGAATAAAACTCACCCTACGACAGATAAGACACGACATTTTCACTTCAAAATACTTCAAGTAAAAAGTTTTATCTCGTCTGCAGCTTGTGTTTTTTTTTATCTATGTTGCCCCTCTTGTCGTGTCATGGATTATCATGCTGCATTAAAATAACTTTTATTTCCAGATATATTGTGATAATTGACTTCTCTATGATCATCATTCAACGGATGGTATTTAGTACAAACCTCGCACGTTTATATGAATCTAAATATTGATTCACACTGCCCAAGGCATCCGCTATTAAAAATCTGAAGCTATTTTTGTTTAAACTATGAGTCAGCACAATTTCCCCTTTCTTTATTTCGTTGCCCTCAGACTTTGTTCTGCTTGTCTCACAGTATTTTAAAGTTAGTCAACAAACCAAGCCCTTTGTTTGAAAGCGGTAAACACCGAATGGTCGAATATATGTGTGTTTGTTCCCTGACGGATTCCCAAATCAACTACCATTCACATGTAAATTACGATATTTTTAACGAAATGTCAAGCAAATGTCGTTTTTCGATGTTCTTCTTGCTTTTCCGCCGTTAATTAATCTATATTTGTTGACTTTGTATTAAAACAACTATTCTTACATCTTAATTCATGTAAGTCAATGTAAATGTAAACGTAAGTTTCAAAGTTTATTTGATATACCTGGAACATATCAGTGAATTTCTTTGTTTAGGATTTGGAGTACGTACCACGTGATTGATGGCGTGTCGAGTATGTACCACGTGACTGATGGCCGTGTGGAGTACGTACCACGTGATTGATGGCGTGTCGAGTATGTACCACGTGACTGATGGCCGTGTCAAGTACGTACCACGTGATTGATGGCCGTGTCGAGTGTACCACGTGACTGACGTTTCTCTGGAAGAGATCAGCAAGAGACATACTGGAGATTGTAAGTTCTCTTTTAGATTGGTTTTTTTTGTTTGATAAAATTCGGAAGGCTTTCTCACGAAAGATGATTTTCAGGACAGTCCAAACAGAATACTCTACATTTCAAAACTAACTTCATATACTGCAAAAATTAATTTTGAATGCAAAATCGAGTTCCAATATTGCCCGATAGCTTACTCACCTAGCTTGTTTTAGTCATAATTTATTCTACATCTACTAGTTAAGAAATAAAAGATTTTTACAGCGTTTGTATTGTACGGGCTTATGCAAACCGGAAAGATGGTAGGGAGAACTTGAAAACAGATCAGTGCAAGTCTGTGGTGTCTATCACATATTTCAATCTAAAGTCTTTATCCTTAAAGATGTTAAGGCTTAAGAGGTGCAGCCTGTGTATATTAAGGGTATATTATGTCTTGGATGCCTCATTTACCATACAGAAAGACATCAATCCATGTATATCTCGCACAATCCATATACTTCCCACACATTCCATTTTAATCTACATAACGTTTAGTGATTTGTGTGCTCGACATTATAACAAAAGTATCTTTATAAAATAAACATGTATACCAATGCTGCTTACATTTGTTTACCTAAACATAGTTTAAAATGTAATGCCCTTTATCAACATCAATAATTTCATGTAACTGAAGTTGACCGTCACTTAGTGTTCTTAAAATGTCTTGAAACTGTCTACAGTGTTATTTTTTGTATTTTATATATTTTATTCGGAAAGATTTATTTGACATTAATGCCTGTCAATATTTAACATGAATTGTGCGTTAAACTTCATGACATTTAACATGATTTGGACCACGTTTTGCCTCCAAACATAAATAAATTGTTCTATAATATGTCTGCTATTTCAATTAATCAAATATATAAAGCATCTTTGCTATTTCATTATTTGATGTGCTTTATGATGAGACAATTCACAATTTTATGTAATCATAACTTGCTACGGTTATACAATTGTTATCTTCGCCAGTTAATATTTTTCTTGGTGATATATATATTTATTTATTAAACGTGGCGCATTCATTGTTTTCGGTAACTTTGTGAGTCAGTAAGTGATTACCAACCACCGTTTTTCACAGCAATTTAAATTTTTTCTTATTTGCATTTTCGTTTATTGTTATGCTCTGAAGGCTATAAATACGATTTCATCGTTCATTTTCTTTCGTAAAACATGTTTTTGTTGTAGTTCTTTCATGATTTCTCGTGTATATATAAGAGCGAAATGACGTTTTTGTTCGATTGTTGCTAAAATATTTCTTCTGAAATGCATTTTCGTTAATGGCGTGGCATCATGAAAGATTACGTCTTCCTTTGCGTGGTTCTTAGTTGCGTCAGTGATAATTGTTACTGCTGCTTTCGTGGTGACCATTGGTCCTGCCCTTCTTATTATCATGGCCACCAACCAACCAAACGCTTCGTCTTTCAATTAGGCTTCCTGGCTGTGAGTCACGAATATTCGTCGCCTCCGTTCTGCATGGTAAACACAGCACGCTATAAGGTGAGCGATGATTAATTGAATGAGTTGATATCTCAACAAAGTTTTCTTAGAGTAAGTCTGTACAAAGGAATTGTTATTCTTGAGCTCACTTAATAACCTCTTTATGCGAAGCGATGGGTAGTAAGACTGCGGCCACGCTCGACTTTGATAACGAACATCACCAGAATAAAGAAAGAAATGGCAAACCTTCTTCAAGTCACGCGTCGGAAGAAGACCAGAGCGAGCTGGGCATGGCTGTCGCTAAAGCTGTTACTCAAGTTCTTGAAAGCTCGGACTGGCGAGCTCTCTCCTTCCCTTTACAGGCAAACGCTGCAAAGCAATCTAAAGCAAAGAATGCTGTTAAAAGACCTATGAATCCTTTCATGCTTTACGCGCAAGCAGCGAGGAAGAAGTTATCAAACCTTTATCCAGATTTGAGCTATGCAAAATTAAGCAAGACCTTAGGTAGAATTTGGAAATCGTTGGATCAGGTTGAAAAACAACCGTTTATTGATGAAGCAGAAAGACTAAGACAAAAGCACAAGATCGATCATCCAGACTACAAATTCCAACCGAAACGACGCGAGAAGAAACGCAATCATTCGCCGGACTGTCGAAACTCTTATCACACGGCAAATAAAGTAAGCACAAGTGACGTTTTAAAAGCTTTAAGCTCAGGAAACCCAAAACATCAACAGGATCTCCAGAGTCATTGGGCACACACTATACAAAGTGGTATACCATCTCGTCCAAGCACTTTACAGCCTACAGACCCAATGCCTTCTCACAAATCATCATCGCCACCATGTTATGATGAACGACACTCTCCTACTTCTGTACAATCTAAAATCAGAGGAAACTCGTCATCTTACAGCCATCATAACGCGTCTCGTCATCCTGCTACTACAACAAGCGATCTAACGCCATTTAGTCCTCGTTATCTAGCCCCACCGCCTCCCTTACATCGTTCTAGTACTGCTAGCCTATTCTCGCCAACTGCATATCGAATGCCAAAAAGTCAGGTGCTGAATCAGCCACCTTATCAAGATGTGCATGGGTTTCAAGCTCCCCACCCTATGCAAAACTACCCCAGTGATTTATCGTTGGCTATTGGTAACTCGTTTCTGAAATGTTCACCTCAGCTTATTCGTCCTCCTCACTTAAATCCTCATAATGGAGATCTCGACGGATCTGGTAATCTATTGACCGGTGTGAATCAGATTTTAAGAGACATGTTTGGAAATGAAAAGAACAGTGTTATGTAAATAAAGATTTGTCATTCAGTTTTAACAACAAAGAACTTTCATTCGTTGACAAGTCGCATGAGACATAGAACGAGCGAGTTGCAAACGATATGGTCGCCCTTTTTTAGCTGCTTGACGAAAAATACTCCATTTTCAGCTTTTACAGAAGTTACATGAATTTGCTTTTATTAGGATGAGGACAACACATTTTTAAATTTTCTTCATTACAATCATTGAACGTAGACACTGTCGTCTAATTTTTAAATGAATTAGGTAATATTGAATATTGGCTTTAAGGAATGATAATTGACAAGTTTGAATAAGATTCAATTCCAAAATCAACAGTATATTTCATTCGTTTCCTTTCAAATTTTTTCACTTATTTCAAAATACATCGTATTTAAATTTCATAATTTTTCCACTTATTTGAAAATACATCGTATTTAAGTTTCTTAATATGTTTTAAGGTTGTAAATAGGCTTTGACACATTTGATTTGAAATTTTCATTGGATGTTTAGTTGATTGTGTTTCCCAGTGTATTTTAATTGTATACAAGCACTTGAAGTTAATCAAATAATATTGTATTAAGATGACATATTTGCTGTCGAACTGAAATCATTCCAACAACATGTTTGATAATCATGAGACGGCCATTTCCGAAATCATCGACGCGACGTTTAAAAAAAACACAAGCAACCTTCAAGAATATTACTAATTATGACATCAAGGATAAACATTATGTCGTAAAGTTATTAATCATCGGTATTTTCAACACAGCACGTTAACCTGGAGATGGGTGCGTGATTTTTTAGTATGAAACGTGAGAGTTGAAAAAATGTTGAAACCCTCAGTTGAAAGAATCAATTACAGTCATTGAAATTTTCCTCAGATATTATAAACCACAGAAATTTGTTGTTGATGCCTATTACGTCTTTAAGTCATTTCTTCTGTTCAAAGTCATTCGGCTCGAACGAATTGCCACGTAAAAAAACATACCCTGGAGTCATTCCTGAGAGATACTTGATTTAGTAAGTGTTTGCGTCACCCGTAGTCATCCTATCACACTCCATTCTATATAGACCAGTTGAACATCTGCAACAGGGGGGTGTGATGGCCGAAGTCGTCGAATCATCATACTATATCATAAACCTTTGGAATAACTCCCTGGTCGATGTTGAGCTTGTATAAGTTGTGGAAGTTAAATAATAATGATGTTGAGATTTTGGAATTGATAAAAGTTATTTTCAATTTGGCAGTTTGTGTAAATTACGACAGACTTACTTTACAGAAAAGTTAAGACTCGTCAATGCAGTTTTTCACCCCACACGTGACTGTCAACACAGCTCGCTTGTCTTCAGATTTAAGTAAATAGAAGTTTTGTTGTCGATATGTAGGAGGCTTGGTTTGTTCTCAAAGTAATTATATAAGAAAAGCAATTTTGTACTTGAGATAAAATGATTAATATGACAGGAACTCAAGGCCTACAATGTTTTTACTTCGAGACTTACTCCTGATTGGCTGTTTGCCTACATGTAATTGCAGGTATTAGCAGCTAATGTAAGTATGTTGTGCGGGGTCAAAATAGAATTAATACTTGTTTGTTGGAAAGTTGCAAGATAGAGGGAAAAGTCTTATTTTGAAATTTATAAATCGTTAGGCGTGCATCTAAAAACACATCGTTTGTTGCGTTGTGTTATTTGAGTAGATATAAAGATAACATATACATGTTGGTTGTTTTCAGAAAGGCTTTCTGAGACTGTATTGTAATCTTTTACAGTCAAAACATTTCCCAAAAATCAGACAACAGATTTGAGGGAAAAAGCTCAAATATTTTTCGAAAATAGGCATCAGTTTCCTTGTACGTGCGAGGGAGTCGTGGTCTATGTTTGTCCATCTAAGTTTTCTTTATTCAACGGGAAATCGTCCGAAATTATTTTGTGTTAAACAATACGGTTAGACTGATCTTCGAAAATCCAAATCCAACACCGAAGAAGCACTAAAACTCAATTCCTCATAAAGAACTGGTGTCAACTAGTCTTGGAGAGCTAATCATTTGTCGGTTTCATAATTAAGTACTGCGATTGATGAGGCGACTCAAGTGGCATCAACCGAACTCATAGGAATGGCGACTTTTGAATCGAATTTACAAACCAGCTCTGAGTTGAATGACGTTATTTCGAAGACCGTGATTCATGTTATGAAAGAATCGTCAGAACTGACCAACGACTTATCGAACTCGAAAAAACGCCGAAAACCAAACGAGAATGAAGTTCGTAGACCAATGAACGCCTTCATGGTTTATGCACAAATCGCAAGAAAGAAAGTCGCTGGAAAATATCCTAATTTAAGCTACCGCAAGCTGAGTAAAACACTTGGTGAATTGTGGAGGATGCTTGGAGATGAAGAACGAAAACCTTTCGTTGAAGAGGCTGAGCGTTTGAGACGTGAACACAAGCAAGCTCATCCTACGTACAAGTTTAAACCAATGAGAAAGAAAAAACAAGGCAACGCATCTCAATTCACTGTCTTTCCTTCAAATGAACCACCTAACGAGCATTTCAATCACTTACAACCATCACAGGAAAGATATTCAATTACGAATGAAGATAATGCCCTTACTACTGGTCATCTATTTAATCAACCTTTCAACCATGCAGGAAGTCTAGTTAACCATTGCACAGTTTCCAACAACTGGCCATTTCCACCACAAAATTTCCACCGCGGTACACCTGTTTTTCAAAATGGTACGCAAAATTTTCCGTTCAACGTGAGAAAGGATGACAGTGCTTACGCCTGTTCTCAAGATGGGCAAAGCCCTTACATGAAGTTTCAAGATGCCCAACATTCAACATCGGCCATTACCCAAAGAAAGTACTCAAAGCAATGAAACTTTCGCTCAAGAAACTTCTAACGAACTAAACAGTTCGCTGTTTCGTTATAATTTTCCAGCATCTTTTCCTTTGGAGAGTGGTATAATGTATAGCGAGCAGTACTTTCCTTCAAGAAACAATTGTTCGTTCTCTTTTTCACAACCTAGTTCTGCCCATCATATACCACAACCGAACGACAACGCTTACAATAGAGACTTTCTCAATAGCTCTAATTACAGGACGAGCGAGGATCATTGTATTGAACCCATTTCTGATATTATCAAACAAATTTGAAGGGAAAACGATTTATAGCAACCTGACTGTGTCATAAATAGATTACTCTCCTCGTATCACTTGTATGTATTTACAATTATAAAACCCAAATCTTTTATTGTTAAAGTACAAACATACTAGCTATGTATATTATACCGTTTAGTAAATATTGATATTGTCATTTTACACAGATTATTGATTTCCTATTGATCAAGTAGAAAAGTCATATTGGAGGAGCCACTTTGACTGCAATGTGAACGTGTTTCGACACATTTTTGCGTAACCGTTGAGATGGTTTTAACAATTTACATGTTTATTGAAGTATTTGATAATATAATTTGAAATCGTTTCATATATGAAAATGAAAAAATGTTCTTTTAAGCGATTTGATTATTATTTAAAATTGGAATTGAATCTAATCACCTAAGATAGAACTTTTAAAAATGATCATGGGTGAAATTTTATGGAATGTAGCGTTTCGCCTTCAGCTTTAGATTACAACAAAAGTTTTATAAAGTTCTATCGTATTTATATGAAAAATATGAACAAGCTATTATTTATACGAGTGTCGATAGAGCCGAAATATATGCCGAGCTCTCAAGCGAATTTATAGTTTGGACATGTACCAATGTACAAAGATTTAATAAGTACATTTAACATTCATTGATCATAGCAGGGATTAAACTAAGTTTAACTTTTGTTTTTTTTAAAAAGAACAAGGACTATTTTATCATAGCAGTTGTAGTACAAAGACATTTAAAGCAATCCTTTGTTCATTTTTTTCCATCATTTCGTAATAATCACAGTATGGTTGCTTCCTCGCGATAAAAACATACTTTGATGACAGTTATTTGTCGTGAAGGATGTATTTTTGATCAATAGTTATTTTCACATTATTATAGGTAATTGTTTAGTAACATCAGATGGTTTGTTAAGTGTGTTAAAAGTCGTCGTTGGTATGTTAATTTGTTAAATCTGTGTCATCGAGAAAGCTTCTTAAATTTGAATAAAATGCTTTAGTTAGTCAACAATTACATTGCTTGATAGCATTTCGGATTTTTTTTTGTCAGCATGTGTGATATAGTTGTATTCAAAATATCAAAATACCTTTAAACTAATCCGCTCTTGTTTGTACGAAATGTTTTTGTTGCCAAAATACTCGCGTTGCTCATGCGAAAGTTCTTCACTTTGTCAAATCTTATTTTGTTTGGACGGTGTGGAACTTAAATTCTAAATTTCTTTTTCAAAATAAAGGCTTCTCAAATAACAGTCAGGCGTTAGCAGGTCACTTAAAACACGTCTGAAAGAACCATATCGTCCATGTAAAATAATCTTTTAACTGCTTTGAGACAACTCTCGAAATATAAACACAAGTTGAGGTATACAACTTTCGACTTTGAAGCAAGATTTAAAACAGTTGTTATTGAAAAGAACTTCTCTCGCTCTTATAAATCGTATATATTTCTATGTTAAGTAACTTGAATTACATATTTTCACCCAAATGCCAAGCAGTCAAAATGTACCAAAAGATTATATTCATAATAAAGTGTAGTTGAAAAATATCAATTTAATTTAGCTATTTTAGCTGAAATAGTGGTACAAAAACATTATCTGGCGATGTATTATTTCACCTTATCATCATTGTGATGCTTTACTTTATAAAGTTGAGTAAAATAATAATGATAAAAATAGTGAAATCTCGATAAAGAGAATTCAGTTTACTTTACCATATAATATAATTGGACCAAGTCCCGTTTTTACATATAGGTTTCTAACTTAATTGTTGATCTCTACTAAGGCCTGATGAGGCAGTGTATACTTTCTTAATTTTTCTCACATTTATACATTCCGAATACAAACTTTTCAATGTGTTTATTATTATCGTGAATAGATTTTTTGGATTTTATTATAAATAAGAATTGTTACAAAGGACAAGGAAATTTCTATTTACATAAATATGCTTTCTTTCACAATATAAAAAGAATATATTTGCTACTCAATAATTGAAGTTGAAAGAGCATGACTGTGGTATATTTCTAGTATAGTCAAGTCAACTGTTTCCTTTCGACATAAATATTGATATTGACCATGAGAAGATGAAGTTTGTGTCAGCGTAATTATGCATTTACAAACGTTCTCTTTTTTATGTCTTTCATTTTTAATGCAATTAAATTTTCTGGAGTGAAACCAATAAATGCATAAAATGTGTTTCAATCGGAAACAATCGCTAAGGTTTGCATTGACTCAATTCTTGAATAAAAAACGTTGAAAAATTGTTCACTCTATAGCTTCTACACTTTAAGAACTAATTTTTCAAAAGTTTATAATAAAATTGAAACTGAGCATTCTTTTAATATTCAAGACACACATCACAATGTTTTGCAATAGATCCACTTTACTATAATCGCAACAAGTTTTGCATTAAAATTTGTCTTTCATGTGCTGCTGTATCGAATTGTTTCGTTATTATCAATAAAACCGTTTTTCACATTTATGTTTGCTATATATTTTCCACACATTGTTATTAAGGTTTCTGCAGTCCTGTGTCTGCTTCATGAGAATTTAACTAACGATCGAAATTGTTATACTCGTAAAAAGAACTCTCTTCTTGATGCTCCACTTGAGGAGACTGGTACGAGTCTATCAACATTTGTTGAATAAGATGTCTGTGGTTGTTCGCCTTCAAACAAACCACTCGTAGCTTTTTGAAACATACTGCCTGGGAAATATGCCAATCCCTTAGGAAAGTCTGGTCTTACCACTCCAGACAATGGTCTTTGTAGAAGGTTGTATTGGTTTATCAACCGGGGGGTGGTATCTCGTACGCTACCAGTACTGGTCATGTTGGAAATTAGATTCTTCCTTGAATCCTCATAACGACCACGTGGCTGTGATGGTTCACCCAGAACATTAGCAAACAGCCTTGTGTTGTCTAGATTGTCGGTTGCGCTGAGATATTGACTTATTCCAGGTGGGGTGGAAAAGTCAGGAATGGAGCAATAGGCTTCTTGTTTCATTGGCAGAACCCCCCCGGACGTGTAATGCCAAGATGGTGCGGCATAATGGGAATCGTGGGTTGAATTCATTCGTAAAGTTTCGCCTATCTTTCGGGACATGTCGTTTTTCAATGCTGGATTTCTTATCTGAATGTGACTTTCCTCGCTCTCTCCGCGCGGCTTTTTAGCTTTCTTTTTCGGTTGGTATTTGTAGTCTGGATGCTCAGAACGATGTTTTCGCCTAAGTCTCTCAGCTTCCTCTATAAATGGCTGCTTTTCCTTATCATCTAACATTTTCCACAATTGTCCAAGAATCTTGCTCAGCTTTCTGTAACTTAAGTTCGGATACTGAAGAGCGAGCTCTTTGCGAGCTGCGCGTGCGTACACCATGAAGGCGTTCATAGGGCGTTTAACATGATCTGTACCTTGCTCTCGCGAGAAACTGCTGCCTTCGGAATTGGCATGTTGCAGGCTCAGGTCCGTCTTTTCGATGACTTGATTCACCGTCTTCGATATGGCTTCGTGGAGTTTTGTGTTCGTTACTATTAAATCTGGTTGACTTAAAGATATTCCTTGTTTCATATCCATTTCGTTGTTTTTATTTTAGTTTCTTCGCTTCTCACTTTGGTCAGGCTTGATTTTTAACTTTTCTCGAGCAGCGTTGTACAATGAGCAGCCAAAACGTTGTGTTACGTACAAAGGGATCAGTTTTAAGCAAATGTCGTTTTACTAACAGCAATCAGAAACGGTGACCTTTCTTTAGTCTTCGTTGATTGATGATATTAGGATTGATTTGCTCGATCATAAAACGCACGAATCTTATTTAGTCCGGAAATTCTTTCTTTTATGATACACACTCTTTTTGCATTTGATTACAGGGAGGCGTTTTATTGGTTCAAATGTCGGAAACAGTAAGCACCAAGGAAGGCAGTGTAAGAACCCACGAGACTTCGCCTAAAAATACTTGAGGACTTTGTTGTTAACGTAATATGTGAATATTCCACTCGATTTTATGTCTTTCTTTCCGTTCAACTGCAATTTTCTTCACAAGTTTTTACATTTTCATTCATTCACAATTCGACATAGGTAGAATAATTTAATTGCTCAGTCTTCAACTGTGATATTCTTTTTCTTCTTGTCAATTATCAAAATATTTATTCAAAATGTTGCTATATCTACAATACGTTTCGTCTATCACATCTCGTGTGTTTCGTTCTTTGTGCTTGCTTTTAAACGCACAACAATTTTAATAACTGTTTAATAATAACGACATGACGTCTTTTTTTAAATGAATAAAATCTTTCAAATATTTGCGCGTGTGGTTGCAAAAGAACGATCCAGAATCAAAAGCTTTGCGATAAAATCATAAGCAGTATACATCCAAATGTTTTCTTTCATAATTTCAGCGTGTAGTTTATTGCTGTTCAAAGTAACAAACTTGAAGACAAATTTAAAGGTCAAACAAAGGCAAAATAAAATGATGATCACACAAAATAGAATATGACTTTGTTTTCTTTATCAACCTAATGTGGATGGGATGACGCAATTTATAAAGATCCTTCTTTTAATGCATCTTGAAGCCTTCTTGTCCTTTCCGTTGTTCCTTGGTGATGATTTTCTCGACAATTATTATGTTAAAGACGCACTATGTCAATATCATGAGTGAACATCCACTGATATTCCTACTAAATAAGTTGATCCAATATTTTAGGATCCTGTGGAATTTTTTACCTGATGAAAATTGAGTGTTGTAGTCAGCTCTTCTGATTTCTTGCTGTTTTAAACATGGCTATATGGATGCGCAAATGCTCACTCAAAAAAAGTGCTTGAAGTTTGTGATGAAACAGGTTTTTGTTGAAGAAAGAACAAGAGTAATTAGAAAGAGATGTAAAGCGATCGATCACAGTGGAAGTGTAATAGTTATTTTTTTCAACCTTATATAAAGGTGTAATCAATCATTCTCACGAGTCTTTGAAATGACAACAAAGAAGAAATGTTACTGCCCCTCCTTACTGATAAACACTTAAACACGACATCTTTTCTCGGTTCTATTTTTTTGCACTCTCAATTATCAATTTTGAAAGAAGTTATTTGAGGACGGCCGTGCATGCCTCGTTTTCGTCTGTATTAGTATTGACTTTACTAAGACCGTCTTTAAGATGCTATACTGTCTGAGAAAAAATTCTGTATATTTTTCCTTCATTATTGGACACACGATTGCTCAATTCAAACATGAATTACACAAAATAAAGTAGATTTATTGTATCGGACATGATCGCTTTGATGATTTTTATGAATTTGACGTGCTGCTCTTTATTATTACAGTCCATCATCAAATACACGTCACCTATCAGTGAATATCCACTAGCAATCCATTTTGTACACCTATCAATCTTGTTATCCTCAAATATCAGCTGATAAAGTAAATTGCGGTTTGAACTCGGGAGTACAAGAGTATCATTACATGTTTGTGGATGTAGATCGTCCAGGTTAGTGAAGTCCTGAGAAGGACTATTGTTATTTTTGACTCTGATGTTTCCACAATCTTAGCGTTAGTTATCTTCTGAGTCAAATGAGGAGTAAACGTGCAGTCAACAAATACAGCGATAATGATAAATACAGGTTGTCGAAACGTCAGTCAATATCAACACTATAACAGTCCTTCTCAGGACTATACTAACCTGAACGATCTACATCAACAAACATACAATCAAGTGATACTTGTTTTCAATCCTGATTATCCTTTTTCTGTGCCTGGTAATAACTTATTCTAACTTATTCTTTGCTACCATTATTTTAATTATTTTATCTTAATTTACTCTCTGCTCTCTTACACCTGCTCAATGACGGTATATAGGTATCTTGTAAAGGATACCATAGGTGATATTTAAGGATACTCAGGTGAAATGCAAGGGTAATGCAGGTGATATAAAGGGATACCAATGGTGATATGTAAGGTTACCACAGGTGATACGTAAAGATACAACAGGTGATTTGTAGGATACCTCAGGTGATATTGAAGGATGCTGCAGATGTGGTAATATTTACATGAATCCTTTCTTGTTGTAATGAAAACGTTATTCATAAACGATCACAAGGCAAAACACTGTCACTTTTCGATTGATTTATGAATAGAAAAGGCTGTATAGTAAGAGTACCAATTACATTTAATTAGTTTGAATTATAAAACGTGGGACAGCGTAGGCGATTTAGGAATTGCGCGGGTTGAGTAAAAAACTTTTATACTTTTGGCATAAACAATTTTTTGTGCCATCTTCACGATTTTTTTTATGTTACTAGTTTCTGCTTACGATTTTCTGATTTAAGTGTATAAAGCTTTTCTTTTAGACACAAATTGCATCTCTTGTATCTTTTGCTTATGAAATAGAGCGTATCTCGTTGAAATGCTTCAAAACATCCACTTCAGAGTGGAAATTCAAAGAATGCTACTGCAAAACAGTTGTTGACAAAAGTCAAAAAGGAAAGGAGAAACATATTCGAGTCTTGTTGAGTATCGAAATAAGTCGACATACATGTTAGCAAAGTACCATTGGGTTAGTGGTAATCTTCCTATTTGTTGAAATGGGGATTTTCCTTCACAATAACGGATGAATTGTCCATCCATGCTATAGATCAGTTACAACTGCAAGTTGTTGATCTTGATTTGCGGTTAAATAAAAGTAGAGAGGTCTTTAATACGTTGTTTCTCGGCCATTGTAAGCTTTCAAATACACGCATCGATGAAAAAAATCCATGTGAATAATAAAGGAACAAACGCTGATAACAAAGAACTATTAAAACTACTAACTGTTGAAAGGCAGGCTAGTTAAGAAGAAATCGAATGCATATCACAGAAAAATTCAAAATTGAAGATGGCAACTCAAAATTTCAACAATTCTCACTACGACAACTTTACCGACTTTATCAATGATATCCACTGATAGTGAAGAACAGTGGTCAAATAACACATGTGGCTACCAATGGCAGCAAGATGGTGGTTAAATGTGACATTTGTGAATGGAATTATTGAATGGAGACTTTATCTTGTCAGCTCACGAAATTTTCAAATTTCATATAGAAAAATAATGTACAATATACATCTTTGTAAACTTAAAAGATTTGCTACATAAACAAACTAAGTTTCCTTTATTATTCTTCCTCATTTTCCAGAAAAAAACGTTTCTGAAGCTACATGGAATTTTACCCGTATTGTGCAAAATGAGATGCCTTGCGAATATAGAACGTCAAAATAAATTACTGCAGCATATTTTGCATGTGTTTACATTTCTTTGCACCTTAGAGATAAGTCCATTGGTAAAATTATCTTCTTTGGAAGTTTAAAAACCAATATTGTTTTTTTTTAAGGAAACATTTTGAATTTAAAAAAGAGGTGCTATAATTTACTTCGACGAACGTTGGATCCGCAACTGTTCACATATTTGTATTTCATTGCATGAAACCTCTTCATAATTATATTTGGTGTGGCTGTCACCTAATGGCGTTCAATAGTTATAATGATGTTTTTTATTGTTTTATAGCCGCTAATGTCTCCATTTGATTACCAATCTTTAGTATGAGGTGACAAACACAATCTCAAAAGCTATTTATCTTCAAAAGGTGTCTTAAACGATTGCATGACTTTCTTTAGAATCGTTCATTTTCCACTCTCTGGTTTCGTGTCTTCAATTGTCTTTGTCTTAAACATTAATCACCGTTCGTGCAATTGTGATGACGTCACTTGTTGCTATGAACAGACATCGAGTCCCTTCTGGCGACTCAGTGTCTTCAAAAAAGATAATTGCACAATTAGATATATTATATGCTGGTGAACATGCGTCAACGTTTGATGTATTTCATATCACTCTTACTAATATTCTGTATTTATTTTATATCGCTTTGTGTTGAACAACTTTTTGCAATACCCACATTGTCATTGAACAGTTTTGATGTTCATGGCGTCATGGTTAAAAAAGTTGGAAATAGCGTTCGAGTGAAACTAGCTCACTTACGTTTAATAGACCCGAAATTGTTTCCATACAAATGACGTCTTTGTCATACTATATAGCAACTGATATCAATAATAAACTAAATCGTTTGTAGCTGCAGAAAACAACCAAGCTTTTTACAAAACAACATTTTCCTTGTTGTCTTTTCACGCGAATGTACTGTCTTGCCGATTGATTTGATTCCAGCCTCAGTTAGAAAGTTTTACGAGCGTGAACGATGTGAACTCGAAAGTCCTCCGACTAGTATGATCCTTCTAATACATCGTGTACCCTAGTGTATATCTTAGAGTGCACACGGTGCACAAGAAGGATTATGCTTGCTTTTGGAGGTTGCATGCGAGGGTATATAATGTACCCTTGTGATCGTCTTTTTTTGTGACGAAGAGTCTGTAAGAGATATTTGATGTTGTCGTGGATTGTGATTATTTTGTTTTCATTCTTTAGCAGATTGTGGCAAAACTAATGCGCTCCACAATTATGGAAGTATATTACATAGATTTTAAAATGAAGTGTGTCATGCTATTTGGAGATTGAATTTTACTCCTGAGCCGATGTAGAATCCAAAAATTTTTACAAACACACAGACATAATAACCTAAAGAAAAACTCATGGTTGTTCGAAAGTCTGCTACTTATTAACGTGTCTCCCAACCACGTGACAGACGATCGATAAATATAGACTTGCTAACATGTATGGAAAATAATAATTCAAGGAATTTAGTATGATTTGTCAAGGTTGAAAGTATATCGTTTAATTAAACTCTAATTGATATTTTCCTGCGTTATTTCTTTCTTGAAAATATTTTGAAACGATGGAAACAGCAAGTCGATGCAGAAAAATCTACGGTCTGCGAAAACATGTTTTCAGAATTGAGTGAAAAATAAAATAGACAAAATTCTCTCTTTATTATAAGTGTATCCATGACTCTGCTGAAATACCTTTACCGAAATGTAACTACCCTAAAATTTCTTGTTCCTCTTGAATTATTCATCAACAGCATAAATTATACACGATACTTTAGTTACATTTCAGATAGAGTTTGTGATTAACGGTAACATGCTAGTTACTCTCTTGCCCAGGCTATTCACCTACCAACTATTCAAAAAAAAACACCCATGCGTTTTTGCACACAAACAAAATTATTTTGATCAATATATTTTGGAGTTGTGTATATCTTAGCGATTTCTTGGGAGTTATGATCTAAGAAGCACACCACCAGCAAACACTTTCATTTCTTTATTTGTTGCAGAATGCGTTTATAAATTAACAGTTTCAAAAAAAGTATATTTCACCTAGGTGTTTGCTGGTGCTAAAAAATTCCCGAACGCTCGACAAAAAAAAGGAAATTTTCTTCATAAGCAGTCTTACACATATATGGTCGTGTTTTGGCAAGGCATACGCGCTGGGACGCCTACTCATAATAGTTTTTGTTCTAGGTTATAAACACTTCACGATTTCCCCTCAAGCGCTCTCAGGAATCACCTCAAAAATGTGCAAATTGTTGTTAATGACATCCAAAATTAATGAGCTACTATGTGCTGCGCTGGGCATATAAATGCGGAAAACGGTAGTTCATCCAACAATTGTTAATGCTACCATTATTTAAGACGTACTCGGTCTAGATTTTGCTCTTTATAAAATACTTCGAACGCTAAGGTAAATCAATTGAACAATTGCAAAGATATCATCGTCGAGACGCATACATTGTTTACACCGGCTTTTTCGTGACCATTTGAACAGGAGACGGTGTGGTATTTAATTTTAGAAGTTACAAATTTACAAAACCATTGTGTTAAACGACTTCTTTCTTTCGGTATAAGCATCCTCATAACGAAAAATGGTGGAAACAGCGGACGTATTACCAATGTTCCAGCGTTCATGTGACTCAAACCCTGCCATTGCAGAGGCTATAACGAACATTCTTCACAGTTCTGACCTTACATCTCTCTCGGCAATGACTCGTCAAGGTGGCTCGTCGCTTAAGACTTCAGAAAAACGAGTAAAACGACCCATGAATGCGTTCATGCTTTACGCCCAAGTCGCCCGTCGAAAGGTTGCGACAAAATACCCAAATTTAAACTATGCAAAGCTTAGCAAAACTCTTGGTAAAATATGGCAAGTGTTGCCTGAAGAAGAGCGAAGACCTTTCATTGAAGAAGCCGAGAGACTTCGAACTCAACATAAACTCGAGCATCCAGATTACAAATACTCCCCGAAACGACTCAAAGGGAAAAAGCATCAATTGGCTAAGAAACAAAAATTCGAAAATTTAAGACCGGAGGAACTTTTCAGCATCATCAAGAATGAAACAAATTCTGATTCATTAAGGATGAGTAACGATCTCACCTCCGTCACAACAAATGGGCAGTTTATGTCTTCGACAACCAGGAATGGTGCTGTTCATGATCAGGCATCTTTGTATGCTAACCCAGCAATGTTCAAGCATTCGTTAAACAACATTGATTTCAATGGAGTTATTTCCAATCGACCTGGTTGTTCTGAACCGTCACTAACGTTCGACTCTGATGATAAATATTATCCTCCTCCTAAATACAATCAAAATTTATATCATCAAGGATTTAACTTTCCCGTTTCGCCATTTGGTTATTTATCGAACAACCTGAACAGAAATCATATTCCTCTCTCAGACTATATCTCTTCGCCTAAAGATGACACTTCAAGTCTGTTTACTCCGTTATCCAACACATTTGGTGATGGTTTGAGTTATTCTAAACTCGTAGATCCGATGGATAACATCACTTCAAGTTTTATATAAAAACTTCCAGTCTATTTCTAGTCTATAATGGGAAATTTTGCTTCATTTAATAGAGTCATCTTTATCTCAAGTAGATTTGACGAACATTTTATTCTTAACTACGGCTTTTGCAAAATGTGCTGGCACATTTCTTTGACGTTGTATATTATTAGATTGTAGATAATTCTATATTATTTATAGATATATACAATAGCTTTCCTATTTATGTTTACTTCTTCCTATAAAATGTTAGATGCGTTGTTAAATTGTGTTGTTTAATTCTTAGCAAAGTATAGATGTAATCGTGAAATAGATGTTAACTGATTGTATGTGATCATGTTTATTTTTTGCCAATTGCATTTTGTCTGCAATTATTCATAATGAATTGACGGAGAAAGAGTGTTTATTGAACATTTTCATTAAACTTCTACAGCTTCCCTTGTATTTTTAACTACTTCACAGGTTTCGCATGGACGCAAGCAAACAAAGTTGGTTTATTGTGATCTCCGTGTACATACGTATGAACTAACGCCCATACACTTCAACTTCTCGAGTTCCACTTCAACTTGTTGCCAAATGCTTCAGGTTGCTAGAAAATTTTGATAATTATTTAATATTTACTGCAAGCCAGTCAACATTCTTTGTACCCCTTAGCAACATAGAAAATGTGTTTACAATAATATTCTTAAAGTGCATTAATTAAAAAAGTAGGGTGTATTTTCGTGATGTTTGTGCACTCTAGATTTGTAGACTATAATGATAAAGTGTGTACTTGGTGAAATAGTCGTCTTTATTCATACACGTGGCTTCTGTTGTTGTCATCAGCCCTACAATTTTGCTAATCTGAAAACCCACAATTACATAAAACTACAAGTCAATGGAAAAGATAAAGCATTTCCATAGAAAACATGGTCACGCGGGGAAATATTTGAAAAAGTTTGCATTATTTTGTGTAGAGACAATATCCAAATAACAATATATGTCTGAAGAACACAGTTAACAAATAATTTGTTTTGATTTCGTTTTTCAATGTAGTCTTCTACAGTGATCTTGAGTCGTTACGTGACTTAAATATTGAATTCACTCTAACTCTTCTAAAAACATCACCATCCGTCTTTTTCAGTATGGTAAAATGCAAATATTCTTTGCATTTAACGAATCAAAAGTCTAACAGTTTCCAGTTATTCAATAATTTTGTTACTTGTAATACATTGTAGAACATTTGATGTTGAAGTTTCGTGTTTTCATTCCATGTTTGCAACATACTTTTAAGTATTGACGCAGAAACACGGAATATCATTAATAGTTTAACTAAAATGCTCTTTATTTTAAGTGCATTTCGAAATATATTTCGAAATAAAACGCTAAAAATATAAGTTAACACGTAAAAGACTTCCTAACAAGGAATGTTGTTGCACGATATACAAAGCCTTACGTATATATTGTCAAAGTATTCCTGCTATAATCATATTTGAACGGTAGATGAAGGAGTTTATTCAATACTTATTGTTATAATGAAGTTGATTCACATCTAACCAAAAAAGTACAATCAACCCAACCCAACTCACTGTAGTTATATAGTTTCGCAAATGATGTTTGTTTAATCATCTACCAGAGTTTTATTCACACGAAACTATAGTCAATGTTATATATGATCTTTTCCTAAGTCTATTTTATTTAAAAGATTTTTCATATGCGCCAAGCACAATACTAATTACATAAAAAGGCCTTCCATACGAGATGCATTCATCTAGATTATGTTTGTTTTTACGATACGAAACGTTTCCATGCCCAATAATTTCATGTTGTCAACTTCAAAAACACAATGTAACTACAACAAACCATCACTATTTAAAAACCTCAAGACCCACGCCATATTATAAATTCCCATGGACGAAAGTATGTACTATATAATCATTGAAGATGATTTTATAATAGCTTATAATTATAAATTGATGTTTTCCGTTGCAGCACATGCAAACGGATTTTGTCACGATATGCAGGCGGCCAGAAGAGCGTTTTTGTTACTGAGAAGTCACGAACGACTCGGTTGTTCCTCTTGTAAACGCTACACTTTGTGTATCTTGTCAAAAAAATTAACGGCGTATTTGTTCAATGCAAAAAAAAAATAAATGTAGAAAGGATTTTTAAATACTTACCGTTAATTATCCAATAAACGCCCCCTATCAAATAAACGCTTGGTATCCAACAAGCGCCCCCCTCCCTGAAAGCGTTAGTTTGTATTTAACGTGTTTTTTTTTGAATAAACACCCAGTCTATTATAGACGTCTCCAACACAATACCAGTGATTATATATTATAAAAGAGGTTTGTTGATTTGGCTCGGAAACCGTGCCTTTGGTCTAGAATAACATGCCTTTAGACACTAATTTAAAATTTAAAAGATAAAATTCCTTAACTACATGCCTGTTTTTTTCAACATCCTTTAGTATTAGATGAAGTTCCCTCTTCATATCAACTAAGCCTCTCCCCCCACCCCACCCCCACTTCCCGAGACAGACAGATTCACAGAAACTTGATGGACGAGTTGGGACTTAGAAGATTTGCTTATGTCTTGAGTGGAAATTGCTCAATAGCAATTTCTACAGACCGTATTTCCTCTAATAAACGCATAGTCTCGATTACACACTCCTCTTATAAACGCCTCACCGATTTACATAGAAAATACATTACAGCAACGTGGGAAACTCGATGAGGTCTCATATTCATAAATGTCAGAATATATAATAATATCAGAATCTGAATATATGAATTCTTGACTTGCAACCGCTCTCTTGAGATTTACCAAACAATGTTGCTCGCCTACGTCGGCTGGTGCCAACAATAACACTGATAAAATATTCTTTTCTATCATATCACCAACATGGCGGAATTGCAAGTCAAGAATACGTGCCCCAACAATCATCAAGTTTGCTACGCCACTGCAATATACGCCTCCCTTGTACAAATACCTGCTTCTCCTCTTAAAAAGCGTAGTATTACAAGACTATTGGTTGTCAGGGAAAAAAAGCAATATAAATCTTTAAGCAATATTGCAGATAAATGTGCTACAAATAAAAGGGTTGCATGTTACGTCACGGCCGCCATGTTGGTGGACAAATACAAAAGGAATATTTGATCAATGCTATTGTGGGCACTAGCCGTCGTGGGCAAGTCACAATGTTCGACAAATCCGTGGAGGTTGGTTGGCATCCAACAATATTAATTTGGCGGAATCACAATTAACTCTTATACTAAAATATGACGCCTTTCTGATGCCTTAAAGTTGCAGTGTGCACCGTAATTTTGCTCTTTTTAACGTTATGTAATTTTGTAATGCAAAGTCATTGTTCTTGATTTCTTTGTTCTATTGTTTATTAATTTATATTTTTTATTGTAAAGTAACCGCCTCTTTCTATCACTCGCCTTCCTACAATACACAATGCATCAAGTTTCTTTGAAAGTTAAAAAATGCCCCCGCGATGTGGTGTGTACTAGAGGAAATAAATACCTGTACTTATCAAATTTTACTGTCACTTAGGTTTCAGTAGGTTTCCCCCTCGCCTAAAGTGAATTACTACCCCCTCCTGTTTTGTATTAACGACATTAACATGAAGTATATCGAAAGCCCACGTGTAAACCACGTGTTTCGTCGCAAATAAATATGGCGGTTGTTCGCACGAGTAGTTTGGAGAATGACCAGGTAAATTTATTCTATTTTATTGCTCTTTGCTGCTTTTTATCTTTTATGCTATTTTACAATAAAACTATTAGTGAAGTTTCTTTAAGTAGTTGAAACAGTTAAGCCATAGAGAACGGCAAAGCCATATTTGGTAGGCCGCTGAGAAAGCTCATTAAAAGTTCGGTAGTTGCGTTCGTCTTGTTGATATTTTTTGACAGAGATTTTAATGATTTTTCGATTTACAATTGATTTCATCAGGTCGAAATGGCCGTTCGTGCGTTGATGAAATATTTGGAAAAAAAGAAAAGCAAGGAAGCGAGTTTATTGAATGAAAGTGAATTAATTTGGCTTCAAATTTCTTTAAAGAAAATTCCTCAACTAGATAAGAAGCCAAAGCGAATGTAAGCTATACTTTCATTTGATTTGTATTTATGTACAATCGGTTGATTTTAAAAGCAATTTTGACAATGATATGTTTGTTTGACGATTGTAGACCTTTACCAAAACCCCTTTATAAGCATATGAGTGATGTTTGTCTATTTACAAAAGATAAATCATCCATTGTAAAAGAAATGCTTGGAAAGAAAGGAGTTTCTTCGATCACAAAGGTTTCATTATGTTTTTCATGTTTTGTAGTCAGCAAAGTTTCGGTTTGTATGTTGCATGGTCTAATGACAATATTTATTTGATAGGTTATTCCAATCTCAAAAATAAAAACACATTATAAGTCGTACGCCTCGAGACGGCAGCTCCTTGGAATGTATGATGTGTTTTTGAGTGATGATAGGATTTATCACTTGCTATCTAAAAGACTGGGAAAGGAATTTTATCGCAAAAAAATGTGGGTTGATGTTGATGTTATGATCATTCAACATTTGTTTTACCTTATTAAGCATTTTAAATAAAGGATAATATTCTTCATTTTTATTTTTTTAATCATGTTTTGACATAAATTACGTACAACCCATCTTTAGTGCAATTTAATTTGTATCAAAAAATATTGTCATTTATATAAACAATGTGTTACTAAGTTCATATTTTGTATGATTCAAATCTTGTCGTAGGTTTCCTCAACCTGTTGATTTCAGAAAGAAAGATTTGAACAACGAAATTGAGAAAGCTTTAAATTGTACTTTAGTTTCATTTGGTCAAGGCTCTTGTAGGTAACGAAATTTATGTGAAATATTTACAACATTTTGCATTTTTAAAATGGTTTAACTAAATTAATCAAGTGCAAATTACATTGACAAATACGAAAGATATTCACAGACAGAAACACTGACTGCAGTTTTTTTAACATCTGTAGTGCTGTTCGTATTGCTCACACTGGAATGACTTGTGAAGATGTAATACTTAATGTTATGGAAGCTGTTCAATGCATTGCTAAAATAATACCACGTGGTTGGTCAAACATCCAGTCGATGAATATCAAGTCAGCCAACTCGATAGCCTTACCTATATATACTTCGTTGCCAAATAATATTGATGTGATTGAAAAAAATTCACAATCTAAAAAGAGAAAGACAGAGGATGTTAAAAAGGGAAAAGGGACAAAGAAACGTAGAATCAAAGAAGTCAGCAGCTAAAGAAATTTTGTTGTGGCTTCAGCATCAGGATTGAGCAGAAGATTTTTTTACATGTATAATTGATGTGGTACAGTGCATTTACCATTATAATTCAGCACAAATTTAAACGTTGTATTTTGTCCCTTTTACATGAAAAATAAACATTACATAAAAGAAAATCTAAACTTTCAACTAAACAATGCATCTGAATTGCATTTTTTTCTGTTGTAAGATGCACGAGCAATCTAGGTTTAGGTTTTGCAATGAGCCAAGGTTGAAAAGTGTTGGTTCATTGGGATCTTACTAGTGTTGTACAACTAGTTTGAGTCATCTGTTCACAGTTGTTTGTGCAGTCTGACTTTTACAGTTATGTAAGTGATTTGGTGTTCAATTACTGGGTGTAAAACAATTAACTTCTAAAGAAATTTACAATGAAGTGAATGATTTGAACACAAAAGTATCGTTACATGCTTGAAAATGTAGATTGTCCAAGTTAGTTCAGGCCTGAGAACGAAGATTGTTGCTGTTAGGTTTTGATAAACAGTTTTGACCACTTCATACCAACACTAACAGTCGTCAGGACTCAGGACTACACTAACCTGGACAATATACACCTTCAAATATGAAATCAACTAAGGTAATGATTTAAAATTTACAAATAAGAACAAAATCTGGAGGCTAAGCCTGGTGAAACCGCGGAAATACATTTGATTCTGTAGGTAGTCCTCTGTGTTGTCCGCAACAAATGCGTCAAATATATCCCGCATTTAAGCGCGTGACAAAAAAGGCGGCCGCTCAACTGATTGCTTCAATCAAATATATTGGGAAGGAAGTTCCTCGCGAATTTTCCGAAATGATTGCTGGTTGTCATGCTGTTGTGCAAGCTCTTTTGGGAACATTGCTTACATGGAGTTTGACAGCAGCCGGAGCTGCCTTAGTGTTTGTTTTTGATGGAAGTCAGGTTTGTGTTTTTACGATTCAAAGTCAGTGTAACTGTTTTATTGTGCAATTGAACATTGTGTAATGAATTGTTTTTAGCGTAAAGTGCTGGATGGAAGTCTTGGCTTTGCTGCGGGGGTTAGTTTTGTATTTATTTATTTTGCTGTCATTGAGTGTACAACTGCTAGTCTACTACTGTAGTCAGTAGTCATTGTCACCCCGCTAAATTGCTAAATTTAGTCCTTTCGTGACTTGTAAATTTTTCTGTATTCACTCATTGCAAAACAATAGATATCCATTGAAACGAATAATGAAATTTTCATAGCAGTGATAGCACTATCCAATTTTTTTGACTTGATATGCTACTGACTGCAGTCATTAGGCCTGGTTGATCTGTGCAACGACAAACTACTTATCTTTTTCATTTAAGGTGATGACTGCTGCCTCTTTCTGGTCTCTTCTTGCTCCAGCCATCGAGATGGCATCTCAATCAAACATTTATGGCCAAAATGGGCAATATTCCTTTGTACCAGTATCAATTTTTCTTTTGGGAGCAGCATTTGTATATTATGCTGACATCTTTCTGACATATCTTGTAAGTTGTCGGTAAATTAGTTTGAAATTGTTTGAAATTACTTCCTAGATTTCTTAAGTTATTATATGTCAAATGTATTATGTTTTGAAATTTCACAGGGCTACGACTCAGAGAATATTTGTAACATTTTCTCACCGAATAAGACAGAAGACGAGAAAGTCAAAAATGGATTCAATGTTACAGCTTATAATAGTCTTTCTGATTTAAGAGACGATACAAAAATAAACATTGTTCAAAGAAGAAAGCCTAATAGTTCACAAGAAGATGTCATGTCTAATTCCATTGAAAATGAAATGGACAGCGTAACTAGTCGCACAGATTGGATGAAAATATTTTTGCTTATTGTAGCAATTACTGTGCACAACATACCAGGTGTGTATAGAGATCATAAGAAGGCTTTCTTTATGATTGGTAGATGGGCAAAAAGATTTTCCTTTTTTGCTTAGTAGCATTGTTATAGGTGCAGGAAGTTAGGACAGTATATTTATGCATGTTTATAAATGTAGATCGTCCAGGTTGGTATGGTCCTGAGAAGGACTGTTTTTGTTGTTGTTGTTGACTGACGTTTCGACACCTTAGCAGTAGTCGTCTTCAGAGTCAAATGAGGAGTAAACGTACGTCAGGTTAGCCATATTTGTAATCTGCTTCTTACGTCATTGTACGTCATTTTTCCTGACGTTTACTCCTCATTTGACTCTGAAGATGACTACCGCTAAGGTTGTCGAAACGTCAGTCAACAACAACAAAAAAAGTCCTTTTCAGGACTATACCAACCTGGACGATCTACATTTACAAACATGTAACGATACTCCCGGGTTCAAACCATTTACTTTAGTATATTTATGATTGACTACATTGTTTTCATTAAATTTAGTAATTGACATTACATCATAGTTAAGGCTTGATTACATAGTACAATTGTTATTGTACAACAATGTCAGTTCATTTTGTATTTAAGAGACATTCAGTGTCAAGTTTTTTTGTGTGTTGCTCATAGGTTGGGACGTTGCTTAACTTTTGACAATATAAAAATGTACTTCTATGACACAAGAATGACCATATCAAAACTTACTAATAATTTTTTATGTTACTAAAGCATGCACTTTTTTCTGCTGTCGAGGGAAAATATTCTGAGCTGCATGCAATAAAGCAGCTTTGCAATTGTCTTTCCAAGAGTTATGTGTTAGTTCCAAAGGCTAACTTCTAGAGGCTCAGTTCTAGAGGCTCAGTTCTAGAGGCTCAGTTCTAGAGGATCAGCTCTAGAGGATCAGTTCTAGAGGATCAGTTCTAGAGGATCAGTTCTAGAGGATCAGTTCTAGAGGATCAGTTCTAGAGGATCAGTTCTAGAGGATCAGTTCTAGAGGATCAGTTCTAGAGGATCAGTTCTAGAGGATCAGTTCTAGAGGATCAGTTCTAGAGAATCAGTTCTAGAGGATCAGTTCTAGAGGATCAGTTCTACAGGCTCAGTTCTACAGGCTCAGTTCTACAGGCTCAGTTCTACAGGCTCAGTTCTAGATGCTCAGTTCTAGAGGCTCAGTTCTACAGGCTCAGTTCTACAGGCTCAGTTCTAGATGCATTCTTCTAGATGGTCAGTTCTACAGACTCAGTTCTTTTGGTCAGTTCTAGAGGCTCAGTTCTAGATACGCTCTTCTAGATGGTCAGTTCTAGAGGCTCAGTTCTAGAGGCTCAGTTCTGTAGGCTAAGCTCTTGAGGCTCAGTTCTGTAGGCTAAGCTCTTGAGGCTCAGTTCTGTAGGCTAAGCTCTTGAGGCTCAGTTCCAGAGACTCAGTGTGTGTGTTAGAATGTACATATGCACATATTTACGAATTTATTGTAATTGTGTCTTTTGAACAGAGGGTCTTGCTGTTGGTGTTGGCTTTGGAGCAATTGGTAAAAGTCCCTCAGCTACCTTAGAAAATGCAAGGTAAAAATACAATTGACTGTTTCATTTTCTTGCCTTTTAAACCATCCTTTAAGTATATTCTTTTATGGTTTTAAGAAATTTAGCCATTGGTATTGGCATTCAGAACTTTCCCGAAGGCTTAGCAGTTAGTCTTCCTTTAGTGGCATCTGGCCTGTCGCCATTAAGAAGTTTTTTGTAAGTAGGAAAGAGTTTGTGTTTGCATAGATTGTTTTTCAAATTAATTTATGTTTGTGAATATTTCGTAAAGTTTCGGTCAACTAAGCGGCGTGGTAGAACCACTTGCTGGTGTATTTGGTGCTTTTGCAGTTGTGGTGAGTAAATGGTTTTATCGTGCATTCCACCCGAGGTATATTGTTGCTTCTCACTAAAAGTTATTCATCTTTCTCATTAGTTGGTAGAGCCTATACTACCGTACGCATTGTCATTTGCTGCTGGAGCGATGATTTATGTTGTCGTAGACGATATCGTCCCTGAAGCACAATCATGGTACCATATGACATTTTACTAAGGCCTTTAAAAGTTGATTTTTAGTTTCTGATCCGCGGGCAAGAATGCTCCTCTCTCCTGCCAGCCCGCGGCAGGAGAGAGGAGCATACGTACTCTATACTCTCAGGCAATACGTACTCTATACTCTCATACTACTGGCAATACGTACTCTATACTCTCATACGTACTCATACGTACTCTATACTCTCAGGCAATACGTACTCTATACTCTCAGGCAATACGTACTCTATACTCTCAGGCAATACGTACTCTATACTCATACGTACTCATACGTACTCTATACTCTCAGGCAATACGTACTCTATACTCTCATACGTACTCATACGTGCTCTATACTCTCATACGTACTCATACATGCTCTATACTCTCATACGTACTCATACGTACTCTATACTGTCATACGTACTCATACGTACTCTATACTCTCATACGTACTCATACGTACTCTATACTCTCATATGTACTCATACGTACTCTATACTCTCATACGTACTCATACGTACTCTATACTCTCATACGTACTCATACGTACTCTATACTCTCAGGCAATACGTACTCTATACTCTCATACGTACTCATACGTGCTCTATACTCTCAGGCAATACGTACTCTATATACTCTCAGGCAATACGTACTCTATATCTCAGGTCATACGTACTCTATACTCTAGGCAATACGTACTCTATACTCTCAATACGTACTCTATACTCTCATACGTACTCATAGGTACTCTATACTCTCAGGCAATACGTACTCTATACTCTCATACGTACTCATACGTACTCTATACTCTCAGGCAATACGTACTCTATACTCTCATACGTACTCATACGTACTCTATACTCTCAGCAAATGTACTCTATACTCTCAGAAGAGAGGAGCATATGTTTAAAATGCGGGCTGGCAGGCGGTTTGGATTACGTGACTAATGATCTCTAAATAACGACAGTATGCAGTACATTTTCACGAGATTAAAAATGTTTTTTATTTAAGATATTTAACGTCAAACACATTTTGAAAGCACTTCACATGTAATTCTTCCTGTTCTTAGTGCTTTAGTTGAAAAGATAGCCCATTTGTCTTTGCTAAAATTTAATCCATCGCAATGTATCTTCAAGTACTTGAAACCCATTGTTTACACTAAAGTAGTCCTAAAATAGTCATTTTCAAATAGGAAATGCGGGCGCCGTACCGCCTGTAACACAAACTTAAGATCATCTTATAGCGGCTTATTTATTAATTATACAACTGAATACATTCATGGATAAAGAAATGAAGTATTTTGTATTTTTTGTTTAGCGGCAATGGTCAATTAGCATCTTGGTGTACAATGGCAGGTTTCGTAGTCATGATGTCATTGGATGTTGGCCTCGGTTGAAAATGGATTTTTTAAGGCCTGTATTTTTTAAGGCTGTTTAGTAACAGCTGTAATGTGAAGCATATAATGGCTTGTATTTATTAATAGTAACATAGCGTCTATAAATTTGAATTTGCGTGCGTAATAAAAAAAAACGAATGTTCATTAGCGAGTGTTTCAAAAAGTTTAAAAAAAGCTGAAGATGCGTAAGTGCTTTGTTTAGGATGACGAAGTTTAAGGGCTTTTATTTTTTTATAACATATTTATAGTTTCGTAATACCCAACAATGTTAAACAAAGAAGTCGTTCAATTATGCCGCATCCTACGCTTATTGCGTGAAGCTTATCTGCATTCTTGACAGTTGTAGCATAGGAAAATGTTTGGCATGTATAATGTATGTTTTTTATTTTTCTGTTTTATTATCAATTAATAACCTATACAGAATGGGTAAATATGTGATTTTTTTAAGGTAAAAAGGCTTATTGTTAGTAGACGTTAATAAGAAATACCCTTCCCCAACCATTATAGTGTCATCCATTATAGTGTCATCCACTACATTTGACTATATTTGTCATGGCAGAAGTTCTTGCGAATAGTTTCTTGAACGAAATGTAAGGTATCATCTTGCCATAGTACTTCGGAATTTCTCGGCCTCACCTTATCGAAAATTATAGCTAAGATTAGTAAGTAAAAAATATAACTAAGTATTATGTTTCATTTTGTCCGAAGAAGACTTTTGCGTCTCTTGTTTTAGTAAAAATATTGAATATGAAGATGGATATTTTCATGCGAAAAGCCAATTAGATGTATGGCGATAATGAATATTTTCTCAAACTAAAAACGAAATCCCTCTCTTAACTATGGACAACCCCCTTGCGTGCGCAAGAACTATTCACTAAAATATCTTCTCACGGCAGCTGAGCTTCTCCCCGCGGTCCCTTACGTAAGTCAATGTAGAATAATTTATAATGAGAAAGACGTCAATAGCTTTTTTGAGGTGTATTAATCTGCTAGTTACTAGTACTCATTTTACAATGATAATTCATTATTGCTCAAATCTTTCAGTTGTAGCCTTTCAAGCACTCGAACATCTCGTAATCACTTACGTAAGAGCGTCGAATACTTGGTTACATAACGATGATAAATGATGATGTCATCTATCTGGTTAAAAGGTAAGTGTTCAATCCTTGATGTATCGACGCACTAGTGTTAATGAAAGCGTCTCAAATCAGAAGCTTTGCTTTTACGGGCTGGTAAACAACCCCACCTGTTGTTTTTCGCCGCAGAAGCCATCCCCCCCCTTCCCAAAAGTAAAATGCAGAGCAAATTTTGTTCGTTTATGGTTTAATGTGCGGGCGTTCATCTTGACTTATCTGGACTTGTCTAAATATCATCGTTAAGATGGTACGTTCTGACCACGCGCGAGGCAAACCTTAAATGGTTACTGCTTTTTATGGAAGATATGTCATCAAAACGGCAAGACGCGTACGCAAAACTATATCTTCGCAGTACATCTACGTAAAAGTGTATCTTCTAGCATATTTTCGTGCGGTATTCTGATGATTGAAACAATTTTTAATTTTTGACCGAACCTTTTGCGTTGAACGCATTTACTAACTTCGTGATTGTGTCGTGAGAGCGTTTACGACCGATGGATTGTATCAAAGATACGTAAAATCTTTCTCCGTTGTGCTTTCGAGTCACAATATAACTTATTTTTTCGATTGTTACATTTGAAGAGTAGCTAAAAAGTACTTTCCGTAGGCTTTAAATTATTATGTTTGTCGTAATTTGTCAGTTTTTGGTCAATATGGTTCGCTTGCAAACAATTGTTTTTTTGCAAGATCTCTTGCACACAGCGTAAAACTCATGGCGTATTTTTATCTTCTTTAAGTCTCGCACTCAAGTTTCCTTCACAATTCCTCGCATTCTCCTTCCTACGTCCGGTATTTTTCAGCTTTCTAGATGTTCCATGGGTTCTGTTCTTGAACGCCTCCGATTGGTTGTAGTTGAATCACGTGATGTGGTTTTGTTGCAGTGTTTTTCATCGGCCTGAGAAATTTTGATACACATCAGCACTTAAGCACTCGCCGCGTCTTGTGTGCACACGTGTTTAACTGAATGTATAGCTATTCATAAGTACTTTACTAAACCAGCATCGCATTTCGATAAAAGCTTGTTATCTATCTTGAGCGGACTTCACATGATGACGTTGCGTTTTGTTCGTCATTTTGTCACAGCGTATGTATGGTCTTTCTTCAACTGAATATATGTTGTCCGTTCGTTTTTAATGACATCGTGAGAGCTGGTTCTTTTTTTTTGGTAAAATCTCTTCCCATAAGCTTTTTTTCGATATCATTTGTCTTACCATCTGGTACATGCAACACCCCAGCGTTAATACACATCTCTTGAAATGCACTAATCACAGTTTTTCCAGCATTAAGAGCATTTTAACACTCAGTAACTGAAACGTTTTTCACACCCAACAGCATGTCAACTGTGCTCAAATAAAAGCTTTTGCCGATGATTGTGTTACCGCTCGATTACGCTGCCAAAAACTGCCCATTGTATGCTCCTCTCTCCTGAGAAAAAAAGGATTTGCACTGTCGTCCATCTCCGTATGAGTCCATTACTGATGATTTCGTGTTGATTGAAAGATATAAACTGATAAATCTTGGCGTTTGTCGCTGCCATCTGACAAATAAAACAGATATTTCTTTCTGTCATTCCACACACAAACACCAGACAAGAACTATTGGAAAGCGTCTTCTTGAAGTAGCCATTAAGAATGTTAACGTCTTTAATAAGCAAAAACAGTCGCAGTAGATCAGTGAACGAGTACGATTTGAACTACAGCAACAAGCCTGTTGGTCAAAAGTCCCATTTTAGATTTTTCTCTCGTAAAACCAGCAAAAGTTTCCCGCGCCCTCAACACATCCATAGCGAGCCAACGCGACGGAAGTTCAACTCTTCTCTTCAAATGCACAGGCATCAAAATTCATCCAAACGCGACATTTGCAGCTATGGTTCTACTACCAATGTCGACTTGAATCTCTCATCGAACAATTCAAATCATCGCAACTCTGATGACAATATTCCAATGGCGTATATTGACTCTCTTGGTACAGAGAGAAGGCTTGCGATCTGCTCTGAGTTAGAAAAAAACACGCTCATGAAAAATGGAGAGAGTTTGCTAATTTGTCATAAGAATTTGGTCATTCGAGACGTTTTGGAAAGCTATGCATTTATTTAACTTTTAGATATTGGCGATAAGATTTTATGGCAAAAAGCTCTTTTGCTACTGCACTTTGCGAGGAAATTGATGGTTTGCTTGGTGACGCGAATAAGAAGCTTACCTTCACATTACTGCCTGTAATGTTTAAAAAGAGTCAGGCTTATCGTCGAACTATGTCGAAAATATTAAACGGGACTGACTTATATAAGTATATAGGCTTATAATATTTCATTTGAGTATGTAGTTTGTGTAATATAATAAAAATTTTGTCGGCAAAACTTTGTCCGATAAGATGGATTGTAGCTGGCTAAATCTAGCTTAGTGTATTGTCTTTACAAGTGGCATCAGAGTATGGATTATTGATTATCTTACTTTCTAGAGTACAATTTGCCTTGTTGATATATGTCTTTATTTTATATGCTGTTTCATATATCCTTCGTACTAATCCTTGCTATGATAGCATCGACATTGAATTGTTGTGGTTTTGTCTGAAAAGTGATTAAGGAACCCGTAACTAATCGGTTTACTTGCTTTGAATTACATTTAAAACAATGGGACGGTGTTTTATAACCCTCGTGTGGTGGAAAATAGACGATATTTCTGTAAGTGGCACGACTTTTCATGCAGAAACAGCATTCTTTATTATGATTTTCACTGGCTAGAGCAATTGAGTATATAATTAGTGTTGAAAAATCAACGATGAAATCCGTACATGAACAGAAACGTATTCTGAGGTAAAAGAAAGATCTTTTGTACACCAGATACATTTTGAAATCAAGTGCAATCTCTATCAAACAAAGCCATTTTGGTTTTCAAGCGTTTTAAAAAGCTCAATCGTTATCTAACGATACTTAATGCGGACGTGCGTCTTATTCTTAGTTTCTTAACTTTCATTTTTCTTCCAATAAATCGTTTCATTTTCACATGTGTTATTGTGTTATCGTCTTCTCTGTTTCGCACGATAATCATGTATGTTTATGCTGTGGTTTTTGTGACCTTGGCTACCTGTGCAGAGAGGTCAGTCTGAATATCGGTTATGTCCTTTCCTGTAAACGAGAATGAAGTGATATCTTGGCATCTCGGAAAATAGTTCTCGATTAGTTATCAAGATAAACTAATTCTTAAACATCTTTCAACTATGTTAGCTTGATTCAAACAACCTCCCGCTTTGCGATACACTGCATTCTCATGTTTAATTCATTTCTCTTATCTCTTATTTATTTGTTTTTCTAACAATGACTTCGTTACTCATCCTCCGTGGCTAGATGCTGTGATTGGACAGCTACGTTGATCATCACGAAGATCTTGTCTCTTTCCTCCCTGCTGTAACAAACAGTGCTTCTTCGAAAGAGTTCATCGAGTCTCCGTATCAGAAATAGTGTTCTTCAAAACTGATAAAGTCACAGAATGTTTTGATTTCACTGACTGTCGAAGTTCGTATTGCAAAATGACAATTTCGGTTGTATCTCAGAGTTTTGTAGGACACTATCCAGGCCTTCATAGATGTAAACAACTTGATAGTTTCAACACGTTGTTTGTGAAAAGGGTTCAATTTCAACAACCCACGTTTTGCGGTAGATTCTCAAGAATACTCACTCTCTTCACTCTATATGCTAGTGTGTTTTCGTTTCAATATTATTGCTCTTTACTTTGACGATGTCTTGTGAGGAGAAAGAGATGTGTATTTTGAAGAAACTGTGAGAATAATATGCATTGTCTCGCTATCAGAAAGAAAATGTATCAAATTTTGACGTGTTGACGATGAAAGTTTGCGGTTTTCAAAATGACATGTTGTATCTTGCCCAAACTCCTTGACAAAACATGATTAGAATTTGTAAACTTTACATATTGAACAAACATGGCGAAATACAACTCCGAGCTTCCATTTTATTATCCGTGTTCGTACCTTTCTTCTATGAAGTGTAGATAAACGTAATTGTGAAAGAAATGGGAATATTACATGTCCTAATAGCGACAATGACGTAATTGCAAACGTCAATTGAATGTATGCGTTTCAAATCGGCTTAGCGAAGATTGTGTTTATTGCTTGCCTCCATATTGCCCTACCACATTCTGACAGACAGACTGAAAATTAATATCAAACTTCAACGAACGCGAGTGTCCTTTAATTTTCCGATCTGTCTGTTTAGTCGAAAAGAACGCAGGAAATTGTTTCGACGATAGTATGTATTATCAGATCGGATGTTTCATTAATAAATGTAAAACAAGATATGTACAATGTAAAACATTCATATTTACATATTGGGTGTCTTATCTCTTACGAAATATATTGTGGTTTTGCAATTGTCTCAGAAGCCAATTTCTTGATCTTTTGTCGTCCGACAAAACGCACTTCGTGTGAAAGCCTCTTGTCCTGTAAACCTTCGTATTTTAGTAAATATTCTTTTATAAAATTTTGTGAATTTTTCAAATTTATTGAGTTGACCAGCAAAGGTATCATCGAATTTCCACGATGCGTAAACTAAAATCCCTGGAACATTTCTACGAACAATGCATAAATACTCTTAGAAGGTGTTGGAAAATATTTTATCCTCCTAGTCATTGTGGCTGCAGGAAACACTCAATTTATTCACCAAATTCATAGGATTATTTGCTTGATTATTTCCAGGCTTGTTCTCCACAGCCGACCTTGTTTATCCTTTATTGGGTTTTAGCGACGATAATGATGATTATATTACACTGTTCTCAGCCTTCATATCAACTAATTTGCATAATGTGCGCGCACGCTTCTACATGCGCCATACGTTTTTGCGCATAAACTTTGCGATGGTTACAGCAGAAGCAGATCGTGTAAAACTTGCCTTATGACTAAATTCTTACGACTCTTCCGTAGGTTAACGCCATCGTTCATTATCAACCCTCTTTCCAGTTCTTCGCATATTCCGAAGCGTCGGTTCTGTAAATAAGATCGTTTTACATGTCCGTGTACATTCTCACACACATGGTTAATATCAACATTAGGGACATCGTTCAGTTTATCCAACGTAGACGTACTTATACTGGCTCTCAACCTAGCGTGACTGTTAAAAGTGTGCACATTATCATTCCAAGGTGAAACTTCTACCCCAATCTCGTATTTCGCCGCGTGCTTTTGATTTTTGATCGAACTCTTAGTATCCGACACTTTTTCCAAACGTTTTTCACTGTCAATTCGCTTTTTGAATCGCGATAATCGCCTCCACTGTTTCCTTCGTTGTAAATTGTAACCATACGATTCGTTTTCGTTCTCTGTTTGCTCAATATGCTTAGTATTTCCTTCGAATTCATCACTTCTCGGCGTCAGTTGTGAATCACTCGTGCTCAGTAGTTTGTAATGTTCCTTTCTTTTCAAGGACATATGTCGCGTGAAGAATTTCTTCATACTGTCAAATATTTAACCATAGGATCCCGATGTCTCGTTTGAAAATACTTCGTGTTGTTTTAAAAACTACGGTCAGTCTTCTTTACAATCTTTATCATTGATTTGTTTTAACAATGAAGAACACAATGAGCAGCGTTTCAAAATCCTTCGCACGGAGTTATATCTCGAGTCTTAATTACAAACTTTTGCGATACGGTATAAATTGCCATCAAAACCCATATGCGTGTGTCAAATGTTATTAAACTTCTCGCGTGAATAAAATTCTACTATCTTTCAAATACCATCAAGCCATAAGAAGCGACGATGTTGTGTCACAAAGCACGCTCCTGCTTTTTGCATTTCCGACCTTAAGTGTTCTGAGGCCGTTGTTTGCTTGAACGCTACAAGATCTGGGTTTTCAAGAGCGTTCGCCTGTGAATTTTCGTTTAATGCCGATATTTAAGCTGATTGATTGTGTAATATGATCCTGACTTGATGTCTTCACGATGAGCTTTCTAATGTCGTCTTGTGTTCATTAATCACTTTCCCAGGGAAAAGCAATGAAAGAGGTTGACGTGCAATGTTATAAAATCGGTTCGCTGCTCTCAAACACATTTTGCAAAACGTTAAAAACTTAAATGTTTATCTCTTCCGAAGTTGCAAAGACTGAGAAGCAAGTTTGAACAAATACTTCGTTGACATGATTCTCGTTCTTGCAAGCCTTGAAATCTGATGATGTTGTATCATTGACGTTTTCTCATAAATTTCCTCAAATTTTATCGTAATCGAAGCATGTGATACAACAGAGTAAACGCTCTTTGTCGACCGTGTTCTTCGATTCAAAATTTAACGCATTACCCTTTCCATTCTATTATTTCACTGTTCTCGCCATTGAATTTTGGCAAAATTTGTGGCATGAACGAGGTACGCTCACAAACATCTCACTAACTCTTATGCAAAGATGCATGTTTATCATTTTAGGTATGTCTTTAACTTACTTCGAAAATCCCCAGTCTTTTTGACACGAAAACAGGAAGTAATGCCGAACTATTTTGCAGCCTGTCATTAATTTACATAAACTGCAACGCCTGACTTCGACGCACGACATTATTTGCAAGATTATATTCATTAGAAATCCCCGAGTGGAGGCTTTGAGATAAATATCAAATCGTACGAAATATTGCGAAACTTTGTAGAGTCACTATCTACTTAGTTTGATAAAAAATATTAATATATTTTACTGTTCGTTATGAACATGTAAATATATTGTACTGTCTTTAACCCCGTTTGCGCTAATCTTGTTTCTCTCCCAACTGTTGTATCTTTGAGACTACATGTATATTTTTGCTGTACGTTTGTGTTACTTTTAATCATTTTTATGTGAAAACATTTTTGTTAATGAAATTCAAATTCATTACCGATTGTCGAGCATAAAACACGTTCTTCGTGCTTGCTCTGAACAAGAAAACGTCTCCTAAGCAGAAGCACACAATTGCTGTAGTATTGTTTCTTACGGTTGGAGATCAGTTTTTACTCTTTTCAGATGGGAAATTTAACTGAACTAATCTTGAAGAAATTTTTATTATTAAATTATTCGTAGTTCGTTAAGCTCTTCTTCCGGAGGGATAATCTGTTTTTGATCATACGTTGTCGTCTGCTTTGTGACAACCGCCAAGTGACTGGATATACCGGCTTTTCTTTCACTGTCAATAGTGCGTGGGGATATGAATTACGAAATTTTGTAATTTTTACCATGTGTTTGAAATGCACAAAATTTTTTGCACTATTTCAGCTAATGTATTAGGGCATTCCAACTTTGTGTTTTTGCTAGTTCAAGGCTGAAGGCAAGCTGTAATTTCAGATTTCTGAACTGACTAACCGACTGTGTTTAGAAGCTTCCTGCTCTGTTAAAACTGAGCGAAGTGGACCTGGAGCAATGGCTTAAAAGTTCATTGTATCTTATTCATATTTAATTCATTTTACTTTGTGACACCATTTAGAAAGTAAATATATCGTTTCTTAATTGAAATATTAATGAAAAATGGTCTAAATTACCCGAGAAAGTTAGTTATTGGAAATCAAAAGAAAATTTTTAATCGACTGTTAATTAATCATAATCCTCGAGTCTACAGCAGCAGATACTGCAGTCCAATGATCTGGGCAGATGATTTTTCATTAATTCGTTTGTTCATTTAGCCATTGTGGTTTCTGAAAGCAATCTAAAATTCAAAAACTTTTTTAGTCTAAAATATTACAAGAAACACTGAAGTATACGAAGACTGAATAGTTCAAACATTAAAACGTGTTGCCTTCAACAACAAAAACCGGAAGTCTTGTCTATCCATGTAGTTTAACAGTACAGGCCAGGTCTCCTGTAGAAGTGCACTTAATCAAAACTGACAAAACTCAGAAGAGTCAAAAATCTATCTAGGAGGGAAATAGTTTCTTCTTCCGACACAATCGGAATGGCAAAGAATGACGTATAAGTCTTTACAACTTTCTAAATATCTGTCTGCAACAGCCACTGTCAAAATCAACGTTAACTTCCTACAAATAAATTTATTGACAGACGGATGTGTAACGTTTCATTTCTGTGAATATGTGAATTCCTTGCTTCATTTGAGAAAACGAAAGCAAGAAACATGCAGTTTAGTTGACCTAACCACTGACCTAATTCAATAAGTAATATCAATCAGTTTTTCCTCCGAATCAACCGACCAAAACCGTCGACCAACGTTGTTTAAGGATGTCAATGCATGAAATGACGATATTGTGAAAATTTTATGAAGGGAATTCATTTCCGGAACGTACTTAACCACAAAGTAAACACTTTAGTATCGTGGTGTGTAATAATTTCCTATGAACCGGGTTTTCATTTCATTCTTTCAATGGTTTAAACTCTTGTGTCACGCAATCGTCGCGAAACGAAGATTTTGGCAAATGATCTGCAATATCAAACTGTTGAGTGAAACAATTGTGATGATAGCGATGTAGACGACATGCTGGGAGAAGCTGATGCTTCAGAGAAAAGGCAGACTTATTTTCTTTAGTTGATCACGTTCATTTGTAAACGTCAGAAATATTGCGTATTTTGTATTCACATACATATATGTTTGAAACATATATATATTTTTTTTTTATATTCTGTTTCAAATTAATATAAATGCAAGTTTATTTGTAACTTTTCGTTCAAGATGTGCACGATCATGTTTAGAAATAAATGTTACGTTCTTTTAAAAACCCGCAAAATCAATATAACCGCAAGTGCTCAGTATCAAGGTAAACAGTCTTATCTCTTCGTTTGTTTTATATAATTTTGTATTGTGTGAAGGCACTCCCAAACCCCGCTCCCTCCCCTCCCCCCGTGTATTTTACGCGCAGTCGGCGTTGCTGTTATGTGTAAAAGCCGTATGATTGATTCTACCTGTGAATCATTATGTTTACATGCTTTGTGACTCTGTTCTCTAAAGCTGAGAATTCAGAATATATAACAAGAGGACCTGGCGTTGAATTTTTCAAGTAAGACTTGATCGAGTCTGCGCTTCCCGACCACATGTCGTAAAAAATGCCGACTGATTTGAAATTACTTGCATCAATATAATTTATTACCAGAATACTGCCCGGGCAGGCGTATATTGTACTAAACTCGCGATTAGCACATTAAACAAGAAGAGCTGGCGTCATGAGTACAAGAATTCAAGGAATGGTTCCTCGCAGTAATCAAATACCGTTTAAAGTTTTACCAAATCGTGATGACGACAAAGAATTTCATCCAATGACTTTCAAACGAGAATCTAGAAGACCAAGGAACGCCATCGATCGATTTGTCAGTAATTTACGAAGAAGCCGTCGTTTCAAAGATTACAAACATCGACGTCTTAACACGTCTGACAGCGTAGAGAGTTTGAGCTCTTCTTCGCGAGTTTCCCAAATAACTACTCGTTCTTCCAGTATAGAGAAAATAACAGACTATGCAAGTGAAGATAAACCGCCATCCCAAGCTTTTATGGGTAGAAGACGCTCGCGTTCAGATACAGACCTACTAGCTACTAGCGATATGTTTTTAATGACAAGACGTCGCGCCGCGATTTGCGAAGAAATGGAAAGATCAATCTTCATGCAAGATGGTAACACTTTACGAAAGTGTCGTAAAAATTTGGTAATCCAACAAATATTAGAGAATTTGTCGTTACTTTAATTTGAAACTTTCAGACATGGAGAATTAAGATGTTTGGAGTAAAATTATATATTTATTTATCTGGTAAAAGTTATCACGTATTCACTTGAAATTGGTCTGCTTTATAATGCTATCGACCAGGGGTTTGAAGGAACGGCCGACTTTAATACTTTGTAGAAGATCAAATTAGCGTTTGGAAATATTTATTTTGTTAACGAATTAAGCTCTCGATATATTGTCCATTAAAATATTTTTTTATTTGTATACGTCAAATAATTTGTTAGTGAAGAGTAGCTGAATTATTTCGACAGCATGCGATGATGGTGTCAAAGTTACCGATAATTAAAAAGAGTCACACATTGATTGTAATTAGTTGCAGTGTGGCTAATCCATTTCGAATTCCACAGAAGACACGTATCCTTAAGCAAGCAAAAACATACACGCACTCCACCTGCTGTTCTTGCACTCCATGTCGACAAAGCACTCTCATTTGACTTTCCCATGCTTGTTTCGACAATCTTAACACACTTGTTTGTCTCGGCTATGAACGAATTTTTCCGTTTAATTTTTATCTCTTATCAATGTGTTCATCTGTCATTGATACTCGCCATAATGTATGAATAAATTTATTCAACATCAGACACCGTTTTCACCGTCGTTTCCGAGTTCATAAGATTTTAAGTCTTCCGTGGTAGTGAACGATTTTAATCTTCTCTATTTAATCTTATCGTTTTAACTTTTGACCGTGAGTGATGCGTACGTGAAATGAAAATCTTGTATATTTTATAATGTGAAAAATGTACCGCGCTTTTCTTTACTTGAATGATCACAGGTCAGATATTGATATATCCTGGTTTCGTAGTGTACTTTATTTGCGAAAGCTCTCCTTTAAGCTTGCGTAAAACCACGTTTCTTTATGCAATGAATATGGAGTTGTTCCGGCATCTACTTAAAGCATAAATCTGCTTAAATTTATAGAATTACCCTCGCGTTTTAGACAATTACGTGTAAGTCAAACTTGGGCTACATGATATAAATGAATTTCAATCGATTCTAAGCGAGATGCTGGTGAGCTTGTGTTGTTTTAATGATGATTTTTTCCTTGACTATCACAAAGAGAATATGGATGTAATTTCAATTTAACGACTTAACGGCAAAGCACTGCGTCTCCCCTAAATTAGTTTTTCGCATCAGTTAAAGTGTCGATGGATGAAAGAGGTGTTGCTGTCTCATCATATCGTAATATGATTGTGAATAGTCTTGCAATTAAACTATTTGTGTAATACGTGAATGAGCTTTGGAATATTCAACTTGATTTATGATTGATAAGCTGCAATTGAGATGTCCATAACATTCATTCTCACTCACAAAAAAAATCGCATGCTCTTAACAGTATCCTTAATCCATCTTTACAAAGCTTTTACAGTTTGGGACAAGACTCGAAAACTACACTGCTCAACGAAAGATGAGTGTAATTTATGTAAAGACTTTGTGCAGACTGTAAAATGGCTAATTGTGGTTTATTGTGTGCAAAGGTCGAAACTATCAGTCTATCACCATAATTTATGATCGGGTCAACAGTCCTCACGTTCAATGCTTCGATGCGTCTATGCCAGATCATTTCCCATCGTGTTTGGACAAGATTTATTTAGTTCGTGAACTAGTTCGCACTTGCAAGTCGCAACGAAGCATAAACTGTAAAATGATAAATTATAACTACAAAATATAAAGCATAAACGATAAAATAATAAAATGTAACTATAGAATATAAAACATATGATCGCAATAAAGAAACTGCACGTATTTCTCTATGTTTCGACTAGTTGTGATCAAGAATGAACAGGTCTATAAGCTACAAGTTCGTTGTCTATCTACATAAAAAAACAGACTTCTATGACAGAATCCTAACTTTTATCATTGAATGAATCAGCTTGCTTTCATTTCTCTCTATTCATTCCGGATGAAAAATTTAAAGTAGAAGAAACTTTAAATGTAGACTAGAAAGCGATTTCTTTTGTCTTTTGTGAAAACATTAGGCTTTCCTGGCAAAGTAAAGCTGAGTAACAGTTCCTTTTGTCTTTCAAGAATACTGTATTCTTTTGGGGAAATCTTTTAACAACCTGTCAATGCTTTCCTGGTGGCTTGCCGGTGTGTTGTTTGAAATCTGTCGAAACCAAAACATCTTAATTCAGAATGTTTATGTTAGATGTTGACTTACTAAACAATTATTTAATGGAACGCATTGATGATTTTATTATGTCGACATAATTTAATCGTTTTTCGTGGTGAAGTTCGAAGGCATAACAAATTGTGGAAAGTTTATCGAAAACGTTCATCTCGTTACAGCCAACTCCAAACACTATCTTGCAAATAATGGTAATCTTATGTTAGTAAAAGTCGCTGTGATCCATCGATATCCATCGATATACATATACACAATCTAAATATCTAGAAATAAAAATCTAATTATTTTATTGAGCTGAAACTCGGGTCGAAAACAACGACAACAAGGTGCATCTTTCATATCATATTGTCAATTTAAATTACTCGACACCAGGCTCCAGCACGTTGCTCTACATCATTAGCTGGGCATGGCAGTGGCGAGACCTTTTCTTTCTTGCAGCATTGCGTAACCATGGTTTCGTAGTGTTGACGTAGGTATTCACGTGATCGTATATCAGCCTTTGTAAATAAGAGAAAACAAAATCAATGTGTACAAAGTAGACGATTACCAAACACACAGAACACCATTAGCTACCTGTCTGATTGGTTCAGGAACTCGATATCTACAACACAACTCGCAGATCTTTAAACTTGTCTCCAAGCTAACCTTGTGACCAATCGACACGTAGATAGGATTTTTTGATTTCTCAGAACTCTTCAATGCCTGAAAAGAGACATTATGGAGACAGAGGATATATTATAGACAGACGAACCACAAGAAGATCTAGAGATATCACTTACAGCTCCAAATGTCGTACCAGAATCACCGACAAGGAAGAAATAATCACCAAACTTTTGTAGATGATCATTTATCTGTTAAAAATTCCTCGCAGTAGTATCGTTACTGGAGTCTTTGTTGCAATGTTGCAAATTATCAATAAAATTGTCGAAAAGCTGACCATACTTTTTTCAAATGAAATTCGTTTTTTTCAATACCATCAACATGAAATAACTTTTTCCCAACTCCTATTGTACACACATCGGTAATGACACCCAGATGACTTGCTACACCAAATCCTGGTTATAAGAAAATACATTCTGTTTTAGATGGACGAATCTACCCAGTTAAATAGTTCACGTTAACATCTCGTTTTGTTGTGTTCACAAAAATTTCGCTTGCAAGTGTTATACCTCTAGGGTGTAAAATCCCATTGCCATCAACAAAGATTACCTAAAGACAGGAAAAGAGGTTTTGTTTTCGTGCAAAGAAATAAGACGGTGTCCAGACAAGCATTTTTTTATAAAATCGTGTTTCTAGAATAAGATACGAAGTGTGGTGTAGTACGACAACAAACACCTCTGGTAAGATTCGAGGACGGTCTTTTTGAACTTTGTTATCAACCTCGCTAAATGTGGTGCCTCGCGAAATGCCAAAAATTCCGGAATGTATGGCTGATTCAGATGGATGAAATCATAATTTTCATATATCACCTGGCGGAAAACGACAAGTTAGAAGTGTGGCAACTGTTATAAAAGAATTTAATACCAACTGACTTCAAGTTTCGGCAACGATAAAACTACCAATGCCGCGCAGGCATGCTCCTTATCATTCTTCATAAATGATATATCTACACCACCAACATATTTCAGTCGAATTTCCTTTTCGTCATCAAACCAATCGCGAACATCAACAGTGATAAGTTTCTTCTTTAATTCACACTGCTGTCTATAGGAAAATGTTTTTTTTTGAACGTAAGAAAGCATTGCAGGTGTGACGCATGCGCATTTAAAGTACGAAGCTTAAACAAGACGTGATGGAGCTAATGAAGAGTTAGCTAGGAAAGGAAGTCACCACTCAAACGCGATAGAGAGGGATACTTGAAATGATATTGCAGCTGTGGATTTAAATTCAAACTTCCTAGATTACGTCGATCAAAATTGGAGTGGATAGTGATTGGAGGATGTTTTATTTCAAGTATTTTCGTGGATGGAAATCATATTTGGTCGTACCTTGTCCACTGATCTGTAATATGATTGGTCACTAGAGAAGTTTCCATAATTCCATCGAGAAATTCAAAGCCATATTTTGCCGTAAATTTATAGAATTGTTGAATTAAAATTTCATAAATTAATATATTCTTGCTGACCAGTATTTTGCAGGCGCAGACTTACGACAGCAGTATCTATGACAACAGGGAAGCCATATTTCTTTTCTTCGAAGATGTGAAGTCAAATTAAAGATTTTAGTGGATTTGTTTGTTCATAGTTTCCTGTTTGGAAAATGGGCGAAGTTACTGAAGCAAATGCAGCCGTTGTTGATACTGGTGGCTATGATTACAAGCGATTACATAGTTATCCTTTGATAAGGGTAGAACTTTTACACCACGAAATGTGTTTAACTGTGTTCACGCAAAGTTCATATTAAATGATTACTTGTGTTTGCCTTTTAGCAATCGGATATGAACGATGAAATGCGCACTGAAGCCATGGAGCTTTGCGTTACAGCCTGTGAGAAGTTTTCGACCAATAACGAAGTTAGTAAAACGTGATATAAAACATGAATATCCAAACACTTGTTCACTTCAAAATAATTTTGTGACATTACGAGCAGTCGAACTGACTTCGCTTTAGGCTGCTGCGAAAATGATCAAGGACAGTTTGGATAAGAAATTCGGTTCTTCGTGGCATGCTGTCGTTGGCGAGGGATACGGTTTTGAGATTACACATGAAGTCAAGAATCTTTTGTACATGTTTTTCGGTGGTTCAATAGCGATTCTGGTGTGGAAGTCATCATAGTGTTTTAATGAAGAAAAAGTACTGTATTTGTGCTCAAAAACAGAGATGAAATTTTATATATATGTATTTCTTATCATCGAGGTATAGTTATATAGTATTCGCAATAGATAAGAGACGGAAAATGTGCGCTTTTTAAAAGCAAAATACATTTCTGATTTCTGAAATGATGCTACATTTCTGTTAAACCTGATTGACGTTTCTCCTAAAAGCCACTAGAATCAAATGTTTTTACTCTCACAGACTCTAAAGATGAATCTGAACACCAAATGGTCCAAATGAAAACGCTTCCCAATTGCGTTATGTATTTCCCAATATTAGGGATATTTATGAATGTATGAACAAGAAACTTTAGTGATTGAGATGTCCGGGACGCTTAAACATGCATAAAAATCGTTATTTCTTTCGACTTTAAGAAGAAATGTGAGCCAGGCTTTATTGATCCTGTGGTCTAAATCCTCTGTTATTTATAATTGTCTGTGCATGAAATCTTCGGAAATTTCTTGCTTAACTGAGTTGTCGACTATATTTGTCCTTGCTCGCGACTTTCGTGGAGCATTCGGTTTAGTGTGATGTTAGAAAACTTCCTTAAAAGATGTTTATTTAAAAAATATGACTGTCCATGACAATTTTTTTAGCTATGGTCGAACTTAAAGTGATAAAGTAATTAACGAAGTACACTTGGATATCACTTCAGTAAGCCATCCATACAAATATTGAATAAATTTTCGTTTTCTTTGTCATTGTGGATTAAAACGCTTTATGAGAAGACGCTATTAAATTTTCCTTTGAGACGGACAAAATTATTGAAGTCAACTACATTGAAGTAATTAATAGATTGCCATCTAGTCGCATCACATATTACCTACAAAAAGTTGTGGACAATGCTGAGAACAGGCGAGAAGACGACATTTAAAAAGATTGAAGCAAGATCACCTTTGCAAACGACTTGTCATTTTGAGCAGGGGATGATTAGTCATCGAAAGGAACGAACAGCAGTTACAGCACCGTGTTCAAGAAGCGCAGATACTGAAAAGTATTTAAAAAAACGAGAATTGAAGTGGAAAAGCGAGTTTCCTCATCGTAAAACTAGCAGTAAAGGACGCAGTTCAAAAGATTCCTCCATTCCAAGACAGTACACATGTCCAACCATAATCAATTTAAATTTTGTAACATTCTTTAACAATCAAGATGGCTGGAAAAACCCCAAAGCCAGAAATCACATAAACGGATTCTTTCCTCAAAAAGTACGAAATAAAAAAATGGAAGCCGTCAAACGGGCTAAAACTCCAGAAATTCGTCTTTTATTTCTGCCTAAGGTAAAAAGTACGTAATATCTTACGGATGATAACCAATTGGTAGATTAGTAATCAGGGGGAGGAAACATTTAAAGAAATAAGAAGGGATGAGATGTGGGTATGCTACACTTACACCAAACTTTACTGTAATGTTTGTCCCTGTTTATAACCAATCATTGTACAATTGAAAGAGTGACGAAACATGAGAAACAAGGTCCGATTTCACTTCTGTAGCAGAGCTTATCTCCTATTAAAGAAGTTAAGTCTGAAACAACAGAAAAATGAAAATATTTAGACAAGAATTTACTTTCATTGTTCAGCCTACAGTGAACATATGTACAGAGTTTTTAATTTTACAGTTCAGGTCACATTTGAGAAGAAATAACTCAAGAACTTGTTGAAGTCCTACAGTTTTTCATTGGTTGTTGGAAATTCAAAGTAGTTTGAATGTATATGACCTAAAGAACTATGGGATATATAGAGCCTGAAAATCTGAGTGTGTTTGTATATTTGCTTATTTTTTATCACCATGGTTACAGTGGCACTGAGTTAAGTGGAGCTGTCAGCAAAACTTCTAGTTTTCTTCAAACAGGTATGGGGTAAAACACACAGCAGACGATTGGAATGTATAAAAAAACTTGATTATTAATGATTTTTGATAATGCCTATTAAGTTGCAATCCAAGCAATCAAGTCATGTTTATAAGTGTGAAAATGAATAAAGTCCTTTCTTGTATGAACATAAGTTTGAAAATTGGTAACCCAGGCATTAATGTTGAAAAATAAAAGTTTCTCCGGATTTTATAAATGATTTTTATTGAGCTTTCGACTCGGTGCTTCGAGCCTTCTTCAGAATAGGAAGTTACTAGCTATTTACATTTTCAACAATATATAAACACACATATACATATTTACAGTTGTTGGCAAGGTCACTTACCCAAGCTTAACACATCGTAAGCTTCCTTAGTTTTAAGCTTAAGGAAATCATTATCCTTGATCAATTGATGTATGTCATCATTGTTCATTTCTAACAGCATGCCTGTCAATTTTGCAGCAGTGTCTTCCTCTACATACCATTCTAAAATCCTCTCAAATAACTTCTCCCCTAATTCTTCCAGTGAGACCTCGGAAGAAGCTTCTTTTTCACTATAATGACAACAGAACAATATTCCAAGCAAGGAAAAGAATTACACAATACTTTCTATACTCAAGTGGAGTTAATAGGGTGGGAAGGGTAAGTGGGGTGAAGATAGGGTAGGAGGTGGAAGGAAGGGTGAAGATGGGGTGGAAGGTGGAGAGGTGGAGGAAGGAAGTGGAGGAAGGTGGAAGATGGTGGAGTGGGGGTGGAAGATGGATGGAGGGAAGGTGGGGAACATTGAAAGAAAGAACCAACCTATTGTTTGCATCATTGTATGTTTTTAGCACTGCATAAGCTTCATGTATTTTAACTAAAAGCGCTTTTTTGTCCAGTAACAATTGCTCAAGATTTTCAAGTTCCATTTCTAATAGCATTCCTGTAATTTTTCCAGCTATTTCATGGTCGTTATAGGCCTTTTCAACTTCACAATACATAACATCGCCGATTAATTTTCGTTGTTTGTCTTTAGATTCATTGTCTAAGGCTTTAATTGCTTCGTATATCTTCGCCATCAATTTACTATCATCGCAAAGAAGCGTTTTTAATTCTTCTTGTGGCAGTTCAAGTAACATGCCCGTAATTTTTTCCGCATTTTCACGCTGAAATGTGCAAACTTTATTGTACAAAGCAATGGAGGAATCTTCCTCCTGACTATTTTGTTCCGAGCTTACTTCGCTTCCCATAATAGCAAATTACAGTGTTAAAACATGACACCTTTTGCAAAGATCAGAATCATCGAAATAACAGTTTAAAACAATGAAACATTATATTTTCAGCTGTTCCTTCAGTATTGACAACTTAGGAGGTCATATTATTGTGATTTATTTCGTGTCTATTCACATCAACTTCTATACGGGAGGGAAAGTTATCTTTCTCCATATTTCATCCATATCGATAACGCTGACAAGCAGGTACAGAGGACTCGCTATTTAAATACTTCAAAATGGCGCGGGATTCGGCGGTAAGTAAGAAAGAAGACAACAAACTTTAACTTCGTGATTTTATAGCTTTTTTTCTGTCATTCGAAAGTACAAATGTATGATAAACGAATGATTTCTTTATTATTTATGTAGGACTGTGACATTAAGCGAATGTCAGGTTTGTTAAATGAGATTTTGTTGTCGAAAAGTTTGTCAAATGAGACGTCCCATCTTGTCGACAGTGTTTCCAATATTTTATCCGGATCTGTTTACAACTCTATGCCACCATTATTGGTAAGAAATTATTAAGTTTTTCGAAAAATACAAAAGTACATAAAAGTACATAAAACCACAAAAGCAATTAAACTTTCAACACGAAATATTGGCGTGATGTTTATATTGGCTTTTGCTGAGGAATTGTTTTTAAAATATGTTGTATTCTTTGATAATTCTTATTGTGAGTATTCAACTGTATATTGGAATGTCTTTGCACTGTGAAAAATTTTTCCTAATATCTGATAATTAGTCAATGATTCTTAACCTCAAAAGTTTTCCTTCTTATTGTCGATGATTCTAGCTAACGAGCGAAGATCGCCGGATATTACGTCGGGATCGCGAGGATGCCATCAAAATGGAAGATCATTTGTTAAAGAGGAAGCAAGAAAAATATTTTGATTTAGTTGATAAAGTTCAGATTGTGCTACATCGAATTCAGGTTTCATTGTTTAAACGATTTATTTCTTATGTTATTTTTATGGAGCTATAGAGCTGAGGGGGTGGGGGTGGACTTAATACTTTTTTAAGCTGGGGGGATGGACTCAACTCTTTTTCTAAGCTGAGGGGTGGACTCAATACTTTTCTAATCTGGGGGATGGACTCAACTCTTTTCTAAGCTGGGGGTGGACTCAATACTTTTTCTAATCTGGGGGGATGAACTCAACTCTTTTTCTAAGCTGGGGGTGGACTCAATACTTTTCTAAGCTGGGGGTGGACTCAATACTTTTCTAATCTGGGGGATGGACTCAACTCTTTTTCTAAGCTGAGGGGTGGACTCAATACTTTTTCTAATCTGGGGATGGACTCAACTCTTTTCTAAGGTGGGGGGTGGACTCAATACTTTTTCTAAGCTGGGGGGATGGACTCAATACTTTTTCTAAGCTGGGGGCAGATGGACTCAACACTTTTTCTAAGCAATTTTTTTGGTAAAATTCAGTATCCCACAAAGAGAATGTGTGTTCTTATCTTTCCATCATCTTTATCAAATAATCTTTGTCATCCCTGTACATGACATCCATGTTTCTTGGTATTGACCTCAATTTTACTTTAGGAGAAAAAATTAGTCAAAATTGTCCATCATACGGAGAGAAAAAGTGGCTCTCCAAGTGACTTAAATAACAATTCCTCAGGAGAAGATAGTGTCAAGTTTAGTGGTGTTGAACCTGTTCAAGAACCAACAGTGAATCATCCTCAATTAAAACTTCAAAGACCAAATTCCTTCTATGGCAACCATTATGCTTCACATCACTTTCCCGACCTGCCTACACATCACCTAGTAGAAAAACCCTCACGCCACCCCCTGGAACATCCTACACATCACCCCCCACATTCCCAACATCACTCCTTAGAACAATCTTATAATAATTATGAATGTCATCGTCCCATTACGTTCTCAAGCAATGATGACCAATTGAACAATGAAAATAATGGTTGTTTGCAACAACGAATTGAACCAATCCAACGATACCCTCAAGTGTACTCTACCCACAACCAATCAATTACGAGTACATTTCAAAATGATGACCAATACACTAATAAAAATGCTCGTTATATTAACCAACTGACGTTTCATCCCCAGCAAGTTGACTCCATGTTACCAGCACACGAAGATGAAGTTTCTGTTTTGCAGCAGAAGGAATATCTTGCAAAGGAACAGCAGCGTTTGGAAGAACATTATAACTCGTTGCAAGAGAAGTTGCTGTTCGACTTTCAAAGGCGCCAACAGGAATTACTGGAAATGTACAGCCAAAGTGTTCAATTGAGCTGTGAAAAAACTCAATCAGTTACCAGTGAAACAAGTACACTGGAAAGTACACACATGTCAAATGAAAGAAGATTTGAGAGATCAAGTGTTGTTGAACAAGAAGGATTCTCTAAAAGTCCGTTCGGTTTTTCTGCTACAAAATGCTCCACAAACCTCACGAATGCTCCGTTTAACGCAGACTTTGTAAATTCAACGCGTAGTTTGCGCTCTCTCCAAAAACCTACAGCAAAAAAGGAGGGGGTTGAAAGAACAAAGTCGACTTCTCCAAACAAGTGTGCATCTGTAAATGCTGCACTCGTGTTGAAACCAACTGCTGGGAAGTCCATACCATCAGATAAAAATTTCTTTGAAAATAAAGCGTTTGGTAAAGAGGACGTTTTCGACAAACATTCATCGGAGATTTTTGAAAATTCTTACGTGTCAGGCTTTGATCAAAGTATCATCTCACCTAACTCGATGAAGACTTCAGTTGTTTCCGCATTCAGCTCTTCATTTAAGTCGAACAATATTGATTTGAAAGAATTGAACCAACTGTCGTTTCCTGATCAAAGCATGCTTCAAAACGAGGCACTAAAACATTCGACAGGAAGCTCCCTTAAAGACTCCATCCAAGTTGGGGAAATTTTAGCGAGGAAAAGTTTTAATTCCGAAATAAGTGCTCAAGAGTTTTACGAATTTCCGCATTACGGAAAGGCCATCCAAAGAGAAAGGTTTTGTATCGTTTCGGCTCATGCAAAAGGCTTCCTTACCCGTTTGCTTTTCAAAACTGGAAAAGTTCAAGATCTTGTCACCACGATAAAGGTAGAATATACTGATTTACCAAAACCGTATTTACGATATTACATCGTGAAAGTATTTGATCATTTTTTTCATTCGTTTCTTCAACTCCACACAGGATGCTCGCAATGTTCTTGCCGATTTGAGCGTCGAGTACGGTCAGTCAAAGACTGATCGATCTTTCAAAGAACGAGTTAAAACGCAGGTATTGTTTGAATTTGACTGTTTTAACATAAGTAGTGATGTTTTGTTCTACTTTGGATATGATCTATTGATCTGGGCTTGCTTGCACAAAGGCCGAATAGTGCTATAAACTCGATAGCAATATTTTTGAACGCTCCAAAAATCTCTTGAAAGGGAAAAATCTACGATTTGAGCTGGACAATCAATGAAATACAATATTGTCTGAAGAATTATAAAGTTTCATTATCGTAAAGAAAATATAACCACATTTTCGCAAGTTTGAAAAAAATTTCATACATTCAATAACGCCATCCAGGTTTCGTGAAGCTGGCACCTGGAATAGAACCACGATTGTTTTATTGGGTGGTTGCTATGGTGTCAGACTTTTTTCTTTTAATTAAAGTACGTTTTTATAATGATTTAGAGATTTTTTGGTGTATAAGTATTTTGTAGGGAAATTAACACACCTCTTGCAAACCTCCTCTATCCCGTCCTGCAACCCTCGTCTATCCCCTCCTTCAAACTTCATCCATCCCCTCCTGCAACCTTCATCTATCCCCTCCTGCAACCCTCGTCTATCCCCTCCTGCAACCTCCTCTATCCCCTCCTGTAACCTTCATCTATCCCCTCCTGCAACCTTCAACTATCCCTCCTGCTTCATTTATCCCTCCTGCAACCCTCTACCCCTCCTACAACCTTCATCTATCCCCTCCTGCAACCCTCATCTACCCCCTCCAGCAACTTTCATCTATCCCCTCCTGCAACCTTCATCAATCCCCTCCTGCATCCCTAATCTATCACTGCTATAGATTTGTTTGAATTTTTGCTCAGATTTTTAATGCTTTCTTTCTCAAACATCCACATGAAGATTTCAGTCTTCACAGTAAACGTGATCACTTTCAACTCAACGTAAAATCTCTAGTAAAAAGACGGAATCGCATTCCACTGTTATAGAGATCATCAGTTCTACTCCATTATATTTTGGCTTTTTTGTACTTATGTCATTCTTAGGTTAGTAAAGAGAAAAGTTTGCATTTATAGTTTTTATTTTATTTTTTCATCACACCATTAGCTTCTCTTCGCTCAAAATCAGCTGCGTGGGATATTCGTCGATTCTCCTGCATATGTAAGAATGCAAATCCTGAATCACAATAGACGATTATTGCAGGAAAAACGGACGCGAAAAGTTAGTCAGGTATGGGTTGAAAATGAAGCATACAATGTGATGATGTCGGGCAGTGCGCGAATTAACGGTGTGCAGTGTGCAATTTGCACATTGTTTTAGCTAAAATGAAAACAATTGCACATCACTTTTTCAAACGATGTGCAAAAATCAGCGGTTTTAACGAAAAACACTGTCGTAAATCATATGAATTTGTTCACGTTTAAAAATATTAATTTAGCACTTAGCGCTGTATAATAATTAACGTAATATTGATTTGATTATGCCTGTAAAGAAACACTTTTGTCAAAAAAATTGCACATCGTTTTTTCTGAACTAATTCGCACACTGAATGTCGGGCAGTGTTACGATACTTGGTGTAAGATTACATTTCATTTTTGTACATTGAATATGCCTGGATTGCCAATCTTTAAACTTATATTTATTTATATACTACATAATATATAATATATATTTAAATATATGATTGTATCTATATTATAATATATATTTAAATATATAATATATGTGCAATTAATTGATACAAAGTTTGCGGCGCATATTCTGTTACGATGGAATGGGAGAGTTATTGTTTCTTTATACTATTTAAGTGATGTTTTGGGCTGCCTATGGTATTTGTTGATTTTTTAAAAATATTTTTTAGGGTCAATCTCCACGAAATGATGTTAATCGTCAGACTCCTAAGTTATCTGATGTCACCATGAAGAAACGACAATCCAGACGAGAAAAGTATCCTTTTGTCAAATTTGCCTGTAACTTTGCAGACTTTTCTCTCGTTAGGTGGTTACTGCTAAAAGGTTTCTGTGCTTTCGTGGTTCCTGTCGAGAGCATCGTCAGTTCGAGTAGCAAATGCTCTGAGGTTCCTTTATTCGTTTTGGCTAAGATTCAATGTCAAGATGGCTTTGTAGTTTTGTGCTAAGGTTCATATAATACAGAAAACCTACCCATTACATCTTGTAGAGCTTTAAAAATGTCCGAGTTTCCTTAACGTAGATCCAGTCAAGATAAAACACCCTTATCTAAGAAACACGAAAGTCCACAATCTGCCAAATCATCAAAGAGTAATGGCAAGAAACGTGCAACACCTAATATCCACACGGTAAACACACCAACCTCCAGAAGCAGAATTCCTCCAATGACCAAAGTAAATCCCGAGGCATCAACGGCAATTAGCGATTCTTCTACGGTTAATAGCGAGACTTCTACGTTAAATAGCGAGACTTCCGTGGTAAATACCGCGACTTCCACGGTTTGTAATGGTTCGCCTAATGCTGGCAAAGAAACGAAACATGCTTTAGTTGAAAATGAAACGTATTTTGGAAATTCCTTTACCACAGCTTGTGAAATCTCAAATTCTTCACCTGCACCTTTGATTTCAACAAAATCTGAAAATGTCGTAGCGAGTCTTTCGAGTGAAGGAATTAAGAAAATGACTACAAATATTGTTGAGAACGATGCCAGCGCAAGAACAAACACAAAATCCACCGCTATTAAAGGGAATGATAATCGATACACAGGAAATCGACCTTTGTCCAAGTCAAAAAATGGGAAAATAAATGAAGCTTCAAAAAATCGGCGGAAAACCTGGGATAAAGGGTAAGATGGGATGTCGTGGTAACACAGTGGGTATTCTTGTTGATATTGTGTCTACACATACGTCACTGGTTACCAGTCTGGTGCTCACCAATTCGGTGGCACTAAAGTGGCGAGATATCTAGTATGGTCATTTTTGGCAAAAAAAGAACTCCGTTCTGACCCTTTTCGACTTTTCTGAAACGCTGAACTCAATTATGTTTGCTTTTTAGGGTTCTTCGTCCGATTCAAGGACGACTGTCACCTCCGCTTCCATCATCAAAGACGAGGTTAGTGTTGTAATTTTTTAAGTTTTGATTCGTGTCTTACAAACCATAAAAAAAATATTAGAAATCTTTAAATCAACACATTACGTTATTGTGTGGGCTGTGTAAATCTAAGCATTACATCATGCGAAAATGTGTAAATTCAAACATTGCATCATCTGAGAGTGTGTAAATTCAAACATTACATCACGTGAGAGTGTGTAAATCTAAGCATTACATCATGTGAGAGTGTGTAAATTCAAACATTGCATCATGTGAGAGTGTGTAAATTCAAACATTACATCAGTGTGTAAATTCAAACATTGCATCATGTGAGAGTGTGTAAATTCAAACATTGCATCATGTGAGAGTGTAAATTCAAACATTGCATCATGTGAGAGTGTGCAAATTCAAACATTACATCATGTGAGAGTGTGTAAATTCAAACATTACATCATGTGAGTGTGTAAATTCAAACATTACATCATGTGAGAGTGTGTAAATTCAAACATTGCATCATGTGAGAGTGTAAATTCAAACATTGCATCATGTGAGTGTGTAAATTCAAACATTACATCATGTGAGAGTGTAAATTCAAACATTACATCATGTGAGAGTGTGTAAATTCAAACATTGCATCATGTGAGAGTGTGTAAATTCAAACATTACATCATGTGAGAGTGTGTAAATTCAAACATTGCATCATGTGAGTGTGTAAATTCAAACATTGCATCATGTGAGAGTGTGTAAATTCAAACATTACATCATGTGAGAGTGTAAATTCAAACATTACATCATGTGAGAGTGTGTAAATTCAAACATTGCATCATGTGAGAGTGTGTAAATTCAAACATTACATCATGTGAGAGTGTGTAAATTCAAACATTGCATCATGTGAGAGTGTGTAAATTCAAACATTGCATCATGTGAGAGTGTGTAAATTCAAACATTACATCATGTGAGTGTGTAAATCTAAGCATTGCATTATTCCAGAGTGTGTAAATATAATCAATGCTGGAGAAAATTTAGTTCAACACCAAATCACTCTTCACGAAGAGGAATATAACGCTTAAATTTTAGTTTTGCTTGTGTGTGCAAAGTTTACGTTACGGCGTTATTAATTTTTGTGTTCAGATTGTCAAACGAAAGAAAACAGTCGGTTTTATCGACAGCAAGAAACGTTGGTCAGAATTTACACAATGAATATCAGAAAAACAGTAAAACGCCTCCAACAACGAACAAATGTAAGGTGTCAGGAATTGACCTGAGCAAGACTTACAAAATAAGCAGTAAAACTGAAACTGCTTTGATCAAAAAAACAAATGCAAAACGTTCGCTTGCTGCGAACCTAACTCGCAAATAGTTGTCTCTAGCGTAGATTACAATGTACCTTCGTGTATATTGATGTATATTAATGTCCTCTCGACCTTAAGTTAGCTCGCAGATGGTTGTCTCTAGAGTACATTACATTGTACTCTCGTGTATATTGATGTATGTCAATGTCCTCTCGAACTTAATCTAACTCGCATATAGTTGTCTCTAGCGTACATTACATTGTACTCTCGTGTATATTGATGTATGTCAATGTCTTCTCGACCTTAATCTAACTCGCATATAGTTGTCTCTAGCGTAGATTACAATGTACTTTCGTGTATGTTGATGTATATCAATGTCCTCTCTACCTAAAACAAGATGTGACATTTATGTTTCATTGGTAGTTTTTGTGGCTATAATTGGAATCTGTAGCGTTGATTTTGCTGAAACTGGCGTTTTTATAATCTAATATGTAATACTAATCTATCGACATTTTTTAATGAAGAGACGTTAGAAAATGAAAGGAGTTAGAAAAAGTTTTAACGAAAATGCTCAGACCCGTTGCGAGAAATGAAGGGGCTCGGTCACCAAAATTTTTGTGATCCATTCTTGACACATGGGCACGCATCAAAAGTTTTTACTCCTTTTTTTCATTCAAGGCACCCCTTTAGCTGGGGCTAGGGTAAATCGTACCCTTTCACTCCCCTTCAAGATGGCCCTGAAAGCGCTGCCTTGGCAACCACAGCTAGGTTTAGAGAGTGATTCTTGGGTGTGATTGCGTTGGAGCAAATTGTTAGTTGAATCTTTTTATCTCTTATTTATGTTCTCTACTGGTGCATAATTGCTGTATTTTGAATTACATGCGTCGATTTCAAAGCAGAGTTGATCGTCTTAGGCAATCTATGAAAAATAGGACATCTTCATAAGTGCGACATTTTGAGATGTGGGCAGAAGTGTATGGGGTATCTTCATCAGCCCCATGTTGGGGGGGGGGGATCGCATACAGTGAAGAGAAGTAATGTTGATTTCGTGCTTTGTAGAGCATTGGCGTTTGATGTACTCCCTAACATGGCTGCTTTGACGTCACATGCTGCTTTGACTCACAATACTCTATTGAAAAGGGGTCTTCAAAGTGGGTCAGCTCCCTTCTATATATTGCATTGGTTTTTAATAATATGTATCATAGAGCAAGAAGTAGTGATGATATATAAGAGTGAGATCCTCCCTTGTTAAAAGTTTGGCAATACACCCCCCCCTGGATGTGGTCGGGGAAGACTGCCTTCCATGATCAGGAATCAAGAGCTAAAATATTCATGTCATTGATTGTTACACCAAGTAGCCCAATTTCGTATCCCGATGACATTTGTGATGGCAGGCTTTTTTGATATCCGGGCAATTGAGTTGAAGAATGACGAGAAGTTTGGTCGGTTTGTAGAAGCGGCAACGTGCCGTTATCTTTCCACTTTTTAGTTTATGTACCTTTTTCTCATCTATTTTGCTCTATAAACTCAGCATAGAAGTATGGGAAGAAAGAAGAAGAAGCCCATGAAGCCATGGTGCTGGTATCTTTTAACTTGTGTTGTATTTTGTTGTACTTTGTAGATGTGTTTTACAGCTGTTTTTTCGATAAACTTCGATGAATTCGCGGAGAAATTTCAGAGCACTAGTCCATTTTATAATCAATTTTGAGGGACAAGGCATACGTGAATTATTTTCAAAGTGAACGGGTAATCGGAAATTCAGCGGTAACGCGAAATCCGAAAATTTCAATCTAGAATAAGCTTGATACGAAATAGAATGTTGTTATAGGAAATAGGAGCTGTAATCTCAGCAACGCTCCACACAGTTTTCTATTAGTTGATCATAAACCACTTCTTTTCCTTAGCTGTTGTATCCAGGTATTGTAACAGAGAATTTGATGACGAAAAGGTGCTAATTCAGCATCAAAAGGCAAAGCATTTTAAATGTTTCATTTGCCATAAGAAATTATACACAGGTCCCGGTTTGGCCATTCATTGTATGCAGGTCCATAAAGAGCATGTTAGTGCTATACCTAACTCGTTACCTAACAGAGGTGACCCTGAAATAGAAATATATGGTATGGAGGGAATTCCCGAGAAAGATATTAAGGAACGCCGACAGAAGCTTGCGCAAATGGCTCAAGGTGGTGATGTTGACGAAGATGATGAAACTGGTTGGTAAAAAAAATTTTCAGTATTTGGGTTTTGTGTTGTGTTTAAATGTGCCATTTTTCAGATGGTGGCACTTCAAAGAAAGCCAAAACGGACACGACTCTGCACTCATTATGCCACCTATGGGTATGGTCCCCGGCATGCCAATGATGCCACCCATGATGCCCGGTTTTCCCATGCCTGGATTCCCTGGTGTACCTGGTTATCCACCAGGTCCAATTATGCCAGGTAAGTTACTTTTCTTCACATTCAACGTATATGCCATATAAACGCTAACAAAATTATTGGGGACCATAATTTTCTAAATTCTGAATGTTTCTATGCACAGGTATGCCTCCCATGCCCATACCCAACATGCCTCCAGCTGGGTAAGTGTTCATAAACTGTTAATCTTGCCATTACTGTATGAATTACAGTACTGCTCAGAAGTAACTTAACACTGCATCTAAATATTGTATAGGATGGCACCTCCTGGAGCTCAACCTACCGCTTCTGGTGCAAGGCCCTTATTCCCTTCTGCTCAGGTAACATAATTTTATATTAGACAACCTGTGTTTTTCAAGAGCATATAACTTTTCACTCGTTCAGATTTCTATGAAGGGATTTGCGGTTTTAGAATGTTTCATCGTCAGCTAGCAGCTCATCAACTGGTCCTGTTGGAGCAGATTTTAAACCATTAACATCAAACCCAACGACTGTTTACTCAGCTCCACCAACTTCATTAAATTCAAGACCTTCCACTTCGAATGAAGGTACGGATGTAGATTTGGGAAATACACATAATCACATAAATGTGATTGTTTTGCATTGTGTTTTTTTCTTATTTCAGATGGCATTTCTGGCAGTAAACCAGCGACAATACCCAGTACTGGCACATCTAGTAGAATTATTCACCCTAGTGAGGATATATCTCTGGTTAGTAGAACATTTGCAGCGATACAAAAACTTTTTGGGATTTTTCTTATGATCTCATTATCGTGCACAGTCAATAAACTAATAAATTTTCATTCAGGCTTATGCAAATTAACAGGCATGGATTCATCTTACTTTAGCAACATTCTTTATCCCCATAAAAGCATTATTCTCGACCAATAAAAATGGAGAAAAGGAATTATTACATCAAAAGAAAATAAGATTGCAAAATAATTTAAGTTAAAGATAAAATACCAATAAAATTTTATTGGTGACCCTACCTCCCCTTCCCCTTCCCCTGCTGTTTCCACAAAGTGTTATACATCTTTAATGAAATCCAGATTGTTAGGGGTGACCCAGCCCTCCTCCCCCTGACTTTTTGACAAAGTGGTGTACATCATATGAAATTCAGATTGTTAGGGATAACCCAGCCCCCCTCCCCCTGACTTTTCGACAAAGTGGTGTACATCTAATGAAATTCAGATTGTTAGGGATAACCCAGCCCCCTCCTCCTGACTTTTCGACAAAGTGGTGTACATCTAATGAAATTCAGATTGTTAGGGATAACCCAGCGCCCCTCTCCCCCCCAACCTTTTGACAAAATGGTGTACATCTAATGAAATTCAGATTGCTTTGCAATAAACTTTTCTTTTACTTGTTTTTCTATAGGAAGAACACATGGCAAACTTGTCTAAGCATAGAGCGAAGATACAAGGCACATCGATGTCTTCAACAAATCCTATATCAACTGCTCCTGTTATTCCTCCAATGTTTCCCCCACCTATGATGGTACCTCCAAGGATACCAGCAGGTATCCCCCCTAACCCTATGCAAGGTCCTCCAGGCAGACCTCCGCCTGGTGGATTTCCACCAATGCCTATCACTGGGCAAAACATGCCACCTCGTCCTCCTCCACGTAATATGATTCCTTTAATAGGTCAAAACAATCCACCCATGGGTTTGCCCGCTGGTCCACCCATGCGCCCTCCACTTGGAATGCCTGGACCTCCCGGACGATTTGGACCACCTCCACAGAGATTTTAAAGGTTAGGTGAAGGTTGTTGCTTAGAAGAATAGTTTAGCATTTCGCTATTCAGACATTTCTTCTGCCACACATTTTCTTTATCTGTAAAATTAATGCCTTCTTATTTTTGTCCTCTGTTCAAATTGAAAATTCCAAAAAGATATGCATTAGGTTGCTCTGTCTTTAGTTTCTTGACGATTTGATTAACATCAATAGCAAAGCCAGGATTGTTGATATGTTGTCATATCTCATGCAGTGTTATGTAATGTTTTATGATGATGCAAAACTTACTTAAAGTAAAAAATATGGTAGTCATTTGCAATTCAGGTAGAAAAGATGTTCTTTTAATGTTTGTGATGCAATTAAGTCATGATTTTTGACCCTGAAGGTCTCGTTAAAGTGAAATATAGTCGTAAAATTTAGATTAGCATTTAAACTAATTATAAAATGTTGTCAGGTAATGTGTCAAAGTTTTGCATTTGTTCTGGAAAATCTTACATTAAAATGGGCATCTTTTCTACTCTGTGTGATTGGTATTTTATACCTAAGTGAACTATTGTGTATTTGTTGTAATCTATAGCTCTCTGACCTGCATCAAAAAGTTCAAATAAATTGTGAGCATTAAGGAAAGGTAGGGCAGAACACACAAAGGTTTGTGGAACTGTCTTGACATTTTCTAAGGTTTACATGAAAAAAAACATGCTTAAGAAATATGTGAAGGTGTTTGGAACAAGCAGTTTGAATAGGTTGCCCATCAATTTTCCTGCTTTTCTACCATATTCCAAAGATTTATTTATTTAGACAAGTTAGTTTAGTAGTAAACTTTGATATTGTGCCTGAAGTCTTGTTTTCCTTATCGTCACCTGAGGTATGTAAAACTCTACATCTTATAGAAATTTTCCTTTTTTACTCGTTCTCAATTTTCATCTCCCAAGTAAATCTCTTTATAATGGCATTTTTATGGATTGAGGCTACGGTAAGAGTGACAATTTGTGATTAATGGTAATGTTTGGCCGGTATGGGCTTTTAAAAATTCATTTCATGTGTATTAGATTAATTTATATTGTGAAAATATGATGATTCTTTCAATGGATGATAATAAAGCTGTATTTTATGATATTTGTGTATGTGTCTGTGTATTGTTTCAAAAGATTTCATGAAAGGCATCATTTTCTTGGTGACTTTGTGTAAAGAATACCTAACCTTGACAAACACAACATGGGAATATTGTCACTAGGGAGGGGGATGTAAAATGTATACTTTGTTATAATTGAGTTTATTACAACTCAATGGGGGGGGGGGAAGTAGATGGATATGACATGGTATGGCAGCGCAATCCGCAAGGTGGATAAGGTACACGAGGTCCTCACACTGGGTACTCGGAGCTCAGTCAGTTCATTCACTTTTATATCATTGGTCAGTTCCTTTAACCAATATGGCGGACGAACATGAAATATGTGGTTTCAAGACGATCCAAGTAAAATTCGATGAAAGTACAGAAGCTTCTCATGTTTTGTATTTAAAGCCTCATTCAGTTCGTGAAGAAGATGAGCGCACACCAAGTCAAAGGACTTTATTTGTTTTAAACGTACCTTCTTACTGCAACAAGGTTTCTTATTCTCTTTGTGGTTTTCTTTAATACGGCTTGAGATTTTATATATAAATCTTTTCTCTCGCTCGCTATTTCATTAAAGTCATGTAAACTTAACTTCAAATGTGTGTAGGGGGCGCTGAGAAACGTGTTCGGTTCTTGTGGACCCATTCAAAGTGTTTACATTCAAAAGCAACCTGGTGGAGTCGCTGAAGTTAAGAAATCTTTCTTTAACTGGGAAAATAAACTTGCGGTAGGATTTTTATGAATTTTTCACTTTAAGCGTGGTTTGTTCACAGCCTTGCCGATCAACTAACCTTCAGACATACCACACGTAATTAATAATCAGTGATCAACAAAAACTACTTTTTTCTTGTTAACATTTGTATTTATTAGCCATGCCTTGAATGTGTACTATAAAAGCATAGCTTCTGTCACTTCAAATTTAGGGTTTCAAAGTTGCGTATGTTGTGTTCAAGAAGAAGACCTCTTTAGAAAAAGTGCTCAAGCTTGACGGAGATCAGATTTACTATTTTTCAACAAAGGAAAAACCTGTTGAAACAGGAATTCTCAGTAAGCATTGCATCATTTTAGTCGTGTAACAGAACTAAACACATCTATAGACAGAAGTACCTGTTAGGTAGGGTGAAACCCCTGGCTTTTATGTGAACCCCTTCCCCCAGTTTTTAAGGAATGTGGTGCTTTCTGTCAAATATAGAATGGTGCAAAGAGTGTGTCTCAATTTATCCAAATCCTACAAAATTACAAAAGGAAATTGATGTATTCATGAAGGGATTTGATAAGAATAAAGAAGAGGTGAACTTATTACTAATAAGTAATATGGAAATAGAAGAAAAAAACTTTTTTTTTCTTCGCACAGGAGAAAGAGAGGCTAAACAAGTTGCAATCGGAACCAGATGAAGATGGATGGATTACTGTGGGAAAAGGTGGACGAAAACCTGCTGCAAGCAAAGTGGAAGCAAAAGAAATTTTGCAAAAGAAAAGGAAGAAACAGAAGGTGAGATATTGTATGTTGGATAGAGGAATATAAAAGTTAATAAACTGTGGGTACCTTGGAAGGCCATAGGGCCAGGGAAAACTTGGAAGCCATGGAAGGCTATCAGCCCCAGGAAGACTTTAAGCACCACGGAACACCCTTGAGAGACCTTTAAGATTGTACAAGGTGTATAAGAAAAACTGCTACACTTTGAAGTGAGCAGATGTTTAGAATTGGAATCATTGAAAATATTTAAGGGAAAAAGGAAAGTATGCACTAAATAAGTGAAGTGTGTAATCATTATGATTATAAGACAAACTGGGGCTACTATGGATATGTGGGTTCATTCTTTCCAGACATGATATGTTTGATGGGATTACTTTGAATGTGTGGATACATGTTGGTGATTAATGATATGTTTGAAATCTATGTCCTAATCTTTTCTTTTTGCGACTATTTTAACTCTAGCATCAGCTTTATTTTTATAATTTTCAACAACGGGAAACCAGGAGAGAGCGTAAGTTGTTGTGCGAATTTCATTTGCCAGCCATGTCACCCTTCAGAGCTAAAATCTTCTCGTTCTTCAGATATAGCACAACTACGGAAAAAATTTCAAGAGGACAAGGAGAAGATTGAAAAAATGAAAGCAACGAGGAAGTTCAGGCCTTATTGATACATGTTTGTTCTTTATAAATTCTTGCCAAAACAGCTTGGATTTTTTCTTTCACATAAGCTAATGATAGTCTTTCTGGTAATTTATTTTAATGGTTTTGCGTGTTAAACTAAAAGCACCAATTTCTTATCTCATTAGGTGACATATGACTAAATGCTGACCATTTACGTGCTATCTCTAGTGAATTTCTAATTAGGACTCTGAAAGATCCCACAAGTTACTGCTAGGATCCTGAATCTTGTAAAGGATTTTGACCCTAAACGTATTTTGTACTGAGCCTAGATGCCAAAAATACTATGTCTTTAGCATGTTATAAATTGCAAGGAAGATGCTCATTTTGTTCAACTACAAATTCTAAGTGTTGCTTGGAAGATAAAGCTTCTCTTTCAAAATCAAAATGCAAGTAGGTATATCATTAAAATGTTATTTGTAAGGATTGTATTTTGGGATGAACATGGTTGAAAAACATAGCAAAATATTTCATGTTGATCTCCTTGAACTTGACTGTTCAAAGTGATGTTATGGTTTACGTGGTCTTTGGCATAACTTTATTCTTATTGAAGTTGTGCATTTTGTACTACTGTTGAATGTAGCGTCCGCCAAAAAAATTATATATTTTTGACTTATCCTACAGCCAAAACATTTCAAATCCCCTTTTTGATAAGATTAACCCTTTATCGACCAATCACACCTTTTCAGCTCATTTGGTTCAGATCTGCTACTGTGCACAATAAGATTAAAATATGTATTATTTTAGCACACCAGCTGTTCATAGCAAGTAATTTCACTTGTTATTCACTATAGAAGTTTATTCAACATAGAATTCCATGATGCTGATGAAGATTAATTTAATACTTTGGTCATTCGGCTGCCACCTGGTGGTGTAGGCCAATAGGCTTTTCCAATTGCCACCAGTGCAGTGTTGCCAGATGAAATTTTAAAATATTCATGCTCGCTTGCGTCAAAAGTTCACAAAAATGGCAAAAAGTTCAAATTACATCTAATTTTAAGATCGGAAGTTAACGGATTAACTCGGTCATATTCGGAAACTCTCGGACGTATTCGGAAAAGATCGGATTATCTTAAAATCGTCGTTTTGAAAGAACTGTCGAGCTATAAAGATTTTCTTTTCATTGAACTAAGATTTATCTATACATTCTTTATGAAAATGATGAAAATACAAAAATGCATAATACTTAGAAAAGTTCACAAAAAGTTCACAAACTTTTAATGTTCATGAAATGTTCATGAAGAGAGCAAAAAGTTCACAAATCTGTGAACTTTGTTCACGATCTGGCAACACCGCACCAGTGATTCACACCAGACATGTCGTGTGACTTCGTGATCAACCGTGACTATACATGACAGCATGTGACGTCAAGGTCACACGACGTGTACCAGTCAGTCTCATTTCAGTCTCTAGGAAAAAGACCATGTGAAATATCATAACGTTTCTGATGCTGTCGTTTTGTGGGAACATTTTTGTTCCTTTTACGCGTTCGTTTATCAGGAAACAAATCAAATTCTCCCGTGGACGATTGTTCTCTTCATTTAGAAGTAATAATTATTGTTATGAAGTGTTTTTAATCGTGACGAATCAAAGCGTTAAATTTAACAATAAATTAGTATTGTTTGCAGTGATTGCTTATGTTCCTTTGGTTTTTGTAGATAGAAAACGATTTTATGAAAAAGTCGATGTTGCTCAAACAAAAAGTAGGTCATTCTTCGTTTTAAAATGTTATGGAAAAGTTATGAAATACTGAATAGTTTCAAGGACAGATTACATGAGCCCGGGGTTGCCGCGATTCAGCGAAGCGCTAAATGCTTTTGGCAAATGGGTGCGTTTCAATTCTTATCACCAGATTGAAGTTTTGCTTTCGTTCCATGCGCCGAAATCATTTCACGACCCACTAAATCCTGGCTAGCGGGGATCATGTACGTTGCAACAAAAAGGTTCAAAGTTGGACATTTGGTCACTTGATATTATTAAGAGAATTAGTTTACACAATGTTTACTGCTCTGCACATTGTTGTAAACAAGGGGAGGAAAGGGGGTGAAAACATGAAATCTAGATAGAAATTCAGAGAGTAAGGGAAAACTAGATGACTATCTATGTTACTAATCCTGATATGCAAAATGTAATTGCCCAGAAACATAGGAAATTGCAATTTATGGACACTAGATATGAATATTTTCCTGGGGGGTGCCCCATCAAAACCTCAGCTCTGGTAAGGCCATCGATGTAGAACTCTTTTTGCTGTGATTTTGTGACAGTAAGTGAAACTATTTTCAATTTAGATGGTTATCAAATCATGCTTGATGATAAAACTGTAAAAACACCATATGGAAAGTACTTATGTGTGCCTTATGAATCATTAGCAGCGGCTTTGTCCGTAGAATGGGATGCTCAGGAAGACGTCATCAAGCCTGAGTTCATGCATTTGGTATTTTAAACTGCATAAAAGCACTATTGATAATGCGCATTTAATGAAAAAAACTCACATATCTTTTGACACCTTTTAAAATCACCTTCATGCAAAACTAACTATTCACCCTCTGTGCTTTAAAATCATCGACACTGCAGATACTACATTCACACTCAAAATCAAAGAAGCACTTCACATTAACAAAACTAACCCTAATCTCAACGTTTAAGTTTTTCGTTTTAGCACTATATTCAGCCTGTAAATACACTCATCATTAATTCTAACCACTATTTCATTGTAATATAATAATCTATTCATAAGTGTATAAATTGTATCACAGTATCATATTACTCATATATATTCATCACATACATAATACTCCTTATTATACTGAAGATGGCATCATGAGATGTTGAAACATGTTTATTTTAAAAAAACTTGTTGCATTTATTAAATGCGTATTTTGAACTACAATTAAACCTGTGTTAGGCAGCCATGTAATAAGCGGACATCTTATATTAAGTGAAGCATTTCCTGAAGTCACAAATTGATTCCCATGTACCTAATTTGCTGCAATGAAACCTCTATCAAGCATGGCACTACCATTTGGTGGGCACCAGTCCATTCCCCAAGGGTGTCTGCTTAATACATATTTGACTGTAAAAATTTTACTTTAAGTACATTGTTAAAAAGTAGGTCTTAATTGGTTGTATATGTATTGGTTTCTAGACCGCTCTTACTAACACAGTTATTGACGACCCACTTGGTAAAACTCCAGAAGCCAGAATAGAAGATGTTTTGGAGTACTTGATGACTGACACAGTTTGGTATGTACCTTAACATATTTGCTATATACAGTTATTTATCACATATGTATGTGTAGAAACAGTCACATTTTTATTCTTTTCTTTAGTTTTCTATCTGAAGAACCAGAAGACTTACTTGCATTGCAAAGTAAAGAATGGGGACCATTGTGGGAATGGTTTAATGACAGGTATTTCATAAGAAAATATTGCAATTTAAGCATTGTTATGTTAACACCTTCAAGCTATGGACATGCTGAAATAGTACAAAGATTCAAGAAAGATTACTGATTTGCTATTGTTGTGTATTCTGCCAGATTTGCTGTTTCGCTCGTACCTACAAACTCCTTGCTGGTGGAAATATCTCCTGAGATAAGAACTACCTTGCAGGATTATGTATCATCATTTAACAAATGGTCTTTAACTGGTAAATCCTTGGATTAATTAAAGAAACGACTGATTTTAAAATTTAAAGCTACCCTTTGACAAGTTCTGCTACTTCTTTTAAGGATTTGAGTATGCTGTTGAATCTGCGAAATCAGTTGTAATTGCATGTGCACTAGCAGAAAAAGAAATAACTGTTGAAAAAGCATCATCACTATCAAGATTGGAAGTTGAATTTCAAGTAAGTTTGGCTATTATAACACATTACCGTCCTTCAATATAATTATCCTTTCGAATAACCTCGTAACCAACCAGTGACGTCACCAGGTTGCTCAGACTAGGGGGGGGGGACAATGCAACCATAAAAGGTGTGAGACTAAAATATGGGTTCAAAGGCATGCCCCCTTAAAAAATGTTTGATTGTATGTTCTCTAAGACGCTATCTCTTTAGGCAGGTTTTACAATAATCTAAAAGCCACGGGTTTTTAGAAAGGCAACTTTCTGTTAGACGTGTAAACAAATGTATTCAAGTCAATCTTATGCACAACAATGCTTAAAGGTTGCTCTTTTATTGCTTTGTAACTTTGCTATGTGGCCGACTGCTAACAGGAAGCATCTATTTTTATTGCTGTTTGAAAATTCATTGCAAACTTTCCTTCATAACGTTTCATGTTTTTAAAATCTTAAAATTGGTCTCAGGAATATCTAGGAGACACTCATCCCTTGGGGGGGGCACTGCTTGCCAATCATTATTAAAGGGCTGTCGGTATATTTTCATATAAGCTTGTATGTTATTAAAACACATTTTGAAAATACAACAATAGAACACATTTGCTGATGGGTCTGTAGCTGTGTTTGCATGAGCCTGTGTAAACCAATCTGGGCTCAATTAATTAACTCAATCAAAAGGAATTTACAATTTAATTCAATCATATGTTAGAACTTAGAGAAAAAATTAGAACATTTTTTTATATTTGTATGTTTCACGTTACTGTTGTATTGTAAAAGAAATAAAAGATGTTTTTGCGTTTGCACTGGCTTCTGCAAACTGAGGAGATGTTTGTGAACTTTCAATCTTGGTTTGCAATGATCTGCTCTCAAGTTTTCACAGTCGTTTATTGTCAAACATCTTTTATTGTCAAACATCTTATATTGTGAGATATTTTTTATTTGTTTTTTAATATTGATTGCTATACTCATCTTGTGTACTGCAGATAAAACAATGGGGCAATGTTGAATGGGCACATGAAGTTGACCTGATGGACTTAAGAAGTCGTTTAGCAGCAGCAACACTTTTTTTCCATCTCACAAATGGCAGTACATTGGATGGTTATGGAGAATGACTAAATGGATAAGGTTTTTATGTCATTGTCTGTCTGTAACATTGTTTAACTTGAGATTGTATGGTGTATATTATTTTGTAGACTATGATATAGTTGTTGCTATGTAACATGTTTATAAAACTTATTAAAACTATGTACAATAATTTTGACAGTAACATTTGGTTAGCATTACGCTCCCATGTCAAAGGTGTCTATTTCATCGCGAAAATGATCAGAAAGGTTGTTGATTTCTGCAACACGCTTTCGATTTCGAACTATCTCTTCTGAGTGAATGCTTTCTATCAACGTTTGCATGTTCTGGTGGGCTTGCGTTGCAATCTCGTCTTCCTAATGATCAAGGTAAAGTTAATGAAGTCATTTGACGAGTGGGACTGGCACTAGTATTGATTTACTTAAATCGTACTGTCCCAATATGTTTATGTAAAACTAGGTAATTTCTTCAATGGGGCTTCCCGCTTTCAGTGTTTTGATATATTTTCTGGCGATGGGGAGAAATAATTTGTGGTAAGAATGAGGAGGGAAATAATAACGCTAAAATAGAAGTTAAAAGCCGCGCGGGACTCGGTCTAGTTAACTTTTGATAGCGCGTAGACGTAATTACTGGTGTTGTTTGTTAAAGTTTGAACTTGGCTTGTGGAGAATTTTATTTTTGTAGTTTACTATGCAGCGTAATAGCTAGTGGTTTATTTAAGGATTTAATGGATTTAATGGATTTAAGGATTTAAGGATTTAAATAAACCCACGAGGTTTGCTAACACGGAACTGGGAAAATAAACTTGCGGTAGGATTTTTATGAATTTTTCACTTTAAGCGTGGTTTGTTCACAGCCTTGCCGATCAACTAACCTTCAGACATGCCACACGTAATTAATAATCAGTGATCAACAAAAACTACTTTTTTCTTGTTAACATTTGTATTTATTAGCCATGCCTTGAATGTGTACTATAAAGCATAGCTTCTGTCACTTCAAATTTAGGGTTTCAAAGTTGCGTATGTTGTGTTCAAGAAGAAGACCTCTTTAGAAAAAGTGCTCAAGCTTGACGGAGATCAGATTTACTATTTTTCAACAAAGGAAAAACCTGTTGAAACAGGAATTCTCAGTAAGCATTGCATCATTTTAGTCGTGTAACAGAACTAAACACATCTATACACAGAAGTACCCGTTAGGTAGGGTGAAACCCCTGCCTTTTATGTGAGCCCCTTCCCCCAGTTTTTAAGGAATGTGGTGCTTTCTGTCAAATATAGAATGGTGCAAAGAGTGTGTCTCAATTTATCCAAATCCTACAAAATTACAAAAGGAAATTGATGTATTCATGAAGGGATTTGATAAGAATAAAGAAGAGGTGAACTTATTACTAATAAGTGATATGAAAATGGATGGAAAAAAACTTTTTTTTTCTTCCACACAGGAGAAAGAGAGGCTAAACAAGTTGCAATCGGAACCAGATGAAGATGGATGGATTACTGTGGGAAAAGGTGGACGAAAACCTGCTGCAAGCAAAGTGGAAGCAAAAGAAATTTTTCAAAAGAAGAGGAAGAAACAGAAGGTGAGATATTGTATGTTGGACAGAGGAATGTAAAAGTTAATAAACTGCTGGTACCTTGGAAGGCCATAGGGCCAGGGAAAACTTGGAAGCCATGGAAGGCTATCGGCCCCAGGAAGACTTTAACACCACAGAACACCCTTGAGAGACCTTTAAGATTGTACAAGGTGTATAAGAAAAACTGCTACACTTTGAAGTGAGCAGATGTTTAGAATTGGAATCATTCAACAGTGGTTGAATCTCGAAGACCAGTAAACGCATTTGAAAATGATACTTGAATTAAGGCAATTCTACATAGCTGATTTCAAAGAATAGCAGTTTTTTGTTCAACCCATAGAACCATGGAAGCGAGAGTTGGGTAATTGAAAATATTTAAGGGAAAAAGGAAAGTATGCACTAAATAAGTGAAGTGTGTAATCATTATGATTATAAGACAAACTGGGACTACTATGGATATGTGGGTTCATTCTTTCCAGACATGATATGTTTGATGGGATTACTTTGAATGTATGGATACATGTTGGTGATTAATGATATGTTTGAAATCTATGTCCTAATCTTTTCTTTTTGCGACTATTTTAACTCTAGCATCAGCTTTATTTTTATAATTTTCAACAACGGGAAACCAGGAGAGAGCGTAAGTTGTTGTGCGAATTTCGTTTGCCAGCCATGTCACCCTTCAGAGCTAAAATCTTCTCGTTCTTCAGATATAGCACAACTACGGAAAAAATTTCAAGAGGACAAGGAGAAGATTGAAAAAATGAAAGCAACGAGGAAGTTCAGGCCTTATTGATACATGTTTGTTCTTTATAAATTCTTGCCAAAACAGCTTGGATTTTTTCTTTCACATAAGCTAATGGTAGTCTTTCTGGTAATTTATTTTAATGGTTTTGCATGTTAAACTAAAAAGCACCAATTTCTTATCTCATTAGGTGACATATGACTAAATGCTGACCATTTACGTGCTATCTCTAGTGACTTTCTAAGTAGGACTCTGAAAGATCCCACAAGTTACTGCTAGGATCCTGAATCTTGTAAAGGATTTTGACCCTAAACGTATTTTGTACTGAGCCTAGATGCCAAAAATAATATGTCTTTAGCATGTTATAAATTGCCAGGAAGACACTCATTTTGTTCAACTACAAATTCTAAGTGTTGCTTGGAAGATAAAGCTTCTCTTTCAAAATCAAAAATGCAAGTAGGTATATCATTAAAATGTTATTTGTAAGGATTGTATTTTGGGATGAACATGGTTGAAAAACATAGCAAAATATTTCATGTTGATCTCCTTGAACTTGACTGTTCAAAGTGATCTTATGGTTTACGTGGTCTTTGGCATAACTTTATTCTTATTGAAGTTGTGCATTTTGTACTACTGTTGAATGTAGCGTCCGCCAAAAAAATTATATATTTTTGACTTATCCTACAGTCAAAACATTTCAAATCCCCTTTTTGATAAGATTAACTCTTTATCGACCAACCACACCTTTTTCAGCTCATTTGGTTCAGATCTGCTACTGTGCACAATAAGATTAAAATATGTATTATTTTAGCACACCAGCTGTTCATAGCAAGTAATTTCACTTGTTATTCACTATAGAAGTTTATTCAACATAGAATTCCATGATGCTGATGAAGATTAATTTAATACTTTGGTCATTCGGCTGCCACCTGGTGGTGTAGGCCAATAGGCTTTTCCAATTGCCACCAGTGCAGTGTTGGCAGATGAAATTTTAAAATATTCATGCTCGCTTGCGTCAAAAGTTCACAAAAATGGCAAAAAGTTCAAATTACATCTAATTTTTAAGATTGGAAGTTAACGGTTAACTCGGAAATTTTCGGAAACTCTCGGACGTATTCGGAAAAGATCGGATTATCTTAAAATCGTCGTTGTTTTGAAAGAACTGTCGAGCTATGAAGATTTTCTTTTCATTGAACTATGGTTTATCTATACATTTTTTATGAAAATGATGAAAATACAAAAATGCATAATACTTAGAAAAGTTCACAAAAAGTTCACAAACTTTTAATGTTCATGAAATGTTCATGAAGAGAGCAAAAAGTTCACAAATCTGTGAACTTTGTTCACGATCTGGCAACACCGCACCAGTGATTCACACCAGACATGTCGTGTGACTTCGTGATCAACCGTGACTATACATGACAGCATGTGACGTCAAGGTCACACGACGTGTACCAGTCAGTCTCATTTCAGTCTCTAGGAAAAAGACCATGTGAAATATCATAACGTTTCTGATGCTGTCGTTTTGTGGGAACATTTTTGTTCCTTTTACGCGTTCTTTTATCAGGAAACAAATCAAATTCTCCCGTGGACGATTGTTCTCTTCATTTAGAAGTAATAATTATTGTTATGAAGTGTTTTTAATCGTGACGAATCGAAGTGTTTTTAATCGTGACGAATCAAAGCGTTATATTTAACAATAAATTAGTATTGTTTGCAGTAATTGCTTATGTTCCTTTGGTTTTTGTAGATAGAAAACGATTTTATGAAAAAGTCGATGTTGCTCAAACAAAAAGTAGGTCATTCTTCGTTTTAAAATGTTATGGAAAAGTTATGAAATACTGAATAGTTTCAAGGACAGATTACATGAGCCCGGGGTTGCCGCGATTCAGCGAAGCGCTAAATGCTTTTGGCAAATGGATACGTTTCAATTCTTATCACCAGATTGAAGTTTTGCTTTCGTTCCATGCGCCGAAATCATTTCACGACCCACTAAATCCTGGCTAGCGGGGATCATGTACATTTCAACAAAAAGGTTCAAAGTTGGACATTTGGTCACTTGATATTATTAAGAGAATTAGTTTACACAATGTTTACTGCTTTATACATTGTTGTAAACAAGGGAGAAAGGGGGGTGTTGCCCTTGTGGGGTGAAAACATGAAATCTAGATAGAAATTCAGAGAGTAAGGGAAAACTAGATGACCATCTATGTTACTAATCCTGATATGCAAACTGTAATTGCCCAGAAACATAGGAAATTGCAATTTACGGACACTAGATATGAATATTTTCCCGAGGGAGGGTGCCCCATCAAAACCTCAGCTCTGGTAAGGCCACTGATGTACAACTCTTGTTGCTGTCATTTTGTGATAGTAAGTGAAACTTTTTTCAATTTAGATGGTTATCAAATCATGCTTGATGATAAAACTGTAAAAACACCACATGGAAAGTACTTATGTGTGCCTTATGAATCATTAGCAGCGGCTTTGTCTGTAGAATGGGATGCTCAGGAAGACGTCATCAAGCCTGAATTCATGCATTTGGTATTTTAAACTGCGTAAAAGCACTATTGATAATGCGCATTTAATGAAAAAAACTCACATATCTTTCGACACCTTTTAAAATCACCTTCATGCTAAACTAACTATTCACCCTCGTGCTTTAAGATCATCGACACTACAGATACTACATTCACACTCAAAATCAAAGAAGCACTTCACATTAACAAAACTAACCCTAATCTCAACGTTCAAGTTTTTCTTTGTAACACTATATTCAGCCTGTAAATACTTTCATCATTAATTCTAACCACTATTTCATTGTAATATAATAATCTATTCATAAGTGTATAAATTGTATCACAGTATCATATTACTCTTATATATATTCATCACATACATAATACTCCTTATTATACTGAAGATGGCATCATGAGATGTTGAAACATGTTTATTTTAAAAAGACTTGTCGCTTTTATTAAATGCGTATTTTGAACTACAATTAAACCTGTGTTAGGCAGCCATGTAATAAGCGGACATCTTATATTAAGTAAAGCATTTCCTGAAGTCCCGAATTGATTCCCATGTACCTAATTTGCTGCAATGAAACCTCAATTAAGCATGGCACTACCATTTAGTGGGCACCAGTCCATTCTCCAAGGGTGTCTGCTTAATACATATTTGACTGTAAAAATTTTACTTTAAGTACATTATTAAAAAGTAGATCTTAATTGGTTGTGTGTGTATTGGTTTCTAGACTGCTCTTACTAACACTGTTATTGACGACCCACTTGGTAAAACTCCAGAAGCCAGAATAGAAGATGTTTTGGAGTACTTGATGACTGACACAGTTTGGTATGTACCTTAACATATTTGCTATATACTGTTATTTATCACATATGTATATGTAGAAACAGTCAAATTTTTACTCTTTTCTTTAGTTTTCTATCTGAAGAGCCAGAAGACTTACTTGCATTGCAAAGTAAAGAATGGGGTCCATTGTGGGAATGGTTTAATGACAGGTATTTCATAAGATAATATTGCAATTTAAGCATTGTTATGTTAACACCTTCAAGCTATGGACATGCTGAAATAGTACAAAGATTCAAGAAAGATTACTGATTTGCTATTGTTGTGTATTCTGCCAGATTTGCTGTTTCGCTCGTACCTACAAACTCCTTGCTGGTGGAAATATCTCCTGAGATAAGAACTACCTTGCAGGATTACGTATCATCATTTAACAAATGGTCTTTAACTGGTAAATCGTTGGATTAATGAAAGAAATGACTGATTTTAAAATTTAAAGCTACCCTTTGATATGTTCTGCTACTTCTTCTTTTAAGGATTTGAGTATGCTGTAGAATCTGCGAAATCAGTTGTAATTGCATGCGCACTGGCAGAAAAAGAAATAACTGTTGAAAAAGCATCATCACTATCAAGATTGGAAGTTGAATTTCAAGTAAGTTTGACTATTATAACACATAATATAATTATCCTTTCAAATCACCTTGCAACCAGTGGTGTCACCAGGTTGCTCAGACTAGGGGGGGGGGGACAATGCAACCATAAAATGTGTGAGACTAAAATATGGGTTCAAAGGCATGCTCCCTTAAAAAATGTTTGATTGTATGTTCTCTAAGACGCTATCTCTTTAGGCAGGTTTTACAATAATCTAAAAGCCACGGGTTTTTAGAAAGGCAACTTTCTGTTAGACGTGTAAACAAATGTATTCAAGTCAATCTTATGCACAACAATGCTTAAAGGTTGCTCTTCATTGCTTTGTGACTTTGCTATGTGGCTGCTAACAGGAAGCATCTATTTTCAATGCTGTTTGAAAATTCATTGCAAACTTTCCTTCATAACATTTCATGTTTTTAAAATCTTAAAATTGGTCTTAGGGATAACGAGGAGACACTCGTCCCTTGGGGGCACTGCTTGCAAATCATTATTAAAGGGCTGTTGGTATATTTTCATGTAAGCTTGTATGTTAATAAAACACATTTTGAAATTACAACTATAAAACACATTTGCTGATGGGTCTGTAGCTGTGTTTGCATGAGCCTGTGTAAACTGATCTGGGCTCAATTAATTAAATCAATCAAAAGAATTTACAATTTAATTCAATCATATGTTAGAACTTAGAGAAAAAATTCAAACATTTTTTTATATTTGTATGTTTCACGTTACTGTTGTATTGTAAAAGAAATAAAGATGTTTTGCGTTTGCACTGGCTTCTGCAAACTGAGGAGATGTTTGTGACTTTCAATCTTGGTTTGCAATGATCTGCTCTCAAGTTTTCACAGTCGTTTATTGTCAAACATCTTTTATTGTCAAACATCTTTGTTGTGAGATATTTTTATTTGATTGTATATGCTTAATTTTGAGTTCGAATCCTGTTGAGTCACCTTTTTCAATATTGATTGCTCATACTCTATACTCATTCGTGTACTGCAGACAAAACAATGGGGCAATGTTGAATGGGCACATGAAGTTGACCTGATGGACTTAAGAAGTCGTTTAGCGGCAGCAACACTTTTTTTCCATCTCACAAACGGCAGTACATTGGATGGTTATGGAGAATGACTAAATGGATAAGGTTTTTATGTCATTGTCTGTCGGTAACATTTTTTAACTTGAGACTGTATGGTGTATATTATTTTGAAGACTATGATATAGTTGTTGCTATGTAACATGTTTATAGAACTTATTAAAACTATGTACAATAATTTTGACAGTAACATTGGTTTAGCATTACGCTCCCATGTCAAAGGTGTCTATTTCATCACGAAAATGATCAGAAAGGTTGTTGATTTCTGCAACACGCTTTCGATTTCGTACTACCTCTTCTGAGTGAATGCTTTCTATCAACGTTTGCATGTTCTGGTGGGCTTGCGTTGCAATCTCGTCTTCCTAATGATCAAGGTAAAGTTAATGAGATAATTTGACGAGTGGGACTGGCACTAGTATTGATTTACTTAAATCGTACTGTCCCAATATTTTTATGTAAAACTAGGTAATTTTTTCAATGGGGCTTCCCGCTTTCAGTGCTTTGATATATTTTCTGGCGATGGGGAGAAATAATCTGTGGTAAGAATGAGGAGGGAAATAATAACGCAAAAATAAAAGTTAAAAGCCGCGCGGGACCTCAGTCTAGTTAACTTTTGATAGCGCGTAGACTTAATTAGTGATGTTGTTTGTTAAAGGTTGAACTTTGCTTGTGGAGAATTTTATTTTTGTAGTTTACTATGCAGCGTAATAGCTAGTGGTTTATTTAAGGATTTAAGGATTTCAATAAACCCACGAGGTTTGCTAACATTATCATTGATTTAACTTTATGTAATCTAACTCTATCTAACTGTAAAGAGTAAAATTATTGTTTAATTGAAAAATACCTTTCGTATTCCAACTTACTTTGTTGTCAATTTTTGACAGTCTAGTTTCGTGAGAGGATCCAACGACTCCCATAACTGTATCTTTATCCACAAACAACTAAAATAAAGTCGCGTTAAAGTAAATGGTTTGAACCCGGGAGTATCGTTACATGTTTGTAAATGTAGATCGTCCAGGTTTGTATAGTCTTGACTCTGAAGATGACTACCGCTAAGTTTGTCGAAAGGTCAGTCAACAACAACAAAAACAGTCCTTCTCAGGACTCTACCAACCTGGACGATCGACATCTACAAACATGTAAAGCATAATATACTGTGCGTATAAAAAATTGAATAGAACTTTAATATACCCTCTTGCGTTTGATGTTTGATGATGGTGTTTGGCGCTTATGTTATTGCATTGCAAAAAGAAGAGCTGTTTAGCTTTTCAATGATAGTTTTTTATTTCATAACAATCAGAAGCGATCGATACTTATCAAATAAAAATTGCATTCCACCTTTCCTCCGGTAGACACACGAGATCAAATTACAAAATTCGGACAATCAACTGGTCGGACATTGTATTGTTTATGTAGAAAAATGGTTAGGAGATGCTTTTGAATTGTTTGGGGGCGGGCATGAGTAATAAATTGGACGGCTGTCTCTCTGCGATCAAAAAAGTCCTTTGAATGCGAAAAGTGTACTGTTTAATCGCAAAATTACTCGAGAAGAGAAGTTGCTTTCTAGATTGAATCATGAAAATATTATAAGGTAAAAAGAAATTTATCATCCGAAATGGATCAAAATTTTATGTCGTTAGGGTTCAATTTAGACAATACAAATGGCCTTGCCTATTAAATGTTATCCTTCTAAGAACTATTATAAAAAAGTAGATAATCCCTTTTTTTCATGAAGCCCATGGATGCTTTGGTTCATGATGAAAGAGTTGCGTTGTATAAGGAGGCTCTCGTACATCACGAGAGAGTTATGAGAAAGGTTACATTGTAAAGGTTACATTTGTAACATGTAAAAAACGTATAAACATGTTTAGAGTTGGTTTAAATTATAAGTCAAAGAGGCAGAAGTTTTTTGAACATTTGCAGTATCCTTGGATGTCTTAGTTTCTTTTATGAGATAAACAAAAAGATGAAATTCAAAAGCAAAAAACCCCGTTTTCGGTTCATGCTTCCCGATACCATCTTAAGCGTAAGGCACTTCATAATCGGCTCTAGTAGATGCAAATGGTCGTTGCCATAACCATGAACTTGGGCAGTTAACCACTTCGACTGCGCATGCGCAGATGATTTGTCTGATAATTTGCGACTGAGCTAATCGCCAGAAATGTAGTGCAAGTACATATAGTTAGTCGTTGCCATGACTATGAACAATAAGTCGAGTGGAGTGCGCATGCTCGAGCGCATGCGCAGATGATTTCTATATGAAATTGTTTATAAACATGCTATTTACTTCAAAATCGGCTCTAGTAGATGCAGTTGGTCGTTTCCATGACCATGAACTTGGGCAGCTGGTTAAGTCGACTGCGCATGCTCAAGCAGACTGCGCATGCGCAGATGATTTATCTGAAAATTTGTGGCGGAGCGAGCTCTGAAATTGGTGCTTGCATATGCGCTCAGCAATTTTTCATTCATATTTTTGGCATGCTCTTTGTCCTCTTAAGCTTGTTTTGACAAATGCATATCAAAACCATCAACACTTACGGCACTCGTACTATCCGTGACAACGTTAAAATTTTTTTTTCTATAACTTTGTATCTGTATATTGCATGTCATATCCAAGCTTTCCTTTGATTTGACGGAAAATGGTTTTATCCACTCTTACAACGTCTGCCTTTATAATCAGTAGTTATGTATTTCTAAAATAGGATTTACAAATGCCCGAAGAGCATCTTCTTTCTATTTTATTGCCACTATTTTACGTAAACAATACTATGTCCGACCATTTGATTGTCCGAATTTTGTAGTTTTATCTCGTATTTTTGACACGTGTGTTTACGGTCGGGAAAGGTGCATTCAAAATTGCATTTCTCCAACGTTGGGAATTCAGTAAAATTTATTAGGTTTTACATCCATTTCTACGGTGGCTCACAAGGGCCACCACCACACAAAATAAAAATATTAATACACACACAAAATACATTATACACACACAAAATAAAAATACACACACAAAATACATTATACACACACAAAATAAAAATACACACGCAAAATACATTATACACACACAAAATAAAAATACACACACAAAATAAAAATACACACAAAATATGATTGCGGGCGCTTGCAGTGTCGGATGGTCTGACTATCATATTATCAGTTTGTAATCAGATATATGTAATTCACTAATTGTGATTTTAACATGTGGTCGACTTGTCGTCGTATTTAACTGTTTCAACTGCGAAACATTTGAAATTACATTTGGAAAGGAATCGAAAGCAAGCTCTTGCATAATCCTGGCATAATTATGTTTTGTGCCAACTGTGGTGCACAATCACTTGACGAAGCTTGTTTTTGTCACAAATGCGGTGTGCGTTTGGGAAGATTAACTTCTTTGCCAAAATGTTCTGAAGCGTCAATGACGAGTAGCGTCTCTTCAAGCAGTTGCCCTTCGAGCTCTGCTAGTCCGTTAACTTCAACTTCAAGTACCCCAAAGCTGTTTATAACTGGTACAGGACAGGCTAGACCAATAATGTCCTTTCAAAGGACAACACATTAACCTTAATTTTAACCAGAATACGGGGAGCAATGTCGTAAGCAACTTTGAAATAATTGATCACAGTGAAATCAGTGAATTTTGTTATGTACTCTGGAAGTTGGAACCATTAGAACTTTGAAAACAAAAACGATCAATTACGAGCAATTCCGAGTAAGCCGACACTGCAAGCGCCCGCAATCATATTTTGTGTGTATTTTTATTTTGTGTGTGTATTTTTATTTTGCGTGTGTATTTTTATTTTGTGTGTGTATAATGTATTTTGCGTGTATTTTTATTTTGTGTGTATAATGTATTTTGTGTGTGTATAATGTATTTTGTGTGTGTATTTTTATTTTGTGTGTGTATTAATATTTTTATTTTGTGTGGTGGCCCTTGTGAGCCACCGTACATTTCGTACAGACACAATGAAACAGCGGATTTTTCCTCTGTGTTGTATCACATGCACTAAAGTCTGCCCAATTGTATCCATTACCCAAAATACAATGTCGAATGCACGTTTGCCAATAAAAGTTGGATTCGCTTTTTTTACACACATTGTATATTTGCGGGAAAATATTGCCCTATGCCTTTATAAATGTCGACGCATGGCTCATCTAGTGATTCTTAAGTATTCATGGGTTCTAAGTAGTGATTTAAGTATGGTTCTTAAGTATTCATGGGTTCTTAAGTAGTGATTTAAGTATGGTTCTTAAGTATTCATGGGTTCTTAAGTAGTGATTTAAGTATGGTTCTTAAGTATTCATGGCTCATCTAGTGATTCTTAAGTAGTCATGGGTTCGAATTCCGTTGAGTCACCTGAATTTTTCAGGCTCATGAGACAATTGCTTAAATTGTCCAGCTAAGTGCGAAGATCATATCTTCATTTAATTTCAAACACCGCACTGCATATAACATTGTTTCATATGATTCTTAAGAATTCATGGATTGTAATGATTGTATGTATGTAAAGATATTGTTACATTTGATTATCGTCTTACATACAAAAATAACTCTTTTCTACCCGTTTCCTCGATCGGTTTACATTCGAAATCACGTGATGAAAGATTGAATTAAACATTGTCATGTGTAACTCGTTAGTTAAAAGTGTACATACCATTCTCACATCGTCAGGCAGTTCGTCTCCCATTTCGTTTTTTAGCAGTTTATCCAACGTAGAAACGGCGATGTCTTGGAGTTTTTCATTGTGAATTTGTTCAATCTCTCTCAATTGTGTCATGGTGTGTATAGTTAAGGTAATAGCTGCTGATTTGTGAAATTATGATTAAAATTATTGTTGGCGTTGTTTTAATTGTTCGCTATTTTTTTGCAGGAGTCGACGAAGAAAAAATCATATTTTGTGAAAAAATAGATGGAACGTCTAACGAAAATCCTCGAAGATGGAATGCAGTTGATATCTTACTCTGAATAACGGCACAAGATAAGTGATGATAGACCAGATGTAAAACCTCCGCAGTATCATTTCATCCATTATAAAATACTTTTGAATCTCCCGTAAGCGGACATCCTTGGGACAACGACATGATGTCCCCTTATTAGAGGTCACGTGGTATAATATACTATAGTCTATCGAATCTCCCGTAAGCGGACATTCTTTGGACAACGACATGATGTCCGCTTATTAAAGGTCACGTGGTATAGTATACTATAGTCTATCGAATCTCCCGTAAGCGGACATCCTTGGGACAACGACATGATGTCCCCTTATTAGAGGTCACGTGCTATAATATACTATAGTCTATCGACTCTCCCGTAAGCGGACATCCTTGGGACAACGACATGATGTCTCCTTATTAGAGGTCACGTGCTATAATATACTATAGTCTATCGAATCTCCCGTAAGCGGACATCCTTGGGACAACGACATGATGTCCGCTTATTAGAGGTCACGTGCTATAATATACTATAGTCTATAGATATGGACCCAAAAGCATTGCTCGCTTACGAGATTTGTCCGTGAATAGAGGATTGACTACGTCTTTTTCTGTTTAACGGAACAAGCTGATTAGTGCATGATCTGTAAACAGTATTCCACTTACAGCAAAGCCCAATAAAATCGTTTTCTAGAAATTCAAAAGGATATTGTGCGCGAATCTGTTCGAGGAACGAGGCGTACATGTCCGCTAAGTTTCTTTCAAAATCTTTGATTGTCTCTTCAAGTTGATCGACAAGCTGCAGTTCTAGTCCCATTAAAGTATCCCAAACTTTCATGACTTCATCGTAAAGTTCATTTGTTAGTCTCTCAATAACGAAACTGTCATTTACACTAGAGATTTCTTGGAAAACCTAAACATAAGATGTACACTTGGTATCACATCTTTTGTACACTCGTGTCCCTACTTATCAACAGTGTTCTTACACTAGAGATTTCTTGAAAGACCTAGACATAAAATGTACTCATGGTATCACATCTTTTGTACACTCGTGTCCCTACTTATCAACAGTGTTCTTACACTAGAGATTTCTTGAAAGACCTAGACATAAGATGTACTCATGGTATCACATCTTTTGTACACTCGTGTCCCTACTTATCAACAGTGTTCTTACACTAGAGATTTCTTGAAAGACCTAGACATAAAATGTACTCATGGTATCACATCTTTTGTACACTTGTGTCCCTACTTATCAACAGTGTTCTTACACTAGAGATTTCTTGAAAGACCTAGACATAAGATGTACTCATGGTATCACATCTTTTGTACACTCGTGTCTCTACTTATCAACAGTGTTCTTCATTGATTCTACCTATCAACAATGATTCTGCTTGATTCTACCTATCAACAGTGATCCTGGTTGATTCTTTCTATCAACAGTGATCCTGCTTGATTCTACCTATCAACAGTGATCCTCTCTCGATTTACAATCATCTAAAGCGTACCTTTTTTTTGTACGTTATGTACTCATTGATACATTTAACTCCCGAGTTTTTATTTTCTTCTCGCGCGTCTTTAACGCTGGTGAAAAATAAACTGATTTCTTCTTCTCTTTTCGTGTGTTCTTTGAGACCCAACGTAAACATTTCCTGACACAAGTCAAGACACTTCTCCTTATATCTGTGGATTTATCGTCAAGAAACTCTCGCTTTTAATATTTCAACGTAGAAAGAAATACAATTAATACGTAGCTCTGCGAATACAGGGAGAAAAATATGAACATCCATTTCTGTCGACATAGGTAGTAAATATGAGCTACAATGCTTATCATGAACACATTATAGCCTTTGTGTTGTGCAATTGGCCTTAAAAGAAAACGAATGTTTTGTAGATAAAGGATACACAGTTAAAATATCTTCAACTCCAGGTAGAGATGAAAGTTTAGTTGATTCAGGATCATCGTTGATCATACTATCAAAAAGCTTGCTACTGTCCATATCTTCGACGTATGCATCCTAATGTGAGAAATCAACTTGGAATGTGGACTTCGTGAAACGACGTGAAATGATGTCATTCTCTTTTACCTTATGTAATTTTCTCTTCATCTCTTGTTCGTGTGCTTCTTGTTTCTGTTTCTCCGCAAGTGTTTCATTATGGACTATCTCTCTATCGTATATCTGTACTGTTCTAAAGCACCTTCCCGACATTTAGCGTCGATTAAACGAAAGTCGAGGTAAACAAGATGCGATAAATGCGCCACAACATACGGCTTATAGCTCTCGTTTTGACAAAGCGGGTTTCCACTTAAGTTCAAAGTTCTTAGATGTTTAAAATGTCGAAGGTAAACAATCTGAAATAGATGAACTATCGCAGGTATAATTTTAAATGCGTCGATGAATACCTTTGATGAATAACACATTAAGTTGCTATAATGTAATTTGATTTGGCACTTTCAAATATTCTTGCTTACGTTTTCTAATTTTTCAATATTGTTGTTTCCAATCGAGAGGATCTGCAGATTCACGAGCGCATTCATATTTTCTATTCTTGTGATTCTGTTATTAAACAATGTTAAATCACGAAGTTTCACCAAGGTATCCAAACCTTCAATTACTTCGATGTTGTTGAAGGACAAATCTGTTTTCGAAAAGAGAGCAATATGTCTTCTTTCTACCTACTCGAAAAACGAAGTAAATAAAATGAGGTTCTTCCTACCTAGCCATTCAAGATGAATCAATTTTTCCAATCCTTCAATTTTTTCGATGATGTTGTTGTCCATTTGTAGTTTGGTGAGAGCAACGAAGTTCCATACATTGTCAATTTTAAGTATGTCTAAAAATATATTTTCACAATGCGAAAACTTGGAATATTGCTTTGTAATGTGGAGTTAACATACTCTTGTAGTCTAATCGCAAGGCGACAACTGTGTCGAAGTCAATTCCTTCGAGTTTTGCTATGCGTCCAGCTTCCCCTTCTGGACCTTGTTCTTCCACGGCGTTCTTTAGCATCTTCTCGTCGATAACGGACGGCTCTATAGTGTCATACAAACGACTCATGGTGAAAAATTTTACAAAGGATCGTCTATGTTTGCAAGTCTATCTTTATAAAAATGTGTCGATTTTTTGTTTACGTTGTCTTGACAACAGTTTCCGCCGAATGCGCCTGCAATATTGGCTTCGATACTCTTTTTAGCAAAAACGTCATGTAAGTGTGGTTCAAATTCTAAGATCTGCTTTTCTTCGCCCACAACAACTTTGGTCAAAAGTCAAAACTTAATAAGTCAAGGAATTTTAATATTTCCTGCTGAAAGTCTGAAACAACGTGGATGACTCATCGAAAGAATCCAAATTTATTCAAGTGGTGCTTTGTCATCGATAACGTTAATCGCATTTTGACCTAAACTGGCTTTTGTAGGATAATTTCCTTGATGAAATAAAAGACAATTTTATTGAACTATACAATAAAAGAAAAAAAACCAGATTACCAGAAGACAAGAAAAAAGAGGAAGAAATATGATGTTTTATCGATTGCATGCTATGCAAAATCAAGTTCAACCTCTTACCTACGTTAAAAATGTTATTATTTAAGCTAGATTGAAAATATATATAAAATTAAAAGAGGCGAGTTTGTGATTCTTGGTCTAATTGTGTCTGGTAACGATGCTTGCTGTCTTGAATGAGCAATTGCATTAAATTTAGTCGTCTCGTGTGCTTGAGCTTTGTAGAGCTTTTCTACCAAAAGACATGAAAGATGTTTCTCTATAACAGACAAAACTATTTCACTTATTATTTTATAACCTCGGTTTTTTTATCTCTTATCAAATCAATTAATCAACTCATCCCGTTTTTGATAGGCTAGGCTCTCCCACCTTCCAAAGAAAATATGTTCAGAAAATAAGTAAAATTCTCCATAAAATCATAGTTTGTACATAACGTATTTTATTTTTGGTGCAATTCGTCATATTGGCTTTGAGCGAAAATATCGGAAGTAACAATTATCATGGTTTATGAAATGGTTATAAATAAGAAAACCTTGGCAACAATAATTTCGAGTTGTGAGACTTCACTGACAAAACAGCTTGTGATACTTATCTAATATCAACTGTTTTAGTTTTTAGTCACGTAATGCGCATTAATTAAACTTTAAAACGTCAGCTGCCGACCATTGTAAAACGACACTTGCTACAAGACTACAAAATTTATAAACACCAGAACATTGCAAACAGCACGTGCTTATGTTCACTAATGTTCTATGATGAAACTGTATGCTTAAAACATGTCCAATTTCAAATACCGCTAACCTTTTGTCTGTAAAGCGTTTCGATACTTAGCGCATATTGTGTAACAAAAGAAAAGGCAAATATTTTGATAATCAAATGCATGTTTATCATATGCAAATTTGTAGAATTTTCAATGTTGTTCCACAATGTTTATTTTCGCAGCGGAAACTGGAGTTATTCAACCTGTTGAACCTTTATTATAGGCTCGCCCAGCCAATTTCCGTGCAGTGGATTTCGGCGATGATATCACGCTTTCAGTGGAATAGTCTGGTGAAATTCTAGACGGCTATAGTGTTTGTTTGTCTGCTTGGGTTTCATAATAGTGCAGATGCCATGAAAAGGGAAAGCCATAGCAAGCAAATGGCGTCTGATTTTACATTACATCATCCGCGTGTAGCCTCTCTTTCAAAAAACGGCCATGCTACTTTGACGAACCGTTTAAGTCGCGCTGAATACGAAGAGCTTCGAGGCAACGGTACTGGTGAACAAGGCAGCTATAAAATATCAGAACCTTTTGAGAAGAATTCAGGTAGATATTACATTCAGACGTATAAATGAAATATGTCAACAAAGCAAATACCGACGAAGTTTTTATCGATAGTTATTTTATTCTTCAAGACGGCTCGTGAATGTATTAAAAAATTTGACATTCAACTGATGTACTATTACATTTATAAGCTTTAAGGAGAAGTCCATATAAGTAATAGAAATGCGTGTATCTTCTCGTTGCACTGTCATTGCAAACGTACAATATTACATATTGAAGTCTATTTATTGCATAAATTTACACAGCATGTGCGAAATAAAGCTGTTTTTAAATAGCTTGTTGTCGTTCGTAGCGACGAAAACACAAAACAAAGTTGAGTGTAAAGATGTATGGTGTTAAATACTACATCTATACTGTTTTGTGGAATGCAATTAAAAAGCATTTTTATCACTCAAATGTAAACAAATCAACATCGTTAAGTCCAAAAAATTTACTGAGTTGTTACAATAAATGCGAATGTTTTGATTACTAATTAAAAATCATATTTGCTATTTTGAAATACGCCGAAGAATGAAAAATTTAGAATGGATGAAAAATTAGCACTTTACATTATTATTAAACAAACATCGAGACATCACCCCCTAGAGTTAATGTTGCTATTCTAAATGATTTTTCTCTAGTTGAATTTTATGGAATTTTATTTTATTTGTCTTTTCGTGTACTTGTCGTAGCATGTGTTAATGTGTGATAAGATGAATTGTGATTCTTAAATCCTTGTGTTATTATTTCATATAAAGCGCTATTTCCTTTCGTTTATTTTGCAATTTGACAAAAACGCATTTCTTTTTTGGTTGGTAATGTTGTCCGTTGTGAAAAAAAAAAGTTAATAGTTACTTCAAGACGTGTCTTCTTTGTTTTTTAGGGGAAGATGAAGCGATGCCCAACGAAGACGAAATAGAAAAACGATTTGAAAATTTACTGGTTTGTCTAAAGAACTTTCAGTGTTGCACAAAAAAACTTCCACTAATTTCGGAAATAATCGTGATTTTTTTCGGGTTTTTTGTAACAGGAGAAGCTGACACTACATCCAGATCAAGTCACAGACCTTCAGCGACATCCAATTCAACACAAATGGAAATTGATTCAAGCGAAGGTGGGCGTACGGTTCAATTTTTAACACTAGGTTTTGCTCATGTTTTCCATATTTTTTAAAAATCTAAGTGAAGTGACCACAGGAAAGAATTAATTTTTTTCATAAATTTTTTTTGTCAACAGAAACACTTTTCTATATTTGTACAAGTGGTTAGAATTGTACAATAAACATGTACTTTTGATCTACGCGAAATGCGAAAGTTTTTGCGACAATTGTTTCAAATCCTTCAGACAATTTGCTGCTCAAGTTGAAGTATAAACGAGGAAATGTTTAAAATTTTTTTCGAAACGTTGCTAGCTGCCAAATCGTATTTCCGCGATACAATATTTTGTATTATTTAGATATTTTTCGTTTAGGAAATGGTTGAACCCAAGCATTCGTCCCAGTTCTACGTAACTCAATTAAAACGTCACATGACCGAAGTAATTCAACCGCACGGAAAATCGTCCAAAAAAACAATGAAACATCTTGAACCGAAAGAAACGATTTTACGTTCTCTTGAAGTAGATGTTAGAACGCATCCTAACACAACGTAAGTTTACAATATAAAGTTTATAAACTCATCCTAACATCACGTACGTTTACCATATAAAGTTTATAAACTCATCCTAACATCACGTACGTTGACCATATAAAGTTTATATACTCATCCTAACATCACGTAAGTTCACCATATAAAGTTTATAAACTCATTCTAACATCACGTAAGTTGACCATATAAAGTTTATAAACTCATCCTAACATCACCTAAGTTGACCATATAAAGTTTATAAACTCATCCTAACATCACGTAAGTTCACCATATAAAGTTTATAAACTCATCCTAACATCACGTAAGTTCACCATATAAAGTTTATAAACTCATCCTAACATCACGTAAGTTCACCATATAAAGTTTATATACTCATCCTAACATCACGTAAGTTCACCATATAAAGTTTATAAACTCATCCTAACATCACCTAAGTTGACCATATAAAGTTTATAAACTCATCCTAACATCACGTAAGTTCACCATATAAAGTTTATAAACTCATCCTAACATCACGTAAGTTCACCATATAAAGTTTATAAACTCATCCTAACATCACGTAAGTTCACCATATAAAGTTTATATACTCATCCTAACATCACGTAAGTTCACCATATAAAGTTTATAAACTCATCCTAACATCACGTAAGTTCACCATATAAAGTTTATAAACTCATCCTAACATCACGTAAGTTCACCATATAAAGTTTATATACTCATCCTAACATCACGTAAGTTTACCATATAAAGTTTATAAACTCATCCTAACATCACGTACGTTTACCATATAAAGTTTATAAACTCATCCTAACATCACGTACGTTTACCATATAAAGTTTATAAACTCATCCTAACATCACGTAAGTTGACCATATAAAGTTTATAAACTCATCCTAACATCACGTAAGTTGACCATATAAAGTTTATAAACTCATCCTAACATCACGTAAGTTGACCATATAAAGTTTATAAACTCATCCTAACATCACCTAAGTTGACCATATAAAGTTTATAAACTCATCCTAACAGCACCTAAGTTGACCATATAAAGTTTATAAACGCATCCTAACACAACGTAAGTTGACCATATAAAGTTTATAAACTCATCCTAACATCACGTAAGTTGACCATATAAAGTTTATAAACTCATCCTAACATCACGTAAGTTGACCATATAAAGTTTATAAACTCATCCTAACACAACGTAAGTTGACCATATAAAGTTTATAAACTCATCCTAACATCACGTACGTTTACCATATAAAGTTTATAAACTCATCCTAACATCACGTACGTTGACCATATAAAGTTTATAAACTCATCCTAACATCACCTAAGTTCACCATATAAAGTTTATAAACTCATCCTAACATCAAGTTGACCATATAAAGTTTATATACTCATCCTAACATCACGTAAGTTCACCATATAAAGTTTATAAACTCATCCTAACATCACGTAAGTTCACCATATAAAGTTTATAAACTCATCCTAACATCACGTAAGTTCACCATATAAAGTTTATATACTCATCCTAACATCACGTAAGTTCACCATATAAAGTTTATAAACTCATCCTAACATCACGTAAGTTCACCATATAAAGTTTATAAACTCATCCTAACATCACGTACGTTGACCATATAAAGTTTATAAACTCATCCTAACATCACCTAAGTTCACCATATAAAGTTTATAAACTCATCCTAACATCACGTAAGTTCACCATATAAAGTTTTATACTCATCCTAACATCACGTAAGTTCACCATATAAAGTTTATAAACTCATCCTAACATCACGTAAGTTGACCATATAAAGTTTATAAACTCATCCTAACATCACGTAAGTTCACCATATAAAGTTTATAAACTCATCCTAACATCACGTACGTTTACCATATAAAGTTTATAAACTCATCCTAACATCACGTACGTTGACCATATAAAGTTTATATACTCATCCTAACATCACGTAAGTTCACCATATAAAGTTTATATACTCATCCTAACATCACGTAAGTTGACCATATAAAGTTTATATACTCATCCTAACATCACGTACGTTGACCATATAAAGTTTATAAACTCATCCTAACATCACCTAAGTTCACCATATAAAGTTTATAAACTCATCCTAACATCACGTAAGTTGACCATATAAAGTTTATATACTCATCCTAACATCACGTACGTTTACCATATAAAGTTTATAAACTCATCCTAACATCACGTAAGTTCACCATATAAAGTTTATAAACTCATCCTAACATCACGTAAGCTCACCATATAAAGTTTATATACTCATCCTAACATCACGTAAGTTCACCATATAAAGTTTATAAACTCATCCTAACATCACGTAAGTTCACCATATAAAGTTTATATACTCATCCTAACATCACGTAAGTTGACCATATAAAGTTTATAAACTCATCCTAACACAACGTAAGTTGACCATATAAAGTTTATAAACTCATCCTAACATCACGTAAGTTGACCATATAAAGTTTATATACTCATCCTAACAGCACCTAAGTTGACCATATAAAGTTTATAAACTCATCCTAACATCACGTAAGTTCACCATATAAAGTTTATAAACTCATCCTAACATCACGTAAGTTCACCATATAAAGTTTATAAACTCATCCTAACATCACGTAAGTTCACCATATAAAGTTTATATACTCATCCTAACATCACGTAAGTTTACCATATAAAGTTTATATACTCATCCTAACATCACGTAAGTTGACCATATAAAGTTTATAAACTCATCCTAACATCACGTAAGTTGACCATATAAAGTTTATATACTCATCCTAACACCACCTAAGTTGACCATATAAAGTTTATAAACTCATCCTAACATCACCTAAGTTGACCATATAAAGTTTATAAACTCATCCTAACATCACGTAAGTTTACCATATAAAGTTTATATACTCATCCTAACATCACGTAAGTTCACCATATAAAGTTTATAAACTCATCCTAACATCACGTAAGTTCACCATATAAAGTTTATATACTCATCCTAACATCACCTAAGTTGACCATATAAAGTTTATAAACTCATCCTAACATCACGTAAGTTCACCATATAAAGTTTATATACTCATCCTAACATCACGTAAGTTGACCATATAAAGTTTATAAACTCATCCTAACATCACGTAAGTTGACCATATAAAGTTTATATACTCATCCTAACATCACGTAAGTTTACCATATAAAGTTTATAAACTCATCCTAACATCACGTAAGTTGACCATATAAAGTTTATAAACTCATCCTAACATCACCTAAGTTTACCATATAAAGTTTATAAACTCATCCTAACATCACGTAAGTTGACCATATAAAGTTTATAAACTCATCCTAACATCACGTAAGTTTACCATATAAAGTTTATAAACTCATCCTAACATCACGTAAGTTGACCTTATAAAGTTTATAAACTCATCCTAACATCACGTAAGTTCACCATATAAAGTTTATAAACTCATCCTAACATCACGTAAGTTCACCATATAAAGTTTATAAACTCATCCTAACATCACGTAAGTTGACCATATAAAGTTTATAAACTCATCCTAACATCACGTAAGTTGACCATATAAAGTTTATAAACTCATCCTAACATCACCTAAGTTGACCATATAAAGTTTATAAACTCATCCTAACATCACGTAAGTTGACCATATAAAGTTTATAAACTCATCCTAACATCACCTAAGTTGACCATATAAAGTTTATAAACTCATCCTAACATCACCTAAGTTGACCATATAAAGTTTATAAACTCATCCTGACATCACGTAAGTTGACCATATAAAGTTTATATACTCATCCTAACATCACGTAAGTTGACCATATGAAGTTTATAAACTCATCCTAACATCACGTAAGTTGACCATATAAAGTTTATAAACTCATCCTAACATCACCTAAGTTCACCATATAAAGTTTATAAACTCATCCTAACATCACGTAAGTTGACCATATAAAGTTTATAAACTCATCCTAACATCACGTAAGTTGACCATATAAAGTTGACGAACACATTTTCTATACAAACTCAGGCAAAAGATTTTAATTCAGATATGGACGATAACTTTAGACGATTTAATAGCTGGGACAAACTTAATGTTAAGTTCGTCTGTCAAAACAGATAGTTTTTAAGTACATCTGAAGGTTGTTAAACAGAAAGTCATCTCCGGTGATTTTTGTATTGTACAATCTAGACGCTATCGCTATTCCCTTTGACTATAACAAAAAAAAAGTACTTTACAATTTCTATCATCACATACAAATACTTAATCATAAAATAGGATTAAATTATTTTCAAGAGGATTTTTCTTCATATACTGTTATCACGAATGCGGATTATCTTTAGTACTTTGTTTTGATAGCATAGTCCAGTAAAGTGGGTATTACATAAAGTCAGTGGGTGGGCGAGTCAAAATTTAAAAGGAGGGGAAATATAACCGTCATCGCTGTTATCACCGCTTGAACATTTCATAGATTGAAAAAATTGTTTTAAAAAGAGTAAATACCATGGTGAATGGTAAAGATAACAGCGTAATACTTCTTAAAAGAACTGTTTAAGCTAAAAAGACACTATTAGTGTTCTGGTTTAAACAGTTCTTTATAAGAACTATTATGTTAGTATTTGACCATTCACCATGGTATTTGCTCTTTTCAATAGTGTCTTTTTAGCTTAAAAACAGTTCTTTTAGCATTGTTGGTTTAGTGTTCTGGCTTAAACAGTTCTTTATAAGAACTATTACGTAGGTTATTGTCTTTTTAAAGATAATTTTTTAATTTGTCAGCAGGACGAAGTCTCTGTTTTACTATTTAATAGGTTTTATACTGTTTCATACTCCATTTTGTTTTTAGTTGGTTACGTGAGTTTCTGGAAGAACCGTACAACGGCCAACATGTTCTTATCGACTTTTTGGCTTTTCTTCACCACAATCCTCTTCCCTTGTTGGCGGAGATGACGCCGGAACAGGAAAGGAAGAAAAGCCTCAAGAATGGAAAACGACGAAAGAAAGCCGTTACTCGAAGCTACGTATGCAACTGTAGAAATATAATTCACAAACCTTGTGCTTTTGTTTTGTTTGATGAAATATTAATGCTTGAAAATTATTCGTTTTTTCATTTGTAGGTTGATGAACATATGTGTTTAATGTGTCTTAAGGCACTCATGAGAAACAAGGTATTGGTCGAAATTCCAAATACTAAACTATGATTGGTCGAAATTCCAAATACTAAACAATGATTGGTCGAAATTCCAAATACTAAAATGATTGGTCGAAATTCCAAATACTAAACAATGATTGGTCGAAATTCCAAATACTAATCTATGATTGGTTACAGTTTAAATACTAAACTGTGATTAGTGTCATTTTGACTTTTAGTTATTGACGCCAATTTTGTATTTTCCACGCAAGTGTTTTGTTATTCATCCTAATATCTAAAATTTTAAGTTGTTTTATTTGATTTCTTTATGTTTAGTTTGGTTTCAAATCTTTGATGGCTGTACCAAACGCTTTAGTTAACATCGTTTTGTGCTTGAAAATTGACAACGTGAAAACAAAGATCTTAGCAATCAAGGTGAGCTCTTACACCACGTACTTCATCAACAACCGTGATATTTCTTATATGAAGTTTCATGTATCACTATATTGTTCATTCTTTACAGCTGCTGTATGCGGCTTGTGCCAGCGATACGTACCATCATTTGGTGATAGAGGCATTGGAGTTCTTTCGCGGCACGACGAATGAACATCAAATATTTTCCACTCTAGTTAATTTCCTCTACTTTAAGCCTGTCAATCCAGGCTTGCAGGTTTGTGTGATTGTTTTAATTTCTAGAATGACAACAACTTTAGGGATGTAAATGACGCGAATAACTTTAAACTTGAAGTCAGTTAACGGCATTTTTTCTATTTAGGCTGTTACAATGGCGTTGATCAATGCCATTGTCAACAATTCTCCATCGTACAACAGTCGCGTCTTTCATCAACAGCAAATATGTGTTGCTGGCTTCAGCGAGCAACGTTTAGAAAAGGTATACCTCAAAAGGATTGTGGTATAACACAAAGAACATAAATTCGTTTGTGCTCATCAATACGTATTGTAAGGTTTTTGTTGTTTTAGATGCTTGAAGGATTAGATGCAACTCCCGTTAGGGAAGAACTGAGAGTTTGGAAAGAGAATTTTGTCAATATTCAAGACTTGATGGACGAATATGAGCAATTGAAAGAACGATCGCAGTTGTTGAGAGATGAGGTTTGTCAAACAAATGACTTATTCTTACTCATAACTAGCATCTCAGGCTCATATATGAAGTATACTTAAAGTAAATGGTTTGAACCCGGGAGTATCGTTACATGTTTGTAAATGTAGATCGTCCAGGTAGGTATAGTTCAGAGAAGGACTGTTTTTGTTGTTGTTGACTGATGTTTCGACAACCTTAGCGGTAGTCATCTTCAGAGTCAAAAATGATTAATGACTCAATTTTTTGACTCTGAAGATGACTACCGCTAAGGTTGTCGAAACGTCAGTAAACAACAAAAAAACAGTCCTTCTCAGGACTATACTAAACTGGACGATCTACATTTACAAACATGAAGTATAACTGGCAGTTATTTTCATTTAGGTCGATTTGCTGTCGGGAAAACTCGAGGTATGTAAGTTATTATGTAAGCACTAACGAAAACTGCTAAAACTCGAAATTTCTTGTTTTCCTCTCGTGTTGAAAAAAAGCATATTTCTCAATATCATATAAGCTTTGCGTCGTAGGTGTTATTTTTTGCTTTCAAAATTTTCATCAGTTTTCACGAGAATGTTTTCTCGCGTTATCTTTGGTTAGGATACACAACGAGAGAAAAACGAAATCGAACGACAGAAAAAGGAGGTAGTTTGAATGTGATATTTCCGTATTTAATTTTCCCGCTTTACGCAAGTTTATGATTTTTGTGTTCGTTTAGTTTGAAGAAAAAGCTGAAAATCTTCAATTTCGCGCCACAGAATTGCAGGCTGAGCTTGAGAAAATCGTGGTATGTAGAAACAAGCTAAACTGGCGCTTTTCTTTTTCGCCATATTGTATTCATATTTACCTTCTCTTCAATAGAAAAGTCCAAACAAAGAGAATATTAATACGGCATTGTTGGAACCATTAAATACCAACACACCTCCCCCACCTGCTCCACCGCCACCCCCGGGACCCGGAGCACCCCTCCACCCCCTCCTGCACCAGGCAAGTTAATAAATGACAATAGATGAAATATTACCAATCTTCAAGTTGCAACTGCCTTAAATGGACTGTTTTGTATTCAGGTCTACCCAATGCCCCCCCTCCCCCGATGTTCAATTGTGGTATGAAAACCGCTGTACGAAAACGGAAATTCATGAGTACGAAGAAACTGCCCATGTTGAATTGGGCTACAGTCTCCGACACACAAAAGACCATATTCGAGGTAAGTTGAACGTTCTTAAATGTCTGGCGAACCATTAATTTTTGATAGTTCGCTCTATCTTATATAAGCCCCTTACGTCATCTCATCTATAGGACCATTACGTCACCCTATTTATAGGCCCATTACGTCACCCTATTTATGGGACCATTACATCATAACGCCTACATATTCCACACCGCCCTCCACCAAAGTCTAAACTACCTAAAATTTTACGTAACGGTTGTTTAAAAAAAAACATGGCGTTTCAAAGTTATACAAACAAATAGTTTTACAAAACATACAAGTTTAATGTGAGTGTTGCCTGTAGCAAACGTGATTGTTCAGTTACATATTCAGCACAGTGGCCAATATTCTAATAGAAACAGCACTAATGTGGACTCTGAAGGTGAAATTATGTGTAATAACGATGTGATTTGAAGCTTTCTTTGCCAATAGAGTATGGACGACGAGAAAATGGCCGTACAACTAAATCTTGGAGATTTTGAAGCGATGTTTGAATTGAAGACGAACGAAATGAGCGAGGAGGTTCGACTAAAGAAGGAAGCTGGTACGATCTGTGTTTTTTTGATAATGAATTAAAATTCGCCGTTTTAAATGGTCGTTTTTGTGCATTACAGCTCTAAAGAAACTTGCCGAACAGATAACAATCATTGAAACGAATCGCGCAAAAAGTTTAGGTAAAAATGTTTCTTTTCAAGTCGTATTAATCCGAAATAACGAAAATTTTACTAAAATTGTAATATTTAATGATTTAAATTAAGAAAATTTTAACATTTTGAAATTGAAAGCAACTGTTCAGCTTACGGTGATTACCAAAGATATCATCGTAGAATCACATAAGAACATGTAGGAACATGTGTTTATCTTGTCAAAGATGTCATCGTAGGATCACATAGGAACATGTAGGAACATGTATTTAACTTGTCAAAGATGTCATCGTAGGATCACATAGGAACATGTAGGAACATGTGTCTAACTTGTCAAAGATGTCATCGTAGGATCACATAGGAACATGTAGGAACATGTGTCTAACTTGTCAATGATGTCATCGTAGGATCACATAGGAACATGTAGGAACATGTGTCAAGTTTGTTCAAATCAACAATAGATGAAGCAAGTTTCGTAATTTCTTGTTCTTCTTTACAGTGATTGCAAAGCGAAGAATCGGATGTTCAGCTAAACACATTTCACAATACATCGACAATAGCGATTTATCTGAGTTGAGCTCTGAGTTTGCTGAACTTCTCTTAAAGTTTGTACCTACGAAAGAAGAGGTCAGCGGTATTCTTTATTTTTTCTTGCACACGTTGATTTAGACCATATACACCAAGATAGAAATGCAGTTGGATATAATGTTGCATGCTTCATCGTGACACTAATGTCAACAAATCGTGTCTAAATTTACTATTTAGTTAGCAGGCCTTTCGAAACACGCAGAGGACTACAAAAAATTTGCCGAAGCTGAGCAATTTATGTTCGAGGTAAGATATTGTGCAGTGTTAGAATTGTAAAATGGAAATCTAGTTTTGTTCTCTTGTCGAAGACGGATTTCCGTTGTATAAGTAGGGCAGAGATAAGGCGCCTGACTTTAGAATTTTTTTCTCACCCTAGAAACTTTTTCATATCTTAAAAATATGCACACAACCCTTCGCTGACAGAAAATAACGTTGTTCGATCTTTTTGAATCTTTGGCTGTAGTTACGTATCCTGACGCTAGACATGAAAATACACATATTTCACAGTGTTACGATTGAGCATGCGCATCTAACAAAGATTTGGACACCGTCCCTCCGAGCAAATTTTAAAATATCCGTCCTCGAGACTTGTACTACTCTCGATGTTGTTTTTTTTGACCATGATCATTATTATCAACTCACATTCAGATGCAAAGGTATTGATTGCTAAGGAAGGATTCCGATATCAATTTTCCAATTCTTCTCTTTTGAAGCTCGCGAAAGTGAAAAGATATGAGGCAAAGTTGAGCGTAATGGCGTTTATTGGTGTCTTTGACGAAGTTATGTGTTCCGTTGTACCTGTAAGTTTAGATCAAAAATACCTCGTTTGTACGACACGGTTCTTTACAAATACGGTAACTTATATTTGTCTTCATTGAAGAAAATTGACGCTGTACTTCGCGCTTCGCTCAATATTCTTCGCAGCAAGAAACTACAAAAGATATTTGAAGTAAGAGTTTAAAATTTTTCCTTCTTCTGAATGTATTATCTTATGTTGCGCATTGTATTTATCTCAAAGATCATTCTTGCCTTCGGGAACTACATGAATGGAACTCGTAAGAAAGTCGCCGCGGGCTTTAAATTAGAATCTTTGTACAAAGTAAGTTGCTCGTCATTTTGTTCCTTTCATATCGTTTCAAACGAGATAAGTGAAACGAAGTTATTTATGTTATAGCTTGCTGATGTGAAATCAACGGATCGTAAAATGTCTCTTTTGAACTACGTTGTCGCGACTGTGAACACTTGTTTTCCCGACTTGCATTCGTTTGCTGAAGATCTTGAGCTGGAGGAAGCCACGCAAGGTATTTTCGAAAGATGATTATCTGTACATAGACGCAGTTATTTGTCACCTTAGCCACTAGAATATCAATAAATTATCGTCATCGGAATATGTATCAATTATCGTCATTAGATTATGTATCAATTATTGTCATCAGATTATGTATCAATTATTGTCATCAGAATATGTATCAATTATTGTCATCAGAATATGTATCAATTATCGTCATAAGATTATGTATCAATTATTGTCATCAGAATATGTATCAATCATCGTCATCAGATTATGTATCAATTATCGTCATCAGATTATGTATCAATTATTGTCATCAGAATATGTATCAATTATCGTCATCAGATTATGTATCAATTATTGTCATCAGAATATGTATCAATTATCGTCAATGGATTATGTATCAATTATTGTCATCAGAATATGTATCAATTATCCTCATCAGAATGTGTATCAATTATCATTATCAGAAATTCAGAATACACATCAATTATAATCATTTGAATTACATTATCATTATTATTATTATTATTATTTTTATCAATCTTCACAGAGGTTAAAAACATTTCAGTGTCAAGAACACTGTTATCAAAATGTGACCTCTAAAGTCAGTGTATGTACGAATTATTGTCATCAGATGACTGATTGCTTCATCCAATATAGCTGAATGAATAAATTAAATAAATGAATATATTTTAATTCATTACATATAAAATGAGCATATATAGGGAGAATAATTACAACTGTAGAGTTGAACCTTCAACTTACAAACCTTCGAGAGGCAGAAATTTTCTTCAACTTCTTATTTCTGATGTAGTATCAAAGCAGACGTTAAATAACGACATTCAAAGTTTAAAGAAAGGCATTGATTTAACGAAAAAGAACGCGACAAGCAACCGGATAATTTTGTAATTTTCGTATCCTTTGGTTTTTTTTAATTGATGCATCGTTACATATTTGTGAAGAGTAAAGATCCTTTATTCGTCAGCTCATCCTGTATTTCAACTAATGCATCGTTACGTGTTTGTTAAAATTAACGATCCATTATTAATAGTTTATCCTTGACTTTAAATTCAGAGTTTTTACAACCGTGCATTTGGAAAAGTGCAGAAGGTCAGTGAAAAATATCGAAAAATGGAAGAAAAGTATTTGGCTGTTTGTCAAATGTTTGGTGAAGATGGAAGGAAAATCGAACCGTCACAGTTCTTTAAATATTTTCAAGATTTTGTCTGCATGTATTTCGTAAGTATTCTATATTTTTATCGTTCGCCTGTGTATGGAAACATCGGGGTTCGTACATTGCTAAAGTAATGAATTTCAAGCACTTTCGAGGACTAAAAATTTAATGACGACGAAGATCTTTAATAGCACACAAAGCACAACTAAAGCAAGCAATCATTAAAAACACGATCAAAAGTAAGACAAAAGAACTTCTTCTAATGAATCAAGAAGAAATGGCGTGTTTTTATGACTAGAAAGCCGCCATGTTGTTTGGTTACATGAGTTACATCTTTTGCAATAAATGTTTAAGACACAATTTCAACTTCACTTTGAAAAGAAAGTGGTTAGAAGTCATGTTCACAAGAATTCCATCAAAAAGGTTTGAATTCAAGCATATTCGAGCGCATCTTAATAAATTCAAGAACTTTTGTTCATCTCTCGAAAACGTTTTCGTATTTCTTATTTTCCCTGTTATCACGGACGGTTGCATCGTTTAGAAAGCGGAGTGTGAAAATGAAGAGCGCAAGAAACAAGAGGAAACACGTCGTCAGGCGGAAATTATGATGAAAAATCAGAAGAATAAAGCGAAGACCTTACCGTCATCCATCGAAAGAGCTTGGAACTATACGAATGATTCCGATGCTTACGACGACGACGACGATGACGATGACGACTTATCATCCGGGGAAGCAGATTCTTCTTGATAAAGGCGACATTGATGTTATTACTAAGAATATACTTGAGGTAGGACCGTCGTATTTTTCTCTTTTAATGAAGGTATATTTAATTTTTCTAGCAAACTATCAGCTAACTATTGAAACTATTCAGTTGAGGTGTACATTTATAGTTCAGCGGCGATATTTTTTTCTTCTTATCAACTGAATGTCGTTATTTATTTCTCATGCCGATCAAGGCGTTTTTTACTCGATCTTCTACGCATAAATCTGCTGCCAAGATGTGAAATCTATAAAAGTGAAAAAGAAAAAATCGTCGTTTATTTGTTGCTTTCCGTGTCTTTTAGATCCATGGTATTTAACGAGCGAAACTATCCACGTCCAAATGTCGCTCCTTCGAGGTATACAGAAGTCACTTGCATGGCTTTCTTTTATTGCATTTTTACTGTACATGAGAAATTTGTGAAGACACATTGTAAATTTCGAACCGTGAGTGTATATAATACAGTTTTAGAACGTACGTATTTTACCAGTGGTAAATTTCTTATGGAGTTTACGAGACAAATTTTTATTCTCTCAATCGTGTGACTTTTCGAAGATTTTCACACCAGGCTTTGTTGTGAAGACGTTTTTAAAGTGTATCTGGAAAAATGATCGCATCTAGAAAAACTTCAGTATCGTTAAGGTGTGTTTCTAACGTCGCATTTTACATCAGCCGAACGCATTTAAAACAAAAGATAATGAGGAATTTTATCTCATTAGGCGCATGTAAAATGCGACGTTTGAAACGGGCGTAAAATGTTTGAAATTGTTCTAATTTCACCATAGTTTAATAAATTTTCTTCTAATTTGCTCTCGGGATTACAGTTTGCAAAATTCAACGAATATGTACGTCATCATTCAAATGACATTTTCGAATATGATAATGACATAAGATCACCAAAAATGGAACTTGTTTAAGTACGATACAAGAGAAAATACGGAAAATCAAAGCCTTGGAAAGAAACTCTTTTTGAGCAAGTCACTTCACGCTTTCTTTTGATACAGAAAATATCCAAATTCAAATATCGTAAAAAGTTAAAGACTCCAAAATATAACGAACTGAATACAAAATATATCTCTGTTTGTTGTTGATGTTTCAATACTTACTCTTCTTGTTCGCTTTTCAACAGTTTATTGATGTTTGTTAGAACTTCGCTTGGTTTTACTTCTAAAGCTTCCAGAATATTGAACAAATACTCTGGAAAAACCCACAATAAAACACATGTTTCCTGCAAATTGCAAAAGTGCAAAGCGGGCTCGGGAAGAATACCATAAATGGTCAGCGGTCAAAAAAACTCAAACGAATTCATTTGCACGCAAAAAAGAACTACAGCATAACCAGAAGTGTCTCAAATCAAAGATGACAATAATTTCATACCTATATCAGCTACAAGCTGTTTGCTCGCAAATTCAGTCAATTCTGGAATACATAGTATACTCTCAATATACGTATGCATTGTTGCATTTGCAATACAACTCAACCATCTGGATGCAGGATCTTGATCTGCGTTAATATCTGTAATGGAAAAGACATTAAATAAATCTACAAAACCAGGAGTGGATCCACAATGGTTTTGTAAAGGGAGCTGCGTGGATCCACAATGGTTTTGTAGGGGGAGCTGCGTGGAACCACAATGGTTTTGTAGAGAGAGCTGGGTGGATCCAAAATGCTTTTGTAGAGGGAGCTGGGTGGATCCACAATGGTTTTGTAGAGAGAGCTGCGTGCATCCACAATGGTTTTGTAGAGGGAGCTGGGTATATCCACAATTGTTTTGTAGAGGGAGCTGCGTGGATCCACTATGGTTTTGTAGAGGGAGCTGCGTGCATCCACAATGGTTTTGTAGAGGGGCTGGGTGGATCCACAATGGTTTTGTAGGGGGAGCTGCGTGGATCCACAATGGTTTTGTAGAGGGGGCTGGGTGGATCCACAATGGTTTTGTAGAGGAAGCTGCGTGGATCCACAAAGGTTTTGTAGAGGGTGCTGGGTGTTTTAGTTGGGATAAGATTTCGGTGGTTAGTTGTTGCCATATCTTCTTACACTTTTTGTTGCGTCCATATGCTCACCTCGCGAAAATTTCAGTTTTCCAACATTCAGGGCGGCGACCAAAGCAGGATTGTCTTGGATCATGAAAAGTTCGAGTTGATGAGGTAAAGTCAGAAGGTAATCACCGACCTACAATAACATAATGTTATTTTGAATTATTTTCACAGAACTGGTACGAAAGATGGGTTTAATATTTCAACATCCACCTCCGTTATGTAGCCTTGTGGCGACAAACTGAATTCTGGGATATCATCACTGAGAGAATCTCCAAGATCGGACTTCGTTTTACACCAAACCTTTAAAGAATGAAAGCGTTTTGAAAAGAAAGATCGTTACCCTCATTAATAGTAAGAATATCCCATCAAATTTTATCTTTTAATGTATACCTGAAGAGAAGACACAGTATTTATTTTGGATTTTAAAGGAAGAAAGGCGACTTCAAACGCTAGGGTATGCACGCTATTGTTAATATCCTCAATTCGCTTCACGACTTCGTTCAATATATTTGATCCTTAAAAGATAAAACATTTTCGTCATTAGTCCAAAGCCCGTTTTCCAATCTTTTGTTTTGATACGTGACGTAACGTATTGCGTAACGTGACGTAACGTATGACGCAACTTGACGTAATGCATAACGTAATTGTGTCGTAAAGAAAAGTCGCGAATGGACTTTCCACTTATTTGGGTTACGATCCTCAACAACTCACTCATTGCTCGATCAAAATACTTTGAATGTTGATTGAATGTATAAAAATTATTCGCTGCACGAAGCAGGATAAGTGTACTTCACAAATCTTTCTTGTATTTTTTAAAAGTTTGCAAGACAAACAAATTTCAGGAGGTATTGCACATGAGACAGACGCAAGAATAATGTTCTTCGCTATTCGTAACAAAACAAACAAGTGCAAAATGGGCTTTGGTGATTGTGGTTTTACGTGTCTTCAATTCAACATTGAAGGTTACAAACCGTTCATAACTGAATCGATAAACTCCATTAAACTTTCAAATTCTAGACGATTTTCTTTTTCTAAATAATTATGCATGTTGAAAATATCAGCAACTGTTTTCTTCTCGGGATTTTTCTTTTTTTTCAGCCATTTCTGACATGAATTGACAACACGTTTCGAGAGACTTGCTTGAAGATCCTGTATTCTTATCAGAAGATCACCTAAGGTACGGACAAACGATGATTTTAAAATGCAAAATTCATACAATAACTCCACAAATCCCTTCCTTCGTCAAGAATATTCTTGAAAAAATGTAAACGAATTTACGGCGTAAATTGTCTTCTTCACAATAATAAAAATTCAGAGTGCCATTTACCACAAATTTGTATGAGCTTTGATGAATACTGAAAGCTCTGCCAATCTTCCTTCACGTCTGTTTCAGATTGTTCATCCAGATTCAAATTACCTCTGATCTTATTCACGGCAGCCTCTATATTTTCCAAGTACAACGCGAAGAAGACCTAATCGAAGAATCGTAAAGACGCAATAACTTCGAAAGTTTCACATTTTATTATTTCTCCTTCGTTTGATTGTCTCACCTCAATAGAAAGCATCAGCTGAAAAGACCCCAAGCCATCGGTGAACGAGAAGCAAATATCCACAGCCTAGATGAAGTCGACATGTAGATAAAAAAAACGATGATCTCATGTGAGATCTGGATGCGTATGACTTTATGATCTCCATTAACACGTACATTTTCTGTGAAATGAAATATTTTCCCAACTGACTCCGAGAGAACATCTACAGTCTCGAGAAATCCATCAGTATCCTTTATAGAAACAAAACAATGGCCTTTACGCACTTTCATATACAGAAATCTAAAGGTTTACAACAACCTCACCAATGGAACCGAAATGAGGTTCTCCTTCAGGAAGCCCGTTTGTAAAGCACAGTAATCCAAAAGATATGGTGTGTATGGAGAGCACACAGCATTAACTAATGCTTCAGCTCTTTTGAAGTCGTCTTCTGTAAGGTAGCAGAAATGAAATTAAAGATACTTATGTTATCTGTCGATGAGCAATACAATTAACACTCTCGTTGACCTTTAAGATCATTGAATGAGGATTGTAATGATTTGGAGAATCTCAAAGTAACCTATAAAAGAAAAATTTTATGTTATCGAAAGTACATGAAATAGATTAACTAACTGACGTTTACTCCTCATTTGACTCTGAAGATGACTACCGCGCTAAGGTTGTCAAAACTTCAGTCAACAACAACACCAACAGTCCTTCTCATGACTCTACTAACCTGGACGATCTACATCTACAAACAAGTAAAATATTTCCTTTGACAACTGCCACTCACTTGTTTCAGATCAATCAACTCTTGTAGAGGATATTTATGGTTTTGAACATAATCCCGAAGGCAAACAGAAAACGGAGGATCTAAATGGCTCAAAGTTTGAGTCAACAAAAGGCAAAGGACGGCATCAGGATTACCAAAAACCTGGCTACACCACATCAACTCGGAGTGCCATGTTGACAGCAAACTGTTATAGAACACCGATAGCCAATCAAGCATTGTTTTGTTCGGATCTTCATCTTGCACGTCTTTCCACAACTGCAGAAGCTTGCTCTGAAATGAAACACGCACGAAGACACTGGCATAGTGATTTCCTAATATTGTAACTGAAACATATGGAAAATGTCAAGGTTCGAAATGCTCACCTTGTGACAACGAACATAGTAATTTTGTAACTGATCAAGTCTGTCAATGTCACTAAATATCTGGAAATATTCCCGACTTTCATCTGAAACAAAGCAATTAGCTACTTTAGATGTATGGCCAAGAAACGCAGAAACGACTGCCTTCATAGAGAGTAAACAGGAGTGGAGATGGGGTCTGGAAAGCAGGAGTGTACAGGGCTCAAAATGACAGCCGAAATATGTTCAATGAAGTGAGCCGGACAACTTCAATTAAACTCTGTCAAATTCGGTTTTAAATTCTTCACTAACACACTAACTGTTACCAAATAACGCTACCAAATAACGTGAAAAATTATTAAAGACTACAGATTCTCGAATTTGACGTTCTAAGCTTTCCATTCGTAACCATGTTTTGGTCTTACTGAAGTGGATTTGGAGAGATGTGAAAATGTGGCGGATCAAAATGACAGGTAAGGTAAAAAGTTGGCCAGTCAACAAGCATTTTGGACCGGTCAATGTCCGTTGACCGCCAGTCATTTTGAGCCATGGGAATAACTATTGACAACCTCCCTAAAGAATGGATGATGGGAAGTGGCTGGTACAGAGGAGAGGGAGGCAAGGAAGGGTAGCCATTGACAACCTACCTAAAGAATGGATGTCGGAAGCTGATACTATAGCAAGCAGGAAATGGGTGGCAATGGAGGCAGGACAACAGAGAGTGGGCAGAGGCACATAAGTGGGTGGAAGGGGGCAACTATAGACCACCTACCTAAAGAATGGCTGTTGAAAGCTGATACTAATTTTGGACTAAGAAGTGCTTCTAATTTATTCTTGAGTCCTTCTAGTAATTTGTGTCTTTCATCAAAGTCGGGAACATCTCGAAGTACAACCTAGAGACATACAAGTACAATATTTGATGGAAAAAAACTAAACTACGTCATACTTTACAAAAGAAGAGCAAATTCATAATATATACCAGACTTCTATGCATTCCAACAAGTTTTTCACTGATCTGTAACAATATACCAAAACATCATAAGCATTCATTCGAATGGAAAAATTGTGACAGCAAGCACATACCTCTTTATAATTTCCTGATTTAAATACTTTGTCGAGATCAGCAGAAAGCATAGTCCAGTTGTCTGCCTCCTATATAAGGTCAGTGAGTTCAACAGATTAACTAAAATTGTGAAATAACTAAAATCGACAGTTCAAAGATTAAACATACTTGCAAGGCATGAGATGCAGATTGTATTCTTGATTTAACTTCATCAAGATCTAATAACATTTTCATAGATTCTGAGGTATTTTGTTCCACCTACAAAGAATGCCATTTTACATACATTTAAAAACACAAAAAGTTCTCCACAAAGAATTTCTTCATCAGTGCATGTGCTCATACAGCTTTAATATCATCTTTAACAAGTCCCATCTGCTCTTTCAACAATGTCGCCTCCTGCCGTATCACCTCAATTTCTCTCAAAACTCTGAAGGAATTGACAAAGTGACTAGTAAATACTTACAAAACCTATTCCAATCATCAATTCACTGTACCACTACCTTGGCATGTTGTTTAACGATTGCGTACTGGTTTCCTCTAAAGTTTTGTTGACTTCCTATTTAGATCAAAATAAATGATATTGGGTTAACTATTCACTGAAAATGTTGGATGTTTTGTTTGTGGCCCATAATGCGATTACCAAGTTGAAATTACATATTGAAGGTTTAGAAAAATCGTTCTTACTTGTATAAACAACTGCAACTTCATAACAAGTCCGGAGGCGTGTGCCTATGGGGAAAAATTTATCAGCAAAACTGATATTTAAAGAACATCTATCATTAAAGCAATGCATTACATCCAGCTCTGTTTTCTCATCTTTGCGTTTGAGAGCAGCATTGACCCACTGTTTTGCTTCGAAATTATCGTCGGAGAACTTAGAAAAGTCCATTGATTTGACTGACCACGATATGAAATTCTACGAAAGAAAAACGTAAGCAATACTAAGAGAAAACAATCCTCTATAAAAAATTGATATTTATCATACCTAGCACCAACTCAAGTTTTGGTACGAAAGAGACTGAAATATTGTTATATAACTCATAAGATGTCTACAACATCACTTAGCCTTGTCACTCTGTCATTTCCAAAAGATTACTATCTAAACGTAAACATCATCAAAAGTTCAAAGTAAAACAATTTACCACTCCAGTTAGTGATGCATATCTAAAGAGATCAGATTAGCTAGCTCTCAGGCTCCTCGCAAACTATTTAAAAGGCAACAACTGTTGTAAAATGGCGCCGTATTATCCTAAAAGGAAGCGGAAATTTTAGATTGAATAACCTGGTTTTTTGTGCATTGCTATGTGCTGGAATGAATGCTCGAAATCAAGGCCGTGGTAGGCAAACTCGTAAAGGAAGTCCGTTCAAGGAAAGACAGCAAGACAACCCAAACGAACCAACTCGTAATGGTAATCTAAGAAACGACAGTAGAATTGATCTCACCAAGAATCGTAGAGCTCGCGAAGGGAAAGGAGAAGAGCTTACAGGCAGGCCTCGAGATGGAAGGAACTACGATAACTCTGCAAGAGTTACCGTCACCGATGGCAACAAGGACAGAAATAAAAACGACAGATTGAGACGCAACGAAAAGGAACGAGAGCGAAACAATACGTTGATACAGAACAGAGACAATAGAGATGGTCATCGTGAAAGTTTAAAAGGTATTCAAATTAGCATTTGGGGAATTTGATATCATTCGATGGCATTTGTTTATGCAACTTAATATTTCAAATTATCTTCATCTATGTTAGACAATTATCTCTTGGCAATTTGCTATCCTTCTTCCACTCAAACCTACATATGTTTCGTTTATGTTTTTGTCTAGATCATAGAATTGGTAATTTCAGCGATGATTCACCACTTTCTGTCTTAATAAGACAGATCAGCAAGGAGAGTGATGTCGAGAGACGTTTGACTGCTGCTAAAAAATTGGAGGAATTTGTCAACGTACCCAGTAATTTTCAGGTATTTGATGAAACTTTCTAGGTATGTAATGTCTTGCTCAATGAGTGTCAAAGAAATCTTTAGACAGCAAGCCAATAGGGATGGAGCTAAGATTTTAGAGTTTGTCAAGATCTTTATAAAACTTTCAAGATTCTTTTTAAGAAAATAGAGCCAATTTTCTTTAGGCAAAGCTGGGGAGAAGCTTAGAATGTGACCACTCACGTTCGTTTGATTCATTATGCTTTTTTTCTTGTCATGCAGACTATGTAGTACCGGTAGATGTATGTTGTACCTCTCTTAGTGTGATGGGAAAGGGGAAGACCTGAGTAGAATCTCTGTGTGGAACTTTTAGGTTTCGACTGCTAGAAAATCATGAGTTTGAGAAGAAGTGTTGAAATTATTGTTAATGCTTTCAAGAAATTTGCATAAATTATTGTTTACATTTAGCAGGTGTAGTTGAAAATATCATCAATCAATTGCATTTTATTGAAGTTTTTTTTCAATTCAAAAACCTAGATCTCCAACTTTTCCATGATTTCTGCAACTGTAAAACATCCCCCACACTCACCTAACTCTAAAATATGCGATTAAAACCACCTACAATCAATTCATGTTTTGCTATAGGCCATCATCAAAGTTATTGATGAAATATTGAATTTTGCGGACAGTTTATTCCACGAAAGAAATCCCAATGCTTTTGAAGTAAAAGATCAAGTTGCCAAATGCATTGGTATAATTATAGGCCATCTTGGCTTGGAGGCAAAAAGGTAGTTATTTAATTTAAAACTTACGAATCATTTATCTCTGTACATGTAATACATGTTAATTGATGAAATATTTGGGAATTAATTCAAATTTGTATATTTCTCTTGTGTTTATAGTTTTGTATTTTTGGTCATTACGAAAGTGGAAGCTTCTTCCCGAGGAACAGAAGTCGTTTCTAATCAAGATTTTGATAAAGGTATCAGCAGAGTTTTCCTAAAATACTTCATGTTACAAACTCACTGATAGTATACTTCATGTTACAAACTCACTGAAAGTATACTTCATGTTACAAACTCACTGACAATATACTTCATGTTACAAACTCACTGACAGTATACTTCATGTTACAAACTCACTGACAGTATACTTCATGTTACAAACTCACTGACAGTATACTTCATGTTACAAACTCACTGACAGTATACTTCATGTTACAAACTCACTGACAGTATACTTCATGTTACAAACTCACCGACAGTATACTTCATGTTACAAACTCACTGACAGTATACTTCATGTTACAAACTCACTGACAGTATACTTCATGTTACAAACTCACTGACAGTATACTTCATGTTACAAACTCACTGACAGTATACTTCATGTTACAAACTCACTGACAGTATACTTCATGTTACAAACTCACTGACAGTATACTTCATGTTGTTACCAATATTGTATATTATGTTATAGGCAGTAGAACAAGATGAGAAAAAACGTAGATTTAAAGATTTTATTCCCGTAAGGAGTTTACTTTTATGTATTCAAACGTAAAAAAAGTGACTGAATTATTTTGCTTTTTGTCACCTTCATGTAGATGTTGTTGAAGAAATTGCATATCATACTTGAAAATGCTGATACTTCTGGTTTGTTAGTTTTACCAATAGTCACGATATAATTTCATTTTCTTTTTGCTTTTTTTTTCAATTTACTGTAGTTTTGCTATGATCATGTACATTGCTGAAGGGATTTTGCTTTACTATATTAACTCATTGCCTATCTGTAGGTTTGCTTCATTCGGTTCTGTTGATAATCATGCCCATTGCTGTCGGATATCCTCAAGTTTTTACACCACATTTTAGGGTAAATATTAAAATGCTTTCATTGAGTATTTGTGACAAATAAACTGGTAAGATTTACATGTACATAAAATTAGCAATGTACACTGACTTGTGTAAAAATTTGTAAGGTTATGGCAAGTTTTCAGGCAATTTTTGTTTATGTCTGGCCAGCATACACACTAAAAAGTAGATTATTTATTAGGTACTTACTGTTTATAGTTTTTTGTCTATGTCAAAGAGGATGACAAGGCAATAATGTACATTGGTGGATTTATATAGGATACTATTGATATTTATGTAGAATACTTGATATTCATATAGGATACTGTTGATATCTATATAGGATACTTGATATCTCTACAGGATACTTGATATTTATATAGGATACTTGATATTTATATAGGATACTTGATATTTATGTAGGATACTTGATATTTATATAGGATACTGTTGATATTTATATAGGATACTTGATATCTATATAGAATACTTGATATCTATATAGGATACTTGATATTTATATAGGATACTGTTGATATCTATATAGGATACTTGATATCTATATAGGATACTTGATATTTATGTAGGATACTTGATATTTATATAGGATACTGTTGATATTTATATAGGATACTGTTGATATTTATGTAGGATACTGTTCATATTTATGTAGGATACTTGATATTTATATAGGATACTGTTGATATCTATATAGAATACTTGATATCTATATAGGATACTTGATATTTATGTAGGATACTTGATATTTATATAGGATACTGTTGATATTTATATAGGATACTTGATATCTATATAGGATACTGTTGATATTTATATAGGATACTGTTGATATCTTGATTGGGTGGCATATTGACACAAAACAACATGATCATTTAATTCAGTTCACGTCTGGTGAGATATTCTGTCAGCCATTGTAGTTGCTGTATTATTTTCCTACCCTACTCATGTCTCGTTTCTATTTTCGTAGACTGTCTGATTAGCTTACATCGTTATTGGGTGACTGACATAAATTTCTCATTAACTCTCCTTACTCAGTTCTTGGAAGACATGGAAGCTTATTCTGAGGTGGGTCACTATCTGTGAAAAAGAATTGTTATAAGCCATAAGCATCTGAGGTGGGGAGGGGTGGGGTGTGCAGCAGCCATGAGCATTTAAGGTGAGGGGAGGGGCAAGGTGTGCAGCAGCCATGAGCATTTAAGGGGGAGGCAAGGTGTGCAGCAGCCATGAGCATTTAAGGTGGGGGAGTGGCAATTGCTCAAGGTGGGGAGGGGCAGTGTGCAGCAGCCATGAGCATTTAAGGTGGGGAGGTAGGTGTGCAGCAGCCATGAGCATGGGGAGGGGTGCAGCAGCCATGAGCATTTATGAGGGGAGGGGCAAGGTGTGCAGCAGCCATGAGCATTTTGGGGAGGGCATAGCAGAGGTGGGGAGGGTGGGGTGCAGCAGCCAGCATCTGAGGTGGGGAGGGGTGTGCAGGAGTCATGAGCATTTAAGGTGGGGGAGGGGCAAGGTGTGCAGCAGCCATGAGCCTGTAAAGTGGGGAGGGGTGGGGTGTGCAGCAGCCATAAGCATTGAGGTGGAGGGGCAAGGTGTGCAGGAGCCATGAGCATTTAAGGTGGGGGAGGGGCAAGGTGTGCAGCAGCCATAATGTGACTACTTCCTGTCACTTTTGCATTCAACTTCAGGAAATATTTTTCAAAATTGTTTCAGGAATTACACTGTCTTGCAACTGGTCAGTTGTCTGAGGATGAGGTTTCCCCACCATATTCATCATTACCCAAACTCACAGCTTTGGTGAGGGTGTTTGCTACCGTCATGAATGGTATCGGTGAATGTTTCACACCCATTCAAAGTCCAGCGGTTACGCAGGATTATATTATGAAGGTACGTATATAGCTCAGTGGCATAGCAAACTTGATGATTGGGGAGGGGGGGGACCATATTCATGTATGTATGTTATGCTGTGTTAAGCTCCTTTGAAATGTATTGTTTTGTATGGATTACAACATGCATACATAAAATTGTACCCACCCCTCTCCCAATTGACGTATTTGTTATGTCTATAGCTAAATGGTTATGCCCGTTATGCCATTTTCAGTACTTATTCTTGTCGATGATCTAGTGTACTAGTGTTCGCCAGCTCCAACTTTTGCTTCTACAACGCAAATTCGCAAATTCTACATTCAGCAAAATTGTTATTCATTTCTTGTTAGAAAATGAATTCAATTCATCGTTTTTTCAGTGATTGAACACAAAAATACACGCATCGTAGTAGTAATAAACGGGCTGCTTTTCGCTGCTGATCACAAAAATACACGCATCGTAGTAGTAATAAACGGGATGCTTTTTGCTGCTGAACACAAAAATACACGCATCGTAGTAGTAATAAACGGGATGCTTTTTGCTGCTGAACACAAAAATACACGCATCGTAGTAGTAATAAACGGGCTGCTTTTCGCTGCTGAACACAAAAATACACACATCGTAGTAGTAATAAACGGGCTGCTTTTCGCTGCTGAACACAAAAATACACGCATCGTAGTCGTAATAAACGGGCTGCTTTTCGCTGCTGATCAACAGGCAGGATTACTTTAATTTCTAATTCTTAATCTTATCCCAATCATTGAGCCCATCCCCATTTGTCTACACCTTGAAAACAATACATTTCTACTGCAGTAAATAATGATAAAGATTGAAAATTTGCATAGCAGGATTAAAACTTGTGATATGGCTACACCAATTCTTTTTGTCACTGAGTTTTGATTCAATCAAAAAGCTGAAATATTTTTCTTATGACGACTTAACATGCGGTATGTATGTAACTTGTTCTCAGTCCTCGCGCGATATTGCTATGGTGGTAACGTTGGTTACTGCGTGATGTCATTTTGAAATTGAACAACTTCAGTATGAGGCTCGTGTTTGAAAGGTAGCGGGAAGCGAAATCTGAACTTGAACAGTAAAACCTAGCTGTCTGCATTCAAACGAGCCTTCATACTCATGAAAAGGTTATTTGCAGCCTGACGCATCGTCTTTATTTTTTATCCCTCTTGAGAGTGAAGAGTTGCGTTGAAATGTTCTAGTGAAGTGAATAAATGATGTTGAATAGAACGACAGTTGACTATGCAAAAAATAAATAAATTCTCAATGTGTCGCACAATTTTTTTTGTTTTCGTTGTTTGTAGCTATCAAAGGGAGTGATAAATTGTGTTCGTTCTGGTGGATATTCGTTCTTTTATGAAGATCTGTTTAAAACAGGTTCGTATTTTTTAGATTGGGTCCCTGTAAGGTTTTTACACCTTTTCGCAGGCTCAATGATCGGGTGTCTTTTGGTGTGGAAAATGAATTGAATTGCATCTCTTGGATATGCATTGTTCTACGGTTCCTAATTGCTACATATACTGTTGCTAAATTTATAAATTCTATAAATGTTTTTGGTTAAATTTTTCAGACCTGAGCAACTTTGAAACTTCCAATCTCTCCATAATCCTTATAATTATTCTTCTTCTCCTCTTCTTCTCTGCTCCTCTCTCTCTCTGTCTCTTCTTGGTCTCCTTTCCCTCTTTGTCTCTCGTCTCCCTGGTCTCTTCTCTCCTGATCTTTCGCCCCTCGTCTCTTCTTGGTCTCCTCTCTTCTGGTCTCTCCGTCTCCGTCTCTTCTCTTCTGGATCTCTCTTCTTGTCTCTCTCTTCTTGGATCCTTCTTTCTTTGTCTTTCTTGGATCTCCCTCTTCTTCGATCTCTTCTTCTTCTTTCTTCTTGGAGTCTCTTCTTGTCTCTCTTCTCTGCTGGTTCTGGATCTCTTCCTCGCTGATCTTCTCTCTTTGATCTTCTCTCTCTTCTTGTCTTGATCTTCCTTCTCTTCTGATCTTTCGGAGTCTTCTCATCTTTGTCCCCTCTCTTCTTTAGTCTCTCCTCTTCCTCCCTTCGTTTTCTTAGTCTCTCTTCTCTCCTCTCTTCCTCCTTTTCAGTCTCCCCTTCTCTCTTCTTAGTCTCCCCTCCCCTCTAAACTATGCAACAAGAAAGGATTTTACTGTCAGACATACTCGGTGTCGTCCTTTATTTTAGTTAATATCATTCGTTTTCTTTCTTGCTTTAGCGAACGAGTGTTTTGCCATCATGTGCAGCTTTCTAAAAGCGCAGTTCTCTTCATGTTGTGAAATCACAACGGAATTTGCTTTAGAGCAACTTCAACGGAAATCTCTGACATATGAGCACACAAAATCAATATTGTTGTTCATAAAACAGGTAATGTCCTATGAGAATCAGTTCTCTAAGCCTGATACACCCATGGCAGTTGTTTTGGAGGTGTGAATGAAACTACAATTTACAACTTGTTTAATTTAATGTAATCAGTCTCTACATGTTTGTAGATGTAGATCGTCCAGGTTGGTATAGTCCTGAGAAGGACTGTTTTTGTTGTTGTTGACTGACGTTGCTTGCAAAACGTATGTAGTCGTTAGCAAGCTGTTCGCTCTGTCGTCTAGATAATCGTAATAAAGTAAATGTCTCAGGACTATGAAGGTTGTACAAACATGTTACGATACTCCCGGGTTCAAACCACTTACTTTATTACGATCATTTGGACGACAGAGCGAACAGCTTGCCAACGACTACATACGTTTTGCAAGAAACGTCAGTCAACAACAACAAAAACAGTCCTTCTCAGGACTATACCAACCTGGACGATCTACATCTACAAACATGTAACGATACTCCGGGTTCAAACTATTTACTTTATTGTAATCAGTCTCTTGAAGAATACAGTTTAGGTCGCGCGTCCTAGGGGACTGGGTCTTAGTTGTGTCTGTAAAATGCATTAAAAATAAGATGTTATACATTCATATGTTTAAAGGTTATAAGGCACGTCAACTCTGCAATACCTGGATCGTTTGTGGACATGTTACTTAATCCCGACTCTGTTATTATGAAATTGAGGTTTTGTGCTGACGAAGAGGTAAACTGGAGGATCATTATAATGTATATTTCTAACGGCTCTTTCATTTGTTCGTTCCATCGAACTAAAATACATGAAACACTACTTGAAGCAAATAATTGTAGCCGAATCTTACACCCAGACACGCGTGTTTTTCGTGTTTCGAGATTCTTTCGCGGAGTGAAAATTGATTGATTACACACGCGTGTCTGGGTGTAATCTCGCATATCTGGGTGTAAAACATGGCTTCGAAAAATTACTAGGCTTTTCTTTTACAGGTAGCGTTCCAGGTATTTTAGTTCAGTGTTTCGTTTTACAACCGTGTACTTTATACTATTAAGGAACTGTGTTTGATAATGTTGCTGTGAATTATTATTACTCCATACGTTATACTATTACGTCATCGTTCATCTGACGTGTTTTCCTTTTAAGGTAATAAAGAGGGTGCTGGAGATTTGTCAATCACTGATCAACATAAAAAGTCCGAAAATTATTAAAGAGTCTTACAAGTAAGATTACATCCTGAATGGGGGGGGAAGGGAGGAAGGAAGGGAAGGGAGGGGGAGAGGCAAGGAAGGATGGGCAAGGATAAGAGAAGGGGAAGGATGGGGTGGAAAGGGAAGGAAGGAAAAGGGGGGGACAAGGAAGGAAGGATAAGAGTTAAAGGTCAGCGATAAGAGGAAGGTAAGGATTAGGAGAAACTGTAGCAAAATTGTACAGAGAAAGTAGGAAGAATTAAAGATTTATCAATATTTAAACATATGTGAATTTTTAGACTATTTGTGGACGATGTTCGAGCAGCGTATGGTGTATTAAAGAAAGGTTTAGAATTGATAAATGGCGAGGATTCAGAAATCTCGTCGACCATGGCTAAAATGGACAATTCAAACTCAGGAGAAAAGATTGATGACGTAAAACATGAATCGCGTGACGATGGCGATTATGAGATATCATTTGATATCAATTTGCATCAGGCTCAGATTAAAACAGTCTTCGATTTACAAGTTCTTGGTAGCCTAAAGCCACAGACCACTGCCATTGTTTATGTGAGTGGATTCATAAAACTGCGGCTTTCGTCAATGTTCGAGTCCTGAACAATATTTTGTTGTTTTATAGCTCACTCCTCCACTCATTGAGATCATCGCTAAAGATCTGAACGCGATAAATCTGGACGTTTTTTGTTATTTTCCCGCCGTTCAGTACGCTCTCATTTTTACGCTCTATGACCATTGTAAAAAGTACGTTTGCCTTTTGACGACATTTTCATTTGAAAGGAATGTCGTATGAAAGTTTTATGCAGTGCAGTGTTTGTTCATTTAATTTCAAACACCGCACGACATTTTCATTTTCTATGTAAATGAATGCGACGTGTTTGTCGTCGTAGGAATAAGCATTTCTTGGTGAGCGAAGATGATGCCTCAATACTTCATGTTGTTAAAGATATAATGTTGAAGATCCTTCAAAATGTCTTGTCATCTTCCGATATAAGGTATGTTTGTTTATTTCATTCGAAGTGGAACTTTTCGCGTGTCATTCACGGCGATGATTTTACTGTTCTAGGAAGTTGATCATTGCATGGATTGTGGATCTCGCGGGATCAGTGAGAGCAATTGTGGATTGCAAGAACAAAATTGACTTTGACACATTTGTTGCTACAATGTTGCCGTTATGTAAGTCATGTGACCCTAGTCTCTTTTCTCTATTGTCACGTGATAACGACGAAATTCGAAAGGTCCAATGACGTCTTTACATTTCCACACAGCTTTTCTTCCCGAAGATGACGTCCGTACTGCTGTCGCTGCTTGTGTCAAATTGCTAATTCAAAATAAACTTGTATCAAGAAGTGTTGTCAAAAGGTGTTGTTTAAATTATTTAGTCGTTTTCTCTTTGACTTTATCTATATTTCTGTTAAAAATATCGGAGAATCTGATTGGCTTGTGAAAATATCTAAATGAATGTGATTGGCTTGTGAATATATCTAAATGAATGTGATTGGTTATCGAGTTTTGACCTTGTTATTTTTTTTGTTTTACAGGGTCGTACAAGAGTTTGTGTTTCATGTCTCGGATGTCAATGAACAAATGAAAAATATATTTCTTGAGTTACTTTCCGTGGTACCAATTGATCTCAGCCTCAGGTAAATAAAACAGCTTTTTTCACTGTTTGCGTTGAGCATTTTTTCCTGCATGTAAACTTCATTGATCAATTTTGGACATAACAAACAATAGTCATGTTTATGTTCAGTTTTTCCCGCATGTTAACTTCGTTGATCAATTTTGGACATAACAAACAATAGTCATGTTTATGTTCAGTTTTTCCCGTATGTTAACTTCGTTGATCAATTTTGGACATAACAAACAATAGTCATGTTTATGTTCAGTTTTCCCGTATGTTAACTTCGTTGATCAATTTTGGACATAACAAACAATAGTCATGTTTATGTTCAGTTTTTCCCGTATGTTAACTTCGTTGATCAATTTTGGACATAACAAACAATAGTCATGTTTATGTTCAGTTTTTCCTGTATGTTAACTTCGTTGATCAATTTTGGACATAACAAACAATAGTCATGTTTATGTTCAGTTTTTCCCGTATGTTAACTTCGTTGATCAATTTTGGACATAACAAACAATAGTCATGTTTATGTTCAGTTTTTCCTGTATGTTAACTTCGTTGATCAATTTTGGACATAACAAACAATAGTCATGTTTATGTTCAGTTTTTCCTGTATGTTAACTTCGTTGATCAATTTTGGATATAACAAACAATAGTCATGTTTATGTTCAGTTTCCAGAGGAGCGAAGTCACCCAAGAACATTATACTTGCTCGAGTGTAAATAAATGCGATGAACCGCTGGTATTTTGTAACACTGGCACATGGTTAGCAAGGAAAATACACATGATGAAGCCGTCGACGGGGACCTTTCATTCACACAATTTTCGTGTTCTTAGTGCTTTTATATTACACGGTGTCACCCCAAAGTAAGTTCATATTTATGAAATGTTCCCTATAATCCCATTGCATCCTCGTGAATCACTTATTAATCTATCTGCATTTCATATTACACGGTGTCACCCCAAAGTAAGTTCATATTTATGAAATGTTCCCTATAATCCCATTGCATCCTCGTGAATCACTTATTAATCTATCTGCAATACATAATCGTCCAGCTATTTATAGATCAATTAACTTTTCGCTCAGATATAAGTGTAGACTGCTGTTTTAAGCACAAATTTTTGCGGCGCTCAATTTGCTTTATTTGGGAAGCAATTCCGGAAACGAATGTTTCTGAAAATTTCATTTCATTTTTGTTAAATGATCGTTAAACAACGAACACTCACGGAGCAGTTCCTGCTGAAAGGTTTTATTCTATCGTATTTTAAAGTAAATGGTTTGAATCCGGTAGTATTGTTGCATGTTTGTGGATGTAGATCGTCCAGGTTAGTAGAGTCCCGAGAAGGACTGTTTTTGTTGTTGTTGACTGACGTTTCTACAACAGTAGCTGTAGTCGTCTTCAGAGTCAATGTAGTCAGAGCATTGTCAATATCAACAGTCCTTCTCAGGCGCCGGTTGCACGAAGCCTGGATAGCGTTATCCACTGGATAGCAAATTTTTCTGAACGTTCATACAATCTCTTATGAGAGAAAAATGTACGATTTTAACTGTGCAATCACTGAAATGAAACATTGCTTCGAAGATTACGACATTTCTTTGTCGTAAGAAAATATAAACACCTTTTTTACAAGTTTGAAAAGTTTCGCTATCCAATGGACAACGCTATCCAGGCTTCGTGCAACCGGCCCCTGAACTCTACTAACCTGGACGATCTACATTTACTAACATATTGTATTTCAGAGAAGAGGAAAGTGATAATTGGTTGGCGCATCTTTATCTTACATGTCAACGTCAAGGTGTACAAAATAACCATCCCATGAATGATAAATATTATTTCAGTCGACAACATGATCCAAAATCTGTTGTTCAAGTAAGTCATCGTACTCAGTTTTCGTCTATTGATTCATCGATAATTCTTAGTATCCATTGATATCAATTGATGTTCATACGACTACTAGTCATTAGTGTACATTGATATCCGTTGATGTTCATTGATATCCGTCAAAATCCATCAATATCTATTAATCGCTTTTTATATCTGTTCATATACGATTCGTATTCATTAATATATTCAGTGATGTTCATCAATATGCCTTGATACTCACCAGTATTCATCAATATCCCTTGATATCCATAGTTCATATTCTTGTTTTCTCTAGATATCATGTAATAACGCATTGTTGTGGTTTTGGGCGACATGGGAAATGGCGCAATTTTGTGTTCTCGCCAGACTGAAGACGCCATTAGGTCGAGCGCAGGAGACCTTTCAAGCAATTGAAGGTTTTTGTCTTAGCACTGGAGATTGTTTGTTTACATGTGACGTCTTTCAATTTGTTTAATGACTTCGTGGGATTGTTGTGTGTTTTAGGTGTTTTAAGGGAGTATTTGAATCAAGTGTATCCAGATAACGATAAGAAACCGATCAGAATAAAGAAAAAGGCAACACAACAAGATACGCCGAAGGAAAATCTAGGTTTATTGTGTTATATGATGGTTAATCTATGTCTTTCCAGCTCATTCTCGTGGCTTAATTTTTGATATGTTTTGACGTATTTATCTGTACGGCGGTCTTTTTGTTTTTAGCTGAATGTTCATCGCAAAATCAATCAAGTTTGTGTCATCTTCAAATCAAACTTTTACTGCAGTTCGTCGAGAATTTAGATAAACTTATGTACAGTGCTTATGAAGGAGCTGCTGTATCCTTACCACCTTTCCCTAAGGTTTGTATATTATATCATTATTGGTTTCTATTTACGTTTTATGCCATCTAATTGGCTACGCAAACTCTCCGTATGATCTTGTGTGGACCCTGCGATTCTTTAGTGCATAGTGTCTATCTAAATGATTTCATATGAAAAAATATATTACAATTATTGGATAAGGTTGAGCATGGTATCAAGAATTATTCAGACCGTTGTCCATGTTATCTGCCAAAGGTAAAATTGATTTCTGTCTGAACACGCCACTCGGTCGAGCACATGAACATTTAGAATTATCCGTAGGTTTTAGCCAATCACAATCGAGATTGTATCTTGATTGTGATTGGCTAAAGTTGCTTACCTGCATTGTATGAGCCTTCAGATAAAAATGTATTTCTGCATCGCTCTCCAGCTGTTTTTGAGAGCGTTACTTTACACAACCATGTAATTGTGGACGAAATTTATTACTTTTTTGAGTTTATTTTTCCACATCAGTTTTATGTTCCTAAAGCATTGAGGAATGGATTGAACCAGTTTGATTTTTGCTTAATTGGGAACGTTATAATATACTCGTATATGTGAAGGAAGAACGCCGCCAAGGCCCGCTTCAAACGTCGTATTTTGCATGAGGAAATGAGATAAAATCCCTCATCATCTTTTGTTTTAAATGCATTCGGCTCATGTAAAATGCGACGTTTGAAACGGGCCTAAGACTTAGCGTTAACATTTCATTTTGAAGGCGGTGAGATTGTTTTTTCGCACAAACAAGTCAACATGCCAGGAATGGCTGTCAAGGATTAGAGCCATAATCACTTCGGTATCATTAGAATGCGGAGAGCTGACGACCGCTGTCCGGCAAGGACTGCAGCGTTTAAAAGAGCTCAAGCTTGCCGGAAAAAGTAAGGTAGGTGCATTGCAAATGAAACAATTTCTCTTGTTTTTGATTTGTGTTTATGTGTTAGTTATGACGTCTGTTTGTGGTCATGTTATTTTCATGTCCTATAGGAAAAAGATTTTGAAATAATTGTCAAAGCTGTTGCAATGGCGATGTATCAGTTAAAGGCACCCGGTGCCTTGCGAGGGTTGAATACTTGGTGTAGAAAGCAATGTGACAGAGCGTTGCCATGGCTTGATGCCATAACACACAAAGCTAAAGGAGGGTGAGTTTCAGTAATGGCCTCATTGACATAAAAATGATTTATATTGAAGTATTTCTCTTTGCTGCTTGTTGTCAGATACGAAAATGCCATCACTGAGTACGAGAAATGTATGGATGTTATCAAAGGAGACAGTTTAAATGATAAACCATCTTTAAGTGCATCAGTTCTGAACTTTCTAGCGAATGAGGTATTTAACATTATCATGTTTTAATAATAATGATTTCTATAGATTTAACTCTATTTACCTCTACCATACATTATACCCTACCCTATCTTTCACTACATTATGCAAAGCGCTTGTCCTGATTTTTATTCTTTTCGACATTCAATTTTTCTCCTTTGTCCACTTCAATTCTGTACTGCTGTAGGTGGCAGACTGCTATATGCAATTGAGCGAATGGTCTCAAGTAGAGCAATGGCAAAAGACTCTTCAAGAAATGCGTTCAAATCTCCACAATTCCGAGCTGCAACAAGCTCTAAATCTTAAAGTTGATCTCAATTACGTCAGGTTCATATTTTAAATGTTTTTGTGTCTTCATTTTGATCCTCGTTTGCCATGACGTGACGTCATCATGAAAGTCTTATGACATCATCTTGGGGGGTTTATGACGTCATCATGTGTGTGTAGGGGGTTATGGCGTAATCATGAGAAATTTATGACGTCATCACGGGGTTTATGACGTCATCATAGGGATTTTATGACATCATTCCGAGGAGTGGGATGTGAGCAAAGTTGTTTGTGATTTATGTTCATTTTTATTTGATAATGAAACATTAAATTAGCGACAATTTTTTAGGGCTCTTCGTCATTTTCACGACTTTGAATTTGTTGGCGTTCGCGAGTGTTTAGAATTAATTCCTGGTGCTTCGCTTGCATTCATTTTGGATAAAATGGAAGAACGTCCACTGATAATGGAGAAGGAGGAATCACGAAACAACGTGTACATGCCATCACCCCCCTGGAATCCAAAGCAGATACTACACGCAAGCGAAATTTATAAGATGCAAGCTATAGCGTTGTACTGGACGTCTGGTATGGCCGGGGGAGGCACAAAGAAAGATGAAACTTTAAGGTTTGTTCAACACTTGTGCTATGAATGTGGATGTTGTCTATAGAGATGTTGTCTATAGAGATGTTGTCTATAGAGATGTTGTCTATAGAGATGCTGTCTATAGAGATGTTGTCTATAGAGATGTTGTCTATAGAGATGTTGTCTATAGAGATGTTGTCTATAGAGATGTTGTCTATAGAGATGTTGTCTATAGAGATGTTTCTAGAGATGTTGTCTATAGAGATGTTGTCTATAGAGATGTTGTCTATAGAGATGTTGTCTATGGAGATGTTGTCTATAGAGATGTTGTCTATAGAGATGTTGTCTATAGAGATGTTGTCTATAGAGATGTTGTCTGTAGAGATGTTTCTATAGAGATGTTGTCTATAGAGATGTTGTCTATAGAGATGTTGTCTATAGAGATGTTGTCTGTAGAGATGTTTTCTATAGAGATGTTGTCTATAGAGATGCTGTCTATAGAGATGTTGTCTATAGAGATGTTGTCTATAGAGATGTTGTCTATAGAGATGTTGTCTATAGAAATGTTGTCTATAAAGATGTTTCTATAGAGATGTTGTCTGTGAGATGTTTTCTATAGAGATGTTTTCTATAGAGATGTTTCTATAGAGATGTTGTCTACAGAGATGTTTTCTATAGAGATGTTTTCTATAGAGATGTTGTCTATAGAGATGTTGTCTATAGAGATGTTGTCTATAGAGATGTTGTCTATAAAGATGTTGTCTATAGAGATGTTTTCTATAGAGATGTTGTCTGTAGAGATGTTGTCTATAGAGATGTTGTCTATAGAGATGTTGTCTATAGAGATGTTGTCTATAAAGATGTTGTCTATAGAGATGTTTTCTATAGAGATGTTGTCTGTAGAGATGTTGTCTATAGAGATGTTGTCTATAGAGATGTTGTCTATAGAGATGTTGTCTATAGAGATGTTGTCTATAGAGATGTTGTCTGTAGAGATGTTTTCTATAGAGATGTTTTCTATAGAGATGTTGTCTATAGAGATGTTGTCTGTAGAGATGTTTTCTATAGAGATGTTTTCTATAGAGATGTTTTCTATAGAGATGTTGTCTACAGAGATGTTTTCTATAGAGATGTTTTCTATAGAGATGTTGTCTATAGAGATGTTTTCTATAGAGATGTTGTCTATAGAGATGTTGTCTATAGAGATGTTGTCTATAAAGATGTTGTCTATAGAGATGTTGTCTATAGAGATGTTTTCTATAGAGATGTTGTCTATAGAGATGTTGTCTATAGAGATGTTGTATATAGAGATGTTGTCTATAAAGATGTTGTCTATAGAGATGTTGTCTATAGAGATGTTTCTATAGAGATGTTGTCTGTAGAGATGTTGTCTATAGAGATGTTGTCTATAGAGATGTTGTCTATAGAGATGTTGTCTATAAAGATGTTGTCTATAGAGATGTTTTCTATAGAGATGTTGTCTATAGAGATGTTGTCTATAGAGATGTTGTCTATAGAGATGTTGTCTATAGAGATGTTGTCTATAGAGATGTTGTCTATAGAGATGTTGTCTATAGAGATGTTGTCTGTAGAGATGTTTTCTATAGAGATGTTTTCTATAGAGATGTTGTCTATAGAGATGTTGTCTGTAGAGATGTTTCTATAGAGATGTTTTCTATAGAGATGTTTTCTATAGAGATGTTGTCTACAGAGATGTTTCTATAGAGATGTTTCTATAGAGATGTTGTCTATAGAGATGTTGTCTATAGAGATGTTGTCTATAGAGATGTTGTCTATAAAGATGTTGTCTATAGAGATGTTTTCTATAGAGATGTTGTCTGTAGAGATGTTGTCTATAGAGATGTTGTCTGTAGAGATGTTTTCTATAGAGATGTTGTCTATAGAGATGCTGTCTATAGAGATGTTGTCTATAGAGATGTTGTCTATAGAGATGTTGTCTATAGAGATGTTGTCTATAGAGATGTTGTCTATAGAGATGTTGTCTATAAAGATGTTTTCTATAGAGATGTTGTCTGTAGAGATGTTTTCTATAGAGATGTTTTCTATAGAGATGTTTTCTATAGAGATGTTGTCTACAGAGATGTTTTCTATAGAGATGTTTTCTATAGAGATGTTGTCTATAGAGATGTTGTCTATAGAGATGTTGTCTATAGAGATGTTGTCTATAAAGATGTTGTCTATAGAGATGTTTCTATAGAGATGTTGTCTGTAGAGATGTTGTCTATAGAGATGTTGTCTATAGAGATGTTGTCTATAGAGATGTTGTCTATAAAGATGTTGTCTATAGAGATGTTTTCTATAGAGATGTTGTCTGTAGAGATGTTGTCTATAGAGATGTTGTCTATAGAGATGTTGTCTATAGAGATGTTGTCTATAGAGATGTTGTCTATAGAGATGTTGTCTGTAGAGATGTTTTCTATAGAGATGTTTTCTATAGAGATGTTGTCTATAGAGATGTTGTCTGTAGAGATGTTTCTATAGAGATGTTTCTATAGAGATGTTTCTATAGAGATGTTGTCTAGAGATGTTTTCTATAGAGATGTTTCTATAGAGATGTTGTCTACAGAGATGTTTCTATAGAGATGTTTCTATAGAGATGTTGTCTATAGAGATGTTTCTATAGAGATGTTGTCTATAGAGATGTTGTCTATAGAGATGTTGTCTATAAAGATGTTGTCTATAGAGATGTTGTCTATAGAGATGTTTTCTATAGAGATGTTGTCTATAGAGATGTTGTCTATAGAGATGTTGTCTATAGAGATGTTGTCTATAAAGATGTTGTCTATAGAGATGTTGTCTATAGAGATGTTTCTATAGAGATGTTGTCTGTAGAGATGTTGTCTATAGAGATGTTGTCTATAGAGATGTTGTCTATAGAGATGTTGTCTATAAAGATGTTGTCTATAGAGATGTTTCTATAGAGATGTTGTCTGTAGAGATGTTGTCTATAGAGATGTTGTCTATAGAGATGTTGTCTATAGAGATGTTGTCTATAGAGATGTTGTCTATAGAGATGTTGTCTGTAGAGATGTTTCTATAGAGATGTTTTCTATAGAGATGTTGTCTATAGAGATGTTGTCTGTAGAGATGTTTTCTATAGAGATGTTTTCTATAGAGATGTTTTCTATAGAGATGTTGTCTACAGAGATGTTTTCTATAGAGATGTTTTCTATAGAGATGTTGTCTATAGAGATGTTGTCTATAGAGATGTTGTCTATAGAGATGTTTTCTATAGAGATGTTGTCTGTAGAGATGTTGTCTATAGAGATGTTGTCTATAGAGATGTTGTCTATAGAGATGTTGTCTATAGAGATGTTGTCTATAGAGATGTTGTCTGTAGAGATGTTTTCTATAGAGATGTTTCTATAGAGATGTTGTCTATAGAGATGTTGTCTATAGAGATGTTTCTATAGAGATGTTGTCTATAGAGATGTTGTCTATAGAGATGTTGTCTATAGAGATGTTGTCTATAGAGATGTTGTCTATAGAGATGTTGTCTATAGAGATGTTGTCTATAGAGATGTTGTCTATAGAGATGTTGTCTATAGAGATGTTGTCTATAAAGATGTTTTCTATAGAGGTGTTGTCTATAGAGATGTTTTCTATAGAGATGTTTTCTATAGAGATGTTTTCTATAGAGGTGTTGTCTATAGAGATGTTGTCTATAGAGATGTTTCTATAGAGATGTTGTCTATAGAGATGTTGTCTATAGAGATGTTGTCTATAGAGATGTTGTCTATAGAGATGTTGTCTATAGAGATGTTGTCTATAGAGATGTTGTCTATAGAGGTGTTTTCTATAGAGATGTTGTCTATAGAGATGTTGTCTATAGAGGTGTTTTCTATAGAGATGTTGTCTATAGAGATGTTGTCTATAGAGATGTTGTCTATAGAGGTGTTTTCTATAGAGATGTTGTCTATAGAGATGTTGTCTATAGAGATGTTGTCTATAGAGGTGTTTTCTATAGAGATGTTGTCTATAGAGATGTTGTCTATAGAGATGTTGTCTATAGAGATGTTGTCCATAGAGATGTTGTCTATTGAGGTGTTTTCTATAGAGATGTTGTCTATAGAGATGCTTTCTGTAGAGATGTTTTTTAGCTTGAAATTTTACAGTAACATGTGTAAATATTTTTTAGCTTGAAATTCTACAGTAACATGTGTAAATATTTTAGGAACGAGTTGAATGCTATCCTCAATCGTGGCAGTCAGTTACTTGAGGGAGTTATATCAAATAATGTTCATGATTGGCCCCCTTCCTTGCCTGACGTTCACACTGTTCAATATTATGGATTAAAACTCTTAAATAACGTACTACCTGGAAAGCAAGACAAGGTAGGAACAGTGATAGTCTTATATAGTTCATTTTTGAACTGTATATTACATGTGTGAATGATGGTCTTTGATGTATGAAACCATACAACGTAGGATCATTTAACAGGACGCAGCGTTGCTCAAAACTTGCTTAAAACTTAAATATTTAAATAATTTAGTTAGAATTAACCAACCAGAGAGTCATTAGAAACTAATTATGTACATGATAATTCTTTTGTAATTTAATTATAATTGTGCTACAATGTTTTTATTGTCGAAGTTTGTCGTGGCATTTATAATTCTCTTTAATTATTTTTTAAATATTTATATTGACAGGATACATCTCCCCTATTGCCATTCAGCCTTCTCGCAAAACGTGCGCTCTCTCAAGAAATCTCTTTGGACAGCGGCGTGATGAGGAAAATACTTCATATAACTTCATACAATCATTACCACCATAGTCTACACGGCAGACATAGTGATGATACTCTAGAACAGTTGTCCACGATGCAACTGAAGACTATTCATGTTATGCGAAAACAAGAAAACTATATATTGGCGTCCAAGTTTCTCCGTTTCCTTCCCTTACTGCACAACGATGATAAATCTAGAGAAGAGAAATACAAAATTGTAAATGTCGATCGCGAAGAGGCTTCTCATGGACGTTTATGTGAATTATTGTTCAATGATCTTGAAAAGTTTCGTAGTTTAAACATCAATTCTCGTACAAGGACGCAAATTTATAACGAGACAGCAAAACTTCTACACGCTCTTGGTTCGAATGTCAGGGCTTCTCAAGTTCTTTGTGATTGTATAATTCTAAATAGAACAGACGGTTCTGATGCACAAACCGATGTCTTGAACGCTAAAGCTTTATGTACGCTTGCTAAATGGATTTCTGTCGACAAGAAGATGCTTAGTAATAACGAAGAGTTGCGAAAGATTCTTTATGCAATAATAAATGACGACAGCAAAGCTCTTCAAAACTTTCCTCGAACTTTGAAGATGTTGAGGCGATATGTGGACGTCTTTTGCTCTTGGTAGTCAGGTTGCTCCTGATTTTGACAAGGCTTGGTTTATGCTCGCTGCCTGGGCTTATAAAGCTGGTCGAAAGATCATTGAGCAGGCGTGGTAAGTGCGTTGCCATTGTTGATATTTTAAGACATTGTTTGTTTGTTCATTCGTTCACCAAAGGTATTCTTCTACTATGGAATTTTGATATGGCATTTTAGATATCGGGACGAGTTTAAGTTTATTATATTTCCGTAAACCGCTCTGCAGCTTGTAGTCTGTTGAAACGTCTACCAAAAACAGTTTGTTCACTGGTAGTAGTCAAAACCTGATAATTTAAAATGCCATACGAATGCAAGCGATCGGAAGCGTCATTTACACGTGTTTGTCAATTCAGACTATCTACATGTACGCTCTCGTACCTATTTTTCGTGCATTTCACGCTCGCACCGATGGTTTTCTGCGTTATGTTTATTTTTTCTTTAAGATACTCCTCAATATTACTACTGAAGTACCTTAATTTTGAATAAAACTACGAATTTCAGACTCCATACACTTTAGGCTGTTCAAACGTCGAACTTTACATGCGCCGAATGTATTATAAACAAATGATAATGAGATGAGATTCCTCATCACCTTTTGTTTTAAATGCATTCGGCACATGTTAAGTACGATGTTTGAACTGGCGTTAGTGTATATGCTCCCGAGGGAAATATTAAGTTTTGTGTTCCAAGAGTCTCGATGTTGTGGAATATTGCATGAGACTCGAGGGAAAACAAAACTCACTGTTTTCTCAGGAACACATACGTTAAGTGAACAAAACACTTTCAGTAGTTTTAGATTTCAACAGCTTTTCAATAAAGTTAACGTCTTTCGGTGGAAATATGTCTTCTGAAATTTTTTGCAAAATACTTTATCAAAGTGACTACAGCATTTTTGTTCGACTTTCGAGGGTTTTCTGAGTCCTTTTCTTCTATTAATAGTTGAACTTTGTCACTTAATAAACTCGAGAAATGTTTTTTTTAGTGTTCGGTTCTATTACTGTTTTATTCGTTATGAATTTAAAATGAGCGGGCAAAAAATTTTTCACTTGTTTCCCTAACGGTAAACATTGCATTTATTTTAAGTCACGTGACCACGAATGAACCAATCACATTTAACATAAACAACATCTATGTAACAATTGCATTTGTTTTCTAAGCTCTGGTGGAAGTGTTGAAATATCTCGTGAACAACGCGAAACAATCATTGCTGAATTACCCGAGGTGTGTTTGTTGATTAATTTGAATTTACATTTATGTATCATTTTAAATTTTAGCATTAATTTTAATAGAATATTAACAAAGACGAGACAGAAAAAGTCTTGGCAATCTTAAGTAAAGGTCACTTTACAGTACTTGGAAGTCAAGAGGAAGAGATTAACTCTGGCAACGAGGTTTGATTTTCTTGGTTTTTTCCGGTAGCGTATCGAGAGTTTGTCAAAATGAATTATATGTTTTTGATTTTTATTTTAATATACTCTCACGAGGAACTTTTGGTATTAATTTCTATAAATTCAAATTGTTTCAGTCATATTGCCACCGAGGTATTTGGAAATTTTATGTATCAAAAACGAGCTGCAGTAATTTATTTTGACGTACTGTAAATCTGTGTCTGATTTCGTCTTTTCAGTTATCTAAATTTCTAGTTGGCTTTGAAATTATTATGGCGTTTATATTTTGTCTTAATTGAAGTATTGTATTCAGAGGTTATTGCATTTTAAGGTTTTAACAAGAGAAGAGGAAACGGTGAAGGAACAACTTGTTGCAGTCTTGCCACATCTCGAAGATTCTTCTATTGAAGCACTTGTTTGCATATGGCGCGGGATTTGTGAAAGATTATTTAGTCATTACAGGACTGCTGTTTGTTCTTATTTTAAGTATTTGAAACTCCACGGAAAGGTTAGGCGTACGACATGTAGAACAACTCTTCATTTCTATTTCATTGCGTATCATTTGTCGGTTTAGAGAGGAAATTGTGTCAATGATCATGTGCTATTGAATATATAACATAAGTGTAATTTTAACATTGCAGCCCTAACTTATTGTAGTAGATTCTTGTATGTTGATGTAATTACTGTAGTATGTTGATTCTGAATAGCCATTTCAATTCATTCAATCATTCATTCATTCACTCATTCATTTATTTGTTTTTGATCTTTCGTATCCAGACCTCCAGCAAATGTGACGTAGATAGTGACAGACACGTGACTGCAACATTGAGACTTTTGCGTCTGCTCGTGAAGCATGCTGGTGAATTGAAGTCAGAACTGGAGGAAGGCTTTCAATCCACTCCCACTGAACCATGGGAAGGTAAGGCCAAATATTTTTGCGTGTGATCTATATAAGTAGTGGAGTAAGTTTAGTCCTCGCTGAAAAAAGAAAACACTCAATACCTTTCAGCAAAGGGTCACCTACTCGTCGGCCACATTCTCCCTTTCAATACTATAGAATACAATGTTGACCTACTGCCCTCCCCTACCTTATCCTCACTGAAAAAAGAAAACGCTCAATACCTTTCAGCAAAGGGTCAACTACTCGGCGGTCCCCAAAGGGTCCCCTGCAAATCCCTTTCAATACTATAGAATACAATGTTGACCTACTGCCCTCCCCTACCTTATCTACATGAAATCGCATATCTAAGATGAATCCCACTTATACATTCTCGTTCTGAAAGGCGTTCGAGTGGAGGCTCAAATATATGAAATGGGTTCATGGTCAGCGGTTTAGAATAAGGATTTGTCTTTGAACAAAACAAAACTATAGTATAGACTTGATTTCTTTTGCAAATGCATCATCTTGACCACTGTTTGTTTGAGCGATACGTTTTTGTTTAGAAATAATTCCTCAGTTATTTTCACGACTAAATCATCCAGAAGAGTATGTTCGTAAAGGTGTGACTGAATTACTACGACGTGTATCTAAAGAATCACCTCATCTTATCTTGTACCCGGCTATTGTCGGGTGTGCGGGCAATCATCAACGGTTCAATCAAAGCGCTAGCAGTAAGTTGCACTGTTGGCTTTTCTAACTAATATCATGGATGGTTTTTTGTAATTTTTACACTGGTAATGCTAAATATTTTAGAGGGGGGCTTGGGCTTGCAAGGAAGTCATGTAAGACAAAGCAAGAGTCTAGATTTTGTAGTGCAGTCACTGAAGGGTAGTGTAAAGTTGAAACATTGCCCAGGGCAACTCAGTTCAACTGTACTGCTGATTTGCTTTGCTAAAAAATGCGGGGGGTGAAATGTTTCTTACTCTTAAAAGGCTAACAATTTTTTTCGGGGGATGGGGGTGAGATCTGATGTTTGCGAGTAGGCACCCCTTTACCCCCAGAAAAATCCGTCCATCACTAAAACTTATCATGTGCTTGAATTGTTGATTAACATGATTGAACGATCGTCTTTTCTAGGTTTTGTGAGCCTGGTCACGAACAAGTCACGTGATTCGGACAGCTTTTTTACAAACGATGAAGAAAATTCGAGCGGTGATCACATCTTGGAAAGTGGATATCACACAATCGTGGAGTCCCTTGCTGACGGCAGTTCCCGATTGGTTTCCGAAGTGCGCGAGTTCGTGGAGGAGCTACGACGCATCACCTTGTTATGGGAAGAACTGTGGCTTGGCTCATTGATTCAGATCCATCATGATTTTGAGAAACATGCTAACCAGTTGAACGATGAGATCAAGCGTGTGAACTCTAGTACTTCGTTAACCAATCAGGAGAAAGCTGCTCTCATCAAGGGCAAACACGTTGCGCTTATGAAACCAGTAAGGAATCATGCTTTTGCATGGAAATATTGTTTGTTTCAATGTTGTGTTTGGGACCAGCGACTTCTTTAAATTAGACTTTTTGTAAAACAAAGACTTGGTTACTAAGTTAAACATTGCTCTGAACAGCGTAAAATAACTACTCTCTGAAAAGAACTAATCAATTGGCCTTCACCATGACAAAATTTGACTTTCATAAAATGTTCGTCACTTTTTAGCATTTGCGAACGTTGTCACGTGAGAAAGTACCTGGTTACCTAACTTCTTGTTGCTATGGGCTAAAGGTTTTCGCCATTAAACTTATCCTCCTCACTTTTAGATTGTGTTTGCATTGGAGCAGTTGCAATCAATGACGAATCAACAACCAGAAACACCTCACGAGTCGTGGTTTCAGAAAACATACTCTCCACTGATTGAAAACGCTCTGGATTGCTTGAAAAATCCCGTTGAACCGAGTAAACCTGAAACAAGTTGGATAAAATGCAAACAGGTTTTCTTTAGAATATACTCCTTTTATGCAATAACTTCAATAATGAATTTTTATTTACACTTTAAATGTTTTAGCTACTCCAGTCTTTACAGCAGCGTTCACAAAAAAGATCGTCGATGAACCTGCGTTTAGAAGAGATTAGTCCAAAACTGTGTCATTTAAAACCGTCATTTATTTACATGCCTTGTCAGAGTTTTTCTATCAGCAAGGTGCGATATTAAGTTCATATATATATATTTTTTTGTAGCACTGTATGTCTTATATACTACGTTATGAATTTCTTCCATAATTTAGATAGTTACCGTGAATTCAATTGATAATGATGTTGTTATTCTCCCGACCAAAACTCGACCGAAAAAAATTGTTCTTGTCGGATCTGATGGACAAAAGTACGTTGTTGTTGTTGCTGTTGTTGTTGTTGTCATACAGTAGTTAGACTTGATGTATTTATTGGGTGATTCAATTCTTTTTTTCTTTATATTATTGTTACCATAGGTACGTGTATTTGTTCAAAGGTCTTGAAGATTTACATTTAGATGAAAGAATAATGCAGTTCTTATCCATCTGTAACAACATGTTTGCCAAACCAAACAGGTACAAATTTATCTATATTATCCAGGGGGAGTGAAAGTTATACATTGAGGGGGGTTATCGTAATATATCTTAAAGGGAGGGAGTATAGTTATATATTTTAGGACTTATTGTTACATAGGAAGGAAGAGAGTATAGTGATACATTTTGGGACTTATTGTGATACATCAGGAAGGAAGAGAGTATAGTGATACAGTTGGGGACTTGTTGTGATACATCAGGAAGGAAGAGAGTATAGTGATACATTTGGGGACGAATAGTGATGCATCTGAAGGCAACAAGAGAGAAAATCTACTGATGTTAAATGTCTTTTTTTCAATGTCTTAGAAATGAAGATAACGTATTCCTTGCTCGCCATTATTCGGTCACTCCTCTTGGTCCGCGCTCTGGTCTTATTCAATGGGTTGATGGCGCAGTTCCGATTTTCTCTCTTTACAAACGATGGCAGCAACGAGATACTGTAGCAAATGTTGCTGTGACTAAAAACGAGCAGGTACTAATTATCTGCTCACTTACAGTTCTTCTCGCATCCTCAATGTTTGGTTTGTTTTCTTCAAACTTTGCTTCGTCCGGATAGTAAAATTCACTCTTGTTAAGATAACTTTCGTGTGGATACACTTTGCCTACTCGTTCACCAATTTAAATCGCTTTTAAATCGATTTTAAAAATTTACATTTCACTTCGTAAACAAATACATTGCGAAAAAAATAGCGCTTGTGCCCACGGGCAGATATCGTAAAAAGCTGCCGCTAGGGCAGCCAATCAAATTGCTGCAAATCAAATTCATTCTTTGATTTATTTCTTCAGGGAAATTCGTTTACAACGACTCCCAAGCCACCTCTTCGTCCAAATGAACTATTTTATAACAAGCTGACACCGTTGTTAAAGGAAAAGGTTCTGATTTTGTTTATTTTACAATTGGAGGAAATGTAATCTACTGTATGCTTCTTATGATTTATTACGTGTAGTAGGACATTAGACTCGTGTCTTTGTCATCGTAAATGTGTTTATATGAAAGAATGTTTTATGCAGTGCGGTGTTTGAATCTCGTTGAGTCACCTGAATTTTTCAGGTTCATGAGACAATTGCTTAAATTGTCCAGCAAAGTGCGAAGATCATATCTTCATTTAAAGTAAATGTATTTATTTGAAATTCATGCATGTTTTCATTTTTACGTATAGAATATTGATATAAACAACAGTAACCGCAAAGAATGGCCGCTTGCTATAATGCGTAAAGTCTTGATGGAGCTTCAGAATGAAACTCCAAGTGATCTTCTAGAGAGGTATGATTTATAATGTGTATTTTTAGAGAGACATGACTCGAAGTACATATTTCTTGAGAGGTACGACTTACAATGTGTAATTGGCTGTTTTTCGTTTTTTGCGGCGTTTTGAAGGCAGTTTAGCGATAAGGGACTGGTTTTTTTATGATTTCTAGGAATTGTTGATTTTGTGAGTAAATATCAAGCGTAAGAAAGAAGTAGGAGTACGACAACGAGCTCGAAATGTTAAATGCATGCATGGCGCGAGGAAGTTTGCAGTCGTATTTTCTTCGTCAAAATGTTGCTTTTTTTTGTTAAAAACAATAACATACAGCTATTTTTTCCATGCAGAATAATATTATCAGAAAATCGGTTATTGCAGATTATAGGCATTTTCAACTCGACACAAATTTTGAATAAAATTTTCTTTTGAGATTTCATTGTTTCTAGCGTCAAACCAAAATCTTGCGCCAACATGACGTATTCCTTACTCGTAGTCGTACTCATTCTCCTTAGCAGAGCTCTCTATTATCGGACATTAACGATATTTTCTGCTTGCAGAGAGTTATGGTGTTCAAGCACCTGTACTGCTGATTGGTGGAGAATGAATCAGACTTATTCAAGATCTGTCGCTGTCATGTCTATCATTGGGTATATTCTAGGACTGGGGGATAGACATTTAGACAATATGTTGATGGATTTCACTACAGGAGAGGTACATTATAGAACCTTTTGGGGTATATTCTAGGACTGGGGGATAGACATTTAGACAATATGTTGATGGATTTCACTACAGGAGAGGTACATTGTAGAACCTTTTGGGGTATATTCTAGGATTAGGGGATAGACATTTAGACAATATGTTGATGGATTTCACTGAAGGAGAGGTACATTATAGAACCTTTTGGGGTATATTCTAGGACTGGGGGATAGACATTTAGACAATATGTTGATGGATTTCACTACAGGAGAGGTACATTGTAGAACCTTTTGGGGTATATTCTAGGACTAGGGAATAGACATTTAGATAATTTGTTGATGGATTTCACTGAAGGAGAGGTACATTATAGAACCTTTTGATTGTGAAGATATTGATCATTGGATAAGATAAGTTTGAAGGTTGTTTTCTGCATTAAGTCAAACGTTTTCTAATATTCTGTAGATCGTCCATATTGACTACAATATTTGCTTCGAGAAAGGGAGAGGATTAAGAGTACCGGAGAAAGTTCCCTTCAGACTGACCGCAAACCTAGAATCTGCACTTGGAGTAACTGGAGTGGAGGTTGTTTTCATGACTAGAAATGACGTTTTGGTTTGTGAAAGAATTTCATGAATTTGACCTGACGCGAAAGTCATATTTATTTTCTAGGGTACATTCAGATCATCTTGTGAGACAGTACTGCGTACATTACGGAACGGTAAAGAAACTCTGCTCACTCTCCTTGAGGCATTTGTATATGATCCACTGGTGGACTGGACCACAGGAAGTGATAATGCGTTTGCAAACGCTTTCTACGGTGGCCAGGTCCTCGATCAGAACGAGACCAAGCAAAGTAAGCGAGAAATGGAGAGAACTATTACGCAATGTTTGTTTACGTCACGTATCGCAGAAATGAGAGTCTCGTGGCTTGGGAACAAGTAAGTGTTGTGGCTTGGGAACAAGTAATAAGTTTTGTCACGTGATATAAGTTTTGTCACGTGATATAAGCTGTGTCACGTGCTATGATGTTTGTCACGTGTTATAAGTTTTCTCACGTGTTATGGGTTTCGTCACGTGATATTTTCTTGCAGAGAGGACGTACTATCTTCATTAAACAATCTAACGCAAGCAGTCGACTCGCATTTTTCGACGATCAGCCAATCACTTGCCGTGTTAGAAAACAACAAAGAACTCATTGGTCAAATGGAAATATTACAATACGCGTTAAAGTCTTCCTCTCACCCTCTTCATGCTGTACAAGCCAAGTAAGTTTTACGAGCATGAAAAAATGAACCAGTTGTATATATGATAGCATTATCATACTCTTACGTTAGTTTTGATGGTTTTCTCTCGCTGTTGTTGTACCAAGAGAACGATAATCATATATTCTAATTTTCGTAGAGAACGGTAATCATATATTCTAATTCTCCAAGAGAACGATAATCATATATTCTAATTCTCATAGAGAACGATAATCATATATTCTAATTCTCCAAGAGAACGATAATCATATATTCTAATTCTCCAAGAGAACGATAAACATATATTCTAATTCTCTTAGAGAACGATAATCATACATTCTAATTCTCCTAAAGAGAACGATAATCATATATTCTAATTCTCCAAGAGAACGATAATCATACATTCTAATTCTCCAAGAGAACGATAATCATATATTCTAATTCTCCAAGAGAACGATAATCACACATTCTAATTCTCCTAAAGAGCGATAATCATATATTCTAATTTTCGTAGAGAACGGTAATCATATATTCTAATTCTCTTAGAGAACGATATTCATATCTTCTAATTCTCCTAGAGAACGATAATCATGTATTCTAATTTTCCAAGAGAACCATAAACGTTTCTTCTAATTCTCCAAGAGAGCGATAAACGCGTCTTCTAATTCTCCAGAGACTAAATCACACATGATACTGTACAGTTTTCATGACCTACATAACATAAGATGACGTATGAAAAAATATCCCATTGAACTGAATATTACTGGAATGCTACCCCCCTGAGAAAATTTAAAGTCAGCAATTTAACTAGTTGCAATCCTTTTACGCGCGGCTCATATTTTATAACGACAGAAATACTAAAATACTGGACTATGGTAAACAAGTACAGGCAAGTTTACCTAAAAGTAACATTCCAGCTATATATTTAGTTCAATGGGTGAAGCGCTCCTAACAGATCATGCTAAAATTGAAACATCTAAAACCTTTTAACATTTGCCTGAGATTATTTCCTTGCCAATATTGATGATTTCTAGCGTGAAGTTATTGTTCTTTTTTTTTTTCATCTCCAACACCAAGATACGATGAACATACAAAGACGATAAACGAGTTCAACGGTATTCTTCAAACTATTCAAGATAAATTGAAAGAATGCCAGCATTGGGATGTCGAGCATCAGGTAACGCTCGAGATCTGCTTATAAAATAAGCGTACGTAACGATCAACGAGATGTCATTGTTATTTCTGCTCTCGTACTATAGGTAGCGTTTGAAAGTGTTCGTGGAACAAAGCTCGCTAGTATAGCCAGTGAACTTGTAAAGCCCCTTGATGTTGGTAAGTAATGAACTTTATTCACCTTTTTTTCTTCTTTTCTTTCGTTCCTCTGTGATGACGAAGTTTTTGTTTTTTCTTCATTACCGAATCATTTTTCTCCAAAGAGTACTTTGACGGTGGTTTCTTCTTCAGGTGCGCCAACTTTCGCTCCTGTTATTGGATTTCTAAAGAATGCTGGACAGGCCAGCACTGTGAACCAGGTCAGTTGCATCCTGTGATGTCAAAATGCGCGTGATTGCTTTGCATTCGTATGTTAAACTGTCCTTTTTAGTGTGAACAAGTGGAAACGGAGTTAACGGGAGTTTTAGAGAAACGGAGAACATTATTAAGATCGTGTCTTGATGTTTTACATACTTACGCTACAGTAATTTCTCAGGTAATGCGATAAAGAACTTTCATATTTCTATTTACACATTCCTATCATCGACAATTCGTTCAATAGCAACCTTTTTGGCATCTGTAGCATTCGTAATTGAAAGACAATTCATTCAAAAATGTCTCTTATTCAAACAGACCTGTTCTTAACATTCCTGTTTATATCGTTCATATAGTTTCCTGCACGTTATTCACACAGTAGCAGAGGCTGCAATTGGCAATCTTGGCTAAAGAGATTGTTAAATTCCCCTACCACAAGCGAGTGAGTTTTTTGGTCTTTGATGTAAAACATATCGAAGTTTGTTCAAAATTTGTTTGTTAGAACCTAAACTTGTATTTATTGACGTACATGTGAAAATTTTTGAAAAATCGTTCAGGTAAATTATTGGCAGGCGAAACTTTGCCCAAATGAAGCTCCGTAGATAAAAAAAATACTGTTGGAAGCTCTGACATCAAAAGTTACCAAAATTTGTACGCTTTTACAGTCGCTTTTGTTTTATTTATTGACTCGGTCTGATTTCGTTTCGTTTCCTAACTTCCCATTTGATCACGTGGTCAAAACTTTGTGCAGTGATTTTTCCTCCATGGTGCTTCATTTTTTGCAAAGTTTCGGCTAACAACAATTTATTTGAACGATTTTTCAAAAATGCTCGCAAATATGTTTAAATATGACCATTATACGAGCAAGAATCGAAAGAAGTACAGTGTTGGGTAAAAAGGATTTACTATCATTAGCAAAGTCAACTAGACATAGTAAACTCTTTTTAGCAAATTCATACCGTCGACATTTCTTGGCGGAAAAATTCCTTTTACTTTGCGTTATAGCAGCAGTGTTTTTAGTCAATCGGGATGTAGTGGTTAAAGTTTTGTATTATAAATTTTATAAGATGTAGAGCAATTTTATCGGAGTATGAAAACAAGCAGAACACACCAATTAAAGTTGATGATGAAACTGTTGCCCTGGTCAACGTCGAGGTGAAACTTCAAAATATCTTCAACGAGCTAAAAACAAAATTCTCAAAGGTACGTTTTACTCTGAGAAGATTTTTCATCGCAAAGTTTTGCTTGATTTCGAGTGTTTGATATGTGGTAATTTTTTAGTTTTACGAACGTCGTCATCAGGAGAAGGTTGAGACGACATTTTTAAATAACGCGACTACCGAAGCATATCACAAGTTAAAACACTTTGTTATTGGTGAGACTTTTACACTGATGGAATAAATGAATTGTTTTCATTTTCGGGTTATTTGTTGTTAGTAGTGTAGCCAACCCGCACGTTTAGCCAACCCGCACGTTTAGCCAACCCGCAAGTGTAGCCAACCCGCACGTTTAGCCAACCCGCACGTTTAGCCAACCCGCAAGTTTAGCCAACACGCAAGTTTAGCCAACCCGCACGTTTAGCCAACCCGCACGTTTAGCCAACCCGCAAGTGTAGCCAACCCGCAAGTTTGGGTCGTGCTATGTAAATTTCAGATCATTATCATTATTCAATCCTTATTTTTTTGCAATTAGTGAACTCAGAGAAATTTGCACAGCAAGACTAAATTTGCGGGCTAACTACGCTACTGTTTGCAGTACAGTGGTTAATATTTCTACTGCGTTACATGTTTGTGGATGTAGATCGTCCAGGTTAGTAGACTCCTGAGAAGGACTGTTGTTGTTGATGTTGACTGACGTTTCGACAACCTTAGCGGTAGTCATCTTCACAGTCAAAGGTTGTCGCTAAGGTTGTGGAAACGCCAGTCAACACCACCAATAACAGTCCTTCTCAGGACTCAACTAACCTGGATGATCTACATCCACAAACATGTAATTTCTACTGTCCTTATTGATATTGATTATCGTTTCTTTTGCTTTGTTTGACAGAAAATGGCAAAGGAGGTCTCCTAGCAACGATGCACGTTATGGCCGCTGGTTTAGCTTCCCTTCATAAAAGATGTTTGATTATGGAAAATACTGCTAAAGGTGTGTGTCTGACGTGTTTATGAAATGAAATTTTTACGACATAGTTTAATGATTGCATCGCGAGAACACTTAAGATGTCTAAATAAATTTTTCAGTTGAATTTTGCTGTTTTCTTTAGAACTATGAATACATGTAACTTGCTCATTGTGCAAATATATTATCAAAGATGTCACATTGTTTAATAACATTTTAAAAAAACATCATCGTTTAAGTTCTTATTCCCAAGTTGCTACAACAGCACACTGAATACACGCGTAGATGAAAGTATGTAAAGGTGGCAATTTTCGATGTTTTAAAACTGTTGATGAAAGCGACTATTTCTTAAAGCAATGCAATTTGATTGTGATAATATTTGCATAATAAACAAAGTTGAATATCTCTAGAAAAAAGCAAACTAACAAAATTCAACTGAAGAAATTATTTTAAATGTCTTCAATGCAATTAAAAAACTTTACGGAAAAGTCCATAAAAACCTAAACGACGACGTTCATTTCATCGACTTGCTTTAATTTGTAACATTGCTGTCTTTCTGTCAGTGGCGGAGGCTAGATTACTGGATCTAGTGTCGCGTGATGGGGACTGGTTTCTAGAGGAGTTAGTCTCAATGACTGGAAACGTCACACAGTTTGTTACATTTGCTCGTACTTATTGGATGGTGAGACATTTTCAAAATGTTATTTTCAGCTGACTAAGAGCAGAAGCATTTATTGTAAATGGTTTGAACCCGGGAGTATCGTTACATGTTTGTAAATGTAGATCGTCCAGGTTGGTATAGTCCTGAGAAGGACTGTTTTTGTTGTTGTTGACTGACGTTTCGACAACCTTAGCGGTAGTCATCTTCACAGTCAAAAAATAAAAAAGATGACTACCGCTAAGGTTGTCGAAACGTCAGTCAACAACAACAAAAACAGTCCTTCTCAGGACTATACCAACCTGAATGATCTACATTTACAAACATGTAACATTTATTATAGTTTATTTGTGCACTTCATGTAACGTTGTTGAATACGCACTGCTTGAAAAGTATCCCTTCCGCACGGTTGGTTTTCAATAGCCGTATATAGTTTTTGCGCATAATACTTGTGCCAGTTGTCTTCAAGGCTACTCATTTTTAGCAATGTCTCCACATGTTGATTAAATGGAAGGTGTATATTAGCTTCTAGAGTAAATAATAAATACCAAGCTCCCTACTGATTGACTGCAGTATTTCAAAGTGTGTTTTTGTTAACGTTGCATTTTTTGTAAATGTTTGTAAACTTCTAATATGACTGTTTTCGATGATTACAAATTCTAAATTTTATTCATGTTTCATTGTAGGATTCTCTCGATGCCTATGATCGTAATGTTGATAACATTTTAAAGTCGGTTCAAGCTCTTCTTACAGTTCATCAGATGTACAAATCCTTACAGGTAAATAATCTCATGTTTCATGCACCATGGAGCTCTCGGTAATGCTTTGCTTTCCCTTCAGGATATGATGTCGAACTTTCGCAACATAATTGTTCCTGAGACGTTAAAATGCTTGGAAATGGACGATAGCACTGTTCTTGATGTTTTGACTCGTTTCCAATCTATAATGACGTCATGTGACTCCAGTTTGGACAGTATGATCGTAACGGTTCAGTCGGTGGCCTTCAACAACGACAGTGTGAGTATTTGAACGTGAGGAATGATATTAGCCATATGAATGGTTATATTTATTTACATTTTGTCTATTAATGTAAATGGTTTGAACCCGGGAGTATCGTTACATGTTTGTAAATGATGATCGTCCAGGTTGGTATAGTCATGAGAAGGACTGTTTTTGTTGTTGTTGACTGACGTTTCTACAACCTTAGCGGTAGTCATCTTCACAGTCAAAATGAAACTATATCTATTTTACTGCTTTCTTATTTTATGTGTTTGTTCCATTGTTAGTGATCATGTTTAGCATTAGACCTTTCTCTGCCACTGTTGCCATCTGGTAACAACAACGAAAATATATGCAAATTAATTTTAAAAAATGGAAAGTAAAGGGTTAGACATTTTAAAATGCTGTTCAAGTACATGTTTGATTTAGAATGGCTTCATTATGGGCTATGATGGTTTGGTATAGTTTATTAAGGTTTATTGTGGTTTATTATTGTTTAATATGGCTTATTAAGGCTTATTGTGGGTTATTATGGTTTAATATGGTTTATTGTGGTTTATTATGGTTTATTATGGTATATTAAGGTTTATTGTGGGTTATGATGGTATATTAAGATTTATTGTGGGTTATTATGGTATATTAAGGTTTATTGTGGTATATTTTGGTTATTATGGTATATTAAGGTTTATTGTGGGTTATGGTATATTAAGGTTTATTGTGGGTTATTATGGTATATTAAGGTTTATTGTGGGTTATGGTATATTAAGGTTTATTGTGGGTTATTATGGTATATTAAGGTTTATTGTGAGTTATTATGGTATATTAAGGTTTATTGTCGTATATTTTGGTTTTTATGGTATATTAAGGTTCATTATTGTTTCACAGGACTTGGCTGAAATTCCGAAAATAGCAAGAACTGCGGTTGAATTAGAAAATAAGATTGTACAATTGTTGAGTACTGCAACGAAAGCGGATCACCAGAAAGAATGTAAGTCTGATCTTCATTTTAGTTCCGATCGCGCGCAATGTTTAATTCTAAGTCAAAAAGATCTACGAAAAAAGACCGTGTCGTTTTCAAATTATGAAATCTTTGCTGCAGGTGACGATGAACGTAAGACTCACATGAGCTCCGGTCAAATGTTGCTGGCAGGATTTAATGGTTTGTTCACGAAACTCGAGAGTGAAGTCGACTGTCTTAATACTGCTCTTCTACATGTCGATGCTAATTTTGAAGATGGTGTTGATGTTTATAAAAAAGTTCAAGAACTTAGGGTACAACGTCATGACACAACATTATTGATAGTGAATATACGTTTTGTAGATGTAGGAGTCTAACGTTAAGTCTAACACGTCATTGATGGTGGTTAAAGTTTAACACGTTATTGATGGTGGTTAAAGTTTAACACGTTATTGATGGTGGTTAAAGTTTAACACATCATTGATGGTGGTTAAAGTCTAACACATCATTGATGGTGGTTAAAGTCTAACACATCATTGATGGTGGTTAAAGTCTAACACATCATTGATGGTGGTTAAAGTCTAACACATCATTCATTGATGGTGGTTAAAGTCTAACACATCATTGATGGTGGTTAAAGTCTAACACATCATTGATGGTGGTTAAAATCTAACACATCATTGATGGTGGTTAAAGTCTAACACATCATTGATGGTGGTTAAAGTCTAACGCATCATTGATGGTGGTTAAAATCTAACACATCATTGATGGTGGTTAAAGTCTAACACATTATTGATGGTGGTTAAAGTCTAACACATCATTGATGGTGGTTAAAGTCTAACACATCATTCATTGATGGTGGTTAAAGTCTAACACATCATTGATGGTGGTTAAAGTCTAACGCATCATTGATGGTGGTTAAAGTCTAACGCATCATTGATGGTGGTTAAAGTCTAACATATCATTGATGGTGGTTAAAATCTAACACATCATTGATGGTGGTTAAAGTCTAACACATCATTGATGGTGGTTAAAGTCTAACACATCATTGATGGTGGTTAAAATCTAACACATCATTGATGGTGGTTAAAGTCTAACACATCATTGATGGTGGTTAAAGTCTAACGCATCATTGATGGTGGTTAAAGTCTAACGCATCATTGATGGTGGTTAAAGTCTAACACATCATTGATGGTGGTTAAAATCTAACACATCATTGATGGTGGTTAAAGTCTAACACATCATTGATGGTGGTTAAAGTCTAACACATCATTGATGGTGGTTAAAATCTAACACATCATTGATGGTGGTTAAAGTCTAACACATCATTGATGGTGGTTAAAGTCTAACACATCATTGATGGTGGTTAAAGTCTAACACATCATTGATGGTGGTTAAAGTCTAACGCATCATTGATGGTGGTTAAAATCTAACACATCATTGATGGTGGTTAAAGTCTAACACATCATTGATGGTGGTTAAAGTCTAACGCATCATTGATGGTGGTTAAAGTCTAACACATCATTGATGGTGGTTAAAATCTAACACATCATTGATGGTGGTTAAAGTCTAACGCATCATTGATGGTGGTTAAAGTCTAACACATCATTGATGGTGGTTAAAGTCTAACACGTTATTGATGGTGGTTAAAGTCTAACACGTTATTGATGGTGGTTAAAATCTAACACATCATTGATGGTGGTTAAAATCTAACGCATCATTGATGGTGGTTAAAGTCTAACACATCATTGATGGTGGTTAAAATCTAACGCATTATTGATGGTGGTTAAAGTCTAACACATCATTGATGGTGGTTAAAATCTAACGCATCATTGATGGTGGTTAAAGTCTAACACATCATTGATGGTGGTTAAAATCTAACGCATTATTGATGGTGGTTAAAGTCTAACGCATCATTGATGGTGGTTAAAGTCTAACACCTCATTGATGGTGGTTAAAGTCTAACTCGTTATTGATGGTGGTTAAAGTTTAACACATCATTGATGGTGGTTAAAGTCTAACACATTATTGATGGTGGTTAAAGTCTAACACATCATTGATGGTGATTAAAATCTAACACATCATTGATGGTGGTTAAAGTCTAACACATCATTGATGGTGGTTAAAGTGTAACACATCATTGATGGTGGTTAAAGTCTAACACATCATTGATGGTGGTTAAAGTCTAACACATCATTGATGGTGGTTAAAGTCTAACGCATCATTGATGGTGGTTAAAGTCTAACACATCATTGATGGTGGTTAAAGTCTAACACATCATTGATGGTGGTTAAAGTCTAACACATCATTGATGGTGGTTAAAGTCTAACGCATCATTGATGGTGGTTAAAGTCTAACACATCATTGATGGTGGTTAAAGTCTAACACATCATTGATGGTGGTTAAAGTCTAACACATCATTGATGGTGGTTAAAGTCTAACACATCATTGATGGTGGTTAAAATCTAACGCATCATTGATGGTGGTTAAAGTCTAACGCATCATTGATGGTGGTTAAAATCTAACATATCATTGATGGTGGTTAAAGTCTAACACATCATTGATGGTGGTTAAAGTCTGACACAACATTGATGGTGGTTAAAGTTTAACACATCATTGATGGTGGTTAAAGTCTAACACATCATTGAACGTTGTTAAAGTCCATTTGTACATTTTTAGGTCGATTTTTCTGAGAATCATGGCCTGTTGAAGACTCTGTATCTTCTTAAGAAACTAAACGTTATGAAATGTTTCTTCTCGGACTGTCTAGGACATGTAGAGAACTTACGTGGTATGTTAAACCACCTTGTACTAGTGCTGTATCCAGTTATACCTCGTTGTTCAACAACAATGACATCATTCCATTCATAGATCCCTCCACAGAACGACACTCTGAGCGTATCGTTGGGGAAGAGCAACTATCAACATATGTGCGTCGTTATATCGCGGATTTTGTACAGCAAAGGATGCTGGGTATTCCTTCTTTTGTACTTACAAAGACTATTATACAATGGCTTGGTCTTATTGGACTCAATTTTGAAAAAGTCGCGAAGGAAAGTGGAAACACTCTTGATGATTTTTGCAAAAAGGTACGTTGGATAAGACGCTGGGTATTTTCTGTTTTAGGGCAAATGGCATTTTATAACTTGAATTTTGTCCTGTTGAAATTCTGAAATTGTTTGTTTTTTCAAAACTTGGACAGCCATTTTAATTATTACTTTTTTTGAGTATAGTTGAAGTAATTGCCCGTTGCTTATTCTCTGTTTCATTCTAGACTCTTGATCAAAATATTCGTAAGGGTGTTCTTACTCCTGGCCTCATATCTCAAGCTAATGCTCTCACTGGATCTTTTAACTCCGCGTGGAGAAAGCATGACTTTGCAAGGTAATGTTTACTGCTAACTGACTCTAGTTGTTTCCATGGAGAAAACATGACTTTGCAAGGTAATGTTTACTGCTAACTGACTCTAGTTGTTTCCATGGAGAAAACATGACTTTGCAAGGTAATGTTTACTGCTAACTAACTCTAGTTGTTTCCATGGAGAAAGCATGACTTTGTAAGGTAGTGTTTACTGCTAACTGACTCTAGTTGTTTCCATGGAGAAAGCATGACTTTGCAAGGTAATGTTTACTGCTAACTGACTCTAGTTGTTTCCATGGAGAAAGCATGACTTTGCAAGGTAATGTTTACTGCTAACTGACTCTAGTTGTTTCCATGGAGAAAGCATGACTTTGCAAGGTAATGTTTACTGCTAACTAACTCTAGTTGTTTCCATGGAGAAAGCATTACTTTGCAAGGTAATGTTTACTGCTAACTGACTCTAGTTGTTTCCATGGAGAAAGCATGACTTTGCAAGGTAATGTTTACTGCTAACTGACTCTAGTTGTTTCCATGGAGAAAGCATGACTTTGCAAGGTAATGTTTACTGCTAACTGACTCTAGTTGCTTCCATGGAGAAAGCATTACTTTGCTAGGTAATGTTTACTGCTAACTGACTCTAGTTGCTTCCATGGAGAAAGCATTACTTTGCAAGGTAATGTTTACTGCTAACTGACTCTAGTTGTTTCCATGGAGAAAGCATTACTTTGCAAGGTAATGTTTACTGCTAACTGACTCTAGTTGTTTCCATGGAGAAAGCATTACTCTGCAAGGTAATGTTTACTGCTAACTGACTCTAGTTGTTTCCATGGAGAAAGCATGACTTTGCAAGGTAATGTTTACTGCTAGCTAACTCTTGTTGTTCACATGCTTACCGAACTCAATAAAAACCTCCCTAACATTTCTTTATGTGATTTCGTTTATTTGACAGACGATTGGACTTAAACCTTTCATTATATCGTTGTGTGGTTCAACGTGCTCAACTCAATCTTGCCAGATTTCAATGGTTTCATGAAGATCCTCTTTCAGTGGCTGCCATACGCGGTAACACAACGATAACACCAACACGAGCCACAGTCTTGAGTGACTTAAGAAAGGTATAAAAGCATTCTTTACTTCAGCAAATCTTTTCATGGTCGAGGTCATTAAATAAACGCTTTACCCACACATTCAGCGAGTTCAAAATGTCGTATCTCGGGATGTTGCTATGACGACGGTGCAAGAGAAACTTTCTCATCTTGAATCGAGTATCGAACAACGTTTAAAATGGGCGGCTGGTGCCAACCCATCTCTTAATCCGACTTTGGAGAATTTTGAATGTACTTTGAATGATAGAAAGAATTTGATCATGGTTCGTGTTAAATTAATGTTTATTTACAAGCTCGTATTAACAGCATTTTGTCATATTTACTTATATATATTTTGTTATATTTACTCTTTAGATAGAGAACAAGTACTCTAATGAAATATGCTCAATATCCAACGCCATTTTGCATTTTGAGGCGTTTCGTACTCGAACACAGGAAGCCTTAGCTGCAGATGAAGCGTTAGCCTCCCTTGTTCGAAGGTATGATACTCATCGTCCAACCATGAATGACTCACTATATCCATGTATGATACTCATCGTCCAACCATGAATGACTCACTATATCCATGCATGATACTCATCGTCCAACCATGAATGACTCACTATATCCATGTATGATACTCATCGTCCATGAATGACTCTATATATCCATATATTACACTCTACATCTATCCATGGTCGAGGTCAAACATCAAACACCATTGACTTTATTTTTCTTTCTTTGCTTTTTCTTTAGGTGTGAAGAATGTTCTGCTAAAGTTGAAAAGTCGAAAGAAAATTTGAAAGACGTTGAAGACCTCATGGCTAAGATCAATGTAAGATCATTGTACTTTTATTTTACAACAGTAATGATTGAGGGCGATAGATCTGATTCTGTGGATGATGAGATACAAATGTGTATGATAGTGAGATAGATCTGAGTCTGTGGATAATGAGATACAAATGTGTATGATAGTGAGATAGATCTGAGTCTGTGGATAATGAGATACAAATGTGTATGATAGTGAGATGGATCTGAAACTGTGGATAATGAAATAAAAATATGTATGATAGTGAGATGGATCTGAGACTGTGGATAATGAGGTACAAATGTGTATGATAATGAGATGCGTCAATGAAATGGTTAGGTTATACGAAGTTTAACTAATTGAAGATTGTCGACCTCGTGTTAAAACGTTTCTATTGATCTTCAAGATACAGATATTCAATAAATGCTACAATTGGAAAAACTCAGAGCCGATCCTCCTTAAAATGACAATCCTAAATTTTCTACAAACAACTTCGTCATGTAAATTTACAGTCCTATGAATGGCGGTAAAACTGAACTTAGGATAACTTAGGGTAACTTAGGATAAGTGGAGGGTAACTTAGGATAAGTGGAGGGTAACTTAGGATAAGTGGAGGGTAACTTAGGATAAGTGGAGGGTAACTTAGGATAAGTGGAGGATAACTTAGGATAAATGAAGGATAACTTAGGATAAGTGGAGGGTAACTTAGGATAAGTGGAGGGTAACTTAGGGTTGGTGTTGATATGTTTAGGTTACTAATCCATCAAGCGAACGTATTACGACCGATTGGATGAAACATCGACTTTCTAACATCAAAAATGATTTGTCAACGAATAAAGTGCAGAAATCACAAGTGGACCTGTGTATAAATGAGAGCAAGGTACATTGTGGTCTTCTTAAAATGCCGTTGTTTTATTGATAAATCAAGTTTAATTCATAAAATTCACGTGTTTGTATTGTTTGTTATTTTTCTTCATATGAAGGAAATTTTTCTTTTCATCTTTCGTTGTTATCAGGAGCGTCTACGAAGTCAAGTTTCCATCGTTAAATCTTCATGGATAGCGCATCAAGTTTTGATGGGTGAAGTAAAGACAATGTTACAATCCCTAGCTAAGGTCTCATTTTCACTGTTTTGCTGCATGCTATGTATAAATTTGTCGCGATAAATTTGTCGCGCTTATCTCCAGGATGAAGAAGCCGCCGAATCTGCAGGAGCTCGTGTATTTATTGCAAACCACAATAAATTGAATGAAGCTGCCACGAAAATGCTCAAAGACGTATTAAGTTGTAGGTTTCTTCGACACAAGCGCAATTATTTTTCTTTTAAACTGTCCGAGAGTTTTTGTGTTATTTAATAACAAGTTTATTTGTTTTCATTTTTCTTACGCAAAGTATCCAGCTCAAATGCAAATAAATGTATGGAAGAAGCGGAAGCTAGTGACCAGCAGACAGAAATTGAAAACTCTATAAATTCCGTGCAAGCATTAGCTACATGGTAAGAGAATCTAGAGACAGTCGTGTCTAGTTCTTAGTCCTCTCGTTGGGGCTTGGTCTGTATCCTTACCCAAAATGCAATAGATTCATATCTTTCTGTCTTAGGGTGTTTCAACAGTTACCTACTCTAGCGTCGCCATTGGATACAGAGTCATTAGTTGATGATGACAATGAGAAACCATCAGAGATTACGACATTGACATTTGCTTCAGGTAAGCAATTGAATCGTTATCTAGGGGGGGTGGGGGTAGACATTTGCTTCAAGTAAACAATTTAATCGCTATCCAAGGGGGCAGACATTTGCTTCAGGTAAACAATAGAATCGTTATACGTAGACGTTTGCTTCAGGTAAACAATAGAATCGTTGTCCAAGGGGTAGACATTTGCTTCAGGTAAACAATAGAATCGTTATCCAGGGGTAGACATTTGCTTCAGGTAAACAATAGAATCGTTGTCCAAGGGGGTAGACATTTGCTTCAGGTAAACAATAGAATCGTTATCCAGGGGGTAGACATTTGCTTCAGGTAAACAATAGAATCGTTATCCAGGGGGGCAGAAATTTGCTTCAGGTAAACAATGGAATCATTATCCAGAAGTTAGACGCTTGCTTTAAGAGAACAATGTACTTATTATCCAGGGGGGTGATATTTGATTCAAATGAACATGCAGAATGTTCCTAGTGTTATAAGATAAGTTGGGTTATATTTTAAAATAGACTGATACTTATTCTATACAGAGTTTTAATGTTTTGCTCTAAAAATATTTCTAAAGATAACAAATATCATAGTGAATGGTAAAAGTAATATAATAAGTTGATAGTTCTTAAAAGAACTGTTTTAAGTAAAGAGCACAAACCCAATAGCTCTAAATTAAACGACTATTATAGTGCTATAATATCAATATCGACGCTCATTCGAATAGTGCTATAATAGAACTATTGGGTCAGTGCTCTTTACTTAAAACAATTCTTTTAGGAACTATCAACTTATTATATCACTTTTACCATTCACTATGGTATTTGCTATCTTTAGAACTATTTTCAGATTTGTCACCACGACAAAGTCTCTATTTTATTGTTTTGCTCTAAATAATCATGGAAATTTTGTGATTTTAAGCGTTACGACAGGGTGGACAACAGCAACCTTCAGCAGTTACCAAGGAGAAAACAACAGCATCGACACCACTCGATACAGCAATTTCCACGTTAGCGCTTACACCTGCTCTGAAGGAAGCTCTTAGTCCATTACAAGTTGTCTCGCCTGTAAAACAGACAACAACTCAAGGTTTGAAAACTTTATTTACATTTTCGCTATCCATTATTTTTAACCTATGTGTTGTTTTGTGTTTTATTGTAGGCTCTACTGCTGCACAAAGTTCTCTTTCAAAGAAAACTACAGTTATACGAGATCCGAGAACGGGTAAAGGTTAGTGCTATTCAAATTTATTTTTTGTTAATTCATTTTCGTTTTACTCTCATGGTTCTTTTATGGTTAGTTGTTGACTTTCTATCATGTTTTTAAAGACTTTTGCCTTCACTGAGAACTGATCACTGCGTTATAAAACCTTATGTCAACTTTATGTTGTGTTATGTATTGTTAGCAATTCAAGAGAGAAATATGTATGCTATTGGTGTATGGAAAAGGGTGAAAGCCAAACTGGACGGTCGAGATATTGATCCCACTAAACGAATGAGCGTCGAAGATCAGGTATGGCCGACAATATATTTTATTTAGCTTCGTCTTTATGTGTTTGATGCTTTAAAGTAAATGCTTTGAACCCGGAGTATCGTTACATGTTTGTAGATGTAGATCGTCCAGGTTGGCGCAGTCCTGAGAAGGACTGTTTTTGTTGTTGTTGACTGACGTTTCGACAACCTTAGCGGTAATCATCTACAGAGTCAAAATGACCTTAGCGGTAGACATTTGACTCTCTACAAGGTTGTCAACCACTAAAAACAAACAACCATCTAATTTTATATAAAGCTGAACATCTCTATACTACTAAATCATTCCAAAGACATCATCAGACTTTGATACCAAGATGGGTCAACAATCTCAATCAGTTATTGGATGGTTAAGTACAAGTAGCTTTAGGTTATAAAGTCAATGTAGAAAGTACCAAAACACAAGAGAATGCAAATCACGGTTCATCTTTCATATATTTTTGTGTATATATGTATGGTATGTTGTTGGCTTTATATCATATTCTTTGAAGATCTTTGTATGTATTGAGTACTGACACTTGTTTTATACAACACTTGTCTCCAGACTTCTCTCATTAAATGATCGAGAATGTTTAACCATCTCTCTCTAAGGTCGATCATATCATTGAAGAGGCAACGAGCAAAGATAACCTCTGTTTAATGTACGAAGGTTGGACTCCGTGGGTGTAGGTTGTCTTAAACCCATTGGGCTTATGGGATAGCCTGTCAAAACTACGTCATCACTCGTTACCAGAGCTACAACATTGTTGTACACGCGACTCCCGTCCGCTGCACGATATAAAACAGACTGGAATGCTGAATGAAACTCCTAGACTAGGTAAGATGTTTTCGCGAAATTACTTCTAAATGAATCGTCGCCACCTGGAATGAAACATGTGGTCTAAGTGTGTGTTGAAAGTTTTTGCGAAGGTCTTGAAGCATTGGCCTTACAGAATGAAGTCTACAATTTTCTAACGAAGCACTAAATATAAAATAACTTGGGTGATAAAATATTTGGAGGTTGGGTACCTTTTGCGTAGTATTATGAAGCTGAGGGAAACGAGTATTTTTCCCCTGAACAGTTCAAACGACTTGTAGTGAAAAATGAATCTTCAGTTTAAAAATTGGTTGATGCGCAAATTTTACTATTGAGAGTTACCAGTCTAGTTACCAATGTCTATGTATTTTACTAACCATATCTACTTCAGTAAAGTCAACCGTATCTCTACGTAGCTTGCGACCTGATTGTCAGCTTTATTACGTAGTAAAATATGATTATTCTTACTTTGTAACTGGTATTTGTCATCAATTTTGCCCTTCGTAATCTTTATCGTCATTTTGTTGTGTACTAGTACTGTTTAAGTTGATTTATTGTAGTTGTAGTTTAAAACAGTAAAATTCGATGTTCAATAGCTATATAAACGTGATCCTTATGATCTATATATTAATGTGTTTGATTGATGTATTTTACGTAAAATTTGTTCATTTTTGAGTTCTACTCGCATTAAGTTAAATAAACATCTTTTCGTTATGTGTTATAAAGTTGCTCCGTTGTGATTGTGAAATATTTTGCTCTTTTCATCACGAGATGCCGTTTTCATTTGACGAGCAAAAGTACAGAATCTCTGCAAGAAAATCCAAAATTGTAAAATTTAACGTTAGTTGCGATATTGTACGAGGTCCCATCAACGTTAAACATGGTCACTTACTTTTGATGATTTCTTTATAACTTTTTGCCGCTGGAGAATCTGGTACTTCATGTAAAAATGACTTTCCTTCATCACAACATTTCCCTAGAAAAGCGAACTTAAATTTATTTTTAAGAACAGCCTTCACTGTCGATATGGCGTTCTTGAGCTAGTTACCAATCCTTGGATCCAATGGTAGTTTTCCTAGGAATGGTATTTTCATCTCTCTTGAAAGCTGTTCCGCCCCTCCAGTTGTTGCTGGAAATATCTGTGATGTATTCTGCAAAAAAAACCCCAAATAGCTTAAGATCAAGTTCCAAAACATGTTTTTCCGTTTTTAATGATCGTACCTTACACTTTGGGCAAACAAATTCGCTCATGTTTTCAACAATGCCAATGATTGGAACTTTAACCTTCCGGCAAAAATTGATTTCTTTACGCACATCCAATAACGAGACTTCCTTTTAAAGGCAATGCAAAAGCAAAGCATGTTTTTGAATACAAGTTTACTTTGTTTTGTATTTGTCTTTGTCTACCTGTGGAGTTGATATAACCACAGCTCCAGTGATATCAGTTGCTTTTAAATATTGTACAATTGAAAGGTGTTCATCTGAGGTGCCAGGAGGTGTATCGACCAGCAAGAAATCCATTTCACCCCAATCAACATCACGAAGGAACTGTTTTATCATACCTGTTAAAACAAAACTTTCCTTTTATACTTAGTATTGTAATAATTGAAAGAATGAATAAATTACTGCATTATAACAAAATGAGGTGTATGGGTTGTATTGATGTGAATGAGGTACATAGAGGTGAATGAGGTGCATTGAGGTGAATGATGTACACGGAGGTGAATGATGTACACGGCGGTGAATGATATACACGGAGGTGAATGATGTACATGGAGGTGAATGATGTACACAGAGGTGAATGATATACACGGAGGTGAATGATGTACACGGAGGTGAATGATGTACACGGAGGTGAATGATGTACACGGAGGTGAATGAAATACACAGAGGTGAATGAAGGGCATTAAAGGATTCAATTTTTTCTTACCATTTTTTTTCGGACCTCTCCATATAACTGCATCGTCAGGGCTTCCAAGAAGAAATCCCACTGACATAACAGCAAGATTGTCCTCAACATACTGCAAGTGAGGGAAATTTTCTATTAGTACAAAAAAAACTTACCACACTTTTATTTTCCCACGAGAAGAAAATGGAAATATGGAAAATACAAAGTATAAAACATACCACTGGAGACCAGCCTGAACCACTTTGATGAACCTTGAAATGGATAAAAAATTCCAATTTATTTTCCTCTTAGAAGTGAGCAAGTTCAGAAGAAAAACCAACAATAATTCTTAACCTGTTCCCCATCCAAACCCATCACTTTTGGAATGGATGGTCCACAAATATCAATATCCAAAACACCAACCTACATTCACATTGAAATTAAAATGATTGCATTTGGAAATAAGTAAGATCTTCGGTAAAATGTATAGCTCTGTGTTGTGTTGACTGTATCAAATAACTATCCATACTTGAATTTCATTATTTTCAGATAAACCATGCGCCAATTGTGCAGTAAATGTAGACTTTCCGACGCCTCCTTTGCCAGAAAGGATGAGGATTTTATGTTTGACTGATATAAGGCGTTTTTGATCTCGGGTATGGCTGCAAACGCACATATATATAGCTTTATCAGAATTCCCTACTTTATACAAGAATTTCAAATGTCTCGAGACAGGGCTGTAGCTATGGTGATTTCTGGTTAATATGGGGTTTTAACAACCCTATTGAACATGAATATGTTGTATCATATATTATATTACCTGGATCTGGAACACTAGCTTTGCCTGAAGCGCAAAGCTTTTGATTTGGGCATCCTGCACAAGCGCTACCTTTACCGGCTATTTCACTTTGAACGCCGGGACAATCTTAAAACAATATATTACAGAAATTTAAAGAAATGAGTTTTGTTACTATGTAGGGAACACCGGGCACATCTGTCGTGAAAACGACTTACTTTCAGGCACATTTTCTTTGTCCGAAACTGCATCCGCCATATTGAACACTCATTCCCAATTCTCCCTAGTGATCTGGCAAAAATTAATTAAGAGTTTTTTTAAAGAGAATTTCAAAGTCGAAAATAAATTAAATAATTGTGACTTGTTGACGTTATATATAACTCAAGATAATAACTAGTTTCTCAAAAACAGTTGGTGATTTCTTTGACAAAAAAGTGTCTCTGTATATTGACTAAACTTTTCGACATTTTTTTCAAAGTAATATCAAGTCAATTACCAAATTACAACGCATATATATTGCTTGTGTTTTTCTTGTGCAATATGTCTTTTCTGTGTGTTTAAAATTAGCAATTCCCCAAGGCCTGTCTGTAATCAATAATTAAAACAAAAAAACAAATTTTCCGTCTTTCCTAATAAACATTTCATTAATATTCAGGCACGTCATGTTGATCCCACGTAAAATCATTAAGCATTTTAAAATGGGCGCTACTTTGTAGAAATCCTGTCTATTTTCGTCGCCCGTTTGTTCATGTAGAATGTCTAGAAGGCTTGCTAATGGCTCCCTACGAAAAAGACAAACCACTGAGCAGTTTGATGTCGCCTGCAAGGTATTGTATTTTGTTTTGTTCATAGCGAATTTTTATTTTGTGTAAAGACTGATTTGATATAAATGCTGTAAAATTAAGATCTATTTTCACAACGCTTTACGCGATAGAAAAAAAATTCATAATGTGGATGTTTCATAGAGTCTTCTCGTGGGATGATTGCATTACTTGCCCTATAGGGTTAAACTACAAAAGGTCAGACACTCAGACTTCAATCTTCCGTTGTCGTAGCCACTTCTAGATATTAAAGTCCCATTCTAAAAAGAACTAATATTTTTCGCGTGTTTCTAGTTGAATTTGATCTATTATTTGTTCGTAAGCTCGTTTATCCGTTAACTAGCTATCTGGACTTAATGACTTTAAGAGCTTTTCAAAAGGCAAATAAGCATGGCAATTCTCATTAAAAAATGTGCCGGCATTAACGATCATGTCAATGCTAACAGATAAGCCAAGAATCTTCATTATAACAAATAAATATATAGTATACGTGGGTGGCAATTTAACATCGCGTCGTGCAAAACAACATCTTAGTTCTCCGAATATTTACACACGAAATTTACATAACTGTAATATGTGTTACTTCATTTAAGATTATCAAAATTATTTATGGTTATAGGTGATGTTGCTTGGTGATTCGGGTGTTGGTAAGACATGTTTACTGGTGCGATTTAAGGATGGTGCATTTCTATCTGGAGCCTTTATATCAACTGTTGGCATCGACTATCGTGTAAATCTTGAATTTTTTTCTGTGAATTTTTGCTTCTGTGAATTTTTCATTCATTTTATTTTTCAGAACAAAGTGGTTGACATTGAGGATACCAAAGTCAAACTGCAGGTTGAATTTTAAATGTTCTATTACCTTCATGATTCTTCACAGTATTTTGACAAATTTCTTTCCTCTTGATCAGATTTGGGATACTGCTGGACAAGAACGTTTTCGAAGCGTAACCCATGCATATTATAGAGATTCTCATGGTACATTACGTAGTTCACCATCTCTCTTCTTTCTTAGAACTCCATAAATGTATTTATTATTTGTTAACATTGATAATCTTGTTCTTTTCAGCATTATTATTACTATATGACATTACAAGCAAGCAATCATTTGATAACATCAGGGTTTGTCTGCAAACATTTCTATTTCATTTCAAGCCTCTACGTACATACTTCCAAAACTTTTATATAACATACTTGATTGTTCTTACCTAGATTTTGTCTTTTGATGTATTCATAAAAAATGACAATCATGTGAATAAAAATGATAGTAACACAATTCTACTTCTTTTGCAGGCATGGCTTTCTGAAATCAAAGATTACGCCCCCAACAATGTTGTTGTAATGTTGCTAGGAAACAAGGTAGACATTTGTACTGTATTGTGAATGCTCACTTTAATGAATGCTTGTTTAACTGTATATATTTACATGATTTAGTCAGATAAATATAATGACAGAGCTGTTAAGAAAGAAGAAGGGGAACGTCTTGCTGAAGTAAGAAATTTAGTTGATGTCATACAAGCAAAGTTTTATTTTAGGAAATCCAAAGAAATACATTGTTGCATGAGCTAAATAACTGCAGAATACTTATACTTACAAGCGTTTGATTATAAAAAAACTGTGCACTTTGAAAGTTTGAAGATGATGCCAAGTGGTCTTTTTCTAGGAATATAATGTTGCTTTTATGGAGACAAGTGCAAAAACAGGAATGAACGTTGACTTGGCTTTTATGGCTATTGCAAGGTTGTGTTTTGTGCTTTAAAGTGCCTATGTCTGACTCAGGGAAGTAAATTCTTTAGATAGATGAATTAAATTTAAGAACATTTTAAAGATATTTGGTACGATGAAGATGTTATTTTAATAAGCTTTTTGGACTTAGAAGTGGGTGACTCAGGACTGAAAATAACATTTACAGGAGGACACTCTCTCTTCAAAAAGTATAAACACCGCATACATAATATTATAGAGTTTTAGTTAGAAAGAGCTCATCAAAACAGTTCTACTTTTCAAATGTTCATTGTTTATTACAAACCTGTGTTTTCTATATCTTCAATGCTTGTGCCTTCCTATGTATGTTACTTGCAGTGCTGAGTCTGTTATTTCTAGACATGAAAGGCTCTTGAAGATAAGATTTTCATCCAATAAAATATGTTGCAAAAGTTCTTAACATTGATTTAACTACATAACAAAGTCATTTCCCCAACCCTGATAGAGGCACTTTGATTTTTTGATAATGCAAAGTTGTTTTTTTTGTCTTTATATTTTGTTTGTTCAAAGTTGTGTTTTTTTGTACTGACATTTAATCATTGTTGAGTTATACTTTTATTTATTATTGGTTTATACTTTATTCATTGTAGACTTTTATTTATTGTTGGTTAATATTGATTGATGTTGAAAATGTTTTATTTGTTTCAGGGAGTTAGCCTTTGAACATCAAAAAGTAAATGGGTCATCGAAGTTTGACATGAAGAAATATGTGAATGATAAACGAGAAGGAAACGGTTGTTGCTAATGTTGAAAAGTAACATGAATGTGCCTGGGTCTTGTCACTAACACCTGTCTAGCACATGGTGTATGTGAGTCTTGAATATCATTTTAATGATTCATCATTTTCACCGTGGTTTCACCTCAATTGTCTGCTGCAAAGATTGATACTTATCTGTTGAAAACAGAACTCAAATATCCTCCTAAATCATAGAATTAACTTTGAGGTATGAATTAGTGACATTTTGTTGCTTTCATATGCTCATTTCTTTGTAAAATGTCTTTACGTATAAGTACAATTTGGTACGTCTTTAAATTTATTTCATTTCAACCTTTTCAAGTTTTGTGGCCACATTGGTGGGATGGAGGAGGGTGGAAATGAAGAATACAAAAAACACTAAAAATAAAAATATGCCTAATATATCTGTACAAATATTACATTTAATATGGAAGCAAGTCGTTCTTGTCAATATAATTGTCTTTTTGGTTTGAATCCAAAGGAAAAAGATTAAACCTTCGATGAATTTCAAAAGTAATCTTTATGAAACAGGTCCATAACTTATTGGCTAATATACAGGGAAGTTGACACGGCTGTATACGGCAGACGAAACTGACACCATACTGCACCACATCTTTATGATAAAGTCAAGGCATATATAACAAAGTAAAATTACTATTCATAAAATTTGTAATACATTCTTTGAATAGTTATTGAAAGGATATGAAACAGTCCATGGCGGTTTTCCTCCATTTATGTAAAGTACATAAAGATAGCCATTTTTGTGTTGTCCATTGATGGCATAGTAACAAGGCAAGTAGCGAAACAGGCGGAAGTTATGCCTCTCATAAAACCTCAAAGCAACATAATTAGTCGATAAAACATGAAGATACACCACCTTGCAGTTCGAATACTCATCTGTGGATAGCAGACCAAAGAGATTGTTCAGTAAAAGGGACGCTAGGAATAAGATGACATGATTAGAATTATGAAATTGTGTTTCTTCATTAAGACATTAAAAAACACACCTATACCAATCTTTCTATATTCTTTAATTACACCTAAACTAAGAATGTATGCCACCTTTGTATCGTTAGTTGTTCTCCCTGCCAGAATACCGCCATCCTATATCAACAATAAACAGGTTTGATATGATAAAGAAACAAAAAGTGCTGTATCAACAAAAGATTACCTCTGGGTTGCATTTCGTGATACTCTTCACTTCCGAAACTAATATTGCAATAATTTTTTTATTTAAGATAGCAGCAAGGGAATAAAATCTCGCGTTTGACGTGATGTCGTGATACCATGAATCAGGATAGCTAAAACATACATTACACAAAGGAAATAAAATCATTCTGACATAGCAAATTCCTACGAAAGTACGAAAAAAATGTTTACAAGCAGTGTAGACCGTGCGAAGTAGAAATTATAAAACAACGCACTTAATTGGGAACCATCTGCAGCAAAGACTTTTCACTTCGTCAACATCATCGGAGTTCAAAAATCGAAGCTGGATTTTGTTTGTCAAACCAATATTTTGCTTCATGTAGCCAATATCAGGAAAATCTAGGCCGTCGGCGGCGTTCAGCTATGCAGTTTTAAATTCATAACAATACAATTCTCGGTCATTTATATTGTCTGCGTTTACACAAAGTGGTGAGAACGAGAGACCGCAAAGTCACCTCAACTTCGTTCAAATCTGTTTTTCTCAGATTTTGAGATAGAAACTGTTATATGTGTCAAATTGTCATAGAATGGAATAATCTTGCGGAAAGCAGGGGGGAAACGCCTACTCGTCGTAAGGGGGGGTCATATGATCTATTTTAGGAGGAAACATTACGTCAGTAATTACGTATTGAGGATATATAGAAGTTAAATTTTGTAAAACCGAAAGAAAATAATGATTAAAATTTCAGTAAGGAGTAGATTTTAGACTTGTCAGTTCTTTATACACTATGGGAATCAACTCTACATTTAAAGATGCTGTTGGTTAGTATAAAATCTTCATTTTCTTCGAATCATTTACCGATATTTTTATGGTTTAGATAGAAATCATCAATAGACGATTCACAACTGTAAATTTTTTTTGTCAGTTATGTCTCATGTCTGACTTGACATTTTGTATTAGTGAATTAATTTGTTCGCGTTTTACAAGCTCATATCATTTTTATTATTGACTATTTTATCGTACATTTCAGTTTTGTCTGTAATTCAACGTATTCAAAATAAATTTGTTTGATATATTTGATAATACAGAGCAAGCAACGAGTCCTAATTTAGTTGAACCAAACTGGGCTGCCATTCTGCAAGTGTGTGATTCTATTCGTCAAAACGATGTGAGGTATGTGTATTCAACAGAGAAATTCAATCATGTCAACAAAATCTTCCCTATAAGTTTAAATTTTCCTTCCAAATTAGTGCAAAGGTAGCTGTGAATGAAATCAAAAAGAAGGTTCACGATTCAAATTCACAAACTTCAAAAAATGCTCTTATTGTGAGTTTGATACATTATTCCTCATGATTAACTGCTTGTGATTACAGTTGTCTGAATAAAGTTGAATTATTTTTATTTCAGACACTCGAGGCATGTGTTAAAAATTGTGGCTCTCCAGTTCACGAGGAAGTCGCCACAAGAGAGACAATGGATGAACTTAGATCATTAATTACTGTATGTAAAACTGTTACGATTTTAAGGATTTTTCATTGGTTTCTTAACTTTCAATTTTGTTTTAGAGTTGTCAGAACCAGTGAAAGTAGAAATTCTGAGAATCATCAATGCTTTAGCTTATGCATTCCGAAATGAGCCTAAATACAAAATTGTTGATGATACAAGAAATTTGATGAAAATGGAAGGTCTTTATGCTATTAAATATTACACATGTGTTATTCACAATACCTACTGACTGCTGTAGACTTGTCAACATTGATAGTTTTTATTAAGATAAAAATTTACTATGGTTATGTATTGTCTGGTTGTTTAACCTCATCCCTACTATTGTACCTATGTATACATACATGCCCTTTGAGATAACTCAGCATCCCATGATGTATATATACATCCTAGCATAAGTGATATTTATCAATCTTAGGTTTTTTCCCTAAACTATAGCAAATATGCAGATGTTTAGAAATTTTTTCTGGTTCTTAATGATCATGTGCTGATGGTAGGGAAAAGGTTGAATAATGGTAAAATGTGCAAATATATAAAAAAGCAACAAATATCAGCATTATATAAGCATGATTTTAGTTATTTAAGAAATAGAAAGCATTTTCCAAGTTTCTATAGAGTTATATGAACATGTGGGAAAGTTTGGGAGAAACAAGAAACTGCGTGGCAACCATGAGCGCAAAGTGCAAGCACAAACCACGCAACCATCGAGATTCTTGCGAGACCAAAGTCTCAAATGCATTATTAAGTTAAATCAACACTTTTTTTGGAGCATTTGACCAATCAGCTCCCATGTTTTTAAAGGTTATTTTGTAAACATGTATATTAACTATGTTTTATTTATTAAAGGTTATGAATTTCCAGAAAGAAACGAAAGTGATGCCATGTTCAGTGCTCTTAAGGTATCATAGTTGTCTTTCACATTATTATTTTATGTTTATTTAACGATCTCACCCATATTTCTTATATGTTTATAATAAAAGGCACCTGATTGGGCAGAAGGTGACACATGTTACAAATGCAAAGTAAAGTTTGGGACGTTCACACGTCAGGTACATATGTTTGTTATGATCATGATATACTGCTAGTTTAATGCACAAAGTATGTATTATATTTCAGGGGGGGGTTGCACGAAGGCCGAATGGCGTTATGCACTGGATAGCAAAATTTTCTGAACATTCAAAAAATCTCTTGTAAAAAAATTACAGCATTTGAACTGTGCAATCATTGAAATAAAATATTGTTTTGAAGATTACAAAATTTCTTTGTTGCATAGAAAAATATAAACACCTTTTTTATAAGTTTGAGAATTTTTGCTATCCAATGGATAATGCTATCCAGTCTTTGTGCAATCGGCTCCTGTTTTGTAGTAGAAATGATAAATACCTTTTGATAAAATAAAATTGGTTCCATGATAATAAGTACAAGACATCCCAAGTGGATCCTTCTGGCTGACAACACTAGTTAATCATCTAATGTCATAGTAGGCCACATTTCTGGTGAAATAGCCTGTTTTATTGGCTTAGAACTATTTTTTGATTCCTTTACTTTCTCCTAATGGACCAGTGGTTCAGAAAGCTTTTTATTAACCATGCTTGCTTGGTCTTTACCATGAAATATTGGAACTCCGTCTTATGTGCTCATAATGTACTAAAATATCTTGGTCCAATGTTTCTCAATTAAGACTTCATGCTTTGTTGCTAAAGCTTACTATCTTTCTGATATAAATAATTTATGATAATATTTCCGATATAATTTCTGATAATAAATAATTTATGATAATATTTCCGATATAATTTCTGATAATATATAGTTTCCGATAACATTTCCAAAATAATTTCTGATAATGAATAATTTCCGATAATATTTCTGATATAATTTCTGATAATAAATAATTTATGATAATATTTCCGATATAATTTCTGATAATAAATAATTTCCGATAACATTCTGTCAATAAGTTTGGTATTGAATAATTTCCTATAATATTTCTGATATAATTTCTGATAATAAATAATTTATGATAATATTTCCGATATAATTTCTGATAATAAATAATTTCCGATAACATTTCCGAAATAATTTCTGATAATGAATAATTTCCAATATTTCTGATATAATTTCTGATAATAAATAATTTGCAGCATCATTGTCGGTGTTGTCAAGTATTTTGTGGAAAATGTTCCTCCAAGAATTCTGTCATTCCAAAGTTTGGTATTGACTAGGACTTCACAGCTAAATGTGTTTCATGTTTTACTAAATAAATCCTTTTAACCAAATGTTTGTGATATTTTATGATTATTTTATTGTTTACTTGTGTATGAAGGAAGGGAGTTTGTTTGATGTTCAACTTAGGTCCTTTAGAACTTTGGTAATATTTGTGGTATATCTTTAGAACTTTACTTTTATCTTTAAACTCATAATTATCGAGCAATGATGTATTCGATAAATTATCGATAACTCAATATGACATATATTATCGATAAATTTTTCGATATACCTATAAATAAACTTTGAGATAGGCGATAAATATCGATATATTTTTCGATATATCGATAAATATCGATATTTTTTTCGATCATATCGATATCGTTTTTTTTAATACCGCAACAGCGTACTTTGTGATAGCATCTCTCTTGCTCTAAAATTGTTGCATCATTTATCATTAGGTCATCATCTTTCAATCAAAGACGAAAAATTCCGAAAATAGTGATTTACCGGCAGAATACTTGAACAGTTCTTTAGCAAAAGAATCACAGGTTTCTACAAATGAATGATTTAAATTGTCTGAAAGAAACGTAGAAGTGAACTCATAAATGTTCATTGAAGGTTCCTGAGAAAAAATCTGACGAAGAGATTAAACGGCAAGAACAAGAAGATCTTCAGTTAGCAATGGCTTTATCGGTTTCTGAACAAGATAAAAAACGACCAGTGAGATAACTATTCAAAAAGAAAAATCGTTATGCATCCGCAGTCAAATGGTTCATAAATTATGAAAAATTTTACTTCTTAAGGGGGAGAAAGACGAAAGAAGTCGAATTAACCCGACGACGGTTGTTGAAACAAGACCGTCTGCACCTGCTAGACCATCCATTTATAGTTACGCATCTTCGGTAAGTGACGTCGGCATGACGTAATATAGAGTAGACCAAAGTGACGTCAGCATGACGTAATATAGAGTAGACCAAAGTGACGTCAGCATGACGTAAGTGACGTCAGCATGACGTAATATAGAGTAGACCAAAGTGACGTCAGCATGACGTAATATAGAGTAGACCAAAGTGACGTCAGCATGACGTAATATAGAGTAGACCAAAGTGACGTCATTTGTGTTATTGACTGTGTTTTTTAGGCAATGAACGAGCAACAAGTGGAGACTGACTCAGAGGTCTGTAGTTTTTAATTTTCATGTCTGTTTGATGTTGCATTAATATTGTAATTCTTTTATTGTAGTTGGATCGTTATTTAAACAGACCTTATTGGGAGAAAAAAAGCGAAGAATTACCCCCGCCAGCATACTCCACAGAGCAAGATTCAAGTTCGTCAAACATAAACCCAACAGTTAATGGCGAAACGCTATCAACGGTAACGAATGTTAATGATGACATTTGTATTAATGAATTATTTATTTTCTTTTATTGATTAAATATCATGTTGCAGTTGATAAGTCACGTGATTTAACATCATGTTGCTTTTGATGCGTCACGTGATCAATGGCGCGGCCACTATTGTAATTACATATTACTGATATTGTTTATGTCTATATAAGTATATTGTTATTACATTCGTTGAACAGAAAAAACATACATAGCACAATCGGACCAGCAGGTTTACTTACGTCACTGCACGTGATCATAACGTCATCTATTATTTGTTTAGTCACGTGATGACGACGAGTGTGAAGCATTCAAACAAGCATTTAAAAGTAATGTTGAGAAGTTAAGCGAACGAATGCAGTATATTGCGTCAAAAGGAAGGCACATATCAAACGACAGTATTGCTCAGGTATGTTTGATATTGACCAACCTCCTTTTGAGCGATGCCATAATAGCGACGTCAACTTTTTCGTTTCCAGTCTCTACATCAAACATTAATCGCGACGCAGCCTCAATTGATGTCCTTAATTCAACAACAAGAGCGGGGAAAAGGTAAGCAGTCACGTGACTTATGTTGGGTGTGACAGTAAAAACCTGATTACTTGTTATGATGTATATAGATAAATATGAGGGGTTGGAGGAGAAATTGAGTGTATTGACCGAAACAAGACGTTCACTAGATGACATGCGCATTCAACATCGCGAGAAGCTTCGTCAACAAGAGCTGGAGCAAGATATGTTGCGTCGAATGCAGATGGAACAAAAAATGGAATTGTTAAGACAACAGAAACAAGAATACATGTTGTATCAGCAGCAATTTCAAGCCCAGAGACCACAGGCACTTGATCAAATGGCAAAAGGTATCATAGACCCACCATTGTCTACTTGCTTTTCATGGGTACCATAGACCCACCATTATCTACTTACTTTTCATGTGTACCATAGACCCACCATTATCTACTTACTTTTCATGGGTACCATAGACCCACCATTATCTACTTACTTTTCATGGGTACCATAGACCCACCATTATCTACTTACTTTTCATGGGTACCATAGACCCACCATTATCTACTTACTTTTCATGTGTATCATAGACCCACCATTATCTACTTACTTTTCATGGGTACCATATACCCACCATTATCTACTTACTTTTCATGGGTACCATAGACCCACCATTATCCACTTGTGTTTGATGGGTACCATAGACACACCATTATCCACTTGTGTTTGATGGGTACCATAGACACACCATTATCCACTTGTGTTTGATGGGTACCATAGACACACCATTATCTACTTGTGTTTGATGGGTACCATAGACACACCATTATCTACTTGTGTTTGATGGGTACCATAGACACACCATGATATAATTACTTATTATAGGCACAGGAATTCTTAGGTAGCTTTTATTCTTTAGACCAATTGACTGCCAACCAATATGGTTCTCAACAACCTGGTTTACAGAAGATACCGGGCATGTACCACCAACCCCATATATCCATGGAACACCCAACAACTATCAAGCGGTCACCCCTCCTGCACAACAATATCGTGCTGCTGGTCAAGAGGTTCCCACCGCCCAACTTCAAAACATGTCCTTACGGGGAGTACAAGCTGGCAATCAGGGGCCAAGTATCAATGGACAAGTACCTCATGGCTATCAATCTTTAGCAAATACAGGTCAACATCAAGGGATGACAACAGCAGGACATTACCATCAATCGCAACAACCTCAACAAAGTTTACCATTTGGTCAAACAAACCATTATGAACAAGTGATGAATGACAGAAACAATCAGCAAATTGTCACAGACTATTCTGCAAGAGGTCCAAATTCTTACACTCACAATGCTCTTTCAACAACGCCTCCTTCATCTGGACCATCGTCTTTGGAGCAATATTCTTCTGGATCAAATTCAATGCAAAATACCGGGGCTACACCACAACAACAATCAATTGGATACACCTCATACGTTCAACAATTTCCTCAGGGCCAGATTCCTGTTCCACAACAGGTACAGCATTCTTTACCACAACATTTACAACCTCCTCAACAGCAACAGTTACAACCTCAGCCACAGTTACAGCCTCAACAGCAACAGTTACAACCTCAGCAACAACTACAACAGTTACAGCCTCAACAACAGTTACAGCCTCAACAGCAACATGTACAACCTCCCCAACAACTACAACAGTTACAGCCTCAACAACAGCCTACAACAGTTACAGCCTCAACAGCAACAGGTTCAACCTCCTCATCAACAGCAACATTTACAACCTCAACAACAGCAACAGTTACAACCTCCTCAACAACAGCAACATTTACAACCTCAACAGCAACAGCTACAACCTCAACAACAACAGCTACAACCTCAACAACAACAGCTACAACCTCAACAATATTCATCTCAACTAACACAAGCTAGGGCAACACAACCATCTTCATATGGACATGGGCAACCATCTCTAGCACAACCACAGCTACCTCCATCACAAGGTGAACCATTCCAAGGACAACCATCTCAAGCACAACCATCTATGCAGGGTCTACCAGTCCAGCCACAGTTCCAGGAAACATCGTCAACGTCAGCACAGTATTCTAACCAACCTTTGATCCTCGGGTATCAACAAATGTTTGGACAAAACCAATGGTCTGGAGATCATGCTTCTGGATACCGAACTACACCACCAAGCTATGGTACTTATGAACAACAATCGTACCTCAATCAACCGCATCTAAACAATACAAATGAAGCACAACTTATTTCGTTTGATTGAAAACATTTGGTTGGTTAATATTTTAATTTTATTACAAGGTAAATGATCAAGTTACAGCAAGTGTATGGTAAGTTATAAGAAATAATCCAATAAATTTAGACATTAATATAGTTCATTTAACCAAATTGCAGCGTATTCGACTTTCTTTTGCGAAACTTTTAATGTTAAATTGGGAACATTTTGCTTATCTTTATGTATTTACTGTACAAATCACCATAGACTAAAGGAAAAGTTGCAAAATAGCAATCACGAGAAACTGCAGACGTCTGTTTAAAAATGCTCGTGAAAGCAAGACGAATTTGTTTCATTGTAAAACGTACTGTGTTCGACTGTTCAACTATTCAACTTTGTTCGAATTCTACGGTTATCAATGAATGTTAAAACATAAAATTATAAACAGAAATGTATCAATTAACAGCCCGTTTTATTACAGACCAAAGTATACACTACAGATTGTAAGTACCCAGTGATTGTACCTTAAAAGATTAACCTTCACGGATGTAAACGATGCTTGTGCGAAATTACACATGAACACGCAAGTTTGAGGTAGATTGTTATTGATTATCGTCCATGTAGGGAGGGGGGGGGATGAGATTCATTCCATACCATGTTTACATGTTTGTAATGTAACACTCATAGTTGACACAGGGAATTATTCGATCACTAATATGATGTTAAAGTGTTTATATTACGAATTTTAGCCCCCCTTTTTTATTAGCTAAATTGAAAGACCTTGTTTCGGTGATTTTAAATCTGCAATTATAATTGAAATTGGATTGGTGAAAGTGATTTTACGTACGTTCAAAGTCACGATTTTCAGCATTTTTTTTGCGAACTTTTTGATCGGTATGCTAATGACTTGTGACGTAGAAAGTTGAACACATATATCAACATGGCGTATTCTACTAGTAATCTTAATAAGAAACGCGGAGGAAACGCTGTGTGGCTGGCGGACCTAATCAAATTAGTTGCGCCAATGATTCAAAAACCGAAGGAATGTCGATGCATCTGTTTCCTAAAAAAGAAACAGAGCCGCAAAGACATAGAAAATGGGTAAATTTTGTGCGTAAACATAGACCGGGTTTTGAGGCTTCCTCTACCTCGTGTCTGTGTTCTGCGCATTTTGAAGATTCTTGTTTTGACCTTAATTTGAGCGTGCAAGTCAAGCTCAAAAGAAGGTTGAAGAAAGATGCTATCCCAACCATTGACGTGGCTGGGATTCCTGAACCATTACAGGGCGAAATAACCGATCGAAAGCGAAGACAAGTAAGTTTACGCTTGTTTATGTTAATTTTTCTTTTTTCATATGTAAATTCGATATAAGTTTTGTAGATTATTCGACATACTCTCCATAAGCCATCGCTGTTAGAAACATGTTCTCTCGATGAGGAAGTACCATCTACTAGTGATGGAGCTGAGCATGTTGAAGTATGCACTGGGGAAGCAAACGATTCGCCATTTGAAGAAGAACTACATGCAGTTGGTGAAGATAATTGTGAATCCCAGTCTCCATGTATATCGTGCCATCGTCTTAAGAAAAAACTTACATCTTTACAAGACTTTAAGCTGGTATAAAACACAAAAGCATCTTTGAAGAAAAAGGCCCAGAAGTTGCAAAATGAATATCGAAGCGAAATCAGGGAAAATCGTAATACATCCGTGGTTACCAGCATTAATATAGACGATGGAATGCAGGGAGTGCTGAAGAGCTTTTCGAAGTAGAATCATACATGGACTACTCCTCTTTCGAAGAGTCTAGTCGGAGTGAAGATTTAGATGAAGATACCACAAGTAATACAGTCAGGTATTTTATCTTATAAAGAATTAGATCTCTGTTGTATTTCATAATAATGAATTTTGTTAATCGTGTTATAGAATTGATGAAGGAGCAAGCTCGCATGAACAACATATGTTCATGGTATTTTACATCTCATTGGTTGAGTTGTTTGAAAAATTTTGCTTTAACTGCAAGGCTGAAAATCCAAAAGTACACATTAAAAATATTGGTTCGATGGCCATTGTAGAGCAAAATTGTGGTAAATGTGTTGAAAAGAACTTTATGTGGAGAAACCAACCTATGGTTTTGGGAAGATATCCAGCTGGAAACGCTATGACTACTTTTGGTATATTGATGTCTGGTGTCAGTATAAGTCAGGCCATGCTGATGTTGAAGCACATGAATCTCTCAGCAAATAGTGTGTCCACTTATCATGTGCATCAACGCACCTTCTTGTTTCCAGCTATTCTGAAGCATTGGGAAAGCTATCAAAGTTAATTGAAGATGTGAAAAAAAGTGATGCGGATTTACAGACATGGTCAGGAGATGGACGCTTTGATTTTATGGGGCACAGTGCGAAATATGGAATGTACACAATTTGGAGCAACACAACATCAACGCTGGTTCATTTTGAATTGCTTCAGGTATTATCGAATGATGAAAATCATTGTTTGTAGTGTTTTTACTTTCAATGATGGAAGCATTTTATTTTCAAACAGGCCAATGAAGTTGGTAGCAGTAATGCCATGGAACTGGAGGAAGCAAAAAGATCTTTTCATCGTCATATGCGAAGTCGTTTAAATGCTCGACATAACCCACGGATTCCGAGCTCGAATCAGATACGCATTCAGACATCGAATTCGAATTATCTGAGCACTGATTTGAGGCCAAGCTTTCCGGAAAACTTGTTTTTTAATATTTTATTGAAAATACTGTCATTATTTGTTTTTAAGACAAGAAAAACGACAACAAAATCACCTCCTATAATATAATATTATATTGACGGAAACAGACGTGTTCAACTATCACGTCACAAGTATCAATATGGCGTCGTAAAAAATTCGCAAATAGTATCCGACTTTGGAGGCAAAATTAAGGAACCTATATTTATCTGTTTAAGTCCAGCGACATGTCATAGTTCTTCAAATAATCCAAATTTTCAATTAAGCTTATAAAAAAGGGGGGCTAAGATTCGTAATATAAGCACTTTAAGTAAATTCTAGATATATATGTACTATAAAAGCATAAAATTAACCTGAAGGAGGTATAGATTTTCCAAAAGGCTTTTGGATAGGTAGACATCGAACTAAAGATTGCAAATACATATCAAAAATGTCACGACTGACTAAATATTCAACAATTTTTTAAATACATTCTTGCTTTATTCAGTGTATCAACTATTTGTGGGGTAAATTTACTGCTTTTTAATATGGTTAATATAGCTGGTCCTGATTAGATAACTCAAGAAATTCTTAGTATTGGTAGGAAGTACAGAGGACTTGGTATGCAGCAAATTATACCACAGGCAATAGATGGCTTGCCTTGTTTACATTTTGTTAGCAGGCAGATTTAGTCGAGTGATTTTAAACGTCTTCGTCGTTTTTCTCTTCTTTAACTTTGGGCATAGTGTATACGTCCATAGCTACAGTTAAATCTCAACACATTCCTAGGCTGAATTCAGCGTTCGAATAGTCCAAACCCAACTTCATGTATCATATCTCGAAGTAATCCCGCGATTCGTGCAATCTTGCGTGCGACGCAATAAACATTACTAGATGACGTAGTGCATGGAGTTACAAATTTATCATAATTTATGACATATACAAACTAATTATCGTATTTAAAATATTTATATTTTATTATCATTTTGAAATTGCATGCAATAATACTGGGGTGGGGGGAGGGGGGTTGGACGACACAAATAATACAAATATAAAGATTATTATCATATTCAAATAAAGTTTTGAAATTGCATTCAAGTTAAGCTGTCAACCACAAGCAACACATCATATCGCCGTGTTTATAGTCTTTAAATTGACTATTTCAAAAGCATTTTATTGCTTGAAGTTGACTATGAACGGTGAATATGGTTGATGTAGTCATAATTGACGAGGAGGACCCTCCAACATCATATAGTGTTGACAAAAACGGTGTTATTACCATCAAAGAGGAAAGCACATCCACAAGTCTTCAAAAGGATCCACATGTTTTTGCAATAGCACCAACACAAATTTGTAATATCCACTTGTGTTTGACGGGTACCATATCATCATATTTAAATATTATCATATTTAAATAAAATATTTTTTTAAATACTTTTTTTTTATCGTATTTAAATAAAATATTTATCATATTTTATTATCATTTTGAAATTGCATGCAATAATACTGGGGTGGGGGGGGGGGTTGGACGACACAAATAATACAAATATAAAGATTTTTATCATATTCAAATAAAGTTTTGAAATTGCATTCAAGTTAAGCTGTCAACCACAAGCAACACATCATATCGCCGTGTTTATAGTCTTTAAATTGACTATTTCAAAAGCATTTTATTGCTTGAAGTTGACTATGAACGGTGAATATGCTAGATGTAGTCATAATTGACGAGGAGGACCCTCCAACATCATATAGTGTTGACAAAAACGGTGTTATTACCATCAAAGAGGAAAGCACATCCACAAGTCTTCAAAAGGATCCACATGTTTTTGTAATAGCACCAACACAAATTTGTAATATCCACTTGTGTTTGATGGGTACCATAGACACACCAATACATGGAACACCCAACAACTATCAAGCGGTCACCCCTCCAGCACAACAATATTGTGCTGCCAGTCAAGAGGTTTACACCGCCCAACTTCAAAACATGTCCTTACGGGGAGTACAAGCTGGCAATCAGGGGCCAAGTATCAATGGACAAGTACCTCATGGCTATCAATCTTTAGCAAATCTTTAACATCAAGAAATGGAAAAAAAGGACATTACCATCAATGGCAACAACCTCAAAGTTTACCATTTGGTCAAACAAACCAGTATGAACAAGTGATGAATGACAGAAACAATCAGCAAATTGTCACGGACTATTCTGCAAGAGGTCCAAATTCTTACACTCACAATGCTCTTTCAACAACGCCTCCTTCATCAGGACCATCGTCTTTGGAGCAATATTCTTCTGGATCAAATTCAATGCAAAATACCGGGACTACACCACAACAACAATCAATTGGATACACCTCATACATTCAACAATTTCCTCAGGGCCAGATTCCTGTTCCACAACAGGTACAGCATTCTTTACCACAACATTTACAACCTCCTCAACAGCAACAGTTACCACCTCAGCAACAACTACAACAGTTACAACCTCAACAACAACAACAGCTACAACCTCAACAACAACACTCATCTCAACTAACACAAGCTACGGCAACACAACCATCTTCATATGGACATGGGCAACCATCCCTAGCACAACCACAACTACCACCATCACAAGGTGAATCATTGGTCTGGAGATCATGCTTCTGGATACCAAACTACACCACCAAGCTATGGTACTTATGAACAACAATCGTACCTAAATCAACCGCATCTAAACAATAAAATGAAGCACAACTTATTTCGTTTGATTGAAAACATTTGGTTGGTTATTATTTTAATTTTATTACAAGGTAAATGATCAAGTTACAGCAAGTGTATGGTAAGTTATAAGAAATAATCCAATAAATTTAGACATTAATATAGTTCATTTAACCAAATTGCAGCGTATTCGACTTTCTTTTGCGAAACTTTTAATGTTAAATTGGGAACATTTTGCTTATCTTTATGTATTTACTTTACAAATCGCCATAGACTAAAGGAAAAGTTGCAAAATAGCAATCACGAGAAACTGCAGACGTCTATTTAAAAGTGCTCGTGAAATCAAGACGAATTTGTTTCACTGTAAAACGTACTGTGTTCGACCGTTGAACTATTCCAACTTTGTTCGAAATTCTACGGTTATCAATGAATGTTAAAACATAAAATTATAAACAGAAATGTATCAATTAACAGCCCGTTTTATTACAGACCAAAGTATACACTACAGACCGTAAGTACCCAGTGATTGTACCTTAAAAGATTAACCTTCGCGGATGTAAACGATGCTTGTGCGAAATTACCATTGAGTTCTACAATACTGGAGGGAACACGTCAACAAAAATACGAAATTGCTATAAATTATAAGCGCGCGGCCTCGTGGTCAAGAACATGGCCGATTTTGGTGATCAAAGTCAGCGGAAAGACGCGGGCTCATGAAATAAAAATTTTGTCGCCTACCCTAATTTGCCACCACGATTGGGAGTATCGAAAATATCAAAACTATTTTCCTAACATAAACACTTTTTTAAAATTATATTTATTAAACAATCTGCAAGCTTCCGTGGTCTTATCGAACTCAATGGAAATTACACATGAACACACAAGTTTGAGGTAGATTGTTAATGATTATCGTCCATGTAGCTCCGGAGGGAGGAGGGGGTGAGTTTCATTCCGTACCATTTTTACATGTTTGCAATGAAACACTCATAGTTGACACAGGGAATGTTTTCATCACTAATATTATGTTAAGGATTTGATAGTGGAAGAAGCGTGTGTATAGTTACTACAGTAAATATAGATTTACAAATGTTATGGGTTTAACCAGAATCCATAGTTTGACAAAATAGTAACTTTCGCTCCTCAAGGCTCATGTCGTCCTGTTAAATGATAAAAGTGTAAAAAAAACATAAAAATGAGAAAATTAATTATTTTTCATGTCAAAACTTACGTTTATTTCAAAATATTGTATATCTTGCCAAGGTTCATCACTTAGCAGATCTACTTTTTTTTTCTTCTCTTGACCTTTTTTTGCAAAACGAACCTGAAAGGTAAAATGGATAACATGATCAAATGTTTAAAATGTAATTGTAGGACATCAAAATTATACAGTTATAACAATTTACTACATCACCATTAAAGCTTGCGGCTTTTCTTCTGTTTCATCTGAGGATTCACCTAAAATCACAAGTATATTGGTAGAATTTAAGAGTTACACTTTCATTTATATTACTACTACAGAGCTCCCAAACACTTGAGTCTGCTGCACCCTCTTCTAGATGAAATTCTTAAATTGACTATTTTCATGAAAGCATCATGTGAAATTCTGTTGTTGGGTGTTCTTGTACCTTTGTCAGTCTTTCTTGATTCATTATTTGGATCAAACTCATCCATATGTTCAAAGGTTGGTCTCATTTGAGCAATATTTTTCACCGAATTGAGATGAACTTTCCCTGTAAGTAATTATGACATTTCAATGAGCATTTAAATGAAAATAAAACAGAGCTTTTGATACAAACTCTTACCATCTTTGAGCACTCCCACAGCATACTGACATGTAGAGCTGTAACCATGACTTGATTCCAAAACTTGATTCTTCATCATGTCGCTGATATTAAAAACAATCACTCCATTTCAACAATCTTCTCTCAATGTAAAGAATCTTGTATGGGGAAAATTTTTATTGTTGTTTTCATAAGTGTGTGCAAAATTTTCTGATGAGTTTGTATAGCATTAAAGTAAGGTTTAGTCAAGGTCAACACAATGTTTAAACAAGGTCAATGCATCGTTTGGCTGGTTCAGCAATGTTATTGGTTAATGACAACCGCCAAACCGATGTGTTGACCTTGACTAAACTTTGTGTTGTCCTTGACTAAATGTTACAATACAAACTCATCAGAAAATTCAGCACATGCTCATATGAAAACAGCAGTATAAACTCACCAAGCAAAAGTTTTCTCGACATAGTTATTTGATCTGTTAACAGGTATTTCCAATCTAACCTATAACATTTGCGTAAATTTTACATGTTGTGATCAGGATGTAAGTAATGTTCAGAAATTACTCTAACCTTTTTTTGTCCAGGTTTTATTTTAGCCCTCGTAATTGTTTTGTCTGCGATTGATGACGGTTGACTTACATACTGTAAATGAAACATAACTTGCATTGAATTCAACTTGACTAATACTGTCATGCATGTAAGCGATGGAATATATTCTTAGATACATAAATGTGCTATAAATTATAGATATATATGTTTCATGAAATATAGATATATATGTACTATAAAAGCATAAAATTAACCTGAAGGAGGTATAGATTTTCCAAAAGGCTTTTGGATAGGTAGACATCGAACTAAAGATTGCAAATACAAATCAAAAATGTCATGGCTGACTAAATATTCAACAATTTTTTAAATACATTCTTGCTTTATTCAGTGTTTAAACTATTTTTGGGGTAAATTTGCTGCTTTTCAATATGGTTAATATAGCTGGTCCTGATTAGATAACTCAAGAAATTCTTAGTATTGGTAGGAAGTACAGAGCATTTGGTATGCAACAAATTATACCACAGGCAATAGATGGCTTGCCTTGTTTACATTTTGTTGGCAGGCAGATTTAGTCGAGTGATTTTAAACAACAGTAGCAACAATGCTTTACTTCCATTGGGATTATTCTGCCTGCCAATTAACGTAAACAATGCAACCCATTTATGTGCAAATGAAGTTCCCATTGCTAAGCAAAAAACTCAGTAACTCCGAATAAAACCTCTTTTACTACAGGATCCTCTTCTTCTTCGTCGTTTTTCTCTTCTTTGACTTTGGGCATAGTGTATACGTCCATAGCTACTGTTAAATCTCAACACATTCCTAGGCTGAATTCAGCGTTCAAATGGTCCAAACCCAACTTCATGTATCATATCTCGAAGTAATCCCGCGATTCGTGTAATCTTGCGTGCGACGCAATAAACATTACTAGATGACGTATGCATGAAGTTATAATATTTATCATAATTTATGACGTATACAAACTAATTATCATATTTAAGTACAGTTTTGAAATTGCATCCAAGTTAAACAGTCAACCACAAACACTACATCATATCGCCGTGTTTATAGTCTTTAAATTGACTATTTCAAAAGCATTTTATTGCTTGAAGTTGACTATGAACGGTGAATATGGTAGATATAGTCATAATTGACGAGGAGGACCCTCCAACATCATATAGTGTTGACAAAATGGTGTTATTACTATCAAAGAGGAAAGCACATCCACAAGTCTTTCAAAAGGATCCACATGTTTTTGCAATCACCAACACAAATGTACCAAGAGCACAGCGAAAGATCAATAAGAATACTGCGTCTACCTCACAAACAACAAAACAAGTGACATTCCTTGAAGTAGTGTATGAACGCAGGTATAAGATTACGTTTTTGTTACCGTAGAGTATTCCGTGTTAGAGATGAGTAAGATAACGACAGAATTTGTGTATTTTTTTGTGAATGCTCATGAAAAATAAGAAAAACCAATGAAGATTTATGCTTTCACAGACAGCAACAAAGTGTAAACTACTTGTTTCGTATAATAGCAGAAAGCCAACGAAATTTGGCGGAAAAAATCATTAAGTCTATCTACGACTGCGATATAAGCCAAATTGCTTTTCATTTTTTTTTTCTTTTCAAACTCATCTGTTGCTTGAGTTGAATTTTCTTCGTGGTTTTCATCTGTCAGTTTCAGGGGTAAATTCTTTCTCTGTCCATTGGGAAAGCAAGCTTAACCTTTACTCTAACAATCCGACTTTTTCGACAAAATTATTCATTTCTTTCGAATATTAATTCCATTTTCCGTCTTTTCAGTAAATGACGAAATGATATTTGCATTGATTGTAACATCAAAAAACAACCTGGCTTTATTTTTGTCCAGTCTTTGCAAATTTCCATCATTTGTTTTCATTTGTTTATTGAATACACAGCTAACTCATGTGAATCCCATCCAATGCTGCTGTGCTCAATGCTGCTAGTCATGGGACATTAACGAAATTTCACAACTTGCTATATCTTACTCCCACCATTAGGTCTGAAAATCTCAGAATTCTACCATTACCACATCATTCTAAAGAAGCAAAACAGAGCATAAATAAGGAGAACCATTGCAACCAACAGCAAGATAATTCAGGTAAATTAAATGTGGTTGTTTGTTTTCTCAATCAAACCATTTATTTATTATTTATATAATTTGAAACATTGCAGAAAAGACAACAGACAATGTGAAAAGCTTTTTAAAAAGAAAGCGTCGCGATGAAGAGCTACCCTGTGACTCACCAACAACTTTATCAAGATTCAAGCATATACTTTTTGTTGATTTAGACAACTGGGGACCATTTTTACGTTTAAGTGTGCCATTACCACGAAACACATATGTTTGGGTATTTCATGGGGGAAGAACTGTTCCTATTTCTGAGAAAAAGTGGTCACAGAATTTCAGGGATTTGTTATTGCAAAAAAGATGTTTCTTGCATCCTAAGTGCAGCAATCGAAAGAATGCAGCAGATTTTGCCATCTGTGTATACATTGCAAAATGTGACTGTGTTTTGAAAAAGGATATTCAATTCACTGTGTTGTCTGGTGATTCTAGCTTCCAAGAGCTGGGCTCTCAAATTCATAGCAGAAAACTGACTTTTGTCAACCCTCATGATCCAAAATTTAAAAACCATGATATTCTATACACATTGCTTAGCAACATGTGTCATTCATGAAATGATATGTCAAATGACATTTAACATCACTGCAGTCAGGTGGAGATGATGAAATATTAAGTTCCGTCGTTTTGGGTCTCATCTTACTCACCCTGTTATCACACAAAGTTGGCAAAGATTTTCATTTCGTACAACATTGTTGAGTTCAAATTGTAGAATATATATAGTCTATCTATACTTGTAAAAAGGTGTTCAAGTTATAAGAGTTCTCGTCAATATTGGAACAATATATTCGCATGACAAAGGATATTGACATCATGATTCAAGAGTGTTGGAAGCATGTTTGGAATCAAATTGTTTTCCAAAGGGGCACATACAATATTTTTCATCAACTTGATGAACATATGTAGAATGGTAGCCTCCTTTTTTCACCAACTAACAGAAGAAAAAACTAGTTTTCGCTTTCAGGCTTCATGAATATTTATGACGTCACTCTGACGTCGAAGATAATTTCCTTGCTGGTAGTTACTAGTTTCCACTTTCAGGCTTCATGAATATTTATGACGTCACTCTGACGTCGAAGATACTTTCCTTGCTGGTAGTTACTAGTTTCCACTTTCAGGCTTCATGAATATTTATGACGTCACTCTGACGTCGAAGATACTTTCCTTGCTGGTAGTTGCTGACATTTTTTTCGTTACCAGATATGTTATTAATGCTTTTTTGTAATATTTCATTAATTTAAGTTGAATATAAGCAATAAGCCGTACCAAGAAGACAATTTGAAAGATGTTAAGCTTGGATTATATGGTTGGTATCAAGCACTCCTGCGTCACGTGATGTATTTATTTTTACGCAGCGAAAGTGATGATTGACCACGTGACAACATTCACACGCCTATTTTAATTGTTACTGCTCGTATTACTAAATTTACCTTACCTGTGTTTTGTTCTACTTAAAGATGGCAGACAATCCTGACGGACTTGTACCGATTGACAATGAAGACATTGAAGAAACTCCTGGGTATCAGCCTCCCAAAGAGAAATCGTTAAAAGATATTCAGGATCTTGACCGGGACGACGAAGCATTGGTTAAATACAAAGCGCAATTACTGGCAGGAGCGAACGACGTCCTTGGTAGGAATACAAAATCTAACAATTTGTGATGATTTTACATTAAATATCGCTCAAGTGCAACATTAATTGTGAAATTACTAAAATAAAATGTTCAGTAATGAAATTATCGCAATATTTTTTGTCGTGGAAGACGGAAGTTTATTCTTGAAATTATGATTTGCTTGCATCTCACAGTCGCTTCAATATGGTAGTTTTCTTATTATTATATTTATAAAACTTTGACAGACGAAGGAGGATTGAACGTGTTAGTGAAAAAACTTGCTTTAAAAATAAAAGATCGAGAAGATGTAGTTATAGATCTGACAGGTAGCTATCGTTGTTTTTGAGTACATTCCTTTACTCAACTCTACATATGTAATTAGTTATATTGTGCTTGCAATTTTTAGGAGATATATCTTCATTGAAAGAAAGACCAATAGTGATAAAAGAAGGCTCCGAATACCAAGTCGAAATCTCATTCAGAGTGGGTGAACTCGTTGTTGAATAAAACTAAATCTGCCTTGCATGTGATATTAATTAAACGAGAAAAAAACAGGAAATTAGTGAACAAATTATTTCTTGCTCGAATCCAGGTGAATTTTTTTTTGAACGTTTGCTTACAGGTTCAAAGAGAAATTGTTGCAGGATTGAGATATTTTCAAGTCATTTCCAGGAAGGGAATAAAAGGTAGAAATCATTTAAATTATAGTCGTAGTTAAATGATAGTCTTGTGTCAAATTCCTAATTGCTTGTGTAGTTGACAAAAATGCCTTTATGGTTGGAAGTTATGGCCCCAAATCAGAGATTCAAACGTACAAAACACCTGTTGACACTGCCCCAAATGGAATGATGTCACGTGGCCACTATACTGTAAAAAGCAAATTCACTGATGACGATAAACATATCTATCTTGAATGGGAGTGGTCATTTGATATTAAAAAAGATTGGTCGTAAAAGTTTAAAAACATTGGAGAAAATTTTTTCTTGTATACAGTAGTCTTTTAAATACGATCCAACAATTTTTGTCAATTTTCATTGGGTTCAATAAAGAAACAAGTGCTTTGATAAGTTGTTGGTTCAATCAAATAAACGTTTGTATACGGACGTACATATATGCTCCAGGATATCCCCAGTATGTAAACATGTTGTTATGGGCTTCTATCATATTGGCTTTGAAAAACTTCTGAATGTGTTTGTGACAAGTCAAGTATATATTTGTTACAAGTTAAAGTAACATTATTAGTAAATATTTACATCTTCTGATGATTATGAGCAGTAAAAATCTTATTGAAAGTCAGTAGTAAGGGTATCAATAAAATTGTGCATATATGAATGTAGAAATACATAGAAGACCATACTTTAACAATATCATTAATATCTAGCAATATAAAAGCAACACTGAGGTACTCAAAGCAACGATGCAATATAAACCAACTAAGCCAATCATATACTTTTTCCCATTTGAGTGAAGGGTTAACAAACTTATGCATGAGAGATTGAGCAAGGATAACCAATGGGACGCTCATGAAAGTAAGATAGTAGCCGGGTAAGACACCGTGCCAATATGCACTGAATAGAAATGTTGCCCACGCTCTGAAAGAGAGTTTAGCACATTAGTGAAATTTTGTAGGATCTGCAAGATGATAAAAGTTACCTGTGCTTTTTGAATGGGAACTTTTTGTAGAAGTAATGCACTAGCCACCATTGCACAGTCATGTTCCATGTCTTTGTTGTTTTATGTAAAGTTGGTGCATACTCCGTCTCCCAGAGTTTTATGTTTCGAATGGTTTCAAAGCTGTTGGAAATAACTCTGAGAGTCAGATGTAGATTCTAGATTTAGTAACAAGAGTTCACAATATATTTCTTACTTGAATGCTTGACCCTTCTTCATTTGATCAACCTCTTGAAGTGGCGTTGTGGGTCCTTGACCAGGCAAGCATTGAATTTGTTCAGGATAGGCACCTAAAGCCAATGAGATGCAACTACTTTCGGCCAACAACCAGGCTATATAAAATCTAATGCGAAACCAGATGAAAAGAGGAACAAGGTAACTAATTTGATAAATACAACCCCAAGGATGGTGGAGATACTCGTCACTTTTTAGATGATGTGCGGGAAAGTACATGTTAACTGGGACAAAAATCGCAATGAAAAAGGGCAGGTATTGAAGTCTTTGTAAGGCAATGTGAAATGATGGAATTTGTATTTTTTGATTTAACATATCGACGTAAGTTGTGTAGCGATAGTATGGCCCAGTCATGAGGCCACAATAACAATATCCATAGCAAAGAGTGTCATAAAATGAAACTTTCCATGTTGAACTATCTTTCATGTCTTCCAATTGAGCATAGCCGTTGTGAAGAATCAATTGAAAACCTTCAAATGCAATAGTACACATCTGAAAGTAAAAATAGGGAATATGTACATAAGATAAATATGGTGGAATTAGGAATTGATGCTGAGTGAAAAAAATAATTAGATTACTTTACCCTTAATGTAAGAAGAAGTTGAACAGCATTGGAATGAGGAAGAGGTTTTGGTAAACCAAGCCAATGGCAAGTGCGGAAGAAAACAGGTATGTGAATACATAAACAAATGACATCCATGGCCCATATCTAAAGGTAAGTGTTGTGAAAAACTAAAGTGTAAGTTATCTATGTTGAAGTTTGATCGTGGAATGTCAATTTTTTACATATCTATGATAGTAAAGATTTTGTGTTGATTTAAAGTTTCAGACTTGCAGTAGTGCAGTGCAAAACACTGACATCTTGATTTGAAAATTCCTTTATTAGTGTTTAATAGAAGCAATCATTTACATAGACAAACTGTCAAAAACACGAGCCAAAACAGGCACCTGGTTAAAAGAAATTCCATGCATAATAATTAAATAGTACCATGATAATCCATTGGAAATGGAAAAGACGCTGCATATGATTAACATAGACTAATATAAGTTGATAGACTCCATAAGAGTAACTTAAACTATCTTACCTAGGACCAAGAAATTTTACCAAACAAAACGTTCCTACAATCGTACAAAAAGAATGAGCGAGACCTCCAATGCCCGAAGTTAGAAAAATCATGAATAATCCCGCGATCAAGGTAAGAAATTGTTTTCTTTTTGCTGAGCCAGATATCTTAATAAGATGGCCTAGTGGAATTGATAACAAAAGGCAAAGTAAATACAAAACATCATCTTTTGACATATTTATAAATTTGAATTGAAGAATCTTTGGTAAAATAAAAATGTTATCTATGTTGAAATGTTATATTGTGTATGACATGAAGTAATCACCTTCCTCCTAAGTTATTTCAATGGAGCCTGACTTCAAAGGGAAGAGAGCTCTTGTTACTGGCGCTGGAAAAGGTGGATTCTCTCCATATTGCGCATAATTTTTGTCATAGGTTAAATTAATTAACATGATATTTGATTTTCCAGGGATTGGTAGGGAAACAGCGAAATTTCTTGCTAAATATGGAGCTGAAGTCATTGCTCTGTCAAGGACTAAAGTAGATTTAGATTCTTTGAGTCTTGAGGTGGGTGATATAAAGCTCATTAACCCTTACACTTCATCCCTTTTTTTAGGTATATATGATCCCTACCCCAAATATTGACCATGTTAATAATATTATTCATAGGTAGTGATAAGAGGGGGGGGCAAAACTCTTGCAATAATATTTTCAACTGAACATCATAGTCTTAAGTGTAACATGCTATATCTTATTCAAATCAAGGTACCGCACATCACAACAATATGTATCGATCTTGGTAATTTGGCAGATGTTGAAGAAATTTTTTCAAAACTTGGTGACATCCATTTACTTGTAAACAATGCTGGAGTCGGCTTATTGGAACCCTTTACCGAGGTTACAGAAAAAGCCTTTGACACGTAAGGCTGCCATTGATCAGCAAAGTCTACAATTAAATGAAGTACGATGAAAGACTTACTTTATTTCAACTAGATCATTCAATATAAATGTCAAGGCACCATTGTTTATTAGTAAGGTATGTACGTGTCATCATTGTACCATATTTTACTTACTGTAGGTTTCCTTTGAAGTAGCCATATAAAGGGACAATATTCTGGAATATCAAATCTTTTTTCTTTTAGATGGTTGCAAAGGGAATGATTAAACGGGGAAAAGGAGGATCAATTGTAAATGTGTCCAGTCAAGCATCGCAGTCTGCTTTGAAAGATCATACCACATATTGTATGTTTTGTTGATTTTACTTCATGATAGATACTTGAAAACTATTTAAAATTAATTTGCCCATACCATTTTTCATGGTTACTTTGCATTCTTCAGGCCTGACCATATGCATTTCACTGTGTACACAGTGGATAGTTTCTCCATGATAGATACTTTAAAACTAGTTAAAATTAATTTGCCCATAGCATTTTTCATGTTTACTTTGCATTCTTCAGGCCTGACCATATGCATTTCACTGTGTACACAGTGAATACTTTCTTCATTAAGAGTATGTATTTATTTAGGTTGTTCGAAAGCAGCCCTGGACATGCTTACGCATGATGGCTCTTGAACTAGGACCTCACAATGTGAGTATGATTGCAACTGAGAAGGCACTTTCCTCAGCTTGAAACACAATTTTTCAGCATTTCATGTTGTAACATGAATAAAAATTCTATATGATCTATTTATAAAAGTAAACAGTGTCAATCCTATCATCACCTGGTATATCCCCTGTAGATAAGAGTAAACTGTCAATCCTGTCATCACCCGGTATATCCCCTGTAGATAAGAGTAAACTGTGTCAATCCTACAGTGATCATGCATATCATTTGTATATCAGAGTAAACAGTGTTAATCTTACCATTACCTTGTATATCCCCTACAGATAAGAGTAAACAGTGTCAATCCTATCATCACCTGGTATATCCCCTGCAGATAAGAGTAAACAGTGTCAATCCTATCATTACCTTGTGTATCCCCTGCAGATAAGAGTAAACACTGTCAATCCTATCATTACCTTGTATATCCCCTGCAGATAAGAGTAAACAGTGTCAATCCTATCATTACCTTGTATATCCCCTGTAGATTAGAGTAAAAAGTGTCAATCCTATCATCACCTTGTATATCCCCCATAGATAAGAGTAAACAGTGTCAATCCTATCATCACCTTGTATATCCCCTGTAGATTAGAGTAAAAAGTGTCAATCCTATCATCACCTTGTATATCCCCTGTAGATAAGAGTAAACAGTGTCAATCCTACAGTTGTCATGACAAGAATGGGTAAAATAGCCTGGTCAGATCCCTTGAAGTCAAGCAAGATGCTTGATAAGATACCGTTAGGAAGATTTTCAGGTGAGAGAAATTCTTCAAGTTGATCCGGAACTTAAATTTGTTGCACGGTGCCTATCTCTAAAATAAACATGCATCTATTTTCAAATATTTGAATAGCCATTATCAAATTCATATTTTTGGTAATATACATAAATATACAGATGTCCGAATCAGGGCTATTCTCATTTTCTACCTAATGCAAAGATGAAATATACAAAGTTGTCCTGCCCTTAAAAAATACAGCAAATATTTTTATAAATATTTCACAACAAGTATGAGGGCCATTGTATTGTTCCTCTTGTAGAGGTTGAAGAAGTTGTCAATGCCATAGTATTTTTATTGAGTGATAAATCAAGCATGATAAATGGTGTGGCGTTGCCTGTTGATGGAGGCTACTTGGTATCGTAGTAGGATATGGTGTGACATTAACTGTTGATGGAGGATATATTTGGTATGACAAAATGTCGGACAAGTTAATTTTATATAAAAAGAAACAAAAGTTAAAAAAGGATGCTTACAATGACGGTACTATAAATGCAGATAGTTTGTAAAGATAAATTTGGGTTATATATTTATAGATGTTTAAATGTTTAGGGCATTTCATTGGGAAAGTTTACATTTATTAATTGTTCTACCCACTTTCAAAGCAATAACCTTTTTAAAAGAAATTAGCTTGGTACAATAAATTATGTGCATGTAAGCCCTCCCAATTTATGCTTTTTCTAATTCCCACTCATTTCAGATAATATTTTGTAAACTGTTTGCTGTATGACATCCAAATGGTATCCAAGAATCTAAGCCAATGTCTAATTTGCATAACATGACCACACGCGTGTAAATAATCATTAATCTCGCGTGGACGCATGCGCATTGTGATGTCAAAAAAGGCGGGAAAAATAAAAACATCTTCAATCTTCACAGGAAAATAAACAACCTGTCTTTATAAATCCTTTTTATACTTCTCAAATCTTTCTGTTACTCTGTAAAAATCGTTGTACTTGCTTCAAGTTGCTGTCAAGTAAAATGCAAGCCTCTCGCAGAGATGAACAAGTCGTGGAAGCAGATCTTAGCGACCAGGAAGAAGAGGTTGTTCGTATTTGAAAATCGTCTTTGCCATTATGTTGAACGACTTACTTGTCTGTTTTTATACTTTAAGGACTCATTTTATTTGGACATAGACCTTTTACAAAACCATGGAATTGTGGGTTGACTGTTTTCTTTTTTCTTGTTCATTTTGTTTAACTTTTAGGGGAAAATTCAATCATTGAGGTGCCAGTTTTCTCTTTGATGTAGAATGTTGCCGATATTAAAAAGTTGAAAGCAGCTGGAATATGCACGATAAAGGTAAACTCTTTTTTAGCTTTGATAAACAGGAGAGAATGGCAAGCTGCCTTTTGTCTGCTCGATAAATTTGTTCTTGTTACTTAAACTAGAATACGTAAAAAAAACAAAATTGATGATAATTCTTTTGTGGAAAAAGGGTGTTCAAATGACAACCAGAAGAAAACTTTGTCAGATTAAAGGAATCTCTGAGGCGAAAATGGAGAAAATCAAGGTATATAGCTACAGTGTTTTTAAGTTTTTTAATTTTATAGTTGGCAATTCGCGATGATCTCTTTCCTTTTGTTGCACTCAGGAAGCCGCTGCAAAGTTGAGTGTAAGTATGTTTTTCAATCAAGCAGTGCAATGATCATGGTATTTACGTGTTTGTTTTGTCGTCGTAGACTGCAGGTTTTATGACAGCTCTCGAGTTTAGTGATGTGAGGAAGATGTGCTTTAGGATAAGTACTGGCAGTGACGAGTTGGAGTAAGTAAAAAAATTACGTTCGTGCTTGAGATACAGTCGTACGTTGATCAAAATGTCTACATTCCTCTTTCGTTGAATTAAATATATAATTGTTCCAGTGACGCGATTTTAGCTTTTCTTTGACGTTTTCTTGTTGGCTACTAAATATACCCGGGGGTGAAACATACGCGGAGTGTTGTCCCCCCCCCTCTAGCTTTTGGGAAGCGAGCGGTTAAACACCAAAATGGTCGGTAATGATAATATTTTCATATTGCTTTTGAACTAATAAACCAATTTTCCATGATAATATAATGTTGACTCATGTAATGTTAAGCCCTGATTATGCGCCGTTTTTAATGAAAGAAATCTTTGGGTACAATCTACTGTACAATGAAAATGTACCGTAGTCTTTCTTGTACTGACGAAAGCATGCACTGTATTATGAAAAATGCCTTTGATTTCAATAAGAAGTACTACGTAGGATTGTCTTTAATTTTTATCCCGGCTTGCTTGTTCTTCATAATTTCTCATGTGACAATGTTAAACTTTTCAACTTTTCATTTCGTTTTTAGCAAACTGCTTGGTGGTACGTAGTGAGAAAACATCATTTTATCCTCTTTAAGCAAACAGCAGTCATCTCACACCGACATACAAATCTTTTCTAGGTGGTATTGAAAGCATGTCAATCACCGAAGTTTTTGGTGGTGAGATTGCATCGTTTCATTCAATCAATTAAACAAATTCAATCCTTGATTTTCCTCTTTTTATGTATTCAGAATTCCGTACGGGAAAGACTCAACTCTCCCATACTCTGTGCGGTAAGCAAATAAGCTGCAAAATCTCAACTATCTTACTCATAAAATATCGTATTTTGACGAGTTTTCGCCTCATTTATACTCACTGTTTTAGTGACGGCACAGCTTCCCGGAGCGAATGGTTATTCTGGTGGGAAAGTCATCTTCATTGACACAGAGGTAGTTTTCTTTTCTTCCAACTTCCAATGCTCCACGCATCTAGCATGTTGCGCGCAGGCATTTATGCTCATTCACTCTAGACGCGTGAAGCAACCTGTAATCGTAAGTTGTAATTTTTCTTCAAATTTGTCCGCAAATTGTGGTGTAGTTCTAATCTAAGTGTACTGCGCATGCTCAGATGATTTCTCTAATAACTTATGACTGAGCAAGCTAGTTACTAGCAAATTGGTGCAGTGAGATGCTGTTGGCAAAGTTGAACATTTGTTCAGTGCAGTACAAGTTTATCTAGTTAGCCATTGCCGTTACTATGATCTCAAACAAGTGCGTGGAGGGCGCATGCTCAGAGGATTTCTCACGAATTTTTGCACTAACTGAGCTATTTACTCAGAAAAAAAGCAAAGGTAGAAAATTCAGTTGGTTGTTGCCATGACTAAGATCTTAGAGAGTTGGTCAAGTGGACTGGCTATTTTTTCATTGATTTGTGACCAAGTGAGCTAGTTCATTGGTATAAACCTCATTATTTGGTCGAGTGGATTGCGTACGATTTCAGTGTTATATTATAGGCATGTTGTCTTTCTTCTTTAGCTTGTTTCAGCAAATATTTAATAAACAACTCCTTACCTCAATGACCGCAACAGACGTGCCTTGCCCCACCATACGTAAAACGCTTAACTCGTCCGGAGTGAATGACATTAAAACACGTATTTTATAAGTCGTTCTTATTTTTATTTATTGTTTTCTAGAACACATTGTATCCTTCAGGTTAAGCCTCGTTTTGATGATAGTTAAATCTAAAAAGCCATACATCGAAGAAGTTTCCTTGACAATTTTCCAGTCGTCCAGATCGTTTACGAGAAATTGCCGATCGTTTTAATCTCGATCAAAATGCTATGTTGGATAACGTGTTGTACTGTAGAGCTTACACCAGTAAGATTAATATGTGTTTTATTTTTAAAGCTAACATCACAGTTTTGAAATCACTATTTTAGATTAGGAATATGGACATGAGGATTAGGATTAGGCTAGAATTAATGATGGCTTGTTGAATCACAGCTGAAAAGGATGAAAAAATCATCAGTTTAGAAGCTTGACTTGTTAAATCACAGCTGAAAAGGAGGAAAAAATAACTGTATAGAACTGTGAAACTATTATTATCGTTCAATTATAAAATTTATAGTATGTAATATTCTAGCAAATGGAATATAAATTATTTAGTATGGAGATTGAACGGATTTTAATATACATCAGTAGTATTTTATATTAGATAGAGGATGCATATTGATAATAGTGGATTATTGAGGTTATAAAGATTTTGAAAACAATGTTTGTAGGTGAACATCAGTTTGAGTTGCTGGATATGGTCGCAGCAAAATTCCACGAAGAACCAGGTGTATTTAAACTTTTGGTACGTATATGAAAATAATGACACCTTCGATAACAATATCGTTGGTAAAATGAACAGCGTCTTATGTGTGCACCATCGTTTACTTAGATCATTGACTCCATAATGGCTTTGTTTCGGGTGGATTTTTGTGGTCGTGGAGAGTTAGCGGACAGACAGCAAAAACTCGCTCAAATGTTATCGCGACTACAGAAAATATCCGAAGAATTTAATGTATCAGTGTTTATTACCAATCAGGTTACATATATTAGAAATTTATTAACTAGTCAATGTATACCTCTTATCTGGTAGATTTTATTAGAATGATCTTCGATTGTAACGATAATGCATTTTTTCCCCTTGTACTGGTTAGTGTTTTGAAGTAATTTTGTGCGATATTTCTGTTTTAGATGACCGCTGACCCTGGAGGTAAAATTGGTGCTGATTTACTTTTCGAATTTTATATTTTGTTGATTCTGTGTCATTATTTTACGCGAAAATTTTGACGTTTTGTTCTTTTCCTGATGCGGCAAAGCAACAATGAGGTAACTAAAATGTTTTGTGTTCAAGCCATCACGGAAGATTGATAATTGTGTGTTGGAAGGGGGGGTATGTTCATTTTTTGCATGTTTTATTTTCAGTTTCTACTGAAATTATTTCAATGTGATCACGGCTAACGTGATATGAATGTAAATATCCTCCCCTGAGAAACTGTACTACGAGAATATTCTTAGCACATCACTTGCATCTACTGTATATTGTTCAATCCCCCCTGAGAAACTGTACTACGAGAGTATTCTTAGCCGATCATATGCATCTACAGTATATTGTTCAACCCCTGAGAAACTGTACAACGAGAGTAGTCCTAGCAGATCACATGCATCTACAGTACATTGTCAAATGAATTCTTTGTCAGTTTTCAAGCGGATCCGAAGAAACCAATTGGAGGACATATACTGGCGCATGCGTCAACCACTCGTATTTCATTGCGCAAAGGACGAGGGGAACTGAGAATTGCAAAAATCTATGACAGGTAAGTAAAATTATTTGTACATTACTGCTGTCGTGATGTACAAACTCTAGAAATGATGACAATTTGTGATGGGAAGTCAGTTTGCATTTTTTCTTATAAGACTCTTCTAGTTGCATTTGGCGTGGAAGGTTTCGGTATAATATAATAATCTAAAGAAAAGCCAAAACTATTTCCCTTTCAGTCCTGATTTACCCGAAAATGAAGCGACATTTGCTGTGACTGCTGGAGGAATTGCAGACGGAAAAGAGTAAAATAAAAGGAAAGTTTTTACAAAGCATTCATCTCAAACAAAATATCATTTTTGCCTTAAAATAAGATACTTCATTGTGTTGTTAGTACGACTTTTATATTGACTGCATTTACCTAGTTGAAGTGTTCCAGAGAAAGGGCGAGATCACAAATAATGATGTACTAACAAGCCTTTTATAATATAATATTTCACAAATATATGTATGTTTTGGTAACAAGCAAAACACAGAAGTATTGTAATCGATGGCAGTTCAGAGGACACTGACGACACCGGTAACTATCGTTAGGGGAGGTTAAGGTTAGGGGAGGTTTGGGTTAGGGTTAGGTTAGGGTTAGGGTTAGGGGTTGGGTTAGGGTTAAGGGGAGGTTTGGGTTAGGGTTTGGGGACAAATTATCTAACTAAATTTTTCGTTTAAGTAGAAATGGAAGACAATTTTTTAATTTCGTGAGCCCGCGGAACTTTCCTGTGTAACCGCAACAGAAGATGTCCGCTAAACTATGTTTGTATCAAGTAATTATTGAATCATTTTTTTGGAAAAGTTTTATTGAGATAATTTAATGTGCGTTATAAAAATCTATTATAAGAGTTTTTGTTAAAATTTACCATTAATCAAATTGTTATATTCTTCGATATTTTGCTTCACGTGTAAAAATGCGTTCCTCATACCAACTTTAAGTAAACCTATAAAAATGAAAAGATGACGTTCGTTCAGATAAATGTTTAATGTAAAGAAAAAGAAAGAAAAAACTAATACCTGACTTATAAGAGCCTTCAAGAAGGGTTTGTAGGGAGTTTTGAACATCAGCTTGAACAAGAACAATAACTTTTGTTTCAATAATATCTATGAATGAAAAATTATATAAAGATTGAACATTATCACTTAATTAGCTGATGACATCACACATAGCTAGCTGATGACACTATATAACTAACTGATGAAACGTCACATAACTATATGACATCACATAGTAAGCTGATGACATATAACTAGCTGATGAAACGTCACATAGCTAGATGACATCACATAGTAAGCTGATGACATATAAGTAGCTGATGAAACGTCATATAACTAGATGACATCACATAGTAAGCTGATGACATATAACTAGCTGATGAAACGTCACATAGCTAGATGACATCACATAGTAAGCTGATGACATATAGTTAGCTGATGAAACGTCACATAGCTAGATGACATCACATAGTAAGCTGATGAATCCTATAGGTAGCTAATAACATTGCTACAAATATTTATTCTGAGGATATTTGAAGTCGACAAGTAGCAGAAAAAATCATCTTATTTTTTATTTTAATGTTGTTCACCCTTTCTCGATTTCATATTTTGCTTTTTGACATTCTGGAATCATTGTATCCCAAAATGAAAGACGAACAAGATAGCAGTTACCTTGTGCTGGCTGAGGAAGAATAAGGATTCCTGATGGAGCAAGGTTGATTCGCGTAGTATTCTGAAAATTAAATGCGAACTAATAAAAATTCATAGACAATCAGTAGATCACGAAATTTTTTATTGTCTTTTCTTTAGGACTATTGAATAATGAATGAGATTTATCGATACAGACTTACATTGTGTTTACATTTACTGGGATGAGTAACTGAGAGAAATAAAACACCTACAACATGGATAATAATAATTGTAAGTTTATCGCTTTCGTATTGCAATCATGTTGAAACTATTGTAAACATTTTGAAGTTATACATGGAGATATATATCAAGCTTTATATGTTTCATAAGATGGACGTTTTTTACTTAAGAAATAAAAGATATTTACTGTGTTTGCACAGGCTTGTGCAAACCGAGGAGGCCTTTGGGAGAACTCGAGAAATGATCAGTTTTGCACCTGCTCGAGAGTTCTTACAAACGTCTCCGAGGTTTGCATAAGCCTGTGCAAATACGAAAAGCATCTTCTATTTCTTTATAAAATAACAATAATGCGAAACAGACAAATTTTAAAACAAACGTAAATTTTCGTGCAACGTGTAGTCATGATTGACTGACCCGATATTTCTTGCTTTTCAAGAGAAATATAGTTCTCTAATTCCATTTTCAACCAGATACAATCCCTTGTAGACACTCCAGGTATGGGCACATCGTACTGACTATAGAAAATGTCAGCAGGAGGGAATGTATCTTAAGAGAAAACCAAACAAAACCGACTGACTTAAAGGGAAGATCAAATCATAATCACTGCATTGTTTGGGCGACGTGTCAAGATGTTGGTACCAGAAAATAATCGACCATTTTATGGTATGCCTGGTACCATTCTACGATGCTCTCGTTTTTAGCAAATGTATCTGACGTCAGGTTTTAACTGAAGAATCATTATCCAGTAAAACCTTAGGTGCATATGACGTAATGAAACGCTAAACATTGTATCTGACGTCAGGTTTTAACTGAAGAATCATTATCCAGTAAAACCTTAGGTACGTAATGAAACGGTAAACATTCATGCAACTTTAACACCAGCTCTTTTAAAATACTTATCAAGGGTGTCCTTTGTCTTTACTAACTTACTGAGCTTTAAACTATTGCAGCTATTTATATCTAACTAGGTGTGTTATATAGCGTGTAGCTAAGAAGTCTGTTTTATTCAAGATGGCCTACTTGACAGCTCTTCATAACGTGTGATACATATTCAACATTCTAAAAGTATGAACATGTATCCTAATCAAATTTACTTGGTCTAGATTGTCCTGTTGCCCATTCCTGCATCAGATGTCTCATGTTATGTACATGTGACACGTTTGTTATAACGTGATACGTTGTGTATGACGTCACAATTAAGGTATGACGTCACAAGTAGTTAAAGCTATTGTTTATATAGTAAACTGGTTTGGTTTGGGTTGCAGTGATTGTAAAAATCTAGTTAGCTTCTCCATTGGTCCAAATTATTACCATTTACTGTTTGAAGCAATATTGCATTCCGGAAAGGATAATCCAACTAAAACAGATGAAATTTTATTCACAATTATCCACACAACCAAACAATGACTGGTTTCTGTTTGGGAAAATTTAAACTACAAAATACCTTGCCACCAAGTTTTATTGCTTTTTGAAAATACTCCATTGTTATACATGGTGGAACTGATACATGACCTTCCATCTTTATAAAATAGTAAAGGAATTTTTTTTATTAGCTTTAGCATTCAGATTTCCGTGAGTCTGTTTACTACGTGATGCATGAAATGTAATATATAAGTAACCTTGATAATGGCCAATGAAGTATCCTTAAAGGTCTGTCTTGCAATTGTCACTCCATTTTTGTATCCACTTTCTTCCATGTGCTTTTAAAGCCATATCACACAAGTTTTGCCATTGCTAGACATTAGAAATGTAATATATGACCGTGTTGACTGTCACATGAAATTATTAAAATCTCATTGACCACTGAAAAACGTAAATACCTTCATTCTCCAAGTTGGATCTTCAAATTCACATGACTCAGATTTTGAGGATAGTGCAGGCTGTTTCCTTCGACTTGACTAATTTGAAAAGAATTGTATTTGAATAATAAAGGTCAATATGAAATCAAATAAATTTAAACAGAACTACACACAATGCGGTTGTAACGTTTCTTAAAACTTTTGGCATGTTTCTCAATCTGTCCTGTTTGTCCTTCAATGCCAGCATTTATAATACTCATCCATTCCAATTTCTCTTCCTGGTTCTCTGAAATCATTTCATTATCAGCAAGATTATTACTAATAAAGTAAATGGTTTGAACCCGGGAGTATTGTTACATGTTTGTAAATGTAGATCGTCCAGTCAAATGACTCTGATGATGACTACCACTAAGGTTGTCGAAACGTCAGTCAACAACAACAAAAACAGTCCTTCTCAATACTATACCAACCAGGACGATCTACATTTACAAACATTATTACTAATATTATAAAAAGTAACATTTATCGACTTGTTCAATGTAGCGTCCTTACCACAACTAATGTAGTACGTTCGTATAGTAGGATCAATAAATATTGGACCAATAGCAAAACAATTAGATTTTTGTTTGTCCTCATTCATCTCAAGCTCCCTGGCTGTATCTAAAAGCAAAGGGATGATGATTATTATTACAGATAAATACTTAGTATTATGTCTTCCTCATCCGGAATTCACATTAAGACAACGATAATATTGGCAATAATTTGGTCAGTTCAATAACAGCTGTCATCAACAACTTACATGTTGAGTCAAGATAAATAGTGCCTCGTGGTGGAGTGCCCTCAAGTTGCCTTTATAAGATGAACAAGATTATAATTTTAATCACATTCAACGTATTCTTCAATAAAACTTTGACCTTACTTAAAGTATGACAATGTAAGGGAAGACTTTCGTTTTGAAAGCACAAACCACCGTTTTCTCCAGTTTGCTGTACGTAGAAATGTCGAACCACTTTCCTTTACACACCAACCTTGCTTGAGAACATGTTTGTCATTATCTACAATCAAATAATGAGATAAACAATCAGGTTCAGTTGGCTGATTTACACTTTACAGTTAGCACATCAATAAATGAATTCTATGATCAATGATGAAGATATTTTGCTAAACTGCATTGTTTTGGCACATTGAAAGTAATACAAGAGAGAGAACGGCACGTCCTCTCATAAGTTGCAGCTCGAAAAGAATTACAGATGCAGACGGTCAACTGCTAGAGGCACAGATTATCAATAGGTCCATGCTCTAGTGCAATTTGACGGGGAAAATGTATCTTAAGGAAATACAAACCATTTAAATTTCCAGAAGGATCTTTTTCCATATTCATTACTCGCTCCACTCAACGAAAAAGAATGAAAAGGATTGACCCAGTTTATGAACATTCGTGTATGTGTGTTTTGATGAAGTTCCGTTTTGGAACATTTCCTCGTCATTGTTGATTTTTGACTTTAAATATTTATCCAGATGTTAAATATTATTTAGCGGTCAGTGTTAGTGAAATCTAAACAGCATGGCTACCTTGGGAGAAAGCTTTGGTTTATGCAATCTCGAAACAGAGTTGATTGGCGTGGAAAAGCATGGAAAAGATGATCACATAATTTTAACGTTAGAGAGTAAAGAAGTTATGGTTTATAATGTATGTTTACGAGGAGTTTTTGTAAGTTTTGATTAAACTACTGCAAGTGTCAATGATGTAATTCTTCATTCTTTTAGATTCGGGAAAAAAAGGTCGTTCATAGTTGGTGCCTTGAAGGTGCAGAGAAATTCACATGCCCTGTTGTTCATGATGATGGGATGTTCTATGCCATAAAGAATGAGAAAGTATATTCATATGCCCGATGTCATGAACTCGTGCGTGGTTGAGACAAATGAGATTCTGTTTAATGATTTTATGCTTTTTAGTGGCTGCTTATGTGGGAAGATAGTTTATCTGAGCTATGTCAGAGCAGTATGCTTAAAGTAAGTTTATTAAATCATAGATCAAAACTTCCAATGGACTGTCAACAAGGCCTGTCTTATATATTATTATTTGTCTTACACCAAGTATGCATTGTACCAGACTGGAAAGTTTGTATTGTGCAAGGGAGATCTCTGGTGTATAATTTTGAGAAATTTAGGCTTTGTGCAGTTTACAAACTTTCCGATCTGGAAAGTGTATTGATCACTATCAGAGGACAGTAATTTGTTACATTTTTGATTATTTCAAGTTACCACGAGCAGCAGTTAAGATTCAAGCATGCAAGTGCAGCAAGTTTCAACATGAACCAGTTATTATCTTTAAAGACAACGAGGCTTTGCCATTCTCCAAAGTGGGAAATGAACAAATAAGGAAGTCATCAAAGACGACAGAAAGGTTATATTTATTATTCACATGTTATGATTTACTCTTGTGTTTTATGTTTTTATTTTGTGTTTTAGCTTATTGTGGTGCGACTTGCACAAACGAAGTGATGGAAATATTTGGTTTACGAAGTTATTAACCTCCAAGGTACAACACAAACTCAACAAAAATTATATTTATGCCTTAACTCCTTTGAAATAAACTAAACATATGTACATCTTTTTTGAATCTTATTAGGACAACAGGAAACTGACTTTGATTATGCATTTGTTCAAAGAAAACAAAATAAATACTTATAATCTTGAAAAAATTGATGTGAGTTTTATTTTAAATGCATGCAATGTTCTACAAGTTGATTAGGAATATTTTACAGTAAAAGGATTTTATGTTCAATTGTTAAAATGTTTGTAAGTAAAGTATAGTTTGCTGGATAATTTAAAGAAAACCGGACTAACTATTCAAGTTTTACTGGATATTTTAAAGAAAACCAGACTAACTATTCATGTTGACAATTTCAGGATTCAGAGTTAATAGATTGGGCTGTGGTTGAAGATGAATCATTGTATTTCATTTCTCTTTGTGAGTCATCATTATGGCAAAGTTTTTGTTTATGTAGGTATTGCTTTGTCATTCCATCTTAAAAAATTGTCATTCGGCCATGTTTTTAGGGTCAAATGGTAAAGTATATCGAATTGATGTTCCTGGGGTTTCCCCACAGGATGAAAGGAATAGTGAATTGTCTTTTGAGGAATTATTTGTTACCTTTCAAATTTCACAATTTCAGGTAAACAACATACTTATTGACTATCAAAAAGTGAATGGTTTGAACTCAGGCATACCAGTGTACGTTTGTAAATACAGATTGTCCACATTAGTTGAGTCCAGAGAAAGATGTTTTGACAACCTTAGCGGTAGTCATCTTCAATTTGGTAGTCATCTTTGAGCAACTCAGTAGTTATCTTGACTCTGAAGATGACTACCTCTAAGGTTGTTGAAATGTCAGTCAACATCAACACAAATGTACTTCCCAGACTCCACTAACCTGGACGATCTACATATTAACTATGATGGCAACCAGCAAAAAAATTTTTATCATAAAAGTTAGTTTTATGCATTACTTTTTATTTTTCAGCAATTTCTGGCTAATTTAACTACCGTGAAATCTTCCTTTGTGTGTGTAGCAGGCTTCTTTAATCGGGATCTACAGAACTGTAAAGTCTATGGTAAATTTTTTTCAAGAAATTGAGACTAATATAAAGAAACAGACATGAAAACTATGATTGAGGCAAAATTTTCTCGTTAAACAGATTGTATTACTGTTTGGGACACAAAGTTCAACACCTTGCACTGTGAAAAACCATTTCCTGAGTGTTTAAAGGCTACACTTCCATCCAGATTATTTTTGCAGTCAACGTCAAGTTTCATAATTATAGCCAGCGATACCAGTGTGTCAGCGATCCCATTCAGTGCGGAAAAGTCGACATTAAAAAGCTCCTTGGGCATACTGGAAGAGAATAATAAGTAAGAGCTTAAAATATATTCGTCAACTTATACTGAAACGTGAAGTTTTATACTGAAACGTGAAGTTTTATACTGAAACGTGAAGTTTTATACTGAAACGTGAAGTTTTATACTGAAACGTGAAGTTTTATACTGAAACGTGAAGTTTTATACTGAAACGTGAAGTTTTATACTGAAACGTGAAGTTTTATACTGAAACGTGAAGTTTTATACTGAAACGTGAAGTTTTATACTGAAACGTGAAGTTTTATACTGAAACGTGAAGTTTTATACTGAAACGTGAAGTTTTATACTGAAACGTGAAGTTTTATACTGAAACGTGAAGTTTTATACTGAAACGTGAAGTTTTATACTGAAACGTGAAGTTTTATACTGAAACGTGAAGTTTTATACTGAAACGTGAAGTTTTATACTGAAACGTGAAGTTTTATACTGAAACGTGAAGTTTTATACTGAAACGTGAAGTTTTATACTGAAACGTGAAGTTTTATACTGAAACGTGAAGTTTTATACTGAAACGTGAAGTTTTATACTGAAACGTGAAGTTTTATACTGAAACGTGAAGTTTTATACTGAAACGTGAAGTTTTATACTGACTTTTATTTTCTCGAATAAATGATTTTATATCATCGTTCACGTATACATGCCGCTGTCGGAGAATTATTACATAAATTTCTTCATTTTTCTTTTCAATGCAAACCACTCATAGAAAGCCACAGTTTTTGACGACTCCTTCGCTTTTTCATCCATCGAAAGTAAGTGAACGGAGATTTCTTTATTTTCAGCGATCAATAATAGTTCATGTTAACATTACCTTTGAACTTCTTTACAATTTATCGTACGAAGTCGATCGAGGAATGGAAACGGGATGTTTTACGCATCGACGAAACTGAAAATGAAATTTTATGTAAACTATTGGATGGTAAAAAGGTACGAAAAGTTGAAAACTATGAATGTTTGTTTATTCGATGTGAGAGGATTTGAGGGAGGGGTGGTGGTTTATTGATTCCGATGGATCATCATGAATTGTGCGTATAAAGCTTATGTCCCGAAATCTGGCGGCTCAAACACTGAATTAAAAAAGCACTACTGCACTCTCGATGTCTTGGATAACGGAGATAGCTCAACAGTAATATAGAAATTATACTTGTAAATTACATCATTTGGCTGTGTTATTGAGTTTTTATAAACTATGCCAGAACAGTGTATTTGTAACTGTTTAAACACTGCAGATTCAATGTATTTTGTCATGTAATCATACGTAATTTCAACAAAATATTATTTTGGTGCCCAGTTCCCTAGTGATTGCTCGCCGGTTTTGTGTTTCTGCTGTTTTATCTCTAGAAATAACTAATTACGCAAAAGCAAATGTGAAAAAATAACTTTTTGAGTTTATATGTGAATAAATTCAACCCAAAACCTCGTCAAGCACTTTGCTTCATACGTCTGTCGTTCGTTTTCAGACAAATACAGCAAAGAAGCTTCTTTTGGAATTGAAAAAAACTACAGAAAAATGTTCTACATCAAATGAAACCGTCTCCCAATTTCTCGTAACGTCCGTGTTTGAAAGATGTGCGAACGAGAAAGAAATGTGGACTCCTGATATCGGAAATTTAATATTGAACACTGCTGTTCTTCCTTCAAGGTAATCACGTGACCAGTATGACGTCATGATGAGACAGATAAAATTTTGCCTCGTTTTCAATTGACCTTTGATTGGTGGAAAATAGCTTTGGTGCAAAAGTTTCGTTTTATCGAATGCGTATTACGTCTTGGGGAATGGAGCGGGCTTAAGACTCGGGGGGAGAGGGGCTGTTTGTATTCCTGATTTTGCACAACCTCAACAATGCCTGCTCTTTTCTGATTGACACGTTTTTCTCCCATTGTCTCCATTCATGGCGTCAAAATTATCGCCTCTTCTCGTGTGTAAACATTTTACGGCATAATTATAGAATACACAAACTGCCGGAAACTATCAGGCTAAGTTATGAATAGGAGAAAGTTTAGGGTTTGTGTCCGGCTTGCAGGTAGTTGAATAGATGGTAGGTATTCTATAAACACTCCCATTTCACCTATGGTGACCTGTTTTATCGATTTTTTAGATATTTTTCTCAGTTCCTATCGTTGGTCATGGAAAAAAACGATATGGTTTGTTCTTCAACAGCAGTCTATATGGTCCTTTCTTTAACTTCAAATTACAATCCTTCTCTTTTCAGCTTTTATTTCGAAATTGTCTTTGTACTTTAAAAGGAATACCCGAATCATGCCTAGTTGAATGTCTGAAGTTTATCTTAAGGTCAGATAACTGTATTTAAATTTATAATTTTAGTGGCGTACTGTTGTCATAGTTACGTGATGATTATTCTAAATAGATATGATGACGTAATGTTTTCATCACCAGCGTTTGTCCCCGATGTCTGGGTTGAGACCAGTCCGCCATGTCCGTTGTCCAAAGCCAAAATGATGTATCCTTTTGATGTATGTGTATCAATGATGTGTTAGATTTGTCTTAGTGAAGCGGATTGCTCAAAATTTGAATATCATGTAGCAAATATCACTCAAGGTTTTAAAATTATCTCTGTGTTTATTGCGAAGGGCCCCAAAACAAATGTTCTCTCGCTTTTCTTGATAACGTGTTTAATCACGATTCTTAACATCGGCCAATTAGATCGCTTGTACTATCACATCCAATCAACGATGCCTTTTTACAATCCAGTCTAAGGAAACTCAACTTTGATGACGTAATGGTAAGAATGAACTACGCTCTTCTAAATATCAATCATTATTAAGTAAAACACGGCTGGTCGAATTTTTTCTTGGAGTCGACGAAGATTTGCTTTATGTTCCAAACCGAACTATTCATTTTCGGGGGGGTGCATCTAGGATCATTTATTTCCGGAGGAGGTATACTTCCACAGATTTTTAAAAATACTCTACCTTATACTATATCTGAGTATCAATATCTGTTACATGTTTGTAAATGTAGATCGTCCAGGTTGGTATTGTCCTGAGAAGGACTATTTTTGTTGTTGTTGACTGACGTTTCGACAACCTTAGCGGTAGTCATCTTTTGACTCAGTAGATGACTTCCGCTGAAGATGTTGAAACGTCAGTCAACAACAACAAAAACAGTCCTTCTCAGGACTATACTAACCTGGACGGTCTACATTTACAAACATGTAACGATACTCCCGGGTTCAAGCCATTTACTTTAATATCTGTTAGTAAATCTGCATTAGGGTCATGCCTACAACATATTCAACTTTATTGTAAACAATTTTTGAACTGTTGAGACAAGATTACGGACAAAGACGATCAAACTAAACATATTTTTATTATTTTACCTCATTACAAGCCAAATCAGGACTTCAGCAACAAGGACGAAGTTTGGTGATCTGAAATTTTCCATTAAAATAAGTCTAGAATAGCCAAGAGCTCTCGTCATCTCCGTGAAATCTAAAACTATGGAAGATTAGAATTGATCGGGGGGGAGACATTGTTAGACAGTTATCCTTAATTTTCCTATTCGTATGGCCAAACTTGTATTTTTTTTTCACGAGCAGCGATTGTTGTTTCTCCCTTTCGATTTCAAATCATTTCATTTTTTCTTGTAGATTTTATTGCAATTTTTATTACATATTATGAAGTGCTGGTCGCCATTATTAAATGATGTGCTTTGTTTCCAAGAATCTCTTCATAAACCGACTTACTCCAAGGTAAAATGTGAAAAGATTGCTAATCAAGGAACATCGCAAAACTAGCTCTTACTCTCTCTTTTTCGTTCTAAAACGTTTGCAGATTCTTGACTGGTCTGCTTTGATATTAAACGCTCATTTTACACAAATGATTCTCGTACCCGACTCGCAAACTCTTCTAATCAACTTCCACAAAATCGTTGGAGAACAGGTGAAAATCTTATTTGTTCGCACACATATTATTTTGATTTTGTTGCCTGTGTAATTTTAACATTTTTTTGTTCAAATTAGATCATTTCGCTTGAACATTTGGAGCAACTCGATGGATATTTAACTCATTTCAAAGATCACGAATCACTTCCATATAATAACCGAATGTCGTCATATAGTATTGAACAGATGGAATTGTAGAAAGCAGTTTTTCTTTAATCGTGCGATTATTATGAGTTAAATTATTTACGCTTGAAATATTTGTTTCATCCTTCTTTTCGTATTCATTAAATAAATGTTCACATTAAGGTCTTTTGCACCTCTTCTTCAGCTCCGTCCTCGACGAGGTGTGACACGATTAATGACAATGGACTAAAGGTCTTACAAGGTCTCCTTGAGGCAACCAAGTATTTTTTTCTTCCAAAGGTAGATATAAATGTAGGAACAAAGGTAGACATAAAGATAGACATAAAGGTTGACATAAAGATAGACATAAAGATAGACATAAAGGTAGACATAAAGTTAGACATAAAGGTAGACATAAAGGTAGACATAAAGGTAGACATAAAGGTAGACATAAAGGTAGACAAAGGTAGACAAAGGTAGACATAAAGGTAGACATAAAGGTAGACATAAAGGTAGACATAAAGGTAGACATAAAGGTAGACATAAAGGTAGACATAAAGGTAGACATAAAGGTAGACATAAAGGTAGACATAAAGGTAGACATAAAGGTAGACATAAAGGTAGACATAAAGGTAGACATAAAGGTAGACATAAAGGTAGACATAAAGGTAGACATAAAGGTAGACATAAAGGTAGACATAAAGGTAGACATAAAGGTAGACATAAAGTTTGACATAAAGGTTGACATAAAGGTAGACATAAAGGTAGACATAAAGGTAGACATAAAGGTAGACATAAAGTTAGACATAAAGGTAGATATAAAGGTAGACATAAAGGTAGACATAAAGGTAGACATAAATGTAAAAACAAAGGTAGACATAAAGTTGAACACAAAGGTAGACAATAAAGGATCTGCAATTCTGCATTGTAGGATTGTAGTGTATCCTATGATTGTACCTCTGTGTGCCTCTATGTAGCTTTCGTTGTCAAGGACGCAATCAAAGCGCGCAGTTGGTAAATTCAACATGGCCGATGAGAAAGAAGTAAAATTAGAGTTTATAGACGATGTTTATTCGGCGAAAGGACGCTTCTTTTCTACATCACAACAAAAAATGCTTCCTTAAGTGGACCGAATGTTCGAGGTCTTGGAATATTTATGCACCAACATGAGTTATATTTGAACTGGAATGTGGAAGTAGGTTGAGCATCTCACTTAATCATGAGTTCAAAAGGAGACCTGTTAGTGCGACGTTTAAAAGAGAAAGCGAAAAAGGGACAGCACAATGTTCTAAGCCATTGAGTGTAAGGAGTAGTTCCTCCATTCGTCATAACGTCAACTCAAGTCTGGTAGGCTTGTCTTCCTTATTTTTTTACGAAAGATATCAACTGTCAATAATATCTTATGAACACTTAATTTTACCTTTTAGCAATCAGATTCGTCGGGGCTAAGTATAACAGGAACAAAGACAGCAACAAGCAAATCGCATCCAACTAAAAGACAAAGTATGTTCTTTATGGAAATGTTCATACAATGGAAATACGTCAATGTATTGATGTTGTATGCTATTGCTATAACTTATTGAGTTTTTGCAATTTTGCACAATCTTTCACTTCGTTAATTGTTGATCTTTAAGTGCCACTACAAGGCAGGTACAGATCGATATTACTAAACACTGTCCAGTGTTTAGTGGGACCCCAACAGATGTCTGCTTAACTCTTCCATAACTAAAAATATTGGCCATCAATATATTGTTCACTAACATTAGCCTGCTCAATTATTTAGTGGAGCTTTGTTAATTTTTCTGTTTTCACTTACTGTGAAAGCTGCACATTTCTAAAGTAATGAATTTTGATCATCTTCTGAAATTTAAATATCTTGACCAAAACTTGCAGTCTGGCTAAGTCACTGTTCACTAGTCACTGTACCATGTCTTTTTAGGTCTGGATTTATCCTTTGAGAAATCAAGTTCTCATAGAGTTGTCGAGAAGAAAAATAAAAAAAATTCATCAGATATCCATGGATTAAAAGAAATAGCAAATATAGAGACAGATTTTAATCCAACTTTACATCAAGTTGAAAAGTTCGAAGCTGAGAAAGGTGAAATCTGCTGGGTTTTTTCAAAGCATGTATGTTACAAGTTTTGAATGATTTAATTTTTATATTTTAGATGATCCTTGGTGGGAGAATTTACCTGACGAAGTCTTGTTTAGTCCATCATCGTCTTTATCCTATGCATCTTCAAAATCAGATCTGTCTAAACCATATTTCCTATCAAGAGAAAATGAAGTACAACCAACTTTAAATGATTTTCTTGACATGACTGATGATTCTAAGACAAATGTTGCTGACCAAAGTGAAAATCCCAAGGATGATGCTCAAAATTTTGAATCCGATGCCGGGATATCTTTATCAAGCTTGAGTGGAAGAAAAAGTTATGATGAAGCAGTTCCTAGAAATTCTAACTTCATTCCAAAATTAGTTCCTAATGAGAAACCTCAAAGTGTTTTTGGAACTCCAGTAAGATATCTGGTCAGGAAAAACCTCATGAACTGATATCAAATTCAAAAAAGCAAATTTCACAAATAGTTCAGATCACCTAGAAAAGTTTAAAGAAGAACCCACAAATGATATTAATGCTGCAAAACGTCATCATTCTGAAGTTTCAAATATCAACAAGAAACATCCAAAACAGATTGAAGCAGCAGCTCTTGTTATTCAGAGAACATATCGGGGTTATCGAAGCAGATTGCAAGCAGGTTATTCAGCTGTGCAAAGAGCTTTAAATGAAAAACGTCTGGAGGTGGAAAAAGTAAAAAAAGTTGAGTTTACTGCTATGATTATCTGTTCAATTAGATTGGAGCAATTGCAAAGTGGTTTGGCATGTAGAGGGGTGAAAATCCTTGAAAAAATTTATTGAAAAAATGCATGTGGTTGTTGGTGGGGTCTTTTGAAAAAGATCACCATATTGAGCATCTTCACAAGATCTTGTAAGATCTTCAAAGAGATGATGCACAAAATATTACAAGATTATTTATGATCTGACAACTTCTTGCATGAACTTAGCAAGAACTTAATAGGACAATTGAAAGATCATGAAAAATTTTGTAAGATCATAGCAAGATCATGTACAAAATACGCACTTGTATTTACGTCCTCAACAATGACGTTTTCAACGATGACGTTGTCGATGATGACGTTCTAATTGATGACGTTGTCGATGATGACATTATTATTGATGACGTTGTCACTGATGACGTTGTCAATGATGACATTCTTATTGATGACGTTGTTGATGATGACATTCTTATTGATGACGTTGTTATTGATGACGTTTTTATTGATGACGTTGTCAATGATGACATTTTCTTATTGATGACGCTATCGATGATGACGTTCTGAATGTTTCAATCTTATATTGAATTATTTTTTATGATTTTACTTGCATATAGTTGGAATGTGAGACAACTTCAAGTGTTGAACAACGACGAGAAGAGAAAGCGAAGCAAGCACGTCAGAAAGCTATTAAAGAACTGAATGAAAAACGAATAAGACGAAAGAAGATCAGAAGAGAATGGTTGAAGAAGATTTGGTTTGTAGTGTACTATCAACCATGTATGCTTTGTAAATTAGTTTCTTCTGGTCGCTCGCTATGTGTATGATGATGGTTTATGATTGGTTTATATGATGATGGTTTGTGATTGGTTTATGTAATGATGGTTTATGATTGGTTAATATGATGATGGTTTATGATTGGTCTATGTTATGAGGGTTTATGATTGGTCTGTATGATGATGGTTTATGATTGGTCGTGTATTATGAGGATTTATGATTGGTCTGTATGATGAGGGTTTATGATTAGTCTATGTGATGAGGAATTATGATCGGTCTATATATGATGAGGGTTTATGATTGGTCTATTTGATGAGGGTTTATCATTTGCTCAAAATACAATTAAGTAAAAATACTCTATAGAAATAACAGTTTTAAAAAGAGAGTTTTAAGTGTTCATAGCTAGATAGATGCGTTGATAGAAAAAACTTCATTTACTCATTAACAAAACATTTATTTGAAGTTGATAAATATTTCTTATACGCATGATGAAGCATATTGTCTTTTTTCTTTTCAATTAAATAGAAATTTCTTGAAGATAGCGGTAAAGTGAAAACAGCTAAAAAGAAAGCAATTAATGAAATGAAAAAATCATCGAAAAAGATGACTTCAAAACAAACTCAGTTATCTCGTGAAGTCGATACAATCGAGAACGAGTCAAGATCTTCTAGTGCGAGATCACTGGATATCAAAGTTGAGGAAATGTTTCAAGTAAAAAATGTTTTCTTTTTTGAAAAAACGGACATGGTGGAAGTGACCATTTATTTTTGGAATATTTATCACAGGAGTCGAGAAAATCCACTCTACAGACAGACACGAAGCCTGTTGTCGACAACGACAAATCTGTCGGCAGTACAAGTCGAAGTGTGGCGACTGCTCACAGGTTGAAGAACTCGGTTTACTCTTAAGATTCGTTTCGTGTGTAAAATCATACCGTGTAACTCACAAGAATCATATACACTGTGTTTCTGACACTTTTCGTTTTTTAGCTTTGCCACACACAAGTCAGTATTTCAAAGTTTTCCATCCATCTTTTATGCCAAAGACAAATCGATGTTTCCAAGTCTTTTTCATTCTTCATTTTACACTGAAGTCTCGGCCACCAACTTATTTCTTTCATCCAATTTAAAATACAGATTTTACGACATTTTTAGTGGTACAAAGTCGACTTTGGATGAACTTTTTGAGTCACTACGGCAACTTGAAGAAGAACCAAACGATATAAAGAAACCCACAAATGAAGCTGCGACGCAAAACCTATGGCGTAAGGTGGTAAATGTTGTTTTGAAGTCTTTTCCTAGTTTTACATTGTTTCATCCTTATTGTAGACGAACATGCTACAAAGCAAACGTTGACGGAGGATAGTTTGCGGAACTCAACGTTAGTAGATATTCATTAAACTATACTGTAATCAAATAACGTTAATCCACCTATTCCTTTTTTTGCTTCACTCTCTGCAAACTTTTTAAGCCTTGATTTCTTTTCACAGCACCTCCAGTGGCTTGTCTCAAGTTAAACTCAGGTATATTACACTCGACAAGATTCGCCACATCTTGTTATTCAGCGGGGAAGGAAAATTGAACCGGAAATTTTTCTAGGACTATTATGTCGTTTCTTGACGAAGTCGAGAAGACCGAACAAGACACGGTTGTGAGTCGTGTACATGATGCAAACACGTTTCACGAATCTTCTTCTGTTGCAACATCCGTGATGTCACCTGCTGTCATTGAAAATGAGTAAGTCTTTGAAATTTTACACATCGAATGATTACTTTGTTCTGTAGTGACCGTCGATTCGCCGTTATATATTTAATGTTGTCTTTTAGAAAAGAAATTGCGCTGTTGGAGTCTGCATCCGCTGCAGCATCTGACGTCACGAACGCAATGATGTCTGTGAAGGTTGAACTCGAAGAAAAAAAGAAGACGAACGATTTACTTCAGAGAGCTTTGGTATGACCTTTTATTTACGGTGCTTAGATGAATTAAAGCGTGATATCGTGCGTGACGTCATTATCAAAAGTTGACGTCATCATCGACGAATGACGTCATCGTTGATAAATGACGTTATCGTAACAGGGTGGCGTTGTCAAGAATGACTTCGTCATCGTAAATGGGTGACGTCATCAAGACGTCGTTACTTGGTGACGTCAAGAAATAGATTGAATGTGGTGCGCCGTTTCAGCAATGGGGACAAATTGACAGTAAAGACTTCCCTCCTTTTATGCATCCATTTTATTCCGTCGATAATTTATCAAGTTTTGCAGTTTTAATGAATTTCTTAACCAATTTGAAAGTCTCATGCGTACCATCTTCGTGTTTGTCGAACATTAGTCAAGTTTAGTGCCGTCTTCTCGTGTTTAGACGCAACAAAGAGATTTTACATTACGTCAAGCTCGCGACATGGAGAAAGACACAAAACAGAGACTGAACTTACAACGTCAGGAATACGAATCAACAATCCAACGTCATCTTTCCTTTATCGATCAACTCATTGACGATAAGAAAATATTGAGCGAACGTTGCGAGGAGCTTGTGAAGAAACTTAAAGAAACTGACAAAAAATATGTTGATAAGATATCGAAAATGGAAGAAGTGAGTTTGTGATGAAGAACTGTTCTTTCTTCTTTTGGAAACCATTTTTTTTTCGTGAAATTTTACTTTCGTTGTCATAGTTGATGTAGTTGAAATTTTGTTTTTTTTTTGCAAGATTTTACGCAATGTTTATTTGGGTTTCGAGCATACGACTTGAAGTGTTACGTTGTGATTTGAAGGCAGACAATCAAAATCTTCAAAATCCCGGGAAATGAATTTAAAAAACCCTTTTTAAAAATCGTGTATACTACGAAATAAGTTGTTTTCATTGCATCTTGCATGCAAGATGCAACAGCATACCAGCATCTTGTTTGAAAAACACATTATATTTACTAAATTTCGTGGTTTTTCTCCATCGTCGCCTTTATTCTTGTGTATGTTTACGCGACATCTTTATTTTGACATGTAGTCATGCTGCCGAAGTGAAGAAACAAAAAGATGTTATGTTGACAGCAGAGAAACTTCGCAGAGAAAAATGGATTAAAGATAAATCTCAACAGATTAAAGTAAGATCAGAGAAAACTTTCAATGAAATCCTATCATCACAATCATTACTATCTTGATCGTTTTTTATGTTTTAAAGGAGTTGACTGTAAAGGGTTTGGAACCGGATATTCAAAAATTGATTGCTAAACATAAGACCGAAATAAAACGATTAAAATCCGCTCATCAGGTAAAAAACCCCAGTATTTTAGAGTGTAAAAAAACTATTTTAGTGTATACGGAAACATGAAGAAATCATTTTTTGAATGCTTTAGTCGTGTTAATTAAAACCATCACTGTTCAGTGTTGTTCATCTTGTGTGCAGTAGCGAAGCCAGCTCGTTTTCTACTCCTACAATGCAAACATTTCTGTGTTCGATTATTGAAAAAACATTGAATGAAATTGATTTCCTGAAGAAATGAATGATAAATTACTGAAAAATTTACATTGTAGGAGGAAAAAGATTGAGCTGGCTTCGCCATTGCTAGTATTTAGAACTGTTATGCTACAATTGACCATAAAATCTTTTGAAGCAATGGAAAGAACACACCTATTTCACGAAACAAAAATGTTAAGGGGAAATGGAGACTCTTCGCCCTTGTGTTTTTTCAAAATAATTTATTTATATACATAATGTACAGGCTGAATTATTGGAGACAGATGAACGTGTTGGTCGTAGATATCTACAGCAAATCGAGGAACTTCGTGATCAGCTTGAAAGAGAAAAAGAAACTGCTTGTAACAGAGAACGAGAGTTAGCACAAAGCAAGTATGTTCTCTTTTATGGTTTTATTACTACCTTTAATGGTCAGGTGAACAATGGATGGTTTTAAAGACCATTGAGACTGTCTTCCTTGTTGTTAATGTAGAAGTAAAATGTATACGTACGTATAGATTAGTTAGTTATAACCATGGGGAGTGTAGGTAACCATGGTGAAGTATAGGTAACCATAGTGAAGTATAGGTAACCATGGTGAAGTATAGGTAACCAAGGTGAAGTATAGGTAACCATGGTAAAGTATAGGTAACCATGGTGAAGTATAGGTAACTTTGGTGAAATATACGTAACCATGGTGAAGTATAGGTGACCATGGTGAAGTATAGGTAACCATGGTGAAGTATAGGTAACCATGGTGAAGTATAGGTAACCATGGTAAAGTATAGGTAACTTTGGGGAAATATACGTAACCATGGTGAAGTATAGGTGACCATGGTGAAGTATAAGTGACCATGGTGAAGTATAGGTAACCATGGTGAAGTATAGGTAACCATGGTGAAGTATAGGTAACCATGGTGAAGTATAGGTAACCAAGGTGAAGTATTGGTAACCATGGTAAAGTATAGGTAACCATGGTGAAGTATAGTTAACTTTGGTGAAATATACGTAACCATGGTGAAGTATAGGTGACCATGGTGAAGTATAGGTAACCATGGTGAAGTATAGGTAACCATGGTGAAGTATAGGTAACCATGGTAAAGTATAGGAAACTTTGGGGAAATATACGTAACCATGGTGAAGTATGGGTTACCATGGTGAAGTATAGGTAACCATGGTGAAGTATAGGTAAAGATCCATGAAAGATTTTTAGTAACTATTTAGGAATATCGGTGACTTTTATAGGTGAATGATTTACCACGAAGAAATATGGGTAGCAATGATGATTTTTTAATTTGTGTTGCCTTTTTACAGGTATCAAAAGCAGATGGAAGAAGAAGAGAAGGCATTTCAACAACAACGACGTCGTTTGTACGGTGAAATTCAAGAAGAAAAGGAAAGACTAGCAAATCAACTTCTGAAGCAGAGAAAAGAGTTGGATGATTTGAAAGAAAAACTTGAGGTAATGGATGAGAAAGTTTAGTTCCTTGAAAAGTCAAAATGGAGGAAAGTGCCTTGCCTGCTTAATGATCTCGTGAAATTTTTAGCAGACCACAGCGTAAAAACCTATTTCAATTTGTTTTAGTATGTCCTTGAAGCATAGACTGTTGTTCTTTTAAATATATGAAAATTTCCTAAGGAAGAATAGCTTACCTATCAACAGCTTGAGTGCCTGATAAAATGTTTTGTTTAATTATATGATTGAACGTTAACAGGATTCTCACAAAACTGCCATGAAAGATGTCGAGAGCTCAAGCAAACAAGTATTGGAAGAATTAGAAAACAAACATCAGGTAATTCTTTTTATTAACATGTGCGATTTTTTCACCAAGTGTTCAGGCTTACACCACGTATCGTAGAATGAAATGAAAGAGCTCAGTGAGAGGATGGATGTCGAGAAACAACAGTGGATTGAAAACTACATGAAAAAGCAGGTTTGTATCGGTTTACTGTGTGAGTAGATGTATCCCATGTTATCAAGTAATGTCATCGATGTACATTAGGATGCAGTCTTACTGCAAAAAGAAAGAGAGTTGAAAGAAAGCGTTAGAGAGTCAAGAGATAAGGTTCGCATTTATAAATACGACTATGTTTATTCATTTTTACGACATTGATTATTGATTTTTACTTTAGGAAATAGAGTTGGTTATTCGAAGACTTGAAGAAGAGACGTCCCTTGCGAGAGATGAATGCGAAAGAGCTGCCGAGAATAGAATTAAGTGAGTTATTTTTGTAGACATTTGTCTCAGGTGAACATCTTGGTTCTTTTCCCCTTTTTGATATTTCCGTACGTTGAAATGTTTATCTTCAGGCGTGTTCGTGACAAGTATGAAACAGAAATAAAAGACATCGAGAGTTCGGAGAGAATAATGCATGAAAAATACACGTCCGCCAAAGTATGATATACTTAATAAAATGCTTGATATTCATCATCATTTTTTACTTTTAATTCACTATTTTTGGTAATAGGTCAATTTTCTACAAATACGCAAACCCTAATCCTTTGTATTATTCGGCAGTAGACTTTCGCAATGTTTCACAGATCGGATTAAGGATTTCGCGTATTATAAAATACGGATTAAAACTGTATTTTTTCTTCAAGGAGAAATCCACTGAACTCGAGGAAGAATTGTCGAGGTTGAAAAGTTTGTTGAAGAACGAAGAACGAAAAATGGACGATTTAAATAAACTGACAAAACAGCTTCAAGAAGAGAGAGGTCAAGTTGTCGACATCATTAGACAGGAGTTCGCCGACAGGTTATCGAGAATTACCGTGTATTTGTCTTTTCTCTTTCGTTATTTTTTCCCGACAAATGTTTTTAAATCTTCTTTAGACTGGTGACAACAGACGAAGATAATAAAAGGTTGAAAATCGAGATTAGCGAACTTCGTGCGAAACATCGTCTTGAAATCGAGAGGATAAACAGCGCTAAGGAAGAAGAAATGGAGGAAGTTCATAAGAGGTGAATTTTGCCTGCCTCGTATTCATTTTTCACATTTTTATTGTTCACTTTTTTACATCCGGCACATGTACATACATACTGACGTATCGTGTTTACTTTTTTACATCCGGCACATGTACATACATACTGACGTATCGTGTTTACTTTTTTACATCCGGCACATGTACATACATACTGACGTATCGTGTTTACTTTTTTACATCCGGCACATGTACATACATGCTGACGTATCGAAGGACAATGGGGAAAGAACAGTGAATATTTTTCCTGATTAACAACGAAATGTTTCACATTTTATTGAACTCCATTCAACCCTTTGAATGCACACACGTGAGGGGGGAGAGGGGGAGCATTCATAACCCATATGTATGAGTAATAAGACTGTTAAATGTCGTTCATCAAGCAGATAGAAGTTGAAAAGACTCAGAGTGAATCTTTTTTTATAATACTGTGTTCCACAATTATTCGAAATCGATCTCTAACCCTAACCTAGGCTATGGCCCATAGATTGGTTAAAGATTGGACTAAGGACCAGTTTCGCGTATTGTAGATCACAGAATATTTGCCCATTTTTCTTGTCTTCCATATTTTCGCCTTATACTTATGTTAAAAATTTGCCAACTTTTCAAGGACAACTTTTCACTTATTTTATAACCTTGAATTCAGGGTAAAACAAGCCATTTCTAGAAAAGAAGAAACTTTAAATTCTCTCAGACAGCACAAAGAGGTGAAGGATTATTTGATCATTTTAGGGAAAATTAGCGTCGTCGTTTTAAACATCTCTTGTTTGTTTGCAGTCTGCCGAGAAGAGAGCAGATCATTTGGAGTTTTTACTTCATGAACAGCGGAAAAAACTGTTAGCATGACATCATGTTCATGCTGTTCCTAGATGTTTCTTTATTGTAGATAGTTTCGAATATAATTCAATTTTTACAGAGAATACTTATAATTACTATAACTATTGATATGAATGCCATGGCGTTTATTTGAATTTCGGCTTTTAAGATTGTGCGTTTTCTCGAGAACTTTGTAATGATAGATTTGTGACAAAGTTCTTAGTTTATATCAAGTCTTGGTCGTTCGGATATTTCCAAATATCTCTCACAAGTCATGTAAGGTGCACTCTACATAACATTGCGATTTTTTCGTTTGTCGGCCTTTTAGAAACAGTCAACGATAGAGTTGTGTTGTGAAAATATCAACTGTGAAGGTTGGCTTTGATTATGAGTCAAAAAGCCGAACAGTTTGAAAGTTTGATGTACAATTGAATATTATAGACTTTTATAGCTTATTTTATGAGGAAAAACTCTTGTAAACAAATGGACAATGTTCGAAATCAAGAAATCCGGTTCTGGGTGCATGCCTTCTGAGGAGAATGCCCTTGCAACCAAAGTCTAAGCTCCTAACTTATCAGTAGATGACGATAGGTTACAGTTGGTGACAGTAGATGACTTTAGGTGATGGTAGGTTAGAGTGGAATGACAGTAGATGACGATAGGTTACAGTTGGTGACTGTAGATGACTTAAGGTGATGGTAGGTTAGAGTGGGATGACAGTAGATAACTGTAGGTTACAGTTGATGACAGTAGATGACTTTAGGTGATGGTAGGTTAGAGTGGGATGACAGTAGATAACTGTAGGTTACAGTTGATGACAGTAGATGACTTTAGGTGATGGTAGGTTAGAGTGGAATGACAGTAGATAACTGTAGTTTACAGTTGGATGACAGTAGACGACTTTAGGTGATTGTAGGTTAGAGTGGGACGACAGTAGATAACTGTAGGTTACAGTTGATGACAGTAGATGACTTTAGGTGATTGTAGGTTAGAGTGGGATGACAGTAGATAACTGTAGTTTACAGATGGATGACAGTACAGTAGATGACTTTAGGTGATTGTAGGTTAGAGTGGGACGACAGTAGATAACTGTAGTTTACAGTTGATGACAGTAGATGACTTTAGGTGATTGTAGGTTAGAGTGGGATGACAGTAGATAACTGTAGTTTACAGATGGATGACAGTAGATGACTTTAGGTGATGGTGGGTTAGAGTGGGACGACAGTAGATAACTGTAGTTTACAGATGGATGACAGTAGATGACTTTAGGTGATGGTGGGTTAGAGTGGGACGACAGTAGATAACTGTAGTTTACAGTTGATGACAGTAGATGACTTTAGGTGATGGTAGGTTAGAGTGGAACGACAGTAGATAACTGTAGTTTACAGTTGATGACAGTAGATCACTTTAGGTGATTGTAGGTTAGAGTGGGACGACAGTAGATAACTGTAGTTTACAGATGATGACAGTAGATGACTTTAGGTGATGGTGGGTTAGAGTGGAACGACAGTAGATAACTGTAGTTTACAGATGATGACAGTAGATGACTTTAGGTGATGGTGGGTTAGAGTGGAACGACAGTAGATAACTGTAGTTTACAGTTGATGACAGTAGATGACTTTAGGTGATGGTGGGTTAGAGTGGGACGACAGTAGATAACTGTAGTTTACAGTTGGATGACAGCAGATGACTTTAGGTGATGGTAGGTTAGAGTGGGATGACAGTAGATAACTGTAGTTTACAGTTGATGACAGTAGATGACTTTAGGTGATTGTAGGTTAGAGTGGGATGACAGTAGATAACTGTAGTTTACAGTTGATGACAGTAGATGACTTTAGGTGATGGTAGGTTAGAGTGGGATGACAGTAGATAACTGTTGTTTACAGTTGATGACAGTAGATGACTTTAGGTGATGGTAGGTTAGAGTGGGATGACAGTAGATAACTGTAGTTTACAGTTGATGACAGTAGATGACGATAGGTTACACAGTTGATGACCACTGTAGATGATCGTCTTTGTCTGTAAATTACTGAAGATGACTATGGATTGGATGACAGTAGGTGATAGTAGGTTACAGAGGGTGACATGATGATAATGAATGTTGGTTACCTCTTCCCCCGTGCTTCCGGTAAAATTAAAATTGCGACCCACACCTGTTGTGCATTTCTAGTTTCGACATCTGTGTAGTTGCAAATGACGGACGAAATAGAAGAAGAATCTCTTCTTAAAAAGATAATTTCTCAATGCATTGAATGCAAACAGAATGAATTGAATTTATCATCTTTATGTTTCAATGTGAGGAAACTTCCGGATGATGTATTTTATCGATTTTCTTTGGAGAATCTGGCCAAGATTACGGGATTGAATTTTGATTTCAACGATTTGCAAGAATTACCTGAAAGTATTTTGACCTTGAAAAACATCAAAAAGTTTTCTGCTGTCGGTAACTGTTTAACTACCATTTCGTCAGGTTTTGGAAAGTTTGTAAATCTTGAAGAAATACGGTTGAACGAGAACTGTCTTTGTGCTTACCTGTAAGTCTCGGCAGTTTATGTAATTTGAAAACATTATCTTTGATTGCCAACGATTTGATTACTTTACCGAATGAATGTTTAAGCGGGCTGTCGAAACTTGAGGAATTATATTTGGATGAGAACGTTTTACAAGAATTGCCTGAGAACATTGGTTGTTTGAGGGCCCTACGAATATTAGATATAAGCGAGAATAAATTGATTTCATTGCCAGATAGTTTTGGTGAATTGGATCATTTAGAGGTCTTGAATCTGAGTAGGAATAATATTAGTGTTTTGCCTGAGTCCTTTGGTTTTTTGAGTAAGCTTCGGAAGGTTGATCTCAGTGACAATGATATTGCCAAATTACCAGAGGAGTTTAAATCAGCGCCAAGGTTAGAAAGTTTGTATTTCGACAATAATGTAGTTGGTGTGCTGCCTGCATGGTTTGGTAAACTGTCGAACATTTTGAATTTATCATTAAAAGACAATAAGTTACAAGGCTGTCCATTGCCTGAGTTATTTCCTAAAGTTTCTGATAAAACTTTAAAAAAATTGGAAGTTGGAGGCAATGCCATTTCACAACTGCCATCAGCATTTGGCGAACTCGGACAGCTTGAAGAGTTACATCTTGGTAGTACAATATGTGAGTTAGAAAGGCGTAATTTTCAAAATGGAAATAGGATACGTGAACTTCCAGAAAGCTTTAGCAAGCTACACTCCATTAATAAACTTTATCTTGATGAAAATCAGCTGATAAAGTTACCATGTAGGTTTGGAGATCTTCATAATTTGACTTGGATCGATCTCGGGCAAAATCTTTTGACATATCTTCCTGACAGCTTTTGCTGTTTGGTTTTACTAGAATATTGTCAGCTATCAAAGAACCAATTGAAAAGCTTACCTGAAAATTTTGGCAGACTTGAAAGCTTGAAGGATCTAAGATTGGATTATAACTTGTTAGAAGATCTACCCGAATCATGCTGTAATCTTAAAGCCCTTCATACTTTGGATTTATTCAGTAACAAACTGACAAAAGTTCCAAAGTGGCTTTCAAAGTTGACCTCTTTAAAACGACTGGATTTAGACAAGAACAATTTCCACTTAAAACTCAGGGACATTCCTCACATTACTTCTGAGGGATCTAAATATGCCAAAAGAGATCCAAAACTCATTAATAATTGGCGTGGAAAGATGAGAGCAGATAAAGTGAGAGCAGATGTTATTGTTATAAAACAAGAGGAAAACGATGAGGATTCGGAAGAAGAAATTGAGCTCCCTGCTACATATAATGAACATGTACTTGCTGCTGCTATGAGAAGGGGTTTATCAATATGGAGGTCACATGATGGTGAGATACATTTAGAAGTGTTTTAATGTTAGAAACTGAGTAAATTTGAAATGGTAACCATGGTGAAGTCTTGGTGACCATGGAGAACTTTAGGTAACCATGGAGAACTATAGGTAACCATTGAGAACTATAGGTAACCATGGAGAACTATAGGTAACCATGGAGAATTATAGGTAACCATGGAGAACTATAGGTAACCATGGAGAACTTGAGGTAACCATGGGGAACTGCAGGTAACCATGGAGAACTATAGGTAACCATGGAGAACTATAGGTAACTATGGTGAACTATAGGTAACCATGGAGAACTATAGGTAACCATGGAGAACTATAGGTAACCATGGAGAACTATAGGTAATCATGGAGAATTATAGGTAACCATGGAGAGTTATAGGTAACCATGGAGAACTATAGGCAACCAAGTAAGAGTACAAATATCTACAAATTTATGATATTGATTTTATCAGGACCCAGTGAAAGAAACTCCCCGATATGGGAGGATGATATGGTATTTAATGTGTACGAAGATACTTATGATGATACAATGACAGATTATGGATTTTATGTTAAAATGGGTGATCATGGAAAAGGTATTGTATTACAGGTATATTTTATTTGTTGGTTGTGAAACTCATTTCACTATTGGTATTTTTTATATATTTAGATAATGAAGATGATTGTGAAGATTGGGACAAAGAAATTAATGAGTTGTGGGGTAAATCATCTCCAACAAACTTGACATTTCCACTGAAATGTGGTGTGAACGTGTCAGATGTTCAAATTGAAAAACGAGATGAATTCTTGACTACTCTTTCTGCTTATCCACCAGCAACTCAAGCCTACTCTTGGACCGCAACTTATAACTCTTTGGCCTTGAAAAATGTACAGTGTAATTCAACTCAAACCACAACTTTTTCTGCCATTTCATCACATGGACAGTTTGATGATGCATGATTCAGAAAATACTGATAGTTACAACTTTGTGTGAGTAATAAATATCTATGCTATACGATAAGCTTTCTATAAACTTGACTGTGCATCGCACCCACAGATCGCACCTGGCTTTAGTGAATATCTCTTTCAAGTAATGTTCACCTTTCACCACCCCCCGTATTTACTTAATCTATAAACATCTGCCAGGGGTTGTGTCTAAATTAACGGTATCAAATCCAACATGGCGGACGAAAGTCACGGCGGAGTTTCTACCTATAAATTACGAAGTTTTACGGAAGCCGATCAAGTTAATTGCATTTTAAACTCCATCTCTATTGACTGTGAAAGTTTACAAAAGACTGAACGTGCTCTGCAGGACCTAAGAGGTAAATTTGCGCTGAAAAGTTACTACTGCATGTCAGTGATGTCGAAATCATGTCATTGTCTTTAATGTAAAAATCCTCTTTCTTGAAGAAATTTTGGATAGATACCAAGAACAACCGCATTTATTAGATCCTCATCTTGGTAAGATTATCAGTATTTGAATGAATTCTTACTCGTGTTTAATTGATCTAACTAAACATTAAATATCTAAAGCTTGTTTTTAAGATTCGTTCATAAGCCAGTTACTCATCGCTGCCCAGGATTCATCGAACACAATAGCGTCTTCTCAAGCATTCAAATATTTGTATTTATTTACAAAGGTTTGCCTTTTTAGCTCCTAACACTTATTCAACATTGAAAAATATTCATGTTGTTTAAAATTCGAGGCAGTGATGAAAAATTTTGTCATAACATGTAGGTACGTGGTCACAAATATATTGTCCGACTATTTCCTCATGAAGTTAAAGATGTCGAGTCAGTTCTAGCTTTATTACAGAAACAAAATCCATCAGATCACAGCGTAAGGTTTCTTCTTAATACTCTCATTTGAAAATGTTTTTTAACATGTTGTGATATGAAGGCGATGGGTATAACGAGAGATATGGCGAGAGATGGAGACGTTTGGCGTAGAAAAATTCATGGACTGGTCAACCCCCCTGGCGGGGATTAATACTGGCCGGTATACAAATGTTGTTTGTTGTGTTTGTTTGTTTATTTCAATAGACCTGGGAAGCCAGATACATATTGTTGTTATGGCTATCCATTGTATGTATGGTGCCATTTGATATGACTAAATTTGATGGAGGTAAATCTGCGGATAAGGATTGCAAATCCATCACTGAGAGAATTATAGATGTTGCAAAGGTATTGAAGTTATTGAGAAATGAAATATATGTAGAGAAAGTTTGCCTAGAAATTAATCCTTATTTCTGGCGTCAAAAATATCCATCCTTATCCCTAGGTGTATCTTAATGTTGCTGATAAATGTCAAGATGCAGCTGCACTAGTGATAGCAAAGTGAGAACTTCATGTAAGAGTATCTGAAGATTGTGCAATCTTTCACTATGAGAAACTTCATTTAAGATTTGTAACAAGACCTGATGTAAAGATACATTACCTTCCCGAGTTTTTGTCATGGTGCCTTAAAGATCTACCACTAATTGATGGTGACTACGGAATGGTGGATATCTAATTTATTTTCTCTGTCTTCACAAAATCTATCTTAATAACCATTGCAGGAACCTCCCAAAATGGCATTAATTTAATGACAGGAATTTTAAGCACATTGGCTTTGGTCTTCAAGCATGGAAGAAGAGAAGACTTGAAGCTTCATGGTAATTTTCACATGTCCCATTTTGTTGTTTGTTGATTTTACTTTAAAAAAGACAATCTTGGTTACTTTACAAATATCATTGTTTTAGCGAGAAGTGTTCACGAGGTCATCAATTCTTGTGATATTCTCAATATGAAGAACAGTTTATTGAGAAAGCTTTACATCAAGTTAATTCAAGTGTGTCTAATCATGCCATCATTCACGTTTTTTGCAAAGTTCAACTTAATATTTTTGTGGTTTGTATTGTGGTGTTGTAGCGTCTTGGTCTGACATTTCTCAAGCCACGACTTGCTTCATGGAGGTATTAATTTTTCATATACATATTTAGTGAAATTGTTGTGCAAGATCCTGCTTTGAATCCTTACATGATCCTAAATAGCATTGATCTTAACTGCATTCATACAGGATCATACATGATCGTACAGGATCATACATGATCTGAGTTATACGATTTTGTTGGATCTTATGCGATCCTTCATTATCATACAGGATCATACATGATCTTGGTTATAAGATTTTGTTGGATCTTATGCGATCCTTCATTATCATACAAGATCACACAGGATAATACATGATCTTGGTTATACAATTTTGTTGGATCTTATGCAATCCTTCGTTATCATACAGGATCTTGTTTACATAATTTTGTAGAATAATACAGGATCCACAACTCAGAATTTTCTAAAGGGGTTGTGAATGTCACAAACATTGAATTTATTAACAAAAATATTGTCATCTTTGTGTTTTAACGAATGAAGATGTCATTGCATTAGTAGAAGGATTTTTATGGTCAATTTATTTACAGATGTGCTGAAATATCTCCATGTGAAGTGTTATTTTGTACATCCCTAAATTTTATGTACATGTAGGTACAAGAGGGGAACAAGATCATTGATCCACAATCTTGTCAAATCTGATCAGGTAGCCGCCTTTTTATAAGATCTGTTATGAAAAGCGGTTTGAAAGCTTGGTGGTTAAACATTTGATATTTTTTTATAGTTTGGGACGGTTATAACGGAAAAACAAAGTTTTCCCACGAAGGACGATGTAAGAGCATTCTTAAAGATGATATGAAAAAAGCACGTAACATATTTCACGCAAAATGATAAATCTATTCTACTTTTTAGGAGTACGAACAAACAATTGATGTTCTTGAAGATATCGAGGAAATTATTGGTATTAAACTATCTCCAGTTTAACGCAATAAGCTTCGTTTTACAATTATATGTTTTACTTTAATTCTTTCCGATGAAAAACACAGATTGCTTTGATTTATTTATGACTGTGTTTAATAACTGTTAGTTCTTTTAGTGAATTTGGTTTACCGTTGCGTGTTTTTCTCTTTATCATCCCTACGGACTGTATTTCATCTCCATAAAGTAAATGGTTTGAACCCGGGAGTATCGTTACATGTTTGTAAATGTAGATCGTCCAGGTTGGTATAGTCCTGAGAAGGACTGTTTTTAATGTTGTTGACTGACGTTTCGACAACCTTAGCGGTAGTCATTTTCAGACTCTAAAGATGACATTTTGATGAAGATGACATTTGACTCTGAAGATGACTACCGCTAAGGTTGTCGAAACGTCAGTCAACAACAACAAAACAGTCCTTCTCAGGACTATACCAACCTGGACGATCTACATTTACAAACATGTATTTCATCTCCATTACGCAAAGAGTGTTATTTATTTTTGTTCTTATTAGGGACTTTGCTAGCTGGTTTGAAGGAAATAGATACAATTGTGAGATGGTCTGCGGCTAAAGGGTTAGCTTTCGTAACTTCTAGCTTGAGTAATGTCGTCTTCTCCTAAAAATTGTCTTCTTATCAGTGTTGGAAGAATAACAGGAAGACTTCCTAAGGATCTCGCTGATGATGTGACTACTGCCGTTCTTGAATTATTCAGGTTGAGCACTTGTCTTTACTGAGAATTTTTTTTGCATCGAACTGTTTTGTTTTCTGCACGGCTTTTGAAGGTATTTCTGGTTGATTTTTAGTTTTAATTTTTTGTAGTCCTCTGGAATCACACTGCGCTTGGCATGGAGGTACTTAGTGTTATACAGTTAAAGTATGAATCGCTGGAATATATAATACCGTCCGATGTTTATGCAGTATTTTTTGTAATTTTTTATTGAAGGATGTTTAGCCTTAGCTGAACTCGGTCGAAGAGGTTTGCTACTGCCTCGTCGTCTTTCGGAAGGTGAGCAATCTTTATATCACTATGATTTGATGGCGTTGCTAAACGTTACAGCGATGAAACGGAATACAACGTTCTTTTCAGTTATTCCCGTCGTCACTAAAGCGTTGTTGTACGATGAGAAAATAGGAGCAATAAGTGTTGGTATGAATGGAAAATAATTTATTGTATGTTTGCCCATCCACTGGAAATCAACAAAATAATTTCTTCATCACCTTAAATTATACATCATAATGAATAAGCTCAGATAATCAAAGTATTTTGTCGCTTTCACAACATTGCATTCCTAAAAGAAGTGAAAGATGTTTACTGTATTTTCACCAGCTTATGCATACCGTCTCCGAGGTGTTCCTAAGCAAGTGCAAACACGAAAAACATCTTCTATTAATTTCTTTTGTAAAATAACAATGTTAGACTAACCACGCCACATGTTTTATTGTTTTTCTTTTATAATTTAGGATCAAATGTAAGAGATTCAGCATGTTACGTATGTTGGTCGTTTGCTCGAGCTTATGATCCAAGTGAAATCAAACCGTATGTTGAAGATATTGCCAGGTAGGAGAAATGGTATAGCTTGTTATCCCTCTGTAACACTTGTTATCCATCCCTCTGTAACACTTGTTATCCATCCCTCTGTAACACTTGTTATCCATCCCTCTGTAACACTTGTTATCCCTCTGTAACACTTGTTATCCATCCCTCTGTAACACTTGTTATCCATCCCTCTGTAACACTTGTTATCCATCCCTAACACTTGTTATCCATCCCTCTGTAACACTTGTTATCCATCCCTCTGTAACACTTGTTATCCATCCCTCTGTAACACTTGTTATCCATCCCTCTGTAACACTTGTTATCCATTCCTCTGTACTTGTTATCCATCCCTCTGTAACACTAGTTATCCATCCCTCTGTAACACTTGTTATCCTTGTTATCCCTATGTAACACTTGTTATCCCTCTGTAACACTTGTTATCCCTCGGTTACATTGTTATACTATAGTAACGCTTGTTATCTCTCGATTACACTTGTTATCGCTCTGTAACACTGGTTATCATTTAACAATACTTGTGTCTTCTTCCAGAGCTCTGATGATAGCTACATTATTTGATCGCGATATAAACTGTCGGCGAGCGGCTTCGGTATGATTTTTTACTGATAATCTTTATCTTTCGTCGCTTACACACAAGCCGCTGACATATTTCTGCTCCCACGCACCGGATGCCCTAGCTGCATCATTTCAGCTCATTTTTTGTGGAAATATTGAACCAAACGAACAAAAAATTTGCTGCATATTTATTTTCACGGGACAGACAAAGTTTTGAAGCAAAGTTAATGGGAGAGTGGAGCTCCTCTTTAACGAGCAATTGAAAATAAATTTTCAACTTTATTCACCACTAGGCTGCTTTTCAAGAAAATGTTGGACGACAGGTAAACGGTTCGAGAACAAAATCCATATTATTTTTGTTGCGATGAAGACACACACTTCAATTTCGTCGTAACGACAGTAATGATCGATCTTTAGGGAACTCTTCCTCACGGTATAGATATATTGACAAAAACAGATTACTATGAAGTTGGTAAAAGAAAAAATGCGTATCTCAATTTAAGGTAATAACTACTACATTTCATTATGATTTGTGATTTAAAAATCATCGAAATATATGATGAATAATTTTTGTTTAGTGTTTATGTCTCTCAATATAAAGAATATCGCGAATCATTAATTGACCATTTGTACAAAATCAAACTGGGCCACTGGGATATGTAAGTGTTTAATAGTGAATTTTTGCCATGATTATTCTATCTTTCCTTCGCCTTTACGTTTGTGAATATCTAGTCTTAGTTACGCACGTATTTAATTCCTTTTTAGCGCCATAAGAGAACTTGTTTCTAAAGCTTTATTTAATCTTACTCCTCAAGATCCACTTGTAATGACTCGTAAAGGTTTGGTATCCTGTCATCCGTTTACGTCATATTTTTACTAACATTACGTCATACTTTTTTACTAACATTACGTCATATTTTTTACTAACATTACGTCATACTTTTTACTAACATTACGTCATATTTTTTACTAACATTACGTCATACTTTTTACTAACATTACGTCACAGTTTTTACCAACATTACGTCATACTTTTTTACTAACATTACGTCATACTTTTTACTGACATTACGTCATACTTTTATTAAATTTCTTCCATTATCTTAGTTCTGCCATCAATCCTACAACAAATCCTCGATTTTGATATCCACGTGAGACACGGGAGTATTTTGTGTGCTGCCGAGCTCACGCATGCTCTGTACGGCTATGCTTTAAACAGCAACAGGTTGGTGCATTGTGGGATATACACAAAAAAGACAAAAATTTTTGCGGCTTGTTAAGATATGTATTTTTTACGGTACTTTGGAGATCTGTTACATGTAAGTCGACCGATTTTAATTTCTTATTTTTAACTAGAGCTCTACTGGCTTAAAATATTATAAGTTTATAAGTAATATATTTTTGGAAGCACAAGAAATTAAAAAAGTGAAAACTGCCTCTTCATAATCTTAAAAATATTTTCCAATGATCCCATGGTTTGTCACATTTCCATCCTTGTACGATCAACACCATTGTAGTCCTTCATCTTTGTGTTGCGATTGATATGCATGTTGTTTACAGGACCTTAATGGATATATTGGGTCATGATTGTCATTATGAATTGGAGAGTATGATTTCAAAGGTTGGAAGAATACGATCAAATATTTCCAGTGTAATGTTCGTGTTTCCACTATGAAGTTGATGTTTCCACTATGAAATTGATGTTTCCCTTGTTTCGTTTTGTTTTCTTAGCTTACAGACTCGAACTTCTTTAGGTAATGTTCGCAATAGAATTGAAATATTCAAAAGTCACTTGTATTTCATGTTATCTATAATACTATAACTTTGATTTTTATTACAGAGGACATGGCGGTGAATTATTGAGACCAGCTGGTATGATACTTCATGTTAAACAAAGTATTTTGTACATCTTGCTTTGACTGTTTTTTTGTCTCTTACTTAGCGTGTCTTTTTATCCAAAAAATGTCTTTGTCGAAATTTAAATGCACGAATCCACAAACTGTTGGTAAGAAAGTGGTTTTTTACAGCGACATGGTATTTTAAAATGACTAAATTTTCATTTTTGTCTTTTGTTAGGTATTTGGCGAAACACGATTGATGAAAACATCAACGGTTCACAAAGAACAACTCAAGTTAGTGGCTAAGCGAGTAAAGTGTCTTTAAATTCTTCTTTAAGAGACAGGATTTTAACTGATTTTAGGAGAAAGCAGTTGCCGCTCTTCGACATTTTACGGAAAATTTTTATCAACTACCAGATGGTACAGCCGATGAAAATGCACAAGGTTAGCTTTCCACGTTAATCTTTCATCATCCTCCGATGTTCCTTACGATTTTCCTCACATTATCCTCCGATGTTCCTTATGATTTTCCTTTCATTATCCTCCGATGTTCCTTATGATTTTTCTTTCATTATCCTCCGATGTTCCTTATGATTTTTCTCATTATCCTCCGATGTTCCTTATGATTTTCTTTCATTATCCTCCGATGTTCCTTATGATTTTTCTTTCATTATCCTCCGATGTTCCTTATGATTTTTCTTTCATTATCCTTCGATGTTCCTTATGATTTTCCCCACAATATCCTCCGATGTTCCTTATGATTTTTCCCACAATATCCTCCTATGTTTCTTATGATTTTTCTTTCATTATCCTTCGATGTTCCATACGATTTTTCTCACATTATCCTCCGATGTTCCTTATGATTTTTCTCACATTATCCTCCGATGTTCCTTATCACAATTCATCTCACAATATCCTCTGATGTTTCTTATGATTTTTCTCACTTCATCCTCCGATGTTCCCTATGATTATTTATTTAGAATCGTTGATCAGCACGTATGTGGAGAAATTAAAACATTCATCAGGAACGACAAGGTTTTTTTGAAATTACAGGAATTGTTTTTAAACCATACAAACGTTTTCGTCATATTTCTCCGGTTTATTCATTGCTTTTCTTCCAGGAAGGATTCTCTTTGGCGCTAGGAGTACTACCAAGATTTATGTTGAAAGGCTGTCTTTTAAAGGTTTTCTATTTTTGAAATCTTAGGGGCGGATTACATGAGCCCTGTAGCCGGGATTCGGCGAAGCGTTAAATCATTTTGGTAAATGGAAAAGATTGAATAATTCACAACAAAAAACTTATTTGAGCAATTTCTCTATGCTCTGACTTTTCAAATTCACACAACCTTCAAAACGAAAACAAATAATTTAGGCTGATTTGAAAATTACTACTGAAATGGCTTATGACGCTTAAGAAAAGGTTGTAAGTTTTGCGCTTGAAGTTTTTACTCCTTTCGAAGGCTCAAAATCATTTCACGCCTTGCTGAATCCCGGTTACCAGGCTCGTGTGAACAGCCATTAATATGAGTAAAATGTTGTATGACTTTACATTGACTGACAGAATTTAAACTTTGATGTCAGGTGCTTGATGCTTTACTACAAGTTAGTGAAATAGTTGAAAAAGATCCTGGAAAATTTGCTCAATCTAGAGCGGACGCTCTTCATTCGCTCGCAAGGTAAAGTACTTAGTCGTCTTATTTTCTCCTCCTCTCGTGTCCCTTCTTTGGCACAACCTTACCAACACTTGTGAGTTAGTTGATACAATTTTTATAAACAATGCTGGTTTAGTATTTTACAGACAGTTGGTATAGCAAAAAATGGAGATGCAAATCATGTTATTAATGAAACCACGTTGGCAAGATTTTATGAATGTTGTTTTAATTCGATGAAAGACTACACAATTGATAGCAGAGGGACGTTGGTTCATGGTAATATGATTTTATCAATATTGAAGTTTCCATTAGAGATATTTTATGATGTACTAGTATCATACAAGTGAATGGCTTTTCTTCAATTGAGCAACATTTCCAAGTGTTTAAATCAGGCTATCCAAACACTGTAACATCATTGAGTTAAGTTTTTATAAAATAACATCAAATCGTACACATTCTCAAACATGTTTAGTCGGCCTTATCCAAACACTGGTATTGACCAATCAGATCACGCGTTACATATATATATATATATATAAGTTTGAAAATTTGTAATCCAGGCATTGAATATGCTCATTCTGATCTCAAACAACGAGTCGAAAGCTCAATAAACAATCATTTAAAATCGGAGAAACGTTTTATATATATATATATATATATATTTACATTTATATTTCTTTAGGTGTCGTAAAGCTGCAATGACATGTCTTCTTAAACTCACTTTACTTGTTGTACAAACAAATCCGGAACTTTTAACAAAAGAAACGTTAGTATACAACTAGTGTACCTTAAATATCCCTTCGTACTCCTATAATACACCCTGTTTTGCTCACATATTCATATCCATGTATGAAGATGCGCTCGAATGATGTGTTACCTGCTGAAACAATGTTGCGAGAAGATCGACGACACGCGGGCTCATGCTGGTCACGTGATGTTGACGCTGATTCACAATGAAACGTAACTGGAGATTTTTGAATCTGTTGATAAAACTTACAAATTGTGGTCACGGTGTTTTTGGAAATGTTTTGTTTTCATCCCAATATCCTTGTCTTTTGTGTCGTGTTTTTTTTCTTATCTTCTTCGCATTTTATTTCAGACCGAAAATTCCTCATATCAGTGAACACATGTTGTTATGTGATATATTTCCAAGGTGGACCTTTTCATTACAGAAAAATCCTTGAAAAAAGCTTTTTGATTATTTTTTTTCCGCTTCAAGATCGAGTTATTGTGATTTCTCCTCAGGGAAGACTGCGAAAATCTTAACTGGAGTGCTGCTGGCGAAGTTTTCCAGAAGATTTCCAAACTTTTGGATATCCCCTGTTATCAATACTTCATCCTCAGTGGGATCATATTGAGTGCTGGTGGTCTGAGCGAGTCCTTGGTGAGTGTGCTGAGGGCTGGTTTTTTGTACAAAGATGTTTTAAGTAGAAATATGTTTAGGTTTTATTCAAATGACGTAAAAAAAGACAGCGTTTGTTTGAAACTTCGCAGTATGCTTTAAACCAGGGGTCTCCAAACTACGGCCCGCGGGCCAGATGCGGCTCGTTGTGCCTCTCAATCCGGCCCGTAGAGACATTTAAGGAAAAAAAAATATTAAACAAAATAAACTTTGTGCAAAAATTTCACGTTATGACGCAAGCCAACTTGCAAGAGTGGCTTACATCAATTTTTTTCCCAACTTCCTACTTCCGTTTCAAGCGCATTGCGAAATTTAAAAAGCTGAAGGATAACGTGGAAATTTTTTATATTTCAATGCTTCATAATGAAAGTTCATGTGGCCCTCTGGCTGTAAAGTTTGGAGACCCCTGCTTAAAACCGTTGCTTACTGATGTCGACGATATATTTTTCAATAACTTTCTAGATACGTCAAGGAAGGCAGTCTTTGGAAAGCTTTCTAGAAAGGTTAAGCCGGCAAACAGTAAAGGATTGTAGTATTATTGTTTAGTATTCCTTTTTTCTAACTTAATGTAAGTTTCATTTTTCTTTAGTGATGCAAGACTCGTAATATTTGCAGAGAATATTTTAAAACTGTTCAAGGAATACGAAAAGAACGATAGGTAGAGCTTGATGATTTTGTGTTTCGTCGCAGATTTTATGCTGAATTTGTTTCAAAATTTGGAATTGGCGTCAAAATTGAATGTTGTTTGTGATTTTAGAGTCATTATTCCTTTATTCAAAGTACTCGATCATCTTCTTTCCATTGGAAGTCTCGCTTTCTTATCGCAAACGGAAAGGTCTGTGATTAATTTTGATATATTCATCCAAAGTCATATTCTTGTAATGATCACAGTTCTCTAGATTATTGAACCTTTTTGCTGCTTACAAACTTTGTGCTGCTTACAAACTTTGTCCTGCTTACAAACTTTGTGCTGCTTATAAACTTTGTTTAGTAATCACATCCCCGAAAAATTTTTTGAATTGACTCAAAGTGAGATTACGAAGATTTCTGATGCCAGAAAGATCATTATTAGCATAAATGTGTCATGTGACCACCTTTATCACCTGAATCACCTGACGTTATCATCTGACCATTTTATCACCTGACTACTTACATTTGTCACCTGACCACCTACATTATCACCTGACCACCTACATTATCACCTACCATTATCACCTGACCACCTACATTATCACTGACCACCTACATTATCACCTGACCACCTACATTATTACCTGACCACCTACATTATCACCTGACCACAACCTACATTATCACCTGACTACCTACATTATCATCTGACCATTTATCACCTGCACCTGACCACCATTATCACCTGACCACCTACATTATCATGACCTGCCTACATTATCACCTGACCACCTACATTATCATCAGACCACCTACATTATCATCTGACCTGACCACCTACATTATCACCTGTACACCTGACCACCTACATTATCATTTGACCACCTACATTATCACCTGACCACCTACATTATCGAGATCATATGTTCTGCCAAAGTTTTATGCATGTTTTATTACTCTGTATGACTCACGTTAAATGTTTTCGTTTCTTAAATAGAAATGATAAACTTTATTTTTGTACTTTTTTTATTCTATATTCATAGCTTCAGTGGTCTACTACAGTTTCCTGGTAATGCACGACAGCGAGCTTTGAAACGTCTTCTTATTTTTCTATGTCACAAATATCCAAGGGTAAGTTTGAAAATGACAAATGCCTGTATTCTCAAGGCAAAAGCTCGCTCGCACTCATTGAGTGAGATACAGAAATCGTGCTCTCACTAATCAATGGCAAACTCTTTTTTCATCAATGGTATTTGCCGAGATTTTTCTTAAAATATTTCAAATGAACAAATCAGTGCAGTGAAAATACCGTCATGAAATGTTTCTGACGTGATTTTAAAGCCGCGCGCACTCATTAAGTGTATTTTAAGGCGAATGTACATATAATACATGTGTTCTTGAAATCTGTTCTTACGAGGTTTTACTATTGCATATTATGATACATTAGGTACGCAAAACTGCTGCCGACTCTCTGTACATGGCTTTAATAACATATGATGACATCATTGATGACGATAAACAAGATGAAGTATTTCAAATACTTAGTGAAGCCCAATGGTATACATACACGATGTTTGTTTGTGTTCAATATTAGTAAAACGGATTCCATTTTTATTGTTTCATAATCTAGGGAGGACGATGATATCAATGATATACGAGCACAAAGAAATAGTTTATGTCATCTTCTTGATGTTCCTGTTCCCGTTATGAAGGTGCGATTGATTACGTATGTTGTTCAGTTGCAGACTAGATTACACTATTATACCTATGTTGATTGCAAAGAAGCGGCGCGAGGATCTGGGAACGAGAACGAGGCCTCTTTTTAGTCTCTTACAGTTTGTATTGTAAGGTCTTTATATGGGAGACTAGCAATGCTGCAGAACTAAATTTATCAGATGGGGGCTGTCTTGACGAAGCTGAAGCCATGAAATTATGAAAAATGACCCATTTCAAAGGTAGAAGGGGCTCCTCCCCAAGCGCCCCACTTCTACAGCACTGGAGACTAGAGAGATATAGCAGCGTGCGTACCACTTAATGAAGTACTTTTTCTTGGCGTCAATAAATTTTGTCATTCTAAAGTATATGTGTGATGAGGTGTATGTTCGTAAGAAGTTATGAACTCCCCTACGCAGGACCTGGCTTTTAACCCTGTCTCACGGGCCACGCAATATCGATAATTGAGTGCGGGGCATATTCATATAATCGCATGTTTTATTTCGTGTCAATCCATCACCACAATTGATTTCAATAGAAGCTACTCAAGTAGAATATGCACATATGAATATTCCCCCCCTCCTCTCAATTATCGACCTTACGCTGTCCCTGTGTCTATACCTGACTATTCAATAACGTAATTATGTATAAGCAAGGAGGCATTCTATATTAATTTAATAGTTCACATCAAAAGGAAAAGCCAAGAAAGATTCGTCCGCCAACAATGATCCTCTCTCCAGTTATAAAGGTAAATGAAGACTTTTTCTTCAATTTTTAAGGCACTTAGGGTAAAAAAATTCTCACAAATTGTTATTTTTAGATCTAGTCAGCAGAGTTGATTATTAACAACGTCGCGTTTTCATGTTTTTTCCCGACACTTTTGTAAAAGGTATTTATTCTTATTGTTATTTGAAGGTAAATTAATTAAAATTATTACATAATCCTCAATCATAGAATTATTTTCTACAAAAGCACATTTTGTACAGTGGTTTAGTCAGCCCACTTAATCCTGCCATTCAATTTTTTGCTCCAGTTCAACTCAATGAAAATCAATAGATTTTTTAAGAAAAGAATAATGGTGACTTTCTAAAGTTTTAAATAACACGACTAAAACTTATTGGTTGAATATGCCACTGCTTGTCAGTGCTGCCACTTGTAGGGGAAATCCCCTACTGTAGGGGGATTTAGATGGTCGTAGGGGGAGGTAGGGGGGAAATAAGTTTTGGTAGAGGAAATGTGCATATACGGAGTGGCAGCACTGCTGTTTGTTTACATTCTGTGGACTTTTGAATCTTTCCATGCCTCCATATTTCCTTGTAAAAGTGCAGCATATGCCATATCATAGATTTCTTCAGGTGTGAAACCCACAACTACTGTCTTCTTGACATTAATTCCATGTCTTGCTGCGAGTATTTTCACCTTTTCTTTTATTTCATTTGGTTTGGCATACTTAAAGTCTGAAATATCACCCTTATTCATCTCCTAAATTGTACAAAACATGAGCATGAAAGAGGTATTTCTTTTGTTGATTTTTGAATCTTCTTACCTCACTCCAACCAAATGCTTCGACATTGCAAGCAATTTCTATGGCTCCTTCATGCCTAAATGCCATTGTTTGTACTCCTTTTAAACCCCCAGAGCTTGTTCCACGGACAGCCTGAGCAATTTCATGACCTATTGCCAAATTTTTTGTTTCCATAGTAACATTACAATTCATTACATATGGACTTGCACCTATCCCAGTCAATCCATACCGTGATGTTGGTGGTTGACCATGATCATAGTTCAAATTATCCCACTTTAAACCCTGTTTACCCTTATACCAGCTTACTTCTTTTCTACGCTCAACTAATCCTCTTAGATTTGGCCTGTCTGCATAACCAAACCAAAAAATGCTAGTTCCCGGGACTTCATCCACTAACCGGTTTCCAATCTTCCGAGCAATCTCGCCACATCGGCTCAGTGATACCGAAGGTATTAATGGATAAATGGGTATAAGGTCAACAGATCCTAACCTCGGGTGCTCTCCTTCATGAAGTTTCAAGTTGATGTGATTATATGCTTCCTTGCAAGCATTTATGACAGAATTTTGGATTTGGTCCAATGTTGCAACTATTGTCAACACAGATCTATTGTAGTCATTGTCCGAGAAGATGTTTAATACCGTAGATTGACATTTGAACTCTCCCACGTATGGTGATTTATTGCCTATACCAGCAGCCTTTGCAACTTTTTCAATTACATGGTGTTGGCGACCCTCGGATATGTTAAGCAAACACACAGCAAGCTGTGACATCATTTGGAAAAAATGACAACTGACCTCTTTTAAATTCGTTGAATTTATATAAATTAATGATTTACTACAGATGAAGACTATAAGACTTTGAGTACACCATTGCCTGAGAAGGATGTTCATGAAAGACTGGGACGAGGAAGGATTTTGACAATGTGAAACGTCGGTACTAAATAGTCAGCGGTCGTACATCTACATTTGTTATAATTTAGCGTTCATTTTTGTTTTAAAAAGCAATTTTCTTCAAACCTCTTTCGACATTGAGGATGATTATTTTGCCAATTCATTAACATGTGTGATGCTATTGCGGTTCAATGATGACTTCAATTCGCTTGAAGCTAATGTTTGAGCGTCTGTCTGTGAACACAGCTCAACAATGTTGGATGTTAGTGGACTTGAACACGTGTAAATATGTACGAGATCTTGAATATGTTATTGTGAAGAAATTCTTTGATTGCAAAGATACTGTGGTGAATTTATACTTGGAGGATTTCCTTCTACCATCATTGGAAAAAATTAATGTAATAAGAGAAAATGATGTGATAAGGTAAAAAATCAAAACTAGTATTTTACTTAATCATAACTTTTCGTTGTCACTTGTCATCGTTGAAATGTTGAAAAAAACTGTGAGTTCTGAAACGATAGCCTACCTAGATATGCTGCTGTGTTGTCGTTGTTAATTTTTATAATCAACTTGTTTACTCACAAATTGTTCAGTTGAAACTTTGTGTAATTGTACGAAAAGTGATTTTTTGACCCGATACAGTGTAACAGTGAGTGCATGGCTTTAGTAAAAATGACAGAAACATCAATATTCACATTTATGTATGAGCAAAATAATACTAAAGCACACTTGGACTTGCCACAAAGTCATGCCAATAAAAAATTAAATGTCCAAATCAAAGTTTTGCTTGTAATGTGTGGTTATTCCCTGCAAGTGAAAGGCAGCAAAAATACATCAAAGATTTAATGTTCTACATTGTTCATTTTTTATGTTACAGAGTTGTAGAGGAAAATATTCGTTTGTCTCCTAAGAAAGAAAAGAAAAAAAGTTGTTTGTGAGTTTCCTATTTTGCTCATTGATTGATTAGTTAATTTGCATTTATATTGAATATGATAAAGAAATAAGATAAACTATTGTAAAAAACTGATTGTAGAACTTTATTTTATGACCTTGACAACTGGAGCTGATTTCAGTGGGGGGGATGACAACTGGAGCTGATTTCAGTGGGGGGGGAATGACAACTGGAGCTGATTTCAGTGGGGGATGACAACTGGAACTGATTTCAGTGGGGGATGACAACTGGAACTGATTTCAGTGGGGGATGACAACTGGAGCTGATTTCAGGGGTGTACAACTGGCTTTGGGATGTTACCAGTATGCCCACTTGTGCATGAAACTTTTTCATGTTATTTGTACGGTGGTTGTGGTACACGAAGATGATTTGAAATGTTCAAAATTTTTAGTTCTTCAAGTGAATGATTTTGGTTCCATTTCATTCATTGATTTGTTCCACGAGTTTTTGCTCCTTTTCTTTCTTTTTTAAGTTTCATCCAGTTATTGCTTACAATACAATAGAATGATCAACATCATTGCTTGTAACCTGAGCTACTTTGTTTTGTGGTTTTTGTAAATGTTTTAATGCGTTTCTCCAAACGAGTATTCAATATCATTATTCCTTGCAGTAATCAAAATATGTGAGAAGAATAGCATTATTCAACAAAAAGAATGATAGCATAATGCTATAACCAACAACTACAAACAATAATGACCATATAGAATTATGCTATCATTCTTTTTGTTTAATAACATTCCAACTATTTAATTTTATGATAATAGCATTATTTATTGAAAAAAAATGTTTGTGTATAAGCAAAATCTTTTAAATACTATAGAACTGAAAGTCCATTTTTTTGCACACTTAATCCAACTTTTGTTGTTGTTTTATGTATTTATTATAAAATCTCTAGCTAAGTATGTGCATTAAACAGTTTTTCAGTGTATATTATGAAGTCTATAAACCATTCTGTTAATCCCATTGGAAGCCAGCCATTTTCTAAGGTTATCCAAAACAGAATTTGCTGCAGTTTTGAAAAAAGCGAAAGAATTTCTTGAAACTGCCAGGGTGGTGTAGTCTGCAAATTGTCTATGCTTAGATTTATCAAGGCATTGAGGCAACTCGTTAATATACAAAAAAAAAAGAATTGTAGTGCATAATTTCCTTACCATTGTTTTCAAGAAAAAGAAAGAATGACAAGGACTCAAATAATCAAGCTAAAAAAGCAAAAAAGTCATCAGTTGGCTCGGAGAATGGTGTAAACAATGCCCAACAACACTCAAACGTCGCCAAAAATTTGTTGACTAATGAGATTTGTAATAAAAAAAGTAAGAATGTTGATAATTCCACCAAAGATAGCGCTAAAGGCAGTGTTGTTGTCAAGCAAAACAAGGAAAAAGCAAAAAAGAGAAAGAAGAAAGTTGGTAATAAAACTATTGCAGAGAAAATCAATGGTTTCTGGAGTAATTTGGTGTCTATTGGAAATCATCAAAATTCAAACAGTACTGAGAATATAGGTGAAGATTTGCCAATCATAAAACCCACCGGTAATATTGCAAATGTGAATGGAACACAGGGGGGGGATGATGAATTCAATAAGAGAAGAAAGAAAAATCTCGAAATGATAATATTTTATCGTCAAAAGAAAATTCTAAGAGAAAAAATCATTGTAATGATGTAAATAGTTCATCATCAAAGACAAATCAAGGAAATCACATCAGATTTAATGATGATGAGAATGATGAAGAAGCCATATCGTCTGTTGATGAAACATCAGTCAACAACCCTATTTTACCCTTAATTCATCCGCGTGTCCTATCCATAAGAGGAGACGAAATTCCCACATCAAAAAAGAGCCTTGACATATCTCCTATCACAGATAAACATGCATCCACTGCTGCTGATTTCAACACGGTTTGTGAGAGAAATGCACATAGGAAAAAGGAGAGTAAACGAAAGGACTCGTACACAAACAAAAGTATTGTTTTGGAGAGTACAAGAGTTGAAAAAGACCTTGAAGTTGAAAGAATACCACTGCAGGTTGCCGTACAGTGTTTTGGATCTAAGAAGTGAATTTTTGGATCGCATATCTCGATTAAAATTTACTTTGCTTTGCAGAGTACGACAACGGCTGAGAATAGAGAAAAGGACTTTACAATACATCCGCTTTTACAAGGACCGCCAAGAGTTGGTGATTTTGTTGCTTATAAGGTGCGAACGTATTTTTATTTAATTAATTGTTCGTCTGAAGTTATAGAATTTGTATTGACTTTAAAAGATAAAGATATTTTGAATACACAAAATCAAGACTATCATGTTGAAATAGGTTAATAATGATTGAATGGCAAACAGTTTACAAAAATGATAAGTGCCGTATTTGCGTTTTAGATGATAGAACTTTCACAAAGTTATACACCTGAGGTATCCAAATACAAGGTATCTTTTGGTTTAACAACAAACTTTTTCAACATTAACATATGATAGCTGAAACTTAAAAGCTTCTTTCTTTCTAAAATTTAGCAAGGAAAAGTATTATCCTATGATTCTATGACCAACCAGTTAAAACTGAAACTAACGAAAGATTCTCTTGAGAAACCAAGAGGTAAAAACCACATATTTTGTTATGTTGCAAAAGTAAGACTGTATTTCTGTTGTTGATGTTTGCAATGAATAGCGAACAAGACTAGTCTCATGTTTATCATTTTTATTATTTTAAAGGTGATGGCCACATTAGTTATAAGTTCGAAATTTTTGAAAACGACGAAGAGGAAGTTTCAGACAAAGAAAAACAGGATGTCAACGACGAGGTAAGAAGAATCAAATTTTCCTGTCTCAAATTATGGTATTATTATTTTTTAATTTATTTGAGGTTGAAATCCAATGGACATCAATGATAGACCCTAGATTGATCTCAAACACTTAGATCAAATGTCCGAGTCATCGTTGACATTTTTGATGAAATACAATGAAGTTTTGCAGGGACGATGGCCGTGCTAAATGCAAAAATAATAACGACTTTATTATCAAAACAAGCACAAAAACAATTCACTATAGCGTCCAATACCATCAAAATTTTGTAAATGATTTTAACACGCTATATATATTGTTATAATTACTATTATATGATTAAATGATATTGAGCATAGACATTAAAAATCAAGTGATGTTAATTTACTTGCCTGTCGACTTCCTGTTTCGAGATAAAACTTTGAGCGATACATTTTCATGTAAATATTGCTGTAAATGTGTATTTAAATCTTTAGCTGTAGCTTTAACGTCAAAGGAATTTACTGAGCTTTATTTTTTCGATGTTTACCGATTATTTGGGCGCTAGAAATCTTTTTTTTTGATTTGATATAACTGTTCACGCAGGTTTTAATAAAACTTTGTAATGCTCTTCGATGGTGTTTGGCTTATATACTTTGGAAAATAACAATTCCCCATCGTTTGCATGTGTTTGAACTTATTGGGATTTTTTATTATTATTCCCTAGCAATTGTTATGAGTTGTTTTTTGTTAGCGTATTTCATGAATGGAAAGAATTTAAAACATTAAAAAAACGATGAAATTTTAAGGCGACGTTCATGAAATTGCTGACTTACTGTGACCTGCTGCTTCGCCTGTTCCCAGGCTTCTTCGCGCCGGCGCGCCATGTTTACCGTCAAAACATTATGTCCTCGAAAGATCCATTTACAGGGACTCTGACGGTTTCTCCTGAAAAGAACAACGTATATTCTCAAGTTCCTACCGAAAAGCCTTTTCATTACACGTAAGCATATGTTGTATTGGGAATGACTGCTTTCCCATGGCTAATTTACTTATGGCTTTCGTTTACTCCTGAAGGTACCTGAAAGAGTTTCGAGTTGATCAATGTCAACTGTTTCTTCAACACAAATGCACACAGCACAGGCCTTTCACTTGCTTTCATTGGCATTTTATGAACCAACGAAGACGTCGTCCAAAGAAAAAGAGAGATGGTGTGTTCAATTATAATCCAGACGTGTACTGTACGCAGTACGACGAGACGACTGGCATGTGTCCTGCAGGAGACGAGTAAGTTCGTATGTACTTGCACAAAGATAACTCGCAAAATAAGCTTTAAAACGGTCCGAAAAGAAAAAGAAAACATCCAGATAAGACTGCACTCTACTGAAAATAGCTTCGTCTTTTCTGCTTTTCAGTTGTCCGTATTTACATCGAGTTGCAGGCGACGTTGAGAGACGCTATCATCTACGTTACTACAAGACAGCGACTTGCGTGCATGAAACTGATTCTAGGGGATTTTGTGTTAAAAATGGACCACATTGTGCTTTTGCACATGGCCCTCATGATATAAGACAGCCTGTGTATGATGTGCGGGAACTACAGGCTATGGAAAGAGACGATACACCGAGCGAGTTGAGTTTACTGACAACAGACAGTAAAGTCCAACTTGAAGATCCAATATGGCAAGGTCGGCAAGTTTTTTAAAAATATCATTTTTATTTTCAAGAAATGGTTTGTACAAGTTTTCTTGATGTCAAAATTTTATAAGTGTATCATATCAAGGTCGGAGTTTTGACGAAATTATGCAATATAGTTTGTTATATGCTTATAGCTTGTCATCTATAAAGGTATTTGTTTGTTTTCATCAAAAATTCCAGCGCAACTGGTATTCTTGGTCAAAATATTTTTGCAACCATTTAAAATTGCGCTAGCTCTTTTCGCATTTCTCTACGTAGCTCAGCCCCATGCCATGAAAGTTTAAAGGCGAAATTTAAAGGTCTAACACGATAGGAAATGAGCTAAAAACCGGATATAACATCGAAATTATTTTGTTCGCTTGACTGTTCATGGTGGCAAAGTTGTCGGTCGTGCTTAAATCACTCGTAAATTGCTTGTTGCCCGAACAATAACGCCATTTATTTTTAATGAGTTTTTCTAAACGAATTGTCAACTTTTGATTTAGTATAATGGTGCTAACGGGTCCTTTAACAACAACTTTATTATATGCCCTTGTACTTTTAATATATGACGTTTTGACTGTGTTGTTGAAAGATCTCAGGACTGAACTTCGCTACGTATTGGCCAATGATTTGCCATTAAAGATAAAAAAAAATGTTTAAGATACCCTAATTCTTAATACCACAAAAATCATATCCTAAGAACTGTCTTCCTTGATCATTTGCCACAAACTTGAAATATTTTGGCACCTGTAGGTACAAATTATTTTTAGTATCTCAAACTTTAGAACTATTTTTCTTGACTATTCGCCACAAATTTAAACTATTTTGTTTCCTGTAGACACAAGTTATGTACTAGCTCATTACAAGACAGAACCATGCAAGAAACCCCTCGACTTTGTCGTCAAGGTTATGCCTGTCCGCATTTTCATAATCCTAGAGATTGTCGAAGGAGTCCACGAAAGTACCGATACAGGTTTTTCACAATTTATTCTAGAGACCGGTTTCTTAAGTATTTTATGGTTTATGGATGTGTTTGTTTTAGATCAACGCCATGTCCGAATGTAAACATGGTGATGAATGGGGAGATCCTGGAAACTGTGAAAATGGTGACAACTGTCAGTATTGTCATACTAGAACTGAGCAACAGTTTCATCCCGAGGTATCTCATAGTTCTTATGGGCATATTCACATAGATTGTTTCTAAACATGTTTGCCTTGATTCTTGCAGATCTATAAATCAACCAAATGCAATGATATGCAACAGACAGGTTATTGTCCAAGAGGACCTTTTTGTGCATTTGCCCATGTCGAACGTAAGTGATTATGAATTTTAAAACTTTTGCTGTGGTGTAAGTTCAGCTATGAATGTCACTGTGATTTCTCTTCCTTCTGCAGAGGAGTTTTCTGTTTTAAATGAAAATGGTTTTAACCAGGTAAAACATATCATTATTTTTTGATTTTCACCAATCTCACCAGGGTTATCTGTTTATTCACTGACAGTTTGGTCAAAACATATCTCAAGCAATTCCTGTTAGTCAAACTACACATGTGGCAGTTCCACCAGCAAAAACCTCCAGATCCTTGTCAATGTCCTCAAACTATTCAGGAGAGATATCATTGGCTGGGAGTTATCCTAAGGCACCTGGATCCGAACGATCTGAATCTAGAAGTGGTTCCAGAGAGGTTGATGACTTAGTGAGTATGACAACCTGAAAAGTTTTCTATGGGGATATTGGTGGTCTTTGGGGATATAGGTGGTCTTTGGGGATATTGGTGGTCTTTGGGATATTGGTGGTCTTTGGGGATATTGGTGGTCTTTGGGGATATTGGTGGTCTTTGGGGATATTGGTGGTCTTTGGGGATATTGGTGGTCTTTGGGGATATTGGTGGTCTTTGGGGATATTGGTGGTCTTTGGGGATATTGGTGGTCTTTGGGGATATTGGTGGTCTTTGGGGATATTGGTGGTCTTTGGGGATAGGATATTGGTGGTCTTTGGGGATATTGGTGGTCTTTGGAGGTATTGGTGGTCTTTGGGGGTATTGGTGGTCTTTGGGGATATTGGTGGTCTTTGGAGATATTGGTGGTCTTTGGGGATATTAGTGGTCTGATAACTAGTGAGAAGAGTATGTTTAAATGTTGACTGTGGGGGATATGGGAGTCTAATGACTAGTAACTTTAAAAGTTGGCTGTGGGTTTATTAGGGATCTTTGGGGATGTGTTGCCAAATGCTTTATGGATAATAATGTACCCTTCCCAGTTATCCAGCTTCGTTTACCTTCTTGTTGTTTCTCTAAATTTAGACTCAACTTAGAAGTAAAATTGCTGCAATCGAAAACGATCCTAATTTGGATGACTCTGAGAAGGCTCGCCGAAGACAGGTTTGTTTTGTCCAATCTTTTATCACTTCATCAACTTCACCTTCTTTCCCCACCAGTTCAGCGTTTTATTGTCGTCACTGTATTTTTACGTCGCATTTTTTTCATGGTGCGAAATACGTTTGAACTTTCATTCGCTGTAATCGTATTAGTTCATGTTAAAGCTTACATCGTAAAGCTAGTGGGACATCCGTTTCCTCATCCTGCACACGCATGCGCATAGTTGGTTGCAGTAAGAGCCTGAAGGAAACGCTCTTTGCATCGTTTTTCATAATGTAAAGTTAATGCAAGCCTTTCAATAATCTCAAAATAAACGCGTATTCAGCTTTTTCTTGTCACTTCTCCATTTTTAGTCTCTGCTGTCGGCAACTCGTGGTGCTTTATCGTCGTCATCATCGGCTGGATCAGTTCCTTCCACTCCAGTTTCATTGGTATCAGTGAGTGCAATCCCATTTTATCCAGCTGTTGACACAGTGGAGTCCGTAGTCGAGAAAGCGTTAGATGAACTACATTTCAATGACTTTGATGTCTCCGAGTTGGAGAAAGAATTAAACGGTGCGTATACGGAGTGATATGGTTGTGTGTTTTTTTTGCCACACTTCTGATATCCGTGTATAAATATACTAACGACTATCCAGGTACCGATGTCTTCTCGAATACATATCAAGGTTTATCTATCAATCCAATGGGTTGTACTCCTCCGTTGTCTATTCCTGGAAGTATCTCGGAGCCATCTCCACAGCACTCGTTCACTCCTCAATCACCGTGCTCTCCAAGAGACCAATTCTCTCCATTTTCAAAGGTCGTGAGTAATGCAGCAATCTTTGTATTTTCATTAATTTTGGTGCGAAATTTGACTGACACGTGCTTGAGTTATCGGGGGGGGGGACTACTTGCATTAATATCCGGAGGGTAAAGACTTTAGTTTTCATTCTAGACAAGCCATCCGTACCGTAGTAGCCCTACAATGAGGTCGTATCCTACAGGATTACTTGGTGAATCTTTTGGAAGTTCTTTCTCATCTCCTAAGCAACAACCCTCGCCACAACTCAACTCCCCGCTTGCGCACTCCGGCAGCCAGGCAGACATCGAAAAGCTGTCGCAACAGCTCGCATCTGCGCATGCGAAACTTGCGTCATGGGAACAGGCGTGGAGTCAAGCACGTCAAGCGTGCGAGGCCTGGAAAAAGGAAGCTGAGGATTCAGAAATTCGCGCGAAGAAAGTGGAACAAGAAAGATTAGAACTAGCTATTGAACTAGAAAAGGTAACATTTCAAAAATTTATTATTGTTGTCTTGAACAGTGGCGGATTACTAATTACAGGGCCTTTAGGCAAATACAAATTTGTTAAACTTTAACTCCGATATCTATTCTTCCCACTAAGATCAGTCTCTTGATGACCTTCGCGTTCCTGACGCTCCTTTGCTTTTGAATTCCCAAGTTTGTTTTTGTAACTCATAGTATCAACAATAAGGAATAAATTTAAAGTTGAAACTAGGAAAACGCACTACTTCATGAGTTTTGAGCGTCGTGCATTTGAACAGTGGATCGTACGGTTTTTAACAACATAATTGATCTACATTAAGAACATTAAAGTAGTCCGGAATGTCAAAAACTAAAAACTAATTATGTTTAGACACAACGGTCCTCTCAAAAGCACTAGCCTGTAGGGGTTCAGCCTATTTAGCCGACTGAGTAATCCGCCCCTGGTCTTGAAGGGGCTATTTCTGGTTGTTTATTTGTTAAACGCTGTTAAAATTCGTGCTTCTTTTGAAATAAGTACTCTTTACAACATTCAATTCATTATTCTTTAGGTAGCGTCTACTGGTAGAGATAACAGTGCTGTGACGGGGAAACTATCCTACCTTGATATTTTAACGAAATCAACAGAAGACATTAAAAAAGAGTCTCTCGTTGTACTCAAACAAATACAGCAACAGTTGCAAAAAGACTGTGAAAAAATAAATAGGGTAAGTTTTTATTTTGTTAACCTTGCCTTCCTATATAGAAATCAGATCACTTAAGTCACGGACTTCTTGAAATGTTGTGGCTTTTAATCCAGAAATTGTTGTTGTTTTTGGCGATAGCCGGTAGAGTCTCTAAAGTAATCGTCTTCTTGAAAGAAGCCGCACATTTTAAACACTTACTCAAGAATTGCGAAAGCAACCGCTCTCCTAAACTTAGTAGCTTCCTTTCCGAACAAGAAAGTGTTTTATCAAAATTGTTAAAATATGTACTATAACTACGCGCCACTTATAATGATGAACGCATTGAAAAATACCACTTATATTCCGTGGATTAAAAGGTAGCCAATGATCTAAATATGACACGAAAATATAAACGTCTTTTTAAACTAAGCACTCTCCCAAAGTAGTCGCTCCTTGAGGACGCTCTAAGTTTGAAAGTAGCGCAGTGGGTAATTTTGATACTCGGCGTTACTCTGGATTTATTAGTCAACTCTGTAAATGAAGGCTCAGCGTTTACCAATATTTTAACACTTATCTAAATGCTTATGGACATAGTAAGATCGATAATTGGGGGGGGGGACTGCATGTGAGCACTAGCCCCCCAATTATCAATCTTCCTACGCCCATCCATTTACTGGAATCGAGTTTCTTTATGAATGCTGATGATTTATAGATGATTATGATTTATATGATTTATCATATGATTTATGTCTTCTAGATAATATACTGTCGTGAGCGTTTCACATGCGTTGTTTGTCAGTTGCAAGAAATATGTGTGGTAACTACTTCATGTAATCATTGTGTTATGTGCGAGAACTGTTCTGTTTCTTTATCGGAGTGCCCGAAGTGCCATGCGCAAATTACACAAAAAATTAAAATTGATTTAGGATAGTAAGATGTTATAGACAGGGGTCTGATTTTGCTGTATTTGTTTACCATAAATCGTTACGATCTCATAGCTATTCAAACTTTTCAACTCTTTCCAATTTAAAACCTCCTTGTTGTTGTGTTATGAACAAACAAACAAATATGTAAAATCAGATCCCAATATATCATGTAATTTATTTCAAAAGATTCATATTAGTTGCTGTTTAAACAGATACAGTACCTGATATTATTGATAGGCGTATATATATATGTACGACTGGTGTCTAATTTTATTCGTTAATTCTTGGTGATGTAATTGCTGTTTAGATTCTTGATGTCCCGGGCCGAGTCCTTTCTCACTTTTAGCGTTTCTAATCTTAATGCTCGGGCTCATAATGTTAGGCTGTTGTTTTAAATAGTGCGTGGTTAGCTTGCTTTTTCAAAAAATGTTTCATTTGTTGTTGTGCGTATGGTGTTTTATGCGTTGAAAACTTGTTTTCGGAAAACTTAGTTGGATTGCTTTAGTATTCTCAAAATGCATTTTGTAATGCTGAATTTTTCACCATCAGACGTATTGTTGAAGTCAGTGAGAAAATGAGACGTTAAATAAGCTGAAACCAAGAAAAATCAATAGCTAGACGTTTTTTTGGAAATTGTCCTAGAATAGGAATTTTCGAAAATTTCATTGTCGCGATGTGATTTTGCTATAAATGTACATTACGTCGTCGTTTGACGTGGTGAATGGAATCTATTGCTTTCTGGTTCAGAAATATCAGTTTCCATTCACTAATTATTTCATCACCAAAGTTTTAGGCATCTTAATGTATAAGACTATAAAATTCCAGTTAATGATAAATAACGTAATTTATAAGGTTTAGTCGCTTAAATTTATACTCGTTTTAAGTTTTGTTGCTTTTGCAAAAGGTTGTACTGGTAGCTTTAAATTCTGTATACCATTTTATTAGTTTTCATAGCTTCAATTTTACGGGGTTGTTTCGCGAAGAAAAAACGTGTTTACTGTATATTCTATAGCAACAATAAACGAAGACTTTCTCAATCGAGAAAGCTGCTGAAAAGTAGGCAGTGTTTTTTAAACTTCACGAAATAACCCATTAAATTTTAGTCGTTCTTCACGAAGCGTGAATGTTGATGTGTAAATTGAACAGTTTGGAGATATGAAAAGAATTTGAGTCGTTTTGTAGATAGTTTATTTATTCTAAATGCGTTGTAATTTGTTCAAACAGCGCTTTGTAGTGTATGATTATTAGTAGAGAGATTTATTTCATTGTAAAATGTTTCTAGGTTACAATAAATTAAAGTATATTTCACTATATTTTGTATATACTTATATGAGAGGTGACAATTCTCCCCACCCCCCGGTAATATATCTGTTAGCCAATCAGAGCTCGAACAGCACTCATTAGGAGATTGACAACATGGCGAGAAAGACTAACCAAGTGTGATTTGTATATCGTCCTTCTGTCATTGGATTTTTTCGCATGTTTGTAAAACGAGGACTCCTTCTTTAAGAAAAATGAACATATGGCAGGCAAATATGAAATACCAACGAATTGAATAGCCTGACAGCATCGCTGGTTTGCGATAATTTGGAAGTGATGCAATTGAAAATTGAAATGACGTTTAGATTTTTAATGCGTCTTCGACTCCCATCATGTGAGTATTAAACTCGTTTACAATAAAAAGACTATAAAACTCGACAGTTGTTATTCATTGAGTATATTTCTGTAAATAATTGTCTAAATAATAGTAAACATGTATCGCACTGCGAGATTCATGTGGGTAATGCAAATTTTGAGTAACGTTATCTCAAATTTATTTTTTCAAGATAAACTGAGAAGTTTATCAAACAGAAGCCCTCCAGATCCGCCACCTCCTGAGCTATGTTGCATGAGTGGCTGTGCAAACTGTGTTTGGATTGAATATGCTAAGGAATTAAAAAAGTATAGCAAGGCTGGAGAATCTGACTTGCTTATTGATGAAGCACTCAGTAAAATTGAAGATCACAGCTTTCGTATGTTTATAAAATGGAAATTGATGGAATTTTATCTCAAACAAAAAATGGAGATGACTGAGGAAATAAATGGGTAAGTAGTTAGTAGAATTTATTTGTACTTTATCTTTATTATTATACATAAAATCAGCTATTAAATATTAAAGACTCTCATAAATTCCTAACTACATCTAGATATACGTTTTTGGATTATAAAATCATGCTATTGTAACCTGCCAACCGGATTGTCCGAAACAAATAGCAAAAAACAGTTTTTCAACTTCATTTTGCAAAGTCCAATCTAATGTAACTTCTTTATTGTCGACACTGACAGAAACACGTAATTTGTTAGGCATTGCAACCTTGTGTGCTTCAAATGACACTGCGTTCCACGTTTAAATGGTGGTAAACGTGTTGTCATGTCAATACCGTTCACATGAATGATTCCTTTTGAATTTAATCCCACACATTCAGGTCCTATCAATGCTTGTTTGTTATCTATTTTCCAATATTGTGTCACCAGACCAATAACATCACTTGCTGATTGCTCGCCCGTTTCTTCCACCATAAAACTTATTGTGTTACCAATGATATAGCTCATGGAACGAGAACGTAACACCCAAGAGCTTTCTGGGAAGACTTTAGTTGCTGTACGCCTGTCATTGCTCAGTTGATAAATGAAAATATTCTTCTCATTTTTACAATCTTTTAAGGACCATTCTATAAAATTGAAGTTGGTGTCATCTTTGGGCCATTAATATCAAGTACTTTTTACACAAAACAATGTCTCATTAACAAAACCTTACCGTGAGGCTCCAATGAAGTCACTCCATTCTTGCATGCACTCCATGGACCCCATTTTTCCTTGTTCCCAGACCTCCCACATACACGGAATGTGTAGGTGACATGGGGCTCTATGTCTTTGACAAGATAGGACATTTGTTCTCCTTGGTATATTGTGTTGAAAACATCATCCGTGTTGATCTTGTTGTCAGCTTGACAGTATTGTAACATGTACTCTTGTACAGCCGTGCTACCTTCTGTGTATGAATCACTTTCAACTAATGTCTAGTTAAGAAGAGAAAGATAAGATGTCACAAATATCCGGGGCAATTTGTGAATAATTGTTCTAAAGAATGGTGGACAGAAAAATCTATAGTTCTCTTCATGGCAGCATGCAGAGCGCTACTCCCAACAAAACTTAGCTCTTTATCACTTCAGTCATTTTGAAATAGGTGTGTACCTCATCCCATTGAACAAGAATGCCCCCAGCTTGTTCTTGAAGCTCGATGATTTGTAATGAGCCCAGCATTCGAACTTCACCAAGGCTTTGAATTGATTCAATGATATTATTCATTTCAGACTCTTCAACGTTCACAGATAGATTTTGTGCAACGCAAGGCATATCAGGGTAACTAGTATAAAAAAACATATCACGAAACACATCAAGCTAGCATGTTACTAAAGTAACTCTTCCATACCTTTTCTGTAGAGGTTGCAGTTTTTTCTTAATATCTTTCTCGTTTCTCATAACTATAACATCATCTTGTTCAAGTATTTCATGGGCTAAGAATACAGTTACTGGTATTAAAAAAAAATCCATGACGATTAATCATTTTAACTTTTTTCCTCCTAAAGAAGTACTAACATTGAAGGAATAGACTTAGAACCCAACCCCCTAACGGGATACTCATTTACCTGCATGCCCGACCTGAACCTTATTCCCAACCTGAACCTTATTCTTACTTATAACCTAGCCTGCTGATTATTGTTGGAAGTCTTTGTGTTGAGGTATTCTATAATTATGCAAGAATAGATCACCTTCAGTAATGCATCTCTTGGTTGTTGCTAAATCAGTGTCGAGCATTTTCTTTAGGTTGGTCATTGGTCCAAGATCTTCTGTTTCGATTTCTTTTATTGTTTCTAGTAGGTTAACCATTCTTGTCTCTAAAGCAGAAACAATCTCTTTCTTTGCCATTTTAAAATGATCTTCAATGACCTTTCTGGCATTCATGCTACTAGTCTTAACGCTACTGATGGCACTGTTCACATTCTGTATTTGCGAGCTGCAAAACAAATGAAGGAAAGATTTAATATTAGATTTGAATATTTCATTTTGTGTTCTTTCACACCTTATCTGTAAAACGGAATCCTCGAGCTTCTTGATGCAATCTTTCACGCTTTGCCGCAGTGCTGTTGTGGCATCCAAGGCTGCCATTGTATTGATCTGTGGAAGATTTTTTATCAACATACACAATAGTTGTATATACCACATTAATCAGTCAGACTGCTCACGTGTCAGTCAAATGATATCTGATTTTAATTACTTAAAACAGTAGGGACTTATTGAATACGTGTGCTGTGAAATATGTCAATTGCGCTAGGTCGCCGTCATGTGCAGCTTGGTTAAAAAGCAAAAAATATACAAATTTTCAAGCAAATAACATGGATATTTTACATCATCTGTCATTCTGCTGTCATTCATCTTACCTACGCGACGAAACAGAAAGTTCTGAGCAAATGTTTTTCTAATTAATTTCTAATAACGATACTTTAACTGCAATACTTTCACAAACGAAATGCGACAAAAAGTCGCGAAGCAGATGTTTTAGGAAAATTATTTCACAATAATCGCTCCATATTGGGCGTCTCGACTGTCGTACATCGAGAGCGTTTTATATATATATTTATTTATGTCAACAACTTTGAGTCAAGGTAGAATGACAAGAAAAAATAAGCACCATGTTTCTCTCCTACCTTATGATTTAATTGTTCCGTACAATGACGACAATTCTAGATCTATCGAGGCAAATAAATTAAACAACATTGTTAACATCAAGCGTAATTTCTTCCAATTGTGCGTTGATTTTCATCTCACCGGAAGTGGTCGATTCCAAGTGAGCGCAAGATGTCATATTGTCAGCGGTCATTTGTATGAAATATTTTTAGCGAAGTGCGTCGACTATTGGCCTCCCGACCTTCTATAGTGTTGAAACTAGTAAAATATTATTTGAGTCTTTTTTCCAATTTAGAAGCTTTAAAGAGTTTGATCCTTGCCAAGCTTGACATTCCGTATGTGTTTTACTTTTACAACGTTTTCTTCCATCCCCTGTAATTTGTTTCGTCTGCAAAATTTATGATTCGTCCGGAATGTAATAACGCTCTTTATGACCAAATGGAATGCGAACATGTGCTAAGCGCATAGCATGTCATACTAATTCATAATTTTTAATTGCAATTTGCAAAAACGAAAAACTCTAATTTGTACACTCATGACTTTATGCTTGTGTTTCAATTTATAAATTCCACATTCTTTATCATTTTGTCTGTCTCCCGCTTGGCTCAAATATATTATAAACAACTTGATTCAATTACGAATGCCATTTTGTGACGCAAAAGGTTTTAATCGTGTTTTTAAAAACACGACCATTGCATAAAACTTTGCATCTCTTCATTTTCCTTCTTTTTCTATATCGAAAGTTGCGCGTTTTCCTAGAAAACAATAATTATTGCAAATTAATTGTAATTGTGCTAACATTTGCCACATCATAATTTATATGTGTGTTTGTACTGAATAACAAAAGATTATTTAAAATTAACCATAGCGGACGTTGTGTTTGTGAAGGGACCGTCAGGGGGCTCAAGCTTTCGTTATTGTTGAGCGATTTGTGTCTATGGTGCGCGCATATTTTAGCATTTTGTAAACTTCTTGAAAATTGCATTTGATTTTCGTTCACATTGTTGACAGAAATAAGTTAGTAATTATAAAAGCGAAGATGAGTGTAATTACAAATCCTGCATTATTTGAAGTTTGTTTAACATGGTTTTATTATTATTGTTGATTGTGTAATATTGATCTGCTACTCTAAAAGTAGTTTCTTGGTTGTCAAATATCTTTAATGTGAATCCCCCGGAGTAATGCGTGTGTTTTTTAATGAAGTAAAGTGCTGGTCAGCTTACGATGATGACGATGAATATTTTTTTTCGTTTGAATAACAATAATATACACGTTTAATTGCAGTAGTCGTTAAAATCTTGGCTTTAGATGATTGAACACACTTTGAATGCAAATCATTTGTCTTTATCGGCGCTGTTACATGTAAAAAAGGAAAACACGTGATAATTTATAAAAAACTCAGGATTGTGGTTTGCACCTCAGGGGCCCGACTCGTAGCCAATTATATTTTCAGTATTGAATACATACGAAATACAATACTGTGTGTGTGTCTACACAATTCAGTTCCGTTGTGTAGTGATAATTCCAGTTTTCACATTTAATAAGAAGGGCCTTGTCGATCGCGAGATTATTGATTACAAATGGTGTATAGTATATATGCACAATGCTTTCTACATGTTGTGTGTTATGGATAAGACAAGCAATAAGCCATCGAATAGAACATCACAAGAAACGCGAACGAAAGGTGCTGTAACAGTCGTAGCAGACACGAACGATGTATTAAATCGTAACTTATCGAGCCAAATAAGTCGCTCGGATGCCTCTAGCAAGGAGAACTTTTCAGCTAGCAGAAATATCGCGGATTTGATGAAATTTGGACCTTTTTATGGCACATCTCCGTTTTTTGAACATTTTTCAGGTATTCGTAAGCTTGCATCACATTCTTAAAAACGTGATCTACTTTTGAGTTGAAATATTTTTGTATCACAAGTATGATTTCGATAGCATATGCTATACTAGGATTTAGTGGTTTGTAAAAATTATATAAAATTGGGCAATGCTAAGCGGAATGCATATTCTCAATATGTGGTTTTTGGTTTAATCAGCAGATGCTGTCGGCGGAAATGGCGACCGAGGCATTATGCAAGCACTTCGTTTCAAATACTTCTTCAAAAGCTGTATTTTGTGTCAATGTTTTTATTTTTATATCAATCGATAGCGCGAACCTTGATGCTAACGAGAAAATTATTCGCGATTCTTGAGCTCTAAAGCGAAAGGCGTACATTGGCAGTAAAAATATCGTTATGTCAATTTTATGAGTGTAAAGCTTTATGTCTTTGAGGTTTTAGCGTATATTTTGTTGTCTCGCGCGGCGCTAATTCTACGAAATACTCATTTTAGGCTTTTCTCTCTTGTGTAAGCGAAAGTTTAATTCCGATAATATCAAGCAAAATTCAAGGTGATATGCTTGAGTTCACGAATTCCGCGTAATGCTGGACATTGTATAGATTACTTAAAATAAATATGAGTACTAGACCAGAGTTATATTTTGCAAGAAAGTTATTGAGCGTTTCCAAACATCTTTTCAACAACGTGTGATAAGTAGTGCGGGGTATGGTAGAAATCTTGTGATGAACATAAAGCTCTCGCAAACGTGCTAGATGTCGTCATTTTGAACCTGCCATTCGTTATACTTAATACCTGAATATCTGTTTCCTCGCTAAAAATATGTCTGTTTTAGAAAAGCATATTTGCGAAGATTCTTAGTGTAATAAATTAGTTTTATGTTGCTATTTTCTAACCGCTACGTGTTTATAAAAAATTCAATGTTTTGGCGAGAATTCTTGATTTGCGTAGGTCGCTCATATAGCCAAACTATGCCACAAATTGACATATTAATTTTTCCTCGCTGTTTGAATTTATTTTTCATTCGGTATAATTTTCTTGTGTTGTATGTATGATTTAAAACCGCGCTGTATATTAATGCTTTATGTGGCTTTAGGTACAAATTGATAAACTTGTGTAAAACAAGAAGAATACTCGCGACTGTAGCACAGGAAATGCAACGCGCCTTTTGTAATTGTTGACGTATTGTCATAAGTTTTGTTGCCTTGAGGGCAATTATTACCATTAGAGCACATATTGCTAAGAGAAAGCTTTGTGCATTTGAATTATCAGTGGACTCTTTCTATTTCGAAGTATCCAATTTTATTATTTTATTGTCGGTTTTTCGTCGAGTTTCTTCGTTTCATATTGCAGCGTTTACATGTATGTATGTGACTCAAGCGATTTTAAAGGTGGGTTCACTAAAATAGCCGTATATGCGTCTGTTTAGGTCCGTGTTTTATAAATAAACGTACAATCGTTCGAAACCTTGAAAAAGCATACAAGCAATATTTATTTTCTATTTTAAAGCATTAGGGAATATATATTATCTTGTTAAAAGCGACGAACATTAATTTTAACAACTGTTGTACAGATAGCGATAAGACATACATATGCTGTGACGATATTTCGGAAATTGTCTGAAGATGACGAATTTTTCTGTCCTAATAATCATTTTGCGTGAATAGGTATAATTTTTACTCGTAGACAAAGAATTGTAATTTTTGAAAACATGTGTTTAAAACGCTCATCATCTGTAGTTGGGAGTCAAAAGGCATATTCGCGCAAGCCAAATTTTATATTATTACATACGTAGGTGTTCTCTAAGTAAATTGTTTGGATTTTAATAATTTTGAATCAAACTTGAAATTACTTCGAAACGATGTACATTGCGTTGAAGCTTTTGTAGTAAAATGTTATTTTACGATGACTATTATTTATCCTCGTTTTAATGTATTTTGAACTCTCAATCGTGTATTTATGCGTAAATTTTATAATGCAAACACTCGAGTAAATTATACATTTATATACATCTCCCTTAACTCGATTCACAACTTTCATTTTGTGCTGTTAGCAGTGAAGTCTTTTCGGATTCATTTATGCATAGACTGAAAGCATTTTAAGCTAGTAATAATATAATTACTTAAAAGCGTTTTTTTTCCCCCGAGCTAACGCATCGGCAAATATAGTTGTAATGCTTTTCCGCAAAATATTTTCGATGCTACCAGTTTCGTTATGTTGTGTATTTTAGCTTCACGAAACATCTTGGTTTTGCGATCTTGTCGACGTTATTTCTTAAAGGATCTTTTGTTTTATAGAAAATGATTGTTTTATGTCATTGCATGAATTCGTTGTGGACTGTTGGAGTTTTTTTAACAATACACAATATACATACGTGTTCCACAGCAGTAGGCAATATTGTTGACCTAAAGAAGTATTTTTACCAAATCATCGTTGCGAGGGGAAATTGTACATAAGTATATATATTTAATGTGAGTTTTATCATGCCAAGGATTCGGAAGCCTGGTTATTTGGTTTATGTCTGTTTTCAAACGATAAGCCTAAATTATTCTTTTATTTCTTCCAATATATTATGAACAAATGCGCTTAAGCATTGCATGATTGTTTTTGATATCTTACTATGATTAAACCTAAAATTGTTTTGTGTTCTGTTTTATGTATACACATATAGCCATGTAAATGTTCGTTCTCCGAATTCTTTTGTATCGTAAGCGACTCGTTAAGGAATTATTAATATGGTTTTTGAGGTATTTTTGACAAAATGTATATTATTATCTGTAAAACGATGCAGACATGTCTACAAAAAGACCTTTTAAGGTGTCTCACATGTCAGAATTTACATTATGTGTGACAGAGCAAGTTTCAACATGCATTTCCTAAACTCGGTTTCTTTGTCGTGCAACTAATTCACTTTCAAATATAATGTAAACGTTAAAATCATTAGTATTTTCAATTACCGAACGAAGAATACTCGTTTGGTTTTATTAAAATGCGTGGTCTATGCTCTACAGGCCTCGTAGCTATAAACATCTTTATATAAATTGTAGTTTTAGATTATCGTCTCATGTTTCTCTGAACCTTGTTCTGTTGTGATGCGATTCACTCGTGATCGTTTCTGTTATTGTATGCGATTAATATTATCACGGTGTCTATAGAACACATGAAGCGGTTGGAGATTAAACATCAGTACGATATAGCAGCTGAACTATATGTATGCTCAAAAAAAGCAATTTAATGGCGAGCGCTTTTAAATCTAAAAATTTTTCTCATTTATAATAATAAGTGGGATTCTTTCTAACTTCAAATTTCAATTTGTATGAATATTTTATTTTACGCGCACTTTGGAAAACTTTATAGATGTTTTAAAAACATTTTCTTTAAATGTACGTACTATGTTTAGCATGTGTACACGTTATTTGCTTAAGATAGATTCGTAGGGTCAATACTTTGCATTGCTTTGTCGATAATATTGTATGCTAAACAATATATTTATCGTTTGTGATGAAAGAAACGCAAATACACACGTCTTCTAGAAAATAAATACTGTAAACGAAGATATGCGGTTGAGAATTTCAAAAAGTCATTTTAATTAATGTAGCGATGAAAAATATTGATAAAATGCATTTTATCGCAAATTCACATTATTGTCATTCTAGAAAAATGCTATATTATGGTTTTTAAGCACGTATTTTTAAGAAATTATCGGTTGTGTTCGGTGTACAATTTTTTCGATTTAATCGTAGGTCTAGCAAGAATACTACATTCTTTTGCCATGATGTGATTTGAGAAAATTTTTGGAAAGGTTAATTAAAGCACTTCGATGTTGAAGAAATGAGTTTTTTAAGCATTACACAATTACGAATTTCGGATGTGTGACTTTTTTACGGAGATTTGTTGGCAGTTAGGAAATGAGTATATTGAAATCAATGGCTTGTTAAATGCTTCCGTTTATACGTAAACATGAAAGCAAGGAGATTTTTTCATTATTTTTGGTTGTATTTTTTACACCTGTCTAGTTCCTCTGTGTTTGTGAATTATATGTTTACTGCGAATAACTGGATTCATTAGAAAAACGACAAAGCAATTTAACAATTTGTAGACGAGTTTTTTGTGATAAAGATGTATTACAAGTCTTGAAGATTGTCGGTTAATTTAAGAAATCAAGTCTTTGTCAACATTTTATTTGATTCACAGAGACAAGTTGTTGAATATTATTATGCTTCAGAAACCTATATAGCGAGCTAATTTATCTTTGTGCTTTTAATTTAACACATATGAAGTACCTTCTGGCATTGTAAGACTTTTTATTATAAATGGTAAATTATATCTATATTTGGTTATCAGTATTGTTATGTAGAATACAGGAATGTGACTAGAAAGAGATAGGTGATCGACATTCTCGTGATGTTTAATAGTTCTTAGCCAACCATCGTTTTCTTTTTCTTTTCAAAGTCTCTTTACAATTTGTTGGTACACATCGAGCACATTATGGCAGCGTACGAGCACGCTCGTTTTTACAATTACGAATGATGTGTAGATTCCTATGCCTCCTTCCTATAGAGATTGTTTTAAAGTAATATTTCTTTGTGAATGTACATGTAGCTTTTGCATTTTGTTCGTTGTCAGCAAAAAGTGGATGTGATTTGGGGAAGTTACTTTGTCCAATATTTCACCAACATTGCAGGACAATGTATTATGTCTTTCATTTGTTATCGCCTATGGCACGTGTTTAGCATGAGGAATATTCACTGTTTTTATAATAAGATTTGCTTGGTGTGTGACAGCGTTGAGTGATTTTCGCCATAAATAAAAAAAACAGTCTCGATGACAGGCAAAGCATGAATCAATCCTGTTTTGTATTATGACCTTTCAAAATTGATGCGAACAACATCTTTTTTGTTCTTTTCTCATCCAACATCGTGGCTTTCTATTTTCTTAATTGCAACTTTCGCCTCATTTATTTCTAAATTGTGACATGTAATTCTTAATTTTTTATTGCAACTTTCGCCTCATTTATTTCTAAATTGTGACATGTAATTCTTAATTTTTTATTGCAACTTTCGCCTCATTTATTTCTAAATTGTGACATGTAATTCTTAATTTTTTATTGCAACTTTCGCCTCATTTCTAAATTGTGACATGTAATTCTTAATTTTTAACTGCAACTTTCGCTTCATTTATTTCGAAATTGTAACATGTAGTTCTTAATTTTTAATTGCAACTTTAGCCGCTCTAGTTTCTTGATTTTAACATATAGCTCTCTAATGTTCAAATTACAACTTGTTTCAACAATGCGTTTTTAACATGCGGCGAATTTATGCCATTTATAAAAATGTTTAGTTTCATCAACGTTATCTAAATAGATGCTTGCGATTAATGGGCGACGATTGAATATCCCGATTGCAGATTTCCTATCAAAGTAAATAAAGTGTTAAATTTACATGAAGCGCTTTTAATACTTCATCGCTTTCATCTCTTTAAAATTCTTCATGGCATAACTGTTGCATAGAGTTATTTTTCGATAATTATTTAGAACCTAAAACCGACATTAACTTATATATTTGCCATCAACTGTTTTTGTACGAGCGTTCAATGTAATCTAATTTTCGTTTCCAGGCCTCCCAATCCAACCGCCACTATACGTTGGAGCGATGCTACCTCCTATGGCATTCCCACCTGATGCACATTTCCCATACTATCCCTACATGTACCCTCCAGCTCCTTTCGCAATTGGTAATCCTCATGTGTATGCGGAGCACCCGATTACTACAGGCTCCGGGAAGAGAGAGCGGCTTGGTAACGAGCTAGATCGCAAAGACTCAAGGGATTCCGAGTGTAAAACGCGTGAGCGAAGCGACAGGTAGCACCCGATTCCTTTCCACTGAACTGTATATGTAACTGGAAGGCAACACTATTAATGATAATACAACTTTAACTTCCCACTAAGTTTTGAAGCTAGCAACTCACCCAGTCGCAATCTTTGCACGGTCAACTTTGTTTCTGTTTACGATCAGTGTTAAATACGTTGATGTGTCATGCAGGCGTTAGCAAATTTTCTTTAGTTTTGTGTGTAGTGACCCGTCTTTGAGTTTCACAAAAAGTTATCACACACTCCTGGGGTCCTGATTGTGAATTGCTGTGTGGTGTTTAGGTTAGGGTTAGGGTTTTGTAAACACAGTTATTTGTTACATCTTCACTGCTTTGCAAGATTCGCGAGCACCTGCCCGCCCTCATAGACCACAACAGACATAAACAGTTTTAGTATTCAAGACTTTCTTGTTGGGACTATTCATTGTAGCAAGACCTAAATACTTGTAAATATGGAAGCTGCATTAGTTGTTTACAGTGACAGTGGAATGTCGATAACGAAGTTGGGGGCAATCTTCATATTTGAACGTTCTATTTTATTGATTTTCTCTTGAAATCGATTGTGATTACAAGTTATGACAGATGAATATGAGCCCCCCTTCCTGATCTTCTGCTTTCCCTGGGCTTATGAAGAGCTTGCCGCTGATTGATAGCAATAACTCTAGGTTACAATACACGAGAGAAAGTATTTCATTCTACCTTTATGATACTTCATGTTGTTCACATATAAGTTTTGACCAAGTTCATATAAGAACTTATCGTTGATAAGGATGTTTTCATGTTTCAGCTCAACGGCAAAAAACGAAGGAAATCAAACGAAATGGCGGAAAGAACTGTCTGAGACGGTGAGAAAAGAAAGTGTTATTAAAAGCGTGGTTAAAGAAGCAAATGAGAGTGCAAAAAAATCTGTTGAAACAAAAACAAACAGGGAGGGTCTAGTAACCAACGGTGAAACAACATCTGGAGAACGTAGTACCGGAGAACGTAGTACCGGAGAGCGTAGTACCGGAGAACGTACCCCAGGAAAAGTAGACTACGCACAGGACACAGAACGCGGAGGAATTGTGTCTAGTAAAGTTGTTACAAATGGACGAGTTCGTGAACGATCGTCCCCGAACTTTTCCCGAGAGCATTTAGCCACGACGCGATCTCAGGAGAATGGGACCTACACTTTACCGTCACGTGGTGGTGGTGATGATAACGATGGCTTTCGTTATTTTAATGGCTTATCTGGATACTCCTATTCATCCCCTCATAAAACATACGATTCCATGACATCCCGTTGTAGAACGCAGGATGTACTGGGACATAAACATTCGCATGGTGGCGTTAAGGATGATATAAGGATAACAAGGGATAACGAGAGATCATCAAAAAATCCCACGAAAAAGATCGATGAGAGTCGGTCAGGTTTGCCTAATTCTGATGACATGTGTTATATAAAAAAGCGTTTTACTGAAGAATCCTCTAATAGTCGCATTAAACGAGATGATGTTTGCAAAGGACGATGGGATACATGTTCACCAAAATCATTTCCATCCGCGGATGCCCGTGGTAAATCCTCGGCGACCGTTCATAGCGTGGAGACAATAATAAATGGCAAAAAAAGTCCCGTAAAAAGGAATGATAACAGTAGGGATGACGATAGAGGTATGGGAACCACTGAGTATTCTGTCTCTAAGAGAATGGATGGTTCTAAATCACGTGACCTTATTGGTGTTTCCCATGCTCACGGACGAAGTCTGTTGCATAATGAACGAGTATCGGTGAATGATGACCTATCACTAAGAGCCCGTGATGCATCTGGTCAGCGTTCACGGGATTTTAATGATAGAGTACACAATTCTGACGAGATGATGGAACGCTTACGTTACGAAACGGCTTTCTCCGAACAACTTCGTATGGGTAGAACGTATTTTGACTCACACTATATGAATCCCAGGATGATGGACCATCGAGACGTGGATTCCTCGCCGTACTATACCAGTGACGGGCATGGTCATTACCGGGGATCTGATGGTCATTACCGGGGATCTAATGGCCACTACCGGGGATTTGATACCCGTAAAAGTGATGTGGAAAACACGGAGTCAAAGAGAAAACAAGAAGAACAAACGGATAACTTTAGGCGAGAAGAGCAGTTTTCTCGTCGGAATGGTACGCCAGGTGATCGTATTTTGTCGGAGTATCATCGTAATGTATTGAGGGAGGATGAAAGACCTCAAAATCGTAGTAGCTCTCCTCGTGGATATGACGTTAAAGCAAGCCGTACAGAGGTGAAGAACAGAGCTCCCGAGCCTCCTTGTGATGTCATGAATATGAAAAGAAAAGAATGGGAAAGCCCAGGAAAGTCGATGCCATCAAAACGTCGTTCTCCTAATGATGATATAGTGATAACGAATGGCTGTAATGTTTCGAGATCCGAGATAGAATCCAGTCGAAGCTCTTCGGGAGCTGGTTTTAGTAGTATGTCTATGACCACGCCTGGTTATCCAAATTTACCACTCTTAGATGCGTATCCCCCTTCCATGATGATACCCCCAGGTGATCCCAGGATGCCCATGTTGTTCCATAATGGGTTTTTTCCTCAGCCAATGTATCAAGACGAGTATATGATGAAATTTTTGAGAGATTTAACACAAGGTGCGTATGTTAAGAATTGTTATAAAATGAAAACAATAAAACGCGTTCGCTTATTGGTTTATAGCCATGTTTGCGTTACCCTGCGCAAACCGATCTCAATTCAACCAATGAAATCAATCAATCAATCAAAGAGAATTTGCAAATCAATCATTAATACCTTCTATCGTAATTATTAAAACGTTTGTTTTAATTTTTTTTGTTTCGCATAGTTGTTCTTTTATGAAAGAATTAAAAGATGTTTTTCGTGTTTGCACTTGCTTATGCAACCCTTGGAGGCGTTTGTGACAACGCAATGAGCACATGCAACCTTCGACTTTTTAAACTTTTATAAAACCTTTCAAAAAGCAAAAAGTATAAGATTCGAACTGAACAATCACTGAAATAAAATATCGTTTCGAAGATTACGAACTTTCTTTGTGGTAAGATAAATATAAACACCTTTTTTACAAGTTCGAAAAGTTTTGCTATCCAATGGATGACGTTATCCAGGCTTCGTGCAACCGTTCCCTGAACTCTTGCGTTTTCAGTGGATATAAAGCGTCAATGTACGTATGTGTTCCTTATTACTTTTATATTTATGGCTTTCGTTTTGCGTTGCTTTTAACTGCAAACTGCGGAGAATTTTAAACCTTTTTGACTTAAATGAATAAGAATCTAGAATTAGCGCTGCTAATTGTTTCCACGACGTGAAATCGCGCAGGGCTGACTGCAAAGAATTTTTCGGCCATCTGCTTTAAAAATATATATATATATCATCCAATAACGTTTCTTTGTTTTCTTTAACAGAACAATCGCCTCATATGCAGCTTCTCAATCAGAAAATTGCTCAGGAGAAAGCGCTTTTGGCCGGCGGTAAAGATAACCTTGGCTATCCTCTTAACATGATGTCTGGTGATCGTCAAGGGTTGATGAAACTTTTTACTAATGGTGATTCTGACAATTTGTTGAAAAAAACGGAGAAGCCGGACTCGAAACAACCCAACGAAAATGAAGTGGAAGGGAAAAAGAACGTTGAGTAAGTAGCCTGGTTTTGTTAGTAAAGTGAAGGATGGAAATCTTTTTGAGCACGTGATCACGAAGTCAAGTAATTTGTCAGTATTCATACCACATGAATGGATGCACGATTTTTATTTTAGCGAGGGGAGGGTGGGTGGGGAGGCTCTAGTTGGGATAAAATTTTGGTAGCTACTCTTTGCCGTAACATGTCAGACCTTTTTGTGAATTAAATTCTATTTCTTAGTATGACCAGGAGTTTTTTCGCAATGTGCTCCATTAGACACTAATAACGATTGCTTTTGCTTTATGGTGTGGTATGTGAATATTTTGCCGTGAATTAAATTCCATTTCTTAGTATGACCAGGAGATTTTTGACAATGTGCTTCATTAGACACTAATAACGATTGCTTTTGCTTTATGGTGTGGTATGTTAATATTTTGCCGTGAAATTGGCGATTCTGTAGTACCCCTGTGGCCAAGGTTACGAACTGTACACATACTCTCGCTATCTCTACCTTAGATCCATTATTCCTGTATTACCATTTTATTAAAAATACGGGCGCCTCTTAGGTTAAGAATCTTTTCTCGTAATTCACGTTGATACACAGTGATACATCCAGGATGATTTTGAAAGGGGAATGCTCCAGAAGGAATGCACCCCTCTACCCTCAGTAAACCCACCCCCGCCCAGTAAATCCAATTCTGTAGATATGTATAAACAGACCATGTACTGGAGCGACCGTACGGCCAATTCTAAATTACTTTTTAGTCGCTGAAAGCAAGCGTTAGTATGGATAAATATGGATAGAAAGCATTTCATTTAAAATTTATTTCTTTTAGTTGTCAAGAAGGCAAATTACTCGCGGATGGTTACTACAGAAACGACATCGCCAAGGTTCGAAGGGATGAAGAAGAAAAAAAGCCAAGTTTTTTTCAAAAACAGTTTCATAACCAATATGTTAAACAGCCATTGTTAACAAATGAACAGAAAGTCCGTAAATCTGCCAGCCCTGAAGAATTGTCTGTAAAAGAGAACGAACAAGTCGCTTTATTCAAACAACAGCAACAAACTAGTCAATCTCACTTTACCAAGCAAGATGAAATACTTAGGCCTTGGCCACATAGGACAGATCACACAGCTCTTTTAGGTGAGACAAGTGACAGACAGCGAGATAAGGACCTGCGTCCACAACAATTCACCAATGGTAAACTGAATAAGGAACGAACTTCACCATGGCAACAGCACAACGAGATTGGTAAAGACCAGTTTCGAAAAGAGACTATACCGGCACAACAAAGACAAAATGAAAGTTATAAAATTCTGCAAGAGCCTCGTGATGAGCGAAGATATTTGACACAACAATGGCCGTCTACGCAAAATTCACAAACATATCTTCATGAAAGCAACGAAATGTTGAGACCTAATAAAGATTTGTTGGAGAAAACAATAAGTTCATATGACACTTCATGTAAGGCTTCAATCAAACAAGAGGCAACAACACTTAACGCTAATAAATCTCATCCTGAAGCGACAATGAAAATTGAAAACTCCATGTTTCAATTTCCTGATGTCAGTTTACAATTACCGATGACGAATATTTCATCAGCAGTAGTCACCAGTCCTTTTACCACCGTCAACGATCATTTTGTCACCCAGACAGAAGGTGGATCAAGATCGATGAGAAATTTGTCAGGTGTTGGTGAACTCTCACCAAACTCTGTTTCTGCTGCTGAAGTTTTGTCAAGATTTCGACATTTTGGTTCAATGTGTTTCTCTGAAAATAGAGACGATGACCAAGAAGGTAAGATAAATACATCTCTTGTAACGACTCCACTTTGTTCACTTAAATACATCTCTTGTAACGACTCCACTTTGTTCACTTAAATACATCTCTTGTAACGACTCCACTTTGTTCACTTAAATACATCTCTTGTAACGACTCCACTTTGTTCACTTAAATACATCTCTTGTAACGACTCCACTTTGTTCACTTAAATACATCTCTTGTAAAGACTCCTCTTTGTTCACTTAAATACATCTCTTGTAATGACATAGCACATCTCTTGTTTGCTTAAACCAATCTTCTGTAATGATACGACACATGTCCTGTTCGTTTTGTTGTTAAATGTGTATATTTATATTCTCTTTGACATAATTATTTTCAGGATCTCCATCAAATGAAGAGTTCTCCTCCACACCGCCAGATAAAGAAACATCTTTTACATTCAACAATCAACAGCAGTCCATGCATGGTACAAATGGGAATAACGAAGGTAAAATGAGGTATCGTGGGGATCTTGATGAACTCGTACGTGTCGTGTTGGGTCACGAAGAGAGGTTTGAGGATGCGCAAGATGATCCCATTAACGAAGATCAGGGGGGTGGTTTGCAAATTGACGAAGATCAGGGGGTTGGTTCGACAGAGGATTTATCTGTTCAAACCAAAGAGGATCTTTTGAGCGACGGCTTTGAAGGAGGGGAACTTTCCCCCCTAACAGAATGTGAGGACAATGATTTTTGGTGGTGGATAACGAGATCACCTTGTGTACCCTCTGCCAGAAAGATCCCTCATTATCTCGAAGATAAAGAAAATATCTTTGCACAAATCAAGCGCAGGGAACTCAATCGTAAGATTATATGCGAGAACATTAACAGAATTCGTAGAGAAGCGAAACGCGGTCGACAAAAGACAAAAGAGCGTTATGCACAATTAACCAATCAGAAGCTTACGTTTGATGACGTCGAGAGTGTTTTGAATACAGCGTGTACAAATATTAAAGCATCGACGGAAATTGATGGATTACAGGAAACATTAAGGGATCAGTTGTTGAGTATACAAAAAACATACCGTGAACGACACAGGGAACTGGCACGACTTACACCAAAGAACAAGGACAAGTAATGGATATGATTTTATAATTTGTTTACTGTTTGCGCAGGCTTTTGCAAACCGAGGAGATGTTTGGGAGAACTCGAGAGTTGGCGCAAACATAAGCAAGTGCAAACACGAAAAACATCTTTCATTTCTTTTATAAAATAACAAGAATGCGAAACAGATGAATTTAAAACAAACGTTTTAAATTTTCTTCTAACACGTATTCTTGATTGATTTGCAAATTCTCTTTGAATGATTTAATTGACTAAGCTAAGAGCGGTTTTGTTGTTGTCAAATGAAACATTACAGAAATCACTTTCATTGAAATAGGGAAAAAATATACTGTTGATTCTTGATAAAACGTTCAAACATTTTTATCAGAAAGCATTTAATGTTATGCTCACTTATATTTATGTTTTATGCATTTAGGCATGAGGACAGTCCAGTTAAACGCGGTCCAGGCAGACCCCGAAAAAGAAAGAATTTTAGTTGTTCCAAGTTAAACGTAAACAACGCTATCGAGAACTCAGCTGTTAACTCACCTTCTGCTGACCCGTTGGAAAATGGATCGCTGTCTCACGAGGAGGAGATTGTTGATGAAGAAGTTAAGAATGAGAAGCTAACTGACAATATTAGCGAGGAGAATGAAACTGAAAGGGAAAAATATGTTCAAGAAGAAATGGTAACCAAAATATGAATGTTTGTGTTTGTTTTAGAGTTTGGGTGCAAACGTATTGGGAAAATATTTTGCTTGTTTTATAGGTGAACGAAAACGGAGAAACTTGCCAAGAAAAAAGTAACCTTTCGGAAAACGACGTTCTCGAGGCGGAGGCCGACGATGAGCCGGAGGCGGACGATGAGCCGGATACTATGGAAGTTCGGAAGAAATTGAAAAAGAAAAGGAAACGAATAGTGTCCGAATCTGACACGGAAAATCCTACTTCAAATGGAAACATCAAAACAAAAAAATCAAAGAAGATAAAAAAGACAAGCAAAGCGAAATCTAGCGAAGTTGTTATCTCCAATAAGAAGAACAATAAAGCGAAGTCGATGGATGACGATGTTTTCACGGCAGATAACGATGGTTCTAATATTCTCGTGATATATCCCACGCACGCATCGCACGAAGAACGAAAAAAATCACCCAAGAAACGAAAACGGTCCGCCATCGTGAACGAGGAACCTGCAAGTAAGTCGGCCAGCTTAAAAATTAATATTTTCATTTTTTGTTAAACTGGAAAATATATTAGGATGAAGACTTTTAACGTAGTTGTCACAAGATAAAGTTGTAGTCGTCAATGTTTGATGATTTTCTATAGTTACCACTTTCTGATCAAGTTACTTCGATTTGTATATTTATTATTTTAGCGTTTAGTAAATTCTATGTCTTATTTTTCCAGGTTCCCGACCGAACTCCAAATCTAAGGTACGACATTTATGTCTGTATTTGTTGCTATTGACAGTTTTTGTTCACTCATTGAATGTACATTGAGCTAATCAACCGACGCTGTATCACGCCGTGCGCATCTCTTCTGCGCATCTTAAAACTTGAAAATTACAGCCTATATAGTGCTTTACAATAAAAAACTTGTTGGCGAGTATGCAACTGTTGATTGAAAAAGAAACAAAATGATTTTCCTCTTTAGTTTAAACTAAAACCCCTTCAATCACGAGAGTAATTCTTTATCTCAAAAGATGTTTAACGTTTGGCGAATTTCAATTTTTGTGTGACATTGATCCATTACGACATAGAAACATAAAGTATAATTGTAAATTTGACAACTCAGAAGTTTACTGCCATCTTACATTTGCTGATGTATGCATTATAATTATCTATGTTAGATTTTTACAACTTCTCTCTTCTCTCCCACATTCAATTGAATTCTCCCGGCACATATTTATCATCGTGACATTATTTCTGTACTATAACATTTCAATTTTTATAGTTGAGTTTCAAAAGTTCGCCTAATTCCGAAAACGATACTTCTTCGAGTTTTGATATGTTGACGGCATTGGCCGAACATTGCTCGAAAACATCCGAGGAATGGACGAAGAAGAGACGATCAGACGATACGGAAAGTCGCGACAAGTCTCCAGACAAATCGGGCAAAACGAAACAAGGTGTAATGTGTCCAGCTACCGGCAATGACGATTTTTTTCCTCGTCGAAGCGAGAGAATATTTTTAAGCAGTACTTCAAGCTTGACAAGTCCAACAGGAAATGGAGTTTTTGATATTCCCAATGTAAATAAGAAGAAAAATAAACCTAGCTCTGGAAAAGTTTCAACAAAGAAAAAGGTGAAACTTCAATTTTGTTTCACGTTAAGTTTTGAAGCAACTTTTGAATGAGTGGTTGAAGCAACTTCCCACTTCTTGAAGAACGACTTCTGCGGCAATGTTTTGCTCGCGGGTCTGGTATTGAACATTTTGATACACAGAGATTCTAGGGACTGTTGTCTAGCTGACCATATTGTCACGTTTCTAACTTTTATGCCTATGTCATTTTGGTAGTTTTGAGAAAAAGAGAAAAGATAAGATTACTGTGGGGGAGGGGTACATTCCTTCTAGAGCATTTCCCCACAAAAACAGTAAAATATTTTCTTAAATATCACACATTTAGCATTTATTGAATCGTTTTTGATTGGTCAATCGACTTTTTGGTCATAAATACGGAACACAACAATTTGCTAAATAGTTGTTTTAAGCAAAGATTCCAAAATTTAAAATAATATGACCTAGGAAAAAATTCAAATCATTTCCTAATTTTCAATCATTTCTTAGCCTACCGCGCGCTTGAACGTTAATGAAATGCTTGACTTTAAAATTTTTTTACATTATTTTAGGATGGCGAGTTTAACGAGACGGAAGCAAGCGGAACTGACGATGCAATGCGAAAGAAAACTTGACATACGGCGATAGATCGAAAGAGAAGAGACGAAAATTAAAGACAAAGCATTCGGACGATAAAAAGAAGAAAAATAAGCTGAATGTGAAGACCAAAACGTGGTCAATGAGTGAGTGCACAGACGAAGAATATGATGAGCAAAAATTTGTAGAGGAGATTAAACAACTACCTAAACGGAAACAGACACGCGCCTCGTAGATATGTAAGTTTATTTTATGCGCGTGGAAAGACTGGAACTGGTTAAATTACTGCCTTAAGAATTTTGGCGGGAAGTAGCCGTCCAGTTATATAAAGTTCAATGCTTTTTATTTATCTGTTTTTCGTTCGTTTTCGCTTATAGATTGAGTCAGACTCGGGCGATGAAAAAGTGGACGATGATGTGGCGAAAACTTCCCGACATGTGGACGATGATATAAACGTTGAATTTGCAGGCGAAAGTAACGACGTTTTTGAGTCTAAAGGATCAATGCAACGCAAACATTCTGAATCAGAGACCTTGGAAAACGAACCCTCTGAAAACGAGCCATCTGAACACGAGGTCTCAGAACATGAAGTCTCAGACAACGAACATGAAACTGCTGAACATATTAATGCGAAGGCTCAAGATTCGAAAGAGTCGGATGTTGTCAACGAGATACGGAATGATGATGAAGAAAAAGAAGAAGGAGAGATAGTCGAAGATTCAACTGAATGTGTAAAGGCTAAAGAGGCACCTTTTCCCTGGATGTTCTCTATGGCTGAGTTATGTAAAGGCCAAAAAATGTTGTTACCTGTTGAAGGTGTCTATTATCCTGCTCGTATTAATGCCATTCACGTTCCCGATCTGTAAGTTGTTTTTTTTAGTCGATGATGGGAACGAAAACATGTTTATAGACATTTTATTCTTTTCTCAGGTATGCAATTATTTTGGACGGTGAGCGAGGTCGAAATCCTCACTTCCGTTCCTCAGAACAGCTGCTCACTGTTGCAGTAAGTATACCGGAAACATTCTCTTCTTTTTTACTGTCACGTGACTACTGTTATTGTCACGTGACTATTGCTTTTGTCACGTGACTACTACTGTGATTACTGCTAATGTTATGTAACTACTGCTATTGTCACGTGACTATTTCTATTGTCACGTGACTATTGCTATTGCCACGTGACTCTATTTGATCCAACATTCAATTTTTTAAAGGTCAAAGATGTCCAACCTCTTTCTCTTGATGACATTCCCATTGGAACCCGAGTCTGCGCTTACTGGAGTCAGCAGTATCGTTGCTTTTATCCTGGATTTGTGTCTGAAGGTGAGTGTTTGATCCATCATTAATATTTTGGTTGTTCTTATAGCGCCTTTACTCGATTATGTAATATCCATTTCAATGTTGTTTGATCTTATAGTACCTGAAGATGAAAAAATTGGTCGTAATCGTTGTTGGGTTGAGTTTGATGATGGAGATAGTGGGGAGTTCCCCCTACCTGACGTTCGTATGATCCCCCCTGATTTCCCTCAAGAAGGAACAGGTAATGAAAGATATTTTATTCATTCCATTTTGTTTATGAAAAGTTTCCCATAAAGACTTTCCCTTAGATTGTGAATCCAACTCTGGTCAACCCGAGATCACGAGATCGAAAAAGTGCGAGCAAAGGACTGGTGACGATGCTTCCGAAGGCTTGGCATCGGATTCCGGAGATAGCTCGACCGAAAATGCTCGTGAAAGGGCGAAGGAGAAAAAACGGCGAGATAAGAAGGCGCGTAGAACGAACGACGATAATGAACGGTCGAAGCCGAGAAGGTACCGAACGTTTTCCGAAGATATAAAGTCTTTGAAAAGCAACTCGCGGAAGAAAAGTTGCAAAAATTTGTCCAAAGATGAGGAAAATGAAATAGTTTGGAATGAGGATGTATTTGCTGATGAGACCAGTTTATCGACGAAAGAAAATACGGTAAGATAATGCTTGAATTATTCATAACAATCCATTAGTTATCCATAGTTATCCATGGTTATCCATCGTTATCCATGGTTATCCATAGTTATCCATGGTCCATAGGGGCTGTTCATATGTGCCCGGCTAACCGGGATTCAGTAAGGCGTTTGAAAAGAGGCAAAACTTCAAGCTTGAAAATTACAACTTTTAAGCGGCACAAGTCATTCCTGTTGTAATTCTCATATTAGGCCAAACTGGTTTCAATTTTAAATGTTTTGCGTAGTTATTAAATCAGAATATTGTTACATTGCTCGAGAAGATTTATCTGATGATAAGTATTGAATCGTTTCCATTTGCCAAAATCATTTAACGCCTCACTGAATCCCGGTTAGCAGGGCTCATATGAACAGCCCCTTACTCTCATAAACGTTTGCATTTCACGATGTATTTAATAAATATATTTGTTTTTATTAGAGTCCATCTGATACGGTTGAAACTGAAGAACCTGAAGGTATTTAGGCGTTTTTTTATGGTTTTTGTAAAGCTGATTATATGTTTGTAGGTGCAGTATACGTTATTGCAGTCTTGATATGAACTGTTGGTTTTAGTGTTGAGTGACGTCTGTAGCGTCTTGACTTTGAAGATGACTACCGCTAAGGTTGTCGAAACGTCAGTCAACATCACCAACAACAGTCCTTCTCAGGACTATACTAACCTGGACGATCTACATCTGCAAACATGTAACGATACTCCCGGGTTCAAACCATTCACTGTAAACATGATTTTTGTTAAAAGAAGGATTTTAATGATGTATTTTTGTCTTTTCTTTAGTTTTGGTTTTTCCTCCTGATCGCATTTGGCGTTGGGCTGGCAAACCGTGTCCGAACAGACGTAAACGTAGCGGGCGAAAAGTTTTTTATAAATCAATATATAGAGGCGATGAACATATTAGTGTAAGTTTTTGATATTTTTGTGAACTTTTGACATTCTGGTAGACCTTTCAAAAAGCTCGTTTAACAAGATTATACATCCACAGGTTGGAGAATGTGCCGTATTTTTATCAAGTCCATCAAAAAATCCTAATTTACCTTACGTTGGTAAAATTGTCAAAATGTGGGAGAGATTTAACGGAAGTAAAATTGTTCGTGTTAAATGGTTCTATCATCCCGAGGAAACGAAGGCAGGTCGACGACCTTCCGATGGCAAGGTTCGAAATAATAGACACAGCAAACAGTTTTTGTATTCGTCACCATTCCACTGTGAAATTCATGTTTTATGTTTTTTTTGCGTAGAACGGTTTATATTTATCTTCGCATATCGACGAAAATGATGTACAAACTATTGCTCATAAATGCGAGGTTCTGCAGACGGACAGCGCGAGGAGTCGGAATAACAGACCTACGAATGATTCCGATAGTGACGTCACAAGAAACGATGTATTCTGGTGTCTAGGCACGTATGATCCGCTCACGGAAACGTTTCCCACGGACAACGATTAGATAAGGCTCGTTCTGCAGAATAGGTCCACGGAACAAGTGTGAAACGCACGTCTGCTGTAAGACAACTCTTGCCGATAAACAGCTTGTGCCTTTTATTAAACTCACCATTTATGAGCTCTTTTTTGGTGGTATGTTTGTGGTCGTTTAAAACGCGAGGGAAAACTTGTGCCGGATCGTTGGAATTCTTAAGATAAATGCTGCATTGTGACATCTTGCAATCTTGCTTGTTCTGTAATAAAAATTGTACATTCATTTGGCAAAATAATGTTTAATATCGTCCCACCAAGTGGAAAATCATATTTCTTGTATAACAAAGAGAATAAGTTTTATCGAGACTCTGTTGTGTTGGCAGTTCTTGTTGAAATTACCCAAAATACTAATTAATGTATAAATTAATGTAATGTAGATAGTGACGTCACGAGAATATTTTATTGTATGTAAAATACATCCCGCAATGATTTCCAAACGCAACAAAAATAAAATTATTTTTATACGAATTTTGAGAGCTTTAATTATGCATGATTGCACCACTGATCTGTATACTTATTACCAAAGAAATTTAATAATTTAATAGAACTCAATGGATTGCACGAGACGCGCATGGCGTTAAGTATCACGTGATTAAAGCTGTAATTTCATTGGTTTTACCAGTGATGACGTAACAAAGACTTCGATGACTAACACAAGACTGCGACTTGGCTTGTGGGAATGGATACGTAATAAAACAGCCGAAAAAACTCCAAGAAATTGCGAAGTTATAGTTAAATTTCTTGCCTGTAAACATCATGTTTACTACTGCAAATATCAAGGAAATTACGGCAACAGCGCCTTGGTACGTGTGTCTTTAATTCTCTTATACTCGGGCGAAAAACTGAACAGATAATTTCAAGTGAAATATTTCGCATTCGCAAGTTTCTTTTGAAAATAAATAAAATTCGGTCGTTTGGCATTTAATTGCTCGTCGAGAATACGCTTTATGACAATATTTCAATTTAAAGTCGAAGTAAAATTAATGAAAGAGGGTTTTCTTATCAACAGTTATTTGTATACATTAATAAACAATGTTATTTTGTTTTACTTTCATATATAATGATAATTATTATTGTTACAGCCGAAGCGTGCCTTTTTAGTTGTTGGACTACAATTTATAATTATGTTGGATATTTTTTAGGTCTAATACTTATAGTTCTCAGCCTCCAATACCTGGAGAAAAAGAAAGCCAGCCTGAACCTCCTGGAGTGAACAATTCTGATCAGAAGTCGTCAGAAGTACTTGCATGGAAGAAAGCTCGTGAAGCATTACAGAAAATGAAACCACAGACTGTTGATAATTCATCACTATTAACTACCAATGGTATGGTACCTCGCTCCCAACTATTGCATCAAATGGGACAAAATTATCATGGGTATCCATATTATCCCAACCAAGGTTTCTACACCTATTTACCACCACAGTTCCCAACATATCCTCCACCTGCTAAACCACCAACTATGGTATGGTTATTAAAAATGTTTCAGTGTTCATTGATTTATAATGAAAAATAACAAAATAATATTTTTTCAGGCAATGATGCAGAATAGTTTCCCCTCCAATACACCCCATGGTGTCCCCTCCAATACATCACATGGTGTCCCCTCCAATACATCACATGGTGTCCCTTTCAATACATCACATGGTGTCTCCTCCAATACATCACATGGTGTCCCTTCCAATACATCACATGGTGTCCCTCCAATACATCACATGGTGTTCCCTCCAATACATCACATGGTGTTCCCTCCAATACATCACATGGTGTTCCCTCCAATATACCCCATCATACCTCCTCCAATATATCCCATGGTGTCCCCTCCAATACACCTTATCATACCTCCAATACATCCCATGGTACCCCCTTCAATACTTCTCAAGGTGTTCCCTCTAATACATCGTATCGATATTATCTACCATCAGCTCCACGCACTGCTCCCCAATCTCCAGTGATGTCAACATCCAGTTCTCTCAATGCTTTAGGGGGCAGTTCTGCTCCCTAAGTCTCCAGTGATGTCAACCTCTCATTCTCTCAATACCACAAAAAGAAACAATAGTCATGTGATGTCCTATAGTGAACAATCTTCACTTTTAATGGTGAAACCCAATCTGATAGGCATCAACCATTTACATCTTCATTAAATAACCATAACAATATTTATCAATCTCAGGTAAGCAACACATTTTAAGTATTAAGATTCCTATAATTCCTTTATGTTTTAGTTTTCTGTAGATTTCATGGATGTTTTGACATCTTGCAAAATCTCAAAGTGAACTTTTCTTTATTTGAAGAAAATATTTGATAAAGATGCATTAAGTGAAAAGCAAAGCCATGCTGTAACTCAGCCTCCGTGTCCCTCAGTTTATGATGATAGGAAAACCTATGCCAAACAGACATTTTGGATGAGTAATAAAGTCAATCACTCTACTGGTATGTACATGAAGAAACCTCGAAATGGTGAATGTTTCATTGGCATAAAATAGTGCTGTGCACCGAAGGCCCGAGTTCCGGCTATTTTTGCCCAGCCGGTGTTTGTTTACTTCTGGAAAAACTCTGGCAGCAGTTGTTTGTGCTGTAAAGTACTGTCAAATTTTATCAATGAAAGATAACTAATGGCTAAAATTGAAAAACTTGCATGAAAATAAAACATTTTATGCATGACACATGATGCTAGATTGCTTTCACACATGCTAATTTATGATTCAAAGTCAGAGTGCGTAAATTTAACTTTACATATAAAAATTTTACTGAAAAACCAGAGTTGCACAGCCCTAGCATAAAAATATTTCATGCATTTTATAGTTTTGAAACAAAATTGGGATAAAGAAGTGAGAGATAATCCTCCCGTTAAGAAGATTAAATGTTCACCAGAGCCAAATGAGAAAAATGTTTCAGAAAAGAACAATAATGCTTCTAAGATCTCTCCACAAGATTGGCCTCCAAGCTTAAAGTAGGTTTTGTGGTTGGTTGATAAAAATCTTCTTGCTATATGATTATGATTATAGTAACAACAATGTGTACTGGACTGTATATTATATTTGAATGCATGGGTATAGAAAAGTTGGTAATTAGTGGAGGTGCTCCTGTGTTGATATGTGCATTTAATAATTTTTAAAAAACAATGGATTTCAAATGAACTTAATATGGTACATCATGAATGTGAGCCCACTCCACAATTAGCAATGTTAGGTAAGAGATTTATTGCATTATTTAAACTTACAGGAATCAACTTTTTGCATTTAACAGTGAGTTGAACGAATGTAGCAAATGGTTTTGTATGATTGTATTTTATAATTTAGTACACACCCTCTGCAGAGTTTGTTATTTTAAATTTATTTTATCAAATCTTATCCTTATACTATTTCTCTTTCTTACAGAGATTATGTACAACGTGCTTTTGAGCAATGTGAAACGGAGAAACACAAGGATCTCACCGAGATTCATTTGAAGAAGATGTTAACTGTCATTTAAGGAAGGAACAGCTTGGGGTATAAACTGGGAGCAAGAACCATTACCAAAGTATGAATTTGTCATCTTATTGGTGCATTTTGTACTTGGAATGAGCCAAGATGATTTTTAGGGGGGCAGTTTGGATTAAATTTTGATCATTAAATTCTGTTAATCCAGTGCCATGAGTGTCGCTTGCTATACAACAATCATATGCTTTGTATAGCAGCTTGGTTAAATCATATATCTTAGACATCTGTCTTGCGGAGTAGTCTGGAGAGGGTATACACCCTGGCTACTGACTTGTTCCTCACTCCAGTTATTTCATCTTTTTGTTTTATCAGTTGCATGTGTATGTCGCCTCAGGAGATAAAAATTTTATTGTAATTTAAACCTTAGTGCAGAAATTATCTCTAATTATTCAATTTAAATCACATCATCTGTTATAAACAGCACACAAAAAGAAAGTTACCTCCCAGACAAACAATTGCTAAATGAATGAATCCCATTCAGTCAAGAAAAGGCCTCTTGCAATTGCCCTATTTTGATACCATAATCTGGGCATTTTTCTTAGTGCTTAACACTAGTAACTGTACGTTACCAATGGTGAATGTTGAAATTTTGAAATTGGGTAGTTTGAAATTGAGGACAGGAAACGTCCTTTCTCAAAGAACTAGTGTGACCTCATTCTTCACATGGAGTTTATGTTTAATTAGTGCTTTGTTTACCTGACCGAAAATCATTCATTTGGAATTTATAACAATTTATCTCTTTGGGATTTTGTTTTTGTGTGGTGTTTATTTGCGTTTCACAAACTGTCCAATAAAGATAAGATAAAAAGACAAGAAATGCTTTCTTGTGAAACGCTTTAGTTATAAACAGAATTACTCGTGTTTTTTCTTTGATCGACATAAGCACTTATACTGCATTCTTCTTTCCAAAGTTTATGAAACAAAATTTGACATTCTTTTGTAGGCTAAAGACGGATAAAGAAAGCCGACGAGCAAAACTTGAACGACGTCTTAATCAGCGTTCGCCTTCCATTGAAAAGAGACGATCTCGAAGTCGTAGTCACAGCTCTAGTCGGTCGAGAAGCCCCCCGGATTTTGTGTTAAATAACAAGAGCTCACCTGAGAATCGACGTCGTAACAGGAAAGGAGGACGCACTAAGGTTAAGGATGGAGTAAATATCAAGAAACAAAAATCCGCGATGAAACATCAGAAAAAGAAGAAAGAAAACAAGTATGATTTCTCAATAATTTTATGTTTAAATTTCTATCTCGATGCTTGCCCGATGTTGTGATAGCACTCTCTTTGAATTGTAATTTTCTCGTCTATTTCAAAATCCCTTTTAAGTCAAAAGGCCACGACTTTGAACAATGCAATTTATCGAAAAAACGTCCATAAGAAAGTATTAAACGTCTTTTTGTTATGCTTGAGCAAGTCACTGTACGGGGTTTCTTAAAAAAGAGAAAAGGGTTATCCAAATTCAACGCTTTGATGTGTATAAATTACTGACTAAACGGCTGCAGTTTTGAAGTATTATTAAAGAGCAGTGTTGTAACTATGAAATGTCATGTTGTTTGTCGCATTTAGAAGAAAAGTGAGCAAATGCAAGCGTGTTAAAATGTTTTGGTCGAAATCGCATTAATGTGCAATCCTTTTGAAATCAAACACTGTTTAGTCTATTTGGAATTTTACACCTTCATTAAATAGCCACATCACTTTTGCAGTTTATCATTGTTTACGGAAATTCATTACGTAAAAGTGACGATAGTTTTTGAGTGGGCAAGTTCATATACAGTGCTCAATGAAATATGCGACTGTTTTCTTGCCCGAGAGTCACCGGCCTTCAAAATAATTTAGGCAACTTTGAAATGTGTAACATTTTAAGCAATTGTATGAAACTGTTGTTTTAAGAATAATGAAGAAATTATAATAAGTTCTCGATACCTTTCTTGCTCATTGCTGGTGTACGTACGCTCCTCTGAGAGTGAAGCAACAATGAACTTTTTCCCGTCTTAAATAGCATTTTCATTGTAAATAAGGAGAATCCTTTATCCAATATGTCGGCCATGACGTAACTACCACATGAAGGATTCGTCTTTCACCTGCTTAACCTGACGAAGAGATGAAAGAATGCGATTTTGACTCAGCAGTTGGAATTTAGATCACTTTTTTTTAAGAAACACCCCAAACTGGGCTCTTCCTCCAAGTTTTATGCAACCAGCTCCACGCTTCTTGCAGCCAACCCCTATAGTTGACATCAAAAATTATCTAAATGATTTGTAAAATTGTACTTGAATTTTCAGAGAGAATATGTTTATGCCAATGGATGCCGAAAGCGAAGAAAAGAAAGAAAAAAGAGCCGCTCGCTTTCAGGACGACAACACTAGCAATAAGCCCAGTTTATTTGGCAGTCTGGTTGAGACCTTGAATTCTTCGGTAATCAAAAAAATGTGTTTGTAGTTTTTGAAAACATGAAAGGTTAATATGTTGATTGTAGATGTTTATTGTTCATGTTTATTATTGATGTTTATATTTAATGTTTGTTATTGATGTTTATTGTTCATGTTTGTTCATGTTTATTATTCATGTTTGTATTTAATGTTTGTTGTTGATATATTGCTATAATTTAGCTGTTAAATGATAACAACGACGAGGAAAGTATTGATTGGACGAGATTTCACATCATTGGTACTTGTGAAGATTTGGAGAAACGTTATTTTAGGTTGACATCGGTGAGTTTAGCATCAAGATCTTTGAATAAATATTATTGTTCAATTTAAGAATATGTAAAGCACACATTTGTATGTTTAAATAAAATCAACTGCACATAACGTTTTGTCTTCAAACAACGACTTCTTCGGCGGTATAAATGATGTAACATCGATAAAGTTTAGGACGAGAGAGTTTTTATTTAAATATGATCGCAAAATAATACATTTGAGGTTTTACATCTCCTATGCTTTTCAACCCAATTAACTGATACAACTTGTCTTGTATACCAGACATCTTTGTCGTTAGCATTTAATTGTATTCATTATTCTTGTAGCCTCCTGATCCTTCTACGGTGAGACCATTGAAGATTCTACGAAAGTCTTTGGAGATGGTGAAAAATGACTGGAAAACAAAACAAGACTATCCATTTGCTTGTGAACAATTGAAATCTATTCGTCAAGACTTGACCGTATGTTGAAGTATCTTTAAGAAAAATGGCAACGTGTTATTTTACGTTATTTTGTTTTGTTTATTAACGACGAGTTTGTTTTCTTTCTGCTTACAGGTACAAGGAATTCGGAACGATTTTACAATTCTTATTTACGAAACTCATGCACGACTCGCTTTGGAAAAGGTGAGAATAACTGTTTTGTTTGTCGCAATATCCTACATGAAGTTTCCCTATATCTTTAATGTCAGTCTTCTGTTCAGTGATGAATTTACGTTGTTTTGATTGGTTGTTTCTTGTAGGGAGATAGCGCCGAGTTCAATCAATGTCAGTCGCAGTTAAAAACATTGTATTGCAGTAGCTTGAGTGGTAACAGAAACGAGTTTACTGCTTATCGTATACTGTACCTTGTTTATACACAGAATACCCGAGATATCCTTTTATACCCAAATATTTATTTATTATGTTAATAATAAGTTGACTAAGCTTATTGCGAGTAATGTTATTATTGAAGCACCCAAATTAGGTTTTTTATTTCTCAACTTAATAAGCATATCATATAAAACAGTGTCTGTAAACCTTCCACTCGCTGTCCGTGAACAGCAAACGTCGAAGCGGATCGCGTAAATCCCGAAGTTGAGAAATGGAAAACATAAGCTTAGTCAACTTATTATTAACATGATATTTCTAAATAGTGAATATGGCATTATAAATTTATTTTTTATACATTTATTTCGATTTTACTATTCATGCAACAGGCTAATAGCAACATCTAGCTCCCATCACAAACAACCACGAAGATTTCACGAAACATCAAATACTTAACATAAATTAACTTTCACACATATCAGCATTCGACAGATTAATACGCGTGTTACAACACAAGTGAACGAATTTCTAGGTTCCAAAGTTGTTTTCATCATAATTATTTTGTAAATCATCTTTGTAGTATCGGAGAAGTGTATATTATTAGCGAGTTGATTTGTTTGTGACATAACGTAATATTTAGACTTGATATTATTGTGGACGCTTTTTCCTTCACCGTTTGCCACAGCTTACCACTACCATGGCGGCTCTCACTGTTGAAGAAAAAAAAGATAAATTCATTAGTCATGCGTTGAAAATACGATCATCATGGTCTCTATGCAATTATCATTCTTTTTTCCAGCTTTATTCTGCAGCTCCAAACATGGGTGGCTATCTTCTTGATCTCTTTGTCGAACGCGAGAGGAAGAAGGCGATGAAGATACTCGTTAAATCGTGGGTTTTGTCGTTCTTTTTTTGTTTAAATGGGGGGAGGGGTGCTAGGGTTTCCCTACATGGGTTATGGATTGTTTAGGGGGGAGGGGGTGTTTTTACTTGAAATATTGATGAAAGCTGTTTGATAAAGGTCCGTGACTTTTGCATGAAAATTATGTCTATTGAATTTGAGCTTTATGATCACTGACGTACCCCTATATGATCATTGATGTACCCCTATATGATCATTGATGTACCCCTATATGATCACTAATGTACTACTATATGATCATCGATGTACCCCTATATGATCACTAATGTACCCCTATATGATCATTGATGTACCCCTATATGATCATTGATGACCCTATCATTTCCTTCGATGTCGTGTTTCACTGTTACTAACTGCATACATATTTTTTCTTGTGTTGCCTAAAACTTTAGTTACCGCCCTTTCTTGCCTGTTGCATTTGTTCAAACGGAGTTAGCGTTCGGTGATGAAACAACTTGTCGGGAGTTCCTTTTGGCTCACGGTCTTATTCTTAATGCAGATTACACTAAAGTCGACTGCAAGCAATCGCAAGCTGCATTAGCGTCAGCCGTCAGTTAGCTACACAAGCAGCCCTTGAAAATCAGTCCATATTATTATGTTTAGAGAGATCAGAGAGTATTAATGATGTATATAAATCTTGTTTCTATTGGCTATCTATCAGAGCAGGCGAAATGTTCCAGCAGTCGTTCAAGTCTTGTCTTTTTTGCCGTGATAGTCTGGTGTGTATTGGTTGTGAAGTTCTGGATCCCTCAGCGTAACCCTGATCTCTGAAGCTCATCCTTCCATCTACTGTACCTGGATCCCTTAACGTACCTATTTAACCCTAATAATTCCGAAGTTCAACCTTCCATCTACTCAATCGTATTCTCACTAACCCGTCGTCATTTCAAATGATTCCTCGTCATCCTTGGTCATTCTTACCTATACCGTGCTATCCATGAGTATCCATGGTCAACATCAAACGTCCTTTACCTTAGTTCTAGCCATCAACTAAGGTAGAAGTCAGAGTAAGTGTCGCTTATTTGGAAGAAGCTCAACATGCTCCTCTTCAAAGTTTTATTGTCAGTTGCTGTGTGTATGATCTCTGTGTTTGTGTGTTTGCGTAATCACAATATGCATTCTGGCAGGGCAGTTTGTTGTTTCATGCAGTTTTATAGGTGACCTTGAATCCTGTTGTGTCCCTTTTTGTCTCGTTCACAAAAACTTTAATGAAATTTAAATATATATATATATATATGTATGCATATGGGAAATTTAATATATCTTTCTTTCATTCAAATATGACATGCAAATGGTTTGGTTCTGGAAATTTACTCAATTAAATTTTAAAAAAACAATTGTAGTCTTTCTGTTTTGTCAAAGAACGATGTTAGAAGAACACCCTTTACCCGACCCCTCCCCCCTCCGTTTTTAACGGTTCGCGATTGGTTTATGTGAGGGCACAGGTCACTGTCGCGCTCTTGTGATGTGCATTGAGTGAGTGGCATTGATTTCGTTAATAATACATGAAAAATTTACACAATAACATCCTCAGCAATTTGATATCCCTGCTACGTTCAACGATGAACACACAATGTAGTACGGATTGCATAAGTTATAGTAGTAGCTTTTTTATTGTACAGTAAACGTTCAAACAAATTATGTCACTTCTATGAATTGAGAATAAAAGTGGTGTGGTGTGGCATTAATTAGTCATGTGATAAACTGATTATGGCCGCCAGCGATTAGTAATAGTGAGAAAGTAGTGAAATATTAAAACCGTCTCAAGTGGTCACAAGATGAAAACCAGAAACGGAAACAAAATCAATGTCTTTATCAGCCTTTGCGCAGTCTTATACTATCATCGAAATTTCCAAAACGCACACCAGTTCTCTTGAATAGTCATGCCTGCGTTAGTTTTATTTAGGCGTTCGTGGATGTTTGGCAGTGATGATTTAACATTTCCTGCATTTGCCGGAGTTGTTCTCCGTGGGACTTGGTAAGTTTTCATTCATGAGTGATAGATATCGTGGTGTTTTTATCTGTTTGACTTTGTTTCTCTTTTATTAAACCTGACTGAACGATTCATGCACTACATATGTAGACATGTAGAACTTGTCGAGGAAATCATATTTTCAAACCATGTGACCAGTTTTGACGGCTAGTACAGTTATTTGATAATGAAACTTTGTTTTATTTAATTTGCAGGCTTGTCGCACTTTCAGTTGTCTTTGGTTTGTCGTACCATGATTTTCCTGAATGCAACGAAGGCAAACTTGCTAAAATTTATTTTTATCTAAATATAGCGTTACTGTCCATTCAATTCCTTCTCCAAATAATCATTCTTATAATCAGTACAAGAGGGACAGTTATGGATCCTGATAAACGCTCCTCAATAACAAAATTCATATATTTGTGGTTAATTGCACTAATCCCTGAGATTGTCCTCACTGCAGCTGGAACTGTATGGATTTTCCATCCCGGGCCTGAATGTGAGGAAGATATTGTATGGAGTATAAGAGCACTTATAATTTTTCAATGGCTTGTCCTTTTGCTTCTTGTAATACTCACAATTGTATTTTTTAATCCACTGGGAAAAAGAAATTCTCATGGACAGAAATTGTATAGTAGAAGCTCTTCATTTCAGCAGGTGGAGTGTGCTAGAAATACTTTCTAAATATAAATTTAGTTATGTGCGAAAATTTTTGTCATATTAAATGTGTTTGAAATGGAACAATAAAGCTGTTATATTATTTTTTGATTAGCATTCTTGTTTAAACAGTCCATTTTCTCTTTTTTCAGGCAATCGAGAGCGAGTTTGAAAGAACGTTTTTTTGTCGCAATCCGACTGGTAACCAACGAGAAGCATTCACGGAAATTGCACGTGCCTTAGCCTTAGTGTTTAAAGATGTAGATTTAGTGCCTTCGGACATTGTTGCAGGTTTAATTTTACTAAATGGAAAGCAACAACTGGAAGCTGAAGAACAAAGCGAAGAATCAATAGTATGTTTCTCATACATCTTTAAAATTGTTTGCAGTTTCATATTTTTTTTCATTAAAATACTTGCATTGTAGGCATGGCTTAATGAACACCTTGTACCAATTGAAGATAAGGTATGCTTAGTAATTTTAAAGTTTTCAACTTTGGTTAATGATACTTGTTGATGTTAATAGTGCAGTCCTAAGAAGGACTGTTGCTATTTTTATTGACTAATATTTTGACAACTTTACTGGTAGTCATTTTCATGCTGAAATTGCTAGAATTATGGTATGATAAGCTGATTAGTAATGACACACTATATTGTATGCTACATGAAGCTCTTTTAAAGTTTTGTTATCGAAAATAGATTTATCTCTTGTGCTTTTCCTACTAACATTGTAAACACGTCTGTTATATATTCTTCAAATAAATGCACAAAAACTTAACAGAAATTCCCTATTGTAACCATAATCAGTGTGCAAATTAGATAAAAAAAAAACGATGTGCAATTTTTTTGACAAAAGTGTTACTTTGGAGGCATAATCAAAATGATATTAAGTTAATTATTATATAGCACTAATTGCTAATTGTAAATGTAGATCGTCCAGGTTGGTATAGTCCTGAGAAGGACTGTTTTTGTTGTTGTTGACTGACATTTTGACTCTGAAGATGACTACCGCTAAGTTTGTCGAAATGTCAGTCAACAACAACAAAAACAGTCCTTCTCATGACTATACCAACCTGGACAATCTACATTTACAGACATGTAACGATACTCCCAGGTTCAAACCATTTACTTTACTAATTGCTAAATTAATATTTTTAAATGTGAACAAATTCATATGATTTACGACAGTGTTTTTCGTTCAAACCGCTGATTTTTGCACATTGTTTGAAAAAGTGATGTGCAATTGTTTTCATTTTAGCCAAAACAATGTGCAAATTGCTCATTGCACACCATTAATTTGCACACTGACCATAATAATATGGAAAGTGCCTATAATGTGAAGCAATAAATTATTTTTCAACTATAGGATACCTGGGCAATTTATGATACAAGTAAATATTATTTTCCTTTTGCATTGGGAGCTTATGGATGTCTTTTGTACTGTTACATGCACCTATGCTGCGGAATTTGTCATTTGTGTCGAGTTTGCAAGTATGTTTTTCTGACAGGTCATAACTTTTTAGTATATTGAGCTGTTTGTTTACATGATTAACTGTTTTTTAACTCTCTAGATGTGGATGTGCTAGTCACATGATTAACTGTTTTTTAACTCTCTAGATGTGGATGTGCTAGACAGTTACGTAGTATTGTTATCGAAGGAGATACGTGCTGTAAATCCAACACCAGCGGTGTAATCTCTCAGCTTTCACCAGACCACATTAATGTTGAACAAGTGTTCACAAGTTTTAGAAATGATGTCTATCAAACTGCGTTTTGTGTTTCTATTGATCATGAAAACAAGAATGTTGTTGTGTCTGTGAGGGGAACGTTGTCTTTCAAGGTATTTTATAGTGAGAAAATGCAAATAAAATTTATGTATTCAATATTCATATGTGACAATCATTAATTATTATTAATATGCAACAATTATTGATTATATACTTTTATTAATGTGACAATTGCTTATTTTTTGCAGGATGTTCTCACGGATCTTACTGCTGAAACTGAATCATTAGAGCTTGATAGTGACAAGGGCTGCGAGGAAAAGTGTAGGGCACATAAGGTTAGTAAGGGATAGAAGTTGAGTGGCATGTAAGATGAGGGCACATGAAGTGAGTAAGGGATAGAAGTTGAGTGGCACATGGGTCGAGTGAGGACATCAATTGAGTGTCCCATAAGGTGAGGGATAGAAGTTATGTGGCACATGGGTCTAGTGAGGACATCAATTGATTGTTCCATAAGGTAAGGGATAGAAGTTGAGTGGCACATGGATCGAGTGAGGACATCAATTGATTGTCCCATAAGGTGAGGGATAGAAGTTGAGTGGCACATGGGTCAAGTGAGGACATCAATTGAGTGTCCCATAAGGTGAGGGATAGAAGTTGAGTGGCACAAAAGCGGGGTGATAGGATAATAAAGTGAACTGGGGAGTGGATAAGTAGCTTATAGAGTGAGTGAGGGATTCAGTGATGGACACATTGGGTGAATGAGGGATTAAATGAGTGGTGCTGGCCCTGTAGAGTGATTGGCTCCAATGATAAACAAGGGACAAAGAGTGAGTGTGATGATTTATAAGATTGTGTCGTATTGGGAAAATTATAGTTTGATGATATTTCTACTTTTTTTTAGGGTATGGTGAGATCAGCCCAATTTATATTGACGAAACTGGAGGATGATAGAATTTTAGAGTCTATCTTTCTTAGATGTCCAGACTATAATTTGCTTGTTGTTGGTCATTCACTTGGAGCTGGAACAGGAGCAATACTTTCCATTCTTATGAAGAAAAAATATGAATCATTGAAGTGTTTTGCCTATTCACCTCCACAAACTTTGAAGTATGTTGACATGTCTACATAACTACTCCAAACTCATGACTAGAGTACTCCAATGTTTGAAAATTACGAGTTAGTTTTTGAAATTTATATTTATTAATAGCTTGAAAGCAGCTCTACATTGTGAAGAATTTGTCACTTCAATTGTTCTTGGAAATGACATTATTTCAAGGTATAAAAACCATTACTTGTTTTACATAATTATGCCTTACATAATCATCTCGTATTTTTGGATATCTTTTTATGCATTACAAACTGAGCATACACAGTGTTAGTCAGCAGTGAAACTAGAATGTTAAGTGGGGGGGGGAGTGATATTCATATATTTAGCTTTGCCCTGCTGATTTCTTTTTAATTCATAACAGCTCACTAACCAAATTAGTCTAGCAGAGCTGAATATATGAATATTCACACCCAAACCCCAATGAACATTCTTCTTTCTTCCCTGGTGTTGATAGTTTTTATGCATTAAGGACTGAGCATGCACAGTATTAATATTTTTTCATGCATTAAAGACTTGGCATACACAGTATTGATGTTTTGAAGAACGAAATTATTGATATTCTTAAAACTTGTGAACTACCTAAGGTAAAATATCAAAAATTATTGTCATCAGAATAGGATTTTTATGTCTTTCAGCAATTGTAATCATTGTCAATAAAAACTCTTCAACTTGATTAATTTACAGCTAGTTAATGCGTCCATTTATACTTTTTCTAGTATCAAATATTGCTTGGAGGTTGCTGGAAATATTTTTGTGGTTGTATTGGTAGGCAGCCAGCTAACAATGCTGGTAAGTTAGTGAAATAAGATATGTGCAAAAAGCGGCAAATGTGGATGTTTGATCATTTGCGTTTTGTTGATAGAAGAGAGAACACTTCTTTTGGGTCGTGAAAATAAAGTTGCTTTTTACAGCAATGTACTTGATAGTGAAGCTTCGATTAATGTCAACCCAAGTAATTCTGAGGAAATTGAAAAACTTTATTGTCCAGGCAGAATACTACAATTTGTTGAGAGGTGGGCATCGTTTGTAGTACATTTTCCCTTGAAGTTTAAAGAGACTGACACTGATATTGTGTATTTATAAATCACCGTGCTGTCTTCTATATAGAAGCTCCAATCTCGACTTAGTCCATGGAGACAGGGAGGCTTTTGAAAAGATAGCAATTGTGCCAAATCTAATGGCGAACCACATGCCAGACAATGTTAAAAAAGCTTATGGATTACTTAGTTCACCCAAGATATTATAATCCATGTTATGTATTGTTTTTGTATTTGTTTTTGTCCTTGAAAAGGAGAATGTTCGTAGAAATGATAAAATCAGAATAACGTTGTTATTGTATAGTACATACCTATGTATTTAGTAAACAATTATTTAGTGAATGGAAATTTTTAAACGTGATTTTATGTTCACATAGTTCTTTGCTTTTATTTTTTTTACCAAGTGGTATTTAAAAATACAGCAGTGTCATTAAGAGCTAATTTTGCCAATGTTTTGTTTGACATAGGTATGCCTAAAGTCATCACAAAACCATGATATGTTTTATAACGCTTTGTAATGATATTTACACCAGCTTCTTTTAGTCTTTGTGACATCAGGCTGCATTCACTCTCCAGAATATCATACTCTGCAATTCCAAGAAGTGTTGGTGGAGTTGAGCTTAGATCATCAGCAAGAAGTGGTGAAAGATATTGATCTGTGACTTTTTCAATGAAAATCTTGGGTAAAGTGATTTTATCTTTAGTTGGGTTAAGTTTACATTTTGATAATGGAGCAAGATATTTCCAATACTTTGTTTGCATAAAGTACTTTGATACATTACCAGAGATATACATTGGTACCATTTCATCATTGCCCATAGTAAGTGCTGAAGCACCGTATGCTAATATTCTATCAGAATTAGTAAAACCTTCACTATATAATTTATATGATGGTAAACAAAACACATCAATCAGTTGAAACCAAGGATAAAGCAAAACTTGGGCTGCAATTCGGTTTGGTATTTGAGGATGATTGGCAAGTTTCAACGAAACAGATTGAGCCAACAGTCCACCAGCACTCTCGCCCATAAGAGCAATTCTACTACCATTTATATTGTATTTTAATGGCTCAGATAAAATTGTTGACACCACATTCCAAGCATCATCAAAGGAGGCAGGGTAAACATTCTCTGGTGCCAAGCGATAACCAACTGATATAACAATAGCTTTGGTTTTATTGGCTAGGTGAGAACATAATGTCAACGACGATCCAGCATTATTGCTTCCCATAACCATCCCACCTGTGTGAAAAAAGATTATTCCAGGAGACGGTGATGGTATATTATGAGATAGAAACGTTGTCACAGGCACGCCTGCTATAGTACTGTCTTCTATCAATAATTCATTCTTCCACATAGCTCTTTTCATACCAAACCAATCCTTGTCTGGAAGAAGTCGAAATATCTTATACTGTGGAATTCCGAGCAACGGGTTAAAAATGTCTAGCAACAGATAAATACATTGACAAGCAGTCGGAAAGACTTTTGAGGACCATCCTTCAATCTTGTCAGACACAGAACCATATGTTCGATGCCATAGGATTCCTGTTGATATTGCAAGTAATCCTGCGGTAATTGCTACTAAAGTTTTGAACATATTATAACGTTGAAATTTCCAGTATCACCCGTATTCTTTAAGGTAATTCTTACAGAAATTTTGCAAGTATTAAAAACGTGTTTGTTGAACTTTGCCCGAGCTATTAGTACCTGCCGCCCTGACATCAGTCTTCTATTGAGTGTACAGTTTCACATACAAACTAAGCTAAACTCTCGTTTTAGCCTTATACAACTAATTCAATTGACTCAGTAATCAAAATTTGCATTAGAACTGCGCGACTTGTTAGTTTTCTTTACAAAGCACATATTTTAAAAATTTTAATAAGTATTGACTAAGATTTGTACAGATCTTAGCACGAGTGGAATAAGCGGTGAAATGAGTCAGAAGATACGTTATGATATTGGATGATGAATATTATGACTAACTTTAGATCCTTTACTCCAAACACAACTGTAGACTACATTCAAGTTATTCTGCACATAGCTTGCTGCGTGTGTTGTGCAAGAACTGCAACGGCTGCATGTTTTTGAGTCAGATAATTTCAAAAAGGGATCAAAAATCTTAAAAAAAATAGTAAATTGATTTATTTCATCTTTTATGTTGCCGGCTGTGTTCTGTCGTTCATTGATCTAACTTGTTTTCTAGACTTTTTTTTTAGATGTTGGTGTAACGAAATGCAGGGAGAACACATGAGACGTATGTCTGTCAGTCTGTGTCAATGTGTGTTTGTGTTTTGTTTATCTTGCCCTGTTTCCATTGATTTTTTCTTTGGCGATCTCTTTCATATGGCGTAGTCGATCTAAACTACGTGACCAAATTTTTTCAAGTAAGTTCGTTTAATTATCTTTTCATGTTAAACCATGGTTACAACTGAAACACTATTATTTGTACTTGTTTTTTTTTTAATTCAAGCATCTCTGTTAATTGCAGGGGAGTGAATTAAGATATATAATGGTAGCTTTACCATGATCAGCCCATTGAATCAGCAACAGTCGCTTGCTGACAGGTGGTTCCAAAACTGTATTTACCATATTGCATTTAAAAATACAGCAGTGTCATTAAGAGCTAATTTTGCCAATGTTTTGTTTGACATAGGTATGCCTAAATTCATCACAAAACCATGATATGTTTTATAACGCTTTGTAATGATATTTACACCAGCTTCTTTTAGTCTTTGTGACATCAGGCTGCTTTCACTTTCCAGAATATCGTACTCTGAAATTCCAAGAAGTGTTGGTGGAGTTGAGCTTAGATCATCAGCAAGAAGTGGTGAAAGATATTGATCTGTGACTTTTTCAATGAAAATCTTTGGTAAAGTGATATTATCTTTTGTTGGGTTTAGTTTACATTTTGATAATGGAGCAAGATATTTCCAATACTTTGTTTGCATAAAGTACTTTGATACATTACCAGAGATATACATTGGTACCATTTCATCATTACCCATAGTAAGTGCTGAAACACAGTATGCTGTTATTCTGTCAGAAACAACAAAACCTTCGCTATATAATTTATATGATGGCAAACAAAACATATCAATTAGCTGAAACCAAGGATAAAGCAAAACTTGGGCTGCAATTCGGTTTGGTATTTGAGGATGATTGGCAAGTTTCAACGAAACAGCTTGAGCTAACAGTCCACCAGCACTTTCACCCATAAGAGCAATTCTACTACCATTTATATTGTATTTTAATGGGTCAGATAAAATTGTGGACACCACATTCCAAGCATCATCAAAGGAGGCAGGGTAAACATTCTCTGGTGCCAAACGATAACCAACTGATATAACAACAGCTTTGGTTTTATTGGCTAGGTGAGAACATAATGTCAACGATGATCCAGCATTATTGCTTCCCATAACCATCCCACCTGAGTGAAAATAAATTATTCCAGGAGACGGTGATGGTATATTATGAGATAGAAACGTTGTCACAGGTACGCCTGCTATAGTACTGTCTTCTATCAATAATTCATTCTTCCACATAGCTCTTTTCATACCAAACCAATCCTTGTCTGGAAGAAGTCGAAATATCTTATACTGTGGAATTCCGAGCAATGGGTTAAAAATGTCTAGCAACAGATAAATACATTGACAAGCAGTCGGAAAGACTTTTGAGGACCATCCTTCAATCTTGTCAGACAAAGAACCATATGTTCGATGCCATAGAATTCCTGTTGAAATTGCAACAAACGCTGCGGTAATTGTTACTAAAGTTTTGAACATATTTTAACGTTGAAATTTCCAGTATCACCCGTATTCTTTAAGGTAATTCATACAGAATTTTTGCAAGTATTAAAAACGTGTTTGTTGAACTTTGCCCGAGCTATTAGTACCTGCCGCCCTGACATCAGTCTTCTATTGAGTGTACAGTTTCACATACAAACTAAGCTAAACTCTCGTTTTAGCCTTATACAACTAATTCAATTGACTCAGTAATCCAAAATTTGCATTAGAACTGCGCGACTTGTTAGTTTTCTTTACAAAGCACATATTTTAAAAATTTTAATAAGTGTTGGCTAAGATTTGTACAGATCTTTTACATTCTACAATACCGCCCGAAGTGCTCGAGTGCGCCCAAGATCGTCTTTTTAGAGCGCCCGAGAGTAAACGGGTAAATGAGAGACATAGTTAAATGTATTCATGATAGTTTCTGAAGTGTTTTTGACTGTGAAAGTTTTTTTTGAAGAAAAAAGTGCGCGGCCAGTTATAACGTCAGGGCTTGTGCGTTTTCTCTGGAGTAAGTTCTACTATAGTTAAATGTTGTGGTCTACAAAAATAAAGCTTTTATCGAGCAAAAACTAGGATCTTTGAAGATAAATTTATTATTTATCGAATATGTACTTCATGACATTTTGACTTTTTTTTTGACAAAATTTCAGAAAAAATGATAACATGTTTGGCCCAGAAGGTAGACAGTGTTGACAGAATATTAGCACGAGTGGAATAAGCGGTGAAATGAGTCAAAAGATACGTTATGATATTGGATGATTAATATTACAACTAACTTTAGATACTTTACTCCAAACACAACTGTAGACTACATTCAAGTTATTCTGCACATAGCTTGCTGCGTGTGTTGTGCAAGAACAGCAATGGCTGCATGTTTTTGAGTCAGATAATTTCAAAAGCGATCAAAATCTTCAAAAAAATAGTAAATTGATTTATTCATTGATCTAACTTGTTTTCTAGACTTTTTTTAGATGTTGGTGTAACGAAATACAGGGAGGACACATGAGGACGTATGTCTGTCAGTCTGTGTCAATATGTTTATGTGTTATTTTTTATCTTGCCCTGTTCCCATTGATTTTTTCTTTGGCGATCTCTTTCATATGGCGTAGTCGATCTAACCCACGGGACCAAATTTTTTTAAGTAAGTTCGTTTACTTATCTTTTCATGTTAAACCATGGTTACAACTGAAACACTACTATTTTTACTTGTTTTTTTTAAATCCAAGCATCTCTGTTAATTGCAGGGGAGTGAATTAAGATATATAATGGTAGCTTTACTATGATCAGCCCATTGAATCAGCAACAGTCGCTTGCTGACAGGTGGTTCCAAAACTGTATTTACCATATTGCATTTAAAAATACAGCAGCGTCGTGTACAAGTGTTTTTGCTAATGTAATATTAGCCAGGGGCAAACCTAAATTTGTCACAAAACCATGGTATGTTTTATAACGCTTTGTAATGATATTTACACCAGCTTCTTTAAGTCTTTGTGACATCAGGTTGCTTTCACTTTCCAGAATATCATACTCTGAAATTCCAAGAAGTGTTGGTGGAGTTGAGCTTAGATCATCAGCAAGAAGTGGTGAAAGATATTGATCTGTGACTTTTTCAATGAAAGTCTTTGGTAAAGTGATTTTATCTTTAGTTGGGTTTAGTTTACATTTTGATAGTGGAGCAAGATATTTCCAATGCTTTGTTTGCATAAAGTACTTTGATACATTACCAGAGATATACATTGGTACCATTTCAGCATTGCCCATAGTCGCAGCAGAAGCCATGTTAGCCAGTACTTGCACAGGAAGAGTAAAACCTTCACTATATAATTCATATGATGGTAAACAAAACATATCAATCAATTGAAGCCAAGGATAATTCAAAACTTGGGCTGCAATTTTGTTTGGTATTTGAGGATGATTGGCAAGTTTCAACGAAACAGCTTGAGACAACAGTCCACCAGCACTCTCACCCATAAGAGCAATTCTACTACCATTTATATTGTATTTTAATGGCTCAGATAAAATTGTGGACACCACATTCCAAGCATCATCAAAGAAGGCAGGGTAAACACTCTCTGGTGCCAAACGATGACCAACTGATATAACAGCAGCTTTGGTTTCATTGGCAAGTCGAAAGCATAATGCCATTGTTGATGCAGATTTATGGCTTCCTATTGTCAAGCCACTTGCGTAGAAATGAATAATAGCTGGAAATGGTGGTGATATATTGATTGGTTTAAAAGTAGTGATTGGTACTGCAGCTATTGTACTGTGTTCCATAAGCACATCTTTCTCCCAAAATTGTTGTCTAGCATTAAACCAATCCTCATCTGGAAAAAATCTGAGCATTTTGATTGTTGAAATACCAAAAATGACTCCCCGATGTCCGTCATCCTTGAGCCTAACTGAGCCATACTTGGAAAGACTTTTGAGGACCATCCTTCTATCTTTTCAGACACAGAACCAAATGTATGATGCCATAGGATTCCTGTTGAAATTGCAACAAACTGCTGCGGTAATTGTTACTAAAGTTTTGAACATAGTGAAGTTGAAATTCCTAAATCCTAATAATCTCTTGTATATCTTTGTACCAGTTGACCTTTAATCGGGCCGTTCGAACCGGTTGTCTTAAATTTCGAGGTTTATTTATTGAGATAAAATCAAATAGATTACCAATACTTCCTATAGTGAAATACTACAAAATGAACGTAAATAAACTGCATTAAGCCCATTCAAGGGATCTTTCGAAAAGGTATTCAATTATACAGTATAAACAAAACTGAAATGGGCTTCAGTCTTTAACATTAGGTCGTCTTTCGACATACTTCTCATGGTGACATTGTGATTACTAATACAGATGAGTGAAAGATTTTGAAAGAGCATTATGATCAAAGATCAATGAAAAATATAAAATAGACTTAGAACCTCGATGATTTGAACTCTTGAAAGGGAAAGACAAAATAGGCACTTGGCAGCAATTGATCAGCCCTAACCGCACATAGCAAATTGCTTTGGGGAATGATTTTGCGAACGAATGAGTATGAACTCCTGAAGTTGAATGTGAATAGAGTTCATTCATCTTTGGCAAAATTCAAAATGGCAACAAGTGTACGTATTTGTCACAGTAAAATGTCAATGTTTCGAGTATATGAGATCCGAAGTTCTAAACAATGGATATGAATTCTGACGAGATAGACAAATTTCTCTTTGAGAGCTTGCCTTTAAATTTTAATGAAGAGGCATGGTGAGTAGAATTTACAAAACTAGAAATTTGTGTTGGACACAGATGAAGTTTTGTTATTTATTTCTGTTTCTGCCAATGTCTTGTTCATGCCAAGGGCAAATCTATATTTATCATAAAACCACGATATGTTGTTTAATGCTTGTAAGAATATTTACACTTTGTAACATCACGCTGCCTGCCTTTATTTTCCAGAATATCGTACTCTGCAATTCCAAGAAGTGTTGGAGAAGCTGAGCTTAGATCATCAACAAGAAGTGGTGAAAGATATTGATCTGTGACTTTTTCAATGAAAATCTTTGGTAAAGTGATTTTATCTTTTGTTGGGTTAAGTTTACTACATCACATTTTGAAGATTGGAAAAACATATCAGTTGAAGGTGAAAAATGAAAGCTTAACAATGATGAGCAACTATAATTATAGTAGGTTTTAGCCACAATACCGTGCTGGTAGGGGATTGGATATCGAATAAAATAAAGGTGCCATAATTATGGAAATCATGAATCAGCATGGCATAATGACAGTACTTGCAGGGGGAATGATGTCTCAGATAAAGTAATATTGGTACAACTATTGTTAACCATAGTTGTGTGCTGAACTAAACAGCAAGGGTAGGGGAAGGGTGCATTAAGCTTATTATGAAGTAATGGTTGCATATTTTGTGCCACTGTGGTGTGCAGACCAGTGGCAAAGCCTGCCAGATCTTTTACTCCTACACTGAAAATTTTCAGCACAATTTTTGTTTCCTAGGAAAATTCATTCTATTCACTGTTTTCCCTGTGTTTGAACACAGGATTGTTTGCATTCTGGGAGTAAAAAATGGTTTGGCTTTGCTACTGGTACAGGCTCTTCAGACAGGAGCTATTTATATGTGACATAAAGCAATTGTGGCATAATTTTATGATCAAGGCAATTATTTGATTTTCTTGTATTGATTCCTGTTGAGAATGCTATAGAAGCTAAGTTGATGGCCAACACACTCACAAGTTTCAGATATATTTTATTAATCACTGTTTCACATATAGATAACCATACTTGACAAAAGACTCATTATTACTGCCAACTCTATTGAATATAGTCTTTCAATACTGTTTATTCACATAATTTTACCCTACTATGGAAGGTTTTCAACAACTATAATTATCATAGAAATTATCGTTAAAGTTGCTTGTACTGATAAACAGGGTTTGAAGAAATTGTAAAACATGATTGTGCACTGTACTCAGCTAAAATTCTTTGCCTGCATTGTATTTACCATATTGAATTTAAAAATACAACAGTGTCATTTATAACAGTTTCTGCCAATGTATTATTAGCGAGGGGCAAATCTAAATTAAACATATAAGCATGGTATGTTTTATAACGCTTTGTAATAATGTTTACGCCAGCTTCTTTAAGTCTTTGTGACATCAGGCTGCATTCACTTTCCAGAATATCATACTCTGCAATTCCAAGAAATGTTGGTGGAGTTGAGCTTAGATCATCAGCAAGAAGTGGTGAAAGATATTGATCTGTGACTTTTTCAATGAAAATCTTTGGTAAAGTGATTTTATCTTTTGTTGGGTTTAGTTTACATTTTGATAATGGAGCAAGATATTTCCAATACTTTGTTTGCATAAAGTACTTCGATACATTACCAGAGATATACATTGGTGCCATTTCAGCATTGCCCATAGTCGCAGCAGAAGCCATGTTAGCCAGTAATGGCACAGAAAGAGCAAAACCTTCACTATACAATTCATATGATGGTAAGCAAAACATATCAATCAATTGAAGCCAAGGATAAGTCAAAACTTGGGCTGCAATTTTGTTTGGTATTTGAGGATAATTGGCAAGTTTCAACGAAACAGCTTGAGCCAACAGTCCACCAGCACTCTCACCCATAAGAGCAATTCTACTACCATTTATATTGTATTTTAATGGGTCAGATAAAATTGTGGACACCACATTCCAAGCATCATCAAACGAGGCAGGGAACACACTCTCTGGTGCCAAACGATAACCAACTGATATAACAGCAGCTTTGGTTTTATTGGCAAGTCGATAGCATATTGCCATTGTTGATGCAGATTTATGGCTTCCCATTGACAACCCACCTGCGTGGAAATGAATAATAGCTGGAGATGGTGGTGATATATTGATTGGTTTAAAAGTAGTGACTGGTACTCCAGCTATTGTACTGTGTTCCATAAGCACATCTTTCTCCCAAAAGTGTTGTTTAGCATTAAAAAAATCCTCATCTGGAAAAAATCTCATAGTTTTCACTTGTAAAATACCAAAATAGGAGTCCCCAATGCCAGCTATCCAAAAAATCAACTGAGCGGAGGCTGGAAATACTTTGTTGGACCACCCCTCAATCTTGTCAGACACAGAGCCATAAGTTAGATGCCATAGAATTCCTGTTGAAATAGCAACGCATGCTACAGTAATTGCTATTAACGTTTTAAACATATTGATGCCTACCGTTTCGTTAAGAGAAAAAAACGGCCACTACAAAGTCCAATGAAAGTTTTTGTGTCATATGACGCATATATGGCCTCAGTGCAAGGATCAGGTATCATCAGCGTTCCCATTATCTGTTTGAAAGAAATTCTTGTTGATGAAAATTTTTACAGAATAAAGGAATTAAAAGGAAATGGGACTTTAAAGGAAATTTGAAGAAAACAAGACTTCAGTAATAAAAACGGTAAATTTACTGTGGCTCTTACTCAAATAAATTTCTAACGAAACTGAGATTGACTCAAGTCTTTGGTCTTGGGCACATGACAGGAAATGTATATTTTATTAATCACTGTTTCACACTTACATAACCCTACTCCATAAAAGACGATTTATTTCTGCCCAAACCTACTGAATATATAGTGTCTTGATACCCCTTGTTCATGTGATTTTACTAATTGATATAAAAATTAACGTCAAAGTTGCTTCTTCTAATAAGCAGGATTTGAAGAAATTTCAAACATGATTGTGCACTATACTCAGCTAAAATTCTTTGCCTACATTGTATTTGATTACCATATTGAATTTAAAAATACAGCAGTGTCATCTATAACAGTTTCTCCCAATGTATTATTAGCCAGGGGCAAATTTAAATGAAACACAAAACCATGATATGTTTTATAACGCTTTGTAATGATATTTACACCAGCTTCTTTAGTCTTTGTGACATCAGGCTGCATTCACTTTCCACAATATCATACTCTGAAATTCCAAGAAGTGTTGGTGGAGTTGAGCTTAGATCATCGGCAAGAAGAGGCGAAAGATATTGATCTGTGACTTTTTCAATGAAAGTCTTTGGTAAAGTGATTTTATGTTTAGTTGGGTTTAGTTTACATTTTGATAATGGAGCAAGATATTTCCAATACTTTGTTTGCATAAAGTACTTCGATACATTACCAGAGATATACATTGGTGCCATTTCAGCATTGCCCATAGTCGCAGCAGAAGCCATGTTAGCCAGTACTGGCACAGAAAGAGCAAAACCTTCACTATATAATTCATATGATGGTAAGCAAAACATATCAATCAATTGAAGCCAAGGATAAGTCAAAACTTGGGCTGCAATTTTGTTTGGTATTTGAGGATAATTGGCAAGTTTCAACGAAACAGCTTGAGACAACAGTCCACCAGCACTCTCACCCATAAGAGCAATTCTACTACCATTTATATTGTATTTTAATGGGTCAGATAAAATTGTGGACACCACATTCCAAGCATCATCAAAGGAGGCAGGGAACACACTCTCTGGTGCCAAACGATAGCCAACTGATATAACAATAGCTTTGGTTTTATTAGCAAGTCGAAGCATATTGCCATTGTTGATGCAGATTTATGGCTTCCTACTGTCAACCCACCTGCGTGGAAATGAATAATAGCTGGAGATGGTGGTGATATATTGATTGGTTTAAAAGTAGTGACTGGTACTCCAGCTATTGTACTGTGTTCCATGAGCACATCTTTCTCGAAAAGGGGTTGTTTAGGATCAAACAATTCCTTCTCAAGAAAAAATCTCACAGTTTTCTCTGGTGAAATACCAAAATAGGAGTGCCCTACGCCAGCTATCCAAGAAGTCAAGTGAATGAAGGCTGGAAATAGTTTGTTGGACCATCCTTCTATCTTGTCAGACACAGAGCCATAAGTTAGATGCCATAAAATTCCAGCAGAAATAGCAACCCATGCTACAGCAATGGCTGCCAAAGTTTTAAACATATTGATGCCAACCGCTTCGTTAAGAGAAACGACGGTAAATTAACAGGGGCAGTGGCACTCGAATAAATTTCTACTTATTAATGTAACTCAGCCAGTCAGCTTCTAGTTCGGGGCACATGACGCGAAAAGTTTTGCATATATTTAGTAGGGTATACTTTAAATTACTTTTGATGCAGATTTATGGCTTCCTATAAACAATCACCAACCCACTCGGGTGGTAATGAACAGTTCTGTAGAAGTGGAGGGCGCTTGGGGGAGGAGGCCCCCTTCTACCTTTGAAATGTGTAATTTTTCATAATCTCATGGCTTCAGGTTTGTCAAGAGAGCCACCCATCTGATAAATATAGTTCTGCAGCACTGGTAATGAATAATCCCTGCTATAGTAATTGCTATTAAAGTTTTAAACATATTGATGTCTACAGCTTTGTAAAGACGGAATAATCGGCCCCAGCAAAGTTTAACGAAAGTTTTCGGGTCAGTCATATGGCGAATATCTTATAAAGTTATAAGATATTATTTCTTTAATTTTCTTGGCTATTGTACAGCGTTACAGATTTTAAATTAAATGAAGATATGATCTTCGCACTTTGCTGGACAATTTAAGCAATTGTCTCATGAACCTGAAAAATTCAGGTGACTCAACGGGATCCCATATCTTCATTTAATTTCAAACACCGCACTGCATAAAAACATTCTTTCATATGACATTCCTTTCACGAGAAAACATGAGCCCAACAAAATTGACCTGCTCACCACTGTGTGACTTCATAGCTCAGTTGGTCAGAGCACTGCACCGGCACCGCAGAGGTCACGGATCCCGTTGAGTCACCTGAATTTTTCAGGTTCATGAGACAATTGCTTAAATTGTCCAGCAAAGTGCGAAGATCATATCTTCATTTAATTTCAAACACCGCACTGCATAAAACAATTCTTTCATGTTACAGATTTTCCCCATTTTTAACTTGTTTATTTGTCTCTTTACGAGTATCAAGCGTATGAAAAACGGAACAGTCAGAATTTCCAATAAAATTGCTAGCATATGATTTTGCCGAAATCTGAAACCTTACCCGACTATGACGTCACTATCAATGACGTTCCATGAAATAATGACGTCACTTTTGTGAGCAGCATGTTCGAACGTCAGAAATAGTTTTGAGCCTCACCTCTATCGGCAGCTCCATTGCAGTTACATTTGTAATAAATTTATCATACAAAATGTTGAAACCATAAATGAAAATAGACTTTTACATGTCTTCCTGAACAAAATTCACTGAAATTTATAAAATTTGCTCGACAATGGCATCGAACAAACGTATGTATTGTTTGCTTGTATCTAATTTATCTATATTTCGTTTTTATTTATTTCGTTTTTTTTGTGTATTTTATAAATAAATTTGTCGCGGAGGCTTAAATGATATTTTGAAGGCAATACAGTGCTCGTAGATCGTTAATTTCGTTCATTTGTCAGTTGATTTAGGCGAAAATTTACGTCAAGATTTGAAAAAGTTAAGCTTTGATGGTGAATTAAGCAAAAGGAAGACAATGGTTAAAGAAAAGGCTCACGTCGCGCATTCCGTCAACATGTAAATGTTTTCATCTAAAAGACTTTAAATTACATGATTATAACATCATAAAAATTAATACTTGTGTACTTCAGGCAAAGAATAAAGGATCATAAGGCTGTTGGAAAATTACGATTCGGATCAACTGAGGTGAACAAATTTAATGCTGATGATTGTCTGTCAGTGTATGTTGGTTTGTTAAAAACGGTAAATTGTTTTGACAGGAAACCTACGAATACACTTCAGAAGATCTTATTGATTTGGGAGAAATTGGAAGAGGGAATTTTGGTTCTGTTAGCAAAATGTTACATAGGCAAAGTGAAACGAAGATGGCTGTAAAGGTGAACGATTTTTGGTAGTATAAATGATATTAACAAAGCTACCTCCATGTAATCATGAAAGTAATTGTTTGAGTCGCTATATTTGCAGAGAATTCATTCCACTGTCGATGAAAAAGAGCAAAAGCAACTGTTGATGGATCTTGAAGTTGTAATGAACAGCAATGATTGTCCGTATATTGTAAAGTTCTATGGTGCTCTTTTCACAGAAGTATTAATCATGCTTATTAGTTGCACTACTGACTGTCAACTTGAACTTAAGTATCATTGTTTATATAATAATGAACATCTAGGGTGATGCATGGATCTGTATGGAACTGATGGAGACATCTTTGGATATGCTTTATAAACAAGTGTATGTTAAACTTGGCCAGTCGATACCGGAAGATATTCTTGGCATTATTGCTTTAGCTGTAAGTTTTGAGCCGTGATCAATGAAATTGAGCAGTACATTAAATAAATAATATGCATATGTTATAGGTTGTGAAAGCGTTGGATTATTTGAAATCAAAACTGAATATCATACACCGAGGTGATGATTACCTTATTGACAACAACTTCCTAAGGACCTTTATAGCAATCGTATCATTCATTTTCTCCAGATGTAAAACCCTCAAATATTTTACTGGATTTAAAAGGCAATATAAAACTGTGTGATTTTGGGATCAGCGGACATTTGGTTGATTCAATTGCTAAAACCCGCGATGCTGGTTGCAAACCATATATGGCTGTAAGTGTCAACATGTCTTTCTTTGGTGATTAAATCATTAAATTTCCATGTCAACAGGTACTTAAAATAATTATTGTGTAGGAATTGTCAAACAGGAAATTTTGCTTTTTTGTAGCCTGAGAGAATTGATCCAGATTCATTAAAAAATGGATATGATGTTAGGTCAGATGTTTGGAGTTTTGGTCTTACAATGGTTTGTTTTTGGCTGTCTTTGGTGATTAAATTGTTAAATTTCTTGAGTTTGTTAAATAAACGGCAGAGTTTCCTTTATTAAAGATTGAGCTTGCAACTGGAAAATTTCCTTACCCAAAATGGACATCGATGTTTGATCAGCTTATGGCTGTTGTCACAGGAGATCCTCCCCAATTATCCAATAATGATCCATCAAAGACTCCATTTACCCTGAATTTATACATTTTGTCAATACATGGTAATGTTTTTATGATGTTCATTCACTTGCATTTCTTAATTCTTCACTTCATCATTCACTGTACATATATTTATATTTAAATATTCATCAAACATAGTGTTACTAAAGATGTATCAAAAAGACCCAAGTACAAAAGATTATTGGTGAGTTAGCGAGTTTCACTGTACATCATTAATGTTAAAATACAGTGAAACCTGGGTTGAGTGGAAATGGACTACTGTCTGTTTTATGTAGGTGTATGCTTGCTAGAGGTTTTAGTTTTACAATTTAGCTATATGGGATTGAATTTGTTAAATTAAAAATGACATACTGTAATAAGCAGACACTTTGTAAAGTTCCAATCATACAATAACCTGCCTCTCCTATGTGTGCCTTTGCTTTTAGGAGTTTCCATTTTTACAACGATATGAACAGGAAGTAATCTCAGTTGATGTGTGCAGTTGGGTAAAACAGGTACTAAATGACACTCCAAGGGTTGTATATGAAAGTCATTTTTAGTTATTTGGAAAATTTATAGCTGTAGGACAAATTAACGACAAAAATTTAATTCTATTTATAAACTTTATAATTACTTGCGAATATTTGCAAGAACTTAGTGTGTATGTAATTAATGGGCTGTGTATATATGTTATTTAAACTGTAATGTATTGTAAAAATATTCAAACATTCGAAAAATATACCCAAATACCAATTTTTTGATAAAACACTTGATTTGTTGACCGGTGCAACAAATTGACAACAGTATAGGCACAGAATAAAATTATACAGAAGAGTCACTTGTGTCGGAGCCTTTGATAATTTGGTCCTCATGCATGGTGGCCGTCATTATTCCAGCCAGATGATTAGGGTTTTGACTTTTTCCTAACCTTTAAAATGATTCAAAGTCATTTCTTAGGTCAAAATATACTTGAATTCATTATTAAGTATTGACGTCATGTAATTTTAATGGTTGGAAACAAGTGAGATAAGAAATCCAAATCAATAGTGGCATGAGGACGCATTGTACACCTGAGTGACCATTCTGTATAATCATTATTCTGTTTATAGGGAATAAACAGTCGTCTCACTCCCTGTGCAACTTGGTGCTGAATATTTAATTAGGTTACTGGCTGTGGTGAGCCAATCTAGTGTTCCTATTGGTCAGAAAATGCAGTTGTCACCTGCCATTATGCTAATCATTTACATACTGAACACATCACAAAATTGTACAATAAAGCGGGACTTCTGTTTGTTCCTATCCTATACCACCCAAGATACCACCTGTACGGTCCTTCGACGGTGGTTTATCTCCGGGGTTAGATATCGAGCCCTATAATCAATCTGTTGTCATGGCAACAGTTGCGAGCGACGACAAAAAAAACACAAGAAGTCGTGTTGAAAAACAAGTACATTTTCCCTAGATATATTTCCTTTTGCAACTTGTGTTTTTGGCAAAAAACTGTGTAGAAATGAACTTGCGTTTGGAAAGTAATAGTTAGGAATTCTTTGAAAAAGATTGTGCTTGTCAAGTTTTATCAAGATGGAGTTCAGCGACCCACGTTTTGATTTTTTATCTGACTACGTCCTTAAAAGCATGAAGCTGAAGAATGAAAAATGGGCTAAGTTGCAAGGAAATGAAGAGTACAGGACACAGATATTGAACTTCTTTGAAAAGCCGGACATAAACCTGCTTGTAATAATACAAAATTCATCGGGGCAACTGCAACCGCTTTATAACTTTCCTCTTACTCTGAAAACAAAAGCGGTTTACATTGCAAAGAAAGAGAAATCTTTGAATATCGGTAAAGACAACGTAAAGACTGCTTTGGCATTTGGAGATTTATCGTATGCCCCACCGGAGCAGCTTTTTGCATTGGTCGAGGAGGTACATTGGAAAAGGAAATTTTCATTTTAGTGATTTTACGGCTTTAATAAATGGTATTGCACATAAATATTTTTGGTATGTTTTAGATCCTTGTACCTCTCCTGTCAAACCAAAGAAATCATGAAGAATGGCCTGCAGTGGTCTCTCACGATATTCTTCGGCACATAAACTCTCTGAAAAGTAACGTGTTCGTTATAGCCGGTCAGGTAAAGGGAAAAACTCTGCTACCTTTACCTGTTGGCTCGGAGCAAGTTGCTGAAGCTTGTGAGTCGGATGCGCGGTATGTAGCTTTATAAATATTTCTCAAAATGACTTAGACAGCTCCTAATGATGTTAATGTCTCTTGCGATAGAGGAGAGTATTTTGATCGCAGTTTGATTCATTCAATTGAATCTATAATCATTGATTGGTCACATCAAATACAGAATGTCCTTAAACGAGATTCTTCAGAGCCACTTCTCAATGGTACCAATCCCGGTCCAATGTTAGAGCTGGACTTCTGGAAAGGACGAGCTGAGAATCTTGAGTGCATCTTTGAACAAGTAAATAAATTTGATTACAAGTGTAGGATCCTGGTAAAGATTATGTATTATGTTTATATTATCTATGTTTTAGCTCAGGGATGACCGGATTAGAAGTATGGCAGAGCTGCTCGAGAAAACAAAGAGTAGTTATTTCTTAGCATTCAAGAATGTGTTTCGTGAAGTGATTTCAGGTAAGCTCATTCTTCAAATAGAAAAGTTTTTTCCAAAGTGTGTTTCTGTTTATTGTTTCACCCTTCGATTAGAAACTTATATTTACTATTTCTTTCCATGAAAGCACTTGAAGAGGCGCGGGACATTAATATGTATTTAAAGCCATTGCGAGGACAACTTGAAGACATGGAGCAATTTGACTTCACAGAAATTGACAAAGTCCTTCCACCATTAATGCATACTATTGCTTTGATTTGGGCCAATTCAAAGTTTTACTGCAGACCTGCAAGGATTATAATCCTTCTCCAGGAAATGTGCAATATGCTTATCGAAATGGTGAGTTTGGCAATCTGGTTTATTTGCTTTTTGTTCTAATGTTTTATTTTGTGTCGGCTTTCATTTGACACTCACCCATTGTAGAGAGATTAGGATTTATAGGAGGTGGAGTTTTGTGTATTTAAAACCAGCAATGGTGTTTAACAGTGGTAGGGACATTAATAGCCAGGTGGGAACTTAGAGTAACTGGAAAGGAGACCGGAATCAGGAATGAGTTTGGTTATGTAATGAAGAAAGAAGAGGATTAGTTGAGGAAACATATGTTGAAGATGGTAGTGAGTGGATGGTGAAGAAGAGGAAGATCATGATAGAGGTGGATAGATGAGATGATATGAGGGACGTGGATATGATAGAAGGGGATATGGTGGAAAGATTATGTTGGAGAGTAGTGAAGAGCTTTGAATTAGTAAGCATTCGAAAGGAGAAGAAAAGAACTATTAATGCAAAAAGTAAAAATTTCAATGACTATTGGAAATTATCAACTATTGTTTACGAAAAATTTTTTAAGAGTCACAGCGTTCGTAAGGGCTGCATTTGACTATTTGATTTCTATGATTTCAAGCTGGTTCATTCTTAGTTTGTGTTCAAAGAGTTTGAATAAAACTTTTTACTTGAAATAAAGACCGGTAGTATGCTGTCTACTTTATTTACTGCTTATTGCCGTATGCCCTTTTTGGTTGAGTTATTCGCGCTTTTTAAATGTTCGTGTCCTTCAATCCTTCACTTTTTTACTCTTATTCTCTCTTCAGGCTCGTGTTTTTTTGGAACCTGCAGAAATCTTCAAGGGCGAGTCGGAGGAGTCCTTGGAGAAGACGCAAGTTGTTTTGAAAGTATGTAACATGTGGAAAGATCTCTTCTTACAGACCAGAGCCAACATGCCCAAGTTGTTCAAAGATCCTGACAAAGTGAAGAACTGGGAGTTTGCAAACGAACTTGCGTTTGCTAGACTTGATAAATTCGTGGAACGCGTCGCAGTTGTTGAAGTACGTTAATCTATGATACGTATATTGGTGCAAATTAGCTCACCGTCCTTTAATAAGATCTAGATTACATTAAAATGTTCGTAAGAAGATTGTCTCTTATTGATAGCGAAAAACTTGCATTCCGGACGCGATTTTTCATGTAGACTGTAACTTCGACTGTACGACATGTGGAAAATAGGAAGTTTACTGGCAATGTCGCTGAAAATTATGATTTAGTTTAAGATAGAGATTGAGCAACTCGTCGCTTTTGACAATTGTTTGAGTGGAAAATATCCGAAGTGCTCACCCGCTATCAAATGTTTTCAAAATAATTTATTTTACAACAAAACTTACTGCCCTTCATGTTTCGTTGATTTTTCTGCGCCAGGAACTGTTTACAACAGCTATCGAGTTTAGCAAGCTCGAGAAGGTAGAGATTGGTGGTATTAAAGGAAAGATGTTAAGTCATCAGGTGGTGGAGATATTTGAAGAATTTACAGAGTACTTTGCTGTATTTGGAAGTAGAACATACGATGGTCTAGATCCTTCTGTTAAGGTTTATATAAAATTGAATAAGTTTATTTCATTTTCCATGTTCATTTATTTACGATAATTTTACTTTTTGAAAGAATGTTATATGCAGTGCGGTGTTTGAAATTAATGAGACAATTGCTTAAATTGTCCAGCAAAAGTGCGAAGATCATATCTTCATTTAATTTTACTTTTTGTTAGGAATTTGTTGATGATTATAATGACTTCACGAACAAGATTGCAGATTTAGATCGACGCCTCGCATCCATTTTGTGCCAGGCGTTTAATGATAGTTGCGGCACTTTAGGAGTTCTTAAGGTAAGCATTTGAATGTGTTTTGTTATCTGAAGAGTCTTGTTTCATTGTCTCGTTCAACATATACTGTCTTAAGAGCTGAGGCTGATATGAGGACTAGTATGCAAGCTCATATCTCGCCAAGGCCACATGTTTTTCATGCACGTATAACTGTGTCGGAATTCATATTCTGATTCTCTGATGATGGCTTAATTGTGTTTTCTTGATAATAGAGAAACTCTAATTCGTTCTAATTAAAAATAAATGTATTAATTGTGTTGTTTTATAAATTTCTCGATAAAAGGGAAGCTCTAATTCGTTCTAATTAAAAATAGATGTATTAATTGTGTTATTTGATTAATTTCTCAATAACAGAGAAACTCTAATTTGTTCTAATTAAAAGTAGATGTATTAATTGCGTTATTTGATTAATTTCTCAACAATAGAGAAACTCTAAAAATTCGTTCTTAGTAAAAACGACATGTGTCGTATTATTTGATTATTTTCTTAAAAAAAAGAATCTCTAATTCGTTCTAATTAACAGAAAAAGAACGTTAATTCTATTATGTCATTATACCTTGTCATACGTCGTCAGTATTTTTCGTGACTCATTTCTGTTGTAGCTGATGGATTGTTTCGGCAGTTTGATGGATCGCCCTCGTATTCATGCAGATTTCGAGCACAAATATCCTGTGCTTTTATCAATGTTTGAAAATGATCTGGACACAGCAAAGTTGATATTTGATCAACAATTATCGTTTGAGAGCAATAACGATACCTTGCCTTTAAATAAGAACAAGCCGCCGGTCTCGGGTTGCTTGAAATGGGCGCAAGAACTACGAGAAAGAATAAAAACACCAATGAATAGTCTTAAATTGTCATTAAATCATGGGTATGATGTCCTGACTTTTTTTAATAAACGATGAAGATTTTTGTCTTCAATTGCTATATGTGTAAATTTTTGTAGCATTTTAGAAAGTGCTGAAGCCATGAGTATTATGAACAAATACGATGAAATGGAAGGCCTTTTAACTGGGTAAGTTTTAAAATAATCTTAACATAGGTTGAACTGAAAAAGTATGAACAAACAAAATGTACAAATTGTACCGTGATATCAACTATTATCCATATTAGTTATGAACAAAATACCTACGAATTGTACCGTGATATCAACTATTATCCATGTTAGTTATGAACAAAATCTACAAATTGTACCGTGATATCATCTATTATCCATGTTAGTTATGAACAAAAAATACAAATTGTACCGTGATATCAACTATTATCCATGTTAGTTATGAACAAAATCTACAAATTGTACCGTGATATCATCTATTATCCATGTTAGTTATGAACAAAAAATACAAATTGTACCGTGATATCAACTATTATCCATGTTAGTTATGAACAAAATCTACAAATTGTACCGTGATATCATCTATTATCCATGTTAGTTATGAACAAAAAATACAAATTGTACCGTGATATCAACTATTATCCATGTTAGTTATGAACAAAATCTACAAATTGTACCGTGATATCAACTATTATCCATGTTAGTTATGAACAAAAAATACAAATTGTACCGTGATATCATCTATTATCCATGTTAGTTATGAACAAAATACCTACGAATTGTACTGTGATATCAACTATTATCCATGTTAGTTATATACAAAATACCTACGAATTGTACCGTGATATCACCTATTATCCATGTTAGTTATGAAGAAAACACCTACGAATTGTGGACAAAAAGTGTCGGTGATGTTGCACAGCAGAATTTGGATAAGCCCCTTATAATAAGAGACCCACAGACGTTGTTGATAAAGGTCAACTTTGATGCTGAGGTGGGTTGTCTTTGCCGTATATACGATATATGATCCCCGTATATACGATATACGATCCCGTCAATTTTTCCTGTGTGTTAGGTTGTACTCTGGTATAACACCGTATAACTTTTTTTTTATTTTTCTACAGTTGATAGCTTTACTCCGTGAGGTTAAGTACTTGGAACAGGCTCAGAATGACGTCATTGAAACAATTCCCGAAAGTGCGACGTGTGTTTACGAACGCAACGAGACCTTTAATAAGTTCTGCGCCAATCTTGATCTTACTGTAGCGTGGTATAATACCGTTCGGCAGACATTATTGCAGGTGGAGTTTCCTTTAGTGAGAGATCAACTTAAAGATATAGATGAACAATTGGAACAAGCTGAGAAAACATTGACCTGGAATAGTGATGGTAAGATGTCGATCTGTTGCAAATTGAATAAAAGACAATCTGTATCGGGGAGTGCATTCTAACAACTTACACATTGACGCTGAATGAACAGAGTATAGCATACAGTATAAAAGGGTGATTACTGGATAGCCTATTCTATAAAGGGGTGATTACAGGATAGCATACACTATAAAGGGGTGATTACAGGATAGCATGCACTATAAAAGGGTGACTACAGGATAGCATACACTATAAAAGGGTGATTACAGGATAGCATGCACTATAAAGGGGTGATTACAGGATAGCATACGCTATAAAGGGGTAATTACAGGATAGCATACACTATAAAGGGGTAATTACAGGATAGCATACACTATAAAGGGGTGATTACAGGATAGTATACACTATAAAGGAGTGATTACAGGATAGCATACACTATAAAGGGGTGATTACAGGATAGCATACACTATAAAGGGGTGATTACAGGATAGTATACACTATAAAGGAGTGATTACAGGATAGCATGCACTATAAAGGAGTGATTACAGGATAGCATACACTATAAAGGGGTGATTACAGGATAGTATACACTATAAAGGAGTGATTACAGGATAGCATGCACTATAAAGGAGTGATTACAGGATAGCATACGCTATAAAGGGGTAATTACAGGATAGCATACACTATAAAGGGGTGATTACAGGATAGCATACACTATAAAGGGATGATTACAGGATAGCATGCACTATAAAGGGGTGATTACAGGATAGCATACACTATAAAGGGGTAATTACAGGATAGCATACACTATAAAGGGGTAATTACAGGATAGCATACACTATAAAAGGGGGACTACAGGATAGCATACACTACAAAAGGGTGACTACAGGATAGCATGCACTATAAAGGGGTGATTACAGGATAGCATGCACTATAAAAGCGTGACTACAGGATAGCATACACTATAAAGGGGTGACTACAGGATAGTATGCACTATAAAGGGGTGATTACAGGATAGTATATACTATATAAGTTTTACTGCGGGTGCAGATGCATATTTCCGCATGGGTGACCACAGAATGACATGCATTATTATATAGCTATTTATCATCACATGATTTTGTTGTTATTTAGGGGTATGGGAGTACATTGAGAGGATACGTGATCAGGTTCATGATCTTGAACGTCGTGTACAAGCTGCAAAGGATAATGTAAATGCAATCGGTCAACTTATGACAAAATGGTGTGAAGCTCCTTTGTATCAACGCAAAGGTGAAAAACGTGAAGGCTTATTGAACATAGAGGTACACGTGATATCCTTTTATGATGAAACCATATGGAGTACAATAATGTTCACCTCTGTACTGCTCAATCCTTTAGGAAAAAGACACGATCTTGAAAAAACGTTATAGTATGATTGAAGAATCAGGACTTAAAATTCACGATCTAATGAAGGTATTTATGTTTCCCTTCCCTTCCCCTCTACCCTATCCTTACCTCCCCTTAATCCCTTCTTACCCAGCCTTGCTCTTCCATCCCCCGCTCTCGAACATCAACCTACGTTGTATCTTCAGAAAAACCTAGAACTGTTCAAAGCTGATGCTTCGTTAGAAATATGGAAGGCGTACGTTGAGTATCTTGATGATATGGTCGTCGATGGTTTCTTCAATGCGATCCACGCCTCGCTGAATTACATCCTCGAGAATACGGACGCGAAGACAAACACTTTGGCAGTATTTGAAGCGAAGCTGGAACTTCAGGCACCTGAAATGGTCTTCATTCCTTCATTAGATTATGCCAGTGGCTCTTATGGATTCTATGACATGGTCGAGGGGATTATTGGTGATATATACTGTATGGCAACACTCGTTACTAGGTTAGCTGATCATAACGAGGCACCGCATTATCAGGTATTGTTATCATTTACAACGCATGCGTGCATCAATTACGTGGGAACTTTAAGTTTCAAATTTTCGAATAAAATATTTGAGTAAAATATGAATGAAGTGGTTACATGTTTTATGTTTGATTTGTGTCAGGCTGATCTTGAAGATATGTTGGAGTTATCGGAGATGAAACAGGAAGTTCTTGAACGCATTTCAACTGTCATAAATAAAGCTACAGAATACAGGAATTCATTTGATGTATATGCGTATCTCTGGGTGGACGACAGAAATGAATTCATGCGACAATTTTTACTTTATAATCATGTATTGACGGCTGAAGAGATTGAAGCCCATGTTGAAGATGGTGTGCCTGAATGTCCTCCAACATTAGAACAGTTTAAGGAACAGGTAAGATATTACAATTTATTCCCACTCCCTACATAACTTCATCATTAGTTCTCCCTCCCCCCAAGCGCAACTTCTTCATTAGTTCTCCCCCCCCAGCATAACCTCATTTAGTTCTTCCCTAAAGCACAACCTCATTAGCTCGCCCCCTTCCCAAGCACAACCTCATCATTCGTTCCCCCTCTCGCCCATCCAACCCAACAGTGTCAATAGCTCTCCCCCCTTTCCAACACAACTTCATCATTAGTTCCTCCTCTCGCCCATCCAACCCAACAGTGTCAATAGCTCTCCCCCCTTTCCAACACAACTTCATCATTAGTTCCCCCTCTTGCCCATCCAACCCAACAGTGTCAATAGTTCTCCCTCTTCCCTACACAACTTCATCATTAGTTCCCCCTCTTGCCCATCCAACCCAACAGTGTCAATAGTTCTCCCTCTTCCCTACACAACTTCATCATTAGTTCCCCCTCTTGCCCATCCAACCCAACAGTGTCAATAGTTGTCCCTCTCCCTACAAACCTTCATCATTAATCTCCGTCCATAATCGAATCTCATTATCGATTCTTCCCTCTCATGAACATACTTACCTATTTGTTGGTTTATGTTAAAATTACAACAAATCAACTATGTCGCAGTCCACACGCGCACCTTTCATAAACGTTAATTATCAATTTCGTTTCTATTTTATTCAGATTGATACGTACGAAAAGTTGTATGTTGAAGTGGATGAATTCAAAGGCGTATCAATGTTTGATACGTGGTTTTGTGTTGATGCTAAACCATTCAAACAAGCTCTTCTCAATATTATTAAACGTTGGAGTTATATGTTCAAACAACATCTCATCGATCACGTGACCAACAGGTGGGTCCATGTCTCAAAGGACATTTTATTTATCGATCGGCTGCTCGAGTCCATACCTCAAATTTTATTCAATGACAGGTTAAGTTTATAGAAAATTGATTCGTTGCATGCATTTTGTTGTTGTAGTTTAAATGATCTTGTTGACTTCATCAAAGTAGCGGATAAAGGTCTCGCGGAAGAGGTTGCTGAAGGGGATTACAATGGATTGGTGGCAGTAATGGGACATCTAATGGCCGTGAAGGATCGGCAAGCCGGGACAGATGAGATGTTTGAACCATTGAAACACACGATCGAGTTACTGAAGACCTACGGTCAGGAGCTACCTGAAGAGGTTCATCTACAGCTACAGGAGTTACCTGAACAATGGAATAACTGCAAGAAAAATGCTGTGACTGTTAAACAACAGGTTGCTCCGTTACAAGCTGCCGAGGTTGCCATCATTAGACGAAAATGTGGACAGTTTGATGTGAGGCATAGTATTCGTGAGTATTTTAATTATATTTATATCTGTTTCGTTGTACGCTTTCTCTCTTTCTTGACAGATTAAACAACACGAGTTCCGTGAAGACTTTAGAAAGACAGCGCCGTTCATGTTTAATTCGGAAAACGTTTACGAGAAATTAGATAGGGTAATCTCTTTGTCTTTGAAAATGTATCCGTTTTCGGCATTTCCATTGAGAACATCTCTCGTTTGTTTAGGCAAACATTGCAATTTGTGGCATGGAGGAAGAAATGAAGGCGCTGGGTGAATCTGCTGGTTTGTTTGAAGTGAATTTCCCTGATTACAAACAGCTTCGAGCGTGCCGTAGAGAAGTGTTCCTTCTCAAAGGATTATGGGATATGATCTATGCTGTTCTGACGAGTATCGATGACTGGAAGACGACACTCTGGAGTGATATAAATGTGGACACCATGGAAATGGAATGTAAACGTTTTGTTAAAGAAATCCGAAGTCTTGATAAGGAGATGCGTGCTTGGAATGCGTTCACGGGCCTGGATTCTACTGTGAAAAATATGGTGACGTCATTACGGGCCGTATGTGAGCTTCAAAATCCTGCGATCAGGGAGAGACATTGGCAACAGCTGATGCAAGCAACACAGGTTAGTGGTATGCTTAATGAAAACGGATGGCTGTAATATGTAGAAAGTGTACCAAGAAAAGGAGACCTTCATGAATTAAACTGTTGTTATAATTTCAATGCCCCATCACTGTGCTGAGCCTACGTGTGCCAGAAGCATCGTCAGCATGATACAGGCATTCAAGCGTTGCTGCTCATGGAAATTTAACATGACTTCTAAAGCCTGGTTTTTAAATGTCGAACAACGACTCAATACAAAACCATAGACATTACACTGTGGAGAAATAGAAAATTACTTATTAAAACCACGGACAACTAAACAACGACTCAATACAAAACCATAGACATTACACCGTAGATAAATAGAAAATTACTTACTAAAACCACCGACAACTAAACAACAACTCAATACAAAACCATAGACATTACACCGTGGAGAAATAGAAAATTACTTATTAAAACCACGGACAACTAGACTTTAGTTTGCGATAGGATTTCATCAAAAATGTTTCACATATTTGCCATGAAGTCAGTGAATGTTCATCTTATAATACGTGAATCAAAATAAAATGGGAGTTAATGAAGAAATGAAATAAATATATGATACAGTTTGTGACTGATTCAAATTACCATTCAAAAGACGTTGTGTATCTTTTTTAACTTTGCACAATCCTCTAGTTTGCTTTCACATCGTTTATTGTCAATGCATTGAACTTATTTTATTTATGGTTTTGTTCAGGTGAAGTTTATAATGGACGAAGATACATGTCTAGCTGATCTTCTTGCTTTAAATCTTCATAAGTACGAGGATGAGGTGCGGGGGATTGTTGATAAGGCCACCAAAGAGTTAGGAATGGAGAAGATCTTAAGCGAACTTGATGTCACGTGGTCTGCTATGGAATTTGAGTACGAGACTCATCCACGCACGCGTATTGCGTTACTTAGATCTAGTGAGGAACTTATAGAGACACTTGAGGATAATCAAGTACGTGTGTAGGTTGAATTGAATTGAAATGACTTGATGGGGACTGTATTTCAGTATTTTACCATTTACTGGCTGGGCGGTCCGTGCAGAAAAAATATTTTCACAAAGTGAATTGTTTTATGATGAAACAATTCATTACATGTTTGTATATGTAGATCGTCCAGGTTGGTATAGTCCTGAGAAGGAGTCAAATGAAGATGACTAACGCTAAGGTTGTCAAAACGTCAGTCAATAACAACAAAAACAGTCCTTCTCAGGACTATACTAACCTGGACGATCTACATTTACAAACATGTAACGATACTCCCGGGTTCAAACCATTTACTTTATTAAGCAATTCACGTTGTAAAATGGTCAATGTGGCTTCATGTTGAGACCGAAATTGAAAGTCTTTTCTACAAAGTTTAATTCGTCTTGATAGTAAAGTTCTCTCTCGCTATGAAAGCTACCATCTGAATACATTTTGCTTTCTCTTTGAACAATTTAAATCGCTTTTAATTTTAAGGTTTAAATTTCGTTTTTGTAAACAAAATTTTAGCTTTACGGTCAAGATTGATGGGAAATGAAAAAATTGTCACCTGGTATGTTTGATTAAAAAACATTTTGTTATCATGTCTAGGTTCAACTGCAAAATCTCATTACGTCGAAATACATTGGTCATTTCTTGGCGGAGGTCTCCACATGGCAAAAGAAATTATCAACTGTCGATTCCGTTATTTCCATTTGGTTTGAAGTACAGCGTACATGGTCTCATTTGGAAAGTATTTTCATTGGTTCCGATGATATTCGCAGCCAATTACCGGAGGATTCGAAACGTTTTGACGGCATTGATGCAGATTTCAAGGTGAAGTGATCATTGTGTGGATATAATTAGCAATTTAGTGAATAGTTTTGCGTTTTGGTTCTATAGGAGTTGATGAGTGCTGCTGAAAAAACAACAAATGTCGTTGAGTGTTGTTGCAAGGATGGTTTATTTGAAAAATTGGAGAATATTCAAGAAAGGTATTTCTCCTGTTTTCGTATATATGTATGCTGAAGGATTGTTATTACTCCTAGGGAAGGTTTACTGTAATAGCGGGGGGGAGTACTTACTTCTTCTAGAGAGATGCTAATTTTCTTACGGGGGAGGGGGGAGTACTGACTCCTCCTAGAGAGATGCTAATTTTCCTACGGAGGGGGTGGGAGTACTGACTTCTCCTAGTGAGATGCCAATTTGCCTACGGGGGTGGGAGTACTGACTTCTCCTAGAGAGATGCCAATTTTCCTACATAATATATTGTACATCAAACAAACACGCAAAGACAATTGTGATTTGTGTTTGATGGAGCACACCTCCAAAAATATCTCTCAATCATTGTATGAGAGTAACAGACTTTAACAAAGCAAAGGATAGGGACCTCCAACACAGAATAGCCACCAATATATTTAATTCAAACTAGAGCACACACCCCTTCAAAATCATTTTAGATCCATCCCTAGTCGTTCCTAAAAGTATTGAAGTACTTGCAAATGTTGCTTAAACCTTTTTTTATATCTTTATCAACCTCTTAGACTTGCTTTGTGCGAGAAAGCTTTAGCTGAATATCTCGAAACGAAACGTCTTGCTTTTCCACGATTCTACTTCGTTTCCTCTGCTGATTTACTGGATATTTTGTCGAAAGGAAATATACCTACAGAGGTGAGCTATTCTTTAGTGATTTTGCCTCAATCTATTGCAGGGGTCTCCAAACTACGGCCCGCGGGCCAGATGCGGCTCGTTGGGCCTCTCAATCCGGCCCGTAGAGACACTTAAGGAAAAAAATAATATTATTAAACAAAATAAACTTTATGCAGAAAGTTCACGTTATGACGCAAGCCAACTAGCAAGAGTGGCTTACGTCAATTTTTGTCCCAACTTCCTACTTCCGTTTCAAGCACATTGCGAAATTTAAAAAGCTGAAGGATAACGTGGAAGTTTTTTATATTTCAATGCTTCATAATGAAAGTTCATGTGACCCTATGGCTGTAAAGTTTGGAGACCCCTGATCTATTGTCATACAAACAAGATGTTATCACTCTTAGGTCGCTCGTCATTTGTCCAAACTTTTTGATAACATGGCTACGTTGGAGTTTAAGAACGACGAATCGGGTGAAAGTACAAAGGAAGCTATTGGCATGTACAGTAAAGAAAAGGAATATGTCAAATTTGATAAAGTATGCGATTGTACAGGACAGGTATGTCGATTCTACAACATTTAACAATATGATTGATCTACGCGGGTTTTTTCACGGCGGCCTAGCTAGCGTCCACAATTGGGGGGGGTTGGGAATATTCATACATGCATGTTATAGTCCGCGAAAAAAAATATTTCTCAGGAGCTTAATGCAGCAGAATATGCTCCCCCCAGTATTATCGAGTTGGTTACTCTACTGGGGCCGGTTGTAAAAAATGTGTTTATATTTTTCTTACGATGAAGAAATTTCGTAATCTTCGAAGCAATATTTTATTTCAGTGATTGCTCAGTTCGAACTTTATACTTTGTTCTTTTTAAAAGGTTTTATAAAAGTTGAAAAAAACTTGCTATCCACTGGATAACGCTATCCAGGACCGGCCCCTGGTTGTTTAAATTTTATGGTTTTCCTTCAAGGTTGAGGTGTGGTTAAACAGAGTAATGGAATCAATGAGATCCACAGTGAGACATGAACTTTCTGAATCTGTTGTTGCGTATGAAGAAAAGGCACGTGATCAATGGCTTTTTGATTATCCTGCACAGGTAGCTATCAAGATACAAAAACTTTTAATACCCATGCTCATGTAATTTGACCCCTATATAATCCTACTTTGACCTCTATATAATCCTACTTTGACCCCTATATAATCCTACTTTGACCTCTATATAATCCTACTTTGACCCCATATAATCCTACTTTTACCCCATATAATCCTACTTCGACCCCCATATAATCCTACTTTGACCTCTATATAATCCTACTTTGACACCCATATACTCCTACTTTGACCCCCATAAAATCCTACTTTGACCCCTATATAATACTACTTTGACCCCCATATAATCCTAGTTAACCGTTCATCTATTTAGGTGTCCTTATGTGGTACACAAATTTGGTGGTCAACCGAGGTTGCCATTGCGTTTGGTCGTCTTGAGGAAGGTTACGAGAACGCCTTAAAAGATTATTATAAAAAACAGGTGAGCTTTCAATGATACTTTAGTAAGTATTTGATGTTTTTCAAATGATATTTTTCTGTTTGATCAAGGTTGCCCAACTCACAACTCTCATCAACCTATTGATTGGTGAACTATCGAAAGGCGATCGACAGAAGATTATGACCATTTGTACAATTGATGTCCATGCTCGTGATGTTGTTGCCAAACTCATACAACAAAAGATCGACAATGCGCAAGCGTTCGCTTGGCTTAGTCAATTACGTCATCGCTGGGATGATGGTAACGGTCATTGCTTTGCTAATATCTGCGATGCTCAATTCAAATATTCATATGAATATCTCGGCAACACCCCCCGTCTTGTTATCACACCATTGACCGACAGGTACGTAAACTGTATTATCACGGGGGTCATCAAGTACCACTAATTTTTTGCATTATGTGTATAGATGTTACATTACACTTACTCAATCTCTTCATCTCACAATGAGTGGTGCGCCCGCGGGTCCTGCTGGGACGGGTAAAACCGAGACCACGAAGGATCTGGGTCGAGCACTTGGGATTATGGTTTACGTATTCAACTGCTCTGAACAAATGGATTATAAGGTAGGAGGGATTTCGGTCTTCGTATAGGTAGCATGTTTTAGCCTGTGCAAACTGATCTCATCTCATTCAATTAAATCATTTGAGAATTTGCAAATCAATCATGAATACATGTTAGAGGATAAATTAAAACATTTGTTTTAAAGTTATCTGTATGGGAAACGTTTGTGATTTGCTCTCGAGTTCTCCGCCTGTGCGAACATGCTTAACATCTTTTATTTCTTTTCTTTTTTTGTAGTCTTGCGGTAACATATACAAGGGTCTTGCACAGACCGGTGCATGGGGATGCTTCGATGAATTCAATCGTATCTCAGTCGAAGTGTTATCTGTCATTGCTGTACAAGTGAAGTCAATACAAGATGCAATACGTGATAAGAAAGAGAGATTTATATTTCAAGGTGAAGACATCTCTCTCGTACCAACTGTTGGTATTTTTATAACTATGAATCCTGGTTATGCCGGACGTACTGAACTACCAGAAAATCTTAAAGCACTTTTCAGGTATGTTGATTTTTGAACTTTTGTTCGTCTTTCCTAAAAGTCTATGGCCGTTTATGTATATTGTTTTATTCTATAATGTTCACAATATTGATGGTATAATCACTATATTGTGTCTGTAATGACCATATTGTTGGTATAATCAACATACTGTTGGTATAGTCACCATACTGTTGGTATAGTCACCATATTGTTGGTATAATCACCATACTGTTGGTATAGTCACTATACTGTTGGTATAATCACCATACTGTTGGTGTAATCACCATACTGTTGGTATAGTCACCATACTGTTGGTATAATCACCATACTGTTGGTGTAATCACCATACTGTTGGTATAGTCACCATACTGTTGGTATAGTCACCATACTGTTGGCATAATCACCATACTGTTGGCATAATCACCATACTGTTGGTATAATCACTATACTGTTGGTATAATCACCATACTGTTGGTATAATCACTATACTGTTGGTATAATCACCATACTGTTGGTATAATCACCATACTGTTGGCATAATCACCATACTGTTGGTATAATCACCATACTGTTGGTATAATCACCATACTGTTGGCATAATCACCATACTGTTGGTATAGTCACCATACTGTTGGTATAGTCACCATACTGTTGGTATAATCACCATACTGTTGGTATAATCACCATATTGTTGGCATAATCACCATACTGTTGGCATAATCACCATACTGTTGGTATTGTCACCATACTGTTGGTATAATCACCATACTGTTGGTATAATCACCATACTGTTGGTATAATCACCATACTGTTGGTATAGTCACCATACTGTTGGCATAATCACCATACTGTTGGTATAATCGCCATACAGTTCCTACTGATAACAATACTGTTTTGTCAATGATATAGTCACCATACACCATATTGTTGGTAATGATGATCATAAAGTTTGTATAATCACCATACTCACCGATAAAAACATTTACATTTAATCACCGAGGTTGTTTTTGTGTTTTCTAGACCTTGCGCCATGGTTGTACCTGATTTTGAACTGATCTGTGAAATCATGTTGGTTGCCGAAGGTTTTATTGAGGCGCGTTTACTAGCGCGTAAATTTATCACCTTGTATTCACTTTGTAAAGAATTGCTTTCCAAACAAGTAAGTTTTTTATCAATTTTCCGCTGCCAGTTTGAAGATATTTCAAAATCTTGCGAAACCTTTCTTTGTAGGATCATTACGATTGGGGTTTACGAGCCATCAAGTCAGTTTTGGTGGTCGCTGGTTCGTTAAAACGTAGCGATCGTGATCGTCCTGAAGATCAAGTTCTCATGAGAGCATTGCGGGACTTTAACATACCGAAGATTGTTACAGATGATGTACCAATATTTATGGGTTTAATTGGTGATTTGTTTCCATCGTTGGACGTACCACGTAAACGGGACATGGATATGGAAGAGTCGATAAGAAAAGCTGTTTTGGTAAGAAATATTTGAATGATGTTTAGTTTACTTATGTTTCATGGTCAATTCGTGTTTGTGTTTCGGATTTAAAACTGCAACCAGAAAATAGTTCTGTATCGAAAGTTGTACAATTTGTGTTTGGGTTCAGGATTAAAAAATTTCCACGCAGAAGATAGTTTTTATTTGAAAGTTGTACAATTTATGTTTGTGTTTAGGACTTAAAACTACAACCAGAAGATAGTTTTATATTGAAAGTTGTTCAACTAGAAGAACTCTTGGCAGTACGTCATTCTGTGTTTGTGTTAGGTCCTGCAGGCACAGGAAAGACACAGGTAACTTATTTACGTGTGTTGTGTTCATGTCATTGCGCAGACGCATGCGTGTCACTCCATCATAATGTCACGTGAATTATGAAATGTTGCAGGTGATAAAGTCGTTGTTTAAAACATATCAGAATCAAAAACGTAAACCGATGTTGATTGATGTGAATCCTAAAGCTGTTACAACAGATGAACTTTTTGGTTATATCAATCCAGCTACAAGAGAATGGAAAGATGGTAAGACGTTGATTCATATCGTCATAATGCCTAAAGCTTTTAATATATCACAAATCACTTTTTGAGTTCAATGTTTCGTCCGTTGTTCTCCAAGTCTGGAAAACATTGGAATATCTGCAAAAAACGTTCGCCAATAGTTAGAAAACATGATATGTTTCTGACTTATGCGAAACATCCTAGTTTCCCATTTCCAAAACAATGTTTTCTTCGCTGGGTGAACGAAAAACATCTTAAAATTTTAAATGTTTCCAAAACAATGCTTTCGTGGATGGGTAAACGAAAAATATCTCAAAATTTTAAATGTTTCCAAAACAATGCTTTCGTGGATGGGTGAACGAAAAACATCTCAAAATCATAAATGTTTCCAAAATATTTTTTCCAGTTTACAATGTAATTAAAGTTTAAATCGATTGTCATTCGATATTCTGCCTTCCCCTAGGTTTGTTCTCAACCTCTATGAGAGATTTATCTTTCCCTAGGTTTATTCTCAACTTCTATGAGAGATTTATCTTTCCTTAGGTTTATTCTCAACTTCTATGAGAGATTTATCTTTCCTTAGGTTTATTCTCAACCTCTATGAGAGATTTATCTTTCCCCTAGGTTTATTCTCAACCTCTATGAGAGATTTATCTTTCCTTAGGTTTATTCTCAACTTCTATGAGAGATTTATCTTTCCTTAGGTTTATTCTCAACCTCTATGAGAGATTTATCTTTCCCCTAGGTTTATTCTCAACTTCTATGAGAGATTTATCTTTCCCTAGGTTTATTCTCCACTTCTATGAGAGATTTATCTTTCCCTAGGTTTATTCTCAACTTCTATGAGAGATTTATCTTTCCCTAGGTTTATTCTCAACTTCTATGAGAGATTTATCTTTCCCCTAGGTTTATTCTCAACTTCTATGAGAGATTTATTCTTCCCCTAGGTTTATTCTCAACTTCTATGAGAGATTTATCTTTCCCTAGGTTTATTCTCAACTTCTATGAGAGATTTATCAAACGTAGCCAACGAAAGTCCAAAATGGATTGTCCTCGATGGTGATATTGATCCAATGTGGATTGAATCATTAAATACAGTCATGGATGACAACAAAGTATTAACACTCGCTAGTAATGAACGTATACCATTATCGCCTCCAATGAGATTATTGTTTGAGATTGGTCATCTTAAGACAGCAACACCAGCTACGGTATCTAGAGCTGGTATCTTGTTCTTGAATTATGCCGACGTTGGATGGAACCCGTAAGAAAATAATATTTTTTGTTGTTGTAAAAAAAGATATCTATAGGAAGTTTTGTTTATTTGAATCTCCGTAAGTACAGTTCTCGATGCTTAAGAGCAGAGCGTAAATATTGATAAGAAGAAAATACACAAAAACTACAATTTCATCCCGACAAGCCTGTTTCGTGATTTCTCACTCTTCAGGGGATAATATTAAAATTTTAATTTTAATATTTTAATTTTAATATTTTAATTTTAATTTTAATTTTTATATATATATACTCGATGTTTTGTACATCTTTCCTTCTTTATCTCCTTTACATATACTATTAGCCTTGATATAGAACCCATTCCCCTAGATGTTTAACTGCCGTGTCTCGGTGAAGCCAGACTGCCATTTTGAAAGGTGGTAAAAAGCAAGACTCCCAGTCAAATACAAGTCGAATAAAAGTTCGAAAAACGTATCCTATTAAACATTTAAAAACCATGCACAGACTATCGCATCTACAACTGTATACATGAACGTTTTTGAAGCACATTTTAGTCAGTTTTTCCACCTTTCAAGAAAGCGGTTTGCTTCACTTGTAAGTACAGAATTTTCGTAGATTCAGGTATCTTACCTTTCACTGCTTTCTTTATGATTTGTTATAATGGTATTTCAGTACAAAGAGTGAGGTAATTAGCTCGCAAGCTAGTGTATGTAGTGTAAATATTTCGTTGCTTACTGGCGAAAACAATAAATCTGTAAAACGTAACTCGGTATAACAGGTGTCCAGTATTACTAAAGTCTCCAAATAGCATTAAGTTCTTTAGCAACATTTTGTAAGTGTATTTTATAAGATTTTCTTTCTCATCACCATGTTCAATTTCATTCGATGTTGTAGATATGTATCAAGCTGGATTGACAGTCGCGAGATCCAATCTGAGCGAGCTAATCTTCAAATCCTTTTCGATAAATACGTTCCCTCTTGCTTGGATACATTACGTCATCGTTTCAAGAAGATCACGCCCATCCCTGATATCACCATGGTGACAAGTCTATGTTATCTTCTGGAGTGTTTATTAACACCTGTCAATACCCCCCCTGACTGTAGCAAAGAATTGTATGAATTGTATTTCGTTTTTGCTGCTGTCTGGGCATTTGGAGGAGCTATGTTTCAAGATCAGGTTAATCCATAATTATGACGTAACTTTACGCATTAAAGCTACATAGAAGTCGCTCAATTGTAAACTACCCAATCCTGGATTAATGCAAAATTTAATTAAGATAATCTTCTATCCGATACGCATTAAAGCTACATAGAAGTCGCTCAATTGTAAACTACCCAATCCTGGATTAATGCAAAATTTAATTAAGATAATCTTCTATCCGATACGCATTAAAGCTACATAGAAGTCGCTCAATTGTAAACTACCCAATCCTGGATTAATGCAAAATCGAATTAAGATAATCTTCTACCCGATACGCATTAAAGCTACATAGAAGTCGCTCAATTGTAAACTACCCAATCCTGGATTAATGCAAAATCGAATTAAGATAATCTTCTACCCGATACGCATTAAAGCTACATAGAAGTCGCTCAATTGTAAACTACCAAATCATGCATTAGTGCAAAATCGAATTAAGATAATCTTCTACCCGAACAGTTTTTTGATTGATGTTATTTTAATGTTTCAGCTCGTCGACTATAGAGTTGAATTCTCGAAATGGTGGGTGACTGAATTTAAGACTATCAAGTTTCCATCATCAGGAACTGTCTTTGATTATTTCATTGATCCCGAGACCAAGAAATTTGCTCCGTGGACGGAGAAAGTTACAAAGTTTATCTTGGATCCTGAGATGCCACTTCAGGTGTGTACACTTGGGGGTAATGTTGAATGATTATGGTACTTTTAGTAGTATCAGAGTATTATCAAGATACTGCAATGCATGGTAAACACTAAAGGGAGTATTTTAGCTATTTTAGCTGCTACTTGTGCAATTGATTTTTTATGATAAATTTTACTCTTCTGCCTTGCTGGTCATTTGATATTTATCAGTTTGAAACCTTTCAAACTGTGTTTTTTACCAATGTACAATACACATGTATCGATACTCTGATAGAAAATGTATCGTTGTTAAATATGGCAGTGTAATGTAGAGGGCTATAACGTCTTTTTCACACAGTAGTTCTTTCACATAGTAGTTCTTTCACACAGTAATTTTTTTACCCAGTACTTTTTCACACAGTAATTTTTTTACACAGTAGTTTTTTCACACAGTAGTTTTTTCACCCAGTACTTTTTTTACACAGTAATTTTTTCACACAGTAGTTCTGTCACACGGTAGTTCTTTCACGCAGTAGTTCTTTCACACAGTAGTTCTTTCACACAGTAGTTCTGTCACATAGTAGTTCTTTCACACAGTAGTTCTTTTTCACACAGTGGCTGTTACCATTTCTCTTTCATTCCAGGCTGTTCTTGTTCACACAGCGGAAACAACTCGTGTTCGTTATTTTATGGATCTTCTTATGGAGAAACGACGTCCTGTAATGTTGGTGGGTAATGCAGGAACTGGAAAGACTGTACTTGCTGGCGATAAGTTTGCTTCGTTAGATCCAGACGAAATTATGGTCGCCAACGTACCTTTTAATTACTACACCACCTCTGCGATGTTGCAAAATGTTTTGGAAAAACCCCTGGAGAAGAAAGCCGGTCGGAATTATGGACCACCTGGATCGAAGAAACTTATTTATTTCATTGACGACATGAACATGCCAGAGGTTAATGTTGCTTTGTTGCTTTCCTGAAATTGTTGAAAAAGTGATTTGCAAATATTGCTGGATAACTGTATATTTGTAGATGTAGATGGTTTGTCCACACCTGAGAATGACTGTTATCTCTATATTTATAGATGTAGATGGTTTGTTCACACCTGAAAATGACTTTTAGTGTTTGTGTTCACTGACGTTTGTTTACACATTCTTTAAAAACACTTCAAAATGTCAGACCACACCTTTTCAAGACTGCACACACCTGAAACATCAACATCTAGGAACATATAACATACTTCTGGCTTTAAAACATTCATTTTATGAAATCATATCATCATCAGACGTACGTATATAACAGTTTTATGATATTTTTAGGTTGACACATACGGTACAGTATCACCTCACACATTGATAAGACAACATCTCGACTACAGTCATTGGTACGACAGAAATAAGTTGACATTGAAGGAAGTTCATAATTGTCAATATGTTGCCTGTATGAATCCAACCGCTGGAAGTTTCACGATAAACCCGCGTCTTCAGGTGAAATAAACGATTACTTTTTTGTACGTATTATGCATTTATCCGTGTCTTTTTCGGGTTTTTTTATCGAACATCTTCAATTTAATATCTTGCTTTTTTTTACAGCGTCATTTTTGTGTGTTCGCTGTGAGTTTTCCTGGTCTCGACGCCCTCAAGACAATTTATTTGAGCATACTGCAAGGTCATATTTCTGTGAACAACATATCAAGCTCCGTGGGAAAAATTGCAGAAAAACTTGTGGACTGTGCGTTAGCTATGAATCAAAAGGTGAAGATGTTGGGTATTTTTGTCATATTACCAGAAATTGTTATTTAACTATACTTATCGTCTTCACGTTTTTAAAGGTCACGAGTACTTTCCTACCGACAGCTGTGAAATTTCATTATATTTTCAATCTGCGCGATTTATCAAACATCTTTCAAGTAAGTATCCAATCTTGTGTTCCTCTCATTCTTCATTATTCCCTCGTATTTTGAACACATCTTCAACATTTTCAGGGTGTGTTGTTCTCTACGGCAGAGTGTGTTAAATCTCCCGCTGATCTCGTACGTTTATGGATGCATGAAGGCAACAGAGTATATCGAGATAAATTGGTCGAAGAGAAAGACATGGTACTTTATGATAAAATACAAAAGGATATGACGACCAGATTCTTTGAGGTAGGCAAAGTCAATCTTTATGAGCTCTGGTCATCAATTACATTGATTCTGAAACCTGAGTTTATGTGATGGATCTTAGATTTAGATTTAGAGTTAGATTTAGATTTAGATTTAGAGTTAGATTTAGATTTAGATTTAGAGTTAGATTTAGAGTTAGATTTAGATTTAGATTTAGATTTAGAGTTAGAGTTAGATTTAGATTTAGATTTAGAGTTAGATTTAGAGTTTGATTTAGATTTAGAGTTAGAGTTAGAGTTCCGACATATATCAAACATAAAATAGGTAATGAAGGATATTGAGAAAAAGACATAGTCAAAAAAAAAAACCCCTAACAAAACATCCATCTTTTATTAAAGGACTTCGAGGAGACTGTGTTGTACGAGCAACCATTGTTGTTTACTCATTTCTCTGGCGGTATTGGCGAAGCTAAATATCTTCCAATACCGAACTGGCCACATCTCAGTAAACTTCTAACAGAAACACTGGATAATTATAATGAAATAAACGCCGTAATGAATCTCGTGTTGTTTGAAGACGCTTTACAACACATGTACGTAGAAAGTTTTTACATTTTGATTTTGTGTTAACGTTTTGATATTTGATTTTTAACTTGATGGAGTCTTACATGAATTATTTAGCTGTCGTATCAATCGAATTCTCGAGTCTCCACGTGGTAATGCTCTTCTTGTTGGTGTTGGTGGTAGTGGCAAGCAGAGTTTGGCGAGACTTGCGGCGTTTATCAGTGCTTTGGAGGTTTTTCAGATCACATTAAGGAAAGGATATTCCATTGCCGACATGAAGGTTTGTAGCTATGTTTCTTTTTCTCATCTCACATCAACGTAAATCTCAAGTCTTAAAAAACTTGAAAATGCCTTCTTTCTTACATCTTGTCTCTTTGTTTAAGAAATAAAAGATGTTTACTGTGTTTGCACGGGCTTATGCAAACCGAGGAGACCTTTGGGAGAACTTGAGAGCTGATCAGTGCAATCATCAGAACGAAGGTCGAGGATTGCACCTGCTCGAAGGTTCTCGTAAACCTCTCCGAAACAGATGAATTTAAAACAATTGTTTTGATCTTTCTTTAACAATTGATTTGCAAATTTTCTTTGATTGATTTAATTGATCAAGCTCAGATCGGTTTGCACAGGTTAATGCAAACTCAGCTATAGACCAGCACAGCGCATGCGTGGCATTGTTGTTATAACACCACGTCTTGATTGTTTGTCTTTGAAAGCACTAACTAATGTATGTTTCCAGGCTGACCTTGCAATGTTGTGTACTAAAGCTGGTCTAAAGAACATCGGAACTGTTTTTCTTCTTACTGATGCTCAAATACCCGAAGAACATTTCCTTGTGTTGATTAACGATCTCCTGGCATCTGGTGAAATTCCTGGTCTATTTCCTGACGATGAAGTAGAGAACATTATATCCGGTGTGCGTAATGAAGTGAAATCTTCTGGTCTACAGGACACCAGGGAAAATTGTTGGATGTTTTTCATTGAAAGGATACGTAGGAATCTCAAGGTACGCGAGGAATTTGTGATGGATTCTTGTGTGTATGTGTGTGTTTTTCCCCCTACCGATTACTGTAAAACGTTGAAAAATGTAAGGGCTTGATTTAAATTAAATTGAGAAGGAGAAAGGTTAAGAAATATTTGTGTTATTTTATTGTAGGTCGTTTTATGTTTTTCACCAGTCGGCACAACACTGCGCGTGCGTAGTAGGAAATTTCCCGCGGTGACCAACTGTACGGCTATTGATTGGTTCCACGAATGGCCAGCGGAAGCGTTGGTCTCCGTCAGTCGCCGATTCCTTGAGGACATTGAACAGGTCAAGGTGAGTACGACAAACAAGGTGTTCATAAAAAATACGATTGCTTGGCTAAAGTAATGATGAAATATTTCTGTTTTATTCAGGGAGATCAAAAACAATCCGTTGCAGAGTTCATGTCTTTCGTTCACACCAGTGTTAATCAAATGAGTCAGGAATATTTGATCTCTGAAAGACGTTACAACTACACAACACCAAAGAGCTTTTTAGAACAGGTCTGTTATCGCGTGCATATATAAGTGAAATGCATCATATTTGCTGGTAGAACAATTAAGCAATTACACGAAAGTTGTACTACATATAGATTGACAAATTACATAAAAGTTGTAATGAAATTAACTCTTCTATTTGACGATTTTAAGTTAAACGACGTCGTTCTAGATCAAGTTGTACGAAACATTGTTACGAAAGAAGAACATGGAACTTATGCAAAAAATGGAACGTTTGGAGAATGGTTTGTTGAAGTTACAAAGCACTGCTTCTCAGGTGGACGATCTAAAAGCAAAGCTGGCTTCTCAAGAAGTGGAACTGCAGCAGAAAAATGAAGATGCGGATAAACTTATTCAAAAAGTTGGCGTGGAGACTGAGAAAGTGAGCAAGGAAAAAGCTATTGCTGACGAAGAAGAAAAGAAGGTTAATTTATGTTATCTTTGCTCGACCGTTGATTGAGGATCACGTGTGAGAGAGAGTAGTCATGAGAGGAACACGTGTGATAGAGAGTAGTCATGAGAGGATCACGTGTGATAAAGAGTAGTCATGAGAGGATCACGTGTGATAGAGAGTAGTCATGAGAGGATCACGTGTGATAGAGAGTAGTCATGAGAGGATCACGTGTGATAGAGAGTAGTCATGAGAGGAACACGTGTGATAGAGAGTAGTCATGAGAGGAACACGTGTGATAGAGAGTAGTCATGAGAGGAACACGTGTGATAGAGAGTAGTCATGAGAGGATCACGTGTGATAGAGAGTAGTCATGAGAGGAACACGTGTGATAAAGAGTAGTCATGAGAGGATCATGTGTGATAGAGAGTAGTCATGAGAGGAACACGTGTAATAGAGAGTATTCGTGACTTTAAGTGACATAACTACTGTAAATGATTTTTTCCCGTAGGTAGCCGTCATTGCTCGCGATGTGGCAGAGAAACAACGATCTTGTGAAGCGGATTTAGCTAAAGCCGAGCCTGCGTTGGTTGCTGCTCAGGATGCACTGAATACTTTAAATAAGAACAATCTTACAGAGCTCAAGTCGTTTGGTTCTCCTCCAGCAGCTGTAATGAACGTGACAGCAGCAGTTATGATGTTGTTATCGCCGCCAACTAAAATTCCTAAGGATCGAAGTTGGAAAGCGTGTAAGATTATGATGGCAAAGGTAAACTTTTCGATAGCGTTCATTTTTTTCGGTTAAGAGTGTAAATTTATTTCAATTAGTGTCAGTCATTCTTTCATCCTTGGTATCTTTGCAAAGGATAAACTTGAGGATGAATCTTCTTAATTGTTTATAATCCAATCTAATCTCAATCCTTAGGTGGATCAATTCTTGGATCAGTTACTCAACTACGACAAGGAGAACATTCACGACAACAATCTTAAAGCAGTTCGCCCGTATCTGGATGATCCCGATTTCCGGCCGGAATTTATCTCCGCGAAATCGCTAGCTGCCGGTGGTCTTTGTGCTTGGGTTATCAACATTATTAAGTTCTTCGAAGTGTTCTGTGATGTCGAGCCGAAAAGAATGGCGTTGCAAGCCGCTAATGCAGAGCTTGCTGCGGCAGAAGATAAATTAAGCAAGATCAAAGCAAAGATTAAAGAACTTGATGATAATTTGGCTGAATTGACAGCTTCATTCGAGAAAGCAACCCAAGAAAAACTGAAATGTCAAGAAGAAGCTGAGAGCACTGCGCGTACAATATCTCTTGCAAATAGATTGGTCGGTGGTCTTGCTTCAGAGAATGTAAGATGGGCCGAGGCTGTCGAAAGTTTTAAAATACAATCCACGACATTGCCTGGTGATATATTGTTGATTTGTGCTTTTGTGTCGTACGCTGGTTGCTTTACAAGGAGATATCGTGACAGTTTGATGAAAGAAAAGTTACCCGAGTTTATGAAACAACAAAAGGTAAAGATTATTATAATTTCACCATTATGAACGAGTGTTGAAGATATACACGAGAACAATATGGAAAGTCCATTTTCATCTTGCTTAAGGTCAATATGTGGGTGCCCTAACACTATTATATCATTATCATCCTGTCTTTTCTGTAGGTGCCCATTCCCATCATTCAGGATGTGGGTGCCTTAACACTATTATATCATCCTGTCTTTTCTGTAGGTGCCCATTCCCATCACTCAGGATCTTGATACCTTAACGCTACTGACGGACAACGCAACGATAGCTTCTTGGCAAAATGAGAGCCTGCCTTCAGATCGAATGTCAACAGAGAATGCAACGATACTCACAAACTGTGAAAGATGGCCGCTTATGATCGATCCCCAGCTACAGGGGATCAAATGGATCAAAACACGTGAAGGGGAAAACCTGAGGGTTGTTCGTTTGGGACAAAAAGGGTTAGAATGTAGCGAGAGTCATAGTTTTGTTGTAAGATAGTAATTTCACATTGTTCTAACTTTTATGTATTCGTTATAGATTTCTTGATAGTATTGAACGCGCTGTATCGAACGGTGACTGTGTTTTGATTGAAAATATGGGTGAAAGTATTGATGCTGTTCTTGATCCGCTGGTTGGACGAAATACGATAAAAAAAGGAAGGTAAAACAAGATAATAGAGGTACATTGATGTATTTGATGATTTATGACCATATCAATGTAGATATATGTCGTATTCGTATCTTCCCCAAGTGGCGATTCCTTTAACTTATATAATTTAGAAATATGATTTTTTAATGACGATTACATTAATGTAATCTTGTAATTTTTTTAAATACATGTCTCTTGTGCATGCTAGCAATTGTTCTGATTGATGTGCAATTGTTCTGATTGATCAGCAATTGTTCTGATTGATCAGTAATTTTGCTTCCGATTGATCAAGAATTGTTCTGATTGATCAGCAATTGTTCTGATTGATGTGCAATTGTTCTGATTGATCAGCAATTGTTCTGATTGATGTGCAATTGTTCTGATTGATCAGCAATTGTTCTGATTGATCAGCAATCGTACTGGTTGATCTGCAACTGTTCTGATTGATGTGCAATTGTTCTGATTGATGTGCAATTGTTCTGATTGATGTGCAATTTTTCTCATTGATCAGCAATTGTTCTAATTGATGCGCAATTGTTCTGATTGATCAGCAATTGTTCTGATTGATATACTTTACTAAAATATGAAGTTATCTAAATTTCTCTTGTATATTTTTAAGATACATCAAGATTGGCGACAAAGAAACAGAATATCATCCAGATTTCAGACTCATTCTTCACACGAAACTGGCAAATCCTCACTATAAACCAGAACTACAGGCTCAGACAACCTTGATTAACTTCACTGTGACACGCGAAGGACTCGAGGACCAGTTATTGGCAAATGTTGTCGCAAAAGAAAGACCTGATCTTGAAGAAACAAAAGTACGCCAGAATTTGAATGTTTCGAAATTATTAGGAAAATTTTTTTCACGCTGACAACTAAATATTTTTATGAATATTTTAGGCTAAACTGACCCGACAACAAAACGAGTTTACAGTCAAACTCAAGGAGCTCGAGGATTCGTTATTGTCTCGACTTTCAGCCGCTGGTGGCAACTTTCTTGGCGATACTGCTCTTGTGGAGAACCTGGAAACTACTAAACGTACAGCTGCTGAAATTGAGGTTCAGGTAGCGGAGGCGAAGGTCACTGAAATACAGATCAACGAAGCTAGAGAACAATATCGACCTGCAGCAGCAAGGGCATCTCTACTGTACTTCATATTAAATGATCTTAACAAGATAAATCCCATATATCAATTTTCTCTGAAGGTACTTTATGACTAAGTCGTGCAACCACAAAAGATATTTATTTTTAATAACATCTTTACTTTGAACATATATATCTTTAGCAATTATTCTTATCTTTATTATTGATATGTTTTTGTCTTGTTAGGCCTTCAATGTTGTCTTTCAAAAAGCCATCGAACGTGCTGAGCCAAGTCAAGAAATCAAAATCCGTGTGGACAATCTCATCGACTGTATTACATATTCTGTCTTTATTTACACAACTCGTGGTCTCTTTGAAGCTGATAAATTGACTTTTACAGCTCAAGTAGCTTTTCAGGTATGGTAGCTTTTCAAGTATGGTAGCTTTTCAGGTATGGTAGCTTTTTAGGTATGGTAGCTTTTCAGGTATTGTAGCTTTTCAGGTATGGTAGCTTTTTAGGTATGGTAGCTTTTCAGGTATTGTAGCTTTCAGGTATGGTAGCTTTTAGGTATGGTAGCTTTCAGGTATGGTAGCTTTCAGGTATGGTAGCTTTCAGGTATGGTAGCTTTTATGGTAGCTTTCAGGTATGGTAGCTTTCAGGTAAAGTAGCTTTCAGGTATGGTAGCTTTTCAAGTATGGTAGCTTTTCAGGTATGGTAGCTTTTCAAGTATGGTAGCTTTCAGGTATGGTAGCTTTCAAGTATGGTAGTTTTCAAGTATGGTAGCTTTTCAGGTATGGTAGCTTTCAAGTATGGTAGCTTTTCAGGTATGGTAGCTTTCAGGTATGGTAGCTTTCAGATATGGTAGCTTTCAGGTATGGTAGCTTTCAGGTATGGTAGCTTTAAGGTATGATAGCTTTCAGATATGGTAGCTTTTCAGGTATGGTAGCTTTCAGGTATGGTAGCTTTTCAGGTATGGTAGCTTTCAGATATGGTAGCTTTTCAGGTATGGTAGCTTTCAGGTATGGTAGCTTTTCAGGTATGGTAGCTTTTAAGGTATGATAGCTTTTCAGATATGGTAGCTTTTCAGATATGGTAGCTTTTCAGATATGGTAGCTTTTCAGGTATGGTAGCTTTTCAGATATGGTAGCTTTCAGGTATGGTAGCTTTCAGGTATGGTAGCTTTCAGGTATGGTAGCTTTTCAGGTATGGTAGCTTTCAGATATGGTAGCTTTTAAGGTATGATAGCTTTTCAGATATGGTAGCTTTTCAGATATGGTAGCTTTTCAGATATGGTAGCTTTTCAGGTATGGTAGCTTTTCAGATATGGTAGCTTTCAGGTATGGTAGCTTTTCAGATATGGTAGCTTTTCAGATATGGTAGCTTTTCAGATATGGTAGCTTTTCAGATATGGTAGCTTTTCAGATATGGTAGCTTTTCAGGTATGGTAGCTTTTCAGATATGGTAGCTTTTCAGGTATGGTAGCTTTTCAGATATGGTAGCTTTTAAGGTATGATAGCTTTTCAGATATGGTAGCTTTTCAGATATGGTAGCTTTTCAGGTATGGTAGCTTTTCAGATATGGTAGCTTTTCAGGTATGGTAGCTTTTCAGGTATGGTAGCTTTTCAGGTATGGTAGCTTTTCAGGTATGATAGCTTTCAGGTATGGTAGCTTTTCAGGTATGGTAGCTTTTCAGGTATGGTAGCTTTTCAGGTATGGTAGCTTTTCAAGTATAGAATTATAGCAATTTTCCTGGTCTATTAAAGCTAGTTAAAAAATCCATTAATTTTATCCCGTCTTTATGATTTACAAAGTTTTTTTTACATTTAGATTTTACTTATGCGAAAAGAGATCAGTTCGACGGAGTTGGATTTCTTGTTACGTTTTCCTGCAGCAGTAAATGTTACAACACCTGTTGATTTTCTTTCAAATCATTCCTGGGGTGGTATTAAAGTATGTTACACTTCTTATCATATACATTCTTTGTTTTTGTCGTCGGTTATGATCATGTGGTTATGATGCTGAGTAATGATCACGTGGTCGTGATGCTGAATAATGATCACGTGGTCATGGTTCTAAGTATTTATCACGTGGTCATGATGCTGAGTAATGATCACGTGGTCGTGATGCTGAATAATGATCACGTGGTCATGGTTCTAATATTTATCACGTGGTCATGATGCTGAGTAATAATCACGTGGTAATAGTACCAAATATTTATCACGCGCTCATGATGCTGAGTAGTGATCACGTGGTCATGGTCCTACGTATTTATCACGTGGTCGTGATGCTGTGTAATGATCACGTGTTTTACCTTCTTAGGCGCTGAGTAACATGGAAGAATTCCGTAATCTAGATCGTGATATAGAGGGTTCTGCTAAAAGATGGAAAAAATTTGTTGAAAGTGAATGCCCAGAGAAAGAGAAGTTCCCTCAAGAATGGAAGAACAAAACTGCTTTACAGAAACTGTGTATGATGCGTGCCCTCAGACCAGATAGAATGACATACGCCGTGAGGCAAGTATTAACGTTTTATGTTATCGTAATGGTTTTATAAAAACTACTTTATCTCTTACTATAAGAGTGTTGTTTACTTCAAAGAATTCACAACACCAGCAAACTATCGTTTTACTTCGATTTAAAATGAAAGTGTTTTTTTTGTCATAGGAATTTTATCGAAGAAAAATTGGGCAATAAATATGTGGAGAATAGAAAAATTGAATTCGCTAAATCTTACGAGGAAACGGGACCTGGTACTCCTGTTTTCTTTATTCTATCGCCTGGTGTTGATCCATTAAAGGATGTTGAAGCTCTTGGAAAGAAAATTGGTTTTACTATCGACAACAGAAACTTTCATAACGTCTCTCTTGGACAGGTAAGGTGAACCGACCATTTCTTGCCAGAGTTGAATAACAACTCCAGCCTATGTATCAATAAATGTCTGTTTCTGTTGTAATTATTTCGCGCGTTCAATACGCTTTAATAAATATGTTGTCTTCGTCACTTATATGTTTGTAAATGTAGATCGTCCAGGTTGGTAAAGTCCTGAGAAAGACTGTTTTTGTTGTTGTTGACTGACGTTTCGACAACCTTAGCGGTAGTCATCTTTAGAGTCAAATCTTTTGGCTCGTCAACAAAAACAGTCCTTCTCGGGACTATACCAACCTGGACGATCTACATTTACAAACATGTAACGATACTCCCGGGTTCAAACCATTTACTTCGTCACTTATCTTGATCAGGGTCAGGAAATTGTTGCTGAACAAGCTTTACAATTGGCGGGAAAAGAAGGACATTGGGTTGTATTACAGGTAAAAACAGCAACTCATACTTTAGCTTTTTCCTTTAAATTCCTCAACTTGTTTTTTTTTCAACTCAGAATATTCATTTGGTGGCGAAATGGTTGTCGACTTTAGAGAAAACTCTTGAAGCCTATAGCGAAGGAAGCCATGAAAACTATCGTGTTTATATGTCTGCCGAGCCTGCTGGATCCCCTGATAGTCACATCATACCTCAAGGTATCCTCGAGTCATCCATTAAGATCACGAATGAACCTCCAACAGGAATGATGGCAAATCTTCATCAAGCCTTGGACAACTTCAACCAGGTAGACATGAAGTACTTCGCTCTCGTTTAAAATGTTCTAAAAATATCCAAGAATTTCCTTGTTTCTAATTTTTTTAAGGACACACTCGAAATGTGCGCTCGTGAGAATGAATTTAAGAGCATTCTCTTCGCATTGTGTTATTTCCACGCTGTCGTAGCCGAGAGACGAAAGTTTGGTCCACAAGGATGGAATCGTTCTTACCCATTCAACACAGGAGATTTAACAATAAGCGTAAATGTCTTGTATAACTATCTCGAGGCAAACGCCAAGGTAAAGATTGATCTTGTTGAAGGATTAGTTATTGGCTTAAAAACATGTTGCCATTTTAAAACTTCAGGTACCGTGGACAGATCTACGTTATCTTTTTGGTGAGATCATGTATGGTGGTCATATTACTGATGACTGGGATAGAAGACTTTGTCGTACGTATCTGGAGGAGTATATGAAACCTGAAATGGTGAGAAATTCATTTTGTCGATTTCTCTATGACGTTTTAAAGTAAGCTGCCTCGTATTGCATTTTCTTTCACATTTTCCCTAAAGTTCGTAATGTTACCACTTAAAAAAATATTTAATGTTGCGATCTTGAAAAAAGTCACGATTTACGATGATATTTCTTTAAATTTTACAGTTGGAAGGTGAACTGAATCTCGCTCCAGGTTTTCCAGTTCCCGGGAACAGTGACTACAAGGGTTATCATTCCTACATCGACGAAGTTCTCCCCCCGGAAAGTCCATATCTCTACGGTTTACATCCAAATGCAGAGATTGGTTTCCTTACAGCAACATCAGATAACCTCTTCAAGACGGTCCTAGAGATGCAACCACGTGACACGGGGGGTGGTGAGGGTGGTGGAAGTACACGCGAGGAAAAAGTGAGTTGGAATTTCGATTTCATCACTTTAACATATGTGTATCATAATGTTCTACGTTTTTTTTTTTCATTCCGTTACAGGTAAAGCAAGTTTTGGATGAGATTCGTGAGCGATTACCCGATGATTTTAATGTGCAAGAAATGATGGCGCGATGCGAGGACAGAAATCCTTATGTTGTCGTCGCTTTTCAAGAATGCGAACGCATGAGTATGTTAACTAGTGAGATGAGACGAAGTTTGAGAGAGTTAGATCTTGGTTTGAAGGTATAACATTACCATGTTTTTTACGCATTTTTATTTTCACTATTTCTCTCATGTCATTTCCCATTCTACCTCAGGGTGAACTCACCATAACATCCGACATGGAGGATCTTTCGAATGCGTTGTTTTTCGATCACGTGCCAGGCTCGTGGGAACGCCGTGCTTACCCATCAATGGCGACACTTGCCGCTTGGTTCTCAGATCTCTTACTGCGTATAAAAGAACTGGAAAGTTGGACTTCTGATTTTTGTCTTCCGAATGTCGTGTGGCTGTCTGGTTTTTTTAATCCACAGTCATTTCTTACTGCTATTGAACAATCCATGGCTCGTAAAAACGAATGGCCTCTTGACAAGATGACGTTATCTGTCGATGTGACCAAAAAGAATAAAGATGATTTCAACAGTCCACCCCGTGAAGGTGCTTATGTTCACGGTTTGTTCATGGAGGGTGCCCGCTGGGATACACAAACTGGTATGATCGCGGACTCAAGACTTAAAGAACTCACTCCCAATATGCCTGTTATCTTCATAAAAGCGATTCCTGTCGATAAACAAGAAACAAAGAATGTCTACGAATGTCCAGTGTATAAAACTAGGCAACGTGGTCCAACTTACGTCTGGAATTTCTTTCTTAAAACCAAAGAAAATCCCGCAAAATGGACTCTAGCCGGCGTCGCTTTGCTTCTTAGTGCTTGAACATTTGATAAAATGTTTGGAAAAGATTACGAAATGTTTGTAAATTTTTTTAAGGAATGTTTGTTTTTATGTTTGTAAATTTGATATACGTATATTTGAAAAGCTTTCTATACTATGTATAAATTAATATATGTTTATTGATAAGTAAAGAACATAGGAATTGTTGATGCATTTGAACGATGAATCAAATATCCAAGGCCGTTACACAAAGATAGGGGGGGCTTGATGTTGTTGTAATAAAGAAAGATATTTATACATGTTTGTAAATGTCGATCGTCCAGGTTGGTATAGTCCTGAGAAGGACTGTTTTTGTTGTTGTTGACTGACGTTTCGACAACCTTAGTGGTAGTCATCTTCAGAGTCAAAATATCTACCGCTAAGGTTGTCGAAACGTCAGTCAACAACAACAAAAACAGTCTTTCTCAGGACTATACCAACCTGCACGATCGACATTTACAAACATGTAACGATACTCCCGGGTTCAAACCATTTACTTGAAAGATATTTATGTCGGGTTTTATCAATCAGGCTTATAAATATTTTCATTATATTTTTTTTAGAAAATGCAACTGCTAACTTTGGGTTTACACTAAAGCTTTACGCAGGCTTTTTGCAAGCGATGTTTTTGCCCTAACTACTTTTGTTTCTTTTTGTAGCGTGACGTCATCAGTGAACGTCATCAGATGAACGCTCGCAAAGAGTTTAGGGATGCAAGCCGCCATCTTGTTTATAAAATTGAACTTTGTCATTTGTACTCTACAGAAAAGACGTGTTGTGTTCAGCCTAGGTTTGTGCAAATTTAATTCTTATTTTTATAGAAATATATTGAATGATGACTTCCATTGTTGTTTTATATGAAAATACGTAAATATTTCCAAAACAAAATAGTGGAAATTTTTAATTTTTAAATTCTGTATCATAAAAGTTGTGTGTTATAAGCCAGTCCGAAAAGGTTTTTTTTCGACGAGATCTTTGTTTTCCCCCATGGAAATATTGATGGAAAGGTTTAGAAACGGTTTTCAACAGCTTAATGTCAACTATAGCATGCACTTTCAAGTTTATTGAGTTACAAGCCGGACACAATACTGTCAATGTACAAAGTTATTTGTTGTTAAAAGAAACGCTCAGATGTTCCCACAGCCCAAATTTTTGTTAGAAGTATAAATAATTACAAGTGATTAATGTCTCCTTTGTATGAATGATGTTTTGTGTTTTTACTAGTTGACTTCATAGAAAAGGAATATGGCAGAAGAGCGGGAATTCAAGATTGAAACAGCTCCATTTGATGCTCGATTTCCTTATACCAACCAATCAAGGAACTGCTGGCAGAATTACTGTGACTACTATCGATGTATTTCTAAGAAAGGTGAAGATTTTGAGCCATGCAATTGGTTCAGAAGAAACTATCTCTCGCTCTGCCCTAGAAAATGGGTTAGTAGATAAAATGGTGAAATGTGTTCAAGAAAGTTAAAGATTTTCTATCAAAAATTTTTGTTATTTTATGTTTGACAGGTTGAAGATTGGAACTCGCAAAGAGATGAAGGGACATTTGCTGGCAAGATTTAAAGATCAATCACTTTAAGTACTTTATATATTTTTCTCATTAAAACTATTTCTTGCATCAAACAACAATTACAGAATTTCTTTTCTTCAGACTAATTAATAACAAAAACTGCCCTGTAAAGCATTGAATGTTGCACAAAAGAATCATTTTGTCGACTATCGTGGTCAGTTTCGAGAAATTTTACAATTAAATGTTTCAGACTTTTTGCCCAACTGAGATCCTCTAGAATAATGATAATTCCGTGCACTGCAAATACTCAAAATTGATCCCTAACACTGAACCTTAATCTTGTAGGATTATGCTATGGCCAACACATTAGTTAGAGATAGGATTAATTATCTATTTTGTGTATTTGTTGAACATGGAATTATTATAATGTTCTAAGATATCATTATTTATCCTGCTGTGCTCCCATTTTTTAAAAATTTGCTCGCATGCTTTTTACCTTTTAAATCTTTTTGGTCATACAATTAAGAATATTGACTGGATGATTGTACTAGGACTTTGCAAAGTTTTTTCACCGATTTTTTTGCGTTGCAAGTGGTCATCGTAGTTTTGGCTTTTTTTGGGGCTGCTGTGCAAAGTGTGGATATTAAATAGTCAACAAGAGGCAACTCTAGATTTCAGTTAATGAATCTAGAAGTTTATGGTAATCGTATTTAGTAACGAAGTGTGTCATTAGTCAAGCTCTATGAACTAATGATCTTCTCAATGGCCTTTTTACATGACCTGTCAAAATGCTAAATTACTTTTTCAGAATCATCCTGGTGAATATCATATTCTTAAGAATTACTTAAATACGTAATTTTCCTCCGTCATTGACAGGAATGGCCTCCACAACATTACGCCTCGAGTTATGTTGACTTTAATTTAAGATGTTTTGTTTTTTTCGTGGCGTCCGTGTGCTTGAAACGAACGCGTTTCATTCAAACGATGAAACTTTTATGTGTTAATCACATTTTAAGGACATTAATTACATGTCGTAAATTCTGAGGAAGTCATCTTGTTCACATTTTGAACTTGGATACACTTCATTCGTACAAAGACGCATTTTACGAAGAAAAAAATGCTAAATGAAGCGACTAGAAAAGGTCGAATTTTCATGGTCAACTATCTCTTGGATACTAAGAGAGTTGACATCAATGAACAAGATTCAAAGGGTCAGACATCATTGATTAATGCCTGCTTACTGACTGATGACATGGCCAACACTCGAAGGAAACTTTTGCGTTTGTTGTTGTCGAAGAAAGCAGATGTGAACATAGTTGATGACACAGGACGCGATGTTTTAATGTGGGCATGTCACTTGGGAAGAGTTGATGTTGTGAAAATTCTGTTTGGTCGCTCGTTGATGGATCTTAATTTCGTGTGCGTCGATACGTTTGGAAATACGGCTTTACATTACGTTTCATCTAAAGGAGATTTTGCTCTTACCAATATGCTTGTTGAAGCTATGAAAAGTTTTGGGGTGAGTAAAGAATTTTTCTGTATTGTTCTGACATCACAGTTGAAATACATCAGCTAAAACTTTAGTACGTATCAAAATTTTCACTAAAATTCAATCAACATCTCATGAAATCAAATATTTAATCAACACAGTGTTAAGGCATTATCTCATGATTGATTGGAAAATTCATTTTTCATTTCAGCTGTCACTGGACGGACGTAATAACGACGGACTGACGCCATTGTTAGCAGCGACAAAAAATGGTCAGGAAATGTGTGCTAGTTTACTCCTTGAGCACGGAGCATCTCCTGATATTGTGGATCCTCAAACGCTCTTGAATGTGAAAGAACTCGCCGAGAACGCTTGTTTGAAGTCCTTGATTGACAAGATTTCATTACGTAATCCTTGTACGCAATCTAGATGCTCGTTTCCAAGGCAACCGGATGATGACGACATGAGATCTGCTACACAACTCGTGAATCATTCGGAAAGTCTCGAGCGCCGAAAAAATCGACAACCTCTATTGAAAAAGCGTCAAGACGATTTTGAGCCGAAGGGAACAACTATTGATAGACAGAGTCGGAGGTCCTTACTTCCACCTGGTGTTTGTCCATCGGTCCCTAATATCCCAAGCAAACCACCGTTGCCTCGGACGTCCAAAGATCCATTTAACCTACATGATCTAAACACTGTGCTTTCTTTATACAGTGAACAACAAGCGAATACATACAGGAAAGGTTTTACAATTCCTGTGATGTCAACTGAAGAATTTCAAACTTATCTTAATGGTATGAAAGCAAAAATAAAACCCAAAATAAAACGTCGTCCATCGTCTGTCCGTAGCTCTGCTATGTGTTTCAGTCCTGTTTTCCAAGAGCGTCGTCGTTCTGCATTCAGCGATCCTTTGTACAATAGTCGTCGACGTAGTGTAAATCTGACAACTGTTTCTAATTCATGGGCCAATCAAAAACCTGGTTTTATACGTAATTCGTCTGATCCAATCATAGATCTTCGTTTACAATCAAAAACGCATAGCGGTAGTCGTAGACATTCCTTATTTGCCGCAGCTCGTAAAAAGTACTAACGTTTTTGATTACTTAGATGGATAAGCTTTTCGGAATACATAAAAAATAATTGACTTAACTTGAATTTATGCTTCTTTCGTCGTTTGACATGCACGTTTTTTTATGAAAATCACCATCTACCTATCAATTGTTAGTATTTTACAGTGTTTCGTTTATCCCTTGTATATTCTATGATGTTGTTTAAATAAGGACTGACATCTTTTGAATGTTGTGCCTTTAGTTTAATCTAAAGTACATATTTTATCTGTTTATGAACATCAGTTGTTATTTACTAGCTTCCCATGAAAATCATACCGCGGTAACAAGAAATTGACGATGAATTCGTTAATTCGTGCCCATCGTTTGCGTTTCATTTAATTCTTTATAAATACCGCTCGCTTTAAGAAAATTGTTATGCAAATTGTTATTTATGCGACGCTCTACCACAAAAGAGCTTAATTCGTTTAATGTTTGTATATAGCTAAAACAATATTGTACATAAGTACATTGACGACACGCAGCGGCATCTTAACAGTTTTCTGTTTCTCCCGAAGTCGCTGTTATCTTTTGAAGTGCTTATAATATTTGGATATTTCCTTTTATGACGTTTCATAGCAAGCAAGTCGTGACTATTTGCCAAAAAAATGAAAATATTAGAAGCCTGGCCTCCAGCAATGAAGAAATCTTTGATTCTCATTGAAGCTGTGCATGCTGAACGCTATCGCCAGTTGCATCTTCTCCTCGAAGCTGGCGTTGATGTAAACTGTCAGGATCCAAATACTGGCCACACTTCACTCATACGTGCCATGTTTGTTGAAAATCCTCGTCAGAGACGAAGGATGGTTAAAACTTTGATTAATTATGGTGGTAAGATTGAGAAAAGTGATGTGGATGGACGAACGGCGCTTGCTTGGGCTTGTTGTTTGGCTAGAAATGATATAATACGCTTCTTCCTACGGGCAATTCATTTAGACATCGGACTGAACTCTGTTGACAAATATGGCAACAATAATCTTATGCTAGCATGCACTTCGGGTAATCCAAACACAGTACATCTTATTGCTGAAGCATTTCGACAAGCAAATATTGACGTTAATCGAAGGAATTTGAACGGGGAAAATGCTCTAATGTACGCTCATCGTCTTGGCTTTTATGACTGTGTTAAAGTTTTAGTCGAGGGAGGTTATGTAAGGACTAGCATGTCTAAAGAACTGTTGTATGGTGACGAAAGGAAAGTGATGTCGACTATAGCTGCTCCTTCTATATTACATAGTTCGAATAACGAAATAACGCTACCACAAATCTTTTCTATGTATAGTGACCATTTGACTGATTCATTTCCACGTTCCCTGTCTAAACAATGCTCTTTAAAATCGTTAAGTAATCGTAAACATTGTAAATAAGTTGTAAATAATATTGAGAACGAATTTCTGTAGATAAAATATCATGAAAAATCTTGTTTACTTATGTCCAACGTTCACAGATTCACTCATTTAATTTGGATATCTCTTGTGGAGATTATTTGCTCGTCATTGGAGACTAGCTCTGTGTGGTGATTCCAGCCATTTCTTAGCTTTTATGTTTCGTTATTGCAGCTGTTTGTAATGGAAATTTCGTAAAATGTAATAATTAATGAAATATAACAATATCAATAATATTAACTTATACATTTTATATATATTTTAAATATTTATGCGATTGGCGCCCGCGCGTGTGCTCCACGAAGACAAACGTAGTCATGGTGATGGGTTTCTTTGTAAACTCCACCATCTTGGAAATGAACATCATTTTAAAATTTGACTAAAAAATTTTACGTTCAAAAGTTTCTTCTCGAAGAACCACTGGTTTCATCTGCACTAAAGGTGATTTTTATTTGTGGCTATTATGAGGTGAACTACAAAAGCGTATCGTAACAAAAATATGACAACTTGTTTACGTTTTATATTTAGACAGCAGCAGTAAGAGTAGGAAACATGGAGATTGTGTATGTTTATACGAAGAAAAGAAATGAATTTGGTCGTCAGTGTAACTTTGCTGATCGTCAAGCAGAGCTTCATGTTGATATTCCGCCGGACGAGAAGCTTGCAGCTAACTACATCGAACGAAATCCTTGCAATACGGGAATCCAATGTTCACAAGAAATGTCGGAACATGAGGTGAACACAGAACGCTTTGAAACGGAAAGTCGAGGGATAAACCACGTTGAAGGAGGATGGCCGAAAGATATAAATCCAGCTGAGGTTGAACAAACTATTAGATTTCGGAAGAAAGTCGAGAAAGATGAAAATTACATCAACATAATCCAGCAGTTGGGTTCGGTAAGGACTTTCGATAAATTAACGTGTCTTAAGGAAGTTTTGAAGACAACGACTCTGTTTAAAGGAGATTTTGCTTTTGGTTGTTCATTTCTTCAAATGCTTATTGCATTTTCATTCATTTCTAGGTCATGGAGCATTGTATTCAACAAAATAATTCTATCGATATTTACGAAACGTATTTTCAAGATGTTGAAAATGACTCATCGGGAATCCCACCTTCAGCTAAAACTATCAATGTATTCAGGTCATATTGACGTTGATGAAGAAGCTCTGAAAATTTCTGTGGACAATGTATTCGTAATGAAATATATTAATGTTTTGTTTTACATACGTAGGGATCCAAGTGACATTAAACGAACAGCATCAAGTCTGTCTTGGTATCCCGATGGTGCTCGAAAAATAGCTGTAGCATATTCCATCCTGGAATTTCAAAAATCACAATTAGACACACCAATGGACTCTTATATTTGGGATATAGGTAAAGATACTGAATTACTTGTTTGTCACTAAAGCCTTAATAACTGCGCTCGAGGTCTTCATGGAGAAATATTGGACAGAGGTATTTTTGTACAGACAGAGCCTGTAGGGCGAGATTTGTACAAAAAGACAGAGGTCCGATATTTCTCAGTAAAGACGAGAAAGCGAGGTTATTAAAAGGATGATTATATGGCATTATTTGACCTGAAACGAAGCTTGCTTTCTTTCTCGTCCTTGCTGTTTTTTTGCTGGTTGACTTTTTCACTTTTCTAGTTTTCGTCCATAAAAAATAAATCGCTTCAAATTGTATCGTCTTGATAGTTAAACTGTTTTACAAGTGTTTTTCCTTCGAATCACATTCATAAATGGTTTTTGTTTCGTTTATTTTGCTTTTTCCTGTTTGCTTTACGAAGTTTGTTTACATTTGACAGTAAAATTAAGCGTTTTGGACCGTGGTCGATTACGGGAAAATAATGGACCGGCAAAAATGTTTCTGAGCCAATCAAAGCGCGCCATTTTGCCGGAAGTGACGTTTGCCATATAATAAAATAACTTATCGTACTCTTACAAAAACTGTTTTTGACTTTTGGTGTAGAAAATCCCAACAAGCCTGAGTTAGATCTCAAACCTGTATCACCACTCGTGTGCTTGGAGTACAACCCAAAGGATCCCCATATTCTTATTGCTGGTTGTTATAATGGACAAATTGGTATTTTATATTTACTCATTGATGTGATAATGGAAGATACGTCTTTTTATGGTATATGATTTTTATTTCTGTAGGATTTTGGGACACACGTAAAGGCTCACAACCAGTTGAGGTGACACCAATTGAGAAAAGTCATCGCGATCCTGTCTACAAAGGATTATTTTTACAATCAAAAACAGGTTAGTTTGTTATTGGGAGGTTTTTCTTTACCACGTTTCTCTCTCCATTCTTCTTCCAACATAATGTATGATCCTAGTCTACCCACTACTATTTTGAATCTTTTAGATTCTTCCCCAATCTCCTCCTTTAAATGTTGAATATCCCCAGTCTTCCCTTTGGCATTTTGAATATCCCAAGTCTTCCCTCTGGCATGTTGAATATCCCCAGTCTTCCCTCTGGCTTTTTCAATGTCCCTAGTCTTCCCATTTTTAGGTTGGATCTCCTCCCCAATCTCCTTTAAATGTTGAATATCCCCAGTCTTCCCTCTGACATGTTGAATATCCCAAGTCTTCCCTCTGGCATGTTGAATATCCCAAGTCTTCCCTCTTGCATGTTGAATATCCCCAGTCTTCCCTCTGGCATGTTGAATATTCCCAGTTTTTCCTCTAATATGTTTATAGTCTTTTCTCTGAAATTCTCGCCATTCTTGGTCTTCTCAGGACATTGCAATTGCTAAAATAACGAATATTCACAACAGGCACAGAGTGTTTTACGACAAGCACAGACGGTCAGGTTCTATGGTGGGATATAAGAAAGTTAGGTGAACCTACTGAGAACTTATTACTTGTACCAAATCCAAAGGAAAATCCTCGACCAATGGGAGGAATGTCTTTGGAATATGAGCCCACAATGCCAACAAAGTTTATGGTAGGAACAGAACAAGGATCAGTGTTGCTATGCAACAGAAAAGCGAAGAGTCCTGGTGAGAAAATAGTTTGTTCTTTTACACAACATTATGGTCCTGTTTACGCTGTTCAGGTGAGTTTAAATATTGGAGATGTTTTGCACATCTTTACATCGTGTAATTACGTAAGTGTAACTTTTTTCTTTTAGAGAAATCCATTCTTCCCAAAGCAATTTTTGAGTGTTGGAGACTGGGCTGCCAGGGTAAGGTTATGTACTGCGTTGGAACTTACATAAAATTAACAGGACACTATTACTAACTAGTGATTCTGTTGACAGATCTGGAGCGAAGACTTACGAGAATCGTCCATTATGTGGACTAGGTAGGATAATGAAGTACAACTTGGGATGTATCTATCGTTTTTATAATTCACCCACCTTTCTATGGCTTATCCCTAGAGAGAATATGTCTTACATGACAGATGGTTGTTGGAGTCCTGTTAGACCTGCTGTATTTTTTACCACAAAGATGGATGGAACTGTTGATGTTTGGGATTATTTATTTAAACAAAATGATCCAACTCTTACCATACAGGTACTCAAACACCCCCGGAAATTAAAATAAATAAATCCTTTTTCCGGGGGGGGGGGTAGGCTGTTCGTCCTTCATGCTTTAGTTTGTATATTCTTCTCGCGATAATGTCATGTATGAGATGCGTTAATTAGGTTTGCGATGAAGCGTTAAACTCCCTTCGTATTCAAGATCAAGGACGTCTTGTAGCATGTGGTTCTCATGCAGGAACGGTTACATTACTCGAGTTATCGCAAGGTCTATCTAACATACAACGAAATGAAAAATCTTCTGTGAACTCGGTTAGTTATCTTGTTCTTAATGGAATTTTAATTACTTAAATCATAACATCGTGTCATCGTAAGCAATATTTGCGTGACGTTTGACTTTAGATGTTTGAGCGTGAAACAAAAAGAGAGAAGATTTTGGAGACTCGACATAAAGAAATGAAGCTAAGAGAAAGATCGAAGAGCCAGCAAGAGAAGTAAGGATGAAAGGGTTTATCGTGGGATACAGGATGGTAATTGTACTAGGATATACCCTGGTGACGGTAGTGTTACAGGAATGGTTGCGGGGGTGGGGGGGTGTCAGTCCTGTATTTGCTACAGAGCGTTTTCCGGATAGTGTTGTACAGTTACATAGCTGTGATTTTACTTGGACTTTGTCTGGTGATTGGTAAAGATACAGGTAGAGTAAAAGAACTGTGTATATGGAGATACAGGGCTTTGGTTGTATTAGATTGTGATATAGAGGAATATAGGATGGTACTCATTCGGTGGTCATTGTAAAAAGATACATGGTGGTAGAAGTAGGATATAGATGGATGATTGTAGGGGATACAGGGTGATGGTTAATATATACGTAATCTAATTTGAGGATGCAATTGATTTAACTTTCTTGATTTCGTGTAATTCACTTAATGTAATGTTCAAATCTTTTTATTTATCGCTTCAAGAGACGACGCGGAAAGACATGAAGAAGAGGACGACGAAGATCTTATACAAAAGGCTGAAACAGATTTTTTTGCCGTGATTGATACAGAGAAGAAATCACGCGAAGCAAAAGAGAAACAACAGCAAGAATCGTTAAAACAAATGAATAGAACATTGACGAAAGATGGTAGAAACGAAAAAGAGATTAATGAACAACTTTTGGAAGTGGATGAGGTATTTATTGAAATACGAACGTCTATATACACACGCAAATCATACTTCTTAAAATTTTAAATACAAATTTTACTTAAAATTCATTAGGATGAGGAAGTTTTGGAATCACCAAGGAGTTAAAGGCAAAATTATAGAGTATAATTTTATTATTATTTGCTAAAAAAACTCAAATTTTTTACTTTAAAATATACTTTGATATTGATTATAAATAAAAGTCCTTTTTAAACAAGCTTGCCATACTAAACTAGCACTACAATTAAAATGGAAGCAAATCAACAGATTTCATTTAAAATTAATCCTGAATAAATAATTGTCAAGGATTAGCCCCATCAGAAGAAGGTAAGAATATAAAGTAATTTTAAGCAAAGTACATAGAACAGTTAACATTTGGATGGACCCTGACAAGATTTCTTTGTTCCGTTGTAACCTCCTTAGGTTCGTCATCGGAAATAGTGCTTCCTTCAGTTGCACTGTCCATCTTCAGATGATGTCTTGCTCTGAATGCAACATGATGGGCATAATACGCAGGCGCAGGAATAGACACGGACCTGGTACAACGTACGTATGTATAACACAATTGATTGGTAAGAATCTGTAAGTCATCTGAGGTAAAGTTACTGTCATCGTACAGTACATGATAAAGAGCTGGTTTACTTGTGCCTTGGATACCAGCATGACTACACAGGTAGAAATTAAACTCGTACGGATGACATATCTGTGTATCAACAACTGTACCTAAATAAAGTAAATGGTTTGAACAAGGGAGTATCGTTACATGTTTGTAGATGTAGATCGTCCAGGTGAGTAGACTCCCGAGAAGGACTGTTTTCGTTGTTGTTGACGGACGTTTCGACAACCTTAGCGGTAGTCATCTTCAGAGTCAAATGAGTTAACGTCAGGTTAGCCGTATTTGTTATCTGGTTCTTACGTCATTGTATTGTGTGTACAGGAAATATGTGGGTGTCAATTGTGTATTGTCATTGTGGATTAGTGTGAAGTGGAATGTTTTTAGTTGCTCGTTTGTTTGTATTGTAAATAAGTCGTTTGTAAGGTGCCGGTAATTGCTGTGATCTGTTCAGGGGGGTTTGTTCCAAGTTGGTATACCAACTTTCTAATGTAAGCCGTTGTCTATAGTCAGTGCTGTAAGTAATGCATTTTGCAGAGTCCCAGTCAATGTTATGCTTTGTGAGTCGGTGATGTTCGGCAATGTGGTTAGTTTTGTTTTGTTTCTTTGTAGGTCGATGGTGTTCAGTAAGTCTTATGTTTAGGTTCCTGCCAGTTTCTCCGAAATAGGAGGCGTGGCATTTGGAGCAGTTTACTTTGTACTGCTCCTTGTCGTTCGTTGGGTAACTCACATAACACAACATGAGATTTTACGTTAGTTTCCTTCAAGAAGTTGTGATCATAAAATGAAACATGCTTACCTGCTGGAATATTTCTACTTTTGCCTTTTTGATCTTTAGGATCTGTTGCAAAGAATCTGGCATGATGTCTTTTTTGGACCACAATAAAGGTTATGGCAGGTGTCCAGCCTGGTTGAAGTTCAAGACAAGCTCTTTGGATGGCTGATAACTCGTTAATCAAGACATCTTGAAACTGACCCTCACTAACACCATCTCGATAAAATAAAATCTTTTCAGGAATGGCTTTGGTAGATGATCTAAACTTTTTCAACAATGTCTTTGTCATTTCTTTCAAATCCTCAATCATTTCCTGTCTGTGTTTTTGGACACGAACCTCAGCATTGTAGAGGGTTGGGTATGAGTCTTTACTGGCTACAACAGCAGCAATTGAGGGACTTGATTTATTCCCAGCACCTGGATGGGTCACATCAGCACCTGAAAACAAGATACATAAATGTTGACAGAATTGATATTCATGTAAGCTCTCACCAAAGTTAAGATCTTACCAAAAATGATCACAGGTCGTTTCAAAATTGGAGATTTCATGGCCTTATCCAAAGCACACGTTGTCCCACCAAGTTTGGCATTCATTTTAAGCCACAAATTAACCAACGTTTCCTTCTTTCTCCAGTCTGAGAAATCATCACTAGCTTTCTCAACTTTAATACACTGTGTGATGATTCCATGGACAACATCACCACAATGCTTCACTTCTTCATAGAACTCATCTCCATCCACTGGTAAGACAACAACTATTAACTGCAGATTGGGATACCTAGCTTTCAGGCTACCAAACAACTTGTCAATCCCATTTAAGTCAGTTTCCAGTGACACATGACATGGATCTATAACATTTACACCTTTCTCACGGCCAACCTCTATTAAATAGTAGATAAGATTATCCATACCTTGGTTGTCTAAATGGTCAGGACCTCTTCCACGACCTGGTTGTCTTTTCTTGTATGAAATCAGTGCCCATTCCCTTAATTCCTTAGGGTCGAGCATTTTCTTTGTAATCTTCCATGCACCATCTCTAGGCATCTCTTGGCTTGGTCGATTAATAGGACCAAACATCATGGAAGGAGGATCTAGGACTCGACCTTGTATACCAATAAGTTCATTACCAATGCTGAAACCAAAGTCATGTAAATAAGGATCTTGCTCAAATCGAAGTTTTCTAATCAATTCCATGATTTTTTGCATTCTGTCTGGTGCTGGAATAGCTGTACTACGAATCATCTGTTGTGTTTGCCGTCCAGTGAGCCTTCCCTGCTTCTTTTGACCACAAACTACATTGCAAAGTTCCATTGGAATGAGACTTCCCTTTTGACCAATTTTTACACATGGAAGATCTGGGTGTCTTAAACTTACATTATATGTGTTTCTAAAATAATCAAGCACAGTGACTTTGCGACCATCACAGTCAAATGTCTCTTCTCTGGCTGATCTGTTGGAGAGACCACTTGCCTTTTGCTTTCTTTTCATGTGAGTTGTTTCTACTTTGATGGCCTTAATCTCCTTAGCAAATTTCATTCTTTGCCTCGTATCCAATGATCTAGGTAAGTTTCTTAAATTAAGAAATTCACACATGAAGTCGATAACAGGTTGAGCTTTGTAAAAACCAGTTGAACTTGTATCAACATTTAACATCATTTTCCACTGAGTTGGTCGAATACTGAGAAATGTACCATTCCAAACTTGTATACCTCCTCCAAGATCTCTTTCACGACCACTTGGATAGTCAAAAAATGAAGAACGAACTTGTATTGTTCTCATTTTTGGCATTTGTTGTATAACAACTTCAATAGCTTGTAAAGTATCATAAGGTATTTCAGTACGTCGGCCTTCAAGTGCTTCGTTTAGTTCATAAAGGCTACAATAAGCAACCCATTTAATATCAACAATAAACGTTTTTTCTTTGCCATTATCTGTTGTAAACTGTACTGTGTATTGTTGACCTGACTCAAAACCTGGAATTTTTTTCCTACAATAGATATTCTTACCATTTTTATCATACACCCACTTGGGACCTCTTGGGTTGTCTTTGTCATACATTTCTTGAGCTTTCTGTAGAATTTTTGGTCTTTCTGACCTTGTGAATCCTTCTTCACTTTTTTTTCCTTTTTCTTTGATGTCAGAATGATAATGATGAATATCCTCAGTAGTGAGTTTAAAAGGAATAAAATTTACTCTGAGGTTAATGCGTCGTCCCGATCTACCTCCTGCATCTGGTCGACGAGGTGGCTTGGGTACACCTTTAGTGGACTTGGGAGGAACAGTTTTTATTTGACTGGGTCTGTCTGGTTTAACTGCTCCCTGGGGAGTTTGGGCTTGTGGTGGTAAAGGTTCAGACGGTGTTGGTTGAGGTGGGCTAGATGGTTGAGTTGATGGTTGGGTCTTCTGGAGGTTTTGTGGTGTAGAAGGTTTTTCCTGTGATCTACTAAAAGCTGCACCATCAGCTTGATCGTTACTAGGCAATCTCTCCTCACGTTGTTGTTTTTGCTGTTGTTGTCTGCGTTGTTTGCGTGATTGTGGCTGTTGTCCTTGTTGTGGTTGTCCTTGTGGCTGTTGTCTTTGCCGTTGTTGTCCTTGTGGCTGTTGTCCTTGTGGCTGTTGTCCTTGTGGCTGTTGTCTTTGTGGCTGTTGTCGTTCATCACGTTGCGCTGGATGTTGTTGTTGTTGCTGTGGTCCTCTATGTTCAGTAGCTAAAGCTACACTTTCCTCTTGACGTTCTTGTAAACCACCTGGCGTACTTTCACTTTGTCTTTGCTGTTGTTGTCCAGCTCTTCCTCGTCCACCTTTATGTCTTCCTCGTCCTTTCCCTCTGCGTCCCCTTCCCTGGCCGCGATCACTCATGATAACTGTGATTGGCTTTGTCAAAATATAAATTTTTGATTAAAAAGACGAGACAATGTTACGAAGCAGTAAACGAAAGTCAAGAGTCGTAGATATTTCCCCGAATTTGTTTTCCCAGAAGGAACTTGACAAAGCCAATATAATATGACGTAGCACAGATCGTAAAAATTGACAACTTTTTATTCGCCCTCGTTACATCGTATCTTCTCAAAATATCTTTCAAACACTTTCTTCTCAATACTTCACACCAGTATTATTTATATTTCAAATAATTATGTTTGATTTCGCCTATAAATTTAACGACTTGTTGGGGCTTTCCCATAGTGATGACGATGAAGGCAAAGGGCAAAATAACCTGCTTCTGCAGGTGGTGTTTGTGTGAGATAAGATTAACTCCAGAGTTGTTTTAAGTCATATTTGTGTTAGGAATTTGATAAAACATTTGTAATATCTGTGTATAATACATTTAGACCATTAAAAATATTTGCAGTAAGCCTTTGCCATGATTTAGCGAGAAAAATTGTCATTATTGAATAATAGCTATGATATTTGGTATATGATTTGCAACAGGTATTCAATGATTCAGGCTGAGCAAATTTAGAGAGGAACTTACCATAATGTTTAGTTTATAATCTCTATGCATACACGTCTTTTACTTTCATTTTTAATGTTTTGAAATGTATAAAAGTTGCTTTTCGTTTCGAAGAAATTTTGAGCATTTTCCTGTAATTTTATACATTCAGGTGTCAATTGGAAAGTCTGACTCACTGACTTACATGATATATCTATTGAATTGTTTTGTAGAAATTATAAAAGAGTGAAAATTTTCGATGTCTGAGGGTCGAGGAAGAGGAAATAAAGGAAGGGGAAGACGTCGAGGTCGTGGACGTCGTCGTGGTGGGAATGAAGCACGAACGAATGAAAGTGTAGCTCCTAGCGGTTTACAAGATACAAGATCAAGTGATAGAGGAGCCATTGCTTTGACTGTTGATGAACCAACACCAACTGTCGCACAAGCAACTCCTTCTCAAGAATTTTAAGTCAGTGAAGATAAAGAACAAACGAGAAAAATTTCAAAGAAATAAGGTCAAAGAATAAAGAAGCAAGAACAGACTTCTCAACAAGAAACAACATCTGCTCAAGCAAGCAATGTTCAAATTCCCACAGCTCAACAGGATGTTGAAACCTTAGCAGAAAATGTCATACAGTTAAAAGTTCAAGAACAAAGTGATTCTACAGATGCTGTATTTCCTAGAGGAATATAGGATGGTGAATATTGTGTGGTGATTGTAAAAAGATACTTGGTTGTAGATATAGGATATAGATGGATGATTGTAGGGGATATAGGGTGATGGTAAATATATACATTACCTAATTTGAAGATGCAATTGATTTAACTTTCTTGTTGAGTTGTTGTGTGGTTTGCTTATTGTAATGTCAATCTTTTTATTTATCGCTACAAGGTGCAGAAAACCATGAAGAAAAGGATGACGAAGATCTTATACAAAAAGCTGAAATGGAATTTTTTGCTGTAATTGATACAGAGAAGAAATCACACGAAGCAAAAGAGAAACAACAGCAAGAATCGTTAAAACAAATGAATAGAACATTAAGGAAAGATGGTAGAAACAAAAAAGAGATTTACTATAAGAACAACTTTCGGAAAAGGATGAGGTATTTATAGAAATATAAACATCCATACAAACATAAACACACAAAATTATACTACTTAAAATTTCTTTAGTAGGATGAGGCTGTTTTGGACTCACCAAGCAGTTGAAGAAATGATAGAGTATAATTTTATCAATATTTGCTAAAAAAAAATCAAATGCTTACTATAAAATATACTTTGATATTGATTATAAATAAAAGTCCTTTTTAAACAAGCTTGCCATACTAAACTAGCAGTACAACTAAAATGGAAGCAAATCAACAGATTTCGTTTAAAATTAATCCTGAATAAATCATTGTCTAGGATTAGCCCCATCAGAAGACAGTAAGAATATAAAGTAACTTTAAGCAAAGTACATAGAACAGTTAACATTTGGATGGACCTTGACAAGATTTCTTTGTTCCGTTGTAACCTCCCTAGGTTCATCATCGGAAATAGTACTTCTTTCAGTTGCACTGTCCAACTTGAGATGATGTCTTGCTCTGAATGCAACATGATGGGCATAATATGCAGGCGCAGGAATAGACACGGACCTGGTACAACGTACGTATGTATAACACAATTGATTGGTAAGAATCTGTAAGTCATCTGAGGTAAAGTTACTGTCATCGTACAGTACATGATAAAGAGCTGGTTTGCTTGTGCCTTGGATACCAGCATGACTGCACAGGTAGAAATTAAACTCGTACGGATGACATATCTGTGTATCAACGACTGTACCTAAAAAACAAAACACAAGAATTTGCATTTGTTTCCTTCAAGAAGTTGTGATCATAAAATAAAACATGCTTACCTGCTGGAATATTTCTACTTTTGCCTTTTTGATCTTTAGGATCTGTTGCAAAGAATTTGGCATGATGTCTTTTTTGGACCACAATAAAGGTTATGGCAGGTGTCCAGCCTGCTTGAAGTTCAAGACAAGCTCTTTGAATGGCTGATAACTCCTTAATCAAGACATCTTGAAATTGACCCCTGCTAACACCATCTCGATAAAATAAAATCTTTTCAGGAATGGCTTTTGTAGATTGTCTAAACTTTTTCAACAATTCCTTTGTCATTTCTTTCAGATCCTCAATCATTTCCTGTCTGTGTTTTTGGACACGAACCTCAGCATTGTAGAGGGTTGGGTATGAGTCTTTACTGGCTACAACAGCAGCAATTGAGGGACTTGATTTATTCCCAGCACCTGGATGGGTCACGTCAGCACCTAAAAACAAGATAGGTAAATGTTGACAGAATTGATCTTCATGTAAGCTCTCACCAAAGTTAAGATCTTACCAAAAATGATCACAGGTCGTTTCAAAATTGGAGATTTCATGGCCTTATCCAAAGCACACGTTGTCCCACCAAGTTTGGCATTCATTTTAAGCCACAAATTAACCAAAGTTTCCTTCTTTCTCCAGTCTGAGAAATCATCACTAGCTTTCTCAACTTTAATACACTGTGTGATGATTCCATGGACAACATCACCACAATGCTTTACTTCTTCGTAGAAATCATCTCCATCCACTGGTAAGACAACAACTATTAACTGCAGATTGGGATACCTAGCTTTCAGGCGACCAAACAACTTGTCAATCCCATTTAAGTCAGTTTCCAGTGACACATGACATGGATCTCCAACATTTACACCTTTCTCGCGGCCAACCTCTATTAAATAGTGGATAAGATTACCCATACCTTGGTTGTCTAAATGGTCAGGACCTCTTCCACGACCTGGTTGTCTTTTCTTGTATGAAATCAGTGCCCATTCCCTTAATTCCTTAGGGACGAGCATTTTCTTTGTAATCTTCCATGCATCATCTCTACGCATCTCATGGCTCGGTCGATTAATAGGGCCAAACATCATGGAAGGAGGATCTAGGACTCGACCTTGTATACCAATAAGTTTATTACCAATGCTGAAACCAAAGTCATGTAAATAAGGATCTTGCTCAAATCGAAGTTTTCTAATCAATTCCATGATTTTTTGCATTCTGTCTGGTGCTGGAATAGTTGTGCTACGAATCATCTGTTGTGTTTGCCGTCCAGTGAGCTTTCCCTGTTTCTTTTGACCACTGACTACATGGCAAAGTTCCATTGGAATGAGACTTCCCTTTTGACCAATTTTTACACATGGAAGATCTGGGTGTCTTAAACTTATATTATATGTGTTTTTAAAATAATCAAGCACAGTGACTTTGCGACCATCACAGTCAAATGTCTCTTCTCTGGCTGATCTGTCGGTGAGACCACCTGCCTTTTGCTTTCTTTTCACGTGAGTTGTTTCCACTTTGATGGCCTTAATCTCCTTTGCAAATTTCATTCTTTGCCTTGCATCTAACGATCGAGGTAAGTTTCTTAAATTAAGAAATTCACACATGAAGTCGATAACAGGTTGAGGTTTGTAAAAACCAGTTGAACTGGTATCAACATTTAACATCATTTTCCACTGAGTTGGTCGAATACTGAGAAATGTACCATTCCAGACTTGTATACCTCCTCCAAGATCTCTTTCACGACCACTTGGATAGTCAAAAAATGAAGAACGAACTTGTATTGTTCTCATTTTTGGCATTTGTTGTATAACAACTTCTATAGCTTGTAAAGTATCATAAGGTATTTCAGTATGTCGGCCTTCAAGTGCTTTGTTTAGTTCATAAAGGCTACAATAAGCAACCCATTTAATATCAACAATAAACGTTTTTTCTTTGCCATTATCTGTTGTAAACTGTACTGTGTATTGTCGACCTGACTCAAAACCAGGAATTTTTTTGCTACAATAGATATTTGTGCCATTTTTATCATACACCCACTTGGGACCTTCTGGGTTGTCTTTGTCATACATTTCTTGAGCTTTCTGTAGAATTTTTGGTCTATCTGACTTTGTGAATCCTTCTTCACTTTTTTTTCCTTTTTCTTTGATGTCAGAATGATAATGATGAATATCCTCAGTAGTGAGTTTAAAAGGAAGAAAATTGACTCTGAGGTCAATGCGTCGTCCCGATTTACCTCCTGCATCTGGTCGACGTGGTGGCTTAAGCACACCTTTACTGGACTTGGGAGGAACAGTTTTTATTTGACTGGGTCTGTCAGGTTTAACTGCTCCCTGGGAAGTTTGGGCTTGTGGTGTTAAAGCTTCAGAGGGTGCTGGTTGTGGTGGGCTAGATGGTTGAATTGATGGTTGGGTCAACAGGAGGTTTTGTGGTGTAGAAGGTTTTTCCTGTGATCTACTAAAAGCTGGACCATCATAACGAGGCAATCTTTCCTCACGTTGATCATAACGAGACAATCTCTCCTCACGTTGATCATAACGAGGCAATCTCTCCTCACGTTGTTCATATCGAGACAATCTCTCCTCACGTTGTTCATATCGAGACAATCTCTCCTCACGTTGATCATAACGAGACAATCTCTCCTCACGTTGTTCATAACGAGGCAATCTCTCCTCACGTTGATCATAACGAGACAATCTCTCCTCACGTTGATCATAACGAGACAATCTCTCCTCACGTTGTTCATAACGAGGCCTCTCATCGCGTTGTTCTTTCTGTTGTTGTTTGAAACGTTTGCACGTTTGCAGCTGTTGTCCTTGTTCTGGTTGTCGTCGTTTATCACGTTGCGCTGGATGTTGTTGTTGTTGCTCATCTCTGTGATGTTTTATTTGTTGTTGCTGTAGTCGTCTATGTTCAGTAGCTAAAGCTACACCTTCTTCATGTTCTAGTCGACGTCCTCTTCTCTGACCGCGATCGCTCATCAAGAATCAGAGATATTTTCACGATTTTGTTTTTCCAGTAAGACCTTGATGACAAGTATAAATATAAATATGACGTAGAACAGATTGTAAAAATTCACAACGGATTATTCACCCTCGTTACATATGGCAAGCCAAACGTGACAAAAGTGTATTGAGAATTCCAACCGCTAGTCCAGAATATCAAGCGATGGTCGAGAATATTAGGCGATGGTCGAGATTTATAACAGTAACAACGGTCAGCGGTCTTAGTAGTAAACTCCTGTTTCTGGTAATACTTGATGTACTTTGAAAGAATTCAGGAATTTCTCGCCAGACTGCAGTTTAGCGAATTTCCGAAGCGCTTATGTGCGTAGCGCGGGCTCCTTTTTGGTTAGGATTATGTGGAATTATAGGTTAGGGTTTGGGTCAGCGTCCAAGGTGTCCGTTTATAAAATAAACACAATGCGCTGTGTTTGCATCAACGAACTCCATAACAATCGTTGTTGTAGAGTTCACTGAGTTTTCCCATTCTATAATAACTCAATTATAGAACTCAATGGGTTTTCCCCAGTGACCAACGATATAGGCAAATGGCAAAAAATAGCCTGCTTCTCCAAGCTGAAGGTGGTGTTTGTGTGGGATAAGACTAACTCCAGAGTTGTTTTTAAGTCATATTTGTGTTAGGAATTTAACAAAACATTTATAATATATGTGTATAATACGTTTAGACCATTAAAAATATTTGCAGTCGAGCCTTTGCCATGATTTTAGTGATAAAAATTGTCATTATTGAATAATAGCTACCATATTTGGTATATGATTTGCAACAGGTATTCAATGATTCAGGCTGAGCAAATTTAGGGAGGAATATACCATAGTGTTTTCCTCTTTTACTTTCATTTTTAATGATTTGAAATGTATAAAAGTTGCTTTTCTTTTCGAAGAAATTTTGAGCAGTTTCCTGTAATTTTATACATTCATATGTCATTTGCCAAGTCCGACACACTGACTTACATGATATGCCTATTGAATTGTTTTGTAGAAGTTATAAAAGAGTGAAAATTTTCGATGTCTGAGGGTCGAGGCAGAAGAAATAAAGGAAGGGGAAGTCGTCGAGGTCGTGGACGTGGTCGTGGTGGGAATGAAGCACGAACGAATGAAAGTGTAGCTCCTAGCGGTTTACAAGATACAAGATCAAGTGATAGAGGAGCCATTGCTTTGACTGTTGATGAAACAACACCATCTGTCACACAAGCAACTCCTTCTCAAGAATTTCAAGTCAGCGAAGATAAAGATCAAGCAAAATCAACTTCTAAAAAACAACGTCAAAGAAGGAAGAAGCAAGAACAGACTTCTCAACCAGAAACAACATCTGCTCAAGCAAGCAATGTTCAAATTCCCACAGCTCAACAGGATGTTGAAACCTTAGCAGAAAATGTCCAGCAGTTAAAAGTTCAAGAACAAAGTGATTCTAGAGATGGTGGATTTCCTGGAGGAATATAGGATGGTGAATATTGTTTGCTGATTGTAAAAAGATACTTGGTGGTAGATATAGGATATAGATGGATGATTGTCGGGGATATAGGGTGATGGTAAATATATACATTACCTAATTTGAAGATGCAATTGATTTAACTTTCTTGTTGAGTTGTTGTGTGGTTTGCTTATTGTAATGTTAATCTTTTTATTTATCGCTACAAGGTGCAGAAAACCATGAAGAACATGATGACAAAGATCTTATACAAAAAGGTGAAATGGAATTTTTTGCTGTAATTGATACAGAGATAAAATTACACGAAGCAAAGGTGAAACAACAAGAATCGTTAAAACAAATGAATAGAATATTAAGGAAAGATGGTAGAAACGAAAAAGTGATTAACTATAAGAACAACTTTTGCAAAAGGATGAGGTATTTATTGAAATATAAACATCCATACAAACATAAACACACAAAATTATACTACTTAAAATTTCTTTAGTAGGATGAGGCTGTTTTGGACTCACCAAGCAGTTGAAGAAATGATAGAGTATAATTTTATCAATATTTGCTAAAAAAACTCACATAATTTACTATAAAATATACTTTGATATTGATTATAAATAAAAGTCCTTTTTAAACAAGCTTGCCATACTAAACTAGCAGTACAACTAAAATGGAAGCAAATCAACAGATTTCATTTAAAATTAATCCTGAATAAATCATTCTTAAGGATTAACCCCATCAGAAGGTAAGAATATAATGTAACTTTAAGCAAAGTACATAGAACAGTTAACATGTGGATGGACCTTGACAAGATTTCTTTGTTCTGTTGTAACCTTAGATTCGTCATTGGAAATGGTATTGCCTTCAATAGCACTGTCCATCTTGAGATGATGTCTTGCTCTGAATGCAACATGATGGGCATAATACGCAGGCGCAGGAATAGACACGGACCTGGTACAACGTACGTATGTATAACACAATTGATTGGTAAGAATCTGTAAGTCATCTGAGGTGAAGTTACTGTCATCGTACAGTACATGATAAAGAGCTGGTTTACTTGTGCCTTGGATACCAGTATGACTACACAGGTAGAAATTAAACTCACGGATGACATATCTGTGTATCAACGACTGTACCTAAAAAACAAAACACAAGAATTTGCATTTGTTTCCTTCAAGAAGTTGTGATCATAAATTAAAACATGTTTACCTGCTGGAATATTTCTACTTTTGCCTTTTTGATCTTTAGAATCTGTTGCAAAGAATTTGGCATGATGTCTTTTTTGGACCACAATAAAGGTTATGGCAGGTGTCCAGCCTGGTTGAAGTTCAAGACAAGCTCTTTGGATGGCTGATAACTCCTTAATCAAGACATCTTGAAATTGACCCCTGCTAACACCATCTCGATAAAATAAAATCTTTTCAGGAATGGCTTTCGTAGATTGTCTAAACTTTTTCAACAATTCCTTTGTCATTTCTTTCAGATCCTCAATCATTTCCTGTCTGTGTTTTTGGACACGAACCTCAGCATTGTAGAGGGTTGGGTATGAGTCTTTACTGGCTACAACAGCAGCAATTGAGGGACTTGATTTATTCCCAGCACCTGGATGGGTCACGTCAGCACCTAAAAACAAGATAGGTAAATGTTGACAGAATTGATCTTCATGTAAGCTCTCACCAAAGTTAAGATCTTACCAAAAATGATCACAGGTCGTTTCAAAATTGGAGATTTCATGGCCTTATCCAAAGCACACGTTGTCCCACCAAGTTTGGCATTCATTTTAAGCCACAAATTAACCAACGTTTCCCTATTCCTCCAGTCTGAGAAATCAATACTAGCTTTCTCAACTTTAATACACTGTGTGATGATTCCATGGACAACATCACCACAATGCTTCACTTCTTCGTAGAAATCATCTCCATCCACTGGTAAGACAACAACTATCAACTGCAGCTTGCGATACCAAGCTTTCAGGCGACCAAACAACTTGTCAGTCCCATTTAAGTCAGTTTCCAGTGACACATGACATGGATCTTCAACATTTACACCTTTCTCGCGGCCAACCTCTATTAAATAGTGGATAAGATTACCCATACCTTGGTTGTCTAAATGGTCTGGACCTCTTCCACGACCTGGTTGTCTTTTCTTGTAAGAAATCAGTGCCCATTCCCTTAATTCCTTAGGGTCGAGCATTTTCTTTGTAATCTTCCATGCACCATCTCTACGCAACTCTTGGCTCGGTCGATTAATAGGGCCAAACATCATGGAAGGAGGATCTAGGACTCGACCTTGTATACCAATAAGTTCATTACCTATGCTGAAACCAAAGTCATGTAAATAAGGATCTTGCTCAAATCGAAGTTTTCTAATCAATTCCATAATTTTTTGCATTCTATCTGGTGCTGGAATAGTTGTGCTACGAATCATCTGTTGTGTTTGCCGTCCAGTGAGCCTTCCCTGCTTCTTTTGGCCACTGACTACATGGCAAAGTTCCATTGGAATGAGATTTCCTTTTTGACCAACTTTCACACATGGAAGATCTGGGTGTTTTAAACTTATATTATATGTGTTTTTAAAATAATCAAGCACAGTGACTTTGCGACCATCACAGTGAAATGTCTCTTCTCTAGCTGATCTGTCGGTGAGACCACCTGCCTTTTGCTTTCTTTTCACATGAGTTGTTTCCACTTTGATGGCCTTAATCTCCTTTGCGAATTTCATTCTTTGCCTCGCATCTAACGATCTAGGTAAGTTTCTTAAATTAAGAAATTCACACATGAAGTCGATAACAGGTTGAGCTTTGTAAAAACCAGTTGAACTTAAATCAACATTTAACATCATTTTCCACTGAGTTGGTCGAATACTGAGAAATGTACCATTCCAGGCTTGTATACCTCCTCCAAGATCTTTTTCACCACCACTTGGATTGTCAAAAAATGAAGAACGAACTTGTATTGTTCTCATTTTTGGCATTTGTTGTATAGCAACTTCTATTGCTTGTAAAGTATGATAAGGTATTTCAGTACGTCGGCCTTCAAGTGCTTCGTTTAGTTCATAAAGGCTACAATAAGCAACCCATTTAATATCAACAATAAACGTTTTTTCTTTGCCATTATCTGTCCTAAACTGTACTGTGTATTGTCGACCTGACTCAAAACCAGGAATTTTTTTGCTACAATAGATATTCTTGCCATTTTTATCATACACCCACTTGGGACCTTCTGGGTTGTCTTTGTCATACATTTCTTGAGCTTTCTGTAGAATTTTTGGTCTATCTGACTTTGTGAATCCTTCTTCACTTTTTTTCCCTTTTTCTTTGATGTCAGAATGATAATGATGAATATCCTCAGTAGTGAGTTTAAAAGGAAGAAAATTGACTATGAGGTCAATGCGTCGTCCCGATTTACCTCCTGCATCTGGTCGACGTGGTGGCTTAAGCACACCTTTACTGGACTTGGGAGGAACAGTTTTTATTTGACTGGGTCTGTCAGGTTTAACTGCTCCCTGGGAAGTTTGGACTTGTGGTGTTAAAGATTCAGAAGGTGCTGGTTGTGGTGGGCTAGATGGTTGGGTCTTCTGGAGGTTTTGTGGTGTAGAAGGTTTTTCCTGTGATCTACTAAAAGCTGCACCATCATAACGAGACAATCTCTCCTCATGTTGATCATAACGCGGCAATCTCTCCTCACGTTGATCATAACGAGACAATCTCTCCTCACGTTGATCATAACGAGACAATCTCTCATCACGTTGATCATAAAGAGGCAATCTCTCATTACGTCGATCATAAAGAGGCAATCTCTTCTCACGTTGATCATAATGAGACAATCTCTCCTCACGTTGATCATAACGAGACAGTCTCTCCTCACGTTTATCATAACAAGACAATCTCTCATCACGTTGATCATAAAGAGGCAATCTCTCCTCACGTTGATCATAAAGAGGCAATCTCTCATCACGTTGATCATAACGAGACAATCTCTCATCACGTTGATCATAACGAGACAATCTCTCCTCACGTTGATCATAACAAGACAATCTCTCGTCACGTTGATCATAACGAGACAATCTCTCCTCACGTTGATCATAACAAGACAATCTCTCCTCACGTTGATCATAACGAGACAATCTCTCGTCACGTTGATCATAACGAGACAATCTCTCCTCACGTTGTTCATAACGAGACAATCTCTCCTCACGTTGATCATAACGAGACAATCTCTCGTCACGTTGATCATAACGAGACAATCTCTCCTCACGTTGATCATAACGAGACAATCTCTCCTCACGTTGATCATAACGAGACAATCTCTCGTCACGTTGATCATAACGAGACAATCTCTCCTCACGTTGTTCATAACGAGACAATATCTCATCACGTTGATCATAACGAGACAATCTCTCCTCACGTTGATCATAACGAGACAATCTCTCCTCACGTTGATCATAACGAGACAATCTCTCCTCACGTTGTTCATAACGAGACAATCTCTCCTCACGTTGTTCATAACGAGACAATCTCTCCTCACGTTGATCATAACGAGACAATCTCTCCTCACGTTGATCATAACGAGACAATATCTCATCACGTTGATCATAACGAGACAATCTCTCCTCACGTTGTTCATAACGAGACAATCTCTCATCACGTTGATCATAACGAGACAATCTCTCCTCACGTTGATCATAACGAGACAATCTCTCATCACGTTGTTCATAACGAGGCAATCTCTCCTCACGTTGTTCATAACGAGACAATCTCTCATCACGTTGTTCATAACGAGGCAATCTCTCCTCACGTTGATCATAACGAGACAATCTCTCATCACGTTGTTCATAACGAGGCAATCTCTCCTCACGTTGTTCATAACGAGGCAATCTGTCATCACGTTGTTCATAACGAGACAATCTCTCATCACGTTGTTCATAACGAGGCAATCTCTCATCGCGTTGTTCTTTCTGTTGTTGTTTGAAACGTTTGCACGTTTGCAGCTGTTGTCCTTGTTCTGGTTGTCGTCGTTTATCACGTTGCGCTGGATGTTGCTGTTGTTGCTCATCTCTGTGATGTTTTATTTGTTGTTGCTGTAGTCGTCTATGTTCAGTAGCTAAAGCTACACCTTCTTGATGTTCTAGTCGACGTCCTCTTCTCTGACCGCGATCGCTCATCAAGAATCAGAGATATTTTCACGATTTTGTTTTTCCAGTAAGACCTTGATGACAAGTATAAATATAAATATGACGTAGAACAGATCGTAAAAATTCACAACGGATTATTCACCCTCGTTACATATGGCAAGCCAAACGTGACAAAAGTGTATTGAGAATTCCAACCGCTAGTCGAGAATATCAAGCGATGGTCGAGAATATTAGGCGATGGTCGAGATTTATAACAGTAACAACGGTCTTAGTAGTAAACTCCTGTTTCTGGTAATACTTGATGTACTTTGAAAGAATTCAGGAATTTCTCGCCAGACTGCAGTTTAGCGAATTTCCGAAGCGCTTATGTGCGTAGCGCGGGCTCCTTTTTGGTTAGGATTATGTGGAATTATACGTTAGGGTTTGGGTCAGCGTCCAAGGTGTCCGTTTATAAAATAAACACAATGCGCTGTGTTTGCATCAACGAACTCCATAACAATCGTTGTTGTAGAGTTCACTGAGTTTTCCCATTCTATAATAACTCAATTATAGAACTCAATGGGTTTTCCCCAGTGACCAACGATATAGGCAAATGGCAAAAAATAGCCTTCTCCAAGCTGAAGGTGGTGTTTGTGTGGGATAAGACTAACTCCAGAGTTGTTTTAAGTCATATTTGTGTTAGGAATTTAACAAAACATTTATAATATCTGTGTATAATACGTTTAGACCATTAAAAATATTTGCAGTTGAGCCTTTGCCATGATTTTAGTGATAAAAATTGTCATTATTGAATAATAGCTACCATATTTGGTATATGATTTGCAACAGGTATTCAATGATTCAGGCTGAGCAAATTTAGGGAGGAACTTACCATAGTGTTTTCCTCTTTTACTTTCATTTTTAATGATTTGAAATGTATAAAAGTTGCTTTTCTTTTCGAAGAAATTTTGAGCAGTTTCCTGTAATTTTATACATTCATATGTCATTTGCCAAGTCTGACTCACTGACTCACATGATATGCCTATTGAGTTGTTTTGTAGAAGTTATAAAAGAGTGAAAATTTTCGATGTCTGAGGGTCGAGGCAGAAGAAATAAAGGACGGGGAAGTCGTCGAGGTCGTGGACGTGGTCGTGGTGGGAATGAAGCACGAACGAATGAAAGTGTAGCTCCTAGCGGTTTACAAGATACAAGATCAAGTGATAGAGGAGCCATTGCTTTGACTGTTGATGAAACAACACCATCTGTCACACAAGCAACTCCTTCTCAAGAATTTCAAGTCAGCGAAGATAAAGATCAAGCAAAATCAACTTCTAAAAAACAACGTCAAAGAAGGAAGAAGCAAGAACAGACTTCTCAACCAGAAACAACATCTGCTCAAGCAAGCAATGTTCAAATTCCCACAGCTCAACAGGATGTTGAAACCTTAGCAGAAAATGTCCAGCAGTTAAAAGTTCAAGAACAAAGTGATTCTAGAGATGGTGCATTTCCTGGAGGAATATAGGATGGTGAATATTGTGTGGTGATTGTAAAAAGATACTTGGTGGTAGATATAGGATATAGATGGATGATTGTCGGGGATATAGGGTGATGGTAAATATATACATTACCTAATTTGAAGATGCAATTGATTTAACTTTCTTGTTGAGTTGTTGTGTGGTTTGCTTATTGTAATGTTAATCTTTTTATTTATCGCTACAAGGTGCAGAAAACCATGAAGAACATGATGACAAAGATCTTATACAAAAAGGTGAAATGGAATTTTTTGCTGTAATTGATACAGAGATAAAATTACACGAAGCAAAGGTGAAACAACAAGAATCGTTAAAACAAATGAATAGAATATTAAGGAAAGATGGTAGAAACGAAAAAGTGATTAACTATAAGAACAACTTGCAAAAGGATGAGGTATTTATTGAAATATAAACATCCATACAAACATAAACACACAAAATTATACTACTTAAAATTTCTTTAGTAGGATGAGGCTGTTTTGGACTCACCAAGCAGTTGAAGAAATGATAGAGTATAATTTTATCAATATTTGCTAAAAAAACTCACATAATTTACTATAAAATATACTTTGATATTGATTATAAATAAAAGTCCTTTTTAAACAAGCTTGCCATACTAAACTAGCAGTACAACTAAAATGGAAGCAAATCAACAGATTTTGTTTAAAATTAATCCTGAATAAATCATTCTTAAGGATTAACCCCATCAGAAGGTAAGAATATAATGTAACTTTAAGCAAAGTACATAGAACAGTTAACATGTGGATGGACCTTGACAAGATTTCTTTGTTCTGTTGTAACCTTAGATTCGTCATTGGAAATGGTATTGCCTTCAATAGCACTGTCCATCTTGAGATGATGTCTTGCTCTGAATGCAACATGATGGGCATAATACGCAGGCGCAGGAATAGACACGGACCTGGTACAACGTACGTATGTATAACACAATTGATTGGTAAGAATCTGTAAGTCATCTGAGGTGAAGTTACTGTCATCGTACAGTACATGATAAAGAGCTGGTTTACTTGTGCCTTGGATACCAGTATGACTACACAGGTAGAAATTAAACTCGTACGGATGACATATCTGTGTATCAACGACTGTACCTAAAAAACAAAACACAAGAATTTGCATTTGTTTCCTTCAAGAAGTTGTGATCATAAATTAAAACATGTTTACCTGCTGGAATATTTCTACTTTTGCCTTTTTGATCTTTAGGATCTGTTGCAAAGAATTTGGCATGATGTCTTTTTTGGACCACAATAAAGGTTATGGCAGGTGTCCAGCCTGGTTGAAGTTCAAGACAAGCTCTTTGGATGGCTGATAACTCCTTAATCAAGACATCTTGAAATTGACCCCTGCTAACACCATCTCGATAAAATAAAATCTTTTCAGGAATGGCTTTCGTAGATTGTCTAAACTTTTTCAACAATTCCTTTGTCATTTCTTTCAGATCCTCAATCATTTCCTGTCTGTGTTTTTGGACACGAACCTCAGCATTGTAGAGGGTTGGGTATGAGTCTTTACTGGCTACAACAGCAGCAATTGAGGGACTTGATCTGTTCCCAGCACCTGGATGGGTCACGTCAGCACCTGAAAACAAGATACGTAAATGTTGACAGAATTGATGTTCATGTAAGCTCTCACCAAAGTTAAGATCTTACCAAAAATGATCACAGGTCGTTTCAAAATTGGAGATTTCATGGCCTTATCCAAAGCACACGTTGTCCCACCAAGTTTGGCATTCATTTTAAGCCACAAATTAACCAACGTTTCCCTATTCCTCCAGTCTGAGAAATCAATACTAGCTTTCTCAACTTTAATACACTGTGTGATGATTCCATGGACAACATCACCACAATGCTTCACTTCTTCGTAGAAATCATCTCCATCCACTGGTAAGACAACAACTATCAACTGCAGCTTGCGATACCAAGCTTTCAGGCGACCAAACAACTTGTCAGTCCCATTTAAGTCAGTTTCCAGTGACACATGACATGGATCTTCAACATGTACACCTTTCTCGCGGCCAACCTCTATTAAATAGTGGATAAGATTACCCATACCTTGGTTGTCTAAATGGTCAGGACCTCTTCCACGACCTGGTTGTCTTTTCTTGTAAGAAATCAGTGCCCATTCCCTTAATTCCTTAGGGTCGAGCATTTTCTTTGTAATCTTCCATGCACCATCTTTACGCAACTCTTGGCTCGGTCGATTAATAGGGCCAAACATCATGGAAGGAGGATCTAGGACTCGACCTTGTATACCAATAAGTTCATTACCTATGCTGAAACCAAAGTCATGTAAATAAGGATCTTGCTCAAATCGAAGTTTTCTAATCAATTCCATGATTTTTTGCATTCTGTCTGGTGCTGGAATAGTTGTGCTACGAATCATCTGTTGTGTTTGCCGTCCAGTGAGCCTTCCCTGTTTCTTTTGACCACTGACTACATGGCAAAGTTCCATTGGAATGAGATTTCCTTTTTGACCAACTTTTACACATGGAAGATCTGGGTGTTTCAAACTTATGTTATATGTGTTTTTAAAATAATCAAGCACAGTGACTTTGCGACCATCACAGTGAAATGTCTCTTCTCTGGCTGATCTGTCGGTGAGACCACCTGCCTTTTGCTTTCTTTTCATGTGAGTTGTTTCCACTTTGATGGCCTTAATCTCCTTTGCAAATTTCATTCTTTGCCTCGCATCTAACGATCTAGGTAAGTTTCTTAAATCAAGAAAGTCACACATGAAGTCGATAACAGTTTGAGGTTTGTAAAAACCAGTTGAACTTAAATCAACATTTAACATCATTTTCCACTGAGTTGGTCGAATACTGAGAAATGTACCATTCCAGGCTTGTATACCTCCTCCAAGATCTTTTTCACCACCACTTGGATTGTCAAAAAATGAAGAACGAACTTGTATTGTTCTCATTTTTGGCATTTGTTGTATAGCAACTTCTATAGCTTGTAAAGTATGATAAGGTATTTCAGTACGTCGGCCTTCAAGTGCTTCGTTTAGTTCATAAAGGCTACAATAAGCAACCCATTTAATATCAACAATAAACGTTTTTTCTTTGCCATTATCTGTCCTAAACTGTACTGTGTATTGTCGACCTGACTCAAAACCAGGAATTTTTTTGCTACAATAGATATTCTTGCCATTTTTATCATACACCCACTTGGGACCTTCTGGGTTGTCTTTGTCATACATTTCTTGGGCTTTCTGTAGAATTTTTGGTCTATCTGACTTTGTGAATCCTTCTTCACTTTTTTTTCCTTTTTCTTTGATTTCAGAATGATAATGATGAATATCCTCAGTAGTGAGTTTAAAAGGAAGGAAATTGACTATGAGGTCAATGCGTCGTCCCGATTTACCTCCTGCATCTGGTCGACGTGGTGGCTTAAGCACACCTTTACTGGACTTGGGAGGAACAGTTTTTATTTGACTGGGTCTGTCAGGTTTAACTGCTCCCTGGGAAATTTGGACTTGTGGTGTTAAAGCTTCAGAGGGTGCTGGTTGTGGTGGGCTAGATGGTTGAGTTGATGGTTGGGTCTTCGGGAGGTTTTGTGGTGTAGAAGGTTTTTCCTGTGATCTACTAAAAGCTGCACCATCATAACGAGACAATCTCTCCTCGTGTTGATCATAACGCGGCAATCTCTCCTCACGTTGATCATAACGAGACAATCTCTCCTCACGTTGATCATAACGAGGCAATCTCTCCTCACGTTGTTCATAACGAGACAATATCTCATCACGTTGATCATAACGAGACAATCTCTCCTCACGTTGATCATAACGAGACAATCTCTCATCACGTTGATCATAACAAGACAATCTCTCATCACGTTGATCATAACGAGACAATCTCTCCTCACGTTGATCATAACGAGGACATCTCTCCTCACGTTGATCATAACGAGACAATCTCTCCTCACGTTGATCATAACGAGACAATCTCTCCTCACGTTGATCATAACGAGACAATCTCTCCTCACGTTGATCATAACGAGGCAATCTCTCCTCACGTTGATCATAACGAGGCAATCTCTCCTCACGTTGATCATAACGAGACAATCTCTCCTCATGTTGATCATAACGCGGCAATCTCTCCTCACGTTGATCATAACGAGACAATCTCTCCTCACGTTGATCATAACGAGACAATCTCTCCTCACGTTGATCATAACGAGGCAATCTCTCCTCACGTTGATCATAACGAGACAATCTCTCCTCACGTTTATCATAACAAGACAATCTCTCCTCACGTTTATCATAACAAGACAATCTCTCATCACGTTGATCATAACAAGACAATCTCTCATCTCGTTGATCATAACAAGACAATCTCTCATCACGTTGATCATAAAGAGGCAATCTCTCCTCACGTTGTTCATAACGAGGCGATCTCTCCTCGCGTTGTTCTTTCTGCTGTTGTTGTTTGCAATATTTGCACGTTTGCAGCTGTTGACCTTGTTGTGGTTGTCGTCGTTTATCACGTTGCGCTGGATGTTGTTGTTGTTGCTCATCTCTGTGATGTTTTATTTGTTGTTGCTGTAGCTGTCTATGTTCAGTAGCTAAAGCTACACCTTCTTGATGTTCTAGTCGACGTCGTCCTCTTCTCTGACCGCGATCGCTCATCAAGAATCAGAGATATTTTCACGATTTTGTTTTTCCAGTAAGACCTTGATGACAAGTATAAATATAAATATGACGTAGAAAAGATCGTAAAAATTCACAACGGATTATTCACCCTCGTTACAGAATATCTTCTAAAAATATCTTTTAAAAATTTCTGGCTAGACTGCAGTTTAGCGAATGCCCGAAGCGCTTATATGCGTAGCGCGGGCTCCTTTTTGGTTAGGATTATGTGGAATTATAGGTTAGGGTTTGGGTCAGCGTCCAAGGTGTCCGTTAATGACTCCGTTTATAAAATAAACACAATGCGCTGATTGGTCTAGAGCTGTGTTTGCATCATTTGAATAACTGGAATGATAACCGAAGCCAAAAATTGAAGCCAAAAAAACATTTGTCGTCATCATTCGTCATTATACGTCAGGCTCTAGTCTCTCGCGTGTTCAGTTTAATTTTTTTTAATCATTTTTCCCTTGGTAATGGTAGAGTTCGGATCATGATCAGAGCGTAAAAAAAAAGAAATTTTTGGAATGAAAAGGTTCACGGAAAGTGAATCAAAGTGATAAATCGAAAAGCAAGGTCAGGTGAACTTAGCCGATCTGCTATTACGCTGCGGTTTTCCTTTAAAATATATCAAAGTCTTTAAGGATATTCAATTATTGATATCGAGATGACAACCATTTAGTACTTGAAACACTATCAAAATCGATGAAAATGACAATCGCTTTGTAAAAAGTAAAAATGCGAGTTATAGACTCAATATTTTTTATGAAACTGGATATTCAAGTTTTCTTTTTTTTCGGAAAAACAGATCTTTAAATCCACTTAAAAGACAAAAAAGACAAACACTGTTTGACACCGTTTGAAAATTTACCTTCCGATGTAAGAAAAATTTTTGCTTGAATATTTTCTCGTCATATTTTCTTATTGTGTTGTCTTTTTAGCATACAGTGTAATTTTCAGTTGGCTTTTCCTCGTAACAAGTTGTAAGTTACAACGAAATCACTGTAGTAAAGTTTCAGCTGTAAAAAATAACCTTTTGCGAAGAGTTGGCCTCGTGTGTTTTTGTCGTGATGTTGTTTATATGTTTATGCTTTTGCAATTTGTATTCAAATTTATATTGGCCGTGTATGTTTGGCACTCAGGGGAATGAAACTGACGTACAAACCGCGTGAATATTCGACTTTGAAGGACTGGAACTGACGTACAAACCGCGCAAGAGACTAGGACTTTAGCTTCAATTTTATATCTATAAAATGTATTGTCGTTATCATTCCAGATATATATATATATATGGAGTTCACTGGTTTGCATCAACGAACTCCATAACAACTGGAAGGCTATTTTGGCCGCCATCTTTGAAGCCTGCATGATCGCCGCCAATGAGGGTTCGGAGGCGAAATACATCACTTCGAAATTGCCGGATTTTTTGTACAAAACAGTGCTCTTCGAGCCAGCTTAATGTCTAAAAACCTTAAACAATGTTTGGACTGTAATATAAAACAAGTTTGAACGACATTTGTACATGTTTAAGCTTCTTTTTAGAAAGATGAAAAGCGAACTTTGTTTTGGCACGTGAAAACATGCCTTATAACTTGAATACAAAACTGACACCCCTCGTTTTTTTGATTAACAGGATGTAAAACACACTTGTCTATCCTTATAATATTATTTGAATCTTTGAAAATGAAGCTGTCAGGGCAAAAAACGCTGTTTTTCGGTAATTTTTGTGTTTACGAGCAAAATTAGCTCGCCCCAGTCCTTTTTGAAAGTTCAGAGCGTAAACAAAAAGAAAAGCACTTTGCAAAATATTTGAAAAAGTTAGCAAAAAAATATTTTGAGTTTGTTTTAAAAAAACTGTTATGCCATATTATTGTGTTAATATTAATTGCACCATTAAAGAGTGAAAAGGGTCAATACCCACTAAAAAAAGACAAAAACACAAATGACACTCCATATTCATAACTTTTGAAACACTTAAGCAAAAATTGTAATGTAACACAAGTATGAAAAAGATTATTAGTCTAATATTATAGAATCATCATATATTTTCACAAATATGACCAAACATTTTAAACACACATCCTAAAATTTAATATATTACATATACATTTATCATCATCTGTATGACAAGAAAACACTAATTTTACAATCAATATGATATACTATAAAATTATGATACATGATATAGCTTTGCTTGCTTTATAATCATTTTAAAATCCTGGTTCAAACCACTGAGGATGAGGGTTGCTTTTTAGCATTTATGTAGAGCAGGTTATATTAGCAATACTTGTCATGTTGTACACTTGGCTATTTATTTATAAGCATGAACTTGCTGATAAAATGCTCAATACACAAATATGAATGCATGTCAAATCTTCCACCAGTCCTTAAGAAGTGGGAGAAGTAAATGACAAGAACCAACAATCACCCACAGTTCAAAATTTCAAATCATCACTTTCACACTTTCCAAAAAGAGCATGTGAAATTCTTACAAAGCAAGTCTAACTTTAAAAGCAATAAAATTGTTGTGAAACATGTTATATTAAGTGGATTGTGTGTATTTTGCACACCATTCAAAGATACAGACTACCTGTTTTCAGTTTTATCTTAAATTTTTGGTCTTTCGGCGACAAATGAGAAATTCATATTTCGAAGCAAGTTCTCCCTTCTATGTTTTATATAATACAACGTTACGTATACAAAACATGTCTTGGAACATCCACAATTCATCTTAAGACATTAATAACCAAATTTTGTTAACGGTTTTGAAAAAAAATAAAACATTTAGGCTAGCATTGTATTTTCAAGTTAGCAGTTTTTGCAAAACAATCCGTCACGCAAAATAAAACAGTCTACGCGAGATACACGCGAAGTGGCAAATCAGCTTCTAAGTGGCTTCAGCAAGTTTAGGCTTGTTTATATTGAGTTAGCCTTCCAGTTGTTGTAGAGTTCATTAGTTTGCATTAGCCTGTGCACAATACATCTGAGCTCAAGCAATCAAATCAATCAAAACAATCAATCAGTCAAAGAGAATTTACAAATCGATCTACGACAACGAGTACGAAGTTTGACCGTGTAAGGGAATGGCACGAGGAAGTTTGTTGTGGTTGCTTTGTCAAAATTTTGTTTTAGCTATAAACAACAGAACGAGCCTTTTTATTGTGAAAAATAAACGACGTTTGCGAAGCAGCTACGGCTCCATTTGTCAATAAAGATATCAACTAATTGGTAATACTAATTTTGAGAGAAAATAGGGCTCTTCAGAGTGAAAAATCTTTACTATTTTAATTTTTATGTACGATATATTTTATACTATTTTATTGTTTGTTTACCTTTCACTTTACGTACGAAAGTTTTCAAGGTCTTATTTTCCTTTTAAATGTACATATGCGCTCAAAAAAGCTTCTAAAGTAAAGCATGGATGCTCGAAAATAGTACTGTAAACTAATTTCTTACAGAATGAAGAAATATACCTACTTTGCTTAAAAAGACATCGTAGTCGAGACTACGAATTTTTTACAAAACATCGTACTCAGGTTGATGACGGCTACGTGTTTTTGTCGTCGCAACAATGTCTTTGCGCCAAAATGACGTAATTTGTACTCGTAGTTGTACTGGTGGTCTTTGCTAAAGCTCTCTATTTTTAATGATTTTAAATGTACAAAGGTTGCTTTTCTTTTCGAAGAAATTTTGAGCAGTTTCCTGTAATTTTATACATTCAGGTGTCAATTGGAAAGTCTGACTCACTGACTTACATGATATATCTATTGAATTGTTTTGTAGAAGTTATAAAAGAGTGAAAATTTTCGATGTCTGAGGGTCGAGGAAGAGGAAATAAAGGACGGGGAAGACGTCGAGGTCGTGGACGTGGTGGTGGTGGGAATAAAGCACGAACGAATGAAAGTGTAGCTCCTAGCGGTTTACAAGATACAAGATCAAGTGATAGAGGAGCCATTGCTTTGACTGTTGATGAACCAACACCATCTGTCACACAAGCAACTCCTTCTCAAGAATTTCAAGTCAGTGAAGATAAAGATCAAGCAAAATCAACTTCTAAAAAACAACGTCAAAGAAGGAAGAAGCAAGAACAGACTTCTCAACAAGAAACAACATCTGCTCAAGCAAGCAATGTTAAAAATCCCACAGCTCAACAGGATGTTGAAACCTTAGCAAAAAATGTCCAACAGTTAAAAGTTCAAGAACAAAGTGATTCTACAGATGGGGCATTTCCTAGTAGATCAGCTGACACGGCACCTACACAAGCACCTAAGGATACACAACCAAAAACTACCCCAGTCACTCCACAAAAACAAACTTCAAAGAAATCAACCTCTCAACCTGTCAAGAAAACACCATCGTCCACAACTCAGCAGGAAAAACCTGAATTAAAGCAATTGTCAACTGATCTACCTCAGTCAGAGAAGGAGGAGATAAGACTACTCCGTCGACCTGATAAAGGAGGTCAACTAGGTAGACTTTTACGTCTTCGTGTGAACTTTCTTAATGTTCAACTGCCAAAAAATGATATTCATCATTATGACACATCAATTAAAGCAAACTTTAAGACCAATCGTGATGGCTATACAAAATCTGAAGCCCCTAAGATTATTAAAGAAATGGTAAATCAGTATGAAGCTGCTAATCCCAAAGGACCAAAATTAGTTTATGACAAAGATGGTAAAAATTTGTATTGTCGTACACTCATCCCAGATATTGGAAAGGACATGAGAGAATTCAAGGTACTATTTACAACAGACAATGGTAGTCAGCGAGAGTACACTGTTACTGTAAAATGGGCAGCACAAGTTAGTCTTTATTACCTGAAGCAAGCACTTGATGGAAAATCCATTGAAGTGCCCCAGAATGCCGTGCAAGCTGTACAAAATGTGATCAGATTTTTGCCATCAATGACCAGCACTCCTTTTGGTCGTTTGTTTTTTAATTTCTATGGCGATGAAAAAGATCTGGGTCTTGGTCTTCAGATCTGGAATGGACGTTTTGTAAGCATACGTCCGACGCAGTGGAAGATGATGTTGAACATTGATATATGTGCTACTGCATTTTATAAAGCACAACCTGTTCTTGATTTTATGTGTGAATATCTTAAACTGAGAAATATACCTCCGAAACTGAACCCATCACAAAGGAGAGACTTTAGCAAGGAAATGAAGACCGTTAAGATTGAAACAACTCACGTTAAAAGAAAACAAAGAGTCAGCGGATTGTCCATGAAATCTTCAAAGGATGAAAAATTTCCTCTGGAAGATGGAAAAACGATCAGTGTTTTTGAATACTTTAAAGAAAAGTATAACATTACATTAAGATACCCCGATCTTCCATGTCTGAAGGTTGGTAGTAAAGGCAGTTTGATTCCAATTGAGGTCAGTAATATTGCTGGTGGTCAACGACGGGAGGGAAGACTTAATCCTGATCAAACAAGAGAAATGGTAAGACACACAGCACTTCCAGCTCCACAACGCCAGCGAGAAATAGAAAATTTAGTTCGCAGCTCTAACTTTGACAAAGATCCTTACTGTGCTGATTTTGGAATCAAGGTTGGTAGAAATCTAGCCAGTGTTACAGGAAGAGTTTTGGATCCACCTTTGTTAAGCTATGGTCCTAAAGATAAACCACAAACAGAGAAACCACGGGATGGTGTATGGAATATGCAAAATAAACCAATGTTTGAACCAAAAGAATTGAAGGAATGGGCGCTTGTTTCATATGAAAATCCGAGATTCTTTGATGATCGAGCCATGAGTAATTTTATCTCTCGTCTTGTTCAGGCGGGTGGAGAAAAACAGTTAAGAATTAACGATACTCCTTGTTATAAAAATACACAGCGTGGTTACGACGGTATTGGCAAACTCTTTGGTCAACTTATTAAGAATTATCCTAACCTTCAACTCATTGTTGTTATATTTCCTGATAAAGATTCCACCGATCCTTATTACGAAGAAGTGAAGCATTATGGAGATGTTGTTTATGGCATGAGAACACAATGTGTTAAATCGAAAAACGCGAAGAAAGCAGATATGCAAATGATGGCTAATATTTGTCTTAAAATCAACGCAAAACTTGGTGGAACAACATCAGTCCTCAACAAAGAAAATCGTTCACCAATATTATCTGAACCTGCCATTATTTTTGGTGCTGACGTCACGCATCCAGCTCCCGGAGACAGCTCTCCTTCAATAACCGCTGTGGTTGCAAGTATGGACTCGTATCCTAACCAGTACTGCGCAGAGGTCTGCGTCCAACAGCGTGGTAGCAAGACGAACAGAGAAGAAATTGGTGATATTAAAAATATCGTTGTTACCTTACTTAAGAAGTTTCGTAAGTCTACCGGAGCTGCACCACAGAAAATCATATTTTATCGTATTGGAGTTGGTGAAGATCAATTTAAACGTGTTTTACTTCTGGAGCTTCAAGCATTTCAAGATGCTTGTCTTGAACTAGATCCCAATTATAAACCACAAATTACATTTATTGTCGTCCAGAAAAGTCATCATGCTCGATTCTTTGCCGAAGATCCACGTGATCAAAGAGGTAAAAGTAAGAACATCCCTGCTGGTACTTTGGTCGATAAAGACGTTGTTCATCCCTTTAAATTTGATTGGTACCTGTGTAGTCATGCTGGTATTCAAGGTACCAGTAAACCAACTCACTACCATGTCTTGTATGATGATAGTAATTTTAAGTCAGATGAACTACAGAATCTCACCAATCAACTATGTCATACCTACGTTCGTTGTGCCAGAGCAGTATCTATACCAGCACCTGTGTATTATGCTCACCATGCTGCGTTTAGAGCTCGTTATCATTTAAAGGAGGTTGAACGTGGAAGCCCAGATGGTAGTGTTGCCTCTGGAGACGATGGAAGCGTCCTTAAGGAAGAAGATTTGGTTCGTGCTGTGAAAATTCACGACAACATGAAGTCTACAATGTATTTTGCCTAGAGTTTTAATTAATTATTATCGAAATTTAATTTTAATTTATTTTTTGTTGTTGATATAATGAAAATATTTTAATTGAATAATAATTAAATACTTAAAATGTTTTAATTTCTATGGAATAGTTTATGTAAATAATTTAATATAGTTTAAATAATTGTTTTTAGTATAGATAATGCTTCAGTAACATATATAGCTCAGTGTTCTTGACTCAGTTTCTTTAAAGACATCGCTCGGCCACTGTTGTCATTTGTGTTTTGAAATTGTAGTTTAAGAATAAAATTCATTTTCGTTATATATTTGCTGTTTTTTTATCTTAATTCATTTATATTTTGTCCGTTTTTATTCATACGATAGTAAGATGAGCGAAGTCTTGAGTCAAAACCATGAACAGTAAGTTGATTTTGTGTAGTTGGATTAACTTAAAGTTGTTTTTCTTAATGTTTTGATTGCTAATGCCTTTGAACAATACATTGAATTTCCCCCCTGTAGGGTCACACAGACAAAACTCTACAACTAGTAAACACAACTCCAGTATTCCCAGCTCATCAGAACAGGTGAGTTCTTGTGCTTTTTTGGGAACAACAAAAATTAGGGCATTGTTCTTATCGTGAAGGAATTTCTCTATAAGAGATAAGATATTTTTCGTGTTTACACAGGCTTATGCAAACCTCAGAGACGTTTGTAAGAACTCTCGAGCAGGTGCAACCCTAAACTTTCGGTCTCGGGCTAGCACTGATCTGCTCTCGAGTTCTCCCAAGGGTCTCCTCGGTTTGCATAAGTCTGTGCAAACTATGATCTGCTCTCAAGTCCTCCCAAAGGTCTATTCGGTTTGCATAAGTCTGTGCAAACTATTTAGTGCAAACACAGTAGACATCTCTTCTTTCTTAAACAATTGTTTTTTAATAAAGTTCACTCATCACTGGCGTCTGCTAAATAAACTTCAGGGGCGGGTTGTACGAAGCCTGGATAGCGCTATCCACTGGATAAAAATTTTTTCTGACTGTTCATAATATCTCTTATAGGAGAAAAATATACGGTTTGAGCTGTGCAATCACTGAAAAAAAACATTGTTTTGAAGATAACAAAATTTCTTTGTCATAAGAAAAATTTAAACACCTTTTCACAAGTTTCAAAAAAATTGCTATCCAATGGATAACACTATCCAGACTTCGTACAACTGGCCCCAGAAGCCCAATGACTTGTTAGGGTTTTCCCCAGTGATCAACGATATAGGGAATGACAAAAAAAAGCCTGCTTCTCCAAGCTGAAGGTGGTGTTTGTGTGAGATACGATTAACTCCAGAGTTGTTTTAAGTCATATTTGTGTTACGAATTTAAAAAAACATTTGTAATATCTGTGAATAATGCTTATAGAACATTAAAAATATTTGTAGTTATGCCTTTGCTATGATTTTAGCAATAAAAATTCATCACTCATGATAACTGTGATTGACTTTGTCAAAATATAAATTTTTGATTAAAAAGACGAGACAATGTTACCAAGAAGTAAACGAAAGTCAAGAGTCGTAGATATTTCCACGAATTTGTTTTCCCAGAAGGAACTTGACAAAGCCAATATAATATGACGTAGCACAGATCGTAAAAATTGACAACTTTTTATTCGCCCTTGTTACATCGTATCTTCTCAAAATATCTTTCAAACATTTTCTTCTCAATACTTCACACCAGTATTATTTATATTTCAAATAATTATGTTTGATTTTGCCTACAAATTTAACGACTTGTGGGGCTTTCCCATAGTGATGACGATGAAGGCAAAGGGCAAAATAACCTGCTTCTCCAGGATGTAGGTGGCGTTTGTGTGAGATAAGACAAACTCCAGAGTTGTTTTAAGTCATATTTGTGTTATGAATTTGACAAAACATTTGTAATATCTGTGTATAATACGTTTAGACCTTTTAAAATATTTGCAGTTAAGCCTTTGCCATTATTTTAGCGATAAAAATTGTCATTATTGAATAATAGCTATCATATTTGGTATATGATTTGCAACAGGTATTCAATGATTCAGGCTGAGCAAATTTAGGGAGGAACATACCATAATGTTTAATTTATAATCTCTATGCATACACGCCTTTTACTTTCATTTTGTCTAACATATTTGACTTTCATTTGTAATGATTTTAAATGTACAAAAGTTGCTTTTCTTTTCGAAGAAATTTTGAGCAGTTTCCTGTAATTTTATACATTCATATGTCATTCGACACGTCCGACTCACTGACTCACATGATATGCCTATTAAATTGTTGTGTAGAAGTTATAAAAGAGTGAAAATTTTCGATGTCTGAGGGTCGAGGAAGAGGAAATAAAGGACGGGGAAGACGTCGAGGTCGTGGACGTGGTCGTGGTGGGAATGAAGCACGAACGAATGAAAGTGTAGCTCCTAGCGGTTTACAAGATACAAGATCAAGTGATAGAGGAGCCATTGCTTTGACTGTTGACGAACCAACACCATCTGTCACACAAGCAACTCCTTCTCAAGAATTTCAAGTCAGTGAAGATAAAGATCAAGCAAAATCAACTTCTAAAAAACAACGTCAAAGAAGGAAGAAGCAAGAACAGACTTCTCAACAAGAAACAACATCTGCTCAAGCAAGCAATGTTAAAAATCCCACAGCTCAGCAGGATGTTGAAACGTTAGCAAAAAATATCCAACAGTTAAAAGTTCAAGAACAAAGTGATTCTACAGATGGTGCATTTCCTAGTAGATCAGCTGACACGGCACCTACACAAGCACCTAAAGATACACAACCCAAAACTACCCCAGTCACTCCACAAGAACAAACTTCAAAGAAATCAACCTCTCAACCTGTCAAGAAAACACCATCCTCCGCAACTCAGCAGGAAAAACCTGAATTGAAGCAATTGCCAACTGATCTACCTCAGTCAGAGAAGGAGGAGATAATACTACCCCGTCGACCTGATAAAGGAGGTCAACTAGGTAGACCTATACGTCTTCGTGTAAACTTCCTTGAGGTTCAACTGCCGAAAAATGATATTCATCATTATGACACATCAATTAAAGCAAACTTTAAGACCAATCGTGATGGCTATACAAAATCTGAAGCCCCTAAGATTATTAAAGAAATGGTAAATCAGTATGAAGCTGCTAATCCCAAAGGACCAAAATTAGTTTATGACAAAGATGGTAAAAATTTGTATTGTCGTACACTCATCCCAGATATTGGAAAGGACATGAGAGAATTCAAGGTACTATTTACAACAGACAATGGTAGCCAGCGGGAGTACACTGTTACTGTAAAATGGGCAGCACAAGTTAGTCTTTATTACCTGAAGCAAGCACTTGATGGAAAGTCCATTGAAGTGCCCCAGAATGCCGTGCAAGCTGTACAAAATGTGATCAGATTTTTGCCATCAATGACCAGCACTCCTTTTGGTAATTCGTTTTTTAATTTCTATGGCGATGAAAAAGATCTGGGTCTTGGTCTTCAGATCTGGAATGGACGTTTTGTAAGCATACGTCCGACGCAGTGGAAGATGATGTTGAACATTGATATATGTGCTACTGCATTTTATAAAGCACAACCTGTTCTTGATTTTATGTGTGAATATCTTCAACTGAGAAATATACCTCCGAAACTGAACCCATCACAAAGGAGAGACTTTAGCAAGGAAATGAAGACCATTAAGATTGAAACAACTCACGTTAAAAGAAAACAAAGAGTCAGCGGATTGTCCATGAGATCTTCAAAAGATGAAAAGTTTCCTCTGGAAGATGGAAAAACTATCAGTGTTTTTGAATACTTTAAAGAAAAGTATAACATTGCATTAAGATACCCCGATCTTCCATGTCTGAAGGTTGGTAGTAAAGGCAGTTTGATTCCAATTGAGGTGAGTAATATTGCTGGTGGTCAACGACGGGAGGGAAGACTTAATCCTGATCAAACAAGAGAAATGATAAGACACACCGCACTTCCAGCTCCACAACGCCAGCGAGAAATAGAAAATTTGGTTCACAGCTCTAACTTTGATAAAGATCCTTACTGTGCTGATTTTGGAATCAAGGTTGGTAGAAATCTAGCCAGTGTTACAGGAAGAGTTTTGGATCCACCTTTGTTAAGCTATGGTCCTAAAGATAGACCACAAACAGAGAAACCACGGGATGGTGTATGGAATATGCAAAATAAACCAATGTTTCAACCAATAGAATTGAAGGAATGGGCGCTTATTTCATATGAAAATCCGAGATTCTTTGATGATCGAGCCATGAGTAATTTTATCTCTCGTCTTGTTCAGGCGGGTGGAGAAAAACAGTTAAGAATTAACGATACTCCTTGTTATAAAAATACACAGCGTGGTTACGAAGGTATAGGCAAACTCTTTGGTCAACTTATTAAGAATTATCCTAACCTTCAACTCATTGTTGTTATATTTCCTGGTAAAGATTCCACCGATCCTTATTACGAAGAAGTGAAGCATTATGGAGATGTTGTTTATGGTATGAGAACACAATGTGTTAAATCCAAAAACGCGAAGAAAGCAGATATGCAAACGATGGCTAATATTTGTCTTAAAATCAACGCAAAACTTGGTGGAACAACATCAGTCCTCAACAAAGGAATTCGTTCACCAATATTATCTCGACCTGTGATTATTTTTGGTGCTGACGTCACGCATCCAGCTCCCGGAGACAGCTCTCCTTCAATAGCCGCTGTGGTTGCAAGTATGGACTCGTATCCTAACCAGTACTGCGCGGAAGTCCGCGTCCAACAGCGTGGTAGCAAGACGAACAGAGAAGAAATTGGTGATATGAAAAATATCGTTGTTACTTTACTTAGGAAGTTTCGTGACTCCACTGGAGTTGCACCACAGAAAATCATATTTTATCGTGATGGAGTTGGTGAAGGTCAATTCAAACGTGTTTTACTTCTGGAGCTTCAAGCATTCCAACATGCTTGTCGTGAACTGCATCCCAATTATAAACCACAAATTACATTTATTGTCGTCCAGAAACGTCATCATGCTCGATTCTTTGCCGAAGATCCACGTGATCAAAGAGGTAAAAGTAAGAACATCCCTGCTGGTACTTTGGTCGATAAAGACGTTGTTCATCCCTTTGAATTTGATTGGTACCTGTGTAGTCATGCTGGTATTCAAGGTACCAGTAAACCAACTCACTACCATGTCTTGTATGATGATAGTAATTTTAAGTCAGATGAACTACAGAATCTCACGAATCAACTATGTCATACCTACGTTCGTTGTGCCAGAGCAGTGTCTATACCAGCACCTGTGTATTATGCTCACCATGTAGCGTTTAGAGCTCGTTATCATTTAAAGGAGGTTGAACGTGGAAGCCCAGATGGTAGTGTTGCATCTGGAGGTGATGGAAGCGTCCTTAAGGAAGAAGATTTGGTTCGTGCTGTGAAAATTCACGACAACATGAACTCTACAATGTATTTTGCCTAGAGTTTTAATTAATTTTTATCGAAATTTAATTTTAATTTATTTGTTGTAGTTGATATAATGAAAATATTTTAATTGAATAATAATTAAATAATTAAAATGTTTTAATTTCTATGTAATAGTTTATGTAAATATTTTAATATAGTTTAAATAATTGTTTTTAGTATATATAATGTTTCAGTAACATATATAGCTCAGTGTTCCTTGACTCAGTTTTTTGAAAGACATCGCTCGGCCACTGTTGTCATTTGTGTTTTGAAATTGTAGTTTATGAATAAAATTCTTTTTCTTTATATATTTGCTGTTTTTTATCTTAATTCGTTTTATTTTGTCTTTTTTTATTCATACGATAGTAAGATGAGCGAAGTCTTGAGTCAAAACCATGAACAGTAAGTTGATTTTGTGTAGTTGGATTAACTTAAAGTTGTTTTTCTTAATGTTTTGGTTGCTAATGCTTTTGAACAATAAATTGAATTCGCCCCCTGTAGGGTCACACAGACAAAACTCTACGACTAGTAAACATAACTCCAGTATTCCCAGTTCATCAGAACAGGTGAGTTCTCGTGCTTTTTGGGAACAACCAAAATTAGGGCATTGTTCTTATCGTGAAGGAATTTCTCTTCGTGTCGAAGGTTGGTGCTTGTAAAGACGTTGCATCTGTAGCTTATGATGAATATCTGTGGTTGCTACAAAAGAGAAACAGGTTGGAAATAATTCAATAAATGTTTTTATTACAGAAAAGGTGCTGTTTAGTTGACGCTTGAGTTTGTTGAGCTTAACCATAAGGAATGGAGATGGAGTCGACTGAAGTGTTGTTAGTTTACTTTTTGTATCAAGTGTTTGTTAAACTCTTCATGATTCTCTACTGTCATTAGACTGTTAAAGCGGTTAAAGACCAAAGATGACCAACAAGTAGCTTTAGAGAAAAAGGAGAAAGGATTTTCTTTGTATATTAACGGAGCCAACAGAGAGCTGTCTGGTTTGAATGCATCACGAAGAACTAAAACTGCTGATGGTATTCTGTTACTGAAGATATTTTGTCGTATTTGTTTATTTTGCATTGTTTAGTTTTAAACTTTTCTTCTGAGAATATGAAAATGGACAAGAACATGTTGTTCAATGTTCTTTCCGTTTTCATTTAGATAATTTTTCATCAAGAAAAGTTGCAACCAACGATGAAAATCTGCTGAACTATGACACCAAGTGAGACTATCACGTAGACACTCTAGAATAAAGATTATGTAATTGATTTGGTTAGCATCTTTTATTGATTTTGTCATTTTTAAAGTGAAGGAAACAGAGCCAAAACAGCCCCAACAAAACTAACGAGGAAGACTTGGAGACCTGTGAGTTTTATATTAACAAAGACTTGAATTATTTTTTGTAAATATGCATCCCTTCATATCCCTATTTGTCCTTCAAACAGGTTGACTTTCGAATGAAAACAGAGCAAGGTGAAAAAGTTAAAATTAAGATACCAGGTAAAAGAGAGACATCCTGTCACTTGTTTGAGATAAAGTTGAATATCATAGAATGCATTTCTTAAAAGGTTAAAATTTTCTGTATTTTTTGAAGGAAATATAACAGGTGTTTATAGTGAAGATTTTGACAATGATAATGAAGAAGAAAATAGTGAGGTAACATAGGATTTTGTCAAATAAAAAATGTCATGCTTGGTAGTTGAATAAATATAATTTAAATGCTTTCCTTGTTTGTAGAATGATGAAGTTGATAGCAATGATAATGAAGATGACAGCAATGTTGATGATAGTGACAGTGATGTTGTTGAAGAATTAAATCTCAGTTTTAATGATGTCCATGTAAGGAAACTAACTGGGCCATAAATTGCTGTTTTCTGACAATAATTTTTTCCATGCTTTTGTGAATGGGGAATTAAATCTGTGTTTGTGTATAGTTGTAAACAATTACTTATAAAGTTGCAATTATTTTGATGGCAATCATAATTCTACATTTTTACAAATTATTATAGACTTTGAGGAGAAGTTTAGAGAAGGATAATCAAATATTTGAAAGTATTCAGACTGTTATTGAGGTAGGAATGAGAGGTCACTTAACTTAAATATAATTCTTCCTAGACATGTCCGTCTGAGCAAGAAAGTCTGTTGTGTAATGTTACTGTTGATTACATGTTTGTAGATGTAGATTGTCCAAATTAGTAGAGACATGAGAAGGACTGATGTTATTGATGTTAACTGACGTTTCAAAAACTTTAGCTGTAGTCATCTTCAAAGTCAAACATTGACTACCGCTAAGGTATTTGAAATGTCAGTCAACATCAACAGCAACAGTCCTTCTCAGGACTCTACCAACCTGGACAATCTACATCCACAAACAGTTACAATAACTCCCGGGTTCAAATCATTTACTCTTCATATAAAGTAGTTTTAGTTGTGGTACATGTGTGGAAAGAAAGTCACGTTGTTGCTTCATACTGTTCTTTGTGGTGTTTCTATATCCTATTGTGTTCCTTATATTTCTATCAATCCTTCAGTGTGACTCATCAAGTGAAAGTGAAAGTGAAGTTTTGCAAGTGGAAGAGTCCTCCTGTCTTCATGTCAAGGATCTTGAGGATAATATTGAAGATGAGAGGATATCAGAGGAGATTGAAGAGGAGGTTGAAATTCATGATTATAGTATAAATGTTGGGGATACTGAAGCATTTGATGGCTTGTCTAAGCTAAGAGGAAGTTTTGTAATTCATGATGACACTACAGACGAGTCATTGAGATCAGCTAGACCTGTGATACAAGATGACACTACAGATGAGTCATTGAGATCAGCTAGACCTGTGATACAAGATAACACTACAGATGAGTCATTGAGATCAGCTAGACCTGTGATACAAGATGACACTACAGATGAGTCATTGAGATCAGCTAGACCTGTGATACAAGATTATTTATCTACACGTGACGAAGAAGAAGAAACCATTGTCTTGTCATTTTCAAAAAGTAAGAGGATTTTTCTTATAAATGAAACGAGAACTACCATGTTTTGGTAGAATTTTTGTTTTTTTTTAAGTAGTTTCTCATCAATATTATTCATCTTTTGTAGAAAAACCGTCCAAGAAACTTTTGCTAGCTACTAGGTACGTACGTAATGTAAACTTGACGGTTTTTCATTATTTTCACACTCGTATCATTCTCGTATTACATTCGTAGCATTCTCGTATTACATTCGTATCATTCTCGTATTACATTCGTATCATTCTCGTATTACATTCGTAGCATATTCGTATTACATTCGTAGCATTCTCGTAATACATTCGTATCATTCTCGTATTACATTCGTAGCATTCTCGTATTACATTCGTAGCATTTTCGTGCCGTATTCGTATCATTCCCGTACCATTTCGTATTTTCTTCATATCGTATTACCAGTTCACATTGCACTCGAAGCATATGCTGGAACCATACGACTCACTACATTATCTTGGAAAATCTTGGCAATCACTGTTGTCATTTGTTTGTTTTCATTTTTTTTTATTTTATTGTTGTTTTTCAGAAAAAGTGACGACCACAACAACGAAACTGAATCGTGCAAAATATCCAACACGTTTAAGGAGAGTGGCCGTAAGCTGTCGCCAAAAAATCTTGAACTTGACGTCAAGGATGACGTCACTGCTATCACAGATGAGACTGTTGCGTTGGTAACAAAGAAAGTACGAAACATGAATGCAAGGTACAGAGAGGGATATGTGAAGTGATGTAGCATTTTATTACTCTCGTAAATAATTTAAAGTTTTTTCTTTATTTACAGTCAACAGAGACAGTTACTGGATCTTTTGACCAAATTAGATCCATCAACACCTCATAATGTACATCCAAGTTCATCAACACTTCATAATGTTCATCCAAGTCCAATATTCCATGATATATGTTCAGGTTCATCAACACACCATGATGTACATCCAAGTCCATCAACACACCATGATATACATCCAACTTCATCAACATCTCATAATGTACATCCAAGTCCATCAACACACCGTGATGTACCTCCAGGTTCAACACCTCAGGATATACATCCAAGTCCATCACCACACAATGATGAACCTCCAGGTCCATCAACACGCCATGATATACATCCAAGTTCATCAACACCTCATAATGTACATCCAAGTCCATCAACACACCATGAAGTACCTCCAGGCTCATCAACACACTATGATATACATCGAAGCTCATCAACACACCATGATATACCTCCAGGTTCATCAATACACCATGATGTACATCCAAGTCCATCAAAGGCATTTGGATCATCACCAAGTGAAGCGTTTTTAACGAGAAATCATATCAATGTATGTTTTACTGTATAAAAATGAACGATTGAATTTTAGTATTCTTTCATTTGATTTTTTTGTTTGTTTTTACCCTCCAAGCGGCTATCAACGGCCGACTTCAGTCAGATAATTTTTGTGTGACTTAATCTCTCCCAAACTCCATTTATCTGATTCAATATGTTTTCAGGATTTCTCTGACTAAATTTCTTGGAATCAGATTCTTCTCTTGCCTGATACATCTAACTTCATCCCAATGCTTGTGCACCATGTATGTGACTGACTATATTTTTTCATCAGGATAAAAATGTTGTAAATTTCATCCAAAACAAAGCCTCGGACGAGATAGATGAAAAGTGTTCAGATATAATGGTAGAATATTCTCAAAGCTCTCACAAAGAACATGGTCCTCTACCAATTCGTCAAACAATGTTTGGTCGTTCTTCCGAAGATAATTCATCGCCAAGGTATATTTATATGATAAAATGGCTGCTCAAGGAGATTTAATTGATTTTCTATAAATGTCGTATTTAAAGTCATGTCTCATACAATACCCAGTCATCTCTCGTACATAGTATACAGTCATATCTCGTACACAGTCATATCTCGTATATAGTCATATCTCGTATATAGTTATATCTCCTATACAGGTATCTCATATACAGTAATGTCTCCAATACAGCCATCTCTCGCGTATAATCACATCTCGTATACAGTCATATCTCGTACACAGTCATATCTCGTACACAGTCATATTTCGTAGTCATATCCTCTCACAAAACTGATTTTATTTTTTCCCGCCGAACAGGAATGAAAAAACGCCTTTGCCTAAACGTCCACCTTGGTTGGACGGACTAAAAAAGAAACGGTACAAAATTATTAATTTGTTTATGTGATATGAAATATTGCCGTTGTTTTATTCTTATTTGGGCTATGGATGGTTTGATAAAGTACTTCGTAATCTTGCTATAAAATTATGTTTCTTCTGAAAGATCTTCAGCGAGTAATGTCAAAGAGGAAAAGGACAACAAATGTTCGTTAAGCTGGCTTCGTTCCGCTGAGAAAAAAGATGCATCTTTGCAAGAGTTATTTGAACAGCCCAAGCCTCGATCCAGGCCTTCTAGCGGCCGACGGAGCTGTAATAATCCTGCTTCAAGTGGGCCAAGAGGTCATCAGTCAGAAGTAGATTGTGGAAGACGTCCAGTAGAACAGCATCCGGGCAATCAGGACTTGGAACTACATGAAAATTTTTCCAATCTGTGGTAAGAATTGTGTTAATGTTGAAGATAAATTTGGTGAAAAGACAGAGAATGTTTTAAACAGTTTGTTTTTTTCTGGTTGTTAGAAAATACCATTAACTTTAACTTTTAGTCTTCGATTTACATCATTTAATCCATTTTACACATCTGTACTATTCTGTGTACTTTATGTGCCCCTTTGATTTTAATCATTTAATCCATCACACTCGTCTGTACTTCTCTGTGTACTTTATGTGCCCCTTTGATTTTAATCATTTAATCCATCACACTTATCTGTATTCATTTTGTATGTATCATGATCTATCAATTTTATGTCACTTTTAGTGTTGGAAAAACGACACCAAATGAAAAAATCTTTAATGAAAGATGGCTGGAAGAATCTCTCGATTCTCTTTCGCAGTTTAAGCGATGTCATCAAGGACGGTTGACTCCTTCGATGAAGATTAATATGGATCACCAAGGTAGTTTTTTGATACACAATTTAACGCTCGTTAGTATTGAAGTGGACTTGTTAGTATTGAAGTGGACTTGTTAGTATTGAAGTGGACTTGTTAGTATTGAAGTGGAAGTGTTAGTATTGAAGTGGACTTGTTAGTATTGAAGTGGAAGTGTTAGTATTGAAGTAGACACTTTAGTATTGAAGTGGACGTGTTAGTATTGAAGTGGACGTGTTAGTATTGAAGTGGACTTGTTAGTATTGAATTGGACGTGTTAGTATTGAATTGGACGTGTTAGTATTGAATTGGACGTGTTAGTATTGAAGAAGACTCGTTAGTATTGAAGTGGACGTGTTAAATGGAATCCAACTGACCAATGATTGTTAACCTTCAGTAAAAATTAAACAATGGATACTCACCTTCTGAGAAAAATGATCTCATTGGTCAGTTGACCTCTAGAGAAAATTGACCTCATTGGTCAGTTGACCTCTAAAGAAAATTGACCTCATTGGTCAGTGACCTCTAGAGAAAATTGAATTCATTGGTCAGTTGACCTCTAGAGAAAATTGACATCATTGGTCAGTTGACCTGTAGAGAAAATTGACCTCATTGGTCAGTTGACCTGTAGAGAAAATTGACATCATTGGTCAGCTGACCTCTAGAGAAAATTGACCTCATTGGTCAGTTGACCTCTAGAGAAAATTGAATTCATTGGTCAGTTGACCTCCAGAGAAAATTGACATCATTGGTCAGTTGACCTCTAGAGAAAATTGAATTCATTGGTCAGTTGACCTCTAGAGAAAATTGACCTCATTGGTCAGTTGACCTCTAGAGAAAATTGACCTCATTGGTCAGTTGACCTCTAGAGAAAATTGACCTCATTGGTCAGTTGACCTCTAGAGAAAATTGACCAATGAACGTTCATATCAACTGTTGTGATCGTAAACATTCTATAGGAGATGCTTTAGACGAATTTCTTGTCGAAGATAGTCAGATTCAAGACGATGCTGTAAACTTAAGGTAATTTCAGTTATAGTAGGAATGAAGCTCTAACACTTCAAAGAATAGCTTTTGTTGCAGGCATTTCTCGTTTCTCCCAAACTTTGTCTTGTGTTTCTATTATTCCTTAGAAACACGAAAATAGTTTTGTATTTCTTAAAAAGTTTTGTAATTGTTGAATTGATATCTTCAAAGAGATGTCTTTCTTTTTACGTAGTGTAGTTGATGATTTTACAATTCCTGAGTTACCACGCGGTCAAACCCTTGTCATAAACATTCTTACAACCTGGGGTGACCAGTATTACGTTGGATTAAATGGCGTTGAGATATTCAATAGCTCTGGTAAACCTGTTCAGATATCATCAGTAAGTATTAAAGTCGTTAATCCCTTGATGTCGTTGTTTATCCTATAGTATCTATTGTATCATCGTTTATCCCATGATACGTATATTTTATCCTCGTTTATCCCGTGATATCTTCTGTATCAACTTTTGTCCCATGGTATCTTTTTCAAGATCACAGCTGAACCATGTGATATCAACGTTCTTCAAGAATACAACAAAGACCCAAGGGTTGTATCAAATCTTATTGATGGAGTTTATTTCACAAGGTAATAATTTCAACTTAATCTTATCCACAGTACCCTCAAATTATGTCAGAGTCGAATCTATTGTGATCCCTCACGATCCATTACCATTACCATCATGATCCATTACCATCCACCTTTAGTGTTGCTGAACATTTTTAGAGATGATATGCATCTATGGCTTGCTCCATTCACAGAAGGAAGAAACCATTTTATTTACATTGAGTTTAAAGAAACATCAACATTGGCTATGATAAGATTATGGGTATGTTCATTATGCAACCATGATGTCAAATATAACTGTCACACAATGGTAGAGTCAGTATTGAAATTTCATATTGTTAAATATAACTGTCACACCATTGAAATTTTATATTGTTAAATATAACTGAACCATGGTAGAGTCAGTATTGAAATTTTGTTAAATATAACTGTCACACCATGGTAGAGTCAGTATTGAAATTTTATATTGTTAAATATAACTGTCACAATGGTAGAGTCAGTATTGAAATTTTATATTGTTAAATATAACTGTCACACAATGGTAGAGTCAGTATTGAAATTTTATATTGTTAAATATAACTGTCACACCATGGTAGAGTCAGTATTGAAATTTTATATTGTTAAATATAACTGTCACACCATGGTAGAGTCAGTATTGAAATTTTATATTGTTAAATATAACTGTCACACCATGGTAGAGTCAGTATTGAAATTTTATATTGTTAAATATAACTGTCACACCATGGTAGAGTCAGTATTGGAATTTTATATTGTTAAATATAACTGTCACACCATGGTAGAGTCAGTATTGAAATTTGATTTGTTAAATATAACTGTCACACCATGGTAGAGTCAGTATTGAAATTTTATATTATTAAATTAGAGTCAGTATTGAAATTTTATATTGTTAAATATAACTGTCACACCATGGTAGAGTCAGTATTGAAATTTGATTTGTTCGCTACGTTTTATTTATAGCTACTTTTCGTTTGATATATTTGCTGGAGAAAAATTGACTTCTTTAGCGACGAGAGCAAAGTTCAATTTACTAAAATCTCTCAATAATTTCTTCATTTTTTTCTATTTGTAGAACTACAATAAATCAAGGATCCACTCCTTTCGCGGTGCAAGGGACATTGAAATTTTTCTTGATGATAATTTAATATTTCGTGGAGAAGTGGCCAGGTATAATAATATTAATAATAAGGGTATAATGACCAGATATAAATATGTTATAAGTAAACATTGTCCATCTTTGTACAAAATTAACGAAATCATTGCAAAGTTTAAGTTTTCATTTGTAGAGCAAGTGGTGAGCTGGGTACATCCGAGACGTTTGGGGATGTAAGTGATCTATGACTGTTTTGTTGTCAGGTCTCCCTAATTTATTATTCATGCATTGTCATCCAAAATGTGTTACCTTGTCATATTATTTTAATTTATTTAAAATTTATTATAATATTATTTTATATTATATTATATTATTTTAATTTATTTAAAGACCATTTTGTTCACTATGAACGATGAGATTCTTGAAGCGATGGCGTTAAATGATCAAACATACGAACCTGATGTTGATGATGATGAAGAATATCTTCAGAGCAGCAGTAGTTTTCAACGACCTGTTACCGCTGATACTGGTCATGAACATGTAAGATACATTTTATGAAAATCTACAATTAACTCAACACGACAATCTTTACAATTTTACTTTAAGTTGACTTCGGTTTTGAAAATAAAAGCATTTCGATATGTATTTTATTTATATAGTACAATATTTTGATCCTTGTTAAATGTCATTACGTTGTTAGGAAACGTACGACCGACCATTCACCTGTCCTAAAGAACGAAAGAAACCAAGAATGGAGTCTACATATCCCAACAAAGTCGTCAAAGGTATTTTTGTATGAAATCTTTTGTTGCTGTCTTGCTTTTGCCAATGATTTTGGGTTTTTTTTCAGAGCAATTTTGTATTGATGACGTTGTCGGTAAACATTGCAAGGGTGAAGGTACATATTCCTCTTGTGCCCTCCTTGATCGTACCTGAGATGACGTCGACAAATTTGTATTGTGATGAATCTATTTTAGTGTTGGAATTAAACTTCGTGGAGACCTGGGGAGATTTGAGTTATCTTGGTTTAACGGGACTACAGTTATTTGACACGAATGGCGAAATTATTCATGTATCGTTAGATATGATGCAGGTTGGTGTGATGTTCATCTTTCGTGCTATCATTGATACTCAAAAATAATAATTTTATCCTTTAAGGCATCACCAAGAGATTTGAATGATCTTCCCGAGTACGATGACGATGATAGAACGTTAGATAAGTATGTTGTTATAGTTACGTAAGACCACAATAGTCATATAAAACATTTAAAATAGACGACAAATTTCTTTAAAGCAAACATGTTTCGGCATACTTTATGTCATCTTCGGTGTTTAAGTCACTTCGCATTGAAGATGGCATGAAGTATGCCGAAACATGTTTACTTTAAAAGAAATTTGTCATTTATTTTAAATGTTTTATAAGTATGTTGTATTCCTATAATGAACATTAAAGCCTAGCTTATTGCAAGAATATGAATTGCCATTGTTTAAAGTTATACAAAAACATTCTTAGATTGTCATGGCAATGTGAAAACTTTCTTTAGTAATTTCACGAGATTGATGAAAAGCCAGAATACAGTTATTATTAATGAAATTCTATTATTTTAGATTGATTGACTCCGTCAATGTCACTACGAGCGATGAATACATGTGGTTGATACCGTTTACGTTGGGTGAAGATCACACACTTTCTATTCATTTAAAAGAAAGAAAGGAAATAGCTGGACTCTACATATGGAACTATAATAAATCATTAGAAGGAACCTACAGAGGTGTAAGTATTTTATGAACCAATCAGTCAGCTTTCTTTCTCATGTCTTACTTTTCTTCTATGACTTACTTCTCTATATTTCTATGTGTTTACTTCAGGTAAAATGGATGATTATAAAACTGGATGGAAGAACAGTAGGAAGTGAAGATGGCATTTTAATTCGAAAAGGTGATGTCTTGTTGCGAAATTTTCTTCTCTATCAACGTCATCAATAAATTATACTCTCTAAGCTAACATTGTCAACTTGGGCTGCTTTCTAAGTTGAGGTGGGGGGGGGTTAGAGAAAATATTGTATTAAAGATATTAGTTACAAATATAGCGTCTAGTATGTATAAACTACATAACCATTAGTATTGCTCGTAATACTTCATTTAAAGACTGTTGATTTGGTGTGCATCATAAAATATGTAGTTCTAGCTTACTTTAATCACACAAACAATCATCTTTATTAATAATAAACATTACGTTAATAAAGATATTTGCATTTTCAGCTCCTGGTCATTGTTATTTTGATTATCGCCAAGAAATATCTTTTCTCCATCCTCCTAAAAGACAAGAAACTGACCCTTTTGTACCAACAATGTATGTCTTATAATGCTCGTGGTTTATATATTTCTCTTTCCCTGTGTTCATCACTAATAATTTTTATGTCTTCTCGTTATAGTCCTGGCGAAGGTGACTGTGAACTGACCGTTAAACCATCTGGATGTATCTTTAAAACAATATCTATATGTTATTTATAAATATTTTTATGTTTGTATTTCGGTGTTGGTTTTTATTTATTATTCATTGTGTTTTTCCTTTATTGTGAAAACTCTTTCAGTCATATTTCAGTTTCAACTGTTTGAATCCTGGGGTGATCCATATTATCTTGGATTAAATGGATTAGAATTTTATGATCAAGATGGTCGGCTTATGGAACTAAATGAAAAGAGTATCCTTTTGTTTTTTACAAGAAATGACTGAACGTAGCTAATCTTTAATAAAATGTATTTCTGTAACAGCAACGTTGTCTACCTAACCATACCAGATATCACAGCTTACCCGGAGAGTGTTAACGTCTTGGAGGGAGTGAAGGATGACGTCAGAACCCCAGCAAAGTTGATTGATGGCGTCAATGATACAGAAGATGGACGTCATATGTGGCTAGTTCCCATCTTTCCTGACTTGGTAACGTTTTTAGTGTCTTTAACACATTTTTTATTATTTTCAACTTAATATGCGACTAATATTTAAAGAATGAGTATCAGGGTCATGCTTTGCGCGCGCAATGTTTTTATTTTCATACGGGAACTTTCTTGCACTTAAGGAATCCAATGGGTATTCAGTTCAGGTTTTGTTTCGTTTATTGACTTATGTGATCATATTTATTTATAGAAAGCATTTACGGTTGATATTTTGACTGTTGCTACGATATTCACGCCGTATTTATATGCTGTACTTATGTAGTCAAATCAAACATATTACAGCGGCCATTTTCTGGGGTCCTTTAAAATGGCCAACCAAGCGCGCAAAGCATGATGCTGATATTCATTCTTCTTTAATGTGTGTTTGATTATGTTTTTACTGTACCTTTAGACCAATTTACTTTATGTTATTTTTGACGAACCAAAATCAATATCAATGATCAAGATATGGAACTACAGGAAGACGCCAATTCGTGGCGTCAGGCGTTTGGCTGTAAGAAAATAACTGTCACGTGACTTCATCAATGTGTCATTCCACAGCGTAACCAAATTTCAATTTTTATCGTCTTTAGATCTTGGTTGATGATCTGCTTGTTTTTAATGGTATTCTTCCACAGGTTCCAACAGGAGCCAGAGGAATACTGCCAAATATGAATATACCTTTACCTCATGCTTCGATTTTGTTCACTGATGACGAAGCAATACAACAGAAAGAGAGACCTTTTGCAATCAAGTATGTATCCATACTTAGGGTTAAAGTAAATGGTTCGAACCCTGCAATATCGTTACATGTTTGTGGATGTAGATCGTCCAGGTTAGTAGAGTCCTGAGAAGGACTCTTCTAGGACTCTCCTTCAGAGTCAAAAGATGTCTACCGCTAAGGTTATCGAAACGTCAGTTAACATCAACAACAACAATCCTTCTCAGGACTCTACTAACCTTGACGATCTAAATCCACAAACATATACGTAGGGTTGTTTGGTCAAGGGTAGTTAAAAAAGTTGCCAAGGATGACCGCTTGCATTAAATGAGTTTGATTAAAAGAAAACTTACCATCTCTTACTGTAAGATGTACTGTTTACAACACTAAGATACATCATTGCCTAGTTTTCTACAATTTCTAAGTTTTTTCCTGCTCTTAGTGGTGGTGGCTTTTTTGAAAGTCACGAAGTATGTTTGATGAACGATCGAACAGATTTTGAACAAGAAAAGACAGTCAATAGTACTAACGTTGATCAAGGTATCCGTGGGCTTGTGCCAATTTTTTGTTGAATATTTTTTAATCTTGTACAATGACCTTATTTGATTGCTCTACCTATTTTGATATAGTTATTGATATGTTTTACTTATCTTCGATAATTGTTTTCTTCCATCAGCTCTGCGTCCAAAGACAAGTGTCACACAACTTTATCGTGCAAAAAGATAGCAGAATTAGAAGTTTTTTAAATACACTTTAATATAAAATCGTTCTATGTACATAATATTAATAACATATTTATTCAATGTTCACTCTCGTACATCAATGTTCACTCTCATACATCAATGTTCACTCTCATACATCAATGTTCACTCTCATACATCAATGTTCACTCTCATACATCAATGTTCACTCTCATACATCAATGTTCACTCTCATACATCAATGTTCACTCTCATACATCAATGTTCACTCTCATACATCAATGTTCACTCTCATACATCAATGTTCACTCTCGTACATCAATGTTCACTCTCATACATCAATGTTCACTCTCATACATCAATGTTCACTCTCATACATCATTAACTTTGTGGCATTAGGTAGCTAGGTATCGGCCATACCAACTCTAAACAAAAAGAGATTGTTCCTCAAGCAAGCAATCATGTGACTGATTATTTTTGAAGACAAATAATTACCACTATCTAAGACTGTCGCAAAAGGTTTTCCATAATGATGGATGTATTCACTTGGAGTGCATATGTCATTGCATTCACACATATATTCAAGCATGTCTAAATATTTTAAAATGAGTTGTCATAAGGCACTACAAAGTTGGATAATGTGATCAGTTTTCTGTCATTTTGCAACCTTGAGGAGGAAGAAGATCTGGAACTTTCTCATATAATTGATCCATTTCTACCTTAAGATTCACCTAAAAATACTTTTCTAGTGAGCATCCCTGTTTGAGAGTTGCTCAATGTAAGGTTTGTTTCTTTTATACGGATTAGTTTGTTTTGACTTTTTGTAAAACTTAGTATACCTTGGGTATTTGGGCAAGGTGATGCCCAAGTTTTAACAAAACAGTGATTGCTTCAGTTACCTAGGTAAAAAGGACAGTTATTGAGTTACTTAAGCTTGGCCAAATGCATTTCTAAAATGTACGTACAACTGCCTCGTAAGATTGAGTGGAATCGTAACTCTCTATTCTTGATGTTGGTATATTCAACACACGAAAACTCCATTGGGTAAACAACCTTGCCGAAATCTTTCACTGATTAAGAAATATCAGAAAAATCTCCATGTTTTTCCTCTAGGTGATAAGACTCAATAGGAAATACTAGGTATAAATGTGAATACAAATAGGATCGCACGAGGATTCGTTGTGTTATTAAAGGATACATCGTGGGCATACACCAATATTCTGGTTTTATAAACAAGTGCACTAAACAAGAAATAATATTTATGAAAAAAGATCATACGCGGAAAATTGTAAACGACAAAAAATTACTAAATTCTACGCACTTTCCATTTCTTTCACTGTTTTCCAAGTGCCTTATCACCTCTTGTAGAATATCTGTAGACGTCTATGATATAAGATTTCATATTATTGAAAGGCAACGTTGAATTTTTTATTAAAGTTGTTCGTATCAACCTCAACGATGTGTACAACATGTGATGGATAGATGAGAAGAAGGCCAGTGAACGTCTCTCCTTGTATCTGCGAGTGCAATTGTTTAAATAGTCTTTCATAGCCGCCTAAATGATACAGGATATATATCAATTTTATGTCGACTATTGTGTTTAAGTCCACTTTGCTTGTTAAACCTCCAATTTCACGTCGTTCTGTGACTGTAGATTTTATTTTTGCAGCAAATATGACACGATGAATGAGATGTTTCTGAAAAGAACACACATTGAAGATAGTAAACAACAGAATTTGTTGTTAAGTAGAGCACAGTAAAGTACTTTATTCATGGCTCTCGCTTTCTCTAAGTTGATATCAAACAAAGACAGTCGAGTATTTTCGTATGCATTTTTCCTCTCTCCGTAATTTTCATGAGCCCTGCTCGAAGTCATGATGGACACTTAAAACAAGCGAGAAATAAAAATGAAAATTAATTTTATGTAAGAATCGCGTTCTTTTATTTACAAATATTGAACTTGAGTCGTTGTTTCCATAGGAACGTAAACAGACCACAGCGGTTACAAATTTCAGTCATGCGCACTCGTGGAAACTTACATATCACCATGTTGACAGTAACAACAATACAATTTATATATGGCAAGAAGAGACGAAAACCTGTTTAAAAGACTACGATAAACCCTAAAATATCAGTGAAAAATGTCATATAGAGACTTGCGAAGTAATTTTTTTATTTTCATAGTAACTATTTGTGTAAGGTCGTCGTTTCTGACTTTGATATAACTTCTATTTTATTTCTATATCAGAGTACAAACTGCAACGAAGTTCAAATCAATTCTAATCTTCCATGGTTTTAGATTTCACGGAGATGATGAGAGCTCTTGGCTATTCTAGACTTATTTCAATGGAAAATTTCAGATCACCAAACTTCACTCTTGTTGCTGAAGTCCTGATTTGGCTTGTAAAGAGGTAAAATAATAAAAATATGTTTAGTTTGATCGTCTCTGTCAGTAATTTGGTCTCAACAGCTCAAAAATTGTTTACAATGAAGTTAAATATGTTGTAGGTATGACCCTAATGCAGATATGCCAACAGATATTGATACTGAACAAGACAGAGTGATTTTTATAAAGTCTGTAGCTCAGTTTATGGTAGGAATTTACCTATTCTGTGAGTTCTGTGTGTTTGTCTCACATTTTGTACCTTTTTGTACCTTTTTCACACAATCTGTACTTGATTGTTCCCTGCAGGCAACTAAAGCTCACATTAAATTGAATACAAAACGTCTCTATGGTGCAGATGGTTATGCTGTAAAGGAACTCTTAAAGGTCACGTCGGTTTTGTATGATGCCATGAAAACGAACATCTTAGAGGTAATAATGAACTTTTTTAAAAAACTCTTGTCTTACGTTGTTTAAGATGTAACTTATCTTTGTCAGGATGTAGATGATTCATCTTTAAATTCAGTTTCATTTGACATTTCATCAAGGGTATGTTACTTTAAATTTATGGAGTTTGAATTGTCATGTTTTATGGAGGTTGCTTTATATATAGCTTTTTCTACACGAATAGATTAATGAACTGAAACAATGTCGAATACTTGCATCAGAAATTACATCTAAAGGAGCAAATTTATACGATCGTCTAGGACGAGAAGTCGACTTACGAGTGAGTTACCTCTTTTGTAGAATTAGGCAATCAGTTTTCGTGATTGACTGATTGTGAAATGTTTGTAGGAAATGAGATTGTCAGCTATTGCAAAACCTCTCGAATTAAATGAACTGGAAAATGGCATCAGTGGAAGTATTGTTAATATAAAGGTATAGTAAGTAATAATGATAAGATTTTATGCTGGGAAGATTGACTATGAACCACTGAAATTGATTTGAACTTAGGATGACATTAAAAAGACAAAGCATATGTTGGATAACATTGCTTCGGATGAAGCTAACCTCGAGGCAAAGATAGATAAGAAAAAAGCTGAATTAGAGAGAAATCAGAAACGTTTAAAGAGTTTGGAAAGTGTTCGGTTGGTGGAGTTTGTACATGGAATATATTAGTTACATTTTATTAATGTGTTGATTCTTGCTTATTCTACTTGGCAACATTTCATGAAAATTTTGTGGATTTAGACCGGCATTCATGGATGAGTATGAAAAAATGGAAGCAGAATTAAAGAATATATACGAGGTTTTTAATTTCATTTTTTTTAGTGACATCCATCTGGTCATTTAATGATTTGCATGAAAACACAATTGTGTTTTTTAGGTTTACATTGAGAAATATAGAAATCTTACTTATCTTGAACATTTATTTGAAGAGGTCAATCGAACTGAGCAGAACAAGTTCGAGGTGAGAATTTATCAAAGTCTAACCAGCTTGCCTGCAGGAATACATTCTGGAAACACCTTCTAGGCCTACACCTCTTTAGAATAGAAAGTATACCATCTGGAATTGATTGTAGACATACACCTCCTTACGTTAGAACTAACTCCTTTTTTTAACTTCACCACCCCCTCCCCTATGATTACTATAAAAGTATGCTCCCTTAAAGTATGTGCTCCTTGATGCATCCCCCTGAATATGAATTGTTTTGTTTAGGAACATGAAGCAAATCTTCGTCAACTTCAAGATCGTATCAGAGATGAAGGGAAAAGGTCATTACAATCCGAGACATTCAACAGTCTTGATGACTTTGTTGGTGATGATGATGATGATGAAAATGAAGTTATCATGAATACAAGTGGAAGGCAGCCACTGGGAGCAAAATCAGGTAAGATGCATCAGTTTTATTATGTGTGATGTTTGTGCCAAGATGATAATGATAAAATTTGTGTTTTTAAGGTGGTCCTCGTGTGGTTGGATCGATGGCTGGAGGGGATATGTCCGATGAGGTATTGATGATGTTTGTTTATGTTTGATAATGTGCAGCATTTGATATAGGGATGGATCTGTGATGAATTTGTGGGGGGAGGGGTGGGTGGGGGTAGTGCTCTAGTTTGTGTTAGACATTGGTGACTACTTGTAGCCTGTCATTGCATGTCAGCGATTTTTTTCTAATTCTACAATCTTTTTATTATGGCTGGGAAATTATTGGAAATTTTCTACAATAAATGCTAATAACAATTGCATTTGCTTTTGTGAGTTCATAACATTTTCTACTTGTATTCCTATAGGATAACAGCTCATTGTCTTCTGGGGACAGCGATATAAGAATAGATGACGAGGATTTAGATGATATTAATGATGGCGAAAGTGCATCACAGGATGGGGAAAGTTTAAATGATAGTGGTGATGATTTTTAAATTCCATCTTGATCACCATCTTTATGTGTCAAAACCACTTGTCAAAACAGTCATTTTATATCAACATGAGGTAGTGTTTTACAACTAGGTTTGTCAGTCCGCAAGAAAGCTGGTTTGTATATAATACTGTTACATATTTTACTTTGAACACAGTCAAATTAGCGTAAAACAGAGTCTTATTAAAGTTAAACCACCCATCTGAGATATTTGGTGGCCCCTATCATGTATGTGTGACGGATGAAAACGAGTGGCGTAACTCTCAATAAATATGGCGGCTTGCTGTGTAATCTTTCATAAGTAAAAGTGAAAAAAGAAAAATGGGAAATTTGCCTTCAAATACGAGCAACGACAGTGACGACGACGATGGAAATTTATTACAGGTTTGGTCTTCTTGATCTTTAGGGTGATTATTTGGTAATTTGTTTTTGCTGTCTTGTACTTTGGTCTTTAGTGTTGGCATTTTGTTATTTTGACATTGTGGCGAAATTTTTGATATTGTCATTGTTCCGTTATTTATACGTTTTACTCGTGTTTTAGGATATCACCGACATAAGCAATGTGATAAGTAAGTGAACGCAATGATAACTTTGTGCTAAATGTTAAAAATGTTTGAAGCGTTAAGTAAAAGCGAATATTATTTTATTTGTGAATCTCGTGATAACATTTTGTCATTTTTAATTATCTCTAATCAGAAGATGATCTTGATAATAGTTTTGATTTGGGTGGGCTGTTTAATCACAAACTTCTACGAGAGGCAACATCCAAAACGAAGTAAGTAAAATCTTGCAGGCCTATATATGCACTATTTGTGAGCAATATATATTATAAAATCGATAATATCATTGTAATGTTGTCCTTAACAGCTTTTACTTTGTCCTAGTCCTGTAATGTTTGATCGTAGTTACTTATGTTGGTAGTTTAAACATTTGACAGTTAAACTTATCAATTTGAAATGGTTAAATTTGCTCTTAGTAAACTCGTACATGTTTTTGACAAGTTGTGGGAAAATTTCTTTTCATACTAAATTTGTTCACCTTGACTGGAGCCTTGGAATTCTTTTGATCAAACACATCTCACATTTATGTATGGAAGTAAAGATGGTGAAAATCAAAGTTTTATTTAAAACATTTCTAGAGAGGAGCCCACAGTTTCAATACTTCAGCAGCATCATAGTCAGCTGTTACGCTGGGTTGAAGAAAGACGATCTAGACATGAAGTAAGCGGACACACAAACACAAGAAATACAATCCTGTGCTTATTTAAAATAGAATTCCTTTCATATCATGTTGTGCAATATCTGTAGAAAGTCACTATTTGTTAAACACAATGTTGATGGAACATTTTTAGGAAGCAATTACTTTGTCACAATTTATTGACATGTTGAGTGATCGAAGTGTAAGCAAAGATGATGCAACGGAAGTGAGTGCCAAGCTCATAGGCGAGTCCTTTTTAGATAATCTTTGTGATGTTTTCCTTGGGTTTTTTTAGTTGTTCAATCAGTTTGACGTAGAAGGTGATGGTGTTCTTGATCCTGATTTTTTACATAATGTTAGTTTGGACTTTAATTGAACTTTAGTCATCAATTCTCTTGTTTAAAATAACTCTTCGTTTCACTTAAGGCTCTTGTATCATCTGGGACAATGCATGCACAGAAAGGAGAATTACGTTCATCTCTCAAGACATTGAAAGCATGTTCAATATGTCCAGGTGAGGAAATGTTTAGACTGGATGATATAGAGCCGTGTGGAACCTTTATCTTGGTTTCCCTGTCTTGTTCTGAAAGTTTGGTTTCAGTTCTTTTACAAAAAGGAGGAGCAATTCAAATGTTTTTATCAATGTCTATGACCTAGCAACCAATTCACAAAATTCTTGACTCTGCCATCTTGAAATGAGGTTGGGGAACTGGGACGAGTTGAATTACGTAATCATAGAGTGAATAATTGGTTGGTAAAAGCTTTATTGCGCGTTGTGCACAAAAATAACTACAATACAAACAGAATCAGACTTATATCAAAAGATAGCTCGTGTGACAAAGGGTTAAAATTACCTGAGAAAAGTGTTTTTGGAGATAGCATTTAGCTATTAGGGGGAGCGTTAATTTTCGAGTCTTTTGTTGAGTACGTTTGTCTCTATGTAAAACAGTTATTAAATAAATTCATTAAAACTCGTGACTGTGTTGGCCATCAACTTAACTTTTACGGCGTTTCCAAAGTGGCGATGTGTATGTACGACAGAAATCTGCGTTGATATACAATTTGGTTTTTAAAATGTTTGATAAGATATGCTTTCTATACAGACTGCAAACTTGTTTCTTGTTTACTTTTTTGGAATACTTCCATATGAGACGCTTTTCGTGCGGTTTTGAATGGGAAAAACTGAACTGTTTTGTTTTCCCGACATTTTATTAGTTTTGTAACGATTACTCCTGAAATAAGATGGTCGTTTTTCGGTAGTTGAACAGAAAAATGAAACTGAAACATCGGTTCTTTAGCCTTTAAAGTTTTTGGTGTTTAAAATAGGACGGAAAAAACAGATTTTTTGGTTAATCACACTTCTCTAGAATGATGTACTCATATATATTATGGACGTGACCTGGAAAATTTTCAATGTTTTTCTCCTCAGGAATAATTGATGCATTTGTTGCAAATAAACATTCAATTTCTGACCATGGGAAACGCCTTTTAAAGGTATTTAAAATGCTGCCATTGTAATAAAATTCTTCATAGCTTGAAGCTTTGATATTCGGTTTGCTTTGACGAACATGAAATAAAAGTTGGTTTTGTTCTAGGTGATTTTACGCAATCGAGCTCCAAGTCCATCCATTCAGACGCCTGTAATTGAAGGATTTTGTAACACAACAGAAATGAGATTAAAAGTTTTAAATTCTCATTTGAAGGTTATAAAGGATAAAGGTACAATTTACCCAACGTATGATTCAACTTTGCATGTTTATATTCAGTAGCAGTAACTCTTTACCTGAACATACCTTTTCTCAGAATTTGAAAATCATTGTATGTAACAATCATTTGATGTTGGTTTGTTGTTGAGGTTGGAAATTCTGTTGTTTATTGTTCTAGCTGAGTTGAAGAAAATTGAACCATCGTGTGAAGCGGGAGAGTATCTTCGTCCTTTGACCAAATGTTTTAGTTCAACTGAAACATCCAGCAACAAGGCTGATGCCTTCAGGTGGCCATTTGTCTTAGGAAATGTTTTATAAATATATTAATGTATCTATATGAATGGTGCAGGTTGACATGTATGGATGAGTGTTGACGTTTGTGACGAATAGGGGACATTCATGTATGTGAATGGTGCAGGTTGACATGTATGGATAAGTGTTTACGTTTATGACGAATAGGGGATATTCATGTATGTGAATGGTGCAGGTTGACATGTATGGATAAGTGTTTACGTTTATGACGAATAGGGGATATTCATGTATGTGAATGGTGCAGGTTGACATGTATGGATAAGTGTTGACGTTTATGACGAATAGGGGACATTCATGTATGTGGATGGTGCAGGTTGACATGTATGGATAAGTGTTGACGTTTATGACTAAATGAGATTTATGACGTAAAGTACGCTAGTCTTCGTCAGCTTGTGTAGATATGCAAGGATAAATGGTATTGGAGATGATACTTTTCATTACAGAGCTTTGACTAGGGGGTGAGCGATTTACGCAAGTTGTCCCTCACGTGCCACTGGACAATTACGCGAGCGATGAATGACAATCAAACTTTTGAGCTCGAGATCTCTGCAATTTGAACTTATTTTTTGCAATTACCAAGAGAATATGGGTGCTTTTAATGTCTTATGTGCCTTAATTATTTGTTTTTTTTATGAACCAAAAAACATTGTGTAACATGACAAGCATGTATAATGTATGATGAACGAGGATAGTGGAGGATAGTATTGACCTTCGTTTGCACAAGCGCTTCAATAATCTTATAGATTAAAAAGCACAAATATAATGTCACATGACATTGCAAGGTAAAGTCAATATGTCCGTCTATTTTTTAGGTTAACGAATGGAGATAGTAATACTTACTGGCAATCTGATGGTCCAGCTAGATCACACTGGATTAGGTAAGCATAACAATGTGAAACTACTTTTTTTCATTTTATATTTATAATATAAAAAAAACGCGTGCGATGATTTGTCTATAGCCGAATTTGCATTAGTCTGTGGAAAATAATATCCGCTCAATCAATTAAAGAGAATTTGCAAGTCAATCATGAATAAATTTTAGAGGAAAACTTCAAGCGTTTTTTTTAAATTTATCTGCATTTTATCTGTTTTGTGCAAACCTCGGAGACGTTTGTGAGAACTCTCGAGCATGTGCAACCTTCGACCTCGGCTTGCACTGACCTGCTCTCGAGTTTTCTCAAAGGTGTCCTCGGTTTGCATAAGCCCCGTGCAAACACAGTAAACATCTTTTATTTCTTAATTTTTCTTGACCTTTTGTTCTGTTGACTTTAGATTACGAATGAGATCAAATGTTGTTGTAAAAGAGCTTTCCATCAACGTAGCGTCCGCTGACCAAAGTTACATGCCACAACGAGTTATTGTCTCAGGAGGTCGTGACGAAATGAATATGAGAGAACTAAATGATGTTAGGATCCCTAGGTACGCATAGGAACATATAGGATTAAATTATATGGGGATTATAAGAGGTTCAATGGGGATTATAAGAGGTTCAATGGGTGAAAGGATATCAACATTGTTGATAAAGGACTGTCGTCGTGACCAGTTTTGAATACGTGAATGTTATTCTATACGTACAGTATGATTGTTTGTTTGTAGATGTAGATCGTGCAGGTTAGTAGAACTTTAAGAAAGACTGTTGATGTTAATGTTGAGCCAATATTAGTCAACGTGAACACCAATAGTCCCTCTCAGTACTATAACAACCCTATACCATCTACATCTACCAGGATACAATGACACTTTCGGGTTCAAACTATTCATTTTAATAGAAAATTATCGAATTCAATATGTTTTATACATTTTTTTAGTCATGTTACGGGGAGTGTTATGTTACTGGAAAATGTCAAAATGCCCTATCATGGTTTGTTAAACAAACATCGTACTTAATCAATGCTATTTTCTATTTTCATTATTAAGCTTATATCGTCTTGTGCCTAGTTTCTTTGCTGTAAAATCATTCGTCGTTTTAAAATTATGTCGCTGTTTTTTTTTTGTCGTCTTTATCCTTAATCTTTCAACAGTATAATTTGTTTCTTCTCTCTCTCCCTTCTTCAGTCATACAGATCAACATCAGACGTTGTCATAGTGATGGTTGCGATACCAGAATACGTGGTGTTACGGCTATCGGTTACAGGTTTGTAATTTCTGTCTCATATAGGATGTTTTGGTACATCATATACACAGTCCCATAGTGTACATCATTACTTCTCATGGATCTTCTTCATCACATTATTAGAGTTGTAAAAACAAAAGGTGTAAGTGTTGCTGATGCGACAGCAGTTTGGTATGTTTCCGTTCTCACAACTACTGCAACAATGGCTATGCCCGTAGCTCCTCAACTAAGAGAGAAAATCTTAGAACATACTCGGTAAATTGTTATACATCAAACGAGAAAAAAGTAATTCACGAATATAATCTTAATACTTGCGTGTAACTTTTTAGAACCACCTTAAGTCACATGAGCCCTCTGGCATTATCACCGACGTCGCCAGTACGACCTGCCTACATTAGTTCAAGTGTCTTGGATGAAATGGAGAAGTTTCTTTTTATGTTAGCTAGGTGGGTTTTTACATTAATTCTAGTTGGTGTATTGTTGTCTTTTGTTTACATTGGTTCTGTTCATCGTGTTGTCATTTTTTTTATACGCAGTCACGATAACGTGGTAGATTCAGAAGGATTGCAGTTGTTGATGGAGTTTTCGTTGGTTCGTGGTAATTTAGGCGGGATATTTCAAGTTCTCAAGCTTCTTCATGGTAAGTACATAAGATTGAAGCGAAAATTATTGAAAAACTTTACAAACAGCATGATTTTCAAAAACCATCTTTCTTCTTATTTATAAAGATAACAAACACCTTACGTTTACTGCTAAAACCATTGTCTCCTCTCTTGTTAAACAACACGAGAAAGCAATCCTTAAACACGGTAAGTTCAATTCTGCATCTCGTGTCAGAGAACTGCGGCGTTTTTTTAACATTGCTTGGTGTATTGAGGTGGAAAATTGCCTGCGGGGTTTGTTGGTTGTGACGGAGGCTGTAAGGATGAAAATTCTCGCCCTAAAAATGTTTTAACGGAGAACTGGACGACAGAAGGTGATTTTAATCAATTTTATTCAGTTAAACAATGATGAAACAAGTGCTTCAAAATGCTTTCTTTTATTGTATTTTTACAGCTTATTACTCTGAAATTGGAACTTTAAATGTGAACATGGCCTTTAATAGTGAAAACTTAACTACCGTTCAATTGACAAAAATTACCCTTAAGGTAGCAAATTTTATACATGTACGCTAATAAATCATCAAGAAACATCATTTTCACATTCTTTCTATGAAGGTTTGTAAAGGTGGCATGGGTCCTCGCTGTGGTTTTGTTTTCATGCATAATGCCGTGCAGATGTATGTTTCTTTAGCTTCGTTGTTCACCTATTTAATGCCGATCATTTACTTGTTTTTATTTGAATTTCTTTTTGTGTATAGTAACAATGGTGAACTGGACGTTGGTTATTTGGACGAGTACAATGACTGGGATTACACCAAGTATCAAGACTACCTGAAAAGGTTTGTTCGAATTCATTTATCTAGAATTTCTCAAACTATTTAAGAAGTTTAGGTGTGTACATAGATATGCTACGTTAAACAAAAATAGATTAATTTTCACCTTAATGAAATATAACTTTGTAAAAAATACTTTTGTATTCAATGCAGTGCATGTTTATCATTTCTAACACTCTCCTCAATTATGTAATGAAGATCTTGTCTGTTCACCCTTTTGTATGACTGCAACAAACTGCTTGTGGGGAAGATTTATCAATCTTGAATTCTAGATTTGACGGAACTCATTTATGATAATTTTTTTATCATCTTGTCATGAAAATTTATAAAAAAAACCCTCCTAAATATCAGCGTTTAAAGTGAAATGTTGTGTTCATGACCTTGTGAAGAGGAAACTTTTCCGTTCTATTTCAATATTGGAGAGAGATGTTTGAACATGATCGTCATTCTTATATGGAGAGAAATGCCTGAACCTTTAAACAAGAATTATATTTTACCATGTTGACATGATTTTTGTGTAGAACTCAAGGTTGCCATGCAAAAGAAAAAGAACCTGTTGCTTCATTTTACTTAGACAGTGAATGGTAAGGGATCTTTTAAATTTTAGTAGTAATTTTTAAAATGTTAGTATCTACAGGTCATTTTTTTTCTTAGGGATGAAATTGAAGTACATCTTGATAAACCAGCTATTGGAAAGGTAACGAAGGGATTCCTTAGGATTGAAAAGGATTTTTTGTGTTCTTTGTCAATTTGTGTTATGTCATTACGTCGTCAGTGAGCGTGACGTCATTTTGTTAGCTCCAGTTAAAAATCATTTTGTTATCAGTAGTTGTGACGTCATTGCGTTGTCAGAAACGTTGATGTCATTGTGTTGACAGTAGTAGTGATGTCATTGTTGTTGTTAGAAACGTTGATGTCATTGTGTTGACAGTAGTAGTGATGTCATTGTGTTGACAGTAGTAGTGATGTCATTGTGTTGTAATTATACATTATGCCAATATGTGTTTTCACCATAGTGTTTCCTACATCATAGTTTTAACATCAATATGACATTTTCTAGTTCATCATTATGAAATTTACGGGAACACGTGACCCAAAAGCGGAACGAATGGGAATTCTAGGAATACAGTTTTATGGTTATGAAAAGACTTACGATGAAATGGAGGAAAGTGAAACCTGGGTTCGTGACTTTTCTCATAATTTTTTTATCCTCCTCTCATTACCACGTCTTTCATCACTGTCGTCATCACTGTCGTCATAATTATCGTCATCACTGTCATCATCACTGTCGTCATCACTGTCGTCATAATTGTCGTCATCACTGTCGTCATCACTGTCGTCATCACTGTTCTCATTACTATCAACACTTAAACATCTTGCAAAATGTGACGTAAATTTTGATTTATTTTATGAATTAGAAAACGTTGACAATGTTGCCTGAAAACGAACAAGTGTCCGGATCAACACTTTTACTTCAAGTTCTTTTATTCTTGGATTGCATGGCAAAAGATCTTGTAAGTTTCATGTTCAGCATTCTTGCTTTAATATTCAATACCTTTCACAGCTTGCTGTCCGTTTTTTCCATTATCTATTTCTCATTTTGTTTTATAGAAGGCTCAAACAAAAAGGAAAAACGAGGCAGATGTAAATGAAAAGGTTTCTGTGTTTTGGTATTTACTAAATAGTTTAGATGAATTAAATAAGTTCCAACCGTTCAAATGTTCTTTTGAAAAGATAGTTTTAACGAACAGCATTATTTTTTAATTTCACATCCCCATGCACAGGAAGCGAAGCTAGATATGAGTAAAATCTCATTGAAACAAATCTGGGACGTGTACACATCAATAAATGCGAGGTACGAGTAATTATGTTTATTTATGATAATTAATGCTGCATATTACGAGTTTTAACATAACGTTTCCTATGTTTCAGTGAAAACGAAGACACGGTGTTTGCTTGTAGTCTTGTGTTGAGATTGTTTCACCAAGCCTTGCCTTATCTCAAACATGATGCCAACGAGAAAGTTAACGGAGATGTACGTAAAATGCTTCATGATAAATGGAACTTTTCACCCGCTTCATACAGTTGCAAAGCTCAAAACAGGGGGGGTGTTTTAAATATGGTCATTCTTTTTATGACCGCATAGCAATTACAATCTCCATGCTAATAGTAAATACCTTACAGTCTTTACTGTGAGTGTATTGTGAGGACACACATTTTGCTCCCTGCAGCACCTTACAGTCTTTACTGTGAGCGTATTGTGAGGACACACATTTTGCTCCCTGCAGTATCTTACAGTCTTTACTGTGAGCGTATTGTGAGGACACACATTTTGCTCCTTGCACTACCTTACAGTCTTTATTGTGAGCGTATTGTGAGTACACACATTTTGCTCCCTGCAGTACCTTACAGTCTTTACTGTGAGCGTATTGTGAGGACACACATTTTGCTCCCTGCAGTACCTTACAGTCTTTACTGTGAGCGTATTGTGAGGACACACATTTTGCTCCTGCAGTACCTTACAGTCTTTACTGTGAGCGTTTTGTGAAGACACACATTTTGCTCCCTGCAGTATCTTACAGTCTTTACTGTGAGCGTATTGTGAGGACAAACATTTTGCTCCCTGCACTGTCAGGATAAGATGCGACTTTTGGCTGGTGATATTCACTATTCAACTTTCGTTTGATTTTTTTTTTCAATATGTCTATAATTTCCAAGATCTGCGAGCATTTAAATATAATTTTTAAAAAATTGGTCACAAGGAACATTGGTTCTTGTAATGTAGTAACAATTTAGTTGCAATGTTGTGTAAATGATCGTTCTATAAATGTTAGCTATGATATTAAAAAACACCAGACACATACGTACTTTCGTTTTTTTTCTCTATTTTTATTTTTCTCATCTTTAAATTGCACTATCGATCGAATTGTTGACCGTTAAAGTGTTTTTCCTGTTTAAAATCTAATGTTAGCACTATTATATGCTAGGATTCTTTACCAGATATTTTTTACTTTACTTTTTTTTTATCTTTAGGTTAAAGAATTGTCAGGTCACGTGTTTCAGCATCTTTGCAACATCGTTGATGATAAAACAGGGAAATATCATCCGAAAATCACAGATGTTGCAAAGAATATAATTTTAGATGGTATGAAAACATTTATTGACTGAAAATGGCGCATGAATGATGCGTGAAACGTTATTTCATTCTTTACGCAGGGACCGAAGTATTTTTCCGCGACGCAAAAACAAGACGAGATCATCTTCTATGTATGGTCGACGACGTGATGGAAGATAGTCAACTACCATCTTTGGCTTTGACCTTTGAATCACTGTGCAAATTCTTCAGTAACAAAGACGCCAGTGGTCTGCTTGGTTTACCGAACACATTTACAAAGGTATGTTGTTGGAAGTACCAAATATATTCTAAGGTATCGCTGTAAATAGCGGATCCATGGTCGTTCAGACTACATCATTGAAAATATATTTCCATTTTAAAATACTTTGCAGCGAATCCTATTGGAAGTAATTTAGTGTTAAATATTCTTCAGCAACTTCTAACCAAAAGCGTTGTTAAATAAAACTCTTTTTAATTTAAAATGAACTTCCATAATTTATTTTGATTTACCCTCGATCCGTCACTGCTTCCAATATTAATATTTGCTACCCAAGATTAACATTTTATATCCCAAGGTGAACAGTTATATCCCAAAATCAACATTTTTATCCATTAACTTTATTAATACTTTATGTAGACTGTTTTTGAACCTCGGTCAGTTCTCTCTGTGATGTCAACTTTGGTATCCGTAGCTTATCAAGAGGTTAGAAATTTTAATATTTACATTTTTTATATTTACATACTTTATATTTACATACTTTATAGTTACATACTTTATATTTACATACTTTATATTTACATACATTTACATACTTTATAGTTACATACTTTATATTTACATACTTTATATTTACATACTTTATATTTACATGCTTTATATTTACATACTTTATATTTACATACTTTATAGTTACATACTTTATATTTACATACTTTATATTTACATACTTTATATTTACATACTTTATATTTACATACTTTATATTTACACACTTTATATTTACATACTTTATATTTACATACTTATATTTATATTCTATTTTTATTTTACATACTCATAGTTATATTCACTTTATATTTACACACTTTATATTTACATACTTTATACATACATACTTTATATTTACATACTTCATAGTTACATACTTTATATTTACACACTTTATATTTACACACTTTATATTTACATACTTTATATTTACATATTTTATCCCCCCCCCCACTACTAGAACAAGTATTTTAGTCCCCCCCAAGTGCTTGAAAATATCCCTGATAACCTTTATATATACTTTATATTTTTTAACTAAACTATTTTTCAACACGCGTGTCTATTCTTTAGTGTGAAACAGCTCTACATTGTGATTTTGATAAAAATAAAGAAAATAAAACATCAAGCTTGGTTCAGCTACTCAGTGCGATGCAGAAAAGTCTATTGACGTGGGTGAAACAGCAGGTTGAGACGAACAACGTTGAATGGAAGGAAATTGCCTTTCTTATTGTCGAGAAATGTAATGACAAAGTCATAGTTGCTTGGAAAATGTTACGAAATGAATTAAAGACTTGACATTGATGTTTTGTAGATGTAAAATTGATTGCAGAGAAAATAACGCGTGCATTGTCTGTGATTGGAAAGTGCGAAAAAAAGGTTTGACAATCTTCAATCGAAACAAATCTTAATGTCTTTCTTTCTATACACAAGAACGTTTATTTTGATAGGACGAAGCTATTTCAATCATGGAAAATTCATTTATCTCACATACCTTTAGACAAATGGTAAATGACCTATAAATCTCTGGAGTGATGTTATATAGACTATGTTAGTTTTATGCATAAACGGCACACAACTATATCTAACGCTTTTTCGTATTATAGGTTTTGTTTCTTAACACTTTCTCATTGGTGGATGAATTGTGTCTGATTCTCTTACATAATCTTTATCCTGTTGCTGTTGAGATCAGAAATATTGCCGAAAAGCAACCAAGATATTTTAAAAAGGTTCCAATACATTAATACTCTCTCTGTCTCTCTCTCTCTCTCTCTCTCTCTACAATGCACAGAGTTTATAGTCTGATTGTTTTGTCGTTTTAGTCCAATATTTTGGAAGACTTGAGTGGTGATCGTGTAATTCTTAGAAGTTGGGAGATGGAATCCTCTCATAATTATGAGAACAATCAAAATTTTACGCGGGTTCGCAATGAATATTTTAGAATTTTTATAGTTACATATTTTTTGTGATCAGGGCAGCTTTTTTGTTTATGATATTGCCACGACGACAAGTATTGTTGCTTATATTTTTTTTAACTGACTTTAATTTCTTTATTCGTGGGTTGCTAATGTATAACATGTTTTTGCTTTATCGATTTGTGAAATTCTTTAGGTGTTTTCATGTCCTGGTTGCAGCGAATTTCTCGTTCAGTTTGATCCTAGATGTGAAACAGAACGAAGGTATATATTATATTTCTTATAAATTTTACATTAGCATGTCGGGGGGGTGGGGTGGCTAGACGATTGTATGTTTTGCAGTAGGGCAAAGATAGCAGGACTTAGATCATTGTGATTAATATGTAGAAGTGGGGAAAGTTATTCATCATTTTTTTACCACATAAGAAATATTCACTTTAGATATGACTATCTGGAGTTCACTGATTCTAACGGAGTGAAGAAAAGATTTGATCAAAAAGTTGGTACTGAGAAATGGCCGACGGTAAGTTGTGGAGACGATAATATCTGCACCTTATTTAGCCAATGATGTGGGCTTACACAGTCCGCACCCTCCTGCGCACTCTCCCGCAGTAACTCCCCCCGTCTTTAATGTCTCTTTTCTTTTAGGAGGTTGAATTTAACTGTGGCGACAAACTTAGTTTTCTCTTCCATTCAGACGGCAGTAACAATGAGTGGGGATACAAATTTACGGTATTCAACTATTTCTCGTTTGAAATTTATTATTTTACAATTTTCATTCTTTTTTGTTCTTCTCTATCCACTCGTGTACTTGGATAACATCTTAAGTCTTTTCATATGCAGGTTACTGCACGTGATATGCCCTCTATCTTGGCTATTTGACCTACAGTTGGGTCTTGCCAGCTTATTTGGTCTTTTTTGCAGCTCTTTAATGGCCGCCAACTCAAAAAGTAAGTGAGGGGGGGAGGGGAGGGGAGGGCATGCGGTGGTTGCATTGTATGAATATCGAGACTGAGTAATGTCGTCATTTCATGCGAGTATTTTGATTGTTTTTTAGACAGTAAAAAAGACGAACAAACGAAAGTCGATGGCGATGGCTGTTTATTGCAGAGTAACATTTGGACAACTTTATTTCGTGCTGGTATTACTAACAATGGTAAATTACAGAGATCTTTGTCTGGGCATCATGTGAGTTATAATTATGAGTAGAGAATATCGATCATTTCACTTCTCATGTGTTCGTATTTCTATGATTTCTTGTGTTTGTTTCTCAGGCAACAACTTTTAGTGATGACCATCAAGTTTACAAGTTTGCTAAAGATATCGCAACCGAAGAATCAGGAAATGCCTACGAACTTTTGAAAAGGTTTGTTGTCTATGTTTTTGTTTGTACTTTGTAGCACTGACAAGTATACATTGTGTCTATGGTAGTGATCCATGGTGTACTTTTTAGTACTGACAAGTATACATTGTGTCTATGGTAGTGACCATGTTGTACTTTGTAGTACTGACAAGTATACATTGTGTCTATGGTAGTGATCCATGGTGTACTTTTTAGTACTGACATGTATACATTGTGTCTATGGTAGCGATCCATGTTGTACTTTGTAGTACTGACATGTATACATTGTGTCTATGGTAGTGACCATGTTGTACTTTGTAGTACTGACAAGTATACATTGTGTCTATGGTAGTGATCCATGTTGTACTTTGTAGTACTGACATGTATACATTGTGTCTATGGTAGTGATCCATGTTGTACTTTTTAGTACTGACATTTATACATTGTGTCTATGGTAGTGATCCATGGTGTACTTTGTAGTACTGACATGTATACATTGTGTCTATGGTAGTGACCATGTTGTACTTTGTAGTACTGACAAGTATACATTGTGTCTATGGTAGTGATCCATGTTGTACTTTGTAGTACTGACAAGTATACATTGTGTCTATGGTAGTGATCCATGGTGTACTTTTAGTACTGACATGTATACATTGTGTCTATGGTAGCGATCCATGTTGTACTTTGTAGTACTGACATGTATACATTGTGTCTATGGTAGTGACCATGTTGTACTTTGTAGTACTGACAAGTATACATTGTGTCTATGGTAGTGATCCATGGTGTACTTTTTAGTACTGACATTTATACATTGTGTCTATGGTAGTGATCCATGGTGTACTTTTTAGTACTGACATGTATACATTGTGTCTATGGTAGCGATCCATGTTGTACTTTGTAGTACTGACAAGTATACATTGTGTCTATGGTAGTGATCCATGTTGTACTTTGTAGTACTGACAAGTATACATTGTGTCTATGGTAGTGATCCATGTTGTACTTTGTAGTACTGACATGTATACATTGTGTCTATGGTAGTGATCCATGTTGTACTTTGTAGTACTGACATGTATACATTGTGTCTATGGTAGTGACCATGTTGTACTTTGTAGTACTGACAAGTATACATTGTGTCTATGGTAGTGATCCATGTTGTACTTTGTAGTACTGACATGTATACATTGTGTCTATGGTAGTGACCATGTTGTACTTTGTAGTACTGACAAGTATACATTGTGTCTATGGTAGTGATCCATGGTGTACTTTGTAGTACTGACAAGTATACATTGTGTCTATGGTAGTGATCCATGGTGTACTTTTTAGTACTGACATGTATACATTGTGTCTATGGTAGCGATCCATGTTGTACTTTGTAGTACTGACAAGTATACATTGTGTCTATGGTAGTGATCCATGTTGTACTTTGTAGTACTGACAAGTATACATTGTGTCTATGGTAGTGATCCATGGTGTACTTTGTAGTACTGACATTTATACATTGTGTCTATGGTAGTGACCATGTTGTACTTTGTAGTACTGACAAGTATACATTGTGTCTATGGTAGTGATCCATGTTGTACTTTGTAGTACTGACATGTATACATTGTGTCTATGGTAGTGACCATGTTGTACTTTGTAGTACTGACAAGTATACATTGTGTCTATGGTAGTGATCCATGGTGTACTTTGTAGTACTGACAAGTATACATTGTGTCTATGGTAGTGATCCATGTTGTACTTTGTAGTACTGACATGTATACATTGTGTCTATGGTAGTGATCCATGTTGTACTTTGTAGTACTGACATGTATACATTGTGTCTATGGTAGTGACCATGTTGTACTTTGTAGTACTGACAAGTATACATTGTGTCTATGGTAGTGATCCATGTTGTACTTTGTAGTACTGACATGTATACATTGTGTCTATGGTAGTGACCATGTTGTACTTTGTAGTACTGACAAGTATACATTGTGTCTATGGTAGTGATCCATGGTGTACTTTGTAGTACTGACAAGTATACATTGTGTCTATGGTAGTGATCCATGGTGTACTTTTAGTACTGACATGTATACATTGTGTCTATGGTAGCGATCCATGTTGTACTTTGTAGTACTGACAAGTATACATTGTGTCTATGGTAGTGATCCATGTTGTACTTTGTAGTACAGACAAGTATACATTGTGTCTATGGTAGTGATCCATGGTGTACTTTGTAGTACTGACATTTATACATTGTGTCTATGGTAGTGATACATGTTGTACTTTGTAGTACTGACATGTATACATTGTGTCTATGGTAGTGATCCATGTTGTACTTTGTAGTACTGACATGTATACATTGTGTCTATGGTAGTGACCATGTTGTACTTTGTAGTACTGACATGTATACATTGTGTCTATGGTAGTGATCCATGTTGTACTTTGTAGTACTGACATGTATACATTGTGTCTATGGTAGTGATCCATGTTGTACTTTGTAGTACTGACATGTATACATTGTGTCTATGGTAGTGATCCATGTTGTACTTTGTAGTACTGACAAGTATACATTGTGTCTATGGTAGTGATCCATGTTGTACTTTGTAGTACTGACATGTATACATTGTGTCTATGGTAGTGATCCATGTTGTACTTTGTAGTACTGACATGTATACATTGTGTCTATGGTAGTGACCATGTTGTACTTTGTAGTACTGACATGTATACATTGTGTCTATGGTAGTGATCCATGTTGTACTTTGTAGTACTGACATGTATACATTGTGTCTATGGTAGTGATCCATGTTGTACTTTGTAGTACTGACATGTATACATTGTGTCTATGGTAGTGATCCATGTTGTACTTTGTAGTACTGACAAGTATACATTGTGTCTATGGTAGTGATCCATGTTGTACTTTGTAGTACTGACATGTATACATTGTGTCTATGGTAGTGATCCATGTTGTACTTTGTAGTACTGACATGTATACATTGTGTCTATGGTAGTGACCATGTTGTACTTTGTAGTACTGACAAGTATACATTGTGTCTATGGTAGTGATCCATGTTGTACTTTGTAGTACTGACATGTATACATTGTGTCTATGGTAGTGATCCATGTTGTACTTTGTAGTACTGACAAGTATACATTGTGTCTATGGTAGTGATCCATGGTGTACTTTGTAGTACTGACAAGTATACATTGTGTCTATGGTAGTGATCCATGGTGTACTTTGTAGTACTGACATTTATACATTGTGTCTATGGTAGTGATACATGTTGTACTTTGTAGTACTGACATGTATACATTGTGTCTATGGTAGTGACCATGTTGTACTTTGTAGTACTTTTTATAGTCATACATTTTATATTTATACATTCAGATTTCAGGAATCCAGTAATACTCCTCGAGTTGGAGGAGCTAAAGTTGATGAAGCTATAAGATGCGTGTTCGCCGCCCTTGTATGGCATTCTCAACGACTTCGTGATGAACTTGTCTTATTTGGTAAGTCTGTTTCTTTGAAACTCACAGCAAAATTCCTTGTTTGGTAATAAAATAATTATAATTTCAGTCGTACACTGTTTAAGTATGTTTTTTTATATGTTTGTTTTTTTGTAACTAGTAAATTCCATCACCTTCGATTCTTAACCATTTTTATCCCTCACTAACCGATTCTATCCCTCACTATAAAATCTTATCCACTATTGTTCATTCAGCTTCAGATTGTCCCCCAGAGACAATACCTGCAGGGATCTCTGAAGCCTATAAGACTGCTGAATCATTGCGAATGGGTTTGGTAATTTGATTTTATGCCATTTTGTTTTGCGTAATTTACTGTCACATGACTACCCATCATTACCTGTTTTTGAAGTTTATTAAACATTCATCAGGTGGAAGCACGACAGAAATTGATCATTGAAGCTGAAGAAGGGAAACAAAAAAATGGAAAAATCATTGATCCCGATGAAGTTGGTATGTACTTCATGTTAGCATCGTAGTTGGCTAAAGTTTGAATTGTTAATGAAGTATTTACGTGGAAATTGTGTATGTATTTGCAGTAACCAGTTGCAAAGAGAAAGCTTTATTTCTGTTAAAGTTTTCAGGATTAACAAGAATTGCTTCATCGACTGATGTAGGTGTCAAATACAAATTCACCTTAACTCTCGTTGCTGTAAATCTTGTATTTAGCTGTAGTCATCTTCAACCTTAGCTGTAGTCATCTTCAACCTTAGCTGTAGTCATCTTCAACCTTAGCTGAAGTCATCTTCAACCTTAGCTGTAGTCGTCTTCAACCTTAGCTGTAGTCATCTTCAACCTTAGCTGTAGTCATCTTCAACCTTAGCTGTAGTCATCTTCAACCTTAGCTGTAGTCATCTTCAACCTTAGTGGTAGTCATCTTCAACCTTAGTGGTAGTCATCTTCAACCTTAGCTGTAGTCATCTTCAACCTTAGCTGAAGTCATCTTCAACCTTAGCTGTAGTCGTCTTCAACCTTAGCTGTAGTCATCTTCAACCTTAGCTGTAGTCATCTTCAACCTTAGCTGTAGTCATCTTCAACCTTAGTGGTAGTCATCTTCTGTAGTCATCTTCAACCTTAGCTGTAGTCATCTTCAACCTTAGCTGTAGTCATCTTCAACCTTAGCTGTAGTCATCTTCAACCTTAGCTGTAGTCATCTTCAACCTTAGCTGTAGTCATCTTCAACCTTAGCTGTAGTCATCTTCAACCTTAGCTGTAGTCATCTTCAACCTTAGCTGTAGCCATCTTCAACCTTAGCTGTAGCCATCTTCAACCTTAGCTGTAGTCATCTTCAACCTTAGCTGTAGTCATCTTCAACCTTAGCTGTAGTCATCTTCAACCTTAGCTGTAGTCATCTTCAACCTTAGCTGTAGTCATCTTCAACCTTAGCTGTAGTCATCTTCAACCTTAACTGTAGTCATCTTCAACCTTAGCTGTAGTCATCTTCAACCTTAACTGTAGTCATCTTCAACCTTAGCTGTAGTCATCTTCAACCTTAGCTGTAGTCATCTTCAACCTTAGCTGTAGTCATCTTCAACCTTAGCTGTAGTCATCTTCAACCTTAGCTGTAGTCATCTTCAACCTTAGCTGTAGTCGTCTTCAACCTTAGCTGTAGTCATCTTCAACCTTAGCTGTAGTCATCTTCAACCTTAGCTGTAGTCATCTTCAACCTTAGCTGTAGTCATCTTCAACCTTAGCTGTAGTCGTCTTCAACCTTAGCTGTAGTCATCTTCAACCTTAGCTGTAGTCATCCTCAACCTTAGCTGTAGTCGTCTTCAACCTTAGCTGTAGTCATCTTCAACCTTAGCTGTAGTCATCTTCAACCTTAGCTGTAGTCATCTTCAACCTTAGCTGTAGTCATCCTCAACCTTAGCTGTAGTCATCTTCAACCTTAGCTGTAGTCATCTTCAACCTTAGCTGTAGTCATCCTCAACCTTAGCTGTAGTCATCTTCAACCTTAGCGGTAGTCATCTTCAGAGTCATTTGAGGTTGTTGAAACGTCAGTCAACAACAACAAAAACAGTCCTTCTCAGGACTATACCAACCTGGACGATCTACATTTACAAACATGTAACATGTATTCATGTTGCTCTATATTTCCTCTTTTTATCGTACAGATAAAAGAAACTCATGATGTTGTCAATTCAAACAAGAAAAATGCTTTTCATCGAATTTCAATCCATCGGAGACGTCAGGTAAACGTCGGGGTTTCAATCAACAAAGAAACGATTGACACAACATAAAAAGTAAACATTATGTATTCGGAAGTCGTCATCATTAAAGAACATCCTTAATTTAGTGGCATATGTGAAATAATGTATGTAAGATATGGAGTGCCAAATAAAATGCTTATTTCTGTATTTAATTGTGTTTACAGTAAGTTTGAGTGTTTATCTTTTGATGTATGTGTTCATATTTTTTAGACAAAATCATCAGAAGACACCAACAAGACTTCACATAAATATCCATCCTTTAGGCTTATTGTTGATTTTGTTTCAAACAATAATTATTCCCACACTCGGTATGCAACTGTCTTTTTTTGATGGTGTACACGAGTTATCCATAATGAATCTATGATGTACACGATTTGTCCATGATGAATCTCCGATGTACCTGATTTATCCATGATGAATCTATGTGTACATCACTTATCTATGATGAATCTATGTGTACATCATTTATTATACATGATGAATCCATGTGTACATCATTTATCCGTGATGAATCTATGTGTACATCATTTATCCATGATGAATCTATGTGTACATCATTTATCCATCATGATTCTTCATTCATGATGTACTTGAGGGATTTATTGTGTCAATAATGGATTCATGATGGTTCATGATATTTACTTCTTTTCAGTATCGAGTCTCTGCTCCACGAAAGAAAAAAACTGGCAAATAGCTTACATGAAGTTTACTTGTTTGCCGCTGAATATATTCGACTGTACTCAAGACCAGATATATTCCAGGTAAAAGAAACTTAAGTAGATCAGTGAGAACAAGGAAAAATATAAAATTAAAGTTGGTTTGCTTCAAAATTGAAAAGGGCATAAGTGAAAGAGAAAATTCCATGGTATACATGGTCTTTTTGTGATCACATTAAATATTGTTTATGATTTTTGTTATCATTTTTAGGCTCCGGTGGTAATTTTCCTTCAACAAATGCTTGTTCATCAAAAGTTGTATCCACGGTAAGGCAACTACTCCTAAGGGTGTATTAAAAAACAGCCCAAAAACAACCTTTAGAAATTGACGTACTGTGATAATTTCAATGTCCTATCACTGTACAAAGTCCACGGGGTCATAAAGGATTGTCAGCTTCATGCATGTATTAAATATCTTTGTTACTGACACAGAAGCTTTCCTTCTCCTCGGAATTTTACTAAATTTCCAACAGCAAAATATGCTCAAGATGCACTAATGAGATTAGCATAGTGATCAGGCATTGAAATTTCTCACTAGCTTCATTTCTAAAGCTCTTGTTTTTTTGATACATCCTGTTTATATTTCAGACACTAAAACTGAGATTGCTCTATCTCATCCACGTGAAAGTTTTACTTTGATATGTTTGACTGCAACAGGATGATAAAATGTGTGTTTTTACATTGATCTTTGAAAGGCAACAGTTCTTTAAACATTTTATTAGATCAGACGATATTCTACTGTGTTCTGACGTACGCGTTGACGTCATAAACACGTGACTATATAAGTAGGGTTGCTAGTAAAGTCATTGTGTTTTTTGGTTCTTTCACATTTGCAGTCATTACGGCGACAATCTGGATGGTTGTGGATTGGAACTAGAAGGTCGAGTAAGAAAGTCATATTATACTTTTCTGAGAAGGTTACTGGAAAGTGTTCGTTCATTTGATGGTGATGCCGAAGATGAGAGGTTAGCTTTGCATCTTGTTTAAAATCCCTAGTAACCCTCATGTAACCCTTGTGTACCTATTGTGTACATATCTCCAACATTACATCTTCAATCCCTAGTAATCCTCATGTAACCCTTGTGTACCTATCGTGTACATATCTCCAACATTACATCTTCAATCCCTAGTAACCCTCGTGTAACCCTTGTGTACGTAATCTACTATATCTCCAATACTACATCTTCAATCCATAATTATCCCCAATGCGTCTGTAGGTAACCTTACTTGGCTGTATCTTACTATCATCTTCTAACCTTTTATTATACATATTTTAATCCATATCTGAAGCAATTTTAATGTTTGTTTCTATTCTTTATCTTGCCAGCTCTCGATCGAAATCATTCATCTGCATTCGTGCGTTTTTACTTCACTTTCTCGACATTGAGTGGAAATCATATGATCTTGCCTTCCTCAATGAAACAAATCTACCAGAATTCTTCTTGAAAACTTCTAAAGGTAGGAAGAAAATGATCAATTTTCTTCTTTCGTAAATAAAATACACTTTTTTTGTCTTTCTTGTGTTTGTGCTTTTTCTTTGTATTTCGTCTGTAAACGTTCTCGTTACATTTGATGTCTTTATGATTTTCACTAATTAAAGTAACAAAATGAATGTAGAAACTTGTTTAGTATTTCATGTCGTAAATTACACTTGTTTGCGATACTTCAGCAACAATAAGTGCTCTTCAGCAATGCAACTCCGAGCTGTCCGACCAACGAGAATTAGATGAATATAAGGAAAATATGGCTTGGAAAGAGCAAGCGACAAAAGGTTTTAATGAATGGTGGGAAGCCATGCAAAGTAAAGTGAATAATCCTGATGAAAAAAGAGTATGTTCACTTTAAAATCAATCGCTCATCGACATATAATTCGTTTATTTAAAGCATTGATCTTTTTATTTAGAGATTACATCTGTTTCTCAGTCGTTACGCTGAGCTTTTTGATGTCGACGTATTCTGTGATGGTTGCAAACTTCCTTTAACTCGCTCTCGTTATCGCTGTCTTAACTGCTTTGAAATTGATCTATGTTCGACATGTTATACAGGTTTTTACTTCAAAATTGATCTATGTTCAATCTGCTATACAGGTTTTACTTTGAAATCAATCTGTGTTAAACATGTTATACAGGCTTTTACTTTGAAATTAATTTATGTTCAATTAATATGTGAAGCAACTAGACGGTTTCTATTCGTGATTACGGGATAGCGTGCTATTTGTGCGGGTGATTACAGGATGCAATGCTATTTCTGTTTGTGATTTATGAGAGCAATCTATTTCTATGGATCATTATAAGATAGCATGCTTTTTCTGTGGTTGATAACTGGCTATCTTGTGGTTTTATGTCTGGGTGCAGGATTTGAGATTTGGAATTGAGAAAAATGATCGATGATAGTTGTGTTTTCTTTAGGCAATGTTAGACCCAATGGACATTCGAGTGATCACGAAGTTGTAGAAATGAGGTAATGTTTCTTGATAGGCAAGATGGAGAAGAGCTAGAGTCCCTGGATTTTATCGCCCTTCCCACCCCATACCCACCCCTACAAGAGCCTCTATCGCCCTTCCCACCCCTATACCCACCCCTACAAGAACCTCTATCGCCCTTCCCACCCCTACAAGAACCTCTATCGCCCTTCCCAACCCATACCCACCCCTACAAGAACCATAGAAGTATTTTACATAATTTCTTGTTATTTAGATGGAAATGTGATGGTTGTGATGGCTTTATTATTGGAACTCGTTTCAACTGTACTGTTTGTCATGATCTTGATTTGTGTTTAGGATGTTACACTGCAAATGTTTGGCCTGAACGGTAAAGGAAAAGTATCATCCATAATGAATTATATACTTTTAAAATAAACTTTTTTACTTCATTTCTAGTCATTCTGCTTCACATTCAATGAAAAAATTTACCAAGAAAATGGGTATGAAATTCAATGTATTTTTTAATTATTGCATTGATTGTAATTTTACATTTCGTCTCTTCCTCTTGTTTATGTAGGACTGTCAATTCATCAAAGAATCCCTGCTTATACTCATACGCATTCTTGGTTTCAATTTACTTCGCTTTCCCTTTCTCTCGCTAATGCACTTAATGATCCTGGATCTAGTGGTACGTCATGCAAATCACGTGACCACTACACGTGACCTTTCATTTTGATGACGTATTATACACCTTTTTTCATAGATGCATATGGAGATTACATGTGCACAACAGGAATACTACACGTGACCTTTCATTTTGATGACGTATTATACACCTTTTTTCATAGATGCATATGGAGATTACATGTACACAACAGGAATACTACACATGACCTTTCATTTTGATGACGTATTATACACCTTTTTCATAGATGCATATGGAGATTACATGTACACAACAGGAATACTACACGTGACCTTTCATTTTGATGACGTATTATACACCTTTTTTCATAGATGCATATGGAGATTAAATGTACACAACAGGAATACTACACGTGACCTTTCATTTTGATGACGTATTATACACCTTTTTTCATAGATGCATATGGAGATTACATGTGCACAACAGGAATACTACACGTGACCTTTCATTTTGATGACGTATTATACACCTTTTTTCATAGATGCATATGGAGATTACATGTACACAACAGGAATACTCCACGGCAAATGTCTTTCTTTGATGGTTAAATGTCTCAACGAAGCTCTTAATGTCGCTAAATGTGAGTGACAATGTTAAAACTGTATTTTGGTAAATATTTATGTAATTACAGCAGCAGATAATACATGTCTTCATACAACCAACCATTGACATGTTTAGTTGAAAAGCAACAAGAGGAACAACGTAAAGCGGCCTTGTTGAAGGATTCACTGTTAAAAAATACCGACGCTACGGCATCATCCACCGTCGGCGCAACTGGCAAAACTAATGTTTCTAAAAAGTCAGATGAAATAAACTCTGATGTATCGAAATCCAAGTCTACTTCAGCCATAAACGATAAACCCTCAGATATTGAAAAGTCTAACTTCTCGGAAACAAAAACTGATGTTGCTTCAAACTCCGAGACTTCTATAGACATTACTAAGGACATCCCTCATCAACCATCGTTTACATCAGATATCCCAATACATCCTACGGCAACACCTGATGCATCTCACTCAAGTGTCGTTCAGTCTCAAAGATCCCAATCCTATCCTGATGATGAATCAATCGTATCAAAGAAAGAATCTCTTGAAGTTGAGCCTTCGGCCTCTGGGTCAGAGGTTACTACTTTGACGGATGCCTCCGATAAAACACTTACCATGAATACGCTCGCCGATATTCTCCAAGGAGATGATAGCGTTCCTTTGTCATTGGTGAATAATGGTGAAAGCTCAGTTAGTGATGGTTGGGTGAAGTTAACTGAAGAACAACTAAACGCTCTCTTTGTAAAAGAAACACTTGAAAGTCTTTTGGGATTGTTAGGAGCCATGTTACCAAAAGACTCCAAGGTTAGTATTGGCTGTAGTCTTAAGACAAATGTAACTTTTTATTTCTACATACTCTTGCGTTCTTCAACACGAACGCGCTGCGTACCAACTCTTATGTCCATTTTAAAATTGTAATAAAATAATCATCTTTATTTTTAGCTCACACATTGGACAAGTTGTAATCCAAACGCAGAACAATTTTTGATAACTGAGCTCATTCCTGTGCTTCTAAAGATGGCAAGGTTAGTGCCCAATCCCCTCCCGTCACTGTTTCAATTCTCCGTTGTTAACCATCAGTCTGGCAACATCAATGTTTATCGTTTTAAGGTCTCCTGATGTTTTGTTCACTCACAGAAATATGACCATTGCTGTTTTAGGAAAATATTTACAATGTATCTCACCGGAGGTGAGTTTGTTTAGTTTTGCCAATTCATTTCCATCCCTTTGCCATTCCTTTGTCAATCCATTGCCAATCCATTGCCATTCCTTTGCCATTCCTTTGTCAATCCATTGCCAATCCATTACCTTTCCTTTGCCATCCCTTTGTCAATCCATTGCTAATCCATTGCCATTCCTTTGTCAATCCATTGCCAATCCATTGCCATTCCTTTGCCATCCCTTTGTCAATCCATTGCTAATCCATTGCCATTCCTTTGTCATTTCTTTTGTCAATCCACTGCCAATCCATTACCTTTCCTTTGTCATTCCTCTGTCAATCCATTGCCAATCCATTACCATCCTTCGCCATTGCTTTGTCAAACAATGGTAAATCCGTTTTCAATTCATTACCGTTCCTTTGTCAATCTTTACTCAAGCTTATGTAAATCCTGAAGTCTGAGGCTTCTACAAAACCTTTGTTAGTGTATAATTTAAAATCTTTATTTAAAGTTTTCATGAAAATTTTGCAGTATTGTGAGTAGGTGAAAACTTTATTTAAAGTATATAGTTATACTGTGAGTACGTGAAAAAATTAGAGGGATAACAAATAATTACTTTATTAATGCATTCGAAGTTTTTATTTATTTTATTTTTTTATTTCTTAGTTGTGTGATAGGCTGAGCGCACCCGAGAAAGGCAAAGAAAATGAAAGCGACAATCTGTGTTTTAATGATTTATGTGGAAAGGATATGATAGAATCGTTGTTCCAGTTCGGTGCTGGATGTCTTGCAAGGTACAGCTACGTCCGTTTACATTTGCTTACTTTTTAACAAAACCGACTTAAGTAAAGCGTCTGCTTACTTTAGATCTGATCTTGAGTCAGCTTCAAGTGTCGCATCTTGCCTTCAACATTTAAGTCAGTCGTTGCTATGGCAACCAAGCATAACGTATCACGTGACGCAGTCTCTCACAGCGCTTACAGAAAATTCTGAGCATCCACAATTAGGAAACATCTTTGGTGTGTTAGTGTTTGCTGGCTTTCCCAATGTAAGTTGTTCTTGCAAGGACTTTTATCATCCGCTGTGTATCTTATGTACCTTTGTTACATTCTGTGTATCTCATGTACCTTTGTTACATTCTGTGTATCTCTTGTACCTTTGTTACATTCTGTGTATCTCATGTACCCTTGTTACATTCTGTGTGTCTCAAGTACCTTTGACATAAGTTGTACATTTTACTATGCCAGACACCCAAACGTTGATTCATTTTGTCTGTTCAGGTTATTCAAATTGGATCTCGTGTTTTGATGAAGAATCAGAGTAGTTTAGGAAAAGAAGGAATTGCTTTATCTTATTCAAGTAGCAATGGAACAGCTGTTGTTGCTGATACAAAAACAAGAAAAAGAATAAGCGTAAGTCCATTATATATTTTAAAAGATATGTTGAACACTAAAACCTCGTTTCCACTATTGGTTTAACGCGACAAACGCGACAACGATTGACTTTAATCGCGATAATCCCATATGAGAACGCGGTAATAATCGCAATAAACGGCGACTAACAATCACGACAAACGCGATAAAATATCAAAAATTTTTGATATTTATTCGCGTTAATCGCCAAAATGACATCATCTTGAATAAAAATTTAGGAATTTAAGATGGCGAATCCAAAAACGTTGTTTTCTTTTTTTCGATGCCTTTCTACGGCGTCTCCGTCGCCTCCATAAAACATAAGCTACTGCAATTACTACCAGATCGTGTTTTTTTACCGACGCTATTTCACAAAATAATCGCCATCCGACATAATGTAAACAACACGTCTAATCGCGCAACCATTGCAAATAAAGGTTATCGCTATCGCTTTTATCGTGATAAACCAATAGTGGAAACCATGCTCAACTATACTTTACATAGATTATGTTTATTTTTGTGTGTTAGTACATAATCAAACATAATTTGTGTGTTAGTACATAATCAAAGGCGTTTATGGCCCCCACATGTGAGAAATAAGATTTTTTGCAGTTTAATGACGGTTTTCTGCCAGTCGAGAGGTTTTTAAATTAGGCAAAGTGAAAAATTATTGACACTACTTCAAATAACTTCACAACATCCGCGAGTCACAAATATGATTTTATGGTAATGTCCATATTTTCTGAGCGTCCTTGTTTTATGTAATGCATTTGTTAATTTTAAGATTAAAGAATCCAATCTACAAGAAATGTCCGTTTTTGTGGAGTTCCAAAGTAGTTCCCAGTTTTCAACACTACTCGCTATTGCGCAAGATATTTTACTTGCATTAAATGGGGAGAGTAAGTCGTCTTTTGTCCTTGGCAACCATTTTTTTCATCCCGGCTCACTGCTTACTTCTCTTGCTTCGTTTTTCTTAGATGAAGTATCCATTGAACGAATGTGGGTTTTGTATTTGGTTTTGAAAGCGATATTATCAAATTTGAAAGTACGTAAATTCTTTACCAAAATTCCCGTGAATTATACATCGTTGCATTTAAATCCTTCTTTCTCTCACAGGGAAGTAAAGCTACAGAATTACGAAATGATATAATGAAAAGTTCTCTTCTTCCCTCATTGTTTGCATTAGCGTCTCAAGGTACCGACTTAAGTCGAATGTGGCTTCTCAGAGACCTTGAGGTGATCATTTTATTCCTTAAAAAGATGACGGTTGACTTTGTTGTCTTTTTTTACAATTCTCGACGTTCGTTTTAACTGTTTATCCTTCACAGATTTTGTCGATTAAATTGTACAAGAAGCAACTTGATGGATCTAGGAAACTTCCTAAACTCGAGTTGATACGAAGTGATTCTGAAACTAAAGAATCAAGTGCAGTTCAAGCGACAAATGAACCTTTACGAGCTCTTCTTCTGGTAATGTGCTCTTATAAGCTCGTACAACATTTGTTTTGTTTATAAATACCGGAGCTACTGTTATGTATCCAAATAACGTTTTTAAATTCGCACTACACTAAAATCATGTTCATGAACACAAAATTTATCCATTCCTAGCCTATATCATCCTTGCTCAACGCATTCATCCCACTTCAATTCTGTATCATACTTGCTCAACACATTCATCCCCTTCAAACCCTGTATCATCCATGCTCACCACATTCATCCCATTCCAATCCTGTATCATCCATGCTCACCACATTCATCCCATTCCAATCCTGTATCATCCATGCTCACCACATTCATCCCATTCCAATCCTGTATCATCCATGCTCACCACATTCATCCCATTCCAACCCTGTATCATCCATGCTCACCACATTCATCCCATTCCAATCCTGTATCATCCATGCTCACCACATTCATCCATCCTGTATCATCCATGCTCACCACATTCATCCCATTCCAATACTGTATCATCCATGCTCACCACATTCATCCCATTCCAATCTGTATCATCCATGCTCACCATTCATCCCATTCCAATCCTGTATCATCCATGCTCACCACATTCATCCCATTCCAATCCTGTATCATCCATGCTCACCACATTCATCCCATTCCAACCCTGTATCATCCATGCTCACCACATTCATCCCATTCCAATCCTGTATCATCCATGCTCACCACATTCATCCCATTCCAATCCTGTATCATCCATGCTCACCACATTCATCCCATTCCAATCCCATCATCCATGCTCACCACATTCATCCCATTCCAACCCTGTATCATCCATGCTCACATTCATCCCATTCCAATCCTGTATCATCCATGCTCACCACATTCATCCCATTCCAATCCCATCCATGCTCACATTCATCCATTCCAATCCTGTATCATCCATGCCAATCCTGTATCATCCATGCTCACCACATTCATCCCATTCCAATCCTGTATCATCCATGCTCACCACATTCATCCCATTCCAATCCTGTATCATCCATGCTCACCACATTCATCCCATTCCAATCCTGTATCATCCATGCTCACCACATTCATCCCATTCCAATCCTGTATCATCCATGCTCACCATATTCATCCCATTCCAATCCTGTATCATCCATGCTCACCACATTCATCCCATTCCAATCCTGTATCATCCATGCTCACCACATTCATCCCATTCCAATCCTGTATCATCCATGCTCACCCATTCATCCCATTCCTGTATCATCCATGCTCACCACATTCATCCCATTCCAATCCTGTATCATCCATGCTCACCACATTCATCCCATTCCAATCCTGTATCATCCATGCTCACATTCATCCCAATCCTGTATCATCCATGCTCACCACATTCATCCCATTCCAACCCTGTATCATCCATGCTCACCACATTCATCCCATTCCAACCCATCATCCATGCTCACCACATTCATCCCATTCCAACCCTGTATCATCCATGCTCACCACATTCATCCATTCCAATCCTATATCATCCATGCTCACCACATTCATCCCATTCCAATCCTGTATCATCCATGCTCACCACATTCATCCCATTCCAATCCTATATCATCCATGCTCACCACATTCATCCCATTCCAACCCTGTATCATCCATGCTCACCCCATTCATCCCATTCCAATCCTGTATCATCCATGCTCACCACATTCATCCCATTCCAATCCTGTATCATCCATGCTCACCACATTCATCCCATTCCAATCCTGTATCATCCATGCTCACCACATTCATCCCATTCCAATCCTGTATCATCCATGCTCACCACATTCATCCCATTCCAATCCTGTATCATCCATGCTCACCACATTCATCCCATTCCAACTCTGTATCATCCATGCTCGCTACATGTACCATTACCATATTTTCACCATGTTCGGCACATTCAATTGATCTTCAGAGTTTCCAAGAAGCGATACAAGCCCCTATGGCTTTATTGGAAACAATATTGCCCAGAAATGATCAGGCGAGGTTAATGGAGGAGGTTCATCGCAGGTAATGTTATGAGTTAAACCAGAATATTTTGTTTTTGTGTTACTTTTGTGTTTGTGTTGTACTTGTATTTTCTTCTCGCTTGCTGTTCGTTATAACAACGGAAACCTTTAAATTTCGGTAAATGAGTGATGTAACCCGGTCTGCTTTTGTAAATTTTTCTGTATTCACTCCATGTAAAAACAATTGATTTGGAATTCATTAAACAATGCTAATAATCCTAAATTTACATCGCTTGACGAAATGTGCGAGCTGGCTTTACACCACCAAAGAAAACACTGTTTAAGTCCCTCCTATCACAAAATTAAATCGTGCTTTGTAATCTTGTCAAAAGAAAGAATTTCATTTTTTTTTTTCACATCCAGTTTGCGTGAAGAGGCTGCAATACGTCGTTCTCATACTCAATCAAGGTATAATTTCAACATTTTAATTATTTCACATGAAGCAACTTGTTTTAAACGAGTGTATGACATTAATTCTTTAACCGTTCAGTCCTAATGAAGAAATTCCTGAGGCAGATGATACTTCCATTGATTTGGGTGTCGTTCGCTATTCCCCAGCTGAATTACGACCGAAAACATTTAAAGCGAAGGAAGAAGATCAGAAAACGTGCGAAAAGTTAATGCCTTTTTTCACAGAACAGGAAGTAATCGAGGTTTGTAGAGATGTGATACTTTGTACTGATCTGCTCTCGAGTTTTCTCAAAGGTCTCCTGTTTGCATGAGCCTGTGCAAACACAGTAAACATCTTTTACTTCTTAAATTCCGTCACGACTGCTATCCTGTGCATGTTTTCATGTGCCCATGATTGTCGGAATTGTCTTCTGTTTTGGTCAAAAGTTTGTTTTATTTACAGAACCAAAGATCTTTAGCCAGGTTGAAGTCTGGAAATCTTCTGAGGACAGAAATGGACAAAGATTCCCCTCCTGAAATGATAAAAAAGGTTTTAACTTCCTCGAGTCTTCATAATTTAAGTTTCAAAAGCATTTTGTTTCTTCGCTTTTAAATTTTGTTCATTTCTCCCCATAAATTCTTCCTTCAGGTCAATAAAGCATTGTGCATTCTTTATACCCGTCACGTGATCAGTCGACTGTTGGCGGAATGGCCCGAGGATATAGCTCTGACGTCAGACGTACTAAACGATGGAGATGAGGTGCAATTAATTGGTATCTTGGATCTTATACAGAGAATTGAAACGAAAGAAGATTTTGAAAAGGTGAGCTGCGATTGATGTTTTGGAGGATGGAATGGGATAAGGCGAGATTGTATGTAGTATTATGGAACGGGTGAATATGGGATATAAGAGGATAGTTTTAAAGGTTAGCTGCAATTGATGTTTTTTGGGAGTGGTATGGATTTCATGTGGTATAATCAGATTTTATTTAGTTATGAAACAGGTGAATATGGGATGTAAGAGGATATACTCTTGACTTTAAAGTTGTCTCATGTGATTATAACACTGACTTATACATCAATATCCCTTGAGGTCGTGACTCGAGTTGTGAGTCGAGGTGAAGCGAAGTTAATACAACCATTATCTCTTACTGCTGCTCATTGCATGGGAGAAGTTGAATTATCATCGGAGACAAGAGAGACGGAGCATTCTTACAAGAACGATCTTCATAAAGAGGTTTATTACACCATCAATGTTTGTTCGTTGTGTTTTATATTCTCTGCTCTAACTCAATGTTTTTTACTACGATGAAGATAAATTCTTTTGCCAACAAATTTATGTTTTATTGACTAGAACGATATTCTTGATTATTGATTTTAATTCTTATTTTTAAGGACAAAGTTCATATTCCTGGTGCTGCTACATTGAGCATAAAATTTGATCCGAGGTTTGTGAAATCCGCTTATTGAAAAACTATTTTTGAACACATTCGTCAATATGTTGATTTGTCCTCCATTTCTGATGGCATTATGTTGGATAGTGTTGATTTGTGTTGGATCATGTTGGATAGTGTTGATTTGTGTTGGATCATGTTGATAGTGTTGATTTGTGTTGGATCATGTTGGATAGTGTTGATTTGTGTTGGATCATGTTGGATAGTGTTGATTTGTGTTGGATCATGTTGGATAGTGTTGATTTGTGTTGGATCATGTTGGATAGTGTTGATTTGTGTTGGATCATGTTGGATAGTGTTGATTTGTGTTGGATCATGTTGGATAGTGTTGATTTGTGTTGGATCATGTTGGATAGTGTTGATTTGTGTTGGATCATGTTGGATAGTGTTGATTTGTGTTGGATCATATTGGATAGTGTTGATTTGTGTTGGATCATATTGGATAGTGTTGATTTGTGTTGATTTGTGTTGGATATTGTTAGTATTAAACTGTGTTAGATTTCATACCTACTCAACATTAATACATGTTGAATTAGGTTTGAAAATTTCATTTAGCATTGTCTAACATTTTCGTGTACACTTATCCACTGAGATTCGATTGAAGATTGTTGTTGTAAATATTTTCTCATTGGAGGCGACTTTCTGGATGCCAGAATCAAATAACTGTGCGAAAGGTCTTAGACGTTGTTTGATTCATTAGAACAGTTCTTTACAATTTTTTCTGTTGCCATTTACAGGTGTTCAACTGAAGAGGGTTGTGACACATTAATAATGTCTTCCTCACCCAACTATACAGACAATAAACGTGAATTTAGCGGTCAAAGTAGCTGGATTGACTTTGAAATACCAGGTAAGAAATATCAGTAAGTTATCTATGCCATTGGTATGATATGTATCCTTTTATCATATGCTATCATATCCTATGATATGCTATCATATCCTATCATATGCTGTTATATTGTGTCATCATATTGACTTATAGAATTTTGCGCACGCACTAAACTTTATTAAATATTTAGGTGACACGTTGTATTTTGTTTTTCAATCTGACTCCACAAATACAGACTGGGGTTGGAAATTTACCGTCACTGGTGGACAACTTGGAAGGTGGTATACATGTTTACCTTAGGATAGTGTAGTATACATGTTTACCTTGGATAGTGTGGCTTACATGTTGGCCTGGGATAGTGTAGTATACACATGTTTACCTTAGGATAGTGTGGTATACATGTTGGCCTGGGATAGTGTAGTATACACATGTTTACCTTAGGATAGTGTGGCTCACATGTTGGCCTGGGATAGTGTAGTATACACATGTTTACCTTAGGATAGTGTGGCTCACATGTTGGCCTGGGATAGTGTAGTATACACATGTTTACCTTAGGATAGTGTGGCTTACATGTTGGCCTGGGATAGTGTAGTATACACATGTTTACCTTAGGATAGTGTGGCTCACATGTTGGCCTGGGATAGTGTAGTATACACATGTTTACCTTAGGATAGTGTGGCTCACATGTTGGCCTGAGGTAGTGTAGTATACACATGTTTACCTTAGGATAGTGTGGCTTACATGTTGGCCTGGGATAGTGTAGTATACACATGTTTACCTTAGGATAGTGGGGCTCACATGTTGGCCTGGGATAGTGTAGTATACACATGTTTACCTTAGGATAGTGTGGCTCACATGTTGGCCTGAGGTAGTGTAGTATACACATGTTTACCTTAGGATAGTGTGGCTTACATGTTGGCCTGGGATAGTGTAGTATACACATGTTTACCTTAGGATAGTGTGGCTCACATGTTGGCCTGGGATAGTGTGGTATACATGTTGATCTTAGGGTAGTTATTGTTGAATACTTTATTGATGTTTTAAATACAACTTTTGTTAAAGATTTGAGACTGGATATACCATATTGAAAGCTCTTTTGGTTCCTGACCTTGACTTAGCCAGGTTTGTACCAATGAAATTTTTCCACTACATTGGAATAGACCATTGTTCTTATTGATATTTTGGTCTTAAGCAATCTTAATGTTGTATTTTCTTGACAACAGATCGCTGCCTTTAAAGAAACTGTGGAAGTGGTTGGTTTCTGTAGCCTGTAGTCAAACTGGCGAACAACGCTTAATGGTGACTGGTTTGTTACTGAGAGTTCTTCTTGTATCAAGGTGAACATAGACATAATGACCTTTATTTTTTTATGACAAAATAACATCACTCACAAGACAATTATTCTTTCTTTACATATGTAGTAATGTTCCAGTGAACGAGAGACCAGAGTTGAATCTTTTAAACTCACTTTGGGCTTTATACTCTAACATGTTGGAAAAAGAGACAAGTACGTCGAGGAGCTTTTGATTTGATGCGTGCTTCTCATAGCTAGAATTTTTAATCTTGACGTGCAAATGAAGTTGAACAACTGTTGTACATTTATAATAGGAAAGGAGAGTGACACAAATTATCTTTTTATGCAACATAAATTTTACAATTTACTTAGCTACGAAATCATTTAAGTCAGAACGAGACCTCTATATTATTCTGTTATAACTTATACAATCTTTGTCGTATTTAATATTCTCTTCATCTCTCTTGTATAGGTGGTGTACCGTCGTCCCTTGTTCCACCAGCTGTTCGTGGGCTCACAGAGCTCTTCCTAGTTGTTGAGAATCTAGCTCAGGTATATTGGGTTACTTTGTGTGAATGTTAGTTTAACTACATGAACATATTGATCTTTCACATTCCCCAGATAACATCGTCATTTCATTAAACACTTTGATCCTTCACATTCCCTATCTATCACCTATTCCAAGATAACATCGTCAGTTCATTGAACACTTTGATCCTTCACATTCCCTATCTATCACCTATTCCAAGATAACATCGTCAGTTCATTGAACACTTTGATCCTTCACATTCCCTATCTATCACCTATTCCAAGATAACATCGTCAGTTCATTGAACACTTTGATCCTTCACATTCCTTATCTATCACCTATTCCAAGATAACATCGTCAGTTCATTAAACACTTTGATCCTTCACATTCCCTATCTATCACCTATTCCAAGATAACATCGTCAGTTCATTGAACACTTTGATCCTTCACATTCCCTAACTATCACCTATTCCAAGATAACATCAGTTCATTGAACATTTTGATCCTTCACATTCCCTAACTATCACCTATTCCAAGATAACATCAGTTCATTGAACATTTTGATCCTTCACATTCCCTAACTATCACCTATTCCCTAGACAACATCGTCAGTTATTTTAATGTTAATTTTTTTGGATTTGTTGTCTTATTAAGGAATGGGGTATTGCTGAAGAACTAATTGTAGGACTGACCACAGACGAAGCATTGAAACGCTGTTTTACTCAAGCTGTCTGGAATGTTGGTGCCATTGGTGCAGCTATAGGTCTACCTAACAAGGCTACTGAAGCGTTGAAGCAATCAATAGCTACCACATCAACAACAGATGAACACAAGAAGGTAATGAAACGATTTTAGCTTCACAGATTTCAGATTTTGCAACTAAGTGAGCTGTACTGAATATTACTACTGCTGAGGTTGTTGAAACGTCAGTCAAGGTCAACATCAACAGTCCTTTGCAGGACTCTACTAATCTGGATGATCTACATCTACAAACATGAAATGGTATTTTCGGGTTTAAGTCATTCATTTTAATAAGGGCGTATGGCAAATGTTAGCGACGTGTTTACTAAGAAAAATCATTGAATTTTTTTTAAACAATTTCTATTAGAGCGGAAAAACAAATTCTACGAAGAAACCAATTCCACGGTAAAATTTTACCTTTCAAATATTTTATTTCTGATAATATAAAGACATTGTATGGGGATTTAGGTTTAGGATTAAGCTGTAATCTATGGTTTTAGATCTTCTTTGATTGATCCCTTGGGCAGTAGCAGCCACGTTCGGTTAGGAGGGATATATTATGGTAGCAGCGACACAAGCACGGATTCAGACGACTCTTTCAGTGATGGCGACGACGACGACGATATTAGTGGCAGCGGTTAGTGATGATACTTTATGTTAACGCATCTTAAGGAATGTACATTACGTAATAAGTGATTCTCGATTTGTCTCTGTGGACTACTACAACCCCACAGAATAAGGTCAACACTAAAGTTGATATATAACTTTGTTTTTCGCTTGCAGAAAACATCTTGTAGTTTTTGTGAGCGCTTTATATTCAAAATAATTAACGCCATGGATTTGGACGTTTGAAAGAGCGTGGCTTCAACGTATGTAAAGTCAGTCACTCTCAGAGAATTAAAGTCGATGGGATTAAATTCTTTAAAAGATCATAAGTTGTTAATTATAATGGTGCTTTTGAGTAAGCTTATCAACGATTTTATTGAAGCTTTTGTTGGCTTCACTTTCAACAAATGCTTGAAGAAAATCTTCACTCTCCTCAATGCAGCGAGCTAGTTTAGGATCCAAGGGTACATTACCTAAAGTAGGAGGATTATTGGGGTTTAGTCAGTAGAAGAACGTGATTGGTGGAAAGATAATATTTTTTGCTACTTACCCAGGAATGAGACATTACATAGTCTAGCAAGAGCCTTGCCTCCCCCTGAGGAAAAAACATTGCTACACTCCTAAATGGACACAATTAAATAAGTTCAGTATTGGCTGTTCTTGCTTAAGGTGGACTTTCACTGCATGGAACATTTTTCTCGCGACATTTGATGTTTTAGACAATGTGAAACATTGTACATTGTGTGCATTTTAGAAAAATCTTTCAAGTGAATTTTTATCACTTATGAGTAGATTTTAAGTGAGTTATTTAAACAATTCATCTTTCTGACCTTTCTTAACATGTGACCTTGCACGTGACAAAAAAAGACAGCACGTGACAAAAAAGACAGCACGTGACAAAAATGACAGCACGTGACAAAAAAGACAGCACCTCAGACAAACAATATATATTTAATACTCACTGAGCAATGTGGACAAATGAATCCGCTCATGTTTTCAATTATTCCTAATATGGATAGATTAGTTTTTCTACAAAATGAAAGCTCTCTTCTCACATCATCTATAGACACTGCCTGAAATAGAGATGATGAGGGATGATGAGGGATGACGATGGACACTTTTATTATTTTATATATTGATTTTTGCCTTACTTGTGGTGTCGTCACTAGAATAGCTCCATCTGGACTAAATGGTTGTAAACTTTCCACAACTGTTATATGCTCATCAGAGGTTCCTTAATTATACAAGTTTCCCTTAACGTACCTTGACATACATTCACCACATTTTGAGATTGTTCATTTATTACTAACCAGGCGGAGTGTCTATGACAAGATAATCTAAGTCACCCCAAAAAACATCACTAATAAACTGTTTGATCATTGCTAAATAGGAGGTTTAAAAACAAATTATATTATATACAACCTTTTCAATTAACATTATGTCAACAGCAATTTAAAATAACACACTGACAGTTTTTCTTTGGTCCTCTCCATACAACTGGATCATCGCGGTTTGCTAGAAGAAAGCCAATTGACATGACACCAAGCCTTTGGTCAGGTCTTGTGTACACAGGAACCCATCTACAAAATATTGATGATAAATACTACAAGTTTTTCATTTGAAAGATATTTTAGATTGTTTATAAATAAAGGTTTCATAATAATCATTCACCCGTCAGAACACTTGTGAACATTGGAACCCTCAAGTTTCATCAAACGTGGAATACTAGGTCCACACAAGTCGATATCTAACAAACCAACCTGAATAATGCATATTTAATTTTAATTTTAGTTTTACCAAAATATTAGCAAAATAATTATAAAATATGCATAACTGGGTAAAGTTCTTTCTTAGACGTTTTCAAGTCTCCAGTATATAATAAAATAATGTTCAGTAACTGATAAATTTATATGTGAAACAATATAATGTACCTTCTTTCCTCTACTGTATAAGGCACAAGCGAGTTGGGAAGCTACAGTACTCTTACCAACTCCGCCTTTACCAGAAAGCACCAGAAAAATATGTTTCACAGACGATAAACTGCTTTGATCTGTTATAAGTTTGTAAAGATATTATTAGACTTTTTGGCGATCCTTCGATGAATGAATACATTCCTAATTCAGTATCATGAGCATTTAAGCGATTCATGTAATAGTAAGTATGATATATCCTTAAAAATAACACTAAAATTCGTCCAAACCTGTTGAGTTTTCCATTTCTTGCTAAATTCTGTGTAAAATCTGTGTCCCGTTAAAGACTCGCAAGTTCGTGTATTCCCGCGAGGATGCGTGTAGCAAATGCGAGAGTCAGTTCAATTTTTACAAATTACATACCGTGCACTGAAAAGCCTCTTGCAATGAGAAAATATTACATGCATAACACCCATTGATTATTGCAAACTTTAATTTTGTTTCTTTTGTGTTTTTTAACAGTCCCCTTGCTTACTTTATTGGGTTTTTATATTGTGGTCATTAAGTCCCCACACACAGACGTTTTGTCTAATAAATAGTTTGGTTTACGCTTTAAAAAAACTTTATTTTTTTTATAGAGTAAACGAATTTTTTGTCAGTATTTTTGTAGCTTCATACAGCCTAGAAATGGGTATTGCATATGTGTCGAATAGAGAGAAAAGAATTGTACGTGAGAACGCTTGGGAAAGTGAGTATTTACAAGGGCATTTTATGCTAAACTTTCTTATCAACATCTGCAGCACTAATTATTTATAAATTGCAAAGTTAACAATTGGCAGCTGTTTTTATGTTAAAACCTGTCGAAACTTAGCAACCGCGTTAACAAACACTTGTATCAGCACAGAAAGTTTGCGTGATAATTTGAAATCAAGAATTCTAAAAATGTCTGACAAAATTAAGTGTTCAAATTACTTTTTATTTCTAGAATTATGTTCGGAGAAGCCTCAATTAAAACGTGTAGTACCCTCTTATTATAGTTTAATGTTGTAATAACGTCATTAAAGAAGCGGTTTCATGGCTAATCCTCCTTGGGGTACAATACAAGATAATTATCGAAGAGAAAGGTACAATCCTTACAGGTATCTATAAAATATAAATTACTTCAAATATAAATACTTATATGTTTGTGGATGTTGATGTTGACTGACATTTCTACAACCTTAGCGGTAGACATCTACAGAGTCAAAAGATTGACTATCGCTAAGGTTGTCGAAACGTCAGTCAACACCAACACCAACAGTCCTTCTCAGGACTCTACTAACCTGGAGGATCTAAATTATGTATTTTTAACATTCAAAATAAGCTCGACATATATTTTTTAATCAAGCCATAACAAAACTTTGGTATATGGCTGTATTTACAAATGAATAAGGTTACATAGTAACCGAGGTTAATATCAGAGGAACCCTTTGCGGCCTGGGACCCAAGACGTAAGGACGGTAAGTATTTGTGTAAATGAGCTGACGCATTCGTAAGCAGAAATTCCCGAAAAAATTTTATCGAAATGTTTTTCGATGCGATAAGATGCAAGTATGTGGTGGTCAGTGGTCAGGTCCTGAGTGCGTGTTGTTGTATTCGGGACCTGGACTCCAAGTAAACCAAAACGTGCACCCGGTTGCTCATACTTGTACCTAAGCATCCATGTCGAAGGTATGGTAACGATAGATATTAAAGATTATATTTGGGTCGTCCTGCAACTCTGCTGGTGGGTGGAGGCTACAATTTCTAAAATTTCTCACTTACTGTGTCAGTATGTTTGTATGGTATGTTGGTATCAAAAATCTGGTTAGTATTGTTAGCTTCGTATTTTATCGTATTGGATTCGGAATATTCCGAGAGATGATAAGATGGTTGTCAAGGTCAACGTAAACAAAAAATTAAAAGATTAACATTTTGATAGCAGGTGCTTGACATAACCTCAAAGGCTCAAACTCAAAAAAGTTATCGTTTATATTTTCGAAAAAAATGTGGCGGGCCTTTGAAAAAGACGTGGAAACATTTCCGGTCTTAAAAAGGTACATTTTTATCTCTAGAAAATTATGACATGTCTTCTCTTCTTAAACTCCGTGTTGTGAACTAAATTGCTTATTGATAAGATTAAAATGAAATAAGTACTTAAACAATGGATTGTGTCCGTTTTCTTTCACGTAATTTACGATTGTAGCGTAAATTATTTTCACTTTAGGATAATGCCATTTCAAGTGGCTCGTGAACATAGATGTTTTTAATAAAAACGATGGACTATTTGATAGGAAAGAAAAGTCTAATAGTCGAATGACAAGACATATGAAGATGTTTCTTTATCATATTAACAGCAAATTGTCCTTACATTGATTTTTGCCAAGGAAAGAATTTTTTTGAAAATTTCCACGACTACAGTTGCATTTGTTAGAAAGTTGTGAAGATTTTCATTGGATTGTCAAAATTATTAACAATTAGGCCACTTATGTCTACTGTAATGCTCCTGGATTTTAACACTCTCATAAAACTCTTTTTCATTTGATTTATAGCAGATATGAGGGAAACAAGGTTGTCCCAACATCTCTCCCTGCTATTTCCAATGTTACTTACAGAGATAGCACAAGATCGCAAGATCTGGAGAGTCGAATAAAACTTAGTGAGCAATCAAATAAACTTCTACTTGAAGAGCTCATGAGATTACAGCAAGAGTTGAAACTTGCTCTAAGACAGAACGAAGACATTGTAATGAAGGAAAGGCAGGAGATGTTGGCAATACGAGATAAGGTATGTGATTTTCTTTTTTGGCTGAAGTGAATGTAAATTTTTTAAGTTTGATTGTGTAAGTTGAGAGTTTGGGTAGAATCCCTTACACTAATTTCCATCCTCCTGAGGTTGAAGCTGCTGAAAACATGTACAATCATGTATCAATGCAACTCTCAAGAACTGAAGAAAAAGTCAACGTAGAGCATTCAACACTTGCAACATTACTGAGCCAATCAAAAGAGTTAGAAAGAGCTCTAACTGGAGGACAACAGAGAATTATGATGAAAGGCGAACAGGTTGATCGCTTCATCAATAGATTTCGTGATGAGATGTCCGAGCTACGACAAATGAATGAACAGATGCAAAGTTCGTTAAGGATCGTATATGAAGATATGAAAAATATTCAACATCGATGTGAAATGCAGAAATCTGAATTTGATAGCATGGCTCAGGAAATAAAGCAGAAAGTTAAGAGAATGGAAACAGATAGTATTGTAGCTGTAAGTCAAAAGTCACTATTCTTTGTGTTTTTTATTCATCCCTTTTGTGCATTGTGAATAAGCATTTTGTTTGATAATGACTTTGAATTAAAGTGGAAATATTGCTTATAAATTCAATCTGTTTACGTAACATAACTCGAATCTTAAGTGACTTCATAAAGTGTGTTTTTTTCACATTTTGCTTACTCTATCTTTACTAGATGGAAGCATTTCAACGTAGTAAATCAACGCGAGACAATTTTGACGGCAGCTCTTATTTGAAACAAAATATGGAATCAAGGTAACGACAGCCAAACTTACTTTTTGATCGTTTGTTGACGTTTTGTAAATACGTCATGTAATGTAGGTTATTAGAGATCCACGATGCTGTAAATGACATAAAGAGAAAGACGGATGTCGAGACTTCCGAACGAAAAGCTGGTGAACAGAAAGCCGAGTTAAAGTAAGCTTGTTTTTTGATTGAATATTTTGATGCAAGACCTTTGTTGAGGATATAGGCTTAAGATGTTTGTGATCCCCCATAAAACATTATGTTAGGGCCAAATCTTTATTAAACCATTTATTTAATCACGCAAATATTGAAGTTAACTTAAAATGATGAAAAAATTTATTCAACCTATAACCAAAAGCTCAAATGATTTTCTACTTTCCAAAAACCATACGTTGTTCAACACCAATATTCCACCCCACCACCCCCACCCCTCAGGGGCAGACACCATAGAGCTCCGCCCTATATTTTTCATATTAGTTAGTTTTCAGTCATTCAAACTTGAAATGTTTATATGTATCATCTCCTCTGTTCAAAATTATAAATTATCTTTTGGCTCTTCTAATGTTTGCCCCTGAAATTTCATGGAATGTCGGACCCCCTCCTCCCTGCTAAAACCTGACGCTCCCCCCTAGACCTGACGACTTTGACAGTCATCTATTAACATTTTTTTTTTCGTTCATAGTTATTTAACATATGTTTTTTCCTCGGGTTTTTCGACAGTGTTGAAAAGATGCATATAACGTTACATGAACTTGAAAAGAAATTTCGTGATGTATCTCACACGGCAAATTTAAACATTAAAGAAAAGGAAAATGCTTATGAAGTCGAGAGAAATAAACTTACTTATAAAATTGCCGAACTGACAGAGGAAATCAATAAAAAGGCATTGGATAGAGAGAGACAGCTCAGAGAAGAAGCGCAAATAAAATTTACCCTCATGGAAAAAGTAAGTATTTTAAAAGTGAGGATGCTTGAAAATATTATTTCTCCTTTTTTTCAGGTTAAATTTGAATTCTAAACATTGCAACATGTCTTAATGCCCTTTCATGTTTTGTATAAAATAATCTATTTTCGTGTATATCAAAAGGATTGACCTGACACGGCTTCCCGCGTTAATGCTTATCATATTTTCATTTATTTGATGAACTTTTGGAAGCTATGAACGTCAAACGTCGTTATTCAAGGTGGAGAAAAAAACTCCAACCTCTCCCTCCCTCCCTTCCCTCCCTCCCCTCCCTCCCTCCCCTCCCTCCCTCCCTCCCTCCCTCCAACGGTTGAACGTCGTAATTCAAGATGGAGAAAATGAACTCCAACCTCTCCTCCCTCCCTTCCCTCCTCCAACGGTTGAACGTCGTAATTCAAGATGGAGAAAATGAACTCCAACCTTTCCCTCCCCTCTCCCCAACGATTGAAGAACTTGTTATTTGTTTGACACGAATAGCTCCATCTCTGCTTACCCTCCCGGATATAATGGCGTGTTTATTATGTAATTTTAGAGGTTTCGCGAAGAACACTCCTCAAGACAGGCCTTTGAAAGATCTGTGCGCGATGAGATGGAGAAAATATTCGAGACTGTTAAAGTACATCTCTCAGAAGAGCTTCAGAACATACGACATCGTACGGCGGTAATTCATGATTTATTGCACTTTGAACGGGGGGAAGAAACTAATAATTTAATTTAAACAATATAAAAATTCTATACTCTTAACAAAATTTCATTTTTTTAATCATATTTATTCCAGAAATCACGTCATTACGACTATAAGCGTATATCTCCGGACAGGTCTCCGTCTAGAGGGGAATACGCCGGGGATCAAACCCGTGGGGATAGTTCTCCCGGTGCTTCTACCAAAGCATCGCAAATTTCGAAAACAAATCATCCCGAGGAGGTACATAAAATCCAAATAAATGTTAAATTTTGAAATAAATATATGAAATAAATTAACATAAATTTGCATAAGTGAAGCACTGTTTATCAACAGCTGTGGACACAGATGATTAAACATATAATTTACAAATTAAACAAAAAATTGATTTTACTCTTTCGGATTTGACAGTAAATGGAAATTTTATGTACCTAATTTTATTTTAGGCACGGATAAATGTAAAATTGTTTATAATAAAACTAAACTAAACTAATAAATTAAACAAGTTTTTACTTTCGATAAAAATTAATGCTCTTCATACTTTTTAAATTTCGTACCTTCTTCATACTTCATAGTTTGCAAAGTTCAAAGAGTTTAAACTCTATGAAGAAAACAAAGATTGTCAGATGGGTTATTCAACTTTCGAAATATTTTTTCATTTGAACAGATGGCGAAAACACACGATAATCAACAGTTTGTTAAAATGAACGACTGTCTATCGCTTTTGGAAAAGGAGATCGAGGCTGCAAAGAAAGCGTTTGAAGACGTCCTTCATGCTGAGATCATAGCAAGACAACAGCAGAACGAAAAAACACTTGAAAAATGTGATAAACTACAGGAGAAAATAAATGTCGCTATAACAACTTTACAACAAGCTATATCTGGCGTTACAACACATACTGATGAAGCTGTTCAACAGGTATAATTCTATGGTTACCATCTTAGACGTTCATGTTATAGAGCTGTAATCAAACAGTTTTAAGTGGGGGGGGAGGGTGTCCACATTTGAGGAAAAACGGACTCCTACTCATGATTTTATTGGCATTATAACTGACGTTAATGTTTTATACTACAAATACACTTGGTTAAGCCGCGCTCAACTTGGTTGATGTGCTTTATATGAGATTACTGAGAAACACACACTGGTTGAGTTCAATAACATGGGGACATTTTTAATTTTACAATTTCACCAGACTATTTTAATCATTGTTTATTACTTTCTTCAGTTGTATTTTTGAATAACGCACGTACATTCAGTTCACCCCCTGGTACGGACTGTGTTATACTCAGTTCACCCCTGGTTACGGACCTGTGTTATACCCAGTTCACCCCCTGCCTACGGACTGTGCTATACCCAGTTCACCCCCATGGTTACGGACCTGTGTTGTACCCAGTTCACCCCCTGTTTACAGACCTGTGCTATACCCAGTTCACCTCCCTGGGTTACGGACCTGTGTTATACCCAGTTCACCCCTGCCTACAGACTATGCTATACCCAGTTCACCCCTGGTTACGGACCTGTGTTATACCCAGTTCACCCCTGCCTACGGACTGTGCTATACCCAGTTCACCCCCATGGTTACAGACCTGTGTTATACCCAGTTCACCCCCCTGGGTTACGGACCTGTGTTAAACTAGCGTATTGCTTTATAGATTTACCAAAGAAAGGGCTTCAAACGCCTCGATTAGTTTTTCATCAAATGTAATTTGTGTGTGTATATTGTCAATATTGTAGACTAAAGATGAAATTTTAACTTTATTGGATCATTCTAACTCCAATCGTCATCAAACGATGACTGACATCAACGAACGTTTGACAAATTTATATAATCACGTTACTGAATTGGATGAAGCTTTGAAGAACCGTTCACTCCCCCCGTCTACGGCACTACCAAACTCAGAAGCTCCGGTGAACAACGAAACCACGAGTTATAACGAGGAGTACACGAAGCTAAACACGAGAATGTATGAAGCATATAAATGGCAGGATGAAGCTGAGGATACTTTGAGGGATCTTTACACCAAACTACATCCAATGAATGGTGAGGTGAGTTTCGTTTGGGGATAAAAATGTCTACAAAAGGATGTAAGTTGATAATAAAATTTTGTTTTATCTCAGATTTCGAAGTTGAAAGTCGCGATTGAAGATATTGTAAATGAGCTTGAGTTAAGAAGATTAGCAAGGTATTTAAAGCTCTTATTTCATTTGTTTACTGTGTTTGCACAGGCTTACGAAAACACAGGAGATGTTTGGGAGTACTTGAGAATAGATCAGTGCAAGTCCAAGAGGGTTACACATGCTTGAGTTTGCTTGAGAGCTCTCACAAACGTCTCCGAGGTTTGTATAAGCCTGTGCAAATACGAAAAAAATCTTTTATATCTTTATACCAGAACAGCAATATGATTGATTTGAAATTTTGCTTTGATTAATTTAAATGATTCAGCTCGGATCGGTTTGTACATGTTAATGTAAACTCAGCTCTCGACCAATCAGCGCAAACTCAGCTCTCGACCAATCAGCGCAAACTCAGCTCTCGACCAATCAGCGCAAACTCAGCTCTCGACCAATCAGCGCAAACTCAGCTCTCGACCAATCAGCGCAAACTCAGATCTCGACCAATCAGCGCACGCGTTTTATTGTTGACATTTTGTAAAATTATAAGTTTCCGTGTCATCTACATTCACTCATTTATCTATTAATAAAATATTATTTTTTAATTTAATAAATCATTGTAGCATAAATGACGATGAAACCAAAACACCCATATCTCATGATGAAAATCTAAGTATGAAGGTTGAAAAGATAGAGAACGATCTTGAACTGGTAATATTGTGTAATTACAACTAAATGAAGAAATTTAACAAAAGATGTTTGATACTTAAAACTTTGTTTGTTTTATTTTGCGTTTTGACACATAGTTTCATAATAAAAGACGTCCTTTATGTAGATATCTATTCAAATGGAAAAGCTCGAAAATACTGTGAACACGATAAGAACAGTTCTCTCACAAAAAATATCATCAGAAGCGAAAACCGTAAGTACTTTACTTTTAGTGTACGGTTATATTTTCTGCTTAAATTGCCATCCATAGTAGAGAATTGTGCACAAGTAGCAGATACGTAGGTCCCTTAGAATACATATTGAAATAGTGTTTACAGTTTGCTATTCACAGTTTATTTATCCACTTGGCGAATGAAATGAAAAAGTGTGCGTTTTTTTAACTTCTTTTATGTTATCGATTTGCAATTTATGTCTTGTTTTAAAAAAGTAGCGCTTTTTGAACCACATTGAACACTTGCGCCTGCGAATATGTATTTGAAAGGTCCACAGCGCTTTTCTATAAATAAATCCTGTGAAGCACAGGATTCATTTTAACTCATTTTATTTCACCCCCCTCCCATAGCAAAATCTGACTAAATTTGCCAAAGAAAAACTGTAGTGTTGAAATCTTCCTAAAGAAATTTACTGTTTGAAAATTTCGCATGCTAGAACTTTTTATGAAAGTTTATCAACGCTTACTGATAGTCATGTTCCGTAGAAACATTTCATACGCAAGAAAGTTTCATTGCCAATTTTGTTTTTAACGTATTCACGTTTGGATGAATTATCTCACACATCTTCGTGCAATAGCAACCGACTTAAGACTAGTTTTACTTAATCTGGCAGATGAAATGTAGAGTGCCATCTTTGATAAGGTTCTCAACATTGTAAAAATACTTTTAAATTATTATGAAGTTCCAACATGATCATGAAGTTCCGACATAATCATGAATTTCCAACATGATCATGAAGTTTCAACATGATCATGAAGTTCCAACATGATCATGAAGTTCCAACATGATCATGAAGTTCCAACATCATGAAGTTCCGACATGATCATGAAGTTCCAACATGATTATGAAGTTCCGACATGATCATGAAGTTCCAACATAATCATGAAGTTCCAACATGATCATGAAGTTCCAACATGATCATGAAGTTCCAACATGATCATGAAATTCTAACATGAGAGAAAAGTGCCAGAAGTTCCATTGTATATTAGAAAAAAATTACCATTTCATAATTACCATTGTATAATTATACGAAATATGTAGAGAAATAGCGATATTTCTGAACTGAAGAAACAGTTGAAACAAATCCAGAAAACTAAAGAAGACGACTCAGAGAACAATGATGCCGATGCTTTTGAAGGCCACAATGAAAACAGATAATTTTGCAGATGGAAATCGAAAATTTGTTTGTACTATATGGAGGTGATGGAATTTTTCAAAAATGATTTCATCCATCAATCAATTTTATCACACCTAATTTTACGTTAAACTGTAAAATTATTGGCTTGTTTAAAAATAAGATCATTATTGTACAACATCTAAATAATGAATATAAATCTTTCTAAATTTATTTTATGCAATGTTTAATATGTAGTACTTATGATGTTAAATATCTTAGTGATATTTTAATTTTAATATATGTTACAAAAGTGCGTATGTATTGTGTAAATCTAATTATCTAAATATAAGATAAACTTAACTTGTATGTTGTATCGGCTTCAACCACTCCTTTTGTAGTCAGATTATGTTGTTAAACTTTTCTATTTCTTAACATAATCGAGTTTTTTGCTCTACCAGTAAATGTCATAACCACTAAAGTCTAAACATTATTCCTAAATTATCTTACTCTAAAACTCGCTACGCTGACCGCCATTTTGCAAAACTGGTTTTAAGATCTCCGTTTCTTTCTTTCTGCTAATATATTACACGTTAATTTCAGGTAAAGGAAGTACGGGAAATGTTCGCAGATGATATTGGTAAAGTTGTGAAATATTTCATTCGTGAACAGAGACGGGTGTTTGTGAAATATCATATTAATGATAAAAATGTTTATCGTCCTGAAATAACAAAAGATGGCGAAAAACAAGCACATTCCATTCATCTTGCCTTGCTCAGCGTTAACAGATGGGGCATTTATGAGGCGTACAGAATACATAAATATAAACAAGCTTGGTTTAAGATTGTTGAAAATAAAAACAATCGTCCAGTCTCCGAAAGAGATTTTAAAGAGAAGGAAGAAAACCCAAGTGATGATGACAATGAAGATGAAAAAAGAAGCGATGATGACGATGAAAAAACAAGCGATGATGACGATGACAGTGATGATGATGATGATGACGATGACAGTGATGATGATGATGATGATGATGACGATGACAATGATGACGATGACGGTGATGATGATGACGATGATGAAGATGACAACGATGACGATGATGACGATGGGGAAGAAAAGTCTGATGAAAATAAATTAAGTAAAGAGAATGATAGCGAAGAGGAGAAAAGCGAACAAAAGAAAGCAAAAAATGAAAAGAAAAAAGAAAAAAACAATGATACGGAAGGATATGAAGAAGAGAAAGAATGATGGACTGGCACTAATCCATAGTACAAACTGCAGACGTTAAATCTTAGAAAATAAATGGAAAACATAAAGGAATTTCTGGGAACTCCCTGATTGCAACGCATAATGTAATTCTAATAATTTGGTTCAGCACTAAATATTTATAAATTAAACTATTTATAAAAAACATTTGTAAATAATGACTATGTATCTAGAAAATCATTCGGTTATAAATACAATAAAAATTTCGAATTTTTGAGTTAATTAATGGCCTTAAAATTTAAATGCAATTTGATTATTGTCATCTAACATGAAATATCAATGTCATCATTCAGCATCTGAATCTGAACTAGATTCGGTCCATAACCATGAAAACCTATTTAGAAAGCCACTCTCCTTTTTTTTCATTGTATTCTTTTGAACAAGATCTTTCTTTTCTGCTTTAACTCTTCCACTGTGACATTTTTGGTGAAATGTACAACCTGGTGGTAAATGGTTGGTGATTGCATCATAGAGTTCTTGATAAAGCTTGAGATTGAGAACTAGAGTTTCAGCTAAGCTTGCTCCTAGAAGACATTGCAGAGTAAGAAATGAAAATTAGACATGTCAAGTGAATAGGCTAAAATTTACTGATTTATGTACATTCTCAATAAACAAAAGCACACTAACATTTATTTTCTATCATTTATAATAAGCATGATATGATTACTAACCAATTTTTGCAACTCTGACATACAATGAACACACTTTAACACCATCGATACATCTGACACATTTACACATGGAAATGGCTGTCTCAGCAACATGTTAAAACGTTTTACCCAGTAAAGAATATTTTGCCATTCTGAAAATGTATGAACAACATCTATAGTTGCTTCTTCATAACAATGTTCTGTTGATAAACAGTCTTGTTTTACACCAACATAATACAACAATAAACTTGCCAAATGGTAAGGTTTCACTTGTGTGTATGATCCAATAACGCAATGCTAATGCAATTAATTGATGTTGAATTGCAAGTTGATATATTGTAGTTCTGTCTCCGTGAAGCAAATGAATGATGTAATCTCTCTTTAACTCGTCAGACATTCCACATAAATCATAAACTTGGAACTTGCTTTTGTAGATATTCATCTAGATTTACTTTACTTTCAATCAAATCTGAGTATTTGCGATCAATTTCGATAATACAAATTTCTTTTCTGTTCATACTTTTGGAGGAATTGAGATCTAAATTGTGATGATCTGATTTATCTATGGGAACAACTTGATTTTGTGTTGCTAAAGATAAATTGTGGGTACCAGTTGGCAATGAAAACAATTCACACTGGCATAGAAAAGCATAGTACTTCCATCTAAGACTTTCAACGCACATTTGAGATGAAGACTGTTTGACATCTTCACTTTGTGTACGAAGAAAAAGTTTTCTGTTGCACAAGCTTGCTATACCCTCGGGTGCCACTGAACCATCACGGAAAAGCTTGATGAGCCAAGTAGGCAGGGAAAAACCATTGTACATACACAAGTTACTACCATGGTCACATGATTGAAAATAACCAATCAAAAAGCTTTCCTCCTTTTGGTATTCTTCTATAGAAAGCCGCAGTTGTTTTTCAAATTTTAACTTTTGTTCGGGAGTGTATAAAGACAATACAAATTGAACTGCTTCAGAAATTGTGTCATACTTGGATAAAAATAAAGATATCGCTGCAATCTTATGGAATCCTTTACAGTATTTGTTCTTGCCAATGTAGTAAATGAAAGGCATTAACATCCCATCAGAAATATAATCATTGCCTACCAATGGCCAGTAGGAGGCATTTTCTCTGTTATGTTGAGGTATTTGATGAAAGCCATGAAGTTGAATTTTTAACTGTAACGCTAGATCCAGTAAATGTGTAATGTCGAAAGGAATATAACCATGTTTTACATTAAAATGTAAAAATCACTGTCATTTGACATTACTGGAGCTTTCAATTCATTTGCTAGCAGAGAAATTTCGGCATCTGCCTCACTGTAAACAACAAAGTTAATAATTAATATTAAGAGACAGAGGAATTACTCAATTACATTGTGCTATTCTGCCTTAGCCCCTTCGCCCCCTCCACCCTCCACTTTTGAGCATGTTCCATGCACGTGGTCACTGTACAGGGCTGAGTCTGCAGTCTGCTGACAACTGACAATCACAAAACTACACTTACAAATCAGAAACGGCATATTGGACATTAATTTCCTTCAATACTTCAATGACAGCTATCTCCATGAGACGAGGAAGCAACATTTCATAACCTTTGCATGTTGTTGTCCACATTTTGGTCATTTTCTGAATGTAAGTCTCTTTCCTCCTTAGTTTTGTGTTGAATTTCTTTTCGTCTTTTCCCATGATACCATCAAAAATAACGTACGCTACGACGTTATTCAATTTCAGTTTGGAGAAAAACTCTTTCACTCTTTCTTGCATTTCTGCATATTGTCCACCGTATTTTACATTCATGTAATTCGAGGCATACAAATAATAGTATAAACCGCATCCATCTATAACGACATTTGTATTTCTTAATTTATACGGCTCCCAAACATTTCCCTCTCCAGAAGGCATTGAATCGACGTACGAAGTCAATCCCTGAATTCCCATTTTCTCAAAACCACCGTTTCAAAAGCAAAAGCGAAAGCGATAACAACAACAACAGACAGACATCACTGAAATCTAACGAAGTGTGACACTTCCTGCAAAATACCGTTTTGTACTGAGTTAAGGTATATCCCCCCCCCCGTTCTAATTACGATAACCTTTAATTCAGGTGGGTACATTACTCTCCTTGCTAGGCACGTGCACTTCAAATAGCCATTCTGGGAAAATCATTCTTCGTTTCAAAGAAAACGCCATAACGTCTGGTCATGAACGTGTATACAAATATAAATAAACATCCAACGTTATCAAATGACAAATATTCCTTTTCCGTGGATCATCTCTACATCAAACAAATCTGCCGCCAAAAACTCAATATTCTATAAACGGCTTTAGAAATGTATTTTACGCGTCGATTGTGAACACATTGAAGTCAAGAGATCAAGTACATGCAATCGCTATTTTAATTAGTAATTAAGTAATTATCTAGAACATTTACATGTCTCATTCATCTTTGGACTTTGTTCTTTCTGATGATGTCTAAGTGTCGTACACATCTGTGATAAATTTTGAGGTTGATAGATGTTAGACAAGACTACATCCTTTGCTTATATTTCGAATAACACATCATTTCAACGCGTGGTACAGATTTTCGCCATGTGTTATTGTTTAATGAACAGAGTTTGTGAAACGTAATTGATATTAACAATTAAAATTTTGTTTTTATAATTTCAATTGATTGCCTAAATGAGCTGAGATTGGAACAAATGTTAATTGAAAAGGAATCAAGGAATGAAAGAGAATCAAAGTGTTGAAGTTATCATTACTAACATATTTGTAAATTGGAAAGTCATCAGTTGGAGAATTCTTTACTTATATTCTTGCCTTTTCAAACATTTGTGTCAGTAATGTTGACATGGTGACATCACCTTCCATCTGTACTCGTACAAAGTAAAGGTAGCCATTGTTGCAAACTTGACGAAGAACTGGCAAACGAAGAAGTATTTTGGCAAAACGACCAGGTTTTTTTTTCTCAGTGTAATCCTCTAGTGTTCTCATAATTATCTGACATTGTTTTTGAACAGCTTCACTGTTTTTTAATCCTTCTGTGTCTGAAAAAATTCAAAATTAGACTGTCGCCTCTCTATTTAACAAGAAACCCACAGACTTACCATAATTAAACAGTAAAATGGCATTCAGACAAGCAAATTCACTCTCGTCAATCATGAGAGAACGTAAACGTTGAACAACATCAAGCATTCCATCCACTAACTCCTCACTAAGAAAAATGTAGCATTCTTTTCTTTTTAAAATTGAAGGTTGATTCATGTGAAGACTGTCCTCATAAGGCATGGAACGATACAAACATCTAAAACTTGAAGCTCCATTGCGCAGATGAAAGTAATTTAATTTTATCCTCCTTTGCCAGATCAGGAAACCCTGGGATAGCTTTTGCCCAGTCAACTATAAGCTTAAGTTCCAGTGATATGCCATTGGATAATCTCGTCAATGGAATATTAATAACAGGATCTTGAAGAGGGGGTCTAAGAAGATATTCACCCGGAGGAATAATAGCCGGTGAAGCATCCAATAATTGTTGCATGATTTTTAATCTCTCTTCTGCAGTGGTACAGTCACTTTTTGTATTAGTCACCTCTTCTTTTCCTTCCGCTGAAACCTCCGAGCTGTTTGCATCAGGTGTTTTTAAAGGATAAAAAGATCTCCCACCTCTTTGACGATCTCCTCTTACACCTGCAGAAAAACAATTATGAATTATCAAAAGTTATTAATAAATTATTCGTAATAGCATGTGTGCAATAACCCTAGGAGTGACTTCCTGTGATAAAAATAAGAGTATTCTCAAAAAAACTTTATACGTGGACGATCTGCTTTCCCATGCAGTATGCACGTGGTGGAAACATTCTCTGACGAACTTTTGAACCAAAACACAGAGTACAAGAGCATTGCTTGAATGAAAGTCAAAGTTCGTCGACATTGCGCCTTATCAATAGTTGACTATCTTGAAACGTGCTGAAAGCCAATCAACTTTTTAATTTGAGTTGTAGCGTCGTAGAAATAAATTTAAAATACAAAATATTGCATTTTGACGCCGAACAAGTTGTTATTCCCTGTGCTAAGGTCCATTATGAAAACAAAACAACATGCTATTTGCATATTGAACATAAGCAAATGAAAGAATTATGTGAAACTAAATGGGGTCCATAATAGTCATGTTCTTTCACGTATGGAACATGATCGACTGTGTTTGTGTGATTTCTTCAATGAGTTTGACGCTGAATAGTTTTTATTTTACAGTTGTAAGGACTAAAGAAGGCTGTACAACAAAACATGAATCGCTATGAATGCCATGAAATACGATAGGAAATGTTTCAAAAGAGTATTAAATGATTCTTATATTGCATTTATCACGATGAACAAAATAAGTCAGAAAAGGCAAGTTTTGTCTTACCTCCAAACACCATACCAACGTGTAAACATTTTTTCAACCGGCAAGCTTGACATTTTGCTCTCGTTTCCAATGTGATTTCGCATGCTTCGTCCCCATTTTGACATTGATATTTTTCCTTGAGGTTTTTTTGAACTGTTCGCTTGAAGAAGCTCTTGCAGCCTTCGCAAGCATAGCAACCGTAATGATAGCCGGTAGACGGTGCACTACACACAGCGCAAAGGTCTTCATTTTCTGTAGTAGACATAACACAAGATAAATACAAGAGCCGGGCGAAATGCTTTTATACTCCCACAAAAGACCGTGATTTGCAATCGAAGTTCATTCAATGTGAGTAGTTTTTTTGTTTTAAGAGTTATCATACACATGAAAGAAGTATTTTATGTTTCTTTTTGACCTTGAACGACTTCACAGTGAAAGCAAATTGTTCGATTTCTGTAATACACTGTACCCCCATGACGTCATTACAACACTGAGAATTGACTGCCGGAAATAGGCAATAGCAGAGGAAATGTATTATTTTACATTTATTGTATTGAAAGTTACTATTTAAACTGTTGCCATGTAAATTGTTGTTGTCATTCACAACAACAAAAAATGTAACACAATCCTTTGAAGTGATTTCTCCAAGATAACGATGACTTTGCGTTTTGATGGGTGAAAGTGAAAGCGATAACTTCTATACATTCCAATTGTACCCCTAAACTCCTCGGATCTTCTTGTCTGGGTTGTGTGTTGGTGGATATAGATAGATTACTTTAATCTGCTGTTTTCATGGATGTCTTTTCAATGATTTATGTGTTTTTAAAACTGAGAAAATATTTATTAAGCACGGCACAAGTTTCGAAAACCGCAACGATTAAAGTTAAATCAACACCAAAGCCCAAAGCAACTTTCTAGTCTTGTGTTAAAATAGAGCGCATTTTAAATTTAAAATTATCATTCAAACCTTTCCACTTTAGTCACTGTGTTAATATTATTCGGTATTTTCGTGTAAAAGCACGAACGTTTCGTGTAGTCCACGCATATTCATTCATTAAAAGAATCACGTTAAATCAGTAAGCACTTGAGTGTTTTAGATATTGCTCTTCGTGTATATGTCGATATTATGGAAGTAACAAACGTTGCGCGAGCCTTGTACGCGTACGACAGTAAAAATGGCATGAAATTCGACGCTGGAGAACTTCTGAACGTATTTGAAAAAGGTGAAGATGGTTGGTGGTTTGGAGAGGTTCAACAAACAAATACAGAAGGATGGTTTCCCGCAACTTATGTCTCAACTTTGGAACAGGTTAGGTTTAAATGATGAAAAGAGTTTTAACGTCAAACCAAAATCTTATTGGGTATTTCCTCATTAACTTATTTAATTTGGCAAAATATCTGGTTTAAATATTTACTGAAACGACACGAGATGTTTCCAGAAGTCTGAGATTATGTAAAGTTTTTTTAGCCGTATGATTTGCATGAGCTTATTCATCGATCATTGAAGTTGTCATTGAAATGTCTGCATTAACAAACGTTGAATGACAGAAATTTGTCAACACCTAATCCGTTAATTCTTATAGTTTGAAAGATTTCACTTGAGGGGAAAGCTGTTTAAAAGAGCGATTATTGAGTTTTGAACTATGTTCAAGAATTGCGTGATTATTGCGTTGTACTTGAGTAAACAATCTTTTTATTCACAATGAAATATGAACAATTGTTCTGAATTTTCGCGAGAGAACAATCAAGAAAATGCGTCGTAAACAAAAACCACGTTTTATAAATTAACGAAATTCAAGTGAAAATTGTCAGTTTGGCTCGCAGCGATCAGGCGAAAAAATTGAAATATTTTGTTGTTAATTTTCAATTATTTCTTTCATCGATGCTTGTAATTATTTAAATCTTAGATCGACCATTTTACACTTGATTATATTTCATCTTTTAAGACTATTTTCCGCGTAAAACAAGTTCCTAGAATATAAGAATTGAAGTTCTGGTAAATTTTCTTATTGCGAGTGAAATTAAACTTAGCTTTTAACAGCAACATTAATGATTTCAGAAAATTGTACATGACAACACTCTTCCACCCAATTGGAAAGCATTTCAAACTGATCAGGAAAAACCTACTATGTCAATTCAGTCAACGGAGGTAATCGCAACATCCTGTCTTTGTCCCTTTTTTATAACCAATAATAAGTTTAAATTACATGTTTGTAAATGTGTACATTGTCCTGGTTGGTAAAGTCCTGAGAACGACTGTTTTTGTTGTTGTTGACTGACTTTTCGACAACCTTAGCGGTAGTCATCTTCAGAGTTCAAACCATTTACTTTAATAAGTTTAAATATCACTATTTGTAGAAAGAACATGGTTACTTCCAACTTCAAACAATAATGTTTCAACAACTGAGACAGGTAGAATTTCAGTAAGTTGTGTTGTTGAACAATGTAGTCATAAGTAATTTTTCACTCACACTTCAAAAAATGGCCATATTTCTAGCTCATGCTGACAAGTCAAAAGCTCCCGAACGAAATGAAAAACGTAGCTTAAAGAAGGTGATATTTTGAATAATGAATTCTAGAAAAGTATGGCTGCGCTTTGTCAAAATGATCTAACCCTAAAAATGATCCAGCTCACATTCCTTAAATGATCCTATATGTAGAGGATCCGGCAAAGTCTTAAAAATTAACTTATTCAAGATCCTTGAGGATCTTTGCAGGATTTTAGTAAGATCTTACTTAGGAATGTTAGCCAGGAAAGAGTAAACATTATGAAAAGTCACAACTATCAATTCGTCAATTTTATATAGAAACCTAGCTTCAACAAAAGACCCAGTACTATGTTGGTTTGTATCAATTGAATTGATGAATGTAGCTGTATTATCAAACATTGGATTTTAACACCATTTTGTGTTGGTTTTCTTGTTAGAAAGGTTTCATGGCGTTTCTCGTGCAGACTCTAAACATGGACAGACATTGTTCAATCCTGGACAATATAGTTACTGCGATCATTTCTGGGTACAATTTCTCTTGTTTTTCATCCATCTCATTATGGATAAACCAATATAAATTGAAGAAGATAATGAATGTATATATTATTTATGAATGATTTGTTTGTACAGGATGATAGGAATGTTAATAAGACTGGACTTGACATTCTTGTTGATCGTTATACATTATGGTAGAGATATGTGTAAGGAAATGGCTGAATTTATAAAAAAGGTAGATATATTTTATGTTTTTATTGGTCAGTATAAATTATTGTATTGTAGAGCTGTTTAGGAGATTATCCTAGTTGCAAATGGAAATGTTATCAAAGGAAAGATAGTGTTCATGTTAAAATTCTTATGTATTTAGAGCTATTATTGAAGATGTGTATGCAAAGAGTTTAGCAAATTTGCGTCATCTGCTCTTGGTGACCAGGAAGAAGGGTAACTGTCATTTATTTACGATACTTGTACATGATAAAATATGGAAGAAGAACTTCATGTTAAGATATGAATGTTAATGTTTGACATTTTAGAACAGTTGGAAAGGCTTGGAAACAAGTTAAAACAAAACTACATGAAGAAGCAAGTGCTCATCAAGCATTTTCTTTCAAGGTTTAGGATAGTTATTTCTTCATATCGTATGTTGCTTTAATGAAATGTTCATGCTTATTTGTTTTAGTAATATTTTAGCTATTGAATAAGGTTCATGGACCATTCCAAGTCAAAGTGACCGAGGAATCAAAAACAGATACAAAGAAAGTAAATGATGTCTTTATTTGCTTGTTGATTGTTTGTTTTCCTGTTGCAAAACAAATTTCAGTTTGAAACTTGCAGGAAAATTTGAATAAATATGTTTAACAAGCTCATCTATGTATTTTTAACATATAGTTGGAAGGGTTCATTGCTCATAGTTGTGCATTATGTTTGTTTAGCATGATCAATTTAGAGATTTACTTCATGAAGACAGAAAAGCAATATCTTCCTCATTCGGTCTTCTTCAAAAGGTTTCTGTCTCTACCAATTCTTGCGTAATTTATTGCTCTGTAACTGTTGTACTCTGTAACACTTGTTTAAAAATGGCTTTAACATGATATCTACAGGCAAGGGAAAGTGTTGTTGAAAAGCAAAGAGTAGTTGGAGAAAAAGAGATGGCTGCTCAACAATCATCAAAGGTTTAAGCTTTGAGCATGTTGAACTTATGGCCATTTTTCTAGAGTTTGGGTTTTTGTTTTATTTCAGGCTTTAGACAAATATGAAAAGGCTGTAAAGAAAACAGTACAAGCCGTATGTTAATCTTAAAGAGAGGGATATACTGGTGTGAAAATTTAAATAATAGCAACTCAAAATTCATGTTGTTGCAAATTAGATTTTAATGTTTATTTTGTGTGCTACAGGACAAGACCACAGAAAAGCTGTAGAGTTGTACAATGCAAATCAAAAAAAATGGGTTGATGATATGGTTTCATCTTGTTCAGTAGGTGTTCTTTTGGATCAATGATGGATATATATGTATTTCCAAAATATATCCATTTGTGTTTCTTTATATTTTGATAGGTCTTAGAGAATCAAGAAGTTGACAGGGTTGAATTTATCAAACAACAAATTATGCTCTATGTATTTTTAAGAAAAGAAGTCAATGAAACGTGTGAAAAGGTATAATTTTCATTCATTTGCTTGTTTGAAGGCAAGAATTTCAAGTTTTATAAAATCTTACAATGCACACTCACAAACAACTTCAATTGAGCTTGTTTTAATGTGTGTCAAAATGTTAAAAAGAAAAGCAATTTCAATTCATGTTTTAATCATCTTAAAATTTGGTATTGAATAACTCATTTTTATGAATTTATCAAATACTTTAGGCCATGGGAGGTATAATACAGGAAGCACAGCAAATAAATGCATTGAAAGATCGAAAGCTCTTTGTGGAGAAACATGGAACAGGTTCAATAAGACCTGTTGATATGCCTTGAAAAATGACCAACATGATTTTTGCATGCTGAATGACATCTTAGTGATAAAAACAAGTTGTGGATGACTTATTTTATAACGCTAATTATAAATTAAATAAAAATTATTTTGATAGATTGAAAGGCGCTCCCTATAATATTCATGATGATAAATGACAATATTTTTGAATGAATTTGAATAAAAGTTTTGAATATGTACATGCTGGCTAACCGCCAAAACTTCGAATAAACAGATCATCTATAAAAATATAACATCAAGTATTCAACCTTCACGAAGTCTCCATGTTCTTTTTTTTGTAAAGACAATCCGAAATTTTGAAATATTCGACGAAGAACCTTGTTTTAATACCCTTTCAGTCATTGCTAGGTTTTTCCAATCGCGTGAAAGGTATACACGATTGTTTGCATAAAAGAGAAATTAAATCGTATACGTATGTAAACGTAAGAACTGAAAGACGAACAAGAACAAGCAGAGGTATGATGACTACAACTTCAGGGAGAAAAGCTAATCGCTTGCTAAAGGAAAGATCACCTTATCTTCTTCAACATGCATATAATCCTGTTGAATGGTAAGTTTTTCTGAAACTATAATGAGAGAAAGGCGAGAGGATAGAATAGATAGTTATCGGAGCAGAAATTTATCGTCTCCACTGTTTGTGTGCTTGTAAATCTTTGTTTCATTCAGAATGTGAGAATAGCAAGAGTTTAGCTTTCATTTTAATAGGAAGAGGTGTGTTTTGTCCATGTGTTAATTCTCCTAAGGAAATGTAAGTAACCTAATAATCTATGATGGAATTACGGGATGATTTTGTAGGGGTGTGGTGTACGTTTTTTTTAAGATGTCAGTTGGTCAGTCAAGTTTGGATTAGATTTCAGCGGCCTCTTTGTGAGTGTTGTTATGTTATTCACATGTCCGATTTTTTGGGGGTTTGTTTGACTTGAGACCATGGGAAATGTTTTGTTTGATCATTGTTTTAGGTTGGGAAATTACACTCACACCCCCTGTACCCCTTCTAGCCAAGGTTATTGTCTAAGGTGTGCACTCCTGCATCCTTCTTCTAAATTGTTTTTGTTTGTTTGAGGTGTAGATATGTAGGGCTCAAAGACTCCCTTCAATATATTTAGGTATCCGTGGGGTGATGAAGCTTTTGAAAAATCGAAGATGGACGAAAAACCAATCTTTTTGTCAGGTGTGTGTTCATTTTAAATATATGGAGATGTAGGGGGGGGGGTTAAGAATCTTGATTCAAGATGCTGACAAACAGCCTAACTTGTTTGATACTTAAACATTGACTAAATTTAATGAACTTGTGGTTTGCACCTAACAATGGTAGCCAGCCATGAAAGTTGTTTATGTTTATCTGGGATCATGGGTCGGGGTCATGAATCTGGGATCATGTGTCGGTGTCATGAATCGGGATCATGGGTCGGGGTCATGAATCTGGGATCATGAATCGGGATCATGGGTCGGGGTCATGAATCGGGATCATGGGTCGGGGTCATGAATCGGGATCATGGATCCGGGGTCATGAATCCGGGATCATGGATCGGGGTCATGAATCCGGGATCATGGGTCCTGGGTCATGAATCCGGGATCATGGGTCCGGGATCATGGGTCCGGAGTCATGGGTCCGGGGTCATGAATCCGGGATCATGGGTCCGGGATCATGTGTCTGGGGTCATGGGTCCGCGATCATGGGTCCGGGGTCATGAATCGGGATCATGGAGTCGAGGGTCATGAATCGGGATCATGGGTCGAGGTCATGAATCGGGTCATGGGTCGGTCATGAATCGGGATCATGGGTCGAGTCATGAATCGGGATCATGGTCGGTCATGAATCGAGTCATGGGTCGAGGTCATGGGTCGAGAGTCATGGAGTCGAGGTCATGAATCGGGATCATGGGTCGAAGTCATGAATCGGGATCATGGGTCGGTCATGAATCGGGATCATGGGTCAGTGTAATGAATCGGGATCATGGGTCGAGGTCATGGGTCGGGGTCATGAATCGGGATCATGGGTTCGAGTCATGAATCGGGATCATGGGTCTGGGGTCATGAATCGGGATCATGGTCGAGTCATGAATCGGGATCATGGATCGAGGGTCATGGAGTCGAGGTCATGAATCGGGATCATGGGTCGAGTCATGAATCGGGATCATGGATCGAGTCATGGAGTCGTGGTCATGAATCGGGATCATGGGTCCGGGTCATTGAATCGAGTCCATGAATCGGGATCATGGGTCAGGAGTCATGAATCGGGATCATGGGTCGGGATCATGGGTCGAGGTCATGGGTCTGGTCATGGAGTCGAGAATCATGGAATCGAGGTCATGG